CTCTTTGTGTAGAATATCTATTCACAAAGATATCATTGAAAAGAAAGAGGAATCAGAGGTGTTGCATAACGAGGTGGTTGAAAAATTTTTAGAAAAACCCAGGAGGCTGGCCTTTCTTTATAAATGATGAGTATAGTATGTGTTTTGATATTTGTTCGTATAATACATGGTACTTCATTGAGAAAATTAAGCATAACTTTTATAGAATAAAGCCATCCCTGTCTACTTGCCCCAATCTAAACAAGTTTAAACTAACAAGTAGAATGCTAAGAAAAATCTCTCTCTATGCACTTTAGAAGTGTCGTATACTATATTATTTTTTCTGCTAATACAAATTTCTTCTGTTTATGCAGGGCAGTGATGAGTAAATTATGTTTTAGGGGACAATTGTCTCCTGCGTAACGTTTCTCTGAGCCACCTTTAGTACCTTTTAACTAGTTGCAGTTTCAACGATTGCCACATTAAGAATGCAGCTAACAAAAATGGGTTTTTATAAATTATTGTACAACAAATAATTCGCCCTCGAAATCGCAGGAAATGCTGTTTCCAAGGCTCTGGATTTCAAAATTTTCCGGGGAGCATGCCCCCGGACCCCCCTAGTTGGGTCGCGCCTCCGGCGCGAGATGGATTGGTGGGAGTGACTATTTTTCCTAGCTACGCCACTGTTCCTTTGTTTTGTCATCTTAATCATCTTCCTTTAGCACGCTGATTGAAGTGAAAATTCAAAAACAGACATGACAATGGAGAATATGTAAACTTTTAGTGTTTGTAATCCAATGAAAAAGCCTTTCGCCTACTTTATATGCATGAAAGAATACAGAGTTATGGAAATAAAGTGTTCTTTTGTGGTCGTTAAGTGTATCCTCAGAAGTAAACTACAGCGAGCGAGAATGCACAGGAAAATGATTCCAAATTATCTCTGGCATTTGTTAAGCTGTCAAGTGGATTTGATGCACATTTTTTATGCGTCAGTTGTCTCTGTAATAAACTTTGTATTTCATGAGATAACTACGAAGTAACTATTAAAACTTTTGATTTTATTTACAGCAGTTCAATCAATGAGAAAATTTGCCCATTTACTTTTTGCCTAATTTAATTCACAGACGTGAAGACTAGCAGATCCGGAAGTTCAACGTGTACAGTGTTAGGACTGACAAAAATGCTTTCTATTACCAAACACAGACCATTTGTTGGGAATGACTGAAAGTAAAAATTTGAATTGGCTGAGATGGCCAACATCCAAATTCGTATATGGTGCAAGCTTACTCAAATGAAGCAACTATCGACGTTTCTTGTGAGTGCTAAAAAGTTTTTAACTCGTTGGAAAATTTCGTAATGCATGGTTTTCTCCATACACAATTCTGGCCACGTAGCTTCATAAAAACCATGACCAGCCGACAGTTTAAAGAAATATAGTATAAAGCAAATTCAGAAAAAGCAAGACATCTTGCGATTGCAAAATATGCATCAAAACAAGACAACAAGTGAACTGTAAATTTCGACTTTATTTCAAAGTCACCTTAGAGAGAATAATATTTAAAACCATACATACACATATATATTTACAACGCATGAATTAAGTGACGGAAGTAAGCAATAGAAATTTAATAGTGTGATATTTACAAAAGAAGAGTTGGAAGAGGTGTAGTATTTCAAAAGGATGAATTGAAACCACAGATCCGACTGGTAGAATGAGTGTATTGTAATTTAAGAGAAGAGTTGTAATTCTTTGCTAGTTTTAAGTCCCGTGTTTAGAAAAGGTTTGTTGTGTTTGATGAGAAGTGCTTCAAGAAAAGCAAGAATGTGGTAGTTGTTAGATTTGGTTGATTAAAGTATTTTATAGTTGTTGAAAACAAGGTTTTCTGTAGGAGAGGGAGTTCTGAGAGGTAGAGAGAGATCATTGAGTTGTGAAAACTGGTTTTGTAGAGTTGCCAGGAATTGAGAGTTTTCGCACTCAGAGAAATGCTGGCCAACTGCACTAGAAGAGAGAGCCTGGTTGCATGTTCTCTGAGCCGTACAGACAGGCATCTTTGTGTTATGCCGATATAGGTTTTACCACAGCCAGGGCAAGTTATTTCGTAGACAAGTTATTTCGTATTCGGAATTTGATTTATACTATGAAGCTTCATAAATTATCATCGAAATTGCTGTCACTCAAAAATGAAAAGTCTGCTTAAATTACGAATTAAAATGTGTATTGTTTGATATGTTTCGTCCTTTGGGAACCCCTCCTCCTTGTTGGTAACATTGCAACAACAATAACATTTGGTAACATCTATGGGTAATGTTATGAATGCTGTGATCCTGGGACGGGGGGTGTGGATGACGTGCCCCATTTTCAATATGGCGACGAGAGATTTTGTATTTTGTATATAAAAAATGGTTTTGAACTAAATAGGCGCAAAAATGGTCATGACTAAATCGGAGGCGCTGAAAATTCTTGAAATAGCTGAAGGTTTGGTTAATGTATTTACTATGTATAACTAATATGTTTGTCTTTAATTCGTTTTTTAGTTGCAGTTAAGTGCTGTGCTGTATATACTATACTGTACCGAACTTTGTAAATATACTGAAATTTATTATGCAAAACTTCCAATGATTTCCATTTTAAGTTTTCTCATAAAATTATACAATTTGAAAACTTTATACAGGAAGAGGAGAAATTATACAAGAATTAATACAGGAAGAGGAGAAATCGAAGAAAAAAGCGGAAAAGTTTATTTAGTCTTTTTGGTTATTAGCTATGTTAATCAGACAAAATTGAAATGTTTCTCGAGTGCAGACTAAACCTAAATGGGCTTTTCGTCCGAATGCCCTCCTACGTAATTATGAAGGATTGTCTTTTGATAATGTTTGATACAGGAGAATGTACTCTATCCTATTTCATGCAGAGTTTTAATGGAATATCATTATATCAACTAATAGATAGACGTATCGACTAATTCAGAATGTAAAGGTTGGCTTAAAGAATTTGCGTTAACCAAGATGCATTGCGCGTATTTGTTTATGTTGACATCGTTGCTTTTTGAGCCTGCAGCACTCTGAATTCAAGTTCGACATTTCGTCGTTTAATTTATCTGAGAGTTAGCAAAAAACATTGGTTAAAAGTTCAATTTTACAATATCTATTATCGTTTGTCCACGTTGCATTGACTACAATGACAAAATCCACCATTTTCGCCACCCAAAATATGGCCGTCACGTGGTGATTAACGCGCAATGCATCTTGGTTGGCATACACTCTCTGGGTCCAGAACACATTTTGCTCGTTCCCTGGATCCGTAGCTCATTTTTTCACTATTCCTGTTTGGCAATATTGGTCTTCACACGGTTACATAGCTAGTTTTGCCTCCATTTTGTTTTAAGAGAAATCGAGCTAATCGTAAGAAAAGAGAACGAGAGAAAAATAACGACAGTAAAAAAGTACAACATGTGCTGATGAGGTACAACATTTGTTGATGAGGTACAACATTTGTTGATGAGGTACAACATTTGTTGATGAGGTAAAACATTTGTTGATGAAGTACAACATTTGTTGATGAAGTACAACATTTGTTGATGAAGTACAACATTTTTTGATGAAGTACAACATTTGTTGATGAAGTACAACATTTGTTGATGAAGTACAACATTTTTTGATTAGGTGCAACATTTGTTGATGAGGTACAACATTTGTTGATGAGGTACAACATTTGTTGATGAGGTACAACATTTGTTGATGAGGTACAACATTTGTTGATGAAGTACAAAATTTTTTGATGAGGTACAACATTTGTTGATGAGGTAAAACATTTGTTGATGAAGTACAACATTTGTTGATGAAGTACAACATTTTTGATGAGGTACAACATTTGTTGATGAAGTACAACATTTGTTGATGAAGTACAACATTTTTTGATGAGGTACAACATTTGTTGATGAAGTACGACATTTGTTGATGAAGTACAACATTTTTTGATGAAGTACAACATTTGTTGATGAAGTACAACATTTGTTGATGAGTTACAACATTTGTTGATGAAGTACAACATTTGTTGATAAGGTACAACATTTTTTGCTGAGGTACAACATTTGTTGATGAGGTACAACATTTGTTGATGAAGTACAACATTTGTTGATGCGGTACAACATTTTTTGATGAGGTACAACATTTGTTGATGAGGTACAACATTTGTTGATGAGGTACAACATTTGTTGATGAGGTACAACATTTGTTGATGAGGTGCAACATTTGTTGATGAAGTACAACATTTGTTGATGAAGTACAACATTTTTTGATGAGGTACAACATTTGTTGATGAGGTACAACATTTGTTGATGAAGTACAACATTTGTTGATGAGGTACTCGTCAATGATAAAAATGCTGATGTGTGGTGACTGCGAAGATTTACGTATATTTGAATTACCAACTAAATTCAAATTATTCCTTTTTTGGCAAAGTTTGCTACAGAGTTTGAAGTTTTACAAGAGCTTTTAACTCCTGTCTAATTCTTGTATTAATCCGTCGTTTTAACCCGAGCACACAGCAGGACATTTTGTTTTTTATCCAGGATTGAATTAATTTTTCTCACGAATTCGTTAAATAGTTTTTAATTTCATTTAGTTGTTTCTCGAATTAGTTGAGTTGTTCTTTCAATTGGATATAATTGTTTTTCGGATTTGTTGCATTTTTTTCGAATTTGTTAAGCTTTTTCCCATTTAATTGAGTTGTTTTTCAATAAAAGATTTTCAAGTGGAATAAAACTGACCTTCTGATCTGTAGGTCTGCAGGTTAGCAGGTCTTCAGGTTTGCAGGTCTGCAGGTTTGGACCATTTGGTCCTGTTTATCAGCGAATAAATTCCCGTGATATTTTAGACGAATGAGGTGACAACATCAATTGAAAAAGTCGAGAATGTTCAAGAAAATCACGACAGCTCGAAAGAAAATATAAATCCCGAAGGCGATGAACAAATAGCGAAAGAAAACGAAGAGGATTGTCCAATGTCTTCGAAAAACGGAGGTCGACAGAGGTATTCGGATGACGACAACACCCACGTGAGCAGTACAGTTATATATGACTTTTTCCTTAAGATAGAGATAGATATAAAAACATACAATCTTTGTTGATGTAGATTGTCCACGTTAGTACAGTCTTGATAAAGATTGTTTGTGTTAGTGTTGAGCATTGAACTAAAATACGTGGAACGCTACCTTTAATAGAAAAGTCTAATAAATTCTCGAAGCTTAAGCTTACACCCAGACAGGCGTGTGTAGTCAATCAATTTTCAACATCTCTAAACACTACATACGCGTGCCTGGGTGTAAGATTTGGATTCAATAATTTGCTTCAGATAGCGTTCCATGTATTTTAGTTTAATGGTGTAGAGTGATGTTTCGACATCCTTAACGGTAGCCATCTTATGTAAGGTATTAAACCTTAGCGGTAGTCTTCCCTTCACGATGTGAAGCATATTTTCCTTTTCGCCCCAACGCACAAATTTGACGCAATGGTTTTCCACGTTCCTGTAAAACAGAATGTTAGCTATATCTAGTGATTTGATGTAGCGAAAAGTTGAGATTTTGATACGGCTTCCCGCTTATGTCGACTTTACCGAAAGCGGTCATTCTTCTAAAAACTTGAAAAACGTGAAAAGCGTTACAAAGTCACAATATAGTTTTTAATTAAATATACCAGACTAAATTGGAATACTTAATTGCAGCTATGGGTGGACTTAACGTAAAATTCCTTGTGTAAAAAGATAACATTTATAAGGACGAATGTGTGCGCTTGTAGCTCAGAGAGTTTTTTCTTGTAGCTACCTCACAGTCAGTACATCATTTTAGTTGCTTTTAAAAAATTTTCTTGTTTTCTCTTTGCTTTTGTAATTCTTTTTGTAATTCTTTTCAGTGCAATCAGTGTCTCATCCAAACTGCCATAATGATTGGAAAAAAAATTGCGATGCGATCTGGTAATTTTATTCCTTAAATTTAGCTCACGATTAAATATCTTGTAAACACAAAACGATTTTTTTGATTTGACAATGTGCGTGTGACGAAGTAGATAGTCAATGTTAAAAATCAAGTTTTATACGACATTAGTAATTTGATAATATCAAAATCGCCAGTACTTTTTATGCCGGTGAGTGAACAACCTTTCCTTACACACAAACCACAATACAAGCTACAAATAGAGCTTTTATCGATTCTTAATTTTCGTGAAAACCTTTACGATACCTGCATGAGCTGTGGCCAATAGGAAACTGATGCAAATCAGAGTCTTGTAGAACATCTTCATGGTTTTCCTATGATGCGAATTTTTTCTTCTAAACTGACGATTCATGAATGTGCTTGGCGCTTATATAGGTTAATTTGGGAACAATGAAGCATTGTTTCTGTGTCAAATTTCATGTTTGTTCTTTGTTTTTAAAAAAATGGTTCGTACCAATTACTGCCATGCTTTGTCAAGGTAGAAGTTTGAAACGAAAAGACCAAAAATCAAATTCCAATATGTTACAGGCTTACACTAAATTTTCGAAACAATCTAGTCCATATACAGTGTTATGAAGCTCCATATATGTATATATTTGGTATACAGACGTAGTACTGCCAGTTTATATTGTATACAGACGTAGTACTGCCAGTTTATATTGTATACAGACGTAGTGCTGACCATTTCTTTTCGAAAAATATGTGATGCAAGTGAAATTCTAATACAGTTTGCATACATTTAGTTGTTACATAACGTATATAAAAACATTGACAAAGATTTTTGTCCGCTCAGAAATATATTGATGAACTCGTCAGTTTACAGTCGGTCATAACGTGATATAAAAATATCATATACATTTTTCACAGGATTCACGAATGGCTATAAACATTTGAAAATTTTTCTAGTATATAGTAATATTCGTGATATATAGGTATACATTCAAAACTTCCTTATCAAAAGTAATTCTAGTTGACCTAAATATATTATAAAATAAAAGATGACAAAGTTAAACTGTAAATGGTAAAATTTTATTTCGTCTTGAGTAAAAAGTTTCGTAAAAGAGGAATGCATGGTGTTTCTTTTTAGGATAATGTTTGCGTGCTATTTATTCGCGTATTTGTTGGAATTGCGAATTGAATTAAATTTTTCTTGTAACACATACACAAACTAATGAATGGCAGATGTAGATTACAGCTCAGAATAATCGATGTAATATTTCATTTTCTCGTTTATTCATATTTCTTATTGGAAACCTGTCATCTATCATATAGCCATACTGCCATAGTAAACTAAACAGACTAACATACTATTTTATTCGGATTACAACAACAAAATTTTAAAATGAGTAAATATACATTCTCATGTAGTGTAAACGAGTACATTCATACAAGTTTTTCCATGATTGTTGTATTCCGTGTAATCTGCCAGATCTTCTCCGTACCAGATTCTGAATGTTTGACCATGATACAACCATCGGAAACCTGGTGCAGCGAAGGTGATACTCGGCGAGTTATAATTGTATCCCGGCAAACTATACCAGTTGCCATTAGTCCTGGGTGTAATCAAAGACGGTGCAGGAAATATACGTTTATTTCTTGTGTCTGAAATTCAATAACAGAAATATTGATCGCATAAATTAAATGCTTTTTATGTAATGCTTGGCCAATTACTATTACCTTACATTCAGACTTTTAACATTGCGATCGCGGATAGTTTAAAAGTCACTACAAACTTAATTCTTGTTCTGCCTCGTATGACTTTTAATGATTCTTACCCAGTTTTTCTCACTTAATATGACTTGAAATGTTGGGCGAGAGCGTCAACAATAAAACTCAGTCAACTAGCTACCCAAAATATGAACTACTCAGCCTTATAAAGGTTTAATCGTCTGTTTGTATTAAATTGTTCAATATATGCAGAAATACTGTCATTAAAAAGTGTTAGAACATCGACTTCCATTTGTTTTAAGTCTGAATTACCCAAAAGTTATTTGAATGATTCTTCGACATACGATTAAGGTTTTTTATGTTAACTATTTTGCAACAAAACTATCCTTGAAAATGTTCCAGCTGATCATTTTTTATTAATTTACCTGTAATGATAATGTTCATTGGGTTTGATGGCCGACAGCCCCAGTTGGTTTTGGCTAAAGGAACACATCCAACCTTTCCAGTGGTATGATGTAACTTTAGAGCAATGATAAACCGCGAAGGGCCTGGGTATGAAAATTCAGCATATTGATTGTTTTTGGCCCCAATGCACTTGTTCAACGCAATTGTTCTCCATTTTCCTTTAAAAGGTAATGTAAACATTTTTGTAAAATTATGCAAATTACGCACTCTACGCGGTTCTCTACATTGCATGGAACACTAACACTTACAACTTCGGGCTGATGTAGGTCAAAAACTTATTTGTGTAAAATAGGTTGTCATAAGTTCATCTTCACCTGGAGGTATGCATTTGTAGCTCAACGATTTTTCTTCTATTACCTGATTAGGACGATTAAAGCGATGTGAATTGAGAAAAAGTCATCAGCTCGATTAATGTGATGATTTGTATTTCAGCACAACCAAGTTTTAAAGATTTCGTAGCAAGAAAAAAATGTATAGAAATAACTTGAAACAAAACCAGTAAGCATTTTTCTCAAAATAAGATGCCAAATTTAAATTTCACAGTAAAATCTGTCTTATAAACTAGTGATGAATCAAAATTGAAGACTGACAAAACAGTCAGCACTGCTTTTTCTACACCTCAGTTTACGCCGTCTTCTACACTACACAGTGCTCAAAGTCTCAATACAAGCTACAAATTCTAAAATTTCTAAAGTTGAAAAACCCTACCTGCATGGACCGTGGCCAAAAGATAACAAATGAAAAAGAGAGTTTTGAAGAACATCTTAATGACTTTTTCTTGATTGGAAAGTAGTTTCTTTTAACCGACCGTTCTTGATGTGGCGATGTTGAGTTGTGAATAATGTTACTGAGTCGCTAAGCTTTATCTGTTCTCTTCCTTTGTTTTGTCATCTTAATCATCTTCCTTCAGCACGCTGATTGAAGTGAAAATTCAAAAACAGACATGACAATGGGGAATATGTAAACTTTTAGTGTTTTTAATCCAATGAAAAAGCCTTTCGCCTACTTTATATGCATGGAGAATAACAGAGTTGTTTAAATAAAGTGCTCTTTTGTGGTCGTTAAGTGTATCCTCAGCAGTAAACTACAACGAGCGAGAATACACAGGAAAATGATTCCAAATTATCTCTGGCATTTGTTTAGCTATCAAGTGGATTTGATGCACATTTTTTATGCGTCAGTTGTCTCTGTAATAAACTTTGTATTTCATGAGATAACTACGAAGTAACTATTAGAACTTTTGATTTTATTTACAGTAGTTCAATCAATGAGAAAATTTGCCCACTTACTTTTTGACTGATTAACGCATAGACGTGCAGACAAGCAGATCCGGAAGTGCAACGTGTACAGTGTTAGGACTGACAAAAATGCTTTCTATTACCAAACAAAGACCATTTGTTGTGAATAACTGAAGGTAAAAATTTGAATTGTGTTGAGTTCGAGTTACTCGCCATATTTCTTTCTTAATATACTCTATACCTTCAGTAACAACCACGAGTGAACTGAATGATCGATCTGATTTTTACTATTTCACAGAGCAGTATTTATACTCTTTATTACAAATAACAAATATTGCTATTGGTCGGAGTAGTTAATCTATTTAAGCTATATATGGTACATAAGGAAATTTAACTAACGTCAATAACTGTTTCTTGGCTGTTAGCCGTGTGGGAAAGGATACATTGATAAACTAAACTACGCACATACTATTTCCTTAACATGTTTTTGTGGTTTATGAGCATGACTTACCTCAAATTGGCTGATATGGCCAACATCAAAATTCGTATATGGTGCAAGCTTACTCAAATGAAGCAACTATCGACGTTTCTTGCGATTGCTAAAAGTTTTAACTCGTTGGAAAATTTCGTAATGCATGATTTTCTCCATACACAATACTGGCCACGTAGCTTATAAAAACCATGACCAGCCGACAGTTTAAAGAAATATAGTATAAAGCAAATTCAGAAAAAGCAAGACACCTTGAGATTGCAAAATATGCATTAAAACAACTTAAACAAGACAACAGAGGCGTAACTAGAATTACTGATTTCTTTTGAAAGTGATTTGAATTTCAAAAGAAATCAGTAGGGCACAACTGAATATATGAATATACACACAATTAACGTTCTACTTACAACTCTGCAAGACGAGAAGTGAACTGTAAATTTTCGACTTTATTTGAAAGTCATCTTCAGACAAAATGATATTTAAAACCATGATCCGGCTGGAAATATGGCCGCCGTTTAAAATACATGGATTGTAGAACTCAAAACAGGGGACACGAACATCATAGGTTCCGACATCGAGTGGCGCTTCCTTTACATTCCTTATTCTGTGACCATACATACACATATATATTTACAACGCATGAATTAAGTAACGGAAGTAAGCAATAGAAATTAAATAGTGTGATATTTATAAAAGTAGAGTTGGAAAGGGTGTAGTATTTCAAAGGATGAATTGAAACCAAAGATCCGACTGGTGGAATGAGTGTATTGTAATTTAAGAGAAAAGTTGTAGTTCTTTGCTAGGCTTAAGTCCAGTGTTTAGAAAAGGTTTGTTGTGTTTGATGAGAAGTGCTTCAAGAAAAGCAAGAATGTGGTAGTTGTTAGATATGTTTGATTGAAGTATTTTATAGTTGTTGAATATAAGGTTTTCTATAGGAGAGGGAGTTCTGAGAGGTGGAGGGAGATCATTGAGTTGTGAGAACTGGTTTTGTAGAATAGCCAGGAATTGAGCGTTTTCGAACTCAGAGAAATGCAGGCCAACCGCACTAGAAGAGAGCCTGGTTGCATGCTCTCTGTGCCGTAAAGACAGACATCTTTGTGTTATGCTGACGTAGGTTTTACCACAGCCAGGGCAAGTTATTTCGTATACAAGTTATTTCGTATTCGGAATTTGATTTATACTATGAAGCTTCATAAATTATCATCGAAATTGCTGTCACTCAAAAATAAAAATCTGCTTAAATTACGAATTAAAATGTGTATTGTTTGTTATGTTTCGTCTGTTGGAAACCACTTCTCCTTGTTGGTAACATCGCAGCATCATCAATAACATTTGGTAACATCTATGGGTTATGTTCATTGAGTTCTATAATAACTGGAGCGGCTATCTCAAGCGCGGCCTTAGATATCGGATGTTGTAAAAAACATGGCGGATTTCGTCCGTTGCCGCTGAGATTTACCGAAATTGACCGCTTTTCCGAAAATTTCACAATTTCCCACTCCCTCCTGAGGAAAGAGTGAGGAAAATGTATATGGGTATTTGGGATTCGGCAAGCAATTTTTTGATGAAAATCAAGGTAAAAACCTTAAATTCATAACAGCGAGTCAACTGTGGTTGTCAGTTATCTGCTCCTACGAGGATGCATTTATAACCATCGACGAAAGACCTATATGTCGGCTACACATGTATGAATGCAGATGTGCGTCGTTTTCTTACCAGCGTCAAATTTGTTTGATCGATTAAACTCTTTAGTCCATACAAAAAAGTATATCATAGTTCATCTCCACGGTTCACGAGAGAAGTCAGCTTATTTGTTATCATTGCTATTTTGCTTCTTTTCATGCAATGGGCAATGGCTTTTTTCGCCACAATTGTAGGATTTTTACTTGTTTCTTTAAAAAAGTACATATTAAATCTCTGGATATTTACGGATTTTCTGTAATTGAGTTTCATATGAAATTTCAAAAAGACTCAAGTCTGCATAGGTTTGGTAAATGAAAACAAACAATATTGTGTAGAAATTACTTTAAGTAACCTTTTTGTGATGTTCTGAAGTGCAACTGCATCAAATACTTGTGAAGTTGTAGCACATTTTGATTTTGTTGTATTGATATATGAATTGGGCAAAATGCAAATAATCATCAAAACACTTATGCTTCCAATGGTGTTTATAATTCATTTGTAGTTTTAATACTTCTACCTTACTTTTCACTTTGTTTTGTTTTTCCTATATTTGCAATATAAGTGCACTATAATTTGAATGATTAACACAGTTTCACCTCAATAATAAATTTCATAAGCAGTTGGTAGTGCATTTTGTTCTCTGAGTATCCACATCTGGTGTTTTGTTCATACAAGAATGATGAAGTGCAAGTAGATATGTCATAGCAAGGCAATAAAACCAAATGAATTACATACCTATAGTGTACTTTTATGCTAGAAGCTTAAAAGCTTTTAGAAATTAGAAAGTTATTGGATTATATTACCTCTATATCATCAATTTGATAAGAAATAAGAAGCAAAAATTTGTAGAAAAGCTTTGAAAAGTGAAAAACTTTTCTTTAAAAAGCAGCAATAATGCATATGATAAATCTCCATTCTGTACTCTAATAGGTAAATAAGCTCAAATTTTCTTGAAGAAATATAAGAAATATATAAGAAATATACAGTACAGTAACTTTAAAGGTTTCATCACTGAATCTTTAATGCTTCAGTATAGTGCATTAGATATTAGTAACATTCAAACAACACTCAACTAAAATATTTTGATAAAGATATGACATGATTTAAACATTAAGTTACATAAAACCCAATGGCTTATACAGTTTGAAGCTTCACATCTGCATCGAGTCATCATCAATCTCAGTACAAATGTTTACATAGACACAAACTTTATGGCCTTCCATTTTACATGTTTGTGAATTGACATTTCATTAAGCATCAAAACACACACAACCTTCTTGCCATCTTTCTTTGGATCATGAACTTTAACTTCAAAGCATTCAAGGCATCCTTAGTGAATCCATTGTCTCCATCCATAGAATTTGACCACAATCAAATTAAATAACTCTGGATAGGGAAGACAATAAATCAATTATCTTTACAGCATTATCATTTTTTTAAGACTCTGCCTGGTCAATAACATCTTCCAGTCATCTTTACTCCTTGATCTTCCCTGCATGTTGTCAGCAAATAGAACATAACAAGCTCTGCTCCAAATCATGGGTACCGTTGGGGCTGATCATTTCTTTTGATACCAGATCACATTTTGATACAGAGCAAAATGTGTGCAGTGTCTTTTGCTTTAGGAAACTATTTTGCAAATAGATGGGTAAATTTACGATTTCATGCATTAACAAATGACAGAAAAGTATACAGAATTTTATAAGAATTTTACAAGTATACAGAGTTTTATAAACAGGAAAACATCAGTATATTTGGCGTTCAAGTCAGTCTTAAAAAATACGATCTTTAATATGTATTTTATGGCTTTTCAAGTGCATGTATAATTGCTTTTCAATCGTTGACGGACTAACAAAACAAACAACTACCTCACCTGTGAGAAGCGATATGTTCCTTTTTGTGGAAACTACGACATCCAACAATTGAACGATTGAAGTGTTGGCATTATAAAAGAAATGCCAAAAAAGAATCGTCACAGATTATGGAACTAACGATATCCATATTCTGTGATATCGTGTTTGTTTTTGAAAAATTCTTTATAATTTACTATAGACACCAGGGGGAGGTCGAGAATATTATTTTTCTGCAAAGCGATCATTTCAGCGGAAATACGTCCGTTGGCCGCCATGTTTTTTACAACAGTTCCCAGTCCACTTAGCCGCTCCAGTTATTATAGAACTCAATGGTTATGTTACGAATGCTGTGATCCTGGGACGGGGGGTGTGGATGACGTGCCCCATTTTCAATATGGCGACGAGAGATTTTGTATTTTGTATATAAAAAATGGTTGTGAACTAAATAGGCGCAAAAATGGTCATGACTAAATCGGAGGCGCTGAAAATTCTTGAAATAGCTGAAGGTTTGGTTAATGTATTTACTATTTATAACTAATATGTTTGTCTTTAATTCGCTTTTTAGTTGCAGTTAAATGCTGTGCTGTCTATACTATACTATACTGAACTTTGTAAATATACTGAAATTTATGATGCAAACAATGGATGCATTGCTTCAAATGATTTCCATTTTAAGTTTTCTCATATTGCTAAAATTATACAATTTAAAAACTTGTTTGATTTTGAGGAAAATACTTTCTTCCTCAGACTATCATAAATAGTTTCCTTTCCTTATAATTTTTCCGCTGAAAATTTCCAAAAACAAAAGTTGTGCTTTTGAAGTATTCGCTCTTCAAATAATTTACCTAAGCTCAGTAAACATTTTATAAAACGGCCAGGACATGTTCTCTCAATGAGTAAATTATATAATTTTTAAGAATATGCTTAGTCAACATAATCATATTTTCCTTTTAAGCAGTAAAAATGCATTCATATGAGACAGTTTTGTATGAGATAAATAAAAATTTAACTTCTGTTACATAATAAAAGATATGATTCTTGACTGCATTTCTGTTGTTATCACATGTTATTGGCTGAATATTTTGCAAAACTGCATCCAAATGTGAAAACAAAATTAATTGTCATTTTGTCACTACCAAATGAACAGTACACAATATAAATGTGGTATCAATAATTATTACCTAACAAAACCCACAGTCACTACCAAATAAATTGTACACAATATAAGTGTGGTATCAACAATTATTACCTAACAAAACCCACAATTGCCAAATGTAACAATATAACCTGGTGTGGTAATAAGGCTATTTCTTATAAAGAAACCATATCCATTATCAACTAATTATATAGAAATGTCAAATGGCAACTAGTGATTAATGATATTGACGCATCTGTTCTATAGGCTCCACACAAGATGAAATTCGTGCAAGTTATAAAAAGCTAGCCCTGCGATGGCACCCGGATAAACATAGCAACAGTGCTGAATCAACCAAGGTATATAAAATGATTAAAAATTATATGAAATTCTTTAGTTGTTTGGTCTCATATATGTATGTAAAAATTCCCTTTTTGTGCAGGAAAACAAGATAAAAACAAATTGTTTAACCAACTTAATTTACAACTGTGATGGCTTGTATGAAGCTCTGATTGGCTAAGTAACTACATAGTGCATTGAAATTCTGAAGCCAGTTGCACAAATGCTGTGCATATAACTGCAGAATATAAATAAAATATCTTGAGTTTTCTCAGCCAACTTCCAGTTTAACTAGTTGGGACAACAGCTACAAACACCTTGTTGTAATTATTGTTCATTATTTATCAATTAAGAAATTTCAAGAAATTTCTGAGGCATACAAGAGGTTGACCAGTAAGGAAGACGATGATGATATCAGGATATCAATGGTTGGTAGTGTGGACGTAACATTTTACATGGGAGGGGGGAGGGGAGTGAGTTAAATTTGCAATGTATGATGATAAGATCAGGATATCAATGGTTGCTAGTGTGGACTTAACATAACATTTTACTTGGGGAAGTGAGTTAAATTTGCAATGTATGATGATAAGATCAGGATATCAATGGTTGGTAGTGTGGAGTTAACAAAACATTTCACATGGGAAGAGTTGAATTTGCAATGTATGCAACTTTCTCAGTTAGATGTTTTCAGGGGTACATTCTCATATAAAACCACAATACATTTGATGAGCATTGATTGCATGCTGACACTGATAAATTTTATTGTACTTCATTTTAGGCAGATATGTTTGATTTGTTTGCTCACATATTCTTCAGCAATAATGGATGTGAGTATTGACATTTTACAGTGAATAAATACGCAGACTATACACAGTTGTATACAACCTGCTTGATGGCCATATACACTTTGAAACTAGTGCCAAAGACATGTCATTTATACTTTAGAATCAGGTTATTATGTGTCAGGAATCTTGTTTTTTATGATAATCGAGCGATCCTGGAAGGATTAGCACTGTCATGCTTGTTTATTTTTAAACTTTTTATAATTTTGCCGGATGTGAACTTTTATAGTTGCATGTCTTTTGTTAAAATGCAGTAATTTCACTAAATTCATTTACTTACAATTCTACATCTTCACCTCCTTAAGTCAGGAACTGCGAGAAATCGATAATTGGTGAGGGGTAATATTCATGTATGCATGACATGCCATATTAAGTTCCTTTAAAATTTAGTGTTTTCTACGGATTATAACATGCATGTGTGAATATGACCCCCGCCAATTATTGATTTCCGCGGTCCCTGTATGTTCATTCATTATAGTCATTTGTCTTTGAATCGTTATTTTTATAGACTTTGCTCCAGATAATTTTTTTTATTCGGATGATGAATACAATGACGAATATGATGGTTACAATGACGACGACTATGATGATGATGATGTTGATTTTCTTATGTTTGACTCGGACGACGATTTTCCCATTTATCGAAGTCGACAACATCATGCAAAGTATTCTGATATGATGGCAAGAAGAGTCAGTAAAGCAACAGCTAATTCTTGTAAGTTTGTATGAGTAGCTACGAAACTTACGTAAGGTTGGTTGACGTTTGGTTTCCTATAGAACGGCCTTGAAAACAGGTGAAATTTGGTGGGCATTTCGGCCCTTTGTGTCTCTCTCATACTCTCTCAAATCAATCAATCTGTTTTTCTTGTTGCTTTCATTCCTCTTAAAACTACTACAAATAGAAATGCTGAGAAAGTGATGGCAAAGTACATGACAATTTGCAATAGGAATGGTGTGTATTCCCTTTATGTAAGTGGTGTGTTATACTTTAATTTCCAGTTAAGCAAGAAATTTTGAAAAAGAAAAAACAGGTCCGTCCAGAAATATCTGAAGAAGTAAGCTGCAGTTCTATCATATACGACGTTGAATGTATACTTTGTCGATATGATTGTTTCTCGTGGTATTTCTGGTGTTTTTGAAATGCATTTGTAATATCGTGTGTTTATATCTTGGAAGCAAGAGAAAATGCCGAAGAATTAATACAGGAAGAGGAGAAATCGAAGAAAAAAGCGGAAAAACGCAAAGCTAGAAGAAAGGTTTCATTTCACCCGTTTTTTATTTAAAGTTTATTTAGTCTTTTTGGTTATTAGCTATGTTAATCAGACAAAATTGAAATGTTTCTCGAGTGCAGGCTAAACCTAAATGGACTTTTCGTCCGAATGCCCTCCTACGTAATTATGAAGGATTGTCTTTTGATAATGTTGGATACAGGAGAATGTACTCTATCCTATTTCATACAGAGTTTTAATGGAATATCATTATATCAACTAATAGATAAACGTATCGACTAATTCAGAATGTAAAGATTGGCTTAAAGAATTTGCGTTAACCAAGATGCATTGCGCGTATTTGTTTATGTTGACATCGTTGCTTTTTGAGCCTGCAACTCACTGAATTCAACTTCGACACTACATCGTCTAATTTGTGAGAGTTAACAAAAAAACATTGGTTGAAAATTCAATTTCGCAATAACTATTATCGTTTGTCCAAGTTGCATTAACTACAATGACAAAATCCGCCATTTTCGCCACCCAAAATATGGCCGTCGCGTGGTGATTAACGCGCAATGCATCTTGGTTGGCATACATTCTCTAAGTCCGGAACATATTTTGCGCTTTCCCTGGATCCGTAGTTCATTTTTTCACTATTCCTGTTTGGCAATATTGGTCTTCACACGGTTACATAGCCAGCTTTGCCTCCATTTTGTTTTCAGAGAAATCGAGCTAATCGTACGAAAAGAGAACGAGAGAAAAGTAACGACAGTAAAAAGGTACAACATGTGTTGATGAGATACAACATTTGTTGATGAGGTGCAACATGTGTTGATGAGGTACTCGTCAATGATAAAAATGCTGATGTGTGGAGACTGCGAAGATTTACGTATATTTGAATTACCAGCTAAATTCAAATTATTCCCTTTTTGGCAAAGTTTTCTTCAGAGTTTGAAGTTTTACAAGAGCTTTTAACTTCTGTCTAATTCTTGTATTAATCCGTCGTTTTAACCCGAGCACACAACAGGATTTTTTTTTTTATCCAGGATTGAATCAATTTTTCTCACGAATTCGTTAAATAGTTTTTAATTTCATTTAGTTGTTTATCGAAATAGTTGAGTTGTTCTTTCAATTGGATCTAATTGTTTTTCTGATTTGTTGCATTTTTTTCGAATTTGTTAAGCTTTTTTCCCATTTAATTGAGTTGTTTTTCAATAAAAGATTTTCAAGTGGAATAAAACTGACCTTCTGATCTGCAGGTGTGCAGGTTTGCAGGTTTGGACCATTTTGTCGAGTTTATTAGCGAATAAATTCCCTTGATATTTTAGACGAATGAGGTGACAACATCAATTGAAAAAGTCGAGAATGTTCAAGAAAATCAAGACAGCTCGAAAGAAAATATAAATCCCGAAGGCGATGAACAAATAGCGAAAGGAAACGAAGAGGATTGTCCAATGTCTTCGAAAAACAGAGATCACGAGTGTTCAGATGACGACAGCACCCACGTGAGCAGTACAGTTATATATGACTTTTTCCTTAAGATGGAGATAGATATAAAAACATACAATCTTTGTTGATGTAGATTGTCCACGTTAGTACAGTCTTGATAAAGATTGTGTGTGTTTGTGTTGAGCATTGAACTAAAATACATGGAAAGCTACCTTTAATAGAAAAGTCTAATAAATTCTCGAAGCCAAAGTTTACACCCAGACACGCGTGTGTAGTTAATCACTTTTCAACAGCTCGATACACTACACACGCGTGCCTGGGTGTAAATTTAGGCTTCAATAATTTGCTTCAGATAGCCTTCCATGTATTTTAGTTTAATGGTGTAGAGTGATGTTTCGACATCCTTAATGGTAGCCATCTTATGTAAGGTATTAAACCTTAGCGGTAGTCTTCCCTTCACGATGTGAAGCAAATTTTCCTTTTGGCCCCAACGCACAAATTTGACGCAATGGTTTTCCACGTTCCTGTAAAACAGAATGTTAGCTATATCTAGTGATTTGATGTAGCGAAAAGTTGAGATTTTGATACGGCTTCCCGCTTATGTCGACTTTACCGAAAGCGGTCATTCTTCTAAAACTTGAAAACGTGAAAAGCGTCACAAACTCACAATATAGTTTTAATTAAATATACCAGAATAAATTGGAATACTTAATTGCAGCTACGGGTGGACTTAATGTAAAAAATTCCTATATGAAAGTGTATATTGTTCTTATCTCGCGAAAAGGTTTCCAATTCATGTGATTGACAACGATCACCGCGCAGGGACTGCACGAAAAGCTACTGCGGCTCACAGTCACAACATCAACAAGAGGCATTTAAAAATTTTCATTATTTCTCTTTGAATTGGAAACCTTTTAAGAATAATATACTTTTCATATGAGTGTGTGTGTCATGAAAGTTGTGCCACATTAATTAATAGAAAAAATTGCGATGCAATCAGGAAAATTTATCTCTTAAATTTATTTCACATTTTCAGTTTTATAAAAACAAAATGATTTATTTGATCTGACAAAGCAGAGCGACAATGTTAAAAATCAAGTTACATATACGACATTGGTGATTTCAATATGATAAAATGAAAACGCCAAGTACTCCTTTTGCAACTGGTTGAACAACCTCATCTTCACACAATCCCAATACAAGCTACAAATGAAGCTTCAATAGATTCTTAATTTTTGCGAACAACCTTTATTCCATACCTGCATGAACTGTGGCCAATAGAAAATCGATGCAAAACAAGTTTTGTAGAGCATCTTCATGATTTTCTTTAATGAGAATTTTATCCAAACTGATGATTATTGAACGTGCTTGACGTATATATATGTTTATTTGAGAACAATGAAGCTTTGTTTCTATGAATCAAATTTCACATGTTGTTGTTTGTTTTTAAAAAAGTGATTCGTACCAAATGCTACCATGCCTTGTGAAGATAGTAGTTTGAACCAAAATGAGCAAATATCAAATTCCAACATGGTGTAGACCAACACTAAATTTTTGAAACATTGTAGTCCATATAAAGTGCCATGATGCTCCACATATATATGGTATACAGACCTGGTACCAACCTCTACATGATAATTATAGTGAGATCAATTTCTTTTCAAAAAAATTAATGATATTGTTCAATGGTGATTCATACCCAGTTTGCACACTGTGATTGTTGCATAAACGTATATAACAACATTGATAGAGATTTTTACTCCATTCAGAATTTATTCAATGAGCTTGTCAATTTATAATTCACCTGTTTGCAGTCAGTTATAACATGATAATGAAAATATCATTTATTTTTGATAGAATTCATGAATGGAGAATTAATTCTAGTTTAGACAGCCATGTTTATGATGTGGGTACATTCAAACAGAAAAAAGGTGTGATTATTAAACTACAAATCATATGGCAAGATTTTATTTGTTTTTAATAAAAAGTTATTAAATGGAATAAGTGGAAAGGGTGAATAAGTGGATTAGTTTATGTAATGATTTTTCTCCCTAAAATTTCATGTACTCTATTGGATGACAGATTTCAGCTACAGTTTCAGAAGAATCAATATCCCATTTATTCGTTTCGTTTATGCTTACATTATTTGAAACCAATCATCTTAAAATTGCCATAATAAACTAAGTTCCATTCTATTCTATTCTGATCACAACAGCAAAGTTTTACAACAGGCAAATATTTATTTTCATTTAGGGTAAACGAATACATTCATACAAGTTGTTCCATGATTATCGTGTTCCGTGAATCCTGCCAGATCTTCTCCGTACCAGATTCTGAGTATCTGACCATGATACAACCATTGATATCCTGGGACAGCAAAGGTGATACTCGGCGAGTTCTCGGTGTATCCCGGCAGTTTATACCAGTTGCCAACGCCTGGTGTAATCAAAGACGGTGCAGGAAATATGCGCTGATTTCTTGAGTCTGAAATTCACGAACAGAAATATTGATTGTATTTAAGATTTTTTATGTTAACTATTTTGCAACAAAACTATCCTTGAAAATGTTCCAGCTGATCATTTTTTTTAATTTACCTGTAATGATAATGTTCATTGGGTGTGATGGCGCGCAGCCCCAGTTGGTTTTATGTCCAGGAGCACATCCAATCTTTCCAGTGGTGTGATGTAACTTTAGAGCAATGATAAACCGCGAAGGGCCTGTGTATGAAAATGCAGCATATTGGTTGTTTTTGGCCCCAACGCACTTGTTCCACGCTATTATTCTCCATTTTCCTGTAAAAAGGGCGGAAATAATCGTAATCTGATGATTTGAATTTCACCGTAAAGTCTTTCTTATAAACCAATGATGATGAATCAAACATTAAAAAATGAAGACCGACAAGACAGCCCTCCTTTTGCTAGTGCATAAATAAATACTCCTCTAAGCCCTCTTCTACACTACACAGTACACAAAATCTAAATACAAGCTACAAATTCTTAAATTTCTCAGTTGAAAAAATCCTCACGATACCTGCCTGGACTGTGCCCAAAATATAAACCTTGCAAAAGAGATTTTTGTGGAACATTTTAATGATTAGTTTTTTACTCGATTGGAAATTATTTTCAAGCCAACGATCGTTGAATGTTCTTCATGCGGGGCAACAGTTTCTTTACTATTTGATTTGACTTTGTTGCCTTTTTGTTTTTTGCTGTTTTAGTTATCTTCCTTCAGCACGGTAAATAAAGTCAGCACTGCTTTTTCTACACCTCAGTTTACGCCATCTTCTACACTACACAGTGCTCAAAGTCTCAATACAAGCTACAAATTTTAAAATTTCTAAAGTCGAAAAACCCTACCTGCATTGACCGTGGCCAAAAGATAACCAATGAAAAAGAGAGTTTTGAAGAACATCTTAATGACTTTTTCTTGATTGGAAAGTAGTTTCTTTTAACCGACCGTTCTTGATGTGGCGATGTTGAGTTGTGAATAATGTTACTGAGTCGCTAAGCTTTATCTGTTCTCTTCCTTTGTTTTGTCATCTTAATCATCTTCCTTCAGCACGCTGATTGAAGTGTAAATTTAAAAACAGACATTACAATGGAGAATATGTAAACTTTTAGTGTTTGTAATCCAATGAAAAAGCCTTTCGCCTACTTTATATGCATGGAAGATTACAGAGTTGTTGAAAAAAAGTGTTCTTTTGTAGTCAATAAATGTATCCTCAGCATGAAACTACAGCGAGCGAGAATGCACTGGAAAATGATTCCAAATTATCACAGGCATTTGTTTAGCTATCAAGTGGATTTGATGCACATTTTGCATATGTCAGTTGTAATAAACTTTGTATTTCATGAGATAACTACGTAGTAACTATTAGAACTTTTGATTTTATTTACAGCAGTTCAATCAATGAGAAAATTTGCCCATTTACTTTTTGCCTAATTTAATTCATAGACGTGCAAATTAGCAGATCCGGAAGTGCAACGTGTACAGTGTTAGGACTGACAAATTGCTTTCTATTACCAAACACAGACCATTTGTTGTGAATGAATGCAGGTAAAAATTTAAATTGGCTGATGTGGCCAACATCCAAATTCGTATATGGTGCAAGCTTACTCAAATGAAGCAACTATCGACGTTTCTTGTGATTGCTAAAAAGTTTTTAACTCGTTGGAAAATTTCGTAATGCATGGATTTCTCCATACACAATACTGGCCACGTGGATTTATAAAAACCATGACCAGCCGACAGTTTAAAGAAATATAGTATAAAGCGAATTCCGAAAAAGCAAGATATCTTGAGATTGCAAAATATGCATCAAAACAAGACGAGAAGTGAACTGTAAATTTTCGACTTTATTTCAAAGTCATCCTCAGACAGAATGATATTTAAAACCATACATACACATATATATTTACAATGCACGAACTAAGTAACGGAAGTAAGCAATAGAAATTAAATAGTGTGATATTTACAAAAGCAGAGTTGGAAGAGGTGTAGTATTTCGAAAGGATGAATTGAAACCACAGATCCGACTGGTAGAATGAGTGTATTGTAATTTAAGAGAAGAGTTGTAATTCTTTGCTAGACTTAAGTCCCGTGTTTAGAAACGTTTGTTGTGTTTGATGAGAAGTGCTTCAAGAAAAGCAAGAATGTGGTAGTTGTTAGATTTGGTTGAGTAAAGTATTTTATAGTTGTCGAATACAAGGGTTTCTATAGGAGAGGGAGTTCTGGGAGGTGGAGAGAGATCATTGAGTTGTGAAAACTGGTTTTGTAGAGTAGCCAGGAATTGAGCGTTTTCTAACTCAGAGAAATGCTGGCCAAGTATTCAAATACACATTTAAAACTGTTAGTCGATGGCAGGCCGGTGTGAAACCTTACAGCATACTCTCTCGTCAACTGTTCGAATTCCAAAGGGACAGGGATTTCCATCAAAACTTGAATCAGAATCCTCGGTGTCATAGGCTTGATGAGGACGCTTTGATGTCGTCCATGTTTCTCTTCCTTTACGTTTAAGCGGAGTCCTCGATTGCTCGTACTCTGATAGCGTAATAAAAACCGAAGGATAATCCGTTCCGCAGTTATTTGGGGTTCTTCTTCCCAAGGGAAAATAATTTGAGCAAACTAAAGTACCTTGTGCACCAGGCTTTGGGTTAAAGTCATCGGCTCTGCTCTTTGCAAATTGTTTTCGCCAAATTTCAGCAAGTGGTTGATCTTTGGGCCACTTATGAAAAACTAACTTTTCTACGTGAGACCTCTTAACTTGATAATCAGGATAGCGTTTATCATTATCGCAATATCCAACTGCACAACGCGCATTTTTTACCATTTCGCCTATGACTGCTCACGGCTACTCGACTAGTTTAGGGTTTAGTTCGTTTGACTTGGCTTATGAGTTCCGCACACTTGCGAACTCAAGAACATCGCTCAAACGACGGTCAAGTTGTTCAAAGAAAACAAATGTTTTCTTTAACTTTCCGCTTTTTGATTGCCACAAAATTGGACTCACGTGTATAAAAAATCGCAAATAATAATTCGACTATTAAAATGGACGAGTTTGAGAAATATTTTTGAAAGAAATGGCCAATATGTATAAGGGTAATTTTTGCGCATTTATTAGTAATTTATATGGACGCCATGCGTGACCGCGCGCTCGGCCCAATGTTTTCGCACCCCCTGCAATATGGCTGCGATAACCTTGAAAAGGTCTATTTAAGAGAAGAGTTGTAATTCTTTGCTAGCCTTAAGTCCCGTGTTTAGAAAAGGTTTGTTGTGTTTGATGAGAAGTCCTTCAAGAAAAGCAAGAATGTGGTAGTTGTTAGATTTGGTTGAGTGTAGTATTTTATAGTTGTTGAATACAAGGATTTCTATAGGAGAGGGAGTTCTGGGAGGTGGAGAGAGATCATTGAGTTGTGAAAACTGGTTTTGTAGAGTAGCCAGGAATTGAGCGTTTTCTAACTCAGAGAAATGCTGGCCAACTGCACTAGAAGAGAGCCTGGTTGCATGTTCTCTGAGCCGTACAGACAGACATCTTTGTGTTATGCCGATGTAGGTTTTACCACAAGTTATTTCGTACTATGTAGCTTCATAAATTATCATCGAAATTGCTGTCACTCAAAAATGAAAAATCTGCTTAAATTACGAATTAAAATGTGTATTGTTTGATATGTTTCGTCCGTTGGGAGCCACTCCTCTTTGTTGGTAACATCGCAACATTAATAACATTTGGTAACATCTATGGGTAATGTTACGAATGCTGTGATCCTGGCACGGGGGGTGTGGATGACGTGCCCCATTTTCAATATGGCGACGAGAGATTTTGTATTTTGTATATAAAAAATGGTTGTGAACTAAATAGGCGCAAAAATGGTCATGACTAAATCGGAGGCGCTGAAAATACTTGAAATAGCTGAAGGTTTGGTTAATGTATTTACTATTTATAACTAATATGTTTGTCTTTAATGCAGTTAAGTGCTGTGCTGTCTATACTATACTATACCGAACTTTGTAAATATACTGAAATTTATGATGCAAACTATGGATGCATTACTTCCAATGATTTGCATTTTAAGTTTTCTTATATTGCTAAAATTATACAATTTAAAAACTTGTTTGATTTTCGAGGAAAATACTTTCTTCTTTAGACTATCATAAATAGTTTCCTTTCCTTATAATTTTTCTGCTAAAAAATTTCCACAAACAAAAGTTGTGCTTTTGAAGTATTCGCTCTTCAAATAATTTATCTAAGCTCACTAAATATTTATAAAACGGCCAGGGCATGTTTTCTCAATGAGTAAATTATTTAATTTTTAAGAATATGCTTAGTCAACATAATAATATTTTCCTTTTAAGCAGTAAAAATGCATTCATATGAGACAGTTTTGTATCAGATATATAAAAATTAAACTTCTGTTGCATAATAAAAGATATGATTCTTGACTGCATTTCTGTTGTTATCACATGTTATCGGCTGAATATTTTGCAAAACTGCATCCAAATGTGAAAGCAAAATTAATTGTCATTTTGTCACTCCCAAATGAATAGTACACAATATAAATGTGGTATCAATAATTATTACCTAACAAAACCCACAATTGCCTAATGTAACAATATAACCTGGTGTAATAATAAGGCTATTTCTTATAAAGAAACCATATCCATTATCAACTAATTATATAGAAATGTCAAATGGCAACTAGTGATTAATGATATTGATGCATCTGTTCTATAGGCTCCACACAAGATGAAATTCGTGCAAGTTATAAAAAGCTAGCCCTGCGATGGCACCCGGATAAACATAGCAACAGTGCTGAATCAACCAAGGTATATAAAATGATTAAAAATTATATGAAATTCTTTAGTTGTTTGGTCTCATATATGTATGTAAAAATTCCCTTTTTGTGCCGGAAGCCAAGATAAAAACAAATTGTTTAACCAACTTAATTTACAACTATGATGGCTTGTATGAAGCTCTGATTAGCTAAGTAACTACATAGTGCATTGAAATTCCGAAGCCAGTTGCACAAATGCTGTGGATATAACTGCAGAATATAAATAAAATATCTTGAGTTTTCTCAGCCAACTTCCAGTTTAACTAGTTGGGACAACAGCTACAAACACCTTCTTGATGTAATCATTGTTCATTATTTATCCAATTAAGAAATTTCAAGAAATTTCTGAGGCATACAAGAGGTTGACCAGTAAGGAAGACGATGATGATATCAGGATATCAATGGTTGGTAGTGTGGACGTAACATTTTAAATGGGGAGTGAGTTAAATTTGCAATGTGTGATGATAAGATCAAGATATCAATGGTTGGTAGTGTGTACTTAACAAAACATTTCACATGGGAAGTGAGTTAAATTTGCAATGTATGATGATAATATCAGGATATCAATGGTTGCTAGTGTGGACTTAACATAACATTTCACATGGGGGAGTTAAATTTGCAATGTATGATGATAATATCAGGATATCAGTGGTTGGTAGTGTGGACTTAACAAAACATTTCACATGGGGAGAGTTGAATTTGCAATGTATGCAACTTTCTCAGTTAGATGTTTTCAGGGGTACATTCTCATATAAAACCACAATACATTTGATGAGCATTGATTGCATGCTGACACTGATAAATTTTATTGTACTTCATTTTAGGCAGATATGTTTGATTTGTTTGCTCACATATTCTTCAGCAATAATGGATGTGAGTATTGACATTTTACAGTGAATAAATATGCAGACTATACACAGTTGTATACAACCTGCTTGATGGCCATATACACTTTGAAACTAGTGCCAAAGACATGTCATTTATCCGTTAGAATCAGGTTATTATGTGTCAGGAATCTTGTTTTTTATGATATTCCAGCAATCCTGGAAGGATTAGCACCGTCATGCTTGTTTATTTTTAAACTTTACACAATTTTGCTGGATGTGACCTTTTATAGTTGCATGTCTTTTGTTAAAATGCAGTAATTTCACTAAATTCATTTACTTACACTTCTACATCTTCACCTCCTTAAGTCAGGAACTGCGAAAAATCGATAATTGGTGAGGGTGGGGGGGTAATATTCATGTATGCATGACATGCCATATTAAGTTCCTTTAAAATTTAGTGTTTTCTACGGATTATAACATGCATGTGTGAATATGACCCCCCCTCGCTAATTATTGATTTCCGCGGTCCCTGTATGTTCATTCATTATAGTCATTTGTCTTTGAATCGTTATTTTTATAGACTTTGCTCCAGATAATTTTTTTTATTCGGATGATGAATACAATGACGAATATGATGGTTACAATGACGACGACTATGATGATGATGATGATGATTTTCTTATGTCTGACTCGGACGACGATTTTCCCATTTATCGAAGTCGACAACATCATGCAAAGTATTCTGATATGATGGCAAGAAGAGTCAGTAAAGCAACAGCTAATTCTTGTAAGTTTGTATGAGTAGCTACGAAATTTACGTAAGGTTGGTTGACGTTTGGTTGCCTATAGAACGGCCTTGAAAACAGGTGAAATTTAGTGGGCATTTCGGCCCTTTGTGTCTCTCTCATACTCTCTCAAATCAATCAATCTGTTTTTCCTGTTGCTTTCATTCCTCTTAAAACTACTACAAATAGAAATGCTGAGAAAGTGATGGCAAAGTACATGGCAATTTGCAATAGGAATGGTGTGTATTCCCTTTATGTAAGTGGTGTGTTATACTTTAATTTCCAGTTAAGCAAGAAGTTTTGAAAAAGAAAAACCAGGTCCGTCCAGAAATATCTGAAGAAGTAAGCTGCAATTCTATCATATACGACGTTGAATGTATACTTTGTCGATATGATTGTTTCTCGTGGTATTTCTGGTGTTTTTGAAATGCATTTGTAATATCGTGTGTTTATATCTAGGAAGCAAGAAAAAATGCCGAAGAATTAATACAGGAAGAGGAGAAATCGAAGAAAAAAGCGGAAAAACGCAAAGCTAGAAGAAAGGTTTCATTTCACCCGTTTTTATTTAAAGTTTATTTAGTCTTTTTGGTTATTAGCTATGTTAATCAGACAAAATTGAAATGTTTCTCGAGTGCGTACTAAACCTTAATGGACTTTTCGTCCGAATGCCCTCCTACGTAATTATGAAGGATTGTTTATTGATAATGTTGGATACAGGAGAATGTACTCTATCCTATTTCATACAGAGTTTTAATGGAACATCGTTATATCAACTAATACATAAACGTATCGACTAATTCAGAATGTAAAGATTGGCTTAAAGAATTTGTGTTAACCAAGATGCATTGCGCGTATTTGTTTATGTTGACATCGTTGCTTTTTGAGCCTGCAGCACTCTGAATTCATGTTCGACATTTCGTCGTTTAATTTATCTGAGAGTTAGCAAAAAAACATTGGTTAAAAGTTTAATTTTACAATATCTATTATCGTTTGTCCACGTTGCATTGACTACAATGAGAAAATCCGCCATTTTCGCCACCCAAAATATGGCCGTCACGTGGTGATTAACGCGCAATGCATCTTGGTTGGCATACATTCTCTAGGTCCAGAACACATTTTGCGCGTTCCCTGGATCCGTAGCTCATTTTTTCACTATTCCTGTTTGGCAATATTCGTCTTCACACGGTTACATAGCTAGTTTTGCCTCCATTTTGTTTTCAGAGAAATCGAGCTAATCGTAAGAAAAGAGAACGAGAGAAAAGTAACGACAGTAAAAAGGTACAACATGTGTTGATGAGGTACAACATTTGTTGATGAGGTACAACATTTGTTGATGAAGTACAACATTTGTTGATGAAGTACAACATTTGTTGATGAGGTACAACATTTGTTGATGAAGTACAACATTTGTTGATGAGGTACTCGTCAATGATAAAAATGCTGATGTGTGGAGACAGCGAAGATTTACGTATATTTGAATTACCAGCTAAATTCAAATTATTCCTTTTTTGGCAAAGTTTGCTGCAGAGTTTGAAGTTTTACAAGAGCTTTTAACTCCTGTCTAATTCTTGTATTAATCCGTCGTTTTAACCCGAGCACACAACAGGATATTTTGTTTTTTATCCTGGATTGAATCAATTTTTCTCACGAATTCGTTAAATTGTTTTTAATTTCATTTAGTTTTTTCTCGAAATAGTTGAGTTGTTCTTTCAATTGGATCTAATTGTTTTTCGGATTTGTTGCATTTTTTTTCGAATTTGTTAAGCTTTTTCCCATTTAATTGAGTTGTTTTTCAATAAAAGATTTTCAAGTGGAATAAAACTGACCTTCTGGTCTGCAGGTTTGCAGGTCTGCAGTTTTGGACCATTTTGTCCAGTTTATCAGCGAATAAATTCCCGTGATATTTTAGACGAATGAGGTGACAACATCAACTGAAAAAGTCGAGAATGTTCAAGAAAATCAAGACAGCTCGAAAGAAAATATAAATCCCGAAGGCGATGAACAAATAGCGAAAGGAAACGAAGAGGATTGTCCAATGTCTTCGAAAAACAGAGATCACGAGTGTTCGGATGACGACAACACCCACGTGAGCAGTACAGTTATATATGACTTTTTCCTTAAGATGGAGATAGATATAAAAACATACAATCTTTGTTGATGTAGATTGTCCACGTTAGTGCAGTCTTGATAAAGATTGTTTGTGTTTGTGTTGAGCATTGAACTAAAATACATGGAACGCTATCTTTAATAGAAAAGTCTAATAAATTCTTGAAGCCAAAGTTTACACCCAGACACGCGTGTGTAGTCAATCAATTTTCAACAACTTGAAACACTACACACGCGTGTCTGGGTGTAAGATTTGGATTCAATAATTTGCTTCAGATAGCGTTCCATGTATTTTAATTCAATGGTGTTCAGTGATGTTTTGACATCCTTAATGGTAGCCATCTTATGTAAGGTATTAAACCTTAGCGGTAGTCTTCCCTTAACGATGTCAAAACATCAGTCAACACCAACAGTCCATGTCTTGACTATATTAACCTGGACAATCTACATCTACAAACATCTACAATCATGTAACGATACTGCACTTGCAAAAAAACATACAACGTTCATATTTTTAGGATGAGACTTGGGATACGTCAAGCGCATTTTTCAACCATGCCGCTCGTCGTGCAACGTCCACATTTCATGAAACGACCTCAGCAGCGAGCACAAGCTCCAATACAATTGTAAATAGAACTGTTAATAATGAAGCCTCTAATAGAGAAGTTCAACAAACTGATAAAAAGTCCGAAAGAGAGAAATTAATCCAAAGAAGTCGACATCTTGCCGGTAAGATTGAACATTATTTAATTTCTACAAATGTGTTTTACTCATGAGATCTTTGAATGAAAGTGCTTTACTCATGAGATCTTTGAATGAATGTGTTTTACTCATGAGATCTTTGAATGAACGTGTTTTACTCATGAGATCTTTGAATGAATGTGTTTCACTCATGAGATCTTTGAATGAACGTGTTTTACTCATGAGATCTTTGAATGAACGTGTTTTACTCATGAGATCTTTGAATGAAAGTGTTTCACTCATGAGATCTTTGAATGAAAGTGTTTCACTCATGAGATCTTTGAATGAACGTGTTTTACTCATGAGATCTTTGAATGAATGTGTTTTACTCATGAGATCTTTGAATGAATGTGTTTCACTCATGAGGTCTTTGAATGAATGTGTTTCACTCATGAGATCTTTGAATGAAAGTGTTTTACTCCTGAGATCTTTGAATGAAAGTGTTTCACTCATGAGATCTTTGAATGAAAGTGTTTCACTCATGAGATCTTTGAATGAATGTGTTTCACTCATGAGATCTTTGAATGAAAGTGTTTCACTCATGAGATCTTTGAATGAAAGTGTTTTACTCCTGAGATCTTTGAATGAAAGTGTTTCACTCATGAGATCTTTGAATGAAAGTGTTTCACTCATGAGATCTTTGAATGAATGTGTTTCACTCATGAGATCTTTGAATGAAAGTGTTTCACTCATGAGATCTTTGAATGAATGTGTTTCACTCATGAGATCTTTGAATGAATGTGTTTCACTCATGAGATCTCTAAATGAAAGTGTTTTATTCCTGATATCTCTGGATGAAAGTGTTTTTTTTCTGATATCTCTGGATGAACGTATTTTACATATGAGATCTCTGTGTTGCACGTTAACACCAAATATGGCGCCCATTTAAAAATAACGTATCACGTGACTATATCGTGTTTTATTTTTCATGAATATATTTAGCACTTGGTAACAGTGAAGCAAATGAAGGAAATTATGTTGAAGCAATTAATTATTTTACACAAGCCATTTTATTACACGATGAAGATTTCAGGTAAAATGTCTTATTAACGTTTTTACTTTCTGTTGTTGCTTCATTTCACATGACAGTTAAGACACTGGTTATTGGTCAGTTCTATTATCCAGTATCATATTTTTTCTTTCACTCACTTTATTAAGCATAAAACTGCCTATCATAAGTGTTTCTTTTGATAAATATATGATTTTGCAATTTTTAAGATACATAAAATAACAAGGTAAAGAAAACAATATTAGGAAAAAGTGCTCAATACCGGAGTATGGTGAATATAAGCTTATGAGATAAACAAGAGTTGCTTTATCTACCTAAGTATGTGATGTACATATATTTTTATATGGTGAAGCTCTTGAGAGGTCTATATTTGTCTTCGAGCAGATTAAGTGTAATAACTGAGTATGCTTTGATCAATCTTGTTCATAAAACGTGGAAATGAAATTTGTTTAATAAACACAAAAAAAGTGTTTGACATTATACATTATTAGACTGTGTTTACTTGACTGTTAAATTATAGTGCTTTAGCATAACCCCCTTCGTTTCAACTACATGTTTAACTTCATATTGCTTCAAGGTTCTTTGGAAATCGTTCGTTTTGTTATGATCGCTTGGGGGACTACTCGAAGGCGCTTAAAGACGCTGAAGTGTCAATAAAGATTCTCCCAAATTGGGCAAAAGGTTATTTTCGAAAAGGTCGTGCTTTAGCTGGCCTTAAGGTGAGCGAACTTTACTGTAAGATGATTTTTATATCATACTGCCTTTATTTATACTGTTCACATAGTAATCTTTCATGGTTCACTGAAAACTATGAATTCGTGCAAATTTTACTTTGCCAGCAATACGCGGAAGCTGAAAAAGCCTTTCTTCAAGTTCTCAAACTCGATAGACACTGTGAAGACGCGAAACTCGAATTGTCCAGAGTTCGTGTGCAGCAGTTAAAGGTTTGTTTTAAATTGAAATTCACGTCGACTCAATGATATCTTGTACTATGTGACGCATGCGCATAATGATTTATTTAGGACATGGGTTTTGGTCATGGTCAATGTGTAAGAGCTATACGTCTGTATGGGACCGTTAGTGATGCTCTTGATGCAATTCTTTCAGGAAAAGGTATGAAAAACTTGGGGAAAAGGCTTTTGAACATTCTCGAATCTCCATTTGGTTTTTTTATTTCCATTTTAAAGGGCGACTATTGAATTTTTTTTTTCGTTGTTTTATGTGTGTTCAGTAAAAGATCTTCATATTGCCACGAATGAGGAAGACATCTATGTGTCTGATGGCGAGATCGATGAAGACCAAGGACCACCGAAGTAAATGCTTTGAATGTTTTAATCCCCTACTTTTAGTTAAGAGTTAAAACACGCGCGGCAATTTTGGCCACAAGAGTGATGATGAAGATCAGTTGTGGATCTAGCGTTAGTCAAAATAAATTATAGCTCCCGAATTTTAAATTCAAAATATTTTCAGAAGGCCTCTATTGGTTTTGAATTTCTAAGGAATATAGTTTTACCAATACACTTGCCTCTTAGGTGCTTAGAAATGTAAATATTTATTAGTATCGAGTTAAAGCACGTGGAAATTTTGGCCTCAGGAGTGATGACGAAGATGATTTTAAGACCTTTGTCGCGAAACCTCAAAATAACATTGGGTTTTTATTTTGTAGACTTTATCCTTACTAAAACAATGCTTGTTTAAGACTTTCCAGGAAGAGAATATTACTTTGTGTCTAAGTAATTAAAAAGTATTTAATTTCGAAATGTTTGAATAAATTTTAACATCTTTGATTACGACCATCCAGACCTAAAATCTAGCTGATGTCCCAATTTCAGTGAGTGATTGTCTTCTGCAGGTATCATGGGATTTAGTAAAAATAATCAACAAAAATGTACTTTATTTAAGGCCTGCTTATGCTGATCCAATTGCTTCATTATGGGTTGGAAACATTGACGGGCAACTGGTGACAGAGAGACAACTTGCTCAATTATTTTCCAAGTAGGACACATTATTATTCTATACAGACAAATATATCTAAATAATGAAAGTTTTTCCGGATTGTTTAAAACTTATTTTATTGAGCTTTCGACTCGTTGCTTTGAGCCTTCATCAGAATGAGGAAATTACTGTTTACATGTAATCTTAGTAAGCTCGAAGCAACGAGTCGAAAGCTCAATAAAATAATTTTTGAACAATCTGGAGAAACTTTCATTTTTTATATGTTAAATGCCTGGATTACCAATTTTCAAACTTAGACAAATATATCTATGAGAATACGCTCAACACTTACCAATGACATAAACTAACCTGGGTTTGACCTAGGTTAAAATTATGCCAGGTTGATTTTTTAGTGGTGTGTAAACACCACTAACCAAGATTTAAGCTTGGTTTAACTCAACCCATCTCAAGATGTCGTTTGAGGTAAACCCAGATTAAACCTTGGTTTTTGTTTTTATTTACTTTCTATCCAACTGCATTTCTCATGTAATTTCCTCCTTAATTGAATTCACTTTCTTACAGATTTGGTAAAATAACATTGATTCGAATTTTACCGCAAAGTTTTTGTGCATTTGTCAATTATGAAAACAGAGAAAATGCCGCTAAGGCTTTGCAATCGCTCCAGGTATAGCTAAATGAATTATGGTTTCCTCTGTTCTTTTGTCACATGCATTTGATATCATGTTGATTTTTATTAATGTAATTTAAACATAATAAAGGCCATTTCTTCTTTCTTATTTAATATATTTGATAAAATTGCTTAAACATTCGGCGAGGTTTATTTCATACACCCTTACATGAAGTTTAGCACGACTTTTTATGCCAAGCTTACATGAGAAGTAGCTACTTCATTTACTTTGAAAAAAAATTTGAATCTAGGTTTTTAGCAAGTTATGATCTTACACGCGCAAGTTTGGTCCTTTTAGGGGTATAAACTTGCTGGACAATACATAAGAATACGATTTCAAGGTCAGGGTACGGAAAAACCGTCAAAAAAGTAAGTAACTGTTACATTAAATAGGACTCTCTGTAATCGTTTAAACCTTCCGTTTAAATATTGAACGAAATTTAATATTTTTGAGTTGCATACTAGTTGTGAATAGTGGACATGTAATTCTTCCTTATATTACTATGAAACATAAGAAACCTACATTTTTTTTGGTTTTTCCATTAAATCTTAATCTTATATTGACCATCAAATCTTAATCTTATATTGACCATTAAATCTTAATCTTATATTGACCATTAAATCTTAATCTTATATTGACCATTAAATCTTAATCTTATATTGACCATTAAATCTTAATCTTATATTGACCATTAAATCTTAATCTTATACTGAGCATTAAATCTTCATCTTATATTGAGCACTAAATCTTCATCTTATATTGACCATTAAATCTTAATCTTATATTGACCATTAAATCTTAATCTTATATTGACCATTAAATCTTAATCTTATATTGACAGTGGGTTCGTGGATAAGCAACCCAATCCGTCAGGCTCTACGAATGGCAACGAATGTTACTTTTATCGAACGACTGGCTGTACGTACGGTGATGCTTGTCGTTTCACACATGTACCCAAGAATAAAGGGATCGACATGGATAAAGTAGAACAAAAATACGGTAAATTAAAGTGGGGTAAGAAAACCAGATAGCGAGGTATGTGCTGACGTCATGATCAGTATCGTTTCAATGTGTTCAGTGATGCTTCATCATACCTACAATCGACTTGAGATATATAAATGGATATATAGTTGTATTATCAAAATGACACGTAATTTATACAAATTTGAAATTTCCGAAGAAAGTGTGAGAATTCATAGTGATAAGCGTAAGAAGATCGATAGTTGGGAGGGGGGGTGATATTCACACATGCATGATATGCAGTGTTAAGCTGCTTTTTTTGAAATCCATTGCATTCCAATGCAAAAAATTTGAAATTAAAAAGTGAATTTCACGCACTCGTAATAAATTAAATTATTTCTTCATAATTTGTAATTATATTTTGCATCGGAGACATTTACTTTTGCTGATATTCTTATGGAACAGTGTGATATGAAATATTATGATAAAATAAGACTTCATGTATAGTGTAAATCTACAAAGCATTTCAATTTACATCAAACAGAAGACGATATGAAATTTTAAAAAGAAAAATCAACCTTGAAATTGTCTGCGAGGAATGATGGAAAATCGATTTATGAAATGTACTGATCAATTTTTCTTTAAGTGACGACGACAAGAAATTTTTTATCATCATGAATAAAAAATTTCCTTAAGTTGTAATGGACTTTTTTTAACAATGTTTGCTTGGTTCTGGAATTGTTGAAGGTATTGTGCGTAAAAAAAATGGCCAGCAGTCGTTTGCTAATGTACATATCTTGAAATCGTGTTCATTTCGTTGTCATGTTACAAAAGTAAGTGCTTGTGTTTTATCTAAAATTTTCGCTTGCTTTGAAAATCGATAACACACATGATACATACAGCAAATTTGTTAAATAGTGGCGAGAAGTAAAGAAAAATAACGATTTGCCACCGGAATCTTCGTTGAGATATAAACACCCCCCTGACAAAAATATATTTGCACTCAGCGGTGCCAGAGTAACCCCTGATTGGATGATCCCCTCCCACCAAGGATGACAGAATAGAAAGGTTTTAGAGAACAATAATTGTCTGTTAATGGAGATATTAGATGTTATTTATTTTTTATGTGTATCTGCTATTATTTCAAATTTTTCATTAGGGTAATGCATGTATTTAATTTAAATGTTTAAAAGCAGCAAAATCGTTGAGGTTGAAAAAAAACAGTTTCATTTTTCGATGTTTTTATTCACTCGCATATAATATACATGTATGAATTTTTCATCGCCATCCTTAAGTGTGTTTGCTTTAGAATTTCACATCACGTAGCGAGCGCAGCAGATGGCCCGTAATGAAATGAACTTAGCTACCACTAGTGTTAAATTATTAAGAGATGATTGTAAACCAATCATTGCGTCTTGCTCATTTTGTATCTTAGCTCGTTTTACTTGACTTTAAATTTATCACACGCGGAGGCGTCAGCACATTTTATCGCGATTAACCGTTCGCCATTTTGTGATCGCGAGTGCTCGCTTACATTTTGAAAATGCTTAACGTTGCTCGTTTTGTGTCGCTGAACAAGAGGAGGGAAATAGCGACAGAATTTTCGAACAAAGTTGGAGACATTCTTTGCTCGCAACTTTTCCAATCCAACGAGTTGGTGATAAGTAAACACACAGTTACGCTGTCTCAAGCGTGTATGTTACTTTGGCGGGATTGGTTCACAGGGGACGTCGATGGACTTTGGGTGAATTCACCTATGCTTGCTGCTGTCTATGCGTGTGTTTTGCTGGAACTCATCGCTCTTGGCAAGATCTCGTGTAAATTTCAATCGTGGACTGGCGATGGCAAGATTAGGATAAAGGTGACTTTGATATTTTTTATAATCATCGATGAAAGCAACACGCAATCATGTGACTTGAAGAGGTGGATTGATGAACAAAATGAAAAATTTTGTTTTGAAAGTCTTAAAAGTTGTTCATGCCTCTATGGGAGGCCGTTGAGAGTTTTCTAGCTCGAAAGGAAAAATTTCTCCTTTTGGTGTTTCAAGTCGTCATAGGATTTTAGTTTCGAATGAACATGAAAATTTTTTTGTCTTAGGATCAGGTACTGCAGCTGAAGACGGTAAATAAAACGGCAAAACTTCAATTTGCCAGACTAAACATTTTCATCAATTCTGAATCTCTAACCGATAAACGCATTCTTTAATTGGATGCTTAACAAGAAGTGTTATCATCATCTGAATTTCAACAAAGACGTCCATCAGATTCGTGTTGTTTTTCTTAAAGGGACCATTATACAATTTCAAGTCATTTGTATAGCTACATACATTAAGCTTGAATTTCTTTTATGTCGTTAATGGCACATATATATACAGTCATTATGTATAGAGTATAGCCGACACGAGAAAGCTCGATATTGATGGTTTTAAATGCATCGTAGCATTAGCACTAAGTAATTGTTATTACCTATGACAGCAAGAAATTGTCGTGTTCGTCAGATTTACGGAAAAATTTAGTTTAGAATATGAAATGACGGGTGGAAATTGTGAAGAATTCACGTGCTAAAGACCAAGACATTATGTCGTCATTTGCATAGAATATATTTTCACTGAACCAGATGTTTTTATGTGAAACATTATAACATCTAAATATAGACTGTATTTTTCCAATTACCCAATTACCTGAGTTCTGGGGCCTTATTCAAACACGGAACGTATTGTAGTAAATGTGTGTATTGACTGAAATTTAGGGACGTGTTTTTATGATCTTGCAAATGTACATTACACCGTGCAAGATAATCGTTTAACAATAAGAAATCTGCCATGTGTTGAATGCAATTAGCACGTCACTGCTCAGCACTTCACTGCTCAGCACGTCATCTCTCCAACATTCATTTTTCTTTATTTAGATTCTCGATAAAACTTTAACGAACACATACCTTGACGAGACCGCCTTTGCTCATCTTTTGAGAATGGAAACTGCCAGCAACGAGTTGACTTTGGACGAATGTGTTTTTTATGCAATGAAATGGAAGTTGTGTTCGCGAAAAAATTGTGCAACGTCCATTTTGAACAGTTTGGATGATTTGAAAATATTAAAGACGAAGTGCGAATGTTTTGGCTTCAGCAGACTCTACAGAACTGTAAAAATTGGTAAGAATTACATTTTATGTGAGCCAAGATGCGATAAAACATTTGTCGTATGCATCGAGAAAGATTAGGTTCATGGTGGATTTGGTGAGAGATTAGGTTTTTAGCAGATTGGGTAAGAATTTAGGTTCCTAGTGGATTGGGTAAGAGATTATGCTCCTTGTGGATTGGGAGAGAGATTAGGTTCTTGGTGGATTGGGTGAGAGATTAGGTTCCTGGTGGATTGGGTGGAAAATCAGGTACCTAATGAATTGGGTGGAAGACTGGAGGCAAGTAGATTGGATGGATAGTGGGTTTCAGTGAATTAAGTAGGAATTAAGTTCCCAATAGCTCAAACGGGAAACTGAGTTGTATTTGGATTGCCTAGAATGACATTGCATTTGGAAATATGTGCTTTGCTCATTATAATTTACGTGTGTGTATTTGGAGGTACTTCGTATGTCGAAGTAAACCTTCAATCTATTCTCATACATCAAAGAAAAGTTGAATAGCCATTAGGTGTTGTCACTGGAAAATTTTGTGGCTCACTAGTAAAGACGTATTTGACAGATGACATCGAGTCAGAAACGTGTTTCCACTGCTATATGTGGTACGATGGATGCTTGATCAAATTAATAATGACAACTGCATTGTCTAAATATCGCATACATTTTCACGAATGATTTGACAAGTTTAAATCTCTTTGTTATGTTTGTTTTAGAACCTTACGCACTATTGGAGAAGGAAATTCGTCTTATCGTGTTAAAAGGCAAGTTTCCAGATTGCTTTATGAGGATTTTGTTGACGTTGTTGGTCGTTGCTGATTCTTATGTGTCGAAGGATACGAGAGTGTTGAAACGATTTTTCACAAAAAATGAATACTTGCCAGCAGTGGAACGCTTGCACACATTGGTTAACATTTGGAGTTTTGATGCAAAACGCTGAAAGGGAACGTCACCTTTGGAATGAAAACAGAAGGCTCTTCCCAGTAACTTATTTCCTCCCAGTTTCATTGTTTTCAAGTCACTTTTTTAAGACTTGATCCAACCGTATCCAACGTTTTCCGTGGCCTGAGACTGGCACTAATTGTCGATACCTATGTGTTAGAGTAATTAGAACTATTTTTAAATATCTGAATGATTTTTAGAGCACGAAAGGTAGACCTTTATTTACAAACTACCAGTAATAACACTATAATTTAGTCCTTATAGCGGCATAAAATTTGCATAAATCTTGTTCCTTGGTGAAATCATTCAGCCGTGACGGACAACACAATCGTCATTTTGCTTTTTTTTCGTAATTTCTGTTCGACTTTGGGACTATGTTATGTGGCCAACTCCAACACTACTCGTTTGGACTCCATATGAAGACAGCGTTCGTTCTCTTTGTTGAATTCTCCTGTTATCTCATGCTTTTTCTTCGTAGTGGATAAGATGATATCTAGACATGCTAGGATAATCGATGTAGCACCGACTTGGGTGAGTTTTAACGATAACGTTAACATATGTGACGATGATTAATTTATGAAAATTCGATGGTGTTCAATACTTCATGGTAATAAAGGAGGTTGAATTCCTTACCAATTACAAAATCTCACTGCAACATGGCAACAACATAAACATCAAGCATTCATAGATACCAAACACTTAAAAATCTTATAATTTATCTCTAAATAAGTTGTGTACTTAATGTACTTGAGAATGATTGAGGTGGTTCTCTTTATTCACTCAAAAATCATCAGATTAAATCAAAGAGATCGGATAAAATACTTGCAGTAAAACTACTGTCAACGACTGTATTGTGAGACATAATCACCGGATGCTGGTGGATGTCGACTTCACTTCTTTGGGAGAGTTTTGATTCGAAGCAATAGTGACCAGGTTGAACCACAGGAAGATAATACTTAAAATATGATCGCTTCTCTTGAGATAATATCATCTTGACTCGAGTCATGACGTCAATATATACAGAAAAAGCCATAATTAAATTATCGTTGGTAAACTGCTGTTTTGTTTTACAAACATGTTCTTAAAATTTGTGTTGAGGAACAGTTCGTGACAAGATAAATGTTTCGTGGTAAAGCATGCCTTTTTTTCATAGGACTAACTAGATATATTTTGGCTACTGATCATGTAATCAATAATACGAATGATTTTCAACTTACTATATCAATAATTTTACACTTATTATAATAATTTTACATTTGGTAATGTGAATCGTAATGATATCTATGATACAAACCATGGCTCATCATGGAAATAAAATTCATGAGATTTTCTTTCACGCTTTTGTCCGTTAGTTTTCTATGTTCATGAATGTTCTTCATCTTTAACATCTTGTCCTTTTCACTCACAACAGGAACTCCATGAAAACTACATAATGCACAGCATTCAAGAAAAGAGGAAGCAATATCAGACCTTTTCTCCACCGCTAAATCATATTTAAGTTAGTGGTGTTTTATTTTTAAGACTCTATTTCGTATAAAGTTTACCTAAGCATATATTCAGATTATATACCAGGGAAAAAGACAGCCAACGAAGATCTTGACTATGAAACGAAGAAGTTTGAAAAGACCAAAGTCTGGTGTGGTTAAGATTGGAAGAGGTATAAAGTTTGTTCCCTTGAAAGGTTGAAAGATCTTAAATTTTAGATCCTTAGCATCTGAATTCTTACTTCTAATGGCTTTTTCTCTTTATATCAACTGAAATGGTGATGCAAAATTCATAACGACCTCCCTATTGTAATAATCTTGTCCATACAGTACTCATGTTATTCGCGTTTTTTCCCATTTTATGATTTGATCTCTGTTATGATAAAGTCGAAATTGAATGCGCGAACTTTTAATGAATAAATGAACGCTTTCTTATACAGCTTTAAACAGAGTAAAATGTTACGTACGTGTTCGTCCACTAAGTTCAACAGAAGTCGACCGAGAAGATAAATTAGCCGTTGAAGTTTCGGAGAATGGCAAAAAGGTAGCGCTTTAATTGTTGAAACATTCATAAATTAATTATTGATCAATGATTTCGTATCTTGTGAAAAGAGTTGCTTGAGAGTATTTTAATATGAAATAATGTTGCGATTTCAGTATCGATGAATGCTTTGTTTTTTTTAACGAAGTCTTTGTTAAGCTGTAGTACAACAAAAAGTATATTAATCGACTGTACCGGTGAATATATACAGAATAAGCATTGAATAATGATACTGTTCTAAAATTCCATGTAGCTAATTGACTACTTCTTCACAATGGCGTATTGTAAATCAGAAGAATTTCAATAAGCTCTCAGTTGTGTTTTCTCATGAGTAAAGTTACAAAATGCGTGAAAAACCGGATCTACTTTGATCGCAATTAGACTTTCAAATTTAAGTGCTCTGTGGCTTAGTGGCATCTTTCTACACACATGTACGAAATCAAATTGTTTCATTCTAAGATTTATGAATCAGTAGTTTTTTGTCCATTACGACGTTTGTGAATACTGTAGTTTGCTTTTAAAAGAATTTATTTTCTTTCGTTCGTCAAAACGATCATGCCAACGGCGTATTTAATCAGATCTGTAAAGATATGCGCATCGCACAGACTACATAGCAAGTCACTCTCAGTCGAAGAAAACAAGAGAATTTACGGCAAATGCAATAATCCAAACGGACATGGGCACAATTATACATTTGAAGTGACCGTGAAAGGCGAAATTGACCCAAAGACTGGATTTGTTCTGAATATTTGTACTTTAAAAGATTATATGGAACAAGCAATTGTCGAACCATTAGATCACAAATGCCTTGACAAAGACGTTCCGTATTTTGAAGACCGAGTCAGCACAACCGAGAACTTAGCAGTATTTGTGTGGAACAGGCTTAAAACGTTATTACCTATAGGTTTATTATATGAAGTGAAGATATATGAGACAGACAAGAACATTGTTGTATACAGGGGCGATTAGTGGAGCTTTTAAAGCATTTTGAATGCTTGTCATTTAAAGTTCACCTTTGCAGTGGTCCTATATATTTAATGATGCGTGATTTTTATATTTGATTTATTTATATCAGAATTATTATCGTATTATTAATTATTTATACAGCTACTACCGTATATGATCAATCAAGGATCTCAAATATATTTATAGAAAGTTGCTCGAATCGATCCTAATGCAGTGTTCTGTTCTAGAGGACGGATGCAGATTTTCCTAAAGCGGGGGTGGGGGGGGGGATGGTCTGTGCATCCGTGGTCATTAACATAAGGTTATAGTTGGTAGGACAATTTCCCAATGGTAACTCATGGCCAATATCACAGGGAGAATTTTGCTATAAGTTAACTAATCCATTCATGATGAATTTGTGAGGGGGTGCTCTAGTTTGAATTACATTTCGATGGTTGCTTTGTGGATGTCGCCGTACTTTGTTTTGCTCAATTGTGCTACTCTTATACAATGATTGAGAGATATTCGTGGAAGTTTGCTCCATCAAACACAACTTACAAAGTCTTTTGCTTGATTTTTTACTGTATTAATATTTCGCATGATTAAAACACGACTCTTATTGTTATCCGTTCTGTTTTTAGATAACGGTTAACGACAGTCGCATTGGTCTTGATAAGAACTATCAGTTTGATCAGGTCTTTCCACCAACAACCACCAATGCTGAGGTAAAAAAGTGTGCAAGAATTGAGAGTTTATGCTATAATGTTCCCGTGTAAAGAATGTTGGTAACGTCTCTCTTTTTAGATTTCTAACTTTATTTGTAAACCACTGGTGAATGCTGCTTTGAATGGTTTTAATGGTACAGTAATGGCATATGGTCAGACTGGTTCAGGTACAAAATGTTCGTTATTATAGCTGGATACTCGTCAATAACTTATTAAACCAAACAGCTAATGTCAAGACACATATAAAACCACAAGAGGATCGAGGCTAGATGAAATGTACATTTGCTCACGTTAATGATCGACAAATTTCATGACTAGGTAAAACTCACACGTTGATGTCCCCGGATGGAATAGCAGCAACCATAATTGAAAAGTGTTTTCATAAAATGACTAGGAATGTCAACTTCCAATATAAAGTAAGTTTATCGAGAGAGAGAGAAAGTGTTTACTTTAATAGACGTCGATCAATCGTTTCAGGTAGTTCGATTTTCTATTGTTTTATTTTATAGGTTTCAATGTCCTATCTACAAATTTATCAAGAAAAAATCTACGATTTGTTGAATAATTCTACTCCGAGTAAAGTTGATCTTACAATTCGAGAGCATCCACAGAAAGGTATGTAAGAACCATTCAACTATGGAACTATCGGCAAAAGTGTATTTTATCTTTGTTCACTAACACCTATTCTGTTATTGTATTGATGTCACAGTGTTTAGTGTATGATTTGAGAGTGGTATAATCTTTGTTAAGCGTTTTGAGCAATTATGTGTTCGAAAGTCTTGCTAAGCCATTGCCTGTGTCTCTATTAAGACTTTATGAATGTAAAAGATTTTCTTTACATAAGAAATTTGACAGATCTATTTTAACTGTAGGAATATATGTGGAAAATCTATCAGAATATGTGGTTCGCGGACCTGAAGAGGTGCGTTCTCTTATGCAACTGGGTAAGAAAAGACTTGTGTTTGCTGAAACGAAAATGAATCGAACATCAAGCAGGTTTGTCTTGTGTTATAATTTGTCAAATAAATACGTCATGTATGACCATCCTTTTCATGATATTAATTCTGATTAGATCTCACTCCGTTTGTATCCTATCGATTGAACGAAGTTCAGCGCATTTTGGTAAATATACCTGAATTTTTTATAACCAAATTGTTCGCTTGTTGAAGAATAGTTGCCATATATTTTCCAGTTTTACAATTCTATCAAACATTGCATTTTATAGACAAAGGGAAACCAACGTCGTCGTCCATAATGCAAAAAAAATTTGATGAAAAAATTCACCCGACCCAGGTCTCTGAAGACGTTCATAGTTCAGTAGGTGTTATTGAGAGAGATTTGTCTGCAGTTATTCGTGCTGCTAAAAATTTTTGTTTTGAAGCAATGTCTTTGATGTTTGTGATTTCTGATTAAAAATTGTAAAGCTAATCTCAATATCTTTCAAATTGAACTTATTTTTACTTCACACCAGAAAACATCTCAACAAGATGAAGGTTCCAGTGATAGCGAGGTAAGGTTTACGAAAGAAATGGTCCAGTCTTTTTTATCAATCGACTATTTTGCTGTCTTTGCGTCTTAATTTACAGAATGACGATGATGTTTTGTCGAAAATGATGGCGTTTAATGAAGATGTCGTTCTCAAAGGACATTTATACATGTAAGGAATCATTCCATCATCTCCGTTTGATTCATTCTGCTTAGAAGCATCAACTTTTTCCATCTTCAATTGTTATGTTCCTATGCAATACACAATTTCTTTTGTCATATTTATTTTTTCAAGTTGTGACTTGGCTGGAAGTGAGCGCATAAAGAAAACGAATGCTGAAGGAGAAAGACTGAGTGAAGCTCAATACATCAACTTCTCTTTGCTTGAATTGGGGTCGGTTGTAGAAAAATCCTTTTGTTGTTTTTATAAAATTTCGAATTTGGATATGAGATTTTTTGGTCATAAGCTTTCTTCTGTTTCAGAAATGTGATACAAGCGTTAGCTGAAAGTAATGAAACTGGCCGAACTGGCCATATTCCTTTTCGAAACTCCACTCTCACTCGTCTTTTGCAAGAAAGCTTCGGTGGAAATTGTAAAACTAGTCTTGTGGTACGTGAAATATTAAATATGTCTGAAGATGAATGCAAAATCACCGCTTATATGGTAGTTGACAATGTTTCTGTCGTAGTCAATCGCTAATTTGAACATTAAGACTTGTTATTATGTCCAATATATCAATCTTTGCTCGTATTCGTAACTAACCTACAACCAGGTATTCACCTACGTCGTTAGCTAGGTGCTACTAGTAGGGACTAGGGAGTTCCGACAAACAGCAGATATTAGTGACATCGACTCAATATGATATTTCCCGGAGACGTTACAAAGCCCACTACCACCAAGCTTGTATCAACGTGCAGTCATTTCATTGATCTGTCATCCTTTGTTTCATTCATCATTGCTCTGGAACCGAGAGGCCTCGTTAGTTCTTTTTGCCGGGGGTCTCTTGGTAGTCTAGATAGAAACGCCCTTGGTAATGTATATGAAGTTTTTTCATACGCTCTCATTTGGCTGCTTTAGGTTTGTTGTTCACCGTCTGAAATTCATGCTCACGAAACCAAATGCTCACTGAATTTCGGCTCTCGAGCAATGAAAATAAGGAATACAGCCTATGTGAATGTTGAGGTATTCTTTTTATGGCTTGTCTTGACCATCGGTTGATCCTTGACTTATTTATTTTATCGAATCTGACGATTGTAGATGGATTACAAAAAACTCAGCGATGATTTAGCGAAAATACTTGATGCAAGAGGTAGGAAATTCTTATGTGAGACTTATAAATACCATATATTTTCATAATTATCCTCACGTTTTCTTGTCAAATAGTGCACACGATGCTAACAATAGTGTAGTTATGTATAGAGTCCCGCCATGCTTTTAATAGAACGGTGGTGTAGTTATGTATAGATTCCCAACATGCAGTAAATAGAACGGTGGTGTAGTTATGTATAGAGTCCCGCCATGCTTTTAATAGAACGGTGGTGTAGTTATGTATAGAGTCCCGCCATGCTTTTAATAGAACGGTGGTGTAGTTATGTATAGATTCCCAACATGCAGTAAATAGAACGGTGGTGTAGTTATGTATAGATTCCCAACATGCAGTAAATAGAACGGTGGTGTAGTTATGTATAGAGTCCCGCCATGCTTTTAATAGAACAGTGGTGTAGTTATGTATAGATTCCCAACATGCAGTAAATAGAACGGTGGTGTAGTTATGTATAGATTCCCAACATGCAGTAAATAGAACGGTGGTGTAGTTATGTATAGATTCCCAACATGCAGTAAATAGAACGGTGGTGTAGTTATGTATAGATTCCCAACATGCAGTAAATAGAACGGTGGTGTAGTTATGTATAGATTCCCACCATGCAGTAAATAGAACGGTGGTGTAGTTATGTATAGATTCCCACCATGCAGTAAATAGAACGGTGGTGTAGTTATGTATAGATTCCCACCATGCAGTAAATAGAACGGTGGTGTAGTTATGTATAGATTCCCAACATGCAGTAAATGGAATAATGCTGTAGATATGTATAAAGTCATACCATGCTGTGTTTGGAATAGTGATGTAGTTATGTATAGAATCCCAACAAGATAATTTCAAATTGACTATTTTTGTTTTAGATAAAGAAATTGAACAACTAAAAGTGAAGCAGAAGCATGAACTTGACATTATTAAGAAGGAAGCGACGCTTGCAGCTGAAATTAAATTTAGTGACGAATTAAGTGAAGCTAAGAGGGCTTACGCTTCGTTACAGCATTTAATGGATTCACAGGTATTGGAGGGTACTATGCTATTATAATAATCACCTCATCAACTTATTTGATAGTAATTGCTTGCTTTTATCTTGTCTTGTGACATGTTTTTGATTCCCATGCTATGATAGGCGAATGTGCATGCAGAAAGTATGTTGAAACTCCAAGATGACTTGTCTCGGGAAAAAGACTCCAGACTTGTTCTCGAAAGAAAACTAAAAAACGAACGTGGCATTGTTGATGTTACAAAGAGTCGGAGAACAAAGTGTCTTCTTCTCAACGAGGTTCTTTCTATGCAACTATTCTACGCTCTGGAATGTACTGCTCTTGGTACAAGTGAAATGAAAAGTGAAGCTTCAAAACATTTGACTACATCTGATACTGCTGTCGAAACACAAGATGAGATTCTACGAAATATTGATCATCATATTGGTGTGTTACAAACATATTTGCACGTGACTGAAAGAGATCTTTCCAAAATAAATGGCGAAGAAGTGTATGACGAAAAATGGAAGCTATCTTTTGAATTGATTGAAGATGGCAAGGACTTTCAAACACTTGTCGTTAAGATACGAGATCGTTTGAAAATGCTCAAGGACAATGTGGACGATAGAATTTTAAAGCTTCTTCTGAGATTTATTCACAGTAAAGGTAGCTAATGAAGATGTTATGTTCTTCCTTTGATTTAATCATTGAACGAATTATCAAGTAAAACTTTCATAATTTCCGATTGAATTTTGTATGTCTATGGATGTTTGTAGAATCATCATCGATTGAGGGAATGAGTCAAGTGTACCAGGCTTTGGAACAGTTTTTACTCTCCACAAAAGAGACTTCAGGTGGATACATTTCTTGAACTTGTTTAAAAAAAGTAATGCAGAGGTGGTTGTCAAAGATTTAACGAAACATTCAATTGCTGTTAAACATTTTTTGTCCATTTTATTTCAACAGAATCAAAATTTTTAGAGAATCCTCAGGACATCGAGTCTTGCCTCACCTATGTTTTGTTGGATAAGGCTTTATTGTGCTGTTTGGTCGTCTTAAAACGCAATGCTTTGGAGAAAAATTGAATGCCTTAGGGAAAGAAAACGAAAAAATCACGGAAGAGCTTGAGACAACTTGCAGAGAAAATAAGTTATTGCTAAAAGAGATTGACAGCTTAAGAGATCAGCTTAACAAGAATCGACCCTCGGGCGAGCATTCTATAATGAGTGGAGAAAATCACCCGACTATAGAGAGCTTAAAGATTCGTAACTTCAATCTTCAACTTGAAATCAACGGTCTTCACAAACGAATCGGAAACAGTCACGAGGAAGACTGGGAGCTAGTCAATTTGCGTGAACGTGTCATGAAGTTGACAAAGGAAAACCAGAGACTTGAGTTCATGATGCAAACAATGACTGAACGATTCAGCAATCAGAATGATTTTGGCAAACTGGAATTAAAAGAAAATGAAACACAGGTATTCAACGTCAATACAGAACTTTACCTTATACGATGTGGGCTTTTCTAATCCGTCAAATACTTGTCCTTTTAGCTAAGTAAAAGCACGTGCTACAGGAATATAAAATTCCCTTAACGGTATAAATAGATATTATAGTAAATCGGGGGGGGGGAGATGTCGAACATATGAAGACTCTAATGCTTGTTATTTACCTGGAACAGGACTCTGGCCTTAGTTACTGCTCTAAGTGTTATTTATTTAATTTCAAACCTCGTTTTTTAGGTGAATATACTTGAGGATAACGCTCAAGTCTTCACCAATCCAAATGCTTCCTCTAACTCTGACGATGCCAAGGAGTTCGTAAAAGTAAAGGCCGTGACTAGCATAGGACAGGAGGAGTTACGGGAAAAGTTATTGAAGTCAAAATTGGAGTCAGATAAGACTTTAAAACATCTCATTGAAATAAAGGTAGATGTAAGTGGATTTTAATTTCTCGAGATTAATGGTTTTCATTGTTATGTGAGTGTGTTTCAGTTTTATTTCTTTTAGTTTGACGGGGATGTGGCGTGTTGCAGTTAGTGATTTCCTAATTTACTGTTTGGTAACTGCTCCTGTTTTCAAACTCTATTAATTTTTTAGGAGACTCTCAAAACCTCTGAATATGACCAAAGAAAATTTCATAAATTGGACCGTATGGTTGACTCTGCCATTGACAGTGCTCATATCGTGAATACAAACACGGGACTGATTTTGAATACATCAAAGGAAGATATAGAAGCACTGGAACGTGATATTGACGCCATAAAGACGAGCAATGATACCTTGGAACACGAATGCTTGGCCCTCGTGAATGATCGCAGTACTCTCGAGTCACTTTTGACAGACTTGCGAGGTAATATTGCCGGATTAGTAGAGAAAGTCGAGAAAAAAAGCTCGCCAAAAAACAGAGCTTTTCTAAAAGCATCACAACAGATACTAAAGCAGAGGAAAGCCTTGAGAAATACACAACAAGAGTATATCGCACTAACTGGACTACACAACCTTCATTTCTTACTCAATTCAACCCCTACAGGAGTGAAAGAATACGAAATATTAACATCAACACAGACGTCATTGAGTTCGACTCCAAAACGTCTCAGACCGATATAAGTTTTCTCTCTGAGAGCTCAAACGGATCGGAAGAGAGTGATGAACGTGAAGAAAAGCACGAAGACAGTATGATATTGCCCTGGGTTTCACAGAAGTTAGCCAAAAAGTATTCTTTGATCAAACAATTTGTCAAACACCTTGAAGGTGAGATCACGAATTTTAAGATAAGAACAAGAGCGCTCGAAACTGAACTTAAAGAGCGACAGCATTTGAAAGAGCAAAATATACTTTTGGAAGATGAAGTAAAGGAGCTTCATGGTTTGAAGATTTACCTGGAGTCACTGCTTGCGGAGGGTATCCTGAACACAGATGAATCCAATAGCTTGGAACATGGGGATTGTAATCTTCGAAAGTGGAAGCACTTTGAAAATGGTTCATGCTCTGATCTTTCAGACTCACCAACTCTTTCTAAAAGCACTTTGAATTTATCTTCTACCTCAGCATACTCGGCTAAATATCAAAGTATGTCTCGATCCATGATGGACCTCACTAGATCAAGTATGTACTCAAGTCTCGGCTCTTTGCCATCGTCACACAGCAGTTTCGGATCTCTAAAAATGTTGAAGCTAGAAATCGAAGGTAAACCAAGTCGAATACGTGACAAGCTAAAAAATGCTTCACTTTTGCTTCAGCACACTGGCTCAATTGAATCTCAGCTCAAAGCGTCCAGGCAAAAGTGTTTCCGACTAGAAGGAGAGCTCTGTAAACTTGTTAAGGAAAAGAAAGAAATGGTGGAAGAGTTGGATGAGGCCAGGTCGAGACTAAGAGCCAAGGAATGCTTTCAGAATATTGATGCTGTCAAGAAAGATGGTAATGATGAAAAAAATTCGTTAGCTAAGACAGAAGATTGCTCTTTTAGAATTCACCATGGTAAAGACGAAAATAACAGGCTTAAAATGAACTTAGTTTGGCGAAAGAACAACTCGTGAAGTTGAAAGCTCAATTGGAGATTGCAAATACTTCGCATAAACATCCTGATCATTCTATTCATGGCGAAGATGACAAAAGGCAAGAAAGAGAACTAGTTCTAACACGCGAGCGATGTCTGATCCTTGCCGAGGAATTGGGTGCAAGCAATAAGGAAAAGATCAAGTTAGGATGTGATCTTCAAGAGGCTTTGAATAATATAGACTTGCTCGCCAGTGAGGTAAGACGACTTCAAAATACCGATGAAGAACGTTCAAAACTGGAGGAACGAGTGGATGAGTTGAAGATTACATCCCGAAAAACTAACGACGAAAGGCTTGTTGATGACACAAAATTGGTCGAGTTAAAATCAGAAGTTGCCTTACTTCTTGAAGAAAAAGCGACTCTCGAGGAATCTGTTTCAGACTTAAAATGGGAGAAAGAGCGCCTAAACGAGATGGATGATATCATCAAGAGATTGGTCCAGGTGGAGAAAGATAAACAAGATTATGGAAAGAATACAGAGGGCTTCGAGAACAAGAAAGAGTTGATGCAACTGCGCCAAGAGAACGAGTTACTACGTGGAAACTTAGGAATGTCAGTAAAACGTTGCCAAAGAAAGATGGTAAAATACTTCAAGGACACAGGTCTATCTTTTTTTACTTTGAAATTTACTTACTTGCAATTCTTATATTTATACATTATCGTTTGTAATACTCAAATCAAACCTCTAAATTTCATTCATATTCATTCCCTACTTTTACGTCATTTATAACGCTATACACTTTGTATCTTAGGTATTTGATACTGAAATAGATGAAAACTCCATTTGTGGCGACAAAGAAGTTGATACTGACTCAGAACGAAGATGGTATGAACCGTCAAAAATGCGCAGTCGAGTATCTATTCAGAGAAAACGTTAAAGACTGAATATTAAAGATACAAGATAGGGTACACTTGCCATCATTAGTAATCAAGCACAATAAATTTCAGGCATAAGTTTATGAAAGACGTGTTAGTTATACAGCAAAACAAAATGACAATTCAAGTCATTATTAGATAATACAAGGTCAGCCTGGCATTGGTGCAATTATTGTCATTTAGATACAATTATTGTCATATAGGTACGATTTTACAAGTATCAAGGTAGACTTTATTCATCATTGCCATACTAAGGAGATTTATGTTACAGGAAAGTTTATCTCCTATAATAGCAAGTGAACAGGTAATTTTTTTTGTGATGGCACTTTCATCTTTTGTTCAGGAGTTCCTTATGCTTTCATTTCATAATTAATACTTATATTGCTCTATCTAAATTGATATTGAGCACTTTGTTATTTTGTATAAATTTGATTGGATATTATATTTATAATTTCTTCTCTCACAAATTGTTAACTGTGATAAAACAGAGTGCTCAAAACTAATATTTATTACCTCCATGTCTTTGGTAAACACAAAACAACCTATACACTGTTGACTGTTGTAAATGCAATATCTACGTCCTCCGCTAAACCGTACATGACATTTCATGCTATGAAATATGATAGTCAGTCTACCATCCATTCAACATTTTATTTAATGTTTTAAGTTGTGTCTTCGAGGCGTACGTCGGTTTTCGTAGGAATCGCTTCCTTCTTCCGCTTTTCTTCGTCTGATTATGATGGTAACCACATCGCCATCGTTTTAGCTTTCCTTTGCCGGTTCTAATAAACCTTTTCGCTACTGCTTTACACGTCTTACGCTTGCCTTTCTTACTCACTAGAGTCACTCCTCTCTGAATGATATAATTCGTCGAAGTTGGCGCCAAAATTGCCTTGGAAGGTGAGTGTTTGAAAGTTCCTTTGTTATTGATCCTTTGAGGCTTAAGGAATGACTGATGATGCTTGTTGCATTCGTTGTAAAAGCATGGTTTTGGTAGAGCAATCTTGTCCAGAAGCCCAGATCTATCACCAAGAAAAAAGTCAAAAAATAATGAATAATTCTTGGCTAATATCAAATAATCTTAGTACGTTCTTTCTGGAATTTGTTAATACGGAAGTTTCTTACAATTTCTATGATAAACTCCATGTTTCAACTTTGAAAACGACGAGGGAAGTTGTGAATGAAATAGAAGCGAAGAACATTTCTATTCCATTTAGCCGCCATGATAGATTTCTAGAAGATAGTGTATCCGCTTGTCAATCATCTTTTCAATTTCGATTTCCCCTTTCATTAATTCTTTAATTTTACAATCTAAATTAATTAATATAGAATTGAGGATAATCAATTTTTTGTTGTAGCGTTGGAAAATTTTAAAAGAGTTGTACACATTACTAAGGTTTACGACTGAACAATTAAACATAGCTATTCAATCATTTCGATGAAAAGCAAACACAATGAGAACTGTTAGAAAATGTCACATTTCATTAGCTGGAAACAACATAACTGAAGGAACCGCTGTAAAAAATTTTGCGGGCACTGGACTCCAAATTCTTTTGCCTTCTCTAATTCTATGGTTGAAATTTTATTTTGGATTAAAAAAGAAGAATGAAACCAGAAAGTGAAGCAGAAGCCGATGACTTCTTTTTCAGCTATAGACAAGAGTCATCCAAAGAGAAACTGTGGCGAAAATGCAAGGAGAATCCGTTTGTCCCCATAGGTAAGCTGTAAAGATACCTCATTTACATACCTCAACCTCTAGTGTTATTGTGTATTTCGTTTTGTCTCAAGCATTGATTTGCAGTACTTACAGGTAAATAATCAAATGGCTGACAAACTTTCAATTTATTTCTTCATTGTTGCAGGTCTTGCTGGTACTGTAGGAGCATTGACATATGGACTAATCTCGTTCCAGCGAGGACATTCGCGTAATCAGCAGAACATGATGAGGTTAAGGGTTATAGCTCAAGGATTTACTGTGATTTCTGTCGTGGTTGGTGTGGCCATTATGCAGTGGAGAAAGCCAGAAGGAAAGGCCACATGAAGCAAATGAACTTGAAACTTGTGAAAAGAAATATTTTAATTTATGATATTTACATTGCTAAAGCATGTAATTGGATTTCTGTCAGACAGAATTGACAAATGGAGTCATAGGGGATTTTAAGAAAGAGGGTTTTTTGGTATCAGGTGGGTCATCCTGAAGAACTTTTGATATTTTTATGTAGCATGAGCATTCTAGGTTACGTTAGAATTTGTTTCTGGCCAAAGCTTTAGAAAATGAGATAGAAAACATACTTCATCAATTACTTTGTTTGTTTATTTATCTTAAATTTTGAGTTATAAAGACAGAGTCAATTTTGGAGTATGTTTTCTTATATCATTCCTACTTCAGGATTATATTAATTCTTACTTGAGTATTTATGTGACTTGTCCAAGATCAGATACAATTGTATTTGCTTGAAGCATTTTGCAGTATGTAATACAAATTTGCTTTTTGACAAAAGCACCCCCCAATGTTTTGACACTTTTTGACAAATGCAATCTGTATCAGGTCTCCTTCATATACTATACAATTAAAAACTAACATTAATCTATGATGCTATATATGTGTTGTAAATGGTTACTTCTTAACATAAATTATGAATCAGGGACTATGACGGGTCCTGGTTCATCAAACCATGATAGTAGTTTTCTAATTTTCTAACAAACCTTACTCAGTGAGGCACATACTCCCAAAAAACTGAAGGTGTTTACATTGTGGGACGGATGTTCGAAAGCCCTCTCCAAAAGTTTTGTATCCTTCACCACTTGGGGGTGCCAGCCTCCCATACATCCCGTAATGTTCACATTAATAGCTGGGCATCCTCTACCACTCAAGGGTGTCACACTGACTCAACAATTATTTTCAAAGCAACATCTTTGGTGATGCAATGAAATTGTTCTACAAGGCAGGATGTCATTTTTTAGATTGAATGCTGACGTCATGCACTAAGTTGTTCCTTCAGCATCATCTGCAGAGACAGGTAACTGAAATCATCAGTTTCTATGAACATAGCTATAAAGCCCCCAAAGTCTGGTCTTTAAAATGTCCAACTGATATCAAAAAACGCTACATTAAAAGTGGTGATTTTATTTTTGGCTTGATGTGCAGCAGTCGTTTCGAGAAGAATATTTGCTTGCGGTAATTGATATGGTCTGCGGGATTGCATCAACAGTGATAAGACTTAGTTGTCGCTGTCTTGTGATTTGCGCACGTATTTTGCGATAAACAGTTGCCAATTCGCAACAATTAGCCACTGTTTCTTGATAACGATGTGGATTTAGCTAAATGATTTCAACATAAATTATTATCGCGCTCGCATCAACCCTTTGAATAGAATTTTTTAGCACATGCGTCTGTATTCTTAAAGATCACTCACACTCACAGTTAGACTTTAGAATTTCGCTTTCTCTAATCAATTTCTCTTTTTACTAAAGTATATCAAATTAAGCATTCAACTGAGTGAAAACGACGTCTTCAATTAATTATGAGGTGATTTCGAAATCACATCAATGGAGATGGGAGTGACCATGTCACCATGCTTTTACAAGACAGGCGATAAAAGTTTTATTTTTAACATACAAAAGTTTCACATAGGTGTTATCCATTTGATGTCAATCCCACGCAAATCTCATGAAAAAAAAGATCGAAGTTTTTTTTTTAATCTAAGTGCGTTCGATAAGACATCGTTAAAATAGCTTGTCTACACGAAGTCATAAAGTGTTGATATAATGCCATTGTAAAGATCGAATTTAACTTAAAGCTTGCGAAAGGAGGATTTTCATGTTTCCGGTGCTCACTTGTCGGTTGGATGAAGTTTTCAACAGCATAATCACGATTTTTTCTCTTCGAAACCTGATGTTAGAAAGTGTTGAAATGGTTATTAAATTGTTGATGAACGAATGTACTATTACCACTACTATAAACGACCAAAGAATTAGGCTTTTATTTAAAGTAAATAAAGTGTAAATTTTCTTATATTCTAAGAAAATTAAGCAAACGAAAGCAAATGAAAGCATGTACAAAAAGAAATAAGAGAAACCTGATTCGAAGACAGTTTGCAAATCTTATGTAATCATCATTGCAGTATTAGTACAGGACATAATTAACAATTTGAAATTTGACCGCTGGACTGAGAAATTCATAAGTCATTGATAGTGTTTTTGATAGTTTTGTGTCCCAATACCAAGATTCAAAATAGTACCCAGCACAACATGTTGTTCGGTCCACTTTATGAAAGGGAAATATGGTTTACTATGCGCATAAAGACTAAGCGACATATGGAACATGGCATCATTGTAAACCTCACTCGTGGTCCACTTTTTGGGTATTTTCTCTTCTAAAACTTTTGGTTTCGGGCGATATGTGACATTTACGTAATAATTTGCAAAATGGATTAAGCAGGAAGAGAACGAAGTAACACCTGTTACGTATTATTTACGCAATATGTGTGTAGATTGACACTTTAAGAAAACAACATACGTCCTAGGATTGCTATTTTGGGATCCATACAATGTTAAAATTATATCATTTCCTCTTATGGCATGGCCTGCGTCGATAACAGGGGGGGGCAAGGGGAGGATCTGTGGGGAATGTGCGTAGAAACAGACAATTGCTGAACAAAAAAAACGATGCATAAGACGATTATAGATCACGTTTCCCAAATTATGAAGCTGTGCACGTCACTGATTTCTTTATATCCCGATTTATAAAAAATTATTTTTGTAACATATTTTCGTTGGTCAATTTCATTACTGGACCTTATTTTGTAAGATTTAATCTTGCCTCACAACATTTAAACCAATAGCAATACGTGTGCTACGTGATCGCTGCTGCGGTTTGTTTTGAGACTGGCTTAGGACATTCATAACTTACTCGTTGAAACCTTTTCGGCGTGTTTTTACCCACTCCTTTACTTACACGTTGAAACCTTTTTGACGTGTTTTTACCCACTCGTTTACTTACTCGTTGAAACCTTTTGGCGTGTTTTACCCCTCGTGTACTTACTCGTTGAAACGTGTTTTACCCTCGTGTACTTACTCGTTGAAACCTTTTGGCGTGTTTTTACCCACTCGTTTACTTACTCGTTGAAACCTTTTGACGTGTTTTTACCCACTCGTTTTACTCGTTGAAACCTTTTGGCGTGTTTTTACCCACTCGTTTACTTACTCGTTGAAACCTTTTGGCGTGTTTTTACCCACTCGTTTACTTACTCGTTGAAACCTTTGACGTGTTTTACCCACTCGTTTACTTACTCGTTGAAACCTTTTGACGTGTTTTTACCCACTCGTTTACTTACTCGTTGAAACCTTTTGGCGTGTTTTTACCCACTCGTTTACTTACTCGTTGAAACCTTTTTGACGTGTTTTTACCCACTCGTGTACTTACTCGTCGAAACCTTTTTGGCGTGTTTTTACCCACTCGTTTACTTACTCGTTGAAACCTTTTTGACGTGTTTTTACCCACTCGTTTACTTACTCGTTGAAACCTTTTTGGCGTGTTTTTACCCACTCGTGTACTTACTCGTTGAAACCGTTTGGCGTGTTTTTACCCACTCGTGTACTTACTCGTTGAAACCGTGTTTTTACCGTGATGTTGACAAAATGTTAATGAGAATTTTACGAGCACACTAAACACAACATTGTTGATTAGATTTAAAACTTTTTTTCCCTAACAGCGTTGACAATAAATTTTTCAACTATTTTTATGACAACGGTGTGCAATTAATGACGACAAGTCAGAGCTAAAACACTCAAAAACATCTGAAAATGCTCATATTGTGACGAGGGAACATCTTCAATTTTTCCCCCATACTATTTTTTCCGGATACAAGTCATAAAGTTTTTGTTCGTCAACCTTAATTAAAAACGCAGCGTGATGCGAGCGGATTACGTTTTTTTGAGCTATATTTTTTTGCTGGTTATCGTAACTGTACAAGGTCGTTCTCTAAAAATCCTAATTTGGCATTGTGGTACATGTATTGCAGTCACGAGATTTATGTTTTGTGACATCCACTATCGATTTAGCTAGTGTTCGTTTTAAGCGAATCACAGTCAAATTTTAGGTCTCAAGCTTCGGACGTGGTCGTGCTGTTCCAGGCTGTCATAAACAAGCTCATTCATTGAGTGATATCATTGTGTTATTTCATTTTACAAATTTTTTCGCCACACAAACTCTGATAAGAACACAGATATCAAAACAATTGTATTTCACGACATACTTTTAATGCACATCGTTGTGCACACGATAAGACAATTTCATAGTTACACTTAAATATGTGCAATTTAGACATTAATACTACAGAATTTTATGTTTATAGAAGTTCAAAAGCTCCGATGTTAGCTGAAGCCCATGGCAATTCGTATGTGTAAGACAAAATCAATTAACATGAAATCGACACTAATCAATTTTTCAAGTCCTTGTATTGATTTATGAAGTGTACCATGATGTAAAATCAATTGGCATTCATTCGGTGGAGTTCTTCATAATGAATTTAATTTCATCAATATTAGCTTTTGTCACAAGATTATATGGAAATTTGACTGCGTGTTTACGGAAAATAATAATCATTAAGTTAACGCATATATCCATTATATTTGAAGTAATTTAAATGATTCATCCGGACATCTGTCTTCAAGAAGCTATTTCATGTTCTGCAATTAGTTCAGCTGGACGCGGCCTCGTTTGACCTAATTCTAGGTTTACTTATTATTAAGTGCCACTTGATTTCTATAGACAAAGATATTTTAGCTAATTCATAACTCATTACTATTTGAGCAACAGTTCGGTAAATTCTGTGATTTCTTAACAACATAATTTTTCTAGGTCTGCTGTCAGATCAGGCTCCCAGATATAGTTTATCCTATGCTCTGTCTGTGCAGGGATTTGCTGCGAAGGCATCTGGGATATCTCTTGCTGAATGTTGCGTGCGTCAATTAAACTCGTTTACAATAACCGAATGTTTTGTCTAGGGGGAAGGCGGTGTTGATTGTATATCGCTCTGCACGTCACCCGAGCTCAGCAATAAAGAAACGAACAATCGAGTGGCGTTCATCAGTTAAGATCAAGGTCAGTCGTGGGCATCAACAAGAATAACAAACATAGAGAAAAAAAATGAGGAAAGAAAGGCGAAACACAAGCAAAGGTTGGTTGCATTACGTCGTTCTGCGTAAATGCGCTGCTGAATGGAAGAAATATTTTGTGTGTTCTCTTTCTTACCATCATCTTTTTTGACATGTTTATTTTTTATAACTCTGAGGAATATTTTTAATTTGAATTTTTTTTCTACTTCTCCTTTTCTATACCACTTTAATCCTACATCCTTTGAAAAGAAGATACAACTTGTGGTGCATGGCACTTACCTAACTAAACTGTATGTGTTGAATGAAAAAGATAGTTCATAAAAAACTATCAATCTTTCTAAGTTGCTTCTAATACTCTATTTGTGATTTGTTGCGATCTAGTCATGCATGATTATACTCTATGAGTTTATTTCAAACGGTGTTCTGTTTGAACTTCTTCTGTTTATTCATAGCTGTGTTCACGCGTGTGTCCGTTTATGCACGAATTTGTGAGTAAATTCCTTATGAACTACTCTGGTGATATTCCTATGCAGCCTTTTGGCTTTCTCTTATGCTATACTAGCTATATCTTAGTAACTGTCCTGTTTGACCACTGTCCTTGGTCGTTATTGCAAACGGAAAGAGAGTTGTTGTTCTCTAATTATTAACGTGAATGAAAATTAATTTGCACGCGGGGGTGATGTTAAAAATGCCATACATGTCATAAATGCGTTGTGTAATTGTGTAAACAAGATGTACCTGTTAAACGAAATCTTCTATGTTTTCTCAGTAATCTCTCCACGGCGCGTTTTTAATGCAGCGAGAAGCCATTCTGTGTTCACAGCGATTCTGTCAGCAACTAACTTAGGATATGAAAGATAAAGATAGATAAGAGCAATATCAAGTTTGTTTTGCTAGCTTAAGTTGGAGTCTTTGCATAGTTTTGTAGTGTTTGTACTATTTCAGTGGAGTAAACATTCTAGAAAACTGGATGTGTGAGAAAGCTTACTTTTATTGGAAAAGAAATTCGAGTAGATTTTTGAATTTTTTTTTGCATTTTTATGGAGATTCGATCCACATGAAAGTGCTGGGAACAGACACAAGCTGTTTAATCTGATGTTTTTTATCTTCATTTTTTTACCATTGGCTTGAATAAAGTATGTTGAAATAAAAACTTGGACACGATCAACCACGATGGCAACGATTCCCCCCTAATGTAACAGTATAAATGAAAGTAGCTTTATCGTACATACTTTAAATACATGCGTTTTCCAAGGAAATTGTTTACATCGTCATGACGTAATTGTTTGGGAAGGAATTTATGATTGTTTTGACATCTGTTGCAGTTGAAACTTTTTTAAATAATTAACGATGTTTTTAATCACATCATTAAACATGTCCTTTTGTGGATTTTGGAGGACGTTGTTGTCACTGACGACCCAACAAATAATATACAATTAAATTTTCATACCACACCTTGAATTTTTACGAGTTTGATTTATATGATGATGTCCTTATGAGTTTTATCTCTTTTCATACCAAACGGGGGCGAACATTAAGGAGATGGGGGCGGTGTATTACACACTGATTTTGTGAAATATTTATAAAATTCGGCCCAGAAACTTCTCTTGGACAAAAAAGTTGGTCCGCCTTAAATTATGGGCTCTTCTATAAATTACAGATAGTACAATATTCGGTCACATGACGTATAACATCCCTCGTTTTTTTTGGGGGGGGAGGGGATATCTGCCCCTGATGCTCTTCGGCATAAAGAGATGAAGATATAAGGCCATGTTCTAAGACACAAGTGTAGTGTTCAAAGATTTGGGGTTGTATAGTTGTGTGATAACAAACGAAAATTTCATCGTTTCACGTGAATGATGAGATATCTTGAGTATTATTTAAAACAGCTGACGCCCATGTAATGAACAAATTCGATGAAGCCTTTCCGTTTGTAATGAAGGAATTCTCCATTACGTTTTACATTTCTCATATTGTATGGTAAATCATTAACGAAGGAGATGGCTGAAGAAACAGTTAATCTTTTCCACATGTTTCCGTTTAGTAGAAACAGGAAGCATAAATTGTTAGTGTTCGACTTTTATTAGTGAATTACTTTGACTTAGAAAGCAAAATTTTTAAATCTTTCAAAAAGCTTTATGATGAAGCCTTATGCTATTCTCGGCTTGTCGATCTCCATTTAAGTTCTAATGAGCGTTACGTAAAAATATTGTGTACACTATATTTTATTAATTTCACATGTGCATAAATATGAAACTAATTGTTTTCGTGCACATGATGGGTGATAAACGGATCATCAAATTCATTTCTCATTTATGCGATTTGCCCTCCGGTTTCCAATCTCCTTGAAAGAGATTGCGCTAAATCTATTATCAGTTTCTTGGCGTCTGACATCCTATTCGTTCCTTCCAACTGTTATACCGGAAAAAGAACAGCCTGGTTTGTCCTCCTAATTATAAATATGTCATAATCATCTATAGTGCGTTGTTGCACGATGTCCAACAGTTTGTCTTATCACGTCTCATGGCCCTCATCAAACCTCTGAAGACATATCGTTCGGATCACTATAAGTAAACAATGAGTAGACTAGCGTTGAATAGAAACGGCTTGGCCTTTGTCTACTAACGTCGTTTGGTATTTGATTTTTCATTTTCTTTATCAGCAGGTAATCTGTTCGGTTTGTTCTTTGAGATGGATGGCTTGAAACGACGAAGAAACTCCAAGCAGACAAACGAGATATCGTCTGACGTATTTGTCACAGTTGCTCCGGAATTGGAAAAGAAAACGAAAAGCCACAGTCGTAGTCAACGAACGTTAAAAATTGCCATTATGGGGAAGCCTGGGGTTGGCAAATCCGGTTAGTCTCATGCTATACATTTGTCTGATTCACTGATTGTATCTGCCTGAGTGTTGTTCACAGGTCGTCTTGTATTTGTGAAAGCATGTTGATTGGTTGTAATCTCAAACAGAATCATCAGCCGTATATATTCGTGGCAGGGGAGTTTGCATGTAAAATACTCTACGAGGATCGTTAAGTCTTTGATTTTCTTAAATTCTGAGGAAAGATTCCGTTCACCGAATTTTGTGATACTTTCTCAGATTTCATCATTTGCTGATAACTTTTTGTCACTCGAGGATAAATGAATACAGTAAGGTGGCATAAAAATGTAAACAATTTATGACAACATTTTATTAAAACGATTTTCGACAAGATAAGAAGTTTCTTGAGTGTCCGTTTAACTCAGCCTTGTTTCTTTAGGATTTTATTGAAGCAAAATTTGCACGTTGAGCATTAGAGATAATCCAGATATAATGTCATCATACTTACCATTCATGCATGGTTTTACTGCACATACGTTGGTGTTGATACACGATATAGACTTATAATCAGGAGAAGCAGACAATTTTAAACAGAACGAAATAAAGCAGACTCAGAATACAGACATCTCGTTTTCTTGATATTCACACTGTTGTCTACACTCTTGTATCGTCTTGAATATCAAAAAACGAGATGTCTGTATTCGGAATCTGTTTTATTTTGATCGATATAGACTTAGTAATGTGGTAATATAATAATGTGCTTATAAAAGGAAGACACGTACATGTCAAACAAATTTTAATCTGATTATATTTGCCTCTACTTTTCGTTTGATCAATCGTCAGGCTGTATAACGCTTTAGTTGTATATTTCCAATCGTTTTAAGATATTTGTTTTCACCAGACTTTCACTCAACGAATAATATTTTTTTTCTCAGCTTTGGCAGTACGTTATCTGACAAAACGTTTTATTGGTGAATATCAAAGCAGCGTTGGTAAGTCTCTTTTCAACAAAAACGTACACGTTGTATTACAACATTGTTTCGGTATATCACTCCATTGCATGCAAGCTTTGATAGCATAAACGTGAAAAGGTGGTTGCAATTGCCATGGTAATTTTCTTTTAGGATAGGTCTTCACTTTTGAGTCAATTAGTCTACATTGAAGATGTACTCTTTTGACATGTGTTTATTATTAAATTTCTAGAATATCATGCTTCTACTGAGTTTGAAATTGAAGAGGAGAAACTTGTTGTGGAAATTTTTGACACTTGTGTAAGTAAAATTATCGATTTTACTCTCAACATTATTGCCAAAACATATGCACGTTTGAGTTCGTCAAAATCGTACTGCGGAGATTATGTATAGTAAAGTTTATTATTAAATTAGCACTTACTCACAAGTCTTGTTTCAAATTATTTTTATAATTGCACTGCTAAATGTTTTATTTAATTTATTTTAGGCATCAGAAGAGAAGATAAGCAAGCACATTAAATGGGCAGACGGTTTTATTCTTGTATTCTCGATAACAGATTACTGGAGCTTATACGAGGTAGCTCGTCTCTCGTCCATTATATCACAGACTAAAAATGACAAGAAAACACCCATAGTTGTTATTTGCAATAAAACGGACATGGAAAAGCAGAGGAGAATATCTAGAACGGAAGCAAACCAATTCTTGAATGATCTTGGCAAGCCAGTCTTCCAAGCATCAGCTGCTAGTAGTTACGACAGCGTACGAACGGCATTTGACGAAACGTCACGACTGGTGTACAAGTGGAAGTTTGCCGATGGACGAAAGCGACAAAGAAGTCGTTCAGGCAGTATTATGGATCCATTGCGCGACGCTTTGACTCGACTTAGCAAGTCTCCATCATCTGAAGAAATACCTTACGAAACACGTCCTCGCCACAGTTCTGTGGACTTATCTCAAGTTTCACTTGTTGTTTCACCACTGGGTAGCATAAAGGACGGGAGATGTTTGTCTGAACAAAAACCTACTAAAGACATGCATAGGAACAATAATTTTTTACAAATCCCTTCTTTCGATCAAGTCATTCATTTTAAGAGAGAGCGTAGTCATAGTTTTGCTTGAAAGTTCCCTACGTATTCTCTCAGTATGATGATTGAGGACGAGTAGAAATGCAAGGATGCAGTGTTTCCTCTGGGGCAGATGTCGACAAATCAGTCAGAATTGATGCTTATTGCTTTGCGTTATAACATTGTAAATATTGTAAATAAGTAATAGAAAAATAAAAAACGGTATGTCGCTGATGTAACCAGTCTAATTAATCTCCCTGTTTCTCCCTAGGCAAGCATTCTTTCTTGTACTCAGATCCCTCGGGCTGTTATCGGAATTTCTTCGTAATGGTATTACCTGTTACTGGGATCCAACTATAAAAAATTTTTGCATGGGTTCGTTCAAGACCAGAACCTTCTTACAAGCAGCTACGAAATGAATATATTTTAAAAAATGGGCAAGTTTGAATGGACAATATGAAACAGTTTTTTTGTGACTTACTGCTTTCTAACCGTTAGTTTGGTAATATTTGCAACTGGAGGTACTTCATTTAAGCTGACTTTTATTACTTCACTGACACTTGTTTTGGGGTTTGAGTTTTGACCTACGAACAGGTGTCATGTGACAAAATGGTTCTCTGAGAATGTTTCGCAAGTTTGAAACTTGGTTCGAAAGTGTGGTGTCAACTGTCAAATAGGATTTTAATACAATTGATGTGGACTAAAATACGATAATGTTTGCAACCGTAGCATCAGCAGCAAGTCTTTCTAGTCAAGATTTGAGCAAATTTACAAGTGGACAATCTGTTCGTCCTGCAAGACACGTCACAATACCTGAAAAAGATACGAAAATGAATCAGACAACTGTATCGATACCAACATCACCAAACAGGTTGAAACCAAAGGAAAAGCTTATTGGATTCTATGATAGCTTACTGCAGGTATATCTAGGACCATGTCCTGTTACATTTTGTATTCGATAACAAACCAAATAAGTCAAGCAGAGCTGAAGATATGAATATTCACCCTGACCCTCCCACTTAACATTCTAGTCTCACCCCTGCCCCCTCCCCTATTATGAAGTATGGACCTCAACCAATTCAATTTATGTTTTTAGTGTTTTCAAGCAATGTTGACAAAGTCTAAATAGAAATGTGCAATAACACACTAAAAAACATGCTCAAAGTGTGAGATTTTAACTGAAGTTTTATAATAATTTAAGTTTATATCTTGTATGACCTGTGTTTGAGGCATGTGTGTGATAAAGTTTTCAACTTTTCCAAGGGCAGAAAAAAAATTTGTTTTATTATAGGGTCATGATCCAGGTGTTTCAAATTTTAATTTTTGGCACGAGTTCTTCTTGTTGAAGGTAGCGTTCTGTGGTCTTGTTCAAATTCATAAATACATGAAAATTAATTTTCAGATATACATACATAATTAGTTGTAAGAGTAATTATAGAAGTAATTATAATTGTTAGAGACTGGTCATTTCTTTTTGCTTATAGGTTAATGCAGAATATTTGGAAGGCTTGATAGAAAAAATGACTCCGGGTGAACTTATGGCTGTGAAGGTAAAAAACCAACTCATATTGCATTCAGCTTCTTATCAGAATTCAAGGAATAAGAAGGATGTGATTTTAAAATTTCTTAATCTCTTTTGAATGCCATACTTATAAGAAGAGGCCATTTTTATAAGAGGCTTTTGTTGATACTGTATGTCATAAATTCCTGTCAAAGCTATCTGCTCAATCTTTAAGGTAAACATAAGGAGATTGTTTATTAGCAGCTTCATTTCAAGTTGTGTTAAATTTGAAATATAACTTTTTTCTTACTATCTTCTATTGTTTACCTCAAATGTTGAAGGAAAGATGATCACCTCATTTCGAATTTCTTTTTACTGGTCATGTGATGAATTTTCACTTTAATTTTTTCAGGCAAATATCAATCTTCTGTTTGCACAATGTTGTGTTGCACTTCAAGATGATTATCTATTAAAGATGGTCAATGCTCTGCAGGTACTTAGTCTCTTTACATAAGAACTTTAGTTGATTCATCTGTTCTGTTTATGTAAGTATGTTGTATGTATATGTAATCATTTGCGTCTGTATACTCAAGTAACATTTTATCTATGTATACTCATGTAATGACATTCATCAGGGCATTGTATGTGTGAATAATCATCTGTTCATATAAGTAACTTGTATCTATATATACTCATCTGTTCACATAAGTACCACTTTGTATGTATGCACTATGTAATACTCATCTGATCACATAAGTAAATTGTATCTATATATACTCATCTGTTCACATAAGTACCACCACTTTGTATGTATGCAATATGTAATACTCATCTGATCACATGAGTAAATTGTATCTATATATACTCATCTGTTCACATAAGTACCACTTTGTATGTATGCACTATGTAATACTCATCTGATCACATAAGTAAATTGTATGTATATGTACTCATCTGTTCACCAAAGCGCAGTGTATGTATGTAAATACATTATCAATTTTTTCAATAGACATTGTGCACTTTGGTTCGTGGCATTTATAATAAAAAAATGACTGATTGTGGATTTGACATCATCAATCTTCTTGTTGGCTTTGATGAAGCTGAGTCAGAAATGAAGGTTTAGTTTTTGAGCTCCATACAGTGTACATAAGAAGATGGTCGTGCTCAAATTTATATCTCATAATCGTTCCAGGCACTTATTGAAAATATCAATGCCATAGTTGTGGGAGAATCACCAGGTATATGTACATGATTACTCGTAAATTCTTCTTCAAAATTAGCTTTGATCACAATCACGGAATTTCATCACTTGATACATGCTTCCCTTTTCTCTATTAGTTAGTCTTAAGAATCTCTCCTTAAAGCTTCTCCTTATACTACTGACTGTAAGTAATTTTGTGCTTTGTTTGTGATGATGTGAATTAGCTCAATAAAGCTGCTTGTGGCTCTTTCTTATTAAACTTTTTCTTGCATATTATTTAGGCAACGGACAACGTTAGTCAAAATACAATCGTGGAATATCTTATGATAAACAGCGTATTTGAATCAATTGTAAAGGTAAAGCTTAAAATAGCCTTTTGAAGTTAGTAACATTCAATGATCCTGGCGCAAATCCTACGTATGTTAGTGAAGATTTCATCTGTAGTAAACTCCATTGGTCTTCAATTGCTCATTTCAGTTAGGAATGCCTTTTTTATATTGTAAGATACAAGCTACATGTTTTCTGATCTAACATTGCATGACATTAATACCAAAAAAGGTAGTTCGGTAATAATTTTTCATTGATATTCCTAGATTCTCGCTAGTCCCGTAGGTCGACAACAACAAGGATACGAAGCCATCATGTTGCTTACTTTACTTGTGAACTACAGAAAATACGAGGTAAAAGGACCAGACTCATCATCATCATCATATCTTTTCGCGCCAGGGCGATCCAAACTCGGGCTGGAAGTTTGGAAGTGTTGCGCGTGTTGTAGCAATCAGTCGAAATCAGGGACGGCACGTGAAGCCTTGCTACTTGTCCCCAGGACCAGACTTGATGTGTAAAAGGAATGTGGAGGGATTTTTGATTTCCCGCAATGATGCCACGTCTTGAATGGCAGAAATTTTCTCTTTGCCTGCCAATGCCTTATGTTGTGTCTTTCGTTTTTCAGGCATCAAATCCCTACATTGTAAAGTTGTCTATACTCGACGACGACGTTGCCCTTAACGTAAGCAAGTTTTAATGCTTATCGTTATATCTGATTGTTTCCAGAACATTCATTAGATCTCTTTGTATTTTTCAGGGTTTGGGTTGTGTCATATCGGATGTTTTGACCGAATTTAACAGGTAAGGTGTGTCACAAAAGAACTAAATGCACAAGACATATCAAAAACAATGAGGTTGACCAAAGTTTATAGTTAGCATCGAGTCTTCGCTGTTTTTATTCTTCCTGCGTTTCTCCTAATAGCAGCATGTTTACATTATATTCCTTAAAGCCCTTTTACATTATATTCCTTAAAGATGTTTATTAAATCCCCTGAAGAGTGAGCAATCACGAAACAGGCTTGTCGGGATGAATCTGTAGTTTTCGTGATTTTTTCAACATCACTACACATATTTACGCTCTGCTCTCGGGCATCGATCACTGTTTTATACGGAGAATCATCACATATAAACTTCCTACATTATATTCCTTATGTATATATAACTCGGACTGTTGTTGTGATTAATTGTGTAGAAAGTACCGCGAAAAGACTGAGCAACCTAGTGGCGGAATTTTATCTAATATAACGTCCATGGTATGAAAACCAAATTTTTTTGGGTAAAGGAATTTTTCGTTGGATAACGATGCTCGTTGGAAAATTTCATCTTTAATATCTTTCAACAAAATATTCAAATAAAACAATTCGCAGTCTATAGGCGATTATTCTTTATGTTTCGTACAACTTTATATTTCAGTTGTATTTTTTCTCTTGTAGGTCGGTAGTATTTTTCTCTCAGAACAAACACATACGTTGGACATTGGGTGCGGTGATATTTTTGTCAACTTTTTGATCTATTTCATCTGCACGAAGCACAAACTCAGCAGATTAATTACTTGCGTTATTTTATTTATAATGTAGTGTAAACAGCATGGTTTTGCTTGCTCTTTACGAAGCTGTTCATCTTAATCGACATTTTTTTACAGTTCTGAGTCACATCACTGTGAGTATAAGTAACCTGATTTAGTGACGTTGATAATTCACTGACCAATCACAGCCGCTACTAATTTCTTTACAATATATTTCTTATTTCCTTATATGGTAAAATTCTGTTACAGACTCCAAATATGCACTCAGTCACTCCACCCTTATCACCAACGTCTCCTATACCTGTCGTTGATCGACCAACACAAAGTAGGTTCTCTGTATTTGACAGCTAGAGACTGGGGCCAGCGTGATGCATTTCTTTAACACTTTTCAGTTCATTTCAACGGGTTGATATGTTTTGTTTTTAGTTCATATTCACGATGAATCAGCTGGTCAAGAGACTTCAAATTTGCTTGTGACTTTTCTCACCTATACTTCCATTGTTCTAGTCAATATAAGAGGTGAAAAAGATATTTTAGATTGAACATTTCTAACCATGACTTTCACTTATGTGAGTGCTTATGTACTTAATTTCTGTTCTTGTTTTTTTGTACAGGTGACGAGGGTGCCGGTCATGCGAAGTTATGCTTCATTATTTTGACTTGTATTGCAGAGGTAAAAGATTGAATCAATCTTGTGGTTATGTATGTACGTAGCATATATGTACGTAAAGTAAATGGTTTGAACCCGGGAGTATCGTTACATGTTTATAGCTGTAGATCGTCCAGGTTTGTACGTAGAAACGTCAGTCAATATCAACAAAAGCAGTCCTTCTCAGGACTCTACTAACCTGGACGATCTACATCTACAAATATATATGTAGATATTATACACCAAGGATGATTTTGTCGGGGAGCCCTGTTGGTACATTAATATTCCACAGGAAATTGGCTATCCTCCTGCGCCCCCTTCAAACCTTTGTGTTGTGCTGTGTACCTCTCTCCACCCCAGGAAAATCTACCCCACCCCCTAATTTTTGTCATTATACATAAACATTAACATACAATTTGTATCACAATGTGCCCTCCTGATTGATGTATAGGACCAGTATGCAAACGCTTTTTTGCACGATATTAACATCACGTTTTCTGTACCCTTATATAAAGTGGTAAGTGAACATGACAATTAGACTATTCATATAACGGCAAGGCTTTCCATGCAATGATGAATGGATGTTTGTTTAAATTGTACAGCATATGCATCATAGAACTGGTTATGATGACAGATCAAGTCCTTCACGACCATTGGCTTGTGCCTTGTTAGGTAAATGAACTTAATCCGTTGTAATGTTGTGAATTTATGTCCATGATGAATTTTTGTGTTACGTACCATAAGGGCGTCATTTAATGAACAACTTTCTTTGATTTTTGTTTGTTGAAAGTGAGTGTATATTACTTTGTTTGTTTGTTTTTGTGCGAAAAACTGATGGAGATGATTTTTGAAATGATCTTGCAGATTTGATTGTTGAATTTCTTGTCGGTCACATGACGAAGAATCTTCAAACTGATTTGTACAGGTATGTATACTAGAGTATACAATATATGAGCTTGAGTGTAGAATTTGTGATAATTTAATGAATGTTGATCATGTTAGTCGGACAGTGTGATCATATAATTGCTTACTCATAGTTGAACACGTCTGTTGAAGACTATGACTTGTTAATTAACAATTTTGTTTCGCCTTTGTCTTATGGGAAATGATTCTTTTCATATAGTAAAGCGTTTGGTATTATTCATCGGATACTTTGCTATCAGAAACGATGTCGTGTACGATTATCTTACTCGTGGAATTGCCTATGGACAGCTATGATGAACTTTCTCAAATTTCTTTTGATGAACGAAACAACACTCTTACCTAAAGTCAACATCTTTCAACTAGGTTCAAAGGTAGGCGGGAAATGCTTGTAATCTCATTCTCTCTTATGTTAAAGTTCTTATGTTGGAGAAATATTTTATCATACACGTTAGAGCGTTCGTCCCAGAAAAATTTTACCACGCAGTTATATGATTGCTTTGCAGAAAACATTTGAAAGTACTTCACTACTTCTTCTGTTAAATAATTTCTTTTAGCATTATGTATTATGTAAGTTATACTAATGTGTGAAAACAGTGCACGTGAATCATATAAAAGTAATATTTAAACATAATTTCAAAGTTATATATATGTATTTATACGTATGTATTGCCAATAATTATTAAATGTTTTCTCTGTTCCAGGTTGTAAGTATCTTCAATCTGTTTATTACGTACGGTGACACATTTCTTCCCAGTCCCTCTTGCTACGATGAATTGTACTATGAAATCATACGAGTACATCAGATATTTGATAACTTATACTCCATGGGTGAGTTCATTTGAAATTTTTTTACCATAGATCTTTGCAACCTCCAGCATACAACTTTGAAGAGAAATAATGTAGATGTTTCTTGTTGCTTGCAGTGGTGGCGTCGCCATCGTATTTAGTTCTGTTATAGAACTTTTCTATGCTCACTCGCTGCAAAACAATTAATTTCTAAATTTATGTTCTACGTCATTTCTAGAATTTTGTTGAATTTCCTAGAATGTTGCAATGTTACACTTGCGTTTTTTAGCTCTTCGTCATTCATCGTCTGCTAATGCAAACGATAGTAAACACAACAAACAATCTGCAAATAGATTGGCTGGAAGTTTAGTCAATATTCGGTAAGATTTGCTGTTATAAACATGCTCATGCTAGAAATTTGTATGGTGAAGTAACATATTAGACATTGTAAATTCTACGTAATCGCTTGTCGTCGTTTTGCTTTCGTACATTCAATGTGATGTTTCGCACATCTTTTTTTTAGAGCAATAATTCATCATTTCTCTCCGAAGGTTGACTCGTGGGCTGCCGTAAATCATTTGTCGTCTTTAACATCTGAACAGGTTTGCCACTAGTTTATATAGCTACGTAGACGTACCGTACGAAAGGTCGTGACATTCAAATGAATAAAAGATGTTTGACACATTGTTAAGGAACGACAGTGGGAGGATGATTTAACCTCCTTCTCTACAAAGGTTGTGAAACTAAAGCTTGATAGATATAGTTACAGATAGATGTAGATTGATAAACAGGTTGAAAGATAGCTATCTATCTGTCTATCTACGTATCTTTATACATCAGCACCAGGACTAACAGGTTGAAAGATAGCTATCTATCTGTCTATCTACGTATCTTTATACATCAGCACCAGGACTATGCAAACTTAAGTTCATGTTGTTTTAAAGGGAGGAAATGGTCAACGTAGATATTTTATCCTTGATGGAAAACATTTCTTTCGGCAGTTATTAAAATGTTTGCCTATGCCAAATAATGAAAGTAAATTTTGATAGAGAGCGTCTTTGGTATATTCTACATCATAAGACCCGTATTTTGCTCAATCCTCCAGGTGCTGGATGTGATTCGTGGAAACTACGACACACTTACGCTTAAACTACAAGAAAATCTTGATAACTACGAGAAATACGTGGAAAAACCAAAGGAATCTTCATTCTTCACTCAATTGGTACGCATTACTATACATATAACTCTTTAATGTTGAGATTATCAACACAATTGACTTACCGGATACCCATACAACTAGAGGTACTAAGGCTCTGGTTTAGACTAAACCTTCTGCAGGACTTAACCATTAATGTAGCCATGTCAATCACTGTTCTTTTTGTGAGTCTATGACATAGGCCATCCTGAATCATGAGCTACAGATGGTTGAGTGTAAATGGGGGTACCAAGGTGTAAGAGATGCTAAGTCATCATGCAGTACAATATCATAAATGTTAGCTTCATCAAGTTTTCCTACAATTAACCTTAGAAGTATTTGGTTGCAACCAATATAGTGAATGTAAGACAGTGATGTAAGAAATGACCTTCATAACAGAAGACTAACTGAACAAAAGTACCCCGACCTTACTTTTAAATTGTTTTTTTAAAGGTGCGTAGTATAACTGCTGATGTAAGGAAGAGTATTGCTGTCACAAATTTGAAACAGTTCACACTGCTACAGGAATTTTCATCTATCCGATGACAACCAATGCACAGATGATAAGGTAAAAATTAGAGTCAAAGATTTGTCACAAAAAGTAGCAAGGCCAATACTACATTTTAGTCTGGCAATAACAATACCAAGCATTGGTGCTTTTTTATTTCTTTGGAAACTAATTGGGTTTGGAAATAGAAAAACTAACGTTTGCATAGTTGGAGTTATTGAATACGCCAGTTCCTATGTGATAGTGCTTCTTTCAGTAAGTCACAGTATTAATTGTGCCAGTTTGACAATAAAATAAATGTACATGTTGCTATGCAATTATGACAAAGTTACATATAAAATATAATCAGACATTATAGTTCACAACTGTTAGCATTCTAGTAATTTACAAAGTTTATTTTATGTATGTATATTGATGTGTGTTAGTGTATTAATGACACCAAGCCCATTGAAGTTATACCAGCAATTAAAGATACAAGTTGTTTAAAAGATTCCCTAAAAAATAAAAGATTTCATGATTTTGATCTCATAGCTTGCAATTAACTTTAACACTGATTGTTGTACATATGTTTTGAAATAGAAAGACAATCTGACTATGCAAAGTATGATTTAAAACATTGGATTACCATGGTCTTTGCTCCTCCAGTAAATCAGGAATTATTGTGACCAATGCAATATAAATAAAACCACCCGATGTAAATGGTAAAATGAAACTGACACCACATTCTATAATTAATGAAAATGACATTATGTAAATAGATTTTTTAGTGAAAACAACACATGGTGTATTCAATAAAACTTACGAGTGCCATTTGAAAACAAACCAACTGCAGCACCTATTAAACCCCCAGCTGCCGTACAAAGCTAAAAAAAATGACAAAAGGCTTATGTAGCTAAACTTAAGAAAGTTTTCCAAGAAATTAGGAAGAATCATTTGCAAAGAAAAGGCTTTGTCTTTCAAAGTAAACAATAACACTATGTCATACCTGACCAAAAGCAGCATCCTTTCGGCGTAAACCCGCTCTCAAAAGTATTGCAAAATCTCCAATCTGCAATTTAGCAAGTAGCTGTATTTTTGGATACTAAATTATTTGTGTGTAAATTTTCAATAGTTTTCTTTTACCTCATGAGGAATTTCATGTAGTAGAATAGCAAATGTTGTTAGCAATCCAACCTGGAATTTCATGTGAAATAAAGTAATATTTGAAAAGATTAGTATATAATCTTTGTTAGCATTACAAATCATAATGTTTTCTATTCTAACCTTTTGACTAACAAGAAAACTTCCAGATACTGCAAGCCCATGAGTAAAGTTATCCACACAGTTAGCAAATAGATTAAGGTAGCCTTCAATCTACAAGATAATGTTATAAATCACCACATCATGCAATTAATGTCGCATGATTAACATACTATTGAAAGTGCAAACCTGAATGTTTCCTACTTCAATTACAGGTGTATCTTCTTTATATGAATGTGTTTTACTTTCACCAATGTCATTTGAATTGCGAAGAATTCTTTTCCTAATATCATCATCATGATTTTTTCTTGTATATCCATTGGCTACTCTACTTTCACCATTGCAAGTTTGATCATGAATTTGGGGATCCTTATGAATGCAATAAAGAAAATAAGTCTTGTTTCTCCTTCATTGTCATCATATCTTGAAAGTGTACAAGATAAATATTTTATCCGTGTACACAAACCTCTTTGATTTTGCTATTTTCAGCTTGTTCATTTTCTGTTTTCAGTGTATCCTTTTGTTGAAATACTTTTTCCAGAATTAAAAAAGAAAGCAAACCGCCAAGGACCCATATACCAATGTTCACAGTATCTTTGTGAACACTCTCTTAAGAGAAACCATGTACATTAAAAACTCTATACAATATAATCCCTAAGAATGTTTAGGTCTACATACCTGGGCTACTTAAAGCAATTGCTTCTGGTAAAAGATGAAGAAATACATCACCCAGCAATGCTCCCACTGCAAAACCTAACAACAACTTGAGTCTGTCAGCAGACACTACAAAGTAAACAAAAAGTTTCAAGGTTTTTTTGGTGCAAAAGAGATTGAAAGTTTGCATAGTTTCAGTTGTCATTCCACTCCAATTTCTTGAAGTATAATGTTAATTTGTATGGAAAAGCCCAAGCTGCTTCAAATGATTTGTCAATAAGCTTTCTCATGTTGAATGTAAATCAAATACATTAACAGCCAATCGTTTGCAAACAAGTACTGTCCAGGATTAAAAAAAATGGCTTAAGGAAATATCATAGAATGACTTTCTATTTTATGATAGTTAGACAACCAACAAGAGCACACAATGTGTTCTCTTACATTGCATTATCTTTCTTACATTGTATTATCTTTCTTACATTGTATCACAAAAAATGTAATTTACATAGTACGCTCCACACAAGACCTAAGTAAATCACGTAAAGTAAGTCTTTTGACATTTATCATTTTAATAGACATCAAAAATATAAGACGTGAAAATTCTTTTGAAATAAAAAAAAAATGGCACAACTTTCTCAAATACGTTGTCGTGGCTTAGGAACTTTCCACACAAAATAACATAAATTCTTGTTTTGTAATAATGTCGATGTTTGCAGAAGTGTTTATCAGAAGTGTCGCAATTAACGATCTTAATTATATCAAAAAATAGATGGAGTTTGAATCTAAAATATCCTCGCGTATAAAAATGAATCAAAACTTTAATCAACTGGTTGACAATTGTTTTATTAAGATGTAAAACTTTCCAGCCAAATACAATTATACTTGTATTCAAAAATATCTTCTATTTCGTACCTCCTTCGCTTAACTTCTGCCCCGTTTCAACCGATATGACGAGCAAAGGAAACACACCAGTGAGACCAACTAAAAAGGTTCCCACGAAAGCATATACTTTGGGATTGTAATCGGCTGGAAACTTGCTTGACGATTGATCATTGTTGATAACATTTTGCGTCACGAGTCCATGGCCATGGACGGTGTCGCTCGTTTCTGTGCCTATACATGTCCTGTGACTAATTAACCAAACCAGAGAAAACACGCAGAGCATGCATTTACCAAACGCCATAAAAACGGCGTACTGATTTTCCACTGATGTTTACATCTGTTGCCAGTCTTAAAAATACATGAGCTCTTCATTTAAATATTTTAATTAAACTCGAGGAAGAATAAATGAAGTCAGGGTTGATTGTGGATTGGGCTACGCGCATGCTCAGATATACTTTTTATGCTGATACTTGATGGCCATACTTTTACATCATGCCCGTGCCCGCAAGGTAAAATTAGCTAATGACAGCGGCAACGGTTCACTGTCCAAGAGCAAAATTTAAATTGGGCTGGGAGGGGTGACTAATCCCCAAATGAGGTTTCAGCACAGCAAAGATTGAGTTGGCAGGGAATGGCAGGGCAAATTGCAAAACGAATTTAGGTTCGAGCAGTTATCCATACTATGAGAAAATACAGTGCAGTGAAAAGCGATTTTGTTTGGTCTGCACTTGCCTTCCAGTTCGCATCTAATATCACTGACGTTTCATGTTGAAATTTTTTATTATAAATAAAAGTACTGTACGATGTAAATCAACGTAAAATGTAAAAGAAGGATGAAAGTTTGTCCATTTGATAAACGTTTGTTATGGATGATTAGTGTTTGTATAATTGTTAAACGAACACTCGTATTCTTGCAGGGTATTCCTATACCCACAACTAACATAAAGGGTTAAAAAGGTACATACTGGTACATATTATATAGTAATTCATGTTTACTTTGATTACACAAGGATCACTGTGATAGAGACAAGAAGGGATATAACAAATTTCCCGCCCTAGTCACATCTCTTAATCTTATTGGGTGATTTACACCAATGACAGGCTGAATTAACCAAGTGTCAATCATGTATTTCTGATTACATTTCCGGAGAAGACCCAAACTTCTTCACACATTACAGTTCTTCGAAGAGACCACATTTTGACAAAAAATTTGACGAAAATTTAGAAGATAACCGCAGAAAGAAGAAGACATGATGAAATTGCCTTCAATTGGATGAAAGGCAACGACTTTCTTGTAGTATAGAAAGTTTTGGTAGTTATAACTTATTGTATTTTGATTTAAGGTCAAAGAAACCAAATGAATTCGCCATGTTTGTCTGTTTCGCCACATAAGAAAGATGAATTTTTGTCGAAATATTTCCCATTTTAGTTTTTTTTTGTAATGTTTTTGTAATGTTGTTCTGTTTCCTACTTTCTTGAATGTTTTGGAATGTTTGGAAGCAAGACTTAATATATATTGTATTGGTTTTTAGCACGAAGCTGTAACCTTCGCTGTAACCACTTCCATTCGGCTTGCGCGACAAGCTATCTCAAACGTTTTCCCATTTCAACGCCAGCAAACAACAAACTCGACTGGAAATGAAGAATACACTGGTCAACAAAAGAAACTTTTAAAAGGTGTCTGATATTTTTGACTGATTTACTATATTTTGCTATGCTAAATCTAGAAATAACATTCATTTTGCTCTCGGAGGTCAAATTTTTTTGCAAATTTGAATTTAAAATTATGCGACTTTAGTTATATTTTTTTAAAACAATGTTTTCAAGATTTACATGTTTTCAAGATGTTTCAAAACAAAATGTCAGTTTTTATGATAAAATTGCAGTATTCCAAGAAAGAATCATGTACACTTCATGTACAGTACATGTAACTAAAAATGAAAACTTAATGTTTGCATTATTACGGTCTAAATTTTCGTTTTTTTTTGATTGTCGCGAATGTTTTGTTGCTGGCACATCTCTTTTTAAATTCCAACAGTAGTCTGCCATCATCACCATGTCCCACCTTTCTCTTAAGTCATGGTGAAAGCGCTCTCCTTGCTCATCGCTTAAAGAGCCAAGATTTTCGGGATCAATACCAGCTTTTAATTTTTCAGTTGACAAATTGGGGAAGGTTTTACAACGAAACTGAAAACATAGTTTAGAAAACTTTATGTGCAGTGGAGGAAATAAAATACGTCCCCTGTCAACTAGAGGCTTGTTTATCACATTTTTTGCTCTACAACTAGCAAGCTCTTCACGTACTGGCCATTCTTTTTTCACGTAATGATGAGTACGATCCCTACTATCCCAGAGGCATAAAAAGTATGGGTATTTGGTAAATCCAGACTGTTGACCACGCAAGAAGTTGACCATTTTAAGTCAACGCAAATCAGCCATTTATGTTGGTCATAAGAAATTTTTCTAGGACGTACTTAATTGCTTCATGCTGTTCTTTTAATGTTGTCGAATGTGCCAATGGCACAGATGCAAATTGATTTCCATTGTGTAACAACACACATTTCAAGGACCTTTGCTGCTGTCAATAAAAGTCGCCAGTCCTCTGATTTGTATTCAGGTACTCCGAGATGTTTCAGTAGCTCTACTATGTCATTGCGATAGACTAGTTCTTTTCTTGAGCAAAATATCTTAAAATCCCTGGTGCCTGGTACGGAAGAAACTTACCTTAACTTTACCATTTAGCATGTTCTTGTCCTTTAAACGAGATGCAAGAAGTTCGGCAGAGTCTTTTGGCAAATTTAAATCGCGAACAAGATCGTTTAGTTCGTTTTTGGAAAACAATTTTGGCTGCTCATCATTGTCATCGGGAAAGGATGCATTGAGTGGCAATGCTTTGAGTTTCATCCTGGCTACTACTGCTTTCTTCAATACTTGTATCTTCAAATACAAGTACGGGAATTTCTTCACTATAAGGAGTAGGGCGCATAGCTGACGGTAGATTGGGATACTCCAGTGTTGTGCGATTTTTTCTGTTAATTCACATGACATTGATAGCACAAAAGTAGCAATCGGTTGCATGATTTAAGGCTCTCGCCAAATCATGGGGATGCCAAAGTTCATGGACTTTTGCGTGCCTTTGCTCCATTGACGGAGATGCTCTGTGCATCTTTTGCAAGCCATGTGAGGTGCCCAACGTTTGTCTTGATCGCCGAGCTTCATGCCAAAATATGCATAGTAAACGCGCTTGATAAAGGTGGTGACATATTGCGATTTGGTGCAAGGGTGTATTCACCACAAACATAGCAAAAAACATCTGGCTTATTTTTATTATTTCTACTTTTTATTAGTTTTTACTTACATTAATATGTTGGTGTGTTTTAACAAGTTTTACCATTGAATTCCAGTATGGGCTAAATAAAGCCTTATTTTATCTTTAAATATCCCATAATAATCGCAAAACCTTAACTCCTAATTGAAATTCAATCAATAATTGCTTATTCAAATGCTTTCTTCTTTGTATTGCTAGTGCTAAAAATTTAAATTTGTTCAGATAATAGAACATTAAAAGGTAAATGGTTAATACTTCTGTTGTACCTTTCTCGGTATTTAAAAGTTAAAAATACAAAATTAACGATAGCTTAAAATCTCGACCTGACCCAGCAAAAATAGTGTTATTTTGGACTCAGCACATCAAAATTGTCCAAAATCAGTTTACAAAACTGAGACACCAAATTTGCTGTTGACCAGTGATATCAACCGAAAATACCTAAGGGTAATACGTAAATGATTTTTTTCTTTCTTTCTTTGACAATAAAAGCGAGTTTTCATGCTTAAAATATGAAAGTTATTTGGGCCGGATTATACCTGTTTTGAAGAAGAAACAAATTTTGGCGCTAATTTTATACCGCGCACAATTATCGGAGACTGGGAGCAAAGTTTGCCAAGTATAATATGCAAAAGAAATAATTCTAATAGAGACAAGACGCTCAAAACCTTGATGAAAAAGACTGTCTCTGCATTAAAACATTCAACTGCATTGTTTATGAAAAACGTTTTCGCTCCCATGACGAAGCATTTTACACGGCCATATTTTGGTTTTGCCGAAAATCGGTTAATAACAATTTAAAGAAGTAAATATTTACGATAAAGGCCACGGCTAGTGGACATTGCATCATTTGAAGTCGTGGACCTTAATTTATTAGTTGCCAACAGTACATTTAGATAAACTAATAGTACTGAGCTATTTCATAATAGTTGAGAAAAAGAGAAAGGATTTAAGTACTTTAGCAGCAAAGTCTTTTGTAACATAATTCTTTGTTATATTTGACAACTTTAAGTATAACACTTTCTAAAACTGATTAACTTAATTTCATAGGAACAAAAGGACAATCAAGCTTTTACACCGGTTTACTTGTGCACATGCTCGCAGCTTTTTCAAAACTAAAAACACGCGGCACAAATTCATTTCGTTTCGACGTTTTCAGTTCAATTTTCCTCGCCTATAAGTTAGCTAACACTTAGCAAGTCTTCGCATGAGAAAAGCTGTATTAACTGAAAGCAATTTTTATTCTATCTATGTACAAATGGACTCGAGGGCATTGGCTTGGCAAATATATAAATGAATGTCTAGCCTAAAATACTGCTATGAATGTGGAGTAGGTTTAAAGCAATTGTAACACAATATTTTTCAACGTTTTTAGTTCAACTTTCTAAGCTCGCCCATAAGTTAACACTAAGTAATTTCCTTTAAAAATACCATATCATAAATAATTATACTTTATAATTTATTTCTTCATTTTCTCGATGAAGAAAAAATAGACATTGGAAACAAAACGTGAACATCAATGCAGACAAGTCAACGAAAAGAGTAATGCTAATGTAGGAAAATTTGGTTTATAACATGATCTGTAAATAGCTTGAATAATTCTTTCCTTTCCTTTAATTTGTATTCCGTTTGAGACTTTTCCAAGACTTTTGAGAAAGATGTTAAGTAATTCCATATCGTTTCACGATACAAAAATTAGTACTGTCTATTCTACATGCATAAAATAGAGAGAGTTTATAGGTTTGAAAAATATGTGATGTCTGCCTGAAAATCTGCTAAAAGTACGATGTGAAAAGTATAAAAAAATTGAGACTGATACAAAGGTGTTGGGGTATTGTGCATGACATCAATTTTGTTTTATCAATACACAAATAAGGTACTCAGTGCTTAGGTTTGACAAATACATGATTGTCTGACCTAAAAAACCTGCTACAAGCACGGTTTAGTTTATAAAGCAATTGAGTGTAACGAAACAAACCTGAACTGAAAAGCGCCCGTATATAATTGGGTTTTGTATTCAATGTTTTCTACTGCATTGTGCACAAGTAATCCTCTGAAAATGCTCCTCCTGGCTCAAAGGAAACATTCATCTCGACAAAGGCAAAGAAAGTACATGGAGTAGATCATGGATATCATGGACTACACTATGGACACCTTGGACTTGTTGATACTATGAACTACATTATGGACATCTGAGTGATATCATTGACCATACAGATTTTGTCATAAATATGATCAATATAAATTATGGCGCAAAGGATATACCATTGTTCAAACGGACTTCATCAAGGGTATCATAGATTGCATTATGGACAACATGGATGTATCATTAACATTATGTACTACATGGATGTATCATTAACATTATGTACTACATGGATACATCATCGACATTACGGACTAAATGGATACACAATTGACATTGTGGAACAAATATCGTTGATAACATGGATTTCATTTTTGATATCATGTAGTATATTATATACATTATTAATTATACCATGAATGTCATCGACATCTATTGACTATCGTGAACAGTATCATAGATGTCCTATGTTTGTGTATCGCAAATGCTCTGGATTGCATTATGGACAGAGTGGATTGTATCGTGGATTCTATCATGGATATCGTGGAGTACATCGTCAATATCGTGAAAACATTGTTGATATCTTGGGTAACGCCATGGATGACGTAAAGGTTGTACAAATCACGATGATAAAGGTACAATGGCTTACATTTTGTTGATATCCTGGTGACGAACATTAACAGAAATACAACTGAACCATGACTGATTTGAAATAAAAGTTTGTCGTTCTCTTGATTTCTGTTAGTGTTTATAAAATTTTTATATTGGTCACTTTTTTGTAGCACGACAAAGTGCATTTCAACGTGAACATTTGTCTGAAAATGATGGTAAATCTTGTATACTGCACGAATGTCGTGCAATATAAGGATATTGTCATTTACAGGCTGTTATTTATGTCTTATAGTCTGAGCATGTTTACAGTTCAAGTAACTTTTTTCAAACGTTCATTTTTCAATCACCAGGATACACGATGCTAAGTTCAAAGAAAGAAGCATGGGTTTCTTTGAATTTTAGTCGTGCGCATGAATATTTCAAGTCTAACATGAAAACTAAAAAGCATAACTAAACATTAAAAGTCTGAATGCACGAATTAAAGCGATGTACGATTACAAAAAAAAAACGGTCCAAAACATGGCGGAATCCAAAACATGGAAGAATCCAAAACATGGCGAATCCAAAACATGGAAGAATCCAAAACATGGAACAATCCAAAACATGGCGAATCCAAAACATGGAAGAATCCAAAACATGGCGAATCCAAAACATGGAAGAGTCCAAAACATGGCGAATCCAAAACATGGAAGAATCTAAAACATGGCGGAATCCAAAACATGGCAGAATCCAAAACATTGAAGAATCCAATACATGGAAGAATCCAAAACATGGCAGAATCCAAAACATGGAAGAATCCAAAACATGGCGGAATCCAAAACATGGCAGAATCCAAAACATAGCGAAATCCAAAACATGGCGGAAAACAGCAAAACAAAATTCGGCATTACGGCATTGAATGCCGTAATCAAAAAACTTACTTTTGTTAATCTGTCTGTTTCGGAACCGTATGTACGACCACATTTAAACCTCATTCTTGGACAGTATCCGGTATAACTGGTATATTGAAGTAAACGAGTGTTTAAAGCATGGCAATAACTATTCGATGATGAAAAAGTCTAACAAGATTTTTTCACTGTGTAACTATACAATGCTGTGTTGCAGAGGACATAGAAGAAAAACTTCACTTGAATAGTTATGGACAACATAAGATCGCCATGGGGACTTAATGGTGCTGAAGAATTTTTCAACAATATATTTATTATGTGTTTGTAGATTTGGATTGACTCTGAAGATGACTACCGCTAAGGTTGTCGAAACATCAGTCAACAACAACAAAAACAGTCCTTCTCAGGACTATACCAACTTGGACGATCTACATTTACAAACATGTAGAGAGCCACAACGTTATAATTACTAAAGTTAGTGGATTGAACTTTGGAGAACGTAACATTTTTGTAGATGTGATAGATCAACACTAACAGAAACAGTCCTTCTTAGGATCGCACTATTGTCAACAATCCAAATCTACAAACACATAATAAGTATATCGTTGAAAAATTCTTCAGCACCATTAAGTGCCCATGGCGATCTTATGTTGTCCATAACTATTCAACTGAAGTTTTTCTTCTATGTCCTCTGCAACACAGCATTGTATAGTTACACAGTGAAAAAATCTTGTTAGACTTTTTCATCATCGAATAGTTATTGCCATGCTTTAAACACTCGTTTACTTCAATATACCAGTTATACTGGATACTGTCCAAGACTGAGGTTCAAATGTGGTCGTACATACGGTTCCGAAACAGACAGATTAACAAAAGTAAGTTTTGATGATTTTTAACTTAGTGGGACCTAGACTATAGTACAACTAAGTACACGTTAATTTTTTCATAGCTTTATACAAAAAACGAAAAATTAAATCCAAACAATGCCCTTAACCCAACATCAACATCAACACCTTTCCCTCTGTACTTGTCTTTGTTTCACCAAATGTCCTGGACATTCCATATCTGTCCCTAACCCCTGTGCAAGTGGTACCACTGGGAGTAACACGTAGCACAGTTACATGTTTGTAAATGTAGATCGTCCAGGTTGGTATAGTCCTGAGAAGGACTGTTTTTGTTGTTGCTGACTGACGTTTCGACAACCTTAGCGGTTCAAACCATTTACTTTATTACGTAGCACAGTTTCGATTGTACACAGTTTAGTATATCGTTTTGTTGCTCACGAAGAGCGCCCGCGAACCTCACGGAAAAAACATGGCGGTGGTGTGGTGTAGAATATATTTGAGAAGAATGAATGTTTTGAAGCTTTCGAAAGAAACAACGTAAGTAGCTAGAGAATTTTCGAAACAGATAAACTAGCTTCAAGTGCAATATCATCGCATCGTTATCTTATCCAAAATTCTGTATTTACTATATTAACTCTTGGAATATTACATTTAGGTATCAGTGTTTGTCAAGTGCCTCTGCAAGCATGAATGGTGAGTATGTAATGCCTTTAGTATATATATAAAAACGTAAATGCCAAAGTCAAGTGTTTCATTTTTTGTTAAAATGAATTTGTGTTGGCTGGTTAGGTGTGTAACTCAGAAATCAGGTCATTATACACATATATATAATTTTGAGAATAGTACTTATAGTAGGCACCTGTGCACCCGACTGGAAAGTTCGTATACTGTGAATTTAAAATCTGAAGGTAGTGTGCATAAGAGCCTAGTTTTTGCATGCATAAAAACCCACTCTACTTACCAGTATGGCCTGTGCATGCAAATTTCTTATCTCTGTGCACAGTGTGCAAACTTTTCAGTAGGGGATTTCATTGCAAATTTGCAACTTTTGTAATTACTGATAATCTGCTATTATGGACTGTTGTATATAAAATTTCACTTTTACACCAGCCACCATATATATCATGTTGCGCCAACTGGCTGGCGTTTAATTTTATGAATAAATGATGTTTAACATTCACTTGCTTTTCATGAATGTAGAATATTTTCCTGAAAGAAGTGTAAAGGTGACAAAGTAAGTCTACAAGATCTCTTCAATTGTTCAAACTCATAAATTTATGATTATTCTTGTTATATTATTGTGTTATGGTATTATAGCACACATATGTCACATTGGTTTTCTTATATTAGCTTTTTTGGCCAAGCCAGCCTGCAGGTTTAGTTGTGCTGTGTAAACTTGCAAACTTGGCTAAGTTCATTTATTATCCTCCAAGGTGAAAGAAAGTCTCACCTAACTACTTTTTAAATGATGTCGTAATGTTTTGATTTATTTACAGAGAAAAGTCAAGAGTGCTGGAGGCTTTGGCATCAACTGTTAGACCAGTGAGTGGTTTACCATGAAAACCAATTTGCAATTATGTAATAACAAAAATTATTCTTTGATTGTATTTGCGGAAGAAATTTTTTTTGTTTGATTGTACGATACAGCCTGTGAATATATGTATGTTTGAAAATTGCTTATAGACTGGAAATGCATCATTGCATGGATTTTTTGAAGATCCGTTCCTGATGCCAAGAGCGAGTAATCGTAAGGTACTGTTTGCTCTTTGTAGTTATCTTCTTGTATTTAATACTTTTAGATTTGGTTGAAACAATTTGAATTCATTTTAATTTCTTTGTAGAATATTTATGGATTGTATATTTTTCTTAGAATGAATTCATCAAGGCACGAGAAGAAGGGAGAAAAGCAGCAGAATATATCATCAAGTCATATGGTCATTTGTTTCCTCTGCGCAAACCAGAACCTGTGAGTTGAAATTTCTCTTTATAGGTCATGCAGCATTCTTTAGCAATCTTTTGAAACCATACTTTCACAGTTATATTATATATGTTTATTTTTAGGCATGGCCATTGGATATGTCAGATATAGAAGGCAGTGATGAAAAGGCTTTACTTGGTATCAAAATGTTATTTTTTCTAGAGGGAATATTTTTTTATTTAGTGCCAATAATAGGTTATATTCTTCAAAATCATCTCTTGTGTTATTTGTAGACTGGATTTCTCTCAAGCATACAGGTGAAGCGATTAATTTATATGAAAAATTGATTCAAGGCGTAAAATATGTCTACTTTCTGTGCCCTTAAATTGCTTTCATGATTTGTAAATTTGAAAATTTAAAGAAATACTATATTTATTTTTTTGAAAGGTGTACCAGTGTCTTTGGAAACTGAAAACAAACTGTTGGAACTTACAGGATATTTTGGTACTATAAAGGATTCAGTAAGTGTGTATGTGATAATGTGAACAATTCCTTATATCCAAGTAAACTGTTTTATGTGCATTTTTAGGCCCTTAATGAACAATTTTCCAAGTAAAAGCAAAATAAATGGAGGTACAGATATTTTTAATGCTTAAAATATAGGCAAGTGTTGATTTTACGTTGATGAAATTGATCATTTGAGAAAGGCATTTATTATGTACTTTTACTGGACGTTTTTACAACATCAAACAAGCTTAAAAATAAGGTTAAGTTTGATGGTTAGAATTTGTTTATTTGTGGTTGAATCTTGTTCTGTATTTTTGTGTATGTATAATTCACTTTGTGATTATAAGTTAGGGTTACCGGGTGCTTAACCCTGTGAACTGACTGTTGTTGTAAATGTCTTTAATTTCAAATACTGTTTTCCATAATAAGATAACACTTTATTAAGAAAAGCTATGTATTCCCTCACCCTGAATTATTTTATTTTCCCAGCTCAAAGAATTTTGCTCATCATTTATTTTTCAATCGAATGTCAAAGAAAAATGCTAAAACTTATGAAGCAATGATATTGTCATTACTGAAGGTAATTGTTGTTCAATTTTACATTGGAACAACTTTCTTTCATTCCATAAAGTGATTTTGTGATGTTTTAGTTGAGTATGTACATAAATTGTGGCACTAGTTAAGCTTCCTTGTTGTATTATATGAAGTTTTGTTCTTTTGTGTGGCATTATTATATACAAACCTTATGTCTAATCTTCTATTTTAGTTTGGAAAGCATACACTTTTATTGGAGGTGTTAGATGTAATGAAAAGAAATGATATGAAAGGTATTATTTATAAGTCTATATTAGTGAATATTTGGTTAATGAATGTTCTTTTTAAATCGCCAATTTGCTTTCTTCTCTTGTTGTTTGCCATAACGAATCATCAGCCTCATCACTTTTCACACCATCTCTTGTGTTGTATTCACTTTTACGTCTTTTGTGTTGTGTCTTCCTTTAAGTTATATTATTTTGTGGTTTGTACTCAATTCATTGATCAATCAGTTGGAGGATGTTTAGTTAATGAACATTGATATCATTAATGTTCATTTGGTAGATGATAGTTAATACAAACTTATTTGGTTAAATTTTGGACATTCAATTCCATGTTTTTGTGAGGCAAGCATCCTCTTTGACAACCAATGGATTGATTCACATTAAGATATACTTATGTAACTGCAGGCACAGTCTTCTTATATAATGAACTGATTCAACATGCTGAACAACTTTGCCCAACAGATCCATGGTCTTATGCTGAGGTATAAAATTATTTACACGGTAAAATACACTTGTATGCTCATGCATGTAGTACATAATTGTGTTTATTATGTCTGTTTTGTGTTATAAATGTTGTAATGACTTTGTGATTGTTTCAGTTTTTATTGTTGCTTACAGTCGATGTCTTAGTTAAATTGTGCATGGTTTAGGATGTTGTGAAATTGCATATGAACACAAATCCTATCGTTCAACCCAATGTTGGTAAGATGATATGATAAAGTTTTGGAAGAAAAGTGCAGTTTTGCAATCATTGAGATCCTGTGATATATTTGTTAATGGTTTTCTTTTTTGAAGGAACGTTTCGTAGTTTGTTGAAAGTGCGTGCAAAGCATTCTTCATCGCCTTTTGAAGATGTTATGCGCATCATAAGGGAAATGGTCAATCTTGGAATGGGTAAGCTATAGATAGATACATATTTATATGTGGAAATATTTTCTTGAAGAAAATGTAAAGTGCTGTTATGACTATCATAATGCTGTCACTGTCATGTCTGCTATACATGTCATGTTATCTATATATGTCATGCCTGCTATACATGTCATGCCTGCTATACATGTCATGCCTGCTATACATGTCATGCCTGCTATACATGTCATGCCTGCTATATATGTCATGCCTGCTATACATGTCATTCCTGCTATACATGTCATGCCTGCTACACATGTCATGCCTGCTATACTCGGCTTGCCTTTTAACACTGTCATGTCTGTTACGTATGACTGTTACGCTTGCCATGGGTAATTTATATTTGCTCAAATGTTTCAGTGTCATTCACGTATGGTATCATTATATTTATAAAACAGCTTATTCCCGCTTCAAAATTGCACTGCTTTAAACACTACCTTTTGTGTTTAGCTTTCTCGTGTTTTCTTACCGTTTAAGAGCCCTCATTTGGATGTTACACACAAGTGCTGATGGCGGCCGAAAGAGAAAGTATGTAATTTAAATATATCCATTTGAAATTGTTGATTTCGAGAGAATACAATTTTTTTATACTTTGACGATGGGTTACATTTTGATTTTGTCATCTCGTGTTTCAGGGAAAGGTCTAGTTGCTGTACATGTTGTGGTTAATCGTCTCCTGTCTGTCAAGAAATCTCTCTCGCCAGAGGATTCAACTGACTGTAAGTTGTGTAAAACGTATGTCATTTTATCCACCCCACACCCCCCCGTCTAATAGTTATACACATCAGGGATTTGTTAATTTCAAGTTTTTATTCTCTCACACCAGAGGATTCAACTGACTGTAAGTTGTGTTGTATGTCATTTTTTTCACCCCACACCCCCCGTCCAATAGTTCTACACATAAGAGATTAGTTGATTTCAAGTTTTGTCATGTTTTTAGATGACTTCTTTGCGATGGCCATGACAAGTGTAAGATTAAGCTTGTTGAATTCATTGCAAATACTTTTTGTGCATATTTTACTCATTAGTGACGTGCAACAATGTTTCTCTAGGCTAGACATTTTCGAGATGGTGCGATTGCCGGGGAACTTTTTAGATTATCCGAAAGAAGCAACTTTCGACAATTTTGGCTGAAAAATCGTCGTTTTCGTTTTAGTAAGCACCGCCTTTTATATTTTTATTGATAAAATTTGCCGAAACCCAATTCTGATGAATTTTCTTCCTTTAGTGGAAATTTGCTTTGTGCTTTGGCGTTATCACAACCTGCAAATGAAGTGATGAATGTTTACAAACAGTTAGTTCCTGCGGTAATTTTGCACCCTTTGTTTATTAAGATTTATTTTAAAATAATAGCAATATAAAACTCGTGCCCTGATTGGTCTATAGCTGTGTTTGCATTAGCCTATAGGAACCGATCTGAGCTCAACCAATTAAATCTATCAATCAATCACAGAAGAGAATTTGCAAATCAATCATGAATACATATTAGAGGAAAAATTAATCTACTTATGATTTCTCCCAAAGGTCTTCTCAGCTTTTATAAGCCCGTGCAAACACAGTAAACATCTTTTATTTCTTAAATAAAAACATGTACTTAACGTGAAAAAATAATACTTACAAATTTTCCAGAAGTTTTGATGAAAGCGAGACTTTGAAGAAACTTTATAAAATGAAAAAATTCATCACACACGAGCTATTGAATTAAAGAAGATCATAAAGACTTGCTTCTTCTGTTCTGTTTGTAGTATTTCATTCCAAGAGAATGGATCTACGTTGAACTGTTACGTTGTCTTGAGAAGAGCAAGCAGCCTCGCGTGGCAATAGATTTATATAACGGTGAGAAGATTGACAACTCCTTTGTTTGTTTGACTATTTTTCTTCGATGTTATCTACAGCACAGCAAAGCAATGGGTCTGGTTAAGTTATCACGTGTTATACTACAGCCAATAGATTTAGTACAGCTATGTAAATCATTCTTCTACTTATTAGTTCTTTTTACAGTCAGGGGGGTACCGATGTATTTTGCATAACAGAATTGCCACTGGGTCTGTTTAAGTTACCATGTGTTATACTACAGCCAATAGATTTAGTGCAGCTATGTAAATCTTTCTTCTACTTATCAGTTCTTTTTACAGTCAGGGGAGTACCGATGTATTTTGCATAACGGAATTGGCACTGGGTCTAGTTAAGTTACCACGTGTTACACTACGTCATTATCGTCATACCATTTCGTTTGTAGACATGAAGCAACATCGCGTCAGCATGACATTTAACACTTGTAGAAGTTTTATGTCTTGTTTTAGTGTGAAACTTGGCAAAGAAGTAAATATTACATACACTTGTTTTGAGCAGTTTTGTTTGCCTTATTGAAATTTACATTGCCCTTTAATTTTGTCTCATTTTTACTTTTTTTTATGTAGCAGTTACCTGAATACGTTAGGATAATGGAGGAAATAATTCAATGGGCCGCATTTTTTGATATTGAGTATGTAACTCTATCTTTGGGAGGTTCTTGCAGAATTGCAGTCTGTATATTTTCCCCGAGTGTTTTGGATATTGATGTTTGAGCAGAAGTCCTGGCTACTTATATTGCCTTTTTTTAACTCGAGTCTTTGCGAGTATACAAATGAACGGCTTTCATAATACCTCGTAATACGTAGCTGGCGTTTTGTAACGGTTTCAAGATATTTGTCAGGAGACAAACGTTGATTTGGCTTTGACAGCAATAGTAGAACTGATGGGATTATAGATATAGTTGAGTGTACATTGTATTGCAGAGAGGCGATTGGATTTAGTTTTTTAAAATGAAATTTAGGTTCAACTCAAATTCTTTACAGACTACGTTAAGAAAAAATGCAAACATCTTTATTCCTTTTTATTTAGGACGGATGATTTTATGAAGAGTCAAATGATTCGTATCTACTGTTTGAATGGACAATATGAACGAGCTTGGTTTGTTTCTTCTTTGAAATGAACGTGTTTCTCAGTATTTGTGTTGTCGCTATGAACTTTATCGTTTGTTTTTGTTTTAATTATTTAGGGAATGCATGGAGAAATTTTCTCAAAACAAGTTCGAGCCGTCGTAAGTGGTTCATAAAAATCATACCTATACGCATACGCACGATGTTTATTCGTTGTTTTGCTTTGTTTGAAATGCTTCTAGGTTCGTTGCTTTGTCTTCGCTTCTGCATGGTACGATTGTGAGGAATAATAAAGCCGATGCAATGGTACTGATATACGCATACATTAGTCTACGCTTGTAGAAGTAGACTGTAAAAACTCATGCATACGACATGATCGTCGTGTTTCGAAGTGACTGTTTATTAAAAGACATTACATCGTATTAAAATTTACAACTGCTTAAATACGGTGAGAGGAATACGGAAGGCTGGCGGCTTTATAAAGTGCCGTCGAGTTGTGCGTCGCCTATTTATAAACAAAATGATGTCTTGGATTCCGTGTATGTCACTTGTAACTTTCTCTTGCTTGTTTAGAAAATTTTAAAAATGATCGCAGAGAAAGGATTTGTTTTAAATGTGAAATCGAGGAACACCTACTACAGACATTTGGAGTTTACAGCAAATGAAAGGTAAAGCTAATGGCTTTAAAATTGATAGAATGATTTAATTGTTATAAATAAGGTTATTTTTGGTTTAAAGTTTATAAAGGAAACATATGTTTTGATTATGAATCGTAAATAACGCAGCACTTTAATTTTTTTGTTTTCCTTCAAGCTATGAAATTGATCAACTTTTTGTACACCGTCCTAATCGTGTTTCGTCGCAACGGAAATAATATTCTATTGGATCAAGGTTTGTGGTTTCTAACGTTCGTAGAATCAATATGTAAACTGCTACTAGAAAATTGGTTTTAGTATTGACATATTGCAAAAGGTTCACGTTTAATGAATGCGATATTTTCGAAGATTTCGATGGAAAAATTCTCCATTTTAATGTTTGCACATTTCGTACTTTAAAAAGCGTAAAATACGCTAACATTCTGCAACTGGGATGAACTTGGCATAATGGCGTGTGCAATTAGGAACTGGGGCGAGTAAACGCGTATCATAATGACATCATCAGTAGTCGCCAGCTTACCATGTTTTAATCATCTAAATTGTGTGAGAAATTTGTTAAGCTTGTTCATACCTGCTGTTAAAAACAACCAATGTTAATTAAAAAACCCACCAGTGGAGAAAGCTTTTATTCGTTCGAAATACCGTGGACACATCTAGATTATTCTAAGCATATTTTATCACAAAGCAGTTAAAATGACTAAGGAAGCTGAGAGGAGATTTCCGGGCTCCCATATCGACGTTTCTTCGTCTGTGTATCCAAGGTCTCGATAAATTTCATCCCAATCTAGTTCTGCCTGATAAATGTTAACATCAGTACGTTCTATGGTGTCTTCATCAATGAAAATATTCCGATCGCTTATTTTTTCGTGTTCTTCGATTTCGAGTTTCTTATCTGGCACATTGTGTATTTCTAGTTCTTTCTGATCGTCGTATGTTTTGCTTCTTCTATTGAAAATATAGTAGCGTTCTTCGATATGGACCGGGCAACTCGCTTGTCCATAAAACTCTATGAAAAGCTTATCCAAGTCTCTGAAGTATTCGTCCTGTTGAATTTCACGTTTAAGCAGTTTCTCTTCTACTTGGTTTGATGTATTGTCTGTTGTTTTCGACTGCTCCATTTCATTCGTAAGTTTCCTATATGGATTTTGTAAAACGTAAAGATCGTAGCTACTTGCGACAAAACATACATTCTCGAGACTTATACACGTCAAATTTAAGGCAGATAACCGTGTTAATATTCGTAATGTGTTTCTGTACCATTGTTCTATTGCACGGACAATATTCAGTTCACACACTTGTTTTAAATTCTTACGTATTGTCGAAAGAATAAACTCAATCACCAACAGAAACGGTAGTTCAGTTCATTGTCGGCTTAATAGGTGAAGGAAATGGGTTTTTTGTTTTGCTGTGAAGGATTCTTTAAAGATATTTTCATCATATATAATGCAACTTTGTACTTTTGGTTCTGATGAAAACAGTCATACCAGATCTATTCCTGCAGTTTTTATTTGAATCTACATAGATGACTGTTGGAATATGTGAAAATCACATCGCGTATTTTAGTGAATAGCTGAAGTCGTTTATGAAAAACACCACAATTTACGTTGACACTATGGCATGTTTTAGTATAAAATAAAATACCCAAAATTTTTTCACTTTATCCCCTGATGATACAAAAGAATGGCGCCCCGAGAAAATTGCTGCACAATAGTACACGCAATCGATTGTATCAATTTTGTATCAATCAATTTGGAATAAAGAATTTCTTTAAATTTCGCACACCAGACTGGTTTTGCCAATGAGTGGTATGTCAAACGCGGAAAGCCTATGTCAGTTATTTTTACAATCAAAATACTGCTTGTTCACTGTTAAGATGGCGTCAGTTATCAAGTCGAGGCAAAAGAGAAACAAGGTATATACCATGTTGGTTTTATTCAAGGTTGATTCGTTGAAGCTTTTGTGCTATTTTCCCTTTCACTGTCGTGTTACAATCTTAAGTAAACAAACTGATTTTGCTTTGAAAATGAAAGACGTATTTTGTCGTACATTTAATAATTCTATCTTATTTGGTAGGATGTAGGAATCTCCATATAAGTAATAACGATACTTAGGAAAATAGGGGTTTGAGAAAATATAGGATTATAACCTAATAGTCATTGCTTGTCTATGTCTGAAAATAAAACCGAAGTTTCGCCGAAGTTGATTTTTGTTGTACTTTTGTCGGTTTGTTTTCACAATGAACGAGTGAAAGTTTCTTGCATTTCAGATGTTGACACAGAGTGACGATATGATGAAATCACGAAACTTTTTTACTTAAGTGAAGACTATTGTTGTCACATATGGTTGCTATCTATTAAACAATTTCTATATATGTATATATATTTATAATTTAGTTTGTTGTGTACGAAGTATTGATGACAATTAGTTGTTATAAATGGAAGAAATTAACATAAACTTATGAATAGTCTCCATTGCAGATGTGAATTTTGAACATTGAAGTGTTCAATTTTTTCTAAAGTTGTGCATTTACATAGGTTTTCTTTGGCTACAAAGATTGAACTCGGCTTGAATTTTTTTGACTAATTATATATACGAGTTAATGTTGGTTTATTTTTAGTATGCAAACACAGTCCGTTTCCTTGAGAGATAATATATGTTTGTTTATCAAAAAGTAGAAAGGTCAATTCTGAAAGTCTTTATTGCGGATATAGAGTTCTTGCAATTAAAAGTGCTATTACTCAAGGATGATAATTGAAGTGTCTTAAAATTCGTTAGACAATAGCTTTCAAATTTTTATTCACTTTCAAAAATGTATTTCAATTTCAGAATCTTTTTACTTTTGTAGGTTTTTGACGTGTCTACCAAGAATTTTGAAAGTAGAAGCCTGTGAGCTTAAAAAACGAGAGGGCGCACCCGACTTTTAAGAAAATTTCACCCTGAGAAGTGTTAAGCTTAAAGAGAACGAAATTTCGTCTAAAAACAAACTTTTCCTGAAAGTGTGACAAAAGAGAAATTGATAAAGTCCACTCAAAACGAAAGGAATAAAATAAGGGAGAAAAACTTGCTAAAAAACAGCATGATGTCCTCATCGAAAACTCCGCATAAAAAACAAAGTGTTGAAAGCAAAATTTGGATCAGGAAAGGAATGAAAATAATTTTTCTGAAGTTGCAGAGGAGCATGCATCCAACATGAACCGTGGAAGATAAAAGAGAAAGAGTTAATTTTTTCAGACGGAAATATGAAGAGAAATACCAAGAGTGATGTAAAATTCGTTCCTCTACACCATGAACCATCAAAGGAAAGTAAAATGATTGGGCAGAACTTTTTTGTTGAAAAATATGCTCCAATGAAAGGGAGCGACCATTTATACTCTAAGGTAAGAAAGTCGGACAGACATGGTGAAATGAAAAGGAATATTAAAAATAACAGAAAAGAGCAACAATCAGGCGATAAGAACGATTTAGAAGAAGTTATCACCTTTAGCTCTGCCTACACGAGTGAAGACGTACCTAAGGATATTTCAAATGGAATTTTACCTGACTTTCCTGTATCTCCTGAAGGACATGTTGAGGTAGAGATAACGGACGTTACGGATGTTGAAGATAGTGAAATTAACTCTGATGAAATCTTGACTATTGAACCTCAAGTGATTGTGGAAACAGAGCAAACTTTGGAATGTTGCGTTGAAAAGCCAGATAGTTTAAAAAGTAAGGATGTGTTTGTGAATACATTTGGTGATTCATCTAAGTCAGAGAACGCTAGAGACACTGGGACATTAGGTAATGATGGAAATGTTGAAATTGTCACAACTACTGAAATTATTGCGAATGGCATCGACGCGATAGTATGTTGAAAGTTGCCGAAGTTAATCGTGACGGCGTTTATGTAAGCAGAAGAAATGAAAACTCTTTATTAGACGATCTTTCCATAAACGAAGCGAGCTCTGTTAGGAGCGTTGGAAAATTGGTCGAAATAAATCTGAATGAAACTGAGGATGAAAAGATGGCGAAGCAATAAAGAAGTCGATGGAGGAGACTAAGTCGAAACAAAAAAAAGGCCGATTGAGTAGACGTTTTTTCTCTTAAACGTTGTTGATGCTGCAATGATAAAGCTTATCACAATATGTATTATAATGGCATATGTATTTGTATATATAATGGCATACATATGTCCTATACGTATCCAGACTTTATGTTTGTGTCTTAGTGTACTTTGAGAAAAAATATAATGCTAGTTGTACATGGTATATAGATAATGAATATGAACATAACATTTCAAGAAAATAAAGACACGATCTTAAGAATACACTGTGCTTTTATCGATGATTTAAGAGGAAGACATGGAAATAGAAGGGGTAGCTCGTGAGTTTTTGTCTTATTCGTTTCAAAGCCATTTCTTGCTTGATGTTTTTCGTGGATTCCTTGTTATCATTTCTTGGAAGATGGATGTTTTTCAGTGCATTGTTTACGAAGTTGGGTCTTTCAAACTTAGCTGTGTTGCAGTGCATAAATCGTAAAGAAATAAGTCTTGAAGTGATGCGTTGCACGCAAAGGTTGTAATTGTGGACACGAGCGAAGCAATCTTGTGAGGGTCAGATAATGATATTGAAGGATACCTCGGAATACTTTGACGTTAAATCATTATTTGTAAAGTTGATGGAGCTTCTTTTGCTTGTAGACGAACTTCTTTGTCTTTTAAAAACATTCTTTTTCGTATTCTCTTTGTTCATGAAACACATTTCAGTTGTATCTGCTGTGTCTGGTTGTTTGAGTTTGTTATTTTTCATACAAAAGGCAGTGGTTGTAAAGGATTATTCCAATATAGATCTTCTTGTTTGTGAAAGTTTTTGTGGCAATGCAACTTTTGAGCAATGACGAACTATTATATTGACATGAACACCATTGTTATGAGATATTGTAGCAATCTTCTCAGTTCTTTCTGTTTTTGATTAAATGTTGCGATTTGCTTCTTCATGCAATTCAAAATGGCAACAATCGAAATATGAATTGCAAATTAATCATAATTCATGCGTAGGATAAACATTCAATGATAAACATTCTCGTAAATTTTGGAAGTTTTGTATTGTATTTGCCAAGTTTCTTCTTTTCGAAACTCTCATACGTCTTGGGCTCGAAAAGTTTAAATAATGTACTGGATAATCTTTCGGTTTTCCTTTCTTGGGTTACATTATTTGAGTTTATCAACTGGCATTGCACTTAGCGTGCCTTGTCGAGGTACTGCGAGGTATAAACTACAATTTCAAGCTGAGTGGAAAAACTCTTCATCTCGACCGGTTGGGGCGGGATTTTCTAGCCTTATAGGCTGTGTTCATAATAAATGCTATGAAATGTGGCGACCTGGTTATAAAGCGTCGGTCGGAGTACGGATTATGGCTGAGAAAGGTTTGCAATGTCGTACGATGTTCAATTTCACAAAACAGTAAATACTTATGTTGGTGATGTCTTTTGTTGATATAAATCAGGGGTCTCCAAACTACGGCCCGCGGGCCAGATGTGGCCCGTTAGGCCTCTCAATCCGGCCCGCAGAGACACTTGAGAAAAAAAATATACTATTAAACGAAATAAACTTTGTGCAGAAAGTTCACGTTATGACGCAAGCCAACTAGAAAGAGTTTTATTAAAATATTCGCTCTTTGACCAGAGGTATACGGTTCGTCGGCCCTCAACATGCTGAATGAAAGTTCATGTGGCCCTCTGGCTGTAAAGTTTGGAGACCCCTGATATAAATCATCGATATGAAAGTTGTTTTAGTTGATATGTTTTTATGGTATCAATTTCAGTAGATTTCATCTTAATTGTTGACGATATCCATTTACATTGAATAGTGTGATTCTTTACTATAGGAAACGACTCCTTTCTTTATGATGAAATTCGTAAACATCTTGAGACGTGGAAGACCGTTAGGCAAGTTATCCAAACACATAAAAGGATTGGACCAGAAGAACAAGTTTTTTTTCCAGATGTGGATGATGGCTTTATCGTTGATGGTTCTAGACCTTTGGTCTCTGTCATAGCCAGGATAATGCCTTCTGCTGATTTGTTTGTCGGTATATATGACGTAAATTTGTGCAATGCTTCAGGATATTGGGTTCAATCCGTGGTTTCCAATCTCTTTCCATATGATGCTGGAACAGGCGAAAAATCACCGAACAATGATTCTTTCGTTTTCCCATCAAATCCGCAACAGAATATTTTTAAAATTGCGAATGATGGTGATAGAGAATTGGGATTTATCCGTCTCAACAAATTGAACGAACAGAAGGGATCCATTTTAGTTGTTAATATTGATGAAAACAATTGTCCGAATGAAGGGTCAAGAAGAAAACCTTCTCTAGTCATTTATGCAATGATGTTTTTCGTGATTATTTATTTTGAAATACTTGGATGATTTTTGCAAAAGGCGAAGACACAATCATGCACTTTGTGGTGTCTTTAATGTGTGTAAAGGAAATGATCATTTTTTATAAAAAAGCATTTTATGTGTATATATAATGCACGTCGTAGGATAGGCTATGCCTATGAGCTACATGTTGTTGCCAAATGAATAGAAAGAATGAGGCATGGTGGTAGTTACCTGACATCGTCAGGTTCACCGTACTTCGAATACTTCATTTAGTGCTTAAACATTGTCTCCTGTTAATGTGAAGTTATCATATGTAAGGTGAATGCAGTGAAAATTATGACGAATCAAAGAGCAAATCTACAGATTGAATCATTTATATTTAGTTTTCTCTATCTGAATCGTAAGTAATAATGAATTGAATCATGGTTCAAGTTCATTGTATGTGTGCAAAATTGAACTTTCTTTTCCGTTAGAACAAGTAATATATGACTGACTATCCATTTACTGTTTTATGTACAGTAAATACTGATTTTTTGTCCCCAAACACGTTAGTTGGCATGTATTTTATAATGTGCTACGTAACGAGGAGTAAGTTAAGCAATTAGATGGATTTTGTGTGTATTTTATCTTATGGTTAAACAAGTGAAGGAATGTTTACTTGGAATGAGAATTTTTGCTATGAACACTTACGCAAAGAGATGAGAATATAAGGCGACAGATTATTCTTCTTTGAGGCTTTATATGACAGTGATTTTCGCTTTTCTGAATTCAAAATGACGTATGAAGTCGATATAAAAATCGACTAAAAATACGATTTGCTGGACTTTGAAAAACATGCTTCTTTAAGATCTTTGTTCACAATCTGATACTGATCTGACTGATACACTATACACATATTGTTATATATAAATATAATGTGCTAAATTTGTTCAACAGTAAGGATTGGAATAGCTGATCTTATCGTGTGCTGAATCGTACCTGTTATTATAACATAAAGCTATTTTGTGTGGTTGGGTTACTACTCTCTGTTTTTTTTTTCTGTTTTAAGTGTCACTTTTTCATATAGTTGGGAAGTTGAAGTGGGGAAAAAAAGTTATGATAATCATTGTATTAAGTGTGGGATGGCGAAGAAAAGTGGTGATGCCTTTTCTCTTGATTTATTGGACCACTTTTACTTACCCCTCCCCCTCTCTTTCGACCATTAATTTACTTCTTGTGGAAGAGATTCTTTGGAAGAAATAACCTTTGATACAACTACTCCTGTTTGCAAAGTGGGGAAATAAAATTTGGGGGAGACTTTATGCGTTTAACTTCGTAATTGTCCGTAATATTGTCGTATAGTGTCGTCATTTCTGGCGATTGAAATTAGTTGGACTAATTCGATTAAGTTAATATGGCGTACTGTAGTTGGAATGGCAGTGAAAAATATAAAGATCATTTTAGTGACGTTGGTTAGTTCATTCATTCAAATCTCGTTTCATATAACGTAAATTAAAAGAAATTTTATAGTTTTAAACTTGCCGATGTACAGGTGTTTACAAATGTGCTAAGTGTGGCAATGACTTGTTCACGGCTAAAAGTAAATATTCCCATCACACTCCATGGCCAGCGTTCACCAAGACGATTCGTGAAGATAGTGTAAGGAAAGAGATTGAAACGGAACCACAGGAGAGTAGCAATGCCAAGGCAATGAAAGTAAGTTGTTTTTAATTCAAAATACTTTATATTGTCGGAATTGAGTTTAAGTATAGATATAAATATGACAGAGGTGATTGGCATTTTGAAATTTTACAAAAAGTTGATTTATTTGTAATCAATTCTTTGTGAAAACGATGGAAGTCAATCTGTACAGTAAATTTCAATCAATACAGTTGATGATTTAAGATTCATCCTCATAGTTGTATTGCTGTAGGTTAGGACTGTTGGGCTCTTAACACAGGGTGAAATTGAAAATTCTGACTCATGGAAAAGTTTTCTAAATAATATGTGAGTTGTGGGATTAGTAAAAAGATTCAAAGTACTTTAACATTCTATGGAACAGCTGAAATGTTAAAATGTTTGAAAATACAAGATGTTACACCATAGAAAAAACCTTTATACTTAAAAACAGGCCTTAATTTAATCATCCTGAGTTGAATTTGAATTGTGGTGCACACATAAGCCAATACAAGATCTTTAAAACTTGAATTTTTTTTTGTTTTTGCATCTGAACAATTGTCTGAATGATAAAAAATATTTCATTTTCAAAAATATCACTTCATGACTACAGCATTATTAAATCGTACAAATCACTTGTATCTATATGAAGACAAAAATAATTTAGAGCTGTTTGAATCAACTTGAAAATTCTTTGATATGCACAGTTGATTATTATTGAAGGATTTATTAAATGTCAAGTTCCACAAGGTTATAATTTGGGCCGGTGAATTTTGATTTAGATAATTTTTGAAAATGGTTAATTGTGAATAAACTAAGTGTTAATGTCGCGAAAAACTAGTTTTATTTCAATTGGCATAAAACAAGTGATAAAAAATATATCCAAACTTCAAGTAAATGTTATACTTGAACCCTAGTGCAAAACTACACTTTTTGTGGAAAATTAACACTGATAATATTTGCGGAAAAGTAACATCAGTGATTTCTGATGGTATTGTTTTAAAGTGTCTTGTTTATAAGCAAACACTTACAATGCCAAACTTTTAGCAAATAGATGTGCTTGAATTATCATTAACATGAGCAATGTTGCAGAGCATATTGTTGCAATGCATGTTAGTAAGTAAGTAAGTAGTTTATTAAAATATTAATTGCAGCCTTGCAGCTGAATTACAAATATCTAAATTAGTAAAGTTATAATAACAAATAATATCTAATATTTAAAGTATTTACATTTATTAAATTTACAATTATAAAAATGGTACTCGCTAACACCAACAGAGACAAAGAAAACTCCATACCTGGCCACTTTTGTGTAACTTTATGTACACAAGGACAGGATGAACGAATTCTTTGCTCTGCTGGTGCGAGCTAGCGGAACTTTATATTTATGTTTACTTCTATATTTATGTTCTTTCTGGCCGACGCTTAAGCAGAAAGTACGAAAGCCAAAGCAACAATCATGTACAAGTTATTGAGCCCTTAGTCACTTACTTACTTTTTCACCTTTAAATGCAAGACAAATAGCTACATGATCTATGAATCATTTTAAGTAGTCATTGCCTAGCCCAACGACGCTCCAATAATTTGAAAAAAAACTGTTTTTTGTATAAAGGAGCATTCTTTTGGACTCTCCACCTAATGAAGTTAAAGAAAAGAGCAAAACGTTTTGTGTAGGGAACTTTATGTTATAGGAGGAATATTACGTATTTGTTATAGAAATAGAGACTTAACCTTACTAACACTATATGCGTATCCCAAAAGGGTATATATTTTTTTTGTCGTCGTGTTTAGGAAATAGTTCTTATGTCCTTTTTATCTTTTTGTAAATTTCCATTCTACACGCTCTTCAGCGTAAATTGGCAACGATAGTGTTTTTCATGTAACATTCATCTCATATGTACAGAGAACGTTGAAGTGCGTTTTTGCTTATTACGCACTTCTTATTTTAGAAAAGTTTTTTCCAAGAGTCAATTTTTTCTATACAGCATGTCTAGCCCCTGAGTTGACCTTTGTACAAAGAAATGTAGCTGTTTATGTTTTTCTATGAAATGTTTGTGTGTGAGAAATGACCTATCAATGAAACAACAGTAGATCTGTCGTGTTTCTAAAAATTTTGCGTGAATTTCTCAGGTTTTCTGTGGAAAATGTGGAAATCCTTTGGGTCATGAGTTTATCGGTGATGGTCCTAATAACTCGTCGAGATTTTGAATATTTTCAAGTACTTTAGAATTTAAAGCTGGGTATTAAGTTTTCTGATGCTTAAGCGTATTTCGGCATAAATTGACTTGGCTGATGTAAATATAATTGTATGATATTACTAAACTGTTTCACTAAATATAAATGTTGCGCATGTGTTGTCGGATCGTGAAGAAAGTTCAACTTTTTTGAACTTTTCAAAATTCCATTACGTTTTTGTTTAAGTGCAATGGTAAAAAACGTATTAAGTGAATTGACTGGACAATTCTCTAAACTCAAATACAATTCCAGAAGTTTTCTGCTTATTGTCGATCTAAAAAATTAGATACGAACTTTTTGCCATTTTTTGTGAACGTTTAACGTAAGCGAACATGAATATTTTGAAATTTCATCTGGCAACACTAAGTCTGCCTTTCTGTATCTTAGAAGAATGTATCTTAAACGCTATACACTGTGTATAAAAAAGATAAACTTAAGAAATTGACGGATTGTGATTCACTGTCTATCTTTGTGCTAAGTTCATCTCTATATCTTTTTACTGGCCCAAAAGTTTTTTCGCCCTTTGGAGTTTGACATAAGTTCTAACAGCGCATGCAACAAACACAGTTATGCACTGATGGCATTAGCACAGTGATCAGGCACTGAAATTTCACAAAGGTCAGCCTCGAAATGTCTTCTTTTTTTTATACACTCTGTGTAAGAGCGTCATATTTTTATGGAACGTCCTCGTGTAGCTAATGACGTAGTCATATTTTTATGGAACGTCCTCGTGTAGCTAATGACGTAGTCATATTTTTATGGAACGTCCTCGTGTAGCTAATGACGTAGTCATATTTTTATGGAACGTCCTCATGTAGCTAATAACGTAGTCATATTTTTATGAAACGTCCTCCTGTAGCTAATGACGTAGTCATATTTTTATGAAACGTCCTCATGTAGCTAATGACGTAGTCATATTTTTATGGAACGTCCTCGTGTAGCTAATGACGTAGTCATATTTTTATGAAACGTCCTCATGTAGCAAATAACGTAGTCATATTTTTATGAAACGTCCTCATGTAGCAAATGACGTAGCAAGTTCAAAACCAAATATTTGGAGGACTAGTTACCGAAGAGATTTATGGTGGGGCTCGATATTATTAAAATGTACTTGTCTAAAATGAATTGTGTGTGTAATTTTATTGTGATCTATTTATTTATAACCGTAAGTTACATGTTTAGTTTCATGTATTATTGACTATTGTCGCAATGCTGTACGTTATTTAAGATGAAAGCAAGAAAACAATTATTAAAAATCCAAGAATCGTAAGTGATGCGATGTGTGAAAGATGTAATGGTCCTTCCCATGTCAATATTTTTCACTGACAATATGTTTATCATTGATGATGTTTATCGTAAGTATTATGTAAAGTATATTATATACAGAATTATATGCTAATGTACTACTATTTATTTTGAAAGTATTAGAAAAAGTCATTCACAAGCTCAGAAAAGATGTTGACGACCGTCGAAAAGTTCAAATGGCAACAGCTCTGTAGAATTTTCTATTACACAAGGTAGGATGGTAAGACATAAGGAATAAATATCAACAGCTAATTTACCATGGATGGCTTTTCACATGTTTTATATATACATATATATATATATATATAATTTATTTGTCGACACAAAATCTCGTAAAATTGTCAAAGATTTGGCTGAATACAATGACCAATTTCATGCTTGAAATTTAAAATGTACAGTATCTGCAATTCGTATGTATTATTGTTTTCGACTTCGTTTACAGGTCTTTGGACGTCAATTACTGCTAATGCTGAATCATACAAATTCTAAACATCGACTGATCAAAGATGAGCAGTTTTTCGAGACGTATTATTAAATCTTTATTAGATTGGTAAGAAGACCAATTTATCATTGTTGTGTTTATGAAGTATAATGTAGTTTAATAATGTGCTTGGATCTTCGTTAGTCATACATAAATTACTATTTCATCCATTTGATTTTAGACATTTGGACCAATAAACTGAAGACAGTCAATGAAGAAGAAACTATAGAAATTCAACTTTAAAAAATGGATAAAAAAGAAGGTAAGAACAGTCGTTGATGATTTAGAATTTTATTTAAGCAATCTAACGTGGAGAGGAGACGGAGGAAATTTATATAAAATGTAACGTTGCATGACTACCTTTATGTCTACCTTTTTATCAACGTTTGTTTTAATTAAAATCAAAACATTGTCTTTGTCCAAAAACGCATCTTAACTGAATAAGTTTAGTCCTATAAATGAGCCACGTCATCTTCATACCTGATTATAATTTCTTGCCACACAAAATGTGAGCGATTTTTTATTATGATTTGCACTAATAGCAAAACGTGTCTACTCAATCAACAACACGAAAAAGAAATTCAAAGGTAGAAATCCCAACGTAAAGGAAACTGACAAGAAACAACGATATCAGACTTTATATTGTATGAGTGAAGAAGAATTTTTTAGAACTGCGAAAGAAATGTTGAAGGTAAAAATTTTGGTTGGAGTGAAGGGTTTTTGTCTATCGTAAAATTTATTCAAATGCTATGTTCAGGGGGTTACAAAAAGTTTTTTTTTTACTCAAGAATGCTAACATAGGAAAACCGTCAAACGACAAAAAAGATGTGATGAAGAATTATGAGAAGAAGGAACAACAAAGGGTTTGTTTTTCTTTGTACATTTTCATATTATGTAACTTTTTCAATCGAAGGCAAAATTTGTTCCTGACAGGCAATCTTATGGCTTTGACAAAACTAAGGCAATGGATGCGACACGGACCCCTAAAAAGAACGCTCATACAGCAAAAATTTCGAGTTCTTCAAATTTGTCAGTTGATGGAATTCTGCATTTGTTTGCACTATCAGGCTACGATCATGTCCATTCGCTGGAGGAAGGCATTTCTATGACGTCCGCAACTAACGAGAACTCAAATAATTTAGAAGATTCCGGTAAAGTCTTAACGGTATAGAAAAGAATCAAATTTCTAAATCTGTCGATAGTTTTGAAGCATTTCTCTATGAGATGATGTGAATATTAGGTTAATTATGCATGTTGTGGAGCTTGCCACTTTCAGCCGTTGAGATTAACAATCAAACTTCACAACAACAATAGCAATAAATCAAAAACCAGTGAGGTGCAAGAATAGTCATTGTTATAAAGACAGAAAATTTTGTACTGTAGGATTAATCTGTTTTCGTTTATGCATGCATTATAATGCATGTAAGAACATAAATTCCACTTATAAATCTGTCTAGACTAAATTTGAACAGAAACAGCAGCAGCAAATACAATGGCAAGGATAAAAAAGCGAGACCACGTTAAAGTTTATGTTGAGAGAGAATTGGTCACTGGAAAGGAGTTTCAACGTGGATTGAACGTAAATTATTAACTATCAAAGCGGAATTACTACGAGTTAACGACGTCTACCGGACAAACCAAATGTTAATGGATATACCGGACGAAATCTAAGCATTTGATAAGCATACAGTTTGTACTGAAGCTGAATTGAGTGATAGCGTAACGCAATAAACAAGAGCGCCGTGAAAACTATGCAGATTGGTTTCTTACAACATCCGATTTCCTTGACACAGTGTTTAGAGATAATATGGCTGCGTTGTCAAATATGTGGTGATATGTTATAAGTGTCATAAACCATTGAAATGTAAGATATGACTCGTGAAATCGACATTCCTATAGAACACACCTCAAAATCGGAACGATAGGAAAATTTATTTCCTATGTATATTATATGAAAGATAGAAGAAGACAAGTTATCGGCCGCTTTAAAGCCTTCACCAACGTCAAGCCAGAAATATGTCATCCTCATATTTTACTACGACAAGTGCCGTTGGATTAATAAAGCTAATATCGACAGCAGCCGCTAAATGAAATCTGCATTGCTTAGCCGTAAGAAAACGTGCTGCTTTTGAAAGACTTACTTGTCTCTATCTTTTTCAAAAGAATTTCGAACTATAACTAAATGTAACTATAGATGTATTACCAAACTAACATTAATTTACAAATGTATTTATTTGTACTACTCTTTCACTTTTTATATCATCATTCGACTACGAATATGATTTTTGGTTTGTTGTTTTATCTATAGCTGTAAGTGCTCTGCTCTAATTTTGATTCGAGACCTTCAATGGTCTATTTTTTTTGCATTAATTACTTCTAGGTAGGAGTGGTACTTTAAAATGACCAGGTGTCTTCAACGAACTCTCTGGTCTAGTGGATAGACACAACCTTTCGAGGTTGAGAGTGGAGGTTCGAACCCTGTCTAGAATAAGATGTTGTTAGGCTGTAGGATGATCCGTAAACTGGGATAATAGTGCTGGTTACTACAGCGAAAATGAGATTTCTATTACTACGTTTTTCGAGAATGGAATGCGACACTTAGTATAAATTCAGAAAAATTCGCTCTCCGATGAGAAGGAGAGCGAAGAAAAAAAAAAGATAGGATCCCATGCAAAAAACCACTCTTAAAAAAACTAAGTCTTTTGCTCAAATTTTTTTATGACTCCCTGTGATCAGGGAGTTATTTTTTTAAATTTTGAAAAGTCAGGAAACCCAAGAGCAAACAGAACGCCCTAATCATCCCTTTCTTACTTCCAGGCACTTGTTCCTCAGTTCGACTTTCTGTCTTCCACATCCGCCGCGTACACCTGCCAAGTGTGTTGGCAGAGGGGGGCGAACCAAGGATCTTGTGCACCGGAGGTCATTGATGTCGAACTAAACGCCCAACATCGGCCAGTTGAGCTAACCGCTCATCATCGAAAACTCTATGTTTTTTGGCGTATTTGCTAATTTTTTTCAATGTAAAGCGAAAGAAAAGGAGAAGGTCTTGAACGTTAGAAGGTCTTGAACCTTAGAAGGTGAGATCACTGCACCGGCATCTCTACCACTCGGCCAGACGGGTGAATTGGAAAACCGTTTAAAACATGTCAAGTGTTTCTCACAAAAGAACATTGCCTTCTTTTCTCTCGAGGCTCATATTTTATACTGTGTTTAACATGTACTTCGTCGTTATCATCGCAACGGTGAAGAAAGGGACTTACTACGCATTTTAGCTGTCCAACTTAAACATTGCTGGAGAATAAATGTTAGAACTGAAGGGAGGAAGATTAATAAAGTATGCACAATGTCAGACATTGCCATGTGGTAAATCAAAACAACAACGCGCATGTTCGTAGTCAATTTAATGGCGCTGGGAGTTTCTAACTTGTCTGTTCAAAGATAAATAACATATTTTTGCTATTATTTATGATAATATTGTAATGGTTTCTACAAAAGCGTATGTTTCCTACAGAACAGTATCCACTTACTAATTCATAGTCTATTCAAGTCTTTTTGTCATTTTACCATCTTGCCATGTCTTGAGTGTCATCATTTAAAATATAGTCAATGTAATCAATATAGCCAATGCGGTTTTTGTCTACATTTGTGTCTACCTGAATGTGATTGTCTACCTTTTCATAGGACAAAGTTCTTATTTTTTTGAACACGACAATTGAAAAATTAGTCATTTCATAGTCGAAAGTAGTCGAAGTAATCGAAGGTAGTCAATTCACGCGATGCCATGTGGTAAACATGTACAACTTCTCTTTCTATTCATGCATTTTAACAAATTTTCTAATTTTCTCACACAAAGACTATAATTCACGCATTTTCACACATTTTCACATTTTCTCACACAAAGACTATAGTTCACGCATTTTCACAAATTTTCACATTTTCTCACACAAAGACTATAGTTCACGCATTTTCACAAATTTTAACATTTTCTCACAAAGACTATAATTCACGCATTTTCACAAATTTTCACATTTTCTCACACAAAGATTATAATTCACCCATTTTCACAAATTTTCACATTTTCTCACACAAAGACTATAGTTCACGCATTTTCATAAATTTTCGAATTTTCTCACACAAAGACTATAATTCACGCATTTTCACAAATTTTCACATTTTCTCACACAAAGACTATAATTCATGCATTTTAACAAATTTTCTAATTTTCTCACACAAAGATTATAATTCACCATTTTCACAAATTTTCACATTTTCTCACACAAAGACTATAGTTCACGAATTTTCACAAAAATTTTCATATTTTCTCACACAGACTATTCACCGTTTTCAAAATTTCACATTTTCTCAAAAGAACTATAGTTCACGAATTTTCACATTTTGTCACGCATGCATGAATTATAGTCTTTGTGTGAAATGTTAATTGTGAAAAATGTGAAATGTCGTGAATCTTTGAAGTAATTGTGTGAGAAAATGTGAATAGTCTTTGTGAGAAAAAAATGCGTGAATTATAGTCTTTTGTGAAATGTAATTGTGAAAATGCGTGAATTATAGTCTTTGTGTGAAGTGAAAATGCGTAAAATATGAATCTTTGTGTGAGAAAATTGAAAATGAAAATGCGTGAATTATAGTCTTTGTGTGAAAAATTTGAAATTTGTAAAATGCGTGAATTATAGTCTTTGTGTGAGAAAATGTGAATTTATGAAAATCGTGAATATAGTCTTATGTGAGAAAATGTGAATTTGTGAAAATTCGTGAACTATAGTCTTTGTGTGAGAAAATGTGAAAATTTGTGAAAATGCGTGAATTATAGTCTTTGTGTGAGAAAATTATAAAATTTGTTAAAATGCATGAATAGAAAGAGAAGTTGTACATGTTTACCACATGGCATCGCGTGAATTGACTACCTTCGATTACTTCGACTACTTTCGACTATGAAATGACTAATTTTTCAATTGTCGTGTTCAAAAAAATAAGAACTTTGTCCTATGAAAAGGTAGACAATCACATTAAGGTAGACACAAAGGTAGACAAGAACGTAGACAAATATGTAGACAAAAACCGCATTGGCTATATTGATTACATTGACTATATTTTAAATGATGACACTCAAGACATGGCAAGATGGTAAAATGACAAAAAGACTTGAATAGACTATGAATTAGTAAGTGGATACTGTTCTGTAGGAAACATACGCTTTTGTAGAAACCATTACAATATTATCATAAATGATAGCAAAATATGTTATTTATCTTTGAACAGACAAGTTAGAAACTCCCAGCGCCATTAAATTGACTACGAACATGCGCGTTGTTGTTTTGATTTACCACATGGCAATGTCTGACATTGTGCATACTTTATTAATCTTCCTCCTTCAGTTCTAACATTTATTCTCCAGCAATGTTTAAGTTGGACAGCTAAAATGCGTAGTAAGTCCCTTTCTTCACCGTTGCATGATAACGACGAGTACAAGTTAAACACAGTATAAAATATGAGCCTCGAGAGAAGAAGGCAATGTTCTTTGTGAGAAACACTTGACATGTTTTAAACGGTTTTCCAATTCACCCGTCTGGCCGAGTGGTAGAGATGCCGGTGCAGTGATCTCACCTTCTAAGGTTCAAGACCTTCTAAGGTTCAAGACCTTCTCCTTTTCTTTCGCTTTACATTGAAAAAAATTAGCAAATACGCCAAAAAACATAGAGTTTTCGATGATGAGCGGTTAGCTCAACTGGCCGATGTTGGGCGTTTAGTTCGACATCAATGACCTCCGGTGCACAAGATCCTTGGTTCGCCCCTCTGCCAACACACTTGGCAGGTGTACGCGGCGGATGTGGAAGACAGAAAGTCGAACTGAGGAACAAGTGCCTGGAAGTAAGAAAGGGATGATTAGGGCGTTCTGTTTGCTCTTGGGTTTCCTGACTTTTCAAAATTTAAAAAAATAACTCCCTGATCACAGGGAGTCATAAAAAAATTTGAGCAAAAGACTTAGTTTTTTTAAGAGTGGTTTTTTGCATGGGATCCTATCTTTTTTTTTTCTTCGCTCTCCTTCTCATCGGAGAGCGAATTTTTCTGAATTTATACTAAGTGTCGCATTCCATTCTCGAAAAACGTAGTAATAGAAATCTCATTTTCGCTGTAGTAACCAGCACTATTTTCTCATGTTTCGGATCATTCTACAGCCTAACAACATCTTATTCTAGACAGGGTTCGAACCTCCACTCTCAACCTCGAAAGGTTGTGTCTATCCACTAGACCAGAGAGTTCGTCGAAGACACCTGGTCATTTTAAAGTACCACTCCTACCTAGAAGTAATTAATGCAAAAAAAATAGACCATTGAAGGTCTCGAATCAAAATTAGAGCAGAACACTTACAGCTATAGATAAAACAACAAACCAAAAATCATATTCGTAGTCGAATGTTGATATAAAAAGTGAAAGAGTAGTACAAATAAATACATTTATAAATTAATGTTAGTTTGGTAATACATTAGCAAAACATCTATAGTTACATTTATTATAGTTCGAAATTCTTTTGAAAAGATAGAGACAAGTAAGTCTTTCAAAAGCAGCACGTTTTCTTACGGCTAAGCAATGCAGATTTCATTTAGCGCCTGCTGTCGATATTAGCTTTATTAATCCAATGGCACTTGTCGTAGTAAAATATGAGGATGACATATTTCTGGCTTGACGTTGGTGAAGGCTTTAAAGCGGCCGATAGCTTGTCTTCTTCTATCTTTCATATAATATGCATAGGAAATAAATTTTCCTATCGTTCCGATTTTGAGGTGTGTTCTATAGGAATGTCGATTTCACGAGTCATATCTTACATTTCAATGGTTTATGACACTTATAACATATCACCACATATTTGACAACGCAGCCATATTATCTCTAAACACTGTGTCAAGGAAATCGGATGTTGTAAGAAACCAATCTGCATAGTTTTTACGGCGCTCTTGTTTATTGCGTTACGCTATCACTCAATTCAGCTTCAGTACAAACTGTATGCTTATCAAATGCTTAGATTTCGTCCGGTATATCCATTGACATTTGGTTTGTCCGGTAGACGTCGTTAACTCGTAGTAATTCCGCTTTGATAGTTAATAATTTACGTTCAATCCACGTTGAAACTCCTTTCCAGTGACCAATTCTCTCTCAACATAAACTTTAACGTGGTCTCGCTCTTTTATCCTTGCCATTGTATTTGCTGCTGCTGTTTCTGTTCAAATTTAGTCTAGACAGATTTATAAGTGAAGTTTATGTTCTTACATGCATTATAATGCATGCATAAACGAAAACAGATTAATCCTACAGTACAAAATTTTCTGTCTTTATAACAATGACTATTCTTGCACCTCACTGGTTTTTGATTTATTGCTATTGTTGTTGTGAAGTTTGATTGTTAATCTTAACGGCTGAAAGTGTCAAGCTCCATGACATGCATAATTAACCTAATATTCACATCATCTCATCGCGAAATGCTTCAAAACTATCGACAGATTTAGAAATTTGATTCTTTTCTATACCGTTAAGACTTTACCGGAATCTTCTAAATTATTTCAGTTCTCGTTAGTTGCGGACATCATAGAAATGCCTTCCTCCAGCGAATGGACATGATCGTAGCCTGATAGTGCAAACAAATGCAGAATTCCATCAACTGACGAATTTGAAGAACTCGAAATTTTTGCTGTATGAGCGTTCTTTTTAGAGGGCCGTTTGGCATCCATTGCTTTAGTTTCGTCAAAGCCATAAGATTGCCTGTAAGGAACAAATTTTGCCTTCGATTGAATAAGTTACATAATATGAAAATGTACAAAGAAAAACAAAACCTTCGTTGTTCCTTCTTCTAATTGTTCTTCATCACTTCTTTTTTGTCGTTTGACGATTTTCGCATGTTAGCATTCTTGAGTAAAAAAAAACAATACTTTTTGTAACCCCCTGAAGATAGTATTTGAATAAATTTTACGATATACAAAAACCCTACACTCCAACCAAAATTTTTACCTTCAACATTTCTTTCGCAGTTCTAAAAAATTCTTCTTCGCTCATACAATATAAAGTCTGATATCGTTGTTTCTTGGCAGCCTCATTTACGTTGGCATTTCCACCTTTGAATTTCTTTTTCGTGCTGTTGATTGGGTAGACACGTTTTGCTATCAGTGCAAATCATAATAAAAACCTTTATGTCTACCTTTATGTCCACCTTTATGTCTACCTTTATGTCTACCTTTGTCCTTCACCTTTATGTCTATTTCTTCCATGTATCCTCTATCTGTCTACCTACCTTGTGTCTACCTTTATGTTTACCTTTATTTACCTGTCTACCTTTGTGTCTACCTTTATGTTTACCTTTATGTCTACCTTTATGTCTACCTTTATGTTTACCTTTATGTCTACCTTTTGTCTTCCTTTGTACCTTTATGTCTATGTGTCTACCTTTATGTCTATTTTATGTCTTCCTTTATGTGTACCTTTATGTGTACCTTTGTGTCTACCTTTATGTCAACCTTTAAGTCTACTTTTATGTCTACCTTTACATCTACCTTTATGTCTACCTTTATGTCTACCTTTATGTCTACCTTTATGTCTACATTTATGTCTACATTTATGTCTACTTTTATGTCTATATTTATGTCTACCTTTATGTTTACATTTATGTCTACCTTTATGTCTACCTTTGTACAGTGACATAACAAGACTCTTGACGAGATTTAGAGCGTTTTCACCATTTCTTTTAACAATTTTCATTTGTTCTCTTGTGACACTTGGGAAATATATCCACATACTAAACAATGCAGCCACATTATCTGTAATTATTGTGTTGAGGAAATTGGATGTTATAAGAAACCATTCTGTATAGTCTTGAAGGCGCTCTTGTCTGTTGCGCTGCGCTGACCCTTGGTGTGATAGCTTCAGTACAAACTGTATGCTTATCCAGTGCTTAGATTTGGTTCGGTATATCGATTGACATTTGGTTTGTCTGGAAGACGTTGTTAACTTGTAGTAATTTTGCTTTGATAGTTAAAAATTAGAGTGCAATCCTCGTTGAGAATCAATACTAGTCACGGAACAATAACCTCTCAGCATCAACATTGACGGAGTTTCGTCCTTTTTGCCTTTGCTTTTATGCTTTATTAAGCATGGATAAAGAAAAAACAGATCAATCATACAGAAACAAATTATTTGTCTTTATAACAATGATTCTTCTTGCACCTGACTGTGTTTCCATTTATTGCTATTGTTGTCATCAAAGTTGGAATTGTTTTTAAGTTGATCTTTGTGCAATTAATTTTGGTTTCATTTCATCGATTTCACGTCATACAGGACATCTCGAAAAACTGCTCATCTTTGATCAGTCGATGTTTAGAATTTGTATGATTCAGCATTAGCAGTAATTAACGTCCAAAGACCTGTAAACAATAATACATCCGTCCTTTATGTTCAAATTTATTTCTTTTCAAAGTTTACTATTAGTTTAAAACATGATACTCCAGATTTCATTGTGTTAATAATTTTTACGATTTTAGCACATATTTTGTGTAGTTATTATGATAAAGGTTATTTGTCAAAGGAAACATTATAGTACACCTTAATTACGCGTTCTGACTCAACAACAATTGAAAACGAGAAAATTGCTTGGAGTGACAGTAGTAGGGACTACAACTCATGTTTTCACAAGAACTAAAAACAGTGCAAGACCAATTTTGCAGAATGAAATAAAAAAGTACAACAATGTTTTAACGCCTATCCCCAACTATTCCCATAGTAAAAGCTGTGTACAAAGTGACCATACATTCATTTTTAGATAAATATTGTAAGTTGTATGGTTATTTACCAATGAAAACAAACCAAGTTGCACGTCTCATTTCTAAATAACCATCTTCACCTTTGCTATCCATACGAAAAAAATTCACTCATTGAAATGAAGGTAAAAAACTTATTGTACTTACATTTATTTACTTTAAATGATTTCCCTTTCACATACAAGTTTGTATTGCGTCCATTTCTGGTAGGTATAACACAGTTCACTTGTTTAACATCACTTACAACCACACCAATAATGGAAGAATCCGCTGTACACTTGTAAGGACAGCTCAGAAATACTACACAGTGCAATAAAACGTATAGTATGAAATGTATAATATGAAATGTATAATATGAAATGTATAATATGAAATGTATAATATGAAATGTACAATGAAAGTATATAGATGGCAAGATACATCAAGAGAAACTTCAATTCTTAATTTGAAACTGAAATTGTGTTAGCTACAATACATTACTTCAAATAAAAACTAGCCTTCGTATTGTGATATTTATAAAATAATATTTCAAATTTAACGTGAAGATTCCATTAAAAGGCCAACGTGTTAAGACATAAAAGTCTGTATAATGTAAACGGTTGTTATATATACCATTTTCCAGTAGTAAAGCATACCATACTACAGTAAGTCAGTAACCAAGGAACAGCCAAGTTAGATAGCCATTCATCAAATGTAATTGGTCAAAAACGGTCACATGTTTCATTGGTTGCAAATCCAGGCTCTAAAACAACTTTAAAGGGAAATATAAGATTGTGTTAGGCAAAATTGGCAAACCAACATCTTGAATTACAAAATTATTGATCGACACAACATCGCAAATGAAGTCAGAGTAAACTGTAAACTTACCTTAACTTAAAGTCGCGAAATCACATAGTCATTTAAGCCATTACACCAAACATCTTCACTTCAGAAAAAGGTAATTAGCGCTGAGGTAAAAACACAAAAGTGCATACAGTGCAAAGGTTGACATACAGGTACACTTAAAGATAAACACAAAGGTTGAAATAAAATGTCACAGACTTAAAAGATTTATCGCCAGTAAATAAACAATTAGTTCATTTTACTTTATGCATTCAATATAATTTAACATCGTTAACATACAACAAAATAATCCAGTTATGTTTATGTTGAAAATTTTTCACAATTCGCTGCATAACACTATTCACATCAAAATTCTATGTCATAGAACATATTTATAATTAGTTACAAGCAAAGTACAACACATATTACGGGTTGCAATACACTTTATCTTCAAACGTCTTCGTTCTCTCACATCATGTCAATATTAGTCATTCGCAGATAAAAAATCTCGATCAAATATTAATCTTTCACAGACAATTGAAGCCTATATCAAACATTAATCTTTCACAGATAATAAAAGCATCGATGGAACATCAATCTGTTCACAGACTAGAAATCACAAATTATTAAATTCTCTATCTAAGTAATCTTTCACAAATATCTCGCACACAGCACAACCAAGTATAGCTACATTTTTTCGCGATTTCTAATCTTTTTCAATAAAACGCCACGGTGTGAAGAACGTTTCGACTGCCATTTTTTGCTTGAAATCGTTCGAGAATATCTTCGATTTCACATTCACGATCTTCGGCATTATTTATCTTAAGAAAAAGTATAAGAAAGTAGATTAATACAGCTGTTCATCGTTGGCATTTTCATTGATTGGAAAACATGATAGTATCTTTTTTGACGATGGTATTATTACTGAGGGAAATAGCGCTCGACTTCAAAGATAAATAGTTTGTAATTAATAACTAGCTTTTGCTTTTTTAAATGTAGAAATTTTTCAAGAACCACGGTTTTCCAAATCACACACTGCTTAAATGTTCTTCTGATTGGGCGATTGAACAAAACACGCGATACTACCTGTTCACAAAGACTGCAAACAAGAAAAGCTCCCAGCGTTGCCTCTTCGTGATTATCTTGAATGTCGATGTTAATGATATGAACTGGAGAATACGTCTCTGGTTGTCGACTCTCTAAACCTATGGGGTAAAAGCAGATAAAGCTAAGCGCCCAGACGACTACTTCAATAAATACGTTGTAAACTAACGCAGAATGAGAAATTTTTTAATAATATTATGAATACTTTCAACAACTTGGTCGTAGACTCGTTCCTCAGCGGTTATGACAATGTCGAACGTTTCTTGCGTGTCTTGAAATCTTTCTGGTCTACTTTTTATCCTTCTGTTTCTATCTAGCATATGAAGAATTCCGTTCTGTGTATATCTGATATAGCTAGAGTTAAGGAATCTTTTCAAAAACACAAAGCTAACATGTTTCAAACATGAATTGTCTCAGAAAAAAATTGATTTTAGTTTCATGCGAAGAGTGGCTCCCGTAGTACCTTGCATAATGGCTCCGGTAGTACAATGCATAAAGTCAACAGTGGTACCATATCGGTGGCTCCCGTAGTACCATTGCTATGACTACTGTTGTACCATGCATGGAAACTCCAGTAGTACCATTGCTGTGACTACTGTTGTACCATGCATGGAAACTCCAGTAGTACCATTGCTGTGACTACTGTTGTACCATGCATGGAAACTCCAGTAGTACCATTGCTATGACTGTTGTACCATGCATGGAAACTCCAGTAGTACCATTGCTGTGACTACTGTTGTACCATGCATGGAAACTCCAGTAGTACCATTGCTGTGACTACTGTTGCACCATGCATGGAAACTCCTGTAGTACCATTGCTTTGACTACTGTTGTACCATGCATTGAAACAACTGTAGTACCATGGATAGATGTTCAATAAGTTAAAAAAGATTTAGTGAAAAGTTAAGAAAACAGCAACAAACGTTGCCTAGATTACTCAGTATTCGACCTTTTCAATGTGTCCGCATGGCTTAACAATTTAATTCAAACGCTGCTGTCAAAATTCAAAAATGGCTTAGTTTTCATACGCTAAATAAATCCCGATATTGTTCGTGAAAAGCTTGTCCGAACTAGTTTATTCATTCCTAGCAGTTGTATTGAATTTCAGATTCTTGTGCACGTAATTCCTCCTCTCCATTCATGCACAGCGCTTAACTTTTTAAAATTTCAAAATGTAAAATTTCTTTGGCATTTTGGAGAACTGCTAAAAGCTCAAGACACACGTTCTACAGGGAATCCAAGGCATTTCTCCCAAATGTTTATAATTTGTTTTGCAATTTATAATATTGCTCCATACAGCAGTCGGCAATACTAAAATACTTAACATGTCTATGAAACTTCTTCTTGTGAGTACACTGGCTGTGATGAAATAGTTTTCCAGAAACTTTATTTCAGCCATGAATATTCATAGGGAACTATACCACATGTAGCTATTATAAGCTTGAATATATTTCTTTTCATCACAAGACGTAAAACATTGCGCAAAACTGCAACCTAAAACCGTCAAATATGAAGAAAAAATTTGCAGGTTATCACGAATAAATTGGTTAACTACCGAGTTTCACGAACTCCAATTTAAATACAAATCTTGGGTATGTTTTAAGGTGTGATTGTTCAGTTGCGCATGTAAAGTTTTCTTATAGTCGTCCATGTTGCCTGGGTAGTCTCTAACAGAAAAGAATGCTTAAGTTCATGACTAGAAACTCATTAATTTCTTTTTATCACGTATTTCAATAACAGATAATCTCGTTCAATAATTGTTTTATGTACAATTCGTTCATGTACATGTATTGTTTCATGTTAAATGAGAATGGACATTGCTACTATATTTTTGTTCACACAGTAAACCTCCTGGCGATGTTAACCCGATGACGTAATAGCGGCAACGTAAAGTTGTATCAAACGTCATGACATGACGTACTCGTTCACAAGACCTTTCACACATGACGTAACTCGTACATACTTTTTGAACAAAACTAGTAGTAATTATCCTAGAGCATCAAAATCTCCGAATTCCCAGATTGAGAGAGATCGGAAACATTTCGTTAAAACAGAAAATGAAATGTCAATAAGTATCATTTTCCTATGAAATCTTTTCAGCTTCAGAGCATTGTGAATGAACGTAATACGCAGCAATCGTTCGAAAAATTATCTCAGCGTACATACGCATCGTCTTCATTCACACCTGAAACAACTCTTCGATTGTTGTTGATGGGCTTTGATTTTAGATTCCGCTTTGGATTTTAGGTCGATGTTTGAGCAAGTAGATGTTATCTTGGCCAAACAACCCAAAGAAAATAATCGGTTCAACAGTCTTTTCAACTGTACGTCATTACGCAACTCCCCCAAATAATCTGCTAAAACAACCAGGAGCTACAACGGTGCCAATTGTTGGTTCTACACCAGCATTTCAGATATCTTTAAGCATAAAATGAAGCAAAGGTTGCACGACCTCCCTACCACACCCACAAATCGTCAATGATGCGAATAAGTTATCTCCACAGACCGACCAAGACAAACAAACCAGCCACACTAAATAGCCAGTTGGCACACTTGCAAAAACATTCACTTGTCGGCCAAATGCTATTTAAAACCAAGTTCGCGAACCAAAGTTCACATTTGCAACACTGATGAAGACCTGAAACAGTTCAGGTGTAAGACCGTGTGGAGTTTTTGGCTTCAGAAGAAAGGAAGACTTAAGCCTTCATGATAAATTGCATCACAACGGTGCACCCCTTAATTCAAAATACAATGGTGTATTTGAATTTCAGTTAATGAATGTAACCACAGCTTGCTAAGCCCAGTGATATAATCTCCAAATGCTGCACTAAATAATGGACACTATTTTTTCGGGCATCAAATGGGAGATGCCCGAATATCTGCTGTTAAAGAATCTAGCAACACCTATTTTCAATACCTGAACCAAGTCGAAGAGTTAGCAATGATTTCATATTTACCAAGTAAAACAAGTTGGTAAGTTTACATGATTAAGAATTGTGCCATAATATACAACATGCAGACATGGCATTTGCTGTGAACGACTTTACAAACTTACGAACTGTTGGGTGTCGATCAACCCATTTAAGGTTGCTTGAACTTAACATTAGAGAATAATTACCGTTTTTAAAATGTACAATAGAAACAATCTCTCTCCTACCCAAATAAGAACTTGGAGCGTTTTTTTTGTAAATTTTTTTAAAAAATTTCAAGCGTATACAACCAAGTCACTAAAAAATTGGAACGAAAACGCCAAATGCTAATCTTGTTAAAAATGTTTCCGATTCAAGTTTCTGGTACCAAAGGCTACGATGTTACTCACTGATAAGGCCGCTATGAAAAATGACTTCAATGAATTCCAAAAAGACAATGAATACAACGTAGACTGTGCTGAATCATGGAGATGGATATGATGCAGCCCGAAAATTATGGATTTAGAGACACAATGGCAGGGATAATACACGAGCATTGGATGAACATTGTATTAAAAGCAACTTACCTTTTATAAGATTAAATTCTTCTTTAAAACACATTGAAGGGATAATCACAATTGAATTGGATATAAATTTAACTCTAGGCTGATTTCAGTATTGCAACCCACATCTACGTATGTAACCAATATTGCTGAACTTACGAGAGAAACTGCCATACAGTGAATTATTACATACACAGATGAAATGAGCAGACTCTCAAATGGAAATGATTATCCACAATATCATGAGAAACAAAGCAAAGCAACTTGAAAATTATGGTATAAATCAGTCAGCAACAAGCAATGGTACAATATACTACAGATAAATAGTGCTAATCATAATTTAATGGAAAGGGAATTACATTGTTATTTTGCTCAAAGAGGATTACAAGCATCTCACCTTTACCAATAATGATACTAAAGACAGACGCTAATTATACAAGTCGTCTTTGATAGTCGGGAGTCTATTTCACCAGTCTATTCGAAAACATCTTATTCAAATAAAAAACACTGTCTTTGATAGCACAAGGAATCTTTTGCCATATTTCATGTCCTCCAAGCATGAAAGTTCCAAACACACCTAAAAAATCATTCCCCACCACAAATGCTAAAGGTATGTCAAATTTAAAATTCAGCCACACTGAGATTCTTGACTGATAGAAGAATGACGTCATTTAGTGCGCGCAATGCATCTCGGTGTTTCATCTGGCTGCCGTAAAAAACATTTATGGTTTATGGGCTTAACAAATATCTCTATTTCCAAAAGTTTATGTCGCGAAAACAAGTTAAATAAATGGTAATATTATATGTCAAAAAAAATTTCGGCACTTACGGGAAACACTCTGCTGACCTCTTCTGATGAATACGCATTAATATTTGAACAATATTCAAGACATCATAAAATTCAACAAACACGTAATCATAAAATCCCAGCCGAATACTTATCACTTGTTGTGACCTGTGGAAAATTTACCACATATGCTCTCGCAATGAGCTTGGCTTTGTTAAAACACCATAACAAATGGATACAGTAGTCTATCTTTTCGTAGTAGGTCTTTATACATCTCATCGTATGTAGTTTGAAACGAATATACGTTAGGTTGATTGGGTGCCGAGCCAGGCAGCTTAACTTGATTTCCTGCCCCATAAGATTTGACATTGAAACCTTTTTTACTATAAAATAAACCCCATACAATCTAAGAACCATTTACAACGCATTTTGTAAACATAATGGATAGAAGAACAATTTTTGTTGTTTTTACCTTAAAAACTTGTGAGCCTCCATGCTTCGATTTTGATTACTTGAACAAACGACAGCGATTTTCAATTCCATAATTTTATCTATATTTCTCTTGATTCAAACACGAAGAACCCAAAAAATCATAGAATACACTTCAGACAATATTAACACTTACAAAATACGATAAAAACAGTAAAATATTCGTTGGATTACGAAGGATTGTACGCCGTCAAAGTATATAAAATGATATAAACATTCAATGCAACCAAACAAAGATTTCAATGCGTCATAAGAAATTTACGAGTTAAGCATGTCACGTGCATATTTAACAAACGTCCATTTACGACATTTGCCACATTTGGAAGATATCGGAGTCATTAGGCTTACGAAACTTTCTATATATGGTAAAAGTCGACAGTATTTTCCCGTTTAGCACTAAAATTTCTATTAACGTGAAACATTGATCAACATGTTACACAGTGTATGCATGTCATTGTCACCGACGTCAAGTAACGTGTTGTAAGTTAGTCGAATTTCTCACTACTTTTTACAAATCCAGTAACATTTGGCAATATTCAACAACAAGGGAACCAGGAAACCGGGCACATTTCAGCAGGTATACCGTCAGACGTCAGTTTGGAGTTTTTGTTTGCAATACGTGAAACAACTGAAAGTTATTTGCACAAAGTTCACTTCTAAAGCAATCTATCAGTCAATTTGTCCTTGTTAGGATGTCTGAAGAAGTTTTATCTCCACCAATATCCCCATCAAAGGCATTGCTTCAGAGCTGGTTAAATAAAATCATGAAAGTGAAGATTTCTGATGGCAGAAGGCTGATTGGATCATTTTTGTGCTCAGACAAAGATATGAACATGATACTTGGATCGTGTCAGGAATTTGTTTATGGGGAAGGTACAAAACAGAAATTCGACATATTGGGACATCTCCCCATCCCACTATTATGTTGAGTGATGTAAAACATTTTAAATTTAGATTATGAAAATGAAGAACCAAGAATTTTGGGTCTTGCAATGATCCCTGGGAAACATATAGTCTCAATTGAAATAGATGAAATGCCAGGCTTTCATAGGAACTCTAACACCACCATCAACCAGTTAACTACAGGAACTGAACCATTGCCAGCCAGTTGATGATGACCAACAAACTCTGTCCGATTATAATCCTTTTTGTAAACATGCAAAAGAAGTATGAAAGATATTTCACCCACAGTCTTTTTATGCATTTTCATTTTAGATCCTTCAAACTTTTAACAAAAATATTCACCCACAGTCTTTTTATGCATTTTCATTTTGATCCTTCAAACTTTTAACAAAAATACAAATTCACTTCTATCAAAATCCAAGTGTTTAAATTAATTTAAACAATATTAAAATAGATTCTGTTCCATAGCTGCTATTTATGACAACAACCTAACTATAGCTGCTTCACTGACTCTTTTGCCACTCTTAAGTGAGTCAGCATAGCTGGATTAGTAATCTGGGTTTGGGAATGACTTCTCCCCCCTTCAGTGGACAATAAAGAATGACTTGCTTAGACATGGATTAGATGAGTTATCGCAGTGAAGGGTGAGAAATGATATTATGGCATTAAAGCAATCCCCTTCATCATTTCAGCTATAAAAGCTGTAGCACTTCTTTAAATGCCACAACTCATTCCTCTGTAAATTTGTTGCACGATGCAATGTGGTTATTGTTGTTTATCTGGTACACTAAGTATATTTAGACAATAAAATTAAAAAAAGCCTTCTTTCTCTGATGATTACCATTGTGCCATTTAAATGTGCCAAAACCATTCAAAAATTAATCCCAGCTGGTTGGGCCAATGTGAACAGTCCATGAAAATTGTTTGGCTTAAATGCTCATTATATAGTTTTCTCTTTCTTGAAGTTATAAATTTATTCTTGTGCTGTTTGCATTTCATAAATAAGAAGTGGATAGTACACTTGACATTTTAAAATATGTCAGGGTATTGTCGAATTTGCCTTCACATTTCGATGCCAGTAGCCTCCTTGATAGACATATGATGAAATTCCCATGTCGGATCTTCTTCCACTTTAAACCATCTTAGTATTGTAAATATTACAACAAATATATCAGAAAACAATAAAAAGCAATTGTTCATTTTGGGAGAAAGACTCAATTATTCTCTCAAGCGATGTATTGTTTAGTCTATATTTTAAAATTTCCTGTGCATTCAACACGTTGTTCTCCCAAATGGGGATCACTCATTAAGCAATGGAGTGGAATGGAATCAAATGAAATTAAGTCGAAGAGAAGGTAACAAGAATAGGTTAATAGCCTAATCAATGAAACTGTTCCCCCCAATAACATACCAACCTTGGAGACCATATCTTTTTTTCATTTTCTCTATGTTTTCTTGCCTGTCTTTGCTTATTTTCTAGTCTACATTTTTCACGAGACGCCTCGTCCATCTAAAAACATCATCAAACAAACGATTTGCGAGTGTTTTTTTTTTTTTCATTTCCATTCCTAAACAGGTCTTACATTTCCATCTTCTAGATTTCGCAAGTCTGGCCTTTTCCTACAGTCTGTGGTACATTGAACTTCTATGGCAAATAAGAAATAAAACCATTAAGCGGAGGTCGAAAGAGAGATTAAAAGATGGTATTACCATTACTCAGATATAAAGTAGATACGTGTGCTTTACAATGCTCATGTTTATACTTTCATAGTCCTTGCCTTACGTCAAACTAATTTCTGATGAGTCACCATTGTAATTATTGGGATACCTACTGTTGATAGCGACTGACGAATCTTGTAAAATATTACCTGCGTCAGGTTCATTCAACTGCATGGCAAACGTTGTTAAACCGTACATCCTTAAAATAAACACAATAAAGATTTTTCAATTTCAGGTACAGTTCAAGTTTACTTTGTATAGAATAAAAACAACAACAGGCGAACCTTACTGAGAAACCGCGCTCGTTTTCTACACATATACAGGAACTGCAGGTTCCCTCAGATGTAGTTAATTTACCAACCTTGGTGATATTTCAGGTTTCGGCACCGCCTTCCACACTTGTATGGGATCTGCAGTCAAACCTGAAAATTTTGCATGTTCAATAAATCCTCTCACGCAGTTCAACAGGTAAATGGTAACTGACCTTTTTCAACAGACGTGTATTCCACATAATCTTCGTAATTTCCATCCAATAACAAACACACGTGACCATTTAAATCTCGTACTTCTCCTAAAAATGTAACAAAAGTTGGTGAAATGTGTCACATTCAAATGTCAATGGGTCAAGTGCGCTGAGCAGACGGCTCCACCAATAGGAATAACAGCACAAAAAGCTGAAGTACCCGTGATCATCTTGTAATGTTCTTTCACCCTATTGTAGGGTTGAAAATGAACTGTACACACTTCTTTTGTTCGGTGATTCTTTATGACAACATCACCATCCTTAAAAGTAAAACATCTTATGGTGTTTTTTTCATGCGGGTTCAAGGAAACTATGTTTGTGGTTTTTATATCACAAAGAGCTAATGGCTTATGGCTTTTTATTAGGGCAACATCAACGCATCTACAAGAGTAATACAATTACAGGGCATGCTTCCTCCTGACCATAGACATTAATCGATTTATGATATAAAAACAGTCACCTCAAATACAATTTCTAGTAAAAAAGATCAGTTAAATATCTTTATAATAACAATAGATCTTACATGCTCTACCCATAATGTCCCAAAGATAATATTGTGAACAATCGTTTCTGGTTTTTTCCAACTATAATGATCACCTGACTTCTTAAACTTTAAATGAACAATACCAGTCGGACACACTCTGACGTACTAAACAATTCATTATAACACAATAAGGTTCTTTATTTCAGTGCATAGTAATAAATGCCATAGCATTGCATATAATTTCACATAATATTAAAGTAACCATGTATATTGTTTTCAATATGCACTTTTTGAATTAACATAACAGCCTTGAAACACACAGTAATACATTCTTTGGGATTTTACTAATTGAAATAATCAAAAAATACTTTTCGTCCAACACACAAAACAATAATAAAAAGCATTGTTAATCACACCTGTCCCCTAAACTTTGTATCCAGTTTATATTCTTCCCAAAATATCCAGTCTTCTGACTCAGCATGCAAAGCGGACATGGGAGGATGATGAGAGACCTGATTTTAGGTAGGCATTGCAGTTAAGTTTAATACAATCAGGGCAGGGTTTTGTATCCAATATCTCATTTAAAACCTGCTCAACCAAGACTGCATAGCCATACTCTTTGTTGATGTATTCATAAGTTTCTCCAAGTAATGGATTGAAGGGCTTCATGAATCTAAACAAAGCATAGTTTGCTCGATTGACAGATGTACAAAATGACCATATCGTATAAAATTTCACATGCACTCACCTTCCAGGAACAGTAGAGAAAGATGAAACCATGAATGCAGCAATATACACAAGACTCTCCACAGAACTTTCACATTCTTCAATTGAAAACATGCTTAATGGTATCATATTACCACATGTAAAAAACCATGCCATGCTTACTTGCAGCTTTTTCTAACAAATAAGCATATTGGAGATCTTCACACAGCCTCTGCAAAATGAAGCATTTGGTATAGAAGTTCTTTATTCATAATTGAAGGTCAGTATCATCCATACACAAGAACATTAGAAGTTGACACATTGTCAATCCTGACTGGAAAGTTTGTAGTGCACACCTGAGATCTCTATATCACAATAGTTTTAAGCATGCACATCTCGAATCTTAGGTTCATACATGTGCAGTGGAAAAACTTTCCAGTCTGGTTGACAATTTACGAGATTTCATTCTAAATATGAAATAAAAAAGCCTGCTATACCTGCAGGAATGAGATGGGTTCATTGAAACACACTGGAAAAGTGACCTTCGTCAAGTCTTTACCAATTACCGTCTTGAGAAAACTGAACCAGTTTCTGAGAGATGATTTCTCACGTGTCATTGGCAAAACATCACGAGGCTGTCGATTTCTTTCGAAAACTATAAGGAATGTTTATAGCATGATAACAGAGGTTCAATACATTTGATAACAGCAAAATATAAAAGGACTTGAAGCTTAAAGCCATGCAAAGCCAGTCCTCATTTTATTCCTGCTATGAAAATTTTTCTGTTAATACATTGGAAAAACAACAAATTAATGAAGAAATGAAAGATGTTCCGACATTTTCATAACAAGAATAAAACTTTCTGGCTGGCTACTCCAGTTCAAATGCAAATATCATGTTTGAGTTGAATCTTGACAAATAACTAACCTCCGTTTTCCTTCAATAGTTCGTATTCTGTTTCGTTAGGATCAATTACATGCAGTTCGCCATTCTAAATGTAAAAATGCTAAACGATAATTTGTACAGGCAACATCACATAACACTAAACAGCTACGTGAAAAATCGAAAGTACATTTAACACGTATAATATGCACATTGCACACCTTGGCAAATAAACCTGATTTAAATACATTTTTAAATAGTAGCGATTCTCTAAATTTCTCTTTGTAAGATTACTAAAAATTTTCATCTTTGCTACAACTTACGTTTGACGGTATTGATAGAAACTTAACTGAACGTAACTGCTAGACACAAACACCTTTAAAACCACACATATAAAAATAGGAATAGCTGTGGCTTATGGCAGGTCTTTTAAAACATGACATAAATCTGACAAACATCATATGGATCAATTAACCCTGATTTTTAATATTAGAGCAATTAAATAAACGATAGATGAAGCAAAAATGGTTAAAGCAAGTGAATTTCAAAATATTGCAAATTTGCTATTACATGAACGCTAATGTAACATATTAAATATTTAACCTGGAACTTTCCTTACAGTTAAAAATTGCTCATCTTCTTCAGCTACATGGGTCATATTACGTAGCCTCTTCTACCACCTAAATAAGAGAAACTTGGGCAAATCTTTGATCGCTAACCTGCAAAAGATTAACTCAATAACTTTTCATAAGTAATGGTCATTCTTTCTAGTATCAAATTTCGTAATATGACGTTTTGTGATTTGTTGTTATTTTCCAGAACACGAGCCTACGAATACGTCAGCGGAGATTGGAGAAAGAGAGCTCCAGGAGCAATATCATCGTTAAATTGTCCCACCCACTGGTCCCACCATAAGCTTGTGATATTCGCCATCATTTACTACCATAAAATTGTCCTACCAATTGAAACTTTATGATATTGGCCACACTTTATCACAGTAAAATTTTACCAATGTAAATTTTTGCCTACCAACTGTATCCCTATGATATTGGCCACGAGTTCCCACGATAGCATCGTAAAATTGTTCAACAAACTATTACCTTTTGATATTTTCTACTAGTTACCATAGTAAAATTCTCTCTATAATAATGGTCACGATTTACCATTATTAAATTGTCTCACAAACTATTGTCTATCGATTAAATTTATTCTGAGAGGGTGCAGAGGTGTGCACCCCTCCTAGCCTTAGTGGGATTGAGTGAAGGAGGGGTGACGATTTCACATAGAAATATTAACATACCAAACCATCAATCAAAAGCAAATGTAATTTGAAAAAAAAACACTTTCAAAAAATATCACTTAATCGTGGTATATGTGAAAAAGAACGAGGCACGGTGACAACCACAAACTAACCAGCCCCCCCCCTACAAAATCATGCTGGATCCATTCCTGATGAAAACACGAGAAAAGCTACAATATATATATATAGTCTACGATGCAGGGTACACGAATGGTGAAAAGTTAGAACCAGCTGTTATGAATACACACGTTTTACTGAACTATAGTCGTTTGTAATCAGAAGTCAGGTACACGAGCATACTGTTATTTCGTCTGCAAACCATGCAGCATAGTAATTTTATTATATTTAATATGATATCACTTTAATATATACCATCAGTCCTACTCAAATAGGTAATACCGTCGACAACATACGGACAGACATCGGTGTTTTCATTGGTAAGGCGAGGAGAACGACCAGACATTAGATCTTGAAAAGCCTTGAAAATTTGATAGTAACTCAATGTATGACGCGCGATTGTATTTCAAAGAAACTATCTACGAATACGTCATTACACGCAGGCATTGACCAATTGAATTTGTTCAACTCACATTGCATGCGGCCTCCTGTAAATTGTTGCCCCAAATATAAATTCTCCTTAAAGTGTTATTTCTCTTCATTGCTTTTGCCAGGGAGCACAAGCCAACCGATGTTATATTGTTGCTACGTATGTTTAACCTGGCAATAAATCAATCCTTTAGTACATTTCTCTCTGTCTTTATGTCATATAACGAATAGTGACGTTCTTGTGATCATAGTACAAATGGAAATTCTGTTTTAACCTTTGTAGAGAAATTTCTACAAAATTATTTCAAAATTCTAATTCTATCGACAAAATTTCTCCAGTCAACAGTTGTTTTATTTTCATATGTGAAGAATGATGTTACTCACGTAACTAAATTGGTATTCCTCAACGCTAGCGCGTCTCCCAACGCGCATGCTCCGTCATCTTCGATCCTGTTATAGGCCAAGTTCAATGTTTCGAGGTGAGTATTCTTCATGAGAACTTTCGCAAGATAACTCGCGCCATCTCTAGTTATGCCATTGCTACAAAGAGAAAATTTGAAAGATATTCTGACTATTCATTGATTTCTGTAGTATTTTGACGATGCAAGCAACATATTATGATGGAGCTAAAACTTTTGAATCTAAGATGATTGTAGAAATGTGACTACCGCCTTTGATAAAGAAGACTTCATACGCACCAGCTTATATCTAAATGTCGCAATGTTGTGTTTGCTGTTAAATTCTCAGCCAATCTTTCAGCCCCAAAATCTTTAATTCCAAACTTTGTCACATGTATTTCCAGCAAAGAACGATTCACCTTAATCAGCGCAAATTCAGTCAAAATGAACAAGGTTTCTTCTCGCTGTGGCTGTTCGCTTCGATTTAATCACATTAAATTAATTACATTATTCATTACATGAAGTACCTTCAGCATTGTAGCAATGTGTACAATAACGGCTTCCTCCTAAAGAAACGAATGTTTAATAAGTAACGATGTCATCGTCACAAAATACATGTAACAAAGAATCACGCTACCTGAGATGAATGAAGAATAGGTCTGCTCATATTAAGAACTTTTAAAGTGTTATTATACTTCAATACTGTTGCCATTGCCACGCAGCTGTCCGTCGTCTACAATTTCAAAGCAGCTTGCTTTAAACAAAGGCGCAAAAAATGAAACACAACTTTACACAAAGTACAACTTTCGTTGTCATTCTAGTTCATCCCATTTTACCATGTCTGTGTCAGCGAGATCCAGTTCTTCTAGCACGGTGTTTACTTGAAGTGAACCAGCGATGGCCAGTGCACCTTTGTCGCAAATCTTGTTACCATTTATTCTGAGAATCAGCAAAGTTTCGTTCATCTGAAGTAAAAATCAACTTTGTGCCAATAATCATTTTCACAACTTTCATAAGCTAGAGATAGACATTGATTTTTGCAAGGATTTAGGGAATCTATATCAAAATCACCTGAAGTCCTTTCGCCATATACTCCGCTCCTGTGTAAGTGATGTCATTATAAGATAAAATCAGCTTTCTAAGAACAGCGGTTTCCTTTGATAATTTTTAAACCATAATGACATTTTTACAGACTTCACACTTCAGTATTGTAATATATAAGTGGGATTGTTTTGTTCTACCTCAAGTAGAGTCGACAAAGTTTTAGCTCCATCGTCAGAGATACTATTGTAGCCAAGATCCAAAGCGACGACGAACGTATTTCCCTGTAGAGTTCTACACAATTCATCAACCCCCTACATAAACATAAACGATAATGAAATATGGTTTATCAATCACTTCTTTGTTTCCCAGAGGTCCTCCCAAGCAACAATGAAAAGAAAAAAAACTCTTCAAAACTGCTAGGTACAAGAGGATATTTTATTTTAAACATTGCACGAAACCTCGTCATTTATTTTTTCTCGATACTTTTCGTTGTTTGTGTTTCGCTTGTTCGCATTTAACTTCAACTCCAACGTACAGCTTCCATTCGGATCTCTGATAGAAAGAAAATACGCATAACTCAAATGCCTATAACAATAGCCCTAAAACTTGAAAAGTGCATGACAGACAAAACTTACAAAATTTGGTCGTCGACTATTCTGTCCAGGATGGCTATAATTTCGCTATCAGGCTGTTTTTTGGAGTCAGCACAAACTTCGAGATAGGCTTCTTTAGTTTGAAGAGCGTCACTCATTATTGATTCATACTTTAGTTAACTTAAACTAAGCAAAATCTTAAACAGTGTGACTTTTCGTTTTTGCCACTCTTTTAAATCTCCATATTGTTAGAATTTAATTAATGTCGGTTGCCATGTAAACTCATCTAAAGTTCCATCCATTTGAAGTCGGTTGAAAACAACACGACAAGACACGATTGTGGGCCGAGCTGTATAAGATTTTTAGATCTGTGGTGTTGTGTTGTTCAGTGAGTTCATATATTCAAAATTATTTCATCGACGAAGTAATTTTAGCTTTTTAGTTTGGTACTTAGTTATTTATTAGTAAAGCACATTTATATACATATTTTTCTAAACGCATGACAAACGTGAAAATCAGTATGATAACCAGATTTATGAGCATGACCAAAATGGTAAATCGAGGAAAAAAGTATATGAAGCTGTACACTTCCACAATTTCATGTTAGTCCCTACGTTTCTACTAGCAACTAAAACACTAACAATGTGTTATGGCGCTTAGCTCCGGTTTTAACAAGGTCATATCATAAGCATAATTGAAAAATTATTATCATATCAAAGTACAAAAATACAATCATTGTTAACAATGTTTATGAATTTTCTAAGTTAAATATCAATACATTTAATAATTAGTGCTATCAAATTACAAGCACAAACGTACGTACAAGATAAGTTGTTTAATTTGTTTATTTGCTAAACTCGTGAAACCAGATTAGTTGTTTAGATGTTTCCATGGTAACCGAAAAGATATCACATTTCCATTGGCATTTTTATAGATAGTTAAATTCGTCTTGCATTTGTCTTTCACCAATGAAAGCCTTTTCTGTTCTAAATTACACGCTTAAATTCGAAGAAACAGAAAAATCCCTTGAAATCAGGTAAGTCTATTTTATTTTCTTTCGCTGCCGAACTCTTGAGTCCATTTTAACAGGACCCGAAGAAAAACGAAACGCTTCATTTGTTTTTTGAAATATGTTTCACTTTGGAATTAACGCTACGACAACATACTTAGGATTTATCCTACACGAAAGCTACTATCACGAACAAAACAGCGCAAATTAATTTCAAATCCGCATAGTCTAGTCAAACGTTAAGGTTTCAATGCCTAAGATTCCAAGCATGATATTGACTAAGGTCTAGGGAGAATTTAAACCAGTTCAACTAAAACCATTTTATAGTTATGCAGTATTACAGTAAACGATTCATTTCTTACATTTACAATTTTTCATAGGAACTGACCGTTTCCTTGATTTGTAAATATGGATTTGGACTTCGCCGATCAAACGAAGGAAGGTAAAACGATCGTATAAATTCTTGTATCTATAAAACGTGATTAGCGCATCGTTTTATTTATTTATGGGATTTAAATGACAACGGAGATGGTCAATACAATTATTTACTTTTAAACTAGTCCCATATCTTCATTCGCGATTTGTCATTTCAAAAACTCCTTTTAAAATGATCATTCCGTTTTAGCCAATTTTTCCATCCTACTTTTTAGTAATTTTCATTAAAACCATACTGACAGCAGACAAATCAGCGAGGCAAATGAAATTAACAAAATAGTATGCTTTACCAAATATTTGCAAACCATGTTAACGGGTACACTTTTGTAGGGCAAATCCAGTTACAAGTAGAATATGGTTCTCAACACGGTCAACTACAGGTTACTGTGATGGAAATAAACAGTCTGATTCTTCCTACAGGTAAAACAAAATCTCATCAGTCATTTTTCATGGCACGAAAAAAAAAATATAAAGATAAACTACCGAATTTCTCTTACCTGCAAATTGATGAGAAATTATTTTGTCTACTTCACCAAAGGAGCACTAGAAGCCCCGTAGGAGTTCTCGCAAAACGAGAACTATACATATTCTCATTGCGCGTAAAAGCATTTTTCTTTTCTCATCTCCACATCAGTTAAACGTCTGGGGATTTCTCATGTGTACGTAAAGAGTCATTTACTGAACGAGAAGACCTTAGAGCCGTTTAAAAAGAGAAGCACTTTCAACAGTTTCTTCCTGCAAGACACATCAAAAGAAACAAAAAGAAAGACAGAAGATGTTAAACTGACGATGTCAACATCGGATTCTCCCAGTCAAAATAATAATGAAAACTCACGCAAGAGTAGAATAAGAAAGGCTTTGAAGAAACAAAGGGAAAGATTTCGTTTCAGAAGAAATTCTGACAGAGGTTTGTACATCACCATTTGTATTTACACAAAGAAAGACGGAAAGAGACGAACACCTACTCAAACACCCTTAAAGTAGCTCCGTTTTATGTGTGTATATCTTTATCCAACTAGTCCATCTTTAAATCTTACATTGACTTCTCACATCACAGTTAAGACAGTTGTCAATGCTGCTGGGAACGAAAATGGTCGCGCAACGTTGTCCTTTGAGAGATCCCTATATTACCCTTCGGTGTCCTTGTACCAACTCCAAACACAATGCCTTCATTTAACAATCTGCGGACGCAATGCTACGACAACACAAAGTTTTCCTATAGCGACAACTTGTATACCGCTGATGATAGCGATCAAGCAACACCAACCTACGTGGTATCAAATCTCATATAATCCTGATTTAGCTATGGATAATGAAGGATCGAAAATGATTTCAGTGCAACAAACATGGGACAGGAATGAAGGTGAGCTTCCTTCCCTATTTGGGCATTTTGCTTCTTTGCGTTTTCACTGACCGTACAAAATTTTACCCAAAATGTATTTCAGAAGTTAATACCTCAAGTTTTGCAAGCTGTAAGCTTTAGTCCACTGCCTTGTTTGTTCGCTGCAGCTGTCAATACGCTTTATTTTGTTTTCACCTAGAAGGTGCATTCACGGGCCGCAATGTCGCCTGGGACAGAAGCAACAATAACCACAGTTACAGTAGACATTTACAGTCAAATCGAAAGCAATCGATAGCCAAGAAATCAACGATACACGTCAACATTCCTGGTCAAGATGGCTTGCGACGTCCTAAGAGAAGCTAGACAAGAAAACAGCCGATATGATTCGGGAGTTAGCTTAGATAGGCTAGGCAGACATGAGAGCATCGAAGAATTATTCTTTGACGAAGGAAATAAGACAAATAATTTTCAATCAAGGAAATTTCTTCGCCCACAACAAGAATGGAAATCGGAGTTCGTGATCTGCGCCACCGCAATGGATAGTCAGCGGTCGAGTAAAGGCGGAGAATTGGATGTAAGTTCGTTATCACTCAATGGTTCTTCAAACCGAAAAACATTTAGCGAAAGAATTCGTGGCTTTTGATTGAAACTTGACGAAATATCTTATGATTTTGGACATTACAGCTTCTCAAAAACGGATCTCGTACTTTCCCGTGAAACTGAGGGAAGCTAAAAAATTTTTTGCTACCCGACAATAAATAGCGATACTAAATAGTGATTCGTTAATAAATAACTATAAAATTTAGGAAGAGATATTGTGTTACTGAACTTTCCATAGTCCTTTAACAATCGGCATTTTTAGGAAACTAAATACAACCATACAAGGGAAAACAAACTTTGAATGAAATTAATCGAAAAACAATTAAGAAATTGTGATAAAATTGTGACGATTGTTCGTCGACAGTGCGAATAAATTGCATCAAAAGTTTGTTTTCTCGTACAGTTTCATTTCAATAGCAGCCCAGTCTTCCCACGAGTGAAAACACGAACTACAGCTGTACACAAGTGTTCACATATGTTCCTACCGTTAAAGTTTGTTTTCTCGTGCAGTTTCATTTCAACAGCAGCCCAGTCGTCCCACGAGTGAAAACACGAACTACAGCTGTACACAAGTGTCCACAAATGTTCCTACCGTTAAAGTTTGTTTTCTCGTGCAGTTTCATTTCAACAGCAGCCCAGTCTTCCCACGAGTGAAAACACGAACTACAGTTGTACACAAGTGTTCACAAATGTTCCTACCGTTAGCTGCCACGAACCTTATCCTTACGTGGTATTGCTTTTGAAGTATTTCGTGTGCTTTTACTAGCCATCGCTGTACTTCTCGACCCTTTAGCTCGCAGGCTCGACATGCTTGCAAACGGTGGTACTTTGTTACCTAAGTCCGTATAAAAGCAGTTTAGTGATTTTTTCGTCATTTCCTGGCAGCAAATCGTATTTTACGGCGAGCAAATCGTCATAGCTTTAGTACTATCAACGTTATCAAAATTATCTTCGAGTTGAACAAAGAACTTAAACTCCTCCAGTAGGATTAGAGAATACTACTCTTTACTTACCTTGGTGCTTTAACTGTTGTAGTCGCTGTGTGTTTGGCTGGCAATGTTTAGTCAAATGAGAGCGCCACGCCTAAAAAACAAGTCAAACCACATCAAAACATATCGAAAGGAAAGAATATATTGTTTCTTTTGTAAATGATTAAATCAGAGACTTGGCATACTAGAAACAAATGCCAAACACTGCAGAGGACGAAATAAGTAAACATAAAGAAATTGACGTCTCTACAAAAGACAGCAAATATTATATAAGAACTGAGATATTTTCAGCCGAAGAAATATCAAAGTATATCTAACAATCAGCTGTATGCACACCTCTTCACTTGTACCAACTGTCTTCCGACATAAAGGACATCTATTGCCAACCTTTTCTGCAGATAAAGTAAATAAGAATCTTCTCAAACTACCGTCGTATACAAAGAATATGAATGACATCGGAAATGTAGCTTACTCGGACAAACTTTGTCGTGGTTGTGATTAGATAGTTCGCTCTTCAAAACAGCTTCTTTACAACGGGGACAGGCGACAAACTTGGATTTTAATTCACATTCTTCAAGAAGATGTTGACTTTGACGACATATTTCGATGACCTGATGATCATTTATTATTGTTTCAAAATACACGACAGTGGAAGACGAAGATAACACTTCATGTAAGTTTCTTATGTCAACCACTTTGCATGAGCTATCTTTGCATATTATACCTGTGAGCACTGAGAACAACGCTTTAGCATTGGACATGACTTCCAGTAATGGGTATCGAGCGCTTCTTCCGTAAATGTCTCATCTTTCAATCCGCAGAAGATACATCCTACATGTGAAATAGAGTGACATCACGTGACTATTGTTGTGACAGATTATATAAAACCACGTGACTACTGTATGCGGGTTACAGAGCACGTGACTGGTAGGATATAAGCGGGTTAGCTGTTTTACATGCCAAATACCTGTCTATATCTGCTCGTTCAGGAGGTGGAGAAGGGTGCATCACACGTTCAACTACAATGAAAAGAAAAATTGATGCAAATGCTAACCTGTTTAAATGAAGAGTATGAAATGCGCAATGCTTGAAAATGTGTGAAATATCATACTACCCAACGTGTTAAATCTTGAACGCGAGGGCCCTGTTATATCACGTGACGTTACTTTAGCATGCCATCAAAAGAACTTCATGTTATGGGCGATAAAACAAGAGTTCGTAAGACAAATATTCGTCCCACTTGATGAGACGAATGATGTCATGCCATAGTTATCTCACTCACGACATGTGAGATCTCAAAAGTATGGTGTTCAGATATAGTGCTCGGTTTTTATTTGTTTTTATCTTTATGTATATCTTTACCCGGCATTTCCACTGATTCACCCTGTTTGGCAGCCATTTCTCTTAAAGCTTGTAAATGCGCATGAAGTTCATCAATCTATGAAACAGCGATAAAAAAATCGACAGTAATGACAAACATTTGAATAAGAGAAAAACTTCTTACAAAACAACAATAGTAAAGCACTGCCAGTGCAACTTTGTAAATCCGGGTAATGTGCATGCCCGCATTTAAGTTTACACCCGACTCACTTCTTTTTGTTTTGCCTTCTCCGCAGCCTCTCTGTCGCTTTTTGCTTTCGCCTAAATGAAAATGTAATGATTGGAGGAATGTTTGCAAGAAGTAAACATCCGCAGTCCAACTCAGTATTTCATCTTCTCGCACATATAACTCACGTATACGTATGTGTCGGCAAACCTTTTTCTCCGCTTCTGTTGGTTTACCATCAATTCTATCAAAACCGTCAAAGATTGAACGGTACAACGCACTCTTTCTCGTTGCCGGCTCGTCATTTGGAAGAAAACTCCTCACTGGTGCTTTCAACTGGAACAAAAATTAAGAATGCTTTCGTCAGTGAAAATCCAGCTCTACCAAAGAAGACAACAACAGCAATAACCTTATAGAGTTCAAGGATTAGTTTGACTGCAGCATCACGAACATCACCATTGGCATGATCAAGGGCAGGAAGAAGGAACTATAAATGTTAGAAAATTAATGTCTCAGTCAGCCCATGTTTAAACTTCAACCACATTTTGAAAACCATGGAATATTTTCCACCAAGTTGACAACAGCTTAACTCGTACCTTCATCATTAAAGACGTAGAAAAACCACTATGGACAGGAAAAAAAGGTTGTGTACAACAAGTCATATTTACTGAATAAAACAGAAAAAATATTTCTTACTTTGCTGTTGTTTCATCAATGCCCAAAATTCCAAGGAGTTTTTCGAGAAGATCAATCCTTCCAGTGTATAACCTTGCAGTTGTCTTTAAAGAACGCATTTATATAGTCATTGATGAAAATTTGATGCGAATGGAACACTAAAGTACATCAAGGTATACCTGTTGCTTGGCTTTGAATGGATGCGTCACAAGCTGCGGTATAACACCAGTCAACTGTAACCAATAAAACACAGTGTTTAAGACACGTGACGTGAGATGGAAGATGTTTAAACATAATACCTTGATACTGTCAATCTGCGCAATCTCTAACATAAAAGAGACGGACGAATTCTTCATTCTTGAAGCCTTGATGGTGAAAAAATTAAAAGAAATTAAGCACTCAAAATGAAGAAATTTTATACTTCAATTTCTCGTAACTTAGGGTTACACAGACAAAAAAAATAAAATTACCATTTCTCCAGTTTTGGGCAAAACAAGAGGAATCGTCTAGAAATGAGACAATATATTAACACTGCCATAACTAGCTTGCTCAGTCGCAAATTATTACAAAAATCATCTGACCACGCGCAGTCTACTCAACCAACTGTTCGAGTTTATAATGAACCTACTGAATCAACTTGCAATGCTTTTGGAGTAATACGTGTCAAGCATACATACGGGTCAAAACAGTACAACCTACGACTGAGTAGACGAATCTGTCCGATTTAAATAGAGTTTAGTAAGAATGAATAGTGTACATGCTGCAGATGTTGAATGTATGTAAATACCTTTTGAAGCACAAACGGAATTTCGCTTTGTCCATCGCTGTGTGGGAAAACAAATAAATAGATACCTTTTTAAAAAACTACTTATAAAACAAATTTTACGAGAACAAATAAAATCATCGCGAACTTACTTATTTGGAATGTAAGAGACGAGCAGATCTTTTAAAATGGACAAACAGAGAACAAAAACCTTCCGGGAAACAAAGTGAACAGTCGCTGTCAAAAGTACGATAAGAATACAAGTGAAAATTGAAGGTCACTAACTGGATGAACGAGTTCATTGAGCCCCTTCTTGAGCAATTCGACAACAGCTCTGATAACAGATCTTGAGTCTTTTCAACGATCAAATGAGGATTATTTGAAGTCAACTCTTGCTGGACAGCTTTCATTCCTTCCTGTCGGTATTTCCATTGTTTCGTGAAGATACGACGAACCTACGAAATAATGAGGACAGTTTGATTAACCCTCTCAAACGAAAGACATTGTTGCTTTGATGGAAAGAACGCTGTTATTACAATGTCTTCTCCGAACACCTCGATGGCTAAACTGGCTTCTCTTGCATCCTTCTCCTTTAGTTCACTAGGTTCGTCTACTAGAAAATGTAAAAATTCTTTGAAATACACACAAACAACGTGAAACGATAACGTAAAGCAAAACTCCCACAAAATTGACTTTACCAAGCACAGGAGATGATTGCTCTTTCTCTGGAAACAAAAATACAAAGCACTTACAATGAAACCTTTCAAATAGCACACTCCAGAGAAATTCTCTGCTTGGAAACATTCAATACTACTTGTATGATGAGCCATATAATGTTAATATGTCTAGTTAATATCTATAATCAAGCCTAAAACTTCAGAGTTTGATACTAGTTAAAATGACTTTGTAAAACGTTCATTTTGTGGGCCAAACACACGTGACGCAGCACATTTGCCTTTGTATAGAAGAATAGTGAAACACAATAACAGCATGTATTTTCAGATAAAGTTTCTTTGAGACGGATATAGCTCAACAACATCAAACGAGTAATTTTATCTTTATAAGTAGTGTAAATACCTGTCATGTTTTCTTCAATTGTATTCTCCTTATTCCTGAAGTTGTAAATATATTTACGTTGAAAACTGACCAGTAATAATATAAAAAACTGCATGATGGCTAAAGGGAAAACATTTCCAAACATTCGCGACATTTTATCATAAAAAATACTGTACTTTTTATTCGTCGTAGGCAATGGTCTCTCGTCAGCAGTTGTGTTCTAAAAATCAAATCAACAATACGACAATTAATTCATACTGAATATTGAGAACATCATCGAATAAGTTGCAAACAAAAGACCAACTCGTGTGAGTTGGCATGCACCTGTAAAAAGAACAAAAATTCCCCCATCATCAAAACTTTCATCAACAATCAGCGAACATAGTATAAAACAAATTCCGAAGAAGCAAGACATTTTGAGATTGCAAAATGTGCATCAAAACAAGACGAGAAGTGAACTGTAAATTTTCGACTTTATTTCAAAGTCATCCTCAGACAGAATGCAATCTCAAGATGTCTTGCTTCTACGGAATTTGTTTTATACAATATTTCTTTCAATTGTCGGCTGGTCATGGTTTTTAATCAGCGAGCGACAACTGTACTGCAAGAAGCCATCAATAGCGCATTCTTTATACCTGTAAAGTCGAATCTTCAGGCAAGATACTCTCTTGAGGTCTGGGACTGAGATGCGGTGTGCTCTCCGGTGAAAGTCGTTCATTTTTCCTCTCCTTATCACTAGCTCGGGTTATTGGTGGTAAAGGTGGTGATTGGTTGAAATGGGACGTAGGTGGAAGAATGTTGGGAGCTTCTTTTTTAGCCTGCAATGCAAAATAAAAACCATATAGCAATTACACGTGAATCGTAGTTGATGTACGCTTTCGACTTTACCTCATTGATAATATGAGCTGAAACTAAACGATCCCAGACAACTTTGCGGTATTCGTCAATTTGTTGCTAGAAATTAATTCAATCATTTCAAAAAGTTCCAAAAATTTACGACAAGAAAACCCAACACATAGAGGAGATATAGAGAGAGAGTTTGAACACAAATGAAGAGGGATTATCGTACTTCAACGCGCGTGCAAAGAGTGTATTTCTATTTTACTCAACGAGACGGTGAATAACGAGAATTGGAGAAAATAGAGGTGAGGTACACTTTAGAGAAAGAGGTTGCAGTGGTTTGGAGATGTGATGAAGAGAAGATGATTGTGTGGGGAAACAGAAATTAAAGATGGCAATGCTAGGGAAGAAAAAGAGGAACGCAATGTAGTTGGTTGATGGATGTGGTGAGGAGGACACGAGGGACATGGAAGTGATAGAAGAGGATGTGGCGAGGAAGGAAAGGAGGGACATGGAAGTGATAGAAAGGATGTGGCGAGGAGGACATGAGGACATGGAAGAGATAGAAGAGGATGTAGTGGTAAGAGCATATTGAAGAGCAAAAGGGAGTATCCGAAAGGAGAAAAAACAACTGGAGAGTTATAAAACATCCTTTTCTCCCTACTTAAACAATTTAAAGAAACATTCGAACCTTCTTCGTCATGGCTAAATCAAAATCTTCCATTTCCACAGCTTTTTGTTTCTCAACGTGAAGACGGCCGAGCCTTTCTCCAACCTTAAATAAAGCAAATATCAGCTGTGAAAACTGGTAAATACACGCATACAAACAAATAGCTATTTACAAACGAAAGACGAAGCTTAACGCACAATAATTGCATTTGCGCAGTCGTGACACACAAAAAATAGACTTTCTTGTCGTTTTTGAAAGTCTTATCGAGAGAGATATTATACATTATATTAATTGATTTTGCTTCAAACTTGGAGAAATATTTCATTTACATTTCAGGCTTTCAAAAATGAATCCTTATGTATATATAGATATAAATGTATGTAACCGTACATAGTGTGTCCCAAGTGCAGGAGTTACCATTGCACTATGGTGATAACTGGAAGGGCACATTGTCATAGAAGTTGTATGTATGTATATATTTATATACAAGTAAATGTCCAAACGTTTGATTTAGCAAAAACTTGCCTTGTGTAAATCACTGATAACCTGGTGAAGCTTTTTTGCTTCAATAAAATCATCTCCTAAAGAAGAATATGAGAATGTAAACTACTAGTACATAGAGATGAAACATTTAAACAATTTTGATGGGGTGAAATTTTTAAAAGAGCCAATACCTTTAATAGCATTTCGTTTACGCTTTTCAAGTCCACGTATAATATCAGCCGTTTGGGGATCCTGCATTCAAATTTAGTTACCGGTATATTATTGATGAAGTGGAGGTGGAAATAATGACTAAAATACCTGATACATGGCAAATGCAATATCATCCAGGGGGGAGATATGTTCTGGTCTATATGAATGAAATATTTTAATACTGTGGTAGGAGTACAATAAGTCTGAGTTGTTTAGACAAATGTTTTGTTTTAATTATTTTGATTTTCAGACATTGATAGTCGATAAGCAGACATTATTTATCTAGCCAGGCTTCTGAGATACAAATGAATGAAAACAGTTGGACGGTATTTCAATAAACTCTCCAAAGTAGATGAAAAATTGTCTCTAAGATTAATATTCCATATTACAAAACAGCCACAGCACGCCATTCATTAGGATTGAATAGAATGAATGCGCTTAATGAATGTGTAAAATGTGTAAGGGATAATTTGACGACAGTGGTTCTTTAAGAGGAGTAGAGAAAATGTATGCAAACTAAAGCTTACTTATTTATCTTTCCCCAAACTGGATCATGGGACATTAGATCTTCCTGTTTCACATATTGGTCAACAAGTTTGTCAGCTGTGTACTGCAAGTTGAAAGATGATAAAAATGTGTTTTTATATTTGAGGATAGAAGAGCTTGAAAATGTAAAATCTCCCTTCCCTCCAAAACCACTTGCTCACATCTAAATGTCCAAAACCTTTGTAGCTTTCAATGTCTTCAGCAATGATGTTGGCAGCAATGACTTGCACCTAAAATAATTATCCTTAGTTTCCGAATGTGTTAAAAATCATTATTGTCAATGGCGTACCTGGTTGTATAAATTGTTTGTATTGATGTAGTTCTTATGTATAATAAGTTTAATGAACTGTCCTTGTGCATCTAAGTGAACAGATTTCAGCTCCCTTGACTAAAATTATACAAATTTTGTTGATTCTCAATGACACTGTTTAGGTCATTAAATAAAGTCATCAAATGATGGCTGACACTCATCCACCTTAAAGTTTGTCTTCTGGTTGTCAACTAAACCAATATGTCTGAAAATCATAAATGACACAATGATTTTGGACTGAAGCAACAATGCTAGAATTCCTAATTTCACCTCCCATGTTAAAATGGGTCATTTTATAAATAAATTTACCTACCCAAGTCTTTCAAATCTGCATGTTAAAAGTGAAGTGGATTGATTTTCTGGCAAACATCCAACAAAAATTTCAATCTTTGTTGCTGAGGAAAGTATGTTACATACGTAGGTCAAAAGATTTTACAAGCCTGAACAATTTTACAAAATTACAAATGAGCAAGCTCACGTATTAAATACTGGTGGACAAGGATCTGTAGTTTACGAATTCTCATGGATTCTTGTAGCATTATAATGATTTCTTGTGGGTAGGCACAAAATCTAAATAGCGAGGAGGAAAGGGAATTTGATATCAGCTAGCACTACATGAAAACAAACCTTAAAAAAACACTGTCTCTTACTTTGAGGATCGCCATCCTCTTGTTGTTGGGAATGAATTTCTAATGCCCTTGCTATATCCATCATCAGCTCGGTTGCATGCACCACTTTGAAGGGAACTTTCTTGGCCATTAACTACACAAAAACCGAACCTAGAATTTCATATTCATTACGTAATGTTAAATCACCAAGAACACTTATTTTAAGGCTATATGTACAGAGAGAGAACAACATTTATGACATTAATACACATGACCACTGACATTCTAAAGAAAACATTGCTCTGATTACTGAAATATATGCTTCATATTTGTAAGCAATGGCATAATTAATATCTACACAACTGGTAGACAAAATATAGGTTAAAGGAAAAAGATATTTATGGAAAACATACTCAAGAAAATTATAAGAAAGTAGGTGATTTTACTTTTGTACAATCCTCTTACATTGAGAGCAAATATCACATATTTTTTAGTGCTAAAGAAGCTTCTATATCAAATTGAGAAGCAGTAAGGCTTCTATAATACTTATTCAAAGTCAACGTTGACACTTGACAACAGTAAAAATGTAAATATTGAGAAAAATCACGACAATTCTAATTTCTACGAAAATGTGCTCACCAGTTCCAGAAAATGATCATTGCAATTTGAAAGCAGGTAATACTTTAATATTCGGACGAGATTGATGTTACATACTTCAAAGTTTCAAAGAAACACAAAATCTTTCGCGCCCAAAATACTAAAGCAATTGAACAGTAAGTTACGTATTTTCATGTGGTGAGCACGAATTAATTATTTTGCATAATCAAAATAATTACTTCACAAATAAGGCAACAGAATGGCATAATCTTTTGCTAAGTGCTACACATCAATGGACTAGACCAGGGTCTCAAACTACGGCCCGCGGGCCAGATGCGGCCCGTTGGGCCTCTCAATCCAGCCCGCAGAGGCACTTAAGAAAAAATAATAATATTATTAAACAAAATAAACTTTGTGCAGAAAGTTCCGTTATGTCCCAAGCCAACTAGCAAGAGTGGCTTACGTCAATTTTCTCCGAACTTCCTACTTCCGTTTCAAGCACATTGCGAAATTTAAAAGCTGAAGGATAACGTGGAAATTTTTATATTCTTCGGCCCTCAACATGCTGGATGAAAGTTCATGTGGCCCTCTGGCTGTAAGTTTGGAGACCCTGGACTAGACTATGGTCATATGGTGATTCCACAGAGATTTAGATGTTCGATAGCTCTAGGTTCAATAGTTTTATTGCAGTATAGGTGCTATTATGTAATCCTATGAGTTGTGTCATGTTCTTTTTAATTCCAAAATTACTTGGTTCTTTAGTTAATATTTAATATATGATGTCACACCAGTGCGACTAGAACGTTATATAACTCCTATAGTCGCATTTTCGACTTATTTGGTCTTGTATAATAGAGTTAAATAAAAGAGTGTAAGGCTATGTTTACACGAGACCGGATAAGTTTTCGTCCGCTCAAAAATTTGCGCCGTTAGCCCTTCCGTTTACACTACAACACGCATCCGTACTAATTTTTTAACATGTATCCGAACGAATATTCGTGCTGCTGTAAAAGCGGGCAAATAAAAACTTGTGCGGATGAATATTTTAGCTGTACTGTGTAAACGCAATCCAGTTGTTTTACGATCGGATTCGATCCATACCCCTCACTATGTCTCTGATTTTTTCGGTAATACAGATGTATACAAAACAGTAGTAGCAATACATATATACACGAATCATGGACCAATGGAAGAAAAACTTCCTTTAGTTGTATTCACGTCGGCTTTACTAAGCTCCGTTGCAACTTTGGAAATTATTCCGGCTGTTGTAATGTCATTAGAAAGAGAGCGTGAACGAAGGCAACGGTTGACAACTATGACAGCCATTTTGGGCATGCAAACAAAAAAATTCAGCTTGCTTTTACACTCCATTAAAAGAGGGAAGCGAAAAGGAAGAAGGCGAAGGTTCTGGGTGAGACCAGGAAGGAGCTCCGAATGGTGGACGAATTTCATGAATGGTTTTGTAGTTGAGGAAGAATGGCGAGAAAATTTTCGAATGTCGAAAATGGCTTTTACCAAATTATGCAATTTACTTCAGCCGTTTCTCGAGAAAAAGTTACTAATATGCGCGTGCCTATATCGGTTGAAAAGCAACTGGCAATAACACTCTATTACTTGTCGGACGAGGGTAGATATCGTAAAGTGGCAAATGCCTTTGGTGTATCGAGATCATCAGTCTCACTAATCGTTCGACGAGTATGCCATGTTTTGACAAAAGTCTGGGATCCAAATACATAAAACTACCGCAAAATAAGGAAGAGACGCAAACTCTTGTCTCAAAATTCTTTGTTAAACATGGGTTTCCACAGTGCATGGGTGCAATAGATGGTACGCATATTTTCATTAAACGCCCCAGTACCTCACCAACAGATTACCTTAACAGAAAGAACAGGTATTCTCTTAATGTTCAAGCTGTTTGTGACTTTAAATATCGTTTCATGGATGTGGTCATTAAATGGCCGGGTAGTGTACATGATGCACGGATATTTTCTAATTCCAACATTAACCGTAAGTTTCGTGAAAATGAGAGTTTTAAATGTCAAAAAACAAATTGTTGATGATGAGATGCCAGTCCCTGTGTGTATACTGGGTGACCCCGCTTATCCTCTCCTTCCATTTCTTATGAAAGAGTTCCCAGGTGGTGGCAACAGTGTGCAACAACAATATTTTGGGTGGCGCCTTTCTTCAGCAAGAATGGTCATAGAATGTGCATTTGGAAGACTGAAAGGCAGGTTTGGAATATTAAAGCGTGAAATGGATATCAACACTGAAGATCTACCATATGTCATTTATGCATGCTTTGTTCTCCACAACTATTGTGAAGAAGAAAAGCAGGCTGTTGCTGAAGAAGAAATAAGCAAAGCAATGGAATGTGAAAAACAATTCCAACCACCCATTCTGGGAAACAGATACACCCTTGGTAATAATGATGAACAAAGTGGGAAAATAATTAGAGACATTTTTGTAAAATTTTTTGATTGATGAAACCAATAACAATCACTTAAAATTTTCTAGTTAAAGTTATCGGTTGATAATATGAATATTTTTAATTGTGTATTAGCTGAAAAAGGACATGTGTTTTAGCTCAATAAGAATAATCCAATTTCAGTGTTACAAACACAAAACATGAAGTCTAGAAATAATTTTCCAATAAAAAAAACAGCTTAAGTATAGAAAAATACAAATTTTGGGAAAATAAAAGCCAAAAAGTAAAGCATGGCTATCAAAAGTTTGGATAAGATGGGAAAGATTGCGAATATCCATTTTGATGGTTTCTGTAGCCATGTTGGTCAGTTGGCAGCATTGGCTGTTGAAAGAACACTTGCAAGGAACTAAATCCATTGTTAATAGCTGATGTGAGATTTCCAATGCTTTCTTTTAAGCACTGCATGTCATTCTCATGTTTTCTATTAGCTTCCTCCATCATATCAACAACTCTTTTCTTGAGAACAACTTCTTCCTTTGAATTGCTAATTAATTGAAGCATGTGCTCATCTAAAGATCGCTTCTTAGTCAGCTTTGAATCTTTCTTTTCTTTCAGATTTCTAATTAAATTACGTCTGAATTCACCCATATCTTTGACCTTGTGACACAAATCTTGTTTATCTGAAGCATTTCTCTCAATTTCACTCTCCAAATCAACTTCACTCCTTTCGTATAAATCAATGGAATCATCGCATTGACTACTTGAAGATGTTGGTGAGATACTCCTAACATTTGGAGTTGAGCTTCCAACATTGCCACCATCCAGGTCAACGGTTTCAATTCCCCCTGGCATACTTTCAACTGCTGGAGATCCTGCCCAAATTTCAAAGCATTCGTCATACAGACCCAGCACAACTCTTCCACCACCACTTTTACGACCACTATCCACAGCCTTACGAAAATTAGCTTTGATACGCTTTATCTTTTGCGATATCTTTTCTTTGGTAAAAACAGCTAAATTGTTGCAGTTCGGATAGTGTTCCATGCTTGTTTCATTTTTTGGGTAGGCTGCGCGAAAACGCTGCAGTATTTCTTCGTACTTGTTCTTGATTGTTTCCCAGTCGAAACCAGCATTACATTTATCAGATTTATAATCGATAACTACGCGCATCAAAAGAGCAGTCTCTTCGTCACTCCAAACAAAATTATGATTTCGGGACGCCATGTTTTAAGTGAAATGTATTACACATGCGCGGCTGTGTGCACAAGCTATCATACAGTGTTCTCACTTCTCATAAACGACCCACGAACAATGCCCACGAATCCTTTCTTATCCATTAATAAGTGCTACAAAGCTAAATAGTGTGTAAACGGAAAGCGTAAACGCTCGAGTTTTAAACGACTTGTGTAAACACCTTCGCCCGTGCAAGTTTTTGAGCGGACGAAAACTTATCCGGTCTCGTGTAAACGTAGCCTAAGAATTAAAGGTTGAAATGTAAGAGTTACATGGCTGAAATGGATGTGTTTCATCATATTTTGTACTACATGAAGTTCCTTGCTGCTAAGAAAATATGGCGTGTCTTTTGTTTACAACCTACGACCATGCGTAACGATAGAGAATAATGTCCATGATCATGTCTGATAGAAAGAAACGCCACCATTTCGTGCATTATGATTGGCTGGAAAGTCAGGAAGGAAAAGAATTCCTTGGCATTCTCTTAAGACGAAATAAACGAAGAATATTCGGTCAGAGAACCCATCAATAATTTTATCTTACCTTGTCCTTGTATAGAAAATAACCACCTTAATTATACGACATCCTTTTTTCCTTTCTTGATATAACCTTTCCACAGCATTGATACCTATTCCTTTACTCAACTCAAATACCATTCGTCATTTAGTAATTTTAACCAACTGAGAGCGTTTTCATGTTCTACGCAATTCTTAAACTGCAAATAAAATAATTGAAACCTTAAATGAACCAGCAATATTGGTGTTGCAAACAAAAATTACATTACACTTCTTGTCAATTGGTACTCCAATATGGCGGCTATGACGTCAGGTAAAATTATCTACACTGCAAAACATAATTGTTGTCTTTTACTTGTCATTCAGGAATTTTGGAGAAACCTGCCCTCCCGTCTGGTATAGCTCCTCCGATAGTCCCATACAAACTGTTACTGCTTGGAAAAGCAGCTGTTGGTAAAACAAGTACGGTAGCAAAGCTTGCTGGAAAAGGTAGTTCAAGAAACGTGTGCAATTCTCCACAATAGCATTTCAATGATCTTTTGTCAAAGTTCACAACTAGTAATGTCCTATGATTTGTGGAATGAATTACCTAGAAAGTATATATAATTTGTTTTCCTTCCAGAACTTGCTTCGACGTACGCTGAAACTCCTGGGATCCAAACGACTTTGATATATTGGCCTGCAAAGGTCTGTTTCTTTTGGTCGTTTCTCAGGAATTGATTTGCATAACTTGACCAAAAATTATGCTAGTTGAAATTATGGATGTCAATTTTCATGCAGTTAATATCCTCGTCCGAAGTCGTTCTATTTCAACTTCATTTCTGGGATGTTGGAGATTACGCGATGAAAAAGTTTGAACACATCAAAAAAGTGAGTTCATTGTTTTAACACCATACGCCAAAATAATGCAACTAAGTTTTTGCTTGAAAATTTATTCGAGTCAGAGTTCGGTGTGGCAATGATGCAACTAGATGCTCTCCCCCTTATCGCTTGATAACTACTGTACTCTCCTATCAATTAATGTCCTCTCGTTGATAGTTATTGTCTTTTCTTTGATTAACTACTGTACTCTCCTATCATTCATTGTCCTCTCGTGGATAATTTTACCCCTCTTTGATACCTACTGCTCTTCGTCTTCATAACTTCGGACGTCGTGAAGACCTGATGATTCTTTATTAACCTTGTCTTTAATTTTTCCAGTCTTCACAAATGAAACCGGATGCCGTGATATTCTTCTTCTCTTTTATAGACAGGTGACTTTCAGTGAATTTAACTTTGTTTTAATCGATTCATATTATGCTTTTAATAAAACATTATATCGTATGCAAAATCAGAGCCAGTTTCGATGATTTGCCGTTCTTGATCACCAGAACATGCGAAGAACTGGATGAGCTGCCGAAAATAACTATTGGGACTAAATATCCTTTGGAACCTTTTATCACTAAACACCGATCCACTATACTCATATCAATATATCTTTGATTAGGGTCAAGTGCATAGGTGGGGTCTGGGTAAGAGGATTGGAAAACAGTTTGAAAGCAGCATTTCAAACAGCCAACAGCATTAAAATGTATACTTTGTAAGGATAAGTTAGATTATGTTTGTCTTTACTGAATTTTTTGATGAATTATTTCCTTGATGAATAAGCTCAAGTTTGACAAAGTACTCCATAGCGAGGTCACCGAAGAAGAACTTCGTGACTTTCAAGAGCAATGGCAAATTCCGTTTTGAAAACTTGCAACAAAGACGGACGCAAACTGGCTGACGGGAGCCTAGATGGTCGTGCTGGTTTAATGGTATGTATAGTGAGAGAGACTGGTCACTAATGTTGGAGTTTTGGGGGAATGAAGTTGGTTTAGTAAATACGATATCTTTTGTGATGATCTAAATTTTATTACAACATTTGAGAAACAAATTATTTAAGTAACGATCACAATAAAATGTTCGCTCTCGAACCATTTTTACGAATGCAACATTTTATTCAGGAGGTCGCGCCAATTCTCAACAAGATTGTTGATGTTTTGTTGAAAAGACGCGAGGAGAAAAGCTCCAATCAACAAAAATCACCAAAAAAACAGCCGATCGGCAATCAAGGTCAAAATAGAAGATCACAAGATGACCATCGTATCGCATACATGATTTGAAATAATTATTCTGTCCTATGCCGTTTTCTTATTTCCAATTCGAATATGGGGCAAATTTACAAGACATGTTTGTTATAATTTATTTATTTAAAAGACAACAAATAAGAAAAGTGACTGTTTTGGGTATCGCAAAATTATATAAATATGGTCTATTTTCAATATTCAATAAATATAAATAAAATACATTTTTACTATGTAAAATATTTTTCTCGTACATTCGTCAACACAAGAATAATTGATTAAATGATTTATTATCTTTCTACACATTTCCAAACCAAAACTGCGTATATAGTTTTAGTTACCATCGATGTAAATGATACTGTGATCAGGAATGGTACTGTGATCATTAATGGTACAGATATCAGGAATGGTACTGTGACTAGCAAAGGTACTGTGACTAGCAATGGTACTGTGATCAGGAATGGTACTGTGATCAGCAATGGTACTGTGATCATTAATGGTACAGATATCAGCCATGGTACTGTGACTAGCAATGGTACTGTGATCAGGAATGGTACTGTGATTAGCAATGGCACCATTAGAAATGATATCGTGATCAGAGACAGTCGTGTTCTGAAGTAGACTGGCATTGACAAAATTGAAGGAAACATGTTTGTAAACATGCCTTTACACCCACACTGTTTTCTTCGGTCCTTGACAGTTTTGTATATCATACAACTTATGCTCGTTCCTAGTGATATCGTCAAGTGACGTCAGACTATCACGTGACACAATGCTGCATCGCATCTGAACAGATGTTGGATCCCAGTCCAAGCTATACATACTAGTTCTTTCCACGACAGGGTTTGAATCCGAGGTCTGGACTTCGGATGCAGACACAGAAACTTCACGCTTTACAAGTTTTCCTTTGTTTGGACGGTAGTTCGGAAAAGGGGGTAAAACATCATTTTCGTCATACCCTCCATGGATCCTATGGGATCCACTCCATACTAAACCTTGTAGACTTAGTCGAGTTGGTCGAGTTAGAACTTAATCTCGACATCATATCGCAGCCTTTCGTTTTAGGTTTCACTCTCCGCATGACAGGGAGTTCCGTGAGAGTGTCACCGCTGACTTCTTGGGAAGATATTGCAGGTACACAAGACTGTGATCTTCCTCTTTCAGGTTTTGCCAACTGTGGGTTATGACGGGCAACTTCTACATCATTCTTTTTCAGGGAGGACGCCCGTCTCTTTAAGCGTTTATGAGATTTCGAAGGAGACAGAACGAAGGATGTCAATCGTTCCTTGTATGTTTGTTTTTTAGGTTTTTCATGCAAAGATAAAAGGCCAGGTTTTGTTTCATCTTGAGAAAAATCACATTTTTTTTCGCGATCATTAAATTGAGTTTGATGATGATGAATTTTTATTGAAGGCACCGACTGGGAACGTTTGAATTTTTTCACTAAGATCTTGGGCTTTTCTGTCAATGATTTGGATCGCTGACGATTTGGTGAAAGAGCACGGATAAGAATACAAAACGAGCTTAATCGTTTTGATCTAGGCTTACGCTCACTAGAAGTATGTTCAAGAGTTATTTCATGTTCCCCAAAATACAACCGCGGCTACCTGGCTTATCAACTTCTTGAACATTTTCGGACGAGAACGACAATCGATCATGAGCAATATTGTTTGATACATGTTCGATAGATGTCGTTCCACTAGAGACATCATTTACACCAGATGTAGATGTTGACATACATGCATACCTATCACACCAGGTCGAGGCTCTTGACTTACACGTGACTTCCAGCAATTCGCCCTCTCCATGAGAGGACTGAGCCAATGACACCTTTCTTGGTCCAAGACGCATTTTAAGTTTTCTGACGTCTTCATAGTCACATGATTCAATCCAGGATTTTGTCTTACTGCTTTGCGATGTCCAAGTTTCTATATCAAGTAAACTATCCGCCGACATACGTTTCAAGCTCGAGGATTTTTCATCGTTTGAACGATCCTTTCGAGTCGCCGTCAAGGTGGCTACAGTCTCCGAAGGTTTCAAAGAGTCCAACGAGAACTTTACGAGAGATGTTCGTTTTAAAGTACATTTTCACAGGTGCAATCCATGTCTTTTGTGGATAATGTATCGCTTGGGTGCACATAAAGTGGAGAATATCTAAAAAATATCAACGAGTGGAAAAAGCTTAAACAACCAAGAAGAATGGTAACGATTTCCGTGTTAGGTTCTTGATCAGTCATTTGGGTGATTGCAACAACACCGTGTGGAACACCAAGCATAGAAAACGTCACAAAGCCTGCAAGAATCAGAGAGATATCGCTTCGAATGTCGATAAAACATGTCGTTGAACGAGATGTGGCAATCCTACGCCATAAAAGAACGCAAATTTGCAGGAGGATTACGAAAGAAAACCAACTCCAGTAGACCACACGCTATGTACATTGACGTGGCAAATACCATATCATAGTTTGCAATGCAAAAGTTCTGCCAAGATGTAATCCGCGTCCAAGGTGGAATAATTAATAAAAAAGAAAGGACCCACGTCTCGCACATGTATAGGACAGAGCGACGAAACGAAAGTCGTAGAGCAAAACAAAGCTTAAATCCAAGCTTTGAAAAACGTTCAAGTATTATCAAAATCAACACAATTACCAAAGAATATATGCCAAAATGTTTTAGCAAGTAAACAGGACTACAAATTGGCATTGGCCAGTTTTTGTCATCGAACGTTTGCATGTGATGGCTGTCAGCAACGAGAAGAACCATCACACTTCCGGTGATGAACAAATTTGAAAGGCCAAGCCCAAGATAAATATGTTAAGCGGTTTCTCCCGGTACGAATGCGTGAAAATGCGAGTTATGATCAATGCTATGTTTGATATTAACGCTGAGGAAGTTATAACCCACAATGCAACGCGAACCGTGGTCTTATCACCCAGAAATCTTTCGCGTTCTGGTAGCCCATCTGTACAATTTTCCATTCGAGTACACACCACACAGGTACAGTAAGAGTAGTCAAACAGACTGTTTTCACCAAAAACACAACGTTGTTGGGGACAAGCTTCTCTCCTCGACACAGCTTTTGTATAATTACAACTTTCACAGGTTTTACCAATTTCCACAGTCACGTATCTAAGATTTCTCAAAGTTCCAAGAACAAAGACAAGTTTGTACGTCGGCAACCACGAAGACGTAAAACTTTCAGTGATGGAAAATTCACCAATTGTTCGTTTTGCACGTCAAAAGTATCCCCATTGTCCGCATTTTGAAGTTCTCTGAAAACATTATAACACCTTAAGTTAAACATGAATCACAAAATTCGTGTATAATCTAAAACAACGAGCCACGATCGCACACTGCGAAGATCCAAGTATGTCGACAGACAGTTTGGGGATTTTAACCTTTATATTCGCTGTTCAAGAAGTGTTTTACATAAGCCTTTATCAAATGAATGCAAAAGTTTAGTTGTTTCTCGCAGTCAAAGTAAATTTTTCAACACTTTTCTTTGTTTAACTTAAACAACTTTTTTCTCCCTATTTTTGGAATAAATATTCACGGTGGTTATAATCCTCGTAGAATAGGACTAGAGGGTCGTAAAACGATGAGTTATTGAGACAGCGGGATTCCAAAGGTAACACTCTGGTGACCTTAATCTCCACCAATAAACTTAAATTTTCAAGATGCCAAAAATAAAACGAATGCTTTTGGACAATTATTCTCTTCAAGCATGGAGCCTTGTATGGCATAAATCCCCGCAGACGTAATGTCGCTAATGGCCACTTATAGGTTTTTTTAAACGACACTCAGACGAGATCGAAAGGCTTGTGAAGCAGCCGTATGGAGAAGACTTTTAATTCCTTACAGCTACAACAATGACGACAATAAGCAACGAATTTTCACCATGAAAATCATAAATAGCTTCTGAATGAAAACTTATTCAACGCATTCTTTCTTTGTTTTCTAGAATTGAACGCAAAAAGAAAACGAAAAATGTAGTCGTTCAAGCTAACTTCAAGCGCAACAAAAATGTATTTAACATCTCCTCGTAAACGAATAATATACGAAAGATTTTGGACAAATGCAATGATTAGGAAATGATTACGAAACACGAATTATATCCAAATACTGCCTAGGACAATGTTAGCTAGCTATTCAATCAAGACAAGTCAGGACTTTTGCCATTCGTTTTAACTTAAAATTCTTTACCCTGACTTTTATCTGTCACCAAGTAATTTTACAATGATCAGTTTGACCAATTATTTCTCGTGAAATCAAAGAACCTAGTTATGAAAATATACAAGTTGAGGGTCACGAAGGAAGCCTTAACTCTTGACGATTCAAGAAACTTCACCTTGCGTCATGAACAATGTGCATCACTCCATTGTCCTCCACATGAAAACAAACAAAACCACTTTCGATATTTTGACAAAACCATTTTGACATTTTAGCTACGTCAGTAAACTTGGCCATTTCTGAAACCTGACCATTTCTGTAATGGATTATCACTGTCTTAGCTACGACCCTTGGGTAATGTGGACATTTTTGGTTCGAACTACGGATACAGTACACTAAGATTCCTTCCTTCATTGGTCAATGTGACGTTTTAGGCTCAATTTTAAATACCGTGTTTACTTAAAAAACAATAAACAGAGCAGAGAACACGTCATGTGTCGCATGCATTGTGTTCATTTTCGGTACTTTAATGCATTCTTCGTATTTTTTATTAAAAAACATAATTTCGCGTGGATAGGAACTTTGTTACAACAAAGCAATACAGTACTATTCAAAAGGCTTTTACGAAACGAGGCGCAAAAATATGATAATCAGTAAGTGGAGATGAGAAAAACATCATTGAACATCATGAAACAAACTGGATTTTCTCTGCGTGTTGAAATATTTAATTGTCAATTGTGTGCGATTCATCACACGTAAATGATGAAAATAATATTTTATAAAATATCACGAGAAAATCTTGTGTAGACAAAAGCAACGAAGAGGAGTCTGAAGGTCATATTATATGCAATGAATTTCATTCCTATGATGCGCTGTAAAGATTGCAAAAATTCCACATACATTCCTTCAAAATTTCAAATCAAATAGTTTTAAAGCAAATGGGAAGAGTGGTGAAATACTGTTCACGTCCAAATTACATTAACAAAGAAAAAGCTTTAACTAACTGACCGACTGAGGGAAGATATTTTCTCAGTAGAACACCAAACAGAGCGTTGAGCAATACAATACCCAGAATAAATCAAACTCTATCGCAAGTCTTGACTTTTGAAGGTTCAACTAGTGGCTAAGTAAAAATATAGCACGCGCAACTTGCGATTTAATACAAGTAATCTTGCAATCACTTTTTTAAATACGCATTTAAGCCATGCAGCATATACAATGGAAGATAAAATTGCAGTCCCTCGAAAGAGATAACCGGATTGTGTTGACAAACAGTTTCTAATGTAGCTGAACATAAAAATGCAGTAAAAGATACCTTTTTCTCCAGATGATTTGAAGTATGAACGAGAAAATTTTTATAGAAGAGCGTTTGCACAAGTGTGATGTGTTAAGAAGATAAAGCCAAATGACTAACGATGCCGTGATACGACCTCAACAAGGCTAATACCAAACTTTATTGAGCGCGGCGAGAGAAGACTACCACACTATTACGTAAATCCTCTTAGAAGGAGCGATATTTGACGATTGAAAGAGATGACCCCTGACTGTTTCCAAAATAAAACAGTCAGGTCTACAAACAAAGTCGAAAGGTCAATGATTTAGGATACGAAACAAATTAACTTAAAGACATATCGTTACACTAAGTAACTTCTTTCGTAAGAGAATCCAAGAAAATGAAGAGCTTTACTAGCTAGTAGTAGAATTTTGAAAGAATTTGGGTGTCGGCTAAATTCATTAATCTTTGCCGGCATGTGGATAATAGGAAATGTTAATTTTAACCTAGTAAGTACGGTTGCGGTGGATGTTCGGGCTTAAGAAGGGTAAACACCACGCAATACGTTATGGATTTAACTCGTTATCATGGTTAGGTCGGGTCGATGATGATGACAGAATCATCACATGACACCAAATGAGACTGGACTGTTTCCCATCAGCATGAATGTTTTCCATTTAAAGTATAACAAGATCAACATTACAATGTTCGTGGTGGAGCACACGATAATTGGAAGTTTTACACGTATAAGGTGTGCGAAAAACGTGAAGTATTTCAAACATCGCAATTCTAGAGATGTGGATATTGTTCTTTGTGTTTGTACTTTAATTCTAGAGATGTGGATATTGTTCTTTTGTGTCTGTACTTTAATTCTAGAGAAGTGGATATTGTTCTTTTGTGTTTGTACTTTAATTCTAGAGATGTGGATATTGTTCTTTTGTGTTTGTACTTTAATTCTAGAGAAGTGGATATTGTTCTTTTGTGTTTGCACTTTAACAACTCAAATTTATTACGAATTTCAGACTAAAGCCAAATCACTGCTAAGGCAATACAAAGCAAAACTTAACGACAATCACGAAGCCAGTGTTTCTAGCATACGCTAAATGGTCAAGAAAGACAGCGAGACATTTTTTTTTATCCCATTAGAACTAATTGAAGTATGCTTTTGTTGTGTTTTTTTTGTAATGACAAAATGAATAGAGAGGAAACAATAAGTATTATTTCCTTTCATTAACAACAGTATATTTATATATAAGACGAGACCTTGACTTCCTTGCATGGAGTCACGCCATTCACGAGTTTAACTCGCGAGCTATTACGTCATTATCAATTTATGCTGTCATGTAGAAGATAAATTTCTTCGAAATGAACGAGTTTTAGCCATAAATGGATACAACGAACACAATGTGCTGCGACATTCAGAGAATGTTAGGAGGAGGGGAGACCTCTAAACAATAAAGACAAACACAAATCTACACTTACAGTTCAGTTATGTCCTTTGGAAGTTTCGACAAGACTACGGCAAGATTGTGGTCACCAACTTCACGACATTTCATGAAATTTCCCAAGCATGTGCAAAGCGAGTGACATGTGGAGAACTGGACACTAGTCAATCTCCCAACCATCGCAAGACATATGAGCAAAAGTCGTGTTGTTGTCGCGACGTCATCCATGACCTGTAAGAAAATTTTAAATGTTTGTACATTGGCCATATCAATGAAAGGCTTTGTTGCTCAACACTAAAGATTGTAATTATTTTCATATCACAAAATAATGGACGTTGAGATTCGTTTTAATCGGAATTCCTCCCTAAACAAAATATCGAAGGAAAAATTCCATTGGGACTTTCTCCTTCATAAAAATATTGATAGATAAATGTCTGAAGAGTGAACAATCTTTCTTGGGTCGTGGATCTTATACTCAAATAACTTAATTTTTGTTCACTTTGCTATTATTGCGAGGCGAAACCTCGTATAGCTCAAAACCTTTAGAGAAAGAATTATTGCGAGGCGAAACTTCGTATACCAAAACAGCTTAAAACCTTTAGAGAAAGAATTATTGCGAGGCGAAACTTCGTATACCAAAACAACTTAAAACCTTTAGAGAAAGTATTATTGCGAGGTGAAACTTCGTATACCAAAACAACTTAAAACCTTTAGAGAAAGTATTATTGCGAGGAGAAACTTCGTATACAAAACAGCTTAAAACCTTTAGAGAAAGTATTATTGCGAGGTGAAACTTCGTATACCAAAACAACTTAAAACCTTTAGAGAAAGAATTATTGCGAGGCGAAACTTCGTATACCAAAACAGCTTAAAACCTTTAGAGAAAGAATTATTGCGAGGCGAAACTTCGTATACCAAAACAGCTTAAAACCTTTAGAGAAAGTATTATTGCGAGGCGAAACTTCGTATACCAAAACAGCTTAAAACCTTTAGAGAAAGTATTATTGCGAGGCGAAACTTCGTATACCAAAACAGCTCAAAACCTTTAGATAAAGTATTATTGCGAGGCGAAACTTCGTATACCAAAACAACTTAAAACCTTTAGAGAAAGAATTATTGCGAGGCGAAACTTCGTATACCAAAACAGCTTAAAACCTTTAGAGAAAGTATTATTGCGAGGCGAAACTTCGTATACCAAAACAGCTTAAAACCTTTAGAGAAAGTATTATTGCGAGGCGAAACTTCGTATACCAAAACAGCTTAAAACCTTTAGAGAAAGTATTATTGCGAGGCGAAACTTCGTATACCAAAACAGCTCAAAACCTTTAGATAAAGTATTATTGCGAGGCGAAACTTCGTATACCAAAACAACTTAAAACCTTTAGAGAAAGAATTATTGCGAGGCGAAACTTCGTATACCAAAACAGCTTAAAACCTTTAGAGAAAGTATTATTGCGAGGCGAAACTTCGTATACCAAAACAGCTTAAAACCTTTAGAGAAAGTATTATTGCGAGGCGAAACTTCGTATACCAAAACAGCTTAAAACCTTTAGAGAAAGAATGACTTTTAAATTGTGTAATAAACAGCTAACATTGAACGATATTGATGATATTGTGAGAATATCTTTAGCCGATTTTGTTGTGGAAAACAACTGCTTACATTTGAATATTTATCAACACTCAGCTGGATGACAAAAACACAAAAGCGAAATATTTTGTGGGAGGAAAAAGGCATGGCTGTATCTTTCTTTACGAATTCGCTCAGCGTATTTAATACATCGTCCAGCGATGTTTTCGAATTATCTTTTGGATGTTAATTCCCCCAAGTCAGTAATGATAAAGCGAGGATATTCTCAACATCACGAATGAACGTGGTTCAGGTGTTGACAATGTGAAAGTTGAAACAAAAACAAATATTAACGATCAATTAAACAGTGTGTGTGTGTGAATTTTACCGACGAAATGACAATTTGACGAAGTATTTGTAAAAGTGATCAGCAATCGATACCGACATTTGGAAACAAACAAGAAAACAGCTACTAAAAGCACGAAAAGTGATTGAACACCTTTTAATCTTTCACCTTTCCCCCTTTTTTGCAAGATTATGCAAGAGGCAAGAGTAATTATTTATATTAGTCTTATCTACAGTAGCAAAATAAACGAATGATTTGTCCAGTAACAACGGTCAATTTATAAATTTAAGTTCTACTGGCTGGAAAGGTGCTGACGAAAAAATACAGACAACAATAAAATTTTTCAAATTTTACACTACACATAAATTTGAGGTAAGGTATAAAAGAACATGCAAACTGCCTCAAACTAGAATCCTTAAAGAGTCTATATCTTCTCTATATCCTTAAAAAGGCGAGTGTGCGAGAAAATACTTTGGTATAACCTTTATTACACATAGATATTCGATTTATTCCCGACTTTTATAGAGTAACTTATTAGAATATTTATCACATCAAATTAAAGAAAGAGTGGAACACAGAAACGAGCTATTTATGTTCCTTACCCCGAAGAAAAGTATGACGAAACATCACAGGCTTGCAATCTCTGGCAGTTACAAAGGACAGACTACATGGAGAGGTTTTTAAATCGTTATCTCTTTACAATGACAATGTGTTTGTGTCGAGCTTATCATTGCCACTCAATTCGAACAATATCTGTCTTAGATCTTTTACAAACTATGAGTTGCCTGTTTTAAAGACGAACTGTTTTTACGATAGTTTCAACAGCTACTTCGCTTTTGAACCTTTCACAATGTTAAATTCTAAGGTATATTACTATAAATTCTTAGTAATCATGCATTACATCTTTGCTATGAATTACTCATGTATTCAAGTTGACACGTGAATGTACTGTGTACAACTTGGACATAAAATCACTTTAAGAACAGCGTACTTACAGGAAACTACATCGAGACTCCACAAACTGTACTTTACGAAAACGAAATCGTCATTTACGATGTTTTCGAGGGTTTGTTTTGAGCTTATAATGCCGAATTAAATGAAACCGTGAACGCAAACGACAGGTTGCATCGCGTCATCAATATGCCCTCGTGTCGTAATGAAAACATTTGCAAATTAATACCACTACAATCTACATGAATATCTATATAAGTGACGTTTAAAAATAGCTTTGTCGTAATGAATATAAAAGGTGACGAAAAGCTGTAACGAAGCCCAGACGACGCAATGCCGGTACCTTTACAACCAATTCTACTCAATCCAAAGCAAAAAGTAATTATAAGGTGATAAGCTTCGGAAGTGAAAACATTTTATCCAATGAAACAACAAAATACATGACCGTGAGAATGAACATTTTTAAAGCTCAATGGTGAATATAAATCACACATTTATAAAGTATTGTAAGTCCATTTGAGTTAGCAACTTGTTTGTACTTTTAGAAGAAGATTGAAGTACAGGATAGCGGAATTTTTTGAATCAACATACAGTTTGTCTCCTTTGCTATAGCATTAATCTATATGAAGCGATAATTGATTAAGATTGACTATGTGTAAGATAAATTCTAAATAAAGGAATTAAAACATGTCTGGATTGTTTAAAGGATGTTTTATATCTTTTATCTGCTTAAGACACTTCTATTTCTAGATGAATTGGTTTAAAATGTACATAGAAAAGAATATGATCGAAAGGTTGAAGAAGCACAGTGAAGACGATCGCTCAGAATAGAAGTGTATAGTGCTATAGTTGCAACACAACTAGTTCTAAATCTCAAAAATGAAACAGAAACACATGAAATAATTATTGAAACTATACACTAAATATGATCTTCGTTATGTTTAAGGGTATGTCATCCTACTCTTTCCATAACTACGTTTAAGAAGACTTTGGACGAGGGGTATGTCATCCCAATCTTTCCATTACTACGAGGGGTATCTCATTCCAATCTTTTCATAACTACGTCCCTCATTAAGAAGACTTTGGGCAAGGTGTATCTCATTCCAATCTTTCCATAACTACGCCCCTTATTATTTATACTTAAAAAACATCTATATATTCATTCAAAAATAAAATGGTGTAATGAGAAACACAATTCTTGCCTCGTTTTAATAATAAAGCTCGTGTTTCAATGGTTACTGATGGGCTTTGCCAGACAATAACAATTAAATGTCTGAATAAGTCAAGATATATTACGATCCTTTTCGCTTTTTGTCGAGTGAAAATTTCTCTACCTTAAAAATTTATGAGCAACAGAATAGTTTCTGTCATTCTGTGATCTCGTTGACCACGTCGTTAGCAAGTTGCAGAACCGCACAAACATGTCATGGGGATATTTTAAAGTCTTTGATCCACATGTCTAGCATGCAGACATAGTTGACAATCGACTATAGAAATTGTGTCGACAATCGGCAACAGGTTACACTTAGTACGACAACAAAAATGTATGATTCACATTATGTTCACACGTTAAATATCTGCCTCTTGGGAAAGATAGTTTTACAAAAAACATGAATTAAACAATGAACACGATGAACATTTGAATCACCAGCAAAATCAAAAGTCAACATAAAATCTTCGTATTCATCACAATAATTATTGTTGTGAAGCAGACAAAAACAATGTACCGCACACAAACACACCATATGACAGCTAGACAATGTCACACTGTAGCTGTTAGTAAGATGCGGAGTGAAAATAGGCGATGATTTTGTTTTAAATAAAAGGATTTCGCAATGGCCTATGCACACCTCCCTCGGAGAAAACATTGACCGAAAGATGCCTCTAATGGATAAAACAAACATTTCAGTTAAACGGTCTGGGATGCATGTTTAAATGAAACTTATTTGATAAATCGGAATTTTCCAAAACTTACAATCACATTAAAAACTGCAATACATCATCGAGTGTTTGCATATTGCAAAAGGAAAATTTCAAAGGTGAAAAGTGCCTGAGGCACAATAATTGCTCAAAATAATTGACAACGAAGAATACACAGAGTACGGCATAAGTCTGAAATAAGAAAACGGATGACTGGAGAAACGTTGCTTTTATTGTAGTTGATTGTGTTACGTTGTCAATCACCACGCTTATTCACAAAGAAAAAATGCCGCCTCACGCTTTAGTGTGTGGTACATCTTTAAAAATTTCTTTTAGCACATCTTCCTTTCTCATTACCCTTAATATAATGTTACTTTAAAAGGCTATTAGTAACTAAATATACTTTATGTTTTGTTTGACTTATGTACGCAATCAGTTTAAGACATTAAGTTCAATAATAGACATGAGCTGATTGCTTTAAATATCGTCTCTGCTTCAACTGATTGCGATAGTTCTTTTTTGTTATTTGCACGAGTTGCGAAGAACGCGAAACTAATACTTTGTCGATGGCTTACACGTTTGCCAAAGTTAGAAGATTCATGCAAACAAATTCACTCAACAAGTTGACGTTCAACTCATTTTCTCGGCGATAATTCTCGTATTTCAATACACATTCAACTCTGCCTAAGACATTACAAATGCCGCAAAGCTTACTTAGCGATACCAACATACAACCAAGTTCACTCACCGATGCATGCTTCATAGGCGAAAAAATTTCCTTCAGCTACATAAACTGTTAAAAAAGAAAGCTAATTTGTACCTTCATATCAGATCTCGGTTGTTTAAAATGTGAACGTGAAACGTTCTTCACATGGATTGCCTGTCATTTTTCTCAATTCCACTTCATATATAACTGTCCATAAACTACAAAAAGAGAAAAGTTGGAATCTTTACTCGCTGTGACTTCACGACCACATGCGCGTTTCATGCATTTCAGCTTTTCATGAGTGTTTTTAAAATGGCGCATTAGCGGTGAATGTAACCGAAACCACATGCAGGTTTTTCTACACTAAATTGATGACAAAATGCCAGAGAAAATGCGACTTAAATGCATTGCGTCGCTTCATCGAGAAACCGCGCACAGCGTGCTTGGGCAGCTTGATGGTTGTCTGACAGACAAGTCGTGGCATACACGCGTGGCTCGTGGGAAGTGCTGTCACGAAATTCCCAGTGTATTGAAGGGAATGGGTTAATGAAATAAAAAGCTCTTTGAAAGTCTGATTTTCATATATATACTGTACTGGTTTGGGCAGTAACTGACTTATAAATTACTCAAGACACACATTACAACAATAATTATCGCCCAGTTGTCATCGTGCAAGAGAAATTTCAGCATGGAGGCAACTTTTAATCGGTTTATTGGAATTTAACATTGACTAATGCTTTTCTCTGACTTAGCTTCTAAAATTCCCTCTGAGTCTTTTTTTACTTATTTAAGAAATGGAGAAAACATCAAAGGGCATATGTAGGCGGTTTATACTGCATTTTTTGGTAACAATTTGAAGTTATGCCAATAGCCCGAAATCAGAATCAAAGACCTAACAGAGACAAAATACAAACCCAACCCTCTGCTCACATCTACAACGACACTAAGATTTAAAATTTAAATAGTTGGAATGTTATTATTTGTAGTTGTTGGTTATAGCGCTGTGCTACCATTCTTTTTATTTAAAAATTTCATGTTATGGTGTTATTGAAGACGCAAAGAGGTCATATAAAAATAAAAATAAAAACACACTGATGCATATGAAATTTCAAGATAAGGAAACATTTAACTCGTCACCTTTGGCGCAAAAACAACCGAGATATCGGTCGGCGGGAAGCCAAAGTAATTTCAAGTTGCGAATGTTGTGTGATTATGGTTAAATAAGAACAGATGTTCTTTTTTCATTAAGTAAAGTTCTCGCATCTTTTAGACATTACACAGCACTGAAATGGACGATAAGAATGATTTCCGTTGCCTCTTTCGGCAATTCAATAAAAATCCAACGTCCGTCCTCGTGCGTGGCAAAATATATCTTATTTGCTGTGAATACGCCATAAAATAGCTCATTTTTAAATTTGTAATAACATTATGAATATTAATAACGAAAAGAGCCATTTTACGCCATGACAAATGAAGAATCAAAGAACTATGAACACATTAAATATATTTATATAAAAACCAACGTGAAAAATACTCAAACCCGAAAAAGTGTGTTTTCTCTTATGACAAAAAAACGTTAAAAAGGTACTTGTATAACCAAAAACAATGGCCATGAAAAAGTGTATCGTATGTTTAGAAGATATAAAAACCAAAATAACTGATGACTCATGTCGGTCTATAATAAAATCAAAGTAAAATTAAAACAGATCTTTCATATCTACTACCTCCCCTGACGTCTATAATGAAGGCCAAATTAGCGATTTTCATCAAGTTTATTGGCAAAGAATTTTGATTTTATCTGTATCGAGGCAGGTGAGTAAACTCATAACTATTCGTCTTTGACGTTCATGGTCAAATAAAGTAGCGCTAAGATAACTTTTCATGCTGATATCCTGTCATGTATAGCCTTAAGTATACTCGAGACAGAAATGTATATGCACTGCCTTCACACACTGAATGCAACGAATCAAACTATACCTATAGTCTTTGGAATCTAGATACAGGGTTGTACATATAACGTACAAAAAACGCTCCAATTCATTGCAATTTGCAAAGATTTTTTGTAACGACATTCAAAACAAATTGCGTAAGCACGATTTTCAAAACTTTCAATTTCGCCTTTTGAATTTTCATGATTTCAAAATTTTAAACCAATCCAGGGTCGAAACTAATCCACAGATAAAGGCTCAGTCAATCAAATTGTGAGGCAGATCTTATGAAACATTAGTTCTATGTTTCAACAACTTGGTTGAAACTTTTCACTGCATGTTTAGGCTATGTGTATACATTTAATCAAGCATTCAATCAGCCAATCAGTTACGAGACAGGAGTATTGATTTGCAATGATGTCAGAGATTACATAGTTAACACGTGGTATTATCTTTATGATTTGCACTGAAATATATTTTCTATGACATATTATGAGCACTTTATCCTTGAAAGCAATCTTTCATTTTACTTGAATCCAGAGTTCGCTTTTCTCATAAACGTGATGATTTCATGAGTTGATAGTACAGTATATAAGAAATCCCTTGCATCAATATTGTAACAAAACAAAAGCTTTTCTTCAAGCTAAATTCATGCATGACCGAATACGATATATCGAACTGTCGAAAATATTTAATTTCTGAAACTTACAGTTGAAACAAAAGATCCTTGTCCACGCAGTATCTTGCCATGCCGAAGCTGCTTCATGCGGATTTTCATTCTAAGAATACGATTTTGTTCAGTGTATTTTCAATTCAATTTCGACAAACGAGTTACTTGGAAGATACAACAGACATATAAACACATAAGATGTTCTCTACATACGTATAAACAAGCTGCAGTGTATTTGTGTTCACAAACTGAAGTTACTCGCGGTACATTGATGAAACAATGGAGGGAACAATCTTCGGAAATTTGCAAAACATGTTTTTGTACTCGTTCTTTGTGTACAACTTTGTAAGCACCTCTTTAAAATTATAGTTTCCGTCTTTTTGTTCTCAAGCATATTAAAATCAGAGGAAAACAAACTGCATGAAATGTTATTGAGGACGAATAGCTTCGTCATGTGAACACAAGAAACTGTTTTCGGTTCACACAAGGCTTCACATACAAAACATATAACAACACTCTCAATCCATTCATGCTCATGGCGATGATTAATGATAAATATACTGAATGTGTAAAAGCAATAGAATGATTTCTAACATATAACGACAATATGTAATGGATCGCGTAATAGAACGCAGTCCCATTTAGAATCACAGTTAAATAAACATAGTATCTCAGTGGGATGTATGCATGACTCAAGAGAAACATACATGAACTCGAAGAAAAATGATTATATGTTAATGGTGATAAGTATTCGTTTTCAGTTACAAATTATTGCGTGTGAAATTATTACGAACATGAGAATTAACGAGTAGAAGTTTTTCTATCCTTATTTATTTAAATTAATAGTTGAAAATGTAACTCTTCGGGTCCTAATAGCTAGATTGCAAAAACAAAAAAATTTGCTGTATACAAAATCTTCCCATGCATTTATGTATAAATTATATTAAAAGCGAGTCAGTCGTTGAGGTTAATCAATTTTCGTGTTTAACAGTAAAAGTCTGCACACAAGATGTAATTGAAGCCATATGCATCATTAAACAATAAGGAAAACCATTGTTTTTTCGTTGAGCATTGTATTTTTAAGTAATGGCTGGACATACTCGATTTAAAATACTGACTGTTGACGTTCGCAAACGAGTATTCATTGTACAACGCTCTCAACAACAAGGAACAAACTTAAAGTACCAAGCGCTGCATTTATTTATGGAGCTAAGTTGTTGACGGAATGCCAAATTTTAATACATAGCTGCATGCTACAGCTAAAATCAGATGCCTTTTGTAAGCAGTTAAAGTCAAAAAGTACTTTGTTTATAAAAACGAAACTCACCATGTGGCAAACTTGCAGAACACTGAGAGCCTTTTAAAGAAAGAACTTGCCACACCAAATGCGTGCTGTTAAAAATTTGCCATTCATATGCAAATGTTCTAATCGTTTACCTAATATCGTCTGTTTTTAAATGCATTCTTAATGATCTTTCTGTCAAGCAAGATTACAAACGATTTTGAAACAAGGGAGCTCGCGGGCTCAAATTTCTCACAATTGCAGAGGCGACAAGTATACATGTAGCTGTAAAATTTCGAGTTTCTAAGCATGGAAACACAAGATTATGCAAATATCAATGTCGGCCAAAAACCTCTCAATTGACGTTAGATTATAGGGACAAAAATGTGATATTTCGAAAGGTGGATGTAGGAACTTAATATTAAATACTGTTACCATTAAGGTCGAAATTGTAACATCATTAGCCTTCTTATCGTTTCTACAACTATAACATGTTGAAGTACTATATCATAGTAAAAACAATCAAAAAATTATCGTATTTCACCGTGCAAATTCTAATAACGCAGCACACAGTCTAAAAGGTCAGATAATTCATTCATAACTTTGAAAGTTTGTGAAATTTTTTGATGTCAATCGACAAGAAAAAAACCTATGATGGTTTGGAAATAAAGCTTTGAAATCTTTATTATATAAACACGACAAATACTTCTCAAGCATCTGGACCTAACAGGATTGTCATGTGTAGGGAAGGAAACTTCTACAAATAGGAGCCCGAGAAAAAATGTAAAGCTTTCGTTTAAGATATATAGCTATACTGAGTGGAATGGATTTTTCCAGCTCTTTTTTTCTATGATTCTGAGCAGTCAGTGTTGGAGACTACAAGAGCTATTTCACCAGTAATGTATAGAGTATTCGACTAAAGATTCAAGGGGTGACAAGAACAGACATTATAAAATAACATAAGAAAAACGTGTGCTGTAATTGGTCGATGCCTGTGTTTGGATCAAGCCATCCAAACACAGTAACCGTTTAGTAAATGTTGATTCTTAAATTGATTAACAATGGTAATGGTGTTTTTAGCAACTGTGGAATTCAACTTCATTATGTTTGTAATAAATAAACGTGCTTTGCGTTGTGAACTGTACCTTTTTATGAAATCTGTAAAGTTTATTGAAATCACAGACACACTGTCATGCGCAAAAAAGTTACAACAGATAAATAATAAAAATATTGACGTAGGTACATTAAAGGATAGGTAGGGATGAATAAATAAATGCCCGAATCCCATCAACTAAGTATTTGTGGTTTGTTGTTCGCAGGTTGAAAAATATATGGAGACATAACATTCAAAATAATACAGGCACCAAAAATTACCTGCAGTCAATTGGTATAGCTGCTTTCAATCGCTCGTGCTATTGAATGAATCAGCAAAACGTTAGGATGATGGAAGAATTTCCAGCATTTGTTTTGATTTTGTGATCAACTATAATTTTGATTGTTAAAACAGTGAATGAATGATCCTATCGAATAATGGATAAAATTTTGGTATCAACTAAAAGGATCGAGTCACGCGATAAATGGAGAAGGCTGTTGTTGAGATTGCTAAGTTTGGCGGCAACAATTGCATGTATTGCCTTGATTTTGCCTTCAACAAATTTCACAGATATCATAGTGGAAAAATTCTCCGGAAGGAAATATACAAGGTACATACTTTTGTAGTTTCATTTATAAGTTTTTTAAGTTGCGGATGTGGATTACCATTTGCAGGCATTTCAGACTGATTAATATTCCCTTCAAACACATCACTTCGGAAGTGAAACCGTTACATCTTTGCCGGTTCAAAAACTAGCAATTGTTCAACAAGTGCATGTTTTTCACCTTTTTATATGAGAGCGCGAATGTTCAATCTTCGAATTATCAACGATAAAAACTACTTCACAAATGAGGAATACGAAGAATTAATGAAATCTTACCTTCGAAAGCAATCCTTTGATAACGCGTCTGTAAAATTAGCAACAACAACTGCTGATCTAGAGGAGCCTTTCTTCGAGTTGGTGGAAGGAAGAAATGATTACTTGACCACAAACAGGGAGTTTTCGTATTTCGACGATGCAGAATCTTCTATAAGGTAATAAAAAAATTATAATCTCTTCGAAGGAACAAAGGTCAGTAAGTATCCTCGCTTTTCAACAAACATAATAGAAAACATACTTCAGATGGAATCATCTTTAAAAACAATGTTTGGACTTTATTTCAAAGTCATCATCAAGCTAAGTATAAGGAAATGACTTTGAAATAAAGTCGAAATATTGCTCATGAAAATCTATTGTCAGAATAACTAAATTCTTGAGTTGACAAGATGATGCTTTTTGGAGTATGTTTTCTCAAACTGTGTGAAAAGCTACGCAATCAGTTAAAATATAGGAAAAATATTTGTATGTCGTATAACAAAAGCTAATTACACTAGTTCCAGTCTAACACGCATAATTTTTCTTCAGTGACATTGCTAGCAAACAAACATGTGAAAAACCCGTCCAAAACATCCTCTTTCTGAAAACTCATAACACAGGCAGTGACGTGGCAACGAACATATTTAACCGCTTTGCAGATCTCCGCCAACTGCTCGTTGCTCAGCCAACAAACGGCCTTTCGTCATTCTATTGGCCAAATAAATTTCATTGGCGCTACATGGACATGCAAAGATTGGACGGTAACCTACCCAACATGCTTTGCAACTACGCCCGCTATAATGCTAAAGTCATGACACAGTTCATGCCAGCCAGCACGCGTTTTGTTAGCATGCTCCGAGATCCGCTGGATCACTTTGTGAGCGTTTTTGAACAACTAAATATTGGAAAACGTTTCTTGGAAATGAAACCAGAAAAGTCTTTGAGAACATTTGTTCTTAATGCTAAAGTATTTCTACAGCAAGCAATAAGAAAAGGACAGTTTTATGTAAGTAGATTCCTGCATATGTATTTAATTAGCTCTCTCGTGCATGCTTGCAATGTACATCAATAGCACATCGCTCTAACTGAAATTTTTGTCAAGGATTCCATGAATCTTCTAAAAAATGGAATGTTCTTTGATCTTGGCTTACCTACGGCCGAGTATGAAAATGAGGTTGCGATAACGAACGCCATATTGGACTTGCACAACAGATTTACCATAGTCCTCATCTATGAGTATCTGGATGAATCATTGGTCTTAATGAAACGCAAGTTATGCTGGGATACAGATGACGTCATCTACTTCAGTACAATGATACCACTTAAAGAGAGACAACGTGAATATCCACGTGAAGTTGAAGAAGGGATGAAAAAGTGGAACAAAGCTGATTTCAAGTTGTACGAATTTTTCAATGCAACCCTTTGGGAAGAGATCGCGAAGGAAGAAAACTTTCCGATAGAAGTATCAAAATTCAAAGCCAGAAGAAGAGAGATTGAAAAACAATGTACAAAGGGTTCGGTTGCTGCTCAGAATGCAACATTTCATTTTGCTAATGAAATCAGAACACACAAACGACTTGGATTAATGGATATTTGTAGGAAGATGAAAATGGACGATCAAGAATATTTAGAACACTTTCAGAGACTAGCATGAAAAATACTCTCGTTCATACATAAAGTAAATACACAAGAGAAAAGCAAACAAATTAAATATTTGGAGAGAGTGCACAATACCGTAGTAAAGCCCTCAAAACAACTCTTGTTAACTGCTTACTGCATAAGATTTTAATCGCTACAAATTTTTTTTCGTACGACAAGTGATGCCTTCCTCACGTATTCAGGAGAATATTGGGTAATGTCACAGAATGTTTGCCAACGTCTTAAACGTCAACGGAAAAGAAATTCAGTACATATATATTGTACATTTCTATGAATAACTAAGAAAGAATTTGTTTCTAGGTCAATGTCAGAAAACTCTATCAAAAAGAAAAGATTCCAGGTCAAGATTCTTGATCTCTGCTAACGTTCTCTACCATTCTTGATATTGTCAGAAATTAGCTGTTAACTAGGACCGAAAGAAAGCACTTAACACGAAATAAGTATTTAGCGTTATATAACTCTTTCGTATGAGCTCAGAACGTGAGTTCAATGTACTAGAACGCTATTAAATTTTGTGATTATTTTATTCACTAGCGAAGAAGTTATTTACAACAGTCGTGAGTATTCTATATTTTACAATTTATTTACAGGCTTTTTATATATTTGGCTAAACAAGGTGCAGTTATTACAAAGCGGATATAATGTACTTGAAATTTGAGTTGTTTTACGTAATTATAAAGTTAAAATCTAGATGAATAATATACGCACGTTATGTACGTCACTACAAATATATATACAGGATGTGTGTACAGGAAGATAGAAATATTGATTGCGTAGATTATTTCAATAGAATAAAGAGAACTATTTTACCCAGGATGTCCGTGACACTTGGGTTTAATATGCATACATGTTCTGATTTTTGATTTGATTGTTGCGCTTGATAAACACTGAGTTCACTAGCTCCGGTAATTTGAATAAAATGGAAGAAGACCACCGTTTTACCATCGAGGAACAACCACCAAGATCACAATTTGAATCGTCTTTATTTTTCAAATACATCCGACCATGTATTGCCGAGATGTTTGGCACTATACTCATAGTCTTTACTGATATATGTCTTGGATGGAGCAATGCTTTAGCACATGGTTACTTGATATTTGCGTTAATCGCTGCAACTTCTTCTGTCAGGTATATGCAAAAGTAAAACCAGGATGATTTTGTATTATCATCTATTTTAGTCTCTTGCTCTAAACTATACTCTATACTACTCTCTTGTCTCTAAATTTATTCTATATTAATATCTTCTCTCTCGCTCTACTCTCTTTTGCTCTCTTGTTTAATACTTTAAAATACTGCATGTAGGCAAAAAAAATGTGAACCAGTTGTTATCACGTCATGTAAGCAGCTGAATTTTGACATTTGCTACCGAAATACAAATGCCAGAAATGAAAACAATACAACATAATACTAGTACAACTACAGCCGTCAGCTTAACTAAACAGCTGCAAATAAACTGATTAAAAAGGTACTACAATCTTAGACAATTACTTTATTCTCAGCAAAAGGGAATGTGGAATAATGCATGTCTATATTGGTGGTTTGAATTTGACTTAAGATCATCCATGAATTGTCAGATAGTGATGTCAAGATGTTGAATTTGGGGGGTAATTTGCTGGGAAGTAAGGAATTATATAACATGCTACGAGTTTGTCAAACTTGTTTGTAATTGTGTAATTTTTTGAATATCGCATTTTTAGTTTGAAATACTTTATCTAAGTATAATTACTATACTATTCGCATAAAATTGCTCATCGCTATTTTCATTTTCATCTAAACAAGGACAAGTTTAACATTTATGGAAAATAAAGAACAAGTAGGTAAAAGAGACAAAATGTTAGGGAATCTTTACTCGACATATACCCAACTCACATTCAAATGTGTGTGTGTGTGTGTAGAGAGAGAAGGATAATAAAAGCCATGGGGGTTTAATAAGATCAAATACTTACAATACAATAGGTTCAAATACAATGTGCGAAATTGTTAAAGTGCCTATAAACGAAAATTTTGCACGTTATAGTTTAATATACGTAGAAACAATGCAAATGCATTAACTCGGCTGTTTCATATATCTAATCCTCGTCATCGAACACAAATAATAAGCTGTTTGTCTTATCTTTTACAGCGGTGGTTGTTTTAATCCAGTAGTAACCCTGGCGCTAACAATCTTTCGTGGTATACAACCAGTACTTGCACCGTTGCTTGTTCTATCTCAAATTTTGGGAGGAATAATTGGCGCAGCTTTAGCCCGAGTAAGTATTATATAGTGCAATAACATATGGAACACTCACTTTAATTGAAAGTGCAATGCTTTCTTTCAAAACGAGGTATGTCGATACGTCATTGTCATTTGAAAACGAGGGCATGAAAATAAAATCCTGGGAAATAACTTCAAAAAGTTGTATCTTCAATTGCATGCACGTATATGTCTCCAATACAAAAATTGAGACGACGAAATCTCACATACTTATGAGCATTTAAACGTAAAGTAGGAAAAGTTACATGTACAAATAATGCTTTAAAAACCATTAAAATAAACTCAGTTTACATGTATTGTCTTCTTTCCAGGCAGGGATGAGCTCTGAGAACTACAAAATGAACTTTGGTGGTGTTCGTATCCTAGGAGCTAATATCAATCCAGGTCAAGGCATTTTGGCTGAAGCCTTAGCGACCTCCATTTTGGTACTCGTAGTGTTGATGGTTTTATTAGATGAGAGAAACAAGAGTAAACTCGCTCCTCTCGCCATTGGTTTGTCAGTTGTAGGCGGAATTTTAACAAAGTAAGTTTATGAACACGTTAAGGTAACTTTCTGGCCAGTATATTGCCAGAAAAATGAAGTTCTGTGCACTGGTTCTATGTCATTCAATTAAAATTTTTGCTCTTAGTCATTCGATTACAGGAGGTTCCATGAATCCTGTGCGAAGTTTTGGTGCAGCAGTTGTGAAAAATTATTGGAAACATCATTATGTCTACTGGGTTGGTCCGTTTCTTGGTGGCATGTTATCAACTTTGATGTATGGTTTTGTCTTGGCTTCACCAAACCAACTATGGCTAGTTTGGTAGAGCACTGTATGGATACAGGACTCGCATTGTAAAAGTCTTTTAATGGATTTAAACCTTCGAGGATGGAGTAGTTTATATATATACTCGGAAGCTTGAAAATTTTTCGATTTTTTTCTCTTCGTGAGATTTAATGTGTTAATGAAAAACATAGGTCCATAACGACGCTCACTTTGTCTTTAGCATATTGTTATGTAGTAGTTGAAGATTTTCGTCAGGATGTAAGCAAGATAAAAGAATATGTATGAATCGGATAGATTATTGTGAGCCCTTTGCGTATCAGTTCTCAGCAGAAACCAAAACGCATTAAAGTTCTGCTTATCGACCGATAAAAGTTATATCTTCGCCTTCAAACGTAAACATCAAATGCTTCTCCACCACTCTCTAGCACTCTTCCGTAAAATTCACAATGTTAAACTTTACCTACCTCTCCTCGCACCTTTTCATAATGTTAAGCCTCACCAGTCCCTCCCTCGCTCACTTTCATCACCAAACAACAAATTCATTGTTATTCGGCCTTTGCGTAACCTATACACGACAGCGCTTCATCGAATAGTCGACATAAGCTCCAATTATTGCAATAGCCTGAACAAAATGGAGGAAGACAACCGCTTTAACATCGTGGAACAACCGTCCAAGTTGCGAGTTTACTCGACTTTGTTTTTTAAATACATACGGCCATGTGTAGCCGAGCTGTTTGGTACAACAATTTTCGTTTTTGCAGATCTTGGTGGTATGAACTACATCAGTAGCACTGCCTTTACACATGGTCTTATATTATTTGTGTTAATCGCTGGAACTGCTACCGTCAGGTAAATCATGCAGTGAAAACAGGTCAATTTTGAACTCCTATACGTGAAGGGTCTTTGCTTTGTAAATTAGCGTGAAAGCAAATATACGCCAGATTTTATCCATATCATCTTTCTATCTGAGCAATACGAGCTTGGAGTGAAAATGAAATGCGTTCGTTTTTTTCATTTCCATACTATAAAACTAAGTACTTATTCTACCTAATTACTTCAAAAATAGACAAAACAGACAATCATTTTTTAAACTCAAGATTCGAGTTTAATTAACGATCTTGTCTCTTTTAGTTTGTAAAATGGTTGTTAGTGTGTGATAACATTAATAACAGCAAAAAAATGAACAAGACACTTGCTTAGCTGTTTACTCTGTATACAGGTGGAGATACACCAAAACATTTACCACAACTCTAAATTTGCAACTGTTAACTGTGGCAGAAATATTATGAGAATTACGTGGCTCAAAGATCGTTTTAAATCCAGCATTTTGTTGGATTTCTGAGACTTCTAACACCGCATGACTATTATACACTTCCGCTACGGTAACAAGATCCTTTTAAAACGTCTTATTTTTTATGCGCCAAATTTTTTAAACGTGCCTAAAATAGTTCTTCGACAGTTTGGCATAAACTCGTTGGGTATCTAATACTTTCAATGTGTGAAGACTTTCGCTTGGATTAAACAAACGTTGTTTGCAATTCGCATAGAATGTCGATAGTGGTCTTTTTAAAATGCTATTCAATATGAGAATTGCCAATAGTTCTCAAACACGGGTGTCGATTTATCGGTACAACAATAATTTGATCAAAATGAGGTTACGATATCGAACGCCATATTGGACTTGCACAACAGATTTACCATAGTCCTCATCTATGAGTACCTGGATGAATCGTTGGTCTTAATGAAACGCAAGTTATGCTGGGATACAGATGACGTCATCTAATTTAGCACAACGTTACCACCTGAAGAGAGACAACGTGAATATCCACTTGAAGTTGAAGGGATAAAAAAGTGGAACAAAGCTGATTTCAAGTTGTACGAATTTTTCAATGCAACCCTTTGGGAAGAGATCGCGAAGGAAGAAAACTTTCCGATAGAAGTATCAAAATTCAAAGCCAGAAGAAGAGATTGAAAAACAATGTACAATGGGTTCGGTTGCTGCTCAGAATGCAACATTTCATTTTGCAAATGAAATCAGAACACACAAAGGACTTGGATTAATGGATATTTGTAGGAAGATGAAAATGAACGATCAAGAATATTTAGAACACTTTCAGAGAGTAGCGTGAAAAATACTCTCGTTCATACATAAAGTAAATACACAAGAGAAAAGCAAACAAATTAAATATTTGAGGAGAGTGCACAATACCGTAGTAAAGCCCTCAAAACAACTCTTGTTAACTGCTTACTGCATAAGATTTTAATCGCTACAAATGTTTTTTCGTACGACAAGTGATGCCTACCTCACGTATTCAGGAGAATATTGGGTAATGTCACAGAATGTTTGCCAAGGTCTTAGACGTCAACGGAAAAGAATTCAGTACATATATATTGTACATTTCTATGAATAACTAAGAAAGAATTTGCTCTTATGTCAATGTCAGAAAACTCTATCAAAACGAAAAGATTCCAGGTCAAGATTCTTGATCTCTGCTAACGTTCTCTACCGTTCTTGATATTGTCAGAAATTAGCTGTTAACTAGGACCGAAAGAAAGCACTTAACACGAAATAAGTATATATACAGGATGTATGTAAAGGAAGATACAAATATTGATTGAGCAGATTATTTCAATAGAATAAAGAGAACTATTTTACCCAGGATGTCCGTCACGGTTGGGTTAAATATGCTTAGACGTGCTGATTTTTGATTTGATTGTTGTGCTTGATAAGCAGAGCCCTCTATTAGTAAGAGTTGGGACAAACGGTCTGGGGCGAGCACGGAGCCCCCAATTTAATCCAAGCATGACATTTTTATTCTGAAAGATCACAAAATTTTCATGCTCAGCAGAAAATGACAGACTTTTTTACTTTTTAGTTATTTAAATATGCAATGATTTGACCAAGATGCATTTGACCTTAAACGTTTTATTCCTTTATATGAAGTTATTTCACCTTTAACACTTTATAAAGTATTAAAGTTTATTTCTAATAAAGTTTGTTAAGGATTCTGTTGAAAATTTTGGTGAAGCATTTCTTTTAAATGAATACATTATTTCTATAACATGAAACATTTCTGTTGTTGAAGAACAGTCTTTTGCTATAAATGCTACTGTTTGTAGTCTTTTATACAGCATATGAGTCTGACCCAATCTTTAATTTAGTAAAGAGTTAAATTTATTGGTTGAGGAATGACAAAACTTCTGTATGCGTTAAATGATCAAACAGGGGTGTGTTGGAGGGGGCTCAGCCCCATCTGTTCAAATTCTATGCCTTGTATTGCCAGTGAAATATATATATCTAAAAGCTAGCAGCACCTAAATATATATCAGAAAGCCAGCAATATTTTAATATATATGAGAAAGGTAGCAACAGTTGTAATATACATTAAAGAGCCCAAATGGCTGAAATTATGGAGATATGCCTCTGTGATCTTATAAACAAAACCTACAATTAAAATTTCATTGAAAAGTCTAGAAGAGAAGTAATGTTCTACTTTGAGCTACAGAAGTAGGGTACATTTGTACAATTCATTACCAAAAATATATTGTACTTAGCTGTTTCAGTGAATATCCTAATTATAATTACTTCATTTTTAAATGATGAACTAAAAATACAAAATACAACATAGAAAATCATAAGAGTTTCTGTGATTTGGTGTAGTTGTTTGTTTTAGTGTGGAAGTGGCTGAGAATTGAGAGGTTTGTAGATTGACCAATTTCAGAACATAATGAGAAATCATCTTCCATTAAAAAACAAGCTTTGGAGTAAGAAAACTATTGAAACTGCATCAGCACGAACTTTGTAATGTTATTTGGTCCAAAAATGTTTCTCTACTTGAGTCAGTTAATTGAACCTTATATCAAAAGCAGTTCAGCACAACAATCACCATACGCAATCAAATTTCGTAATTTTGAAAGAATGTTTTATGCAGTGCGGTGTTTGAAATTAAATGTAGATATGATCTTCGCACTTTGCTGGACAATTTAAGCAATTGTCTCATGAACCTGAAAAAATCAGGTGACTCAACGGGATTCGAACCCATGACCTCTGCGGTGCCGGTGCAGTGCTCTGACCAACTGAGCTATGAAATCACACAGTGGTGAGCAGGTCAATTTTGTTGGGTTGGTGTTTTCTCGTGAAAGGAATGTCATTTTGAAAGAATGTTTCGTAAGTTCGACGTAAAGGCATTTCTTTCATTTTTTTCGTAATCCTCGATTCTGGCGATATGTAATGACATTTAGTAGCCGTCAACAATCAGTTATTACAAACTTATCCATAAAAAAACGCAATATTATCTCAAAATACTGTATTACTAGCAGCAATTGCTATATAAACACAAGCTCAAATTTCAAAACTAGGAACCAAAATGGCGGAAATTGATCAGGTGATCAATATTGCCCAATCAACGTAAGCTAAACGGATAACAATAGATGTCCCAACTCTTACTAATAGAAGGCTCTGTTGATAACCACTGAGTTCATTAGCTCCGGTAATTTGAACAAAATGGAAGACCACCGTTTTACCATCGAGGAACAACCACCAAGATCACAATTTGAATCGTCTTTAATTTTCAAATACATCCGACCATGTATTGCCGAGATGTTTGGCACTATACTCATAGTCTATACTGATATATGTCTTGGATGGGACAATACTTTTGCACATGGTTACTTGATGTTTGCGTTAATCGCTGCAACTTCTTCTGTCAGGTATATGCAAAACCAGGATGATTTTGTATTATCATCTATTTTAGTCTCTTGCTCTAAACTATACTCTACATTACTCTCTTGTCTCTAACTTTATTCTATATTAATATTCTCAATATAAATATTAGAGCCCAACAAATAATTTTAAACATAGTCATAAACAATTTGGTTTTATGAAATTTATTAAAAGAGTGACGTTTTGTCTTTACTCAAGACATCTTCAGACTAAATTAGGAAGTTAACAAGAATATAGATATTATATAGAGCTATTTACATAGTTTGAGGTTACTGTGAATGTGTAGGTGTGATGTGATGCATAGTGTGATGTAAGTGTGATGTAAGTGTGATGTAAGTGTGATGTATTGTTAGGGTTAGGTGTTGAGACTAGAAAAGCTTAAGAGGGATGGAGCTGCCTTGGGTGTTAAGTGAAGGTTTTAGTTTGGAGATGAGATTTCATGGACTCACCCGAACGGAATTCAGTAATCTACTAACGCTATCTGTTAAAAATTGCAACTTTATGTTTAACGACCGCTTATACCACCAAATTGATGGTGTTGCTATGGGTAGTCCCCTTGGCCCCCTTTTTGCCAACATATTCATGTCTTTCCATGAACAAAACTGGCTGAAAAACTGTCCCCAGAAATTCAAACCTGTTCTCTACAGACGTTATGTCGATGATTGCTTCCTCCTTTTTAAATCACTTGATCACGTTCCTCTCTTTTTAGAATACATTAACCATCAACACCCCAACATCACTTTTACCTCTGAGACGGAAAATAATGGACGACTACCGTTTTTAGACATTGACATTTACCGCTCAAACGACAAATTCATCACCTCTGTATATCGTAAACCCACATTCACCGGTCTTTTCACAAACTTTCACAGCTTTTTCCCACTTTCTTACAAACGCAACTTAATCTCTGGCCTATTACACCGCTTTTTCAAACTCTGCTCTAGTTATGAGACTTTTCATGCCCAAATTGAAACCACCAGAAAACTATTCGAACTCGTGTAATAAAAATTAATGCCCAACATAAAGTTCTGATTAGAGCCATAGAAATAGACCAAAAAAAACAAATTGTAAAATTAAATTTATTGTAACGTTTCGTCTTTACTCAAGACATCTTCAGACAAATAATAAATAGGATGTTAAGACAAGATATTATATTTACATACGAGCGTGTTTCCCGTTTATTTCTTTTGAAGGAGTTTATTTTGGCATTGGCGATAAGCGCTAGAGTTTTGTAAGCGACGACTAGCTTCTTTGAACCACAGGAACCTTGGTATCACAGAGCGCTTTCTGCATGTCGTGAGAAAATCCAAGTCTAGTTTTGCTTTTCCCAGCTTGAGTTCAAGTCGTTGGAATTTTCTAAATGCTTCGAGTGCTCCATTATTCTTGCGATGATGTAAAATAGTAGCGAGAGACTTGCTGAGCGAAAATCGAATTTGTGTAATAAAAATTAATGCCCAACTTGAACTCAAGCTGGGAAAAGCAAAACTAGACTTGGATTTTCTTACGACATGCAGAAAGCGCTCTGTGATACCAAGATTCCTGTGGTTCAAAGTAGCTAGTCGTCGCTTACAAAACTCTAGCGCTTATCGCCAATGCCAAAATAAACTCCTTCAAGAAGAAATAAACGGGAAACACGCTCGTATGTAAATATAATATCTTGTCTTAACATCCTATTTATTATTTGTCTGAAGATGTCTTGAGTAAAGACGAAACGTTACAATAAATTTAATTTTACAATTTGTTTTTGGTCTATTTCTATGGCTCTAATCAGAACTTTATGTTGGGCATTCATTTTTACACGAATTCGATTTCCGCTCGGCAAGGCTCTCGCTACTATTCAAACTCAATTGTTTTCCAACTAATATGTTTGATCACATTGTCCGTCGTTTCCTTGACACAAAACTCGAACAAAAACCACCTGCCCTTAGTGTCCCAAAGAAAATAGTGTACCGGCTGTCACTTGTTACAAATCCGCACACAAATCATCGTCTCTACAACGCTGCTTTCCCTCATCTCAATGTCAGATTCGTCTTCCGTACCCCCCACACGACTCTCTTCATTTTTTCCCGTTAAGGACAAAATTCCCAAGTCTCTGAGATCTGGTGTTGTTTATTTATACACGCGTCGATGCTGTTCCGCGTCGTATGTGGGTCAAACCACACGCCACTTACACACCAGAATCTCGGAACACTTGGGGATCTCTCCTTTGACTGGAAAACGCTATACTAACCCATTAATGTCAAGTATTCTTTCTCATAGTAACTCCTCCAACCATCCTGCTTTGCCAGACGATTTTAAAATCATCTCATCCTGCTCCGACACATTCGACCTCATGATCCACGAAAGCTTCCTCATCTCCAAACAAAAAGCTTCACTTAACACCCAAGGCAGCTCCATCCCTCTTAAGCTTTTCTAGTCTCAACACCTCACCCTAACATCACACTTACATCACACTTACATCACACAATACATCACATCACACCTACACATTCACAGTAACCTGATACCTCAAACTATGTAAATAGCTCTATATATATCTATATTCTTGTTAACTTCCTAATTTAGTCTGAAGATGTCTTGAGTAAAGACGAAACGTCACTCTTTTAATAAATTTCATAAAACCAAATTGTTTATGACTATGTTTAAAATTATTTGTTTGGCTCAAATATTTATATTGAGAATCCGTTTCCCGCCTGGCACCTCATTGACAACTATATTAATATCTTCTCTCTCGCTCTACTCTCTTTTGCTCTCTTGTTTAATACTTTAGAATACTGCATGTAGGCAAAAAAAATGTGAACCAGTTGTTATCACGTCATGTAAGCAGCTGAATTTTGACATTTGCTACCGAAATACAAATGCCAGAAATGAAAACAATACAACATAATACTAGTACAACTACAGCAGTCAGCTTAACTAAACAGCTGCAAATAAACTGATTAAAAAGGTACTAAAATCTTAGACAATTACTTCTTTCTCAGCAAAAGGGAATGTGGAATAATGCATGTCTATATTGGTGGTTTGAATTTGACTTCAGGTCATCCATGAATTGTCAGATAGTGATGTCAAGATGTTAAATTTGGGGGGGGGTAATACACCATTTTGGCGGTTTTCAAAAATGTGGAAACACGTGTTTGCTAAAGAGAAAAACTCGGACAAACATGGCGGAGTAATTTTATAACAATGGTTACGACGAAGAGGTGCGCTTGGGGAACCTGCAAAAGCGATTCGCGGTATCCTGATCGTTTAAAACGAGACGCAAGTAGAAGCAAAGTATTTTTTTACATTTTCCTGGGGAGAAATACCATAGCGACAAGCGAGAGCGCTGGATTCGTGCGTGTCATCGAGGTGACAGATTTGTGTGTACGAAAGACAGTTATATTTGCAGTCTTCATTTTGTGGGAGAAAATGGTCCTACTGTAGATAACCCAGACCCTATTTCAGCGATACAAAGTATTGAGAATGTAAGTGTTGACTGCTCATAAATGTGTGAATTTTACGAAAGCTTGCTGAACGTTTTATAAGCTTATACATCATTTTAAATTCATTTAGAGAAGAAAACTAACGGGAAAAGGAAAAAAACAATGACAAGGGTATATAATCCGCCACCAAAACTAGCGTCAATCTCCAAAAAAGATGCAGCAGAGGCTCTTCTTTGCTTGAGCGAAAGGGAACACGCTAAAAGAGACGCAGCTGACGACCTCCTATCCTTATGTGAAAATAGTACAACATCCCGTGATATCCAAAAGGATCAAGACGAATATCTTGTTTTAAAGAAAAAAGATGCTGCTGCTCAAACCAACCTAACTCATGAACATCTTAAAACTTATGCGACTGAGTCATTTGTTAACACCAGCAGTATACAGAAATGCATGTTTTAGAAAATGTGGTTAATGATTCAGCCCATTATATAGGTATAAAATTTCATTTTTTACTATGTTGATTATAACTTGATATAATTGCTTATGTTGGAAGCTATTGGAAATAATAAAGGACTTTGTGAGCTACTCTGAATTAATTTATCTGTAGGCCTACCAGGTGAAATGTTGAAAATACTTTTGAGTTCGAAAGCAAAGGCTTCCAGGCTTATCAAATGGAAAGGGAAGAAAACAGCAAAATATAAACAAGAAAAAAAGAGCAGTGCTAGGGTACAGTAATATATAATCATTCATATTGCTCAAGTAAATACTCAAGTTAATAGTTGTGTAATGCAGTTAATAGCTCCCTATGTATAATGAATGATAAGCACTTAATCATTTTTATAGATCCACAAAACTTCTACATGGGCTAAACTTTCAGTTTATGAGCAATTTATATTCACATTGGTCAGGATCAAAAGATTCCCTAGTCTCAAGATGTTATGTGATTTATTTGGAGTGTCAGAAACTGTTGGTAGCAGCATATTCTTGACATGGGTGAAGTTTCTTGAGAAGGAATTAAAGTTATTTATTCCATTTACCACTTTGAAAGACATGGAAGGAATAACCGGCCTAAAGTTTACGAATCTAATCCATGTCTTCGTGCAATAATTGATTGCACAGAATTCTATATACAAAACCTTCTCTTCCTTCAAGTCAACGCCGGACACATAGTAACTACATAGGCAGAAACACCTTCAAACTATTTATTTCCATGTCATCGCTTCTACATATCAACTATATCTCTACATTGTTCAGTGGTTGCATAGCGACAAGGAAATCATCAAGAGATGTGGATTGTTGGAAGAGTTAGCTGCAGGGGATGGCTGACAAAGGATTTAATATCCAGGATTTACTTGCCCTTCCACATGTCCATTTAATTTCATCTCCAATTAAGCATAAAGGTAATGTTGGCACTGGTGCAACAACAATGACAAGGAGAGTGGCTACAAAGAGGATTCACATTGAAAGAATTATTCAACAACTGAAGTCATTTAGTATATTACAAGGTGTAATCCCATTAACAATGAAACCATATATTGATTCCGTTGCATCTATCTGTGCAGCATTGGTTAATTTGCAACCACAGATTATTGCATCACCTTAAAAACATTGTATATAGAAGTTTTAAAAAATATACAATAAAATATTCCTTTGTGTTGATAAACTTAGATCAATGCAGAGTAAACAATGAGTGCAAAGTTCTGTGCCATTTATTTCTTTCCATTGTGGCATCCTTGTTACTGAACCATTTATGTTCCATGACAATGAAAGCATTGGGACATTTCTCATATTTTTCAATATTCTAAAAAATGTTGTGAGATTGAAAAAGTAAGCACTCTTCCCTATGTAATTGCATTGAGTATATCTTTCCTATTATTAAGCTCTAACTTGAAGAAACATGTAGTTTCCATAAATACCTTCAAGAAGTATTTAATAAAAAGTGATACAAAAACAGCACAGAGGTTTGAAGAGATTTCCTGCTGTGGGACCTACCAAATAATGCATATAGCAAGATTTATTTGCACAATATATTTTATTGGTGGCATGATAAGAACTCACTTTTAACAGATGAATGACAATCTTGATCTTCGAATCCATTTACACTCCTTACTTGTAACACTATCCTCTCCTCTAGAATTAAGCAGATCATCAAGAGAATACAAAGCAGATGATACATGCTTACATCCTCCATCTCTACCACCAAGACAACAGCAATACGTATCAAGCACACTGCCACGATTAGACCCGTTTCCTTCCAATATAAACCATAAATCGTAAACGTCTTTACCATCTTTAGTCATTTCTTTCATTGTAGGCTTAACCTTGCCTATATAAACATGGACCCCAGCATCTTGCCTGTATGCTGTTAGCAAAGACTCAACATATCCATCGTAAAACAAACGATAGTTCTCGAACGACTTATAGGCTGCAAGATCCTGCTTGTCGTATTCCGATGAATGATATATAAGATGATTAAATATATCAAACAAGCCGAACGGGGTGAATTTTAAAATCATTTGAAACATTAATGGTAAATGGATCCGGCAGCTCAACGTCATGGATGGTCAAACGACAACCTAAATTTACTTGCTGCTCAGCTATACTGACTTGCGGGATCAATGGAATGTTCATTTTTCCACTGCACATGCAATGGCTATAGTCCCGGCTTCAGATAACTACTTACGGTTATACCTCTACTCACACTACAACGTAGGCAAATTCATTGCAAACCTTTTGAATCCACTCACCCTAAATAAATTTTCATTACAAGACTCTTTCGATGCTACTGATGCTATTAAATCTATACCTAAAGATCTATTTTCCCAAGGTTATAAGTTTGTCTCTTTTGATGTTGAATCCCTTTTCACCAACGTGCCTTTGCGTAAAACCATTAACATTGTACTAGATCGCATTTACAAACAAAATATTATTAATACCACTCCGAAAATCAACACTCAAAAAACTCATTATTGATTCATGCACCAAAACTATATTTTCTTGCAACGGTATTTTTTATGAACAACTTGACGGGGTTTCCATGGGGTCTTCTCTCGGTCCCGTCTTAGCTAATATAATTCTCACTGAGTTTGAAAACATTATTGTCAATGATTTGATCAACTCAGGTGTCCTTAAGTTTTACCGACGTTATGTTGATGATACTCTTGTTCTTATGCGACATTCTGACATTCCTCATGTTCTTGCCAAATTTAATAGTTTTGATAAAAATCTTAAATTTACTTTTGATGATTTTTCTGACTCACATGCCCACTTTCTAGACCTCAAAATAACAAATAATGACATCGATATATTCCGTAAAACAACTCATACTGGCCAATATACACATTTTTCAAGTTTCGAACCTTTCAACCGCAAAACTACTTGGATCAATTCCCTATTTTTTCGCGCATTTAAGATTTGCTCTAACCAAACATTATTCAAAAAACAAATTCAAACACTCCAGTCTTTTATGTCATGGAATGGTTTCCCTCTTACAGTCCGGAAATTCTTGATTCACAAACTCAAAACGAAAATCATAGCTAAAAATAACCCCTCTAAACAAAATACTGAGAATGACCTTCGTAAAATTTTCATTAGAATACCATATCTAGGTAAACAGGGTGAACGTTTGGTTTTCAATCTTCTTCGTAAAATTCGCCGTAGCTTAAAAATTCCCATCAAACCTATAGTTATATAAGAAACAAAAAAGACATCAATTTTCTGTCCCAAAAAGGACAAAATTCCGGAACTCTCTAAAGCCAATGTTATATATGAATTTAAATGTCCAGGCTGTGGTCATACATACATTGGCAAAACTGAACGAAACCTACACACAAGACTAACCCAACATGCTACTAATTACAATAATTCTAGTGCCATCTCACAACATTTACTCATTTGTCCAGACGCCAACTACATCTCACACCTTTTCTCACTTCCTGACGCTGATTCCGACCTCGATCTCACACACGTGCCACTCAATCCTTGTAACTTGATTCCTAGTAATACCAAAATATTATATCACTGTAAAAATAATAATCCTAATCAACTTCTCATCTTAGAAGCACTTTTGATAAAACGCGATATGCCACAACTTAATAGTGGTCTTAAAGCTTGTAAGAAACTATCTCTATTTTAATGTTAGTATATTTTAGTCTTATAGTTCTCTAATTACATAACTGCCATTTCCGCTTGTAAATATATAAAGTTTCGCAGCCTGCATTGTAAACCATAAGTCTGATGATGTCTTTGGAATAAAGACGAAATATTACACATTATTTTGTTTCAAACTCTTGTAATATCTTGAATATCAAGAAAACGAGATGTCCGTCTTCGGAATTTGCTTTATTTTGTATTATTTGAAATTACCTCTACTCTGCAGTTAACTTTTTAATTCTGGCAGTTTCATAGCTTTGAATTTCTCTTCACGTAACCTTTCTTCCATTTAAACGCTTATATTTTGAAATAAAGAAATGTTACAATTTATTTTGCAAGAGAGCGAAACATATTTCTATTTCATATAGCAAATTAGTCATTGTTATGACTTCCGCCATGTTTGTCCGAGTTTTCACTTAGCGAGCACGTGTTTTTATTCAAATAAAACCGCCAAAGTGGTCTATTTGCTGGGAAGTAAAGAATTATATAACATGCTACGAGTTTGTCAAATTTTGTAATTGTGTAATTTTTTGAATATCGCATTTTTAGTTTGAAATACTTTATCTAAGTATAAATACTATACTATTGGCATAAAAATTGCTCATCGCTATTTTCATTTCCATCTAAACAAGGACAAGTTTAACATTTATGGAAAATAAAGAACAAGTAGGTAAAAGAGAGAAAATGTTAGGGAATCTTTACTCCACATATACGCAACTCACGTTTCAAATGTGTGTGTGTGTGGGGAAGGAGGGGAGGTAAAAGCTTTGGGGTTTAATAAGATCAAATACTTACAATACAATTGGTTCAAATACAATGCGCGAAATTGTTAAAGTGCCTATAAACGAAAATTTTGCACGTTATAGTTTAACATACGTAGAAACAATGCAAATGCATTAACTACGTTGTTTCATATATCTAATCCTCGTCATCAAACACAAATAATAAGCTGTTTGTCTTATCTTTTACAGCGGTGGTTGTTTTAATCCAGTAGTAACTCTGGCGCTAACAATCTTTCGTGGTATACAACCAGTACTTGCACTGTTGTTTATTATATCTCAAATTTTGGGAGGAATAATTGGCGCAGCTTTAGCCCAAGTAAGTATTATATAGTGCAATAACATATGGAACACTCACTTTAATTGAAAGTGCAATGCTTTCTTTCAAAACGAGGTATGTCGATACGTTATTCTCATTTGAAAACGAGGGCATGAAAATAAAATTTTGTGAAATAACTCCAAAAAGTTGTATCGTCAATTGCATGCACGTATATGTCTCCAATGGAAAAATCGTGACGAAAAAATCTCACATACTTATGAGCATTTAAACGTACAGTACGAAAAGTTACATGTACAAATAATGCTTTAAAGACCATTAAAATAAACTCAGTCTGCATGTATTGTCTTCTTTTCAGGTAGCGATGAGCTCTGCGGACTACAAACTAAACTTTGGGGGTGTTCGTACCCTAGGGGGTGCTCATGCCCTATACCCTTATCGCACCCCAAAGACTGAGATCAGTCCAGGTCAAGGCATTTTGGCTGAAGCCTTAGCGACCTCCATTTTGGTACTCGTAGTGTTGATGGTTTTATTAGATGAGAGAAACAAGAGTAAACTCGCTCCTCTCGCCATTGGTTTGTCAGTTGTAGGCGGAATTGCAGCAAAGTAAGTTTATAAACACGTTAACGTAACTTTCTGGCCAATATATTGCCAGAAAAATGAAGTTCTGTGCACTGGTTCTATGTCATTCAATTTAAATTTTGCTCTTAGTCGGTGGATTACCGGAGGTTCCATGAATCCTGTGCGAAGTTTTGGTGCAGCAGTTGTGAAAAATTATTGGAAACATCATTATGTCTACTGGGTTGGTCCGTTTCTTGGTGGCATGTTATCAACTTTGATGTATGGCTTTGTCTTGGCTTCACCAAACCAACTATGGCTAGTTTGGTAGAGCACTGTATGGATACAGGACTCGCATTGTAAAAGTCTTTTAATGGATTTAAACCTTCGAGGCTGGAGTAGTTTAGAAATATATACTCGGGAGCTTGAAAATTTTTCGAATTTTTTCTTTTCGTGAGATTTAATGTGTTAATGAAAAACATAGGTCCATAACGACGCTCACTTTGTCTTTAGCATATTGTTATGTAGTAGTTGAAGATTTTCGTCAGGATGTAAGCAAGATAAAAGAATATGTATGAATCGGATAGATTATTGTGGGCCCTTTGCGTATCAGTTCTCACCAGAAACCAAAAACGCAACATAGTTCCACCGATAAAAAGTTATATCTTCGCCTTCGAACGTAAACATCAAATGCTTCTCCACCACTCTCTAGCACTCTTCCGTAAAATTCAAAATGTTAAACTTTACCTACCTCTCCTCGCACCTTTTCATAATGTTAAGCCTCACCAGTCCCTCCTCGCTCACTTTCATCACCAAACAACAAATTCATTGTTATTCGGCCTTTGCGTAACCTATACACGACAGCGCTTCATTATCGAATAGTCGACATAAGCTCCAATTATTGCAATAGCATGAACAAAATGGAGGAAGACAACCGCTTTAACATCGAGGAGCAACCGTCCAAGTTGCGAGTTTACTCGACTTTGTTTTTTAAATTCATACGGCCATGTGTAGCCGAGCTGTTTGGTACAACAATTTTTGTTTTTGCAGATCTTGGTGGTATGAACTACATCAGTAGCACTGCCTTTACACATGGTCTTATATTATTTGTGTTAATCGCTGGAACTGCTACCGTCAGGTAAATCATGCAGTGAAAACAGGTCAATTTTGAACTCCTATACGTGAAGGGTCTTTGCTTTGTAAATTAGCGTGAAAGCAAATATCCGCCAGATTTTATCCATATCATCTTTCTAGCTGAGCAATATGAGCTTGGAGTGAAAATGAAATGCGTTCATTTTTTTCATTTCTATACTATAAAACTAAGTACTTATTCTACCTAATTACTTCAAAAATAGACAAAACAGACAATCATTTTTTAAACTCAAGATTCGAGTTTAATGATCTTGTCTCTTTTAGTTTGTAAAATGGTTGTTAGTGTGTGATAACATTAATAACAGCAAAAAAATGAACAAGACACTTGCTTAGCTGTTTACTCTGTATACAGGTAAAGATACACCAAAACATTTACCACAACTCTAAATTTGCAACTGTTAACTGTGGCAGAAATATTATAAAAATTACGTGGTTCAAAGATCGTTTTAAATCCAGCATTTTGTTGGATTTCTGAGACTTCTAACACCACATGACTATTATACACTTCCGCTGCGGTAACAAGATCCTTTTAAAACGTCTTACTTTTTATGCGCCAAATTTTTTAAACGTGCCAAAAATAGTTCTTCGACAGTTTGGCATAAACTCGTTGGGTATCTAATATTTTCAATGTGTGAAGACTTTCGCTTGGATTAAACAAACGTTGTTTGCAATTCGCATAGAATGTCGATAGTGGTCTTTTTAAAATGCTATTCAATATGAGAATTGCCAATAGTTTTCAAACACGGGTGTCGATTTATCGGTTGAAGTAAAGAAAGTATCGTGCTACTGATATAGACAACAAATCCCTACATTGAAAAAATATTCTTGAAAATATCATGTTTATCACAAAAAAAAGATTTACTCAAGTCAACTGTCCATTTTGTATCTGGCTGTTTCTATATTATTTCTGCGGCAAGCCCATAAAAATGACGAGTGATATTGACAAAAATTACGGACCAATTATACTTTCTATATGATCTATACTCGGAACACGTCATTGAGTGGTGAAAACATTTTTTTCACAACAGGAGAGTGTCAAAAGATAGAATAACGATTGCATTTTGTTGTGTTTGTTCTTAAACTTCGACATTAAACATACAATATATTTATTTGAACTATGTTCGTTTTTGTGCTCATTTGCAAGATTACGTAACCATATGTACATGCGGCGCACCTATTTTCATTCTCTACTAGTTCTACAAAATGGCATTCAACTTGTCAACACTTACCTTAAGTTAGAGAAGCTTGTTTAATAGGACGATTGGTAAAATAAGCGTGATCTGCATGTTAATCATTCCTCAAAAGACTAAAAAACCCCCAAAAAAATCCACTCAGAAACAGATTCAAAGTCAATGCAGTTTTGAGGGGGGTGGGGGTGTAATTTACTCACTTGATATAGATGAAACGAAACCGTTATTGTTTATTTTTCAATGTTCATTTTGCACAGAGACTATATACTATCAACCACGAAATTGAAAAGCTATCATCAGAGAATCAAAATATGAGTTCAAATCCTGGAATTCATATTCTGCATTCACAAATGGTAAAAATAAGTTTAGTTGTCTTACTATTTGCAGTGGTGGTCATTTTAATCCGGCAGTAACTCTGGCACTTACAATCGTTCGTGGTTTACAACCAGTACTTGCACCGTTGTATATTTTATCTCAGCTTTTGGGAGGAATTATCGGCGCAGGTTTAGCACGAGTAAGTACTACGAACACATGATGCAGTCAATGGAAGTAAAAATGTTTTCCTTCGAAATGCCAATTTTCTTACACCGAAAAATTGACATCATGAAATATTGTCTATGGTATTTGATTTTCGCATTTTGTTTTCAAAATGCCTTTTTTGTCGTCAAATGAACTGTTCAATATTTATCTCCTTAATTAGGAAATAAATTTCTCGTCTCTTAATGGGAAGTAGTTAAACCGTGGTTTTGCTTCTCTAGTGACAGGCCATTTTCTGATAAAACATATTAACTACACACATTTCAAATCATGGAGTGTATGAACTAGTTAGGGAGGTTGCAAAAGGCAATTTCAGCTCAGTTAATATTTTCTTTATTGCAGGCAGCGATGAGCTCTGAGCAATATACAAAAACCTTTGGTGGTGTGCACATGCTTGGAGCTGATATCAATCCAGGTCAAGGCATTTTGGCTGAAGCCTTAGCGACCTCCCTCCTGGTGTTTGTCGTGTTGATGGTCGCATTTGATGAGAGAAACAAGAGCGAGTTTGCTCCTCTTGCCATTGGCTTTACAGTTACAGGCGGAATTTTGGCAATGTATGTTTATGAACATGTTACAATATGATGAAGGTCTACGGTTTTTTAAATATTTACTTTTTCCTTTTAGTGGGGTCATTTCAGGAGGTTCCATGAATCCTGCACGAAGTTTTGGTCCTGCAGTTGTGAAAAATTATTGGAAACATCACTATGTCTACTGGGTTGGTCCGTTTCTTGGTAGCATATTATCAACTTTGATGTATGGTTTTGTCTTTGCAACACCGAGCCAGCTTTGGCTACCATTAAGGGAGCCAATTACATGAGATGCTTTTAGAAAAATGACAAATAAACCAAGCTGACAAGCTCTCTTTAATTTTCATTTCTTCCAAGATTTTTAAATTTTTTATCATCTTGAGGGTATAGAGCAAGTGTAGAAAAACATTTAGACATCGAAACATTGGAGATTGGATTAGTTTAGAAATATAAACCAACAAGAAATTTTTCTGTATAAGATAGTGATGTTTTAAGTAAGTAAACAACATACAAATGCTGAATTTGTTTCAATCATATTGCTGTGTTTGATTTTTGGCAGGAGTTAGCAAAGACCCTGATCTTTTCCGGAGAAGAAATAAGGTGAATCTGGCATTATCCCCGAATAGTCCAAAACATGTATAAGAGTTTGTATGTAATTCATTTACCGGAAGCAATCTCAACTCATTTTGGATAAAATGACTACGACAAACAACATGGCATGGCATATGAATTTGTCAAATCCTCAATTCGGGTAGAAATAAAGACCCACCCGAAATGGCAGTATGACAGTGTCTACAAAGACTGCGCCAACTTTCACGAACAAAAAATAATCATTCTGAAGTACTTAGAGTGTTGGAATTGGTATTGTTTAGTTGACATACGAATGAATGACTATATTTCACCAACCTTCCATTATAATTGATGACCAAATGAGTTTTCATCCCATTTTCGTTAAATTCAGACGTAGTCAGTGCAGTGTCTTTTATCTTTACGATATTTAGCACACGAACATAATCTGTCAAATTTACCGCCATTGCGAAGTGTCGTCCCTTCTCTGCTCGATAAATCACACTCTTGGCCTTCGTTTGTATTCTCGTGGTAGTAGAAAGGAGCACAACATTGTAGTTAAGTCCCAATCAAAAAATTAAAAAAAATAGCGGTATCTCTTACAGAAAGACCTGCTACACAATGCTCCCATAGCACATTGAAATTATGTCACGAATGGTGGTGAGCTACTTGACAGGGGGATGGGACTCGAGGGAATTGCGGGAATGTAATTTTACGAAGCGATTGTTTTTTGCCAATACAAAGCTGTAAGGAATATTAAATGTTTACCGGTAAGAAATAAAATGCATGTGAATTTAAACAGTCGAAGTTTAAAGAAAAGAATGCTTTGCGACAAATGTTTGTTTTGTTTTAATTTTTGTGGCCAGAGAACAACTTACTCTTTATGAATATCCACCCCCCCCCCCGCCATTGATCAAGCAGAGAATTGACAGCATTTTGCAATGGCGGCAAATTTGATTTGACAGAATGTCCATTTTTTACAACTCCCATGACCACCACTAAAAGTGAACCTTCCAAGCATTTCAGAATATTTCTCTTTGTTTCTGCAGGTTAGAGCTATCCCAACACTGCCATGGTTGATAACAAACAAACAAACAAACAACATTTGTATACCGGCCAGTATTAATCCCCGCCAGGAGTTGGTCCATGAATTTTTCTACGCCAAACGTCTCTATCTCTCGCCATATCTCTCGTTATACCCATCGCCTTCATATCACTGTTCACAGCATCCATCCATCTCCTTCTCGGTCTACCTCGTTTGCGGACTCCATCAACATTCATATGCAACGTTCTACGAATTTTAGCACTTTCTTCCCTCCTTTCCACATGCCCAAACCACCTCAAACGCTGGCGCCTTACCCAATTCTCGATACACTCAACACCAACTCTTTCTCTAATCTCTTCACTTCGAATCCTATCCATCAACGTTACACCACACATCATCCTAAGCATTCTCCTTTCCGTCGACGCCAATCTTCTCAGGTCCTCTGCTTTCGGCGCCCAACACTCTGCTCCATATCCCAAAACACTTCTAACACATGCCTTGTACACATGCCATGTGTAGCCGAGCTGTTTGGTACAACAATTTTTGTTTTTGCAGATCTTGGTGGTATGAACTACATCAGTAGCACTGCCTTTACACATGGTCTTATATTATTTGTGTTAATCGCTGGAACTGCTACCGTCAGGTAAATCATGTAGTGAAAACAGGTCAATTTTGAACTCCTATACGTGAAGGGTCTTTGCTTTGGCGTGAAAGCAAATATCCGCCAGATTTTATCCATATCATCTTTCTAGCTGAGCAATACGAGCTTCGTATGAAAATGAAATGCGTTCATTTTTTTCATTTCCATACTATAAAACTAAGTACTTACTCTACCTAATTACTTCAAAAATAGACAAAACAGACAATCATTTTTTAAACTCAAGATTCGAGTTTGATTAACGATCTTGTCTCTTTTAGTTTGTAAAATGGTTGTTTGTGTGTGATAACATTAATAACAGCAAAAAAATGAACAAGACACTTGCTTAGTTGTTTACTCTGTATACAGGTGGAGATACACCAAAACATTTACCACAACTCTAAATTTGCAACTGCTAACTGTGGAAGAAATATTATGAGAATTACGTGGTTCAAAGATCGTTTTAAATCCAGCATTTTGTTGGATTTCTGAGACTTCTAACACCGCATGACTATTATACACTTCCGCTACGGTAACAAGATCCTTTTAAAACGTCTTATTTTTTATGCGCCAAATTTTTTAAACGTGCCTAAAATAGTTCTTCGACAGTTTGGCATAAACTCGTTGGGTATCTAATACTTTCAATGTGTGAAGACTTTCGCTTGGATTAAACAAACGTTGTTTGCAATTCGCATAGAATGTCGATAGTGGTCTTTTTAAAATGCTATTCAATATGAGAATTGCCAATAGTTTACAAACACGGGTGTCGATTTATCGGTTGAAGGTCCACCTTCCAAGCTAACTTTACTCTTCTACAACAATAATTTGATCAAAATGAGGTTGCGATATCGAACGCCATATTGGACTTGCACAACAGATTTACCATAGTCCTCATCTATGAGTACCTGGATGAATCGTTGGTCTTAATGAAACGCAAGTTATGCTGGGATACAGATGACGTCATCTAATTTAGTACAATGTTACCACCTGAAGAGAGACAACGTGAATATCCACTTGAAGTTGAAGAAGGGATAAAAAAGTGGAACAAAGCTGATTTCAAGTTGTACGAATTTTTCAATGCAACCCTTTGGGAAGAGATCGCGAAGGAAGAAAACTTTCCGATAGAAGTATCAAAATTCAAAGCCAGAAGAAGAGAGATTGAAAAACAATGTACAAAGGGTTCGGTTGCTGCTCAGAATGCAACATTTCATTTTGCAAATGAAATCAGAACACACAAAGGACTTGGATTAATGGATATTTGTAGGAAGATGAAAATGAACGATCAAGAATATTTAGAACACTTTCTGAGAGTAGCGTGAAAAATACTCTCGTTCATACATAAAGTAAATACACAAGAGATAAGCAAACAAATTAAATATTTGGAGAGAGTGCACAATACCGTAGTAAAGCCCTCAAAACAACTCTTGTTAACTGCTTATATTACTCTATAAGATTTTAATCGCTACAAATGTTTTTTCGTACGACAAGTGATGCCTACCTCACGTATTCAGGAGAATATTGGGTAATGTCACAGAATGTTTGCCAAGGTCTTAGACAGCAACGGAAAAGAATTCAGTACATATATATTGTACATTTCTATGAATAACTAAGAAAGAATTTGCTCTTATGTCAATGTCAGAAAACTCTATCAAAACGAAAAGATTCCAGGTCAAGATTTTTGATCTCTGCTAACGTTCTCTACCGTTCTTGATACTGTCAGAAATTAGTTATTAACTAGGACCGAAAGAAAGCACTTAACACGAAATAAGTATATATACAGGATGTATGTCAAGGAAGATAGAAATATTGATTGAGCAGATTATTTCAATAGAATAAAGAGAACTATTTTACCCAGGATGTCCGTCACGGTTGGGTTAAATATGCTTAGACGTGCTGATTTTTGATTTGATTGTTGTGCTTGATAAGCAGAGCCCTCTATTAGTAAGAGTTGGGACAAACGGTCTGGGGCGAGCACGGAGCCCCCCAATTTAATCCAAGCATGACATTTTTTATTCTGAAAGATCACAAAATTTTCATGCTCAGCAGAAAATGACAGACTTTTTTACTTTTTAGTTATTGAAATATGCAATGATTTGACCAAGATGCATTTGACCTTAAACGTTTTATTCCTTTATATGAAGTTATTTCGCCTTTAACACTTTATAAAGTATTAAAGTTTATTTCTAATAAAGTTTGTTAAGGATTCTGCTGAAAATTTTGGTGAAGCATTTCTTTAAAATGAATATATTATTTCTATAACATGAAACATTTCTATTGTTGAAGAACAGTCTTTTTGCTATAAATGCCACTGTTTGTAGTCTTTTATACAGCATATGAGTCTGATCCAATCTTTAATTTAGCAAAGAGTTAAATTTATTGGTTGAGGAATGACAAAACTTCCGTATGTGTTTAATGATCAAACAGGGGTGTGTTGGAGGGGGCTCAGCCCCATTTGTTCAAATTCTATGCCTTGTATTGCCAGTGAAATACGTATATCTAAAAGCTAGCAGCACCTAAATAAATATCAGAAAGCCAGCAATATTTTAATATATAAGAGAAAGGTAGCAACAGTTGTAATATACATTAAAAAGCCCAAATAGCTGAAATTATGGAGATATGCCTCTGTGATCTTATAAACAAAACCTAAAATTAAAATATCATTGAAAAGTCTAGAAGAGAAGTAATGTTCTACTTTGAGCTACAGAAGTAGGGAACATTTGCACAATTCATTACCAAAAATATATTGTATTCAGCTGTTTCAGTGAATATCCTAATTATAATTACTTCATTTTTAAATGATGAACTAAAAATACAAAATACAACATGGAAAATTATAAGAGTTTCTGTGATTTGGTGTAGTTGTTTGTTTTAGTGTGGAAGTGGCTGAGAATTGAGAGGTTCGTAGATTGACCAATTTCAGAACATAATGAGAAATCATCTTCGATTAAAAAACAAGCTTTGGAGTAAGAAAACTATTGAAACTGCATCAGCACGAACTTTGTAATGTTATTTGGTCCAAAAATGTTTCTCTACTTGAGTCAGTTAATTGAACCTTATTGATATAAGGTTCAATTAAGCAGTTCAGCACAACAATCACCATACGCAATCAAATTTCGTAAGTTCGAGGCATTTCTTTCATTTTTTTCGTAATCCTCGATTCTGGCGATATGTAATGACATTTAGTAGCCGTCAACAATCAGTTATTACAAACTTATCCGTATAAAAACGCAATATTATCTCAAAATACTGTATTACTAGCAGCAATTGCTATATAAACACTAGCTCAAATTTCAAAACTAGGAACCAAAATGGCGGAAATTGATCAGGTGATCAATATTGCCCAATCTACGTAAGCTAAACGGATAACAATAGATGTCCCAACAAGTGGTCCCAACTCTTACTAATAGAAGGCTCTGTTGATAAACACTGAGTTCATTAGCTCCGGTAATTTGAACAAAATGGAAGACCACCGTTTTACCATCGAGGAACAACCACCAAGATCACAATTTGAATCGTCTTTATTTTTCAAATACATCCAACCATGTATTGCCGAGATGTTTGGCACTATACTCATAGTCTATATTGATATATGTCTTGGAAAGTACAGTGCTTTTGTACATGGTTACTTGATATTTGCGTTAATCGCTGCAACTTCTTCTGTCAGGTATATGCAAAAGTAAAACCAGGATGATTTTGTATTATCATCTATTTGTCTCTTGCTCTAAACTATACTCTATATTACTCTCTTGTCTCTAACTTTATTCTATATTAATATTCTCAATATAAATATTAGAGCCCAACAAATAATTTTAAACATAGTCATAAACAATTTGGTTTTATAAAATTTATTAAAAGAGTGAAGTTTCGTCTTTACTCAAGACATCTTCAGACTAATTAGGAAGTTAACAAGAATATAGATATATATAGAGCTAGTTTGAGTTACTGTGATGTGGGTGTGATGTGATGTATTGTGTGATGTAAGTGTGATGTAAGTGTAATGTAAGTGTGATGTATTGTTAGGGTGAGGTGTTGAGACTAGAAAAGCTTAAGAGGGATGGAGCTGCCTTGGGTGTTAAGTGAAGGTTTTAGTTTGGAGATGAGATTTCATGGACTCACCCGCACAGAATTCAGTAATCTACTAACGCTATCTGTTAAAAATTGCCACTTTATGTTTAACGACCGCTTATACCACCAAATTGATGGTGTTGCTATAGGTAGTCCCCTTGGCCCCCCTTTTGCCAACATATTCATGTCTTTCCATGAACAAAACTGGCTGAAAAACTGTCCCCAGAAATTCAAACCTGTTCTCTACAGACGTTATGTCGATGATTGCTTCCTCCTTTTTAAATCACTTGATCACGTTCTTCTCTTTTTCGACTACATTAACCATCAACACCCCAACATCACTTTTACCTCTGAGACGGAAAATAATGGACGACTACCGTTTTTAGACATTGACATTTACCGCTCAAACGACAAATTCACCACCTCTGTATATCGTAAACCCACATTTACCGGTCTTTTCACAAACTTTCACAGCTTTATCCCACTTTCTTACAAACGCAACTTAATCTCTGGCCTATTACACCGCTTTTTCAAACTCTGCTCTAGTTATGAGACTTTTCATGCCCAAATTGAAACCACCAGAAAACTATTTAAACTCGTGTAATAAAAATTAATGCCCAACATAAAGTTCTGATTATAGCCATAGAAATAGACCAAAAATAGAAATAGACACGAATTCGATTTCCGCTCGGCAAGTCTCTCGCTACTATAATAATATCGAAGCATTTAGAAAATTCCAACGACTTGAACTCAAGCTGGGAAAAGCGCTCTGTGATACCAAGATTCCTGTGGTTCAAAGTAGCTAGTCGTCGCTTACAAAACTCTAGCGCTTATCGCCAATGCCAAAATAAACTCCTTCAAGAAGAAATTAACGGGAAACACGCTCGTATGTAAATATAATATCTTGTCTTAACATCCTATTTATTATTTGTCTGAAGATGTCTTGAGTAAAGACGAAACGTTACAATAAATTTAATTTTACAATTTGTTTTTTTTGGTCTATTTCTATGGCTCTAATCAGAACTTTATGTTGGGCATTAATTTTTATTACACGAATTCGATTTCCGCTCGGCAAGTCTCTCGCTACTATTCAAACTCAATTGCTATCCAACACAAAATGACACAAAATTCGAACAGAAACCACCTGCCCTTAGTGTCGCAAAGAAAATAGTGTATTTTCTGTATCCCATTCACCGGCTGTCACTCGTTACAAATCCGCACACAAATCAATCGTCTCTACAACGCTGCTTTCCCTCATCTCAATGTCAGATTCGTCTTCCGTACCCCCACACGACTCTCTTCATTTTTTCCCGTTAAGGACAAAATTCCCAAGTCTCTGAGATCTGGTGTTGTTTATTTATACACGTGTCGATGCTGTTCCGCGTCGTGTGTGGTTCAAACCACACGCCACTTACACACCAGAATCTCGGAACACTTGGGGATCTCTCCTTTGACTGGAAAACGCTATACGAACCCATTAATGTCAAGTATTCTTTCTCATAGTAACTCCTCCAACCACCCTGCTTCGCCAGACGATTTTAAAATCATCTCATCCTGCTCCGACACATTCGACCTCATGATCCACGAAAGCCTCCTCATCTCCAAACTAAAACCTTCACTTAACACCCAAGGCAGCTCCATCCCTCTTAAGCTTTTCTAATCTCAACACCTCACCCTAACAATACATCACACTTACATCACATTTACATCACACAATACATCACATCACACCTACACATTCACAGTAACCTGATACCTCAAACTATGTAAATAGCTCTATATATATCTATATTCTTGTTAACTTCCTAATTTAGTCTGAAGATGTCTTGAGTAAAGACGAAACGTCACTCTTAATAAATTTCATAAAACCAAATTGTTTATGACTATGTTTAAAATTATTTGTTTGGCTCAAATATTTTTATTGAGAATCCGTTTCCCGCCTGGCACCTCATGGCAACTATACTAATATCTTCTCTCTCGCTCTACTCTCTTTTGCTATCTTGTTTAATTAAAAATTAAACGAGCTTACCTGTAAGTGAAGTTTGATTGGGATTCTACCGATCCATTGCGAGGAACGAAGGGATTACATGAGATTGCGCCAGCGATCACAACTTCAATATTTAACGCTTGTCGAATATCATTATAACCTTGGGTCGGGGTTAGCAGCCATTTACAATCGGCAATAATCTACACAGTACTAATATCTATTACATAACAAAGAGTAAATCCAATATGGGAGGCAGTAATCCCTTCGTTCCTCGCAATGGATCGGTAGAATCCCAATCAAACTTCACTTACAGGTAAGCTCGTTTAATTTTTAATTCTACCTCACCATTGCTACGTCACTACGGGATTACATGAGACTTTAAAGTACCAATGATATGAGACAACTGAATGAACCAAACCAGTACCAGTCATAACTAATTTTATACTCTAACAAAACAAAAATAAATTTTTAAATAACATTGTGCAGTAATGCCTGACTAAAATTAGCTAAACCCTCAATTGGTTTATGATAAAATTTTGCAAAAGTTCGTGCATTAGTCCAGCCAGCCGTATTCATTATAGTTTGAATATTCACTCCCAATAGTGATGCTGCAGACGTAGAAGCTGATCGTGTGCTATGTGTTTTAAAATGTTCATATCTACCCCAGCCTTTTCCATTATTGTTTTGATCCACCGACTCAAAGTGTCCTTGGATACCGCAGAATGGGGTTTAACAAAACTCAACAATAGCTGTTTTTGTTGTCCTCGAATGACGGAAGTCCGCTTAAGATATTCTTTAAGGCATAGGACAACACATAATCTCTCATCCGGTGTGTATACCTCAAACTCTAAATCCTTTATGTGCCTGCCGGGTTTTGACTGCTTCACCAGCCCTTTGACTTGGAAAATAACTTTGTTTTCCTGCAATATCATGTGATCAATATGCAACAGATGAATTGTTTGCAGTCGCTGCCCAGACAATATCACCAGCAAGCTTGCCAACTTTAATGTAAGTTCCTTTAGTGACAGGTGTTCAGCCAAAGGTAGCGCCTTAAAATAGTTAAGCACAATATTGACGTCCCAAGTAGCTGTGTATCTTGGCAAACTTGGTCTTTGTTCAAATACCCCTTTCATAAATCTGATGACCAAAGGGTGAGATCCAAGAGAAACGCCGTCGTGCAATGAGAGAACCGATGAAAGGGCACTACGTGCTGTATTTATGCCACTATATCCCAAACCGGACTTGAACAAGGATAATAAATAATCAATTACCTCATTGATCTGTGGGGCACATGGTTGAAACCCATTTTTTAAACAAAATCGTGTCCATCGTTCCAAGTATCCCTTGTACTGCTGCCGGGTTGACTTACGCCAAGAACACATTAATATTTCAGTGGCCTCTGGTGAGATTCCTGTACTTTCGATTGATTGCCGGATAAACTGCAGGCCATCAGTCGTAATCTCTGTGACAGAGGATGTTGAACCCCTGGTTTGTAGGGCAATATTAGAATGTCCTTCTGGTAAGGCAACAACAGCGGTTCTTGGAGTAGCATCTTCGGAGAATGGGATACCATGGTTGTGTGTTCCAATCTGGGACAATTAATATTCCTGTAGCTTGATCTTGTTCTATTTTCTGTAGCACCCTGCCCAATAAAGAGAAAGGTGGAAAAGCATAAAATCGACGATTAGTCCAGTCAAACGTAAATGCGTCAATTGCAAAGGCTCCTGGGTCAGGATTCCATGAAATATAAGGTTGTATCTGATAATTGAGCCTTGAAGCAAATAAATCAATATCCGGTTGAAATGCGAAAAACTGAACAATATACTGATACATGCTAGGATTCAACTGCCATTCTGTTTGGTCATGAAAACTCGAGAAGCTTTATCTGCTTCCCCATTAAACTTGCCTGGTAAGTGTACTGCAGTAAGCCAAATGCTGTTTTGAATGCACCAAATCCATATTTCCCTAGCTTTGGCATTGCATTGAAATGATTGACTTCCCCCCATATTATTTATATATGACACTGCAGTTGTGTTGTCGGTTTTTAGGCAAATATGTGTATTGGACAAACTAGAACAAAAGGTTTGTAAACCAAAAGGACTGCAGACATTTCCAGATAGTTAATGTGTTGCACAGCTTCAGTGGGTAACCACTGCCCTCCTGCAGACTTTCCCTGGAAATTTGCTCCCCAGCCAAGCAATGAGGCATCAGTAAACAGTGTGTACTCAGGCTTAGGCTTTGAAATTGTCTTATAAGTGGTTTCTATATTATCCGCCCACCATCGCAAATCAGCCAGACTGGTTTTGGAAGGTGTCATAACCTCATCATAATGGCCCCTGCAGGCCTTAAGTGCTGAAATTTTATCATTCTCCAGTTGTCTGTAAAATAAAGGGCCCATTTCTACTCCTGGAAAACTGGCCACTAAGATTCCTATAACTTCAGATACTTCCCTTATGGAAGGTTGAGTTTGTGTCATGAGTTTTCACAAGCTTGCTTTAACCGCGCGACTTGTTGGGCGTCAAACTAACAATCATTAGTTTAGAATTTAATAAAAATCCCAAGAATTCTATTTCTTGCGATGGGATGAAATTTGACTTCTCTTCATGAACGCAAAACCCAGTTCAGATAAAACGTGGAGGTGGTAGAAACATTATGACGACAATCGTCATAGCTATACCCTTGTAAATAGGAATCATCAATATATCCCACTGATAATAAGCCCTGTGCTGCAAATGACCATAAACTGGTTTTAGTAGCTTGGTAAACAACCGTGGGGCACATGCAAGACCATTGGGCATACAAGTAAATTGGTATAACTGTCCCTTAAAGTGAAATTTAAGATACTTTTGGTGGGACTCATGAATAGCTACAGAATAATACGCATCCCTGATATCCAGTGAAGCCATGAAACAATCCGGTTTTATCATTTGAATAACCTGCTTAAGTGATTCCATCTTAAAATGTTGGTAGCGTACAAATTTGTTAAATCTCTTTAAATTTAGTATCAGACGAAATGACCCATCTTTCTTGGGGGTCAAGAAAATAGTAGAAATATATTCCCTTTCTCATGATGACTAGGTATAATAACCTGCTTTGCTAACAACTTAGAGATTTCAGCTTCAATGAAGGAGGCTTCTTTGCTGAAAACTGTTTCTGTTTAGAAACATGCATTTGGGAAGGTTGTTGAAGTAAATCAATTTTACAACCTTTCACAATATTCAAAATGAATGAGTCAGTTGTTAAGTTTTCCCACTTATTATAAAACATTGAAGTCGCCCGCTATAAAACTAGAGGCTGGATTTTGACTTACCAACTTATATTGGGTAGATGTCATTGCTGTTTCTGGCAGTCTTTTGGTGCCTTTTCTTTCCCGGTATGGGGTTTGTGCCATCGAGGGCCCTGCCGAAAATTCTGACCATAATGGTCCCTTGGGCGATGTGAGTGCCTGGAGTAGGAGCCCGTTCCATTCTGCCGATCATATTGTCGGGAACTAGCCAGCTGTTGGCTTACTCGATTGGTGGCACTAATATCCTGCACTTGTTTGGGTAAATCATCCCCAAATAGCCAGTTTGTGAACTCAATATGTTCACCACAAAGTTGCTGATATTTATCATTAAGGTCTGGTCGTATCAGTTCTCTACGTCTTTGCACGAACTCATAATTAGTATGTCCCAGAATGGCCATAGAGTCCATTAGACTCCTTATCATTGATTTATTATCCTCAAGTTGAGATGAATCAGCCTGCATGAGTTTGTGGATAACTTTAACCACCGGAATGCTAGCCTTCAGTAACATATTTTGCACCCTTTGTAATTTAATATCTCGACTCCGAGTGCTTGACTTCAATTTCGGCCAAATTTCAGGGTTGATTTTAGTGCCTACAATGTTCTCGCAGTTTGTGGGCCGAGTACTCTGTGTCAATTTTTCTTTAAGTTTTCATCGGTTAATCTGTTACGCACCATTTTGTTAACAATGCTTGCTAGTTTAGGATTAACCTCTTCAGCACATTGTTCGTCAAGGTTGTATTCTTCAGCTATTGAGCCTAGAACATCCTCCTCATTTTGAGCAGAGGCAACATTCGATGTAGTGTTGGGATCATTCCCTGCTAACAATTCGTCAACTTCCACGTCAACATCACCTGTTGACTCACGACGCGCTCTTTTAGTAGCTTTTCGCGTTTCCGATGCTACTGATGCCACGGAGTCCGATGACTCTGATGCTGAGCGAGTCCTAGTGCGCCCCTGTTTGGTAGCGTTGCTTAACTGCGAAGCAATAGCCTCCGTAAGCTTAGAAAAACCTCGCTGAAGACCATCAGTTAGGACTTGTTGCATTGCAATTATATCTCGTCCCATATCCCTACCGTCATCACTTGTCGATGGTATATCAGATGATGTTTTAATCCGTCGGTTATTACGACTTTCATCTCGTTCATTTTCCGAGCCAGACGAGTCTAAGACTTCATGGCCGGTTTCACCTTCCGCCGCCATGCGTTTTCGGTCGATTGCGAAGAAAAAACAACAAAATGAGCAGAAAAATAGTTTAAATTGACGATTACGTCGACCTGTATCGTAGTAAGAGGGAAACAGCAAGATTGCTTGCTGTAAATTCCCGATGCAAAACGATTGCCCAAAATATATTAATATTACAATGGCAAATACAAAAGCGTCCTATCTCGTTGTGTTCACCTTTACATTGAAGTTGTGATCGCTGGCGCAATCTCATGTAATCCCGTAGTGACGTAGCAATGGTGAGGTAGAATACTTTAGAATACTGCATGTAGGCAAAAAAAAATGTGAACCAGTTGTTATCACGCCATGTAAGCAGCTGAATTTTGACATTTGCTACCGAAATACAAATGCCAGAAATGAAAACAATACAACATAATACTAGTACAACTACAGCAGTCAGCTTAACTAAACAGCTGCAAATAAACTGATTAAAAAGGTACTACAATCTTAGACAATTACTTCTTTCTCAGCAAAAGGGAATGTGGAATAATGCATGTCTATATTGGTGGTTTGAGTTTGACTTCAGGTTATCCATGAATTGTCAGATAGTGATGTCAAGATGTTGAATTTGGGGTGTAATTTGCTGGGAAGTAACGAATTATATAACATGCTAGGAGTTTGTCAAACTTGTTTGTAATTGTGTAATTTTTTGAATATCGCATTTTTAGTTTGAAATACTTTATCTAAGTATAATTACTATACTATTCGCATAAAAATTGCTCATCGCTATTTTCATTTGCATCTAAACAAGGACAAGTTTAACATTTATAGAAAAGAAAGAACAAGTAGGTAAAAGAGACAAAATGTTAAGGAATCTTTACTCCACATATACGCAACTCACATTTCAAATGTGTGTGTAGGGGAGGGGGAAGTTTAACATTTATGGAAAATAAAGAACAAGTAGGTAAAAGATTCAAAATGTTACGGAATTTTTACTCCACATATACCCAACTCACATTTCAAATGTGTGTGTAAACAAGGACAAGTTTAACATTTATGGAAAAGAAAGAACAAGTAGGTAAAAGAGACAAAATGTTACGGAATCTTTACTCAACATATACCCAACTCACATTCAAATGTGTGTGTAGGGGGAGGGGGAAGGGAGGTAAAAGCTTTGGGGGTTTAATAAGATCAAATACTTACAATATAATTCGTTCAAATACAATGCGCGAAATTGTTAAAGTGCCTATAAACGAAAATTTTGCACCTTATAGTTTAATATACGTAGAAACAATGCAAATGCATTAACTACGTTGTTTCATATATCTAATCCTCGTCATCAAACTCAAATAATAAGCTGTTTGTCTTATCTTTTACAGCGGTGGTTGTTTTAATCCAGTAGTAACTCTGGCGCTAACAATCTTTCGTGGTATACAACCAGTACTTGCACTGTTGTTTATTATATCTCAAATTTTGGGAGGAATAATTGGCGCAGCTTTAGCTCGAGTAAGTATTATATAGTGCAATAACATATGGAGCACTCACTTTAATTGAAAGTGCAATGCTTTCTTTCAAAACGAGGTATGTCAATACGTTATTGTCATTTGAAAACGAGGGCATGAAAATAAAATTTTGTGAAATAACTTCAAAAAGTTGTATCGTCAATTGCATGCACGTACATGTCTCCAATAGAAAAATCGTGACGAAAAAATCTCACATACTTATGAGCATTTAAACGTACAGTAGGAAAAGTTACATGTACAAATAATGCTTTAAAAACCATTAAAATAAACTCAGTCCGCATGTATTGTCTTCTTTTCAGGCAGCGATGAGCTCTAAAGACTACAAAGAAAACTTAGGGGGTGTTCGTACCCTAGGGGGTGTTCGTGCTCTAGACCCTTATAGTACCCTACACCCTTATCGTACCCAAGGGACTGATATCAATCCAGGTCAAGGCATTTTGGCTGAAGCCTTAGCGACCTCCATTTTGGTACTCGTAGTGTTGATGGTTTTATTAGATGAGAGAAACAAGAGTAAACTCGCTCCTCTCGCCATTGGTTTGTCAGTTGTAGGCGGAATTGCAGCAAAGTAAGTTTATAAACACGTTAACGTAACTTTCTGGCCAATATATTGCCAGAAAAATGAAGTTCTGTGCACTGGTTCTATGTCATTCAATTTAAATTTTTGCTCTTAGTCTTCAGATTACAGGAGGTTCCATGAATCCTGTGCGAAGTTTTGGTGCAGCAGTTGTGAAAAATTCTTGGAAACATCATTATGTCTACTGGGTTGGTCCGTTTCTTGGTGGCATGTTATCAACTTTGATGTATGGTTTTGTCTTGGCTTCACCAAACCAACTATGGCTAGTTTGTTAGAGCACTGTATGGATACAGGACTCGCATTGTAAATGTCTTTTAATGGATTTAAACCTTCGAGGCTGGAGTAGTTTAGAAATATATACTCGGGAGCTTGAAAATTTTTCGAATTTTTCTTTTCGTGAGATTTAATGTGTTAATGAAAACATAGGTCCATAACGACGCTCACTTTGTCTTTAGCATATTGTTATGTAGTAGTTGAAGATTTTCGTCAGGATGTAAGCAAGATAAAAGAATATGTATGAATCGGATAGATTATTGTGGGCCCTTTGCGTATCAGTTCTCACCAGAAACCAAAAACGCAACATAGTTCCACCGATAAAAAGTTATATCTTCGCCTTCAAACGTAAACATCAAATGCTTCTCCACCACTCTCTAGCACCCTTCCGTAAAATTCACAATGTTAAACTTTACCTACCTCTCCTCGCACCTTTTCATAATGTTAAGCCTCACCAGTCCCTCCCTCGCTCACTTTCATCACCAAACAACAAATTCATTGTTATTCGGCCTTTGCGTAACCTATACACGACAGCGCTTCATTATCGAATAGTCGACATAAGCTCCAATTATTGCAATAGCCTGAACAAAATGGAGGAAGACAACCGCTTTAACATCGAGGAGCAACCGTCCAAGTTGCGAGTTTACTCGACTTTGTTTTTTAAATACATACGGCCATGTGTAGCCGAGCTGTTTGGTACAACAATTTTTGTTTTTGCAGATCTTGGTGGTATGAACTACATCAGTAGCACTGCCTTTACACATGGTCTTATATTATTTGTGTTAATCGCTGGAACTGCCACCGTCAGGTAAATCATGCAGTGAAAACAGGTTAATACTCCTATACGTGAAGGTCTTTGCTTTGTAAATTAGCGTGAAAGCAAATATCCGCCAGATTTTATCCATATCATCTTTCTAGCTGAGCAATATGAGCTTGGAGTGAAAATGAAATGCGTTCATTTTTTTCATTTTTATACTATAAAACTAAGTACTTATTCTACCTAATTACTTCAAAAATAGACAAAACAGACAATCATTTTTTAAACTCAAGATTCGAGTTTGATTAACGATCTTGTCTCTTTTAGTTTGTAAAATGGTTGTTAGTGTGTGATAACATTAATAACAGCAAAAAAATGAACAAGACGCTTAGCTGTTTACTCTGTATACAGGTAAAGATACACCAAAACATTTACCACAACTCTAAATTTGCAACTGTTAACTGTGGCAGAAATATTATGAGAATTACGTGGTTCAAAGATCGTTTTAAATCCAGCATTTTGTTGGATTTCTGAGACTTCTAACACCGCATGACTATTATGCACTTCCGCTACGGTAACAAGATCCTTTTAAAACGTCTTATTTTTTATGCGCCAAATTTTTTAAACGTGCCTAAAATAGTTCTTCGACAGTTTGGCATAAACTCGTTGGGTATCTAATATTTTCAGGGTGTGAAGACTTTCGCATAGAATGTCGATAGTGGTCTTTTTAAAATGCTATTCAATATGAGAATTGCCAACAGTTTTCAAACACGGGTGTCGATTTATCGGTTGAAGTAAAGAAAGTATCGTGCTACTGATATAGACAACAAATCCCTACATTGAAAAAATATTCTTGAAAATATCATGTTTATCCCAAAAAAAAGATTTAGTCAAGTCAACTGTCCATTTTGTATCTGGCTGTTTCTATTTTATTTCTGCAGCAAGCCCATAAAATGACGAGTCATTTTGACAAAAATTACAGACCAATTATACTTTCTATATGATCTATACTCGGAACACGTCAATGAGTGGTGAAAACATTTTTTTCACGACAGGAGAGTGTCAAAAGATAGAATAACGATTGCATTTTGTTGTGTTTGTTCTTAAGCTTCGACATTAAACATAAAATGTATTTATTTGAACAATGTTCGTTTTTGTGCTCATTTGCAAGATTACGTAACCATATGTACATGCGGCGCACCTATTTTCATTCTCTACTAGTTCTACAAAATGGCATTCAAGTTGTCAACACTTACCTTAAGTTAGAGAAGCTTGTTTAATAGGACGATTGGTAAAATAAGCGTGATCTGCATGTTAATCTTTCTTCAAAACACTAAAAAAAACCCCAAAAAATCCATTCAGAAACAGATTCAAAGTCAATGCAAGTTGAATATTTTGTGGTGTGTTTTCAAGTTTAAAAAATAAATAATAACGGCTTCGTTCATCTATATCAAGTGAGTAAATTACGTACCCCACCCCCCAGAAACTGAAATAACCATTAGAAATAAACAGAGACTACATACTATCAACCACGAAATTGAAAAGCTATCATCAGAGAATCAAAATATGAATTCAAAATCCTGGAATTCATATTCTGCATTCACAAATGGTAAAATAAGTTTATTTGTCTTACTATTTGCAGTGGTGGTCATTTTAATCCAGCAGTAACTCTGGCACTTACAATCGTTCGTGGTTTACAACCAGTACTTGCACCGTTGTATATTTTATCTCAGCTTTTGGGAGGAATTATCGGCGCAGGTTTAGCACGAGTAAGTACTACGAACACATGATACAGTCAATGGAAGTAAAAATGTTTTCCTTGAAATGCCAATTTTCTTACCGAAAAATTGACATCATGAAATATTGTCTATGGTATTTGATTTTCGTATTTTGTTTTCAAAATGCCTTTTGTCGTCAAATGAACTGCTCAATATTTATGTCCTTAATTAGGAAATAAAATTCTCGTCTCTTAATGGGAAGTAGTTAAACCGTGGTTTTGCTTCTCTAGTGACAGGCCATTTTCTGATAAAACATATTAACTACACACATTTCAAATCATGGAGTGTATGAACAAGTTAGGAGGTTGCAAAGGCAATTTCAGCTCAGTTTATATTTTCTTTATTGCAGGCAGCGATGAGCTCTAAGCAATATGCAAAACCTTTGGTGGTGTGCACATGCTTGGAACTGATATCAATCCAGGTCAAGGCATTTTGGCTGAAGCCTTAGCGACCTCCCTCCTGGTGTTTGTCGTGTTGATGGTCGCATTTGATGAGAGAAACAAGAGCAAGTTTGCTCCTCTTGCCATTGGCTTTACAGTTACAGGCGGAATTTTGGCAATGTATGTTTATGAACATGTTACAATATGATGAAGGTCTAAGGTTTTTTAAATATTTACTTTTTCCTCTTAGTGGGGTCATTTCGGGAGGTTCCATGAATCCTGCACGAAGTTTTGGTCCCGCAGTTGTGAAAAATTATTGGAAACATCATTATGTCTACTGGGTTGGTCCGTTTCTTGGTAGCATACTATCAACTTTGATGTATGGTTTTGTCTTTGCAACACCAAACCAACTATGGCTACCATTAAGGGAGCCAATTACATGAGATGCTTTTAGAAAATGACAAATAAACCAAGCTGACGAGCTCACTTTAATTTTCACTTCTTTCAAGATTTTTAAATGTTTTATCATCTTGAGGGTATAGAGCAAGTGTAGAAAAACATTCAGACATCAAAACAATGGAGATTGGCTTAGTTTAGAAATATAAACCAACAAGAAATTTTTCTGTATAAGATAGTGATGTGTTAAGTAAGTAAACAACATACAAATGCTGAATTTGTTTCAATCCTATTGCTGTGTTTGATTTTTGGCAGGAGTTAGCAAAGACCCTGATCTTTTCCGGAGAAGAAATAAGGTGAATCTGGCTTTATCCCTGAATAGTCCAAAATATGTATAAGAGTTTGTATGCAATTCATTTACCGGAAGCAATCTCAACTCATTTTGGATAAAATGACTACGACAAACAGCATGGCATGGCATATGAATGTGTTAAATCCTCAATTCGGGTAGAAATAAAGACCCACCCGAAATGGCAGTTTGACAGTGTCTACAAAGGCAGCTCCAACTTCCACGAACAAAAAATAATCATTCTGAAGTACTTAGAGTGTTGAGAATGTTCACTTTTAGGGGTGACTCTTATTATGCATTTCTTCACAGAAATTGATATTGTTTAGTTGACATACGAATGAATGACAAATTTACCGCCATTGCGAAGTGTCGTCCCTTCTCTGCTCGATAAATCACACTCTTGACCTTCGTTTGTATCCTCGTGGTAGTAGAAAGGAGCACATTGTAGTTAAGTCCCAATCAAAAAATTAAAAAAATAGCGGTATCTTTTACAGAAAGACCTGCTATACAATGCTCCCATAGCACGTTGAAATTATGTCACGAATGGTGGCGAGCTACTTGACAGGGGGATGGGACTCGAGGGAATTGCGGGAATGTAATTTTACGAGGCGATTGTTTTTTGCCAATACAAAGCTGTAAGGAATATTAAATGTTTACCGGTAAGAAATAAAATGCATGTGAATTTAAACAGTCAAAGTGTAAAGAAAAGAATGCTTTGCGAGAAACGTTTGTTTTGTTTTAATTTTTGTGGCCAGAGAACAACTTACTCTTTATGAATATCCACCCCCCCGCCATTGATCAAGCAGAGAATTGACAGCATTTTGCAATGGCGGCAAATTTGATTTGACAGAATGTCCATTTTTTACAACTCCCATGACCACCACTAAAAGTGAACCTTCCAAGCATTTCAGAATATTTCTCTTTGTTTCTGCAGGTTAGAGCTATCCCAACACTGCCATGGTTGATAACAAACAAACAAACAAACAACATTTGTATACCGGCCAGTATTAATCCCCGCCAGGGGGGTTGACCGGTCCATGAATTTTTCTACGCCAAACGTCTCTATCTCTCGCCATATCTCTCGTTATACCCATCGCCTTCATATCACTGTTCACAGCATCCATCCATCTCCTTCTCGGTCTACCTCGTTTGCGGACTCCATCAACATTCATATGCAACGTTCTACGAATTTTAGCACTTTCTTCCCTCCTTTCCACATGCCCAAACCACCTCAAACGCTGGCGCCTTACCCAATTCTCGATACACTCAACACCAACTCTTTCTCTAATCTCTTCACTTCGAATCCTATCCATCAACGTTACACCACACATCATCCTAAGCATTCTCCTTTCCGTCGACGCCAATCTTCTCAGGTCCTCTGCTTTCGGCGCCCAACACTCTGCTCCATATCCCAAAACACTTCTAACACATGCCTTGTACAATTCTCCTTCTGCTTCAACGAAGTCGACTTTCCGCACAACATTCCCGACAACTCTAAAACTCCACCACGCTGCTTGAACTCTGTTCCTCACCGTTTGCTCGCACCTCCACCATCATTTAACACATCGCCCAGATATTTAAGCTCCGATACACCTTCCAAACTCACTTCACCCAGTTCAAACCGTTCAATCGCGACTCGCCCACCACTTCGACGTCCTGCACTCAAAATCAGTTACTCTGTCAATGCACCACGGACACCTGAACATCTTCCATGAACCCACTTACTGCATTTCCACACATTATCGAATTCCTCCAACTCTTTTTCACACACCACACATTTATTGTCCTTCCACCTGCCTCGAGCATCTCATGCCCTTCGTCTTTGCCTCATCCCATTCCATTCCACTTCCATTTCCTTCTTCCTGTCCCTTCTTCATTTCCTTCAGTCCACCCCTTTCTTTCTTGCGCACCACCGCCACCTCATCAACCACTTTCCCCAAAACTTCATCCGCTTCAACTTCTCCATTCCACTCATTCTCTACATTCATCAAACGGTCACAGTACGCCCTCCACACTTCTCCATCGTGGTTCTGCACGCCGGGAGCACCCAAAATATCGTTCCTCTCCTTCTAGCCGTTCTAAACAACGCTTTTCGTCCATTCTCCTGCATTTTTACGAGAAGCTCTTTCTGATGCCTTTCTATCGCTTTAGCCACCTCCTTTCGCGCTTTTTTCTTGAACCAGATGTAATCGATCCTATCTGCTTCAGTCCGCGACTTTCTCCACCTTTTAAATGCCAACTTCTTCGCGCCAATCACTTCGCTGACTCGTTGATCCCACCACCATGCCTGTTCTTCTACTACACCGCCTTTACTTCTACAACATACCTTCTCCGCTGCCGTTAAAACACCCTTCTCCAAGCACGTCCATCGCTCCTCCACCGTCTCACCCTCAACATTCAATGTCGCAATTTCGTCACGGAAACACTGCTTCCCTTCATTCGATCGTAACTTCCATAGCTTAAGCCTGCCTTTACCCTCAACCTTTCTCCTCTTCACCTTCCATGGTTGATAAGAAAGTTGGAATATCTCATTTTGGAGATGATTTAAGTCCAATTCCAAAACAAAACATTCCCTAAATCTACCAAAAAAATAACATTCTGCACATCTAAATTTTCACAATATAGCCCTATTCGCACAACATAAACTAATCTGGGTTTAACCCAGGTTAAAATCAACCCAACTTTAACCGCAGGTTAATTTTTTGTGTATCAACACCATTAACCCAGGTTCAACCTTGGTTAAACTTGACCCATATCAAGAGGTAGGGTTGAGTTTAACTGGGTTAAACCTTGGTTACTTTATGTCATGTGAATAGGGCTTATGATGTCTCAAATGATTCAGGGGGAGGGGCTGTGTTGCCTCATTTGGCTATGTACCCAAGTTTGACTATAACATGACAAATAAGATTATAAGAAAGAGCGATACTTTAACTTGTGTATTACTCAAACATATAATATACAATGAACGTCTACAAGGTAACATGTTGAAAAATGACTACATACTCATTTGTATAAGCTGGCCATACATTCCCATTCAGAACGCAAGTCAGTGACCAAGTATAAAGCCTTCATTCATATGTAATCTAAAGTTCTTAAACATTGCTTTCTCAATGGTCAAGTCATAGAAAGTAAGTTATGAAATCGAAGTCTAAGATAATGTCATATTTTTGCCAACTAAATAGTTCTCTTTGACAAAATGGCAGTAAAGTTAAAGGTAACTGATATGGAACTGATACTAAGAACAGTTATTTTAAAATATTTAGCTTTCTGAAGCTGTTACTTATGACGATATTGATAGGTTCAGCCACACTATCATCATCTACTTATCATCATCTACTCATCATCATCGTCCCCAAATGTTGTTTTCTTTCCTTTGTATTCTTGAATTGAACCTTTATTCTTAATCGCACCGGGAGATTTATTGAAGCCACCACGTCCTCTGCCTCGACCTCCGCGTCCACCACGACCAGCTGTAATAATGAATTACACAAACATTTCAAAAAACATTGAAAGCTCTAGTCACTTCCATGAAACCAAAGACAAAATGAAAGGAGCACACATTGATGAGAATCACAAAACAAAATTACAAATTGTTGGCTTACGTACCTCCACGTCCTCCTCTACCACCACGGCCACCACCGCCACCTCCAGGCGAGTCACGTGGTGCCGCAAAATCAAGGAACAATCGTCTTCCGTCTACTTCTTTACCATCACATGTTTTCATGGCTTCTTTCGCTGAACCCGTTTCAGCAAACTCAATGTATCCAAAACTAAATACAACCAAAAGAGTGAAGACGTAAGTGAACAAATTAAACCATTTGGAAAGTTATGAAAAGATTTCAGTTAATTGAAAATAACTCGTCATATTTACCCACGAGACTCTCCACTATCTCGATCAGTGATAATTCTAATGCTCGAAGCACCATCAAAATATTCATACAATGTGTCCTCGGTAGTTCCAAACGAAAGATTTTTCACAAAAAGGGTGTTTGATGGAGGATTTTGTTCTCTTTTCGGGGTACGTTGCCCCCCACCACGTCCTCTTCCACCTCCACGGCCACTGCCTCGTCCTCCTTCACCACCAGGTTTGCTATTAGCTGCGTTGATGGTTAACTCTCTTCCGTAAAATTCATATCCTGAAAGACTGATTGCTTTCTTGAAGTCTTTTTCCGATGAGAAGTCCGCATAACCAAATCTAAACATTGTGCAAGGAGAATACTGTCAATTATGTAATTTAGCATAAACTTGAATCAACAGCTTAAAAACAGCAATATTACTATTACACTAAGTCAATGCATGTTGAATGCCAATTGTGTGAGTGTTAATTGAAAGAATATATTGTATTGCAAGTATTTACTTTGTTTTAATTGATCATACTATAAAAAACACAAAGACATCAACACTCTTACCCTCTCATTCGGCCATCACTTTGAGTCAACAACCTTACACCTGTAGCATTAACACCATTTTCTTCGAAATGTTTTTTCAATTCATCTTCGGTAGCATCAAACGAAACGTTACCAACAAAAGCTGTGAACTTTTCTAAGTAAAAACAAGAAGCATAAGGTTTCTTTTAAGTCTGCACGATTGTTACTACACATGAGACATATCATCATTAAATTGATCCATGGTCATCCAGATTTGTCCAAATTTGGTGACAATCTCTGCAACTCAAACAACGAAAACTATTATAAATATTATTATTGTTACCTACATATGATAATCTATGCAATGCATGCTTTACTATTTAATCAAACCTTCAGATTCTTTGTCACTTTTAGCTTTTTTGGCTGAGTTGTTGTTGTTGTCATCATTGGCCTTTCTTTTCCCACCTTTTTCTGCTGACTTTTTAGCCACATCATTATCTGATGCCTTACTGTCGTCACTGCTATCATCAGAGCTTGAGTCATCCGAATCTTCTTCATCAGAACTATCTTTTGATGCTTCCGGATTTAGTGCTGTTGCTATACTCTCAGATTTACTTTTCTTTGTCACTTCACTTTCTTTTTCATCTGAATCTGAACTATCTTCACTTGACGATGATTCCTTTTTCTTTGCTATACAACGTATTGTTATTTTAAACTGTCAATAACATGTGCTGCCATTATCAAATCAAACTAACATTTAATAAAAACTTTATTAAGCAAACCTTTCTTGTCACTAGCTCCTTTTCCAGATTTTTCATCTTTAACAAGTTTAACAATTTTGGCTGCTTCTTCTTCTTCATCAGATGAATCACTATCATCACTAGATGATTCTTTCTTTGTTTCTTTGGGTTTGGGTGTTGTTTTAATTGCTGCAGCTTTTGGCGTTGGTTTGACTGTTGCATCTTCTTCATCAGATGAATCACTGTCATCACTAGATGATTCTTTCTTTGTTTCTTTGGGTTTGGCGTTGTTTTAACTGCTTCAGCTTTTGGTTTGACTGTTGCATCTTCTTCATCAGATGAATCACTATCATCACTAGATGATTCTTTCTTTGTTTCTTTGGGTTTGGGTGTTGTTTTAACTGCTTCAGCTTTTGGTTTGACTGTAGCATCTTCTTCATCAGATGAATCACTATCATCACTAGATGATTCTTTCTTTGTTTCTTTGGGTTTGGGCGTTGTTTTAACTGCAGCAGTTTTGGGGGTTGATTTCATTGTTGCATCTTCTTCATCAGATGAATCATTGTCTTCACTAGATGATTCTTTCTTTGTTACTTTAGGTTTGGGTGTTGTTTTAACTGCAGCAGCTTTTCCCTTTGGTTTGACTGTTGCATCTTCTTCATCAGATGAATCACTGTCATCACTTGACGAGCCTTTCTTTGCAACCTTCTTTAATGTGGCAGCAGTAGGTGTGTTCTTTCCAGCAAATTTTGTTGACGCCTTTGCTGGCACTTTATCGTCAGATAAATCATCATCATCGTCATCATCGTCACTTGAAGAATCTTGTTTGCTTGGTGTTTCTTTCACAATTGCTTTTTTCTCTTTGCCTTTTTTAACTGCAACCTTTGGTTTCTCCTCACTTGAATCAGAATCATCTGAGCTGGATGAGGTCTTTTCATCAGTTTTCTTCGTTTGAGTTGGATTGTCATTTTGTGACAGGGTTTTCTTTTTGGAACTTTTTTTCTTGGGTTTTTGCTGAGTTGCTTTTTTCTCCGAAGCATCTGAGTTGCTCAATGATGAGTCACGTTCAATGCTCATAATTTTCATGGCATCTGGCATATTCTTTCCATTTTCTTTGGGCTTTTCCTCCATAGCTATGTCCGAAGTGTCTTTGTCAATCTCCATTGATATATTATTCTTCTTTTTCTTTTTGTCCTTCTTAGCTTTGCCATTGACAACAACTTCTTCCTGAAAGATCAAAACAAAAATCATTTTCTGTCATTTCTTCTGATAACGGGAATAGCATTCGATATCCTAGTTTGAGACAATGACCTGCTGTAACTGTAGTTTCTTTTCGTCTTTCTTGGCTTTCTCTTTGGTCTTCTTCACAATCACTGAATTATGTGTCTCAATCTTCTGTTTCTTTGCAACAATAACTTCTTCCTCAGCATTTTTTCTTTTCTTTAACTCAGGTCCACCTTCCAAGCTAACTTTACTCTTCTACAACAATAATTTGATCATTGGTACAAGAAAGATTGAAAGCAATACAACCACAAACACAAATATGTACAGACTGATTTAGAAACTATTTTGCAGGGCAAATAAGCTAGCGGACTCAAAGATAAAATGATTCTGCAGACAGAAATGTGTGTCTATGACAAATGTGATTTTCCATGTTTTACAGCAAGGTTTAAAAACGATATATCCATGAGTCAAGCTCCATTGGCCTACCAAAAATTTCACTATTTTTCACAATTATTTTTTGTTGTAAAATCAAACAGACGAAATATTTTTTGTCAAATATGTTACAAATTATGAACTAAATCACAAGTTAAACTATATGTTTAAAGAATACTTAGTAAATCTAACGTTTCCAAAAGATGCTGCGATTAATTTCAAGACTGTATAGCTTAATGCACTTTGACTAAATGTTTGCAACAATTTGATTTCACCAAACATCGCAAGTTTCGTAAAGTGAAAAAGCAGTATGGTTGTCGCGCGCACATCATGAAAATAAATCAAAGCTTTTTTTAGCGTTCTCAAGGCGGCACAATTATATAGTTTAGCATAGAATACTCGACAATACATACTACCTTTTTGCCTGATTTATCTTTTCCCATCTTGAATAAAAACAGTAAAATGAACAATTTTTCAAATACCACGTGCTGTCTTTACACGAGTATAAAACGAGTTGACTAGAAACATACTGTGTGCCCACGATACAAAACAAAGCAGTCAACGGACAATCGTCGGGAAACGTCATCTTACCAGAAAGATTAAATTTTTTTAGGAATTGACTTCCGAGATCATATAATAAAATTTATTTGTATTTAAATATTTGTCGACTACACGCTACGCTACACATACAAAAATATAACACATTTAGTTTACAAAGGTATGAAAAGAAGAAGTTATCAGTTATTCTATTGATTCACAGATTCTCAAAATCACTTTGTGACCAAAAACAGACAACCAGCGTTGGTTTTGTCAGTGCGATAAATTTTCTTGGCATATAAAACATAGCGTACTTTTTCATTAAAATTATTCCACGGAGAAAAAAACCGAAAAATACCATCGTTGATTTGCTCATTTTCTATACATCTCGTGAGAGATTACGAAGGATTCAAGGATCAATGAAGGACACCATGATGTATCGGGTGCCATTGGTTGTGGGTAGTCCCTCGTGTTGATGCGTCAAGCGTCCAGGGTGCATAAGAGCCCAGCCAATCTTGGTATCTTTAACTGCGCAGTCATAGCGTGTGAATCGAGCTCCACCGCCCTGAAAAAACCGTAACTAAGATAAAGATATAGTACAAAACATCCTGAGACATATCAACGATTAATGAGTCATGTGACCTAGCCGTTCATAGATACGGTCTGGATGAATGATTATAAAACAACGAACTAAAGCCAGTGCAGCTAACGTTTTTTTCCCAAATGAAATAAAGTTAAATGGTTAAATGGACATGGCAACTTTTTTACTACCATCAATTCAAACATATACACAAGAAATTTTTTAAGATACTTCATTAATTTCTTTCCTTCAAGTATTATTTTTCAAGTCTTTTTATCGTAGCGATATCTCACCTCGTAGTCAACACCTCGTCTGTTCAACGCCACATTTATCGTGTATGTTGAGGAATCATGATGAGGACGAAGAAAATATTGTTGAGCTGGATTATATTTCACGACAAAGTTCATGTATGCTTTGGCCTAAAATCAAGAAAGAAACATTTACACAGATGTAACAACAAGTAAATGAAACATTTACACAGATATAGCAACAAGTAAATGAAACATTTACACAGATGTGGCAACAAGTAAATGAAACATTTACACAGATGTGGCAACAAGTAAATGAAACATTTACACAGATGTGGCAACAAGTAAATGAAACATTTACACAGATATAGCAACAAGTAAATGAAACATTTACACAGATGTAACAACAAGTAAATGAAACATTTACACAGATATAGCAACAAGTAAATGAAACATTTACACTGATGTAACAACAAGTAAATGAAACATTTACACAGATATAGCAACAAGTAAATGAAACATTTACACAGATATAGCAACAAGTAAATGAAACATTTACACAGATATAGCAACAAGTAAATGAAACATTTGCACAGATATAGCAACAAGTAAATGAAACATTTACACAGATGTAGCAACAAGTAAATGAAACATTTACACAGATATAGCAACAAGTAAATGAAACATTTACACAGATATAGCAACAAGTAAATGAAACATTTACACAGATGTAACAACAAGAAAATGAAACATTTACACAGATATAGCAACAAGTAAATGAAACATTTACACAGATGTAACAACAAGAAAATGAAACATTTACACAGATGTAACAATGAGTAAAGACGTAAATTCCACAGAAACAAATCTCCACCAATAATAAACCCAACTGAACGTTTTACCTCGGAATAATAACCAGTGAAGATATGATTGGCAATTGGAGCGACATACGTTTTCAAGAAATGCATCCATTGCGGCTCAAAGCCAATCTACAATCGTACGAAAGCCGCTGTAAACTAACTTTGGCTGTCTTTCACAACAATATTTTATCACGTCAGCTTTCACACATAAACATATAAAATGCAGAGAGATTTTTTCCACAAACCTGTTTCATGTGAATATCAACGGTAGGAACATTTTCATATCCGCCAGCAATACGATTGTCCTGCGGCAAGAAGAATAAAAGAAAAGTGAAGAGAAAATGACGAGAATTAAGAGGCATATCGATACCACGTAAAGTACTATCAAAATCATTTGAAGTACTATCATAACATTAGGAAAAGAAGCGACTTAATCACCTTATGTCCTCCTCCTGACCACTGACCAAAATGTTCACATTCCTAAAGATGTAACAACGGAGATTGTTTCGGTACTTAATAGTGACTACGAATGACTACTTGGGAACTGAGATCACTTCCATTGAGATAAAAACTACATAACAGTCACCAGTACTTTCTCGCTTTATGATAAATTTAGACAGCCGTATACTGGCTATAATCTCGTCAACGTAAAATTTTTGTCGTTAGAAAAATATGTAGTGCAACAATCTTAGTTCCTAAACAAACTTATGCCATGTCGTAGTTTGTGCAAACAATAGTTATTAAGATAAGGAGATTAACGTTCATACAGTCGTGAAGTTCAACCAATACACTACCTGCCACAAGTGAGTAGCGAAAGTCTCTGAGAACAATGGCACCCAGAACACGTCAGTACACGGCTAAGCAGGTTAAAAAAAAAATAATAACATAATGACACAAAATGTGACTGAGATCAAACCCTATTAGCTACATTCGTGAGGTCCACATTAAAATTCCTATAGAGAATAGCTAGATTGAGAATCAAAAGCCCAAATCTGTATTTTTTAAGAATCTTGGACAGTTTTCATTTCGCATTTACTTGTAGATTCGTTCATAATTGAAAAAATAACCTTCATCAATAAAAACGTAATTTGAAATAGGAGGGTCTACTGCACAACGCATGATAACAACAAGACAGCTGTGAAGCAATTTAATCACAAAAAGTAAAGATTTGTGTTTTTACAATCACACCTCATGGAAGTGCAATTTACAAATGTTCTGTAAAATACATATGCGATAGGAAAGAAATGACAAACCTCGGGCATTTTCCACTGCGGCGTCCTTAATTTGTGCCAGTCTGGGTGTAAATATTTACTTTCCCAATCCTAGGAAATGTGAAATTGTGAATCCATAGCCGCATATTTTCGACCATTAATAAAAATGGATGGAACTTACTGGAGGATTATTCAACATTTCGTACATGTCTCCGTGTTTTCGTGTCGTCGAAAATATGGACGAGTCCAACAGTCGCCCAAAAGGCACGAGATTGTCCACGTACATGAAAATACCCTAAAAACAAAAGAGCCCCTTGCAGTTGTAAAGTTTTGTTGAAAAAAACAAACAATTCATACATCGGCTGTGTTTTCTAATGTCTCTTAAGACTGTCAATCAATAAGCATTTTCAGTTTCCTTTTCTTTAAGCATGAACGATTTCGAATTCTACAATCTTGCGTGTATAAAAATACGGCATTATTCGTACCTTGGATCTTATAGAAGCACAAAAAGCCATATCTGCCTCAAATGCACTACTGCTATATGGATTCTTCACTTGTCTTAAGACGCTATTATGAGTTAGATACACTGACGAAACATATGGGACGTTCCAAACACCTCTAAAATTTAAAGAGGATGAGGTTTGTCAGATCAACATGAAAAGACGTGCGATAAAAATTCGAGAACTGAATTATATTTATTCCTCACCTCTTCTCGTTATTTACAATTTCCACATAGTCCCGCGATCGTTGGTAAAATCCATCATAACCAATTTCTCCCCAGAAATTCGACCATAGCTTTCCATGCTTTGATAGTTTAGGTGCTATTATAGACCTAAAGAATACAAAACCATAGGATACATGTGTTTTTCTGCATAAGTATTTCACTATGGTCTTTCTCTAAAACAAGACAAAAGACTGCTTCGACTAGTAACGTGCATTGCCGGCAACAAAATTCCTATCCAAATGACGCCTTTAATCTTCTCTGTTTTTTTAACTGAAGTTGACGAAGAAAAATTTTAAAAAAAGTGAACCTATTTTGCTGCATCAAAATCCTTAATGTTTTGTTCTCCGTGAGCACAGCATCAGAGTCGATGACGAACAGATATTGGCAGTTCTTTCTCAGGCAATGATCTCTTTAAAAAGAAACACGACAGAATAGTTACATTACTGACAAGTTGGGTGCAAATATAACATACATGTTCGCCTCACATAATATTTTGGTTACCTAAACACAAAATCGACGACAGTCATGTTAATTTTGGGAAAACTTCGGTTCTACTCTTAACCGCATTACTTTGACCTTCTAAGACCTTCGCCCTTCGTACTTAAGTAAAGACTATCTGTTTTTTTGAGCTACTTTACTAAATTGCTCAATGTCCAACTTTGATGAAGAACATTTGATTTTAAAAGAATTAAAATAACTGTATAATCCAACTGACTCTGAATTAAAATAACTGTATAATCCAACGGACACTGCATCCAACAAATTTCATTACTTTGTAAATGTCTGCACACGCTTCATGGAAAACTTACACGGCATAATTTCGAGCCTTTGTTTCGCTATAATATTCCCTTGGAGCGATGTACTTTACGGAGTTATAAGATTTTCCATGAGAATCGATAAAATGCTGTATTTGATTCTCGTGATAGGGTTCCTAAATAATTTCATAAACGTTTTTAAATACCACACAGACGTTATCGTAATCAACAGTCGAAAGGGAAAAAACTTACAACGTTATGTATGAGCAAATCCATTTTCGTCTTTGGATAATCCATGGCAAAAGACGCTCTAAAAACTCGGTAAAAAGGGAGTGGGTTTTCCACAAAATAGCAGCCAGGACGCTTGGAAACTCTTCTTCCTGTGAAGCGTCAATGTATTATTTCAAGCACAGTTCTTTCCGGATATCCACGATAACGATCATGGAAAGACCTTCTCGTAAAACGTCACTAAAATGACAATCAACTTGCCTCATATTCATCCATGCTGAACGTATTTTCAGAACAACTTATGCATCCATCCTTTGGATTCCATCCGTTAGGAATATAGTTAGTGATGTAATTCAAGAATAACTACAAATGAACAAATGGTCGAAATCAGTGTGGTACAAAACCTGTGGTCTGCTTGACCTATGGTTTATTAGGCAAGCAAATCAATTCTGTAAAGTAAAATCACAAAGTTGACACAAGTATAAATTAAGGGTAGGATCAACATATCTTTTTTAAGTTTCCTTCAGACAAAACCAGTTCAACATGATTAGAATGCAATTTCAAAATAAAAACATATATGAAATTGCAAGTCACCTTTGAAGGTCCATTGCCATGTATAACCACTGGTTTGGTACCATAAAGTGTGTTTTCAAACCAAATTTTGTCATCATCAGCAACAAGCTGGGATTCATCTATGTGATAAAATAAACAATTATTGCAAGTAACAAATCAATGCCCTCCTTGATCCACATATGCCCCCCGTGTTCTTCACCTTTTGCTCCATTGAGATTCTGAAATAATTCACTTTTATGATCCAACTTCATATCAAGCTTTGCCTGTGACGTTGAAATGTTTCAGTCAGAATTTGAAAGCTTTCACCAAAAAAATTATTATCTACAGAGATTGGCACAACTAACCCTAAACGTTTCATCAAGATAAAGCTTTGTATAATACAACTGATCATCGTCTGTGTTTGCAACTTTGTGATGTGTCATAAGCTCATAAATCATAGGTGCATATCCAATGATAGCTAAAAACGAAATTATGAATATAAGAAACATTTCATTAAGCTTTTATACTGTTACAATAGGTCTATATACCTCCTGAGCACAGAAAACGTTTTCCTTCTTTCACTTCAGGATATTTGTTCTAGAAATATTTGAATTATTTGTGCTTGAAGTAGATATCGAGCATGAACAGTGAAATTAAATTTTATAGTATATAAATGTGGAAGTCATTGTCAAAATATGGAAAGTGTTTTGCTTGCTTTGGTAGGGGTATGGAAAAGTTCTTACCAATAGGGTTTTGTCAGGCCACAGAAAACCTTCTGCTGAAATGACAACTTTTGCATTGAATGATAGAAATTTCTTCAGTATCTCATCAGGTCCAGCAGTAAACACAACATCATAACTTAAAACAGAATAATGACATCACTTAGATGACATTACATTGAAAAGTTACAAGTCAACTTATGAAGGTCTATAGGAAATGCAGAATTACCTATCAGTAAACATCACAACAAGATCAGTCTCATTTTCAGAAATTCTATTTCTTTGCGTAACAAGTTTAGTTTATGTCCACCGCCAGGATAAAGCTCCATGTTTCCACCTTTCCATTCTTCATGCATTCCCACAACCTTAAATTTTAAAAATAAATTGTGATATAATTCAAATGACTGTACTGATATGTCAACTACATTTGCCTTGATTGGCAACACTTAATCTACAAACAGTAAACACATTTGGGCATAAACAGACACAGATAAAACTCATGGTTAATGACATAGTTATAACGTGTGACATCGTGAATGTTAATGTGGTCTATAATTCAAAGCAATTTATCATAAATCTATTAAGTATACTCAAAGGGAAGGATTTCCTTGACGAAATGGACAGTACGTATCACCATGGGAATGAAAAATTATACAGAATCATTCATGAACTTCACAATGGCTCTTTGTTTGCTTGTCATGAACGTTAATCAAATGAACAGTTCGTTTTCGATATCAACAAACCCCAGAAAAAGCCCCAACAATATACCTTTACTTTAACGTTGAAAAGATCGGCTGATCTCATAAACCGTTTGAATCCATCGGTTTCATCCGTGGCGACAGTTATACCGATCAACTGCAACCCTTCGTGACCTGAAAAACGAAATAAAACAACATATAGATGATTTCTCCTCTCTTCAAACCACGATTCAATCAATTTAAACACGCGCTCACCTTTTGATTCTAATGAAATACAAAGACCGCAAATCAAAGAGAAAAGCGTCAAAGAACGCAACATTCTTGAAAGGGAAAGAAAGCTATTGACATGAATGGTATGAAATGATACATACTGTGCTGATGTTTATATAACGAAGGTAATTGATCACGTGATCATGTCAAAACCACAATACAATATCAGCAATATAAGTTTGATACATTCTTTGGTCTGAGGAACTTTCACCATGGTTTCAGGGTGATTATGATCATCGCTATAAAAATGTTTTTGTTCTTTTAAAGCAAACTTGTTAATCTCTGATGATCTTGATGATTACATGAATAATTAGTTCACTCGCGTTAGTGCGGTGTTAGGAGACGAGAACAAGTAACCATTGAGCAGATATGAAGCGTGAGTCTGTGCACGATTGCATTTGTGGCAACTACCGTGAAATTGGCACCACATTGGGCACGACATTCAACACAACATTCATCACAACATTCAACATCACATTCAACTAAAATTTATCATTCAAAATGATAAATCGAAAAATCGTCTTTAAAACACGTTTTCCATCAAATACAACAGTAAAAAACAATTCTTAACTGTTTATTATTATTTTACTGTCCTTAACCATCACAAAAAATGTATAAAAGTCAAGAAATTGAAGAAAACACTAAGATTTATATTACAGTGTACTTTCCATTTCTCTTAATTAGCGTATAATTTAAAAACTACACAGTAGAATTTTTTTAAACTTGGCCAGAATATAGATAATTATATTGCCTCAAATATATCCAAAATCTGGAGAGTGCACAAAAAAATAAGTTGTAGAAAATCATCTACAAAGTCGGATGACACGAATACGCGTAATATAATCTTATATAATTAACTTCCTATATCCAGGTATCTTTGCAAACAAAGGCCTCTAAATAAAAACTACACGGTAGAATTTTTAAACTTGGCCAGAATATAGATAATTATATTGCCTAAAATATATCCAAAATCTGGAGAGTGCACAAAAAAATAAGTTGTAGAAAATCATCGTCATATTTAGGTGACACGAATGCGCGTAATATAATCTTATATAATTAACTTCCTATATCCAGGTATCTTTGCAAACAAAGGCCTGTAAATAAAAAACTACACGGTAGAATTTTTTTAAACTTGGCCAGAATATAGATAATTATATTGCCTAAAATATATCCAAAATCTGGAGAGTGCACAAAAAAATAAGTTGTAGAAAATCATCTACAAAGTCGGATGACACGAATACGCGTAATATGATCTTGAATTATTCAGTTAAGAATTTCAAGTCATTCCTAAACAAAGGCCTGTAAATAAAAAACGACACGGTAGAATTTTTTTAAACTTGGCTATATTGTAGATATTTTTATTGTCTATAACATATCCAAAATCTGGAGAGTGCACAAAAATATAAAAGGAATAGTATTCCTTGAGAATAAACCGTGAAGTTGGCACCACATTCGACAAACAGCTCTATAGCTAAAAAACTACACGGTAGAATTTTTTTAAACTCAAGTATGTTATAGAATTTTATATTGTCTAAAATATATCCAAAATTTGGAAAGTGCACAAAAATTCAAATGATAGAAAAACATCGACAAAGTTGGATGACTCAAATGCGTGTAATATAATCTTGAATTATTAAGTTGAGAATTCCGGTTGTTTAACAAACAAAGCCTAATAAATAAAAAACTACACGGTAGAATTTTTTTAAACTTGGCCAGAATATAGACAATTATATTGCCTAAAATATATCCAAAATCTGGAGAGTGCACAAAAAAATAAGTTGTAGAAAATCATCTACAAAGTCGGATGACACGAATACGCGTAATATGATCTTGAATTATTCAGTTAAGAATTTCAAGTCATTCCTAAATAAAGGCCTGTAAATAAAAAACGACACGGTAGAATTTTTTTAAACTTGGCTATATTGTAGATATTTTTATTGTCTATAACATATCCAAAATCTGGAGAGTGCACAAAAATATAAAAGGAATAGTATTCCTTGAGAATAAACCGTGAAGTTGGCACCACATTCGACAAACAGCTCTATAGCTAAAAAACTACACGGTAGAATTTTTTTAAACTCAAGTATGTTATAGAATTTTATATTGTCTAAAATATATCCAAAATTTGGAAAGTGCACAAAAATATAAATGATAGAAAAACATCGACAAAGTTGGATGACTCAAATGCGTGTAATATAATCTTGAATTATTAAGTTGAGAATTCCGGTTGTTTAACAAACAAAGCCTAATAAATAAAAAACTACACGGTAGAATTTTTTTAAACTTGGCCAGAATATAGATAATTATATTGCCTAAAATATATCCAAAATCTGGAGAGTGCACAAAAAAATAAGTTGTAGAAAATCATCTACAAAGTCGGATGACACGAATACGCGTAATATGATCTTGAATTATTCAGTTAAGAATTTCAAGTCATTCCTAAACAAAGGCCTGTAAATAAAAAACTACACGGTAGAATTTTTTTAAACTTGGCTATATTGTAGATATTTTTATTGTCTATTGGATATAGGAAGTTAATTATATAAGATTATATTACGCGCATTCGTGTCACCTAAATATGACGATGATTTTCTACAACTTATTTTTTTGTGCACTCTCCAGATTTTGGATATATTTTAGGCAATATAATTATCTATATTCTGGCCAAGTTTAAAAATTCTACCGTGTAGTTTTTTATTTAGAGGCCTTTGTTTGCAAAGATACCTGGATATAGGAAGTTAATTATATAAGATTATATTACGCGTATTCGTGTCATCCGACTTTGTAGATGATTTTCTACAACTTATTTTTTTGTGCACTCTCCAGATTTTGGATATATTTGAGGCAATATAATTATCTATATTCTGGCCAAGTTTAAAAAAATTCTACCGTGTAGTTTTTAAATTATACGCTAATTAAGAGAAATGGAAAGTACACTGTAATATAAATCTTAGTGTTTTCTTCAATTTCTTGACTTTTATACATTTTTTGTGATGGTTAAGGACAGTAAAATAATAATAAACAGTTAAGAATTGTTTTTTACTGTTGTATTTGATGGAAAACGTGTTTTAAAGACGATTTTTCGATTTATCATTTTGAATGATAAATTTTAGTTGAATGTGATGTTGAATGTTGTGATGAATGTTGTGTTGAATGTCGTGCCCAATGGTGGTGCCAATTTCACGGTAGTTTTGTGGCAATTTGTCAAAATGAACAACATTTTATTCAATGAAAATACCACTAAACAACTCTGTCTGAATACACGTTTATTTTCTTAATCATAAACTAACCCTTCAATTTTTTCTGAATGTCGCTTGTATCAAGAAAGAATGAGAAACTACAATGGCGCATATTGCAGCTTTCGATTTTTAGATAATAACTGGATTGAATTTTACTTTCTTGCGCAGATTTGAACTAAATTGTGGGCATTGCACTCCTTCGTCAGATTGCCTGGTTGCAACATTTCGAATTACCCTAGTAAGCATATCTTGTAGATCTTCTTTGGTAGCATACTCGCGAATCACCCTGTCCAACTGACTGACAAACCACCCACCTGTTAAGGTATTTCTCATTGCAGCAAAGTTCTCGGTTGATGCGTGGGCAACAAAAAAATCAGCATCAAGAGGTATGCACTGACCAGTGTAGCCTAGTTTATTATCAACTGATGTTGTCAAGGAGGTATTTGTGGTGGATGTACCAGGATGATCAAGCAAAGTCCTAGCTCTGTTTGGTGGGACTGGATCATTGTCAAAACGAGTAGATGTGGTGGATGCATATGAATGACTATCCAATGCAGGAATTGGAGCGATCATTGAGGTCTGATGACTTGGAGCATCAGTGACAACATATGGCTCATCTGGTGCATTTCCTCGACAAGCCTGCACAAAAAACAGCTTTGGCTTGTTGCTAAGACTATGACATTTGGCAGAAGTAAAATTTTCTCTGATGTTCTTAAGGTAGACATGTTTACCATCCCTGCTAAAAATGCCATCACCATTTCGTGTATTAAAACCATGGCTCATCAAGAACAATGAAAAACAATCAAAGTTTCTGTGATCAAAATCTAACCGATAATAACGAATGATCTGCATGATTTCATCAGCAGTTTGATTAATATATATTTCAACCTTAAATCGCAGCCACTCGAATAATGACTTCATTCTTTGAACATCAATGTTTGAGCCCTCTCGTGTTTCCAGTTTGGTTACTTTATCAAATTCGCATATGTTGATTATGACAGCATAGCCACATGGCCTACGATTCATGGGATAGTATGTTGCCTCTTTTTCATCAATTTCATTGTGAATACCTTGGGAAAAATGAACCAAAGTTTACTTGAATGCAAATCAATCTTAGCTAGATGCAATGACACATTCACATGTTGGTGAACAACGACTATGTTGATGTTAAAAAAAGGCAAAGGTTCTGCCTGGGATTCCCCTATTGACTATTACCTACACCCTTTAATATTTGACAGACGTTACACATCACCTCGGCATAGTTCATCTTCGTTTGGGATTTTTGTAAGAAGGATACGGGCTAAATGTCGTTGAGAAGAATGCTCCAAAGCATAGATAAATTTGGTAATAGCTGCGTGTCCACCCTTTTCCACAAATTCCAACAGTAATTCGGCCTGTTTTTTCCGTGGCTTAGTGTCTCTCACTTCTTCGTAGTTATCGAAGTCTAAAACGTCTTCTTGGTACAAATAATCAAGGACATTTGGTGCCTCTAAATCAATAAGGACAACTTCGCGATTCATTCGCAAACGATAAAGCAAAACCTCGGACATATCGAAGCAATCGTGGTAAAACCAGAGTGCAAAACGAGACACTAGAGTAACTACACTTCTTGAAATTTGACTTATTTACAAATTACCAAGCATTTTTGCATCGCCCAAAAGTCCATAACGCAGTGACGTCATCCGAGAAGAACATGAGATCATTGACATGAGACTGGGGCGACACACGATTGAGATGGAAGATAATACAATTAGAGAGTTTTTCAAATGCCCTTCATGTTTCCAGGAAAAACCTTTAAGCACACAATTTTAACTATGTTTTGTTAATGAATTGCAAATGCAAAATACATGAATTCTGCGTCAAACATCAGCTAACTACTTTCTGTGAAAGGCTCAAAGCAAATTTGTTCAACATATTCGTTTCTAGCACTTCGGAAACACTCGTTCACATTTCAGATGGTCGACGGAAGTGTTTGCCAGCAAAGACAGCATTTTCACCAAGTTCTTCTTCGATTCTAAAACAAGAAATTTTCATACATATGAACGCACACAATTTTCATTCATAGGAGCTGCATGCTGGCAGTGAATTGACAAGTGTCGATAATCCACCTCTCTGACGGTAAACATACGTGTCAAAAATACGAGATTAAATTACAAAATTCGGACAATCAAATGGTCGGACATAGTATCGTATCTGTAGAATAGTGGCAATAAAATAGAAAGATGCTCTTGGGGCATTTCTAAATATTATTTTAGAAATCCAGAATGACTAATTATAAAGGGAGAAGGTGTAAGATTGAATAAAAACCATTTTCTGTCAAATCAAAGGAAAGCTTGGATATGACATGCAATATGCAGATACAAAGTTATAGAGAAAAAACATCTCTAACATTGTCACGGATATTACAAGTGGCGTAACAAAGTGTTGATGACTTTGATATGCACTCGTCAAAACAAAGAGCATGCCAAAATTAATGATTGAAAATTAGCTAAGCGCATATACAAGCACCAATTTCAGAGCTCACTTGGTCACAAATTGAGAATTAATCTGAGCATACATGGGCAACTCCACCAACTCTCCAAGTTCATGGTCATGGAAACGACCAACTGTATGTTCTAGTACCGCTCTGTCACAAATTTTCAGATAAATCTTCTGCGCATGCGCAGTCTCCTTGAGCATGCGCAGTTGACTTGACCGGCTTCACAAGCTCATGGTCAAGTTTACGAACTACTGCATCTACTAGCACAGATTTTGAAGTAAATAGCATGCTTAGTAACAATTTAATAAAGAAATCATCTGAGCATGCGCAGTCGAGTATGAACTTTCCGATTGACCAATTTCACGAGTTCATAGTCAAGACAACAACCAACTGGATCTACTAGCCCCAATTTTGAAGTAAATAGCTCGCTTAGTAGCAATTTAATAAAGAATCATCTGCGCATGCGCTAGAGCATGCGCAGTCCACTCGACTAATTGTTCATAGTCATGGCAAAGACTAACTATGTATACTTGCACTACATTTGTGGCAATTAGCTTACTTAGTCGCAAATTATCAAATAAATCATCTGAGCATGCGCAGTAACGATGTCAATTATACCACAACTTTCGTAAGCCTTTAAATTTTTGTATATATATATAAAGTAAATACATTATATAGTAGATGTCAACTAGCAGTGGAAGCTGGGTGCGATATAGTATGCAGTGGCTTAGGGCCCACACTTCGGTGGCGACCGCACTCTCCCTGCATACCCTGAGCAAAGCCTATCGCAAGTGATCTCAGGGTCTGATGGGCGGAAGCTTGCTATTGGCATCTCCCAAGTAGGATAGCGTGGAGGGGCCGAAATCTCCTACCGAAACGTTAACATGCGGCGTTCTAGTGCCTTACATATAAGAAGGTATCGGGAAGCATGGCCCGAAAACGGGGTTTTTTGCTTTCGAATTTTATCTTTTTTCTTTACAAGAATTCTTCTCATAAAAGAAACTAGAACATCAAGGATAATGCCAAGGTTCAAACAACTTCTGCCTTTTTGACTTTAAACCAACTCAAAACATGTTTATACGTTTTTCACTTGTTACCTTTTACAATGTAACTTTCTCATAACTATCTCGTGATGAACGAGAGCCTCATTATACAATGTAACTCTGTCATCATGAACGAAAGCACCCATGGGCTTCATGAAAAAAAAGGGATTATATATTTTTTATAATATTAGTTTTAACAGAGATAACATTTAATAAGCCAAGCCATTTATATCGTCTAAATGGAACGCTTATGCTTATGTCATAAACTTTTAATTAATTTTGAATAGTAAATTTCTTTTTACCTTGTAATATTTTCATGATTTAATCTAGAAAGTAACTTCACTTCTCTAGTAATTTTGTGATTAAATAGTACAGTTTTCGGATTCAGAGGACTTCTTTTGGTCGCATAGAGACAGCCGTCCAATTTATTACATAAATGCATGTAGTATGCATTCCGTTGTAAGAAACCATCCTACCAAAGAATATCCAGATCCGATTTTAGTTACATCGAACGTTATTTTTTTGATATTTATGTTATTTTTTATGATATTTATGATTCGATGTATCATGAGATTCCAGATAAGATTCATGACTGCCTTTGAATACAATTAACACATATTCATAATAAGACAATGTTTTATGTTATCATTTAGCATCATCGTAATTTTATACATTTAAATTCATAGCTATAGCTTAAAACTCCTATTTTACGTATGTAACTTGTAAATGAATCTGAAAAGCCTGTTTTAGGGAGATTTTATCCATCAATAATAATAATAGTGATTAGTGATAATAAGACAGCGAAACCAACATGTAGTAAAAATAAAAGTTCAAAAATTTGTATGGCTTGCTTTTTTGCGCTTTATGCAGCTGGAATCCGTTTTGGATATTCTTAAGTCACGCCGTAAAGGCCCGTAAAAATCCTTAGAAAAAAGTCATTAGTGCGACAACATGCCAGAATTCAAAAGCTTTCCTTCGATCGTTACGCTTTTTATTAACTCAAAATGGTTAATATTTACTGTTATGCCTTCTGCCTTTATAAATAATCGTTCTGAATAACTAGAATCAGATTCACAAATGCCCCAAAACTCAAACGCATCTCCTAACCATTTTATTGCCACTATTTTACATAAGCAATACTATATCCGACCATATGATTGTCCGAATTTTTAATTTGATGTCGTATTTTTGACACGTGTGTCTACCATCGGGAAGGTGGATTAAGAGAACGTTTGCTACCTTAAGATTTGATTGTACTTTGCCAAGCGTTCAGAACGACATGGTGCTCCAGTTTTTATCTACAATCAAGAAAAAGATATAAGTAGATATTAAAGAAACATGATTGACGTACTCAGTAACACAGAACATGAGAACAAGCCATCCATTAGAAATTGGCATGAAATAAGTTGAACTACTGAGCAGCTTGCATTTGCTTGAAAACGTTATACTAAACTAAACAACCGTGGGCGTACGGGGACAGGAGGGGTAGCTGCCCTCTCAAAAAGATTGAAAAGTTGGGCAACGTTAGTCGGGCGAAAATACGGCTGAACCTTCGTTGTGGATTGGGGAAAATATTTACTGCCCCCCCCCCCAAGAAATGATAGCTCCCGTACACCTATGGCAACAACTCCTTACGAGGTAAACCAGAAACTAGGAAATCAGAGTCAATAACTTCAGTTCGTTACCTGACCAGTACATAAACCAACAACTAGATCAGCAATGGTTGTATCTTCAGTTTCTCCACTACGATGACTCACCATAACACCCCAGCCATTACGCTGTGCAAGTTTGCATCTAACAAGATAGCAAAGAAATGACGATTTACACTACCAGTGAAAACGTTAGGAAAAATCTGATTCATTCTTCTTTTTTCAAGTGGAACACGAGGTGATAACTATGTATTTCCCAGAACACCTGACTAAAATTTCGACTAAAATATGAATACATTTAATCATTGACAGATTTTCGTATTATTTACATGGATGGTGCTAAAAATATTAGGGGCTGAGCTGACAAGTAAGTGACGCATAACATAGTAGAAGTGAGAATTTTAGGGACAGTTGTCGAGTGTAGAGAGTTGAAACATTGCCCCAGAAAAACACAGTTCAACTGTACTACAGATTTGTTTTGCTAAGAATGAGGGTGATTAAAATGTTTCTTAAGGAGTGAACAACCAATTCGTGGGAATTAAATCTGACATTCGGCGAATAGCACCCCCCCCCCTGCATCCCCAGAAAATCCGTCCATGCATTTAATTAAGGTTAACAACTTTAATATTCATGGTTTCCTTACGCCTCAATGGACTCCGTTACCGAGCCAATTTGGTTGACCTTCAAAAGCAAACAGTTGCAAGCTTTGCTTGAGATTGCTGTTTCAATGCTGAAGAAATAAAAAATATATAAAAATTGAATCGCAAGGCACAACGCAAAACTATAAGTTATAGGAGAATAATTCAATGCTAAAACAAGAATTACCGTTTAACAGGCACAACACAAAACTATAAGTTATAGGAGAATAATTCAATGCTAAAACAAGAATTACCGTTTAACAGGCACAACACAAAACTATAAGTTATAGGAGAATAATTCAATGCTAAAACAAGAATTACCGTTTAACAGGCACAACGCAAAACTATAAGTTATAGGAGAATAATTCAATGCTAAAACAAGAATTACCGTTTAACATTTGTTACTGTGAGGTCATCGCTGCAAAAGAACACATTCACAATATTTTATTTCATTATTTAAACACATTCCTGTAAATTTAAAACGTGAAGAAATGAGTAGTTTACAACTATAGGGATCCAAGGATGTGTAAAGTTTAAAAAAAACTGCCTTTTAGTTCGTATCAAACTTATAAATTGTTTGAGACATTTATTTCATTTCTCCATTAGCCCCCATTTACTTATGCTTCATGTACACGAACATCCTTGACTTCATGGCAAATAAAAACGTTTTCTTATAAAACCTGTCACAAGCCATACTCCAAAGTGCTATGTCTGTGGTTGTGTATTAGCTGAGTTGCTTTTATGCATGGTGGTGACACGCAAAGCAGGAAGAATGATTGAGGTAACGACTTTGAAAATGCGTTTGTTAAAACAAGCTGAAGAACACATACATGTTCATAATATGTGATTGAAAACTTGCACAAGTCTTCTGAGTGCAAACAATTCTCTGTTGAAAGGACTGGTGTCGCTCATTTAAGTAACATGTCTTATTGTCCTTATGCGGAATTCCAAGGGGGGGGGATAGAAATAAAAGCTTAGATTTTCACTTATTTAGAAAATTTCTGACACCCGATACCAAAAAAGTTGCTGTGGTCTGGCGTATAGCTCTTCTACTAATTGCTCTGCTCTTAATAATACTACAAAATTGCCTTACAACTTTGCTCTAAAAAGGAGACTTGACTGAGCGAATAAATTAACTAGCAGCTCTCGTGCTTAGTCCTCTCCTCTATGGATATTTAACGGTATTCTTACCCAACAATCTGAATGCTTGTTTGTCCAGTCAAATGAGACCAGGCTTGCCAGTGATCTTGATCAAACGGATCTTCGATTGATACCACGGGATATTCGTTGATAAATTCTTGATAAAGAGCACTAAGTTGCTCGCCAGTTAACTGTGGAAAAAGAGAAATGAATGCTATTGAAGTAAAATGCGACACCAAAAGACAGTCAACTGCACAGTTCTCAAATAAAACACGAAGGAGCCTACAAAACCACGTAACATACCCATTTACTTGGATCAGAATTTTTGTTTTTGAAGTCCAGATCATATTTTCCGTCTTTGTAAAACTCTAAATGGAGGAAGTAGAAAAATTGTCATTTTAATTCCAATGTAGAAAAATAGGTACGCACCACGTACACGCGGTTAGCTGTCAGGTACATGACTACAAAATGAAGTAGAATAATAAACGTAGTTCAAATAACAATACATATTTACTATTATTTAAATCAAATTTGTTCTAGATTTAAAGAATGTGCTTTGTGCTGAGTGACATAGCCAGCCCGTGTGTTTGGTTGTCTATGCAAAATTCTTCTGAGTTTGCTCCTTGTAAAAACAATAGATTTCTAAACAAATAAACAATGTTCTGAAATTTACATACCCCAACCAAAATGGTGTGCTGGCTATACCACTGTTTATGCTCATCATTCAATCACAAAAGCCAGTAATAATGTTCTGAAATTTACATACCCCAACCAAAATGATGTGCTGGCTATACCAATGTTTATGCTCATCATTCAATCACAAAAGCCAGTAATAATGTTCTGAAATTTACATAACCCAACCAAAATGGTGTGCTGGCTATATCACTGTTTATGCTCATCATTCAATCACAAAAGCCAGTAATAATGTTCTGAAATTTACATAACCCAACCAAAATGGTGTGCTGGCTATACCACTGTTTATGCTCATCATTCAATCACAAAAGCCAGTAATAATGTTCTGAAATTTACATAACCCAACCAAAATGGTGTGCTGGCTATACCACTGTTTATGCTCATCATTCAATCACAAAAGCCAGTAATAATGTTCTGAAATTTACATAACCCAACCAAAATGGTGTGCTGGCTATACCACTGTTTATGCTCATCATTCAATCACAAAAGCCAGTAATAATGTTCTGAAATTTACATAACCCAACCAAAATGGTGTGCTGGCTATACCACTGTTTATGCTCATCATTCAATCACAAAAGCCAGTAATAATGTTCTGAAATTTACATAACCCAACCAAAATGGTGTGCTGGCTATACCACTGTTTATGCTCATCATTCAATCACAAAAGCCAGTAATAATGTTCTGAAATTTACATAACCCAACCAAAATGGTGTGCTGGCTATACCACTGTTTATGCTCATCATTCAATCACAAAAGCCAGTAATAATGTTCTGAAATTTACATAACCCAACCAAAATGGTGTGCTGGCTATACCACTGTTTATGCTCATCATTCAATCACAAAAGCCAGTAATAATGTTCTGAAATTTACATACCCCAACCAAAATGATGTGCTGGCTATACCACTGTTTATGCTCATCATTCAATCACAAAAGCCAGTAATAATGTTCTGAAATTTACATACCCCAACCAAAATGGTGAGCTGGCTATACCACTGTTTATGCTCATCGTTCAATCACAAAATCCAGTAATAATGTTCTGAAATTTACATACCCCAACCAAAATGATGTGCTGGCTATACCACTGTTTATGCTCATCATTCAATCACAAAAGCCAGTAACTGTCTAACTGTTCCTGCATTCAAACTTTACCTGAGGCAGCAACATCCATTCCAATTTCAACTTTGTCAGTATAACCAGCTTTTGCAATTGCCTCTTTAAGAAGCTCCAAGCCTTTAGTAAAATTTTAATACGTCAAAGTTTATTTGTACGTAATGGAAATGCAAGTTTTATATTCAAATGAATCAAAAAACAAAAAAAGTTAAACGTTTGTCAACCTTCTTTGTTGTCTTGGAAATTTGGAGCAAAACCACCTTCATCTCCAACAGCAGTAGCTGAAAAAATATTAAAAATCAACGGATCCTCTTTTTTCTCTTAAAAAATTTGAATTAAAATCTCAATGACAAAATCCAGCTGCACTGAGCATTCTTAAGGAGAAGTAGAATTGTTAATTTTAGAAACATACGGAAAAATCTTTGGAAAACATTTCATCAAGAATTATGTATTCGACTCCACAAAGCAGTACTTATGCAATTGAATCACATGGAAAAAGGGCATTTCTTTCGTTTTCACTGAAATAGCTTACCATCCAAACCATATTTCTTTTTGATTACCCCTTTCAACGTGTGATAAGTCTCGCATCCAATTCTCATAGCTTCAGAGAAACTATCGGCCCCTAAAAAAGCATTACACATGCGGACTTAGAATATTGATCATAGTACTAAACAATACATTATAGTCACACCAGTAGGAAGAATCATAAACTCTTGCATTGCTAATTTATTTCCAGCATGACTTCCACCATTAATGACATTGAAAGCCTTAAACAGACACATAATGAACATTAATGATAATGAAAACATAAATATAAGGTAGTTAGCATCTTGTTGACCTACCGGGACAGGCAAGATGACTTTCAAATTTCCAGCAAGATCAGCAATATGACGGTACAAAGGCACACCCTTCATAAAAAATAAAGAAGCCCATCCATTTATAAAATTAATCAGTAAAACTCAATTAAAACAGCACCAACATCAGTATGTATGTATGAAGGTATATATATATATAAAGAAAATATGAGCGATAATTGGTCTACATCTGTGTTTGCATTAACCTGTGCAAACTTATCTGAGCTGGAGCATGTGCAAACCTTCAACCTATTGTCTTATACTAGCACTGATCTGCTCTCATGATATCCCAAAGGTCTACTTGGTTTGCATAAGCCTGTGTAAACACAGTAAACATCTTTTATATCTTACATGTATATTACCTTGTGAGCAGCACCAGCTTTGCAAACAGCAAGAGACACACCCAAAATAGCATTAGCTCCAAGTTTGCCTGAAGTACAAATGAATGAATGTCAAAGCACATTCATTTCATACCAAGTGTATCAAACCATAATGAAACAAACCTTTGTTGTCAGTACCATCAAGATCAATCATAAATTTATCAATGGCTTCTTGATTAGTCACATCAAAACCCTAGAAAAAAAACACACCAATATACATATATTTCACTTGTAAACAGAAAATGTATCAATATCATGGATAAATTCAGTTCACCTTTTCTAACAAGGCAGGGGCAATCACAGTGTTCACATTAGAGACAGCTTTTTGGACACCTTTAAAACCAAGAATACATTTACGTTCACCACACAATTACTAGGAAATGTAGCATAAAACTTTAAGAAAAAGCACCTTTTCCTAAATACATAGAAGGATCCTTATCCCTCAGCTCTAAAGCTTCGTAAACTCCAGTGGATGCACCTGAAGGTACAGCAGCTCTGAACAGACCTGTAAGCACAACCATAAGGAATGTTTGTTACATACAAGATTTGGTATTAATGTGAAGCAAATTTGAACTGCTGCATGGCATTTCCCAATGAAAACACGAATGTAATGTCACCAACTGAAGCACATTTAGAATTTCAACAATCCATTTTACCTTTGCTAGTGGTGAGGTCAACTTCAACAGTTGGATTTCCTCGACTGTCAAAGATTTGACGTGCATGAATTTTCGTTATGACAGTCATCTACATCATTATAACAAACAATTGAACAAAGCAGTCATGTCAACAGTCATTTTGGACGTACGGGGGAGGGCCCCAGTTGGTTTGTATACGAATTACGAACAGCCAGGTATTGTATATTTCAATTTCATAGATATATTTTACAGACTAGATTACAGACACTAGCCTACACAGACTGTCCAACTATGTGTTCATACTTTTAAAATAATGATTAATTAAGATGTATATTAGAAAGTTAATCAAGCAAGCAAGATTTTTACTTCTCTTCAACAGCTGTACATCGTTCATAATTAATCATAAAGTTGCAAGTATTTAGAACTAAAAAATGTTCAGCATGTCTGCCGAGTTTGGCGAAAGACTCACAAGGATAAATATACGTAGAATGCAATTTACCTTTTTCTTAAAAAACAAGCGGAGTGCTTTTCGTCGAAATTACAAAAAAATCTTGTTGTTTAGTTAACGATTGTACATATAACTTGACAATTCACAGTGCCAGGGCCGGGCAGCAATGTACAAGACAGGAAATTGAGAACAAGAAGGATAACAGACATCCCAGATTCAGACTTTTGAGGGATGTTTGTGTACAACTAGTGATACATCGTAAACAGCACACTTGCTATCTTTTCTGCTTTTTAGATAATAATAGTCAAGTCAAGCATTTGGAAAGATATCTCGAGTACGTTTTATTGCAAAGCCGTAGACAAATCATGTAATTTTCGAACAATCTTACTCCCGTAAAGGAATATTTTAATTTGTTAAGGCTGATTTCATATATTCAAAAATAACGTGTCCTCCAAATCCCTCATTACCCTCCTGCACTTCAACACTGACTTCAATAAAGGCGGGAAAGCTCAATTATTAATATTTATTAGTAAAATAATATTATTTTCAATGATTTTTTTGCAAAAAAAGGTAAAGAGTTGATGAGACAGTAAAAAAGTTGTTTGACCTAAATATATTTTTGAAGTAAGATACAGAAAGACAAACAGATATCTGTTTTCCATTTACCATTTACTTCGAAATGTGGTAACAATATTTGTTCTTCAGTTAGATAAAACTGAAAATAAAGTGAAAACAACTTGACAAAATGGAGAATGGCAAAGCTTTTTCCTCAAACGTTACGTCTTCAGAACAAACGTTTGCAGATGGATCAGCCGATCTTGAAAAGCTACTCCAAACTGCTGGTATGTATAAATTGCATCGATTCAATCATTCAAATATTTTGGATTATTTAGTCTTTGCTTTCCCAAAGTTTTGGAGCATTCTACAAACAACAGATTTCATAACAAACGTTATTCTTTGTCCGGCTAAGATGATGACCTAGCTCAACACTACAAAATGACCGCAATTTCTTAAATTACAGAGGCAGAAAATTTACAAATGGTGAAACTTATAGACACAGAAAGACAAAAGTCAACAGGTGAAGTTAACATTTCAACTAATAAAAAAACCACAATCGTATTATATTCCGCATTTCTTGTTATTTCAAAGAGCTTCAAAAGCAGGTCGAAGACACAATGACAAAAACAGAAGAACTGGACGAATCTACAAAAAAACTTGACGTTGAAGCCAAACGACTTCACTCTAAATTCAAACAAAATAGAGAAATTTGCGAGGGGTATGGTGGCTTTTGATCATCCTGCTTCAACTAATATCTCTAAAAACATAAAAGCTCAAACGTCTCTTTGTATGAAGAGGCTATAGTAACTCAAAGTTGTATGAAACAAAAGTGTGGAAGATCGACAAAATAGTGAGAAGAGTGTGTGTGATATTGGTAACTAAACTTACCATGCATTAGGTTTTAAAAACTGTCAAATATACTTGCTATTGTTTGATTGGCTATAGTTTAAAGAAAACGTCAGCAGTCTTGGATGAACACGAGGAAGCTCTACGAAAGAAACTGGAGATGGTCAGCATAAAGCGCCAGAAACAACAGTATGTATAGTTTCTAATGTGTGTTCAGTTAGTGGGTAATCATGGATAACATAGTACACTGATGGATCTATGTAATATCTTGCGTAATGAACTAATAATTACTCCCATGTATACTCATGTATCACCAAGTTGAGATGATCGATGCTCGGGGATTTAGAAACGTTTTCAATATCTGAAAGAGGGATCAATCATAAGATTTTTATAATTTAGATCCTCTACTGGGTTAGAAACGGCCATTTTATAGTTGATTACGATTTCCTCTACCTTTATGTCTACCTTTATGTGTACTTTTATGTCTACCTTTATGTCTACCTTTATGTCTACCTTTGTGTACCTTTATGTCTACCTTTATGTCTACCTTTATGTCTACCTTTATGTCTACCTTTATGTCTACCTTTATGTCTACCTTTATGTCTACCTTTGTGTCTACCTTTATGTCTCCATTTATGTATACCTTTATGTCTTCCTTTATGTCACCTTTATGTCTATCTTTATGTCTACCTTTATGTCCACCTTTGTGTCTACCTTTATGTCTACCTTTATGTCTCACCTTTATGTTCACCTTTTATGTCTACCTTTATGTCCACCTTTATGTCTACCTTTATGTCTCCTTTATGTCACCTTTATGTACCTTTTATGTCTACATGTTTATGTCTACCTTTATGTCTACCTTTATGTCTGCTCTTTATGTTCACTTTTATGTCTACCTTTTATGTTCACCTTTATGTCTACTTTATGTCACTTTTATGTTTACCTTTATGTCTACTTTTTATGTCCACCTTTATGTCTACACCTTTATGTTCACCTTTATGTTCACCTTTTATGTTTACTTTTATGTCACCTTTTATGTTCACCTTTATGTTCACCTTTATGTCTACTTCTATGTCTATTTATGTCTACCTTTTTATGTCTACCTTTATGTTCACCTTTTATGTCTACTTTTATGTCTACCTTTATGTCTACCTCCTATGTTCTACTTTTTTATATTCACCTTTATGTCTACCTTTTTATGTCTACTCCCTTTATGTCTACCTTTTATGTTCACTTTATGTCTACTTCTTTTATGTCTACCTTTTATGTCTACCTTTTGTCTACTCTTTATGTCCACCTTTATGTCTACCTTTTATGTTCACCTTTATGTCTACTTTTATGTTCACCTTTATGTCTACCTTTATGTCTATCTTTATGTCTACCTTTATGTCTACCTTTGTTTCACCTTTATGTCTACTTTTATATGTCTACCTTTATGTCTACCTTTATGTTCACCTTTATGTTCTACCTTTATGTCTACCTTTATGTCTACTTTTATGTCTACCTTTTATGTCACCTTTATGTCTAATCCTTTATGTCATCTTTATGTTTATTGCTTATGTTCACCTTTATGTTCATCTTTATGTCTCACCTTTATGTTCATTTATGTTCACCTTTATGTTCACCTTTATGTTCACCTTTATGTCTCCTTTTATGTTCCACCTTTATGTTCACCTTTATGTTCCATTGCTTATGTTCAATTTTATGTTCATCTTTATGTCTATTTTTATGTTCATTTATGTCTATCTTATGTCTACCTTTATGTCTACCTTATGTTCATTTATGTCTATCTTTATGTTCACCTTTATGTTCATGTTTATGCTCTGTTAATGTCTATCTTTATGTCTACCTTATGTTCACCTTTATGTCTACCTTTATGTCTACCTTTATGTCTACTTTATGTCCACCTTTATGTCTACCTTTACTTATCTTTATGTCTACCTTTATCTTACTTTATGTCTACCTTATGTCTCACCTTTATGTTCACCTTTATGTTCACCTTTATGTCACCTTTATGTCTACCTTTATATAACTTTTATGTACCTTTTATGTCTACCTTTATGTTACCTTTTATGTTCACCTTTATGTCTACCTTTTATGTTCACCTTTTATGTCTACCTTTATTTCATCTATGTCTCACCTTTATGTTCACCTTTATGTCTATCTTATGTCTACCTTTTATGTCTACCTTTATGTTCACCTTTATGTCTCACCTTATGTTCACCTTTATGTTCACCTTTATGTCTCACCTTTTATGTCTACCTTTATGTCTACCTTTACTCCATCTCTTTATGTTCACCTGTGTCTACCTTTATGTTTAATGTCTACCTTTATGTCTATCCTTATGTTCACCTTTATGTCTACCTTTATGTCTACTTTATGTCTACTTTATGTCTCACCTTTATGTTCACCTTTATGCCTATCTTTATGTCCACCTTTATGTCCACCTTTGGTCTATCTTTATGTCTCACCTTTTATGTCTATCTTTATGTTCACCTTTATGTCATCTTTATGTTCACCTTTATGTTCATCCTTATAAAACCTTTATGTAACCTTTATGTCTACCTTTTATGTTCCACTTTTATGTTCATTTATGTTCACCTTTATGTTCACCTTTATGTCACCTTTATGTCCACCTTTATGTTCAATTTTATGTCACTCCTTTATGTTCATTGCTTTATGTCTGTTTATGTTCACCTTTATGTCTACCTTTGTGTCTACCTTTATGTTCATCTTTATGTCTACCTTTATGTTCATTGTTTATGTCTCCATTTATGTCTATCTTTATGTTCATCTTCTTTATGTTCCACCCTTATGTCCACCTTTATGTTCACCTTTTGTCTATCTTTATGTCCACCTTTATGTCTACTTTTATGTCCACTGTATGTCTACCTTTATGTTCTTATCTTTATGTTCCTAATTGTGTTCATTCTTATGTTCACCTTTATGTCTACCTTATGTTCACCTTTATGTTCTACCTTTATGTTCACCTTTATGTCTACCTTTATGTTCACCTTTTATGTCTCTTTATGTCTACCTTTATGTCACTTTATGTAACCTTTATGTAACCTTTATGTGTAACCTTATATGTTCCACCTTTATGTCTACCTTTATGTTCACCTTTATGTCCACCTTTTATGTAATTCCTTTATGTACCTTTATGTAATTCCCTTTATGTCAACCTTTATGTGTAATCTTTATAACCTTTATGTGTCACCTTTATGTAATTTATGTTCACCTTTATGTTCACCTTTTATGTCTACCTTTATGTCTACCTTTATGTCATCTTTTTATGTCTACCTTTATGTCTATCTTTATGTTCCACTTTTATGTTCACCTTTATGTCTACCTTATGTCTAACCTATGTTCACTTTATGTCTACCTTTGTTCACCTTTATGTCACCTTTATGTCTACCTTTATGTTCACCTTTTATGTCTGATCCTTTATGTCACCTTTATGTCTACCTTTATTCACCTTATGTTCACTCCTTATGTTCTACCTTTGTCTCATATTTTATGTTCTGTTTTATGTCTACTTTTATGTCACCTTTATGTCACCTTTATGTCTACCTTTATGTACCTTTATGACCTTTATGTACCTTTATGTGACCTTTTATGTCTACCTTTATGTCTATCTTTATGTCTACCTTTATGTCTATCTTTATACCTTTATGTCTATCTTTATGTCTACTATGTCTACCTTTATGTCTACCTTTATGTCTACCTTTATGTCTACCTTTATGTCTACCTTTATGTCTACCTTTATGTCTACCTTTATGTCTACCTTTATGTCTACCTTTATGTCCACGTTTATATCTACCTTTATGTCTATCGTAGAGAGATCTCCCCTCCCCAAATTGAACATGTCGCACCCCCTCCAGCTCTTACGTCCTCGACAATGTTATTACTTTTCTTATGCGATATTTCTTGCAGGATTGATTTTCAAAAAAATATTGAGAAATACGAAACGATTTGGGAAAGTTACACGAAAACCTACGATGAAAATCCACTGGCAAAAGAACTGTCAGCAGTCAAAGAGATTGCATTTAAAACTCATGCATCAGGTGATCATTGATAATGTTTTGAAATTCCAAGTTACATCGAGTTCGGCTAGTGATGCAAATATTCATCTCGACAGTGCGAGACACGAGTGAGCAAATTATTAAGATACAAGCGAACATTATTGAAATGGAAGTGGAAAAGTCACAGATGCAAGGTGAATTATCGCTGCCTTCCATTTTTTTCTTTCAATTTATAAGTAGAATATTGTTTATATTAAGTATCCACTCAGAGTTTACATTGACTTACTTTGTGTAGAGTATCTTCAAAAGAACTCCGAGACAGCAAACGACTTAATTCTTAAAATGTATCCTTTTCTATCGATACAATGTGCTATAATGAACGTCAAACTAGTGATTTTTACTTTTGTCGTCGTTCCTAAGTTGATGATAAAAAATAAAACTTACTTCCCCCCAAAAAAACAAAACAAGTTCTTAACTAGATAAAAAGAGCTGGCGCCTATCTCGACGTAAGAAACGCCGCTACAAAAGCCAGAGAAAAAATACAACAGCTGAAGACACTGAAAGATCAATGGGAATCACTAAATGTTGAGAAAAATGAAGTGAACAAGACGATAATGAGAAATTCTGAAACTTACAAGAGAAAGAATTCCGAGACTGTTAATAACTCAAGTAACTATATCATCAGAGTTCACAATGATCAAACGTTTTAGCAAATGAAAACAAAAACTAGTGTAAACTCCTGCTATCTTTTACTTATAGCATTGAATGAAACATCAGAAAATGAAAGCCGCTCGAGATTAGATGCTCAACTTGATAACTCCAGCGCCGACATCGATCAAGAAGAAATGGATACTTCTCCGAGAAAGGATCAACAACAAGGCAATCAGACGCCACTGACGAGCCATCACAGTGATAAAGAACAAGTACATACAGAGTATGAGACCAATTGTAGCGAACAGTTACAAAGTCAAAAAGGAGTTTCTCACGAAATCACCACACCCGAGTCTTGTGAGATAAGCAATGAACAAGGTATAAAATGTTGTACGACATTTTTAAAACTTTTATAATATTTACTAATAACTAATGATGGGCAGTAGAACAGATGTATCGATGTGACCATGTGACCATGTATCGATGTGACCATGTGACCATGTATCGATGTGACCATGTGACCATGTATCGATGTGACCATGCTCTTGTCGTGAAGATTAATGACAAAAAATTTTTTAATCAATATTTATGTAGATTCTCAAACTTCGCCACGGTCTACGACGCATGCCCCGACCACTCCTTCACGTGATAGTTGCAATACCACGGTGAACCAATCATCCAAAAGAACGCCGAATACTTCAAGGCCAAGAAGCCCACTTGACTTCAATAAACACATGCAATACATCAAACAGTTCACTAAGTCACCGGGAGAAGGATTTACGTATGCAGGACGATCTATGTACGGTAAACAAACAAACCAGGTAAGAGCTTGTTATGTACCTTAGTTAAATGAACCAGGAAAGAACAATTTAAGCACAGTAGCCAAGTCATGTATACGTAAAGATTAAACTGCGAACCATTAACCTTCGCCTGGAAAAATATGTTTAAATATCATGCTATATCTGAGTTATGGTTAACTTATCATAATGCAAAATGCTTAAAAACATATTTATCCTATAAGGTATTGAAGAAAACTAATATCGTCGTTTGAAACAGTTGCAAGGTACATATGTTTTACTAGATTAACGAGGAAGCTCAACAAGACAATGAGAAAGATGTTTCATCAACATTGTTGACTTATGAAGTTCCATTAAATGACGAGATGGCACAACATGACATGACTCGAAACTTCTTCAGACCTTTTGAAAAACAAAAAGATGCGAATGCTGACAGTTTATTCAGTCAGGTAGGAAACGACTTCACACGAGGGAATAATCGGGTTTCTCCTCAAAAATAGCATGAATAAAGAAGTGTTTCTCATAAAACAGGGAAGTCACGAAAACCGTTTGTCGTCGAGGAATAAAAGTATATTCAGCGCTGGAGTATCACCATCAAGTTCAGGTATAAATCACGCGTCGATCTTTCCATTACTAAGGCAATGCTTCCCACATCATCTTTCTAACGAGGTGATATATTTGAACTCATATACAGTAACATCAAGTCCAGAAAAAGGTTTTTCATTTGGTCCAGTTACTCCAAGTAAGAAAAATCAGTCAAACTTTCTTGCGTCGAAGTCACCTTCAGGTATCCATACATTTGTTAATTGAAACATTTTCTACGTAGGATGGAATCAGACTTTGAGATTGTGCATAAAAATAGTTTGTCTTTCTTATGAAGATAACTCCAACACAGAAACAGCGTTTTCGTTTGGTGCTTCCATGCCGGGCAATACTGACGATTTCCTATCATCCAGTTCACCTGGGAATATTTTCGGACAAAGTAATCAAAGTAATCATGGCTCCTTCAACGGTGGATTTTCTCTGTTTGGCGCATCGCCATCTTCTACCAGTGAAGGCGACAAAAACGATTCAGATGGATTTACTTTCAATTTTTGTGGGATCGGTGTTGGGAGCTCCCCATCCAAAGAGAACACAAATTCTACTGGATTCTTACTCTTTTAAATAGTTGTCATTGATAAAAATGATTGTACTGATTTATTTTAAAGATGTTTTTTAGGCTTTTCGCTCGTTCGTTCATTCAGATAATTAAAGTTATAGCGTACTGAAAAATTTCTGCATGCAAACACGTATTTTCGAGTGAATTATTTTTTCTACGAACATGATGAGCCGGCTGTTCTAGAAGTTACACTAGAAGTTGAAACCCTCTCTGGAAAACATATGAATTTTTGAGACGATTTAATTTTGCAATGTCGAATTCATCGTTTAACCAGGCCATATGTACACTAAATTTATTATACAAATTGATGGTACATACTCATTCCTGTGGCTAATCCTGAGGTTTCTCCATCCTACAGCAAGTGCACTTTTTATGTCAATCAAAAAAATTACATAGAATGCATTGCCCAGCTTCAGATAACCCGAACTTCAGGTCACTGTACTTTGCGTGCAAGCACACAGTACAGAGAGAAAAGTGAAGTTTGAAAGCTTTCACTGAAGCTTCTTTTTCACTTTTTCAAACTACTTCGAAGCAAATTTTATATGGAAAGTTAAAACACAAAAGAAGGCAAAATATATCATTACAGATATATTCGCATGAATTATAATTTGTTGTGACATTAGAGATAGTGAAATCGAGACTGTACAACATGAAAACTGTAGGATACACAACATTACATTCAAACTACAAGTTGTTGTTATTAAGAATTCATGAGGGATAAAACTATCCTTTGCACGCATACACACGAGAAATAAACAACGAAAAACCGAAAGATTCAAACAAACCTAAATCCTAGACAATTTACAACTCGCTTCGATCATTTCTTGATCGTGACTTTGTTTCAATCCATTTTTGTATTTGTTCCTTTAATTCGCCCACTAAAAAATGTCGAGAAATCACCTATTATTCACCCATCACCGATGCAATACCAACTCTAAACCACGGAGATACCGTTGAAGGTACATGCATGTACCCTACGTCCTTAGCAAAGGAGATAAAAGAAGCATTACAACAATAGTAAAACATCGCTTACCTGGTACTAATTGCTCAATCGATAAAGGACTTCTGTTGAAAGGATCAGTAGAAGAGTTGAGCAAATGGCGTGATCACCGCTCTGTCCATGATATTACCACTGGTTGGAAGAAGCACTGGCTCAGTCATTAACGTGTTCATTAATGGATCCATAAACTCGTCAGGCGCATCTCCAAAATCTTCGTCTTTTTGGGCATTCTCCTTCTTTTTCTTTTCTACATTTTCCGACATCATTAAGAATCTACTCAACTCCGCCTTAAAAAAGGTATACATTGTTTAATTCTGTATGACCATTGTCAACTTGGACCATTGTCACATAGTCAGACCTCTTCACCAAGAAAAGACAGTCCATCCTTCCAAGGAAGTTATATATGAGTGCAAATATATTTCGTACCTCAGTTTTTAAGTTGGCCTTTCTCAAATATTTAGTCGCCAGGACAAATAATTCATTTTTGTAGGAGCGCTGAAAAGAAATGCAAAAACACGTGTCACTTATTGCTAGGAACATGAACATCACGTGTCACTTATTGCTAGGAACATGAACATCACGTGTCACTTATTGCTAGGAACATGAACATCACGTGTCACTTATTTCTAGGAACATGAACATAACGTGTCACTCATTGCTAGAAACATGAACATAACGTGGCACTTATTGCTAGAAACATGAACATCACGTGTCACTTATTGCTAGAAACATGAACATCACGTCACTTATTGCTAGAAACATGACCATAACGCGTCACTTATTGCTAGAAACACGAACATCACGTGTCACTTATTGCTAGAAACATGAACATCACGTGTCACTTATTGCTAGAAACATGACCATAACGTGTCACTTATTGCTAGAAACATGAACATCACGTGTCACTTATTGCTAGAAACATGAACATCACGTGTCACTTATTGCTAGAAACATGACCATAACATGTCACTTATTGCTAGAAACATGAACATAACGTGTCACTTATTGCAGAAACATGAACATCACGTGTCACTTATTGCTAGAAACATGACCATAACATGTCACTTATTGCTAGAAACATGAACATAACGTGTCACTTGATGCTAGAAACATGACCATAACGTGTCACTTATTGCTAGAAACATGACCATAACGTCATTTGTTGCTAGAAACATGACCATAACGTGTCACTTGTTGCTAGAAACATGACCATAACGTGTCACTTGTTGCTAGAAACATGAACATAACGTGTCACTTGTTGCTAGAAACATGAACATAACGTGTCACTTATTGCTAGAAACATGAACATAGCGTGTCACTTGTTGCTAGAAACATGAACATAACGTGTCACTTATTGCTAGAAACATGAACATAACGTGTCATTTATTGCTAGAAACATGAACATAACGTGTCATTTATTGCTAGAAACATGAACATCACGTGTCACTTGTTGTTAGAAACATGAACATCACGTGTCATTTATTGCTAGAAACATGACCATAACGTGTCACTTATTGCTAGAAACATGAACATAACGTGTCCCTTATTGCTAGAAGCATGAACATAACGTGTCACTTGTTGCTAGAAACATGACCATAACGTGTCACTTATTGCTAGAAACATGAACATCACGTGTCACTTATTGCTAGAAACATGACCATAACGTGTCACTTATTGCTAGAAACATGACCATCACGTGTCACTTTTTTCTTGGAACATGAACATAACGTGTCACTTATTGCTAGAAACATGACCAAATTATGTGGATCACCTCGTCAGCAGCTAGAGCTTCAATGAATTCAGCGCAATCCAAATGTAGGTAAATGTCAGTGATACGATCTAGCAGCATCTTTGGATCGAAATGATATTTGGTGGGATCCTCAACCTAGATAAAACATAAGAAGCAAGTAAAAAACAAGACAAACCTCCCAATAGCACAAGTTTATGATACCTTCAAATTTCGGCATTTAGGTCCACAGAGCTGGGTAAGATTATAATTGAGCATCGCAGCCAATCTATCTCGTAGTTCCTACATGTTTAAATTCAATACGTATAAAAGTTTAAGCTTCCACTTCTCGTGATTATTTTCCCAAAAGGAAACATAAAACAACCTAATCAATTTCACTCAAAAAATGTGAAAAATCGATATTTTTAAATCATTTCATAATTTGGACATGATATTTTTGTAAAAACACGACGAGAGATAATTTTACCTCTTTGAGAAAAGGTTCTGTTGCATCTTTAGTTAGATAATGCATCATTTCAACAGTTTCATTGGCAAAAGTCAAATATGATTTACATTGTCGTTCATTGCTCGCGAGTTGACGTTGATGAGCAGTTCGAGATTCCTACGAGTAAAAAGGGATAATTTAGATGGTGTAACTACATTGATAACAAGGAAAAGCGTATCTTTAAGAGAAACAAGAACGATCATATTAACACACTAACCCTGGACAAGGCTTCCCATTCAGATCGGTTTTTCATCAGTTGCTGTACTTCGTTAATGGACTTAAGACAATTCAACGACTCGTCCAGTAGGAATGTCGTATCGTTTATCAACATGTTCACAAACCGTATGAAATCTTTTGAAGAACTGTGTTTCAAAATGGCGTTTTTGTGATGAAGCATTTTCCATAATTCCTTCAAGATCACCGAGATGTGATGACGAATACTGAACTTGTCGTAGAATTCGTTAGACGAGCCCGTTGATTCGACATCTATATGGCAAAGATACAGAATATCAGAGTTTTTAGTCCAGTGTAAATTATTATTGGAATTATGGAAAGCTTACTGCACGAGAAAAGATAATATGCTTGTTTTCGTTAACTATGTATCATAATTCAATCGTTATTAAAAGCTTCTTCGATGCCTTCTTTAAATTACCGACAAAAAGGAAAAACACCGTTGCATGACAATGATACCAAAAAAAACAGAACGCAAGTTCGAAATCATGCACATGAAAGTTTTGCAACAAAAAAGTTTTCCTCGGATACAATTTCCGATGAGTGGTTATACATTGTGTACAAATAAAGTGACTCGGTTTTCATATATCTCAAGACAGAAGGCTCACTTGTGTAGAACATCATAAGAGCTGGGGCGAGCACATCTTGACACACAACGTCATATTGTAACATTTCCACCCAAGGACAAGGTTGAGGCTGATTCACCAGTATACCAATAAATATCACCTAAAATAAATAGAAAACTAAATAAAGAAAAGTAGCTGTGACAAATACTAAAGCGTACATCACGCGCTCACTTTAAATGAATGCTGCTTCAATCATTTCATGAAAAAACTCAAGGTGTTTAGAAATTTATTTTTCTGGTTCACAAACCTCTATAAGCTTTGCCGTTAGATAAGGATTAGACAAATACGATGGTGTACAGATAACCATAATCATTAACATAACAATGTTTCTCAGCGAAGCATCTTCAACATTTTCCGTACCATGGCTATGACACACAACACACGAATTACATTAAAAATATGGTCGAACTCAGGCAAATTTCTCCATTTATACAAATAAATCAATTGTTCGCAAGATTTCGATGGTCAAGTTTGTCTACTTACACGTTTATAAACGTAAGAAAATCAGCGATATCTTCAATGAAGTATTCAGGCAAGGCTGCAAACAGTTTCGGAACTTCTGTTTTCAAAGGCAGCTCCAAAGGGCTAAAAAACGTCAAAATTATATCTTCTACGATTTTCCATGCAACGTACATTGATAAAAATAACAACAGCTGCTTGAATATTTGCATTGTTTTTTTTTTTGAAAAAGGTTAAAGTGTAAGACTTACCTGTGTTCAAAATTTCTCATCAACATCACAATCCATTCGGCAGTGGAACTGTAGTATCTGAGACAATTAAGAAGGAAGTCCGAATCGAGAAGTACGACATCTGAGCACACTTTAGAGTCCATCAGTTTCTGAAATATAACAAATTCATTTGGAACACGAAAACGCAAAATTACAAGTTAAAGAAATATAGAAAGATAAGCAAGAAACACAGCATATGTTCAAACACATTGATGTTTTCTTCCTTTACATTTATTCTTTCTTTCCACTTTTTTAAAAGCAGTTTATTTCTCGCTGCCATTGGCGTATCTTTCCATTCACTTTCACGTCCTTCAAGTTCTTCGATCATCTTCGTCATATCCCTAAGGGTCCTCCACGTCTTCGAGTACTGATGAAGACAAGGCATGACGGACAAATGATGACATTGGAAGCATAAGAAATAGCATTCTGTTGGAAATTTCACTACATCCAACTTCATTTTGGAACCTTGAAAAGAATGAGTTTCATGTTATTTTACAACTACACGATTATTCGAATTTGAATCACGTGATGTGCAGCCAAGTCTCACCGAGTTCGTCTCTCCATTTTTTAATTTCATCCAAAGTTCCATTCATTCGTGTGTGTTGAGAAATGTCGATGCGACATTTCGGATGATGCAGGTAGTAATGATTGATCTAAAATCAAGGGTAATTCCAACCTCATTGACAACACCATTCCCCCATGAAATAATTAATGCGGAATGCGCATGCTTGGAGAATAAGGTGCAAGGAAACACTTCGTTATCGACAATAAACATTATTTCATTGATGAGTGAAAAAAAACCTTGACTCTTAAACACAGAACGTTGATTCGAAATGAAAACACTCGTACATAAGAAATAATAAAAACTGTATCAAAGTATGGGGAAACATTGCAAATATGCAATTATTTATATTCATAATAAAATCATAATCACATTATTAACCTCAGAGCACTAACCTTATCTAAGGTAACCTTGTGACACAGTGTTTGCAAAACAGAGAGAAAATTTATCATAAATCCATTGGTGGAGTGTTTGGTGTCATCAGTCTAGAAAAATCATTCGAGATTTATTATGCAAACGTTATCTGATTCGTTAAAAGGGCAAAGAAAGTAAGTGTAAAAACACAAAGACTAACAGAAAAAATCACTTTTCAAGATGGGGGAGGGGTCTTTGCATGATGCAACTAGACACATGGTTGTCTTTAATACTGAAGCAGATGTCGGTGCTAACCTAAGCGTTGTGCACATTAATGAAAGTTGGTATGTGGAAGGCTCTATAGTACATCATAATAATACAGTTCTTAGCGATACGACGATAGTACAAATTTTCAAAAAAACACTGCCGTTTGACTCGTAATTATATCAGTCATCAAAACATCTTTAATAAAACCTCTCATAAGCAAATAACCCAAATAACCACTTGTTGTCTTGTTCACGGTTTAGGTAAAAAAATTTCTTTTCGTTCACGATGTAATATCTATGGTTGCGTATTGACTATTTTGTTTTTACACATGTTGGGGTCACGCCAAGTCGATAACAGTCATTGAGGTAACGAGTTAGAAAATGCAATGATAGAGAGAAGGTAAAGAAAAATGACAACATGGCAATAATATATGACTGAATACTCGCGCATTCCACTTCACCATCTAAAGTTATGATTTCATGCCAATCGACTGGATCTCCTTGCATTTCTTGGGAGTGACTACTTCGCTCGATCATAAAGTACTAGGTAAATCATCTAAATGACGAACTGGATGAGCTTGCACTACTTTCGAAATAAATAGCTCACTAGTCACAATAGTCACAAATTATGAGAGAAATTATCCGGGCATGCGCAGTCCAATCGAGCAAGCGCATTCTGTTTTACCAATTGTTTGAATTCACAGTAAAGGCAATGACCAACTGGATGAGCTTGCACTATTTTTGAAGTAAATAGCTGTTTAGTCTCAAATTATCGGAGAAATCATCTGAGCATGCGCAGTCGAGCATGCACATTCCGCTTGACCAATTTCACAAGTTCATAGTCAAGACAACGACCAACTAGATCTACTAGCCCCAATTTTGGAGTAAATAGCTCGCTTAGTATCAATTTAATAAAGAAATCATCTGCGCATGCGCAGTTTGATTGAGTATGCGCAGTCGATTTAACCAAATGCCTAAGTTCAAGGTCATGACTACGACCAAATGCATCTACTAGCACCGATTTCGATGTAAATAGCATGCTTAGTAACAATTTAATAGAGAAATCATCTGCGCATGCTTGAGCGCATGCGCAGTCCACTCGAATAATTGTTCGTAGTCATGGCAACGACTAACTTGCACTAGTGCATATGTACTTGCACCACATTTGTGGCAATTAGCTCTCTTACTCGCTTATTATCAAAGAAATTATCTGGGCATGCGCAGTAACGATGTCAATCATACCACAATTCTCGTAAGCCTTGGAATTTGTGTATATATATATATATAAAGCTAAAACTTCATATAGTAGATGTCAACTAGCAGTGGAAGCTGGGTGCGATATAGTATGCAGTGGCTTAGGGGCCCACACTTCGGTGGCGACCGCACTCTCCCTGCGTACCTTGAGCAAAGCCTATCGTAGGTGATCTCAGGGTCTGATGGGCGGAAGCTTGCTATTGGCATCTCCCAAGTAGGATAGCGTGGAGGGGCTGAAATCTCCTACCGAAACGTTAACATGCGGCGTTCTAGTGCCTTACATATAAGAAGGTATCGGGAAGCATGGCCCGAAAACGGGGTTTTTTGCTTTCGAATTTTATCTTTTTGTTTACAAAATAAACCAAACAATGTTTCAATTAACTTCTTCTGACACTGTGCCTTTTTTCTGACACTTATAAATTAAGACAATCTTAAACATGTTTTATACAATTTTTATTGGTTTATATCTTTCTGATTTAACTCTCTCATTTACTGTTTCTCGTGTATCACGAGAAAACCATCCAGGAGCTTCATGGCAAACAAGGATTATCCCATTCTCTTAATTAACATGGGACCCTCTAGTGCTCAACTATCTCAGGGTATCGAGAGACGTGCGGCATGGACCGAAAATGAGATTTTTTGTTTTTCAAAATTTTTCTTTTGTTTACAAAAGTTCTACAAATATAATCCAGGGATATATATCAATGGATAGCATTGTCTCAAACAACTTCGGTCTTTTTCTTTTACTTATAATTGAGCTAACCTTCAGCACGTTTTACACATTTCTTATGATTTACTGTTTCATGTAATATGAGCAAACCATCTGGGCGTCCAAGAAAACAAGGACTACCGTTTCCGATGCATCATTTAATGCTGGAATAGAGTCCATAGCTTAAAAAGCTTTTATGATGATAACATTTAACACTAGTAATCCAAAGATAGTGCACAGTTTTTTCAAGAGATTAGAAAACAAATACTATAAATACTCTGACAAAACAACAAATTGAATAGTTTAGTAGATATAAAAGGCCAGTGCTATGCCCTGGTGTTAATAAAAAGCATGGACATTATCTAAGACATTCCTGCGACATATAGAGCTAGTACAATGTCGCTTTAGTAAAGTATAAATTTTAACAAATGAGTATGGATGTGCAATGTCTATTTGATGTGATGTGACAACAGCTTCGCGAGTTCAATTCATGTCTGTTTCAATATAGATTGTTTGCTTAGCTGGACCATGTTTCAATATTTCCTTATACATGTACACACCTTTCCGACGTTTTCTAACTCACAATAATAAAACGCCTTTTATCTAAACTCGTTTTTGCTTAACTGACCACAGCATTCAAGGGTTAATGTTAGCGCGCATGTCTGCAGCTTAATTAAAGATGTAGTTGCTTGCTGTGATCATAAAATAACAACATAAAGCAGACTCAAATCCCATGTACTGGTGATTTTTTTCTTAACATGATTGTACATATACCTGCATATGAGAGCGTTTTTGATTTCTGTCTAAAACTTGGGCGATAAATTGCAATGTTTTTTCACGGCTCGAAACAGATACCAGAAGACCATGGATAATTTTAAAGAGTTGTCCCTGGTGTAGACAACAGAAAGCGTTAGTGAAGGAGTCGTAGTAAAAAAAGTACGTTGATTAAATAAAGTAAAACTTACTTGAACTTCATGAAGTGAATGTCTTAGTTGATTGGTACTCAGAGCTATTGCATCCCTTCTCAGCTTCGTTTTGTAAAAATATTTTTTAGCTATTTCTTCCTGAAATCAAAAAAGACCTGACGTACAAGCAATATGTTTATAAAAAAAATAATATCATGCTAGGTGACTCGAAGAGTTATATACCGAGTCTTCAGCAAAAACTGAGAGACTAAAGAACGGCCCGAGAAGAGAAAGTCTTTGAAGTTCTCTACCACTGGCATCAGAAAATGACGATGGCAGCCACGAAGGAAGTTTAACCATCTAAAGTGGAAACAATCGATTCATAAGTAATAACGTCATATTTTATGTTGAGACAATCATCTGCAAAGATAAATAGTTGTAAGGCAATGGAGCAAAGTGATGAAAGAAAAGAGCGATGGTAGGAAGACAGGAATGAAAAAAAAACGACAGAAAAAAAGACAATGGAAGATTCATAGGAAAGGGGGAATAATAAAAAGAGCAAAAGAGATGTGGGCACGTGTTTTGCCACGTGTTTGAAGAATAGCAATAGACGAGGGAGAGACAAAGTTGAACGCACTTAAATGAACTTAATGCTTGCAAAATAACAATATTACTCACCAGATCACAAATCGGTCTGTTTGATGGAGACTCCTTACGTATTTCACAGAGTTGAGCCATCGCTTCTAATGGATATTTGTAAGATTTATCAGCCAATGAACAATTTTTTATTCTTTCGGCAAGACCCAGAAGTACAGGGGCAAACACTGATTCCAGAGCTGCACTATCGTCGGCTAATGTCGTAACGAGTTCGGCAAGAAAACCCGAGGGTTGTTTCGCCTTGTCCTCGAGCAAGAAACGCATCAGAGGACTGGGAGCCAGTATAGATCTGCTGATAAAAAATATTGAGAGGAATTCACAGGTATTAAAAACATGGGGAAATCGACGTCTTTGAGAATGAAGACAGCACTTAAATGAATAATTCAAATGTATAAGAAATACCCGCTTATGAGGTTGGAAAACTTACCTTTCCAACAGAGCAATGTAGATATATCTCAATGATAAAGTTTTGGCTTCATTCAACATATCAAAATATCTTTCCTTGTCTTTTGGCTATTTTGAAATGCAGATTCACATGCAATTACGTAACTTTGCCAAGCTCTGACGTCAAGTCTTTGGCAAAGGTAATGATAACTGATTTTTTTGCAACTTAATTGGTCAGTTATTCATAAAATTTAAACTAGACACAAAACGCAGTAAAACATGAACACATAAACATACAAATTTGCTAACACGCTCAGGCCATAAGTTCAATACTTTCAACGGACATTCTTCAACCAAATCCGACAGTTCCGTCATCATAAAAGATACCATTTCTTGATTCAAATTTCACCAAGTTTCAAATATAGTTATAAGTTATCCATTCAAAATACCATTTACCTGAACGTATTCTTTATCAATCTTGCCAACTCTGCCGTAAGATTCCATCAAATAAATAAAAATCTTTTCGACATGGTCTTCCTTTTCTTCTTTCGACGTGAAATCGTCCATATCACAAGACATGCTTTCACTATGATTACCATACTTCTCGATTAACATTCTTTCCATCAAAACATCACTGATAAATACTTCGACATCCGCCAACATTGCTGAAGTTTAAATAACGAGAGCTTTATCACTATATTCGGAAGATGTCGCGCGTTGCGTTTTTTCACTACAATATATCTTATAAATGGCAATTCATATTATTGCAATATTCGCAATAAAAGCTTTACTTAAGAAATGAACGAAATTAATGGTACAATAACTTGGAAGTATTACAAGCAGGGAACAGTGAATAGCAGATAAGATAGGTTCTTCCATTGATTATAATGTATTTTCATATTCATATAAAAATGCGCTTATACTAATCCAAGGTTTCGTAGAATGTTTCGTACGAGTTACACATAAGTGTTGTATCAAGAACAGTGTTGCAAGAATGAAAAGACAAGTCTTCAATTAAAGGAAACACACTTTCGAAACGCAATGACTTCAGCAATCATAGGATGCTTGATATATTTCTCTCTTAAATAACGTGACTGCATGGAAAAATAACTTTCTAAAACAGAAGCTCACCAACCTTTCAAAGATTTCTTACGCAAATTCTCAGCCATTTCAGGAAGAAATGTACACGTACTTTTAGCAAACTTAGTTTGCTGTTCCTGTGAAACAAATATTACCATAATAAGTGGCCATTAACAAATAATGTAAAAAAAAACGAGAAAGAGAAAACTGCATACCTCGAAAGATACATCAAATATTTGTGTAATGGCATTGATCAATAGCTCGTCTACAACAGGTGGTCCCTGAGCAATACATCATGGTAATAACAACTCGTTAGTGGTAATGAGAACATACATATCAGACAGCAAGTGTCTTTCAAAGCTAACTGAAAACTGTGTTCAAAAGAGCTTATGCACAATATTATAAAACTGTGCAAAGTTTAAAGACCAGAACCTCTGAGCAATTGGCTTTGAATAATTAAAGAACAAGCATTAGCCTAGCTAGTTTGTGCTGCTATTTTAGACTGCAAAGAGCTAACTGTAATTTTTTCAGCTATCCAATACAAAAGAGCATGTCAACAGGCATGAAGGAGAAGATAAATTACGTCTGCTTAGAGGAGACCAAATCGAAACAAAGGATTTTGGTGAATAATATCAAAAAGTTATTGCTACAAATAGTACATATTTTCTCACAAATGAACTTTTGTTACTGAAGGAAATGCAGTTAGCTCTTAAATATAATTTTCTTTTGGCATTGACTCAAAGAATCAAAAACACATTCATCTTGCATGAGTGTATAATTGAGTAATAAAACAGGTACAAAAGCCAATTCTTCGAAGCTATGGTTTAGACAACTGGGTTTTAACCAACCAAACCTTAAATATTTGTAATTAACTGATAGAAATCGTTTCTACCTCAAAATTCTCTCGACTCTTTTTAACAGCTTGCAACAAATCTGGTGATGTCGAAGGAGCATTGCGTGGCAATCTTTTACCACATTTATCACTAAGCATTCCCTCGTTCATATGATCATCCACATTCATCGACTGCGAGTCAAAACCACTATCAAGAGAACTTAGAGAGCCTCCGCCTTTCTTGTTTATGATGGAAATATTTCCTGGTTTTCAAAAGAAGAGAACGACTCTTTTGAAAAAATTAAAAAAATGTAGTAATTTTGAAAGTCAATCAAGAATGCAAATGTGAAACAATACAAAACCACAAAATGAAATTGTCTTAGATACAAGTTCATTCAAGTCATCCACTTTCAGTAACAAAGTTTTGTACTGTTTCAAATGACAACATATCAAAATTAAAAATCAAACCATACTTGATGGAGAAACATCCATTAAGAAACCTGTACTTGGACTGGTACCATAAGAAGGGATATCAACTGATGGTGATGGACTAGTGTGGGCTGTAGAAGTAGAGGGAGCCTGACTGGTAGACTGTGGACTCATCGACAGTCGGGCGAGACGGCGCTGTCGAATCTAGAGAAAATAAAAAAAGGGCTTGATGACAGTCCCTCTAGTTGAAAATAGTATAAACCAGTGGAATAACATTTGAATATTCATTTAATGGAGTAAAAAAAAAGTGATGTGCTATGCTTTGGGTTCCATTATTTTGAAGGAAGACAGACGACCGTGTTCTTAACAATCATCAAAATTTCTCTTTGAGAACCATAATTAAAAAGCTGATTGCGATCTTGAAAGTGCGGCTACAGAGTCTAATGCGCCATAAAGGCCCAAACACAAGCACATGGTGTTTATTCCTGACATGACACATCACCTTTCACAAATGATAGTACTGTTTTTAAAATCAAACTAACGTATAATTTTTACACACGGAAAATTCGATAAATTCAGCACGAAATCATTCAACTCACTTCTTCAGCAGTCAACTCGCTCATACTTCAATCTTTCAAGACAGGCAATAGTGTTGTGAGGTTTCCATGCGATGTTTAACGTTAAAAATAATATGAAATCAAAACAAAGTCATACTCATTTAAACCAAGCCATAGTACATAAAAATTTTAGTGAATTAACGAGTCCCCGCTGCTTCTGATCAGTGGTGTGAAGTCTTTATGACGTCATTTATATGTAAATTATGCAAAAAGGATGAAAGTTTCAGCGTCCAAAAATACTCATCAAATCTTTAATATCGGCAGGATGATAAAACAATACAATATCTAAACACGTTATTCATTTGACAAACAAAATCAAAAGTTTCAAGTTACTAAAATTATTCTCAAAGAAGTGTTAAAGTTTTAGACATTTGTAGTTTCACTTGATGAAAGTTCCCAGAAATGAAACAGGGATGGGCAGTTTTTATACACAATAAGTAGTAGAAACAATTCAAGCCTCGTCACGTTCCACGGGGGATGCAGAGCGACGAGGCGATGCACGATTATTGGGTGAAGGAGATCTAGATTGACGGCGTGGAGACTGAGAACGAGAACGTCGAGGAGAACGCGAAGCGCTGCGACGAGGGGAGCGAGATGCCCTAAAATTAAGATTTATGTTATCATTTACATTATAGTAAAACAAAACACTTTTATTAATATCACAGAATAAGAATATACAGAAGAGTCACTCGTGTCGGAAACCCTGATGTTTTTGTCCTCGCGCATATCGTGCTGCGTATTTTAGCGGTTGTAAAGCTCAAATCGTATATTTTTCTGTTATGAGAGATTTTATGAACGTTCAAAAAATTTGCTATCCAGTGGATAACGTTATCCAGGCTTCGTGCAACCGGCCCCCGGCTGGAGTAATGGCCGACACGAGGACGCGTTGTACACCTAGTGACCCTTCTGTATAATCATTATTCTGTGTTAATATCATGTCACACCTTCGAGGAGATCGAGATCTTGAGCGCCTACGGCCACCACCGCTGACACTGTGACCCTGAAAATACATCACACGTTTATCCAATTTGAGTATTTAGTTGGTCAGTCTATTGACATGACGATTAAAATATCACGCTTTGAGTCAGTTTCATTCCACATTCCCTTAAATCGCGCTCTTTTCGTATAAAAAGGTTTAGATAAGAATGTCAAACAGGTATCGCACGATTTTCATACTATAACTATACAAGTACATATTTAAAAAATACAAATGCTATATGTTAGCAGGTACATATGATATAAAGTTACATTGAAATACACAATTTTTCTAATATACAAGTAAAATGATAGAGAATCTTATGTTATAAAATCAGAGGGCAGCAAGTTAAAACTTTTAAAGAACATTTACCTCAGATAGGCGAATCTTCCTTCCCATAAGTTCAGTTCCATCAAGTTTCTTTATAGCTTTCTTCATATCTTCTTCGCAGGCAAAATCAACAACACTGAAATAAAAACGTTCACATTACAAAGATCATGCCTAGTACATTGTGAACTGTCAATCGATCTATTAAGCCCATTCTCAATCCAACTCAAAGTTGCAGAAAGAGCCACAAGACAAGTACATACATACCCTTGGCCAGCACGATCTTTGTGACATTGTGTGAAGGTCACCTCACCCGCCGCATGTAGTCCTTCAAATCCTATAATGGCAGACACATATGTTATTCACTATATTAAACATTGCTTCCTTTCCCAATGGAAGAACCTGGAAAAACAGCTGTACAAACCCTGCAGCCACACATTTCAACACAATCATGTATGATTGGGCCACAATCATGGCTTTGATTGCAAAACAGGAAAAAATTTATGACTATGCGATGGGAAAGAAATGTGAACAAACTTGTCCTAATAAAGTTTGCCATAAAACTGAAAGCGTAGTTGAAATGAACAACTCTTTTAACGCAGTAACACTTTAGGTAATGACATGTAATAATCTTATGTTTCAAAACCCAATGAAATTTTTATGGAAAGAACATGGCTTTTCGTCAATAAAACAGTTGCTCAATTGGAAGAGTTTTTGCCCCTGAAGTTGGCCGAAATATGGCATTACCAGTGTTCTTACCTTTCTACAAAAATAAATATATATTAAGAATGGTATTGAATAACAATATGGAGGGAAACCAATTGAATCTGCACGCATTTGCCAAAACCAGATACTAAACTACAGCATGCCATTAAGTGAAAGAACGTGCCAAGACACCAAGCCATGAGTGTTTACCAATTATATCCTTGTGGCAGATAGCAGCCAGCCACAATGCATTAAAGAATACTATCATTGGCCAAACTACAAATGGGATCTCCAAGGAGAGTTAGCCAATGGAGATATATGATGAATACCATTGTATAGCAACCAAGCATTGTAAATTAAATAATGCCCAAACAAGCGATGATCTCTCGACCTATTAGCTTAGATCAAGCCACGAGACCAATACATAAGAGAGTACACCTATTTGACATAAAAATGAAACCTGTCATTTTAAAAAATGGATTGGTCGCTCTTGATAGGCGGATATATGATCAAAGGGGAAAGCAGTGCGAACATGTTTCTGGAAAAATTGCCTTGCCCTTCCATTTTCGTTCACAAAACAAGCAAAATTCAAGGGGAAATGTTAATTGTTCTCCTGTAAAATAGAAACACCGTGACGAAAAATTCCATGAGCAAAACTATATTTACAGTGCAACACAATGATTTCCGCAAAAAGATTACAAGCACAAAGTTTTAAGGTTTTTCTCACCTGCCATCCAGCTCGAGTTGAGAGATTGTCTACAACTACACGCCATTCGGTGTTATAAGGGGCACCGTACCTGCTTTAAGAACAATCATAGGAAAACAAAGTTTAAAACATAATTTTTGACAGCCTAAAGCCCTAAAGTTGCCCAGGTGTTGTATTCTTTACTAATTTAACCCTGATTGTACTTTAAAATTATTACATTTTAGAAAATCCTATAGATGTTAGAATTGATAGAGTTGAATGAGGAGTTCAACTCCTAATTTTTAATCTAGTCAATCTACAAAGCCCTAACCTGTCTCTGTAACTGCTACCACCACCACGACGGTCATAGTCTCGTCTTTCATAGCTGCCACCACCACCGCCTCTGTATCGAGACCTATCAGGCTTGGCATGTTCAACTGTAACCCTGATGATGAGGAAGATATTTTCAACAACACGAACTTTTAAAAAATACTTTCAAAGTATTTGTACTTCAATTACAAATAGAATACCTTTCTCCCAAAAGATCTTTATTGTTCAAGTCATGTACAGCATCATCAGCATCGCGATAATCTTCAAATGCCTGTTCAGATGTAAAATATACACTTCGACAAGAGCAGAGTAAAAGACATCTGGGTTCTTGGCGTCGCCAGTTGATGAATATTTTAATTTTTAACTCAATGTATAAGAAAGTTTTCCAGCACAAATATCGTGTCAACCAACACACAGAATTGAACATACTCCTACCGGCCTACGAACAGCTTCGAAATTAAATTGTACGCCGTTAAAGCTAAGGAAAGGAAAATGCTAAACGTAGACCTTATACTCACAATGAAAGCGAAGCCAGTTTTTATATTGATATCTTTAATCCTCCCGTAGCCTTTAAAAAATCGCTCAATGTCATTCTCTCGAATGCGATACGGCAAACGGCCAAGAAAAACTCTAGCATCACTATCGCGACTCATTTCCAAAGATTTTTTTCGATAAAACGCTTCGCATACAAGTCTTCCCCCTTGTGCTCGATGAAGGAGCTCACATAAATTATACAAAATATCACGTGTTTGACACGTCACTTGCTTTGTTCACTGATCTCGTGTATATACGATAATGGAGTGTTAGGTGCGTGGGTTGCGCGGATAATGCGTGGATATGGCGTGGTGCATAATACATTCAGTAAAGAAATTTGCGTAATGTGAGATGCAGCTGGTAAGAACACAAAATTAATCTTTCTTGGGAAGCTCTTTCAATAAATTACAAATACTACTATTCACTAACGCATTTATGTCCCGAAAAAAGTGCCAAAACACTGAAAAATATGAGTGACAAGGTCGCAAAACACAACAAAAATAAAATATTTTCTGTTGTCAGCTAGCACTAAATTTATGCGCAAGATTCAACATCAAACCTGTTTTATAAAACGAAAACTGAAAGATTAATGACAGCAACACACTTTTATTTGCATTACAATATCATACATGAAATTTTCAAATGATGTACTTGCTAATACAGCTTTAGGGATTTTACTTTTCACAAAAGAAAAAGATGGATGAGGAAGCCACACTGCCTTAAGTGTGCTAAATGTGTTCACCAAAGAAACGGTGACAGTAAAGGTAGAGCTATGCCTAAACACAAAACAATTATTTCTGCGTTCCCTCTGGGAGACGTTGTTCGCCCAAATATTTTTTCTACAACAGCCTTATTTGGGTTAAAATATTTGCCATATCGGAAATGCAGGCATCTGTCTTTGTGTTTGGTTTCATCAACATATTTGAACGATTTATGCCACATTGTATTGCAAAGTTCCGTTCCATTTTTGTAGAAATCTTTGAACGTTGTGCAATTTTGTTTGCATTGATTGTGTCCGTCTTTAGTGAAGTTGAAGCCAAAAACCCAATTTTTAGCACAAGTCATGTCATCTTTACAAGCATCAAACCATTCATCACAGTAACTTGAGCAAACCGGTGCGTTCTTAAATGCCGAATCATATTTTGGATCAGCCCACCGTCCAACGTAAGGCGAGCAGCTATAGAAGCACTCGACACCAATCATGTATTCTTGACATCTTTTGCTAAGATTTCCACATAATGTCCATGAAAAGTTTCCAACTCTTTGAACATTCGCTACAGCTAATTGATTTGTAAACCCGACGTACAACAAGAGCTGTTCTTAAAACGTGACATGCTTTATACGAGTCATCTTCAGGTGAAGGTTTTGCTTGTGTTTCGGTCCACGAAGACAAACTCCTTCTATCTTGTTTCTCGCCAAAACTACAGCAGGAAAGAATGACTAGAGCAAAGAAGAAGCAGAATTTCAAAGAGGTCATCGTTACACCATGCGGGGGAAAATTTGATATGCATGAATGACGCAATAGCATGTGTTTATATATCGTGTCATCTCTTTCATCAAAAGATGTTTATCTTTTCAGCATATAGCCATGCCGTAGAATATAGATAGGCATTAATGATGCAATAGAATATTTTTACGTGACAGACATTACATTGTGTCATCCCTTCGAGCTCAAAAGATATTTATTACACAGAGTCATGTGGCTGAAAGAAGTTCAGTTATTTGACATAGGCATCAACTTATACAAATTTACTCGACACGATATACATTGTAGTGTTTTATTTTTAGTTGAGAAATAAAAAAAAGGTTCATGATTAGAATATTTTCTTACATAACTTGTGCAATACAATAAAAGTACATCATTCCAGAAAGTTGGAAATCAATATCAATATTAAACTCCCTATAAAGTTTCATTCATTATCAGTAAATGTTATTTCTTGGGTTAAGGTTAGTGTTCGCTTGCTCCATAATTAAAAAATCTCACAAGTTGTGAATTGAAACACAATGAAATAGAAGTGTTAAAGTGATTGCGTGTTAAATATAATGAACTATAAGAAAAAAAAATCGTTTCAAGAAATTTATGTGATCAATGTTTAAATCATGACAGTATACACAAACGAAAAAAATAAGTTTAACCCTAGTCCATACAGACAGTGTAAGCCAGTTGCAGTGTTAGTGGTACTGTGTGTTGTCATGTTCATGGTAGGAGAGTATTGGGACATCATTAGTAGGCCAGTTGCAGTGTTAGTGCTACTAGGTGTTGTCATGCTCATGGTAAGAAAGGCTTGGTAGATCGTTGTAGAAGAAGCGTGGGGAATCATGGTAGAAGCACCGGGCATGTTAAAAATCCGTTCCACAACGTCTATGTTTGGGTCATGAGAAGTGTTGTATCGAAAATGCAGACAGCGATCAGGATGCTTTGTTTCATCAACATATCTGAACGAATCATGCCACATCGTATTGCAAAGTTCCGTTCCATTTTTGTAGAAATCTTTGAACGTTGTGCAATTTTGTTTGCATTGGTTATGTCCGTCTTTAGTGAAGTTGAAGCCAAAAATCCAATCTTTAGCACAAGTCATGTCATCTTTACAAGCATCAAACCATTCATCACAGTAACTTGAGCAAACCGGTGCATTGTTAAACGACGAATTATAATTTGGATCAGCCCACAGTCCAACGTAAGGCGAGCAGCTGTAGAAACACTCGACACCAATCATGTATTCTTGACATCTTTTGCTAAGATTTCCACATAATGTCCATGAAAAGTTTCCAATTCTTTGAACATTCTCTACAGCTAACTGATTTGTAAACTCCGACGTACAACAAGAGCTGTTTTTGAACAAGAGACATGCTTGGTACGAGTCATCTTCAGGTGAAGGTTCCGACTTGTGTTTTGCTCCAGGCAAACATCGTCCCTCCACTTTACTGTGAGAGTGAGAATGAGATTGAACCTCTTCGTTGAGGAATGTAGCGATTAATAAGAAAAAAATTGCAATAGACATGATCATAGACATATTGCTTCTTGCCAGCTTGAAAAATTTCATCAAATGATGTTGCGTTAGATGTGATGTAATGTGAAATATGTAATCGAAATACGTTTTGCTTTATTTTAAATGCAAAGCATTTGAATAACTTGAGAGACACGACTGTTCAAAATTTTAATGCCATCCGGTGTGGGTGTTTTTGCAATTGAAATCCCCAATCTTTATGCAATCAAAACAGCAGTTAATATCACGTAAAATGAAATAATTCATAAATATCGTGTTCAAGACATTATTTATATACTTCAAAATACACGATTCCTCTGCACTTTGCTATTTCAAGTAAGATATCATGATATTTAATAAGTATATCATTCATTACGAAATCTGAAAATAGTTCTAAAAATAGCGAATACCATACTGAATGGCAAAAGTAATATAATAAGTTGATAGTTCTTAAAAGAACCGTTTTAAGTAAAGAGCATTAACCCAATAGTTCTAAATTAAACGACACGATGCATTTCGGCAGACTACTCCTCAGGTGTCAACGTCTGCTAAATGAAAATTTACAATCTACCGATATTTATAATGCCAAGAAAGAGTGTAAGTCATCTCCAAAAGGGTTTAATTTAGAACTATTGGTTTGGTGCTCTTTACTTAAAACAGTTCTTTTAAGAACTATCAACTTATTATATTACTTTTGCCATTCAGTATGGTATTTGCTATCTTTAGAACTATTTTCAGATTTGTCACTACGACAAAGTCTCTATTTTAACATTAGGAAATCTTGTCTCTCTGTCTGTCTTATGATGTGACTGTCGTAAAACCGGGGATTGTAATAATAAGTCTTGAAATTATCTTTTACAATATCTGCGTGAAACATATGTAATATTTACGTAATTACAACAATGTGCATAACTTTACCAGTTCTTCTGAACATTCCATCACCTTCCAGGGAGATGATGTCATGGTGGGATGGTCGATGAAATCATGTGTATCCAACATTTTATTATAAGAAGAAACAATGAAGCATTTTGTATCGAACACTTTCCTTTGTTGCATTAAGAAACGACAATGTTAACTAAATATTCACTGCATTAAGACGTATTAATTCGTTCCCCTCTGATCATCTCTTATCAATCACATCACCTGTCATCCTCGCAAATCTCCACAAGCAGTCCAGACAAAACAATTTTAGTGGGATATTCCAGACACCAGTCCCTGGAATGCAAATCATTTTCACTATTCGGCGTGGTGTTCGTGTAACCTTCGGAGGGCAATCGTATTTCAAACGCTACTTGTATACTTGACCGTTTTCCATTCGATGTATTTGTAAAACTGAACAAAAATAAATTTGAACATGACAATAATGAATAAATGGCGTACAAGATGAGAGTCGTGGAATGTTGAAGAGATGCATTCTTGAAATAATCTTGGCTACACGAAAACATACAAACTTACTAAAATTTCTTTTCTTTTGTCAATGCTGTCGCTCGTGTAATACTTGGTGAAACAATAATCTTCTTGTCTCCATGTCCAGTGATGATATGGTTGTTTTTCTGTGGTGGAAGAAGAGTACCTCTGTCCAAAGTCCTTCGAATGGAGCCAACGTGAACGACATGATATGCTAAATGGTTCTTTTCTAAAGTCTGGCATGAATCCAAATTTGGAGGCAGTCTGGTGTTTTGAGACAAATATGTTTTGAAAAGAATTTATTGGAAATATACTTTACCAAGTAAATGCACATCATATAGACGTAATAGAAACGTCACCTTAATTCAAATTTGCACCAACCAAAAGGACGAGTGTATTCATGTGGTGGATCACCGCAGACTGCAGATCGATTCTCATCGCGGGCGTCACAACAATTTGCGCAGTAACACACAACGGCCTTTGTAAAATATTGTTCTATGAAAAGAAGAAGAAAAATTAAATATTTTTTTTTTCAGACAATTATAAAGATGTCAATGTCAATACCTGGTATTCCTAATGTTGTCCGAAACTGTTCGCAACGCTTTTTATAATCACAATTACCACAGGGAAGAAATTTATCTGAATCATTAAAGTTGTTGATTGAAGTTGATGAATTCGAAAAAAAATATAAAAAACTTCTGAGAAATGAAAACAGCTAATGTAATACCTTCACTTTTTTCACTGGTCGCAATCCTTTCTTCTTTAACAATTTTCTCGTTTTCTCTCTCAAGTTCAACATCTTCACCGGTCTTGAGCAAGGGTATATTATTGCAAGGCACGACAGACACCTGCTCACAGCGGCCGTACAAATCAAACATAGCGTACTTGGACGAAGATACTTCATAGTCAACGAAACCTTTGTCCTCATTGTTCACAATGATATGAATACGACTTTTGTCATCGCAAATTACGGCAACCTTGTCACCCTCGCGTATGTCATCAAAATTATAAGGAAATTGCATATCAGTCTGAAACAAAATGAAAATGTAGCTGAAGTGAGTAAATTCTACCAATGAAATTGAGCTGAGTAAAAGAGCATTGAGCTCTCCTAAAGTAAATACGTAATGTTTACGTACACACAGATGAAAATTGTGGAAACCTGGTGCGAGTTTAAACATTTGCAAAGAAAAGGCTGAAACTAGTAAGCAAATCATTTTCATTGACAACAACCTTATTTCCATTAATATAAATCTGGGATCCATGAACAAGAACACAGCAATTGGATCGTATTGATGAAGCGGATGCTGGAAGATCCAGCTTTTCATGTGAATACGTGGAAAGAACGCCGACAGCTAGAGATCCAGACCAGCTGGAATTCATAGCATCAACACGAATCTGTAAAAAAATAACGAGTGTATTAAGAAGTTGGTGCTAAATCGAAACTGGAAGAGAGAATTACAATGTTGAAGATTATGGGATCCCAGTGGGTGTTGAAAATCATACAATGAAAGTACAGATGAAAACAATGAGCTAGCTTGAAAACAAAATATTCAAATATTATTATATCAGATACATTGTACGATAGAAGTGAAAAAACGCCATCTGAGCAAAAATTACAAGAGCACAAATTTACAAAACTATTTGATTCAAAGTCGCAAATCAAAAACAAATATCAAACGCTGCAATCGCTTTCGAGATAACCATAAAAAGAGAATTTTTAATTACCAGAAAAATCTCATTATTTGTCAGAGGTTTACGACTGAATACAAGACCATCGCTAAAACGGGCCTTTCTTTTTGCCACAGTGCAAGAGGCATCCATAATTATATTGAGCCCACAGTTAAAATGGAAACTCAAGCTGCAAACATGAAAAAATAAAAAGGGTGAAAATTGAAGCGTGGGTGAGGATAGAGAAGAGGAGAGTTGGTGAAGGGAGGTTGAAGGAGCTAAAGGAAGGTGGGGTTTGACAAAATTTCCCAAGATACTTACTCCGGTATTCCTAATTCCGGTTTTTGAGGATTATTACCGGTTCCTTCTTCATCAGAACTGACAAAATTATCAGATAAAACTAAAAATGAAACCAAACAGAATTACATAAAACCTTCCTGTTATGTCGCCATAAATACCTAACTTTGTAAAGTAAGAATGCAAATAACAACTGAAAACAATAAGAAAAAACAAATTTGCCACGAGCAAATATTTTTTAGCGCGACCTTACATCACACAAAGTGTTCAAACAACAAGCGAAAATTACTTCTGTTTGTTGTATTTACAATAGATGTAATCTTGACATGTTTTGCAAAGATTTCCACAAAATGTCCATGAAAAGTTTCCAATTCTTTGAACATTCGCTACAGCTAACTGATTTGTAAACTCCGACGTACAACAAGAGCTGTTCTTAAAAACGTGACATGCTTTATACGAGTCATCTTCAGGTGAAGGTTTTGGCTTGTGTTTTGGTCCACGAAGACAAACTCCTTCTATCTTGTTGCTCGCCAAAACTACACTGCAGGAAAGAATGACTAGAGCGAACAAGAAGCAGACTTTCAAAGACGTCATCGTTACATGATGCGGCGGAAAATTTGATATCCATGAATGACGCAATAGCATGTGTTTATATATCGTGTCATCTCTCTAATCAAAAGATGTTTATCTTTTTAGCATATAGCCATGCCGTAGAATATAGATAGGCATTAATGTGCAATAGAATATTTTTACGTGACAGACATTACATTGTGTCATTCCTTCGAGCTCAAAAGATATTTATTACACAGAGTCATATGGCTGAAAGAAGTTCAGTCATTTGACATAGGCATCAACTTATACAAATTTACTCGACACGATGTACATTGTTGTGTTTTAGTTAAGAAATAAAAAAACGTTCATGAATAGAATATTTTCTTACATAACTTGTGCAATATATAAAAGTACATCATTCCAGAAAGTTGGAAATCAATATCAATATTAAGCCCCCTATAAAGTTTCATTCATTATCAGTAAATGTTATTTTTTGGGTTAAGGTTAGTGTTCGCTTGCTCCATAATTAAAAAATCTCACAAGTTGTGAATTGAAACACAATGAAATAGAAGTGTTAAAGTGATTGTGTGTTAAATATAATGAACTATAAGAAAAAAAAATCATTGCAAGAAATTGGAATTTATGTAATCAATGTTCAATCATGACAGTATACACAAACGAAAAAAATAAATTTAACCCTAGTCCATAAAGATGATGTAGGCCAGTTGCAGTACTAAAAATTCGTTCCACAACGTCTATGTTTGGGTCATGAGAAGTGTTGTATCGAAAATGCAGACAGCGATCAGGATGCTTTGTTTCGTCAACATATCTGAACGAATCATGCCACATCGTATTGCAAAGTTCCGTTCCATTTTTGTAGAAATCTTTGAACGTTGTGCAATTTTGTTTGCATTGATTATGTCCGTCTTTAGTGAAGTTGAAGCCAAAAATCCAATCTTTAGCACAAGTCATGTCATCTTTACAAGCATCAAACCATTCATCACAGTAACTTGAGCAAACCGGTGCATTGTTAAACGCCGAATCATATAGTGGATCAGCCCACAGTCCAACGTAAGGCGAGCAGCTGTAGAAGCACTCGACACCAATCATGTAATCTTGGCATCTTTTGCTAAGATTTCCACATAATGTCCATGAAAAGTTTCCAATTCTTTGAACATTCTCTACAGCTAATTGATTTGTAAACTCCGACGTACAACAAGAGCTGTTTTTGAACAAGTGACATGCTTTGTATGAGTCATCTTCAGGTGAAGGTTCCGACTTGTGTTTTGCTCCAGGCAAACATCGTCCCTCCACTTTACTGTGAGAGTGAGATTGAACCTCTTCGTTGAGAAATGTAGCGATTATTAAGAAAAAAATTGCAATAGACATGATCATAGACATATTGCTTCTTGCCAGCTTGAAAAGTTTCATCAAATGATGTTGCCTTAGATGTGATGTAATGTGAATTATGTAATCAAAATACGTTTCGCTTTATTTTAAATGCAAAGCATTTGAAGCAATTGAAAGACACGACTTTTAAGGCTGAAACACACTGGGCAGTCGTTTCAGTCGCGCGTCCAAAGCGAATTGATGCGCACGCGTCAGTCGCTTGAACGCTAGAAACACACATGCAGCGACCATCGCGACATTTACCGTGGCGTCTATTGAACATGGCGGTGATTTTAGTTTGTTACAGACACAGATATCACTTACACTTTTTATTTTGGCCTTTATTATAGCTACTAATATATGAATATTTACTCAGTACAAACTACTATGTGGAGAAAAGAGAACAAGCCAGTTAAAACACGCCAATATGATCATAGCACATTACGCGTATATCGTGGATAATCTTATTCTGTGCATTTAGGTTGTGCATTAGGGTTCCAGTTTGTAGCTCCTATTGTCCCTATTTGATAAGTCATATAAAAACTGAAAGATTCCAGTGTGAATTCACTATATATTGCCTTCGTTTTCCAAGGTATAATCTATAAATTTCGTATGATGCTTATGACAGGAAATATGATATGCATTTAGGAAGTTAAAATGTATCTATTGGCCAATCAGTGTAAAGCGACTGAAGCGACCAAAGTCAAAAGTTCAACATGTTGAACTTTCAAAGCGACTAGCTGACGCGACTAAGCTACTAGCTTAGTAACCACGCAAAGCGGTAGTTTTAGACGCGCGACTAAAGCGACTGCCTAGTGTGTTTCAGCCTTTAAAATTATAATGCCATGTGGTGTGGGTGTTTGGCAATTGAAATCCCCAATTCTTATGCAAATAAAACAGCACTTAATGACGCGGAACTTAAGAGCCTGAAATAAAAGAATTCATAAATATCGTGCTCAAGACATCATTTATATACTTCAAAATACACGATTTCTCTGCACTTTGCTATTTCAAGTAAGATATCATGATATTTGATAAGTATATCATTCATTAGGAACGAAATCTTGTCTCTCTGTCTCTATTATGGTGTGACTGTCATAACACCGGGGATTATAATAATAAAATTATTGAAATTATCTTTTACAATATCTGTGTGAAACATAATTAATGAGTCACATAACTTTACCAGCTCCTCTGAACATTCCATCGCCTTCCTGGGTGATGATGTCGTGGTGGAATGGTCGATGAAATCATAGGTATCTAGCATTTTATTATAAGAAGAAACAATGAAGCATTTTGTATCGAACACTTTCCTTTGTCGCATTAAGAAACGACAATGTTAACTAAATATTCACTGCATTAAGACGTATTAATTCGTTCCCCTCTGATCATCTCTTATCAATCACATCACCTGTCATCCTCGCAAATCTCCACAAGCAGTCCAGACAGTACAATTTTAGTGGGATATTCCAGACACCAGTCCCTGGAATGCAAATCATTTTCACTATTCGGCGTGGTCTTCGTGTAACCTTCGGAGGGCAATCGTATTTCAAACGCTACTTGTATACTTGACCGTTTTCCATTCGATGCATTTGTAAAACTGAACAAAAACAAATTTGAACAGGACAATAATGAATAAATGGCGTATATGATGAGAGTCGTGGAATGTTGAAGAAATGCATTCTTGAAATAATCTTGGCTACACGAAAACATACAAACTTACTAAAATTTCTTTTCTTTTGTCAATGCTGTCGCTCGTGTAATACTTGGTGAAACAATAATTTTTTTGTCTCCATGTCCAGTGATGATATGGTTGTTTTTCCGCGGTGGAAGGAGAGTACCTCTGTCCAAAGTCCTTCGAATGGAGCCAACGTGAACGACATGATATGCTAAATGGTTCTTTTCTAAAGTCTGGCATGAATCCAAATTTGGAGGCAGTCTGGTGTTTTGAGACAAATGTGTTTTGAAAAGAATTTATTGGAAATATACTTTACCAAGTAAATGCACATCATATAGACGTAATAGAAACGTCACCTTAATTCAAATTTGCACCAACCAAAAGGACGAGTGTATTCATGTGGTGGATCACCGCAGACTGCAGATCGATTCTCATCGCGGGCGTCACAACAATTTGCGCAGTAACACACAACGGCCTTTGTAAAATATTGTTCTATGAAAAGAAGAAGAAAAATTAAATATTTTTCTTTTTTCAGACAATTATAAAGATTTCAATGTAAATACCTGGTATTCCTAATGTTGTCCGAAACTGTTCGCAACGCTTTTTATAATCACAATTACCACAGGGAAGAAATTTATCTGAATCATTAAAGTTGTTGATTGAAGTTGATGAATTCGAAAAAAAATATAAAAAACTTCTGAGAAATGAAAACAGCTAATGTAATACCTTCACTTTTTTCACTGGTCGCAATCCTTTCTTCTTTAACAATTTTCTCATTTTCTCTCTCAAGTTCAACATCTTCACCGGTCTTGAGCAAGGGTATATTATTGCAAGGCACGACAGACACCTGCTCACAGCGGCCGTACAAATCAAACATAGCGTACTTGGACGAAGATACTTCATAGTCAACGAAACCTTTGTCCTCATTGTTCACAATGATATGAACACGACTTTTGTCATCGCAAATTACGGCAACCTTGTCACCCTCGCGTATGTCATCAAAATTATAAGGAAATTGCATATCAGTCTGAAACAAAATGAAAATGTAGCTGAAGTGAGTAAATTCTACCAATGAAATTGAGCTGAGTAAAAGAGCATTGAGCTCTCCTAAAGTAAATACGTAATGTATACGTGAACACAGATGAAAATGATGGAAACCTGGTGCGAGTTTAAACATTTGCAAAGAAAAGGCTGAAACTAGTAAGCAAATCATTTTCATTGACAATAACCTTATTTCCATTAATATAAATCTGGGATCCATGAACAAGAACGCAGCAATTGGATCGTATTGATGAAGCGGATGCTGGAAGATTCAGCTTTTCAAGTGAATACGTGGAAAGAACGCCGACAGCTAAAGATCCAGACCAGCTGGAATTCATAGCATCAACACGAATCTGTAAAAAAATAACGAGTGTATTAAGAAGTTGGTGCTAGATCGAAATTGGAAGAGAGAATTACAATGTTGAAGATTATGGGATCCCAGTGGGTGTTGAAAATCATACAATGAAAGTACAGATGAAAACAATGAGCTAGCTTGAAAACAAAATATTCAAATATTATTATATCAGATACATTGTACGATAGAAGTGAAAAAACGCCATCTGAACAAAAATTACAAGAGCACAAATTTACAAAACTATTTGATTCAAAGTCGCAAATCAAAAACAAATATCAAACGCTGCAATCGCTTTCGAGATAACCATAAAAAGAGAATTTTTAATTACCAGAAAAATCTCATTATTTGTCAGAGGTTTACGACTGAATACAAGACCATCGCTAAAACGGGCCTTTCTTTTTGCCACAGTGCAAGAGGCATCCATAATTATATTGAGCCCACAGTTAAAATGGAAACTCAAGCTGCAAACATGAAAAAATAAAAAGGGTGAAAATTGAAGCGTGGGTGAGGATAGAGAAGAGGAAGGTTGGTGAAGGGAGGTTGAAGGAGCTAAAGGAAGGTGGGGTTTGGCAAAATTTCCCAAGATACTTACTCCGGTATTCCTAATTCCGGTTTTTGAGGATTATTACCGGTTCCTTCTTCATCAGAACTGACAAAATTATCAGATAAAACTAAAAATGAAACCAAACAGAATTACATAAAACCTTCCTGTTATGTCGCCATAAATACCTAACTTTGTAAAGTAAGAATGCAAATAACAACTGAAAACAATAAGAAAAAACAAATTTGCCACGAGCAAATATTTTTTAGCGCGACCTTACATCACACAAAGTGTTCAAACAACAAGCGAAACTTACTTCTGTTTGTTGTATTTACAATAGATGTAATCTTGACATGTTTTGCAAAGATTTCCACAAAATGTCCATGAAAAGTTTCCAATTCTTTGAACATTCGCTACAGCTAATTGATTTGTAAACTCCGACGTACAACAAGAGCTGTTCTTAAAAACGTGACATGCTTTATACGAGTCATCTTCAGGAGAAGGTTTTGGCTTGTGTTTTGGTCCACGAAGACAAACTCCTTCTATCTTGTTGCTCGCCAAAACTACACTGCAGGAAAGAATGACTAGAGCGAACAAGAAGCAGACTTTCAAAGACGTCATCGTTACATGATGCGGCGGAAAATTTGATATCCATGAATGACGCAATAGCATGTGTTTATATATCGTGTCATCTCTCTAATCAAAAGATGTTTATCTTTTTAGCATATAGCCATGCCGTAGAATATAGATAGGCATTAATGTGCAATAGAATATTTTACGTGACAGACATTACATTGTGTCATTCCTTCGAGCTCAAAAGATATTTATTACACAGAGTCATATGGCTGAAAGAAGTTCAGTCATTTGACATAGGCATCAACTTATACAAATTTACTCGACACGATGTACATTGTTGTGTTTTAGTTAAGAAATAAAAAAACGTTCATGAATAGAATATTTTCTTACATAACTTGTGCAATATATAAAAGTACATCATTCCAGAAAGTTGGAAATCAATATCAATATTAAGCCCCCTATAAAGTTTCATTCATTATCAGTAAATGTTATTTTTTGGGTTAAGGTTAGTGTTCGCTTGCTCCATAATTAAAAATCTCACAAGTTGTGAATTGAAACACAATGAAATAGAAGTGTTAAAGTGATTGTGTGTTAAAGATAATGAACTATAAGAAAAAAAATCATTGCAAGAAATTGGAATTTATGTAATCAATGTTCAATCATGACAGTATACACAAACGAAAAAAATAAATTTAACCCTAGTCCATAAAGACGATGTAGGCCAGTTGCAGTACTAAAAATTCGTTCCACAACGTCTATGTTTGGGTCATGAGAAGTGTTGTATCGAAAATGCAGACAGAGATCAGGATGCTTTGTTTCATCAACATATCTGAACGAATCATGCCACATCGTATTGCAAAGTTCCGTTCCATTTTTGTAGAAATCTTTGAACGTTGTGCAATTTTGTTTGCATTGGTTATGTCCGTCTTTAGTGAAGTTGAAGCCAAAAATCCAATCTTTAGCACAAGTCATGTCATCTTTACAAGCATCAAACCATTCGTCACAATAACTTGAGCAAACCGGTGCATTGTTAAACGCCGAATCAAAATTTGGATCAGCCCACAGTCCAACGTAAGGCGAGCAGCTGTAGAAGCACTCGACACCAATCATGTAATCTTGGCATCTTTTGCTAAGATTTCCACATAATGTCCAAGAAAAGTTTCCAATTCTTTGAACATTCCCTACAGCTAATTGATTTGTAAACTCCGACGTACAACAAGAGCTGTTTTTAAACAAGAGACATGCTTTGTATGAGTCATCTTCAGGTGAAGGTTCCGACTTGTGTTTTGCTCCAGGCAAACATCGTCCCTCCACTTTACTGTGAGAGTGAGATTGAACCTCTTCGTTGAGAAATGTAGCGATTATTAAGAAAAAAATTGCAATAGACATGATCATAGACATATTGCTTCTTGCCAGCTTGAAAAGTTTCATCAAATGATGTTGCCTTAGATGTGATGTAATGTGAATTATGTAATCAAAATACCTTTCGCTTTATTTTAAATGCAAAGCATTTGAAGCAATTGAAAGACACGCTTTTAAAATTATAACGCCATGTGGTGTGGGTGTTTTGCAATTGAAATCCCCAATTCTTATGCAAATAAAACAGCACTTAATGACGCGAACTTAACAGCCTGAAATGAAAGAATTCATAAATATCGTGCTCAAGACATCATTTATATACTTCAAAATACACGATTTCTCTGCACTTTGCTATTTCAAGTAAGATATCATGATATTTGATAAGTATATCATTCATTAGGAACGAAATCTTGTCTCTCTGTCTCTATTATGGTGTGACTGTCATAACACCGGGGATTATAATAATAAAATTATTGAAATTATCTTTTACAATATCTGTGTGAAACATAATTAATGAGTCACATAACTTTACCAGCTCCTCTGAACATTCCATCGCCTTCCTGGGTGATGATGTTGTGGTGGAATGGTCGATGAAATCATAGGTATCTAGCATTTTATTATAAGAAGAAACAATGAAGCATTTTGTATCGAACACTTTCCTTTGTTGCATTAAGAAACGACAATGTTAACTAAATATTCACTGCATTAAGATGTATTAATTCGTTCCCCTCTGATCATCTCTTATCCATCACATCACCTGTCATCCTCGCAAATCTCCACAAGCAGTCCAGACAGTACAATTTTAGTGGGATATTCCAGACACCAGTCCCTGGAATGCAAATCGTTTTCACTATTCGGCGTGGTCTTCGTGTAACCTTCGGAGGGCAATCGTATTTCAAACGCTACTTGTATACTTGACCGTTTTCCATTCGATGTATTTGTAAAACTGAACAAAAATAAATTTGAACATGACAATAATGAACAAATGGCGTATAAGATGAGAGTCGTGGAATGTTGAAGAGATGCATTCTTGAAATAATCTTGGCTACACGAAAACATACAAACTTACTAAAATTTCTTTTCTTTTGTCAATGCTGTCGCTCGTGTAATACTTGGTGAAACAATAATCTTTTTGTCTCCATGTCCGGTGATGATATGGTTGTTTTTCCGCGGTGGAAGGAGAGTACCTCTGTCCAAAGTCCTTCGAATGGAGCCAACGTGAACGACATGATATGCCAAATGGTTCTTTTCTAAAGTCTGGCATGAATCCAAATTTGGAGGCAGTCTGGTGTTTTGAGACAAATATGTTTTGAAAAGAATTTATTGGAAATATACTTTACCAAGTAAATGCACATCATATAGACGTAATATAAACGTCACCTTAATTCAAATTTGCACCAACCAAAAGGACGAGTGTATTCATGTGGTGGATCACCGCAGACTGCAGATCGATTCTCATCGCGGGCGTCACAACAATTTGCGCAGTAACACACAACGGCCTTCGTAAAATATTGTTCTATGAAAAGAATAAGAAAAATTAAATATTTTTTTCCGACAATTATAAAGATGTCAATATAGTACCTGGTATTCCTAATGTTGTCCGAAACTGTTCGCAACGCTTTTTATAATCACAATTACCACAGGGAAGAAATTTATCTGAATTATTAAAGTTGTTGATTGAAGTTGATGAATTCGAAAAAAATATAAAAAACTTCTGAGAAATGAAAACAGCTAACGTAATACCTTCACTTTTTTCACTGGTCGCAATCCTTTCTTCTTTAACAATTTTCTCATTTTCTCTCTCAAGTTCAACATCTTCACCGGTCTTGAGCAAGGGTATATTATTGCAAGGCACGACAGACACCTGCTCACAGCGGCCGTACAAATCAAACATAGCGTACTTGGACGAAGATACTTCATAGTCAACGAAACCTTTGTCCTCATTGTTCACAATGATATGAATACGACTTTTGTCATCGCAAATTACGGCAACCTTGTCACCCTCGCGTATGTCATCAAAATTATAAGGAAATTGCATATCAGTCTGAAACAAAATGAAAATGCAGCTGAAGTGAGTAAATTCTACCAATGAAATTGAGCTGAGTAAAAGAGCATTGAGCTCTCCTAAAGTAAATACGTAATGTTTACGTACACACAGATGAAAATGGTGGAAACTTGGTGCGAGTTTAAACATTTGCAAAGAAAAGGCTGAAACTAGTAAGCAAATCATTTTCATTGACAATAACCTTATTTCCATTAATATAAATCTGGGATCCATGAACAAGAACACAGCAATTGGATCGTATTGATGAAGCGGATGCTGGAAGATTCAGCTTTTCAAGTGAATACGTGGAAAGAACGCCGACAGCTAAAGATCCAGACCAGCTGGAATTCATAGCATCAACACGAATCTGTAAAAAAATAACGAGTGTATTAAGAAGTTGGTGCTAGATCGAAATTGGAAGAGAGAATTACAATGTTGAAGATTATGGGATCCCAGTGGGTGTTGAAAATCACTCAATGAAAGTACAGATGAGAACAATGAGCAAGCTTGAAAACAAAAATATTCAAATATTATTATATCAGATACATTGTACGATAGAAGTGAAAAAACGCCATCTGAACAAAAATTACAAGAACACAAATTTACAAAACTATTTGATTCAAAGTCGCAAATCAAAAACAAATATCAAACGATGCAATCGCTTTCGAGATAACCATAAAAACATAACTTTTAATTACCAGAAAAATCTCATTATTCGTCAGAGGTTTACGACTGAATACAAGACCATCGCTAAAACGGGCCTTTCTTTTTGCCACAGTGCAAGAGGCATCCATAATTATATTGAGCCCACAGTTAGAATGGAAACTCAAGCTGCAAACATGAAAAAATTAAAAGGGTGAAAATAGAAGCGTGGGTGAGGATAGATAAGAGGAGGGTTGGTGAAGGGAGGTTGGAGGAGGTGAAGGAAGGTGGGGTTTGGCAAAATTTCCCAAGATACTTACTCCGGTATTCCTAATTCCGGTTTTTGAGGATTATTACCGGTTCCTTCTTCATCAGAACTGACAAAATTATCAGATAAAACTAAAAATGAAACCGAACAGAATTAGAAAAAACCTTCCTGTTACGTCGCCATAAATACCTAACTATGTAAAGTAAAAAGGCAAATAACAACTGAAAACAATAAGAAAAAACAAATTTGCCACGAGCAAAATATTTTTTAGCGCGACCTTACATCACACAAAGTGTTCAAACAACAAGCGAAACTTACTTCTGTTTGTTGTATTTACAATAGATACACTTTGAGTACCGCCATATACATCAACAACTCCATATGAAACCTTTTATAAAGAAATGAAGTAGTCGCCATCGTGAAAACAATGACCATGGCAAAGAAGGAAATCGTTTACAATAAAGTACTACCTGAGGAAGATCAGAGGCAACAACACCTTTATATTTACTGTCAACAAAGACGTGTAATGAGCCATCGTATTGCAGTTGAAGTCCTACCCTTGAGCCTTCCTATAGTGGATATTTAAATATGAGTGATGAGATGAAAAAAAAATAAACACTTACATGAAAACAAAAAACTTTTTGCAATATAACTGGACTTTCTACAACTCCCTCGCTTGTGAAAGATGGCTGCAGAACAATCTTCAAGTGCCAACTTGTTTTAGGAATGAGCTGGTTTTTAATAAAACGATGCAACGCTATCTACTCACTTTTAGTTTATCCAAGGACACACTGCAACCTCGAACTTTTGCTTCGCCTTTGAACACTGATGAGCCTGACAGATACACACATTCGTTGCCCAGCTCACTGATTTGGACAGGAACCCGAGTTAAAGGGACATGGGACGTCACACCAACCGACAAGGACCCAGTCCACGTTGCGTTCAACTTATCAATACGAATCTCGAAGATGGACTCATTCTCAAGGGGTCGGTCAGTAAACGCGAGCCCACCGTTAAAACTACGAGTACGGACAGCGGTATGACCGTGGTTTCTGAACGCAATGCTCTCCCCACTGATTGAATTAAATGAGTATACGAGATCTGTAATAAGAATAGATCATTGATCAAGTCATTTTGGCTTTAATGGAAGTTTTTTGAAACTTACACAAGTTATACTTGAACGTGCATTTCATACATTTTACAACATGAAGCCTTATGAAAACCATTCAACAAAAGTAGATCAATAGATAGTATACATAAAATTTAAGGCTTGAAACACACCGATAAAGTTGCATTAAACGTAAAACTTCATGTTGCTGCCACATTGTTGTTTCATAATACATATGTTATCAACAATTTATCCACAAGTAAAGACGACTCGTGTTTGTCACGAATTTGTTTTGTTTTGTCGCTAAGGAACTCGGGATAACCTCACCCAGAATGAATGTGACCGAAATTTCTCCCCTTTCATTCCCAACCTACCTAACATGGATTCATCGATGAGACTTTCACCGGAAGGCGATCGATGAAGAGTGCCATCCGTATTATGTGGACTGGAAACGACCGAAAGTTGCACACATTGACCGTACAAATCAAAGGCTGCAAAAACACCTGCAAAACATGAGATGCCTGTCAAATAAATGCAGCTACCTTTAAAAACATACAGGTATTCAAACCTTATCAATGACTTTCACTCTTTCTAATGTATGATCAACTTTATTTTAACAATAAAGATACTATGTATTTAAAGTAAATGGTTTGAACCCGGGAGTATCGTTACATGTTTGTAAATGTAGATCGTCCAGGTTGGTATAGTCCTGAGAAGGACTGTTTTTGTTGTTGTTGACTGACGTTTCGACAACCTTAGCGGTAGTCATCTTCAGAGTCAACAACAACAACAACAAAAACAGGACTATACCAACCTGGACGATCTACATTTGTAAACATACTATGTATTTATTTACATAATGAATATATTTCATACCTGGAGGAACAAATGACGCTGCAGTTCCTTTGTCTTCACCATTGACAAACACGTGAAAGGTACCGTCAAATTTTCTCATCACTCCAACTCTAGCTCCCACTCCTAATTTATCCAAGTCCACGCCATATCCGTTGACGATTGTGATGCCATCGTGCATAACACTGGATCCGCTGACCACCCAACAATGATGTTTGAGATCAGTTAGTGTTATCGGTAGTTCAATGTCAGGCGGAGCCATGCTTAATAATGCCACTTCAAGAGAGCCTGACCACCTGAAAATATATTTGAACGTTAGATTACTCGTTCATGAAATGAATTCAATACCGGATTATTCGTCAAGAACAAGAAGACATCACGATGGACCATGCAAGAATTCAACGTGACATCTCTTCTGATGAATGCAACAAGAGAGCTTGAGTTTCGACCACAGACTGGAGTACTTATATTTGTGGCCTCAGGTATCGAGATTATATCCCTCCTGGTAAAGACTCTAGACTTTATCATTTTAGAACTCAAGTTTCAATATCAGGTCACTTCAGGTGACACTCAAAACTGAAGTTGTACGTAGAAGAACTGAATAGTGATAAGCTAAAATGAAGTATCTGCGGAAGATAAAAGGAGTGTGAATAAAGACGTTAAACTTGTGTATTGACGAAGTTCTCTAGTTTCAGCAACAGGTCATTACACCTATTCACCTGTCAGTTATCTCTTCAATGACGACCTCAAAGAGTTCATCATCCTCTAAAGGTTGTTCGCTGATCAAGACGGCATGATTGAACTCGGCAAGAGCATTAAGTCGAGTAGCCCCAGTCCTTTCCTCGTTCAATAATATCAACCGTCCGTGGGTTTCACTGAACTTTGCCATGCACGATGTTGTTTGATTATCCCCAGTCCTCTCCGCTGCACCGTGATTATCTTGCGTTGTTGCCACCGCGTTTTCGGGAGGTAAAATTTCTGAGTATTTCAAGAAATGAAAAGTTTAACAATGTCAGGAAATGACAAACAAAACCGTGCGTGTATATTTTGGGAAAGATTTATGCCAAATCAGATAAGTTCATGTGTATGAGGATGACTGAGACTACACATGCAATTTTTTACCAGAGTTGTTCAGATGAGCATAAACATCCCCCCTGTTCTGAACTTTACAAATATATAAAGCAGGTGGGAAGGTCCAAACTCATCAGACCAAATCTGGAAAAAATTGCATATGTGCCTACAGTGACGATGATGTTCAGGGACTTGATGAACAATTAAACTTTTCTTCCTAATTTCCCATAAATCCTTTATGCTTAACACTTAAAGTAAATTTCTTACATTTTGGCACACATAATGCAACAATACTGAGACAAGTTTTGCTATCCTACTTTTAACAACCAATCACAGCGTTTCAGTCAAAGTGTAAAATAACTGACCTCGGCTCTGAGGACTGTTCACAATAGTGGCTTGTACGGCTTGCCCATAGATATCCACAACTGCATACAAACAATCTGGAAGATTGTTGGAAACAGGTCCAAGATCAGCATCATTGTAGTAGAAATGAAGCTCCCTTTCTGAATTCACACAAACACCAAGTTTGTCATTTACCTGAAACAAAATAAAAAACCCGTTGAATACGACCCAGCTTTATAATTCTACAAAGTCACTACACAAATGTGAGCAATACATTACCTTAAATGAAACACTATTTCTTCCATACGATTCAATTGTCGTGATACCATTTTGAACTATTGCCCCACCAGAGAACATCCAAGTTCCAGATGTGACATTGGTCATAGTGCCTGGTAATGTTATTGAGCCAGGAGCATGTGTTGTCACACCTATCTCCAGTGATCCTGCCCATTTGTCAATAACTTGTTCAATTTTAACTTCAAAGAGCTCATTAGGTAGCAATGGACGAGAAGTTAATGCAACTCCAAAGTTGAAATCTTCATTTGGACTATAGTTGGATGTACAAATTAGTAAATTGGCATTTTAAAAGCAGAAAATAAATTAAAAGAGGCTTACTTAGTTCTAAATACCGTCCTCCTTCCATTAGCTAGTTGCACATGTGAACCACATAAAGGATGAAAAGTGAGTTGCAAATTGTCATCTATTAATGACAATCCTTAATCGAAAAGTAAAATATAATTAAGTTCAATAACAAACAGACATAAACTTTCTATTTCACAAATAAATAGGGAGGATTGATGTCAACTGCTAGTATTCTTTATCACTTTTCCTTGTTTCTTTGCATTGTCATCATTGTGAGCAAAGAGTAGCTGTAACTTGATAAGCTACTGACTAAGTCTAAATTGACCAGTCTGTTTCATTTGAAATTTAATGCTGTGTACTGACTCTACTTGACCACTTGTTGACCTAGTTTTATTACATACCATCATTTTGACCACTGAGTTTGATTTCACAGCACCGACCAAACACATCGATCACAACATAAACATTTTTTGGCACATCTTTGGCTGCACAACCCATGTCCTCGCCATTGATGTGAAAATGTAGCGCCCTACCATCTGTTAATATTACTCCTACCCTATCTCCAACAGCAAGTTCTTCCAAATTTCTACTGTAATCATCGAGAATTGTTCGTCCATCCTTTTGCACACTGCTGCCCGACAACATCCATGTGCCACCTGTGAGACGGGAAGCACGATCAGGAATGGGATCTAGGTCGTTTGGGTTGCATTTTGTTACACCTATCGCCAAGGAGCCAGACCAGTTACGTGTTTTTTTCTCAATGACAACTTCAAAGAGAGTTCTTTCTGGTAGGAAAAACTCACTGAAAACTAAGCCATTATCGAATTCAGAACCCGAGTAATTACGTGAAGCACTTTGCTGTTGATTTCCAAGTGTAATTCGGCTGCCACACTTCTCATGAAATGCAATACGTGAGGACATATTAGTTTTGTTATTGTTTGAACAAACATTATTTCTTCGACCATTGTGTGTGAATCATACACAAAAATCCATCCCTTAGAAGTATGCTGACACAGATGTGATCGTGTCAAGATCAAGTGTCAAGTCGTTTTTTTGATCGTTAATTATGACCGTGTAAATACTTTTAGCAAATATGGACAAAAAACATCGACGAATATTACAACAAAATAGGGAATTTTAATTAAAGATCTAGAGCCTTTGAACCTATTAGGCTACCTTTATCAAGAGGGCGCCATCATTGAGGATGACATGGACAGAGTCCGGGCAAAGGATACACGAAAATTACAAGCCGAAGAACTCCTAAGCATCGTACCAAGACGAGGAGGAAAAGCCTTCGATCGCTTCTGTGACGTTTTGTTTAAATTTGACGGACAAAAGCATTTGGCAAAAAAATTGAAGGCGGATGTCGAGAATAAGAAAGGTAAGTACTAAGTCTGTGGTATATGAATGTAAGAATGTTCCCCCTCCCGACTGTATTTAAGTAATCATCAGCACCTCCCCCCCAGGGAGGGTACAGTGGTCATGGAAAGCACAAATATTAGAGAGTACGATCATTCTTGTTGAAAAACTCCCACAATATATCAGATGCCTGTTTATAATGTCATTACGTCATAAATTAAACTGCAATTCATACCCAAGTTTTCTAACCCTACCCCTACTCCAACGAGAATGTGAAGACAGATAGTTGTAGGCCCTCAAACTTGAGTGCAGGTTTTGTTGAATTCATGTATTAAACACAGTTCATTCTCTCATCACAGTAAGAGAATGATGGTTTGTTCATTATAAACATTTTCAGATCGAGTGAACATAAACACGACTGATAGTCCTACTGGTCTTCAACAAAAGCTTACTCCCAATCAAATCACAGTTCTTCCAACTGATATGCGTTTCATTCCTCAGTCAACACTTAATGACTTCGACAATGTCTACAAAATGCAAAGTGTTCCAAGAGGACTGTGTTTGATCATAAACAACAATAATTTTGACCCACAGGCAGACTTAAAACAGAGAGAAGGGTCGGACAAGGATGCAGCAAACCTTCAACAGCTGTTCCTTTCTCTTCATTACACAGTCACAGTGCTACGTAACACAACAGCTCTAATACTTAGAAGCAAGATGAGAGAATTTGCAATGAGACCAGAGCATGTCGATATGGACTCCGTTGTGATTTGTATCTTAAGTCATGGTTTGGATGGAAAGATATATACTATTGATGGTGAGCTGATCCCGATAACAGATCTTATATCAACACTTAATGGCCAGAACGCGAGAGGCTTGATCGGAAAGCCAAAACTGATCTTCATTCAAGCCTGTCGTGGAGGAAAGGTAAGATTTGGGAACAACGCCTATTGCTTTTTCTTTGAACAAAGTTTTATTGAACTTTTTTGCATGAGATCAAACACAATTATTGATATCCCTGAAACAGCTATACATTAAAATGATTTTGAAAATTTGTAATCCAGGCATTTAATAAATAAAAGATAAAAGATTAAAGTGAGTTTTAGTGATTTTTCATCAGAATGAGGAAATTACTATTTACATGTAATCTTAGTAAATAGTAATTTCCTCATTCTGATGAAGGCTCGAAGCAATGAGTCGAAAGCTCAATAAAACTCACTTTAAATCCGGAGAAACTTTTATCTTTTATTTATTAAAATGATTATATGTATTTTCGATAGCATATATGACAAAGCAGAAGAATTGTTTTCTTGAACCTAATAAAGTGAGTACAACAACTTTTTCGTAGGTTGACAAAGGTGCAAGTTTAGATCAAATTGACTCAGGTGAAGTGACCGTTAAAACTACCTCGGAAATTCTTCATGACCTTTACCAAGGTGAAGATGAAATAGACTCAGGATCAAATCCATTTGCTATGGTTCCAGCTGAAGCAGATTTCTTGCTTGCTTATTCCACAGTTCCAGGATTTGTTTCTTGGCGTAATTCTGAGAAAGGCTCATGGTTTATCCAAGCTTTATGTGAAATATTCATGACTTATGCTGGAGAAGAAGATCTTGTGAGTATGTTGGTTAGAGTCAATAGAAAAGTTGCGAGAGAGTTTCAATCTTACCAACAGGAAAAACAAGTCCCATCTCCCGTAGTTCGTTTGACCAAAAAGGTGTACTTTTTCCCAGGCTATCAATTCATGCCCTCCACTGCCATCTGAAGTCAGTAAAATGTAGCATTCAAGAGTGTATATGAATTACAGCAAAATACTCATTCATTGATTTCATTCTCATAATTCCATTATAGATAAGATATTGTTGTAGGTACATTAAATGTACTTGATCGCCACTTGGTGTTAGGTGTATTCTACACCAACTTGTCTGCTGTCAGTATTTCTGCCACATTTCCAACATTCATATTTTAATGCAGAGCTTTCCTTCTATTTTCTATCTATTGTACATGACACGTTTCTTGTCTATAGTCAAATTGAACATTGCTGTTGAGAATTGTAAATTTTCGGTTTCAAGTAGCAAAAAATCGACACTGGCGCACTATGGCAAGTTCTCTCTGTACAGTCCCATTTTGACAGACATGCATCCTTGGCAGTTCATTTCAAGAAAATGGGTTTCTAGATGATCTGCTGGTGCAAACTGTATACCTCACAGTGTTGCCACATTCCATTGTCACATATTCATTCCCACGATGAAGGATTGCCTCTTCATAGTTAGGCAGAGAGGTTGTACTTGAATTCACTATAGAATTATGACCTAAAGCTTCGTTATAAGTTGGTGGTGCCCCATCTGGACATGGGGTTTCCTGAGCATAATCATCCTCATTCTCAACATTTTCAACTGTATGAGAATGAAGATGACGATGAACAGATACACGCCAAGTCCTCCATAAGGAAATTACTATGATTCCCAAAACAACACAAACAATAATCATCAAGATGAAGTACAATTTTTTAGCCTGTTTTTCTTTTGGACAACGTAATTCATCACTACTGTCTGAACAGTTGGGAATACCATCACACAACAACTCTCTGTCAATACATTCACGACTAGAGCAACTGTATTGTTGGTCTGAGCAGACACTCTCCTTTACTTGGTTATACTTTAAGACAAATGTTCCCACACTACTGCCTCCAGTAAATGCTCTAATAATGCACTCTGTTAGATTTGGATTTGATAGGATGCCTTTCAGAGAGTTGCCAACAATGCATTTTTATTTTGACGGAGGATTCATACCATCCATCTATTATTTCTATGTTGTTAGGACATGCAACATTACCTGTGAAATTAAACTCCAGGAAATATAGCTCTATATAATGCTGTGGCTGAGGTACTTCTATGTACCAATCACAGTCTGAGCTGCCAAGAAATACTTTGGGATAACCGTGAGAGTATATATAACCAGCAGCATTCCTAAATGTACCACCACAAGGTGCCAAGTTTTTTTTAGTTGCCTTCAAAGTCAGTGTAAGCTTTGCATTGGTAAAACTTGACTGATGAAGAAATATTGTTAGATTGCTGCCTTTAGTAAACACCAAGAGATCATTCATATAACCACAAAGTTTACCATTGTGTGGAATAGCAACCCTAAATTCAATCAAACCCATCTCTTTAAACAAAAGGTAATCACTGGCACATTGCTCAAACTCATTATTTATGAATCCGTTGACAGTCACCTTCAACCAACCATCAGGAGCAACCACAGTAAGGACATAATGCTTGCTACTAACTGGAACAGAAATGTTAAGTCGAGTTACAGCCTCCATTTCTGTTGCAACAAACTTTCCTTTTATTATTTTGTAAGATGCTTTAAATATATTTCGGTAACTCGAATTGATTTTTCTCGATGAAAAGAGTTGCACTCTTAAAGCGTTCTGTGACGAATAAACTTTCAAAGGCATGTTATGAGCACAAAATCTACCAATCGAGGAGGAATTCGGGTGAAAACCATCAGAAAATTCAACATAATCCTCTGTACAAGAGCAACAAGATGATTTAAAATGAAATTCACTGATCGAAACCACAACACGGTAATCAGTCGGAACTTGAATTTCCCAGACACATTCATCTTCCTGGTGGCCATTCGCCAATAAATTACCAAATGTTGCGGAGAGTCTCTTTAATTTTTCACAAGGTGAAACCTGTTTAATGTAAAAGGAAAATAATACGGCCCACGATAGCAGCAAGTGCAGTGTGATGAGTTTTGATTTACAAGCCAATTTCCCAACGAAAGTCATAGCCAATTTACAAGTTTTCAGTTTTCAAACTCCAAAAATCTTTGGCGACATAAGTTGTCGTATAGTTCTTCGCACATTAAACTTTTTTTGTGTTTCATCACCTTTGAATTGGAGGTAGGAATTTGCAAACCATCATATATTATGCTCACAGTTCGTTTTTGCTCCATTCAGCTGCTACAAGTTAAACTGGTTAACATCGTTCAAAATGGAGTCATTAACTTCTACTGATAGCCTACCACATTCAAAGTCATAATTTGTACTAGAGTCAGTGGCATGACCAGTGAACACTATTTCTATGTTCACTCACTGTTAAATTAATGCATTTCAAATGATTTGAATGATGATAATTTTCTTCAATTTACATAGCTGGAGTACAACCTGAAGGCTGACTGTGCCATTGACAACAGTTAGCTGCTGAAACATATTAACTTCCTAATGAATAAAGCCAAATTCAACTCAGCAAGGAAAAAAAATGTATGGAGAAAATATCCACACAAACAAAAATAACAGAAAATGCTTGCTTTCATATAAAATCAAGATACTCCAATGGAGATGGTATTTAAATTTTCAATATGTTTACAAGTTTGCATGCAGGAGGATAGTCATACACACACTCACAAAGTTAGAATGCCTCATTGAGAAGTTTATGTTTAACTATCCAACTATTTTTCACCAAAACACTCACCACATCTTAAGCTTTTATGCCAGAGAACTGAAAAGCTACCTGCATCACATTTTATGGCAGTCATAACAATTGATAAGAAATGGTTTTGTCGCCAAGAATCAGTACCAGTACTTTTCTGCATTACCTAATCATCAATTTCGTTGGACGTTAATGCCAGTTTTTGCTTCTTGACTTTCTTCGCTTTTTTGTTTGCTCTTTCTGTGACATGTGCCTCAGCAAGCTCTTGGTGTATTTCTTTCATATGCTGATTCTTCAATATGAAAATATTGATTTGAAAAATTCGTGCAATTTGAATACATCTAGAATTTGCTCAACATTATAAGTTTCTTACCAAAGAAGAGCTCCTTCTGCTGAGTAAAATAACATCATCTGCATTTATGACAATACGCTTTGCATGTCTGTTACATGAGTATAAAAAATATAAGTTACTTCATATTGCAAAAGTTTTTAGAACTTTCTCATTACTTGGCAAAAAGCTCCAGATCTGTTGCAAAAGAATCTAGAACATTAAGAGAGAAAAAATTTTAAAAATGGTTCAGAAGTAGGCCTGCAGTATTCTTGGTAAAAAAATTGTATCAACAATCAACAAACATATCTTTTACCTATTTCTCTGAAGGTTGTCTCTGTTAACGCAGCAATAAACTGCTTTGAGTATTTCAATCTTTCATTCTTTGCTAAAGATTAACGACGAATATCAACAAAAAACAGGAAAAAACACCGAGGAGTTCTCATTCAACATATAAATACAGCTTGCTTTTTACCATATGTTTCGCAAATTTTGCCAACAGTGTAATGAAGAGCTGCTTTCAACCGCTAAAATTAAAACGTTTAGATAGCTTTTTTTTCATCCAAACATTTTCTCACGAGAATATTAAATCAAAAACCTGTATTTGCTCTAGACTTTCGTAAGCTGCAAGTGTTTTTTCATCGTCGCTGTCGGCCATTTTAATTTACAAATATTCGCGCTAGAACGCCAGTGCCCTATTTGTTCATTCTACATGAAGTAAACCCCTTTTCCTGTCGAAAATTGATCCAATAAACGCCCCAATAAAACAAATGCCTCGTATCTAATAAACGCCCTCCTATGAAGCTTGAGTTAGTACGTAATAAACGCCTATCTCTAATAAATACTCCTTCTGCAATAAACAACCACTATAATAATGCTTATTGGCTATGAAAACGATAGACAAGAAGGTAGGCAAAAGGTAGAAAAAGAAGATGGAAAAGACGACTGATTTCGTTTTGAGTTACTCTCTCTAAGCGACTCGTATGTGTTAAAGCCTCCTCCTAGAGCCGCTAAAATTTATCTAACGTACTCGGCGTTTATCATATCATTTACTGTAAGTTCAAAGCCACTCATACCAGGGCACAACAACCACTGCCAACAGAGAAAAGTCGCCGATACTTATACAACAAGCATAAAAGTTTAAACTAATGGTTAGTATGAAATAAATAATTGAAAATTAGTCATTAATTGATAATTGATAATTGACATACAAGTCAGTGGCATAATAATTAATTATCAATATGTAAATTGATAACCAAATTGTAGACATTACAGAAATTGCTCTAAGTTTATCTCCAATGCGGTGCATGGATTATTCAATTCAAAATTGCTAAGAACTGTAGGATGCACGACTCCCATGATGCCAATCGAGCTGCCACAGTATATGACCTCAGCACAACGACCAGGAAAGAAGGTGGGATCTGCAATATTTACCAAGACAAAGTTTTAGAAAGCAAAGTGAAGTTAAATGAAAGAATGTTATATGCAGTGCGGTGTTTTGAAATTGAATGAAGATATGATCTTCGCACTTTGCTGGATAATTTAAGCAATTGTCTCATGAACCAATATTAACCACATGTTGACCCAACATTGACCTGCTCTCCACTGTGTGACTTCATAGCTCAGTTGGTCAGAGCACTGTACCGGCATCGCAGAGGTCATGGGTTCGAATCCCGTTGAGTCACCTGAGTTTTTCAGGTTCATGAGACAATTGCTTAAATTGTCCAGTAAAGTGCGAAGATCATATCTTCATTCAAAGTGAAGTTAAAATGAACGGAATTGAAAAACACTTTGATTCTAACACAAAATGCTAATACTGCATATTTTACAAATTTCATTTTACGACTGTCCTACTGCGCTCAGTATAAATTTATATTTTCTACCTTCGCAAGCCTTTATGAAATAGCCATTGTCATTATTTGACTTGTTTTTAGCTGGTTTGATTTCTAACAACTGCATAATTCTGTCTAGTAGACCATGAACAATCTAAAAAAATACATTTAAAATAATATTGTATGGAAGAAATCATCGGGATTCTATTCCATATATACCTCAAAACCGGGAGTCTTGTTGTAATTTATCACACAGATGCGTCGATGATTCCTGGCACCAACATCTTTAATTAAAAAAAAATGTGTTAATTTGCGAAAAATCATCAGCTATTGGAAAAAGAGATCAGGATCTGATACAAGACAACCAAGAACCACGGCAAAAGAACCCTGGAGAAAGACACCCGGAAATAGGAAAGACCCACGATAGATGAGTCATTGAGGGGGACCACATTCGTATAGGTATATACTATTTTAATAATGCGCAATAAAATCAAATGTGATAACGAGTTATAACATATGAATACATGAATATGAATTATCAGTCTTCCGCAGTCACTACAAAACCTTTTTTTTCATCTTGTAACACGATGTCTGAGATTTCAAATAGTTTTAAAGGCAACGGCATCTTCCTGTTTGCTCCAACTGTCTTCAGTAGGCCAGGCAACAAAGTAGTCCGTACGACCTGAAATTACATAGAAATGTGGGCAAAATTGAAAAAGTTAAGAAGCAACTATAACAATGTTGTTTTAGAGCATTCTTATTCGCTAAGCACCTGAAATTCAAGAGTTTTGGGGTTTGCTATCTCGACTGCTTTTGTTAGTTCAAATCCTTTGTTCAATTTGTCTGAAATATCTTCGCGTGAGCACTAAAAAGCAAATTTATACATCAAAAACAAAGCACAAGAAATGATAAAACGCAGTCTTCGAGAATGTCTCATTTTTATAAATGTTTGATGGACAAATTCGTGATGAACAAAGCAAAAAGAAGTGATCCTCACTAATGCAAACGTCAATGCTTCTGTATAACCAGCTTGGACAATTTCAGCTTTGATCAAATCACACAACTTATTTAAAGGAAACTGTTAAAAATAATAAAATGGTACTTCAAACAAAGCAAACTTCACACACTGTTGATAAAAAATGCAGAATAGAAAACTGCTCGCTCAAAGGAAAACATAAACAAACTAACTTGATGTGCAATTGTCATGGATTTCGGTATAGTTTCCTCAATATTATTGTAGCCATATGCAATAGCCACATCTTCCATGATATCACACGCATGAATTACATGTCAAAAATGTTAAGGATTCAGCATTAAATGAAAATAAACATCACAGTGTACGATGATGTCACACACATGATGTCACACGCATGAATTACATGTCAAAAATGTTAAGGATTCAGCATTAAATGAAAATAAACATCACAGTGTACGATGATGTCACACACATGATGTCACACACATGATGTCACACACATGATGTCACACGCATGAATTACATGTCAAAATGTTAAGGATTCAGCATTAAATGAAAATAAACATCACAGTGTACGATGATGTCACACACATGATGTCACACACATGATGTCACACGCATGAATTACATGTCAAAAATGTTAAGGATTCAGCATTAAATTAAAATAAACATCACAGTGTACGATGATGTCACACACATGATGTCACACGCATGAATTACATGTCAAAATGTTAAGGATTCAGGATTAAATTAAAATAAACATCACAGTGTACGATGATGTCACACACATGATGTCACACGCATGAATTACATGTCAAAAATGTTAAGGATTCAGCATTAAATTAAAATAAACATCACAGTGTACGATGATGTCACACACATGATGTCACACGCATGAATTACATGTCAAAAATGTTAAGGATTCAGGATTAAATTAAAATAAACATCACAGTGTACGATGATGTCACACACATGATGTCACACACATGATGTCACACGCATGAATTACATGTCAAAAATGTTAAGGATTCAGGATTAAATTAAAATAAACATCACAGTGTACGTGTTAAAACTTTGCTGTACATGTTAAAAGAACTGTCAGACTTGTAGTAACGACAACAAAAAAGTTTAAGTTATTTTTCAAAAGGATATCAGCTCTCGTTGGCGGTATTTCCACTTCAATATTCTCTCCGTCATTTTTCACCTCGCTGTTCAAGCACATTCTTGTCAAAAGATCAGCGATGGCTTCAGCATTTTCCCTAGAAGACGTATCGTAGTTTTCATTAATATATATATAGGATGACATGAATCACATAAAAAAAAATAAATGTCTTCCCATAATGCATCAAAACAATCAAACAAACTCACTTAATTCCCACTTTAATATTCGTTTTTTCCACCGAAATAACCTCTTTTCTGTAATTCAATTTCTGTATAAACATACAGGGGGTTATTCAAAGCGATGTTTCTCTCGAGAACGTTATTTTTACAACTGGCTGTCATAAAACTTAACAGTTATCGTAACACAAAAGTTAGAAAGTTGTTCGCACTCCTTTTCAAGACTTGTTTTCACAAAAAAAGAACAGAAAGTACAATCACATGCAGAGATAAACTTAAGGAAACTAGGGCATTTTCTCTTTTTTCCAAGATTGAAAAAACAACACACCACACACTTTAAAATGAAAAATCTAAAGCAACACTTATTGTTGAAAAAACTATACTCCACACACTCTAAAATGAAAAATCTAGAGCAACACTTATTGTTGAAAAACTATACTCCACACACTTTAAAATGAAAAATCCAAAGCAACACTTATTGTTGAAAAAACTCTACTCCACACACTTTAAAATGAAAAATCTAAAGCAACACTTATTGTTGAAAAAACTATACTCCACACACTTTAAAATAAAAACGTGTTAAATAAAAATGAAATGAAAATACCCACGGGATATTTCGTAATTGTACCATCGACTTGAACAACCTCAACTGGTTCCACACTGAAAACAATTATCAACTGAATGAAATTTTCGTTTGATCAAATTTCACAAGCTGTTCATAAACTTTCATAACTTACACAAATTTTTGCTTGCAGTACAAACTGAACATTGTAACTAAAATATCCACGACAATTTCGGCCTATATAAAGAGGAGTTGATAAATTTCTTTATTCAAAAACCATTTCAAACTTTATCATACTTTTTTTTATCTCCACATGGTCATTACAAAAACTTTACCTTTCGCAAGTCTGTAGCAGTACAATCGATAAAAATATTCTTGGTTTCCAACGTAATCTTTGAATGATTTCCTAATGAAACAATACAAAGTAAAATCAATAAAAATATTCGCAGTTCACAATGTAATCTCTAAATAATATTCAGGTGAAACAGCACAGATAGCTATATACAAAAACGGTTTCCATCGTTGATGAGAGCTTACCATTTATAATTGGTGGCATCGAAAGTACGACATTATTGCTGTCATAAATAATGGGATAGAATGGTTTATCTTTTATAATGTGAAGATAATGTTTCAGTTTGTTATCAGTCTAAAAAAAACAATCAGAAAAATACATACAGTTACTCCAAACAAGAGATGAAACCTTTACTTTAAAATTCATACAAGAATAAATGCGAGAAATGTCGTGATAATTGGTACCTGATAAAGATCCATCATCTCGACAGCTGTATATTCTTTATGCTAGAGCAGTGAAAAAAGTTGAACTAAAATTAATCTGTTGAATTACCACAGTAAACATTGATAGCAGAGATGTGCGCAGCAAGGAATGTGGGGTGAGGTGTGAAACCCACACATTTTGCCGAGCGGGGAATGTGGGGTGAGGTGTGAAACCCACACATTTTGCTGAGCAAGGAATGTGGGGTGAGGTGTGAAACCCACACATTTTGCTGAGCGGGGAATGTAGGGTGAGGTGTGAAAACCACACATTTTGCTGAGCAAGGAATGTGGGGTGAGGTGTGAAACCCACACATTTTGCTGAGCGGGGAATGTAGGGTGAGGTGTGAAAACCACACATATTGCCGAGCGGGGAATGTGGGGTGAGGTGTGAAACCCACACATTTTGACGCGCAGGGAATATGGAAATCCAAAATCGAGAAAAAATTTTCTAGAACTGCACAGCTTTAAAAGGCAGTTGAAAATGCTATCAGGAAAAGCATTTTATCCCGGGGACGTATGAAGCCATTGTTGTTTAAAGACCATAACATACACATATAAATAAACTCGCTGACATTATCGACCTTCCTATGTACATCCATGTTTCATGCACGTTCAATCTTATGAAAAACACCCCCTTAAATTGAATGCTTTTAGTACACTTCAGACTACAAAGACATGGTAATGTATAATTTATGTTTAACAAGAGCTGGTGCCTTTTAAACTGGCATAGAATCAGATCCCAGCTTTACACCACTTGCAAAAATTTGCCACACAACAAATTTCATTATGACAAAACATCAATTCCAGAGCAAAAAACCATCAAACAAAGTTAGCACAATCTTCAACAAACCTTATTCAATGGCACAAATTTTATGTCTTGTGGTGTTCTTGCATCATACAGAAAAGGTCCTTTGACGGTGTCAAGGTCATGAGTACCTATAGCTACCAATGTTCGCTTCCGACAAATGTTCTGATGCAGCTTGTCTTGTAGGTCAATGAAGCTGTTGTAACTCTCCTGTAGATCAGTTAAGTTAGAAATTTTTTAGCATACTTCATTTCATTTGATTGAGAAGAAATAAAATGAAATCATGAAACATTAGAAAAATGCTATGTCCATTTACGTACATTAAAATTGTTGGTAAGATTTCTTGAAAAGTACATATTTAGTTGTGTTTATGTCACATCAGATGGCATTCACATTAAATAACATACTTGTGTTAAAGTCACATCCCGCAAAACTGCCCCAATGCAATATGGTCGAACCAGTGAAGTCTGAAAAATTTCAAACCAAAACATATTATAAGTGACTGTTCTGTCAACATCTTGGGAAAAAACTACACATACGTATTCTCACATTTTTTGCTATCGCAATTCTTTGCAAAGGATAATCAGGAGATGAAAGATGATACCTAGGTGCTTTGATCCTACAGAACAGTAAATTACCAGTAGTTTGGTTAATTGCCATTATCAAGCATAGTTCCTAAAAGAAAATCACACTTTAATTTGCTTTCACACATTCATAGCATTCCCATGGTACGACTGGCAGACTAGCACTCCACTTAGAATAAAGCAACTACTTTTTTTCAAGCAATCAAGAAAAAAATAAATAAATACCTAATGACAATAAAACAAACATTAAACTGGCATTGCTTGGCTGCCATTTAGAAATAAAAGACCATTGTTGTTTTGTAAAAACCACACCTACAGCTTTGGTCTGTGAAATAACATCTTGGTCTGGTATTTTTTAGTAAAGACCTCTTGCTTGGTTAGTAAAAACTTCAACATATCTCGAAAACTACAAATCTACCAGTTGTGAAATAATTACACACTTTTCCAAGAAAACCAGAAGACTTCTAGCCAAACCCTCTATGCATAGCAAATCATATCTAAAAAATGAAATATCAATGACCGACTTAAAGAGGAGAAAAGAAAACTTTTTAAAATTTTTACCGATTAGCGGGAACATCAATTTTATAGATGACTTTGTCTGAAGCACTTTCTGCCTTGTTTTCTCCCTGCTCTTTTGAAATCATAACTTTTTCTGATGTCTATTGAAGCAGATAATACCATTAAAAAGGGATGTCAACATTGAGTAAATATCAGTTAGACGAGAATATAACATGTAAGAAAATACCACTTCATCTAGTTCAATTCCAAAATCAAAGCAAAGTTCATCAAATTCTTCATCCGCTAAAATGTAAAGAGAGACGGATTGAATGCCATTTTTATTTGTATCATCCACAGCTCAAACATTGAGTGCAAATGGATAAAAGTACTATTGTAATATACTCCTTTCAGGCCATTTGTTTATTTCGTACTATGTGTCCATACATTTGGTAAAAGCTTGTGTTCAATGTGCTGTAATGCAATATAGTTACACGGGAGTTAAGCTTTTTTCACAGTGTGCTTATACATGTCGTCCATATTATCAAAAACTTTGATGGTTGAAGACTTACAATTCACCTGTCATCTAGACGTTAGCAAAGACAAAAACGAGATATTCAGATGACTGATGACTTAATATGACATTTAACTTACAATATTCTTTCCCAAGCAATTTGAACAGCTCATCTCGTCCTACTTGAACTGTCGGCATTTTTAAAACACAACTTCCTGGAAAAATTCAAGATATGCAAGGCATCGAACCACTGATTTGGTGATTGAACCATGAAAACCTAGAACATCACGGGAAGGGATTAGATCCTTCAGAAGGTGAAAATGCACAATACTAGGAGTTACTATCATAACTAACGTTGCTGCCGATTATTTGCTTCATCCACATTTTCATACGATGAATATAAATAATAGTGAAATTGTTTTTATATAAGTTTAAATTATGTAAACAATGTTTTCTAATCAGTTGTCTACATTGATGAGGTACTATGACGGGCAATATAATCACTTCACTTTTTCCTCGACTAGCAAAAATACTACCATATTGGAAATATTACATCTTCGGAAAAACGCTATATTATGATAATTGCTGTGGGGGTTTTTGTAGTTTTTATGATTGTGGTTTTTTTGTGTCTTTATAAGTGAATTGTACTAGAATTTTCTCACACACATGGTCACTCGTATTTTCGCTTTGGCTAGTATAAATAGACAGAGCTTCAGAAAATAAGTCAATCTGTACATAGCAGGAAATGTTAAAATGCTTTTAATTGAAATTATGGAGAGGAAATATGTCAGGAATTGATACTTGATCAGGAAATAGTACTAACATAATATGCTAATATTGAGATTTCAACAAAAGTTTTTTCCACTTGTTTACAAATTCTTAACCTTTCCATTTAGCCTCACGCGAACGAAGAAACGGAATTTTATTTGACTTTCTATGTCGTTATTATTTGTGATCAAAAAGAATTTCAGCTTTAATAAAATCGCACATTTTATTTGAACTGTTGAAAATAATCAATTTAAAAAGAAGTTAAACCAAATCTTGCGGAAGACTGTTCGCTCGAGGATAAAGCCGAAAGACAAAGAAATGATTAATGGATTTGGAACAGTTTCATTTACATTTTTGGACGCCCAGTCAAATATAGTTATTTCAATCAGTCCACGACATGTGTACGACAATTACTGTCTAGTGAAATACCGAGCATTCATTGAATTTTAGCGCCTGCATTTATGCACAGTCGAGTACCGCAGAAAGACCCCTTCGATTTAATCACCAAGACATGTGGTTCCCCATTCGTATGACATAAATTTTGGTTGCCATGTAACCACATTTGAAACAAATAAAAAAAACCCCTGCATAACTCCGTTACAGTTAGGGCGTTACTAAACGACGACACGACGACGAAATTAAGAATTGTGATAAGTTTGCAATTGCTTGTTGATCGTCGCCAACAAAGGTTTACATCTTTTGTCTTTCTTTTACCCAGGAGAACGTCAAAAATATTCATCATTTGTATATTTGTAAATTTCACAATTCTACATGTTTGTAAAATTTGTGTCAATAAAATGACTGTTTTCCCCATACATAAATAGCTAAGTATTTATTTCAATAATTACCATTGTACTGTCTCATTAAAACGTGCAGACAAAGAACAGATCTTCTACGGCTTCCTAAAAATTTCCGCCCCAGATTGTTCCTTTTTGAAAGCAAAATTTACAGAGAGCGTTGTCGATGTTTTCCAGAGTTGAGAAACAGGATGGTTTTTCCTTCTAAATGACGAAGTTTATCACTGCAAGGGGAAAATACTGAACTTTAAATAGTTCAGGTTGCTCATTACGAAATGAATGCCTATAAGTTAAGGTAAATTTGAAACAGAGTTTCATCTACAACCAGCTCCGATTCAACACGAAGCTCTCGCTAAAAAAGGTTTCTTGTTTATCAAAACCAAAATACACGAATATTCGGTACAATTTGCATCATCATCAATATTGAGTAATAAAAATGTTTTTATTTCCTTCGCAAATGTCTAGCAAAGAATATAATTTAAAAGGAAATGGCGTGTGATGGAAAGGAATTGGCAAGGCGGGATAAAAGGCCTACCAACGGATTGATATCGAATATTCGAAGCCATCAAGGAAATGTTTAGATAACAACCAAAGAAACTGAAGAATATAAAGCACAAGGACAGAAGACGAACAAACATAAAGCGCGAGTGTGCACAAGAAAGGAATCCGGTTGAGATTTAGAAAATACAAAATCGTTGGAACGATGAAAGAGAGTCACATATTGCTTATCCTTCTGTTTGTCTTTGTCTCTTTTGCTTCGTCTTCTAAACTTAACAAAGAGTACATTTCTAAGTACACAGAAAAATTAAATGTTTTGGGCAAAGATCTTCTTTTGAAGTTTCGACCTACTACAGAAACCAAGAACGTCTCACAACATGGAAATCTTTCATACTGCCCAATAAATCCACAGCTTCGCAAGCAAATTCAACAGCTATTTGCATATGAAACAAAACATGATGTCAAATATTCGTCTGAAGATAGCATTGTTCGACAAAGAAGAAAAAGACGTTTGAGCAAAAGAGAAACGGTAAGTTTATTGATATAGAAATATTACACTACACTACATGACATACATATATATCTGAGGAGCAAATGTACGCATATAGAATGAAAGTCATTCTATAAAAGACTCCTGCACTTGGGACACAGGATGTACGGTTACACATTGTATGGATTGTACTGTAGAGTATATATATATACTATATATATACGGTGTCAGACTTTTACAGCAAAAAATCGATCGCAAGTGCAACATAGCAAAATATTTTCACGAGTTCAAACGCTTGTCCTTACGCGGGGTCGTCGCTAGAACGTTTTTTGGAAGTGATTGCATCTATATATTCATTTTCAAAATTGTTTAAAATCAGACATTTTCTTTTTGTGATGGGATATTACGAGTTCATGAAGTTTCGCATGGTTTTAATGATCAACAATATAATTCAAAAATTATAACTCCAAATTTTTCATCAATTCCATCTCTTATAGATAACCTGGTCGTTCAGCTGCGTTCAAGCTGCTTTCGTATTTGTCAATGGTATTTTGTCAATTAACATTCCCACAATGCAATGTTGTGAACAATGTAGTTTCCCAGCCTTCAGCCTTTGTGTGGCCCAAGGCAAAGGCAAGATTTGCCTACAGGAGGGGATTCAGTGTATTGATACATGTATTAAGACACATATATATCAGTGTAGTCTCTCAGTCGGTGTGATTGCTCAATCATCTATTGGTCTTACTCCAAGCAAGCCGAGTCGATGCTCTACAACAACAAAATTTATCAATTCAACGGCTTGCATTGAACGTGAATGCATTCCAGTAAACGTAGGAGCAACATACAGATAAATGAGTATGTTGTAACAATTAACATATTCTTAATTTCTATGTCGTTAGGTGAGAAGTAAATAATTACTTTTATTACGAAGTAGGTTTTATAAAAGACGCCGATAGACACACCACCAATTTTCATAATAAAATTCCATGTAACAAGACGGTTTTTTTCATCTTATTTATCTAAATGCAATAAAAGTATTTTGCAACAAGTTTAACTGTATATTATTTAATCTGAAGAACTCTTAAGTTAAAGACGAAACGTCATTAATAAAAAAATATTTAATCTCTCAAATCATCGAAATGGTTATATTAAAAATTATATGTGGGGAAGTCATACTTGTATTAAAAATTTGATTTCCGCCGGGCAAATCTCTGGCCATGATTTGAAATAATCTACGATGTACAGTCGGTTTATCAATCGTCAAAATACAGCAGCTATTAAATTTGATCATTTTATTAAAACATGCAAGAAAGATGAAGAATGTAAATCCCCAAAGATGATATCATTATATTATCATACAGTCGAGATTAAATGTGGTTCTAGAAGAACTGAAGAAGGTTCTACTTTCAAATTCCTTTACAGCAACGGAAATTGGATAATTCTAAGACTCGTTATTATCCAAAACTCATCACGTAAAAAAATATGAATTATTTACAAACTGAAACAAGGCAAAAAATATTTGACTATAGACTTGTCACAATCTTCTACGCATATTTGTATAAAGATGTGCTAGTAAAACCAACTGTATATTAGTGTCCAATTTGACTATAGACTTGTCACAATCTTCTACGCATATTTGTATAAAGATGTGCTAGTAAAACCAGCTGTATATTAGTGTCCAATTTTGGCCATTAAAACGTTTGTAACCACTAAACACATGATGCTAATCGTTGTTATAAAAGACGGGATTAACAAGGATCTTCTTAAAAATGACTGACTTGTCATAATATGCATTAAAGTTTTTAATGCTTTCATTTGGATGTCATCCCAAGTGGAAAGATCGAGATATTTTTATTATTCCAACAAACAACATGACGGTTTGAAGAAAATAATCACATCAGGAATCAGGGCAGAACAATTGTTTGTTTTTACTAAAATATTTTCACTGTCCATCAGCAAGGCTACACAGCTTGTTGTAGCAAAATTTTGGCAAACTTATACAAAGACTACTTGCGTCATTCTTTCCTGTATTAAATCTACCAATTTCAAAGACTACAAAAGATTGATCAATGTGTCACAAAGTAACGTCCTCATAACTAGCATTGATCATCTTTTTACAGGTTATCTTGTTTAGCTTTTCCAATAAACGTTGTTATTCTATAAGGACGCACGCATACTACTCACTTTTTCACAAATAAAATATATTTCTCAGAATGAACACCGAACATTCTCGGGATAGGGCGGGTTCTTTAAAGAGAGCGCTCTTTAGAATTTGAACAATGGTGCAGTAGCTTAAAAAGAGCTTCTATAATGACAATCGGATTTACACGTTTTAAAGTCTTTCACAACAAAAGATTTCCATGTCGAAGTGAAGTGTTTGAAAATACAAGAATGATAAATCAGCGAAGACTTATACATCAATAAAATTAGCAAAAGCCTTGCCAGAAAATTTAATTGAAGATGCTTTCGATTGAGTAAATCCTGTGGGTAAGTTTTAATCGAATTACGGCGCTGTAACAAAATATGGTGATTAGGAAAATGGTGTTTCCGTTTTCTAGAATAGGGAGCTACTTTTACTAGCATGATGACGTAATAGCAGAGATATACAAAAATAACGGACGTCAAAACTGTATAGCAGTATAGACACATCAAGAAAGTCGATTCAATAGAAACGAGAGGCAGGATATTTATCGCAATTGGTACGTAGATAATGATTTAATTCAACAAAATAATTCCAAAAGTAATGCTTGCGTTGATAAATGAACATGTTGACATGAGCGGCCGTAAGTTACTCGATTGTAATCATCTTGGATAGCTTTGTCTTTTGATAAAGTTATGAAATTATTTCTTACAGTACTAAAAAATTTGGTTGTAACTAGCTTGTTGTACATTATCAAGTTAAACGCAGTTATAATGAATCATCTCCACTTTAAACTCCAATACACATATTGTCTTTATCATATTACTGTTAAATCTTCCATCCATCTTTTTTTCATGGAATTTTCTTTGAGTATTTTTATAGATTACTTTAAATGTGTAACTTACATCTTGAAGGATGATACAAAAGGATTATGGCATGGATGAAAGTTCTTTATGGAGGCATGTTGATTCTGACAACAATGATGATGACAAATGCCTCACTCACAAGGACGCTGCAAATTTCCCCCGTCAAAGACTCAAGATACTGCAATGAATCACAATTAATAGCTTCCATTTCGAAACAAGGTCGCAACAAACGCTCGGTAGGTTGAGAAAGGCTCATGGTATTCTTTGCATTGCTCTTTTGTAATGAAACCAAACGATGTGACTTGATGATGTTACACAGCAGAGAAAGAAGGACTTAATTAATTGTTAAGAAACTTGTACGTCAGATAAACACTAGGACTATTCCAAAGTTTTCAGCGTTCGTCAATACCATATTTATGCAGCCGTTGAAATGTCAGACCATTCAGAGTAAACAAGTTCTGAAAATAACATTGTTTGCCGACTAATTGCTTTCGGAAAGCCATCATAACACGAAGGAATTATCATTCAAAAGATTACAAAGTTTCATCTTGACTCAAGTCATTTTCTTTTATACCCAATAATGACCATAGTTGCTTAGTCTAAGACAATTCTCTCCATTTGAATATAGACAATACAATGGCCATTTAATTGTGTGCATCCAAGTGTTATGAAATACAATGGCGAATATCAACTGATGTTAGATATTTTCAAGTGTTGTCAGAAGTGTGAAACTCCAAAGTTTGCGAGATGCGTCAAAAATCGTCCGAAGGATTCATCGTTGGTATGTCCCAGTAAAGGCATACGTTGCATGTTTGATTGTATCAAAAAGCATGGACCACGAGAACGTCAGAGACCTGGTCCCCCCGGTCCCAAAGGAGAGCTGGGGGGTCAAAAAGGTCAAATACCCGTTGGGAGACCCGGTCCCCCCGGTCCCAAAGGAGGCCAGGGGGGTCAGATCATAAGCCCCCCAAAGTTTGAATGTGAAAGAAAGGAAACACTTCCAAATGGAAACACCTGTATACGTAGATTATGTATCAAGTTACTGTAAGAGTACGCGTGAAGAATTGAGCATTATAAAAATAAAAGAAAATCTTTGGCTAAAAATCTTTGTACTGCTTATAGTAAGTGTTTATTATTTCGCCGTGAAGATTTAAGCAAGCTGATACGAGTAAATCAACTCGTACATATATAAATCAGTTGTTGTCGTGACTCATCCAGCCTGATCCAGGATGAGTAGTCGTCATTAGAATCAATAAAGCCGATTTGATCCTACTTACACTTTTGTAGGATAGGAAAATTTGTTTATTTAGAAGAAAAACAGTGAATGACTTTAATTTTCCAAACAAAAGGATGTCTTTAGTCATCAAACATCAGCGAGGAAGTAAATATTAAATTGGTTAAGTGCAGTAAAATGATAAACGGTCGGTTACCTTTCTCGGTCCATTAATTTCAAATGATCTGCCACATTTCACAGTTGTAAAATTCAAATCACTTTCTTGACAATGTCAGAACCTGCAATGAATCAAGTATAACAATGATTATTTCAAGAACTTTTCTGGACCGAGGAGAATTTATCTAAAACATCAAAAGAGACAGTAGGAAGAATTTGTAAGAATTGAGAAATGAAAAACGGGCATTCATTTTTATGACTCTGGGCTTTTTATGACTCTGCATATTTATGTACAATCAATATTGCTGTTTGCTGATCTTAAACGTTGAACCACGTTATAAACGCAGAATTTTTGTAAAATAATCAAGGGTCATAACTCATAACTCAACAAATCTTATCTTTAGAAAGGAGTCACTTGTCCACAAACGTTGAGAAGCGTGTTATTTTTGATAAATGAACATCGAAATATTGCAATAATGCAACCACACCGTGAACCACAAACTTTTGGCTAACAGTGAACGTTAAAGTTTGACCGTTTGCCAAAAGTTGAGAGTTTTGAGATTTTGAAAATTCAAAAACAGCCGTTATTTAAGCCGGATGTGTTACTTAAACGCACTTAATGAAACGTGCATAAGAAGATGACGGTTTGGCAGTTGGTTGGTGCAATGACGAAATCATCACAACAGCAATCATAGCGAAACATAGCGACGTTTATTCAAACCTTTCCCCGTCTTTAAAACTGTAAAACCACCAACACCACCAGCACCTACTAAACCAGTAATATTTTCCCCCGTCAAAGACTCAAGATACTGCAGTGAATCCAAAATAGTAGATATCCTTTCAAAACATAGTCGCAAGAAACGCTCGGTAAGTTATTATTTCAATATGGCCTTTCAGAATAAAACAATCGATCTTTAAAATGTACAGTTGAACACATTTGTGCCCTTGACTGCTCGAGGATTTCAATTGAAAAATGAAATTCAAATTGTGCTTCATTTTAGCTACATGCATGGATGTATAGAAACGAATTAAGACTTTTAAAACTAACCAATTGTTATATAAATTCAGGACCTGATCTATGGCTTAAGGCCACATAAAGGATTAAAGAGATTACAGTAGAATATTTCAAGCTGTGAATCAATATATCCATTTTGTATCATGCTCGATTGTCAGTGTAGACGATGAAATTTATGAAAAGATGACAACCATATTTTCTAAATGTAAAATAGACATTTCTGTTCATATTTATATAGGTCAAACTTTGGCCATATGATTGCACATATCCAAGTATTGTCAACCATCAGGGCAGTTATCAATTCATGTATGATATTTACCAGTGCTGTAAGAAATGTGACCTTCCAACGTACACCTTGTGCATGAAAAAGTATCAACGCTCTCCCCCATGGAGATGCCCCAGTGACGGAATCCATTGCATTCTTGAATGCGTAGCAAAATATGGGCCACAGAAACCTACCACGATCATAAAACCAAGTATTTCCAAAATTAAAGGAGGTCATAAAGTCATCGGCATAAAGCCCCCCAAGAACAAGTGTGAAAAAGGGAAAACTTCCAAATGGAAAAACCTGTTTACGTAGATTATGTATCAAGTTGAAAGTTTAAACTAACTGTAAAATATCGAGCATGCATAAAAAAAGAAAATAAAAGTCAAGTTTAAACTGAGTCATGCGTATAACAGAGAACAAAATGGTTGACTTATGCTTCTGGTTACAAGAAGTTCGTTGAGCTCCGTATTATCATTTGATTTAAAAGTAAAAGTCTTTCATTTCCCCAATGACAAGTGGAAAAGTTGCGTTGCATTTTTCCCCGTAAACTTATGGTTTTAAAGTTGCCATGACAGAAGCACGTTAACCTCAGCTTCCTAAATTAGCAGTTGTGTGAAGGACGTTTTAGGCCATCAATCAACCTAATACAACTTCCAATTATTAAAATTCCGCTGGATAAGCTATATTTGACCTGTCAAATTTTCAATTGTTTACTCACCACAAGAATTCAATGATCTCCATTTTCCACGTAAAGATAAATGAGCCTCCAGTGATGTTTCAAAACATCCTTTCAGCTGCGGAATGTTCGCTTCAGTTAAAACATCCTGAATGACTGAGATAAGATTAAGTCCTAGAAGAAAATTATCAATCAGTATTTCAAGAATGTTCCTGAACTGAATACGTACAACAATAACAATAAGTAATTTAACGACCCACTTAACTTGCAAATAAAATATATAAAAAAGTAAAAATTGTTTTGCGCGCATGTATAGTGTCTCTTGCTTTGTAACCATTGTCACATATATCGTGAAGAAAGCAGATTCAATTGAAAACAAGAGTCAACTCAGTCAAAGTATGCAGAGTTTAACAGAATCGGTAAAAACAGACACTATTATACTCCATTCACATTAATACCAGACCTAAGGCTTGTATTGGTATGACAATGTTGATGCAACGGTCGTTACTCGATAAAATCATATTTTTCTCTAGTGATGAAATAGTGAAATTGTGTACATGACAAAAAAGTTGGCTGTAACAAGTAACCTAGCGATTCACTTGTCGACTTAAAACTTTCGAAAAAGATTACTATTATTACCAATGACAAACAATGAAACTTTCTGTACAATGATGTATATATTGAGTCCATAATAATTCTGAGGAATTTCATTTTTATCTCTGCACGTGTCGTGGAGATTCCCCGATGAAATTTTCATTAGGTATTTTTTAGAGTCTTCAACGATAATCATTTGTTGAAGGATCACATGCATGATGGGATGGATAACTGTTCTTCACGGAGTAATTTTGTTGCTGACAACAATGGCATGTGCTTGGAAAGGTCTACCAACGTTTGTGCGTAGACGACGTTTATTCAAACCTTTCCCTGTTTTTAAAACTGTAAAACCACCAACACCACCACCACCTACTAAACCAGTAATATTTCCCCCCGTCAAAGACTCAAGATACTGCAATGAATCCAAAATAGTAGCTATCCTTTCAAAACATAGTCGCAAGAAACGCTCGGTAAGTTAATATTTGAACATGGCCTTTCAGAATAAAACAATCGATCTTTAAAATGTACAGTTGAACACATTTGTGCCCTTGACTGCTCGAGGATTTCAATTGAAAAATAAAATTCAAATTGTGCTTCATTTTTAGCTACATGCTTGGATGTATAGAAACGAATTAAGACTTTTAAAAACTAACCAATTGTTATATAAATTCAGGACCTAATCTATGGCTTAAGATAACATAAAGGATTAAAGTGATTACAGTAGGATATCTCAAGCTGTGAATCAATATATCCATTTTGTCTTATGCTCGATTTTCTGTGTAGACGATGAACTAACTGTAAAGTATCGAGCATGAACAAAAAAAGAAAATAAAAGTCAAGTTTAAACTGAGTCATGCATATAACAGAGAACAAAATGGTTGACTTATGCTTCTGGTTACAAGAAGTTCGTTGAGCTCCGTATTATTATTTGATTTAAAAGTAAAAGTCTTTCATTTCCCCAAATGTTTCAGTTGCGTTGCATTTTTCCTGCAAACTTATGATTTTAAAGTTGCCATGACAGAAGCACGTTAACCTCAGCTTCCTAAATTAGCAGTTGTGTGAAGGAAATTTTAGGCCATCAATCAACCTAATACACCTTCCAATTATTAAATTTCCGCTTGATAAGCTATATTTGACCTGTCAAAGCTATATTTGGCCTTTCAAATGTTTACTCACCACAAGAATTCAATGACCTTTATTTTCCACGTAAAGATAAATAAACCTCCAGTGATGTTTCAAAACATCCTTTCAGCTGCCGAATGGTCGCTTCAATTAAAACATCCTGAATGACTGAGATAAGATTAAGTCCTAGAAGAAAATTATCAATCAGTATTTCAAGAATGTTCCTGAACTGAATACGTACAACAATAACAATGTATTTTTAACTTACACAGCATGTTCAGAGGCAACAAACTACGCAAGTAGAATTAATTTTGTGCCAGGGGGAAACCGGATTTAAGAGTTTTGAATTTCATGAAATCCAAATTTCATGAGTAAAAATGTAGAGAGGATTTTAAAATTTCTAGAAAAGATTATACTAATTTTTGAAATAGGTTTTATTCCTATAGCTTTCAAAAAGTGTCAACGTGAGAGATTTTCACTGACAATTGAACGAGTGAGCAGCAAATTTACCTAGTTTACGTAAGGCTATTTTTGCAAATCAAATCCATCTTAGCGAAATTTCTTTAAGTAATTTTATTAAGGAAGCCGAAATTTGATATTTTCTTTAGTCTAGCTTCAGCAACACGGATTGAACATGGCCACGCCATACATTATAAAGTTTTCATTAACAAAGAACTCATCCCATTTCAAACTTTTCGTGTGCCGTACGCTTTCGAAACAAAAAATAATAACAAAGAACCTGTCAACGCGGTCTAATATTTTCTTGAACGGAACACAACAGAGGCTAACCCAACCCAAATATAAGTTCTGCTATGCAAATTTTTTACCAAAATTATCATTTATTTTTTCAGAAAATATATTTCCTTCATCGTTTTCCAGTGACAAAACAAAAAATATTTGCAAATAGCTTCCAATCTCATGTAGCCCTTGCAATGAAATGTACGTTTACAAGTTATACGAACCGATTCCCAAGCATGATTGGAAGGAACATATTGAAAGTATAAATTCGATTCAAAATGTTAATCGTCATCATCAAAGTTCTTGGTTCGTTCTTTACATTAACAAGTGAATTATTTTAAGTATTGGAAGATTAAGTGCAAAGAATTCCTACACTTACAAATTCTATATCATTTCCTAAACCATTAAAGGTATTAAAGTATCTTTGTTTCACAGCAACGTATGCACAAGACAGCAGGAGATATGATAAAGTGGAGGCGTCTTGCAGTGTACTCCTGCATGTATTTCATAGGTTGAATGGTAAAAAAGCGCCTCACCAAGTTTACCCACTGAAAAAATATGTGACTTCGACTTCCCGAGATATCACGGGACCAAATGGTATAAAAATGAAGCGATTTGTTGCTGGTGAGAGCATCAAGAATACAGAGCATTGAGGAAACGGCTAGCTATAACAGAAAAGCAAAGGTATCTAAGACCAAGGCATAAAGAATGATGAAGTTTATAGTCGCCTTATTCCTTCTCGTTCAAGTCATTTTTACTGTGATCGATCAAGGAGAAGCTAAACGCGTTGTGAAATCAAAAAGTCGAAAGCCATTTCTACCAAGTTGCCCTTCAACACGTTCAAAATATCTGAAAATCGCTAAAATAAGTCTGCTTGAAGGACAAAGAAGAAAGACATCGGTAGGGATATTAAAAAGTTTTACCGCTAGAATATAAAAATAGGAACGGATAATTGTACCGCTCTTCTTAGCTACCACAAAAGAATCAACTAGATCACTTACGAATATGCCTCCATACCAGAGGATTAAGTTAAGAATAAAACTATTGTCTCATATCAAAAGTAAATAAATCTCCTTGGAATGTACCATATCGATAGACAGTCAAACAAAGAAATTGCTCCTTAAGAAAACCGCAATAATTTATATCTATGTTTAATTATTAAAGAGAGTTAAATACAAGGTAAGTCTATCGTATGTACCTAAGTTGTCGTACTGACACTCATTTCAAGTGATGGAATCTAATTGTTGGCGTGCAACAGATATTTTAAACATATTTATGGTCAAAATTCTTACGACTCGAATTGATAAGTTTAAATGAACGAACATGAAAAAGTCAGCTGTAGTTTATGCCTGAAGGCAAATTACCCAAGCATTTCGTCCAATTATATAGTTCGAATTCTTGTAAGAAAGGAAATTTGCAAGGTTGATGGTTAATCGCTCATTTTCACACCAAGCATGGTTCAACAAATACGCAAAATTGATCCTTATAACCCCACTAACACAAATTTTATTATGCTATGGCAAAAATATTGGTCAGAGATTGGATTGAAGATAAATTCACAACAGTAATCCTGAAAAAGGATTTCTAAATTTCTAAAAAAAACAATGCTTAAATAGCCAATCAGTATATAGAATTTCTAATCGAAAATTCGAAGTAGCCAGTGGCCAGCATCGATAACTGGGGGAGGGTGGGTAATAACAGTGACATGTATATTCTTTTCTAACACACAATTGATTAGGTTTTATTGTAATAATGTGATTTTTTATTTTCTTCCGCAAATAGGCATCCGACTTTCCTGTTAAGTGTGTACATCTGGCTTTGATTATGGCAAATGGAATTTCGACTTTCCACTTGGATACTTATGAATGCTGCAAGACATGCTATGATAAGTTTTTGAAGTGTCTCAAAACGCATGCAAACAACCCCCACAAACTTTCCATTTGCCGAAATGAAGCATTTTCTTGTATCTGCAGATGTCACCAACGAAGTGCAAAAAAATGCACATCAAATAAATGCACGCCAGGCGGATGTTGTCTGCAACAACAATGTATCACGTTGTAAACCAAATCTCCAGTGAAACGACTTGGTTGAAACATTCTTACAGCACTAACGAGTTTAGCTACATGCATGCAATGTTAATTACAATGATTGTCAGATATTCAACGTAAAAGATAATAAAAATAAAATTTGAATTTCAGTTCTCCGTATTTTGTTTACGATCATTAAAACTTTCAGTTTTTGTGGGTAGCCTGTACGCAGGGCACATATGAACCTCAGCTTCCTAAATTAGCAGTTGTGTGAAGGAAGTTTTAGGCCATTAATCAACCTAATACAACTTCCAATTATTAAATTTTTGCTAGATAAGCAATAACCAGTCAAATTTTCAAGTGTTTACTCACCACAAGAATTCAATGACCTTTATTTTCCACGTAAAGATAAATAAACCTCCAGTGATGTCTCAAAACATCCTTTCAGCTGCCGAATGGTCGCTTCAGTTAAAACATCCTGAATGACTGAGATAAGATTAAATCCTAGAAGAAAATTATCAATCAGTATTTCAAGAATGTTCCTGAACTGAATACGTACAACAATAACAATGTATTTTTAACTTATACAGCATGTTCAGAGGCAACAAACTACGCAAGTAGAATTAATTTTGTGCCAGGGGGAAACCGGATTTAAGAGTTTTTAAGAGTTTTGAATTTCATGAAATCCACCGGATCGAAAGAACAATGAGAACGCTTTTGACAAAAGCTAAATGTGGTGTAAAAATGTAGAGAGGATTTTAAAATTTCTACAAAAGATTATACTAATTTTTGAAATAGGTTTTATTCCTATAGCTTTCAAAAAGTGTCAACGCGAGAGATTTTCACTGATAATTGAACGAGTGAGCAGCAAATTTACCTAGTTTACGTAAGGCTATTTTTGCAAATCAAATCCATCTTAGCAAAATTTCTTTAAGTAATTTCATTAAGGAAGCCGAAATTTGATATTTTCTTTAGTCTAGCTTCAGCAACACGGATTGAACATGGCCACGCCATACACTATAAAGTTTTAATGAACAAAGAACTCATCCCATTTCAAACTTTTCGTGTGCAGAACGCTTTCGAAACAAAAAATAATAACAAAGAACCTGTCAACGCGGTCTAATATTTTCTAGAACGAAACACAACAGAGGCTAACCCAACCCAAATATAACTTCTGCTATGCAAATTTTTTTACCAAAATTATCATTCATTTTTTCAGAAAATATATTTCCTTCATCGTTTTTCCAGTGACAAAACAAAAAATATTTGCAAATAGCTTCCAATCTCATGTTACCCTTGCAATGAAATGTACGTTTACAAGTTATACGAACCGATTCCCAAGCATGATTGGAAGGAACATATTGAAAGTATAAATTCGATTCAAAATGTTAATCGTCATCATCAAAGTTCTTGGTTCGTTCTTTACATTAACAAGTGAATTATTTTAAGTATTGGAAGATTAAGTGCAAAGAATTCCTACACTTACAAATTCTATATCATTTCCTAAACCATTAAAGGTATTAAAGTATCTTTGTTTCACAGCAACGTATGCACAAGACAGCAGGAGATATGATAAAGTGGAGGCGTCTTGCAGTGTACTCCTGCATGTATTTCATAGGTTGAATGGTAAAAAGCGCCTCACCAAGTTCACCCACTGAAAAATATGTGACTTCGACTTCCCGAGATATCACGGGACCAAATGGTATAAAAATGAAGCGATTTGTTGCTGGTGAGAGCATCAAGAATACAGAGCATTGAGGAAACGGCTAGCTATAACAGAAAAGCAAAGGTATCTAAGACCAAGGCATAAAGAATGATGAAGTTTATAGTCGCCTTATTCCTTCTCGTTCAAGTCATTCTTACTGTGATCGATCAAGGAGAAGCTAAACGCGTTGTGAAATCAAAAAGTCGAAAGCCATTTCTACCAAGTTGCCCTTCAACACCTTCAAAATATCTGAAAATCGCTAAAATAAGTCTGCTTGAAGGACAAAGAAGAAAGAGATCGGTAGTAAAATTAAAAAGTTTTACCGCTAGAATATAAAAATAGGAACGGATAATTGTACCGCTCTTCTTAGCTACCACAAAAGAATCAACTAGATCACTTACGAATATGCCTCCATACCAGAGGATTAAGTTAAGAATAAAACTATTGTCACAAATAAAAAGTACATAAATCTCCTTGGAATGTACCATATCGATAGACAGTCAAACAAAGAAATTGCTTCTTAAGAAAACCGCAGTAATTTATATCTATGTTTAATTATTAAAGAGAGTTAAATACAAGGTAAGTCTATCGTATGTATCTAAGTTGTCGTACTGACACTCATTTCAAGTGATGGAATCTAATTGTTGGCGTGCAACAGATATTTTAAACATATTTATGGTCAAAATTCTTACGACTCGAATTGATAAGTTTAAATGAACGAACATGAAAAAAAGTCAGCTGTAGTTTATGCCTGGAGGCAAATTACCAAAGCATTTCGTCCAATTATATAGTTCGAATTCTTGTAAGAAAGGAAATTTGCAAGGTTGATGGTTAATCGCTCATTTTCACACCAAGTATGGTTCAACAAATACGCAAAATTGATCCTTATAGCCTAACTAACACAAATTTTGATTATGCTATGGCAAAAATATTGGTCAGAGATTGGATTAAAGATAAATTCACAACAGTAATCCTGAAAAAGGATTTCCAAATTTCTAAAAAAACAATGCTTAAATAGCCAATCAGTATATAGAATTTCTAACCGACAATTGGAAGTAGCCAGTGGCCAGCATCGATAACTGGGGGAGGGTGGGTAATAACAGTGACATGTATATTCTTTTCTAACAATCAATTGATTAGGTTTTATTGTAATAATGTAAAATCATTTTCCAAAAATCTTAATTATGCGTGATTTTTTATTTTCTTCCGCAAATAGGCATCCGACTTTCCTGTTAACTGTGTACATCTGGCTTTCATTGTGGTAAATGGAAATTTGGTTTTCCACACGGGTATTAAAGAATGCTGCAACGAATGTAAATTTCCAAAGTTTGTGCAGTCTCGCCATAGCCATGCAAACAACCCCCACGAACTTTACATTTGCCGAAGTGAAGCATTTTCTTGTAGCTGCAAATGTCTCCAACCAAGTGCAGCGAGAAGGCAAGCGAGAAGAAAATGCACATCGAAAGTATGCACGCTGCGCAATTGTTGTATGCAACAAAATGTATCAAGTTGAAAACGAAACCTCCAGTGATACATTTTGCTCAAAACAATTTTAGAAGACCAATGAACACTACACTTTTACAAACCAAATTTCAGACTCTGGCCAAAGCTGGAAAATAAAGAACAACCAATAGTTGAAAGTTATTAAATAAAAGTATGACCAAAAGCGGCAATATCTTTCTTTTTTCATTGCTGATTGTTTTATTGTGCTATGATTCGTTTGGAAGGCGTATACCTTTCTGTAGGTCGAGGGATGTTACGGCTATTCTTAGAGCGATATCTCTTCGACGGACAAAACGTGCGGTAGGTCACGCACTTTATGCAAATGAAGAAAGAGTAAGAAATGTAATTTATTAGCCGCTCGCTTCGACTACTGATCACATTCGCACATTTATATTAACGCTCATAAACAATTTGTGAAAACAATAATCAGCAACAACCTCTTTGACGAGGCTTGAAAAATGTCGCGTGTCATTGCCTTTTTACACTGCTTTGAAAGTAGCGCTAATTTCCCAAGCAATTTAGGGATGAGTCGATTGATCGGTAAATGGTCAGCCTTAGTAAGAAGCAGTCATCTCTTATCAGTTATCAATCTTCTTCAGCGTATAAATATGTTAAAATAGCAATCACATCATTCACATGTGAAACCTTTACTTTAAAATTCATACAAGAAAAAATGCAAGAAATGTCGTGATACTTGGTACCTGATAAAGATCCATCATCTCGACAGCTGTATATTCCTTATGCTAGAGCAGTAAAAAAAGTTGAACTAAAATTAATCTGTCCAATTACCACAGTAAACATTGATAGCAGAGATGTGCGCAGCGGGGAATGTGGGGTGAGGTGTGAAAACCACACATTTTGTCGAGCGGGGAATGTAGAGTGAGGTGTGAAAACCACAAATTGTGCCGAGCGGGGAATGTGGGGTGAGGTGTGAAAACCACACATTTTGTCGAGCGGGGAATGTAGAGTGAGGTGTGAAATCCACACATTGTGCCGAGCGGGGAATGTGGGGTGAGGTGTGAAACCCACACATTTTGCCGAGCGGGGAATGTGGGAATCCGAAATCGAGAAAAAATTTTCTAGAACCGCACAGCTTTAAAAGGCAGTTGAAAATGCTATCAAGAAAAGCATTTTATCGCAGGGACGTATGAAGCCATTGTTGTTTAAAGACTATAAAATGTACATATAAATAAAGCTCGCCGACATTATCGACCTTCCTATGTCCGTCCATGTTTCATGCACGTTCAATCTTATGAAAAACCCCCTTAAATTGAATGCTTTTAGTACACTTCAGACTACAAATGTTTCATGCGCGTTCCATCTTATAAAAAACACTCTAAAATTGAATGCTTTTAGTACACTTCAGACTACAAATGTTTCATGCGCGTTCCATCTTATAAAAAACACTCTAAAATTGAATGCTTTTAGTACACTTCAGACTACAAATGTTTCATGCGCGTTCCATCTTATAAAAAACACCCTAAAATTGAATGCTTTTAGTACACTTCAGACTACAAATGTTTCATGCGCGTTCCATCTTATAAAAAACACTCTAAAATTGAATGCTTTTAGTACACTTCAGACTACAAAGACATGGTAATGTATAATTTATAATGTTTAACAAGATGCTTTACTATGTTTAATGCTGGTGCCTTTTAAGCTGGCATAGAATCAGATCCAAGCTTTACACCACTTGCAAAAATTTGCCACACCACAAATTTCATTATTACAAAACATCAATTCAAGGGCAAAAAATCATCAAACAAAGTTAGCACAATCTTCAACAAACCTTATTCAAGGGCACAAATTTTATGTCTTGTGGAGTTCTCGCATCATACAGAAAAGGTCCTTTGACGGTGTCAAGGTCATGAGTGCCTATAGCTACCAATGTTCGCTTTCGACAAATGTTCTGATGCAGCTTATCTTGTAGGTCAATGAAGCTGTTGTAACTCTCCTGTAGATCAGTTAAGTTAGACATTTTATAGCATACTTCATTTCATTTGATTAAGAAGAAATAAAATGAAATCATGAAACATTAGAAAAATGCTATGTCCATTTACGTACATTAAAATTGTTGGTAAGATTTCTTGAAAAGTACATATTTAGTTGTGTTAATGTCACATCAGATGGCATTCACATTAAATAACATACTTGTGTTAAAGTCACATCATACGTATAGGTATTCACATTAAATAACATACTTGTGTTAAAGTCACATCATTCGTAGATACTGCTATGAATCACAATTAATAGCTTCGATTTCGAAACAAGGTCGCAGCAAGCGCTCGGAAGGTTAAGAAAGGCTCGACGGTATTCTTTGCATTGCTCTTTTGTAATGAAACCAAACAAATTGACTTGATGATGTTACACAGCAGAGAAAGAAGGACTTAATTGATTGTTAAGAAACTTGTACGTCAGATAAACACTAGGACTATTCCAAAGTTTTCAGCGTTCGTCAATACCATATTTATGCAGCCGTTGAAATGTCAGACCATTCAGAGTAAACAAGTTCTGAAAATAACATTGTTAGCCGACTAATTGCTTTCGGGAAGCCATCATAACACGAAGGAATTATCATTCAAAAGATTACAAAGTTTCATCTTGACTCAAGTCATTTTCTTTTATACCCAATAATGACCATAGTTGCTTAGTCTAAGACAATTCTCTCCATTTGAATATAGACAACAAAATGGCCATTTAACTGTGTGCATCCAAGTTTTATGAAATACAAGGGCGAATATCAACTGATGTATGATATTTTCAAGTGTTGTCAGAAATGTGAAACTCCAAAGTTTGCGAGATGCGTCAAAAATCGTCCGAAGGATTCATCGTTGGTATGTCCCAGTAAAGGCATACGTTGCATGTTTGGTTGTATCAAAAAGCATGGACCACGAGAACGTGAGAGACCTGGTCCCCCCGGTCCCAAAGGAGACATGGGGGGTCAAAAAGGTCAAATAACCGTTGGGAGACCCTGTCCCCCATGTCCCAAAGGAGGCCAGGGGGGTCAGATCATAAGCCCCCCAAAGTTTGAATGTGAAAGAAAGGAAACACTTCCAAATGGAAACACCTGTATACGTAGATTATGTATCAAGTTAGTTTAAGAGTACGTGTGAAGGATTGAGCATTATAAAAATAAAAGAAAATCCTTTGGTAGAAATCTTTGTACTGCTTATAGTAAGTGTTTATTATTTCGCCGTGAAAATTTAAGCAAGCTGATACGAATAAATCAACTCGTACATATATAAATCAGTTGTTGTCGTGACTCATCCAGCCTGATCCAGGATGAGTAGTCGTCATCAGAATCAATAAAGCCGATTTGATCCTACTTACACTTTTGTAGGATAGGAAAATTTGTTTATTTAGAAGAAAAACAGTGAATGACTTTAATTTTCCAAACAAAAGGATGTCTTTAGTCATCAAACATCAGCGAGGAACTAAATATTAAATTGTTTACGTGCAGTAAAATGATAAATGGTTGGTTACCTTTCTCGGTCCATTAATTTCAAATGATCTGCCACATTTCATAGTTGTAAAATTCAAATCACTTTCTTGACAATGTCAGAACCTGCAATGAATCAAGTATAACAATGATTATTTCAAGAACTTTTCTGGACCGAGGAGAATTTATCTAAAAAATCAAAAGAGACAGTAGGAAGAATTTGTAAGAATTGAGAAATGAAAAACGGGCATTCATTTTTATAACTCTGAGCTAAAAAACTGCCCTGCATATTTATGTACAATCAATATTGCTGTTTGCTGATCTTAAACGTTGAACCACGTTATAAACGCAAAATTTTTGTAAAATAATCAAGTGTCATAACTCATAACTCAACAAATCTTATCTTTAGAAAGGAGTCACATGTCTACAAACGTTGAGAAGCGTGTTATTTTTGATAAATGAACAACGAAATATTGCAATAATGCAACCACAACATGAACCACAAACTTTTGGCTAACAGTCAACGTCAACGTTTGTGTGTTATCACATGTTGAGAGTTTTGAGATTTTGAAAATTCAAAAACAGCCGTTATTTAAGCCGGATGTGTTACTTAAACGCACTTAATAAAAACGTGCATAAGAAGATGACGGTTTGGGTGTTGGTTAGTACAATGACGAAATCATCACAACAGCAATCATAGCGAAACATTTTTTTTTTGTAAGGATATTTTCATTCCCCACGAAGAAGATTATGACTTTTTCTTGTTTAGTCAAGAGCCATGCAATCTACCACATATATACTATAAGAGCTGCAAAGTATCACACAAGTGATTCGACGACTACGGAAGTGATCATGCGCAATAAGTAATTTAACGACCCACTTAACTTGCAAATAAAATATATAAAGAAGTAAAAATTGTTTTGCGCGCATTTATAGTGTCTCTTGCTTTTGAATCATTGTCACATATATCCTCAAGAAAGCGGATTCAATTGAAAACAAGAGTCAATTCAGTCAAAGTACGCAGAGTTTAACAGAATCGGTAAAAACAGACACTATTATACTCCATTCACATTAATACCAGACCTAAGGCTTGTATTGGTATGACAATGTTGATGCAACGGTCGTTACTCGATAAAATCATATTTTTCTCTAATGATGAAATAGTGAAATTGTGTACATGACAAAAAAGTTGGCTGTAACAAGTAACCTAGCTTTTCACTTGTCGACTTGAAACCATCAAACAATATTACTATCATTACCAATGACAAACAATGAAACTTTCTGTACAATGATGTATATATTGAGTCCATATTAATTCTGAGGAATTTCATTTTTATCTCTGCACGTGTCGTGGAGATTCCCCGATGAAATTTTCATTAGGTATTTTTTAGAGTTTTCAACGATAATCATTTGTTGAAGGATCACATGCAATACGGGATGGATAGCTGTCATTCACGGAGTAATTTTGTTGCTGACAACGATGGCATGTGCTTGGAAAGGTCTACCACCGTTTATGCGTAGACGACGTTTATTCAAACCTTTCCCCGTCTTTAAAACTGTAAAACCACCAACACCACCACCACCCACTAAACCAGTAATATTTTCCCCCGTCAAAGACTCAAGATACTGCAGTGAATCCAAAATAGTAGCTATCCTTTCAAAACATAGTCGCAAGAAACGCTCGGTAAGTTAATATTTGAATATGGCTATTCAGAATAAAACACTCGATCTTTAAAATGTACAATTTAACACATTTGTGCCCTTGACTGCTAGAGGATTTCAATTGAAAAATGAAATTCAAATTGAGCTTCATTTTTAGCTACATGCATGGATGTATAGAAACGAATTAAGACTTTTAAAAACTAACCAATTGTTATATAAATTCAGGACCTGATCTAAGGCTTAAGGCAACATAAAGGATTAAAATGATTACAGTAGGATATTTCAAGCTGTGAATCAATATATCCATTTTGTATTATACTCGATTTTCTTTGTAGACGATGAAATTTATGAAAAGATGACAACCATATTTTCTAAATGTAAAACAGACATTTCTGTTCATATTTATATAGATCAAACTTTGGCCATATGATTGCACATATCCAAGTATTGTCAACCATCAGGGAAGTTATCAATTCATGTATGATATTTACCAGTGCTGTAAGAAATGTGACCTTCCAACGTACACCTTGTGCATGAAAAAGTATCAACGCTCTCCCCCATGGAGATGCCCCAGTGACGGAATCCATTGCATTCTTGAATGCGTAGCAAAATATGGGCCACAGAAACCTACCACGATCATTAAACCAAGTATTTCCAAAATTAAAGGAGGTCATAAAGTCATCGGCATAAAGCCCCCCAAGAACAAGTGTGAAAAAAGGGAAAAACTTCCAAATGGAAAAACCTGTTTACGTAGATTATGTATCAAGTTGAAAGTTTAAACTAACTTTAAAATATCGAGCATGCATAAAAAAAGAAAATAAAAGTCAAGTTTAAACTGAGTCATGCGTATAACAGAGAACAAAATGGTTGACTTATGCTTCTGGTTACAAGAAGTTCGTTGAGCTCCGTATTATCATTTGATTTAAAAGTAAAAGTCTTTCATTTCCCCAATGACAAGTGGGAAAGTTGCGTTGCATTTTTCCCCGTAAACTTATGGTTTTAAAGTTGCCATGACAGAAGCACGTTAACCTCAGCTTCCTAAATTAGCAGTTGTGTGAAGGACGTTTTAGGCGATCAATCAACCTAATACAACTTCCAATTATTAAAATTCCGCTGGATAAGCTATATTTGACCTGTCAAATTTTCAATTGTTTACTCACCACAAGAATTCAATGATCTCCATTTTCCACGTAAAGATAAATGAGCCTCCAGTGATGTTTCAAAACATCCTTTCAGCTGCGGAATGTTCGCTTCAGTTAAAACATCCTGAATGACTGAGATAAGATTAAGTCCTAGAAGAAAATTATCAATCAGTATTTCAAGAATGTTCCTGAACTGAATACGTACAACAATAACAAGTAATTTAACGACCCACTTAACTTGCAAATAAAATATATAAAAAAGTAAAAATTGTTTTGCGCGCATGTATAGTGTCTCTTGCTTTGTAACCATTGTCACATATATCGTGAAGAAAGCAGATTCAATTGAAAACAAGAGTCAACTCAGTCAAAGTATGCAGAGTTTAACAGAATCGGTAAAAACAGACACTATTATACTCCAGTCACATTAATGCCAGACCTAAGGCTTGTATTGGTATGACAATGTTGATGCAACGGTCGTTACTCGATAAAATCATATTTTTCTCTAATGATGAAATAGTGAAATTGTGTACATGACAAAAAAGTTGGCTGTAACAAGTAACCTAGCGATTCACTTGTCGACTTAAAACTTTCGAAAAAGATTACTATTATTACCAATGACAAACAATGAAACTTTCTGTACAATGATGTATATATTGAGTCCATAATAATTCTGAGGAATTTCATTTTTATCTCTGCACGTGTCGTGGAGATTCCCCGATGAAATTTTCATTAGGTATTTTTTAGAGTCTTCAACGATAATCATTTGTTGAAGGATCACATGCAATATGGGATGGATAACTGTTATTCACGGAGTAATTTTGTTGCTGACAACGATGGCATGTGCTTGGAAAGGTCTACCAACGTTTGTGCGTAGACGACGTTTATTCAAACCTTTCCCTGTTTTTAAAACTGTAAAACCACCAACACCACCACCACCTACTAAACCAGTAATATTTCCCCCCGTCAAAGACTCAAGATACTGCAATGAATCCAAAATAGTAGCTATCCTTTCAAAACATAGTCGCAAGAAACGCTCGGTAAGTTAATATTTGAACATGGCCTTTCAGAATAAAACAATCGATCTTTAAAATGTACAGTTGAACACATTTGTGCCCTTGACTGCTCGAGGATTTCAATTGAAAAATAAAATTCAAATTGTGCTTCATTTTTAGCTACATGCATGGATGTATAGAAACGAATTAAGACTTTTAAAAACTAACCAATTGTTATATAAATTCAGGACCTAATCTATGGCTTAAGATAACATAAAGGATTAAAGTGATTACAGTAGGATATCTCAAGCTGTGAATCAATATATCCATTTTGTTTTATGCTCGATTTTCTGTGTAGACGATGAACTAACTGTAAAGTATCGAGCATGAACAAAAAAAGAAAATAAAAGTCAAGTTTAAACTGAGTCATGCATATAACAGAGAACAAAATGGTTGACTTATGCTTCTGGTTACAAGAAGTTCGTTGAGCTCCGTATTATTATTTGATTTAAAAGTAAAAGTCTTTCATTTCCCAAATGTTTCAGTTGCGTTGCATTTTTCCTGCAAACTTATGATTTTAAAGTTGCCATGACAGAAGCACGTTAACCTCAGCTTCCTAAATTAGCAGTTGTGTGAAGGAAATTTTAGGCCATCAATCAACCTAATACACCTTCCAATTATTAAATTTCCGCTTGATAAGCTATATTTGACCTGTCAAAGCTATATTTGGCCTTTCAAGTGTTTACTCACCACAAGAATTCAATGACCTTTATTTTCCACGTAAAGATAAATAAACCTCCAGTGATGTTTCAAAACATCCTTTCAGCTGCCGAATGGTCGCTTCAATTAAAACATCCTGAATGACTGAGATAAGATTAAGTCCTAGAAGAAAATTATCAATCAGTATTTCAAGAATGTTCCTGAACTGAATACGTACAACAATAACAATGTATTTTTAACTTACACAGCATGTTCAGAGGCAACAAACTACGCAAGTAGAATTAATTTTGTGCCAGGGGGAAACCGGATTTAAGAGTTTTGAATTTCATGAAATCCAAATTTCATGAGTAAAATGTAGAGAGGATTTTAAAATTTCTAGAAAAGATTATACTAATTTTGAAATAGGTTTTATTCCTATAGCTTTCAAAAGTGTCAACGTGAGAGATTTTCACTGACAATTGAACGAGTGAGCAGCAAATTTACCTAGTTTACGTAAGGCTATTTTGCAAATCAAATCCATCTTAGCAGAAATTTCTTTAAGTAATTTTATTAAGGAAGCCGAAATTTGATATTTTCTTTAGTCTAGCTTCAGCAACACGGATTGAACATGGCCACGCCATACATTATAAAGTTTTCATTAACAAAGAACTCATCCCATTTCAAACTTTTCATGTGCCGTACGCTTTCGAAACAAAAATAATAACAAAGAACCTGTCAACGCGGTCTAATATTTTCTTGAACGGAACACAACAGAGGCTAACAACCCAAATATAAGTTCTGCTATGCAAATTTTTACCAAAATTATCATTTATTTTTTCAGAAAATATATTTCCTTCATCGTTTTCCAGTGACAAAACAAAAATATTTGCAAATAGCTTCCAATCTCATGTAGCCCTTGCAATGAAATGTACGTTTACAAGTTATACGAACCGATTCCCAAGCATGATTGGAAGGAACATATTGAAAGTATAAATTCGATTCAAAATGTTAATCGTCATCATCAAAGTTCTTGGTTCGTTCTTTACATTAACAAGTGAATTATTTTAAGTATTGGAAGATTAAGTGCAAAGAATTCCTACACTTACAAATTCTATATCATTTCCTAAACCATTAAAGGTATTAAAGTATCTTTGTTTCACAGCAACGTATGCACAAGACAGCAGGAGATATGATAAAGTGGAGGCGTCTTGCAGTGTACTCCTGCATGTATTTCATAGGTTGAATGGTAAAAAAGCGCCTCACCAAGTTTACCCACTGAAAAAATATGTGACTTCGACTTCCCGAGATATCACGGGACCAAATGGTATAAAAATGAAGCGATTTGTTGCTGGTGAGAGCATCAAGAATACAGAGCATTGAGGAAACGGCTAGCTATAACAGAAAAGCAAAGGTATCTAAGACCAAGGCATAAAGAATGATGAAGTTTATAGTCGCCTTATTCCTTCTCGTTCAAGTCATTTTTACTGTGATCGATCAAGGAGAAGCTAAACGCGTTTGAAATCAAAAGTCGAAAGCCATTTCTACCAAGTTGCCCTTCAACACGTTCAAAATATCTGAAAATCGCTAAAATAAGTCTGCTTGAAGGACAAAGAAGAAAGACATCGGTAGGGATATTAAAAAGTTTTACCGCTAGAATATAAAAATAGGAACGGATAATTGTACCGCTCTTCTTAGCTACCACAAAAGAATCAACTAGATCACTTACGAATATGCCTCCATACCAGAGGATTAAGTTAAGAATAAAACTATTGTCACAAATAAAAAGTACATAAATCTCCTTGGAATGTACCATATCGATAGACAGTCAAACAAAGAAATTGCTCCTTAAGAAAACCGCAATAATTTATATCTATGTTTAATTATTAAAGAGAGTTAAATACAAGGTAAGTCTATCGTATGTATCTAAGTTGTCGTACTGACACTCATTTCAAGTGATGGAATCTAATTGTTGGCGTGCAACAGATATTTTAAACATATTTATGGTCAAAATTCTTATGACTCGAATTGATAAGTTTAAATGAACGAACATGAAAAAGTCAGCTGTAGTTTATGCCTGAAGGCAAATTACCCAAGCATTTCGTCCAATTATATAGTTCGAATTCTTGTAAGAAAGGAAATTTGCAAGGTTGATGGTTAATCGCTCATTTTCACACCAAGCATGGTTCAACAAATACGCAAAATTGATCCTTATAACCCCACTAACACAAATTTTTATTATGCTATGGCAAAAATATTGGTCAGAGATTGGATTGAAGATAAATTCACAACAGTAATCCTGAAAAAGGATTTCTAAATTTCTAAAAAAAACAATGCTTAAATAGCCAATCAGTATATAGAATTTCTAATCGAAAATTCAAGTAGCCAGTGGCCAGCATCGATAACTGGGGAGGTGGGTAATAACAGTGACATGTATATTCTTTTCTAACACACAATTGATTAGGTTTTATTGTAATAATGTGATTTTTTATTTTCTTCCGCAAATAGGCATCCGACTTTCCTGTTAAGTGTGTACATCTGGCTTTGATTATGGCAAATGGAATTTCGACTTTCCACATGGATACTTATGAATGCTGCAAGAAATGCAATGATAAGTTTTTGAAGTGTCTCAAAACGCATGCAAACAACCCCCACAAACTTTCCATTTGCCGAAATGAAGCATTTTCTTGTATCTGCAGATGTCACCAACGAAGTGCAAAAAAATGCACATCAAATAAATGCACGCGAGGCGGATGTTGTCTGCAACAACAATGTATCACTTTGTAAACCAAATCTCCAGTGAAACGACTTGGTTGAAACATTTTTACAGCACTAACGAGTTTAGCTACATGCATGCAATGTTAATTACAATGATTGTCAGATATTCAACGTAAAAGATAATAAAAATAAAATTTGAATTTCAGTTCTCCGTATTTTGTTTACGATCATTAAAACTTTCAGTTTTTGTGGGTAGCCTGTATGCAGGGCACATATGAACCTCAGCTTCCTAAATTAGCAGTTGTGTGAAGGAAGTTTTAGGCCATTAATCAACCTAATACAACTTCCAATTATTAAATTTTCGCTAGATAAGCAATAACCAGTCAAATTTTCAAATGTTTACTCACCACAAGAATTCAATGACCTTTATTTTCCACGTAAAGATAAATAAACCTCCAGTGATGTCTCAAAACATCCTTTCAGCTGCCGAATGGTCGCTTCAGTTAAAACATCCTGAATGACTGAGATAAGATTAAATCCTAGAAGAAAATTATCAATCAGTATTTCAAGAATGTTCCTGAACTGAATACGTACAACAATAACAATGTATTTTTAACTTATACAGCATGTTCAGAGGCAACAAACTACGCAAGTAGAATTAATTTTGTGCCAGGGGGAAACCGGATTTAAGAGTTTTTAAGAGTTTTGAATTTCATGAAATCCACCGGATCGAAAGAACAATGAGAACGCTTTTGACAAAAGCTAAATGTGGTGTAAAAATGTAGATTTTAAAATTTCTACAAAAGATTATACTAATTTTTGAAATAGGTTTTATTCCTATAGCTTTCAAAAAGTGTCAACGCGAGAGATTTTCACTGATAATTGAACGAGTGAGCAGCAAATTTACCTAGTTTACGTAAGGCTATTTTTGCAAATCAAATCCATCTTAGCAAAATTTCTTTAAGTAATTTCATTAAGGAAGCCGAAATTTGATATTTTCTTTATTCTAGCTTCAGCAACACGGATTGAACATGGCCACGCCATACACTATAAAGTTTTAATGAACAAAGAACTCATCCCATTTCAAACTTTTCGTGTGCAGAACGCTTTCGAAACAAAAAATAATAACAAAGAACCTGTCAACGCGGTCTAATATTTTCTAGAACGAAACACAACATAGGCTAACCCAACCCAAATATAACTTCTGTTATGCAAATTTTTTTACCAAAATTATCATTCATTTTTTCAGAAAATATATTTCCTTCATCGTTTTTCCAGTGACAAAACAAAAAATATTTGCAAATAGCTTCAAATCTCATGTTACCCTTGCAATGAAATGTACGTTTACAAGTTATACGAACCGATTCCCAAGCATGATTGGAAGGAACATATTGAAAGTATAAATTCGATTCAAAATGTTAATCGTCATCATCAAAGTTCTTGGTTCGTTCTTTACATTAACAAGTGAATTTTTTTACGTATTGGAAGATTAAGTGCAAAGAATTCCTACACTTACAAATTCTATATCATTTCATAAACCATTAAAGGTATCAAATCTCTTTGTTTCACAGTAACGTATGCACAAGACAGCAGGAGATATGATAAAGTTGAGGCGTCTTGCAGTGTACTTCTGCATGTATTTTATAGGTTGAATGGTAAAAAAGCGCCTCACCCAGTTCACCCACTGAAAAAATATGTGACTTCGACTTCCCGAGATCTCACGGGACCAAATGGTATAAAAATGAAGTGATTTGTTGCTGGTGAGAGCATCAAGAATACAGATTATTGAGGAAACGGCTAGCTATAACAGAAAAGCAAAGATGTCTGAGACCAAGGCATAAAGAATGATGAAGTTTATAGTCGCCTTATTCCTTCTCGTTCAAGTCATTTTTACTGTGATCGATCAAGGAGAAGCAAGACGCGTTGTGGATTACAAAAGTCGAAAGCCATTTCCACCAAAATGCCCTTTAACACCTTCAAAATATCTGAAAATCGCTAAAAAAAGTCTGCTTGAAGGACAAAGAAGAAAGAGATCGGTAGGAAAATTAAAAAGTTTTACCGCTAGAATATAAAAATAGGAACGGATAATTGTACCGCTCTTCTTAGCTACCACAAAAGAATTAACTAGATCACTTACGAATATGCCTCCATACCAGAGGATTAAGTTAAGAATAAAACTATTGTCACAAATAAAAAGTACATAAATCTCCTTGGAATGTACCATATCGATAGACAGCCGAACAAAGAAATTGCTTCTTAAGAAAACCGCAATAATTTATATCTATGTTTAATTATTAAAGAGAGTTAAATACAGGGTAAGTCTATCGCATGTATCTAAGTTGTCGTACTAACACTCATTTGAAGTGATGGAATCTAATTGTTGGCGTGCAACAGATATTTTAAACATATTTATGGTCAAAATTCTTACGACTCGAATTGATAAGTTTAAATGAACGAACATGAAAAAAAGTCAGCTGTAGTTTATGCCTGGAGGCAAATTACCAAAGTATTTCGTCCAATTATATAGTTCGAATTCTTGTAAGAAAGGAAATTTGCAAGGTTGATGGTTAATCGCTCATTTTCACACCAAGTATGGTTCAACAAATACGCAAAATTGATCCTTATAGCCTAACTAACACAAATTTTGATTATGCTATGGCAAAAATATTGGTCAGAGATTGGATTAAAGATAAATTCACAACAGTAATCCTGAAAAAGGATTTCTAAATTTCTAAAAAAACAATGCTTAAATAGCCAATCAGTATATAGAATTTCTAACCGACAATTGGAAGTAGCCAGTGGCCAGCATCGATAACTGGGGGAGGGTGAGTAATAACAGTGACATGTATATTCTTTTCTAACAATCAATTGATTAGGTTTTATTGTAATAATGTAAAATCATTTTCCAAAAATCTTAATTATGCGTGATTTTTTATTTTCTTCCGCAAATAGGCATCCGACTTTCCTGTTAACTGTGTACATCTGGCTTTCATTGTGGCAAATGGAAATTTGGTTTTCCACACGGGTATTAAAGAATGCTGCAACGAATGTAAATTTCCAAAGTTTGTGCAGTCTCGCCATAGCCATGCAAACAACCCCCACGAACTTTACATTTGCCGAAGTGAAGCATTTTCTTGTAGCTGCAAATGTCTCCAACCAAGTGCAGCGAGAAGGCAAGCGAGAAGAAAATGCACATCGAAAGTATGCACGCTGCGCAATTGTTGTATGCAACAACAATGTATCAAGTTGAAAACAAATCCAGTGATACATTTTGCTCAAAACAATTTTAGAAGACCAATGAACACTACACTTTTACAAACCAAATTTCAGACTCTGGCCAAAGCTGGAAAATAAAGAACAACCAATAGTTGAAAGTTATTAAATAAAAGTATGACCAAAAGCGGCAATATCTTTCTTTTTTCATTGCTGATTGTTTTATTGTGCTATGATTCGTTTGGAAGGCGTATACCTTTCTGTAGGTCGAGGGATGTTACGGCTATTCTTAGAGCGATATCTCTTCGACGGACAAAACGTGCGGTAGGTCACGCACTTTATGCAAATGAAGAAAAGTAAGAAATGTAATTTATTAGCCGCTCGCTTCGACTACTGATCACGTTCGCACATTTATATTAACGCTCATAAACAATTTGTGAAAACAATAATCAGCAACAACCTCTTTGACGAGGCTTGAAAAATGTCGCGTGTCATTGCCTTTTTACACTGCTTTGAAAGTAGCGCTAATTTCCCAAGCAATTTAGGGATGAGTCGATTGATCGGTAAATGGTCAGCCTTAGTAGAAGCAGTCATCTCTTATCAGTTATCAATCTTCTTCAGCGTATAAATATGTTAAAATAGCAATCACATCATTCACATGTGAAACCTTTACTTTAAAATTCATACAAGAAAAATGCAAGAAATGTCGTGATACTTGGTACCTGATAAAGATCCATCATCTCGACAGCTGTATATTCCTTATGCTAGAGCAGTAAAAAAAGTTGAACTAAAATTAATCTGTCCAATTGCCACAGTAAACATTGATAGCAGAGATGTGCGCAGCGGGGAATGTGGGGTGAGGTGTGAAAACCACACATTTTGTCGAGCGGGGAATGTAGAGTGAGGTGTGAAAACCACAAATTGTGCCGAGCGGGGAATGTGGGGTGAGGTGTGAAAACCACACATTTTGCCGAGCGGGGAATGTGGGGTGAGGTGTGAAATCCACACATTGTGCCGAGCGGGGAATGTGGGGTGAGGTGTGAAACCCACACATTTTGCCGAGCGGGGAATGTGGGAATCCGAAATCGAGAAAAAATTTTCTAGAACCGCACAGCTTTAAAAGGCAGTTGAAAATGCTATCAAGAAAAGCATTTTATCGCAGGGACGTATGAAGCCATTGTTGTTTAAAGACTATAAAATGTACATATAAATAAAGCTCGCCGACATTATCGACCTTCCTATGTCCGTCCATGTTTCATGCACGTTCCATCTTATGAAAAACCCCCTTAAATTGAATGCTTTTAGTACACTTCAGACTACACATGTTTCATGCGCGTTCCATCTTATAAAAAACACCCTAAAATTGAATGCTTTTAGTACACTTCAGACTACAAAGACATGGTAATGTATAACTTATAATGTTTAACAAGATGTTTTACTATGTTTAATGCTGGTGCCTTTTAAGCTGGCATAGAATCAGATCCAAGCTTTACACCACTTGCAAAAATTTGCCACACCACAAATTTCATTATTACAAAACATCAATTCAAGGGCAAAAAACCATCAAACAAAGTTAGCACAATCTTCAACAAACCTTATTCAAGGGCACAAATTTTATGTCTTGTGGAGTTCTCGCATCATACAGAAAAGGTCCTTTGAAGGTGTCAAGGTCATGAGTGCCTATAGCTACCAATGTTCGCTTTCGACAAATGTTCTGATGCAGCTTATCTTGTAGGTCAATGAAGCTGTTGTAACTCTCCTGTAGATCAGTTAAGTTGGACATTTTATAGCATACTTCATTTCATTTGATTAAGAAGAAATAAAATGAAATCATGAAACATTAGAAAAATGCTATGTCCATTTACGTACATTAAAATTGTTGGTAAGATTTCTTGAAAAGTACATATTTAGTTGTGTTAATGTCACATCAGATGGCATTCACATTAAATAACATACTTGTGTTAAAGTCACATCATACGTATAGGCATTCACATTAAATAACATACTTGTGTTAAAGTCACATCATACGTATAGGTACTCACATTAAATAACATACTTGTGTTAAAGTCACATCATTCGTAGATACTGCTATGAATCACAATTAATAGCTTCGATTTCGAAACAAGGTCGCAGCAAGCGCTCGGAAGGTTAAGAAAGGCTCGACGGTATTCTTTGCATTGCTCTTTTGTAATGAAACCAAACGAATTGACTTGATGATGTTACACAGCAGAGAAAGAAGCAATTAATTAATTGTTAAGAAACTTGTACGTCAGATAAACACTAGGACTATTCCAAAGTTTTCAGCGTTCGTCAATACCATATTTATGCAGCCGTTGAAATGTCAGACCATTCAGAGTAAACAAGTTCTTAAAATAACATTGTTTGCCGACTAATTGCTTTCGGAAAGCCATCATAACACGAAGGAATTATCATTCAAAAGATTACAAAGTTTCATCTTGACTCAAGTCATTTTCTTTTACACCCAATAATGACCATAGTTGCTTAGTCTAAGACAATTCTCTCCATTTGAATATAGACAACACAATGGCCATTTAACTGTGTGCATCCAAGTTTTATGAAATACAAGGGCGAATATCAACTGATGTATGATATTTTCAAGTGTTGTCAGAAGTGTGAAACTCCAAAGTTTGCGAGATGCGTCAAAAATCGTCCGAAGGATTCATCGTTGGTATGTCCCAGTAAAGGCATACGTTGCATGTTTGATTGTATCAATAAGCATGGACCACGAGAACGTGAGAGACCTGGTCCCCCCGGTCCCAAAGGAGACTTGGGGGTCAAAAAGGTCAAATACCCGTTGGGAGACCCCGTCCCCCAGGTCCCAAAGGAGGCCAGGGGGGTCAGATCATAAGCCCCCCAAAGTTTGAATGTGAAAGAAAGGAAACACTTCCAAATGGAAACACCTGTATACGTAGATTATGTATCAAGTTAGTTTAAGAGTACGTGTGAAGGATTGAGCATTATAAAAATAAAAGAAAATCTTTTGGTAGAAATCTTTGTACTGCTTATAGTAAGTGTTTATTATTTCGCCGTGAAAATTTAAGCAAGCTGATACGAGTAAATCAACTCGTACATATATAAATCAGTTGTTGTCGTGACTCATCCAGCCTGATCCAGGATGAGTAGTCGTCATCAGAATCAATAAAGCCGATTTGATCCTACTTACACTTTTGTAGGATAGGAAAATTTGTTTATTTAGAAGAAAAACAGTGAATGACTTTAATTTTCCAAACAAAAGGATGTCTTTAGTCATCAAACATCAGCGAGGAAGTAAATATTAAATTGTTTACGTGCAGTAAAATGATAAACGGTCGGTTACCTTTCTCGGTCCATTAATTTCAAATGATCTGCCACATTTCACAGTTGTAAAATTCAAATCACTTTCTTGACAATGTCAGAACCTGCAATGAATCAAGTATAACAATGATTATTTCAAGAACTTTTCTGGACCGAGGAGAATTTATCTAAAAAATCAAAAGAGACAGTAGGAAGAATTTGTAAGAATTGAGAAATGAAAAACGGGCATTCATTTTTATAACTCTGAGCTAAAAAACTGCCCTGCATATTTATGTACAATCAATATTGCTGTTTGCTGATCTTAAACGTTGAACCACGTTATAAACGCAGAATTTTTGTAAAATAATCAAGGGTCATAACTCAACAAATCTTATCTTTAGAAAGGAGTCACATGTCTACAAACGTTGAGAAGCGGGTTATTTTTGATAAATGAACAACGAAATATTGCAATAATGCAACCACACCGTGAACCACAAACTTTTGGCTAACAGTGAACGTTAAAGTTTGACCGTTTGCCAAAAGTTGAGAGTTTTGAGATTTTGAAAATTCAAAAACAACCGTTATTTAAGCCGGATGTGTTACTTAAACGCACTTAATAAAAACGTGCATAAGAAGATTTGGGTGTTGGTTAGTACAATGACGAAATCATCACAACAGCAATCATAGCGAAACATTTTTTTTTTGTAAGGATATTTTCATTCCCCACGAAGAAGATTATGACTTTTTCTTGTTTAGTCAAGAGCCATGCAATCTACCACATATATACTATAAGAGCTGCAAAGTATCACACAAGTGATTCGACGACTGCGGAAGTGATCATGCGCAATAAGTAATTTAACGACCCACTTAACTTGCAAATAAAATATATAAAGAAGTAAAAATTGTTTTGCGCGCATGTATAGTGTCTCTTGCTTTTGGAATCATTGTCACATATATCCTCAAGAAAGCAGATTCAATTGAAAACAAGAGTCAACTCAGTCAAAGTACGCAGAGTTTAACAGAATCGGTAAAAACAGACACTATTATACTCCATTCACATTAATGCCAGACCTAAGGCTTGTATTGGTATGACAATGTTGATGCAACGGTCGTTACTCGATAAAATCATATTTTTCTCTAATGATGAAATAGTGAAATTGTGTACATGACAAAAAAGTTGGCTGTAACAAGTAACCTAGCTATTCACTTGTCGACTTGAAACTGTCGAACAAGATTACTATTATTAACAATGACAAACAATGAAACTTTCTGTACAATGATATATATATTGAGTCCATAAAAAGGAATTTCATTTTTATCTCTGCACGTGTCGTGCAGATTCCCCGATGAAATTTTCATTAGGTATTTTATAGAGTTTTCAACGATAATCATTTGTTGAAGGATCACATGCAATATGGGATGGATAACTGTTCTTCACGGAGTAATTTTGTTGCTGACGACAATGGCATGTGCTTGGAAAGGTCTACCACCGTTTATGCGTAGGCGACGTTTATTCAAACCTTTCCCCGTCTTTAAAACTGTAAAACCACCAACACCACCAGCACCCACTAAACCAGTAATATTTTCCCCCGTCAAAGACTCAAGATACTGCAGTGAATCCAAAATAGTAGATATCCTTTCAAAACATAGTCGCAAGAAACGCTCGGTAAGTTATTATTTCAATATGGCCTTTCAGAATAAAACACTCGATCTTTAAAATGTACAATTCAACACATTTGTGCCCTTGACTGCTCGAGGATTTCAGTTGAAAAATGAAATTCAAATTGTGCTTCATTTTTAGCTACATGCATGGATGTATAGAAACGAATTAAGACTTTTAAAAACTAACTAATTGTTATATAAATTCAGGACCTGATCTATGGCTTAAGGCAACATAAAGGATTAAAGTGATTACAGTAGGATATTTCAAGCTGTGAATCAATATATCCATCTTGTATTATGCTCGATTGTCAGTGTAGACGATGAAATTTATGAAAAGATGACAACCATATTTTCAAAATGTAAAACAGACATTTCTGTTCATATTTATATAGATCAAACTTTGGCCATATGATTGCACATATCCAAGTATTGTCAACCATCAGGGCAGTTATCAATTCATGTATGATATTTACCAGTGCTGTAAGAAATGTGACCTTCCAACGTACACCTTGTGCATGAAAAAGTATCAACGCTCTCCCCCATGGAGATGCCCCAGTGACGGAATCCATTGCATTCTTGAATGCGTAGCAAAATATGGGCCACAGAAACCTACCACGATCATAAAACCAAGTATTTCCAAAATTAAAGGAGGTCATAAAGTCATCGGCATAAAGCCCCCCAAGAACAAGTGTGAAAAAAGGGAAAAACTTCCAAATGGAGAAACCTGTTTACGTAGATTATGTATCAAGTTGAAAGTTTAAACTAACTTTAAAATATCGAGCATGCATAAAAAAAGAAAATAAAAGTCAAGTTTAAACTGAGCCATGCGTATAACAGAGAACAAAATGGTTGACTTATGCTTCTGGTTACAAGAAGTTCGTTGAGCTCCGTATTATCATTTGATTTAAAAGTAAAAGTCTTTCATTTCCCCAATGACAAGTGGGAAAGTTGCGTTGCATTTTTCCCCGTAAACTTATGGTTTTAAAGTTGCCATGACAGAAGCACATTAACCACAGCTTCCTAAATCAGCAGTTGTGTGAAGGAAGTTTTAGGCCATTAATCAACCTATACAACTTCCAATTATTAAATATCCGCTTGATAAGCTATAACCAGTCAAATTTTCAATTGTTTACTGACCACAAGAATTCAATGATCTCCATTTTCCACGTAAAGATAAATGAGCCTCCAGTGATGTTTCAAAACATCCTTTCAGCTGCGGAATGGTCGCTTCAGTTAAAACATCCTGAATGACTGAGATAAGATTAAGTCCTAGAAGAAAATTATCAATCAGTATTTCAAGAATGTTCCTGAACTGAATACGTACAACAATAACAATGTATTTTTAACTTATACAGCATGTTCAGAGGCAACAAACTACGCAAGTAGAATTAATTTTGTGCCAGGGGGAAACCGGATTTAAGAGTTTTTAAGAGTTTTGAATTTCATGAAATCCACTGGATCGAAAGAACAATGAGAACGCTTTTGACAAAAGCTAAATGTCGAGTAAAAATGTAGAGAGGATTTTAAAATTTCTACTAAAGATTATACTAATTTTTGAAATAGGTTTTATTCCTATAGCTTTCAAAAAGTGTCAACGTGAGAGATTTTCACTGACAATTGAACGAGTGAGCAGCAAATTTACCTAGATTATGTAAGGCTATTTTTGCAAATCAAATCCATATTAGCAAAATTTCTTTGAGTAATTTCATAAAGGAAGCCGAAATTTGATATTTTCTTCAGTCTAGCTTCAGAAACACGGACTTCCTCAAGCGATAATCAGGAATTTATCAAAGCGCTATCATATTTCGAAATTTTTGATATAAAACAACGAGTGTTACACTTTTAAAGACCAAATCTCACATGACTCTGGCCAAAGCTGGAAAATAAACAACAACCAATAGCTAAAAGTTGTCAAATAAAAGTATGACCAAAAGCGGCAATATCTTTCTTTTTTCATTGCTGATTGTTTTATTGTGCTATGATTCGTTTGGAAGGTTGTCCACAAGACGTTTACCTTTCTGTAAGTCGAGGGATGTTACGGCTATTCTTAGAGCGACATCTCTTCGACGGACAAAACGTGCGGTAAGTGCGCGCTTTATGCAAATGATGAAAGAGTTAGAAATGTAATTTATTAGCCGCTCGCTTCGACTACTGATCACGTTTGCACATTTATATTAACGCTTATAAACAATTTGTGAAAACAATAATCAGCAACAAGTAGCGCTAATTTCCCAGGCAATTTAGGGATGAGTCATTTGATCGGTAAATGGTCAGCCTTAGTAAGAAGCAGTCATCTCTTATCACTTTTTCAGTTAATGTCATAGAGTTAATTTCATAGCATAACACAATCTTCTTCAGCGTATAAATATGTTAAAATAGTAATCACATCATTTTCATGTGAAATTTTGTTTTGATATTCGCCAACTGTTTTATAATTTTTCAGGTGAATTGGCCGTTTGATTGCACACACGCAAGTATCCTCGAAGTAGCCGGCAGAAACCAGTTCGTTTTTCCTATTTACGACTGTTGCAGGAAGTGTGAATTTCCAACATTTCAATTATGCACGACGAGGAACAGATATTCGCCATCTTGGTTGTGTCCAAGCAAAGGCATGCAATGTATAGTGAAATGTATCAACTTTAACAACCCATATATCATTTCGAAAGTTGTACCGAAGAGAAAAAAGGTTCCCACGAGATCACGAGTCCGATTAATCCCATCAATAAGACGAAAAAAATTGCCAGTTTCTCAAAAATGCCAGAGAGTCGTAAGGAAAAGGGTAGAACTTGCATCGAAAGATTGTGCGTTCCTTTGACTTTAACGACACCGCGACGGAAGATTAACTTGTCGTAGACTATGTAGCTATATTACTGCAAAAATCAATGATATTGTTAGAAGACGTTAGAAATTCAAATTTACCGTGAGAGAAACTTTGATCATTAAAATGATTGCTTTGTATCATTGTTATTATACAAATTGATTTATGAACATGTTAGAAAATTTTAAAAATTTGCAGCATTTGTTTCGAAATGTGATTTTCATATTTTTATAAATCCAGAATGCAATGTTTGTTCACTGGAATGCTCGTATGTTTACCATCACACAAAGACAGGATATTCACTCATGACGTATGTCCATGTATTGATTGATTGCATAAAATTGTAGGTCACATGCTGTGAAAGAAGATAAACTATCCATCTCTACCCATTGGGTACACCCCATACAATAACCCCACCATAAATCCTATATAAAAGAAATTGACAGGTACGGGTCAATAAAACGGTCTTATGTTGAATTGAAGAAGCCAATTTCTCCTTGCAGGTATATTGATAGATGACATGCTTAGATGAAGATGACATGCTTAGATGAAGTACTTCGCATGTTTATGCTGGACCATTGTCGAGTGACAAGCTGCACGTCGCTTGCGCAGCTGTATGCCTCGCAAATAAACAACAAATTTAAAACGTGTATTTTATCGTGATCATGACGAGTTTGTTGAGACAGTAAATAACTTTAAATGCATTTTTACTAATTGTGATTTTACTTGTTTAGTTTAACTTTAGTAGGACATATCGCCTTCAAATAAACACTTTTACTGCACCAAGTTGACCAGTTGTGGCGTAACATGCCCGGCAAGTTTGTTCACGCTATGTAAAATTTCTGGTGTTCACTCACTGAGTTACTGTAAAACAATAAATTTCTAAAGAAATTTATGGCATGACCCAATTTGTAGGTCATCTTATTGATGTTTGAGCCCTGACAACTACAGTTCCAATCTACCTATAGCGCAGCTCAGAGTCATATAGCTTCTGTTGTATAACAATGTATCATTCTGTTGAACATGCATTCTGGATAGCTTTATTTTCGCTTGAACAACATATGGCTTGTCATCATACTTAGAGCGGATGTAAACACATTTCATTATGTACATAATTATGTAAACATGGCAACATGCTTTGCAAATAGCATTTATAGAGTCAGTTGACAGTTAAAAATCAAACCAAACAGATTTGCAAGCAGCCATGGCATCCGTAAAAACTTGGCTTTTGATGACTTCGTGTATTTTATTGTTACAATTCAGCTTTGGCAAAAAATTACCGTTGTGCAACAATGGCACGGATTTGTTGCAACTCAAAAGTATTTTCCAGAGAAGCATTTCAAATTCATTGTATAAAAGAGGAGAGGTAAGAGGAGTAGAAACAGCGCACATTTCAAAACGCTTAATGTACAACTATTATAACCTTGATAACCATTGTAAGAGTAACATTAAGTGAAATGTATTGCATTGGTTTGCAGTGTTGCAATTTTGAATTTAACAAAAAGAATGATAGCATAATGCTATAACCAACAACTACAAACAATAACGACCTTATCTAACAACATTTGAGAAATTAACCTTCCACTCCTCTTCCTTGTAAACGAGACAAGCCTACTCAAAAGCAGAGAGCATTATGCTATCATTCTTTTTGTTTAATAACATTCCAACAACTTAACCTTGTAATTTTGAATTTCAAATTATTGAGCTTGTTGAAGAAAATATTCAAATGTGATAGACGAAAACGTGAATGTGGTAAAATATTCCATCCACGTCTAGAGGTTATTTATCAATGATTTTCTATTGCTTCACACACAGAAAGCGAAAAGTTGCCATAAGGAGATAAATTCAATAGAAAAGCATACACGTTTATAAATATGCAACGATACGCTAATTCTCACAACACAATCAACCAAACTGACTACTTTCAACCTACAATAAAATATTCAAGCATTCAAGCTTGTACGTGTTCTTGTGCCATTTTATGTCAAAGCAAATCCCACAGGATGAAAACAAACTTTACAAAACAAGACGATATTTGTTCTAGCCAAAGTCATTAAAAATTTCAAACGTTTTTCGAATTTTCAAATTCATTTAAGATAACCAGACCGTAACTGGTCAAGAGTTATCTAACGACAAATCACTCAAAATGAAAGTCAACCGTTGTATATTTCCCTTATAATTATTTGATTCAATCTTTAAACGAAGGCCTTTCAAATTTTCAATGAAAACTATCTTTTACCGTGAGTCCATACATGTGCAATATGGTTACAAGACAATAATTTAAGTGTAGTAATTATTTTCTATGCAACTTTACATATTAATTAATGCCAAAACTTAATTATGACTTCAAATATACAGAGAGTTGTATGTGTGAATACTGAGCAATTAAGAGATGACTAAATTTGCCTGCTCATGAAGCTTGTTTTAAGGTAATTTACAGCATAAGATCACTTGAAGGAATATATATGACATATCATGATATCTGTGGATAAATGGGGATACTGTGGGATGAATGGGGATACTGTGTAATCAACGAATCAAATTATATTTTAGTCGGCTTGGACAATGAATTGTGCTCATGCTTCTATCATCAAAGACGAAAACAGCCGAAGTTACTTCTCATCTCAAATTTATGAGTGTTGCAAAAGTTGTGAAAGTCCTACTTTTGCTACCTGCGAGTACAATGCAAATCCCGACTGGCAGTGCGGCAGTGAAGCATATGATTGTGTGTTTGGTTGCCGTGACGAGGATAGCGTGTTGGAAGCAGTTGTCGGTGCGAGCAAAAATGGTCTGCGTAGGAAACGCGAGGTGACAGTAAGTGAATGGGGTTTTCTAATTGGTTCAATCGGGAAATAGCAATAACAGCCAACCAATCACAAACCTTGATTACATAGGTGGATACAGAGTCGGAGGTAAACGTTACAAGTGAAGAGGTATTTATTTTACATTCATACACTTGGCGTGCCTGTTGAAAACACGACAGTTTGAAAATGCTCTCGTAGACTTTGAGATACCCTAGGTCTTAGATGGAAAATGCAAATGTAGACTGTACTCTACATGTCGAATAGATTTTCTATAGATTAGTATTTAAAATTTTCTTAACTTTTGTTTCTTGTTCTACTTCGCTTTCATGCATTACATTGGGCATTTAATACCATGGGTGAATAAAATTCCAAACATTTATTCATTATTCGTGATGTTTGCATAAAGGCTGTGATCGTGAAGAAGAAACTAAAACGTTTGCGAATGGAGAAGAAGTGCTACAAAAAACAATGTACAACCGAGAATGGAGTGAAGACTTGCTGTCGAATTCCTACATGTATCGAAGTGACAGGTTATAAAGGCAAGATTAAAATGAAGAAAACAGGTAGAAAAAGTCAAGATCAGAAAAGAATCTTCAAATGGAAACGACGACATGATTTGTATCGATTTGAACCAGCTTCCTCACATAAACGCGCATACATTTTATAATCATTTTAAGTCTTTTTGACAGTGTAGCTACGAAATCAAACGATAATGAAAATGTAGTCATACTTGATTTAAAAAGAATATATAAAGCACTCTAACTTAGCCTGTCCTGAATAGTTCAATTTTTCAATCTAGTTTTGACTAATGTATTCTTGCACAGCACGCGGTCCACTCTTGTCCATTCAATTCTTTTGTGCTAAGAACGACGCAAGGGACATTTGTCTCAAGTACCATTTTGAATGTTTCTCAGGAAGTTTACGGGAGCTTACTGAGCTCATAAAGTTCTTTTTACTTCATGCATAATAAACCAAAGGCTAATTTCCTTATCTGTTATGCGGCAAAATACAAAACTATAATAATCGTTGATGACCTGTTCAAACAGGAATTTTATTCACTAAACTGTATTCATTCCGGCTGTGGGATGTATAAAATAGCATTTCTAAATAAATTTATCAAGGGAGTACGCTTTCATCAAGAGCATATTTTCTAGAAATTCAAACCGAGAAACAGGATATCAATGATCTTATTAGTATTGTACTAAAGCAAGTACTATGCATGGGGATGTACGAAAATCAGTCGTAGCAATTTCAGCACAAACTATGGGAAAGAGCGAGTCTCATCGGAGTAATATAATTTGCACGCAAATAGGAGAACCCAAAATATCGTAAATGTAGAAACAGAAGGAAAACTATTAACTTTGAAAACTTGGATGAATAGAAAATGTTAAAAATGTTTGATAAAAATAACACTCAATTGTACTTTTTGCACGAAAGTTGCTGTATAAACATCAATAGCCTGTCCGCATGCATAGAGTGACCCTAACTTCATTTTTATGTACAACTCTGTGTTCGAGTAACCTTGTTTTCAAGTTCGTGATGTTATCCCAATCTTCGAGAGCTCGAATTTAATATTTTTGACATCTCTCGGTGGTTTTCAATATTAATAGCTATGATCACACAATGTCTCTTGTTTGACGTCAGACGTTTTTTTATATGCCTAAGAATATGTCCAAAACCGCAAATATGATAACAAAGAAACTTTTTGTTCTTTCTAGAAGAACTACAGTCCATCGTTTGCACTGAAAAATAATAAAATAAAACGTTCTACAAGATAGCAGAGTTGTTAAAGGCTTTCAAAAATTTTGTCTACATACATAGCTTTTCATTCCACTTTTTAAATTCTCACATGTATATTTTTGACGTAGATTCTTTTGTTTATATGTAATTTCATTTAAACTAGACAAGCATCCGAACAGGATGTTTTATCATTTCGTATTGCTATTGAAAAATACTTATATCACAAGGAAGTACCACTTACATGGTGTGTTTAGCACCAATGGTACTGTGTTGATGTAGCAATTATCATTGAAAAAAGCTTGGCAGGTGAATGCAATGCATAAAAACTGATATCGAAGAATGAAAGGGAGCTTTTTATATATTACTAAAAAAAACACTACAACGATCACAACACGTTGATAAGCCACGTCACAAATTGATGCTTAGAAACCACATTTTTCTGGTACATTCTCTCAATCTCCTTCAAAGCAATATTTTCTTACGATTAACGTTCGTCTGGCTAGTTCAGAACAGAAACCGTCGCCCTTATTGCAAAATTAAATAAATTATTTAGATTTAAAAGTTACAGATACAGGTTTCCCATCAAAGACTGCGGTAATTACTAGATTATGTTTGCATAAAGGCTGTGATCGTGAAGAAGAAACTGAAACGTTTGCGAATGGAGAAGAAGTGCTACAAAAAACAATGTACAACCAAGAATGGAATGAAGACTTTCTGTCGAATTCCTACATGTATTGAAGTGACCGGTTATAAAGGCAAGATTAAAATGAAGAAAACAGGTAGAAAAAGTCAAGATCAGAAAAGAATCTTCAAATGGAAACGACGACATGATTTGTATCGACTTGAACCAGCTTCCTCACATAAACGCGCATACATTTTATAATCATTTTAAGACTTTTTGACAGTGTAGCTACGAAATCAAACGATAATGAAAATGTAGTCATACTTGATTTAAAAAGAATATATAAAGCACTCTAACTTAGCCTGTCCTGAATAGTTCAATTTTTCAATCTAGTTTTGACTAATGTATTCTTGCACAGCACGCGGTCCACTCTTGTCCATTCAATTCTTTTGTGCTAAGAACGACGCAAGAGACATTTGTCTCAAGTACCATTTCGAATGTTTTTCAGGAAGTTTACTGGAGCTTATTGAGCTCATAAAGTTCTTTTTTACTTCATGCATAATAAACCAAAGGCTAATTTCCTTATCTGTTATGTGGCAAAATACAAAACTATAATAATCGTTGATGACCTGTTCAAACAGGAATTTTATTCACTAAACTGTATTCATTCCGGCTGTGGGATGTATAAAATAGCATTTCTAAATAAATTTATCAAGGGAGTACGCTTTCATCAAGAGTATATTTTCTAGAAATTCAAACCGAGAAACAGGATATCAATGATCTTATTAGTATTGTACTAAAGCAAGTACTATGCATGGGGATGTACGAAAATCAGTAGTAGCAATTTCAGCACAAACTATGGGAAAGAGCGAGTCTCATCGGAGTAATATAATTTGCACGCAAATAGGAGAACCCAAAATATCGTAAATGTAGAAACAGAAGGAAAACTATTAACTTTGAAAACTTGGATGAATAGAAAAATGTTAAAAATGTTACATAAAAAATAACACTCAATTGTACTTTTTGCACGAAAGTTGCTGTATGAACATCAATAGCCTGTCCACATGCATAGAGTGACCCTAACTTCATTTTTATGTACAACTCTGTGTTTGAGTAACCTTGTTTTCAAGTTCGTGATGTTATCTCAATCTTCGAGAGCTCGAATTTAATATTTTCGACATCTCTCGGTGGTTTTCAATATTAATAGCTATGATCACACAATTTCTCTTGTTTGACGTCAGACGTTTTTTTATATGCCTATGAATATGCACAAACCTCAAATATGATAACAAAGAAACTTTTTGTTCTTTCTAGAAGAACTAGAGTCCATCGTTTGCATTGAAAAATAATAAAATATAACGTTCTACAAGATAACAGAGTTGTTAAAGGCTTTCAAAAATTTTGTCTACATACATTGTTTTTCATTCCACTTTTTAAATTCTCACATGTATATTTTTGACGTAGATTCTTTTGTTTATATGTAATTTCATTTAAACTAGACAAGCATCCGAACAGGATGTTTTATCATTTCGTATTGCTATTGAAAAATACTTTTATCACAAGGAAGTACCACTTACATGGTGTGTTTAGCACCAATGGTGCTGTGTTGATGTAGCAATTATCATTGAAAAAAGCTTGGCAGGTGAATGCAATGCATAAAAACTGATATCGAAGAATGAAAAGGAGCTTTTTATATATTACTAAAAAAACACTACAACGATCACAACACGTTGATAAGCCACGTCACAAATTGATGCTTAGAAACCACATTTTTCTGGTACATTCTCTCCATCTCCGTCAAAGCAATATTTTCTTACGCTTAACGTTCGTCTGGCTAGTTCAGAACAGAAATCGTCGCCCTTATTGCAAAATTAAATAAATTATTTAGATTTAAAAGTTACAGATACAAGTTTCCCATCAAAGACTGCGGTAATTACTACATTATGTCGTCGAACAAGGGTTAATTAGATAAAAATTGGATCTCGAAAAATAAATGCAATATTTCTCGACGTTTCGAGCGTAGGCATTGCATGCAAGGTCTAGCTTCACCCAAGCAAGAGTGTCAATTAAATTCATTATAAAATACGTATTTGTCAAACAGGAATTTGAGAAGCTATTTTCGATATTGATCATGTCTTTATACAACTCTTGTACAACTGATCAAGGTAGTGTAAAACATGTGATAGTCCAACTTTTTGTCTAAGCTATACTAAAACAGTTCCCAAAGAAAAGATGACATTAACATCTCGATAATCATCCTTTTTATTTGACCCGTTTCAAAAATTTAAATTGTTTAATTTTCTATCAAAGGATTGAACATGGCCACGCCATACATTATAAAGTTTTAATTAACAAAGAACTCGTCTCATTTCAAACTTTTCGTGTGCCGAACGCTTTTGAAACAAAAAATAATAACAAAGAACCTGTCAACGCGGTCTAATATTTTCTTGAACGAAACACAACAGAGGCTAACCCAACCCAAATATAAGTTCTGCTATGCAAATTTTTTACCAAAATTATCATTCATTTTTTCAGAAAATATATTTCCTTCATCGTTTTTCCAGTGACAAAACAAAAAATATTTGCAAATAGCTTCCAATCTCATGTTACCCTTGCAATGAAATGTACGTTTACAAGATATACAAACCGATTCCCAAGCATGATTGGAAGGAACATATTGAAAGTATAAATTCGATTCAAAATGTTAATCGTCATCATCAAAGTTCTTGGTTCGTTCTTTACATTAACAAGTGAATTATTTTAAGTATTGGAAGATTAAGTGCAAAGAGTTCCTACACTTACAAATTCTATGTCATTTCATAAACCATTAAAAGAATCAGAGTCTCTTTGTTTCACAGCAACGTATGCACAAGACAGCAGGTGATAAGATAAAGTGTAGGCGTCTTGCAGTGTACTCCTGCATGTATTTCATAGGTTGAATGGTAAAAAAGCGCCTCACCCAGTTCACCCACTCAAAAAATATGTGACTTCGACTTCCCGAGATATCACGGGACCAAATGGTATAAAATGAAGTGATTTGTTGCTGAAGAGAGCATCAAGAATACAGAGCATTGAGGAAACGGCTAGCTATAACAGAAAAGCAAAGGTGTCTAAGACCAAGGCATAAAGAATGATGAAGTTTATAGTCGCCTTATTCCTTCTCGTTCAAGTCATTTTTACTGTGATCGATCAAGGAGAAGCTAAACGCGTTGTGAAATCAAAAAGTCGAAAGCCATTTCTACCAAGTTGCCCTTCAACACCTTCAAAATATCTGAAAATCGCTAAAAAAAGTCTGCTTGAAGGAAAAAGAAGAAAGAGATCGGTAGGAAAATTAAAAAGTTTTACCGCTAGAATATAAAAATAGGAACGGATAATTGTACCGCTCTTCTTAGCTACCACAAAAGAATTAACTAGATCACTTATGAATATGCCTTCATACCAGAGGATTAAGTTAAGAATAAAACTATTGTCTCAAATAAAAGTACATAAATCTCCTTGGAATGTACCAAATTGATAGAGAGTCAAACAAAGAAATTGCTTCTTAAGAAAACCGCAAGAATTTATATATATGTTTAAATATTAAAGAAAATTAAATACAGCATAAATCTATCGTATGTATCTAAGTTGTCGTACTGACACTCATTTCAAGTAATGGAATCTAATTGTTGGCGTGCAACAGATATTTTGAACATATTTATGGTCAAAATTCTTACGACTCGAGATGAAAAGTTTAAATGAACGAACATGAAAAAAGTCAGCTGTAGTTTATGCCTGGAGCAAATTACCCAAGCATTTCGTCCAATTATATAGTTCGAAATCTTGTAAGAAAGGAAATTTGCAAGGTTGATGGTTAATCGCTCATTTTCACACCAAGTATGGTTCAACAAATACGCAAAATTGATCCTTATAACCCCACTAACACAAATTTTTATTATGCTATGGCAAAAAATATTGATCAGAGATTGGATTAAAGATAAATTCACAACAGTAATCCTGAAAAAGGATTTCTAAAATTCTAAAAAAAACAATGGTTAAATAGCCAATCAGTATATAGAATTTCTAATCGACAATTGGAAGTAGCCAGTGGCCAGCATCGATAACTGAGGGAGGGTGGGTAATAACAGTGACATGTATATTCTTTTCTAACACACAATTGATTAGGTTTTACTGTAATAATGTGATTTTTTATTTTCTTCCGCAAATAGACACCCGACTTTCCTGTTAACTGTGTAACACTGGCTTTCATGGTGGTAAATGGAGGGCTTACTATCCACGCGGGTATTAAAGAATGCTGCGACAAATGTAATGTTCCAAAGTTTTTGCAGTGTCTCGTTAGCCATGCAAACAACCCCCTCAGACTTTTCATTTGCCGAAGTCGAGCGTATTCTTGTAGCTTCAGATGTCTCCTCCAACCAAGTGCGGTGAGAAGACTAGCGAGAAGAAAATGCACATCAAAAGTATGCACGCGAGGCAAATGTTGTCTGCGACAACAATGTATCAAATTGAAAACCAAATCTCTAGTGAAACGACTTGATTGAAACATTCTTACAACACTAACGAGTTTAGCTACATGCATGCAATGTTAATTACAATAATTGTCAGATATTCAACGTAAACGATAATAAAAACAAAATTTGAATTTCAGTTCTCCTTTTTTTGTTTACGATCATTCAGTTTTTTTGGGTAGCCTGTACGCAGGGCACATATTAAAACATATTTTGAATTCCAACATCCAATTCGCAGAATATTGTACTTTGTAAAAAGTGAATCTTATTGAAATCACTTTTCTCTATATTTTGCTAATGTTACAAGTGTGAACTAAGTGTGAAAATGTTAAAATCAAAAACCATGCATAGTGTTGCATCCACAAATGTTATCATTATACACCTTCGTGAAATAAATATTGATCATTGTGTCAAAATTTATAGTCACAATGGTTGCGACTCGAATACAATTGATAATTGTAAATATTCCTATTAAATTAAAAAACAATACGGTTTGATGTATTGCACTTATATCTTCTGCCTTTCACGATTTCGAGTTGTTTTATCAGGAATTTTATTATTTTAACAAACATTTTCAAGAATGCAGCTGTAGTTACGCCTGGAGGCGAATCAATAATTCAGTTTGTTGTATATTGACTTTCTGAATTATACATTGGAATTGTAGATGGATCATACATGAAATCTGAATTTTGTTAGAAGACGTTAGAAATTCAAATTTACCGTGAGAGAAACTTTGATCATAAAAATGATTGCTTTGTATCATTGTTATTCTGCAAATTGATTCATCAACATGTTAGAAAATTTTAAAAATTTGCAGCATTTGTTTCGACATTTGATTTTCATATTTTTATAAATTCAGAATGCAATGTTTGTTCACTGGAATGCTTGTATGTTTACCATCACACACAGATAGGATATACACTCGTGACGTATGTCCATGTATTGATTGATTGCATAAAATTGTACGTCACGTGCTGTGAAAGAACATTAACTATCCATCTCTACCCATTGGGTACACCCATGCAATAACCCCACCATAAATCCTAAAAGAAATTGGCTGGTACGGGTCAATAAAACGGTCTTATGTTGAATGGAAGAAGCCAATTTCTCCTTGCAGATATATTGATAGATAACATGCTTAGATGAAGTACTTGACATGTTTATGCTGGACCATTGTCGAGTGACAAGCTGCACGTCGCTTGCGCAACTGTATGCCTCGCAAATAAACAACAAATTTAAAACGTGTATTTCATCGTGATCATGACCAGTTTGTTGAGACAGCAAATAACTTTAAATGTATTTTTACTAATTGTGCTTTTACTTGTTTAATTTAACTTTAGTAGGACATAGCGCCTTCAAATAAACACTTTTACAGCACCAAGTTTGACCAGTTGTGGCGTAACATGCCCGGCAAGTTTGTTGATGCTATGTAAAGTTTCTGTTGTTCACTCACTGAGTCACTGTAAAAACAATAAATTTCTAAAGAAATTTATAGTATGACCTAATTTGTAGGTCTTCTTATTGATGTTTGAGCCCCGACAACTAAAGTTCTAATCTACCTATAACGCAGCTCAGAGTCATATAGCTTCTGTTGTATAACAGTGTATCATTCTGTTGAACATGCGTTCTGGATAGCTTTATTTTTCGCTTCAACTGGCTTGTCATTATACTTAGAGCGGATGTAAACACATTGCATTATGTACATAATTATGTAAACATGGCAACATGCTTTGCAAATAGCATTTATAGAGTCAGTTGACAGTTGAAAATCAAACCAAACAGAGTTACAAGCAGCCATGGCACTCGTAAAAAGTTGGCTTTTGATGACTTCGTGTATTTTATTGTTACAATTCAGCTTTGGCAAAAAATTACCGTTGTGCAACAATGGCACGGATTTGTTGCAGCTCAAAAGTATTTTCCAAAGAAGCATTTCAAATTCATTGTATAAAAGAGGAGAGGTAAGAGGGAGTAGAAACAGCGCACATTTCAAATACGCTTAATGTACAACTCTTATAACCTTGATAACCATTGTAAGAATAACCTTAAGAGAAATGCATGCATTGGTATGCAGTGTTGCAATTTTGAATTTCAAATTTTTGAGCTTGTTAAAGAAAATATTCATATGTGATAAAAGCAAACGTGAATGTAGTAAAATATTGCATCCACGTCTAGAGGTTATTCATTAAAGATTTTCTTAACTTTCGTTTCTTGTTCTACTTCGCTTTCATGCATTACATTGGACATTTAATACCATGGGTGAATAAAATTCCAAACATTTATTCATTATTCGTGATGTTTGCATAAAGGCTGTGATCGTGAAGAAGAAACTGAAACGTTTGCGAATGAAGAAGAAGTGCTACAAAAAACAATGTACAACCGAGAATGGAGTGAAGACTTGCTGTCGAATTCCTACATGTATTGAAGTTACAGGTTATAAAGGCAAGATAAAAATAAAGAAAACAGGTAGAAAAAGTCAAGATCGGAAAAGAATCTTCAAATGGAAACGAAGACATGATTTGTATCGATTTGAACCAGCTTCCTCACATAAACGCGCATACATTTTATAATCATTTTAAGTCTTTTTGACAGTGTACCTACGAAATCAAACGATAATGAAAATGTAGTCATACTTGATTTAAAAAGAATATATAAAGCACTATAACTTAGCCTGTCCTGAGTAGTTCAATTTTTCAATCTAGTTTTGACTAATGTATTCATGCACAGCACGCGGTCCACTTTTGTCCATTCAATTCTTTTGTGCTAAGAACGACGCAAGGGACATTTGGCTCAAGTACCATTACGAATGTTTTTCAAGAAGTTCACGGGAGCTTACTGAGCTCATAAAGTTCTTTTTACTTCATGCATAATAAACCAAAGGCTAATTTCCTTATCTGTTATGTGGCAAAATACAAAACACTAATAATCGTTGATGACCTGTTCAAACAGGAATTTTATTCACTAAACTGTATTCATTCCGGCTGTGGGATGTATAAAATAGCATTTCTAAATAAATTTATCAAGGGAGTACGCTTTCATCAAGAGCATATTTTCTAGAAATTCAAACCGAGAAACAGGATATCAATGATCTTATTAGTATTGTACTAAAGCAAGTACTATGCATGGGGATGTACGAAAATCAGTCGTAGCAATTTCAGCACAAACTATGGGAAAGAGTGAGTCTCATCAGAGTCATTAACTTGCACGCAAATAGGAGCCTAAAATATCGTAAATGTAAAACAAAAGAAAAACTATTTGAAAACTTGGATGAATAGAAAATATTAAAATGTTAGATAAAAATAACACTCAATTCTACTTTTTACTTTGAAAGTTGCTGTATAAACATCAATAGCCTGTCCGCATGCATAGAGTGACCCTAACTTCATTTTTATGTACAACTCTGTGTTTGAGTAACCTTGTTTTCAAGTTCGTGATGTTATCTCAATCTTCGAGAGCTCGAATTTAATATTTTCGACATCTCGGTGGTTTTCAATATTAATAGCTATGATCACACAATTTCTCTTGTTTGACGTCAAACGTTTTTTATATGCCTATGAATATGCACAAAACCTCAAATAAGACAACAAAGAAACTTTTGTTCTTTCTAGAAGAACTACAGTCCATCGTTTGCATTCAAAATAACAAAAATAAAACGTTCTACAAGATAACAGAGTTGTTAAAGGCTTTCAAATATTTTGTCTACAAACATTGCTTTTCATTCCACTTTTTACAATCTTACATTTATATTTTTGACGTACATTCTTTTGTTTATATGTAATTTCATTTAAAATAGACAAGCATCCGAACAGGATGTTTTATCATTTCGTATTGCTATTGAAAAATACTTATATCACAAGGAAGTACCACTTACATGGTGTGTTTAGCCCCTATGGTGCTGTGTTGATGTAGCGATTATGATTAACAAAAGCTTCGCAGGTGAATGCAATGCATAAAAACTGATATCGAAGAATGAAAGGGAGCTTTTTATATATTACTAAAAAAAACACTACAACGATCACAACACGTTGATAAGCCACGTCACAAATTGATGCTTAGAAACCACATTTTTCTGGTACATTCTCTCCATCTCCTTCAAAGCAATATTTTCTTACGATTAACGTTCGTCTGGCTAGTTCAGAACAGAAACCGTCGCCCTTATTGCAAAATTAAATAAATTATTTAGATTTAAAAGTTACAGATACAAGTTTCCCATCAAAGACTGCGGTAATTACTACATTATGTCGTCGAACAAGGGTTAATTAGATAAAAATTGGATCTCGAAAAATAAATGCAATATTTCTCGACGTTTTGAGCGTAGGCATTGCATGCAAGGTCTCGCTTTACCCAAGCAAGAGTGCCAATTAAATTCATTATAAAATACGTATTTGTCAAACAGGAATTTGAGAAGCTATTTTCGGCATTGATCATCTCTTTATACAACTCTTGTACAACTGATCAAGGTAGTGTAAAACATGTGATAGTCCAACTTTTTGTTTAAGCTATACTAAAACAGTTCCCAAAGAAAAGATGACATTAACATCTCGATAATAATCCTTTTCTTTGACACGTTTTAAAAATTCAATTGGTTTAATTTTCTATCAAAGGATTGAACATGGCCACGCCATACACTATAAAGTTTTTATCAACAACGAACTCGTCTCATTTCAAACTTTTCGTGTGCCGAACGCTTTTGAAACAAAAAATAATAACAAAGAACCTGTGAACGTGGTCTAATATTTTCTTGAACGGAACACAACAGAGGCTAACCCAACCCAAATAAAACTTCTGTTATGCAAATTTTTTAACAAAATTATCATTCATCTTTTCAGAAAATATATTTCCTTCATCGTTTTCCAGTGACAAAACAAAAATATTTGCAAATAGCTTCCAACCTCATGCAGCCCTTGCAATGAAATGTACGTTTACAAGTTATACGAACCGATTCCCAACATGATTGGAAGGAACATATTGAAAGTATATAAATTCGATTCAAAATGTTAATTGCCATCATTAAAGTTCTTGGTTCGTTCTTTACATTAACAAGTAAATTCTTTTAAGTATTGGAAGATTAAGTGCAAAGAATTGCAACATTTACAAATTCTATATCATTTCATAAACCATTAAAAGTATCAGAGTCTCTTTGTTTCACAGTAACGTATGCACAAGACAGCAGGAGATATGATAAAGTGTAAGCGTCTTGCTGTGTACTTCTGCATGTATTTTATAGGTTGAATGGTAAAAAAGCGCCTCACCCAGTTCATCCACTCAAAAAATATGTGACTTCGACTTCCCGAGATCTCACGGGACCAAATGGTATAAAAATGAAGTGATTTGTTGCTGGTGAGAGCATCAAGAATACAGAGCATTGAGGAAACGGCTAGCTATAACAGAAAAGCAAAGGTATCTAAGACCAAGGCATAAAGAATGATGAAGTTTATAGTCGCCTTATTCCTTCTCGTTCAAGTCATTTTTACTGTGATCGATCAAGGAGAAGCTAAACTCGTTGTGAAACCAAAAAGTCGAAAGACATTTCTACCAAGATGCCCTTCAACACCTTCAAAATATCTGAAAATCGCTAAAAAAAGTCTGCTTGAAGGAAAAAGAAGAAAGAGATCGGTAGGAAAATTAAAAAGTTTTACCGCTAGAATATAAAAATAGGAACGGATAATTGTACCGCTCTTCTTAGCTACCACAAAAGAATTAACTAGATCACTTATGAATATGCCTCCATACCAGAGGATTATGTTAAGAATAAAACTATTGTCTCAAATAAAAAGTACATAAATCTCCTTGGAATGTACCATATCGATAGACAGTCAAACAAAGAAATTGCTTCTTAAGAAAACCCCAATAATTTATATCTATGTTTAAATGTTAAAGAAAATTAAATACAGCATAAATCTGACACTCGTTTCAAGTAATGGAATCTAATTGTTGGCGTGCAACAGATATTTTGAACATATTTATGGTCAAAATTCTTACGACTCGAATTAATAAGTTTAAATGAACGAACATGAAAAAGTCAGCTGTAGTTTATGCTTGGAGCATATCGTCCAATTATATAGTTCGAGTTCTTGTAAGAAAGGAAATTTGCAAGGTTGATGGTTAATCGCTCATTTTCACACCGAGTATGGTTCAACAAATACGCAAAATTGATCCTTATAACCCCACTAACACAAATTTTTACTATGCTATGGCAAAAATATTGGTCAGAGATTGGATTAAAGATAAATTCACAACAGTAATCCTGAAAAAGGATTTCTAAATCTCTCTAAATTTCTAAATTTCTAAATTTCTAAATTTCTAAAGGAGATCCAATACAAATTCTAAAAAAACAATGGTTAAATAGCCAATCAGTAGGAGAATTTCTAATCGACAATTGGAAGTAGTCAGTGGCCAGCATCGATAACTGGGGGAGGGTGGGTAATAACAGTGACATGTATATTCTTTTCTAACACACAATTAATTAGGTTTTATTGTAATAATGTGATTTTTTATTTTCTTCCGCAAATAGACATCCGACTTTCCTGTTAACTGTGTAACACTGGCTTACATGGGGACAAATGGAGGGTTTATTATCCATGCGGGTATTCAAGAATGCTGCGAAAAATGTAATGTTCCAAAGTTTTTGCAGTGTCTCGTTAGCCATGCAGAAAACCCTCTCAGACTTTTCATCTGCCAAAATCGAGCGTATTCTTGTAGCTTCAGATGTCTCCTCCAACCAAGTGCGGCGATGTTCCAAGTGAGAATGCAAGCGAGAATGCAAGCGAGAAGAAAATGCACATCAAAAGTATGCACGCGAGGCAAATGTTGTCTGCAACAACATTGTATCAAGTTGAAAACAAAATCTCTAGTGAAACGACTTGATTGAAACATTCTTACAACACTAACGAGTTTAGCTACATGCATGCAATGTTAATTACAATAATTGTCAGATATTCAACGTAAACGATAATAAAAACAAAATTTGAATTTCAGTTCTCCTTTTTTTGTTTACGATCTTTCAGTTTTTTTGAGTAGCCTGTAAGCAGGGCACATATTAAAACATATTTTGAATTCCAACACCCAATTCGCAGAATATTGTACTTCGTAAAAAGTGAATCTTATTGAAATCACTTTTCTCTATATTTTGCTAATGTTACAAGTGTGAACTAAGTGTTGAAATGTTAAAATCAAAAACCATGCATAGTGTTGCATCCACAAATGTTATCATTATACACCTTCGTGAAATAAATATTGATCATTGTGTCAAAATTTATAGTCACAATGGTTGCGACTCGAATACAATTGATAATTGTAAATATTCCTATTAAATTAAAAAACAATACGGTTTGATGTATTGCACTTATATCTTCTGCCTTTCACGATTTCGAGTTTTTTTATCAGGAATTTTATTATTTTAACAAACATTTTCAAGAATGCAGCTGTAGTTACGCCTGGAGGCAAATCAATAATTCAGTTTGTTGTATATTGACTTTCTGAATTAAACATTGGAATTGTAGATGGATCATACATGAAATCTGAATTATAAATTGAATTCGTAACATACTCCATTTTCACTTTGCTTCACATATGCATGGTAAAAAAACCCCAATTATTTTCTGAAGCTTTGGAAAGCAGATGTCTTGTCAATCCTATTGATTCTTCTTTGATAAACTTATTTAAAGAGATTTATGAGATGATTAAACCTACGGCGGATGCGCAGTATCTTAAGACGCAACCCTCAATTAGTAGCTAGTTGCTCTATACTCTTTAACCATTTACTGGTTGGATTTTTTTTCAATTGAGTTTCATTCCAGTTTGTGATTGTTGACATATGACAACCGTGGACAATAACGGATTTAGATTTTCAAACATTACGCCGCGAAAACCGAAATATTTGAAATGACGTCTTTGATACTGACGGCCGTTTCCAAGGTAAAACTTTTCATTAATCAAATGTATTGAAAACAATAGGCCAGTTTAAAAGGCAATTCATGCAAAAGAAACGTTTGCTGCCTTTTAAAATACCCAAAAATCAATCAACTAATCCATAATGGAAGCGACAAGCCATTGAAATGGCGAAAATCATTTAAAAATAACATCAACTACAATGATAAAATATGTAAACAATGGTGGTATTTATTACCTTGTAAACAATCGCGATCCATTGAGAACGAATTCGTGCGGATATTTCACAATGAACCTGACGCCAAACTGCAGCAAAACTTGGTTTCTATCAAGCCTTTCTTTCATGTTCCATGTAACAAACGATACAGTGATGGCTAAAAAAAGGAGCCAAACATGAGTCTTCTATTTTAATTCCATAAACTTGAAATGAAATGATTTGTAAGACTTATATTTGTAAATAAAATGATTTGGAATTAAAACAAGATAATTTCATCAAGCCATGCATGAAGGAACGCTTTGAAGCGTGTAACAACAGCGTTCGTAAAAGTCGTTTGATGAACACGAACTTATTTTAACACAAGAACTGAAAATAAAAACATAAGCATCCTTCTTTTGATCAATACGAAGTGTTTTTTACTTTCGTTCCTTCGCTTTGCTAATGTTGTAAGGGTGAATTAGGTTTATAGCAACACCTTGGATCTTTTTCTATAAGACATCAAGCGTAAAATATATGCTTGAAATTTTTGTATTATATACAGGTCAGAACAAGGTACGTGGCATTGTGAGCGGACTAAGCAGTTCTCATCAGCTCCCATAAAAATTTAGCTTGCTCCAGGCAAAATTTGGTAAAGACAGAAGGTTACAATACATCAAGAAAGATGAAGGAAATGCTTGTTTTTTTGATAAGTGTGTTATTCTTTAACGCCATGGCTGAAAAAATTGACCTACAAGATGGAATGAGAAAAGCATTACATTGGCGACCAACCGAATCCAAACGACAGAACATTCTCAAGGTCCGACCAACAAGACGATTGAACTGGCAGCCCAATGAACTTGAAAGAAATGACTTTATCAAGGCACGCCCTACAAGACGATTGAACTGGAAGCCCAATGAACTTGAAAGAAATGACTTTATCAAGGCACGACCTACAAGACGATTGAACTGGCAGCCCAATGAACTTGAAAGAAATGAATTTATCAAGGCACGACCTACAAGACGATTGAACTGGCAGCCCAATGAACTTGAAAGAAATGAATTTATCAAGGCACGACCTACAAGACGATTGAACTGGCAGCCCAATGAACTTGAAAGAAATGACTTTATCAAGGCACGACCTACAAGACGATTGAACTGGCAGCCCAATGAACTTGAAAGAAATGACTTTATCAAGGCACGACCTACAAGACGATTGAACTGGCAGCCCAATGAGCTTGAAAGAAATGACTTTATCAAGGTCCGACCTGCAAGACGATTGAACTGGCAGCACAATGAACTTGAAAGAAATGACTTTATCAAGGCACGACCAACAAGACGATTGAACTGGCAGCCCAATGAGCTTGAAAGAAATGACTTTATCAAAGCACGACCTACAAGACGATTGAACTGGCAGCCCAATGAACTTCAAAGAAATGACTTTATCGAGGTACGACTGGCAAGACAAACAAGATGATTGAATTGGCAGTTTACTCAAAAACGTTTTAGTGTTATGTGTTTCTTTGAAGATCTTAAGTTGTTAAAGACTTGGGCAGCAAACGCCCTTCACTACATTGTCAGTGTAATTTTTCATCAGTATAGAGCAAGTCTAAACCTCAAAACAAGTATATAACATTTGTTGAATGTTGATCAATCATACTTAATCTTAGGCTTGTTTTCAACTCATTCATTTATACTTTCTCAAAACGACTGATATTATTTCGAATGAAATTGCCAATAGAACATGCACTTTCCAAAATGATCACATTGAAATACGCATAGAATGAAATCGGGGACTCGTCACCAGTTCGTTTTGTTGCTGCTCATATATATTACTGTTATTTAAAGGAAACAAAGTTAAACACTTCCACACAAAAACGATGTACCTATGGTGCTTGTCTTGCTTGTGGATCCTTAACAACCCACTGTTGTGACGACAGATTTCCCACGCAGAAAACGCAATCTTATATAATTTTTCATTGACTCAGAAAACCATGACTTTGAAAACGACGATTCATTCCAAAAACGATAAATTATGTCCTGACTAAGCGTTTTCACACGCTAAAAATAAGATTTGTTATCAATGCATGCTTGCAAGTAACTTCAGTACATATCTAACAACCGTCTTTATTGTAACAATTGTGTTGTTATTGGTTCTAGTTATGGCCTAACATGTTCTATTTTTACTTTTGAAGTAAATTTTATAATGAAGGTTAGCCAAGGTATATTTTCACAATCAATTATCCTCGACGACAGTGATGTATGTGTTTTACATACCACTAATTCACGCGCGCTTCGGGGATTTTGAAATAAGATATACTTGCATCATAAATTAATGATCTAAAGGTCTTTTTTTTACTACATCAAAATGAAAGAATAACTATATGCCGACTGTAATGACTTTTTTTATTTTTGCGTTCTTGGGGAGTTAAACGCACCTAACAACCACATTTCGTACACTTCTACCATACTCAATTTTCAATCAATAGAAATTCCACTAAACCACTGACTGAACCAAAAGTTATCACCCAGAAAAAGGGGTTCCCCCGAAAGCAATACACAAACAAAGTATTTTAATAATCTAGGGAAATCCCCATACTTATTGTATATAACCTACAACATCTTACACAAAGCACAGTTCGCATCATTTCATACGAAACTGCAAGATAAAGAAGAAATAAAACTCTCAATATCATTTTTAGCGAAGGTAAGTGAGTACCAGATTTGGATTTTCAAAATTCAATAAGAATTCGTGTAAACTTGTAAAAACTTGTAAAGAGATTGCAGACATTAAGAAGCACAGTAAAGGAAAAAAGTGCAGAATCATACTTGTCCTAAATTGTCTTAACGACATAGCTACAATCATGCAGCGACATACATTCGCGAGTTGAAAAAACTTATTTGCTCTATTATAGTTTTCTTTTCTTGCATTTTATGAAAAAAGAATACTTTTCTAGCGTGCCTGTTAGGGAATGCTTCGCAATAAGCATATGCTGACATAGCATCCAAAAATTTCTCGAGTCAGCAATAAGCTGCCAATTAAAGCGTTGAAGCAACAGCCCACATTTTAAAACAGATGCCAAACACTTATGTAAGTCACATGTATATTAATCAGCAATTTTAATAATAACAACTAAACAATAAAACTGCGATAACAATCTATTGAAAAACACAACACTCTTTGTGCTATTCGGCTCAGTCGCTAGTACTGTTAATGCATCAAACTTCCTAATCTTTTCAAACTTGAATTTTGAGACCCCAATTGACGAGTTTCGTCTTTTCTCAAAGCGTAGCAAGATGTCAAATATACTAATGACGCAACACAACCGAGTAAAGAATATCACAGGAACTCGCGCGTGCGCACCGAGAGAGGTGAGTACATGGAAACGTTACTGGATGAAGGAGACAGGTCGAGACTGGCCGAAACGATGCCGAATAAGTGGATGTGGAGAGCCCGCAATCGGAGGGGGTCATGTCCACGTCTATGGTCATTACGACAATGTTTATATTATACCAATGTGTAACTCGTGCAATAACTCCATTAAGACCTCGTGGATGAATGTGAACACACGAACAGAGGCCGCTCATGTTGAAAGGAACGATACCAGAGGACCTGAAGGTCCTTGTTACTGTTCAGCTTATTATTAATAATGTAATCAAAATATCTCAATTTCTTGTTTGGTTCAATTTCAGTTCAATGATATAACTTAAAGCAAATAATTTACCAGAAACGAATGTACGTATTTGAGGGAATTGACGGATAAAAAATAATTTATGATGTAAATTCATTACTTCTTAAACCATTTTCCGTAGTACATTTTAGTAAATATTTCAAATAGAAATATTTTGAAATGTATTGAGGAGTACATTTTGCATGACTCTATGTGAATCGATCACAGCTGGTCAACACAGAATAAATGTAAAAGAAAAACGAGGCGTATTCTTTGTTACTTTTCGTTTTAAACCGTAACAAGAGAACGGACCAAATGCTTATTTCAGATACTCAACGAACGCACGTGACCGTCACCAGCCATCATTATTATTCTTAATGCATCTTTCAGTGAATCAAAGATGCCAAAAGTGTGGAAAATGGCAAATGTTTCGCCTTTGTTAAAAACACGCATTATCAATGATTTCAACAAAGGCCTTGGGCCAATGTCTTCAACATCTACTTTATCAAAAATTTCTGAATCGTGTATAATAGAACATGAACTGAAGCCGAAGTTGTTGAAGACCATTGTCCCACAACATATTGGCTTTAATCCTTCCTCTTGTACAACGTTTGCTATTATTTCAATGTTACATCATTGGCTCGCAGCAACAGATGGAACTGGTTCAAGCGTAAGGATTGCACTCTTGGATTATAAAAAGGCTTTAGATCTGATCGATCATAACTTATTGCATTTTTAAGCCTACTGTTTTAAACTGGATTACCGTGGAGGTGCGAAACGTGTGATGTTGAAATTTGACTGTTTTTCAAAATTTAATATGGTTCCAGCAGGTATTCCTCAAGGTACCAAACTTAGTCCTAGACTATTTCTGTCAATGATTAATGATTTGTCTGTAGCTGGTGCACCTTCATGCTTATGGAAATTTGCTGACGATAGTACAGTTTATGAAATTATTCGAAAAAAATGCAACCAGCGATATACAAGAGCAGATGGATCAAATATGTACTTGGACAAACGAGAACATGCTTCAATTGAATTCATCAAAATGTATGGAGCTTCGGGTGGATTTTAATAAACAGCAACGTATACACGATGTCGTTGTAATAAATGATCAAGCTGTTGAAGTTGTTCAGTCAGTTGATATACTTGGCATAACTTGAAACATCTTTTATTTATTTGAGAAAATATCAATAATGCGAAACAGACAACTTTAAAACAAACGTTTTAATTTTCTTCTAAAATGTATTCATGATTGATTTGCAAATTCTATTTGATTCATTGATTGATTTTATTGGTTGAGCTAAACCACTGAATAATCCAACATATTTCCCAGAAGAAGGGGGGCTCCCCCGTTTAAATACTCAGGGAAATCCCCATATTCATTATATATAACTTAGGCTTAGTTCAAACGGCGAACTTCTCATGTGCCGAACTTAATACAACGCATTAAGTACATGACAAGCACGACGTATGAACAATTAAGTTCGGCGGTTTTAATTTTGATCGACTCAAGGATATAGCTCGGCTGGGCTTGCCGTGCCTAATGTATTAAGTTCGACACGGCACGTTGTCAATTCAAACGGCGACCTTCTCATGTGCCGAACTTAAAAAAGCGACGTGAAAGGAGTAGCGTTATCACCCTATTCGTGCGTACATATCCTACTCAATCCATGATCTAAACCCGAGTAAACTGGCGCGAATTTTATGGCGCTCATTTGTAAACAACATGGCTTCTTCATCGAGACAAAGCCAATCGATTGTTGACTGTAATTTTTGCCAAAAAGAAACGAAATACAAGTGTATAACTTGCAATAGTCCAGTTTGTAACCGTTGTAGTTTGTTTCAAGACGATGAGGAAACTATAGTTTGGGAGGCTGGAGTATCTGTTGGATATTGCCCAAATTGTGAAGGGAATTCTACCACCGATAGGCATCCAGTCGAATCACCGGAGATGGAAAATCATTGCACTCCGTATAATTCAAATACTTTTTACGCTGAAAGCCGAGAAACTTCAACACCCTCTCCGTTGATTGGAAGAAAAAAGTTAGACCTAAATAATTATTGTTAAAGCCCCAATGAATATTACGATTTTCTTTTATTCAATATACCGTATTCGTACTAATATTTTGACCAATATTTTATTTGTAGTGGCTCAACTGATGACGAATCTGAAGTTAATGATAATGACAAAGGTTCAAAAAAGAAAGCTGGCAGGAAAGCCTTGTGGACCGAGAACGTTCTAAATGATTTTATCGATATTGTTGCTAACAGTGATTACTACAAGAAAAAATTAATTTTCACGAATACAAAAAACCAAAAGAATGGTAATATATACGAAAATATTTTGACAGAGCTTAAAGCAAGGTGCCATGAAAGAAAAGAAAACATAGACTTTACTGTGTCTCAAATGCGTAATAAATTTAAGAAATGCATTGGAGAATGCAAACATGCTGCAATGACCATCAAAACTGCTAGTGGCATAAAACGTTTCCAAGAAGGCAAAGGCTATGGTATATGGTTCAAGCAGTTGTTTCAGCTTGTTCAATCCAGAGACTCTTGCAGACCTGAGATGGCATTAGAACCTTCATTTTCAAGTGATATCAGTAGCTCTAGCTCCAGTGCAGGGTGCGAATTAGTTGAGAAAAAACGATGTGCAAATTTTTTGTTGAGTCCTTGTCCAATGGGAGTTTCGTATTCGTTAAGTATTCTTCAACATATTTCTCATTCAACGTTTCTTTCAAATTTAGCTTAACTGCCATCTTATGTTGATCAGAATTCATACGATTTACCACTGTGTTTTTCTTTACAACAGCTGATCCTGTTATGAATGTGCGATAGAAATTTTTTGCGCTTGTTATTCTGTCCTCTTTGTTTGTACAAACTTTACAGCGCAGTGAATTCACCACTTGGCCATCATCCTCGTATTCAAGCCAGTCGGCATTCATTTAATGTTTCTATCCATTTTTTTACTGTGTTAATTTTGCTAGTACAACCTTTCGACGAAGAAGCCATCATGGCAAGAAAAACAAAAGCGAGAAGAGAAACATGCACCTACTTTTGTCTTCTGATTATCTAATATGTTTTATTGATGTTTACTTATAACAAAAAATATTTTTGTCTTTTTGCAAACAATACGTAAAAGCAAAAAGTACGATTAATCAAGGTTGCCAGTTTGATTTTTTTTTCTAACGTTTCGCTCCCAAAAATCTTTTTGGCTTATTTTTCAAATTTGAAAATTTTAAAGGTTTTTTTAGGAATCAGAAAGAAAATGTCTCCTGATTTTATTGAAAACACTCAAAATAGCTATGATGCCAAAAAAAGAAATGATGTACAAACTACAAAACAACGCAATGCAAAAATTAATATTTATATATGTATTACATCCGTATATGGTCAGAAGAACCATGTATGTCGATCAGTTTGTCGACTGTTGACAGACTTTCCAGTCTCAAAGTGACGACGTTTCTGAATTTGATGACATTGTGTCAACATTGCCAATTACATGGCCTAAGATTTTAAAAACTTTTTTCAATATATGTGATAGTAATTAATGAAAAACTTTTTTTGCACATCGTTTGAAAAAGTGATGTGCAATTATTTTCATTTTAGCCAAAACGATGTGCAAATTGCACATTGCACACCGTTAATTCGCACCCTGCTCCAGTGGTAATCCTTCTCTGATTGACCTTGAAGAAGAGGAAGAAATTAGACAGTTGGAAGAAGGTGAAGATAGTGTGAAAAAATCATTTGTTCCCATGAAGAGAAGAAAATTGTCAACAAAAGACAATGTTGGTGAAGCTATAGCTCTTTTAAAGACTATGGTGGACAATGATCCATCCATGGAGCTGCTACGTTTCATGCAAGATGAAGCTGAAGTAGCAAGAAAGCATGAAATTGAAATGACCAAGTATTTTCTTAAATGTCTAACTTCATCAAATGGTGCACATTCCTGGTCACCACATCAATATAACTCACCATTTCCACCACAACCCAATATTCAACCAATGCCAAACTTTCAACCAATACCAAATTTTCAACAAGAACCAAATATCCACTCATCAGCTAATCTTCAGCAGTATCAATTACCAACCCAAAGTCATTCAGCAGGCACTCCAAACTTTAGCAATAGTCATTCAGACTATGATCTCAAACAATACCAATCTTTATAGAAATTAGGTATGTGAATAAAAATAACATATTATGGCATTTATTATGCCCTGAAGCACTTGCAATGTTTAATTAGTTCTTATAATTCAGTTGTGTTGTTGATAAAGACATTTCAAGTAATAAAGATATTTTTTACTAATTGCTACACAAACTTTATGTTGTTATACTATCAAAATGTTCAAATCAAATGTTATTTGTGCACAATAAAGAATTATATAATCACATTAGTTAAGATTGAGAATTAGAAAGTACCAAAAAATTAATTTTTTATGAATGTGTTGTTCAATATATGAAAATGAACTTTTTTTCAAAAGTCAAAAAAATTAAACAACTTCTCCAGTCTCCTTCTCCAACCAAAGTTTTTCCATCAAAGCATTTCTTATATCAGCTGCTTCTTTGAAAGTATCCCTGACTTTGGGACATGCTCTCATTTGTAGCAATTCTCTTACTGAATGTCTATCTTGCATTTCACTTTTGCCAGGGTCTTGTGAAAGATCCAACTTTTTTGAGATAGTATCTTTCTTCATTAAGCAAATGTTATGGAGGACCAGGCAAGCCAAGACAGTCATTCTGACACTTTTTCTATTACTTTCACATTTTCTGTACAGCACACGCCACCTACCTTTAAGCTGTCCAAAAGCTCCCTCTGTCACCATTCGTGCACGGCTTAGTAATTAAAATACCTTTTCCTTTCAGAAAGGACAGCATCTGTATAAGGCTTCATAAGCCATTTGGTAAATGGAAAAGCAGAGTCAGCAACTATAAGTGGCTGGACTGTTTGCTGACCAATTACTTTCCCAATTGCTGGCAAATAGTTTCCTTCCTGAATACTAGCCCACAGCTGTGTGGATTGAAAAATTATAGAGTCGTGTGAGTTACCCGGGTAGCCACAGCTTCCCCAAAGAAATCTTTCGTGGGAGTCAACCAATGTCATAAGAACAATAGAGTAAAAGTTTTTAAAGTTGTGATACTCTTTGTTTGCTTCCTGACCACCTGGTGGGCACTTTATAGAAATGTGGCAACCATCAAGGGCTGCCCAACAACAAGGGAACTGCCAAAAGTGTTCCATATCAATCATTGAATCTTTGAAATCTTGCTCAGACTGTGGCATTAACTGTTTGACAAATTCGTCCCAGAGATGTTCAACGATGGCTTTGCAAACTTCATCAGTTATAGAACATACGGTGGAAACACCAAGCCCAGTCAATTCTGCAATTGTATAATAATATGTTCCTCTTCCAAGGCGATACAAGCAAACAGCTAGTCGAACCTCTGGAGGAACGGGCTCTTCAACTATGTTTTTCTTTTCGAGTACGTGTCTTAGGCGAGCAAGAATAAACAGAAACGTTTCCCGAGATATTCTAAATGTTTTCTTGAATCTCACTGCAGAATAGTTAACCCAAACAAGATTCCACCATCCTTTATTTCTAGCAAGTCTCCGACATGATCGAGGCGTTATTGATGTTGAACGCGGGTTTTGCGAGAATAAACACAGAATCAGGGTGATCGCAGCTCAGATTGCCATGATTCTTCTATTAATCAATAACTGAATAAAAGAATCAAGCATTCTCCTTCGATTTTTGGCACGCTCTAGCATATGTCGCATAAAAATGATCTGTCTGTGCTATTTTTGTTTTCGCCATATTGAAAATCCCACTGTTTATTTGAGCATGCGCGTTGTATAAACGCTGACGTAAAGGAACGAAAGGTCATATGAAAGAATACACCACTTTGGCGGTTTTATTTGAATAAAACACTTGCTCGCTAAGTTCGACTGAATTAAAATCGACGTTTGAATCAAATTCCTATTTTGCCGTGCTCTGCCTCGCCGTTTGAACCTCGCCGTTTGATGATATATAAACGTAAGTGAACATCAGATTGGAATTTTCAAAAATTCATAGGAGTTCAACGAGATTACAGACATTAAGACGCAGCCCAGAGGGAAGAATTACTGCATGAAACTTGTCCTAAATCGTCTTAACAATGATGTACAATCATAGACATAAATTCGTGAGTTGAATGAACCTAAATGCCCTTCTATAGTTATTTTACTTTCCTTATATGAAAAAAGAAAACTTTGCTAGCGCCTATCAGGGAATGCTTTTCGAAAAAAACATGCTGACAAAGCATCCAAAAATTTCTCGAGTCAGCAATAAGCTGCCAGTAATTGCGTTGAACACCCTTCATTTGAGACAGCTGTCCAACAATTAGATTGCATGTTCATTCATTAATAATTTTAACTATAGTAATTAAACAATAAAACTGCTTTACTATTTGTTGAAATACACAAAACCACCTGTGTGCTATTGACTTTTCTCAGAGCCTAGCTAGACGTGGCGCAATCGAAGAAAATGGCGAAATCGACGAAAATGGCGCAATCGAAGAAAATCAATATGAAAGGATTCATAGTGAGGAATATGACAGGAACCAAAGAGTGCTTTTCAAGAGGTTCGAGTTCATGGAAGCAACAATGGATAAAAGACACAGGTCGAAAATGGCCGAAGGATTGCAAAATAAGGGGATGTGCAAAGACCCCAGAAGTAGGGGGTCATGTCGAGGCCTATCACAATTCCAAAAATTCTTACATAATACCAATGTGTAAGTCATGCAATAATGCATATAATACCGGATGGATGCATGTGAACGCAACAACAACGGGTGCTTATACTGATGTGAGCAATACCAGAGGACCTGAAGGTGTTTGTTACTGACGTTAAAAATATGAATATTGTTAATAATATAATTAAAATATCTTATTTTCTTGTTTGGTTTAGTTTTAGTTCAATGATATAGCATAGAGGAAACAATTGCCAGAAATAAATGTACGTATTTGAGGGAGAAATTGATAGATAAAATCTAGTTTGAAAAGTACATACTTCAATTCTAATTATTTCAAATATTTGACAAACATGCATGATTGTCATAAACATAGAAACAATTGATCCAATAAACAGCTTACTGTAGTTCTGTAGATGTGTAATTTAATCTCAAACAAGAGTGTTTTTGACATACTTCTGTTTATAAAATTTGCATTTTCGTGGTTACTCTCACCTTGTGTTCATGTCACCAGAGCCATAATTGTCAGCAAAAGCAAATGTCTCAAAAGGATGAAGGAGTTTGACCAATGGGATTGGAGGTGTATGTTATTAACTAACCATGGCATTTCTAAAATGACATATTATAATGAAGTCAGTAAATTTAGGGGAATTTTCCATTGCACTCAAAATTGGTATGGGAGAAATCGAAAGTCATCCAGTAAGTAATACTTTTATGCATTCTACTGGTATGAAGATGAGTGACAATAAAAATTTTAACATACAGTAATCTTGTCGTAAAGCATCTTGGCATCAGGTTTAAAGGTATTGCATGTGAAATCAAAAACATCCATTGCTGAAATGCATATTATACAAAATGTAACTGTTTATCAAAACACACAGTGACGTAGTATGAGTGGCAGATCTAGGATAGGTTGAAATAAATTATAGAAGCTCATTTTGAATTCAAAATACTTATAAAAAAATGCAGTTGATTAGAAATTTCTAAAGCATATTTGCGGCTAAAATACTAAAAGTGAAGTAATTAAAAACTTTTTATATAATAATATGATGCTTCAGAAATATTTACACCCAATGATTATTTCAAGATTTATGCAAAAATTACTGCTCCTCATCAAGGCAAATTGGGCTATTACGGCGATAAAGTGTCTTTCTGATGTTAGAATATTGTTTAAAATCTGATGTGACAAACATTTATTTTTTCACATAGCCGAAACTGAGCACATCTGAGTCACTTTACAATTATAACAAGTCAAAAGAAATCACACTCTACTAAAACTGTACTCTACTGCCTGTAAAAAATTCTTAATGCATCCATGTGCACGTGGAGGAACTTGTATTGTGCTTATTCCAAGTTTGAAAAAAATTAACTTATTTGAGCAAATATGTAATCATCTAGTCTATACCTTAACTCTGTGATGAGCCTTGTACTTGTCTAAAGTCCTGTAATTTTGAACTGTTACTGAAAGACATCGAATATTATATGGAATCTTATTGATAATTCGGTAGAAAGTTGATGAAATTTCAACCATTTCATTTATGAAAGAATGTTTTATCCGACTCCGTTGAGTCACCTGAATTTTTCAGGTTCATAAGACAATTGCTTAAATTGTCCACCAAAGTGCGATGATCATATCTTCATTTCATTTCAACTATGGTATCTTATCTTCTCGCATGATTCCATCCACCAGCATGTCAAACCTTAAAAATCGGTACGCTTAGCGTACATATGGGGCATAAGATTACAATAATCCTAACCATTTCTATTTCATCGATAAATACGTATCACATTTACATGTTGCATGCGTTTTCCCCCATTTAAAAGTTAAAAATTAGAGTTTACATTTTAGCGAAGCAATGCAGAATACGTGGATGTGGAGAGGCCCCAGTTGGAGGGGGTCATGTCCATGTCTATGGTCATTCCAACAATGTTTATATTATACCAATGTGCAATTTATGCAATAATGCCTATAATACCGCGTGGATGAAAGTAAACACAAGAACAAAGGCTGCTCATGTTGAGAAGAGCAATACCAGAGGACCAGTAGGTCCTTGTTACCGCCGTTAAAAATATGAATATCGTTAATAATATAATTAAAATATCTTAATTTCTTGTTTGGTTTAGTTTTAGTTCAATGATATAGCATAGAGGAAACAATTGCCAGAAATAAATGTACGTATTTGAGGGAGAAATTGATAGATAAAATCTAGTTTGAAAAGTACATACTTCAATTCTAATTATTTCAAATATTTGACAAACGTGCATGATTGTCATAAACATAGAAACAAATGATCCAATAAACAGCTTACTGTAGTTCTGTAGATGTGTAATTTAATCTCAAACAAGAGTGTTTTTGACATACTTCTGTTTATAAAATTTGCATTTTCGTGGTTACCCTCACCTTTGGTTCATGTCACCAGAGCCATAATTGTACCTCGTGTTCATGTCACCAGAGCCACAATTGTACCTTGCGTTCATGTCACCAGAGCCATAATTGTACCTTGCGTTCATGTCACCAGAGCCATAATTGTACCTTGTGTTCATGTCACCAGAGCCATAATTGTACCTTGTGTTCATGTCACCAGAGCCATAATTGTATCTTGTGTTCATGTCACCAGAGCCATAATTGTCAGCAAAAGCAAATGTCTCAAAAGGATGAAGGAGTTTGACCAATGGGATTGGAGGTGTATGTTACATGTTGCATGCGTTTTCCCCCACATAAAAGTTAAAAATTTAGAGTGCAATCTTCGTTGAGAACCCTTCCGGTCATTGAACAATTCTCTCCCAACATCCACGTTGACGTGGTTTCGTCCTTTCTGCCTTGCCATTGCACTTGCTGTTGTTGTTTCTTTTCACATTTAATCTGGACTGATTCAGGTTTTTTCTTTGTTCTTTTATGCTTTATTAACACCAGTGAACGCAGTTGAAAACAATAACACAACGAATTGCGGCTACAACAGTTTTATCTGTTTGAGTCTAAATTCAGGAATTCATCAAACCATCTTCCCTGTTTTTATTTTAAAGCTGACCGCCCAGCTTTATTTGTTCAATGGCATTCATGATTGGCTGATGCTAAATACTATTCCAAACACTCAATACAAAATACATTCAACAAGTGATAATCCTTAAGGAAGTATCGATCTTTTTGGGTGCAAGATAATGAACGCTTAGCATCAGCTATCTGATGGCGAGCCAAAAAACAAAGGTGGGCAAAAAAAGAACGTTGGAAAATAAGAGTCTTATAAAAGTAATCTTTCGAACCCTCCCCCCTTTTTTCAAACGTTTTGTAGACAGTATGTACAGACAGTATACATCCTATATATTTTCATCGCTGGAGAGCACCGAGACACCCCACTGTGACATACACGATGCGCGTGCGCAGCAGCTACACACAAAAGCTTAGAAAAATATACACGTACTGAAAATGTTGCCAATATGCACGAATGATATGAAATAGTAAAATATATACCACTTGCATAGACACAAGCGAAAGGAGTGAAGTTTACTATAGTAAACATACGATGGTCATTGATACATCTCACACTATTTCTATCATCCATACAAGACATTCTGTATATAATTACTCATGTTACGAGCACGATGACGAGTGGGACCTTCGCCAATAATGTAAAACTGCAGATCAGCCTATCAAAAAAAATAGAGTTCAGTTAGGTGCAAGAAGTGAAAAGGAATACTTGGAAATGCAAGCCGTTTTTATGTCGTGCATTTTTGCGCCAAATCTTGCAACTACAGTGGTGTAGGAAAGAAGTCTTTGAGAGGGGGGGGTGGTATCTGTATCAATCAATGTAACATCATAACATAATATAGAAAATATTTTGCCTAAACTGCTAAAGTACTAATGATAGTAAATCTGCGGCAATTTATTACAGGGGACTGTTCCCCTCTCCACTTTTATTATTGGGAGGGCCTGTGTACCCACGCCCTGAGGAAGCAATATCTAATGAGACTGTTTAATTAAGACTGTGTAGACAACTGTTTAATTAAAATAGAGCTCCAGAAACTCAAAAAAACTTCATTGCATATGGTGTCGAGGAAGTGATCATAAATAATGATTCAAACTGGGTCCTGACTGAGACACCCTGCTTCAAATATTGAGGAGGATGTAGCGTGCTCCATATTATCATGTCTAACAATAAGAAGAAACAATCACGTGACAAAAGACATGTTGGGCTAACCTGAAAACGTTCTTTCCAGGCCTCCACAATTGCATGCTCGAATTTACTCAGCTCATACTCAGTGGCGAACGCAAAATACCACATTCCTTCATGTTCGGATTCAAATTTCTAAAATTTCAATTAAGCGAAAAAAATATCATCATCAGCTTCAAGGAAAATCCTAATTACTCTCGAGTGATCAAATCCTTGGATAAACAAGTTTGCTTTCAACTCACCAAAATACAATAATTTCTCACTTCATTGTCAACAAGAATCTGGGTGATGTTTTCAATGTAAAAGCTACTCAAAAACCGAAATTGTCCCTGGATGAACGCGTGAAAAGTCACTACACTTTGCTTAGTGATGACGGAACAGCAAGGGATTGCACGGGATGAGGGTGGCATAGCGTGAGAAAGGAACTCTGAAGATCCCGCAACAGTCTGACAAAGCTTGATGATCCAATCAGATGCTTGATCCTCCGTGGATGAGGATAACATTATCATGGATTCACCTTCACTAGAAACGATCTATAAAGTATATTTAAATGTTATTCTACATATGCATCACATAATATATGGAAAAACAGTAAAGAACCATAGTTTGACTAACTTCGAAGGTAAAATCTTTCTCTTCGTCGGAGACTCGTCTACAGCCTCCACAACTAGAACCATTCAGTTTATAAACCATTTTGGGTTTAAATCCCCGTGTTTTGCGAACTGAAGCAGACCTCTGCCAGTAAGTACAAAATAGTTCTTTTCCCAAAGCGAAACCATGCCAAGATATCTGGTTTTACAATCAAGAAATCCCTCCTTTATCACTTGATGCCATCCAGTATCTACGTCGCTACCAGGCCCCGAAAAACACATCCAGTGTACGAGCGAGAAACAAATAATTTCCAAATTTAACATCTAAGAAAACATATCATAAAAAAAATAGGCCGAACATTGCAAAAATATTATATCATATTTAAGAGTCAAGAGAGAGGAGTACGAAAGTAGTCTAAATAACCACCCTCAGTACTAAACTGGTTGGCAAACACAAGATTTGTCAAGAAACATTTAAATGCAAAAACTTGCTATGACTTTAAAGAAGTAGAGAGAGACTTGCCGAGCGGAAATCGAATTCGTGTAATAGAAATTAATGCCCAACATAAAGTTCTGATTAGAGCCATAAAAATAGACAAAAGAAAAAAACAAATTGTAAAATTGAATTTATTGTAACGTTTCGTCTTTACTCAAGACATCTTCAGACAAATAATAAATAGGATGTTAAGACAAGATATTATTTATTATTTGTCTGAAAATGTCTTGAGTAAAGACGAAACGTTACAATAAATTTAATTTTACAATTTGTTTTTTTTTTGGTCTATTTCTATGGTTTTAAAGAATTTAGATTTAAGATTCGTCACTTAATCTGATCATAAATAAACCAATATATTTTCCTTCCACCAAAAAATCAAACTTCATTTTTTCGTTTGCATTTCGAAATCTCCAGCAACGGGATTAAATTTTAGCAAAGCAAAAAATTTTCCCAGCCACATGATGAAAACTCACGCTTATCTTACCTGATCACAGAGAGCATCGTGTAACCACCTCGTAATCGCCTGCTGTCCTTGTACAGCGGTGCTACTTACTAGCAAAGTTAACTTGGATGGTGAGGAAAGGCTTTTCATGACTAAAGATGAAATATCTGACACCAAACTTCTCGTTACAGCTTCGTTTGCAGTTGAGAATGGATATTTTTCGATCTTATTTGCCAAGAATACTAAATGCTGACAATTCACTCCGATTTCAACGTGTTTCAACTCGGAAAATTTAATCGACTGCTCCAAGGCAAAGCTTTCGTTTGTTTGCTTTCGTAAAAAGTAGAGAGATTCATCTGTTAGCAACAAATGTACCTCATGCAAACGACCATAATGAAAACCCGTAAACCCCTTCGTAATGCGCCGACATTTTTCATCTTTACTTGTTAGTATGTTGAATGAAAGTTTTTTCATTACGGAGTGCTTCATCATGACGTCAGATAGCGTACTGAGACTTTCCGACAATGCAGGTCTGCGAGGAAAGCCCGCGAGAACTATTCCTTCGTACTCAGCGGTCACTGGACGTCGATGGGCTTGTAAATTGTTTGGAGGAAATTTTGGCGCCAATTCATGACTTGACTCTGCCTCAACCAATGAAATTGTGGATATGTCGGCCAGATCACTAGAGTCGAAGCTTTTACGGTCACCAGTTGGATGGCAAAATTCATCAAATGAGTCTCCACCATCTGATGCATTCTCAAACGTTCTAGCGCGATCTTCAAAAAGCATCGACTTATTTATGGAGAGCCAGTCTAATGTTTCTAAATTCGATGATGGAATTAGTTTAACATGACGAAATAAATCCTACCACTTTGTACACGGGAAAAATGAACGCTTTTCTCAGACAAAGCGAGTAAAAACTGTGGAAGCAAACAATAAATAAAGCGCAGACGGTTAAAATAATACACTGCATTCTAATCCTGATGTCCTAAATTAATTGAGGAAGTTGTTCTTATGACTTAAAAACTGCTTTCCATACATGAGCAACTACTTTTTTGCTTTGAATAATCATGAAAAGGTGATCACACATCCAAGACAAGACTTTACTAACCAAAATATTTTCCTTCACCGTTTTCGTTTTCATTTTCCGTTTCAACGACCGAAATGTCAGGTTGTATACTATCATATTCGAGATAACTGGGCTCTATATGTTGAACTGAAGTGCCTTCACGAGACCTTGCAACATTTCCATTGCCTGGAGTTGAAAGGCCGGAAACAACTTCGTTACGATTGTCATCTTCTCGACGTGAAAACGAGTGCAGAGGAATCGAGTTGTTAGTATCTTTAGTTTTTTGATCAACGTGACCATTTCCTGCGTTCAAATTAAATAGTTTTCAATGTAATATGGTATTAATGTTGGTATAACTTCGTCATTAAAAAAATATGCAAGATTCAAAACAGGTTTCATTGGGTTTTTCACTGAAATTTTGGTTAAATGTTCTTCAAGTGTACAGTTGTTACAGATGTTTGTGCTGTTGTTGCAGATTCGCACCAAAAGCTAAGGTGTAAAAAGCATTTCTCTCAGTATTGAACGCATGTCGACCAAGAAAAATGGCAACAACCATCAAAAAAATTTCTCTTGTCGTCAAATGCAACTTCTTTTGATAAACTAATCCCAATTTCCTATAAATCATATCTCAAACGAGCAATATAACAGAAAATATAAGTTGTTTGTGTTTGTATATTACCAATGACCCCAGTAAGACCGACGTCGCGCAATCCTAGGAAAGATAAGTCCTACAAAGTAAATGTAAAGTAATTTTACTTTTGTTCATGTCTACTGATTAAATACACAAATGATAACAAAACAGTAAACAAGAACTACATACCAACTCCGAAGACAGTCTTATAACGTCGAGTCCAGCAATTAGAGTGATTATAATACCGAGACGCTAAATTAAATGATTTATTTTAAACAATGATTGAATATTAAACATTCACATTTTCGTCGTCTCACCGACCTCTCTGTCACGAATGAAGGAATTCCTACAATATAAAAGGGAGCTGTTAAATTACAGTAAAATGGACATATGAACCCATTTTTTGGTTCAGCAACACAGATCTTTTTTAACACTTGCAAGATGGAGACCCTCCAGAGAGAATTGCCCAAGTGAAACTGTTTCCAGAGCAAAATTTAAGATGTGCAGCCTTCAGAGAAATGTTTGAGACAACAAGGTTCGTGCTTTAGAATTGTGCTCTTTTTAGTACCAATGTATAAAACTGAAAACTTCACGAAAAACACAATAACTACCTTTGATAATACTTTGCCGGGGTCTTCTGATTCTCGAAAAACATCCGAAAGTAACTACCAAGCAGACAATCCAGTAGTGAAAGGTATATCCATAAACGTCCTGTAAAATCCACAGATCACAAATTAACAGGTAAGTATATTCAGCAATCAAAAGCAACTGCAAAACCTTTGTCAAATGCAGAATGGACATCTGGGCTTTCATTGACATCTTTCTTCACTTCAGGATGAGTGAATTCACAAACAAACGACCAGTAGCCATTTTCAGGACTTTTTAATCTAAACAATTAAATATGTTGAATATGTTAAATAAAATGCAGAATTGGAAATAGATAAAGGAGTCAGTGGCATAGTCAGCATCAATAATTGGGGGGGGGAGGGAGGCAATACTCATAAATGCATGTTATAATCTGCAAAAACACAATCGATTTCAAAGAAACTTAATACAGCCGAATATGAATATTGCCTCCCCCCCCCCCACTTATCAAGCTAGTTAAACCACTCAAAGAAGCATGTGGCATTGACAATACTCTCACAGAATTCGCACAACTTTACATCAAGTAATGAGCGCAATATGTGCTATAATAATTACTTTGCATTGTCCTTTCACATCTTGCACTATATCAATAAAATCTTCAGAATACACTAAACACATTGTACTCTTGGAGTTGAACTAAAAGAATTTTGCTGGGTCAAATAGATATGAAACAGTGTTTGTTTAAATTTCAGCAATGAATGTCTCAAAACTCTCCGGTGGGATTGAAATATATGGCCATAAAATTGTTGTTATATAATGTTTTCAGATAAATATGTTTGATAAATATTTTTGGCAGCATTGTCTGTGTAAAAACATGATATTGAACAGCAGTGAACTTTTGGAAGAGGCAACTTATGCACGAAAAAACTTTAATAAAATTTGAATAAAAATTGTTTAACTAATCTCCCTCCTGCCCTTCAATATTTTGTCAACTGCCAACCACAAGCATGGAAGTAAAAGATTGTTTCTCGAAAAATTATCTCATACCCATAGAGAAGAATATGGTCAAGAACATCAAACAGACATTTGACATGAATGTTGTTGCATTTGATCTGGAATTCTTCATTGCCTCCTGTTTCATTAATTTGCTTCAGTTGAAGCTAGAAGAATCAAGAATTTAATGATGATTTACAATAAAAGCAAGGATGATAAAAAGACAAGAAAAAGCTTAACTTACTGCCTTTATTTGATCACTGAGCTGATTAAGAACATCATCTTTTATTTTTCTTCAGAGGTCATCAGCTTTTAATATGACACTATTTTGAACAAGAACAACTATGAACAACTTTAAGCATTCAGAATTGTCCTTACTAGGGAACTTCCTCGTGCTGGAAATGGTATCGAGTTTGCCAACAGAACTTCCTTATTACCATTCTTCCAACACATGTTCAAACAACGACAAATTGTACATAATTTTACTTATGTACAACATGTACAAGTTCTATTGTTTACCAAAAAACTACGTACGTTCATCTTGTAATAAAGATAGTTGGGTCTTTCGAACATCTTACGAAATAATTCAACATCTTTTTTCGTGCACGACAATATCAAATACACATGATCTACTGCATTTAATGGCCTGACCTGAGATAATGGATACGTAGGGAATTCTGGCACTTACCACCGACACATAAGGCATCAAATTCTCTGATTACAAAATGAACACATTCACACGACGAAATCGTTACACTCAACCCTTGAAACTTTACACAAATAATGGAACAATTTCTACGAAGTCGTTAGTCATTACTATAGACGAAAGTCACATGAAAATATGAAAAAATACCGTAGGAGTGGTTTAGTTCCGGGGTATGAATGCCTTACCGGCAAGTAGTTCGAATAGTTAACTGAGTTTTTATTTGTGGTTATTTTTTCAATTTTTGTCTATGATGGATATTAGGCAGGGGCTGAAGGCCCACAACCAATTAATTTTCTTTCTTTACGTCTCTGAGGACCCTAGAAACCGATTAAAGGATTTAACAACTTTTAACACCTGCTAAAAAATTACGTCATAAACCACGGTGAAACGTCATCTGTAATACTCGGGATATGATTGCTAAAACTTTCGTCGATTTTAATTTCGAGTAACAGCAGGATGGCAAGACGTTGTGTACCACTGTTCTTTTCGGAAAAATTAAACTGCATTACAGCTGAAAACGTTTCAAAGCAGGCACAAGGGGTCATGGTCTACATCTTTCTTGGTGATTGAAAAAATCTGCTGACAACGATAACTTTGGTCGATAGCCAGCTTTAAAGACTCCAAAAGTGGACATGACAATGGAGTATGTCAAGTTAATAAAATCGAATTCTACAAATCGCATTCGATCTCAAAACAATGCAGGCTCAAATATATTCACAAAAAATAAATTAGTACTTTAAACGGGAGTTACAAAGCGTTACGAGGGTTACAGGTATTCATCTATCTAACAAGATCAATTTATTCAAGATACACAAACACTCTTTTATGTAATTTATTAATAAAGTTTAGGCAGTTGGCTTAGCAAAAAAACACATAATAATTAGCTTTTATAGATTGATCAATATTGTTACCACTTGATTTGATTGATTAGAAATCAAGAATTTGCAAAATTTATCGACCAACTGATATGTTATTCGCTCCGTCTTTGGTAATATTTTAGTACCACGTACTGTTCGTTCATATTTCGTGGATACCTTTAATCACTATTGCTATCTTACGCTGTACACCAAAGATCGATATAAAAAATTTGCACGTATAAATACTCTGCGATTTGTTCTAGAAAATGCAAAATTTCATTTATCCAATCGATGCAATGCCCATAACATAGAACACTTCATCAATATTCACATACTATAGGGAATCGATGCAATGCCCATAACATAGAGCACTTCATCAATATTCACATACTATAGGGAATCGATGCAATGCCCATAACATAGAACACTTCATCGATATTCACATACTATAGGGAATCGATGCAATGCCCATAACATAGAACACTTCATCGATATTCACATACTATAGGGAATCGATGCAATGCCCATAACATAGAACACTTCATCAATATTCACACACTATGGAATCGATGCAATGCCCATAACATAGAACACTTCATCGATATATAGGGAATCGATGCAATGCCCATAACATAGAACACTTCATCGATATTCACATACTATAGGGAATCGATGCAATGCCCATAACATAGAACACTTCATCAATATTCACATACTATAGGGAATCGATGCAATGCCCATAACATAGAACACTTCATCGATATTCACATACTATAGGGAATCGATGCAATGCCCATAACATAGAACACTTCATCGATATTCACATACTATAGAGAATAATTTCAATAAAAAATAACAAAAACGAAAAGATCGCTTTACGCACCTTACGAAAAACTATGCCACACTCCCATCTACTTGTGAAACAATTCTAAATAAATTAAAATACGTTGGTATCAAATTTAAACTTTACGCAACAGTGAAATTCTATTTTCTCTTTCATTAGATTACATCCATGAGTAGAGGGGGGAGGACCTCAAACACTTACGTTCTCGCAGGGATGGGAGGCGCCTCTTCTTCTAAAACGCCATTGTGAGTCTAAAAAATCCAATAGTCACATTGATTAGCAAAACTTGCAAAACATGTCGCTTGGAGAGCACATCACAACGTCATAAACAATCTTCAATCAACAACTCCACAAAATTGAGGAATATTTTCCATTTTACAATTGGGTATCTTAATGGATTTTCCAAGTTTTTGTTATATTTTAATGTAGAGATGGTCAGTTCCATATTTTATTGGACAGTAATTGATATTAATCTAATGTAGAAACGCTCCTTTTCATGTTTTATTGGACAGTAATTGTTATTAATCTAATGTAGAGATGGTCAATTCCATGTTTTATTGGACAGTAATTGATATTAATCTAATGTAGAAACGCTCCTTTTCATGTTTTATTGAACAGTAATTTATATTAATCTACTGTAGAAACGTTTCATTCCATGTTTTATTGGACAGTAATTGTTATTAATCTAATGTAGAGATGGTCAATTCCATGTTTTATTGGACAGTAATTGATAATAATCTAATGTAGAAACGTTCCATTTCATGTTTTATTGAACAGTAATTTATATTAATCTACTGTAGAAACGTTTCATTTCATGTTTTATTGGAAAGCATTTAATATTAACAAAATGTAGAAATTGTCCATTTAGTGCTTTACTGCATGTGATTAATAACAATAAATCTCAAAAGCTTCATGCTCATATTTATAAACACACAGCGTGTCATTAAAAATTTAAAGATAAAAACCTGGGAACCGTTCACAGTCTCAGACACAGACGCGGGAGGTGGTTGAGTTGGTCGAGGAAATTGAGAGCGACCGCTATTTTTCCTGTTTGAGCCCCTACAATTATAAAACATCAACATATTTCTTCACCAAGATAAAGGCATTGTGGGAATGAAAGAGAGGGGTGGGGTTCCTTCCCAACACATTATGGTGATAATTTTATCAAATGTCTCTTGCTACGTGTAATGAAACTATTCTGTATGTTCAACCTACCAGGCATTTGTGCTAAATATTCATTAAACTGACCTTGGAAAGCTACGGACTGGTATTGGAGGAGTTGGTTCTTCGTTATCAAAGGAACTGACGTGTAGCTGAGAGAGCTGCAATATATAAAACAAAATCGTCACACTTAATTAATCAAAAACACTAAAGCAACAATATGAGTTTGAATGGCTAAAAATGTCAGTTTAGTCCCGTCTAGATGAAGGTGAAGGTGAACAAGTCCCGTCTTGTTCAAACAATTTACTTCATTAAAATCATAGCAGCTAATTTTTTTTCAAAATACATCTTCTCAGAAATGCACAAAACAATCCCTTCCCTATTCTTTGGGGTTCATTAAAACACATATCAATAAACCCTACAAACATTGTTAAAATGTGTTGGAAACGGGAGAGGCAGCACATTCATTTACAACTGCAAAGGAAGGACGTAAATATGATAGGCTTACGTCTAGTTGAGAACGACCAGCCAGGCGAATATTCTCAGAAGAAATATGATACTGCAGTGCAATGTATATGAACTTATATTGAGCCTAGATAAATGAAAGAAATCGCTGAACACGAAAAAACATTCACGACTAGCCTGTTGGCTATTCCTTAGTCGCGTACAGTTGAACCCAGTGTCACGGTGAACACGAAAAAACATTTACGACTAGCCTATTGGCTATTCCTTAGTCGCGTACAGTAGAACCCAGTGTCACGGTGAACACGAAAAAACATTTACGACTAGCCTATTGGCTATTCCTTAGTCGCGTACAGTTGAACCCAGTGTCACGGTGAACACGAAAAAACATTTACGACTATCCTGTTGGCTATTCCTTAGTCGCGTACAGTTGAACCCAGTGTCACGGTGAACACGAAAAAAAATTTACGACTATCCTATTGGCTATTCCTTAGTCGCGTACACTTGAACCCAGTGTCACGGTGCTAGTTTAAAATCACTCTTATTTATGTCATGATTAGTTTAATCTCATCTAGCCACATTGTTATGACGTCTTACTATTAAAACAATCAATTCCTAGGGAAATGACCACGAGTATAACGGTTCTATCTAAGCAAGATGGCTACCCCATACTACACCACTAGGTTTCGTTACCTGATGGTAAGTTTAGGATTAAGATGAGTTATCGATTCAACAGAAAATATGGCTTTAACAATATATCAAGTAATACCTCTGTCTGTACCATTCCTGACCTCTGCGCCCTTACGTTTAATATGGCTTGTTTGATATCAATTTCACTGTTTAAGCCTACAAAGAACAACGAAACATAGCCGTTAGACGTGACATGAAAGCTCGCGATTGAATAAAACACAAAAACATTATATTTCTTATGTCGCTGCACATATTGATATGGCCGCATCTAAGGTGAACTGTTCATTAATGATGTTATCCTGATTGAATAAAGCCTGTAACTATCTGCAGCATCTCCTTGAATGTGTAAATAATCTCACCTTGCTCCTTGAGAATATGTATCAACATATCTATGACAATGAACGTACCAGTCCTACCAATGCCAGCACTTTGATAAGAGAAACATAAAAAGAGATTATTATTGCATAAAGAATGATATTTTTTTTCATTTTCATCCGCAACAATCGAGAAAAAAATAATGACTAGGCAAAATATTTGCTTGCAGGATGCATTGCATGTAAAAAAATCGTGATATATCAAACAGTCATGTCTGTATTAGTTAAAAATGTGTAATGACAAAAATTTCCTCATAAACAAACTTCTGGCATTCTGGAGTCACATACGTAAGGGTACTTGTCGCTACAACGATCAATCAGTCCACTTAATGTCTAGGCTTACCTGCAATGTACAACGATTGGTCCTGCGCCTTGAATATGATCCTGTTTGAGGTTAACATCATCGAGGATATTCAGGACGGAGCTAGGATCATCAGGTACACCATGATCAGGCCATCCCATGTAATGAAACTGATATACACTTCGTGGTTCAACACTTTGCTGTAAAAAGATAGTGACATCATCATAAAATTAGGGGGGGAGAGCGAAAAAAACGTACATTTATGTTCTACCACCGGCTGTAAAAAGATAGTGACATCATCATAAAATTAAGGGGGGGGGGAGTGCGAAAAACCCCCGTACATTTATGTTCTGTCACCGCGAATTAAAATAATACAGTTTGATGGTGGGGCATTTAATACATGGAATCTTTTGAAATTTTACAACCAAAATGACACTTAGTTGATCTTTATAATTAGATAATTTTATGTCGGATGTGTTTACGATATCAAACAAGAACAAATCATTTCCTACAAGTGTATTCGTCAACGTATATGACAAATCACAGGAAACAATGTTGTATAGTTTGAAAGATTTTTGAAACATAACCATTACTATTCGAGATGACTAAACATATGTTCCGCCGTTGTTCAGTCTTTAAAAGCACGGGCGTATGAAGAACGATAATTGGAAAAGTTGATATTCAAACATGCATGTTATAATCCTTTGGAAACAATGGCTTTGAAAGGAACTTAATACTGCATATCATGCATATATATATACAATCGCCCCCGCCTCCCCTTATCAATCCTTATGGATCTTCCTAGACCCATATTCCAGAGAATAATGAATACGATTCTATCATAATATGTAGCACCTATTCATTATTCATCACTTCTCTTCGAACAAACGATGTCACGAGTAGAAATAAAAACACGATGTAAACAAGCGACTACTTAAAGTGTTAACATCATAAACTAGTCATACTTACCGTCGCCTCTGGCCAAACTTTCATTTCTCTGAAAATATAGTTTGCTGTGTGTTCTTCCTCTTTTAACATCACGCTGAATTTTCCATAAATTTTGATCATTTGTTTATCATCTGGCCAATAACGGGTACATTTTGTCTGAATCAAACAACATTTACATGACAGGATCAAATGAACAAAAATCCAGCTCACACATACACAGAATGCAATAACCACTTTGTCAAAATAAACTGAACCCAAATATGACAAAAAGATGAAGAAAACGTTACAAAAAGATGAAGAAAACGTTACTAAATTTTATGTTATAGTCAATGAAAATGGGTCGCCACTGGCAAAAATTATGAAAAATTCGAGCAACGTAACTTACTCGACCCCTTTCGACTTCCTTGGTTGTCATGACAATCACACGACAGTTATCTTGCCATATCATCGCCCAAAAGTCGTTGACTGTAACAGGTAGACAACCTTGCGTTGCAATGTATCGTTTTTCTTGGCCATCGAGTAAGCCCTGTGGTGAATGGAAAACAAGGAAGAAACTCTATAAAAGTTGTAAAGTTACAAAGCTCAAAGATACAACTTTCAAATATCAATTTGTAGTCATCTGATCAAGAACATTATCAGTGATTGGCACATTCAGCGCAGCGCGATCAATCAGCTGTATAGCTGTAAAATGGCATACACTAACACATTTGCAAGCTACGAATTTTAAAACAAAATTTGTTCTTTGATCAATAACTTTAAAAAAAATAACATCCATGCTCAAATCCATGTATGTGAAAATTCGCAGCGCAGCATTTCAAACTACAGTCGTTTATCACTGAATACACATAACTTACATTGATGTAGTTTGCGTTAATGTAGTCGTGACCTTCTTCGTTTTGGAGAGAAAGCACCACACGGCTATGATCAACTGCGAAGAGATAAAAAAAGTCGTTAAAATAATGTTCAGATCTAAGACGTGCATTTACTGACGCAAAATGGGGAAAGGACAGACGTTTCATCGTTAATTTCCAAAAGGAAAAAAGGATAAATTAGGAGTAGTCACCATCAAATTTATACCTTTCAGAAAATATATTGAACGTAAATGGAGGGAAGAGAGTCTGTTCTCTCCGTCTTAGTTCAGTGGTAAACAAATGAATGACGTTGAAAAACGGCATATTAAATTCCGCATTTGGATATTTATTTTATACTATAGTGAATGGCGTGTAAAGGACTAGAACGAGCTTCATAATGGTTTGTAAAGGACTAGAACGAGCTTCATAATGGCGTGTAAAGGACTAGAACGAGCTTCATAATGGTGTGTAAAGGACTAGAACGAGCTTCATAATGGCGTGTAAAGGACTAGAACGAGCTTCATAATGGCGTGTAAAGGACTAGAACGAGCTTCATAATGGCGTGTAAAGGACTAGAACGAGCTTCATAATGGTGTGTAAAGGACTAGAACGAGCTTCATAATGGCGTGTAAAGGACTAGAACGAGCTTCATAATGGTGTGTAAAGGACTAGAACGAGCTTCATGAAAGCGACTTCAGTAGGTCGAGAACGTTGTGTGGTTGCATTATTAACAATATAGCGTTATCGTTGGTTGGTTCATTGAAATTAAGCAAATGATAACATCTTAATACTTTAAACAAGCAGCAAGCACGTCATATGAAAAGTAAGTTGGCATGGTTACTAACTTCGTATGACGTATCATACTTATTTAGGCCATTGTGTCAGTCCAATGTTATGAACCATTAGATCGTATTATGCTAACAACCACATCTCCATTGTTTCCACTTAATGCAGGGGCGGTTCAACATTTAATGCAGGGGCGGATCAACATTTAATGGAGGGACGGTTCAACACTTATGGAGGCGCAGTTCAACATTTAATGCAGGGGCAGTTTAATGGGACACAATATTGAAAAAATTCTTCAATAATACGTACAAGGAAGAATATTCTTGTATCGATTTTTAGACTTATTTTGAGGTTTTCTTCCTTCATCTCTTTTATACAAGTGCTTGCACTCTTGTTGCTGGAGATTCTATAAAAAAGACAAGCATGCAGAAAATAACTTTAATATCAAGTAAAGGGCGTGTCATTATTTATTAGCAAATGAAAAATATATGCAACATTTTCTTTAAAAGTGCGCGAAACGAGAACTGAAAGTGGTACAACTTGAAAAATCAAATAGGTCAAAAAATATTGTCATATTACTTCAAATTCTTCCCAGAATCCTCCTTTGCCGTCCACATTTCCATTATCTTTGGACAATTCACTAACTCTGTCTTCGATACTCGAGGCGTTGATTCTGGTAGCATTGTATGGCTAAAGAAAAAAATTGCAACTCCTTACTACTGAAGTTTTATTTTCTGTCATTTGTTTGACCATGGTTTGAGGACTCATTATCGTTTAGCGGACCACGCCATATTGCACAAACGTTTATGCCTGAACGGTTATTATACTTATAAATTTGCGAATTAATTACTACATTTGCGAGTTAATTACTACATTTGGAGCAAATTACAACAATTTGGAACAAATTACGACATTTGGGAACAAATTAACACATTTGAGACAAAACTACTACAATTGGGAACAAATTACTACATTTGCGAGCAAATTCAAACATTTGGGACCACATTACTACATTTGAGAACAAATTACTACATTTGCGAGCTAATTACAACAATTGGAACAAATCACCGCATTTGAATGAAGTACAAGCAAAGAAGACGGCTTACTAACTGTAGAAACGTATCTAAAATGTCAACCTTCGTGTACACTTACCACTCTAAGCTGAACAACGCGACCACTCTTTTCCACCATGGGACTCTTCTTATAATGCTCAACAAGATCTTTTAGGCTGAAAAACTTCTCCCCACCACCGACGTCATAGTGAGAGCCATCGAAGCGAATTTTTACATGTGTGACGTTATCATCGATGCTAATTTAGAAATGGAAAAATGCGAATTTCGGTTCCCGAAAAAACACGCATCCTAAAACATCGTAGCATGGAAGAGTAAAATGATAGTAATTAAATAATTTAAGTCGATTTCAGGCGATGTTTTAAAACACGCTTCCGCAATTAACGTTACAAATTTTCGAAGTTCAAAAATTGTAAATTTAGATGAAATCGCGCGAACCTTCATCGAAACTCTCCGTTTGCAAGTGAAATCTGTCAAAGCACAACAATTCTTTCCATTAAAACTGTTAAATTTTACGTAGATACTCCGATAATTTCAAGCTTACTCAGAGACGTGCTGAACTTGCCGGATTAAAAGCAAAGCAAACTTGATAATATTCAACTGTTGTACAGAAATTGCTTTTATAAACTGTTGTGTATTTCATATTTTTTGTTAACTTTTGTAATTTTTATTTGTCGTGTAAGGGGCCGTTGGCACAAAAAGGTCACTAACTGGGGGAGGGAGGGTCATATTCAAACATGTATTATATGCATTGCTAAATTTCTTTAAAATCCATTGTTTTCAACAGATTACAACATGCATACATAAATATGAGCCCCCCCCTAATTATTAATCATCCCATGCCTATGTAAGGGGGACTATAATGTCAGGAGCCCACAACAAGTTCTTGTCTTCTCATCCCTGACCAGTATGCCCTTGAAAAAAGATTCTAGTAATCTAATTGCAACATTTACATATGTAAAATACTTTAAAGAGTGTCTTGCAACATCTAGGTCACATTTATAAAAACAACCTACAACACTTTACTCCATGATTTTGATCTAACAATTTTACAGTATTACAGTAAAGTATAAAGTATTACCGAACAGTTAAGACAAAATCCCCTGGTTTACTTTGACTTTCACGAACAAGAAAGCTGCCATTTTTGCCTTTATCAAGCATCACCGTCTCTGCTTCTCGGCTAGAGATATGGCCATGAAACCACCTAAAGATTTTAGATTTAGATAACAGTTCATGATTTCACAGGCACTTTTGCTAATTTTAAAAAGCACAAAAACAGCAAATTTGAAGTACTGATGATGGCAATACCTTTCTGTTGTAGGATCTGTTGAGTTAAGTGGATATTTTAGATTGATGGTTTCACCAGTTTTTTCTCTTAGTTGTCCTCGTGATTCAGTGTAATACAAAACCAGTTCCGAAAGGGTGGCAAACGTTTCGCCACCATATAAATCATAGAAATCCCCACTGTTTTGGATCTTAATGTGTGTTACTTCATCCCCACGTCTAAAAATAGCATAAACATCCTTTCACTTATCGTGGTAAAAGTTAGATAATCTTTTGAAAACATTTAATATAAAGAAAAATATTCTCAGCTATCAGCAGGTAATGAAGGTGTGGAAGAGGCAAGAAAAATCAGAAAGACAAAAACATTATGCAAAGTAAGGCAGTTCATGTGACCATAAACTAATCTTGGAGTACACACTTCCTTCAATGTGCTAAATATGCCATTATTCGGACATAATTAAAGTTACTCGATCGAAATCATAATTCATGCGTCCAAAATATAGAACGTGTGTTTCTAGATAACTCTTCAGGAGCACTCTTTTCGAATAAATAGCACTCTTCAGGAGCACTCTTTGATTTTTCAAGAATCTGATCTGAACAACGCGACATTAATTTCAAGTTTCGAATTTCTTTTTGTTACATTTCGTAACCGGCGAATAACTAATTAAACAGCATTCGGTTAGAGAATCCATACTTCCCCCTCATCTTCAAAGCCACAAAATTTAATTAAGGACATATTTGGACATAAGTCATAATGAAATGCCATAAATATTGGCCACAACTGGGAAGAAATATGTAGCAAACGAGCACAAACGTGTCGTCTAGTTTCATTTTCCGAAATACGGAAAACACATAAATTTTAATAGCAGTTGATTAGCGCCATATTATAAGTCTAATTGAGTGTTTGTTACATCTTTTCAAACACTCCAGAGTTCCGAAAATATGAACAAGCAACAACATATGTATTGTGTTGACACTGAACAGGTACATCTTAGGTATTAGAACCGCATGCATGAAGAATATACGCAACTATTATATACAAGTTCTGCCTCAATTGTCTTATAAAATAACGGTAAATACATCCTACCTAACAGACAAGGTAAAATCGCCCGGGTTACTTTGACTTGGCCGTACCAAAAAGCTACCATCGAAACCTCTCTCTAAAAGAAGTCGCTCGGCATCGTGGCCTGTGATACGACCATGAAACCACCTAGAGAAGAAACGTACAACATAATAAGCAAATGTAATTTTACGCTCAACTATAAGAAGCATCAAACCTTCGAGAGCCCATATTTCCTGGCTTATTGTCGTTTTGCAATCAATAATAATTCATTGGATATATTTCTATTCAACACGGACGAAATGTTACAATTGGTAAACACTGAAGTCTTCGAGGAAGTAAGCGACCTATGACACTCTGGGCTCGATAGTTAGTCTGGATTGATATCTTCTAAACAAAGTCATAGTGACAAAGCGTGTTTTGCATGCCTAATACGGGATCATAAATCAATGCTCGACCAAGCACGAAATTGATTATTTATGGAAAAGAATAGACAAGAAAGTCGCAACTTTTACTAATAAAGAATATTTGTGTACGGTTGATGAAATGAGATGATGTGACGATGAGATGATCCTGTCTTTACAAGGTCAAGACCACATGAATTTCACGGAAATTTGGGCGTCAATAAATATTCGCTGTTTGCTGTTTATGTTATAGAAAATTCCTATTCAGGGAATACTGAATACCGCTAAATGTTTAGAATAGTTTAAAAAGGTTGCTAAGCAATTTTCGTGCCTGCGTTGACACAGTGACACAGCCACAAGAGCTCTGAGGTTTATTGTTCGAAAAAATATTTTGTAATTTTTGTAAACTCCTAACTTCCTAATTATTCATAATTAATGTAGAATGGTGTAGAATGATGTGTGGAAACAATGCTTCCCCAACAGGAACTTTAACCATCATTAATCTCGTGTGTTTAACAAAATATGCGGGACTGTCACGCATTGATATGGAAAAACAACAACTTAGCAACAGGAGAATGTAACAAAATGAGATTTAATAACATATATGAACGATGAAATGGAACTTGGCATGATCTGATTTGATAAAGAATGATTGTTTATGTCGAAAGTAAGCTATTTCAGGTAAGGCAACGACAAATGCTGTTAACATTTGATAAAATATTTTATAAACAAGAAAGTCGTCAAGATTTATGTGACATGTTAAAATTCACTGCACCAACGTAGCAAGGAAAACGATTCTGTAAAACACAATAACGTTGCGTGTACAATTCTTATAGTTTGAGAACTAGCAGTGTATTTTGTCGGCAAAATAATGCCAATGCTCCTACGTCCATATCATATTTCATATTCATAAAAGAAATTCATCGATTGCTGCCAGGGCTGAAACTAGAACGTTAATTGGGGGTTATATGAATATTCACCCCACCCCCCCAATTAACGTTGTAGTTTCAGCCCTGATTGCTGCTAACATTTCCATCGAGTTTTTGACACGAAGTTTTTACCATAATGTTCTCTGATTGTATTGTAAAGAAAATTTAAAATGACTCTCCGACTTCTTCAGTAGAATTGTGTGATTTTTCATTTCTTTTTTTAGATATGCAACTTTTCTTCTCTAGGCGAATGACATCGTTATGACATCACATTGCATAATTAGCATTGGTAAATAATTTTTTTGTCGATCGTCGACATTAAAACATCAAACATTTGCACCTTTACAAAAACATTCATCTACACATTTATTCATTAAACTATTGTATTTGTGCATAAAACGTTCTAAAGATATGGAAAATCGATAACCTTCAAATTGTTATCAGTTTCACTGCACAACGAATAAAATTACAAATCTGCAGGAAAAAGTAAAAAAAGCAATTCTACTAAAGTGATTATAAAGTCATTTTGTATGTTCTTTGCATTACAGTCAAAGAAATTCGCGATGAAATCTCGCGTTATAAACACTTAAAGTCCATATGGGGCCGGTTGCACGAAGCCAGTATAGCGTTATCCATTGGATAGCAAGTTTTTTAAACTTTTATAAAACTTTTAAAAAGCAAAAAGTATAAGATTCGAACTGAGCAATCATTGAAATAAAATATTGTTTCGAAGATTACGAAATTTCTTTGTCGTAAGAAAAACATAGACATGTTTTTTACAAGTTTGAAAATTGTTGCTATCCAATGGATAACGCTATCCAGGCTTCGTGCAACCGGTCCCTGAACGTTAATTACTAGTACGTAAATGAAAAGTATTCTTCGTTCATTCAATTTCAGTTCAAGACTTTCACATTGGTGTGTCATTCCAGTGATACGATCGCAAGGGCAAGAGCCCACCTCCTTCATATTCTACACGAACTTGACAAAAATCATTATCAATTCAGGTTGAGATTCAAAGGAGAATATTTGAGAGACTGTCATACATTCGACGTAAGAAGCCATAAATATATGAACAAATGCAAAGATGTTAAAATTTCATACGTACATGTTAAGTCGTTGGTTCTCGTTACTGACTTTCATTCTTCGCCATAGAAATAAATTCGAACCATCTTCTTCTTTGCTAAGGAATATGGTATTCTTGATAACTCCGTCCTTAAAATGGTTCCAATGGCGAGAACAAATGCAAATGTAAGTCAACCCCAATGGAGTTTTTACGGAGACGACGGAGGGTCAGACATATCTTTTGTACATCAGAATATCATTTTTAATCACCATAAATTTATAGTTGCTCAGCTTGGATTCAAATGAAAATGTAAATACCGATGAAGATCCGCTGACGTCGATAGCGAAACCAGATTTGATCCAGGGCGGTCATTTGCACGAGACTCATAAAGCCGTCATTCAGGAGGTCGAAATTTTCAAGAGACGAGAAAATCTTTTAGAAAAATTTATGGTAAATGATGGTCATGTACAATAAATTCGTTGATGTGATGTCAACTCAATAACAAACAACGATCAATATTATCGTGTAATTAATAAACATCGACATTAAAATGTAACGTTTCCTTCCTTTGTAGGCCATACTTTGGATTCATTTTCTAGCTACATTAATGGCATTTTCAACTTACTTTTGGTATTCCGGATTTTGGTCAGGTAAACACAAAAACGTGCAATTTTTACATCGTGGAGAATTAGCAAAGCGCGAAAAATTCCATTTGGATTTTTTCAGGTGCTTTGATGTTATTTGGTTTGCACTATTGTCCTACATACTCGAGGTCAGCTGGCTTTGTTGGACGAAATAACATCAGGTTGAATGTTTTTTTACTTGAGGTGCAATAAGCGGTAATTGAGAATCAATCCATATTGATTTTCCTTTTTGTATCTCCTATGTTAACGAAGCAACAACCATTATTTGACATTTTTTGGTGTCGGGTCATTTCTTAATTGCATTGCATCAACCGCCATGAGTGTTTACCTTATTTTGGAAATACAGGTATCTTGTCAACTCAGACTCACACGATCATCTATAAGAAAGAGAAGCAGTGTTGATTTCGAGAAGGCAACATTGATATGTAGCTATAACACAAATATTTTTTCTTTAGTCTTTTTCATGCGGAGAGATGGAAAATACGTGTACCCGTGCGAAAGAAGTTCTTACCTGGTCAGGTATCTTGTTTGCATACCCATTTGTCGAAATTTGCGGCGATGAGCAACTACAAATATTTTACTTTGTCTGTCAAACTGGTGTAATATCGATTCATAAAACCTTTCAGTTGTGCTGTATGTTGGTCAGGCGTTATTTCTCCTGGCAAGCCTCAACCTTGACCTGCTGTTATTCAAAAATTTTCATTATGAGGTTAGCCACGTTTTCATGAAATGCCTCATCTTGAACATACGTCCAAACTATTGAATTCAATCAGGTAAATCCTCTTAATGCGTCATGTATGATATCATGTTAAGGTTGGCGACATTATCGTTGATAAATTGGTGCAATCACGAGATCTCGAGAAAGTTTTGCGAAGTGCTAAACTTGGAGGAATAAAAGAGAGACGGAATGCCGCCTTTGAAATGGTCGGTCTCATCGCGAGTAACATTGAAACCAAAATGACAGTTGTGAACGAAGGAGGGTAAGTTATTTCATCATTCATTGCAGCAGATTTTTAATCTGATAATTGTGATATGATATTTTTTTCAGATTGCAAGTTTTGATAAACCTGGCCTTGTCCACAGACTCTGTAAGTAAAGTTTGCATCGTCAGCAACCAAGCATATACAGAATTGTTTGATTAACCACCTCAGCCGTCCACATATTTTTCATAGGCAACCCAAGAGTATGCAACCGAAGCAATAGCAGAAATGTTAACTGTTCCTGAGATTCAGGTAGATTAACATGTATTCATGTCATTTCATGAGGACGAAGTTTTCCAACTTTTTGATGTTTTTTTTTCACGCACTTCTCAATGTCACTAAATTCCCACAAATTAGGGACACTTTGTTGATGTTGGTGGAATTCGTACTTTATCTGCTTTACTCCAAAGCAATGACATGCGCGTTGTGACTGAAGCTGTTACGGCCATGTCTTACATCGTTGCTTATAACGAAGCAAATAAACTGGCATTCATTGCAGAGAATGGGTAACTTGGTTGCTTCATGCAAAGTGACAATTTGTAAACAATAATGCATTAAAATAAATTCCATTCCGCCTTTTTAAACAGACTAAATGACTTGTCACACGTTTCAACCAAAGGTAATTCAGCACTCTAATACGTCTCTGACCAAACGCTTTCAATAACGGAGATGTTTTTTGTTTAGTATCCGCCCCACTTTCAAGAATCGTTGCTGGAATGTTTCTTGAACTTGCTTTTAGTTCCGAAATCCGCTATGTCATGTCTTTAGATAAGTCTTCAGGTAGGCTACGCCGTTCTTGTCAAATATTCTTGCTAATGAAAGTTGCTAAAGCTTGCTGTCTTCGATAATTGTTTACTTATTCCATTTTTTTCAGTTCAAGCGTTGCTTTCACTTTCAAAAGTTGAAGATCGTGAGACACTGCGATTGTCCCTGCAGACATTGGAACTACTTGCAATAGAAAACCCAGCTTCCATACTTGATAATGTATGCCGTATTTTTAGTTGAAAGATCAGTGCCGTTAATTTTTGTAATAGGGCCGTTGATATTTCGCTTTAGAGTACATTGCTACTTCATTTATTATCAATGGCAAAGTTAGAAGAAGACGAGCAGTTGTATCTTTTGGCTGGCAAGATAATGCTGTACTACGCATCCGATGAAAACGTAAGTGAACGTAGACGCATTTTCGAAAATTGTGAACTCGCACTCTTTCTTTCAAATCAATCATGATTTTTCACAACTTTTTTCTTTATTAACCGTTAAGGGTTGTAAAAGTTGATAGAATCTGGCAAATTAAAAGCTACTCTTACGCAGTTTTCACACACGACCGACACAGCTCTGCAGACTGTTATCGCCAAGATCATTTTCGCTGTTGTCGAGTCATATGAAGACAGGTAAGTAAGACTGAGAACAAAGTATTTTTTTCACGTCAGAAATTTTCGACTAAAAGGTATAAATTTACAAGTCTGTGAATTCCCAAACATTTTAGGAATACCATTGTAGACATGAATCTTGGCGAGGTATTATTAAATATCCGGGATACTACAGACAATGCAGCATGGGAGATGATTCACCAGGCTTTGACCATTCTCAAAGACATTGCACTGTCCAATAAGAAATCAGATCTCAGCACCATGTTGTCAGATGATGGTAGTGGACCAAGCACAAGCGGGGAGTCTCAAGTAGACAAATCAAAAACGATAAAAAAAAATGATTCACGCCATTCAAATTCATGATGTAAACACAATGAATGCGAGTTTATAACTTGGTGGAAAGTTCCTGTGGCCATCACTGTACTGTATTAATAAAATTACGCGAATTTTCCTTGAAAATCCAATTAGTTTTCTAGTTTTTTCAACATACTTACGGCAGATTTTTTCAAAAACGTGGTGTTTTCCATCAACATCTGCTTAAATAACGGTAGTGATTTTTTCACTAGACTTCCATATTTTTTAATTAAGATAAGAAGAAGTTTGGTAAATTTCAGGCAACTTGCAAGGGGCATCGACTGAAATTGCAGCCAGTTTACTAATTTCTGAAAATGCTCGGCATCAAAATCGATTTGTCTATCAATAACTGTTGACAGTAAGGTAATCATGTGTTCATTCCAGACAGTTTCATATTCATCTTTCTTGGATTGCACCAATTGCATCATAAAGTACTGCAGACTTTCTCGATGCATTGTCTTGGAAATCTTTACCATTAAGTCGCATTGTGACCACAGTAAACACTTTCTGTCAAAATGCTTCGCCATAGTACCGTCAACAAATGCCTTGGGGCATTTCTGAGAAAACCATGTGAGGGCAACAACCAGATTTCTTGAAGCAACTTTTTGCATTGCAATAATGTACGAGCCAAGAACATATTCAGCAAAAATCACAGTGGTCTGAAAAGTGAAGTTTTCAGTTGATAAAAACTCGTAAATAAGATTAACGATGGTATTTTCTGAAACTAAGCTCGTTTCCAAAAACGTAAATATCTTCAAAATGTCAGCACTTGATTGTTCTTGCAAGCTTTGAAAGAAAAATTGGATTTCTTTTTTGCTGATATCTTCAGAAGATGCTAATAGTCTTTTAAAATCAATATAGTCATTCAAAAGAAAACCACAATCAAATGAGTCAACTTCCATGCTTCTAATTTCTAAGCCAGGGGGGGAAGAATTGACTCTTGATCTTTCTTTAAATTTATCATCCTGACACTTTGCTTCAAAAGTAGAGTACCCATCAAAATTTTTTTCACATTGTGGCAAGAAAGCACCTTGTTGGCTCTTTAATACATTACATGTAGGAAATTCAACTTCATCAATGGCAAAGCCTGGGACAATTTCTTTTGAATTGCCCTGTGATGAATGAAATGATACATCTGAAATTTCTATTACTTCTTCATGACTGTCATCAACTTCCATGCATATGCTGTGTTCATGCAGTCCATTTTCAGACTGATTACTTTTCCCAGAACAATTATTGGATTGATTTAAAGTGGATACTGTACAACAATTATCTGCATCATTTTGTTGTGATAAAAATGAACTTGTCATTTTCATTACCTTTGAACATAAATTATCAAGTCTTTTTTGATGTTTTTTAGAAATACAACGTGAAGTGATCTTTCCAGAAATGAACAAAAGATCAGAATGCAAACTTAAGTCTGCAGCAGATGGTTTGCATGCAATTTCTTTAGCTGCCAGGAATGAGATTTGTATTTTATTGTAAATGGCTGATACCATTGATGCAAACCATGGTTTTTGAATTTGAGGTAACTTTATCAACATGGATAAGAACGCCTGTCAAAATAAAAGATATTTTTTTGTCTATAAACCTGCAAATTCTTGAATGCATGTTTTATGACCATGCCCACAATTTAATATAGCTCTGGATTTTATGAGATTTATCATACAGAAGTACACAAACCTTTATATCATGAACTGGAATACACTCTACAGAGTACAATATAAAAGATAGCATGTTTCGTTGCAGGTTTAAGGAAAAACAAGCAAACTTTGGTTGAAAAAAAATAAACTTGTTGAATAATACAGGAAACTCGAGACAAAGCGAATGCAGAAGTGTTGACCAGAGAGGAGGAATCTCGTTTCTAAACAAATTTGATGATCGACTTCTCAGCCAATTCGAGGCAGAAACAATGGCAAGACTTTCTTCAACATTCAGTGCAGCAAATAAACCTTGCCATGCTTTAGGAAACGAAGAAATAAGTTTTTCAGTCAATTCATCAGATGGAAAATTTTGAAGATCGGACGCCATCTTAAATTTTTAACGTTCGATTTCCCGCCATTTTTCATCCAATAGTGGTTAAAACTTCATGTAGCTCTAAATACAATGTCTTACTCAAAATAGCATGTATCTCATTGTTCATAAATTGGAATTTAACCCGAAATCAAAATTTCAAGGAATTTAATAATTTTCTGTTTGAATAAATATATACAAATAGATTTAAATTCCTTTGTATTCTTGAGTAAGTTGTGTGTAATCGTTTGCGTGAATTAACACTAGTTAATGAACAATGAGATAATTTCAACAATGTAACTTTTTTTGGACATTCAATAACGCTATAGTGTTATATCATGGCCTTAAAATTTTGCTCCATGTATTAACAATAAGTCAAAAGAATTTACCAGTGAAAGTGACCATATTTTGACGAATATCTGAACATGCGCAAAAGCATACCAGCCCGGTAACCACCAGTGGTAACCACCTGCTACCACCACATATTTTGGTTTGGTCATTGAACTAAAATATCTTACGTCAGACACGCGAGATTTTACCCCAGACACGCGTGCTTAGTGTTTCGAGATTCTCTCGCGGAGTAATAATTGATTATTACTCACGCGTGTCTGGGGTAAAGTCTCGCGTGTCTAGGGTAAAATCACGTCTTCAAAAAATTATGCGGGTTTTGTATTACACGTAGCGTCCATGTACAGTGTTGCCAGATCGTGAACAAAGTTCACAGATTTGTGAACTTTTTGCTCTCTTCATGAACATTTCATGAACATTAAAAGTTTGTGAACTTTTTGTGAACTTTTCTAAATACTATGCATTTTTGTATTTTCATCATTTTCATAAAGAATGTATAGATAAACCATAGTTCAATGAAAAGAAAATCTTCATAGCTCGACAGTTCTTTCAAAACAACGACGATTTCAAGATAATCCGATGTTTTCCGGATACTTCCAGGAGTTTCCGACAAATTCCGAGTTAATCCGTTAACTTCCGATCTTAAAAATTAGATGTAATATGAACTTTTAGCCATTTTTGTGAACTTTTGACGCAAGCGTGCATGAATATTATAAAATTTCATCTGGCAACACTGTCCATGTATTTTAGGATTTATATTGGGTTTTGTCAAGTTCAATATTTCTAAGTGTGCCATGTTTTTAACTTGCATTTTGTTGGCAAAATCGTGAAATGTATGATATACTAAAAGCTTGACGACTTATCGATTGACAAATGTGGACCTTTGAAATGGCTGGTAATTATCATCGAAAGATAGTTCTGTCTATTTTCCTTGTTAGTATTGTAGGATTTCTTTGGTTAGTCTTAAAATGTGACGACGGCTCATCAATAATGACAATGGCAGCGTCAATTTGGGACACAAAGAGCAAAATTTCTTTCGTGGACTGGTCTAAGGTTAAGCCACGAAAAAAAGTTAGCGAGGAAGACCTTCATGATAAGTGGATCGTAGTCACTTCAGTATCCCTACCGACAGAGCAAGTGAAAAAACTGTCCGTAATAGACGGATGGAGACTTATCATAGTCGCTGATTTAAAAACACCCAAAGACTGGAGGTAATAAGAGTGAAATTCGCTTTTACTTTGTTAGGGTCTAAGAGAAATTCAAATGTATGAAGCTGACATGCCTACGTTGCCATGTACGACTAAATCAAAACAAACCAATCTTTATTTATTTTTTCAGTCATCCCAATGTTGTTTTTCTCAGTGTTGAAAAACAAAAGGAACTTGGCTATAAAACTACTTCATTGTTGCCTTATAAAAATTATGCTCGAAAGAATATTGGTTACTTGTATGCCATTGAACATGGTGCTAAAATTATTTATGAAACTGATGATGACAACTATCCTTATGATGGTAAGATTGGATTCGGTCTTGATGGGGAAAAGAAGTATTTGGTGTATGCAACAGACAGGGCAACTGTGAATCCTTATGAACATTTTGGACAATCAACCATATGGCCAAGAGGTTACCCATTAGAGAACATAGGTGATCCTGTTCAACGTACCTTTGTAAAATGTGATAATATTCAACCACTTATTCGACAAGGTGTTGTCAATGGTGACCCAGATGTGGATGCAATCTTTCGTCTTACTCGTAAGGATGTTGGAGTTAAGTTGGATGTGGAATTTGATTCAAAAGCGCCACCAGTTCTTATACCTCCAGGAACTTATACACCCTTTAACTGTCAAAATACAGTATATCTGTATAATGCATTCTGGGGCCTGGTACTTCCTCCAAGTCAAACCTTGAGAGTGACGGATATTTGGAGGTCATTTTATGTCAAACGTCTCCTACAAGAAATAGATGGCTATTTGGGGTTTTTTGGACCAAGTGCATATCAGGAAAGAAACTCCCATAGTTATCTTGAAGACTTCATTGATGAGAAAGCACTCTACTATAATGCAGGACGTTTTATTGAATTTTTAAGGAAGTGGAAACCAACGAAGTTGGACTTTTTTAGCCAAATTCTCGAGTTGACTATCGCGCTTGTCAATGAAAATTTCTTGGAACCAATTGATGCTCTTATTATGAAAGCTTGGTTGACAGATCTTGTTAGCATGGGTTATGTTATACCTCAGCTTCGTACACAAAAAGCTCCTTGTGCCAAAATCATTGAAAATGAAAAAGTGAAAACATATGAAGAGAAACCTTCATCATTCATTCATTTGGGCAAACAACTTAAAAATATATATAAGTTATAGACACTGTCTTCTTTATATTTGCTTCTGAGATTATGGTTCATTCAAAAAGTATATGAATATTGATTAGTAGATGGGATTAATCATAAAGTCTCTTATGCATTGTTTTCATTTCCTTTTTTGACTATTTAATTTAATATTTAATGAAACCCCATAAGCAGGTGAAAAAAATGCATGTAGGTGAAATGTGCATACACAAAGTGGCAGCACTGGGTGACGTTTCACGCATTGAATTCTGTCGTATAATATAAAACAAATTCCGAAGAAGCAAGACATCTTGCGACAGATGAGTCAAATATCAAACGCGTTTGCGTACTCAAAACAAGTACGTGCGGCAAGTTCCCCGGTGTGCGGCGGGCTTAAGACACAATCTACGGTACAGAAAACCAAATTAAATATTTGGTGTGTTTCATTTTAGGTTTAATGGCCAGTAAATACTTGTCAAAGTCGACGTGTGCTGCTTTGTTAATATGTATTCTGGTATTTATTTGCGTGGCTTTACTCATGAAACGCGAATTGCTAAAAGCCTTAAACATAGGGCAAAGTTCTCACACTTAACAACGTAAAAAGACGCTCGCAAAAATTCCACGTCGGCAAGCAAATGCAATGTGAACTGAATATAGAAAGGACTTACTAACATCACCATTCATAATATAAGAAAAGATGGAAGGGAATCAGGCCCTTGTTTTATGATACAAATCTAGTACAGAATACAACACAATTATTAATGACGGAAAATAAACTCTTTATATACGTATTTTCTATCTCATTCTTTCTCTGCTTTCGTTAGTCTCTACTCTTTTTGATGGCCGATCAAAATCGTGCTCCGTTGAGCGTTTTCTCCGTCGATTATCGAAGCCACCTTGTGCACCAGCATTGCCAAGAGGGAGGGCATCAAGAAGACTCATAAGAGGTTTGACGTTCGCATCCTCCATTACGGAAGGCTCATCAACCTGTCCTCCGGGTAATTGACCATCAGGTGTATGACGATCCTGCAGCGGACCCCTCCAAAAACCTTTCCTCTCATTCTGCCCATCTTGAAATCGCCCGGAATCACGTCGTCTTTCCGTCTGACGATGATTGCTTGAAACTTGATCACGACCAGCTGATTCCATCGGACCCATAGCGACAAATGCTTCTGGTATGGGCAATAAGCCGGGTTTCTCATTAGCTGGTAAATCATTGCCATCCAAATTCTCAGGTTGACCCCTGACAGGACGGTCATTAGGGCGAACGTCAAAGACCTGTCTGTCTCTTGAACGCTCTCTATGGGAAGGACGTTCTTCTCTTGGCCGTCCTAATTCAGAACGGCGGTCATGATCACCTGACTTTTCACGTGGTGAACGTTTTTCTTTTTCCCAGTCACGTGCTCTTCCACGTGCATCATCAGAACGAGCGTTATCTTTATCTGATCTATTAAGTGATCGGTCTGGACGTCCAATATCGGACAGTCCTAGTTCAGGTTGAGCAAAGAGCCGACCAACTGCAGTGCTAGCAAAGTTTTCTAATAAACCACGTTGCATCTCTTGCACATGCGTCTGATAGTCACCCAGGATACCGGGTGCATCTGATTCAGAACCTTGTCTCTCTGTTTTAGTTTGATTCCTGTGAGGTGAGCTATCACGCGAAGAGCGATCTCTGGAGTTTTTCCTGGAAGAGCGACCCTTAAACTCCGATGGCCTATCGCCTTCAGGAGATTTTAGCTCAGGCTGCCATTGATCAGAATTAGGAGGCTGAAATGGAGGTGTTCTAGAACCTCGAGGTGTAAAATGACGCCCACTATTTTGACCTTCATTTGGGCTTAAAGGTCCTCTGCGAAGACCACGAGGACCGGACACATTAATGAATCCCCTAGGTCCAAGAGGACCTAATGTTTCACTGGGTGTCCCTTTAGGTCCATGAACACCTGGGCGAATATTTAAATGCGGTCTTGGACCGACGTGATGACCATCATTTAGTCTTGCTGGATTAACAGAAACATTTTGGGATTCGTACAATTGCTTTTCAAGATCGTCGTTAGATCTTTCGTTTAAGTCACTCTGCCATTTGTCTCTAGACCGAAATCCTTCTTCATGTGATCCAAGTTGACCTGCACCCATATTTGATTCTCCGGGGACACGTTCCACACGAGGAGAATTCGAAACGGAACCTCCTTGTTGAGTGTCCATGTGCACAGAATCGGAAGGTCCACGAGTCCGTGGTCCGCCTTGAATATTACCTCTTGGTCCTTGAGAAAAATTAAGACGTTGTCCATCATGAACAGCAATGTTTTTCATCGCACCATCTGGTTTACTTTCGTGGCGAAACCTGATCGGCCCCTCATGAGGTGGCTGGCCTCCTTGCAATTCAGGAGGACTTTTTTGAAACCCAGGGGGAGGACCCCTGTGAAATCCAAATGGTGGCATGTTTCGTGGTCTTCCCCCCATGAAATGATCATTTTGAGGTCTGTGAAATTCAAAATTGCGACCTGGAGGACATGGTGAAAACCCCCACGGCCCTGAGCGTGGGCCTCGTGGGCCGGGAAAACGCCCGTGTTGATTTGGCAAAAACGGACCTGGATGACGAAAGTTTGGATCGGGTCCTCGTGGGCTAAATTGTTCCATTCCATTTCGAGGTCCACGAGCAAAGTGATTATTGTCTTGATGATTTGCCATTGGATAGCTACCTTGAGGTGGATTAAAACTGCCACTTGAACGAGGTGGCAGCGATGGCAAACGAAGTTTAGGCGGCGCATGAAAAGAATTATTGAAGCCTAAATTAAACAAACAAGTAAGAACTAGCAACAGCATTGAAAATATGTAGAGATATTTACAATGAAGAAATGGATATCCCTCATCAGTTTTTCCTGAAAATCCTTTTACATGAGAAAGCATCGTTGAACATTTACCTGGATTTGTTTGAGAATTCGTTAAATCTAAACCAGGGATTGAGTAACCAGGTTTCTTAAACGCATTCATCGCCGGTGGATAAGGAAATTCGGATGACTCTGGACTTGAAGATGGCGCTAAAGTCAAAATATCCAAATGAGACATGAGCGAGACATTCTATTTAACCTTCAAATGAAGACGTCATTTCAAGAATGGAACACAAAAATGTAAAATAATTGTTCGCGTGATACGACTTCTGCAATATAACTATATTTTTTGAGCGTGTGAAACCTGGCTGCATGTCTCATGTCGGCGTTTCTAAAGCTTGGTAAAATCTCTCCCGTTACCTTTGATTTGACCTCCATATAAATCCACGTCCACATCTTTCGAGTCCGGTAAAACCACTTTACTTGCTGTGACGGGAATTCCAACACCGGGTATAACTTGGCTAGCATCATAAGCAGCAAGAGCAGGCACCGATGACGTCTGAGTTGTCCCTTCATCGTCTGCAAACAAAGCGAGTGGTAACAGTTACGATTTTCACTTATCCAACATGATAAGGAGAGAAAATAATCATTACTAAGCATCGCTTTTAAGAAATCGTTAGAACGTACTATATTCTGTATCATCGTGTGTTCCTTGAATATCCAGGTTGTACTTGTCAGTCATGGAATCACCAGGACGGTTTCTTGCCCAGAATTTACTACAATAATACATACATGCGTAAACAAACTATTAGCATAAAACATCTGTTCAATAGAACTTTTTATTTCAGTAAAACATTTTTTATTAACGGCTTTCGTTCAATGCATACCTAGTATGATCATTCGAGCCTGAACAAAGTATGTGACCGAGTGGATGCCACGAAAGACTCCAAACAATCCCTTCATGGGCTTTCTCCATTCCCCCAGCTTTCTCATCAACGCTAAAGGTTAGTAGTATGCACAGTGAAAACATAGCAGTTAAGACAACCAGACAAAAGTCATCGTCAATGTTTTCATACCCAGTTAACCAAAACATAAGAGAGCCATCCGAACCACCACTTGCAAACAATGTTTCATGAACGGGATGCCAAGCCACCACTAATATACAAAGTTTGTCATTAACAAAAATAATGTACTCGTCACACAGTACATGAAAAACACGATTGTCCGCCTTTACATGGGCGAAAGAGAACTAGATGAACCTGTTGCTTCTTTTTTATGTCCACGAAATGTTTGTAGTTCTTTCATTGTACGAATGTCGAAGAGTTTGAGTAGATGGTCACGTGATCCCGTCACCAACCAATTGCCGTTACTGTTCCATTTTGCGGTCATAACTGTACTCTTATGACAATGCCTAAAAGAATTATGGAATTGATTAGATTATAATTACATACTACGTATCACAGATATAAATATAAAGTAACCAAAACACGTGACGAAAGCTACATACAGTGTGCAAATGTTATTGCCAGTTCTTGGATCCCAGAGTTTCACAGGCTTCTGACTATCTTTGCAGCCTGACACAAGAAGACCTTTTGATGGATGCCAGTCGACACACTTTACATCCGTACCGTGACCTAGGTTCAGGCGGGGACATTACTAAATACAAACTAACGTGACAAAAACAGAAAATAGCGCTTTTGTCAACAGCTGGGATCTAACTATACTGTTTCCAATATTTCCAATCCATTTCCTGTAGTTACCGACCTAACCAGCAAGAGTAATCGATCTCATTCTTAATAATACAGTTCCTTTTGTCATGGCAGACAGCGATGAACTTCCGCAACGAGATATCCGAAAATGAATGTGCATAATATGTACAAACATATCTTAAATTCGTATTTTGCATGTTGAATGAAACGATGATAAGTCATACAAGAAGAATGCACACAGCCATTTTGTAAGTGAAAAACTTAGCTAACTTCATCAGAGCTCGTTAATTTACTAGTCCAGTTAATGTACCAACCTTTGAGCTCGCGTTCCTCCGCGCATCTGTAAAAATCCCAGACCTTGACCAACCCATCGTCGGAACAAGAAGCAAATTTGTTGTCGGACGGAGAAAAACTATTCAGGGTAACGAAAAAACTATGTACAACTTTACAGGTCTCACCTAAAAATAGCGCCTCTGCAATACGCATCATTTTCATAGGAAGAAAAGAAGAGTTGGAAAATATGCTCCCCAAATAATACACAAAGAAAGGATATGGCGATGCAATCAGTGATTTTGGCAACAAAAAGAAAAGTTAGATGTTTAGAGTAAAACACAAATTAATTATTTTATCTTTTTCTTTAACGGTAAAATATATCGTTACATATTTTACTTTATTATTCTAAAGTAAAATACAACATCGATAGTTTCTTATGGTTAAAATTCTAAACGCCAATCGCCAATCAAATAATTGTGAAAGCGAACATATTCTTCCTTCATCAGGATAAGAGCACATCAACACATTGGTAGTTTATGTTAAAAGTGAGCATTTCAAGTATTAAAGATTATCTTTCGTAAGATTGTGTCAACTCAAGGAGCAGGAAGACTCGATTCACATTTGTGTGAATCACAACGTGAAGGAGGAAAATTTGAAAACAAAAGTTTATCTCAATTGTTCATATTAACAATTGAATGTAAATTTGAGAAAGCACTAAAATTTGCATCAAAAACTATTACATAATTTTAAAACACACCGAGGTACATGAGTCGTGTATTAAGGAAACGAAGAATAGAAACGTTAAGTAACGAAAACTCATGGGAGAAATTGACACACCTAAGTATGCGTTTGGTTAAGCATATATTTAGAAACCAAATGAAATTAACAATTGTGGAGTTAAACGTCAACACAATAGATCTATTTCTAATCATAGATACGCAAAATATCATAATTAATTCGCGAGTAAGTGGATTTTTATGAAAACGCAACAAGAATATTGACAATGTAATATTGCGTACAAGCAACAACAGCAAAGTTTACCATAAGCGAAAGCACGAAGTTTAAGGAAGGAAGACTATGGATAAATGGTACGAATGAAACATTTAAAAAAGATTATCATAAGTTGAAGACAAACACATAAGAAATGATGTCACAAAAAGTTCAATAAACCCGTGAATTTCACTTAGGAATTTCGTGCTAAAGAATGAATTTGAAGCCATGTGCACAATGAAACATAAACAACGCTTTCATTTAACGTAACGATAAAAGCTTCGATTATAATGAAAAAGATGCCAGGGATTTCTTTCTGCATTAATACTATCAAAGCTATTGGAATTGCTTTTGATTCAATTGTTAATAACTCTTCATATACGCGTGTAAAATACTTTAAAAAACTACAATATGAAATTAATTGTAACAAAAGAAATGCGTCAAAAAGAAATTGACAGCAAAGATATAAGCGCAAAGAAGTAGTGAAGTAAAATAAAATCCAGTTTGAATTAGAACTACTGGAGTTGACTGCCCACCTTAGTCCTCTAACAGGTTCCTTATGTGCTTCATACATCTTTACATTATTCATATTGGACTGCCAGTACTTAATGAAACCACCATGATCCCCAGTTAACAACCATAGATCATTATGACTCCAAACCATTGAACGTACAGCTCGGTCATGAGCCTAAAATTGCAAACCAATAAACTTAGTAAAATAATCCTCACAAGAGTCATGTGAAAGTAATTCCTATTAAACAAAGTTAAAACTATTAACAATTTTGTTGCAAATAATTTTTAATGTTTTATTCAAAATAATATTTCAGGAACACAGGGTGGCAGCTGCCCCACAAGAAAGTTTATAGATTGAAAAGTTAGGCAAATTTTTAGCTTTAGTTGGGCGAAAACACAGCAGAACCTTCTTTGTCAGTTGGTCAAAATATTTACAGCCCCCCCCTTGAAATGATAGCTCCTGGATGCCTATGATAGGGAAGTTATTAATACCTGCAGAATAGTTTCGAAGTTAAATGTGAGACCATTCCAAAGAGTAAATTCACCACTAGAAGCACCTGTAACTAGACGACGTCCTTCAGGGGTCCACTAGAGATGAATTAGAATGCATGTTATATAATCAAGGTAAATTAGAATAAATATTTTATAATTAAGGTAAATTAGAATAAATATTTTATAATTAAGTTAAATTAGAATGCAAATTTTACACAAAATCACACGTGCATCTTTTTGAAGATGCGAATATGAAGAATTCTTTTCCATAAAAATAACTCATACATCAATGATATGATGAAATCATTCCAACATTAACAAGAGGATTTGGGCAAACATGCTTACCACGACACAAAATATAGGACAACGTAGTTTATTTGTGGATGTTCTCACAAACTTTGTTGTGACTGCATTTATTGGATTTTTAGCATAACCACAAGGTGGAACGACCTAAAAAGACCATGGTGATATATGTGAACTAAAATCAATAAATTATACTTACATGAAGTACAACTAAGTGAAATTAAAAATGTTCAAAATAATTTACAATAACAGAGAAACTTATTGAGCAGTGTGTGAATTAACAGTGTGCAATGTGCAATTTGCACATCGTTTTAGCTGAAATGAAAATAATTACACATCACTTTTTCAAACGATGTGCAAAAATCAGCGGTTTTAACGAAAAACACTGTCGTAAATCATATGAATTTGTTCACGTTTAAAAATATTAATTTAGCAATTAGCACTATATAATAAATAACGTAATATCGATTTGATTATCCCTCTAAAGAAACACTTTTGTCAAAAGAATTGCACATTGTTTTTTCTGAACTAATTCGCACACTGCTGAATAACTATTACAATTTATTATAGACAAAAAACACAAGCAATACACGAAAAATATGTTCTTGGCATGTGAATATTTCAGTGTATCATTAATATGGAGAGATAAATAGGTTAAATTTTCAGGCAAAAATATAACACAAGGGAGAAATGTATACAGTAAGTTTAATTTATGACCAAATTTTAGGAAGGTATTGGTACTTACATCAACATTATAAATTTCTTGAGGTTGTAGAGCATACTGATTTCTTGCACACTTAAACCATTTCCTTGCCTAAAAATTTCGAGAAACAAAGGCATACTTGTAAACCAATTTGAACAAGAAAATCTAAATTTGAATATTCATAATAGTTATTTAGTTTTCTCGGTGCATTCAAGTAATTAGTGTACAAAAAATTTTTTATAATAATTGAGATTTTGCGATAAAATATGTTAAAATTAGATAGCCGAATTAAATTTATAATTTTCTGACAACTGAGAAACGAAAAATGCAAAAAAAAATTCCTAACAAACTCCTGGGAGTCCGATTGTGAGTCAATGCGGCATGTGATGTAGGTTACATTGAGCACATTGTGTTGCTGCACCCACACAGCTTGCCAAGACTATAACAGGCCCGCATGGATCACTATAGACACATGTAATTCAGTATTAAAAACTGCTTAGTTTATGCCACTTAAAATGGCAAGGTTGTTTATGAGATGTAATTGTAGGTTTATTAGTTTTTTGACAAGTAATAAATGTGAAGCTTGTGGCAAACTGGCTGCAACTGCTCCCTGTTGTATGTGAGTGAAGACATTTTAATGGGATGATTGTACAGTTGTTTGTTTGACATCAATTAAAGTTGAAATCATATTAGTTCATAAGATGAAACAACAAATTTACTTATTGTCATTAAAAATCAAAATTTGCTTGATAACAGGATTATTCAGTCACACCCACGTGACCCACCCGACAGTCATAATGAACTAAAGAAATGATATTTCAATATTTTATGAATACCTCTAGGTAACGAGTAATTGAAGAATTGTAATCAACCGTCCTTCTTTGCATCGTCTTTCGCATACGCTTGCCATCGTAAAAGACACCTTGCCCAGGTACGCCAGCCACAACAGTTGCCTGTGCTACAGAAGTTGGTAATATCTGACTGGGCGACTCCGGTACTGAAACGATGCCTTGAGACATAACAGCTTGTTTTTGCGCATGTTCGGGTGCTTGAAAATGGTGTGTTGAGTTTACAACCCCGTGAGATGCATTTGGAGTTGCATTCTCAATGCTTGGACCAGGAGTGAGGCTAGCGATTACACCTGAGCTCGTTGTATCAGACGCCACGACATTAGGTAAAGTTTTCGCAATAAATTTAAACTGGGAAACCTGTTCGTTTGCTAGCATTTTGAGCCAGAATCTCTATTTTGGTTTCATTACCGTTTTTCTTGTCGAGATGTTCGAGCAATTCCACAAATAAAGGAAGACGTTTTCGCAAATGTGGGCAAATCCCTCTTCAACACGCCGCCATTTTCTTGTGTAAAGAACGTGGTCGTTAACATACTGCGCATGAGTGAATACCGTGCTTCCATTTAACGTCCAGCTAATAAGCGTGTTTCCATTTTGAGTAAAGCAAATATTTTCATAAATGTATTACCACAGTTATAACTATTATACTTACTCAAAGAAACTTTATTTATTCAATATACAGTCAGACGATTTCATCTTTTGCATTCACGTATCTTCCTTAATTTCAAAAAAAGGGAATGAGCGATTGCCTTTTCAGTTTGGTAGCACATTCTCGTTCTACAAGGGCGCATCACATCCTCTCGTTCCACCGTAATTTGATATTTCCTCTTCGATAAAAAATACTTATGAATAATGCATATTGTATGAAACATTTATTGCTGACATCTCGTGATTATTATGTGTTGAACATTTGTGGTTTTGATGTATTAATTCGTTGATCCAGAATAAAACAATAGTCAAGAAATGAGGTTCTATTTGGAAGCAGCTTTTTTTATTTTGGTTATATTACCTGCTTTAAAAGCAGTAATTTTTAATGCAATTTTACTAGTCAGCTCCTTAATTTTACTATGGATGTTCTTCCTCCATTACGGCCTTTCCTGGACATTTGGACTGTGCAGTTGCTTTTACATCTATCTTTCCGCGACTATAATAAGTTTAGTCGCCTACGTTTACAATACAAGCGACGAAAGGGTTGAGAACAGACATTTCAACATGAGAAAATTGTTATTGAGCAGCTCGGCGACATACATTCGACTACTTTGCTAATGTAAAAAAACTGCTCATGTTATTGAATGCCATGCGACGATCTACATTATTTACAAATATGGATGTTTTGCAAATAAACGCCGGGTGAATCTTAGTGAAATTTCTAAAGCATGGATGCCACACAAGCAAAGGCATTAGTGAAGATGGATGGAATCTGGGATTTGCTTGATCAATGAAGGATTGAGACCTGTACCTCAGGATCAACACATGCTGCCAAACAAATGGGATCATGTATGCAGATGTTCAAAGTTAAATAATATACCATATACCAATAATATACCAATAATGCGGGGCAAATAATGACAATAAATATGTAGAAAAGATTTATCTGTTGATGATTTGTGGCCAAAAAACCCCACTACATTGTATTAAAAAACTGATGGTTTTAGAAAATATATTTTTTGAATAGCTTTATGATTTTAGAAAATATGTTTTTGAACAGCTGTGTAAAATTTCCTTAATTAAGTTTGCTTCATAGAACTCTCAATATCAACTGTACATTCAATGCATACACTAAATCATACAAATTCTTTGGTGGACTTTGACCCTATTTCTCAAGGGCTGCTCGAATACCATCTTGGTGTTTTTCACGGGCAAAATCAGCAAAAGCCTTTAAATTAGAAGCAAGAGATAGGAGGAATTTAGGGCACATACAAGTTAAAGTAAATATGTAAGTCTTCGTTTACTTTGAATGTTTTTGGCTCATGAATGGCTAGTTCTGAAAGCATTTTCCGATTCAGTTGTATGTTATTCTAGAAAGTAAATATGTTTGAGCTTGGTACATCCAAAAACAATACATTCAACAAATCAAAGCAAAATGTTGTATAAAACCTTGGTGAGTTGATTCATAAACACACTGTAAGGAATGTTGTGTTCTCTTGCTGCAATATTAATTCTTGTTATCCACAACTGCAACATAAAACAATGTCTATTTATACAGTAACAGTGGTATATCATTTCGAATGCCTTCCATATCATCAGTAAAATTAATGTCTATGGTGGTTTTGTCAATTTGTCATGTAACTCATGTTGTAAGATGATACGTCATGTTATAGTACATGAAAGGCTCACAGATCTCATGTCACGCTTTGTTGTTCTTCTTGCCATGTATTGTCTTTGAAGAGACTTTTGCACCATTCTCACAGCAAGACTGTAGACATTTTTGGACCGACCTTTAGCTCCAAACTTCTGTCAAACAAGAAAAAACACCATGATAAGAAAGACGATGCATCTTTGCAACTTCAAGCTTATTTTTCACAGTAATGATGTAAAATATATCGCTAATATTTCAATATATCGTAGATACCTTTGCAAGTGCAAATACTTTAGCTCTTTTCACAGCTCTATTAGCCGGTCCACCTCGAACCATGGCAAAACGTGCGAAACAGTCGTCTCCTTTATATTTCAAAAGTTAATATGTGCTCCATCGATTTCGGAAATTTAATCTTTTCTCCCTCTCCCCTCCGGACGACAATATATTACGCAATTTCAACGACTCCCATGATTCAGCACGAGACTACATAAACTGCCCGCAAAGAAATATGGGACAGAATACAGCAACACATGTAACGAAAACACAAATAGCAAAATTCTACCATCGTTAACGCCATTAAAAGACTTACTTTGCAAAACTGCCATATATAAACAACAGGTTAGCTATGTGAAGTGAGCGGCTGTGACATGCCTCGGAATTTTTCGCGCTAAACAGCCGCTTATAAGCGAGCGAAGCGATTTTACTGAGCGAACCTTGTGAGCCGTGACGAGGCTCTTAAATTCATGACTGCGTGTGCCGGGGGAATAGTGACGACTTAAAAGCTGAGACGAGATGAGCGCGGGAAGTTTTGAAAAACCCAAGTCTCACCTCTATAATTCAAACACACTGATATCACAAGATACGCTTGAGGAACATTTGGCGAAGTGTCGGAAAATTGTCAATGAACTGACTAAGGACTTATCTGAAAAACAAGCCCATGATGCTTTGAGTGCTGCTGTTTCTAAAGGCTCACAGAATCATGAAGAAGTTTGCTTGGGATTATTTCATGTCATTCTCACTGATACAGAGAGTGCTCATAATGCATATCGCGATCTGAACCTTGTAAGCCGTGACTCGATGGTCTTGATTGTGAATAAATTGCTACAGTTGATTTCTGAAAAGTACCTTCGGCTAATGGATGGAGTTAAAACCCAGATAATGTGGTTAGTGACTCAGTTTGTTTCATCTAGTATTGGAGGAGCAGACACCATTTGTCTTGCTCTTTTGAAGCAAGCTGCGGGTGGCGATTTGACTCCTTCTAACATTTGGTTGGCTGATGCCCTGCTAAACCTGTTTACCCAAAATCGCTGTTGGTTGGATAAGTTTCCTCAGTTGTTACAGGTCGTTGTATACAGTTACCTGAGGTTGATTGCTGATCATACAGCTGGAGCTTATAAAAACCTTCGGCAAAAGGAGATAACTCTCTGTGTGTCTATTTTACGAGAACGTTTTGTTGAATGCATGAGTATTGGTAGAGACCTCATCAGGATGCTTCAGAATGTGTGTAAAATTCCAGAAATGAAGTCTCTATGGAAGGACATGCTTTATAATCCTCATTTATTGAGTTCACAATTTACTGGAATCTATCAACTTTTAAACATTAGAACATCTCGTCGATATTTAGCTATAAGATTGACACCAGACATGGAAAACAAGATTGGATTTCTAACCTCAAAAGTCAAGTTTGGTCATCAAAAGAGATATCTAGAATGGTTTCATCATCAGTACCTATCATCACCTGAAAGCCAAAGTCTTCGTGCTGATCTCATTCGATATATCTGTGGTGTGGTTCATCCTTCAAATGAGATCCTTAGTTCAGATATCACCCAGCGTTGGACTGTGATTGGTTGGCTCTTGTCCACCTGCCCAAATAATGTGAGTGCAGCAAATGCAAAACTAGCACTCTTCTATGACTGGTTATTTTTTCAAGCTGAAGATAACATCATGAACATTGAGCCAGGAATTCTTGTCATGTATCATTCATTGAGAAATCACTATGCCCTTACAGCCACCTTACTAGACTTTCTATGTCGGTCAGTTATAGAGTATAATCAAAAGGGACAACAGTGCAAGGAATGCGTTCAGCATGCCTTCAAGGCTATCTTGTCAAAAAAGGTCATCAGTTCCCTAATGCCAATTATAGATAACCAAAGAATGGGTCAGGAATTGAAAAGTTTAGTTCGCAGTACATTCCCGTCATTTTTTCAAATTAATGGTTCCACATCTGGCAAGTTTGGTGAACATGTTATCAAGGCGGAAGGAAAAAATGGTGCCAGTCATGATGGAGATTTAAATATGAATGAGGGTATAAGTGATGCCAAGTTTTCTGATACTGAGGATGAAGCTGATGTTCAGATGAATGGATTGGAGAATGACATTATTAAGTTTCGGGATGGGAAAATTAAGGAGAAGATAGTGGATGGTCAGGCTGAAGAAGACGATGATGGAGATATGGTTGACTTTGATGAGTTAGAGAAATTGGACGAGGATCTTCGTGATATGGTTCTTAAGTTACAACAAGAAAGCAACATGGGTACTAGATGTGACACAATGGAAAGTATAATAGCTTGTGTTCTTAATTTGAATGAATTTGATGATGAAATGAACAGTGCACTGGCAACATGTTTGAATAACAGCTTGGTAGAGGATTATTATAACCTGTGTCTTCCAGAAAAAGTAACAGATCGAGAACTTCAAGATTCTTTGGAGGGTCCACTTTATACATTGTTCTCTAAAATTGTCCATCTTCCTACTCACGACATTGGACGTGAAACAATCATAAAACTTGCACAAGAAATGAAATCAAAAGAACCAAAAGTTAGCAATCATTTTTTATACTATCTCCTAGCAATCGAGCAAGATGAGGAAAATCTTTCGTTCTACGAAGAGTTTGTGCGAACTATGAAAGATTTTAAGTCCATGTCAACCAGCCTACTGGAGGATGCCAGACTCTGTCAAACATATGATCCAAAATTGTTTGTCTTTCTTGCACCTTCTTTGTATCGTAAATTCTCAGAACATTTGGTCGGTAATGTGGAAATGCTTCACATGTTAGTTGCAGTGGTCGATCCTTTGCAGCTTAGTGACTTGCTTCATGAAGTTGTGTTAAGGGATTTGGTTATATTTGGGGAAAGTAATGTTTATGATGTGTTGAAGGAATCCTTATCCTGGGAGTCTTATGAACAATATAACGTGTGGCAAGTGCTTTGTGCTGAAGATCCTCCTGTCGAGTGTTTCCTTAACCTTTTGCCATTACTGAAGGCAACATTACATTCTGAAGCGATCTCTAATATATTGCTCCTACTAAAGGGAGCTGATCTTACTAACGAAATTGTATCGTCTTTGCTATGCATGGAATGTACGGTCTCCAATAAGGAGATGCCCAAACAGCTGAGTACGTGTTTGTTGAGATATTGGAGCCTGGACTCTAGTAAAGAGCTAGCCAAGATCTTGTGTGGGCACATTGAAAAGAATTTATCAACAGGAAACCGTAGGAGGCAGTTGAAGAGTGGTAATAACATAAGCCAACCAACCATGGAGCAGATACTCGTCCAGCTAGAATGCTTTTACAGAGTATGTCAACAGCAGCAAAACCTTGATTTCTTCAAACAGGAAATGGTGAAGAGGAGCTTGGAGAAAGTGAAACAACATTGTACTAATTCCATTCAACAAAAGTTCCATCTGCTTTTTTCTGTTTGTGAAGAACAGGAGACAAGAAGAAGAAATGTTAGGATGTCAAAAATTGTTGCTACTATAGACGTTTTGAGTTCTGAAAGTGAGGAGGAAGAAGAAGAGGAACCCCGGAAGAGACCAACAAAACGAAAAAGAAGGCAAAGTCCTGACTTTATTTCCGACGACAGTGATGAGTAATGACGAATGAAGTAGAGAGAAAACACATGCAAATCATTAATTCTTACACCAGATTTACTTCTTGCATGAAAGTCGTTGCAACGTCTATAGTCGCTTTATAAATGATTTGATCTGTTAGCACAACGTGTTTTTATTAACAGACTGTATGTAACACACTTTAAGTGTTTGTGTCAAAGATTACAACACTTAGTCCCTTAGTATTTAATTTGTGCACGCGATTTTTTTTTCCAGCCATTGGAGATCTTTCGTTTTATCGGCATTCTACGATTGCCTCGGAGATCTTATACCAATAAAAGCAGTGTTTTTAGAATTATAGTACATGTGAAATGAATTACGTCTACAGCTCGATGTGCGATTGACTAAAAGTGTTAATTTTTTCTTACAATGTTCATTCTAAAGAGCAGCTTCCTATACGGGATTTAAATTCCTTAACGTATGTAGACCAACCACAACAAAAAATCTAAAACTTCCCCAGTTCCACCAACAAAGCTTGTAACACGGCATTTTCTGATATTAGTATATTTACCATCCCACATCGCGATTGGCTAATAATAGTATGTTTGCAATTCCGAGTTTCCATTATCTCCGCTCAGTTATTTTTGCTATCTTATCTCTTAATTAATTGGTTAACAAGAAATTTTTTATCGAAAATGAGGTTTTGAATCGTTGAAATGGCGAGTATTTCTTAATTTAGTTCAATAAATATGGCCCCATGCATGCCAAAGTTGATCATTTACAGTGCGTACTAAATAATTGAATCATCGTTGAATGTTTTCATAGCTTTGCTATGTCAACCCCTGAGAACTTTTCTTCAGTTCTTTTCGTAAATACTGCAGTTCCACCTCGTAAGAGGCTACTTTATCAGTAATACAACTGATATAACCTTCAGTATCATCCAGTTTCTCACTTAGTTCAGCTGCTCTTTTACGTTCCGTGCCTAAGAGCAAACTGAGTTCGTTGTTATCATTTGTCACGTCGTTGAAACTCTGCTCGTATACAGCGAGCGTCTCCTGATGGTTCATCAGTTCAGAATTTAATCTCATAACCTCCGACTCGCGTTCATCTATTTTCAAAACTAGGTCTTTGTTGAGAGTAACGACTTCCTTTAGTTGAATCTCGTAATCAAGCAAAACTTTTTGGTAATGCTCAAGTTTCGATGTAAGATCAGAATGTCGTATTGTGTCTGTGTTTTTATGAATTGTCGGCCCATCCGTTTCATTACCTGGCCTGCTTATCTCTGTTTTGTCCTTATGAAGGAATCTGGAGATCGATAAAAAACCCAGTAATACATAATTATTGCGTCCCACATCAATTACAAGATTCTTGCAGTGTTATTACAAGAGAAGTTCCTACCTCAAGATGCTTTCATTTTGCTGGGCTTTTTCCCGCAAACATTTATTTTCATCCCTCATGTCCTGTAGTTGATCACTTAATGCCAGACATCTCCCTTCGCTGCAACGCAGCGCCTTGTCTAAAGTCTTCAGCATCTCTTCTCTGGACTGATCCCGCTCTTTTACACAGCTGTAATCATTCATCATCTCTTCAAAGTGAGGAAGCACGTGTTTAAGATTGCCCTGTCGTACAAAGAAACAGTCTATCATCGAGCACAGTCGTTCATATAGGCAACATGAAAAAGTAAGTTAAAATAGACTAATACAGGAGTTAAATTCCTTAAACTTCGCGAAAATTTCATGGTATAACTCGATAAAAGTGAAAAAATTGGACCTGAATAGACTTGAGTTGTTTCAAGGCCGTGACAATTCTTAAATAAACTTTTTCATCCACTACATTCTGTAAAAAAATCAAGAAGCAACTTCATCACATCAAACACACAACAAACGATGACGGGAAGTCTGGAATGACTCAACATGAATGTAAAAATGAAAATGCTTACTTCGCTTCCATTGCATAAGTTTTCCTTCTCGTCCAAAATCTGCATAAGTAATTTTGAAGGACGTGAAAGACCTTCTTGAATCTAAAGTCAAAATTAATTTGTGCAATTAATTTTAGGTATCCATCAGCCAAACCTTACATGCTAAGTTCTTTGCCAGCTCATAGGTGATAGTTTGCAGCAGTTCTAATCACGAATACCTGATTGAAAGTGTCCACCAATCCGTTCACATTCATGGAAACATTTTGCCTTCCTGCAAAGCGGATATGATGAACAAAAACAAAAATATAAAAAATTGTTGGCAAGAGGTATTGTTTGATTCGCTAAGAGATCAGAAGATATTGATCTACGTACCTTCAGAGTCATTTCTACTTTTGGACTGAGCATTTTCGTTGTCAATGCTATCAGCTCGTGGGAAGGGATGGGAAATGGGCAGGCTAGACGATCTCCGGTGACCGTTGTAACATCTTATTGAAGTGTTCACACTGCTAGCGACACCTTGAAATAATTTTAAATCCACAGTTATCAATTTGTATCCCTAATGTATTCTTATGGTAATACCGAAATACACGAACATGTTTTCCCACGAAATTAAAGTAATAAAAAATTAAAGTGTTCAGATACAGCTGAGCGTCAACGAGTTAGGCAAATGTATATTTACAGGTTAAACAGGCACGAACGTGGATTGATTGAACAGCATATGAATTGAGGAGGGAAAATCTTTATGTTATGCGTCGAAGCAGCGATTAAAAACAACTTAAAATGCAATATTTAAAAAAGCATGACTTCCTTAGACTCGTCATTCGTAAGTTCGTAAGATATACGGTCCAAAATATGGAAGCAGTAAATGTAATCCCAAATATTGAAGATTAAATCGATCGTTTTAAAATGGCTACGTGCACACTCTTATCAAATCGTATATCTACATAAAATTTATGTGAACAATGGCACAAACCGAATGTTTCTATGGCGCTTGCTACGTATACAATTGATGGCAATTAAAGTCGCGATGGTCGATTGATCAAAGCCCGACCTGTATGAGTGTTGCGTTTTGTTGGAAAATTTCTGCTAGAATTTTCAACGTTACGAAAGTGTTTCAAATGGCCCGAAAAACAAGTCACATCGCTTTTTGTCTTTAATTAAAATAAGCAATTGAAAGGCTTTATATTGAAATATCGGCAACATGAAATATGAATAATGAACATAAAGGATGCTACACCGATAAATTAGCAATCAATGTATGTAATATTTTCGTATGTAATATATAGTATATATAGTTTCGCGCAAGGATACGGCAAAAACTTAATCTTTTATGAGCTCGATTTGGCTGTTTAATCCTCATTAAATAATCAAGGAATTGTAACAAACAGATTGAAATTGATGGAAATAAATTCCAATAAACGTATCAGACTCCTAGTCATTTTAAAAAATGGAAGAAATTCTCACTAGTTTCGCCTCAAATCTCGTTTCAACTTTATATTCCTGACAACAAACTGCCGTGTACACTGGAATGTGAACATCATATATGCGTGAATGAGTACAAAAGATATAGCTATACGTGGAATAATACTCTTCGAGAATACTCTTCTATGCCTAGTTGTCAAAACAATTTCTTTTAAACTGTAACATACCTTTTACACTAGATGAGGCAGATGCCATTCACGTCGATTGTAAGAACCCTGAAAGAAAGTTGAAATTCAACATTTTACACTATAAGCGTCATTAGGCAAATCGTAGTTTAACAACAAATCTTTATCACTGCCTACACAACGACGACGTAGTCTTCCTTGCTATGAATATATTTGCATTTAAAGAGCTTTGGCCAGTGAAAGACAGCACGTCAACTTTCTATGAGCGTTCATATTTTCTCGGATTATTATCGAACTATATATCATTACGTTTTTATCACAACACTTACGAGACGTCGACAACACAAATCCAATATCGACTGACTTGAAATAAGATCTTGCCACACTGCTAGTAGAATCTCAAAAACCCTTCCATATTTTTTTTTGTGAAAATCAGTCGATGTGGAAAACACAAAGCTTTGCTCCGTCCAACTGGATGGTTCATAAATGTTGAATATCACACAGCATATGAAAAACATGGGATACACCATTTTTTTCAGGGTCATAGGATCAGATCAGTGGCGGATCAGCGTTAGTTAAAATAAATTATAGCTCCTTAATTTTAAATTCAAAGTACTTTCAGAAAAACACTATTGGTTTTGAATTTCTAAACATAATAATTTTACCAATGAATATGCCTCTAAGGGTCTTCGAAATGAAAATATATGCCAAATTGTACTACAGTAATTTATTTTGACTAACCCTAGATTCGCCACTGGATCAAACATAACTGTATCTTCGAGCTGCAATATGTGCTTGCGAAAAGTGCACACTCATCATTGGAGTAAACAATCGAAATATATCTGAATTCCTACTTTTGCTAAGAACGCTTGAGTATAGGATGATAATATCACTTACAGTGAACACCACAAAGGAAACTCTGAACAGAATTTCTCGGGAGGTTCAAAGTTATTTTGATACAGACGGTTTTGCATGTTTAAAGAATCGTTCGAAACTCTTATCGGATCAAATTAATACAAAATGGCAAATAAACAGTAAAAATTGAAAGATAAAAAGTTCCAAGCGGCTGCTGTAGGCGTTTCAATGACCATAAAACCAACATCAGACGAAATCTGCCAAAGCAATTTTATTTACATAATATTAAAATAGCACGGCAAATCAAGAAGAAACGTTTTGTATCAGCTGCAATGCATCTTACCGACAGACTAACTTCTGTGATTTTCATTGCATAAAGCAATTAGAATATGCTGTTAAAATTAAAAGACTGTATACGCTAGACAGGGGTGGACACTTCACGGTATATATTCCATTGGGGGGGCAGCGGCAAAATGAGTCAAATGTTAATTTAGAAATTTTGAACAGAGGCTCAGCTCAAAAGATACCTAAATGACTGAAAAATAGCTCGATACGCAGTGTATTAAAAAAATATTAGGAAGGCAAGTCTCTCTATATTTTTCAAATATACTACAATCACCTCACTCGCTCGCGCTCTCCCTGACGCCGATACAGCCATTTAAGTCCAAATGTTTCTCAAAACATTCGAACTACTCAACTCAAATGGTCGGAAGGAAAAAAATTTCTTTACACTTTTTTAATAAATTTTCAGTACTTCTGTACATCCTACTCCTTTTTTTTCTCTCTGCAATGCTTAAGGTCGACCAACAGCGTTGGAGAAGATTATTCATTAAAAAAAACGAAGAATAGCATATTTATTAAATTGCTTTGGTTTGAGAAAAAAAAAGCCACACCTGACTTTTCATTGGGATATCAAAATAATATAGAGTCGGATTATTTTTAATGTACAGGTGTCTAAAATGTCATTCAAATTGTCACAGCATGACGCCACGGTTGCGCAAATTCTATTAAATCATTTTGATTAAAATACTTTGTTTTATGCCTCCATAGACAGGAAAATTGAATTTTACGACAAGTCCATAAATAGCGTCAAATTTGATCATAAATATACCAGCTGCCGTTCTTTAAAACATGCTCAAAGATTTTCACGATCGACTGATGCGCAGTGCGAATTCTTTCTCTCAATGTTGAGATAAACGGACTTAACAGTAAAATTTACATTTGAAAGGAAGAGCAGCAGATTTGGTAATTCACATCAGCTTAAATGGAGACGACGACAAACTTCAAATTTCCAAATGCCACAGATTCTTCCATGACAACGATCATAGTTTGCCACAACGTAGAAGTCAATAAAGAAGACAACTCCTTTGGATCTGTCATCTCTGATGCTATATGTTGTTTCGTCAATTTGTTCATGTGCATCATATCAACATCCGGCAACGCATTGGTGATTTATATATACATCAAATCACCTTTAGGAAAAACAACTGCCAATTTCTTGTTGCTTTCTCTTTCTGTAACAGAAACGATAAAATGCACCCTGGTACAGCCTGCTTTCTTCATCTGGAAAGCAATGCAAGTGGCAAAACTCGATTTCTGCTATCCATATTTATTCACAATAACCGCAAATCATTTTTGCACTTTATCCTCCTTTCTTCACACTTGCTTCCTGATCACCATTGAGCGCTATCTCTCCGTCTTCAAACCGATACTGCATCGGAAACCGATCGTAAAACGATCGTTCCAGATCGCAGCAACGGCGACGCAACTGGGAGCCGCGTGCTTTCTTCTCACGCTTTTTCTAACAAAACAACATCGGTTGTATTTCATATCGATTAGTTTACTCATTATAATCTGCTTCACTGTCACAGCAGTAACGTATTTCATGATTCAAAGAAAAATGAAAAAACCTATAACAAATAAGTCAAAGGTATGCGGTGCTCCTCGCTAGTCGTTTTTCGCTGTTTACCAAAACTCACTTAATCGTTGTTTTTTGTTTTCAGAATGCCACCGTAACTACGTCAAATAAGGAAACTGCTGACCGCCGAATGAACAAGACAATAATGACAATAATTCTTCTATCGCTGGCGTGTTACCTGCCACAATTTTGCGTCCTCGTATTCTTAAGCATTCACAAACGAACGGCGTGGCATATACAATACATGATTCCATGGGTGTATATTTTTACATTCGCAACGCCAGCCATTACCACATTCGTGTACTGCTGGAAAAACCGTCAATTGCAGAATGAGATGATCAAATGCAGCAAACGTTTCTTCCCAAGCTTTCACTCAATCAAAAAAACCACCAGTTCGTCGACAATCAACACATCAGCATCTTAGTTGCATTAAACACATGTTTATTGGGTCTTGCGTAACGTTTACTTCGTGTAACATTTATTATTCATTGTTGTGTTATTTTTTTGTGTGATGTTTACTTAATGCAAAATTTACCTAGTGAAGTCTTTAATTTACCTAGTGTGGTGTTTACTTTATGTAATATTTACTTTGTGTCGTATTTACTGTTACTTAAATGAAAGATTTACCACGTGACGTGCTTACTTCATGCAACGTTTACATAGTAGTGTCGTGTTTACTTTGCTGTCATATAAATGTGTTGAAAAAACCAACATATCGAAACAAATATTTTCAGCATTAGACTTTTCCACTTTTAATTTGAACGTTTGATCAAGAGATCAAACTGACGCACATCAAACAAGAATCGCAAAGTTAGCAACTAACATAACACGTATGCATTCTGAAATGATCATGCATAAGAACTGCTTCCATATATTCACAGTACCTTGTCATGGCGTTGAACTGAACACGTGACCTACGATTTGGGTCAATCAAAGCAATCTCACCTCGATGTCATACTAACGAAGAGTCTCATCTTTCAGGAGGAGAAAGAAAACAAACCACCATCCTATCTTTAGACAAAAGTAGCATGTTATCGCCATCTGGATGCCATGACAGAGAATTGACTTGGAACAAAGCTAAGTAAAAATATAAACACAACTAATCAAAAAAGATTTAGATCATCTGCAATATCATTAACTGTTACAGTTTTGTAAAAGACCGAGTTGCAACAGACTTTAAAATCAACCATCTCAATCAATTATAGTAAATTTGCAACAGTTACAAGAAACAATTAAAAGATTGAAAAAGGAATCTATTTATTTATCCACATAAAATACAAAAACCTTTTCCAGCCGACAATTTGAAGAAATATAAGATAAAAGATAATCCAAAAAAAAACACCATCTTCTAAACTCAAGACTCGAGTTATGTTAGCAAGAGACAAGATTTCAAAGCAATATTTCGACTTTATTTCAAAGTCATTTTCAATCTATTGCTTTGAAGTCTTGTCTCTCGCTAATATTTCTCAAATCATGAGTTTACAAGATGATATTTTTTGGAGGACGTTTTCTATTACAATTAGGAACGTTTCAAGGTCTTTTGTGGGAAACGTGACAGATCTCCAACAGGTATTTTATACGCATTCGATCACGTAATACAACTGGCGAGATTATATATATTACAGCGTTGTACTGTGCAAACAAACCTTCACTTTCTGTTGGCACATCAACCGTGACACAACCAGCAACCGACCAAAAATACAGTTTATTATTACCAGTGCATAACGCAACTCTTTCATTTTGCGGATCCCACTGGATTGCTGTAACGAATTCATGGAAAATGTTACTTGAGCATTGCGGTCGATTAAAACTTTCGAGTGCAACTTCACAAAAAAAGTCCTGGAAGCATCGCTCACTTTTAATTGGAGAGGTTTGTATAAGTACAGCATAAAGTTTGAGAGTAATAACATTCCATATCCATAAGGTGTACGGCATATTGTCTATACACCAATAGAAAGAAATATAAAATTAGAATTGAAAAAAAAGAATGGAATTGAATTAAATAGAATTAGAATAAAATTCGAACAAGCATCCGTGACAAATTTCCAAGAGGAAGGTATCAGACAACGCCAACTAAATCAGTAGCAATTTTACGTGACAATATTTTTATCAACATAATTTTACGCTGATTTTGACAATACGAAAATAAGTTTAATATTTGCACGAATCACCCCTTTTAGTGCGCTCTTTGCTTGAGTAAACAACCTAGTGGTCATTTCTTGGATCAAAACATATTGAACATCGGTTTCGTGCACAATGAAAATAGAAAAATGCGTGAAATAAAATAAGAAGCAATTTTTAGACAAGCATTTTAAAACAGATAACAGTAATTTAAAGTTTGTCGACGTTAACCAAAGACAGACTGCTCAAATTGGGTGAGACTAAAGTCTTATCTTTTTTACGAGTTAAGGTTTTAGATCGACATCATTATACCAACGATAATCCTTGCCGTCAACCTACATTGACTTCTCAAACAACATTTTAAACAATCAATTTCTATATTTAATAGCTTTACATACAGTAAAACAACATCAGTTTATGTTTAGCTATATTTTTACCTTACAGAAAGACTTAATATTTTCTGGTGATCGAAGCATTGAACTATTTATACTAAAAAATCATCAAGCAGACAGTTTTTACCGATACAAACTCAAGAGAGCGAACAGCAATGTTAAAACAACAAAACTACGAGTAAAAGTCATTACTGTTTTATCTAATATACGCAATTCATATTTTTCTGCTTTTGAAGATATCCACAAACTACAACGCGTTTCTTCATCTTTCTGCATTCAAAATTGACATAAACTTCATCGAAACGGCATGGCGAGGCATGTTTCTTCGTCAAGCCTCTGACCCACTCATCTTTTTTCAAAATATTATCATTCTCGAGACCACGTGACTCAGAGTAACCATTCACGCGAGAGACCTCTTCCCCATCACTATATCTGGGAATAAAGCGATCAAACGGTACAGCGCTTACTTCCTCGAGAAATCCAAAGCACAACAAGGAGACTATCACCACGGTCAATGACCAACTAAACATTTTCCTTTCAATATTTTTCTATCCTTGTAATCCTTCTTGTATGTCAGCGTTTGTATATCTATGTAGTTTGTCGGTGCTTATATATGTATGTTCTACGGCGATGCCAACTGTTATTTCAATATAATTATTTTAAGTTGAAGCATTAGCAGGACGCCTAGGCAAATTTTCTACACTATTTTCGGAGGTAATTGCACTTATCAAGGGTATTACGATACATACATAACTAAATGTTGAAGCTCATTAAAAACTACTTAGCTTTAAAATGGAGCTTTTTGCAACGAGAAGAAAATACTTCGAGTCAAATAAGAACTTGGAAATTGTTGTAAAGCTGTCTGCATCTCATGAGATTGGTAAAAAAACCTCAGAATTCAGCATGAAATGTCGAGAAAACATTTATTTACAACTGGATGAATTGGCTGCGTGAGCATACAATAGCCAAATAGTTAAAGTATCCGAATCATGTAAAATTAATGTTATAAAGCTGGTAATGTATGGCAAATAATTACACAAATTATACACCAGTTGTAAAAAGACCCACTTTATGAGCGACACATGACGTATACTAATTATATGCGAAGTATCTATTTGTAATGAACGTCGCAAGAAATGATGAGCCCTAATTTCTTGTTCTACAAATACTCAAAATTGATTCGTAACCCATAGCTCAACCTTTTATCTATTAATACCGGGCCTTAGTCGACATACTGAATAATTTCTGTATTGTAAAACACGAAATTTCAACGGAAACTATCAAACATGAAAGCGATAATCGACAACGATTTGCAAAAATGAATTTTCTTTCTCAATGAAAATTTGAAGAAAAAATTTCAAGTTATATTCCTTCTCTAAAAGAATCACAAACAAACAAAAAAACGAAATAGAGTCTGTAAAAGATTGTAATGCAGGCGTAAAGTGAACAGATGTTGCAGAAATAATAATAATTAGTGTCACAGTAGGTGTATATGACGCATGATTTTTTTACGGTCTAAAAAATAATATGCCTGCTAATGGACTTTTTTTAACATTAATGTTTGCATGTTTACTTCTTGAGCTATTGAAGTTTTTGTTACATGTAAATTAGATAAATTTTGATCGTTGCTTTTCATAAGTTGCGCGTCACAAAAAAAGCTTCAGTAGCTCGTAAAATCAAGATTGAAGTGTCAAGATCGATAATTTGGGGGATGTTAATACATGCATGTTATATTAATCTGCAGAAAACAATGCATTTCAAAGGATTTGGTTCGCTCAGTGGGATGTCTCGCCAACCGGGCTCACATGAATAGGCCCATACTTAGAATTAGTACAGCATTATACTTTATAGAATACCGGAGGAGAGTTAATTAGAGAAATAATTTACATTAGAATAGAATAATTAATTACAGAATGTCTGAAAGCGCTAATTAGAGACGCCGTTTAAATTAGAGTAGCATTATAAATTACAAAATGTGAGAGAAGAGCTAAGTACAGCATAATTAGAATTATAGTAGCATTGAAAATTTAAAATGTAAGAGAAGAGCTAAGTAAAGCATAATTAGAATTACAGTAGCATTATAAATTACAAAATGTGAGAGAAGAGCTAAGTAAAGCATAATTAGAATTGCAGTAGCATTGAAAATTTCAAAATGTGAGAGAAGAGCTAAGTAAAAGCATAATTAGAATTACAGTAGCATTGAAAATTTCAAAATGTAAGAGAAGAGCTAAGTAAAGCACAATTAGAATTACAGTAGCATTGAAAATTTCAAAATGTAAGAGAAGAGCTAAGTAAAGCATAATTAGAATTATAGTAGCATTGAAAATTTCAAAATGTGAGAGAAGAGCTAAGTAAAGCATAATTAGAATTGCAGTAGCATTGAAAACTTCAAAATGTGAGAGAAGAGCTAAGTAAAAGCATAATTAGAATTACAGTAGCATTGAAAATTTCAAAATGTAAGAGAAGAGCTAAGTAAAAGCATAATTAGAATTACAGTAGCAATAAAAACTACAGAATTTCAGAAGAGAGCTCGTCAGAAAATACACCTCATGTATTATACTTTAAGTTATTTTGGCAGAAAATGAAACCTTTGTAAATTTTATTTTTGACCAGTGAAAATACACACGACTGTACGTATTTTATCAAAACAACCGCATCACAAACACGTAACACAAAAAAATCAATAAAGAAGTTTAGGTAAAAAATTCGCATTTCATTTAGCGCATTAAGAAATTCGATTCCTTCTTCTCCTCGCTAAACGAGTTTATGCATTCGCTCGTTTGACAAACAAGATAAACGTAAACACAATGCTATTGGCGGGTAACAGCGCGACAAGGAAGATTTCGTTTGTACTAACATACCGTTTCTGGTAGCCATAAACTGACATTTGCTGCTGAATGACACGTGACCAACACCAACTTTGGGATTAGGTTTCTCAGGATCAGGTTTAAGCAAAGGTATCTGTACTGGAGTCTCCTTTACCTCATCTAAAAATATACAATCCACTAAAGTCAAACAGCCATAACTAAACATTCTCATGGAAGAAATACGCAGATAAAATGTGAATGTAAGTACATTTGCTGGTAACGATGTAACTTCCAAACGAGGATATATTCTCTTTCTTGAAATAAGTGGGCTTATTCTCCACTTCTTTATAAACAATCTGAAAAAAATAAAATTACCAAAAGTAAAAGAAAATCCCCATCGAAGAAATAGTGAGAACACACACTCTACACTTGGGATCTGAGGTAGGGTTAGGGTTAGGTATAGTGAGAAAACACACTCTACACTTGGGATCTGAGGTAGGGTTAGGGTTAATTATAGTGAGAAAACACACTCTACACTTGGGATCTGTGGTAGGGTTAGGGTTATGTATAGTGAGAAAACACACTCTACCCCTGGGATCTGTGGTAGGGTTAGGGTTAGGTATAGTGATCACACACACTCTACCCTTGAGATCTGGGCTATATTAAATATTGTCATATATACAAGGTGAAATATTATGTATAGTCTAAATATTCACATTCATACAAACTGACTTGATGATTGTGAAGTCATACACCCTCACCAAACAATATATATAAAAAAATGGGGGTGGGGGTGGGGTCAGAGAGAGTGGTGAACCAGGTCGGGTTGAATGAAGGCTCAGTAAGCTTTATTATCTCCACATGATATGAATGAAATGAAAGCCACTACTTACCACCTCATTCTTATCTATCACGTGGGAATGCTTGTGCTCCACGATTGTTTTCCACGTGAGATGGTTAAATACACGACACTATAGGACAACGCAAGAAATTTATAATACTCTGACCTGCGTACGCCAAGGATTTATTCTAGGGAGGGGAGAGATAACAGAGAAGACTGGGAAAGAAGTTGAATGTAAAAACAGTTTGTTACAGTACATTCAATTTGTATCAAAAAGAAAAGTTTAAAATATTCAAAGTTGACACGTACCTAACAAAATTGGCTAACAAAGATTTAATTTACCTTTTCATCATAGCCTCCTATCGCCAGAAATTGACTCGTCGGCGACCACGTGACCGTCTTCACGCCCAAGCCAAAACATGGCCGTTCATACGTCGAGAGGCATCTACCGTCCATTGAGTAAAGACACACTTTGTTCTGCATGTAAACAACATCAAGCAGATAAATATTTTGTTAACTGTTGTTTTAAAAACTCCCCTAAGATCAAAGCTGACAAACAAAAGATGCCATGTAGGACAGTCTGCTTTTTAGAGTAGTAGCCTGACTTGCCAGGTCTACACAAGATACTCACTGACATGTATAATAATTAATAGAAGTCAAGGATGACACTCATGAGAAACCAAATTGTTTTGGAAAAAAATCTTTGTATTACAAAGGGGATGAGCATGTTCTCCCTAATGAGTGGGTATCTTACACTAAAGCTTACCATGTAGTTGACGATTTTTTTAAAAATCACCCTACAACACTGATATATCATGGACCATGAGGCACACCATATCATTATAGGTACTTACATATACTATATGGTCCCACACACACAAAGCTCTGCCATCAGGTGACCAAGCAATGTCACTTAAGTCCTGAGTTTGTACCTCAAAATGCTAGAGAACAGAAAACACATGACAAACCAAAGGAATGAGAAAACAAAGTACAAAATACCAAGTTTTTGCATAACACAAACCTTCACCATTTTCCATGCTTTACATGCAAAAATGCTCAGAAAGTCCTTGCAATTTCGTCTTTCAGCAAGTGCCATGTAATGTCCATCCTTGGTGAAATCCAAACCTAAGACATGACTAAAAGTGACTTCGACATACAACATTTGTATTTAAGACATGATTATAGTTGATGGGATAGTTGATGTCAAGTTTTTCAAAATGAAAAGAGCTTCTACAAATGCCGTCATTGGATACTTTGTTGCTGTTCTGCCTGTTCATGATATCAGTGCTGGTGATATGATTAAATTCTCAGGAAAGGTTCTGAAAAGATCCCACCAAGACCCTGTAAGATCCTACCAAAATCTTGTAAAATCATGTTCAGATCCTAAGCAGGATGTTATGCAAAATTTTCACCTGGGGTTCATTCATTGCAAATGATTTGGCTAAACTGTATTTGTTACACAGTAATAGTTGTTTCTTATGTTGTGATCACAAATATTCTCACTTTACCTTTGTTTGCATGTTTTGGATATTCAAAATATGAAACAGACTTGTCAATCAAGGACCAAAGCGTAATCCTTATCTACGAGAGTGTAAAAATATAAAATCTGAAAAAGAAACAGAAAATTCCCCTAAAAACATGCTAATGAAAGTAAACTTACGTTGAATTCGGCTATAGTAAGAATATGCCTTGAATCTGGACTCCATTTGACTGTCACTAAACCAGCCATTCCTTCATCAATCTTGCATCGCCAATCCGGGTTCTCCATAGACCAGACCTGCAGGCAAAACAATTACCCACAATTCAACTGACATTTAATAAAAGACGACTCCCAACTAAATGACATAACAATCAAGCAATTGACAAAATTACCTGTGTGACACCACGTTTGAACATACCACAAAGAATGAAGTCGGAATCAGGAGACCACTGTCAAAAATTATCAAATTTTGAAAATATACGTTTTTCTAAAGTAACCATTGCTTAGGGTAGAAAAACATGGCCCTGAATGGCTAACCTATAAAAACAATCTTTTAAAATTTGGTAAAGAACAACACATAGCCTTGATACATACTTCCATGTAGTCTACTGCATCCAAGTTAGTAAACAGGTGAACTATTTGCAAAGTTTTCACATCTCTAACCACAAGTCGGTACTGCACGCAATTTGCCTAAATGAAAGAGAAAATGTATCATTTTAAGAAATTTCCTACCTCTTTCCACAGAAAGAACTTATTTTAGAAATTGAAAAACAATGGCAGCCATTTGCAAAACTGCTTGAACTAACAGAAAAAGTAACTTTAAAATTAAACCATATAAATTACAAATTAAAAAAATTGAGTTGCAAAGAAAATATAATTGTTAGAAATTCACATACAATGAAAAATCCATTCGGCGAATATCGACTCAAATAATGATTTTGTCTGAATTCATCGGAAAAATTCATGATTTACAAATCAATCTCTTATTATAAAAAGAAAATTGTGATAAGAATTTTATCACGTTTAGATTTTGTATTTTTCTTTACCCAAATAACAAATTTAAATTTCGTGCGGGCTGTCATGAAGGTCCTATTCGCAGGCCTGATTAATTAAAGATTACAAATTGCAAGTTCGTACATTCATAGGGATGATTTAATATAAGTTAAGTGTACAATGCACAACATACTTTTTGTAATTGTGAAATGTTTGAATCTACATTACCATAAAAATCCACTACTTTTATAAGTTAACAAAGCAACAAAGCAATGTCATATGTCAATCATGACTTTTAGTTTCATGTTTTCCATTATGTTTTGGGGAAGTGGCTGTAGTCTAAAGGCCATGGCAGGTGAAGATTTTACTTCACCTTTAGCATTAAACATTGAAAAATTTACATCGTCATACATTAAGAATAATTTACACAAAACACATTTCAAAAGACGTTCAGGGACAGATTAAAGAGTTCTTGCAAACTTAACTCAGTGGTCAAAAAAGAAGTCATTCCATTTTTGATGTCTTAAGTTGACACTTGTCCAAAGAACTCACACATTTCTAGGCCCTTTCTCAATTTTATGTTTTTCATTGCGTGTTGGCAAGCTTAAAACTTCTTTGACTCATTTCCCATACACAGGAATCAAATAATGTCCTATGTGCAATAGCCACTCTAAAGCCTGTTTTTCATTTGGCTTTCTTCCTTTTGGTCTAACCATGATTACTTGTCATTCTTAGAAGTTAAAGATGTGTTTAGAGGAATTATGAGTTTTATGACCTTGTTATATTATTAGATAAAGACAAACGCTTTGGAAGCAGGGAATTGCTAATATGGAAGATAGGTGGATATGTTTATCTTTTTTTTCACACAAGTACAACATTTTCTAATTGACCAATTGATATTGCGAATGTTTTGATAAATTTTGGTTATGATGCAACTTCTAACATAAAGACAGTTGCGATATTATATATTTCCTAAACTTGTTGAATTTGTATCAAAATTTGCATCGTCCTTTCCCAAAAGTACAATTTATGCTGTTCTTGAAGAATTCTCCATCCCCAAATTCCAGTTTAAATTGTTTGTCTTTGTATTTCTTAATATTATTCGAATAGATATGGTCATGCTCAGAAGAAAGAACGGAAGTCAGATGAAAAGGAGTGTGTTCATACTACAAATATATTTACCACTACAAAATAATACATCATATACTGGCAGATGCTCTTTACATGTTCAAACACATTTTTATCAGTAAATACACAATCAAAAAGTAAACTTTTAATGTTTAGAGTAATAAAAGACTCACAAGAGTCTGGTTTTATGATTTCGTGACCATTTTTGACAAATTACATTCGATGTTGAGAGTTTTATGAATTTTTGCTGGTCGTTCCCATGCCAAATACATGTAGTCTATTTTAAAGCAATTACAACGGCGAAAATCCGCGCGTTCTTGACATATTTCTCATCTTACATTCTTACTATCTGTCATTGATTGACTCGTCATTCGTAGATTCCTATTGTAATTAATCGCTATGAAAACCATAAAAAAGAGTGAATGGTCATCTTGAAAAATTCTTTATTTTTATGATAATAGAATATAATTTTTCCTGTAAGATCATAGACATCTACGGCCGTTATAATTGTGAAGACGACGATGATTACACACTCCGATACACCAAATCACCCGTGTCATAAACGGTCGCCATCTTGTCATGTCACCCGATTCGGGATTTGGACTTCTGTTTCGGTCGTGTAAAAAAGTTCCCGTAAATAAAATTTATATAGCAATGTCTTTTACTAATACAAATTCACGACTATTTCTTTTTGAATTTATATTGGGAAAAGTCTTTGACGAACTGAGCAAAGATGTTGACGTCCGTTGAAAAGTTCAAATGATATCACCGCTGTAGAATGTTCCACGAGAAGGTTTTGTGATAGAAACTAGAGAGTCAACAAAAAACGATGTACGTTTTGTATGAGCACATGCTACACAATTAATCGCTGAATCTGAAAACTTTTTTCTGCACTCGTCAAAAGCAGGTATGTATTCTCCTTCTTTTCTTATTTATTTTTGTTATTTTAACTGTGTTTGTATTTTTACTGTAATCAATTTTAACTTTTGAGTTAAGCATGAAACTACAAGCATGCTTTGAGAGTGTATAATGCAAGAGGTTTCCAAACAGAATACAGGAAATGGATAGGACATTACGATAAAGTTGTGCTACCCTTTGAGTGCTACCCATTCAAGTTTACTTCTTCTCAATCCAAAACAATCATTGAAGCATTTATGATTGTTCACCTGTTTCCCTTGAAATTTATTTAATGTTGAGATTGTAAATGTAGACATTTATGTGATGTCATGCCTAGGGTTTTAACATCGACAAACAAAATAGTTGGGCAGCCGAAAAGTCTAAATTTAAACAGCTGTAATTGAAAAACTGAAAGCATTTTTCGCATCAAAGCCAATCTTCACCGTCATTGTCTTTGCATGTTTTGCAAACACCAGTATTTTCTCTAGAGCAACACAAAGAAATGAACTGAATTTAAAATGAATTTAAGTTTCTCATGCACTGTGTAAAGACTGGTTAAAACATACTCATGAATGTCATCATAGCAAGAGCCAAATATGAGTGATATTAATTTCTCTGTCTCTCTAATTCCATTTTAAATTTTCTGTTTAAGCTTGAGTTTTCACACAAATACACCTTGCAAACTGTGAAAAGGAAATTGTTAAAATTAATGTACATAAATAACCAGCAAAATATATTTATATATATTTAAGTTTGAAAATTGATTATCCAGGCATGTTTTTTATATGCAGGTTTCCCCGGATTTTTTAAAAATTATTAAGATTTCGACTTGTTGCTTCGAGCCTTCTTCAGAATCGTATAGGAAGTTATTTACAATTGTTTTCAATTTGTAGACCTTTTAGAGCATTGAATTAGATTAACAGATGGATTGAGATTAGATTAATTGATGGATTGAGATAATTGGATGATTTGGAATGCATTGTTATGGATTTTGGTGTATTTTGAATGTTGCTTACATTTGTGGAGGAAGTTTAGATGTTACAATGTCGATGACTCTTTATGTGCAAATAATTCCCATCTACCCCATTTGTTGGAAGCGAGGTTGAATTTGGACGATTTTCTTGCCTTACTAAATGGTATCTTTGTAAAAACTGTTATAAAAAAGTAGATAATCCCTTTTTTCCACAAAGACCATGGACGCTTTCGTTCATGGTGAGAGATTTATATTGTATAAGGAGGCTCTCGTTCATCATGAGAGAGTTATGAGAAAGTTACATTTCAAAAGATAACAATTAAAAAACGTATAAACATGTTTAGAGTTGGTTTAAATTTTAAGTCAAAAAGGCAGAAGTTGTTTGAACCTTTGCAGTATCCTTGGATGTTCTAGTTTCTTTTATGAGAAGAATTCTTGTAATGAAAAAAGACAAGTTATTTTGAAAACAAAAATTCGGTCCATTCCTCACAATACCCCGAGATAGTGTTTGAGCATAGAGCCTGCCATGTTAATTAAAGGAACCCGATAATCCATGTTTGCCATGAAGCCCATGTATGGTTTGCTCATGATACTTGAGAAACAGTAAACGAGAGAGTTAAATCAGAAAGATATAAACCAAAAAAAATTGTATAAAACGTGTTTAAGGTTAGGGTTAAGGCTTTAATTATAAGTGTCAGAAAAAGGCACAGTGTCAGTTGAAGTTAATTGAAGTTAATTGATTACTAAGCATGCTATTTACATTGAAATCGGTGCTAGTAGATGCATTTGGTCGTTGCCATGACCTTGAACTTAGGCATCTGGTCAAATCGACTGCGCATGCGCAGATTATTTATTTATTATTTGTCACTGGGCAAACTAATTACTCCATAATCGGTACTAGTACATACAGCTGGTCGTTGCCATGACCATGAACTTGGAGAGTTGGTGGAGTTGACTACCCATGCTAGATTAATTCTCAATTAATTTTTGACAGAGCAAGCTTTGAAATTAGTGCTTGTATATGCTCATAGCAAATTTTCCGTCATATATTTTTGGCACGCTCTTTGTCTTCTTAAGCTTGTTTTGACAAATGCATATCAAAGTCATCAACACTTTGTTACGCCACTCGTAATATCCGTGACAATGTTAGAGATGTTTTTATTTTTCTCTATAACTTTGTATCTGCATATTTTGTGCATAAACAATGCTCTAATATTTATGACAGATTTTATAATTTGGTGGATTGAGCTGGAAGAAAGACTTGAAAATGAAACTTCTAACGGTGAAACAAAATTAAGCATGACAGAGGAGAACCAACTACGCCAGGTTGAAGATGGCTCGATGAAATTGAACGTAGTTGAAGCACCTGGCGAACGCTCGAGTATTTTGGATCAGGACTTCTGAACCAATGAAAACACGAATGATTCCAAGCATGTTGTCGACGGTAAAAGCTTCAGCGAGGATGAGTCTCCAATACAAAATTAACCATTAATAACAACGAGTCTACTGAAGATATGTTCAAAAGAAATATCGATGAATCACATATACAGTGTGGAAGCTCGTTGGCTCACGTGGTATATAGTAGTGGGAATTGTTCATGATGTTGCTGAAGATATGTAAAAATAACTACCAGCGTCTTTCCTTTTAGGGCGAGGAATCTGATTTCGAAAGTGAAGAGGGAGCAATCACAAGACATTTGCAAGAAGATTCCCAAGTGTACTCCGCACACTTTGTATGTACAGGTGGAGTATTGTGAGAAGAGTACTCTAAGGAATGTTATTGACGAGGGATAGTACAAGGACCAACAGAGAAAGTGGCGGCTTTTTCGTGAGATTGTAGAAGGATTAGTTCACGTTCATTCACCGGTAGAAACTTTCGATTATTGTTTGTGCAAACTGTATGTATATGTAACTAAACATAAAAAGAAGGTGAACAATTTTCGTTTAGCTCAATAAATATATGTAAAGACTTATTATTTGTTGTAAACACGTTTCGATATTTTTGGTTTTCTATTGTTACATTTGTAGGTGTTATCTTTAAAAATTCAACTAATGTCAAGAAAAAAGAGTTTGTTGAAGATAGCTTGATGAAATTGAACGTAGTTGAAGCTCCTAGCGTGCGCTCGAAAGTTTTGGATGAGGACTTGTGGACCAATGAAAACACGAATGAGTCCATCATGTTGACGACGATGAAAGCTCTATCGAGGACGAGGCTCCAATGCAAAAACAGAGTCTAATAATGATGTATTCAAAATCACATTTACAGTTTGAAAGCTTGTTGGCTCACATTGTATATATTAGTGGATTATCTGGTTCTAGGTATATGCACAACATCACTGACGATCAAAAAGAAGTGATCGAGTAAATCGTTGTATACTTTGCAATATGTCCAGCAATTGCTTGAGAGATTGTTGACCATTTTGACATTTTCAATCGATCTAAAACACCGTTGTTTTTATCAACGAAGTCAGTGTTTGGTTATGAAATAAGAAATGGAAAGTGTAAAATAATTGTCTAAACATTCTTTGGAAACAATGTTTAGACATGGAAGGACTTACGAGTGCATTACCCAATGTCAGCCCTATATTGATGTTTTACACGTCAGTCATCTTCGAGGGCGAATATTATTGTTAAGAAAATCCCATGAGAATGGGTACAAGTCAAGAATTGACAAAGTTTGGGATTATGTCAGAACAATGTCCAAGTTCAGAATACCACAGAAGTTAATCAACTGTAGATGACAAGTAAATGTTTACATAATTATATAGCACATGGAAGTGTAGTTCAAAGTCGGTATGTGAATGGAAAGAGCAATAACGAATGATGTGGTAAAGTGTGCGAGTGATCAAGAAAGGAAAAGATTCATTGGCGTTTTCAAGAATACGTGGAAGCTTATAGCCAATAATTCGGGCTCAAACTAATCAACAGCAAGACGAAAGAGTTCATGATATTTATTAGAAGTTAGTGTTGACGAAAGACCATGCGAAAGGGAGAAATCAAGTCAAGTTTGGAGCTATCCTCAAGAAAACTGTACGCTAACAATGAAAGCTAAGCCTATCAATGCTGAAATGCAACTGGGTCTAACAGAAAAACTATTTCTCATTGAATAAATACTGCTCAATATTTAACGGAAAGAAACAGATCATATATCTTATAGAACGTCGTCATAGCGAAACATTCCAAAGAAACCTATGAAATGATTGTCCATCTTTATGTCTAGCTTTGTGTCTAGCTGTGTCTACCTTCTTGTCTACCTTATTGAGTGATTCTGGTAAGTTATGAGAAATTTGTTTTTGATGCATGATGTGCACACAAGAAACAGTAATACTCTAGTACGTCCGTAAAGTTTTTAAAATCTGTGGAAAACACAACTCGTTTTGAAGTTTTTCAGCCGATTATAGTTCCCGTTGCACTTGAAGATTTTAAGTACGGAAATTGTTGACACTTATTTTCCAAGACTCTAAACTACAGAAAGTACATATAGATAAGAATTTTTCTTTCTACGAAATGTTATAATTTTATATTTTTGCTGTAAAGGTTACTTGAAGCGAGATGCTCCTGTCCAGATGTTGGTGTAAAGACTGGAAGTTGTAAACATGACAAACCAAATGTCAATGGATATACCGGACGAAATCTAAGCATTTGATAAGCATACAGTTTGTACTGAAGCTATGGAATTGAGTGATAGCGTAACCCAACAAACAAGAGCGCCGTAAAGACTGTGCAGACTGGTTTCTTACAACATGATTTCCTTGACACAATGTTTAAAGAAAATATGGCTGCGTTGTCATATATGCTGTGATATGTTATAAGTGTCATAAACCATTGAAATGTAGGATATGACTCGTGAAATCGACATTCCTAAAGAATACACCTCAAAATCGGAACGATACGAAAATTCATTTCCTATGTATATTATATAAAGCTAAAAGAAGACAAGTTATCGGCTGCTTTAAAGCCTTCACCAATGTCAAGCCAGAAATATGTCATCCTCGTATTTTACTACGACAAGTGCCATTGGATTAATAAAGCTAAACGAAGTCTGCATTGCTTAGCCGTAAGAAAACGTGCTGCTTTTGAAAGACTTACTTGTCTCTATCTTTTTCAAAAGAAGACATAAGTAACTATAGATGTTTTGCTAGTGTATTACCAAACTAACATTAATATAAATGTATTCATTTGTACTATACTCTTTCACTCTTTATATCAACATTCGACTACGAATATGATTTTTGGTTTGTTGCTTTTTCTTTAGCTGTAAGTGTTCTGCTCTAATTTTGATTCGAGACCTTCAATGGTCTATTTTTTTTGCATTAATTACTTCTAGGTAGGAGTGGTACTTTAAAATGACCAGGTGTCTTCAACGAACTCTCTGGTCTAGTGGATAGACACAACCTTTCGAGGTTGAGAGTGGAGGTTCGAACCCTGTCTGGAATAAATTGTAACTATGCTAAGGATGACTTAAGAAATAGGAAAATAAGGAAATAGTGCTGGTTAATAGAACAAAAATGGGATTTCTATTACTAAACTTTTCGAGAATGGAATGCGACACTTAGTTTAAATTCAGAAAAAAACGCTCTCCGATGAGAAGGAGAGCGAAGAAAAAAAAAGATATGATCCCATGCAAAAAACCACTCTTAAAAAAACTAAGTCTTTTGCTCAAATTTTTTTATGACTCCCTGTGATCAGGGAGTTATTTTTTTTAAATTTTGAAAAGTCAGGAAACCCAAGAGCAAACAGAACGCCCTAATCATCCCTTTCTTACTTCCAGGCACTCGTTCCTCAGTTCGACTTTCTGTCTTCCACATCCGCCGCGTACACCTGCCAAGTGTGTTGGCAGAGGGGCGAACCAAGGATCTTGTGCACCGGAGGTCATTGATGTCGAACTAAACGCCCAACATCGGCCAGTTGAGCTAACCGCTCATCATCGAAAACTCTAGGTTTTTTGGCGTATTTGTTAAATTTTTTCAATGTAAAGCGAAAGAAAAGGAGAAGGTCTTGAACCTTAGAAGGTCTTGAACCCAAGAAGGTGTGATCACTGCACCGGCATCTCTACCACTCGGCCAGACGGGTGAATTGAAAAACCGTTTAAAAGATGTCAAGTGTTTCTCACAAAAGAACATTCCCTTCTTTTCTCTCGAGGCTCATATTTTATACTGTGTTTAACTTGTACTTCGCCGTTATCATTGCAACGGTGAAGACAGGGACTTACTACGCATTTTAGCTGTCTAACTCAAACATTGCTGGGGAATAAATATTATAATTGAATGGAGGAAGATTAATAAAGTATGCACAATGTCAGACATTGCCATGTGGTAAATCAAAACAACAACGCGCATGTTCGTAGTCAATTTAATGGCGCTGGGAGTTTCTAACTTGTCTGTTCAAAGATAAATAACATATTTTTGCCATCATTTATGATAATATTGTAATGGTTTCTACAAAAGCATATGGTTCCTACACAACAATATCCACTTACTAATTCATAGTCTATTCAAGTCTTTTTGTCATTTTACCATCTTGCCATGTCTTGAGTGTCATCATTTAAAATATAGTCAATGTAATCAATATAGCCAATGCGGTTTTTGTCTACATATTTGTTTACGTTCTTGTCTACCTTTGTGTCTACCTTTTCATAGGACAAAGTTCTCATTTTGTTGAACACGACAATTGAAAAATTAGTCATTTCATAATCGATAATAGTCGAAGTAATCGAAGGTAGTCAATTCACGCGTTGCCATGTGGTAAACATGTACAACTCTCTTTCTATTCATGCATTTTCACAAATTTTCACATATTTTCTCACACAAAGACTATAATTCACTGCATTCCCACTAAAAGACTATAATTCACCCTTTTTCACAAATTTTTACATTTTTTGCACACATAGACTATAATTCACTGCATTTTCGTTAAAAGACTATAATTCACGCATTTTCACAAAATTCCACACTTTTTCACAAAGACTATAGTTCACGCATTTCACAAATTTTTATTTTTTTTTCACACAAAGACTATAATTCATGCATTTTAACAAATTTTCACATTTTATCACAAAGAGACTATAATTCATGCATTTTAACAAATTTTCACATTTTATCACAAAAAGACTATAATTCACGCATTTTCACAAATTTTCACATTTTTTTCACACAAAGACTATAATTCACCGTTCACTTTTTTTTACGCAAAGACTATAATTCACGCATTTTCACAATATTTCAAACTTTTTCACAAAAACACTATAATACATGCATTGAATTCAGTGAATTATAGTCTTTGTGTAATAAAATGCGAAAAATTGTTAAAATGCAGTGAATTATAGTCTTTGTGTGAAAGAAAGTGAACGGTGAATTATAGTCTTATAGTGAAAATGCAGTGAAAATGCATGAATTATAGTCTTTTAGTGAAAATGCAGTGAAAATGCATGAATTATAGTCTTTGTGTGAAAAAAATGTGAAAATTTGTGAAAATGCATGAATTATAGTCTTTGTGGGAAAAAAAATGAAAATTTGTGAAATGCGTGAACTAGTCTTTGTGAAAAAGTGTGGAATTTTGTGAAAATGCGTGAATTATAGTTTTTTAACGAAAATGCAGTGAATTATAGTCTTTTAACGAAAATGCAGTGAATTATACTCTTTGTGTGCAAAAAATGTGAAAATTTGTGAAAAAACATCAATAGAAAGAGAAATGATGTAGTCGATTACATAAAAGAGAAAAAGCTGTTATTGCATACAAGACGATATCATAAAAAGACGTCTTTTCATAGGTTTCTTTGTCCTTGCTATTAAACTCTTGTCTGTGCGCAATCAAAACGAACGATGAATATAATATGGTTAGTGTGCATGATGATAAAAAAAAGTTTAGTTAGTTCAAACATAAAGTCAAATGATCTCAACGCCATTGTGTCGGAAAAAAATAATAAAAGACATGCTCGTCACTACCCTGATTCACCTTATGTCATCGCGAGAATTGACTACCTTCGATTACTTCGACTACTTTCGACTATGAAATGACTAATTTTTCAATTGTCGTGTTCAAAAAAATAAGAACTTTGTCCTATGAAAAGGTAGACAATCACATTGAGGTAGACACAAAGGTAGACAAGAACGTAGACAAATATGTAGACAAAAACCGCATTGGCTATATTGATTACATTGACTATATTTTAAATGATGACACTCAAGACATGGCAAGATTGTAAAATGACAAAAAGACTTGAATAGACTATGAATTAGTAAGTGGATGCTGTTTTGTAGGAACCATATGCTTTTGTAGAAACCATTACAATATTATCATGCATGATGGTAAAAAATATGTTATTTAACTTTGAACAAACAAGTTAGCAACTCCCAGCGCCATTAAATTGACTACGAACATGCGCGTTGTTGTTTTGATTCACCACATGGCAATGTCTGACATTGTGCATACTTCACTGGTCTTCCTCCTTTCAGTTACAACATTTATTCTCCAATAATGTTAGAGTTGAACACCTCTAATGCGTAGTAAGTCCCTTTCTTCACCTTGCAATGATGATGACGAAGTACAAGTTAAACACAGTATAAAATGTGAGCTTTGAGAGAAATGAAGGCAATGTTGTTTTGTCAGAACCACTTGACATGTTTTAACCAGTTTTCCAATTCACCCGTCTGGCCGAGTGGTAAAGATGCAGGTGCAATGATCACACCTTCTCGGGTTCAAGACCTTCTAAGGTTCAAGACCTTCTCCTTTTCTTTCGCTTTACATTGAAAAAATTTAACAAATACGCCAAAAAACCTAGAGTTTTCGATGATGAGCGGTTAGCTCAACTGGCCGATGTTGGGCGTTTAGTTCGACATCAATGACCTCCGGTGCACAAGATCCTTGGTTCGCCCCTCTGCCAACACACTTGGCAGGTGTACGCGGCGGATGTGGAAGACAGAAAGTCGAACTGAGGAACGAGTGCCTGGAAGTAAGAAAGAGATGATTAGGGCGTTCTGTTTGCTCTTGGGTTTCCTGACTTTTCAAAATTTAAAAATAACTCCCTGATCACAGGAGTCATAAAAATTTGAGCAAAAGACTTAGTTTTTAGTGGTTTTTGCATGGGATCCTATCTTTTTTTTTTCTTCGCTCTCCTTCTCATCGGAGAGCGTTTTTTTCTGAATTTATACTAAGTGTCGCATTCCATTCTCGAAAAGTTTAGTAATAGAAATCCCATTTTTGTTCTATTAGCCAGCACTATTTCCTTATCTTCCTATTTCTTAAGTCATCCTTAGCATAGTTACAATTTATTCCAGACAGGGTTCGAACCTCCACTCTCAACCTCGAAAGGTTGTGTCTATCCACTAGACCAGAGAGTTCGTTGAAGACACCTGGTCATTTTAAAGTACCACTCCTACCTAGAAGTAATTAATGCAAAAAAAAATAGACCATTGAAGGTCTCGAATCAAAACTATAGCAGAACACTTACAGCTAAAGAAAAAGCAACAAACCAAAAATCATATTCGTAGTCAAATGTTGATATAAAGAGTGAAAGAGTATAGTACAAATGAATACATTTATATTAATGTTAGTTTGGTAATACACTAGCAAAACATCTATGGTTACTTATGTCTTCTTTTGAAAAAGATAGAGACAAGTAAGTCTTTCAAAAGCAGCACGTTTTCTTACGGCTAAGCAATGCAGACTTCGTTTAGCTTTATTAATCCAATAGCACTTGTCGTAGTAAAATACGAGGATGACATATTTCTGGCTTGACATTGGTGAAGGCTTTAAAGCAGCCGATAACTTGTCTTCTTTTAGCTTTTATATAATATACATAGGAAATGAATTTTCGTATCGTTCCGATTTTGAGGTGTATTCTTTGATATGTCGATTTCACGAGTCATATCCTACATTTCAATGGTTTATGACACTTATAACATATCACAGCATATATGACAACGCAGCCATATTTTCTTTAAACATTGTGTCAAGGAAATCATGTTGCAAGAAACCAGTCTGCACAGTCTTTACGGCGCTCTTGTTTGTTGCGTTACGCTATCACTCAATTCCATAGCTTCTCTACAAACTGTATGCTTATCAAATGCTTAGATTTCGTCCGGTATATCCATTGACATTTGGTTTGTCTGGTAGACGTTGTTAACTCGTACTAATTCCGCTTTGATAGTTAATAATTTACGTTCAATCCACGTTGAGACTCCCGTCCAGTGACCGAATAATTCTCTCTCAACATAAACTTTAACGTGGTCTCGCCCTTTTATCCTTGCCATTGTACTTGCTGCTGCTGTTTCTGTTCAAATCTAGTCTAGGCAGATTTATAAGTGGAATTTATGTTCTTACATGCATTATTATGTATGCATAAACGAAAACAGATTAATCCTACAGTACAACATTTTCTGTCTTTATAACAATGATTATTTTTGCACTTGACTGTTTTTTCATTTATTGCTATTGTTGTTGTGAAGTTTGATTGCTGATCTTAACGGCTGAAAGTATCAAACTCCACGACATGCATAATTATAACCTAATATTCACATCCACCTCATCGAGAAATGCTTCAAAACTATGAACAGATTTAGAAATTTGATTATTTTCTATACCGTTGATGACTTTACCGCAATTTTCTAAATGATTTGGGTTCATAGAAATGCCTTCCTCCAGCGAATGGACATGATCGTTGTCTGATAGTTCAAACAAATGCAGAATTCCATCAACTGACAAATTTGAAGAACTCGAAATTTTTTCTGTATGAGCGTTCTTTTTAGGGGGCCGTGTCGTATCCATTGTATCCATTGTGTCGTTTCGTCAAAGCCACAAGATTGCCTGTCAGGAACAAATTTTGCCTTCGATTGAAAAAGTTACATAATATCAAAATGTACAAAGAAAAACAAAACCTTTGTTCTTCCTTCTCATAATTCTTCATCACATCTTTTTCGCCGTTTGACGATTTTCGCATTTCAGCATTCTTGAGTAAAAAAAATAGTTGTAACCCCCTGAGCATAGCATTTGAACAAATTTTCCGATATACAAAAACCCTTTACTCCAACCAAAATTTTTACCTTCAACTATTCTTTCGCAGTTCTAAAAATTCTTCTTCAATCATACAATGTAAAGTCTGATATCGCTGTTTCTTGGCAGCCTCCTTTACGTTGGCATTTCTACCTTTGAATTTCTTTTGAGTGTTGTTGATTGAGTAGGGCACGAAATTCTTTATGGTGGGAAAGACAAGTTATAAATTTACTTCGCTGCAATTATTTTATTATTGTAAATTGTACTACAGCTGTGACTATCTCATCATGAATTATATTAAAGCTGTAGCTGCTTCATCAAACTACAACAAATATAAAAAAACAAACCAGATCGTTCACATTGTTCCTTTGACAATCTTTGTAGTTCAATAGTAAGCCAATGACATGTTTACAACTTCCAGTCTTTACACCAACATCTGGACAGGAGCATCTCGCTTCAAGTAACCTTTACAGCAAAGATATAAAATTATAACATTTCGTAGAAAGAAAAATTCTTATCTATATTTTCAGTAGTTTAGAGTCTTGGAAAATAAGTGTCAACAATTTCCGTACTTAAAATCTTCAAGTGCAACGGAAACTATAATCGGCCGAAAAACTTCAAAACGAGTTGTGTTTTCCACAGATTTTAAAAACTTTACGGACGTACTAGAGTATTACTGTTTCTTGTGTGCACATCATGCATCAAAAACAAATTTCTCATAACTTACCAGAATCACTCAATAAGGTAGACATAAAGGTAGACACAGCTAGACACAAAGCTAGACACAAAGCTAGACACAAGAATGGACAATCATTTCATAGGTTTCTTTGGAATGTTTTGCTATGACGACGTTCTATAAGATATATGATCTGTTTCTTTTCGTTAAATATTGAGCAGTATTTATTCAATGAGAAATAGTTTTTCTGTTAGACCCTGTTGCATTTCTGCATTGATAGGCTTAGCTTTCATTGTTAGCGTACAGTTTTCTTGAGGATCGCTCCAAACTTGACTTGATTTCTCCCTTTCGTATGGTCTTTTGTTAACACTAACTACTAATAAATATCATGAACTCTTTCGTCTTGCTGTTGATTAGTTTGAGCCCGAACTATTGGCTATTAGCTTCCACGTATTCTTGAAAACGCCAATGAATCTTTTCCTTTCTTGATCACTCGCACACTTTACCACAGCATTCGTTATTGCTCTTTCCATTCACATGACGACTTTGAACTACACTTCCATGTGCTATATAATTAATTATGTAAACTTTACTTGTCATCTACAGTTGATTAACTTCGTTGGTATTCTGAACTTGGACATTGTTCTGACATAATCCCAACCTTTGTCAATTCTTGACTTGTACCCATTCTCATGGGATTTTCTTAACAATAATATTCGCCCTCGAAGATGACTGACGTGTAAAACATCAATATAGGGCTGACATTGGGTAATGCACTCGCAAGTCCTTCCATGTGATATTTTCTTTCCAAAGAATGTTTAGACAATTATTTCACACTTTCCATTTCTTATTTCATAACCAAACACTGACTTCGTTGATAAAAACAACGGTGTTTTAGATCGATTGAAAATGTCAAAATGGTCAACAATCTCTCAAGCAATTGCTGGACATATTGCAAAGTATACAACGATTTACTCGATCACTTCTTTTTGATCGTCAGTGATGTTGTGCTAAGACAATTTGAATATCAACCAAAGACGTAGGAACATTGACGGCCATAGGAAGCAAAGGCCTCCCAATTTTAAAATGATGACTTTTAAAGCGAGGTCTCACATGAAATGATGACTTTTTTAAATGTACCCCCCTATGACGACTTTTAAAACGAGGTCTTTCAGGAAATCATGACTTTTTTAAATGTACCCCCTTATGACGACTTTTAAAACGAGGTCTCTCATGAAATCGTGACTTTTTTAAATGTACCCCCCTATATTAAATGACGACTTTTGAAAGTTTTGTCTCCAACAAAAAATGACTTTTTGTGTCAACACTTTTATAAAAGGTTGACAAAAAGGTAGAAATGAAGATAGAAAAAAGGTAAACGAACAGATGGACAAGACAGAAAGATAGAATTGAAGTAGACACAAAGGTACAGAAAACCAGACACAAAGGTAGACAAAAATAAAAACATAGAGGTAGGTAAAAATGTAGACAAAGAGACAAACACATAGGTACACAAAAAGGTAGACACAAAAGTAGACAAAAATGTAGACGTAAAGTTAGACATAAAGGTAGACACATAGTTAAATAAAAAGGTAGACATAAATCTAGACGAAGAATGACACAAAGGTATACACAAAGGTATACGTCACTTTTCCTCTACTACTAACTTCTAACTACCTCGGTATTTCTCGGTAAGAGAGGACACAAACGATACTTCAGAAAGTTTTTATTTCATAAAAGACAACATTTGCTAAAGTCGTCATTTTATGAGTAAGCCGTCATTTCATACAAGCATAATGTATGTATAAATCATTTAGATGACATATGAGATAAGTGCTATCTCATTTAACTCCCTAAAACTTTCACGTGTTTTTTGCATGGTTGAATATTTATATTTACATTAAATATTTATACAATGCCTGCCTTACTACGTCATTCATTAAATTTTTAGTGTTACACTTGCCCTTTATCCATTAAAACCGCAGGTTGATACGTCATATTTTTTCCAGAATGAATGTGTACATCAGTTTTGAGCTTTGTGAACTAAAATTCTTCATGTAACATGCGGGGGCTGTCAGCCATACTGCTGCCTGTGAATAGTTTATAGTTTGATATCATTTCATTCTCATCTAGCTCATGGTCATTATTGGAATCTGCCACAGATATTAGATATTCTGCTTCCTTCATGGCATGCTGTTTGTGTCGTGGATCAAGATAATGTTTAAGCTCATCCAAAGAAACTTTACCATCACTGTCAATGTCTATTACTTCAGAGAATTCCTTTCTTCTCCTATGAAATACAACTCCACCGTATCATAATGTTCATCATAAATGTAATATACAAACTAAATTAAAAAAAGACAGCACAAAAACTAGCCAAGTCTACATGAATAATATTTAATAACTTTATAAATTTGTATCTTACTCGTTGAAATATTTTTCATCTTCAGCTTTTTCAGCATCATCATCAACTTCTCCAGGTGGTACACGGACAAACTCATCCACAGTTAACACCTAATATTAAATTAACAGTGTTTATTAAAGAGAATTTCCCTCAAAAACGAAGGTATTATAGCCTCATTTTACCAAGTTGCTATCATCGTCCATTTGTGAGAGAAGTTCCTCGGCCATAGCCTCAATTGAATGTTTATTATGCTCTGGATGTTGAAATGCTAGGAACTCTTTTTTATTCAACTTTGAATCCTTGTTTTGGTCTGCTTTGTTCCATCTGTTCAAATCTTCTGACATTATCTCCTCCATCAAACCCTTGAGTTGTTCCTCTAATTGAATGAAAATTTACTGAAGATTATGTGACAACAACACATAAAAGCCATCATCAAAAGTGCAATGATTTTTCTACCTGACTGCTCTCCCAGTTTTAATGTGTCCTCCTGAAGTTTATCATCAGTTGTTAGGCCTTGCATGTACTCTTGCAATGTGACAAGACCATCGTCATCTTTATCAATCTTCTTGAAACTTTCCTTGTTAATCTTCAATGCATGATCATAATGCTCCAAAATCCTATCATGAATCCAAGTCGTAAGCTCTTCCTTGTCCACCTTGTGATTATCACTCAAGTCAACTTTGTGAAAAATCTCAATCAACTTTCTCGATCCGTCCAAATTCTTCGGGTTTAATTTATTTTCTTCGACCAAACGTCCAAGAAAAGCTTCATGATGAAAATCACGATTAATGTGTCCGTCTCTTTCTAATTTCACCCCAGGAATGCGATCTTTAGGAAGAAGATCGTTGTTCAATACCTTCATGTCCCCTTCTTTGATCGGTCTGCAGAAACTTGATGAGTATAAAATTGTACATATATACAGCACTCCTCGAACTCCCGCCATGTTGTGTGTCAACAAAATAAGTAAACAGAATACAAGTTGCAATGTTCGCTCTTTATCATACACTAAAATGACAATTACGTCATTGAATGACATGGGAGGTACCACTTACACTATACTGTCCATACCATAGTAATGCATTCATTTTCTTTTATAAAATTGACATCTAACTAGAAATTTGTTTATTTTCCTCAATGCGCTCAACAAATTTCACTATTCCAGTTGTTGAAACAGTATACACCCAATTCAATGCCTTCTTTTTTAACGGAGCTCCCCTAGTTCATATGCAATCAATCACAGTACTGCCACGTCATTATCAGATATAATTATGTACTACAAGAACACGGTTCAACGAATTCTAATTTCGTTTCGATAGTTAATCGAAGGAGTGGTAAATTCAATTATAGCAAACAGCTGCATCATCAAGAGATCAAGATGTTTTGTTGCTGGCACGACTTTATAATTCCTACTTTATGTCTGTCGCCCTTCATAGCAATCGTTCTACTGCTCTATTTCACTGGTAATATCGATCTTCTCCCGGAGGTGACCAAGCTTTTCCTGCACAGCCTTTATTGCTATGTCGATGCATTCTTCCATTTTGTTGTCCCACGCAAACAAAAAAGCATCGAAGGGCAGACTGCACTGGTAACAGGTGCGGGACATGGGATCGGAAAAGAAATAACGTTGGCTTTGGTTAAGAAAGGTGAGTGAAGAAGATACTGAGTTTGAGATGAACATATACTGTATTGGTATGATGGTAAATATTGAAAGTTTTACATTACAATGAAATGGCAATTATAATGACATAAATTTCAGAAAATTTCAATTTCTCCGCTTGATTTTTTTTTGTCTTCTTCAGGGGTTAAAGTGGTTCTCTGGGATATAGATGAGGAAAACATGGATAAAGTAGTTAAAGAGGTGAACAACTTAGGTGGACAAGCCTACCGTTATGTATGTGATGTTACAGACAAAGAGAAAGTGTACAAAACTGCCGAAGAAGTTTCAAAAGATGTAGGAAACATTGATATTTTGGTAAACAATGCTGGGACTGTCATTGGAAAAGAGTTTATTGTGTGCAGTGATTCAGACATTGAAAAGACAATGAATCTCAATTTGATGTCTCATTTTTGGGTAAGCTTTAGCACTTCGATAAAACTCATCACAGCAGCAGTATAAAATATTTTTTTATACCTTATTTAGACATTGAGAGCTTTTTATCCTGGCATGGTTGAAAGAAACAGTGGTCACATTGTAGCTATATCATCTATCTTGTCTCTCTTTTCTTGTCCTAAATTAGTAGACTATTGTACCTCAAAAGCTGGAGCGAGTATGATAATGGAGTCATTACGACAAGAAGCATTGTATGCAAACAAACATGGGATTTGTTTTACAACAATTTTACCTACAAAGGTCAATACTGGATTATTTGAAGGGGCAAAAGGAAGGTTAGAGTTTGGAAATATATGATACATTGATCAATTGATGACCTTACTTAAGACTTCCATGGTTTACAGTTAAATGCAATTCTTTTCATGAATTAGATTCACCAATATACCACCAACAGTTTCAGCTGAATATGTGGCAAAGAAAACGATAGATGCAATTGAAAGAAAACAAATTTATGTTATTTTGCCATCTTGGTTGGCCTTGATATTTGCCCTAAAACCGTTAGTTACTTCTTAACCAATGCTTTTGCAACACATAAAATTAACTATTGGCGATTATATAAGTGTTGACTTCTTTTATAGATTCTTCCCACAAAAACTACATGATGAATTGCACAAGTTCACCAAGTTGAACGACGGAATGAAAGATTTTGTTGGACACCAGAAAAAGGTTTAAAGTTCATGGATTTTAGTGGAGAATACAAATTGCCATAATACATAACATAATAAGCCACAAAATTAAAAAAATTGTCTGAACGTTACCAATAAAAAATTACTTAAGATATATTTTATGTATTGTGAAATTTATTGATTTCCAACTTAATTGCCCAGAGAAATTCGAAAAGATAATTGGTTGTTTCAATAGAACAAATGATAACACTACTACATACTAATTTTCCACAGCTAGCAACTAACATTTGGAATTTCTTTGAAGCATCATGCACTGCCCAGCTCTCAAGTTCTCCCAAACATCTCCTTGGTTTGCATAACCATGTGGAATAGACATATAATTCTTAAGTAAAATATAAAATCTTTCCAAACAAAATGGAATCTATAATTAATTCACATATCAAAAATTCCACCAAATGATCTAGCAATGTATGTTTAGATACAATAGTATAGATAAACGAGAGTATCGCGATTGGTATGGACACCTTAGGTGAACTACCTTACCTCCCTATGTTCCCTCTTGTCTGATACCCTATAGTCCCCATTTCTTCCTCTTGATTCTTTATTATCTACTCTACGTATGTATTTTTCTTTTCTTCTATCTCGGCTTCTACTTTCGCTACGATAATGAGGTGATAGACTCTTCTCCCGTTGCTTTCGGTTAGAGTTCGTATAACTTTTTGATTTCTGCATTTTTTTCGAAGATCGCACATCATTGCGTTTATCTCTGTGACTATGACGTACCTCTCGACGTGCAACTTTGTTCTTATGCCTACGATCCCCTATTGACTCCACGCTCGCTCCGCTGTCAGATGCACTTCCGCCATTGACGTCAGAAACGCTGTCCGATCCCGAGCCACTACGGGAGACGTCGCTGACCGGACTTCTCGATCGTTTTGCCACTTTTTGACTGTGATTTTTGTCTTTTTGCGTCGGACGCGATTTACTTGATCTTTTCCCGGAGAATTTCAAGTCTTGACTGTAAAATTACACGATTATCAATTCGATTGTCCTCAAAATAGTACACTATCAATAAGTTATAAATTCGTAAATTTTAAATATTTACCAATTTGTAGAAGGTTAATCAATGAGAACTACAGTTAAAGTTAACCCAGAAGCATTGGGAATGTTGTTCTCGCTTGATTTTGATAAAAGTATAAGCAGCCGAACTAACCTCTCCGATTTATTGCTCCCGTTCTTCACATCAGCAACACGAGATTTTGAACTTTCGCCGCTAACAACGGGCGAAGAGTTGGAATTTGGTGAGCCTGTGTAAGAAACACGCTTATCAACAAACATTTTGGATATTGAAGTAGTGGCATGATATTGTTGTGAACTATTGAGCTATTTACACCTATTGTGAGAGCTTTATCATTTTCTTTTGATGAAAAATAAAAAATTTATACCTGGTTGGGAAAAATCTACTGCGGCAACCTTCTTCTTCATTTTGCTTTCATTAGTACTAGTCGCCGAATCTGAGACTTTCTTCGTTTTCTTTAACTTGTCCACAGCTTTACTCAAAGTTTGTAATGAAATCTACCAACATTAAAATATCCAATTTCTAATACAATATTCCATTTCAAGAATTATATAAGATGAACACTCCAATCTAACCTTTGGTCGTTCATATAATTTCAGTAATGTAATGCATACATCCTAAATGAAAAAAATAATCTTAATTACTGACACCAAAATCAACAGTTTTTCCGATGAACTCGATACTGTCAAATGAGAGCCAGACCAACGCTAATCAATGGGACACACTAACACGTGACGCATCAATCAAATCTTTTGCTTAGTATTAGCAAGGCAAGACCGTAAAATAATTCGACTCAGTACCACGTGATTGTAAATGGACAACGACAATATAACAAGGAACTAAGCAATGTACATAATAAAATACGAGCAAAATCCTACTTCAATCTCTTCCAATGAACTATCAAAAAGCTCCCACCAAGGAGGTCGTGCTGGTAAAGGTACCTGATGGTAAAGATATTGATAAGAAATTACGAGCATTCACCAGAAAGTCTATATATTCCATATATCTCCGTATATACACATAAAAAATGAACACTTCATATGGTTAATCATGTAGGTTTAGGCCATAATGCCCTGTCTTATTAATGGAACAATGGGAAAATACCAGAACTGATTTTATAGGGTTTGTTAAGAAAAAGTACACGTATATTCACAAATCAATACCATGTATAGTTAGATAAAGCACACCAAGCTAAGATGCAATATTTTGTAATCACACTTGTAGCTACGTCTAGCGCGTTAGCTTGAAAATTATTACACCAATCTATTTCAATTTGAAGCCAAATGCAGTCATTTCACGTTTATTTAAAACTCCTTATTGACAGCAAAACCACATGATTTTACTCGTGGAATTGGAGCACAGCATTGTATGCATATTAAAGGAACGTCTAGTTGAATAAGTAAGGCACTATATTTTTAAAAAACAAACATAACTGAGGCACAACAAAGATTCTTCATAGAATACCTTCAACTTTCGAGCAGATAAGTATATACAAGCACAGGCAATAGTTTCAGGTTGATATCGAACAAAAACATTCGTCCGCAAGGCATCGTTCATATAGTTCCTAAGCATAAACAAACAACTACTTAATGCATAAAGAAATTGAAGATGACTCGTTACCAACACGTACCAAGCTAATTGCTATGGTGACAAACACTCACCCTACTGGTAGCAAGTAATTTGAAGACGTTCCAAGCTTATTACTATGGTAACAAAACACCCATACTACTAGTAGCAAGTAATTTGTGGATGTAACAAGCTGATTGCGATGGTAACAAAACGGCCACCCTACTGGTAGCAAGTAATATGAAGACGTACCAAGCTAACTGCGCTAGCTGTTGATTTTTTTCGCTCTCCAGAACTTGCAGAAAGGTTATGATGATTTTATGAGGATGTTTAACGTGAACACAGAATCCAAGCTCCTGTCCAAAAAATACAAAAAAGTGAAGAAGCATGTAATTACATGTACACTGAACGTTGAAAACTGCAGGAAAACAAGTCGAGCTCAAGTGAACAAAACATTATGTGTACCTTAAGGATCCAAACAAACATTATGTGTACCTTAAGAATCCTTCTTTCAGCTTTAATGACGAAATTCTTTAGATTGAAATACTGATTTCCCATATATTCCATTGGTACTATTGGTCTGTGAATAAAAAATCAAACCAATCAGAAAACAGATATTGTTTATGGTATTTGCGAGCAAGAACAGTTTGTAATGTTACCGTTCTGACATGGAGAGTGTGCATGAGGCCAACCAAAGCTATCTCACAGTATAAAGTAATGTCTTGTATTGACGGATTAAAAAAAAATGATAAAAGGGATAATTTTGAAAGCTCAGACGTCACTGAATGCTAAAAAGCATAAAACTGACAGAAGCAGAAATAACATTATAAAAGATCATAGTAGATATTCGCTCTTATAAAAGCACACTACCGGACTTAATTATTAGCATACCACCAAATCACCAAATCTAGGGATATCAATGTTATTATATATACATATATATTAGGATAGGATATAGGGGACATTCGAGGGTGAAGGGATTATAAATGAAAGCAGGTCGACAGACAAATCGGGCAAACAGATAGACCTACGAAAAACCCCCACCTAAAGCAACTACTACATGTGGGATAAGGAGGAAATGAATAACTTGCATGGAGTTACTAAAACTGATTTAACCAAACATAGTGAGAGTATTTAAACAGTAAATAAATTTTACACAATGACAACATAAATAGTTCAGTTTTGAAAACACTTGCTGTAGTTGTTCTGGTTTCAAGAACACTCAAAGCTTTATACAATACATCAATGTCGATTTTAAATATTCCCATCACTTACACACAAAAAATTCAATCACAGACTTATTTCAAGCTAAGAACACATTCATAAGGAATTGCGCAGTCGACACTAGCGTAAACACCGTTTATCTAGTATTCTATGTAATTTTCTTATATACAATTGACTTGATAACAAATGAAATTTAGATACCGAAACTACATTTGATACTGCCGGAGCTAGCTATTTACTACAAGATCAGAAACGAAACCTTATTAATAAAGTTTACACCAAAAAGGAATTCTACTATGATCTTCTACACCCCTCCATACAAAGAATACGAACGTCTAAACAGCTCCCAGCACCAAGTACATTTTCCATTGCATCACTTCGAGAGAAAAGTGGAAGAGTAGTCATCAGAGTGAGGGAAGTACTGATAACAAACAGGACATAAAGACATTGGTTATCAAGAACAGGAGAGTAGTTATGAATAGGAGGTCAGTGATAATAGATGAAAGGACAATGGTTATCAAGAACAGAACAGCAAGAGGGGAGGACATGAGTTATCAAAACGAGAACAGCATGCATCAAGAAGAGAAACGTAGCTATCAATAGTAGAAAAGCAGGTGTCAAAAAAAGGGCAGTAATTATGAAGAAAAGAACAAGTGTCAAGGAAAAGACAGTAGTTGTAATGGAACAAACAGTAGTTATCAAAGAAAGAAAAGTACTCAAAAACATCATGTTTAGTTAATTAAAGCAAAGAATAAAAAATGTACAGCATAGAACATTTTAAATACTCAGATTCTTAACAGATCAGAGCATGCTATTGCACAATAACACCCCCCACCCAATTTAGATTACATTCTATAACCCCCTTTGCCTCAAGCACAGTAGATACCGGACAATTAAATGACAACATTAAAAAATACTTGTATGAGTTATAATATGTTAGTATGTGTATTTAAATTTAAATTAGGATCGTGGAATGTAGTATTTCATGCTTTTTTTATTACTTTGTGGTCTCAAAATTTACAGAATATGTGGCATTCAAAAGGACTAAAAAACCCTCCACTTTTCCAGGTCACACACACACAATGTGGCATGTTTGCCTTTTAATTTTGAGAAGAATATTTCAAAATTATACAGTATATCTTTTCAGATAAAATTACTCTAAGAACATAAATATCCTATACTTTGTATGTGAGGTCTTAATTATTCCCTGCGCTTAAAGCCAGGAATTACAATAGATTTATAGTGTAAATGTCACAAATGCATGTTTGAGATTTAAAATACGGCAAATTGCATAAGTCCATAAGGACAAGTGAGATTTAGTATTTTTAAGAACCCCCCCAATACATCAGTATCCCAAATGGATAAAGAATTCTGCAATTTATAAATGTTACTAATAATGTAATCATGTGACAAATAGAATTATATATGACACATGCAAATGATGTTGTTTATGTTATTATAGTTTAAGTTTTACTAAAATTTTAAATTAAATTAATATAATATCAATAAATTTTTGCTACGCAATGTTTTGTGCACATGCAATCATTGATACTTTGCAGTTTTAGTTGCTCTATGTTTATTGGTTTAAAGCATTCTTCAGTAAAGTTAATTTACATAACATTATATATATTAATATATAGGAAGCTTTGTTTTTTGATTTTCCATATTATGGTGCTCGATGCGTTAGAGCAGAGCGTAAGTATTGTTAGGAAAGAAGAAAATTCACAAAAACTACAATTTCATCCTGACAAGCCTGTTTCTGACTTGTTGGGATGAAATTGTAGTTTTCGTGAATTTTCTTCTTCCTAACAATATATTAATATATATAACATCATTAAATAATTAATCAAAAGGGTAAAGTACTAAACCATTGGTATTTAGTACACAAAGACCCTTAGCATGTCATAAGACCAAAAACAGCAAATCAATGAGAAGTTTGTTATAAACAATAACTCATAAATTTACTTGATGAAATGTCATAAATAGGTCCTATTCTAACATTAATTTGCAAATTGTTTAGAACATAACAACTTGCAACATAATAGCACAGAACAATGTAGATGATGAGTTTCCATAGTGATAGACTATCAATTGCTCTGATGTCATCCATAGCATCTAAGCAAATGCCATTGAAATAGATAATATGATGTAAACAATACCATGGCATTTCACAATTATGCATTAATATATCAAGTAAAATGGATACTAGGCTCCTTAAGGTAGTATAATAAGTGCTTGTAGTTACATGTGTCAAGTATGAAATTTTCATTGTGTCACTTAAGTTTTGAATAATAAGTGGTAATGCCTTATCTTGAGTAACAGCTCAAATTAACGGTGGGACAGCAAGAGTGGTGTCAATATTCAGTCACTTAAGGAAACTTACCAACACCACATCTATATGTCTGTATTATTCTATGACCATTGATAGAATATATAAGAGAAGGAACTGTGCAAAAATCCTTTGGATCTTTGCTAACAAAAATGCATTCAATGAATAGAATGCATTTTCATCGGATTTGATGTCTATGATCACAGACTTCAAACCCGTAGCTTACCACAAAGCCAACAAGGCACGAGTAAAAAAATGACAAACCATACAATACTGACCATTTGTTTCTTGCTATAAGCTGCTGTCATTCAATCCCATTGCCAATTGCCATTGCAACAACAAGACGGAGTTTGACATAAACGCTTTGATTTTAAAATAGAAAGAAATGTAGGTCAGAGATGACTCTTTATTGACCAAGTTGCCGAATGAAATACAAAGGAAAAATGCAAGCCTGTTCACTTTTGCTGAGATATGACATTTAGACCATGAACAAATATTAATTTATGTGTTTGCAATTATTTATTGCATTGCATTTGCTTTATGATTTATTTTGTTAAACAAACTTTTTAAGTTTGTCCTCTTCTATTAAAATATACACAAATTTCTACCAAACTAACTAGTTAGTTGACGAAAACAAGATTTTATATCACATGAAGTACTACAAGAAGAACACCAAAGAAATGTCATGGTTTCAAAGTTTGGGTGTTATAGAAATGTCAATGATGTATTTTCCTATGGTACACAGATGGCAGCACTACCATATTGTGAGATAGCTATTGGAAGGACACGTAATACTCACTCATATTAAACAGCATGCATTGCTTGTTACCCATCCCAAAATCTAGAGCAATACTTACTTCTCATTTCTGCATTGCTTGATGTGATGAAAAACGTTGATGACATCACGTATCCGTCGAGGTGACTCCTCTATTTTGGCGGCAAGGAAGATGCACGCCATTGCATATACCTGAAAGTATGGGTCAGAATGATTTTGTTGATTCACAACTCATATATGCAAGAGTACTTTTGAAGTAAATAATCTCAATATATGTGCCCAAAAAACGTCTTTGATTATCAGTAAGAAAACAACGTGAATAAGAGCTGATTTCAATAATAAGTGGAGCCTAATTTTCACTTCAAAACGTGATGGAAAATTTTTCAAAATAGGATTACGGAATATGAGTATATGACCGCCATTGCAATAAAACACAAGCTACTTTACCACAATCATCTTCTAACTATAAAGCTTACCTCGACATCGTGACGAACAAAAGATTTCGAGTAGAAAAATCGCTGAAATAGAACCTGGCCTGTCGCCATTGCCACCTGAATTTCAACAGAATATGATTATCATCCGCTTGCCGACATTCAGGAACTACTTGAAAGATTATACTTGAGAAAGAATTCTCGCACGGTTTTAAAGACAAAAAGCAATGAAAGAACATTTTTACTAACGAAAACATTTTCTTCACGTCTGAAATTACTTTAACATCGTAATAATAACTTCGACAAGTGAAACTTTGCGTTTTTATCTCTAGAAATTGATATATTACTTAAAATACCTGTGGCAGTTTTAGTAGAATGCCCGCCGTTTGAATGTATTCGCAACCTACAATACGTAAATCTGTTTCAAGTTCTTTATGAAGTCCATCTAAACTAGAAGGTGTATTTTCGAGTTTCTCCGAAGGAATAGTGCAGTTTTCCAGCGTGATTATCACACTTCCGTACTCATAAATTTTGCTTGAAGAAGACGCCATTTTTACCCAAAGCACAAGCACGCTTGAGCGTGCGCGGCAGTTGAAAAATTTTGAAATGAATGCACTTCCGTTTGGGGGGGTATTTCTTTAGTCAAAGGGGTAATTTTGGATAATTTCGTGAAATTTCCAAACGTACCCCTCAAAATCTCACACGTTCCAAATATATTCCCAATAATCCACCTTTCACCATTCAATAACTGGGGAACATGCACTGAGGGAACATGTGAATTGTTAGTTGTTTATTGCTAATTGCTATCAAAAATTCCCCCAAACATGGACACCAACGACACATGTGACCAATTTAATTAAACCAATTGAATTTAATGATTTATTATGCAACTCTCTCCTGATGCTTGCCATTTAAAAAGAATTGTGTTGACAGTTGACAGAGTTTTTATTGTATAAATTATATAAAATTTATATATTTCAGTAATTAATAAGAGTTATATAACATCACAATGAGTTAAAATTAGAGATTACTCATAGAATGACTATGCTAGACTCCCTCTATGCTAATTAAATCAAAACAATAAAAAGACCAAAATTTACATATTTATAAGAACTATTTATCTTCTGTGCGTTTTCTTTTCCTTTGATTTATTACAGTGTTCGATGTAACCAATTTAGAGGCAGTACCCTGTTTCCAATGTTCAAAACGCCTCAGACTGTTTTGCGACAAATCAAAGATACTCCGTTCTTCATGATCAAGTTTTGGCAGGAAAGTCTGTGATTCTTGATGGGAGTCTAGTCTGCTCAATGATAAATCCATTAGCGATTTCATTCGATTCATATAGGTCTAGAGAAATATAAGTCATATTGTCAGATTTCTTTGTACTAAAACTTATAATTTCACATATTATACAAGTACATACCATCATCAAAGACTCTGCAATTCTTGGATTGTCATCGTAATCAAAGTCTAATAACTTTCCTCCAAAAGAGTAGAAATACCGTTCAAGTTTATTGAGATCAACAGCCATAGCATCTGCTTCTAAGATTTGCCTGTAGGCTTCACGATATACTTTTGGAAGGTCAACGGAAACAATCCTTCTCTGTTTGGCACACAGTTCCTTTGCAAGCCAATAAGGTAGCTCCATCTTCGTTCCAGTTTCTAAGTGTTCAGTATCAGAACCATGATCCAAGAAACCCAAATTTCTTACTTGTGTTTCAAATGTACATGGTACTTTTTCATGACAAGCTTTGATATCGTTTAGATCAAAATAATTCCACTCATTCGGTGATGATTCCAACGAACTGTACGATCCATACAAGTATGAAGAATCTTCAGAAGTCATTCTTTAAAATAATAATGGAATTAAATCAACACTTTAGTTGAAGGCAAACTTTGTTTACCTTGTCCATGTTATTGAATTTACGTGAATGCATCGCTCAGAATGACTCCAAATCTCTTGGTATCTCCAGGTATCTCACTAGATCGAGTAGATCCGGAATATTCCCACAAACATTCGCTATTTTTTACAAAACAATAAGTTGAAATAATTTCTTGTAAAATATTGAATGATCAAATCTTTTGTTTAGTACTGAAATCTTCCGTGATAACGACGTTTCAATGATTGTAATTCGGCTGCGAGAAAAATTGCCTTCTGCATATTAAAATATATCAAAATTGTTTACAATTCAATGTGTAAAATCGCTTTTCCATTTTAATGGAAGTTGAATATATGCCAGAAAAAAATCAAAACACGTTGAATAGCTTTTCAAACAAACTTAATTTTGAATTTTGCTAAGTCTGTTAAATGACGTCATTCGAAAGCTTTCGTATAAAGCAATTAAATGAAGTAACTCATAAAACAGCAAGAAGGATGAAAAAGAATGGTGGATAGAAGAAAAGTAGACTTGTCAATGTGACGAAAGAACTGACATTTCTTCCATGCCAAACTCTTTCAATCGTTTTCAAAGTTTTGTTGATCAAAACATCAAAATCATCAGAGTTAGTAATTGATTTCCATGTAAAAGCAATTTAAACTGAAAGCAGCTTTGTGAAGAATCTTTTGATTTTTCTTTGTAGAATGCAAGTTGGATACTTGGTGGTGTAGCCATTGTGATCATTATAAGAAGAACATATGCAGTAGGTTTGAGTACAAAAAGCATCAAATAAAAATATGTTGTGCAACTAGATCTTATTAGAAATTAGAATATTCAAAGTAGGAATTGATCACCAACTTTGAACCTTAAAATTACAACAACTGGTCGCCTTTTGATCATGTGACATATTATCTAGTAAACATATTCTAGGAAGAAAGATGTGATACTTGTTGTGTTTTAGATTCATCATTTCACAGAAATACAGTTCATCCCAAAGAGCTACTTTAGAAATCATGCAATCTTGACAGGAAAAGTGACTAGAATAGACAACGATGGCTGTCTTCATGTTATGCATTTACCACTTCTTTGGAGGTCACGTATAAAACATCTCACAACTCCAGGTATTGAGCAGATGACCAAACCAATCTTTGCTACTACTTAAAAAAGTTATTACATCATAACACTGATCACAATTCGCAAATGTTCCAAAGAGAGTATGCCATCATGCCCAAGTAAAATCAAACTTTTCTTACTTAAGAAGCACATTGCTTGAAAGTTAATTTGACTGGAGTGGAACTGCTGACAGCTGGTAATGATTATATCAAATCTCAGCTCAACAACTCAAAGATCAAGTTTCAGTTACTTGGAACAAAAGCCAGTGATCATATAGAAGCTATTGTTTATGAAGATAAGGTGTGTTCTGTGTTTAAAGCTGCTGATGTATTTCAATCTTATACATTCATCAATGAAATAACTAGCGTTTGTCATCGATATGTTTAGCGTTTGATCATTAATATTTGACATTATTTTTTATAAAGGGATCTCTGATTTTAAAAAGCATGATTCTGATTTCATTTGCATGTCATCTAGGCATGGTTTCGACGAACAAAGTCTGTGAATGAGGAAGTTATTTCCATGGGTTTAGCAAAAGTCATGCATGTTCCTGCCTTATCCCACACGAAAATCTACAACCGGTTTATTGAAAGACTTGTCGCGGCAGAAGTCTTTGCTTCTAAAAGGAAGCGAGGCATTTGGAAAGAAGACATTGACGACGGAGTACTTAAAAAATTTTGGTCCAAGATAAAATGTGTTTCAAGACACGCGAAAAGATGAATGCAAAGTGGCTTTAATATAATGAACCTTTAGGCAAATGAGCATTGAATTTTTTTTAACAAAAAATGCCTTACATATTCTTCGACGTATTTTAAAACAAAGGGAATGTCTTGCATAATGTCGTGTAATCAAATTTTTGACATTTTTCAATTGGGTAATTTCAATAATTTACGTTCCATGTCAATGAAGACATTTCAAGAGAAAGTTGTTGCAAAAAAGCAATCACTTGATATTTTGCTCTACGAAAGAATCAAATAAATATATCTAAAAGTCTTTGATGTTCATGTTCAATTTTTAAAAACCGTTCTCAAACTTTTCATAGAACAAAGGACAGCAATGCAAAACATTCCTCGTTATCCAACGCTATCTATTATTTATTTACAAACAAGCATGGAGTCTGCGTTACGAACTTAACAAAAATGGAAGTATGCATTATTTTCTCATCAATATTTCATTAATCTTTATTTTACTTTTTACTTTTAAATTTTGCTGTATTTGTATTTCTACTGTTCATCACGAAGTATTCTAAGAAAATAGAAGTGAAAAAAACAACTTAATTATATTTTGTTAAATCTTTTCGAACGGAATTCCAACTCCATGGATAAGATGGAAAAAGATAATGCGGATAACAAAGGCAGCTAAAAGAATTGAGTGTCTAGACTCGAAATGAGCTTGAACGATTGGGTTAGAATTGGCTTAAGAGTTGAGTTCAAATGCATAAGATTCCACATCTTGCGCAGTCAAGCTCAGAAATGAGACCACCAAAAATGATCCTGAACTATGAATATACTGTCTTCCTTTATTTGTAATGTGTTACATTGAATGCAAAAAATGAGCATTAAGATGTAGTTACGGCATAGACTTTACCATCGTACATACCCCCATAGGCGTTCTTCCTCAATGCTCAACATATCTTGGTTCATCTTTGTCAGCAGTATCAATAAAGTCGTCTTCAATTCTTTCCTTCTTTGCTTCAGGTTGGACCTGCTTCATATCATAGAGTTGATCGGGAGGTGCGGGCATTATCAATTTGATTTCATCACCCTTTTTATCGTTGGTAGTTTTACCTTCCACACTGTTGTGTATACCATAAACAAAATAGATAATCAAACCTAGAAAAGTTGAAAACAAAGTGCTCACTTACATGATATTTACATTTTGTTTACACGATGTGTACATGACATTTACACGTTGTGTACATGGTGTTTACAAGATGTGTACATGATGTTTACACGTTGTGTACATGGTGTTTACACGTTGTGTACATGGTGTTTACACGTTGTGTACATGGTGTTTACGTTGTGTACATGGTGTTTACACGTTGTGTACATGGTGTGTTTACATTGTGTACATGGTGTTTACACGTTGTGTACATGGTGTACACGTTGTGTACATGGTGTTTACACGTTGTGTACATGGTGTTTACACGTTGTGTACATGGTGTTTACACGTTGTGTACATGGTGTTTACACGTTGTGTACATGGTGTTTACACGTTGTGTACATGGTGTTTACACGTTGTGTACATGGTGTTTACATGGTTAACTGTTCAGTTGTCAAAGCTACTTAATCCACAACTGACGACAAGTTACTTGTCCCTAATAATTGATTTTATTCAGAGGTAAATTAAAACTGTTTTAACAAGTTGCCTACCTATTGTTAGCCAGATGGCAAACCGAACCCATGTCAAATAGGATAACTTGAGCAGTAGGAAGATATTCACCATTATACTTGTCAATGGTAATACTGGTACACATGGTACCATGAAAGGAAACTTTGCCCCATTGGTGGGTTGTAAAACCATTATAACAACACCAATAATTATGACAAGACTGCTAAGGATTAGAGTCGTTATAGCCCAAGGATCCTCTCCGCGCAGGTTGCCCCAAGCACCAATAAATACTGCGCTGACCCCGCCCATACCGAAGACAATTAAGGCGAGTGATGCAGTTGCTAGGAAACTAGATTGCACATCTGGAGCGTCATCAGTGATCTTTGTGCTCACAGTGTCCATTGTTGAATTTGGATTTGAAGACGTGATACTTGATGTATCTAACTTTACATAGTCCCGGAAGGCATCTTGGTTGGTTTTACAGCAAAATACGCCATTTGTTGACGCGTCATGTCCCGGATCATAGATGCTCGGAACACCAGGTTGAAATCGAAGTGCTATGACGGATACGGCAACCATAGTGTACGCCATTAATGTTCCAATGCTCAACATTTCAACGAGTTGTTTCAAGTCAAAGATCAGAGCAATCAATGCAGCCAATATACTGGCCGCTATAATGGCACGAACTGGAGTGATCGTCCTTTCACTGACTTTCGAGAAATATGAGAAGAGCAAGCCATCTTTTGCCATGGCGTAGATGATCCTTGGCACGGCAAATGTACCTCCGAGAAGTGCACCAAAGAGGGCAGCAATTCCACCGGCTGTGATAATGTATTGGGAAGCCTGGAAACAAATGAATGTCTAGATTAAATATTTGTATGGAGTATAGTTAAACTTTAGTGTCGAGAATGACGCCAAATAAATCATCGCATACCTCAGGCAATAAGTGATTACAGGAAAATAGTTTGTGGACGTTTTAATGACAAAAAAAGAAATTGAAAGTTGAGGAACAATTGTTCTTGTCATCAATCTCCATAAGGAGAACATGACATTCTTCAATGTCATTTAACGTCATCATGATCTATGATTGTTTAAAAAAAGCTTGCGTATCGACTCCAAGGCATTTATTATTCTTATGCATTACTGGAGAACAAAAACTTGTTTTACCTTAAAAGCGTGGTCACCAAATGCTTTTGCCAAAGGTGCTTCATCTTTCAAATCAGCATATGGCACCATCATGGTGAGAACTGTGGCAACACCAAAATAGCAAAAAAATGAGATGAGAAGGGATAAAACAATACTCAAGGGGATATTACGACGCGGATTGATGGTCTCTTCTCCAGCAGTCGCTATGACATCAAAACCAACGAAACAAAAGAAGCAATTGGCAGCTCCAGCAAGTATACCGGATGCCCCATATGGTGCAAAATTTTCGCGGGGCAGCCAGTTTTTACTGTCGGCATGCCACAATCCCACACTAATTACAAAAGCGACAACGATCAAATTGATTACAGTCACAGCTTTATTAAAGCCAGTTGAGTGCTGAGCACCAGAACATACAATGACCATCATGAGAAGAGGCATGAGCAATGCTAGGAAGTCTGGGTACGAGCCTATACCACTCACGTGCCACGAGCCTGAAAGGAGACAAAAATTTTATTTTAGCTTAAATTGGTTGTTTCACGTTCGTAGATGTAGATCGTCCAAGTTAATGAATCCTGAGTTGAACTGCTTGTGTCAGTGTTGACTGACGACTTGACATCTTTAGCGATAACCATAGTTTGTTTTCGTTGTATTTGCATCAAATGTGAAATTGTCACTTCGTTTTTATGGTTTTTAAAAAGAAATATGCTAAGCATTAATTTCGTACAACTGACCCACAGTCTATTGCTGTATGCTTACGTCATCATCGCCTACGTACTCACCCAAATAAAGTATCAATACGTCATCAATACCTACGTACTCACCCAAATAAAGTATCATTACGTCATCAATACCTACGTACTCACCAAGATTCGCTTTTATGAAATCCTTGATAGCTCCTCCAAATATAGAATCAATGTAGTTACTTAGTCCTCGGGAAAGCGAAGCGTTTCCAATTATGTATTCAAGAATCATATTCCAGCCAATAACGAAACCCCAAAACTCGCCAAGCGTTGCATAAGTATAAGCGTAAGCTGAACCAGCTTTTGACAACCGACATCCAAACTCAGCGTAACACAGGCCGGCCAACATTGATGCTGCGGCTGCAATTAGGAATGAAAGAACAATACCAGGGCCTGCTTGATCTTTAGCAACCTGACCGGTAACCACGTACAAACCAGCACCAACAGTTGCACCCACCCCAAGGAATGTCAGGTCGAACACGTGAAGGCAGCGATTCAGAGCTGTTTCAGTTGCTTGATTTGTTATGCTTTTCGCTCGCGTTAACATGGAATAAAACTTTGTGAAACTCATTTTGAGTGTCTTTTGAAATATGCTCTTTCTTTACTTGAAATGATCTCGGAGTGAAATTGAAATGGAGTTTTCGTATGTATCTTTGGATGTTGGAGTAAAAGTTGTGTCGACTGTCTATACGAATGACTTTCTCTGAACAATGCTATAGTTCCAATTAAAAGCTCTTACAGCTACTGCAGAAAAATCTAATTTCTTTCGTTTTTCTTGTCTATATCCATCAAGGCATGAATGGCATACTTTCGATACTCTCTTGTTTTCTTCCTCTTTCCTTCTTCTTCAGGACTTCTCTTTCAACTATATTGTAAAAATTGGCTTATCACACTATCAATGGCAGACAAAGGTCGATTCAATAAATGCCGAAGGAAGTGATTTGGCAAAACGTTTATGAAGTAGGAATAAACACTTTTACAAAGTTGGTGTGTCAAAGATAAGTCATTTACTTCGAACAGGGTTTTTCCATAAAAATTCGATGTTTTGCTTATTCCCAGCTGTCCCTGTTCACTGTTGATGCGTTGTAATCTTTCTCGATTTCAAAACGATTCAGCAAGAACTTTATCGACCAACAATAAATAAATATTTGTTCACGAATGTATAAGTATATCAATGCCTTTGAGTCGAGTTTTTTTCTTATGAAAGCCAAGTATAACAGGAAACGAAAATTATCTAAATATGTATCTTTGACTAAACCTACGTAGCTTTGTACTGATCAAATTAAACAGTAAGCTATTGAATGAACTATAACAATTTTATCAAATTCAAAACTTTTCGTGCGAGGACTCTTCTTTAGGAATAAAGCGGCTTTCCTTTCGAACACCAGAAGAGGAACAAAGCTCAAACGGATCCAAATATTTTATCAACGAAAATCAATATGCTATATTTTGACTATATATACTTTCCAGCGGGCCAATCGGCATGTAAATTCACATCAACTGAACTAAATTGGATTTCAAACACGGCATGAGCACCGAAGACAACTCACTTGAATTTGACGTTAGTATACGCTGTTGATATCCCACTGAAATCTTGATGAAATATGTAGACGTACACACGTCTGTGTTGTGTGCTGTTGACTCTTGTGCATGTACTGTGTCCTTTCAACTTTTTCAGCTTTATTCGCTCCAAATTTCACATGTAAAGTCTATTGTGAACCGATTATTTCGTTCCAACTGGTTCAGCGTATCTTCAACTTTTCTTTAAATGGAGAAACCTGAAATGATCTTTTAAATATAGGGTGTTATGATTTCACGAAGCATATAATATGACGACCAAAAAGTACAACAACACGAAGCCTTCATTATGAATATGCAGATATACTGAATCGACAAAAGCAAAATTTGCATTTTGCGGAGGTGTGATTACCAGAAATGAAAAAAGAGATTATTCATCATCACTCAACTACTAAGACTTTTTGGAGAACAAGTTGTACAAAATAAAACAGCTGTCTCACTGCCCACATATTGTGTATGTTATGATTAGCCTCGCCATAAATTAATTAAAAATGAATTTAAGAGCAGTGTTTTCTGTGCTAGATCCAGCAGAGATTAGTGATAATGCTTAATTGAAGTCAGTGAAAATGGGCCCGAGGACGGCAACAGTTACTTGGATGCTTTCTTCACCTTATGGCAAATTTTCTTAGTTGGGTATAACTAATTCTTTAGCATCAAAGTATTCACTTTCAAATAATCGAATATTCAATGAAGTGTTTTAATAAAATACACTAGTTTTAAGGCCTGTTCATACAAAGCTGTATGAATTGAAAAGATACATGGTTACATACTTACACAATGATGCTCAATAATGACCAAATAAATTGCCTTTGACTTGTTTGATCACATCTAAAAGACCAAACATGATTGTCAAAGTTAGGAAATACTTCTACAGATTGTTGAACCAAATAAGAAAAACGTTACAAAGTAAATGGTTTGAAGCCGGGAGTATCGTTGCATGTTTGTAAATGTAGATCGTCCAGGTTGGTATAGTCCTGAGAAGGACTGTTTTTGTTGTTGTTGACTGACGTTTCGACAACCTTAGCGGTAGTCATCTTCAGAGTCAAATGAGATGATGACTACCGCTAAGGTTGTCGAAACGTCAGTCAACAACAACAAAAACAGTCCTTCTCAGGACTATACCAACCTGGACGATCTACATTTACAAACATGTAACGATACTTACGGGTTCAAACCATTTACTTTATTACGATCATTTGGACGACAGAGCGAAAAACGTTATAATTGTGAGAAGTGTAAATGTTATTTGAAAAGATTGATTTCTAAAAAAACGCAAGGTAGAAACAACAAAATCTGTGTAGAGGAAATCAACACACCCCAAAGGCAATTCCAAAATCTCCAGAGAGATTTTTGTTTAAGAAAGGCACGAAAATCAATATCGGAACATCAATTTAAATGGCTGTGAATTGATCACTTCCGTTCACAATCTTTCAAATATTTCCACTGTATAATTACAGATGTTTACAACGTTGTTAATTAAAGATCTTTGCATGATAAAAATATTTTCTAATGAATGAAGAGCAAATTGTGTGTTTTCATCACTTGAAATCTCTCATGTTGGTAGATTTCTTCAAATTTTTGATATAAACCCTTTTCCACGCAAGTTATTTTTTCAGTAAAGGGTTAAGACACAATTTCAACTCTACTTTTAAAAAGAAAGTAGCATGTTTACAGATAAACCGTCAAAAAAATTTGAATTCAAACACTTTCAAGCACATCGTAATGAATCCAAGTATTTTTTTAGTACGAACTCTCGGAAAGCATAAACTGCAGTTTCTTTTCATTAAAAACATAGTTTCAGGTTGTTATAAATAGTCGATTTTTGAAGAAAGGGTTACTCCTGACGAAGGCGTTAACTTTGATGTGTGTTAGAAAAGGTTTGGATTTGGGCATTGAATGATTTCATTTCCTTCATTCATTGAGTTGAGATTTATAATAGTAGCACCTTATTTATCGATGTTTGATCACCGCCAGACACATTATTTCTCCCATTTTTGTGTTCTTTGTTATCCTCTTTTAACCTCTGTCGACGTTTGATCTCTCCTAGAACGCTAGTCTCGAGATAAATGACTTGCTGTAGCGCAATATGACCAGCAGCTGCCAGATATCGAGCTAACACGTGGGTTGAACATGACATAAGTAGTTGTCGTTCCTGGATGTTCAAAAGAATGAAAAAGAAAACAGCGTGAGTTGGAAGATAAGTCATTTGAAAACAAAGACGTACTGGCTTATTTTTAACTTACGTAGAAAAACATTCTCTGACCATTAAAAAAGAGAGTAGATTGTGTGTTTACTAAAAAAAAACGAAACAAAATACACCACATGTTGTCATGCAGATAACAGAACAAAAACCTATTCAAGCTTTAAAAACATTTCTAACTATAAATTTTAAAAGCTCATTGAAAAGTAAACGACAGATCAAAAATATTCAAATAATTGAGAATTGCATCATTACATAACGCTTTCAAAACAAAAACATTATCCAACATGGCGATAGTAAACACCATAAAAATAGACATTGGTAATTTTTATGATTTATTTCCACTGCATTATGGGTATGAAATTAATGACGTATGATGACTACAAATTCATTCACTTAATTGTTACGTAGTTTCTAATTAGCTCATTATCAATTAGCTATTCACAAGGATGAGGTCTCTCAGTTTCTTCTTCGCTCTCTTTATCGCCTGTTTTATTTTAATGCACAATGAATGTCGTGCTGATAAAACTTGTCCACCACGGACTAGGGCCGTAGATATACCTCAAGGGAAGATATGTGTTTGTACAAGCGGTTACTATGGTGAAAACTGCGAGAAAACAGGTAGGAAAAGTCACGTTGTCACGCGCAGATCTTGATAAGAATTGCTTCACGCGTTGTCGGTAAAGACAAATCAACAAGCGTCCATGGAAGAGAGCAACACAGTAAAAAAATTTAACATTAAAACTTTCTTTTTTAGCTTTGCCTATTGTGAAAACCACAAGATGCGTGAACAGGACTTTGGAAGGCAAATGCAATAAAGGCTGGTGGATTTGTTTGAAAGGTAAAACGAAATAAGGAGAGAAAACGAGAATTTATTTTCTCTACAACAAAAACACGATTCCCGTACTTGCTTGCCTTTTTACTGCTTTGCTTTCATGGAATTTCCTCAAATGTTTGTGACGTAACTAAACAGTCACCAATTGAAATTAATTGTCCTTCATAATTATCGATTGACAAACAATTAGGTTTTGTTCACTTTAATTTATTTCAGAACGTTTGTCGAACACCATCGGATTTTTCCAGAATTTCAAGAAGTCTCTTTTCATCAAAGGTCTTGTGACAGGATGCATTCTTATTACCCTTTTTTTCATCTTCATCGCAACAATCTCAGGCGCACTATACTGGTATATCATTTACGAATTTCAATTATCCACTGAAAGTAAGGTCCTTACAATTGCGTTTTGAATTGATTTCAGCTGCTGCCTTGCCAAAATAGCTAGTATTAAAGCCAAAAAAGCATACAAAAAAAAGGAAAAAGAAGAATTGAATAAATATCACTGGTCGTCTGGCAGTGTTACTATTGATTTAAGTGGATTACTAAAACCAGCAATTAAGAAAACAGTCGTGTGATGTTCGCCGCCGGTCGATCCCGAGGATGTTTTGCCATGGACAAGATTGCGTGTCGGAAGGCAAGATACTTTACGAAAGGATGGCTCTAGGCCGAAGAGCTACCAATTTTGTAAAGCATCTTGCTTTTCATCTATAATGGCAACCTCTTCATTCATCCGTCGAAACATTAAGAAAGTTAAAGTGTTGTGAATAACATCAAAAAAATAGCGAATGTGTATGACATGCTCCACCCTCGGGATGCCGGTGGACATTTATGTTTAGCATAGTTTGTATGGTAAAGAATCTTAAGTATTGGTCGACATAATCGTATAGACAATGGAAAAGAACAAAAAAATTATCGTAGAGACAATGGAAAAGAACAATAAAAATTAACGTAGAAACAATGGAATAGAACAAAAAAATTATCGTAGAGACAATGGAATAGAACAAAAAAATTATCGTAGAGACAATGGAATAGAACAAAAAATTTATCGTAGAGAAATGGAAAAGAACAATAAAAATTAACGTAGAAACAATGGGAGAAAAATTATCGTAAAACAATGGAGTAGAACAAACGTGGAATATCATAATAGAGACAATATTTTAAAACAGTATCAATTCATAACTGTAAACTATAACAGTATATTATAAAGACGTTGCAATTATTTCGGAATAAATACGAGTTAATAAAAAGATTTAAGTTTGCAACAAAACAACTACAAAGATCACCATAATGATCGTGACGTCGTAATGAACATGACGTTAAATTTCTATGGGAAGGATAACTTATTCACAAAAATTCTTCATAATCACATTATTTTAGGCAGTTTTTAGTCAGTAAAACCAATACCCGAATGTGTCGAATCATTGCCAAACGTTTAGCATACTTTAATTTTTCAAAAAGAATCAAAAATGCTAAAAATAATTTTAGCTGTTTTGAAAAAAACCCCAAACAAATATATTCTCGCATATAAAAAGGCAATACTCGATTTTTGTATTTTCCTGACTGGAATCTGATTCATATCTATATAAAAATCTCAAACCTCACACAAGCGATGATATAAAAGATTTTGCTTACATAAGTCCTAATAACAAGAGAACCTTTCTTTACCTTTCTCAGTGTTTCCACTTGACTCTTCATCCTCGTTGGCAGCAATTATCCTAGTCAGAGACTCTTGATGAGTTGACTGCATATTTTGTCAGGATGTTTTGCCAGATTTTAAATGACTTTGATAGCCTCTTCAGCCATCGGTCCTTTAGTCACAAGAACGTCCACATTGCTCTTAACAACTTCATGTTTGTCTCTATATAGACAGATAAAGACATTCTACTGACATAATTCCTTAAGACATTAGATCTTCAAATGAACAGAGTTGTTTACCTGACAAACATGCCATGAATCTTCAACGGTATGATGACCATTATCCATCTCCAACGGTATGGAAATGTGACAGTAATGAACATTTAGGGAAACATGAAGTGTGACAATAATGAACATTTAGGGAAACATGAAGTGTGACAGTAATGAACATTTAGAGAAACATGAAGTGTGACAGTAATGAACATTTAAGGAAACATGAAGTGTGACAGTAATGAACATTTAGGAAACATGAAGTGTGACAGTAATGGAAACATGAAGTGTGACAGTAATGAACATTTTGAAATGTGACAAACATGAAGTGTGACAGTAATGAAACATGAATGTGACAGTAATGGAAACATGAAGTGTGACAGTAATGAACATTTAGAGAAACATGAAGTGTGACAGTAATGAACATTTAAGGAAACATGAAGTGTGACAGTAATGAACATTTAGGGAAACATGAAGTGTGACAGTAATGAACATTGAAGAAAACACGAAATGTGACAATAATGAACAGTGAGGGAAACGTAAATTGAAAAGATGCCTACAATTTCATACGTTACCAAATAAATTGCATTTAATTTGTGTGATCATCTCTAAAAGACCAAACATGAATGTCAAAGTTGGGAAACATTTCTACAGATTGTTGAACGAAATTAGAAAACCGTAAAAAATGAAAATACATGAATGCTGCTACAAAGAGAGATTGTTTTCCAAAAAGGTAGAAACAAAAAATTTGTGTAGAAGAAATCATCATATCTCCGCAAAGGCAATTCCGAAATCTCCAGAGATTTTGATGAAAGAAATTTACGAAAATAAACATCGGAACATCAATTTAAATGGCTGTGATTTGATCACTTCCGTTCACAATCTCCTACAAATATTTCCACTGCATAATTACAGATTTTTACAACGTTGTTAATTAAAGATCCTTGCTCCGCCATTTAGAATTGAATGCACCGAAACAAACATCCTTACTTGCTATAAAATCAGCATATATCTATAGTGAAACAGCATCACAGATACTTATCAAAACAATTTCTATCCAGGTTTTATCAAACACTCTCATCTATTTCATCCTCTCCCCGGTCTCCAGGTTTTATCAAACACTCTCATCTATTTCATCCTCTCCCCAGTCTCCAGGTTTTATCAAACACTCTCATCTATTTCATCCTCTCCCCAGTCTCCAGGTTTTATCAAACACTCTCATCTATTTCATCCTCTCCCCAGTCTTGATCAAACAAATCCTCGTCATCGCTATCAAATTCGATTATAGGTTTCTTTCGGTTCCTTGGAGTTTTTCTCAATGCAGGTGTACGATTTTCACATGATGTTTTTGCCTTTTCTAAAATTGAATTCATTAGGATGAGCAGATATTGTTTAACACAGCATACTGCTGTAATAGAATCGAAGAAAAAAGCACCATCATCAAGGAGAAAAGTACAAAAATATGTATTTATGCATAAAAATATGTTCAACATACTTCCAACTTTTTCGACAAGCACCCGAGCAGCGAACGAAGCTTGCCCTGCGCGTTCGTAGCCTGCTTCTTGCTCAACAACTTTCTCGTGAAAGGCAACAATACGACCTTCAAACTCTTCAACAACAATCTAAAATGATCGATAAACTTTAAAAATGCAACTGAACTCACAAAGCATATTAAAGAGAAAAATCCCCGCATTAAGAGTAAAAGATACCCTTAACGTCAATTTTTCCTGTGTTAAAAAGACAATATATATGCCATGAAAATGTTTCTTCTTCAAACTAGAGATTTAGAAATAGGAAAACGGCATCCATTATAAAGTTTTCATTGTCTTATAGGCAAATACCTTACTTCAAAACCTTCTTGTTAGGTAATGTACTGGGGGAGAGGTTTACTAACCAAACACAGAGGCAGGCAGTCAATGAAAAATTGACTGATTAAAAGACAAAAAAAAACCTATCGTGGTAACTAACTTTCATTTCAGCTTTTGCCGTTTTCTTGCATTTTCCAATAATGATTTGAAAATACGAGTAGACGTCATTATTGGACAAAGTACTTTGGAAACACGCGATATTTTCATGCAGTTTTCTCAGTGATCGTTCATTATATGAGAGCTGTGCCAGACAAAATGATAGATCCATCCATTGACGTTCAGTTCTGTGTTATAAAAATATATTTGAAATGAGATTCAGACAACATTTTTAAACGTTGCTAAAAAGCAGATGTTTACGATGGTATACATGGAGGATTGTAATAGTAATGTCTATGAATACAGAAAAGAAGAAGTGAGGATGTAAGCCATAGTACATATGAAGGAGTAAGGGTTACGTTAATGGATTGAGAAGGTCAAAAGCAAATCTTTACGATAGTATACATGGAGGATTGTAATAGTAATGTCTATGAATACAGAAAAGAACAAGTGAGGATGCAAGCCATAGTACATATGAAGGAGTAAGGGTTACGTTAATGGATTGAGAAGGGAACAAGTGGGAATGCCAGACATGAGTTTACGGATTCTTGTATTTGTAGAATGTGTCAGGTAAGAAAGTAATATCAACATGAGGTTGATCAGTCTAGTTCAACCAGATGATTCCATAACATGTACAAGTGCTTACAAACCTCGTAGCTCTAAAACGATGACAAAGTTTTTCAACTAAACTTTCACAATGTCGATCTTTTTTAATAAACGAGAATAGATAACTAAAGAAAAGAAAAACATCAAACAAAAAATAAAAATAAAATGAAAGCAAGACCAAATTTTGAAAATCAACTGCATTCCAAATCAAGACATATGTATACTTGGATTATTTCACTTCAGATTTCTATGATTTCAGATTTCTATGATTTCAGATTTCTATGAGTTTTCTCAATCTAATTATGTGTTACCTCATGATACTTTTGAAAGGGTTTTCTTGTATTCCGGTCTCAGGATCAGAAAGTCTACTTATAATGTCTGGTAATATATTGTAAACAGCATTCCCTAAAGGATATGTAAAATTGAAGAGAAAAATTCAAATGTAGGATAACAGATGAAAGAAAATGCCATAGAAAAAAGGTTATGTACGTCTTTCACTATAAAGTAAATAAGGCTAAATATTAAAAAAAATGCAATAGAAAAGAGTTATGTACGTCTTTCACTATAAAGTAAATATGGCCAAATAACTAGAAAAGTTTTCTAGTTTTATGTTACTACTATGATGTGAAAGGGTCAACAGTGTAAAAATAACCAAAAAAGGTACTATTCTCAGAGACTATAGTTTTTCTGAAAAAATAACAGGGAAACTTTTACTTAAAAATTTCCAACTATTAAACCACAAGTTACATGAGAACTATTTTCTTAAGTTGTTGCAGTCCTCTGTTGACACAGCTGACGTGATGAAATAAAACATAACTATGATTTGTCCTTAAGGTTTCAGGCCGAGGTAAAGACATCTTTTCTCATTCTGAGAGATTTTAAGAGCGATGTTTTGAAGATATAATCGCATTGCATGTGTCACAGGTCTTAGAAATACATGTCTTGAAGAGCATATGAATACCTTCTTTGAAAGTTCCGAGAAAAAACATTTTGCCAATTCAGCAATTCTAGAATCTTCGTCTTGTAAGCAGGTTGCAATCTCGCTGATCTGACCTTTCACCTTCACCATATCGTTGAGAATGAGACGAGTCATTATCTTCATCGTGTTCATCCGAACTTGCGGCGAATCATCCCGAAGTCTGCAAGCATCAGATAAAGGCATGATGGGGATATAATGTAATCTGACAAAATGATCTGTGAATCCTGGCTCCAACCAACAGCGCGTTTTTGGAATACTTTGAATATAAAATAAATGTTTGTAAATGTAGATCGTCCAGGTTGGTATAGTCCTGAGAAGGACTGTTTTTGTTGTTGTTAACTGACGTTTCGACAACCTTAGCGGTAGTCATCTTCAGAGCCAAAAACCCTAACCCCATTTTGACTCTGAAGATGACTACCGCTAATGCTGTCGAAACATCAGTCAACAACAACAAAAACAGTCCTTCTCAGGACTATACTAACCTGGACGATCTACATTTACGAACATGCAACGATACTCCCGGGTTCAAAGCATTTACTTTAATATAAAATAAAATCACCAACTGCTACTCTGAGCTAACCTGTATCCGACACTGGCAAAAAAACCAAGTTATTACGAAATGGAAGTCCTTTAAGGTAAACTAAGCGAGCTTTCATATCATTGCTTTAAATTCCTTTGGTTTTCCTCCAATTTTTTCTCTTAATGAAGTAATCGCGTTTAAAATTCTAATAATTTTGTTTCGCCTTAGATTCTCTCGTACTTCAACGAGAGTACATGAAATAATCTTAATAGCACCAAAATTGATATGTGTTTTGTTCCAAGCTCGCAACCACACTTCACTCGATCAGAAAATAACAATCAATTTTAAAAAAATTCTTAATGATTCGCACCTGGCGTAAAGGTTTGCTGTCCATGGTTCAAGAAGATTGGGAAAACGTGTCGTCAAATCACCAAGAGAAATTATCGTATTCGAGCGAATAACCTCGTGGGGGCTCTGAAAATATCATGAAAAAACATGTAAACCTCAAAACAACAAAAACATTTTAAGCCCTGGAGGGGGGAGGAGGGGGAAATCGCTTAATTCTTTTGAGGAAGAGAGAGTCACTTACTTTTTCCAATATTGTCACCAACAATTGAAGGTTATTCTCGCAAAACTCCGCACTAAACGAAAGCAGTATTAGGTTCAGAGAACGTGGGTGGATATTTCGACATTAAGATGGTCAATTCTTGGGCAAATGTTAAAATGAAATGAATAAGCAAACTATTCGTGACATTCGTGAGATTCGTATCCCAAAGTACTGATTCCATGTGAAGAACAAATATCAATTTACTTCAAATATTCCCGACCATTCAAACTTTGTTTTATATAACAAAGGCAGTGTTTCAAATGCACTAGTCACCTCACCTCACTAACATAAACTTTGAAAGAGCCAACGAGGCAGCAGTTTGCAACTGAACGTCCGAATATTTAACTGGGTTGGTGCATATTTTAATGACCACGTGACCAAGTATCGACAAGAGATTTTCACCACCTCAAAAACAAATACGATTTAACTGTATGAATAAAATCAACATACATAGACGCTACTTTGTTGAGGTACCTGTTACAATTTCGTGGTCACAAATTTTCTTAATACATTCAGCTTCAGCGTCTTCAGCAGTTGCTCCTGTCAATCCCATTTCATCCTCAAGAGATTCACTAGCCCCTTCCTATGGTAAGCACAAAAATTTAAAAAGCTCAAGTGTAAGGTCATTTTAAGATTTATAGAGGTTACTTCTGACAAAGGCACTAACATTGGTTAGAATTGCAAGAGGTTTATACTTGGACATTAAATGACAAAACGATTTGATTTTTTTCATTCATTGAGTTGAGATTTATAATAGTAGCACCTTATTTATCGATGTTTGATCACCGCCAGACACAGTATTTCTCCCATTTTTGTGTTCTTTGTTATCCTCTTTTAACCTCTGTCGACGTTTGATCTCTCCTAGAACGCTAGTCTCGAGATAAATGACTTGCTGTAGCGCAATATGACCAGCAGCTGCCAGATATCGAGCTAACACGTGGGTTGAACATGACATAAGTGTGTTGTCGTTTCCTGGATGTTCAAAAGAATGAAAAAGAAAACAGCGTGAGTTGGAAGATAAGTCATTTGAAAACAAAGACGCACTGGCTTATTTTTAACTTTGTAAATTTCCACCGAACTTTCAATTTAAAGTGATACAGATTAAGATAACAACAAATTTACATCGAAGAAACATTCTTTGACCATTTAAAAAAAGTAGATTGTGTGTTTATGAAAAAAAAGGTTTGCACAGGATGGAATATCCCACTCCAAGCGATAGTATCCAAATTATGACAAAAATTTTGTGAAATGTAATGATTCTATCAAAACAATAGAACCTCATATAGATAACAGAACAAAAAACTTTATTCAAGCTTTAAAAACATTTCTAACTATAAATTTTTAAAAGCTCATTGAAAAGAATACGACGTATTAAAAATATTCAAATAATTGAAATTCGCATCATTACATAACGATTTCAAAACAAAAACATTATCCAACATGGCGATAGTAAACACCATAAAAATAGACATTGGTAAATTTTTATGATTTATTTCCACTGCATTATGGGTATGAAATTAATGACGTATGATGACTACAAATTCATTCACTTAATTGTTACGTAGTTTCTAATTAGCTCATTATCAATTAGCTATTCACAAGGATGAGGTCTCTCAGTTTCTTCTTCGCTCTCTTTATCGCCTGTTTTATTTTAATGCACAATGAATGTCGTGCTGAGAAAACATGTCCACCACGGACTAGGGCCGTAGATACACCTCAAGGGAAGATATGTGTTTGTACAAGCGGTTACTATGGTGAAAACTGCGAGAAAACAGGTAGGAAAAGTCACGTTAATTGTCACGCGCAGATCTTGATAAGAATTGTTTCGCGCGTTGTCAGTAAAGACAAATCAACAAGCGTCCTTGGAAGAGGGCAACACAGTAAAGAAAATTTAACATTAAATCTTTCTTTTTTAGTTTTGCCTATTGTGAAAACCACAAGAAGCGTGAACAAGACTTCGGAAAGCAAGTGCCATAAAGGCTTTTGGGAATGTTTGACAGGTAAAATAAAATAAGGAAAGAAAACGAAAAGAATTTATTTTCTACACAATAAGAGCACGATTCCCGTACTTTGCTTGCCTTCTCACTGTTTAGCTTTCATGGAATTTCCTTAAATGTTTGTGACGTCACTTTTCTAACTTAATCAACCACCAATTGAAATTAATTGTTCTACATAATTAAGGATTGACAAAACATTAGGTGTTGTTCACTTTAATTTATTTCAGCACACGGGTCGGACATCATCGGATTCTTCCGGAATTTCAAGAAGTCTCTATTCATCAAAGGTCTTGTGACAGGATGCATTCTTAATACGATTTTATTTATCCTCATTAAAAAAATCGCGGCAGTAATATACTGGTAAGTCATTTACAACTCGCAAATCTCGATCATCCATTGAAAGTCAACTCGTTCTAACTTCGTCTTTGATGGATTTCAGCTTCTGCCGTGCCAAAATAGCGGAAAAAAAGGCAAAAGAGGAAGAAAAAAGAAAGGAAAAAAATGATTTGAATGGATATCACTGGTCGTCTGGTAGTGTGGCTATTGATTTAAGTGGATTACTAGACCCAACAATTAAAGAAACAGACGTGTGATGTCCGCCGCCGGTCGATCCCGAGGATACTTTGCCATGGACAAGACTTGACTTTTTAACGTTGCGACTGCTGGAGCAATCCATTTTTAAAACATCTTGCTTTTCATCTATAATGGCGACCTCTTCATTCATCCGTCGAAACATGAAGAAAGTTAAAGTGTTGTGAATAACATCAACCAATGGCGAATGAGTATGACATGCTCCCTCCTCGGGAACCCAGTGGACATATAAGTTTAGAATAATTTATATGGTAAAGTAAGTTAGAAGTAGAATCGTAAATATAAGTAAACATTATCGTAGAGACAATGGAAAAGAACAAAAAAAATTATCGTAGAGACAATGAAAAAAGAAGAAAAAAATTATCGTAGAGACAATGGAAAAGAACAAAAAAATTATCGTAGAGACAATGGAAAAGAACAAAAAAAATTAACGTAGAGACAATGGAAAAGAACAAAAAAATTATCGTAGAGACAATGGAAAAGAACAAAAAAAATTATCGTAAAAACAATGGAAAAGAACAAAAAAATTATCGTAGAGACAATGGAAAAGAACAAAAAAATTATCGTAAAAACAATGGAAAAGAACAAAAAAATTATCGTAGAGACAATGGAAAAGAACAAAAAAATTATCGTAGAAACAATGAAAAAAGAAGAAAAAATTATGAAAAAGTTATTGGAAAAAAACCAAGAAATTACTTTACAGTTATTGGGAAAATAACAAAAAATTATCACACAGTCAATGGAAAAAGAACAAGAAATTTATCCTAACTAACGTGGAATATCATAATAGAGACAATATTTTAAAACAGTATCAATTTATAACTGTAAACTATAACAGTATATTATAAAGACGTTGCAATTATTTCGGAATAAATACCACTTAATGAAAAGATTTTAGTTTGCAACAAAGCAACTACAAAGATCGCCATAATGATCGTGACGTCGTGGCGATCGTAACGTCGTAATGAGCATGACCTCAAAATGCGTTTCACACAATGCAATTCTATTTTTTACCATGTTGAAGTATACATCAGAATAAATTTAGCCGTGAATTTGTAAATTTCAATAAAGAGATAAAACGCCATTTTTTGTTTTAAGCAGAAGTTGGGATTTGATAAAGCACAAGATTGTAAAAATAGACACTCGTTGAGTGCAAAAGAATTTGTGATTTATTACAACGCATGCGTTTAGTCGCTTATAATTCCCATATTACAACGCATGCGTTTAGTAGCTTATAATTCCCATATTACAACGCATGTGTTTAGTCGCTTATAATTCCCATATTACAACGCATGTGTTTAGTAGCTTATAATTCCCATATTACAACGCATGTGTTTAGTAGCTTATAATTCCCATATTACAACGCATGTGTTTAGTCGCTTATAATTCCCATATTACAACGCATGTGTTTAGTCGCTTATAATTCCCATATTACAACGCATGCGTTTAGTAGCTTATAATTCCCATGAGCATAACAACATGTTAATGAATATAAAACGAATAATCGATTTTTGCATTTTCCGAAACGGAATCGAATTTAGAAATCTATCTATAAGTCTGAAACCTCACACGAGCGATGACATAAAAGATTTTGCACATATAAATGCTAAAAACGAGTAAAAATTTTCCCTACCTTTCTCAGTGCTTCCACTTGACTCTTCATCTTCGTTCGCAGCAAAAATCCTCCTAGTCAGATTCTTGATGAGTTGACTGCATATTTTGTCGGGATGTTGTGCCAGATTGTAAATGACTTTGATAGCCTCTTCAGCCATCGGTACCCACATACCCTGCATGTTTGTGGTAATGCTGCTGACCAAAATATCATTGAGCCGTTGAAACATAACGTGATCAGAAGTAAAACGCAGCGGTCGCTGCTTCTCGTAAACCTGTTTATTACAACGAAATAAAAGCAAAAATGTGAGAATGCAGTCATTACAAGCAGCGGCTGGAAAATACAACTGTTAGGAGCGTTAGCGGCAGCGACTTTATAAAAAACAATGCTATAATTGTTGAAGATCATATAGACGTAGTTCGGCGTTAATGCAATTGGTCAGAAAATTATATAAAATATTTTCTATGATAACTCTCAATCAAGGAAAGCTTCATGCGTATACAAGCATTATTATTCTTGTATAATTTCCTTAAATAACGAGCTTTTGACGATTCTTGAAACTAAATTGTTTTAAATTTATTGAATTTTTCAAGTCAGTTTGAGACGCCAATTTATTCCAAAGTGTATACTGGAATATAGTAGAGTCTGCTTCTGGACTGAGTTGTGCTTCAAAAGTGTAGAGAAATTATATGTTGTTTCATGCAGCAGACCCGCCCTTCGGAATGTGTTAACAACATGAAATAAATGTCTACAGTGTTCAGCGTGTTGTATCCAAAGAAATGTATAATCACCTTTAGATCAGAATTCAATTTTAACATCATTGTACAAGTATCCTTGACCAATAAAGAGTCATCTTTGGCTTGATCACAAAGTCCAATAGTCACAAGAACGTCCACATTGCTCTTAACCATTTCATGTTTGCCTCTAAATAGGCAGATAAAGACATTCTACAGACATAATTCCTTAAGACATTAGATCCTCAGATGAACAGAGTTGTGTACCGGGCAAACATGCCAAGAAGCTTCAACGCCGACTGCCTTTGTTCCTTTGTTGTCTGCGAGTCCTATAAAAACAATACTTTACATTTTAAAGATGATTGAAAAAATGGATGCAGAATTTGATTATCTTCACAAAAATCGCACGTATGTCATACACTGTATTTCACCTTCATGGCGAACTTTTCCCACAGAAGATGAACAACATTATTGGGAATGAGCTTCTCCTTCATCAACTTGTAAGCCTTTCAAGAAACAAAACGAAACATTCACCCGTGACAGTTTATTTGTCGTGACTTTAAACTAGAGATCCAAGAATATTGGAAAGTTTCCAAAAAACACTGCCTTTCGACTTGTAATTTGAATCAACCATAAAATGTTTAGTACATTTATTTAATACATCCGTTAACTCCCATCAAACTTTCATTTATCCATTATGAAGCAAATATCATTTACTTCATTGTAAGGAAAGAGTTTTTTGTAAAAGCTATCACAAGCTGCAATTCCTTGTTGTCTTGTTGTTCACAATTCAAATGTAAGCAATTTTCTTTTAATGCACCATGAAAGAAAGCATTCATGGCTTCATGGTGAACAAAGATTGTGAGCTTAGCAGTTTTCTTTTAATGCACCATGAAAGAAAGCATTCATGGCTTCATGGTGAACAAGGATTGTGAGCTTTCGTCTCATTTATGTTGAAATAAATAGTTGATTCCAGGACTTTAAAGTTTTTACAATAATAAGTCAAGCGCTTTGTAAAACGAACCCAACTTTCAACCCTTATGAAATTTTATTTTATTTTGGATAGAACATTGATTTAAATAAATTTATCATACTATTGGCTTATCAACTGTACAATTTAATTCATGATGGAGAGAAGCATCATTATTATCATGAAATAGAATATCGGTTCTCTTACATAACAGTTATCTTAAATCTAGCAAAAAATCTACTTCATTTAACACCACACAATACACCCGATGGCATTACTGTCAATATCATTTGAATAATTTCACACGGGTCATATCATCAAAATATTAAACAATATGATTTCACCTTACCAATTCGTCAAGAGATGCAAGATCACCAATTGTGGCGCCAGACAGAAGAGCCGAGAGATTCTTTATAATTGCTTCGCATTTTGCCCTGAATAACGGTAATTGATAGAGTAATTAACGGTAATTGATAACATGAAGTATGACTTTATGACGGTAATGAACATGGAGGGAAACATAAAGCGTGACATTAATGAACATTCGGAGAGACATGAAGTATGAAAGTGATGAACATTGAGGGAGACATGAAGTATGACTTTATGACGGTAATGAACATGGAGGGAAACATAAAGCGTGACATAAATGAACATTCAGGGAGACATGAAGTATGAAAGTGATGAACATTGAGGGAGACATGAAGTATGACTTTATGACGGTAATGAACATGGAGGGAAACATAAAGCGTGACATAAATGAACATTCAGGGAGACATGAAGTATGAAAGTGATGAACATTGAGGGAGACATGACAGTTTTTTTCGAATAGTTCCCGCGTGTTTCATATTTCACCCAAGGCTCACCTTTGTCCCTGAACAGGTGGATCGAGATACAATCGTTTATATGCGTCGACAACTTTACTTTTTATGCTGTTATCCTTTGACCATATCAAGTTTAACAATCGCCTCACCGCCAATAGGGCATTATTTAGACCGAACTCCTGGGCAATGACCACGAAATCAATGGATTCGTGGACATCCGTGGCTACATGGGAGGCCATTAGTCGAGAAACGTGCGTAAGAGCTTGTTGGTATGAAGCATGGAATGACAGATAGTCCTATAAAAGAAAAAGAAAAAAGGATAGCTTTAAGAGCTTGTTGGTATGAAGCATGGAATGACAGATAGTCCTATAAAAGAAAAAGAAAAAAGGATAGCTTTAAGAGCTTGTTGGTATGAAGCATGGAATGACAGATAGTCCTATAAAAGAAAAAGAAAAAAGGATAGCTTTAGAGGTTGTCAAATTGACACTCTGATAGTGCAGAATCTTAAGTGAAGTTTTAATAATACATACACATTCACTAAAATTCCAGTCTTTTAAGTAAAACAAAGACTTTGTCACCCAATTTGAAGATGATGTTAACTTTTTCTGCGGTTAGAAATATTGTATGATTTTGAGTTCTCAGTTGGCAGACGTTGACACCTGATGTGCAGTCTGCCGAAATGCATTGTGTCCTTCAGTTTTTAAAACAGCTCTTTTTTAGAAATATTTGGTTGGTGTTTTAGTGGTAAAACAATTTTTGTTTGTAGAAGTAGATCGTCCAGGTTAGTTGAGTCCTGAGAAGGACTGTTGGCGTTGATGTTGACTGACGTTTCGACAACCTTAGCGGTAGTAATCTATATCCATTTGACTCTGAAGATGACTACAGCTAAGGTTGTCGAAACGTCAGTTAACAACAACAAAAACAACAGTCCTTCTCAGGATTACACCAACCTGGACGATCTACATTTACAAACATGTAACGATACTCCCAGGTTCAAACCATTTACTTTAAAACTGTTTTTCTTCGAACTATTAGATTATTTTGGCCATGCACATGACAATTACTCCCTTTAAATCAATTCTTTCAAAATCCTAGATTGAAGCGAGGGAAGCAATCCATTACCGCTTGTTATAGAAAATATATCCACGAAGATTACATGTAAAAAAATACCTTCAAGAACTGTACAACAACTCGTTGCTTAGAGATCTCGTTTGCACCATCGGGACTTGAAGTATCGTTCGTGTTCACCTGACTTTCCTGGTCTTCACCTTCACGTATGTCGGAAGAGCTTTTCGTAGTTGGGCCGAAATTCGGATCTAATTGTAAAAAAAATAGATGAAATAACAAAATCCACCTCTCCTACCCCACCCCCCACCCAATTATCCTAACCTCAATAGAATTGTACTCACTGAGAAATATTTTCTTTAATAACGACAAATGATTGCTGACAATCTCTTCTCTATTCTCGCTTGATTCCACCCCTTTGCTATGAAATTTAATGCAAATTGAAAAAGAAAAAATAACAACAACACATTTATGACAGAATGCATCTTCAGTTTTCCCTACCTGTGCATGTAATTATTGAATAAATCGTAATCTGGCCAGGTGGCAACGGCAGCTTTAAAGACAGCGAGGGCCTTAAAATGATCTCCCGCAACCATCTGCTTTTTAATGTTGAACAAGGCACTGATAAAAGAAAGTGTAGTCAATAACCAAATTCTTTAATCTACTATAGCTAAACTTCCAAAACCTGACATGAAAATGCATATAATTTGAAATTCCTTTACTTTATTTACACCACAAACAACATCCACTTTATACTTACAATTCAAGTGCCTCATTGACATCTCCCTGAAACTCAACGTGCTCTCCATCTTCGTCAACAATATCCTCAACGTCACAGTTATCGTCGACAACCCTCTTCACTTCATGTTCCAGTTCTTGCCATCTTTTGAGATCTACGGCACTCGTTCCTCTACTCTCGTCTACAAAAGCAGTATAAGTTATGTTATTGGGAAAAATTCTTTAATCTCCAGCAATAAAATATAAATTTTGAAAAGCAAACCTTTGGAATTATCCATTTGCTTTAATTTCGCTGTTTCTTCCTGCAACTTCTTCTCCACTTCAGCAATGGAAAACTATAAAAACACGCGAAACTAGATAGAAAATTGACAAAAAGCAATCGATATTCCTCCGTAGAGTGAATTGGCTCTGCATGGTTTCGGCAGGATTGCAGGCTTTGCCTTGAATCTTGACATATGATAATTTGTAAAGATGTATTGCTTTAATTAAGTCATGGCAGAAAAGGAAAAACGACCATCAAATGACAGTACAAAAGTCATTAGACCTGTATTTCTTTCTTTGACATATATCGTAAATACGAACTTTATAAACACATGTACAAGACAGCGTACATACTATGAAGAAATGTTGATCCAAACCTTTGATCCAAACGGATTACACATAAGATAATCCTTCAAATAGATGATTGCATTTTTCCTCACATTGGTAGAGCCATCCCGTAAGCGACCAATGACAAGACCGAGAACAACCTGTTGACGATCAACTGGAATTGCCTGATGAAATGAACAATAGGACAAAACGAGTACATGAGTGATCATAAGGATGCACGTCCTGGTGAAAGAAGTAGGGTGGGGGGGGGTTGTGGGGGATATAGGAGCGAGGTTAGATATAAATAATGGGGACAAAACGCGATAACGTAGGATATAAATACGGTAGAAGTACAATAGAAAACGATGTTGAAAGAAACGAAGAGGATAACCAAAGTCGCTTCAAGTACCTTTTCTCTGCATATATCTTGCCAAATCTGTAAGACTTTGCTTCGCACGTAACTGTTTACGTCATGAATATGAGACTGTGAAAATATAGAAAACAAATGCTTTGTACGTAACTGTTTACGTCATGAATATGAGACTGTGAAAATATAGAAAACAAATGCTTTGTACGTAACTGTTTACGTCATGAATATGAGACTGTGAAAATATAGAAAACAAATGCTTTGTACGTAACTGTTTACGTCATGAATATGAGACTGTGAAAATATAGAAAACAAATGCTTTGTACGTAACTGTTTACGTCATGAATATGAGACTGTGAAAATATAGAAAACAAATGCTTCGCACGTAACTGTTTACGTCATGAATATGAGACTGTGAAAATATAGAAAACAAATGCTTTGTACGTAACTGTTTACGTCATGAATATGACACTGTGAAAATATAGAAAACAAATGCTTTGTACGTAACTGTTTACGTCATGAATATGAGACTGTGAAAATATAGAAAACAAATGCTTTGTACGTAACAGTTTACGTCATGAATATGAGACTGTGAAAATATAGAAAACAAATGCTTTGTACGTAACTGTTTACGTCATGAATATGAGACTGTGAAAATATAGAAAACAAATGCTTTGTACGTAACTGTTTACGTCATGAATATGAGATTGTGAAAATATAGAAAACAAAACAAATGGCTATGTGTTTTTAATGCAATCATCAAAATGCTTTGCTTGTACGAGATTTCTCTCATGTAAGCAAACGCTTTAAAACCAACTTTCGCTATCATCCAGTTTACTCATCAATACATGTTTGTAAATGTAGATCGACCAGGTCGGTATAGTCCTGAGAAGGACTGTTTATGTTGTTGTTGACTGACGTTTCGATAACCTTAGCGGTAGTCATCTTCAGAGTCAAAAGATGATGACATTTGACTTTTTGACTCTGAAGATGACTAACGCTAAGGTTGTCGAAACGTCAGTCAATAACAACAAAAACAGTCCTTCTCAGGACTATACCAACCTGGACGATCTACATCTACAAACATGTAACGATACTCTCGGGTTCAAACCATTTACTTTATCACTCATCAATACATAAATAAAAAAGAAAAATAGCGCAATAGTGCAAAAGAAATACATCATTATGAACAAAGGTACTCTTGTAGCTACATAGTTTTGACCTCCAAGTCAGCGTGTAAAGAAATCTGCCAAAAGTTACCTCCAAATGATCAAGTATTTTATCTCTGGTTTTCTTCATATTATCATCAAGATTATTTCCATTTAGTCGTAAAACGATCAACTGTCCCATGACACCCAGTACACCGTTACGCATACAGTATGGCTAAATAATCAATAATAATCAATAATAATTATAAAAAAGAGTCAATATACTGCTACTATCAGGGAACAAATATATAATAGACAGGGTAACAGATTAAGGACATGTTTTTGGATGTTCCAAACAATATTATTTTAACAAGAAATTTTCATTTCTTCATTCTTTCTCGTTCCTCTTATGAAAGGGCTGGAGAGAATTGATTTTCAACTAATTCGCTTTCCGTTTCGGTTCCAGTCGTTTTTACAGAGAAAAAAACTCTGTGGAACTCGACTCTATAAAATGCTTCTGATGTCTTCATTTGCGAAAATATCTACATCCCAAAAATTACAACAACAACACCTCTGTGGCGATGATATTTACTTGAACGTGTAGAAAGCTTTGCAAAAACATACCTCGTTGTCCAAATGACAAAGCAGCAAGCTCAGGTTTGACATAATATGTTCAGGTATTCTGGAAGCGAGATCAACAAGAAACTCGGAATAATTTCTAGCTCCACTCGTGTCACGCTCCAAATCTTTAGGATCAATGCTACTGATTTCCCTAAAATAATCATTGATGGACAAATGAAAGATAATGGGACGAAGTTTGAGGAGAGCAAATCTTTCACGCTTCAAAATCTAGTGCTACCTATTTCCCATAGATGGACATATGAAATATAATGCAATGAAGTTTTGAGGAGAACGAATCTTTCACGCTTCAAAATTTTTAAAATTAATGCTACCTATTTCCCATAGATAGACTGTATGAAATATAATGGGAACTTTCGAGAAGAACAAGACCAGTAGGGAACATTTGGAGTGTGAGTTGTATTTTCTATTTGCAGTTTGTGCAGTCGAAATAAATTCATTATCACACCTCAATACACCAACAACGAGAGTCCGCGTTTCGTATTCCGTAGCACAGAGATGAACGAGTTGAGCCATAGCAGATATCAAGTGTTCAAAATGCTGCAGTAGTTGAATAACCTTGACGCCAACACTCAAACTTTGGTTGTATCGTTTCACTAAGATGGCAAGTACGTGAAGAATGTTATCACGAAGAGGTTTATCGCGGTTCAAACCATTATTCTCCATAAACTTGTAACAGCAATTGGCGAACATACTACAATGACAGCAAAAAGAACCCATAGAATGTGCAAAGTGCGTGAGAAAAACATGCACGTTTTATCTTCTATGTAAAGTACTATTTGTTATTAATGGAGAGACAAAGATAAACACGACGTCATCATATCTCATTGACCACGATGAAAATACAAGTTGTGGCCAATGGGGTTAGAGAAAAAGTTAAGAATCATGCCTCAGAGAATGAAGATATGATCTTTGCACTTTGCTGGACAATTGCTCTAAGAGCACTGCACCGGCACTGCAAAGGTCATGGGTTTGTATCCCGTTGAGTCACCTGAATTTTTCAGGCTCATGAGACAATTGCTTAAATTGTCCAGCAAAGTGCAAAGATCATATCTTCATTTAATTTCAAACACCGCACTGCATAAAACATTCTTTCATATGACATTCCTTTCACGAGAAAACACGAGCCCAACAAATTTGACCTGCTCATCACTGTGTGACTTCATAGCTCAGTTGGTCAGAGCACTGCATCGGCACCGCAGAGGACATGGGTTTGAATCCCGTTGAGTCACCTGAATTTTTCAGGTTCATGAGACAATTGCTTAAATTGTGAAATATCCTCATTATGGAATAGTTTTCAAGAGATGGAAATAAGTAAACTGTAGACACAGTTATTTTATGAGAAATAAATGATCATGTATGATTATTATGGTATTGTGAAATTTGCCAATGGCACACCATTACTAGGTCCTTTTAAAACTAACATTACAAAAGATGACTAATTTGTTATGCCAAATATATCAAAACATACTTTATACTCTCCTCTTCAGCAACGGGAGGTTCCCACAAAGAAACAAGGTTTGTGTTCAACAATTGAGTTATCATGGTGATAAAATCTCTTTTCATCTCGGGCCAATCAAAAGGTAGCGCTACAGAGGATTTCTTTGCCTTGCCATTTTTCCGTCTCTGCATGATCGAAGAAAAAAATTAAGATTCTTGCTGTTCCATGCCATGAAAAAACCAAAACAAAGTACAAATAAAATCAACCACGTCTGTTGCTGATGGCTTGCAATCTTCTCCTTCAAATTCTTCGGCAAATTGAGTTAGAAGGTAGCACAACATCTAAAAGATTTTACAGAAACCTTCATGACATTTATCTCTTTCCAGTGATCACTTGGCGTTAAGCTTACCACTTTGGTGGTACTCTTCAAATAAGCCTAGTTACCATGTACTCCACTTGGTTAAAGCTGACTAGACTATAACTCACCTTGAGAATATTACGTTGTTGTTTTTTTGTCTCCTGTTCAATACTATTCTGATCAAAGATGTTTATCAAGGTGCTCATCTGCATTGTCAGGGCTGAAAATATATTGATGTGATAAAATTTATGTACGTACAGAACAACATGTGTTCTTCCTGCTTTCTTGGAACACAAGACTTCTCGGAGATGGGTACATTGGTATTCAAGAATGAACACTTTGTGATACTAGTATACACAAACACTGCATTGTGTGCATATTTTGAATATCAGTTTAACACTGGGCATCTTAGCCACTCTATTGGTCACCAACTCACCACTAATCATTGTATACAGAATATATAAACATACACTTTATTGCTACAGTTGAAAATATATATATATAAAACAGCAAAGAACACAAAGAATTAAGAGAAGTGATGAAGAGTTTTGAGGTGGACCCAAGACTGACGATATAATTTACCTTTATTTAGGGATTCCCAGCAGTTAAATTTCAAATTTTGGTCCAATTGAGTGAAATTCCTGGTCGAAAAGATACAAGACTTTCAATCCTTCTTTGAGAAGATACTGACATAAACTGCTTTCAAATTTTTGTGTATTACGATTATATGCTTACTTCAAAACACTGAAGAAGACATCAAAATGGTGAATAATATTATCGGGTCCACAGTTCAAAGCAACGACTGCTTCTATTTATTAAAGATAAGCAAACGTTTAAAGAAAAAATTAGCAAAAAATATCAATAATATTAAGATGTCAGATGATACAAATAACCCGACCATTTAACATTCCTGGCAAACCACGGACATTGTAGACATTCTGTACAACGTATGAATCTTCGGACGGACATAAAAGGTCGTCTTTAGTTAAAGGAATGGTAAATTCAAACTCCATTTTGAAACCGACCGCCAATTTTTTATGAAAGAAATGTCAATGTACCTGCACTCAGGTGTTTAATCATTTGACGTAAATCATCCAATAAACGCCCCAAATAAAAAATGACCCTCTTCTCTAATATGCCCCTCACCTCCCCCTCCCCCCCCCACCCAACCGAGAGTTTCTTTTAGAAGCATCTCTCAAATTAAAAGCCTGTCTCTAAGAGATGTTGATCTTCGGTTTGGTTTTCAGTATCATGATCCCATAATGAAAACAAGCGACAGCTTCATTTCAGAACCTTTTAATGAAAATATGATGTTAAACTGCTAAAAGCCTTTTAATAGATAGACCTAAGCACTCCAACCAAGAATTTAATAAAATACGACTCCTTATAAATCTTCTGGTGATTGTACGTTGCTCAACTCTTCGTATTTTTCAAGATGCTTTTCTACTTCTACGTCGATATTGTCTTTATTTTCTTTACTGTGTCGTACACCATACGTCAGATATATAATCAAGCCTGAATGAAGAAAGAGTGAAGAAATGTTCTGTAAGATTCGGTTATCAACATTGGTGTGCTGATAATGCAGGAACCACACAGTCTGTTCTAAATTTACGGGGTGGAGAGACAAAAAGCATATGAACATATTCCATGCGTAGGTTGCTGAATTGAACAATTTAAACGACTTCTCCATAGAAAAGTTAACAAATCTATAACCCCCCCCCTCCACAGAAACTCAGCTCCGCAGTCCCTGCAATCTTTTTTACTTACCCAATGCTAAAAAGATTCCAAAGTATCCCCATGAAATAGCTGAAAAATGCAAGATTAGTGCCACATTGAAGGAGATGGCAGCTACAGGTAGAAGTGGCATGAATGGCATTTTGAAGTCCAGTTTCACTTGTGATTGAGGCTGCCTCATTAAAATTACAACAGCTGCCACAGCCAAGAAAAAAAACAAGCTTGTGCACAACAATATGGAAGGCTGTTTGGACGTGATTCGGTGAAATTCATGAAACAAACAAGATTCTAAAGCGAGTAGGCTGAGAAAAAATACCGTCAAAGACGTTTTGACGACAAGATAACTGTCCTCATTCGGCGCATCCAGCTTTGATCCCAAAACTCGTTTTGCCATTCTTTTTAAGATGGGGACTTTTCGAGGCAAAAGAGGTGCCATTTCAATAGCATCTTTGAATTTGATTTCATTATTAACTGATTGATGCGTCGATGGAGTTTCGTTAGAATACGACGAAAATCTTTCGTCAACTTCCTTCTCTTCAGTTATGTCAGATGTTTCCTGTATAATTGTACCGGGTTTATACCTCAACAGAACAGCAATAACGCATACAGCAGTGTATGAACATAACGAGGAAATGGACAACACGTCTGCTAGCGCTTTGATTTCAAAAAGAAGAGAAAGTAGAGCAATAATTGATCCAAACAACAGACAGCCAATGGCAGGCGTCCGAGTTCTTTCGTTAATTTTTGCTAAGAAGCCAAAAACAAGACCATCGTGTGCCATTGCATACAAGACTCGGGAGAGCTGATAAATGCCATTCAAAGAGCCAGTGGTTAGAGCACAAAGCGCACCTGCAGCAACGATGTATTTTGCAGTGCTGAAGTCTTTCTTGTCAAACGATGTTGCAAGGGATGACGTTTCTGGAATTTCACTGTAGTGAATCATCAAAGTCAAACTTATCCCAAGGCATTCGTATAGAACAGTAACTAGGACTGAAATATGAGTAAAAGTGAGAATTAGTAACTGCGGAAGTATAAATACAAAATAATGATAAAAGGCTTCGCATAGAATTACAGTTTCAAGATTTTTCCTTGCTGACTTTTTATAAAATAAATCTCAAGTAATTGCACAGACTTAATGAAGGTTTACCTTCTTAGAATGAAAAATTTGTTTCTTAGTATCGAAATGAAATGTTAAGAGCTCAAAACTGCAGACTATACATACCACTGACAGATATGATTGATCTTGGGATTGCCTTGCGAGGATTTTTGGCTTCCTCACCAGAAGTTGCAATCACCTCAAAACCGCTGAACGCGAAGAACAACGTGGACGCACCGGAGAGAATACCGTTTAAGCCAAATGGTGCAAAGTTTTTCCAATTCTTTGTGTCTGCATATGTCAATCCAGAGATAATAACAAACACAACCACACTGATGTTGAGAATTGTAAAAAACCAATTCAACGCATTTGACTGAGAAACGCCCCAAATAGTGACCAACACAAGAAACAGTGTAAAACCAAAGGCTAAAAAATCCACATACTCTGAAAGCCACGGAACTTCTAAATGACCAACGTGATTCATGAAAAAAACCTTGATGCTATCGTTACAAAGAGAGTTGACGTTCTCGCTCCATGCACGAACCACAGCGGCTGTTCCCATGGTAGAAGCAACCAGTAGCATCCAACCAATCATAAACGCGCAAAGCTCACCAACGGCAACGTAACTGTAAATATAAGCTGAGCCTGCTCGAGGGACACGGGCACCAAGCTCGGCAAAGCAAAGGCCTGAAATTTAAACCAATTATGTTAGCTACAAAAGTTTACATTCTAGTATATAGGAATTATTTATCATTGGTAAAACAGGGCAATTGCTCGGTTCGGCTACCCTTTCTTTCGGTTCTCACAGACTGAAAGGCTAAAAAATTTATTAAACTAATGAATAAAAACACAGAGAAAAAATGAGCATTTGTTTTAGGCCCACAGGAGGGTTGAAATGCGTGAAGGATCCAAATTTTCGACATCGTCAGGCTGCGTTTACGTTGTAAAGTGAGCATTAATTTTGTCAATAAAGTGGAGTGGCCTGAGTCCCATCACTATAATATAATTCAACAATCTATATTTTATATAACCTTATAATCATAGACAGTAATAAAAAACTGGTTGACTTAGACTATTTACAATTATACCTGAAAGACAACACACCAAAGCACCAATTGCAAAGGAAATAACAATAGCTGGACCAGTTTGGTCTCTAGCAACTTTCCCTGCAATGACGTAGATACCTGCCCCGACCACATTGCCAACACCAAGTGCAGTAAGATCCAACGTGGACAATTTTCTTTTTAAGGCTGTACTGTCAATTTCACTCTGAGTGAAGTGTTTTGTTCGAAAAAAGGCTCTTCGAAGCTTTTCCATTCTTTTCCTCCCGTCGAAATGATTGAATGAGTTTACTGCATCAAATGAAAGGCTACCGTCATATAAACATGACAAAATATTTGTCTTCCTTTGTGAAAATGAACGAGAGTTTCATACATTAACATGACTATTTGGATCCCCCTCAAACTTCTTTGGTTGAAATTATCGAATAGTTCACTGCATTGATCATTTGTGCAGGCAGCTTCATACAACTAGCCTTAATACACTAAAGTAGTTTCATAGTTAATCGTCTTTATTAAATCTGTTGAAGAAATGTGGACGACATGCAGATTTTGTACATGGTAATTATTGCTACCTATAAATAGTCAAAGAAAAAAATTGTAGTTCATAAAAATGTTTGCGAATTATTTTGTTTCGTGACCTATTCACCAGCAGCAATTCAAGTCAGAGTTAAGTCCACTGAAAAAATGATCGTAATTTCAACAAAATTATGAGCAACAAAAATATTTCTATTTTCTTCTGTTTCTCGCATGTTTGAACCATAGAAATACCTTACTCATAAATGTGATAACGACAAAGCAAAGTACATCTACAATGGGGGAATGAAATCTTACCTTTAAAGATTGTTCTTGATGTATTACGAAGACCAATGATGAAATCACTGTAAGCAATGACTTTACACAAAGAGAAATAATTATGCAGTGGAGCTATAAAACTCGGTAGGCATTTCGTGAGTTGGTCATATGAAAGACGACAGTTGTCATAAGATAGTCATGGCCTTATTCATTCTACACGCCATGCAACTCCCTTACATAACGTCAATAAAATGTCCACCCGTAATACATAAAGACGACATTGCATGATCTCCGTCGCGAACTTGTCTATTGCTTTCCTTAGTATATAACGTGAGGCAGGCAGATAATCTAAATGAAAACCATTTAAGATAGCCAGATGAATTAATGTATTAACAGACATTTTAAAAAAATTAGGTCACGAAACTCATGTCAAATCAAGGCGACAACTTTCAACACTTCTCTGTCACAATGGGGCATCAATCTTTCATTTGTCTAATTAAAATTTTCCCACGTGAGAGTAGAAAAGTTTTAAACTTCTTTAGCAAATACAACACAATTTTGAGCTGAGATGAAAACCAAATAATATCGTTCATACGATACACAAAATACAACTTCAGAAGAAATCATAAATTATGCCCCGTTTCAACAGTTGTTGGATAGACTTTAAAACAGTTTTGTTTATATTGCCCAGAGGGTTCGTAGGTCATGCTTGACTTGAAGGAAAATATATTTTAAAGTTGTTTAATTGTATCAACATTATAAAAGAGTAAAATCATTCACACTACAAAGCGATTTGTTTCAAAATTCTTGAAACTTCTGACTAAATACAAAAGGATGAATATTGGCAGATGACATCATCACTTACTAGTTTTTAGGATCACCCTCGTCACATGATGTTTGGTAAAATATGTTCAGGTGTTCTGGAATAATATCGTCAGGGCCACCGTCCAACGCTCTGACTGCTTCTATTTATTAAAGATAATCAAGTGTTTCAAGAGAAAATTTGCAGAAGATATCAATGATATTGAGAATATTGGGATGTCAGATGTTATTAACCCAACCATTTAACATTCCTGGCAGGCCAAGTAAACCCATAAATATCTTTTAATAGAGTTCACTGAGCAAGCCACAGATATGGTAAACACTCTGTACAACGTATGAATCTTCGGAGGGGCATAAAAGATGGCTTTAGTTAAAGGAATGATAAAATCAAACTCCATTTTTATAATTATAAAACATTATTTGAAAACCGACCTACAATTTTTCATAAAAAAATGTCAATGTACCTGCACTCAGGTGTTTAATCATTTGACGTAGTAAATTATCCAATAAACGCCCCTTGTCAAATAACGCCTAGTATATAATAAAAGAAGACTCTCTCTAATGAACGCAAAGTGAAAGATGTTGATCTTCGGTTTGGTTTTCAGTATCATAATCCTATAATGAAAACAAACGACAGCTTCATTTCAGAACCTTTTAATGAAAATATGTCAAACTGCTAAAAACCGTTAGATAGACCTAAGCACTGTAACAAAGAATTTAACACAATATGACTCCTTCTGAATAGTTTTAAGATTGCATTTTTCTCATTTCTTCGTATTATTGTTAAGACGCTTTTCTAAATCAGCAATGTCCTTATTTTCTTTACTGTGTCGTACACCATACGTCAGATATATAATCAAGCCTAAATGAAGAGTAAAGAAATGTACTGTAAGATTCGGTTATCAACATTGGTGTGCTGATAATGCAGGAACCACACAGTCTGTTCTAAATTTACGGGGGGTGGAGAGACAAAAAGCATATGAACATATTTCATGCGTAGGTTGCTGAATTGAACAATTTAAACGACTTCTCCATGGAAAAGTTAACAATCTATAACCCCCCCCCCTCCATAAAAACTCAGCTCCGCAGTCCCTGCAATCTTTTTTACTTACCCAATGCTAAAAAGATTCCAAAGTATCCCCATGAAATAGCTGAAAAATGCAAGATTAGTGCCACATTGAAGGAGATGGCAGCTACAGGTAGAAGTGGCATGAATGGCATTTTGAAGTCCAGTTTCACTTGTGATTGAGGCTGCCTCATTAAAATTACAACAGCTGCCACAGCCAAGAAAAAAAACAAGCTTGTGCACAACAATATGAAAGGCTGTTTGGACGTGATTCGGTGAAATTCATGAAACAAACAAGATTCTAAAGCGAGTAGGCTGAGAAAAAATACCGTCAAAGACGTTTTGACGACAAGATAACTGTCCTCATTTGGTGCATCCAGCTTTGATCCCAAAACTCGTTTTGCTATTCTTTTTAAGATGGAGACCTTTCGAGGCAATGGAGAAGCCATTTCAATAGCATTTTTGAATTTGATTTCACAATTAACTGATTGATGTGTCAAAAAAATTTTATTTGAATGCGATGAAAATCTTTCGTCAACTTCCTTCTCTTTAGTTATGTCAGATGTTTCCTGTATAATTGTACCGGGTTTATATCTCAACAAAACCGCAATAACGCATACAGCAGTGTATGAACATAACGAGGAAATGGACAACACGTCTGCTAGCGCTTTGATCTCAAAAATAAGGGAAAGTAGAGCAATGAACGATCCAAAGACCAGACAGCCAATGGCAGGCGTCCGGGTTCTTTTGTTGATTTTTGCCAAGAAGCCAAAAACAAGACCATCGTGTGCTATTGCATACAAGACTCGGGAGAGCTGATAAATTTCATTCAAAGAGCCAGTGCTTAGAGCACAAAGCGCACCTGCAGCAACGATGTATTTTGCAGTGCTGAAGTCTTTCTTGTCAAACGATGTTGCAAGGGATGACGTTTCTGGAATTTCACTGTAGTGGATCATCAAAGTCAAACTTATCCCAAGGCATTCGTATAGAACAGTAACTAGGACTGAAATATGAGTAAAAGTGAGAATTAGTAACTGCGGAAGTATAAATACAAAATAATGATAAAAGGCTTCGCATAGAATTACAGTTTCAAGATTTTTCCTTGCTGACTTTTTATAAAATAAATCTCAAGTAATTGCACAGACTTAATGAAGGTTTACCTTCTTAGAATGAAAAATTTGTTTCTTAGTATCGAAATGAAATGTTAAGAGCTCAAAACTGCAGACTATACATACCACTGACTGATATGATTGATCTTGGGATTGCCTTGCGAGGATTTTTGGCTTCCTCACCAGAAGTTGCAATCACCTCAAAACCGCAGAACGCGAAGAACAACGTGGACGTACCGGAGAGAATACCGTTCAAGCCAAATGGTGCAAAGTTCTTCCAATTCTTTGTGTCTGCATATGTCAATCCAGAGATAATAACAAAAACAAGTACACTGATGTTGAGAATTGTAAAAAACCAATTCAACGCATTTGATTGAGAAACGCCCCAAATAGTGATCAACACAAGAAACAGTGTATAACCAAAGGCTAGAAAATCCACATACTCTGAAAGCCACGGAATTTCTAAATGACCAACGTGATTCATGAAAAAAACCTTGATGCTATCGTTACAAAGAGAGTTGACGTTCTCGCTCCATGCACGCATCTCAGCGGCTATTCCCATGGTGGAAGCAACCAGTTGCATCCAACCAATCATAAACGCGCAAAGCTCACCAAAGACAACGTAACTGTAAATATAAGCTGAGCCTGCTCGAGGAACACGGGCACCAACCTCGGCAAAGCAAAGACCTGAAATTCAAACCAATTATCGTAAAGCATGCTTAAAATAGTTTATATACTAGTATATAGGAATGTTTTATCATCAGTTAAACAGGACAATTGCCAAGTTTGGCTGCTCTATCTTTTAGCTTTCACTAACTGAAAGGCTGACAATTTCTTAATCTAATCAATTTAAACAAAGAGGAAAAAGAATTATTTCTTTCAGACACAATCACCAGCTCCCAATTTTTGATGCTTCGTTCGTCAAAAAATTGGAGTGGCCTGAGTCCCATCACTATAATATAATTCAACAATCTATATTTTATATAACCTTATAATCATAGACAGTAATAAAAAACTGGTTGACTTAGACTATCTACAATTATACCTGAAAGACAACACACCAAAGCACCAATTGCGAAGGAAATAACAATAGCAGGACCAGTTTGGTCTCTAGCAACTATCCCTGCAATGACGTAGATACCTGCCCCGACCACATTGCCAACACCAAGTGCAGTAAGATCCAACGTGGACAATTTTCTTTTTAAGGCTGTACTGTCAATTTCACTCTGAGTAAAGTGTTTTGTTCGAAAAAAGGCTCTACGAAGCTTTTCCATTCTTTTCCTCCTGTCGAAATCATTGAAAGAGTTTATTGCATCAAGAGAAAGGCTACCGTCATATAAACATGACAAAAGTATTTGTGTCCCCTTTGTTAAAATGAACGACAGTTTCCTGCAATGACCATTTGGACCCCCCTCAAACCTCTTCGATAGAAATTATCGAAACGTTCGATGTATTAATCATTTGTGCAGGCAGCTTCATACAACTAGCCTTCATACACTAAAGTAGTTTCATGGTTTATAGTCTTTGTTAAATCTGTAGAAGAAATGTGGACGACATGCAGATTTTATAGATGGTAATTTTTGCTACCAATAAATAGTCAAAGAAAAAAATTGTATTTGATAAAAACGTTCGCAAATTATTTTGTTTCATGACCTATTCATCAGCAGCAACCATGCATCAGCCGCATATAATGAACTCAAGTCAGACTAAAGTCCACTGAAAAAAAACGATCGTAATTTTAAGAAAATTAAGAGCAACAAAAGCATTTCCATTCTCTTTTGATACTCGCATGTTTTAATCAAGGAAATATCTTAGTCATAAATGTGATAACGACAAAGCAACTTACATTTACAATTTACAATGGGGAATGAAATCTTACCTTTAAAGATTGTTCTTGATGTATTACGAAGACCAATGATGAAATCACTGTAAGCAATCACTTCACACAAAGAGAAATAACAAATTATGCAACACGAGCTATGCCAATAAGCATTGCACAATTGGTCATATGACAAACGACAGTTGTCAAAAAGAAAGAGTCACATGACATTGTCCCAGTTATTGTACAACCTATGCAACTGTTATATACAACGTCAACAAAATACTCAGCCGTACAGTACTTATAGAGAGCATTGATCTCCTTCGCAAACTTTGTCGATTTCTTGTCTGTTGTTTGCCTCAGTAAACAACTTGAGACAGGCAGATAATCTAAATGAAAACCATTTAAGCAATAGATGAATATATTCTTAACAAACACTTAGAAAAAATTACGTCACGAAAATCATGTCAAATCGTGCAGACAACTTTCAACGTCTTCGTCACAATGGGTATCAATCTTTCACTAGCCTAATTACAATTTTCCCACGTGAAAGTAGATTTTAAAAAAATTACTTCGAAATACGACACTAGTTTTGAGCTCAGATAAAAACTAAATAACATCGTTATTGCGACTCGAAATACAACTTCAGAAGAAATATAAACGATTCTCCATTTCAAAAAATTGCTCCTTTAAATTTCTTTGGTGTAAGAAACGCGTATCAAGGCAGATTTCAAACAATTATTGTTTATATTGCTGTGAGGGTTCGTACGTGGGTCATGCTTGGCCTGGAGAAAAATGATTTTTAAAGATGTTTAATTGGTATCAACATTTATCATTAACACAAAATCATTAACAATACTAAGCAATTTGTTCACAAATTCTCGAAACTTCGGTAAAGAAAACGATGAACAGTGACAGGTGACATCATCACTGACTAATTTTAAGGTTCATCCTCGTCACACGATGATCACAAGAGGACACATATGTGTATAGTAACGAGCATATTGAAAGTACCGCATGATTTTCTGCAGGACGTCTATTTCACGAGACTTGTCAATCAGCAAACTTTGTTCATTTCAACAATTGACATAATACCAAAATCAAATCATATCTCTTCCTTCAAACAATGCCAAGTTCACGCAATATAGAATGTTCCCACCTGTAATCCGACAATTTTACGACGTGAAGAAGGAAGAGAGAGGAGCATTGCTCGATTATAATGAAAAAAATATTTATTATTCTTCGGTTGTGTTTTCCACTTGTGCATAATTTGGTTCGTTGGTCATCCAATTTTCTTCATTTTGTTTGCTGTATCTGATACCATAAGATAAATAGATCACCATACCTACGACAAGAAAAGAAAGAACACTAACACAAGTTCATCAGTCATTTTCATAGAAAGGACGGATGACAAGGTCACTGTCGATTTCAAAAACAAATTTTCTGTCTCTAAACCGGTTTCTGCATGTTTTGTGATGAAAACTGAGCTGGTTGAAAAATTGTTGTGTTATTGCATTTCCTAAATTACAATATAGCTTCACGATTAAAAATGACCAAAAATTCTCACTTTCAAAATATCTGGCTTACGCAAAAAAGCTATGTTCAAGTCTCCCTAAAATACTCAAAACGCACGCACTCTTTTGGAAAAACAAGTCAAATAATATCACAATCTTAAAACTCACCGATCGTCATCCAAACAGCAAACCGTATCCAAGTAAGACTTCTCAATTCCAAAAGTAAAAAGACGTTGATGAAAACCGCTGCCAGGGGTAGATGTGGTAAAAATGGAACCTTGAAATAAAGGCTTGCCTTTCTCTCCGGTTGACGGGAGATGACGTCAACAGTCAATAACATCCACGTTACAAATAAAACAAAAATAATGATCACGTAGGGATTCTTGGATCGTAAGTAGTCCATGCCCCATATAAGGCATGATTCTAGTCCTATCACGCTCAAGAGAAAGATAATTAAAGAAACTTTAACAACAAGATAACTATCTTCATTTGGCTCATCAAGACGTCTTCCAATAATGCACTGCCCAAGTCTCGTCAGTATAGGAAGTGTTTCATTAAAGTTTTTTGACGATGATATTTCTTTCTCTGGAACTTCTCCACCTCCCAAAGTTTCAATGTCATCATCAATCAACATTTCTCCAGGGTCAGCGGTCACTTCTTTAATGATGTTACCAGGCCTATACCGTAATAGAATCACACTGATGGCCACTATGGTGTACGACAACAGAGTTCCAACAGAAAGCATCTCGGTTAGTGAAGCCAAATCGAAAAACATTGCAAGCAAGGCCGTCAACAGCCCGCTACTAAGACACGCTATGAGAGGGGTACCTGTGCGGTCGTTAACTTTTGCAAAACAACTAAAAATGAGTCGGTCGCTTGCCATAGAGTACATAATCCGAGGAATGGGAAATAGGCCATCTAGTACACTCGCACTGAGGCCACAGATCGCACCAACAGCAACGACATATTTTCCTGTTGAAAAACCCCGTATTTCAAAGGTCGTTGCTAAAGCTGAAGTCTCAGGCAAGCTATGGTAGGGTAACATTAAAGTAAGCGTCACCGAGACACTCTCATACGCCAAAAATATAACGACTAAAACAAAAAAAAACACAAAATCATTATAAAAGATACAATGACCAAACAGAAAATTGTCAAAACTCACACAGTGCAGCCACGGTAGCTCTTGGAATAGCCTTATGAGGATTTTTCGCTTCTTCTCCGGACGTGGCGATCACGTCGAAGCCAACAAATGCAAAAAAACAAGTGGAAGCACCAGACATAATGCCATGGAATCCCCATGGTGCAAAATCACTCCAGTTCCCCGTGTCTGCAAAGGTCAGTCCAACAAACGTAACGAAAGCGATGACAGCTAGATTTAGGATCGTTAACACCAAGTTGAAGGTAGTCGATTCAGAAACACCACATGTTATGATGATCACTGAAACTGCTATCACAGCAAACGCCAAAAAATCAGGATACTCGGACAACCAATGAACTTTGAATGCTCCAATATGCTCAATGAGCAAATTCTTCACACAGTTGTGACATAATGAATTAAAAAAATCGCTCCACGCTTTAGCTACCGCCGCAGCACCCATGATGTATTCAAGAAGCATGTTCCAGCCAATCACAAAAGCGATAAGTTCACCAACAGTGACGTAACTGTAAATGTAGGCAGAGCCTGACTTTGGTACTTGAGCTCCAAACTCTGCATAACAGAGACCTAAACATCAAAATAATACTTAATTAAAAGCAAAGTTATACTTGAAGGTGAAATAAATCTTTCGGATGAAAAAATTATTCAGAATGACGAAGAGCTTACGAAATGGAAAAGATGGTGAGGATGTAGATGACATGAGTATGTTTAAAATAAAATGACAAAGGATTTGGGAGGAAAGTGACCAAATATGGCATGAATATGCTTAATTAAATGACAAGGGAATGGGTACTATTATCATCCAACATGTTTACAACATTAATTACACACCTGAAAGGAGAGATGCAACAGCTGCAATGGCAAACGAGACAACTATGGCAGGACCAGCCTGATTCCTTGCTATTTCCCCCACAAGAACATAAACTCCTGCTCCTAATGTACAACCAATCCCAAGAGCTGTGAGATCCAACGTAGATAAGCATCGTTTTAGTTGAGTTTCTTCAACTTCGCTTGTGGTGAAAGTTTTAGTTCTTTGAAATGCCTTAATTATTTTCGTGGTCATTGTGCAGCATTCACAGATATTACCACCATCTATCCATTGATGTTCCTGTTTCAAAATATTCAATGGAAAATTGGACGTCAAAATACGACGAATTGGTAAGGTTACCTACAGTGGCGGATTACTAGTTACAAAGTTGTTGAACTTTAAAGCCTGGTTCACACTAGTCGTAAGAGTGGGAAAAATCGTAGTGTTTTATCATGTGCGACCGTCTCAGTAATTTACTGGTAAGTGTGAACATAGCAAATACGGGATCCCAGATAATTGAGATCCAACGTAGATAAGCATCGTTTCAGTTGAGTTTCTTCAACTTCGCTTGTGGTGAAAGTTTTAGTTCTTTGAAATGCCTTAATTGTTTTCGTGGTCATTGTGCAGCATTCACAGATATTACCACCATCTATCCATTGATGTTCCTGTTTGGAAATATTCATTGAAAAACTCAATGTTAAAATACGACTGAGTTAATGAAAATTGATGACAAATATGTAATCATATTGTAATCATGTTGCTGATGGTCAATTATATGTTATTCCACAATGCGACTATTTTAACAAAACAGTGGATATTCAACACAAATGAACTACTAAAATGAGAAATGCACTTTATTAAATCATTATTTAAAAAAAATTTCTCTAGAAATTTATTGATTTCGACCAAACATACGGGATGGCTACACCACTGCTTATGAGTTATGACGAGTGCACAATATAAATGGCCAAGTGTTTCAACAAGCCGCCATTTCTACAATTACATATACAATTGAAAGGTTTTGGTCAAACAATCAAGACACTGACGGAAGAAATCTAATACCTTGATAAATGAAAGCGCGTGAGTCTGACATAACCATTTATATTTGTCAAACACAACATGCAAATATTTTTCTTAACTTAGAAAACCAGTCATGTGAAACACGTTCATTATAAGTCGAAGATGTACAATATATGTTTATCAATGTGATATAACTTTACAATACAATTATTGAAAATAAGTATCAATTTCAAATCGTAGGCCTGTGGGCAAGCATATATTTTCAATATTTCTACGATATTTGCGTGTATAATCCAAGTTAGGTCATCTTCAAATAGCAACGTATAAATTATTAATTGTTCCAAATTAGTTTCATACTACTGTAGATGTTTATAAAGTCAATATCACATGTCAGGGCAACCTTATCTCCACTAGAATAACGAATTCCATTTATGTATTAAAATTGCAAGTTAGACAATGAATGTACTATAACAAAATAAACTTCTTACGATTTCGAGATCCATAAGCCTTTCTGTAACATCACAAATAACTATTTTAGGATTAATCATGAAGGAATACCTGAATTAGAGAAATGCCGGTTGCAATTTTTGTTCTTCTTGTTTCTACTTGCTTCTCGCAATATGAAACGTCAATCGTGTTGTCGTTGTCGTAAATCAACCTGCAGTAAATAAGACGACCTGCAGTGAACAGGAAGATCTATATAACAACCTGGTACACGATTTTAAAACAAATTTTACCGTATTTCTACGATTTATCTTCATGCGTTATTTTTTCCTATCTTTGAAATGGAGGATTGTTTTTAGGCGGGCAAAACTGTAAGCGCGTATTATTTCACGCAACACACGCTTCAAAAATATCAATAATAAAGTCTTAAACACATGATTTTGTTTGGAATTTCGAGCAAAAGAAGGTGACTTTTTTGATTTCTGCATTAGTAAAGCTCAAACGAATGAACGCTTGTATCAACGAAGATAAAAACCCCAAGCCTTTCTAATTCTTCTCTATGAAATGAAAAATTCTATGTTTCTGCATTACACGTCTCACTCCAGCTACACGGCCTACACCCTAAGACATATCATCCTCAAGCATTCTGCCATTCATGCTGAGATGATTTTCCAAAGAGACCACGGAAAATTGTTTCATTGATCTCAGTTTAATAGCACGCACACTTTATGATGGCTCAACCGTAATCATCCCTTCACTACTTTGGCTATAGCTTACGATGTCTAAGAAATAAGTCAATGCCATACAGGTAGAAAATTTTACTTTAATAATACGTCGCCTCCTTTATAAACAGTTTCTCTTGTTATAACTTACTTGTGGATTGCGAATGCAATTGTTAGATTACCATACAAGAATTGTTTGACGAAATAACTACTTTCGATATCTTCAGCTTTTATTTTTCCCAAAAAATAAACGCGAGGAAGTGTGAAACATAAACAATTAAACATAAGTTTCCTTAAAAGGTTAGATGAAAAAAAAAACAGCACTCATAAGTCATAAGATAGTCATAATCCCACAACACGCTCCCTTTCCTCCATTCCACACACCACGAGACTCTATCACATACATGCAAACTTCACTAGATTTTCTAATGGTAAAACAGCTGATTTAGCCAGCTACATATAATTCCCTATGTACTAAATAACACTCACAAAATGCTCAGCGTTATTATTTATAGGATACAGATCAATTCCATCTTCTTCGTTAAGTCTTCAATTTCCTGTCGGCCGTTAGCTGTAGCATACAAAGTGAAACAGGCAGATACTCTAAATGAAAACCATAAGGGTTGCAGATGAAATTGAATTTGAAAGCAGCAAATACTGGATCCCAGACAATTGAGATCCAACGTAGATAAGCATCGTTTCAGTTGAGTTTCTTCAACTTCGCTTGTGGTGAAAGTTTTAGTTCTTTGAAATGCCTTAATTATTTTCGTGGTCATTGTGCAGCATTCACAGATATTACCACCATCTATCCAATGATGTTCCTGTTTGGAAATATTCATTGAAAAACTCAATGTTAAAATACGACTGAGTTAATGAAAATTGATGACAAATATGATTAGTTGCTGATGATCAATTATATGTCATTCCACAGTGCGACTATTTTAACAAAACAGTGGATATTCAACACAAATGAACTACTAAAATGAGAAATGCACTTTATTAAATCATTATTTAAAAAAAATTTCTCTAGAAATTTATTGATTTCGACCAAACATACGGGATGGCTACACCACTGCTTATGAGTTATGACGAGTGCACAATATAAATGGCCAAGTGTTTCAACAAGCCGCCATTTCTACAATTACATATACAATTGAAAGGTTTTGGTCAAACAATCAAGACACTGACGGAAGAAATCTAATACCTTGATAAATGAAAGCGCGTGAGTCTGACATAACCACTTATATTTGTCAAACACAACAAATATTTTTCTTAACTTAGAAAACCCGTCATGTGAAACACGCTCATTATAAGTCGAAGATGTTTATCAATGTGATATAACTTTGCAATACAATTATTGAAAATAAGTATCAATTTCAAATCGTAGGCCTGTGGGCAAGCATATATTTTCAATATTTCTACGATATGTGATATGTGTCTGTATAATCAAAGTTAGGTCATCTTCAAATAGCAACGTATAAATTATTAATTGTTCCAAATTAGTTTCACACTACTGTAGATCATTGCTTTAGCTTAGTTCTATAATTGAAAAGACTCCGTGATGGTTTTGTCTAATGTTTATAAAGTCAATATCACATGTCAGGGCAACCTTATCTCCACTAGAATAACGAATTCCATTTATGTATTAAAATTGCAAGTTAGACAATGAATGTACCATAACAAAATAGACTTCTTACGATTTCGAGATCCATAAGCCTTTCTGTAACATCACAAATAACTATTTTAGGATTAATCATGAAGGAATACCTGAACTAGAGAAATGCCGGTTGCAATGTTTGTTCTTCTTGTTTCTACTTGCTTCTCGCAATATGAAACGTCAATCGTGTTGTCGTTGTCGTAAATCAACCTGCAGTAAATAAGACGACCTGCAGTGAATAGGAAGATCTATATAACAACCTGGTACACGATTTTAAAACAAATTTTACCGTATTTCTACGATTTATCTTCATGCGTTATTTTTTCCTATCTTTGAAATGGAGGATTGTTTTTAGGCGGGCATAACTGTAAGCGCGTATTATTGCACGTAACACACGCTTCAAAAATATCAATAATAAAGTCTTAAACACATGATTTTGTTTGGAATTTCGAGCAAAAGAAGGTGACTTTTTTGATTTCTGCATTAGTAAAGCTCAAACGAATGAACGCTTGTATCAACGAAGATAAAAACCCCAAGCCTTTCTAATTCTTCTCTATGAAATGAAAAATTCTATGTTTCTGCATTACACGTCTCACTCCAGCTACACGGCCTACACCCTAAGACATATCATCCTCAAGCATTCTGCCATTCATGCTGAGATGATTTTCCAAAGAGACCACGGAAAATTGTTTCATTGATCTCAGTTTAATAGCACGCACACTTTATGATGGCTCAACCGTAATCATCCCTTCACTACTTTGGCTATAGCTTACGATGTCTAAGAAATAAGTCAATGCCATACAGGTAGAAAATTTTACTTTAATAATACGTCGCCTCCTTTATAAACAGTTTCTCTTGTTATAACTTACTTGTGGATTGCGAATGCAATTGTTAGATTACCATACAAGAATTGTTTGACGAAATAACTACTTTCGATATCTTCAGCTTTTATTTTTCCCAAAAAATAAACGCGAGGAAGTGTGAAACATAAACAATTAAACATAAGTTTCCTTAAAAGGTTAGATGAAAAAAAAAACAGCACTCATAAGTCATAAGATAGTCATAATCACACAACACGCTCCCTTTCCTCCATTCCACACACCACGAGACTCTATCACATACATGCAAACTTCACTAGATTTTCTAATGGTAAAACAGCTGATTTAGCCAGCTACATATAATTCCCTATGTACTAAATAACACTCACAAAATGCTCAGCGTTATTATTTATAGGATACAGATCAATTCCATCTTCTTCGTTAAGTCTTCAATTTCCTGTCGGCCGTCAGCTGTAGCATACAAAGTGAAACAGGCAGATACTCTAAATGAAAACCATAAGGGTTGCAGATGAAATTGAATTTGAAAGCAGCAAAGATAAATCAGCAGAAATTTGAAAAATTTTAAGACATGAAAATCACGTTACATCATAGTGTCGACAGCATCCAGCCTCGACATTTCGTTACCAAAAGGGAGTTATCTGCCATTTCGTAAATACTTTGTTCGCGGATGAAAGTAGATTAGAGAAATTTTTTCTACATTAAGCAAGTCCTCTGATAACAATTGAATAACATCGTCAATACAACACTAAATGTGCAACTTGAGAAGAATTTTAAGAGGGTAGAGGCATCCACTTGCAAAGGTTACTTCACGACTGGTTAGTGGCAGGGGTGAATTCAAAAGACATCTTAGGCCCTGCTAATTTGGCGTTTTCATTGTATGCATTATCTTGAATGCCAGTCACTTTTATTAAACTTATTACTACCAATCCATGTTATTTGCTATTACAATCATAATAAATCAAGATAATTCTTTTAGAAAAATGCTATTTACTTGTTGTTATGTAGAAACTTTGCCCACGATGTAAAACCTTGCATATTATTGTGTATAGTTAAAATACAAAATACACTTCACATAATTCGCGTTGAAACACGCAAAATGCTGTGTAGGCCAGATTTCGTACAATTACCCCGAGGGTTCTCTGGTCTCCATAATTTCGTAGAAGACCTACTGCTAACGCGCATTTTCTATATACGACGAGTTTTTTTAAAACAGACATGTTTCGACATCTCATGTCTGTTTCTCTGGTCATACAACGCTATGTCAACACTAAGCATTCTCCTTCCGCCCACCCATACCTCACCACACATGTGAAGGGAAGAGGAAGGAGTAAAAATGATTGCTCAACTATAATCATTAAAATAAATAATCATTATTCTACGGTTGTACTTTTCAGTTTAAAGTAACTTCGTTCGCTCGTTTTTCAATTTTCTTCATTTTGTTTGCTGTATCTGATGCCGTATGATAAATAAATCACCATACCTAAGACAAGAAAAGTAAGAAAACTTCGAATGTCATAGAGGCTGGTTTTTATGAGAAATATTAAACTTCAATGAAAATGAGCAAAACCTCTCAGTTCCAATAAATCTGGTTACGTGCAAAAGTAAGTTCCAGTCTCCTTCGGAAACGCAAACACACTCTTGTGGAAAAACAAGTCAAATAATATCACAATCTTAAAACTCACCGATCGTCATCCAAACAGCAAACCGTATCCAAGTAAGACTTCTCAATTCCAAAAGTAAAAAGACGTTGATGAAAACCGCTGCCAGGGGTAGATGTGGTAAAAATGGAACCTTGAAATAAAGGCTTGCCTTTCTCTCCGGTTGACGGGAGATGACGTCAACAGCTAATAACATCCACGTTACAAATAAAACAAAAATAATGATCACGTAGGGATTCTTGGATCGTAAGTAGTCCATGCCCCATATAAGGCATGATTCTAGTCCTATCACGCTCAAGAGAAAGATAATTAAAGAAACTTTAACAACCAGATAACTATCTTCGTTTGGCTCATCAAGACGTCTTCCCATAATGCACTGTCCAAGTCTCGTCAGTATAGGAAGTGTTTCATTAAAGTTTTTTGACGATGAAATTTCTTTCTCTGGAACTTCTCCACCTCCCAAAGTTTCAATGTCATCATCAATCAACATTTCTCCAGGGTCAGCGGTCTCTTCTTTAATGATGTTACCAGGCCTATACCGTAATAGAATCACACTGATGGCCACTATGGTGTACGACAACAGAGTTCCAACAGAAAGCATCTCGGCTAGTGAAGCCAAATCGAAAAACATTGCAAGCAAGGCCGTCAACAGCCCGCTACTAAGGCACGCTATGAGAGGGGTACCTGTGCGGTCGTTAACTTTTGCAAAACAACTAAAAATGAGTCGGTCGCTTGCCATAGAGTACATAATCCGAGGAATGGCAAATAAGGCATCTAGTACACTCGCACTGAGGCCACAGATCGCACCAACAGCAACGACATATTTTCCTGTTGAAAAACCACGTATTTCAAAGGCCGTTGCTAAAGCTGAAGTCTCAGGCAAGCTATGGTAGGGTAACATTAAAGTAAGCGTCACCGAGACACTCTCATACGCCAAAAATATAACGACTAAAACAAAAAAAACAAAATCATTATAAAAGATACAATGACCAAACAGAAAATTTTTAAGACTCACACAGTGCAGCCACAGTAGCTCTTGGAATAGCCTTATGAGGATTTTTCGCTTCTTCTCCGGATGTGGCGATCACGTCGAAGCCAACAAATGCAAAAAAACAAGTGGAAGCACCAGACATAATGCCATGGAATCCCCATGGTGCAAAATCACTCCAGTTCCCCGTGTCTGCAAAGGTCAGTCCAACAAACGTAACGAAAGCGATGACAGCTAGATTTAGGATCGTTAACACCAAGTTGAAGGTAGTCGATTCAGAAACACCACATATTACGATGGTCACTGAAACTGCTATCACAGCAAACGCCAAAAAATCAGGATACTCGGACAACCAATGAACTTTGAATGCTCCAATATGCTCAATGAGCAAATTCTTCACACAGTTGTGACATAATGAATTAAAAAAATCGCTCCACGCTTTAGCTACCGCTGCACCAGCCATGATGTATTCAAGAAGCATGTTCCAGCCAACCACAAAAGCGATAAGTTCACCGACAGTGACGTAACTGTAAATGTAGGCAGAGCCTGACTTTGGTACTTGAGCTCCAAACTCTGCATAACAGAGACCTAAATATCAAAATAATACTTAATTACAAGGAAACTTATACTTGACGGTGAAATAAATCTCTCACATAAAAAAGAATGGTGCAAAATAAAAGAGAAGCTTATAAAATGGAGAAGAGAAGGTGGGGTAACAAAATAAGGCACGAGGATATATAAAATAAAATGTCAAAGGGTGAGAGAACAAGAGGATTGATCAAAATAACACACCTGAAAGGAGAGATGCAACAGCTGCAATGGCAAACGAGACAACTATGGCAGGACCAGCCTCATTCCTTGCTATTTGCCCCACAAGAACATACACTCCTGCTCCTAATGTACAACCAATCCCAAGAGCTGTGAGATCCAACGTAGATAAGCATCGTTTCAGTTGAGTTTCTTCAACTTCGCTTGTGGTGAAAGTTTTAGTTCTTTGAAATGCCTTAATTATTTTCGTGGTCATTGTGCAGCATTCACAGAAATTACCACCATCTATCCATTGATGTTCCTGTTTCAAAATATTCAATGGAAAATTGGACGTCAAAATACGACGAATTGGTAAGGTTACCTACAGTGGCGGATTACTAATTACAAAGTTGTTGAACTTTAAAGCCTGGTTCACACTAGTCGTAAGAGTGGGAAAAATCGTAGTGTTTTATCATGTGTGATCGTCTCAGTAATTTACTGATAAGTGTGAACATAGCAAATACGGGATCCCAGATAATTGAATGTATGTGCAAGTAAGATTCATTCCTACATTTGCCTTTATTATCGCCTCATTATCAAAACAGTTTTTGTAATAAATAAGTCATGTGGAACAATGCATTTGAATAAAGTTGATGAATAAGTTTGAAACTTTGAAATACACAACTTGAAAAGATTTTGGCATCAATGTTAAATTCTAAGTATGTTATTCCATTTTCTTCGGTTGGTAAATCGCCAATATTTTATTCTCTATAATTTTACAACTTACAGATTTCTAAAATGAAGTATCGATGAATCATTACAGCATGTGATGTTAGGTCATAGTTATAAATTAAAACGTATGGACGCTTCGTTCCTCGCAGTTTAAATTTCAATCCTGAAGATGCAATAATTTAGTTTAGTAATGCAGTTAGAAAAATGCGCTTTGTCCTAACGGTCAAAGAGTCGACATAACGTACATAACGTAGATGATTTGTTTATATAAGAATTGGAGAAAACTCATTTCTCATTCACACAAACATCTCAGTATAGCATAACAAAACATTCAACATTAGTCATGAATACATACCTTTCATTGGCACAGAGCCGTTTAAAATTTTCTTTTTCCTCCTTTTTCTTTCACGAATGATGAACCGGCAATCGCCTCCTCAATAACTCCAATAACAAAGACAACAGTCAACGTGTCAAGGATCTATATATACGACGATCTGCTGGTGCATGAATGTGAAACACTTCAAATCACTGATGTGAAACCATGTCTAAAAGATTCTCAACAAAAATTAGCATGTAAATATGTAAATAGTTATATTAAGTAGGTCAAGAATGGTTTTACGGCGAGAGTCCAAAAATGTGGGATGAATTTATAACTAATATATATTGTGTAAAAAATAGCGATTGGCTCTAACACTCTGTAGTTGTTTTTCATCTCTGGTGAAGAATAAGATGCAGTGTTTTATTCATTCTCACGCTGTGTCTCTAAGTTTAGTGCGTTGTCATGTATATAGCAAGTTCGTAAATCCAAATGACTTAATTGATAAATTCAACAATTAATAATTCTCGATGAAGCATTATCATACAATGAATAAATACCGTACAGCGCACGAACTAACTACAACAATATACACACATTTCAGCGTCTTGATTATTAGAAATTGCAGTGTGTTAACCATTATATAATATATTAATCCTATTAATACAGTTAATCCATTATATGCATTATTTTTTCATCATCATAGATGAAATTAGGTTTGAAATGGAAACACCACTAAATTGCCAGCTGTTGATTCAACAAGCTTGTCCCTACGAAAAAGTCAACAAAGTTAAATAAAGATCAAATCGGACTCTACCACCAACACCTCCCTCCCAAGTTAATCATTTAAAAAAGGAACGAAGCAATGCAGTATCTCCTATTTTAAACAAATTACCTTTGAAACCTTGTTCAGGTTCTCTTGACACTAAAAAATAATTTGCAGACTATGACATACATCATACATACAATACGTAGAACACGATAAAAAAACATCACAATTTAGTGTTAATTAAGCCGCTATTCGTGTAACAACAGATCTCGAAAGAAATGATAGCAGTTCTGCAGTATGTTGCTTATCGCTGCGGCTACAAAAACTGATACCTCGTGCAATTTCCTCCTGCGCTCTTCCTTCCTCTGGTTCATCAACCTAGAATGCAGTAAAACAACGATTACTCAGTAATGAACATAAACTACAAAGTGAGCCAACAATGCATGCAATAATATAGCTGTCTAAAGGCAAGAACACAAGAACACAAAGGCTAGACTAAATTTTCACCTCGATATTCGTGAAAAATTTGAATAAGTAATGTGAAAATTTGCAGAAAAATACGTCGAAAACAAAATGGAGAAGAGGAAACAATGGTGATGCAAGGACAGTGCTAAATTCCCATCACACGCTATAGTCTAAATTATCAGTTGTGGTCTTGTTGTGCATAGTTTACATAGAAGCAATTTTCTTCATTCACAGTGCAATGTCTATGACTGAGTTACGCATGGCAGAGGCAAGCCTCAATTATATACCAATATAAATCAAAAGTTATGTTCAAAATAAGACAGCCCAAAAAGGTGAATGTAGTCATGATGCATTCATCTCTTGCTTATTGCTCTACACGCAACAATACTGCATAGCCATCTTTTGCTTATTGCTCTACACGCAACAATACTGCATAGCCATCTCTTGCTTATTGCTCTACACGCAACAACACTGCATAGCCATCTCTTGCTTATTGCTCTACACGCAACAATACTGCATAGCCATCTCTTGCTTATTGCTCTACACGCAACAATACTGCATAGCCATCTCTTGTTTATTGCTCTACACGCAACAATACTGCATAGCCATCTCTTGCTTATTGCTCTACACGCAACAATACTGCATAGCCATCTCTTGCTTATTGCTCTACGCAACAATGCTGCATAGCCATCTCTTGCTTATTGCTCTCTGCACCAACTAACTCTCTTGCCATCTTGCTCTATTCTACTATGCTTATCTCCTCTTGCCTATTGCTCAACAATACTGCATAGCCATCTCTTGCCTATTGCTCTACACAACAATACTGCATAGCCATCTCTTATTGCTCTACGCAACAATACTGCATAGCCATCTCTTGCCTATTGCTCTACACGCAACTGCATAGCCATCTCTTGCTTATTGCTCTACACGCAACAATACTGCATAGCCATCTCTTGCCTATTGCTCTACACGCAACAATACTGCATAGCCATCTCTTGCTTATTGCTCTACACGCAACAATACTGCATAGCCATCTCTTGCTTATTGCTCTACACGCAACAACACTGCAAGGTTGCCAAACAAAATCAGCATGATCTTTATCAAAAACCGCGCATGACTAATTCTCTAAATAAGATGAAAAAATGCCCCTACATTATACACACATCTTAAAATCCAAATTCCTTACCTTTAATAATAGGATACTCCCTGGTCTCACTCCAGCTACACCTAAGGTCATATCATCCTCCAGCATTCTTCCATTCATGCTGAGATGTTGATCCAAAGGCATCGCGGAAAATTGTTTCATTAACTCCAGTTTAACATCACGTACAGTTTCTGATGAATCAACCATAATCATAACTTCACCACGTTGCTTACGATGTCTGAGGGAAATAAGAATGCCGGATACATAACAATACAGTAAAGATGACAACCTTATCCCTTACTATCCCGTCGCTTCTCGCGACGTATACCGACGTATACTGACGTATACCTTGAGCTCCGTCTCCGGTAATCTTTCGACGACGTATTTCCATTCTGATAAGGAAAGTTAAATGTTTCACAATTCAACAATTTAATGCCTGAAGTTTTGAAAGCAAACATGTACAGCAGTAATCTGACTATCAACCCATGCCGTTTTCAATTTTCTCCTGAAGATTCTCAACATACTATCTTGAAAACCAACGAATCAACTATGTGCAAATCGATGAAGGGTAAAAATCTTGTAATTACGCAAAAATGTTCAATAGTCTTTCCTAAAACACGTTTTTAGTGAACGACTTATCACGTGAATAAGATATTTAGATACACGATGATCCCAAAACACGTTTTTAGTGAACGACTTATCACGTGAATAAGATATTTAGATAAACGATGACAAAAGTAATATGTTTCCTTTCAAAAAAATAGTCTTTTTTAATCACCTTTTTTCTTTCCTAAATATATAGAAAGCAAAATTTCAAAAATCAAACCTGATATGAACTGGGAATCTGCTCGCAATCTTCATGATTATTCTCTATTGGATTGTGATTCTGTGAAAGTTTACATACAACTGTTACATTAATGTGATTAACGCAGTGCCCTTGTGTACAGCCATACGAAAACTCGACAATTTTTACAGCGCATTTTCTCTAAGCGAGTTTGCTGTTGTTTTCTGAAACAAATACAAAAGCAACAATGGCTGTCTATAGGGCACACAACATATTGCTTCCTCGAAGTCTTAAAAAAGAAGAGTTGTTTTATGTATGTTTCAAAGTATTGATAATTGACTGATAACACAATAAGAAATTCGACAGTCAACAAGCATGCGCACTGAATCAACTATGTGCCAGCTCTCGCTTTGCCAAAGATTTAATAAATCTCTTTTCGCTGAACAGAAGTTTCGTGAACAATCACATGATAAGATTTGTACAAAAAATCTTTACACTAACAAACTAACTTTTACAAAATTACTTCGCTATCCGAGCTACCATCAAATCTCGTTGGCTTACCTCGAGAATATTTTGAATATCCTCCTCACTGTGATCTTTTGTTATCTTCCTCACGTAAATTTTGGCATATTCATACACTTCATTATCGCAGGAATTCTCCGCAATCAACGACGCGTTGCATTCCGCACAACAGTCTACAACACGCACAAAATACAGTCTAGCTTCATTCACCATCTTCGCGGCAAACGTAATTTTTCAAAAAGCAAGTTTTTAAAAGATCAGGGAGGGTCTTGTAGACACTGACTGTACACAACAGCTAAAGCATACCTGGAGTGATGGTGTACAAAGATTGACCTTCAAATATATTTTGAACGAGTTTAATCTCAATATCATAACCAAATGCCTGACTCAAAACTTCCCATTCAACAGTCCAGAGATAAACAAGTCTGAAACAAGTAGAGTAACAACGTCTTAGCTAAGTTTTCATTTATTTCATTTACTAAACAAGCCCATTGAAGAAAACCGTCGGTAATTTAAATTGCAAAAGTTCAAGAAGCCCAGTTGAAAAAGTTTTACTTTGTTTAGGTAGTCGTGCTTATTTATGGGAGAGGCCTGGAGTGAAAAGAATAAACGAAACTTTGTCTTCATTTCGAACTAGATTACAGCAATTTAAAATACAAATTGCTGCAACGGGAAGGATGAGTATATTTACATGAAAAATGGAGGACAATAAATGATCAACTTACGCAGAAGACGCACCATCGACATCATTACATTGTGGATGATAGAGAAATCTTTCGTGAGGACACATTAAGATTTTGTTCGTGATACACGAGGGACGAACACGACGTGACGACATTGATCTAGACAAAGACAAATAGCCGACAACTCTAGGGCAACTATCAATACATTTTTTAAAAAAATCAAGGATTTCTAAGTACTCGAAATAACAACAAGCACAATTGTTCACGAGTGAATTTGTGTAAATCCACATGCAATAATGTAAATCCACATGCAATAATCTAATGTCAAGAAACACGGTAATAGTTTTCAGAATAATCGTAGAGAAGAAAAGACTTCAGTATTAGAGAGTGGGTTGTCCAACTCACCGAATAAATCTCTTCCAATTATCATAAAAATTCCTCGACAAAGCAAACGCAGTAACAGATTCCTATTATCGAAAAGAAAACGAGGTCGTATTTCCATAGTAAATTCTATTGTAAGAACACAAAATTCGTGGTTGATTCATATCAATATATAAAGTTGCATGTTTGTGGATGTAGATCATTCTAGTATGTCAAACAGTTTATTAAATCAACCTAAATGAATAGTTTAAAGACTACCATCTAACCTTCGCCTTAAAATCTGGTCTCTCTTTTTCGTTAAACAAATCTCCCAAGAGAGATCTTTGCTGTGAAGCCAACTGCTTAAGATCTTCCAATCTCTTTTCTACCTCTTTATCACGATACTAAAAGATGAAAATGTTTTCAATCAACGAGCTTCACATTTCAGGACGTTTACGTGTGGGAAAAATTTGTGTTATAGCAAATGAAATATTGCCTTGCAGGCTCTTGAATTCAGATTAAACCCTTTGAAACTAATGAAAATTGAACCCTTGTGAAACTAATGAAAATTGAACGCTTGTGAAACTAATGAAAATTGAACGCTTGTGAAACTAATGAAAATTGAACCCTTGTGAAACTAATGAAAATTGAACCCTTGTGAAACTAATGAAAATTGAACCCTTGTGAAACTAATGAAAATTGAACGCTTGTGAAACTAATGAAAATTGAACCCTTGTGAAACTAATGAAAATTGAACCTTTGTGAAACTAATGAAAATTGAACGCTTGTGAAACTAATGAAAATTGAACCCTTGTGAAACTAATGAAAATTGAACGCTCGTGAAACTAATGAAAATTAAAACCTTGTGAAACTAATGAAAATTGAACCCTTGTGAAACTAATGAAAATTGAACCCTTGTGAAACTAATGAAAATTGAACCCTTGTGAAACTAATGAAAATTGAACGCTTGTGAAACTAATGAAAATTGAACCCTTGTGAAACTAATGAAAATTGAACCCTTGTGAAACTAATGAAAATTGAACGCTTGTGAAACTAATGAAAACTGAACCCTTGTGAAACTAATGAAAATTGAACCCTTGTGAAACTAATGAAAATTGAACGCTTGTGAAACTAATGAAAATTGAACCCTTGTGAAACTAATGAAAATTGAGCCCTTGTGAAACTAATGCTCGAAAACACACATATATGTTTGAAGAAAATAAAACACGCATTTACATTCTTACACTACAAATACTGCAGACGGTTTGGTCCCAACTGAACTCTGGCGAATTCGAAAAATAAAAGCGAAGTCTCTCCCATACTTCCTCGCTCACGAGTCGCCTTGAAGCCGTTAAAGTGGATAGATTACCTAAAATGAAACCTCTTTGAATTTTTTTGAAGAGAATCTTGAAAATTTTTCGACTTGTCGTCATTACCGTGCTCGCATAAAATATCTTCATTGAACTTTTCCCTATCTTTGCATCTCCCTGATCCCCGTCTAATCGAGATACCCCACTTGATCCCACGTCTAATCGAGATACCCCACTTGATCCCACGTCTAATCGAGATACCCCACTTTTACATTCCGTATCCATATCAGCCACCGTGGAATTACCATCGTAAGTGCTAGCTTGTGATCTTTTACATGCATCAAAACCTGTCGTCAATTTCATTTCGGTTTCTTCTGCAGGCGTTCGTAAGTCACTCGTCGACATATCGTGTGGTCGAGTTAAGTCACTTGTGGTTAAGTTTCCGTTACAATTTTGAGCTAAAACTTTCCATTTTTGTAGGGATTTTCGACTTACCCAAAACCCACGTCTATAATATATACATCAATTATTTTTTCAAAGTGATAAACGTAAATAAAACACGTATCTATACTTACTCTTCACAAGCCGCCTTGAGAGCCTTCCCAAAGAACTTTTGATCTTTGCACATGCGTGATGAGAATTGCAAACTTCGACATCGTTCTCGCACACATTTCAAACAAAAGGAATCACTGAACGGAACAAAATCATACGTCACGAGTTGCATGTGTGTGTCATCTTTATAGATGCATCATCATAGAAAACGTTTACACAACCATACATAGGAATGAAATATTTGAACCTGTTTAATCTAGGAGATCCGTTATGAGCTTTGAAAAGAAAGGATGCCTAAAATTAATAAAATTTTTTTCACTAGCGTCGATTCAACACAAAGTCAAAAGCATTAAGTTTCGGTTTAACTGATTGGCTCTCACCGCATTTGTAGAAATTCTTTTTGCACAAAGCACTTTGTCTGGATGTAATCTGCAAAATATAATATTCAGATAAAATATACGCATAAATATTTACAGTTAACACAAGAAAAAGAACGAATCTGTTTTCACTTTGAATGGACGAAAATGTCGCTAGTCATAACAAACATCACAAACGATAACTAGAATCATAAAGAGACATGCAGTACAATTTGAAAAGAAGGTTGAAAACTATTAAGAATTTATTACGTACTTGCCATGTTGACAAAGAAGTGAATTGTTATCGATACAACCCAGTTGTTGTTTTTGATCATTTGAAAGCCATGTCCTCAACCAATCGCTAGATATCCAATCATAATTCTTTTCCCCTATTCGGAAAAAAATGAATTTCTCCAATGAAATTCCTTTGACAATTTATCATGGTAGCATTTCAAAATCAAATGGATATCTATGCACGGCTCTTGGAGCTACTACATTCATTGATCAAAATTATTAGAAAAATCATCTGAGCATGCACAGTCGACTTGAGCATTTGTTTGAGTTCATAGCTATGCATGCCAACAACAGAATCTACTGTGTTTGTTTTTGGAGTCAGGGCAACGACCAACTGAATCTTCTTGGACTACTTTCCAAGTAAATAGCTTGTTTAGCGATAAATTATGAGAGTAATTATCCACGCATGCGCAGTCCGCTCGAGCACGCTTACGCTTTTTCAATCGTTTCAGTTCACAAGTTCATACCAATCAATTGAATCTCCTAGTAAAGCTCTGAGATTGACTACCTCACTCCGACATAAACTATTAGTGAAAAACCGTTTATAGTTTTAGCAATTGTTAGGAAATCACCTGAGCATGACAGTTGACCATACCAACTGTCTTAGTTTTGTGATTATGGCAACACCCAATTGGATCTAATAGCCCAAATTTTGGAGAAAATTGCTCACATTCGTTATTTGCTAGAGAAACTATCTGCGCATGCGCAGTCTGCTCGAGCATGCGCAGTCGGACTTGACAATGTTTTTAAGTTCACAAACATGGCAACGACCAACTGCATCTACTAGCACCGATTTTGAAGTAAATAGCATGCTTAGTAACAATTAAATAGAAAAATAATCTGCGCATGCGCAGTCCGCTTGAGCAATTGTTCGAGTTCATAGTCAAGACAACGACCAACTGGATCTACTAGCACCAATTTTGGAGTAAATAGCTCGATTAGTCGCAATTTAATAGAGAAACCATATGCGTATGCGCTAGAGCATGCGCAGTCAACTAAACCAATTGTTCATAGTCATGGCTACGCCTAACTATACGTACTTGCACTACATTTGTGGTAATTAACTCACTTAGTCGCAAATTATCAAAGAAATCATCTGGGCATGCGCAGTAACGATGTCGTTCATACCACAACTTTCGTAAGCCTTTGAATTTGTGTATATATATATAAAGCTAAAACTTCATGTAGTAGATGTCAACTAGCAGTGGAAGCTGGGTGCGATATAGTATGCAGTGGCTTAGGGGCCCACACTTCGGTGGCGACCGCACTCTCCCTGCGTACCCTGAGCAAAGCCTATCGCAGGTGATCTCAGGGTCTGATGGGCGGAAGCTTGCTATTGGCATCTCCCAAGTAGGATAGCGTGGAGGGGCCGAAATCTCCTACCGAAACGTTAACATGCGGCGTTCTAGTGCCTAACATATCAGAAGGTATCGGGAAGCATGGCCCGAAAACGGGTTTTTTTGCTTTGGAATTTTATCTTTTGTTCACAAAATAAACCAATGTTCATAAAATAAACCAAACAATGCTGTTTCAATTAACTTCTTCTTCAGTGCACTGTCTCTTTTTCAGATATTTATTATTTAAGACAACCTAAAACATGTTTTATACAATTTTCATTGGTTTATATCTTTCTGATTTAACTCTCTCATTTACTGTTTCTCATGTATCAAGAGCAAACCATCCATAGGCTTCATGGCACACAAGGATTATCTGGTTCCCTTGATTAACATAGCTATCTCGGGGTATCGGGAAGCATGGACAGAAAGCGGGATTTTTTGTTTTAAAAATTTGTCCTTTGTTAACAAGAGTTCTACAAGTATAATCCAGCGATATATGTCAAAAGATAGCATTGTTTCAAACAACCTCTGTCCTTTTTTACTTATAATTGAAGCCAACTTCAAAAACGTTTTATACATTTCTTATGATTTAACTCTCTCGTTTACTATTTCACGTATTATGAGCAAATCATCAATGGGCTTCCAGGTAAACAAGGATTATCTGCTTCCCTTGCATCATTTAATGTTGGAATAGAGTTCAAGACTTTAGAGTTTTTACAATGATAACATTTAATAATCACTTGTGACCCAAGGATAGTGCAAAGTTTCTTTCAGAGATTAGAAGACAAACACTAAAAGAGCAAATGATAATTCAAGTCTGTTTGAAAACAGATTGTCGGCCAAAGAGTTTACATCGTTTGCCAACTTTGAATTTTCGCCCCTACTCACAATACTATGAAATTTCCATGAAAACTTTGCACTAAAAATGACAACAAATTCAAAGCTAACCTTCTTTTACAGGTAACATCTTTAAAACATTTTGAACTTCCGCTTGTTTACTTTTTCCAAAGCAAATCCTTCGATCCTAAATAGAAGAGATTTTAAGACATCACACTCCTCAAATCAAAAATGTAAAAATAGCCATTTTTTACTCGTATATCTTTGACATCCTTGATCCATTCCTCAATCTTGCTGTTGTCCTCAGCGACAAGCATTTGTATATCAGCGGGAGGTTCTTGTGCAATGGCTTGCTTCTCTACAACGACACGTGATTGAAATGAAACATGAATCAAGCATTAGCAATTGGACAAACTATAAAATATATAATAAAACATATTCCTACTCTTACATCATCTGGTAAACTAAATATTCAAGGTACAATATATAGTGTCTTTGACGAGCTGATGATGTTATTTGTAGTTAGCTTTTTCTTTAATTGGTCAGTTTGAAAGGGATTTTAAGCCGGCAAACCAAATGTGGAAAAAACTTTTGCGATTTGCGATGTTTTCATAACTAGACGAGTATGTAATAATTTACCTTCGCCACGTTGACGATAGACCAGCATGTACGCATCTTTAGAAGACGATCCTGCTTTTGACAATTTCGGTTTTTTCGCATTCACGCAACCGTTAATTGTGTCTGAAAGTGAACAATGACTTATGCGAACACGATGACAAAACTGCAACATAACAGACAACTTTTGTCAAAGTGAAAATAAATTTCTATACATTGCAGCATTCAATTTCCAAGTTGTCATTTTTCAACCCTTCAAACGAAACCGCGTGTATGTTTTTCATTTTAACATAAATCATAAATCAATAATTATTCCAAGTCAAAATTACCATGTAGGTCTTCCTCGGAGTCCAAATTTAGCGACCTTCCTTTCATTTTTTCCGTCAATTCATCGTTGAAGCGATACCAGTCTCCGCTCTATTTAACAAAATTACAAAGAAGTTAAACGTTGCATGAAAATAGAAATTGATTGGCGATCAATGTTGTACAAATATACCCACGAGTGACAGCTTTGTATGATGTAAATTCACTTTGAGCAATAGGTGATTAAAACTAATGAACCGATTGTATAGCTTTAAGGCTACATCCCCCAAAATTTGAAGTAAGCAATGTGATAGTGAACATTTAAAAGTATAAAAGAGATGCTTTTAAACTGAAGCACAATATACAGCTTATCAGTAATTGTACGAGTCAAATAAGGGTAACAGTTAACAAAAAAGTACTAAAGTAAATGGTTTGAACCCGGGAGTATCGCTACATGTTTGTAAATGTAGATCGTCCAGGTTGGTATAGTCCTGACGACTGTTTTTGTTGTTGTTGACTGACGTTTCGACAAACTTAGCGGTAGTCATCTTCACAGTCATCTTCAAAGTCATCTTTGACTCTGAAGATGACTACCGCTAAGGTTGTCGAAACGTCAGTTAACAACAACAAAAACAGTCCTTCTCAGGACTATACCAAAAAAGTAATGTTTGCATAGATGTCAACTCATATATCATGACTGCATCATACTGCATAAGCCAGATAAGCATTTAAATTTCTTCTAACCTTTTTATCCTTTATATGGGCAATGTAGTGACCTGAGTATGCGCTGAGACCGCGATGAATAAGGACAGCGGTTAGATCGTATACACGGCCTAAACAAAAACGATAGCATAAACTACAAAAATTGGAAACATTTGAAAAGGGGGAATATTATTTCTATTTAGTACCTACCTTCAATCTTTGCATCAACGTATTCTTTCATGTCGAGAACTTCGGGGAACCAAATTACAGTATTTAATTTCTTCTTACATCCAGACTTCCTATAAATGTCATTAAATTATCTTGTGAATTTGTGCAAAACTAAATAAAAAGAAAAAAAGACACACCGATCATAAACGAATCGTAACAGTTGAAGGTTGAGAACTGGAGGAGTTCTTGTAATTTAATGTATCTCGTGGCATCTTGTTTATTCATGCAGTGACTGCAATAATATTGATTATCGCCATCTAGATTCTCTTCCTTAAAATAAAATAGCAACACGGTAATGAAGGGAGAATGAAGGCCATGCCCCAACAAATGTACTCAGTCTCAATTTTAGCAATAATGAGGAAAATTAAAGAAATGAGCGTGCTGGACGGCACGTGTATAACACTTGCTCAGCGGTAGTATTTAGATGCATTTCAAAAGCGTTTTAGTGCCAGCAAGATAAATTGAAATGAAGATAAAACAAATTTATGCTGCTCATCATGCGCGCTTTTAAACTTTTCAAGCCACGACAAGATGCTCCATGCCTCCTTTAAACATCAAGCAAGACACTACTTGGATCACAAACTACAACTTTCATATGACAGATGTACATAACTACCTACAGATGTACATAGCTACCTACAGATGTACATAGCTACCTTGAGAAATTCACGTATGCATTGCGCTAAATTTGTGTTTCCCTGGATGTTCAAATCAAGTTCGTAAAATCTCGAGCTCCTCTGCGACTGCCGACCACATTGGCAGCATCTGCAAACATTATTTTCGATAAAATACATGTCAGACAAGGGGAAACATGCCGATCTCATCAGATTCTTCGGTATCTTATGAGCAGAAATCAAAAGCGAATTTCTCTGACATCACTTAAAGTTAGGAAAGTTTCATAATGGTATATGCAATAACATAATTCAAGTATGACAGGCTCGAGTGACATCAACAAGGTGACTATAGTAGCACAACGTTTACGCTACGATTGCATAAAAATTGATTGAAATATAGAGGAGGAATACCTTGTGATGTAGGAATAAGATCCTCCAAACTGTTGTTGAACAATGTTTCTAACCAGCGGATTAGGCTGCAGAGATAATAGAGGAAAATCAACAAAATTCGTGAGCAATACTACAGATACAAAGAAAACGAATTTCAGTGGGCATCAATCTTAATTGGCAGTATTGTTTCAAAAATGAAGTATAGTTTATAGACGAGAGGAGCACCCGAAATGATGATCTTCAAACATGATAATAAGCGGTATATTTATGCTTGTTATGTTGGCTAAATTTCGTTTCAGTTTGTTACAAAGTCTCATGAACTTTTGCTGCGTTCAAAGTCGCTCACATTCTCGTTATAACATTGTTACAAAACCTTCGAAGTTCGACACCACTAGTGTTAGCGGCTTAATATGTTTTATTTTACACGTCTACACTAGCTTTCGAAGAACATACTTGTTGTGACAAAGTATCTTCAAGTAAAGACATGAACAGCTTGGAAAATTCTTGCGCGTCCTACAGCAACATAACGGCAAAATGAATGCTTACATACGTACTGAAGCACTCTTTTAATGATCAAAACACAAAAAATACAGCACATTTTGACAGAATGTGACACTTTAGTTCTAATCCAAAGAATGATATCAGAAAAAATTAGTTATGGCATTCCTAATAGAAGCAACCTGCTGTAACTCAGTGTTCAGTCCCAAAGACTCAACAAACGGCGCGGGATCAACAAATCTAAAAAGATTCAATGTGTGAAAACAAAAAGAAGCAATATAATACCATTGCTTAACATCACTCACCTCCTTGCAGTGTACTGAAGTTGCGCTAGTAATAGCTGCAAATGCTGACAGAAAGATTGCGGTTTCTTACTGTTTTCCCATGGCTTGCAAAGAGGAATCGGAGGACACACAATATCAGTAGCTCCTGGGAAATGGATGTTAATGAAATAGATTTTCTTTTCGGTAATTTTAGGGCTGATAAACTTCGTCTGGTTCTCTTACCACATTCATTATCATCACACTTTTTATTCTCTGTTTTGATGTCAACTTTCACATCGCATTTTAACTGCGTGCTTTCAGTTTTATCTGGTATAGTTCATGGATAAAATTAATCAATGAATCATTTAAGTCTCTGATGTTATTATCTTTACTATAACATCAGTGGTATATTAAAATGATATCAGGAGGACTTAACTTTATACTCAAAATCAAGAAAAATCTTTTCTTGAGTTAACATATACCTTGGTGGGGTGTTAATGAGAACGGGTTTTTTAATGAAAGAGTCAAATGTAGCACATAGGCTTATTTTTGATATTTTGTGGAAAGCAGTTAATCAAAGCCATATTTTTAATAAATACCATTGGTTTCCATAGCAATGACTTGGTCATCTTCTCTTTGACTCAATCCTACATTGAATTCAAAAGGAATCCAAGAATAGAGTGCGGACCTGAATTCCTCATTGTGAAACCACAGCTGCACTAATGTATTTACGTAGCATGTTGCACCTAAATTCTTCAGACCAACAAACATTCCCTATATGGAAATAAAGAAAAACAAGTAGACATGATCAAGCTATATAAATCTGTTTGCAAACCTAATGAAATGAAGAGTTTCACTCTGTGACACAACTTTATGGATTTTGTCTCTACAAAGTACCATTTTAATTATCCTTACAAGAGAGCTTTCCCCTGCTTACAAATCCGTATTTCTTAATTTTCACTTTATTAATAGGCTTGCACTGTTACAATGAAGGTTATTGATGATTATTTCCTTCGTGCAATTGCTATGATGTGGCAATATTTAAATAAACAAGAAAAATATTTATGCCTTTATACCTCAACTCGTCTATGCTCATGTGGGTCAACAATGCCATTACACCAGGTATCATCTAGAACAGTTTTATATAAGAGTTAAAATGGTACACTGTATATGCTACCTATTCTATTTATCCTCCTTTTTCAAATAAGTCCAACTTCGAATATTACCTTTGATTTCCTTCAACCAAAATCGTTCCCCAAGACAATTAAAACAATTTGGATTGGATTTGCAATTTGACCTAAATAAAATGAATATTATAGCATAAAATTTTGAGATTGTTTTACATCGTGTTATAAGTAATCGTTTATCGTTAATCTTCCGCTTCAAGCCGTCGTGTTGTATTGATAAACGATAATTGATAAACAAGACGTCAAATCCAATCAAGAAATGAGCATATATTTCACACGACTAATTTACAAAGATTCAAATATCAGATACTTTAAAAAATTTTCTACACATCAGATACAAGACGTTGATCAATTACAGTTGGATCCACGACTAAATGGCTGTAAAGTCAGTATATATTTACTTTACTTTTAATTCCCTCAATCAACAAGCACTGTACGTCAACTCACCGATGTGTATTTTTATCACTGCAGGTGGAATGAATCCTATATGCTCTCTCCAAGTGTTCAAGACCAATTTCATCTGGATGGACGCTATTAATCCACTCCCATGCATCTTTTTGTGACTTTCGTGTTTTGTTTCTCGAAACCGCCATTTTAATCTTCCCCGCCGTAGTCTGACATGAACACCGGAGATTGTAACCTTTCCGTTAATAAGCGCATTTTATGTAAAAAAGTAACTGTTCTTTTATTTATAAAACATAATTACCCTTGAAATATATTTGGCTGTATTTTTCTGGGGAATCTTCTATGAATAACACAAAACTCAAAACAAAATACGCTTCTATTGTACCAGCGTATATATGCAGGACAGTCGCTTCAGGAATTTACGAATTTACATGTACGCGTGATTTTTTCAAAAATTTAATTGCGTGTGCAGCTGACGCGACAAAAGCATTTGGCGTAACAATTGCCGTTTAATTTGCGTTTTGATTCTTTTTGCAGGCAAAAGGAAAGTGCATGTACGTTACAAAGGAAAGATATTTTATGCGACCGCAGAAATCTGCATTTTTCCCCATGAATGAAATACCTGATAGTTTAATACTTCGGATTTTCAAGCATCTGAGTATTACAGATTTGGCAAGAGCTTCAAGAGTTTGTCGAAAATGGAAGCGAGTAACGTATGATTCAAGCATATGGCGTTCTGTTAACCTGGAAAAACTTTCGCGTAATTTGGACGATAAGTCTTTTCAACTTATGGCGAAGTCGAGACTAGGTCTATCTCTGAGGCATTTGAATTTATCAAATTGCGCGATATCCAGCAAAATGTTGCGGCAATTAGCAAAGAGTTGCAAAAACCTACAAAGTGTTGTATTCGGAAAAGGTTCAAAGCTGTTAAACACAAGCAATGATGAAGTGAGTTTCCCTCCAAACTTAGAACTGCTGGAGTTACGACCAGCACGAGGAGATTTTGCTTTTCTAAAAAGAATACCGAGACACTTTACGGAGATCAAGTATCTGGGAATCGGTAGCCATTCTTCAAAAGGACCTGTTCCAAGAATGTTCGTGAAAATGCAGAATTTGACAATACTAGGTAAGTGAACATAGATGGAACACATATGTTAACGATTCACAAAACTTAATTTTGCAGTTAGCCAACCTGTTCACAAATTACTAAATATTTTACTCTCACTCTAATGTGTTATCATCATATTATCCCGCTCGTGGGATCACCCATCAATAAGCACCTGGTAACCTACCATCTTAGTGTAAATATGAATATGTATTGTGCTTTTTTTCTATGAAGATTGCACCAACTGTGAAGTGATGAAAGATGAGCACGTTCAAACGATTGCAATGTGCTGTCCAAAACTGGAATCATTTTGTCTCAACGGTTGCAAGAATATTTATGGCACAAGTTTCGAAGAATTGTTGAGACGTTGCAACAAACTGACGACTTTGTTGCTACGCTACACACCAATACGAGACAACTGTTTCGACTCAAGATTATGGTCGCAAACCAATTTGGAAGAAATAGATATATCAGCTTGTACACATCTCACAAGAACAGGTAAGAAACTGAGCCTCGAGTTGCTCAGAAATTAAGAAATCCACATTACATAGGATAGGGTATATTATTCAACTTCTCCAACCTGGAAGATTTATGTCATGTTATCAACCTTTTTCATTTACTTCTTCTTAATATGTCATTGATTCATCGAACAATTGGTTTAGGCTTGATCAGACTTCTTACACAGATCAAGAGTTTCCGTTATCTTAATCTTTCATACTGTGGTATCGGCCGTGCAGTAACAGACAGCGTTCTCATTGCAATGACCAGCTACGGTTCAAGCAAAAACATCGAAATGTTGGATATTCGTTGGAGCATGAACGTCACGCCACATGTTCTTCGTGATTTCTTGAAAAGTTGCCCCAGCCTCAAATGTCTTGGAATCTATCAATCGTCCCACATCGATTGTAACGCAATGGCAGAGCTCTTACAATGCTTACCACGATTGGAGATTCTCGAGTTTGGTGCTTTTGGAAAAGCGTCGATTTCAGAGAGTTTCTTATTCCCAAACTTGGTGCAACATTGCCCTGAATTAAAAGCGTTGTCGTTGATCAATTTTTTGTCCTTAAATCCATACTCTGATGGGCAACTTTTCGGTAGGCTTCTCAACGGTTGTTTAAAGCTCGAGCGAATTAATCTATGCGAGCCTGATCCTACTTTGACGTCACTTATCGGAAGTATTCGTGTCACGACAACAGCGAAGATAACGCAACGATGGCAATGCGTGCTACCTGCGCCCGATATCACGTTGGATGCGGTGATGAACCAGCTCAGCTACCTAATGTAATGTAAAAAAAATATAATAAATCATTGACTGCTGGAACAGTTATCAGAAGACAATTAATTTTTGCCTATATAATTCACCTTGCAAATCATAGTTAAAATTTTAAATATAGGTGAATGTAACATGAAATGCTCAATAAAATTGAATCATTGGTGAATCAGTATTATGAAAAGACGAGATTTCTCATAGTGAAGATGTAAATTGATATTATAAGTAAATTAATAATTATGTAAATTAAGCGAATGACGACGATTTGGAAGACACGAACTAATTTATTTAATAATAAAGATTATTATACATTGTATGAAATGTTTTTAACTATACGTTTACTATTGGGTGCAAGAAATTATCGCAGTATTCAAATTCCCCCGTATGAAGTACTTTTCTTATGACAGTATAGACCATACATAGTACATATGAAGTACTTTTCTTATGACAGTATAGACCATACATAGTACATATGAAGTACTTTTCTTATCACAGTATAGACCATACATAGTACATATGAAGTACTTTTCTTATCACAGACTTGTCCAAACAGCATCCAGCAACGAAGAAACGTGTTGCTGTTTAAAGATAGTTAACTAGCAGTGTTTAGGATTCAGTAAAACTGAAACTGTTCACATCGGATCTTTTTGTATTTTATTTTTGTAGCGAAACTTTTCAAAAGAGGCCAATAATAGACCACCGTTCTTGATATGAACATATTTTCATTGCATACGAGTGACTTTATCACACATTTTGCTTCGGCAGTAAAAAAATTCCATTGCCAAGAGGCAAGACTAAAATTCCTTTGTACAATATTTGCACATCAATATAAATCACAAAATGATAATTGATTATTGATTTTGGAAAAAAATCGAATGCAAAAGTAGATATACGTAGGAAAGGTATTCCATTTACAAAAATGATATTGCATGGATGTGACAAGCATTAAAACAAATCGATATATTTTATCGCTACTCAGTTGTTATGCAAACTAGAAAACACGTCTTTGATATCATCCGCGTCGTCATCACTGTTATTCAAACGCAAATAACGAACTTTATCGAAATCCTCTATTTTTGAAACGCCTTCTTTCAAAATTTCCAGCCGCCTTTGAACAATGTCATCAAAATTATTCATTTTGTTCCATCATAACTTTTCTCAGCTTTTCTAGGTTTTACTGGCTCTAAACAAGGATTGGAAACGTGGAGCGGTTGAGAAATGCCGTTTTCTGAAGTAACTGATATTTTAATGTTTGTTGGTGGAGTTTCGGACAAACTGACCGGTTTCTCTGTGCCAGCAAAAAAACCTGGCAATTTCGACTTCGGAAAAGTTTGATTTAGTTTGTTATGAAATAATTCAACACGTTCACTCATCAAATTGCTCACATCGAGCGCACTCAAAGTTCTGTTAGGTTTTCCAATATAATCACTATCGCCTACTAACGGTTTTAAATAACCATTGGAGCCTAGTCGACGCTGTCTGATTGGTGATAGAAGAGGATGGTTGTTGTTGATTGGAGTTGCTGGTCGACTACCTGTTGAGAATCTCACTTTGAATGATGGACGTTTAAGGGAAGTCAAAATTCGTTGCTCGGCCTGCATCTTTTTCTCATCAAGTTCAGAAATCGTTTCCAAAGAGGTATTGTTGCTCGACAATTCCAATTCAGCGTTTTTAAAGTTTAATTCGTCGTGATTTCTTATCACGTAAGACGCAGACGTCGTGATCTTAGGAAGGACGGTGTTTGGTAACAATTGAGAGTGTGTGAGAGAATTTTTAGCATGGAATTCTTCTCCTTGAGTGGAGACTTCGTTAAAATGGTCATCCCGAGTAGCTTTGTGAGAAACGTTTCCCTTTGTTTTCGATTTGCTGATGGGGACTTTCAAGGTTTTCGAACGAATTTCTTCAACTTTTGAAGAACTGGAAGTCTTTCCCGTTAATTTATTTGAAGATTTCTCGCAGTTCTCCAAACGAAGAGATAAAATTTCCGTCTCCATCCGCACCAAATTATAGTGCAACTGCTTATCAAGCTGTCCAAGTTTCTGACGAAGCCTTCGTTTTTCCGAAATGTTTCTCAATGCCAATGTATCAACCGTATCGAATTCGTGTAGAAATCTGGGCGAAGGCAGGTTGCCTTTCATGTTAAAAGCACATAGCTACGACGTTGACAATGTTTCGAAGGTTAAGTCGCCATCAGATATCATATATATGCCTAATAATTATTCTGAAATACGAAGTTCTGCCAACAAAACTAAACGCAATGATACAAAAATCCTCCCCGTGAACTGATAAATTGAAACATCGCATGCATTTCATCTCATTTCAATAGTCAGAGTTTCAATAATGACATTTTTCGTCTTTACAAACATTATTTCAAAGCGATTAAGCAAAGAACATTGATTAAACCCGACATTATAGCTTCTCTTCACATAAAATAAATACAACTTGAAGCTGGTTTTCATAGACTATTGATATGTCTATATCAATTTCCTCAATCTTCAATCTTGCAGTGTTTACTTCTTAAATATATCGTAAAAATACAATATTTTTAATAAGACGAACAAAAAGTGTAATCATTGCGCATGGTAATTAAATTTTCGCCCTCGTGAATGTATTATTTGCAGAGCTAATGACGTGGTAATTAACGACCGCAGTTCTTCATATACAACATTGATGTAACAGCCATTTATGTATAAATTTGCAGGAAACAAAATGATTTGGAAACAATCCAAATGAGATTATTACTAAAACGAATTTGTAAAAACTTAACATGAACTCCACTTTTGATTTGCATTTTACTGAACCTGACTAGTGTTTTGTTTATATTAAAATTTTACGGCATTATGAAAAACGGATTAAGGAATTTGAAGTATTTTGCGTGGATTAAGAAAATTACAAAGTGTTTTAATACCTGTTTAAGAGAACAGGTTTGTTCTTTGCATCATCTGTACAAATTCGTTTCCATCAACCATTCCATCTCCATTGAGATCAGCTTCCTCCAACATGTCTCTTAGTTCCTGATCACCAAGCTTTAAATCGTGTTCACGACACACGTGACGCAAATTGTCCAGTGAGATTTTGCCCGTTTTGTCTAAAATGTATGAATAACGTCATGTTAGATGATTTGAACATTAAGAAATTTAATCACTAAAAATAAATTCAGCTTACCAATGTCAATTTTTTCAAAACACTAAACGAACAAAAACAGAACATTTGCATTCTTTTACATGAAGAAATAAATACATCGTGAAAGGATAAATTATCACACATTTACCTGCATTATCTCAGAATGAATATCTCTGTCACTTCCTTGCAATGAGATAACAATGTCCAGAAAACCATTAAAAGATACCTTTCTATAATAAGACGTGGAAAGTGAATGGTTTGAAAGCAGGAGATAATGGTTTGAAAGCGGGAGAACAGTTACATATTTGTAGATATACATTGTCCTGGATAGTGTAGTCTTATAGGGCTGTTCATGGTGTTTGTGTTCACTGACCTCTCGACAGCCTTAACAATGGTCATCAACAGATTCAAGTGAAAAGTAAATCATGTGATGTGTTTTGACGACAGCCTTAACAATGGTCATCAACAGATTCAAGTGAAAAGTAAATCATGTGATGTGTTTTGACGACAGCCTTAACAATGGTCATCATCAGATTCAAGTGAAAAGTAAATCATGTGATGTGTTTTGACGACAGCTTAACAATGGTCATCATCAGATTCAAGTGAAAAGTAAATTGTGGGTTTTCCATATTTAACAATGGTCATCATCAGATTCAAGTGAAAAGTAAATCATGATGTGTTTGACACATAACAATGGTCATCATCAGATTCGGTTCATTGATGTGTTTTCGAGCAAACAATTACAAGAACCCTAGTAAATCCATTTGTTGTTTTTCATTACATCCAAAAGTTGTGGGTGTTCCATATTGTATGTCATTTGCAAAGTATTCAATCCATTCAATATTTCCCTGGTTCCAGATGCCCGTTCAATAATTTGAAAATTTGGTACATTTATCATAAACGTTGAAGTGAGAAGCTAAATTGTGGGTTTCCTTCCTTTAAGGTACACCCTCACTACTAAACTTGTGGGTGTCCTTCCTTTAAGGTACACCCTCACTACAAAAATTTTGGGTGTCCTTCCTTTAAGGTACATCCTCACTAGAAAAATTTTGGGTGTCCTTCCTTTAAGGTACACCCTCACTACAAAAATTGTGGGTGTCCTTCCTTTAAGGTACACCCTCACTAAAAATTTGGGTGTCCTTCCTTTAAGGTACACTCACTAAAAATTGTGGGTGTCCTTCCTTTAAGGTACACCCTCACTACAAAATTGTGGGTGTCCTTCCTTTAAGGTACACCCTCACTACAAAATTGTGGGTGTTCTTCCTTTAAGGTACACCCTCACTACAAAAATTGTGGGTGTCCTTCCTTTAAGGTACACCCTCACTACTAAAATTGTGGGTGTCCTTCCTTTAAGGTACACCCTCACTACTAAAATTGTGGGTGTCCTTCCTTTAAGGTACACCCTCACTACTAAGCTTGTGGGTGTCCTTCCTTTAAGGTACACCCTCACTACAAAAATTGTGGGTGTTCTTCCTTTAAGGTACACCCTCAATACAAAAATTGTGGGTGTCCTTCCTTTAAGGTACACCCTCACTACGAAAATTGTGGGTGTCCTTCCTTTAAGGTACACCCTCACTACGAAAATTGTGGGTGTCCTTCCTTTAAGGTACACCCTCACTACTAAGCTTGTGGGTGTCCTTCCTTTAAGGTACACCCTCACTACAAAAATTGTGGGTGTTCTTCCTTTAAGGTACAACATTGTGGGTGTCCTTCCTTTAAGGTACACCCTCACTACAAAAATTGTGGGTGTCCTTCCTTTAAGGTACACCCTCACTACAAAAATTGTGGGTGTCCTTCCTTTAAGGTACACCCTCACTACTAAGCTTGTGGGTGTCCTTCCTTTAAGGTACACCCTCACTATAAAAATCGTGGGTGTCCTTCCTTTAACGTACACCCTCACTACAAAAGTTGTGGGTGTTCGGACACTCAGACAACCACAGCATCCCAAGCCCATGTTTGATAGTAAACTGTTTCTGCCATCTCGCCATGCAGATAATTTGAAGAGGTTAAAAAGAAAAAAATAGGAATTCTTACCTAGAATTTGGCTCATCCAAATCATCTGCAATGGTTCAAAACTGATCAATTAATAATGAGTGAATCTTTTAAAAAACTGAAATACTGCTTTAAGAAAACACCTACCAATGATTTTATTGAAGGAATCATTAGATATATTGAAACCAAGGGAGTTCAGAAGCCTTCCAAGATTATCCACGTTTATAGACCTTCAAGTTTAGAATCAAGAGTTGTCACTCATATACGATTTTGATTTTTAATGTCTTAAGCTTTCTTATAACACAGAGATGTTGGTTCAATTCTCAGTTAAATTGTGGACTTTCAAACATAGAACCAAATATATGACCAAATGAAATATCCTATAGTCACCCGGCACCCTTGGTTTTAATGTAGTAGGATTAATTGGTAATAAATAGAAATGTCTAAGCTAATCCTTTGAATATCAAATATAGTGGTATAAGCGGCCTTCGTATTTATAGTTATGGAAATTTTTCTGTGTTGTTTAACTGGTAAAATAAGGGATTTATAAAGAAATTAATAATGAAAATTGATATGAATAATGAATTCACACAGTGGAATCAAAACCTGTAAGCTGGCAAACTAATGATTATTTACCCACTGAAAAATGGATAGTTTTGTTCTACAGACTTACCCACTCGCATTAGAGTCAAAGGCACCAAACACCAATCGTAGATTCTTCACTTCATCCAACGTCAGAGAATCAAAAACATTATTTGAAACTTCTTTCGTCAAGATCTTATCAAGTGTCCTGTCACTTTCATCAAACATTTCCTCGACCGGAAGCTAATATACAAGTTGTACTGCATAAGTTTAACAAAATGGCATGTTGTAAAATATGAAATGTAATTTCCCCTTATTAATACATCTGCAAGGAAATATTACCCGTGTTTTGGATAGCCACATACTAGAATTTGTTGCGTCACTAAGCGAGGTCTCGTTTAGGTCATCCTTCATATTTTCTTTGGATTTCTTTCCACTTGAATCTAGGTTTTTTGCAACCATTCTTTGAAGCAACATGCTGCTTGTAGGATGAAGAACGAATCCATCATTCTCTTCTTTCCCCTTGAAATTACGTTTTGTTTTACTAATTTTCACAGACTTTCCTTTCGATGAAGGCATTGTTCCATGTTGTCATGTTGACGTAAGAGGAACTGTAAAATAGGTACGCAGCGCGTATAAGCTTTATTTCGATTCCAGAACACAAACGATAAATATTTTCACGATGAAAAAGCATCAGGAAAGAACTGTTAACCTGTCCATCCCCGAAAATCATATTTTTCAAATTGAAAAGAATAAAACTGTCTGGTTGAAATATCGCCATCCCCATTTTTAATTGCACGGAGCTTTTCCAGCACCTCACTCTTGTTGCTGACAATCATTTCATTTTACGAAATATGTATTGAGCGATATTTAATGCCCAAGTCATACTATATATATATACAAATTTAGGTCGCCAAAGGTATCCTAACGCTACTTAGGATAGACGTCAATTTTAAAATATATTTCCAATTTTTTCCACTTATAAATGATTGCGATGCTCTTGTTTTGGAACGTTTTTGAGGCAAATATTTCCCCCATTGAACTCTTCAGATTTGGCGAAACACCTTCTTCAGGAACGATTCAACCTCGTCTGTCAATGATAAATGAAGTTTCTTTTTTCAATTATTGTAACATAAAGTGCCACAAAGAGTATTATAAAAGCGATGTGCGTTGACATACGTCTTGCAATTACTTAATCATAAAGTCCTTTTTTCTCCACCTACCTTGCCGTTTTGATTTCTTTATGAAATGCTTGCTGAGTGCATCTGTTTGTTTCTTCTTTAATTCTAACATTAAAAACGATAACTTCACTGTTATTTTCTCGACATGTATTTAAAATTCTTTAAAATAAATGCGCATTGTGCGCTTGTTGCTACCATTGCCTCTCTTTTCTTTTTCGTCCAAATTAGTCGTCCTCTGTAAAGGTTTGACAGTGTTATTGTCTTTAAAATGTGTTAGTTTCTTTCTTGCATCATTTTTACGTGAAATTGCGATTCTGAAGAAAAAGAATTTGCTCATTGACGATTGTAATAACGCTAAATTATGTTATAAATGTCAAACTTTCAGTGTTGACCTGTTTGAAGGCTGTTCATCTTTGTTATGGAGTTCTTCGTTTGTATTTGACATTTCTGACCTTAAGTAAACAGTAATGTCCTGACGTATCGGCGGTTCATCCACAGGCTCTGTAATATATACAAAAGACATTTACTGGATCAAGGAGCTATTCTATGAAAGCTTTTTCAAATCAATTCCGCTGGATTAGTCATGAATTTCTGCTATCAAATTAAGAGTTTTTCTTCCAAATGGAATTGATCATCCTTCCTTATAAAATGCAATCACTAATCTTTCTTGAACTTGGCATTAATTACCTTTCCACACATTTCCGTAAAGAAGCACAGAAAATAACAAATTGGAAACTAACCTTCATTGAAAAGTGGTATAATTCGATCGATATGTGCGCGAGTTTGGTGTCCGGTTGAATCATACGTTTCGTCATTGTGATGTTCATTTTCAAGAACATCTAGACAAATACAGGTATTTCCAAGAATGGCATGATATCATAGTATAGATACATTTAATAAAAACTGAGCTTTATCAAAACGAAAACATACCCGATGTATAGACAGAGTTTCTCCAAAATCCACCACACTTTTTTCTCTTGTCTCCCATGCAAACTGAATTACACTCATGTTCACTTGCTTCACCATACTTACCATAACCATCCCCACAGTGACACAGGTGTCCATATTGAACACCAGCATAAAAGTGACCTTTTTGTCTGCAAACTGATCGGCAAGATTTTGAAGTGAGATTGTTCACCACGAACAGATTGCTTAGATCATGATTTGGGTGCTGGTCAATATAACAGCCGATATATCCTATAAATTAGTAAGAGAAATTTTGAAATTACTTTTGGAAATAAGAAAGGAAGTCCAATTGGAGTTCTGTTTGAAATTCTCTCAAAAAAAGCCAAATGGTTAGTCTTGATGTAAGATCATGACTTTGCAAGGAAGTAAAATTCGTTTTGATGATGAATTCTGTTCTGTTTCTTTTTACTGCTTACATCGAGTAACTTAAAACTCTCTCTTTGTTTTTTATTAATTCTCTTTCTTAGATGCTTTCATTTTTCCTAATAATCTCATATTTTATGTTGGATTCCAAAATGATTTCTTCTTAAAAAATTATACGTTTTTCAAACCGTTGAAACACATCTTACCGTCTTTTCTTATTGCTTTCTTATTGAACACAACAAAACTTTTGTCACTTTCATCATTGGTATCTGGTTTCTCGTAGTCATTTTTAATCATTTCCCCTATCTCATGCATTTCGTAATCATATTCAATTGACCTAGCAAGGCGCTCGTGTGAAATATGTGACTTCGTGTGCGAAGCCACCACTTGTTCATACTCTTTAAAGTCATGTGCATTGACTTTTGGATTATGATGAATGAGATCCCATGATGCACCAGCTGTGAGGTGCGAATTCACAGATTCAGTTTCTTGAACATTTCTTTGAGAGAGAAGCCCGTTCTTTTCATGTTCGTTGTCTGATGCTGTTTTTCTTTCGGATTGTATCGTAAAATCCTCGTTCTTTTTACCACCAATTGTCTTTTTCTTCTCCAAACGTTTCACCATGTCTCTGTGTGGTCTCTCGCCCTTTTCGTTCGATGTCTTTTCATCTTTAAAATACATCGACCCTTCCTTGTGAGCATCATAGGGTGGTTCCGATCTTCGAATAACATTAGAAATGTTATCACTGAAATGTTCCAATTGATCATCGTACTTGGCTCTTTCTTCTTTAGCAACAGGACTTGAGTTACTGAAAACCAAACAATAACATAAATCAACTCATAAAATTTTCATTGAAATACCTAGCGAGCAAAGGCATATTTTATCATCAGACGTGTGCAGAAAACAGAAATACTTAAACATGAATGCTTTCATGCAGCTATGAGTTTTGAAATAAACAAAAGGTTGAAGCTATCCATCCTTACTCGTCCACAATGTCCTCATTATCACCCTGATTACTCTTTATTGTCCCATGTAAAAACAATGGCATTGTCTTGATTTTAGACATTCGAGATCTTCTTCGCTCATTGACGTCCTCATCAGAAATGGAGAAACGTTTTAATCGTCGATACATAGCATCATTCTCGATATTTGGCGGTGCATCTGATTTGAACCTTAATCAAAATAGAGTGAAGTGAGAAACGGTATAGGACTGAAGACAAAAATACTAACACTGAATTATTTTCATATCTCCAAGAGAGCAGCGTCAATGTCAGTCATGATAATAGTAAAGTCATTTGTTCAAACAAAGACAAAATCTTATTAAATTTGACGACCAATAAGAACGAAGTACGGAAGTACCTTTCATTTAATCTTCTGATATCTTCTTTTGATGAAAGATCCAACATGAACTTTTGCATCTCGTTAGAACCTTCTTCGTCCTCAAATTCTTCTCGCTTTTCTCGAACAAGTTCCGTGTTCTCCGTTCTATGCCTCGACTTCAATGGTTTTGCTGGAAAAAAGTCGTGATTTGTTAGACGTATATGATACTACATTTTCTTCCTGTATTTGTAGTACAATCTTTATAGTCGACCCAATGACTGATCGTTGTTTAATCTCGTTTACTTTAAATTCTTACTCGTAAAAAAGCGATTATAATCTATGTGATTATTGGGAACAATGACAACTACAACAAAAGCATTTACTTACTAACAGCCTAATTGCAATAAACTGCATGATTATTAGTCAACACTGACAACTACGACATCACTATATACCAACTAAAAACCTGTTTTTAACAAACTGACGTCTTCAACAACAACTATAATGTTTACTTACCAACACCCTTTTGGTGAAACAACAAAATAATCACGACAAGCAATACAAAAACCTTGAAAGCCATGAGTAATGATTCTCAATTAACCAAAAGGTAACTCTGTTGAAAAAAAAGAGAGAAATAATTGAAATTCTTCACATCTTTTTGTTTGATCCAAACAGTTATACCACTACTTTGGATCATTTATGGAATTGTGCTGTATCTAAGGATCAATGTTTAACAACACTGTAAGAATACGGATGCCGTAAAAGTCTTTTACCTTAAATCTATTTTCAACAGACATAGTAATCCACATACACAAACATTGATTAATATACAGGGGCAGAACTTATGCATTGAAAACCATCACTTCAACATGCACTTTTCATAGTCTTTTATCGCCAGAAACATTTTGTAAAGTTATAGAAAATTTTCACATTCAACCTCTTGTACTTGCGACAACCAGGCTTGCACCGTCAATATAAAAGCACATACAGAAGCTTCAACAGGGAAATTTTAAAGCATAAATCTATCGTGATTGCAAACAGTTCTTTCTATTTCAATGTAATCTTGTGAAGATTAAACAGCTGTATTACGAGATTTAGAATAGATAGACATCTGAAGGGCAAAGCATAAATGTTCAACTATTCTGATGAAACTAGATTGACTTATTATGATCTATCTAGCTACACTAGACATATTAAATTTTCTCAACGTTTTGTTTCAACTGCTTATATATCTGCAGAGGGAGAGCTTGGGATCCCAAGATGAAGATAAAATTTTTACTTTAAATAAGTGAAGAATCGTTACCTGTAACCCTCCATTGTTCAAAATACAAGCAACAGATTTCAAATTCCTTGTACATACCTTCGCAGAACATAACGCAGACTTTTGAAGTTCGCTTGATTTTAAAACATTTCAAATAAACCACTAGAGTTTTGTCTTTTAATCTTCTTGTTATTTTTGTACAAACAACTATTATGAAATCAAAGTATTACCCAGCTATAACACGTGTACAGCAGCCTCATTCATTTCTGTGACATGAGAACTGTCTTCGGTCTAACCACCTGTCACTACAGCCAGTGACATAATTGTCATGAAAAAAGACTAAAATCTAAGTCCATCGCATGCTAATGTCGTACTTTTCTTTCACGATTCTCATTTTCACAAACGTACTATTGGTTGAAATCGTTATACTTTGAAATCAGACATGAAAGATTTTCCTTGCTTTTGGTGTTGAACGCCCACACATAAACGTTGAAATCAAAGAAGAACAAAAAACAAATTGATTCTATGTATTTATAGTTTAATTCATTGAAACCAAGAAGTACGTAGGAACTAATGTTTAACTTAATGAATTGCCGTTGTTTTCTTAATGGAAGTTCTATACAGCTATTCTTATGCAATTACGTTTATAATTTTTGAATGCTGGATTTTTCTTATTGAATTTCAAAACGTGATTAACAACGTTCAGCTTTTGTACATAATGGGGCTAAACGTTCTATTTAATATGATTTTCTTGCTATAGTTTTATGCGAAATCAACAGAGGTTGTCGGTAGTTACAAAAGCGGCAACTTGCAAATGTCATAAAGTAACGTTACATAGTGTTGTAAGAGTTGTATATTGTTGTCTACGGTTGTATATTGTTATCTACGGTTGTATATTGTTGTATACGGTTGTATATTGTTGTCTACGGTTGTATGCTGTTGTTTACTGTTGTATAATGTTGTCTACGGTTGTATATTGTTGTCTACGGTTGTATATTGTTGTCTACGGTTGTATATTGTTATCTACGGTTGTATATTGTTGTCTACGGTTGTATATTGTTATCTACGGTTGTATATTGTTGTCTACAGTTGTATATTGTTATCTACGGTTGTATATTGTTGTCTACGGTTGTATATTGTTATCTACGGTTGTATATTGTTGTCTACGGTTGTATATTGTTATCTATATTGTTGTCTACGGTTGTATATTGTTGTCTACGGTTGTATATTATTATCTACGGTTGTATATTGTTGTCTACGGTTGTATATTGTTATCTACGGTTGTATATTGTTGTCTACGGTTGTATAATGTTATCTACGGTTGTATATTGTTGTCTACGGTTGTATATTGTTATCTACGGTTGTATATTGTTGTCTACGGTTGTATATTGTTGTCTACGGTTGTATATTATTATCTACGGTTGTATATTGTTGTCTACGGTTGTATAATGTTATCTACGGTTGTATATTGTTGTCTACGGTTGTATATTGTTGTCTACGGTTGTATATTGTTGTCTACGGTTGTATATTGTTATCTACGGTTGTATATTGTTGTCTACGGTTGTATAATGTTATCTACGGTTGTATATTGTTGTCTACGGTTGTATATTGTTGTCTACGGTTGTATAATGTTATCTACGGTTGTATATTGTTGTCTACGGTTGTATATTATTATCTACGGTTGTATATTGTTGTCTACGGTTGTATAATGTTATCTACGGTTGTATATTGTTGTCTACGGTTGTATATTGTTGTCTACGGTTGTATATTGTTGTCTACGGTTGTATATTGTTATCTACGGTTGTATATTGTTGTCTACGGTTGTATAATGTTATCTACGGTTGTATATTGTTGTCTACGGTTGTATAATGTTATCTACGGTTGTATATTGTTGTCTACGGTTGTTTGCTGTTATCTACGGTTGTATAATGTTGTATACGGTTGTATGCTGTTGTTTACTGTTGTATAATGTTGTCTACGGTTGTATATTGTTGTCTACGGTTGTATGCTGTTGTTTACTGTTGTATACTGTTGTCTACGGTTGTATATTGTTGTCTACGGTCGTTTACTGTTGTCTACGGTTGTTTACTGTTGTATAATGTTGTATACGGTTGTATGCTGTTGTTTACTGTTGTATATTGTTGTCTACGGTCGTTTACTGTTGTCTACGGTTGTATATTGTTGTCTACGGTTGTATACGGTTGTATACAGTTGTATAAAGGAGTATACGGTTGTTCGTAAGTAAGACGAAGATAGACGACGTTGCCTCATCTACAGTGTTGGACAAATTTTGTTTGAAAGTATTTCTTCACAACTCACAAGAGATATTTCTATTCAATGAGTATTACTTGAGTATTTTTTCCATACCTAACACGACGAAGTCCAGGTTGACAGGTGTTCTCGTCTCAACAGGACTTTACTGCAGACTATGTTGGAATCAAAGTTTGTTGATTCAAAACTACATTTACAAGATCTCTACTAAATTATTGTTCTATACACTTGACTCTCTATGTTCACGCTTTCATCAAACGCTTTTCTCAAAGTTAGTTTGATTAATACAAGTTAATTTAAAACGAAACTCCACCTCTGTCCCGCGAGAAACCAAGTTTACTTTGATTAAATATCAACGCTGTTACTCCCAAAATAATGTTGATGACAATTGGTTCTTCGTCCGTCACTAAAGAGCGACTTAAGTCCGAAGATGCAGCGGCAATCAACGACTTTTGAAAGGCAAGGAAATCCACGAATTCCGGCGAAGCTTCGTTATACAACACAGATGTATGTGTGGCAAGGGTTAGATTAGGGATTTCTTTGGACCAGGGATTCCAGAAATCCAGAACACCAGGAGCTTTAACCGCATTCCAGTGTATACGAAGACCAACCTGATCACAACGTTCCCTGGAGGCTTGGTAGCTAAAAAAATTGCAGAGAAACAGTTTTGTTTGAGCTGATGGCTTTCTAAACGACCAATAATTGCTTCAAACATTGTTCTTTTTTGTTAAAAATTAACTAGAAGAATTCAAGAAAACAGAGCTCTCAACAAACAGAGTCCTACTTACAATCCAAATGCATTTGATGAGTATGATAATTTGGCAGTCTGGATTCTTGTGCAGTTTACAAGAGGTATTTTTCGATGATCGTCGATTTTCATGTTGACGAAATTGAATTTCACCAAAATCAGCTGCTTTTCAGTTAACATTACCAATCTTTCTTTCTCATGATCCCAATGATCTATCCTAAAGAATGTATAATCCATACTCAGTAGCTCAGTCACTAAACATACTCAGTAGCTTACTGTGACCAATGCAACTTAATAAATTCATTTATTAATAAACCAGCCAAGAGCCAATGAAATTTAATCAACATACTCAAAAACTTGCTATCACCAAATTAACATAATCAACTTACTCAGTAACTAGCCAAGATCCAATGTAACTTCCATCAACCTCTGGATTGTGCAATTCATTCTTGGAGAAATTAACAGCTCGCTCAAAATAACCATCCTTAAAGATTACCAAAATGATGCATCATTTAAGATTCTTGTGAACTTTGCTTACTTTACATTGAAGCATTCTCGTCTTCTTAAAATATTTGCCAAGGTTATAGGTTCATTACTTGTTCAAACAGGTTTATAATCAAAACATTTGATGTCATTTTCATCATATCAACTTACTTTGAATTGATTGTAAACTTTTGAATTTAACTTGGCATCAAGTTTGCAATTTTGGCAACAATGCTTCAAAAATTTTAGTTTAAATATATAACATAATAAAAATACTCAGACATACTGAAAATACCAGAAAAATGCACAAGCATTTTTTCACATGAGCCATTTAATGACATATAATGGTAAAGAAAATGAAAGGAAGCTGGACCTGTTAGGATATCATTAAAACATGAAAGCTTTTTCATAACACACATTAGAAGCACTGCATTACCATACGGTACCTCTGAAAAGATGACCAATTTACAGAAATGTTTAATAAAATAAATAATTAGCACAAGTATTTGACACAAACATTAGTAGGCCAATATCATGGACGGCAAATTAAAAATTGATTTCATAATTATTAATTGAAATTGAAACTACAATACGAAACTACTTGATGAATGAAGATTTTCCCAATATACACACAGAATTGCACTTTACGGATCAATTTTGTAAAAGGTAAAGCACTCAATTTCAATTGACCCAAACCAAAGAATGTGCACACAACTAACGGCCATCACATGATCACAACATCGTAATATAAAGTTGTATTCAACTGCAACATAAAATACGACACGAAAAAAACTGAAATACGATGAACTACCTTTAAAGCAAAGTATTTATCCGTTTGCACTTGATTTGTCTTCTTCTTTACTTCTGCTATTTGCTCAGGAGTCAACTTTCTCGCATTATTTCTAGAGGAACTATCGGATATCATTACATCAACATTAGCTGAATTTACTGAAGCTGAACCCCCATCCGAAACACGGTAATCAACAACCATATCTTCAACAACTATATCTTCTTTTTTCATATTTTCTCCCATCGTTCCCAAGCTCGAAGATGAATACTGCAGCTGACGTGTTAAACAAACAGTGAAAGTGCGACGAACGATGTTAGCTGGTCAGTCAGCCATAAACTATTTATGACGCTTTTTTGTCGCTATAAATTTAACCCGACTCGACAGTTTTTAACGTGAGGGGGACACTAAAACAATTGGAACTGCGAAAATAAGACATCGATGAAGACAGGAAGGAAGACGCAAAGATTGACATAAATGTAGGCATAAAGGTAGACATAAATATAGACATAAATGTAGACATAAAGGTAAGCATAAAAGTAGACTTAAAGGTAATATTTACCTTTGACACAGGTGTATTTGCTTGTTGTATAATGGATAGAAGAGTATTTGCTGGTGGTATAATGGATAGAAGAGTATTTGCTGGTGGTATAATGGATAGAAGAGTATTTTCTGGTGGTATAATGGATAGAAGAGTATTTGCTGGTGGTATAATGGATAGAAGAGTATTTGCTAGTGGTATAATGGATAAAGGTATTTGCTAGCGATGTATTGGATAGAATTGTATTTGATGGTGGTATTGCTAGTTCTAGTTTTGCATTCACTGAAACTAAACATAATACAACCTATTACACATGCTTACCTAAAAAATATATGTCTCAAAATACCTAAAAAGTAGTTTAGTCTTTGGTTAATTAATGTGCTGGTATAATTTATTTCGATGAGTGGCTGCTTTTATTTATTTACAATTTCCCTTACAGAAAATATTTTCTATTACCATTATACTTTTTAGTAAAGAACCAGAGGGAGAGCCTTGCATTGACGTTGAAAATATTTTCTACTTTAAAGGGATTAAAATCTCCATGAACCACTTCAACGACAATCTCTTGAACGTTTGTGGCAAGGAACGCTTCTGCTGCAAGATTTACGTCACTACTTTTCATTTATCCTTTCGATATCGTAAGCTCTACTGTGGCTTTACTTGCACCAAAGGCGTTTTCTCCAAGGCAAACATACGTTGCCTCGTCTTTCGTCTTGACATTAGGAATCAAAAGGACAGTGTTATTTATCAAATAATTTTCACTCAGAGGTACACCGTCATTTCTACTCCACGTGACGGTCACGGGGTGAATAGAAGATACCTTACACTGCAACGAGACATTATTGCCAGCTGTCACGAATACACGACTCGGAAAGATTTGAACCTTTGGAAGAATGTTCTTTCCTGAAGGGAAAAAAAAGCATTTTCAAAACTTTCCGCTGTTCCGAAGAAATAATTTCAAGAATAAGACTTGTTTCACACAAATGGCATAAAAACAAAAAACAAAAAGTGCTTAGGAAAAAGTTCTAGTGCATTTTCACAGTGCTCCGGGAAAAACCTACGAAAAAAACTAAGAAAGTTGGGATGTTTATATAGATGATTTTCTGGCAAAACATTTGTTGTTGTGGATTATGGTTTTGTAGAGTGAAGCAGGTTTGAAGTTCAAATGAAAAATGGGGCTCAATAAGTGCAATAGGGATGCATAAAGCAAGCAATGCAATAGGTTTATGCAAGAGCAAAAGCCATTAAAATAGCGGCTTAAAAACTGCTATCATAAAAACTTACGTTGAACAACCACTGAAACAATAGCTTTGTTCTTTCCATATTTTGTCTTCACAGAGCATTCATACACTCCTGTATCTTCCACTTTAACTTTGGTCAATTTCAACACGACATTATCACTGAGCACACTCGGCGTAGATCGTCGTGACCATTTCACACTTTCCAATTCTTCATCACCGGAAACTTTGCATAGGAGATAAAGAGCCTCGCCTTCCATTACAGAGAGTACTTTTCCCGAAGGCTTGATACTGACCTCCGGCAAAGATGACACATCTGGAAACGAGGAAAAAGTTCCTAACGTTAATGATGAATATCCGAAGACAAGGCGGGATAATTCCCACTTATGCTACAAAAACATCTCCAATTAAATCCCATGATGTCAATATTCTAATCGTAGGTACATAGACCGTCTGCATGATAGAAATATGAAACGAACAGTCGTCCGATGAGTATTTCATATCAAATAGCATTAATCATTTCTCTATAGAAGTTTATTGTTTTTAAAATGAGTGGACACCAATGTATTTATATTACATGATCAAACTTGCGGAGCTGGCTACGTCACTGAGCTCGTGACCTGCCATTTCTAGATGGAAGATCTCTCTACCTCGATTTACGAAGAGACTGCTAACAGCTGAAGATTTTCCATATTTATTAACCGCTGTACAAATATACCGTCCCTCTCTCTAATGCTTGTGTTCTTTATCTCCAAGACATTTCGATTCATGACTGCTCTTGCAGGAAGTTTGCCATCTTTCTTTTGCCACGTGATAGCCATTGGTTCTTCTCCCATGACGTCACAACGCAACACGGTTGTTTGACCTTCGTTAACAGTCACGCTGACCGGTCGCATGTTGACTGTGGGAGCACTGTTAGGACCTAAAGTAATGTTTTCAGATAAAATTTTAAACATCTGGGGCCGGTTGCACGAAGCCTGGATAGTGTTATTCATTGGATAGCAATTTTTTTAAGCTTTTAAAAACCTTTGAAACAGCAAAAAATATAAGATTTGAACTGAGCAACCACTGAAATAAAACATAGTTTCTAAGGTTACGAAATTTCTTTGTCGTATGAAAAATATAAACACCTTTTTTATAAGTTTGAAAATTTTGCCATCCAATGGATAAAGTTATCCTGGCTTCGTGCAACGGGCCCCAGATAAACAATAAATTTCCCCTAGTTTCACATAAATTTGAACACAGAGCAACCAAACAGACACATTTAAGTACTGGTACGACAAAATTGATTGTCCAGACGAAGATATGTGTCACCTATATGTTTGCAAACATTTCACTGTATGTATCAAAACAAACACAAAGAACCACTCTCACAATGTCCTTCATAGTATACCTACCTTTGACTAAAAGTAGAACGTCCATTGTTGATTCACCACCTGTATTCCTAGCTATACACCTATATTCCCCTTCATCCCTTCTTGACGCTGCAAGAATCTTGAACACACCGGTTCGCGTGAAAAATTTAGAGAAACGCGGAAGACGGCGACCATCCTTACGTTCCCAATGTAATGTAGCAGCCGGAAAGCCTGCGGATGCGGAACAACGGAATTTCACCGTGTTTGCTACGTCTACAGTCTGTTTTCTTGGCGAGACAGTCACTTCAGGTTTTACGACAACTGAAAACGTGAAATTTGCGAAAGAAAACATTAGTAAAAGGCGTGAAATGTTTGGTAATTTGTATCAGATGAGTCCAAACTATGATGAAAAATGATTAATGTAGCAAAAAGGTCAACTACGACATTTTTTACAAAGGGTAAGACTGCCACTGTCTCAGAATTAAATGATATGCAAAACCATAAAGAAGATAGAGGTCAGTTTAAGATAAAGTGAGATTACTGAATTTGATCAAAATTACTTGTTTTCTTGGCAAATGATTTTGTGATTTTACGCACACTCGCTAAGCTGAAGGAATGGCTGCGCACAAGATGATCACGTTATCGCCATAGAAACGAACCATCTTTGTTGCGCAGTGAGCATTTTTTGATAGTAGTGACATACCTCCAACATGAAGCGATATGATAGCTCGATCAATATTCAAACTGTTCTTTCCAGTACAAATATACGTGCCTCCATCATCGAGCTGGGCATTAGTAATGATCAACGAACCATCCTTGATTTGGCTAGTTAAAGGCATCGCCTTGTCGTGTTCTCGACTCCAAGTAATTGAATGTCTTGAGGATGTTCTAGATGTGCAGAAGAACTTTGCCGTTCCACCAACAGGAATGTAGCGTGATTTAGGAGCAACGTCAACGATAACAGCGGTTAATTGTTGCTCTAGAATTATACATCTCCGTGAAGTGAAAAAATAATGTTAAAATGTTATAAAATACATAAGTCTAAAATGAACAGCTCAATGTCTTTCCTTTTATAATTAAAACAGATCATTCCCTACACCATTGTTCATCTTATCTTGAAATATGCAAAAGTTAACTTTCCTAGTATCTGCTAAAAGATAAGACCTGCCTGATCATATGCAAAAATTAACTTTCCTAGTATCTGCTAAAAGATAAGATCTGCCTGATCATATGCAAAAGTTAACTTTCCTAGTATCTGTCAAAAGATAACACCTGCCTGATCTTAAATCCAGTCATTTCTTACCTTCAACAATAAGCTGTGCACGTGCGGTCTTCAAACTGATGTCGTTGCTCGCCGTACACCAATATGCACCAGCATCACTTAACTGTAAGGATGTGAAGCTGAGAACGTTACCATAGACTGTAGAACCACGTGGCAGCGTTTTGCTTTCTGATCGTGACCAAATCACCTTAGTTGGACGCGGGGATTTTACGTTACACACGAAGCGTGCGTTGTCACCTTCTTGAACTGTCAAGATTTCAGGAATGATTTTCATTTGCAAAATCTGTAACACTACAAAGAGATGAGGCAAAATCGTAAAGGAAACAAGAAAAATAAAAATTGCAGCATTAAATCACATTTTACACAAATTTTTTCATACCTGGAGCCTTGAAGCATTTCCCTCCAGGAGTCAACGGATTACCAGTGTAATTAGCAGAACATCTGCAAAAATGTCAAACCCATAATGAAACTATAAGAGAAAGTCCTTACTTACTTTCCAAGAGTGAGGTTAAACAATACTGTAATTAATGTATAAATGATTCCACATTTGCACTTTATTGGTCAATAGCACATCTCAAACGGTTTTCACCATGAATGACAGACAGACTAATTTCACTTCACAAAAAATTTCGCACAACAAATTAAGAAACCGAAAAAACGAGCAGTTGAGAGAACTGAAAACTTGGATGAAGTTTGTTCAACCAAGAGAAGTGAATGATGCAAACATATATAACATCTGCACGACATACTTTTCACATCTTCGCCCTGTGTAGCCATCAAGACATGCATCACAAGTTGGTAAACCATCGTCATCCATAAAACAAGTCTCGCTGAAACTATAAAGTATGAAATGTTAGTTATGATTCCATCATCAAAGGTGAGTGATGATACCAGACTGAAGTTGAAATGCTCACACCTTTAATAACAGCTCATGTGTAGCATGCATGACAGTGAATACAGTGCATTACTCAATTGCATATCCAAACAGCAAATAATGAATCTATCTGGTCACTTACCGATTTGATAATCCAGCCAAAGGACATGGACATTCTTTGCAACCGATTTTACTGCCACTGGTAGCGTTACCATAAAATCCTCGAGAGCAAATTTCGCAATGAATTCCATCAGTGTTGTTCTTGCAGTCCTTAGAAATTATCAAAAAAATTGTCATACATTAGGAATAAATTAGAAGGAGTAACAAATGACAGCATGGATATTGTTGAATTAGAAAGATGATTGCGTGGATATTGTTAAATTAGAAAGATGATTGCATGAGTATTGCTAAATTAGAAAGATGATTGCGTGGATATTGTTAAATTAGAAAGGTTAACAAATTATTGCAAAGATAATGTTAAATTAGAAAGATTAACAAATTATTGCAAAGATAATGTTAAATTAGATAGATTGACAAATTAGGATTAACAAATAATTGCGCGGAAAAAACAGTTCATAAAAGAAAAACTTTACCTTACAAACACCTGTCGTAGGATCACAGTCTGTTGCATGCGAATTACATTGACAGGGGGTACAAAACGAAGTTGTTTTACCATTACGTGAATAACCAGTGACGCAACTCTGAAAAAAATGAAAAGATACGATTAAAACAAACTAAACACAAAAAAATACGATAAAAGATACGGAAGACTCTTTTCACCATCAGAAATGAAAGCAAATGAAAAAATATATGTTTATGTGAGAGCTACACATTATTTGGAACAAGCCATTCGCCTCACATTTATATTACTGAATACAGAATATGAACAGGTATGGAGTCCATTACACGAAATCTTAAGTTAAAAAGATGCAAACCTCACAAGATGCACCAATAGTATTATCGGGACAGTCACACATTTCCGGTTTACCAGCGTTCGTCCTGTCGTTTGCAGACATGAGCGTGACGTCACCCAGTCTAAAACAACATCAGATAAATTTATCGTATCTTTGATATTCATATCCATCATTACCTCATTAATCCGTGATGAACAACATCCCATGTACATGTAGGTACATGCAGATGCAAAGTTAAACAATACCTTGATTCGGAGAATTTACTGCTGTAAGTCACAGGTATTAATATGGAATCAATGTTGATAAGAACTCTCATAAACTCATCACGTGATACAGAATGTCCGTTGGCTTTGAACCAAAAACGCTGAAATTAAAAAAAACGCACATTCAAATTAAAATTTATCTATCAAACCATAACGTTCACTTCTCTTTCTACAACAATTCTGTGCTTACAACTTCAAAACACCAAAAAATGAAAATTTTAGAAGATAATTGCTCGCTCACTGCCCCATATGTTAACACCACAAAGAGCCTAAAATGTGCTAAAGGCAAGTAAACATGACCAACCTCTGACAGTAAGATTTCGATTTTTTTGTTCATGTTAGCTGGAACGAGAGTGTGTTCTTTGTAATGTAATGTCATACTATTTCCCTGTAAAAAAATGGTTAACATAGCTCTCTCACATACGTTGTTTGTAAAGCTGTTAAATGCAAGTGGATTTGTTTGAGAGAGGCTGTACAAAATCAGCGTGGACACAAGTCATACCTTCATCGTTATGAATCTTTCTATTTCGAAATTTTTACTGGACGTAGTGAGATAGAAGTAATAAAATGTCAACGATCCACCATAAAACTGTAGCTAAAAATAAAATAAGAAAGAAAAGTTGGACAAAACATTTCAAACGAGATGCTCTTTCATTATTATAAAGATGATAAGTCGATGGCAAACAGAACAAACAACTTTCAAAAATTCACTTTTCTTTGCAAATGAAAAGTGCAGTCAAATGAAAAGTACAGGAACCTAGCTGTGAGAATACATTGTTAATGTGCAAAGCTGTAGATCAATGGTAGTTACACCCAATGACAAATTAATTTTTACTAAAAATTACAACTGAAAGATGAACACACATGCATTTTTTATTTTTATTCTTTAGGAGCTTGTTACTGCATCTCGCTAACTTGACAAAACAAGAATATAGGAATAACGAAAAATATCCAAGCAAAGTGAGCTGAACGTCTTGCAAGAAAAGCAGAAGTCTTTAAATATTGGACTCATTTGTACCTTGTTACCCACGAATGTACGTGGTATCCTCCAGAAGATATTTGACATTGCCATCCATGATTTGTACATAAATCGCACCTGTTTAATACGCCTGTCCAGAAGATAATCAGAGGTATTTTGTGAAAAATTCTCCGTTGTTATAATTAAATCGGACGGTAAAGGATGTCTTGGAGTGAACTTGATCTGCAGCGATGAAAACAAAGATGAATTGTACTGTGCATTATTAGCTTTGAGTAAAGAATGCAATTATTAAAATGTGTTCATCTTGCGAATAGACGTACATGCAAGAAGATTTCTCCAGACGTGTGATGAATGACTTACATTATCTGGTTTTTCAGGGGATATTGAACAAGTTGTGTTAAGACCCATGCAGAAGCATGGAGAACAACCATCTTTGTTACCAGATTGCAAATTGAAAAATCCTCTTTTACACTCGTCACATTTTTCACCATGAACATTTGCCTGAATTATTTTTCAACATAAGTTTCACTTTTACTTGTTTAATTATTCATACACAGATATGTTAGTCATAATTCACTTGACTTGACATAGACATGTTTTCTTATGCTTTGCATTCATAAGACAGCAAGGACTAAAGTTCAACATTCAATCTTTACCTTACAAATACAAGTTTGTGTTTGCTCATCACATCTCTCTGTACCAGCATGACTACACCCGCAAGATGACACTACATATATATTGATAAAAAGTGTAAGTTTTGACGAAGTTCTAGGTTGTAATAGCAACAAGCATTACCTGGCGTGCAAACTTCACCAGGAACTTTAGGGTTACCAGTAAAACCTTTCTGGCATCTGAAAATATATCAACGAAACTATTAAAAGGTCAACTTTAGAAAACCCTATTAACGCATATGTTTATCACACCATGGAAAGATAATGGCGAAAAACTATACCAAACGCACACAGAAAACAATTTATATACCTGTTACAAAGTTTCCCTTCGTGTCCCTCTGGACACCTATCACACACTGGTTCACCATCATCCCCCAGAGAACATGTCGTTTCTTCTTCAGTACTTTAAACAAACAGAAAAGAAACAAATCATGTAAATTCCATTATTGCTAAGTTTTAACAAGAGATTAGTGCAACGTGTCAAACCTGCTTATGTTCTCAATACGGGGACAAGGACATGGTTGACATGGAGAACCGTTCCTTGCGTTGCCATAGAAACCTGGTTTACATCTTTCACAATATTTCCCTGTCGTATTGTTTTGACAGTTCTGCAAAAAAGAAATTTTCCAACTTTAGCACATCAAAACGCATGGGATTGAAAAAAATTGAAATACTGGAACTCTGCAAAATATAGAGGAAAAGAATGAGACTAGTGCCAGTCTTATCACTACGCTCAGATACAATATTTCACGAAGATATGTGTGTCTGAGAGGTAGTCAACGTTGGCCTTATGAGAGTGTTGATGTGTTGGAATCAACCAATATTTCAATGCATTGGCGGGAATTTAAGTAAACGAACCAAAAAGAGGATTATTTTGTTTTGTCTAACACCGTTAAGTACTAAATATAACAAATTGAGACGTACAACACAACCGAGGAAAGATTGTCGACAGGATTAGTCATCTTCTAAGTGATCGAGATTACAAACAGGAAAGAATTATTTTCAAACTGACCTCGCACTCGCCAGTTAGTGGATTGCAGAATCTTGCATGTTTATGACATCTGCATTTTACACAACTTCCGAGAATGAAAGATGAAGCACTCAAAGTGTAACCCATTGCGCAGCTCTGAAATGAAATCAAACGATTACGTAGATGCTTTTTCAAGAAGAACTAAATGAAGTGCAAAGGTTTGCACTTAATCTCCTTCATACAAAAATAACGCGAATTACATACCTCACATGAATAACCAGTATAACCAGTTGGACAATTACATCTTTCGATTCCTGGAATTGTCGTCCCAAGCTCACTCTCCACGGCACTTTCCAACTCCACGTTATACAATCTAGATCAGAGCAATTTTGCAAAATTTTAGAAAGTTTGACGAAGTTAATGGACAAAATGTCTTAGTCCACTGTATAGATAAAGATTTAAACAAATAATCGTAAAATAATGCTTCAATATATTGAACGCATAAATTGCATAACTTTGTAATATTTCTTTCGTTATAAAACAATGATTACTTCATTTTCTGGCATTTTCTTGCTTACTAAGCATATTAACAACAAGCCCTAGCTCAAATTTAATGTCAATTTCCACGTATTAATGTAAATAATTTTGCTAATGAAGGATTTTTATGATCTTATCACCTGCTCTCCAGCATGTTGACGTAAGGTGTAGCGAGAATTAATAATTTGTGAATTCGACCCAGGAACACCACGAACAAAGCCTTTGAAATGCGACTGTTGCTTGAAAACCTCCAAAATTGCTGATAAAACAACATAAAACATTGTACAAGACAACATACTACAGTCAAAGCAACTCTATACGTCACAGCATACCTCAGTCAAAGCAACTCTATACGTCACAACATACCTCAGTCAAAGCAACTCTATACGTCACAGCATACCTCAGTCAAAGCAACTCTATACGTCACAACATACCTCAGTCAAAGCAACTCTATACGTCACAACATACCTCAGTCAAAGCAACTCTATACGTCACAACATACCTCAGTCAAAGCAACTCTATACGTCACAACATACCTCAGTCAAAGCAACTCTATACGTCACGTCTTTACCGTTGACGTAATCAATGCCACGTAAGTTGCGGCCAACATATTTTATCCCAAATCGTCTACCCTAAAAACACACAGTTTGAAAGAAAACTTCGTTATACTTTGTAGAAATTACTAGTTTTGCCACGTATGTTATATTTCTCTCGTCGTAGTAGTAGAATTTGTAGATTAAATGAGCCATCAAATATGAAGGTTCAATAGCTGACTCTACTCACCAGCAAAATGACATCAAAGGCAGTAGACGGACGTTTGGTCGTTTTCCATGAATAGGTGACCGTGTACTGGAGATAACCACCATACGAAGCAACCTGGTGGAAGGTTTAAAAAGACGTTGTCAGTAGAAGCGTTACTAACCCTTGCTAAACAAATTATCAAGTTGAACTGTTTGTGTTCCGAAACGAAGACTAAACCTCAATATTAAGTTTCATGAATGAGAAACTGCAATTTTAGAAAAATAACGAAACCACTTTGAATGCCTTCAGGGTTAAACATTTTGGTGAGAGAAAACAAAATACTTGAGCTGGCAACATTATTGTGCTATGATTCACGTCAGATGCTCACAACGCAATACAGAAAAAATGATATCATCAACAAAATATTGCCACACACACCTTGCTTCCAGCAAACTTTGAAGGAAGGTGCCAATAAAGAGATCTCTTGTTTTCTTCACTGGATGAAAAAACTTTTCTCAAACACTTGTTGCCATTATCGTTGTGAATGGAGTGCTTTACTACTCGTCTAGAGTATAACGTCGCCATAGTAAAAACGTCGTTGGCAAACGAGCCTTGAATCTGCACAAGAGAAGGAAGAAAGAAATGAAAAAAAGATCACAATATTCGGCATCATCAGTTCAATAAAATGATTTCGTTTTGAAGCATATGGCATCAATCAATATGGTCAGCTGACGTAAACAGCTGATATTGTCTAGGTAAACAACTGCGTAACACGATCTAAGACACAGCCAGCATGTATACCGATTGAAGGTTCAGTTTTGGCGGTGCTACGTTAGGTAACCACCATTGTTTGAATTTAAACACATTTTGTTGCGAATGGAGGTCCGTGGTTAACTTACCGTATATTTTAAGCCAACTAAATTTGAGCAATTTTTACTCTTTTTGCTACAGGAGCATTTCTCACAACCGGATGGATTTGATGTTTGAAGATTGAAGGTCCCTCTCGACATTTATCACAAATCGTACCGACCACATTTTTCTATGGATTTGTAAGACAGAATTACATTCAAAATTTTTCTCATTGGAGATCAAATGGAAGTATATATTATACCTTGCAATGACAGTTCACTTTTGAAAATGAGTTTATACTTTGAGACATGCTTCCAGCTGAATGGCATTTTGAAAAGTTTCCTAAAGAATAAGACAGATAACAGGATTATGTAGTCGAAGGGAGTTCATCTTAGATTCTTGACGTTGCAACGCGAAACCCAATAGTTCATCTTCGATCATTAACGTTGCAACGCGAAACACTATAGTTCATCTTCGATCATTAACGTTGAAACGTGAAAAACTATAGTTCATCTTCGATCATTAACGTTGAAACGTGACAAACTATAGTTCATCTTCGATCATTAACGTTGAAACGTGAGACACTATAGTTCATCTTCGATCATTAACGTTGAAACGTGAAAAACTATAGTTCATCTTCAATCATTAACGTTGAAACGTGAGACACTATAGTTCATCTTCAATCATTAACGTTGAAACGTGAGACACTATAGTTCATCTTCAATCATTAACGTTGAAACGTGAAAAACTATAGTTCATCTTCGATCATTAACGTTGAAACGTGAAAACTATAGTTCATCTTCAATCATTAACGTTGAAACGTGAGACACTATAGTTCATCTTCAATCATTAACGTTGAAACGTGAGACACTATAGTTCATCTTCAATCATTAACGTTGAAACGTGAGACACTATAGTTCATCTTCAATCATTAACGTTGCAACGTGAAACAATTTAATTCATCTTAGACCCTTAGCATGGCAAGCCAGTGTTAAAAACAGGGGATAGTTGAAAATTCTCTCGTCAATGATACACACCAACACTATAACAAGTTCCACCAACCACTGATGGATTTCCTTCATATCCACTATCGCAGCTAAACAAAAAAATAACTTACTCCACGTCATACTTGTCCTGTGTACGAATACAGTAAATATTTTATTGTTCTTATAAAACAACATCGGAAAAATACAAAACAATAACAACACTGGCTTATGGTGACATACATTTCACAATTCCGACCAGTGTATCCGGGAAAGCAGGAATTGCAGGTGGATTTCCCATCACGATCCAAATAACACGTTTCACTGAAACTGTAGATGCACAATATAGCACAAATTAAAGGATCGTCATATCTAAATTGTCTTTGCCAATCTTTTACTCTGGTTCTAAACCTATTTACTGTTTTGCGTTATTTTCCATTTCTGGCCACAACATGAAGCCAATACGAACCAATCAACCAGTGTGTAAAGTTAACATCACAACAAAATATTATCACAAAATTCTATAATGATCATCACCACGAACTTACGAATTGCTTTCGACGGTCAGAGGACAGTTACACTTTTTGCAATCATAGGGTGTGCCCACGGTTGCATCTCCATAGAAACCAGCCTTGCAAACTTCACAGTTCATACCGGAAGTGTTGTGGTCACAGCTCTAGAAACACAGCAACAATGACATAAGTGAAGAATGAAAACCAAAAATCTTTTCTTTTGTAATAAATACTACAAACAGGAAAATTCCCATCTTACATTACATCTTCCTGTTTTGTGATCACACGAACTTGAGTGACCGTTACACGAACACCTCAAACATTCTTCACTTCCGTTTCTTCTGAAATATCCGTCTGAGCATTTCTATTGACATTTACAAAAATTTACCCAAATGCATTTCACTAATTCATGAATAAGCTTTACGAAAAAGACAAGAACGTAGCTACCTCACAAGAATAGCCACTGTAACCCTCAGGACAAGTACATTGCTCCACCAAATGAACTCTTCGCCCATCATTTTCTTTTGATACGGCAGAATCGAGAGAAAATTTCCGAAGTCTAAGCAATAAAATTCGGACAGAGTCAAACAGTGTCATGAATGGGCAATTAATGAAGATAATTTGCAGAGTTAAAATTTTAACCATCCAGGTTATTTTAAAACGATGATAAACAATTTCTACAGGTTTAAAGCAAGTGTTTGTGTCACAAAGTGTTTATATGCAACAGCACAAAAGCAGCTTACCTCAATACGTAACCATTCGATGATGTCGCTTTTATAAAAATATATTTTATATTCGTCAAGACACGAAGCAAAGTTGATCGTCTTATATTTCGCTGTCTATCCGTATCCATCCATTGTTTCTACATGAAAGTCAAGTTAAAGTTGAACAAACCTTTATATTTGAATAAAATGATTAAATTCGTATAATAAATAGATTTTATATATCCATAGACTGGATGTTAATACCTCAATCAAATCAATACCATACATTCCTCCGTCATAAGAATTCAACTGAGTTGCAGCCAGCAATGTGCCATCATTACCCTATATTTTAGTATAAAATACATGGCATACGGTCAAGTTAATTGGAAAAGGAGATTGTGAATGCATGCCCACCATTATATAAACCATGTGAGAATCAGAAAGGTTCAAAGCCTTGCTTTGAGAAACTCTGGTTATACGACTTCTGTCGTGAACCATTGGAACATCATTCAACGAACGAGGCGAGGCTGAAATTCCTAACCATGACTTTTTGTTGGGCCCCTCTCTGATGTAGTTCCATACGGTCAGGTTTCTGTTGCTTTTGTCAGTCACATCACGTCTAGACCTGCGCAGTGCATTTTTAATAAGGTCTGACTCCAGTGCAAACTGTAAACGTCCACCGTAGCTTGTGATCTACAAAAAAACATAGATAACAAAAAGTTGTACTGACAATGAAAGACAAAATAGTCGTTTTAGAGAAGTGGAACAGGAATGTTAAGGTTTACTTTTTATTAGCTTCAAGTGAAAATTTGCATGGCATAGTGAGTGTTCACCTTATTTCCGGAGTATTTCTTTGGAAGACGCCAAAATAATGGAGACGAACTCGTTTGTAGATAAACATCTGTTTGTTTTCCAAATACATCAACCAAAATTGGTTCATACATCTTTGTACAACTAAAGCAATTCCAGTAAGATTGCAACTATGAAAGAAAATCATTAAAAAGCACATTCATTAAAAAGAAGTAAGCATTGAAGAAAGACCAATGGATGTCGCTAGTAAACAAAACGACATAAAAATTTCATCATAAATGATTGTCACCTTAGATCTGTATAACACAGCACTGCGACATGTCATGGTTTTTTCGTAACAAAAACACCTCAAACACTCGTCGCTTCTCTGTGCGATAGAATTAAAGAAAGGTGATGCACAGACGCTTCCTAACGCTAGAAAACATAAAAAAACATAACGATGTGTTAAACAACTTTGATTTTTATACAGAACAAATCACCTCGAACTTTAACTGTACAACTAGGAGCGACAATCTTCCGCACACGATTGTTGCTGATTTGACAAATATAATCTCCCGAATCCTTTTCACCAACGTTAAAAATCGTCAGCTGTCCGTGGCCTGCAACGGATGTAACCGAAATCTTTTCAGGTAAACTTAAAATCTTTCTTCCCTTGCTGTACCAGCTGACTTTGGGATGTGGGACACCGCTGGCCGCACATGTACATCTCGCTGTCTCGCCTTTTGCCAAGATTATCAAGGATCGTGGAGCAGTGATAACTTTGGGGGGAACTATGAAAGATGTTAGACATTTACTCAGTAGTTCAACAATTTCATAAGAAAGAAATGATCTTATTAAATAACTACTAGAGTCACTAGAAAACAGGTGTTATTTTTGGTCAACATACCACATCCAAATTCATCTGAATCATCATCGCAGTCCAGTTGCCCATCACATCGAAATCGCGCCTCAATGCAATCGCTGATTCCGTAAACACGTGATCGATTACAAGCGAATTCATTGCTTTGACAATCAAAGACGACGGCATCTCCTACACGTGTTTCAGTGGAGAGATTTTCAATAATGAAAAGTCAATAGAAATGGGACGAAATCATTGAATTAAATCAATTTGAATAAAACAACCTGCTTTAAAGTGCAATGTAAAGGCTCTACGGACATATGATTTTATCAAGTCATTCCAAGAGCAATATACCAAAGTAAAAAGCAAAAATGCTCTAAAATATTAAGCTCAAATGTATACCATGATGTCATTGCCTTACCACAATTAACTTCATCTCTGCCATCAGCACAATTTATCTCTCCGTCACACTTCCATAGTTTACTAATACAGTCACCATCACCACAAGACATTTCAGTTGAGCGACAAACACTTTTACCTTAATGCACCAAAAGAAATATGATTGAACATTAGTAAAAGATAAGTTGTTGATAAACGCAAATCTCGTCGAATCAACACTTTCTTTACAGCTGTTCGATGCGTAAAATTTTGTGAAACTCCATTTGAATTAGACGAACAAAGAAAGAATTGATACTCCCGATAAGGAAAAGAATCAAAATACCTGATATAGGTATAAATGAAACATCTCTGGAGGCAAGATCTACTCCTGCAATACTCCCAGATGTTATAGAAGGACGTATAACACCGGCCAAGTATCGAGTGTCGCTATTGCCAATACTTTGCAAGGAATAATCCACAATTATTGAATCGGCGTTTATAGGTCTTAACACAAAGATTATAAAGACACGAGTAAATGATGTGAGATGACTTTACAAAGATGAAAATTTCTTTGCTCATACAAGAACGAGCTGAGATGAAATTTAGTAATATAAAGTTCAATTCTATCCAAATTTCCATACCTCTGACCTATTGTTTCGACTCTTTGCTCGCCAGATATCTCAGTGAATAAGTTAGTGATCTAAAACGAAAAGAGCATCTCAGCTTCTATCAACACTTTAGAAAATGGAGAGAAGTATAAACAGATCCAAGCTCTCTATGCCCTCAACGATTTGAGATTTTCAAAGCTATCAACAAAAAATCAGAGTCTCTTCATGCAAAGCTACGTACCCCATCTCGCACTCTGTTAGCAAGTCTTTGTGCAGAGCTGTTGAAGCTGCTGTTGAATGTCAAAAGCATTCTTACAAGAAATTCGTCTAAACAAGTAGTCGTATTAACAAAATCACATGCTATTATCAACAAAATCTTAAACTTTACAGAGCTTCATTACAAAACTTTTAGCAAAATGATTACAAACTTTTAGCAAACATAAATTATACCGTTTTACAGAGCTTCATTACATTTAAAATTTTACAATTATAAATTTTACAGAGCTTCATTACAAAACTTTTAGCAAAATGATTCCTACTAAACGCCAGACTGACAATGTTAAATTAATTATTCTTTTTAAAACATTGGTTTGATTGTAAGGTTTAAAGCATTGGTTTGATTGTAAGATTTAAAGCATTGCTTTGATTTACATGAGTGGAAAATATAGAGAGTAGATACGAACGAGTAATGTCACTAACACTATGCTTGCGTCAATTAATTCACAATTGAAAAGCTAACCCATAAAATTTGTGGACTTTGTTATGAGCAAACCTAAATTCTTAATTGCTGCATCAAAGTTATTGAAAATGTATTTCTCATGTATTTCTCTGTTCTGTTAAGAATTTCATTTATTGCGCAACACTGTTGTTATAGAAGACATTTCTGCAGTAATTTGAATTCAGCCGACCTTGAACATAAAACTTACTTTTTCCTCTGGGAGCACATAACTCTTCACACCAACAATCCTTACGTATACCATTAAGTACACATAAAACTTACTTTTTCCTCTGGGAGCACATAACTCTTCACACCAACAATCCTTACGTATACCATTAAGTACATTTTCACTTAGCAAGCAATCGTAGACATATAGATCATCAAGATATCCTTCGGTTGACGTCATTCCAAACCGAAGAGATGACGTAAATCTCCAATGTACAATTCCTTGGCGTACTTTGACCTCATTTACTAATTCCAAATCAATATATAATTTTGCCTTAAAAGCATAGGGATCGTACACAGCAACGACATGTGTCCACGTTCGAGGTTTCAACAGCTTTACATGACGTACAAGAAATGCAGTCTCCTCAGGTTGAGTGATAAGTTTCCACTTCAAAAGTCCTCTTTGTGTAAAAATTTCCACGACAGCACCTAGAGAAATTTTTCAAAATAAAAATCATGATGTAAAATAAGAAAATATCCAACAAAACAAATAACATGAAAGTTATGTCAACAAATTACACAAATTATCCATAAATATCCATACGTACCTTTATAATAACCTCTGAAGAGTGAAGTCGTACTTCTAGGTTGGTGCATTCTTAGCCAAAACGCAATGACAATGACGTCACTGTCCGATGTTTTCGTCTTTTTGAACTTCCTGAGAAAAACGTAGCCATTTTTGAATTTTGCTGCTCTACCACATTTTCCATAGTTTGTCGTTGTTACGTTGCCATAAATTATACCGTTGTTATCGTAACCAGAATCATCGTACACTTCACTTGCGCTTAGACTTTCAAATGCATAATGTACCCGAGGCTGACAGAATACTGAAATGATGGAGTAAAAATACGTTTTAAAAGAACAGCTCTGATAAGAGGAATACAGTTTAAATCATAAAGCATTTATCGTCAAGATTTCAAAACTCGAAGCGAATCCACCGCACTTAGTTTCCCGAGTTGAAAGGCATCAAGGATCATACATACATCCAGTTTAGTTTTCTTACAGAAGATCAGTTGTGCAAACCTGGACACCTTAAATGGGCCGAGCATGTACTCTATTTAGTGTCTTTATTAAGGAAATGGTTTGATGACAAATCGTTTAAAGTCTACTGTCTATTAGGAGTTGTCTGGTGTTAAAACAAGAGTGATCTGAAGTTGAAACTTGAGTCGTTCTACATACTACAGAATAGTGTTTTCCTTTAAGGTAATTTGATGTTGAATGCAAGCTCAATAAATATCTCAGTCTCGTGACACTAAATGTAATTATGAAATAAACTGTTTCCATTATAGAAATACAACCTCCATTCGGTCTAAACGAAGCCATCTTTCTATCCACATCGTAAGTGATGAATCTTCCTGGTATTTGAACATTCTTTTTCACTGTATCACTGATTTCATTTATGTCACCATTTCCAGTACTATGCAACAGCATTAACAGAATGACTTTACTCCAACGACCACGCCTATCGAAGAAATAGAAATTTTCGAACAAATCTTGCTTACAAAATGTTTTTCCTCGTTCAATGGATCATCCCACAAGTTAGATCACCGAGTCACAATCACAACAGTAACTGCTACGAAAAACGCATTTATATATTTTTAGAAGTCCTCACTGCTGCGGAGGACGATTAACTTTTCCACAAGTCTTGATTTCCAGGGGGGGATTTTAAGCAGGAGTTGACATGTTGGAACAGCTAGAAGTCAGGATATTCTAATTATTCTTTTAAAACTTGGCAGAGCTCAACCCAATTGACACGAAAGGAAAAAGCATAAAATCGGTTATTTTTTCCTGTCGGCTTTTTTGGATGTGGTACCTGAATGATTCAACCTTCACAGTTTGTTTTCCTTTCACATTTTTAAAGAACTTGGCCATCTACAAAAGACACAAGCAAAAAACAATCATGAACAAAAATTAACAAAAGCAGCTCGTTGAATCTTTCAGTTGCAAAGTCATTTAGCTTCTGTACAAGCAATAAGAGTCAACTCATAAAAAGTTTATTGCTGTACAAGACAAACGAAAGAGTCCATCAGGATTTTTGAAATGCAACATCAAATGAAAACATTTCACCGACAGCGAAAAACAAACCTCTATTTCACAAAGGGCGATCAAGCGTCGCGTTAAATTATTTTTTTCGTATGACAGCTCCCGAATGTAAGAGAGAGATTTAATCTTTATGACGATAAATCCTGTCAGATGAACATCTAGAAATGATATGAAAAAGAAAAACAGAGAAGTTAATCTTGACAAACACATCGACGGTTCAACAAATCACTGATTTGCAAAGAAAGGAATGTTTGAACTGTGAACATAGGAAATTAGCAGTACATCTCGAGTACAGTAGAATAACATGATCGAAACGCTTCGGAGAAAATGATTACGAAGAATGAAAGCTAGAAGTATCAACTCCTGTGGTCACATTTATTTATACGCAGTTGTTACTTTAAATGAGGAATTTAGGTATTTTAAAGATTAGGAAATAAAGCAGACGCAAGGCCAACGATTTTCTATAAGCTCATTTGGAATGTGAATATCAGCTAATAAAAATAAAACCGCAAAGGCGCAAATAACATAGACAGACAGGCAAGATTTTTGTTATCATTATTTAGCAGTACATACAAAGGCTCATCAACATTAATCCCCAAGTAATCCAATCCACCGAAAACAATTTAATACCCTATGAAATCTTCTGGACAGGAAAATAATAACCTGGGAGGTCCGCAATTGTTCTAGATGGACTCATCCTCCGATTTGCCGGCGATGCAGCATCACGTGGTCTCTGATGTAAGATCTATGTGTACAAATAAATAAGGCAATGATAATGATGGATTGCAACGGTCAAGATGGTATAAATCACAGTCCACTAGTCCTTATAGAGGTAAAACGAAGAGGTTTTACTCATACAAAGGTACATACATTAAGACGGAGAAAGCATTACATTAATAATATCCGGCTTGCGAATTATATTTATAAAATATAGTAAATTGGTTAAACATAACCATATGTCAATTTTTTTTGCCGAAAATGAATCGCATTTCCACAAAGTAACGACTGCTTTATATCGATTACATTTCAATTGCAGTAGCAGAATGAAGGCCCAAATGACGACGAGCTTTTAATGAATGAACGAGTCACCATAACCTATCAACGACTACTCATATACTTCGCCTGTTGCGCTTGACATGACACTAACTAATCATTAAAAACATTTTCCTTGAGTATCATAATTAATGTGTCCTATGAACATTCGTTGAGCTCTGAAGACTCGTGACATAGAGAAGCCGAACGAATTCAATTTTCTTTCAAGTTTTTTCCCACAGTCCCAAAAAAATCAGTAGACAAATGAAGTGTCCACGTCAGCTCATTCAAGCCTTCAAACATTCAAATTTATGATGTTTTGTAGCCGTAAATGTTCGCAGGCGTCGATGCTCTAGCCAATTATATAACTCAAATGCCAATATTTATCACAGATAAGACAATTGAAAAGCGTTGGTTGAGAGCAGCACAGGCAAGGTATTCAATTTAGTTTATCTTGAAAACAACTCAATAAAAACCAACAGAGCGCTTTTTAACACATGAACCATTCACGGTGTTAAATTGCCTTAACAAGAGACATTTGCGTCTTTTTTTTCTCGAAATGTACGCAATGAACTCGAGCGGGGGATCATTTAAATACGGTGCGCAATAATACATGAAACAATACCGCTTGATAACTTTGATGAGTAAATTAACATTCCAATCGTTATCAATAGTAGAAGAGCGAACCAAAATAAAAATACTTTATTGATACGCATGCTTGTCGACTCCATAACGTTTTTACAAAAGCAGTTGGTATTTGTCACGTTCGCCAGGCAAAGACCACAAATGAATGTGATGAGTCGAGCCGATTTTTGTTATTTGCAATCTTTGAAGATTTAAATGTCGTATATATTTAACTGTCAATGTAAATCCATTAAAAGAAATATATTTCTAAAAGATATAACGAACAGAGGCCTACCTCACTTCTTGACGTCAACGTGCACGCCAAAAACATGAAGGAGAATACGTTGAAGGACAGGGCAGCCATCATGCTAATCTTCGGGATACAAACACTAATCACCAAGCCCACTGCAATGAGAGATTATATAACAAAGACAAGTCGCGCTGCGTCATTCAAACTTGCATGATAACGTTTCGACGTTAGTTCATCTGTGGAATGCCAGTAATGTGTGTGCTGACCAGCCGTCCTTGTCACGTCGCAAATTATGTGTTGTTGACGCATCGTGGCAAATTGCCCAATTCTGTATGATAATAGACGGATTTAAACACAATTGAATTACGGGGTTTCCATGTGCTGCCCTCCGTAATTGGTGCTGGCCAACAACCAACTCACAAACTTTCAACTAACCGAACACTTAGATTCGGATTTCTTGTGTACGCTTCCGCTGCGCGTATTATGCAAACAAGATTGACCAAATGCTCATTCGTGTCGACTCCAAACGAGCACAAACTGGAGAAACGATTAAAAACTGGAAGTAAAATTGTATGGTTGTCGCGCTAACACAGACAAATCCTCTAATCCTAAATATAACTTTCAACAATAGGCAAATATAACAGTGAGGTCTGACACAAGCACACAAGGATCAATTTCCAACACGCTGTATGAAAAAGCAATGTCAGTACAACATACTCAACTGTGCTCATGACTGTTCTGTTGAACTTGAACTCATTCTCCTAAGGATGGCCAAAACTCGGAATGCCATTTCTTATCTAACATAAAAACAACAAACACAAAAAAAAAACTTTCACGCTATGTTTTATCTCACGATGTGCTTTGCCATGTAAACATAATTTATTATGAAATTGAAGTCGACAATTACCGGAGATGAGATAATGAAGAAGTCTTCGTGAGAGTGGCCTTCGCTAAAACGACAATGTCAGTCGGGTGATGAAAAATTACAGACACATAAAATACCTAAAATACGTCTGCCACTGTGTTACATACTTTAATTCAATCCCCATCACTAAAAGCACCTAACAGCTTCTCCGTCATTCTGTTGGTGAACACTCAATGTTCTCATATTTTTTATAAAATAATTTAACTACAAAGATGTATCGATGCAGAAAAGACAGACTAATTCTTACAGGAAGCGATTCATGCTGTTATTTTATCAGTTTATATTGTTTATTATCATTTTTACATTCACACAGATATGATGAATGATAGCGCGGATAACTCACAGCAAAACCGTGAAAAAATTTCACAAAAAAAGAATACGGTAAACTAGTTCGACGACGGAATTATTTCAAAAAAAAAAGAATACGGTAAACTAGTTCGACGACGGAATTATTTCAAAAAAGAATACGGTAAACTAGTTCGACGACGGAATTATTTCAAAAAAGAATACGGTAAACTAGTTCGACGACGGAATTATTTCAAAAAAGAATACGGTAAACTAGTTCGACGACGGAATTATTTCAAAAAAAAAAGAATACGGTAAACTAGTTCGACGACGGAATTATTTCAAAAAAAAAAGAATACGGTAAACTAGTTTGACGACGGAATTATTTCAAAAAAGAATACGGTAAACTAGTTTGACGACGGAATTATTTCAAAAAAGAATACGGTAAACTAGTTTGACGACGGAATTATTTCAAAAAAAAAAGAATACGGTAAACTAGTTTGACGACGGAATTATTTCAAAAAAGAATACGGTAAACTAGTTCGACGACGGAATTATTTCAAAAAAGAATACGGTAAACTAGTTCGACGACGGAATTATTTCAAAAAGAATACGGTAAACTAGTTCGACGACGGAATTACTTCAAAAAAGAATACGGTAAACTAGTTTGACGACGGAATTACTTCAAAAAAGAATACGGTAAACTAGTTTGACGACGGAATTACTTCAAAAAAGAATACGGTAAACTAGTTCGACGACGGAATTATTTCAAAAAAGAATACGGTAAACTAGTTTGACGACGGAATTACTTCAAAAAAGAATACGGTAAACTAGTTCGACGACGGAATTATTTCAAAAAAAAAAGAATACGGTAAACTAGTTTGACGACGGAATTATTTCAAAAAAGAATACGGTAAACTAGTTTGACGACGGAATTATTTCAAAAAGAATACGGTAAACTAGTTTGACGACGGAATTATTTCAAAAAAAGAATACGGTAAACTAGTTTGACGACGGAATTATTTCAAAAAAAGAATACGGTAAACTAGTTCGACGACGGAATTATTTCAAAAAAAGAATACGGTAAACTAGTTTGACGACGGAAATTTCAAAAAAGAATACGGTAAACTAGTTCGACGACGGAATTACTTCAAAAAAGAATACGGTAAACTAGTTTGACGACGGAATTAAAAAAAGAATACGGTAGACTAGTTTGACGACGGAATTATTTCAAAAAGAATACGGTAAACTAGTTCGACGACATTAAAAAAGAATACGGTAAACTAGTTTGACGACGGAATTATTTCAAAAAGAATACGGTAAACTAGTTTGACGACGGAATTACTTCAAAAAGAATACGGTAAACTAGTTCGACGACGGAATTACAAAAAAGAATAAGGTAAACTAGTTTGACGACGGAATTATTTCAAAAAGAATACGGTAAACTAGTTTGACGACGGAATTACTTCAAAAAAAGAATACGGTAAACTAGTTTGACGACGGAATTATTTCAAAAGAATACGGTAAACTAGTTCGACGACGGAATTAAAAAAGAATACGGTAAACTAGTTTGACGACGGAATTATTTCAAAAAGAATACGGTAAACTAGTTTGACGACGGAATTACTTCAAAAAAGAATACGGTAAACTAGTTTGACGACGGAATTATTTCAAAAAAGAATACGGTAAACTAGTTTGACGACGGAATTATTTCAAAAAGAATACGGTAAACTAGTTCGACGACGGAATTATTTCAAAAAAGAATACGGTAAACTAGTTTGACGACGGAATTATTTCAAAAAGAATACGGTAAACTAGTTTGACGACGGAATTATTTCAAAAAGAATACGGTAAACTAGTTTGACGACGGAATTATTTCAAAAAAAATACGGTAAACTAGTTTGACGACGGAATTATTTCAAAAAAAGAATACGGTAAACTAGTTTGACGACGGAATTATTTCAAAAAAGAATACGGTAAACTAGTTTGACGACGGAATTATTTCAAAAAAGAATACGGTAAACTAGTTTGACGACGGAATTATTTCAAAAAAGAATACGGTAAACTAGTTTGACGACGGAATTAAAAAGAATACGGTAAACTAGTTTGACGACGGAATTATTTCAAAAAAGAATACGGTAAACTAGTTTGACGACGGAATTAAAAAAAGAATACGGTAAACTAGTTTGACGACGGAATTATTTCAAAAAAGAATACGGTAAACTAGTTTGACGACGGAATTATTTCAAAAAGAATACGGTAAACTAGTTTGACGACGGAATTACTTCAAAAATAAAAAGAATACGGTAAACTAGTTTGACGACGGAATTATTTCACAAAAAAAGAATACGGTAAACTAGTTTGACGACGGAATTATTTCAAATAAACATTCTTTTTCGAATATAAGGAATCCCATAACCGTGGTGAATTTTCGAGAGGTCGTTACAACAGCAAAAATTACACGTTTCAAACTAAATGACCTTCGAGCTTGACACCCCTTTAGTTCTAAAACGCCTGGGGCATGCATGTTCGTAGTGTAGCATGATGTAAAAATTAAAAACGTAGGTCTTTAGAACTTTGCCCTGAGATTTATAGTATGGGCAACTGTATGAATCAAAAACAAGTTCTTCAAAAGAAGCAAAAAACTTTGATTCACACGTTATTTAACTTCAAAAACAAACCTCGAAAATAAGGAACATCCTTGTATTTCAATGTAGGTGGTGCCATTTACGGCCTAAATGGCCTCGCACTATCTTCGAAGATAGTTATAATTGTGGAGTTAGAACTCGTAATGCATATATTTAATTTTTGCTTTTTACCTTTCTACAAATTGCCAGTCTATGTACGTAAATTTCTGCTGTCTTGACCTTAGCCACTTCTAGCTTCATAACACGAGTTATCTTATTCACAGATAACGACTGAGGTTATTTTAAGACATGAGTGTTTGCCCATGAGATGGCAAAATAAGAGATAGACATGTCCTTTTGTATAAGGGACATGACGTTATAAATAAATAGAATTTAAGTTTTTGATAACGTGAAACGTAGCATTGAAGCCTTGAACAGCAGATAAAGGCAATAAGTTCGACATTAGATTCACAGACGTCCTGCTTAACATTTCGCTTATATAACGTTTCCCACCTCATTCCGCTGAATACTAAGAATCATACTGAGCTAGATGGCAAGTCTGGCAACCGACTGTTCACCAGAAGTCTGTTCAATTGAAGTTGAGACTCGCAGAGATCTTTGGCTTGTTTGGTCATAGCTTCTTTTATTCTTTTCATGTCTTCGCGAAGATTCTGAAACACCGATAAAGAATTGATAATTCAAATGCTTTTATAAAGATATTTCGGATAGGAGTAAACAAATAAAGTTTACGGCTAAGGCTAATTTGTGAGAACGTGGAGCATACGCATAGTTACTGAACAGAATGCACTGTTTAAAATTGATTACAATTATCCTTAAAGGTCAGTGTGCACTTGCTTGTTGCAAATTTAAATGACAGAAAAGCCTATGTCATAGCGTTTATCTGTAGATGTACCAAGGCTCATTTCTTCATTATTAGACTACGTTCTAATGAAATGAATGCAATATGTGATTGGTCCTTTCATTTTGGACTACGTTCTAATGGATCAAATGTAATATTTGAATGGTTCTTTCATATTGGACTACGTTTTAATGAAATAAATGCAATATGTGATTGGTCCTTTCATATTGGACTACGTTCTAATGGATCAAATGCGATATTTCATTGGCTTACCTCATTATCATGTTGTAATCGATCCTTTTCTTTGGATAATTTATAAAGATCTCCTCTTAATTGCCTCATTAATGATTCGTCATTAATATCAACTACATAAAACCAATAAGGATAATTGTTCAAAAAAACTATTTTATGTTGTTTTAAATTGATCACGGATAAAGATTAAGGTGGCCTACTTAAACCTATGATTGAAAATATACGTGAAGGAAATCTCAGGATACTGGAAATTTCTTGCAGTATCGATGACTTTCATGGCTTTTGGCTAGTGAGCAAAAAGCCTGGAACTAGTAACAGAATGCAACTACGCTGTTATATTCAACATTTTCGCTTTATTTTTACTACACAACATGTATGTTTTGACGGTAGTTTTTGTTTTTTTATAATGACTGAAGAGCGTATTCATAAAATTATTCATATATCACTAAGAACGCCATACCTTTGCTGACTCGATTGTGGAAAGGAGTGCTTTCAGCTGAGCTGCTTTTGATGAGCGGCTGCTAAATGAAGATAGAGGTGAGTGGTTGCTAAATGAAGATAGAGGTGAGTGGCTGCTAAATGAAGATAGAGGTGAGTGGTTGCTAAATGAAGATAGAGGTGAGTGGTTGCTAAATGAAGATAGAGGTGAGTGGTTGCTAAATGAAGATAGAGGTGAGTGGTTGCTAAATGAAGATAGAGGTGAGTGGTTGCTAAATGAAGATAGAGGTGAGTGGTTGCTAAATGAAGATAGAGGTGAGTGGCTGCTAAATGAAGATAGAGGTGAGTGGTTGCTAAATGAAGATAGAGGTGAGTGGTTGCTAAATGAAGATAGAGGTGAGTGGTTGCTAAATGAAGATAGAGGTGAGTGGTTGCTAAATGAAGATAGAGGTGAGTGGTTGCTAAATGAAGATAGAGGTGAGTGGTTGCTAAATGAAGATAGAGGTGAGTGGTTGCTAAATGAAGATAGAGGTGAGTGGTTGCTAAATGAAGATAGAGGTGAGTGGTTGCTAAATGAAGATAGAGGTGAGTGGTTGCTAAATGAAGATAGAGGTGAGTGGTGCTAAATGAAGATAGAGGTGAGTGGTTGCTAAATGAAGATAGAGGTGAGTGGGCTAAATGAAGATAGAGGTGAGTGGTTGCTAAATGAAGATAGAGGTGGTGGCTAAAGAGATAGAGGTGAAATGAAGAAATGAAGAGGAGGGAAATGAAGATAGAGGTGAGTGGTTGCTAAATGAAGATAGAGGTGAGTGGTTGCTAAATGAAGATAGAGGTGAGTGGTTGCTAAATGAAGATAGAGGTGAGTGGTTGCTAAATGAAGATAGAGGTGAGGTTGCTAAATGAAGATAGAGGTGAGTGGTTGCTAAATGAAGATAGAGGTGAGTGGTTGCTAAATGAAGATAGAGGTGAGTGGTTGCTAAATGAAGATAGAGGTGAGTGGTTGCTAAATGAAGATAGAGGTGAGTGGTTGCTAAATGAAGATAGAGGTGAGTGGTTGCTAAATGAAGATAGAGGTGAGTGGTTGCTAAATGAAGATAGAGGTGAGGAATGAAGATAGAGGTGAGTGGTTGCTAAATGAAGATAGAGGAATAGTTAAATTTACGATCTACGTTAAGTGTTCCTAGGAAGAAAATCCCATTCAGGAAAATAATTGAAACAGTCTGGTTATCTAGCATGACTAAAATTTACTAAGTCTCTCAAGACTTTTTGAAATTTTCCTTCAAGAAAGCAATTCAAACAATCTTCTTATCTGAAAGCTAGGAGGACCAATATTTAAAGGTCTCTCTCAAGACTTTCAATAAGCGAAAAATTCTCAAAATGTGCATTTGTAATTTTCTTACACTAACCAGGCATCTCCTAAAATCCCCGTAAATAAAGTCCGCACATGCATCTAAATTAAATATAGTCCTACGCACATGCATCTAAATTAAATATAGTCCACGCACATGCATCTAAATTAAATATAGTCCACGCACATGCATCTAAATTAAATAAAGTCCACGCACATGCATCTAAATTAAATATAGTCCACGCACATGCATCTAAATTAAATATAGTCCACGCACATGCATCTAAATTAAATAAAGTCCAACACATGCATCTAAACAGCATTAAATGTTACGTGTATTTTGTAACCTTTAATGCATTGTGACATACCTTCCTTATCATGCTAGGGGAGTTTTTCTCCCGTGAAAGAGTTTCCCTGTGAGCTCTTGGCGTGGACATATAGCCATTAAGTATCTTTTTTTTGTTGGTTTCTTCAGTTTGCATCTGAATGAAAAGGATAAAGCTTTCATGATGAACCAAGATAAGTAGCAATTGAATTTCATCATGCAAGCAGGTTTCTGAATGTACACAAGATTTTTAATACATTCCAATTTGTCACTACAAAAAATGATCAGATGCATGATTCATGGACTCGTTAAATCAACAAACCACAAACGTATTCAGCGATTTATCGTTGGATGGAAGCGTTTATTTTGCTTGAATAAAACAAAACATATTAAACGTAACAATGGGTCCAAAATATAGAGATTAACACCGCAGTGATGGTAATGGCTGAAAATCTGTTAGTTGTGTTAATAGTTTGTTTATATTACTTAATTACTTGTCTTACTGTAACGTGAAATCACACATTCAAACCTAAACCAATCAAAGAAAAGAAACATTTGCATCTCAAACAATCCTAACCTTTCCGTATAGCAGTTGAGGCTCCGTGTTGTCTCCTGATTCTGGGCTTGTCAGCAACAATGGAGACGTGGGTTTATCAAGAACAGCATCCAGTGTGTGAAACGAACCTGAAGGAGAGTCGTCGTGAGGATCAAATGTCGGACTTACGTCACCATAATTTTCTTCTGACGTAGTTATTTCTCGGCCGTCAGTTTGTGAGGAGGAGTGGAACATAGACTTGAAATTTTTGGGACGAAAACTATAAAAAAATATCAAAATAAATATATGTACGTATACGGTGACAAACGAACCAAATGCTCACATAACTGAAAGCATTGAAAAACAAAAGTTGTTTTTATAACGAGAATTTTAGAAAAAACCCTTATACAACATGCCTTCTCTACAAAACTCTACAAAATTTCTGATCCCTATAAGTCTGCTTATTTCAAAATCCCTAAACACTTCGTCATCAAACGGGATAGCCCTGTTCTTCCTTCCAATCCAATCCTACAATATCCTATCCCTTCCATATCCAACCATCAGAAGATATTTTTGAGTAAATCAGAAATGCTTCGTATATTCCTTAATTTATTATCTATTACAAATATAAATGTTAAAAAACTGAATCAAATATGACTAAAATCAGTGTTTAAAAATATCCATGATAAAGGGACAGTCAAATGTAAAGACAACTTTCCCAATAACCTAGGTCAATATTTAAAGTATGTTCGCGAGTTGAGGCAGATCGACTTCCTCGTATCGCAGTAATTGCTGACCTAATCAGTGCGAAAGACAGTTTACAACGCATCCACGCTAGCGTGATGCCATATTGCAGCTTTCTCTTTTGTGCCAGCAGATCAGCTAGCCGTTTATAAGCAATTGCAGTCTCTTTCCCCATACCACCTGATGTTGAAAAGACCAGTGGTGTAAAAGCCGCATATTCAATCTCTCTTACTCGATCACCATATTCCCTTTTCTTAGCCTCCTTATATATTCCATAATTGCGTAAAATATATTCTAAAACTAAATCGCAGTAGACTTTGTGTTTTATATTGAGAAGTTTTTCCTAATCATAAAACTAAGATTTCTGTCTGTAAAATCAATGGCATATAACGTACGGTTTTCTCGTTTTATCTCCACTGACTGAGTACCGTTTGAACTGATTTTTCTTCTTCTTTACCAACTAAAAAAAGGAATACAATACTTCAACCATATTACCTACAAAAACATGGAGAACGAGGGCATTATTGACCACAAAGATTAACACACTTACCGTTTTATCAATGTCGTCAGGATGAACGATATTTTCCATAGACTTAGAGCGCGTCAAACATTCACGGCCACTTCTATCAATCGTATCACTTCGCACAGACTCCGAACGGAAGGCATTTCTCAACGAATGCAGAAGCCTTCCTCTGGAAACATTTCCGCCACCAGCACTCTGTATATTGATAAACGGAAGGTAACAAGGATTTCTTGTCGTGCAGCAGCAAAAAATGCACATCTTTGAGCAATGTTGACGTTTCGCAGAACTTACTTCGGCACCAGGAGAAAGTATTTCTTGAGTTTTTTTCGTTAGCGTTGAAATAAGATCCTCGAACAACATCTTTCTCGTTCTCTCCTGTTAAATGAAAACAAAGTGATCAGGAAAATGTTTCTTGATCAACTAAGAAGTTGAGATGATAGGCCAAATCTGTGTTAGGAATTGATTGTTAGAAAGCCGAGATCTTATTTACTTTTCAGTGTAAATCACTACGATCGATAGTTATAGAATTAAAACCTCTTACTGTAGGGACATATGCAAAGTTCCATTAAACCCACCATAATGAGTCTGGATTTCATTTATAAATCGCATGGTAAATAGAACACTGATACATTTTTCTTTTGTTTGTGTTATACTTCGTGCTTCCAATTCGGTTACCATTCAGAATTTATATATAAACTTTATTATTACAAAAGCCCCAAACAAAGTACGCCAAATAAACTACAGTAAACAAATACAGAGAAAATCTCACCATTAATGTAGAAAATTGTTTCGCCTTGTACGCAGCTAACTCAGCATTCAATAATTTTGTTAGCAAGAAATCTTTTAAATGAGGGTCATTCTACGTGGATAAATATTTTCATCAAAAAAGATATATTTAAACATGTTTTGATAACAGTTGCTTTCTACGATAACTAAAAAATGACTCGATACATCTGAAACGCACTTTGGAAAATACAGCAGGATTTGGAAGACTGGGACCAAATTTAGGAACGTCTTCCTTTGCAGTGACAGTAATCTGTAAATGAAGAATTTCTTACACTGAAAAGTCTGAACTTTTTTTGAACAAAAAATGGCACAACAGTAAATGCAAGAGAAACACTCCGTGCAAGATCTCAGGTAAAGCAAAACCATAGAAACCTTGTATCTTGTATTATTTGTGTAAGGTTCTACGACTTGTACAACGAAGAAAATATGAAGAAAACTGGACCGTATTGAGGAAGGACAAAACGGCGTGTTTTCATCCTGTGAAAAATATGATTGGTTGGTGATCACGGATAGAGGACATTTGAAAAAATTCAAATGAAACAATACGTTTACCTGAAAAACGAAGGTAATAATATCATTGCCAATATGTCGTTTTCTCTGGAGCTGTTGAAGATGATACAAACAAGTACGATTGTCGTTAATGGTTTTTCTTCAATTGACTATTGAGTAAGACTTATACAAAATACACAAACTTAGATTGAACAATAAGCACATGCATTTTCAGAATTTCTTCATTTCCAAACCCATGGAAATACATAAAGTAACGGACTAGCGAGTATTTTCATACATACCACTCGTCAGATATTATAAACTATTTGCTGAAGATTAAATTTCCAGAAAAACAACGATACAACGCGTGTTTTGATTGGTTATAACCGAGTTTCCATTGGCTGGAGCACGCTAATTTTACTTAAATAAGGAATAAAATTTTTCATGACTTAACAAAACACAACTGTAATTTCGTCTTACTTGTTGAACATCACCACTAGTGTGTGGCAACATCGTCGAAACATGGAACATTATCTCCCTAAAGTCGTAAACGTGACAATGGAGTTACATTTCTGTATGAGTAAAATCTAAAACAAAGCTTCGTGATAGCTACTAATAGAAATTTGAAAAATCTAGTACATACGTAGAAAACAGCAAAGGTTTTCACGTGAAGAAAACAAAAATAGCTTCTACTTAAATCGCGCGAATATTTCATCTTGCATGTAGCAAACACTTCATGTAACTCAACTACTGCTCATTGTCCCTCCCAGGGAAAAAAGCAAGCGATAGACTCAATAGATGGCCTGCACTTTTGTTCAAGCACTAACAAGAAGAGCAGTAAGGGTTCAAAAACTTTACTTTGGTTTTGGCTAGTTACAAAGTTTTATCACCAAGTAAGCGTCAACGATAACACATGCAACGATTTTGCATCGAGCGATGTAACAAAAATAATTCTATTCTCACCTTCCTTTGTATTTTGTGTAAACAGATTTTCTACCAGTCTGATGATTTTTCGTATCCAAACCACCATTGTACCTGAAGACGAAAGTTAATTCAATACACAGTATAAAACCCCCAACAAAATGCAGAACCAATAGAAACAATACAATAATTAATTAAACACAAAGAAACAATACAATAATTAATTAAACACAAAGAAACAATACAATAATTAATTAAACACAAAGAAACAATACAATAATTAATTAAACACAAAGAAACAATACAATAATTAATTAAACACAAAGAAACAATACAATAATTAATTAAACACAAAGAAACAATACAATAATTAATTAAACACAAAGAAACAATACAATAATTAATTAAACACAAAGAAACAATACAATAATTAATTAAACACAAAGAAACAATACAATAATTAATTAGATTAGTTGTGAAAGACATTAATTTAATTATTTTATTGAATTTTATGGGTTTGTTTGGCGCTTTTCACTTAAAATGATAAAAACAATAAACAACCAAACCATTCCCCAAAAAATAGCATCGAAATAAGTAATCTCGAGTATAAATTAAAATTCAGTTTGAAAAGATAGGTTTTCAAAGTTATTTTAAAATAATCACAGATTACAACGCAAAATGTCAGCAGGCAGTGCATTTCATGCAATCGCATCCGCCAGAGATCACCTAATGATATCAACATCTTGTGAAATGGGCGTAAAAAACAAAACTTCAGTTCAAGCGTCAAAAATAAATGTATTTGATTTCTAAAATTTATGATTTTGGTGTTAAATTATCACAAAAAGATAGACAACGATGTGCAAAAATCTCAAGATGCGAACGTACAAATGATATGTAATAATTCAAATACCCCTTGAAGCCAAAGAGCTCGATTTCATCACCAAGAATTTGTAAAAAGTCGTACATCGCTTTGCTGCAGGATTTATTATTGAAGAATTCACTCTCGTTTATCTTAAAAAAGGTTGGAAACTAGTTATTCATTTTTTTTTCTATCGCCCTTTTTTGATTCAAAATCAAGAAATCGGTTCAAAAAGAACGATATACAACCAGGAATACGAAATTTTCCTAACATAAATTGCTCACAACAGATGGTGAAGATTTGACCAACAAAGAAATATCTAACCTGACGTGGTCTCTGATAGACAACACCAACTTTGAATTTTTCGGCATGACCATGTTCGTCAAAACGCATGATGAGAGAAGAGGCCTGGTGACAAGACGAGACAATAACAATTTCTCTTAAAATCTTTTAACTTTTCCAAAGCACTTTACACCATATTTTAAACAACAGCCCCCCCCCCAGTTATTTATACAAAATACTACCTTGGGATAGAGAATTGGCTGAAAATTTAGGTCATTGAAGTCCTCCAAAAGATCGGGCATGAATTGCTACAAAAGATGCAATCAAACAAAAAAGAAAGCTTCATTTTACTCTCTCCTTTTTTGTTAAACGATGCAAAAATTGTTTGTAAAACAGAGCGAGTTGTTCATGCAAACTAGAATTTAATAAAAGGAAATGCTTTTCGTAGTTCAAACTGTTTTTATTCCTTCCAAATCATTTCAACATTCACATTTAGCCAAGCCTTAAACAAATGCATATTTTAAGCGGTTATGGTAAAAATTTTAATCATGAACAACAGAACGAAAGAAGGACCACAATATTGTCCTAGGTCAAAAGTTAAATAACATTAATTGGGCATTTTAGCATTATTGATTTTACCGACTTAAAACCAAGTAAAAAAATTTCTTGATGTGCACAACATCGATATCTAGCCCCCAGTCCACATTGAGTAATTCATTACATACTTTAAGAATATCTTTTGGCCCAACACAAGACGATGAGAAGTTTTTCATTGGAATAGTACGTTGTTCCATTCTATCTGACGACCTATGGCGGTAAAAATACGTGTGTTTGTACTTTGTGAGCTGCACGTATGTTTACTAAACCAATTTCGCAACACAATAACCTTAAGGCAACGAGCCTTTTTATTGGGGAAAGGATTAAGACGTGTTGATGTCAAAACAAGGGAAACAAAAACATGCAGAAGTGACAGATGATTTACAAAGAAATAATCAAAAAATAGCCAGATAACTGAAGTGTTTTTAATACATACCTCAGTATAACTCTCACCACTTCTTCCTTCTCCTCACCAGAAGAAACACCATTTTCTTCAAACTTCAAGGACAACAGTAATGACCCCAAACAGCACTCCGTCACGTAGTTGTAGTGCTCCTATTAAAACACAATGTTTCATGTACATGTATATCCTACTATGTACATGTACATGTATATCCTACTATGTACATATGAACACTGACATGTACATGTATATCCTACTATGTACATATGAACACTCAGGCTACTTAATACCCCAAGAGCTCTAAATTGTTATGATAAAGTACCAAACTTGCTTTTATTAATATTTATGTATCACAATAGAGTTAGACCCAATAGACAACAGGCAATGCTATTGCAACTCTGTCTTTTGTGTGATTTCCTATGGATATCCTTCGTGTGATCAAAAACCATTAACACAATGCTTCAACTGGTAGCCTGGTAACTACTTAAAACTAACAAACCAAACTCAGAGAGCAAACTATTATCTTCATCATGGATTATTTAATAAAAACTTCAATCATTGCTTGCTTGCAAAAATACATTTTCATTATGAAGATTTACCTGATTTTTAAAAAAATTCTTATAAGCACTATATTCCAAATCATCTTCAATGACAATTTTCGATTCGTCGATTTTCTTAATGATAACTTTTCCTCTCTTGTCCTTATCACAGATGTGATTTGTCCCCTCCTGCCAGTAGTCACCACTCACTGGAAGGACAACAAGAGGGTACGGGCTGCCTGCATTCAAAACCTGAAAAGGAAGACATCACCTGAATACATATATGCTCTTTATGAAAAACCACATATTTTAAGATTAGATTTTTAATACTGTACATTTCTCTTTTATAACACATAATAAGTCACCATGTGCCTAATAAAGGTCCCGTTTAATCGACTGTAGAAAAAGATGTGCACACATAGAACTAACCACTGCACAAACCTCATGTATTGGGTCTTTTTTTTTAGCAACTAAAACGGTATCTTCATGACCACTCTACAGTTGAAATTAGAAAGAATTAAAAGCATTAGATTTGTAAAAGCTATTATTGTGCATAAAAGTAGAATGCTGCAAAGAAAAAACAAAAGCATGGATGCTTTCAATTCAGGACATAAACATTTATTGTGAAGAAAAGTTATATTTAATCATGAGAGCACCCACACACATAATTCATAAAAAAAGTACTCATAAGTACTGTTTAAGAAGTCACAAGTAATAACAAGTTCTGTTTTCCCCTAGTTTTTTACCCAGATCTCTACAACATACCTGATCCATTTCTAGCTCCACAGCACATCATCTAAGTGATCACTCTGAGAAAAATAAAAATGGTCTTGATTGTTAAATGAACAAGTTGGTTCACTCTTGATTCCTTTTTGAAACTTTTGACTTCTATCTGGTCCTTTCATGGGCATTCAAAATAGTTCATTAGTGAGGAAAATTACAGTTCTACATTATGCTTATAAATGTGCACCCTACATAAAAATCTAACAAACTCTTCATAATTCTGTGACTTTGCAAAGAAATTATTGAAAAACAATAAACAATCAAATGCTAGCAGAGACTGTTGGATAGATTTTTGTCTATAGTTAAATTACCCAATAATTAGTTTGTATATAAAAAATTTAACAAACATAGTCATGACTACTTTCATAAAACAACAAAACCATCAAGCAGTTATAACATTTAGCACCTCCATGCTTCACTGAAAGCCTTCATCTTCACAGATCTTTCAACTTTCTTCGATGTACAGAAGTCCGTATTTCTAACAAAATTTAAAATGGATAAGGCAAAATATGTTTTTAATTCTACAAGAATATTTAACTGAATATTCAATTCTTCGGGTGCAATGATAACAGCTATATTACTTTTTATTTTTGCTGCAGTAAATTCTATACATAAAAAGATAGGCATCTTATAGAAAAGGCTTTCAGTTCTATTAAATGTCCATAATTGTAATAAAAATATCTACATTTACATTTACTTGCAAACCAATAGGCTTAGCGATCACTTAGCCAGACTTTATGCAATCATTTAATGCAAAATTCATGTTGATGACAATGATTCACGTTGACATCCCAGTATTTTCATACAAAGCAGCCAAACTGAACACATACTGGCCTTTTAATATAATTGAACAGCTTCATACTGCTGTTTGAAAACATCACATGATTCAAAATGAAATTAGATCAGTGGGTTGAATTTACATCTGGATTACCTTTAATTAAATTTTGCAACACTAAGCTTCTGTTTTTGACTATTCCAATGTTTTATAAGTAAAAAGCAACTCATTCCTAACCCCTAATATCTTTAAAATAGAAGATGAGGATCTACACGCTGAAATGCGTTTGCATAGATAAGCAATTTGATAAAAACCACACCATACATAAGCACTAGACAAACTTCAAAAATAAACAATAAAAAGATATATCATATCTTTGCTACATGTGTTTATCATGAGGAAAGAGAGCGGAACAACAAATGCCTGCCCACGTTTTAACAGAGCATTGTCATAAATACGTACTACGCCATTATCATTCAGATACGACAGGTAGAAAATCTTATGGCAAATGATTGCACACGCTTTAGTCAATAAACAACCAAAATGCATAAACAATTTAACACTCAAGTACAAATATAATTTTGAAAAGACTTCGATCGACACAATGGAACGCTGTCCCGTGAAACTGTATGTATCATAATGTGCGCAAACAAAAACGAGATTACATAGCCAATGGTTTTACCTGGAGAGGAAGACGAGTAAATTATAAATCTGTTCGTGGTATGCCAGTGAAATAGGCTAATTTAAATGAATTTTTTTTCCGATTTTCTCCATCTTTCTTTTAATAAATTAGCGGAAACAATTACTATTTACATTAGAATATCCGGAGGGGTTGAAGAAAGTAGGAGCTCTGGTAGGAAGGGGAGAGGTAAAGGAGATTCGCAATGGTGGGAATGATGCGTAAAATAAAGAATAAACTATAGGAAATTTTAATTCAAGCGTCGTAACGCTGCGTTTTTAAAAGATGCCAAAGCAAAAAAGTTAAGTTTGCTGGCAACTTTAGCATGGAATAGAACAAAGACTACAGTTGTCTAGATGTCTTTATTTTTTCTCTAAAAATATCATTTCATTTTGAAAATGACGTACATCTTACGTCATTTCTGATCAAAGTCAAAAGACTTTGCACATCCTGTTGGCTTTTTTTCGCTTTTTTTTTCTGCCTTCCTACAGTCACACATGCGGAAGCTGAAACATTTTGCTCCAATTCAAAGCAATAATTGATTAGTGCGCACAAAAAAATGAAAAATTGTTTGTTATCCAGGCAGCGACGTCTGACTGAAACGTGATATGTGAGTGTCATTTTACGAGTTATGAAATGGTCTCTATTAATGCCCCTAGACACATGCACACGAATAAAATATACTCTTCCCATGTTGAAATATGTTTATATTCACTTTGAGCAATCTCTGAATGGACACAGGAGTCATCTATGTGTGATTGACGTTGCAAAGACCCACGTCGTTTTGTTTAAGGACGTCGCCTGTTGGATAATCAAGGTTGATTCTTCGTTCGTCGACGTAAAACCGTCGGAAGCAACCGATGAACTGAAGATATCTCAAAGGAACCTGTTCACGGGCTATAATTCTAGGATGAAAAGGCAAATATATCAAAATGGATAGCCGGTGAGATAGTTTCTTCATTCAAAAACCATATTTATTACCAGCCTATCATGAAGAAATATTTCCAGTTTGTGGTAAAACCACAAAGGCAGACATAGATTTTGCCTCATTTTCGTTGATAAAAGATTATGATCCTATAAATCGTTACGACTCAAAGTCTTGTTCCCACAGCTTGACGAGCTGACTTAAATCTACCGTGAAAGCAAAAAACCTAGGGTACGAAGTTAAGAAACTCTTGGTTTATATACCTTCCAACAGGAGTGCTTGGTGAACCAATGAACATTTCACCTTTCAGATCGAGAATGGTAAAACCTCTCGATAATATAATGGACGCACTTTGATCATTATCGAGAGTAATAGTGAAATTCTGCTCGTTTCTTTCAACGTCGATTTTGTGCCATGCTAATAACGTTAAAGGTTTCTTTAAGCGTGCGATAACTTGACCACTCCCTGCGTTTATTCTACATTGAAATGTAAAATAAAAACACGTCAAAGATTTGTTGAATGTATAATAAACATATCAAGATTCTGTCGTCTTTCTTTAAGCACCATTTTGAAGTAATGCTTTCGGAACCAGTTTCAAAAACCGCGAGCTAAAAATTAGTCGTAGTCAAAGCGTTTTTTCTCACAATACTAACCTCAACTGTAAAATACTGTCAATGATTGCGATGGCGAAATGATCTTTATTTAATTTACCATTCATGTAGACCAGCAGGGCATTCGGTATTTCAGGTCTTATTTGGAAAGATAGCTTAAAATCTTTGTAGCCTTTGATTAGTGGAAATGATAAATACGATTCCATGGATTTGAAGTACCGCGGTTTCTCTGATAGGATAAGATTAAAGATATGAAGTTTTGCATACTGATTGTCCTGTCGTGAGTAAGGATTAGGGTTTTAAAGATGAATTTTTATTGTTTTAAATCGTGAGAACTGCGTTTTTGTCAGGGAAACTTCAAGAAAAGATAAGGAAATAAGAACAAAAATCGGAAATTTCCCGGGAGTTAGGCAGATAACAATTTCATCGTAGTCAAATGTGAACTCAATTCATTACCTTTAAATTTGCACAGGTCTGTGACGTACTTTTCGAAACATGCGCACTTAAAAGTCAAGTCCAACTTTCTAATACAGTTTCCATGTATTCCACAAGGACTGCCAACACAAGATGAGCATTTCTTCATTCCCGAATATCCCGAGAGATCCTCACTTGGTACATTAAGATCCATCACATAATGCGTTAAAATAATCTTCCTCAGACATCCAGTAAAATGAAAGTCATTAAAACCAGTGTTGGCTCGTACGATTATTCTGCAAAAGAAAACACGTAACTTGAGTATTATTCTTATGAAGTCTTTACTTGATCATCATTGAAGTTTGAATTCCATAGAGCATCATTAAATACACTGAACATATGAATAGAGTAAATAGCTCAATCGTGATCTGATGTTTAGAGTGTGGTGCATTTCAGGTTTGCCATTTTGCACATAAAATTAACGATTGCACTTCAAAATGTCGCATGATTATATTCATTTGAAATTAGAATCATAAACAACTAGTTTACCCAAAGTTCATTAAGAGTTTTAAGGTAAATACGAAAAACACTTCATACCTATCAATTGGGTGTGTTATAGAACCAAACGTTAAATTTCCACGCAGTTGTACAGCTAGTGAACTTGGTTTGCTTGACATTTGAATGATTTCGTCATCAACAATCAAATTGACCCCATCACTGTCTCTTGTAACAGAGATATTATGCCAGATGTGCAAGGCAAGTCTTTTACGAGTGCGAAATATATTTAAACCTGTTCCAACATTCAGTCTGAAACAAGTTAACATCATAAAATGAGCATAAATTACGAAGAAATCACATATACACAACAGGGCTCATACATAAATAAGGCTTACCTCAATTCAACATAACCGTCATTCATATCTAAGATCAGACAATCGTCAGCATGATGGCGTGCAGTCCCAGAGAATATCAAAGCATTGCGTTCTTTAGGTCGTATTTCCATGGAGAAGGAGAATAGCCATCTTTCGTTCATCGATGGAGTAGAGAAATGTGAGTTATGACCATGAAGGTAGACAGAGTGATCTGATCGATGAAAAATATTGTATTATATTTTTTGAAAAGATAAGGAATAAATAAGTTCTGCGACAAAAAAATTGTCAAAAATAGTCAAATGTATTTGATTCTAAACTTTATGTATAAATTTTTCTACCTTTGCTTTGGCATTTTTTGCCAACAAACCCATCCAAGCATACGCATCTGTATGACTCTCCAAACAACTCACATGTTCCTCCATTTAAACATGGACGCTGTTCACAAGGATCGTTTGCGCAACTTCGTATATTTCCTTGCCGCAAGACGTGATTTCCCGGATGGTGTAAATCGTATTCCTCCCCGTTGATGACAAGTCCCTTTATGCAACCATGGTAACTGATTGACGTCCCAATTTTCTCTTCATGGCTAAATGAGAAACAAAAATTCTGAAGAAAGAGTAACCTGCGGTTCGAGGCATGTTTTATGTAAGGCTTTGATGAGTATACAACCATGAACTGTTGGTTTAAACTATCGGCTGGATTCAGAATCAGTGGTCAAACAATATAAAAGAAAGTATCTATCCATCTGTGTACATGATATCCCAAATATACCACAATTACCTCTCTTTCCTAGTATCCAGTCCTCCAAGGTAAACGTGACTATCAACGTTCAACATGGTATTTACAGCAGCAGCACGTCTAGACCTCGCTATCGTCGTATCGACATTTAGATCAACTGAGTTTCCACGTCTGGAAATAATTATCTTATTCCATTGGTGCATAGGTAACCTTGCAATGCTTCTTTGTTCCACTCGACCAGAGCCAAGCTCATGTCTAGATGAATAGCAAATGTATATTTCAACATACTTATTACCGTCAATCTAGAGTGATTTAGGGAGCGTGCACCATTGTAAAATTTTAAAGATAAAGAAAGTAGTGTTTACATTATAGAAAATAAAACGTGCAGCAAAATAGAATGTCATATAAAGGTTAAAATCATACAAGTCATACATGTGAAATATATGAACGAAGGAGAAGCTTGATTTCTATTTCTACCTACTTAACCAGTGTTAACATAAAATAAAATGAAATGATATGATATTAAAGATAGAAGTTTGCCAACGCTGTAGTTACCTGTATACGAGAAAACCATCTATCAATGCCAAACTCAAGAAATCAATGGATTGTCGAGAATCAACGTACAGGAGCACGCCATTCTTGTTGATGGGACGGACATGAATTAAGATATCCGTTCTATCGCTTTGAATATCGTAGGGTGATCTTAGGATCATAAAGGATTCATGGGAGAAAAAACGCGCAGCTAAAGAACGGACATAAAAGTAAAACACTTTTAAGCATATCTGGAGTGAACTCAATTTTGTACATGAAATCAAAGAGGCAAACTTATGAACAGCTACAGGAAAGACTACAACAAGAAAGGAGAAGGCTGAAACTGTTCTGTTCTGTTCAGGTGCCATGCATGATGCATGCTTGGGCTACCATGTCTCTCCAACGTTGACGGTTACGAGCACAGGCAAAGATTTCTGCAGTGTTGGCGATTCCGGTAACTTTCTTAACTCTGTCCAAATACGTTATGCGTTGACGGCCTCGTGCTCTTTTCCCTTCGATTTTTCCTTGCAGCGCAACACATTCCAGGCCTGATGAAGTCTGAAACAGACTGATGAAGTTCTTAGTCTATGCACTTACCACAGCTCATTGAATCCTGTATTTGCACAGTTTTGTTAGCTACACACGAGTCGGCTTTGAGTACACACAAATTTCTGTAGACTTTCATTTCCTGATCACACGATTGCTTGTGTTCACGAGGGCACTTGGTGACGTCCCGACATGCGCAGTACGGTTCACTAGCACCACTTAACATGCATTTACTGAAGGGAGGGCAGTTTAAATGGCGACAATGGTCTACAAGGAAAGTCAAAAACTTTTGATGGATGTTTCAAGAAGTCTAGATGACACGGTGATTGGTCAATAGTGAGGGCAGCCGTTGAGAAAGTCAAATATGCGCCTCCCTAATGGCTCAAATTCTATACATACGTTATAGATAAGAGTACTTACTACACTGTCCTTGATGCTGTATTTCGTTAGGCATTTCCCTAATGCAGCTATCCTTTTTCAAAGCACATTCACTGAAATAAGTGTTTCTGTCCGTGCCACAAACAGGAGTGTCCTGGTACCCACAATTCTGAAGGCATTTACATTCAGGAGCATTGTTTATCGTCAACACGCATGATCCGTGGTATTTCCTGCAATTGAGACGACTACAAGGATCTAATAAAAAGAATGTGAGAAAGATTGTATTTGTTACGAAGTCATGAAGTTTGTTATCATGAATATAGACAGTTTTTTATTATGAATATAGACAGTTTATTACTTGTATCAGACTTGTACATTAAATTTCAAAGTGATTTGTGATGTACTCCAGTTTGAGTGATTTTTTAAATGGTTAACTTTCGTCAAACATTAAAAAAACTCGCAGCATATTTGCCATCTTCCTGTCATCATGACAATGGACGAATCATGAATTCATGTACGTCAAGTGTCATCTAGAAGACGTCCTTGTATCTGTATGTGATCTTGATGGTGCAAGAATCATGAATACGGATGCATAAAATGTGGTGTATGAAGATTTTCTACACTTTGAACATAGAAACTTACCAAAGTTATAAGTCATTACCAATAGAAGAGCTATTCTTTCTGGATCATCATTTACACGAGCTTTCACGACGAATAAATCTTGCAAGCCACTTTTCCATCTGTCTTCCTCATCATCCATGATTTGCACAGAGATAAGCTCAGCACCTTCATTGAGAAGTTTACTGGCGGCCTTTTGAGCTGGTTTGGAATGGATGTTGGCAGCCTGATTGATGAAAACGTACACTCGCTTACGACTTTTTGGATTTGCATTCTGAAGTGCATCTGAAGTTTTTATCAATCCAAGGTCTAATCTTCTGCCAGGACCATTCCAAGGAATGTTATCTACATATGTCTTCTGGTTTGATTTATCACGAAGACTCACAGGCCAAGTTTCGGCTGTTTCCAGTCCGTATGTAACAACAGTGAGTGACATTTCCAGGTTAGAATTAGAGTTATTCTTGAGAAACTCCTTAACGACTTGCTTTTGATACTGAAAGCGTTTTTGTGCATTCAAACCACTGGAGCCAAGAACAAAAACGACATATTCTTTCTGCTTCACGGCTAGAATTGAAAATAATTTGTAGTTTATAATAAACCAATGCATCGCTAAGCCACGAAAGCATGCATCAAATGAAAGTATATTATATACAGCAAAATGTGAAAATTGATGATGTGTATCATAACCTTAACAATGAAGAACTTACGACATATCCCTTTGGTTTTAACACCAAATTTACGACCTTCTAGGCAAGACGTTCTGCGCAACTCGCATGCATTGACATATGTTTTATCATCGCTGCCACATACGGGATCGTTCAGCCTGGGGCATGATGGGCAGACACAACGAGGTTGTTGATTTGATGATGTTTCACAGAGCGCGTAGTTTTGACAATTAAGGATCTCACAAGGTTCTAAAACAAATGAAAAATGCACAATGTCATGAAGGTTGTATCCTTTGAAATAATGGCCTTGTGTCGAAACGTACAGTGTATTTTAAAAATTTGTTCCGAACAAAATTTTGGTAATACCTTCACCTCGTAAATTTATATAGCTCAGGATGAGAATTATGGCATTACTTGCATTTACATTATAATTTATCGTTTGTCTGACGTAAACTGTACGTAGTTCTATGACGTATTTAACGGAGAGAGGAGCATGTTCATGAATTCATGTTAACGTTAACACAGTTGATTCTAACAGATTTCAATAAAGCATAACATGTGCTTTCGACTATCTCCTTCCTCCCCCCTCATCACATAACTGGCTAAATTCAATTGCAAAATGTGTTGATAATAAACCATCAATTATATGGACATCTACATATAAACATATACATACCTTTTCTTGTCTGAAAATCAAAAAGCATTCCTAGCCTCCAAGGATCATCATTGGAGCTAGTCTTGATCACCTTTTCATTGGGAATAATCTGAGTTATGACATCATCGTCAATGACATCATTCAGTTTATATGCTATAATCTTTACTCCTGAATCGTGTAATTTCTTGGCTGCATTTTTCAATTTGTCGCTGGGTACGTCCAACTGACCGCTTATGAATATTATAAGAAACTTTCGCGAGCCCGGACGACCTGAAAAAATGAACAGAGATGAAAAAGAAGTACATAAAGTGGAAAATAAAAATACACAGAGATGAAAAAGAAGTACATAAAGTGGAAAATAAAAAATACACAGAGATGAAAAAGAAGTACATAAAGTGGAAAATAAAAAATACACAGAGATGAAAAAGACGTACATAAAGTGGAAAATAAAAAATGCACAGAGATGAAAAAGAAGTACATAGAGTGGAAAATTGCGAAGCAGATGAAAGTACTTCATCTGATCGATCAACAAATTTCATTTCATGTTAAGATTAAAAAACTAGTTATAACAAGAATGACTATCCAGTATATAATACATGCAGTTAGTAAAGTGAAATGACACGTTCTCTCGGTCCAAGAACTGATCTTTATATATTGTTGAAACATCCAGCCATGCATACTCATCAGTGATAAATTCATAAGGAATGACCTAGTGTTGAATTTGGCTCAACTTCCACTTCAGTATGGATCTGGTGTTATTGTCAGGGATAATCTAATCTTGAATATGAATGTAATGTCTTGTGCATATTCCAGTCTAATATTCTCGATTCCATGTTGAACTAAAGTCCTTATACACTCCAGTAATTGAGATAAACAATGTGTTTATGTGCTTATCCCAAATAACAACTGTAAACCCACAAGATGTTTCACCTTGTTCTTTGAACATTTGAGCAGCTTTCTCAAAAGGCAGTGTCAAACTCTTTGCATTAGAAGGCCATTCTAACTTTTGTATTTTCGCTCGCATTTCTGGCAAATCATCGATTTCTTGCAGTGGTATTTTCTCTTTTGCTTCCTCGCCGAAAACAATCACGCCTTGCCTTGTTTGGGGCGACATCTGCTGTTTTAAGATGGTTTTCGTGATGTTTTTTTCAATTTCAAACAACGGGTCGAAGTTTTTACCAATGGATCCGAGGGCAAAGATGACATCAATCTCTTCTGCAGGAAAAGCTGAAATGATTGAAACTTGTTTGTAGATAGCCATGATCAATTTTTAAATAAATGATCGAGACATAGATGAAACCTCTGCAAGAACTTTACAAAAGAAACGGGGAAGAAAAAAGTGATAATTAACTTGCAGTCAGCTTATGCATACATACAAAATGAAGCCAATAGGTGCAGTATTTGGATTCCACAAAAACAAACTAAGTCACGATACTTACTGCATTTCTTGTTTGCAATTACAGTCAACGGTTGTCTTTTAAAACATGCAACTCTCTTTAACTCGCAAACATCTTTGTACGTATTACCATCACTGCCGCAAACAGGTTTGGGAACAGAAAAACATTTCTCTGGACAGCGGCATATCTTCGTCCCATCACGCATCACAACACAATCTGCATTAAAGTCACACGAAACGCCTCTACAGGGTCCTGTTAAAGAAACGCAAAACGATAAAAAGGTTTGCGCATCATAGATATTCTATTTTGCCGGCTTATTCGAGGAAGCTATAAATATTCTCAATAAAAAATGAGAAATCGAAAATTTTGCAGTTAAGTAAAGAGACCTGTAAGAGAGCTCTTATAAAAATTGCAGTGCACAAAGCAGAAACAAGAGTAGTGTCTATACTTCAAGAGGAGTGTCTATACAAAATATCTGTCAATTCAAATTATGACTAACTTTAAAGAATATAATAAAGACAGTTGAGAGATGCAAGGAAGTGTTAAACACTGAGGAATTTCATTTGAGGTTGACGTTACGATACACATTTGTGAGATTACCTCACGCGAAAACATTATGTGCTTAGGACTCAAATCTTACCGCAGACTCCTTCTTGAACAACGTCAATTGAAAGTTGTCTCAAACAGGATTGCTGTTGTAAAGTTTCTTTGTTGCGATAAGTTCGGCCATCAGCGCCACATACTTCGTTTACTTGACCGAAGTGCTTGTTGGGACATGTACAAATGTAAGAGTTCTTTCCTGGTGTCCCAAGGCATTTTGAGTGATACGAACAAGTGTTGTTTTGACAAACATCTGAGAGAAAAGTTTTACAAAACACTTTATACAACATTTACTTTGACCAAAATGGCTGATCGAAATGTGTATACCACGCAAGGTGTATATCTGAGAATAGATCACTCAAGTTAACCTTTCCAGATAGGATAAGACGAGACACAACAATTCCTAAGGAAAATCTGTTAGCAGCTATGGAAGATAGAGAATACTGGAAAGATGTGGTGAGTTCAATCTCGGCTGAGGCCGCAAGATGATGATGATGATGTATAATGATAAAGATATCGAGACGAATGAAGGAGAAGCTATACACAAAAACTGTTTTTAGACTAGTTTATTCTTCCTTGGCTTTAAATTTGTGTTTGATTTAATCAAACAATAAGCAACTTACCACAAGGTCCTTTGTGCTTAACTTCTAAAGGTCGTTGTTGTTGACAAGATTCTTTTCTCATTTGGCATTCATTGTCGTAAGTATTTCCATCACTGGCACAAATCAATCGCGGTACAATCTCTTCTGGGCATTTCTGAGGACATTCACAAACGCCTTGGTCTCCTCGAACCACGCATTCAGCATGGTGAAGACAATTTCGACCACGACAAGGACCTATAAACGGTATACTTTATTGATCATCTCAAACGTAGACCATACCAATGATACCATATTTTTTACCAATGACGTTATAAAAAAAGCAAAAGAAACTGTTGAACCATGCAAAGCTGAAAAGAGAATCTTTGAAACTTACGACAAACTCCAGCATATAAAACAGATACTTTGAGATCAGTAACACAAGATTCTCGTTCCAAAACTTCTCTGTTCATATATGTTCGTCCATCACTGCCACACACATTACTTTGATGTTGAGAACCAGACGAAGGACAAACACATTTGTAATTCTTAAAGTTTTGCTCGTCCCGAACACATTGGGCATAAGGCGGGCAGATACATTTCGCTGAAATACGGTTTAGCGTGAGCCATGAGAGTTGGTGGGTATCAGAAAAAGACAGACTTTATATATACTTACTACAAGGTCCTTCGTGTTTGATTTCCATGGGTCGTTGTTCTTGACAAGACTTCTTCTTCAGTTGACATTCACTTTCGTAAGTATTTCCATCGCTAGCACAAATTGTTCGAGGTTTAATACCATTAGGACATTTCAAAGTACATTGACAAACACCTTGATCTCCTTGAACCACGCATTCAGCATGGTGAAGACAATTTCGACCACGACAAGGACCTATAAACGGTATACTTTATTGATCATCTCAAACATAGACCATACCAATGATACCATATTTTTTACCAATGACGTTATAAAAAAAAGCAGAAGAAATTGTTGAACCATGCAAAGCTGAAAAAGAGAATCTTTGAGACTTACGACAAACTCCAGCATATAAAACGGATACTTTGAGATCAGCAACACAAGATTCTCGTTCCAAAACTTCTCTGTTCATATATGTTCGTCCATCACTGCCACACACATTACTTTGATGTTGAGAACCAGACGAAGGACAGACACATTTGTAATTCTTCAAGTTTTGCTCGTCCCGAACACATTGGGCATAAGGCGGGCAGATACATTTCCCTTAATTACAAGAGATGTTTTTTACTTTGGGCTTTATTTTCAACCAATTATTTAACAATGTGTAAAACATAGGCATCATGAACGAATGATTTATCAAGAAACAATTATCACATCAAAATACATAGTACTTACTGCATTTGCGTACATGAAGAACTTTTATGTTCCTTTTTGTTGTGCAAGATTCCCTTCTCAGTTCACATTCGCTGTTGTAAGTTCTTTCATCATCACCACAAACATATTTAGTCATTGGAGGACATGTAGGACATTTACATCTAGCTTTGTAATTACTGTTCACGACACATGTGGCATACTGAGGGCATTTCTTTTTATTACATGGATCTAGAAAAAAGATTGGCGAATAAAAATCAAACACTACAGTTCAAAGTTCAGGCTGGCTCACATACGTTTGAACATCCTGAAATGAAAGACTTACTACATTTGCCTTCGTGAAGAACTTTTATGTTCCTTTTTGCTGTGCAAGATTTTTTTCTTAGTTCACATTCACTGTTATAAGTTCTTTCATCATCACCACAAACATGTTTAGTCGTTGGAGGACATGTAGGACATTTACAACTCGCTTTATAATTACTGTTCACGACACATGTGGCATACTGAGGACATTTCTTTTCTTCACATGGATCTGGAAAGGAAGATTGGTGAACAAAAATTAAACTCGTAGGCTTTTATAAAGAAGCACCTTCAAACGGTTTAAACTACCTAAAAAATATCATGCTTACTGCATTTGCCTTCATGAAGGACTGCTATATTTCTTTCAGTGGTACAAGATTCCCTTCTTAGTTGACATTCGTTGTTATAAGTTCTTTCATCATCACCACAAACATATTTTGTTGTTGGAGGACATTTAGGACATTTACAACTCGCTTTAAAATTACTGTTCACGACACATGTGGCATACTGAGGGCATTTCTTTTTATTACATGGATCTAGAAAAAAGATTGGCGAATAAAAATCAAACACTACAGTTCAAAGTTCAGGCTGGCTCACATACGTTTGAACATCCTGAAATGAAAGACTTACTACATTTGCCTTCGTGAAGAACTTTTATGTTCCTTTTTGCTGTGCAAGATTTTTTTCTTAGTTCACATTCACTGTTATAAGTTCTTTCATCATCACCACAAACATGTTTAGTCGTTGGAGGACATGTAGGACATTTACAACTCGCTTTATAATTACTGTTCACGAGACATGTGGCATACTGAGGACATTTCTTCTCTTCACATGGATCTGCAAAGAAAGATTGGTGAACAAAAACCAAACTCGTAGGCTTTTATCAAGAAGCACCTTCAAACGATTTAACCTACGTAAGAAATATCATGCTTACTGCATTTGCCTACATGAAGGACTGCTATATATCTTTCAGTGGTACAAGATTCCCTTCTTAGTTGACATTCGCTGTTGTAAGTTCTTTCATCATCACCACAAACATATTTTGTTGTTGGAGGACATGTAGGACATCTGCAACTCGCTTTAAAATTACTGTTCACGACACATGTGGCATACTGAGGACATTTCTTTTCTTCACATGGATCTTGTAATGGTGAAAAAACGTATGATATAGTTATTGTTGAAACAATATTTATTGAAGGTCATTTTTTTTGTAAGAAAGTAAAGAAACTTACTGCATTTGCCTTCACGAAGGACTTTTATGTTTCTTTCAGTGGTACAAGATTTCCTCCTTAGTTGACATTCGTTGTTATAAGTTCTTTCATCATCACCACAAACATGTTTAGTCGTTGGAGGACATGTAGGACATTTACATCTAGCTTTGTAATTACTGTTTACGACACATGTGGCATACTGAGGGCATTTCTTCTCCTCACATGGATCTGGGAAGAAAAATTGGCGAACAAAAATCAAACACTACAGTTCAAAGTCAGGCTACCTCACATCTGTTCTACCGTGCTGAAATGAAACACTTACTGCATTTGCCTTCGTGAAGAACTTTTATGTTCCTTTTTGTTGTGCAAGATTCCCTTCTCAGTTCACATTCATTGTTATAAGATCTTTCATCATCACCACAAACATATTTCGTTGTTGGAGGACATTTTGGACATTTACATCTAGCTTTATCATTCCTATTCACAACACATGTGGCATACTGAGGACATTTCTTTTCTTTACATGGATCTGAAAGAAAAAAATGGCAAACAAAAATCAAACTCGTAGGTTTTTACCGAAGCACACTTTTCAACAGTTTAGTTTACGTAAAATACATCATGCTTACCGCATTTGCCTTCGTGAAGGACTGTTATATTTCTTTCAGTGATGCAAGATTCCCTTCTAAGTTCACATTCGTTCTTATAAGTTCTTTTATCATCACCACAAACATATTTTGTTGTTGGAGGACATTTTGGACACCTACATCTAGCTTTGTTATTCCTATTCACAACACATGTGGCATACTGAGGACATACTTTATCTTCACAAGGATCTGAAATTCAAAACAGAAAAATGTATTCAGACGTATAATGATCAGAAGTATACGTAGTAGCTTCTGAAAGAACTGCAATTCTGCTTTAAAAAGTTTTGTAAAGGCAGTAAACGATTTCAAAAAAAATATTTACTGCATTTTCCAACGCGAACAAACTTGATGTTGATTTTTCTTTGACAGGCATGCTTTCTAGCTTCACAAAGATTTATGTAACTTTTCTCATCACTCGCACATATATAGTTGACAGGTTCGCCAGTACATTCTGGACAAACACATTGTGCTTGATTTCTTAGATCTGAGACACAAGTTGAGTTGAAAGAGCATCGCTTATCTTCACAAGGATCTGGAAACGAACGCATTATTAATGTATAGAGATCCTCTCTAAGTGAAAATTGATAAACTTTTGTTATGACAGTTTTACCACATGATCCGGTGTATGCAAGTAAAATGGTGATTCTTCTTGAGCAGGATTCACGACGAACTTCACATTTACTCCTATATGTCTTTCCATCGCTGCCACATACTTTAGAGACATCAGGAGGACAGTTTACTTGACACTGACATTCATAGCCACGGGGTGAAGAGGTCTTTGGTACACACATACCAAAATATGGACAGCTGACTCCACGACAAGGATCTAAAAATGATGAAAAGCTACGTATAGAGTAATAAGCTCCGTTCGTAAGCTTCACACTAGAAGTGCATGATTTTTTTTATCAATCTTGAATTTCAACATAATTGGATTTGGGATAGACCCTAGCTCAACTTAAGATTCTTATAAAGTGAATGATGTGAGCTTGAGAGTATTGTTATATGTTTGTAAATGTTCATCGTCCAGGTTTGTGCAGTTCGGACAAAACTGTCGATGTTTTTGTTGACTAAAGTTGTGTCAACGATTGAGTTAAGGAGACTTCTGGTCTAACACAAACACCCACAGTTCTTCTAAATTAAGTAAGATATCAGCTCTTTTTTGTGCATGAAAACAAATAAAAGTTTGAAAAGTAATGATGAAATGCAGATAAAATACTGACAAAGAATTATGGCTTGTTCTATTGAAGTATCAATACAGATCACAAACTTTACACTTAAAAAAATAAAACATAAGATTGCCATACCGCATGAACCTTTATAGGCAATGGTCACGTGACGGTTCCTGCGACAAGAGTGACGTTTAAGGTGACATTCATTCCTGTACGTTCTTCGATCTGTTCCACAGACAGGGAACACATTGTTCTCAAAACTTGAGCATTTTTTACATTTACAGCGATAACCACGGATCATATTTCTATCTCTCACACAAACGCCATGATTCTTGCACTTTACTTTCTCGCAAGGATCTGAAAAGAAGTTTATATTTACATCTAAAAGTTTAAACACAGATTTCATCACCAAAACAAACACTAGCATAATTTTTTCTCTGATGTTTGAGACGCTACTTGTCAAAATTTTCACTTCCATTGCACGTGCGCTACATGAATTTACTTACCGCAAGAGCCTTTAAAAGCAACAGTGATGGTGGTCTTCTTCAAACAAGCGTTTCTTCTCATTAAACATTCACTTTCATAGGTTACGTTATCACTACCACACACCTTGCTGTGGGTCAGCGAACGTCTTTCCGAGACGCAGTCTGCACATATGCAACGATAACCCAGCACGGTCAACGAATCAGGTTTACATATCCCAAAATCACAAGTAACTCCATCACACGGAGCTACAAAAATACATCCATGATATGAGTAGAGCAGGGGTCTCCAAACTACGGCCCGCGGGCCAGATGCGGCCCGTTGGGCCTCTCAATCTGGCCCGCAGAGACACTTAAGAAAAATAATAATATTATTAAACAAAATAAACTATGTGCAGAAAGTTCACGTTATGACGCAAGTCAACTAGCAAGAGTGGCTTTTTGTCCAAACGTCAATTTTTCTCCAAACTTCAACAAAAAAATGACTTGCTGAGGGAAAAATTTAAAAAAGACAACCGAAAGAGAACTATCAAAATTTGAGGCATTTTACTGCAGGACTGCTATCTATGTTTGGCACCACATACCTGTGTAAAAAAACTTTTTCTAGAATGAAGTATATGAAAAACAGTTATAGAAAAAACATGTCAGGGCTCTTCTAATGCTTGGAACCTCAAACTTAAAGCTAGAATTTTTTACAATTTTGTCATGAAAAAACCAATTTCACCACTCACATTGAGAAAACTGAACAGAATAATTGTGATTTTGTTATGATATTACCCTTGGTTGAAATTAAACCTTTAAAGTTAAAATTTTGAGTAAATATTTTCTTAACTAATGAAGCTTGTGTAATGTACTTCGTTTTATTAAAATATTCGCTCTTTGATCAGCGGTATACGGTTCGTCGGCCCTCAACATGCTGAATGAAAGTTCATGTGGCTCTCTGGCTGTAAAGTTTGGAGACCCCTGGAGTAGAGTAACAATAAGGTTTTTCATCACCTGACTGTAGGTTTCATATTTAAAGCTAAGAAATTTTATTGCTCAAGCAAAGACCCCCCTAAAAAAATAAGCCTTTTTCCCAAAAATTCATTTCACTTTTAACTAAGAAAGCCCTTTCCTCTTCTTTATTATGCAACTCTTACCACAATGCAGCTGCTCCAGTACGACGTCATCTTTTGGTCGACACTTGCCACAGTAACCACCACATTTAGCAGAAATAACCTGACTATTGTTACGCACTTGGAAATCCTGTATTCGAATACCAGCAGGTCTGGCTACAAGCGTCCAGATCGCTGGTGATCGTAGTTTCAAGCCAGTTCCTCTAAGATCGATAGAAAAACTACCTAAAGAATATGAATTGAAACATCAGGTATAAGTCAAGTGATAAATGTGACCACATTATTTATGTAAGCTACCTTTTCTACAATTTCCATTATTTGATGAATAGCAATCTCCAGCAGTGCCGTAGGGAATATTGTTTTCATTACTGCTGCTCGCAAATCTGAAATCAGTTGGCAAGATTTTTGAACTCGCGATGTCAAAACGGACCTTATAGAATCTTGTGAAGCCTCCTTCGTTGTAAGGCTCGCTTCCTGGATCTATGCCTCCACATTGATTGCGTTTGGATTGACGGAGTTTCAGATGATATATTCGGGCGTGATTATCTGATCCCTGAGCGAGAGTGATGTATTCTTTGGGATCAGGGGTGTTCATTCCATAACAATACACTTTAACGGGGCGTTTGCATTTTGGATTAATGACCATTGAATAATCGCCATCCTCTCTTCCCAGTTCTTCCTGAAGAGCCTGCTTACAGCTGGATACCACTGGAAAATGTAATACGGCAAATTTACATCATGAAGAAGAAGAATCTCACATAAGAAGATATGTGGTAAACTCAAACAGAAAAAAAGCTCTCGTGAGCTTAACTTAAAGATCACATGCATATGTTACACGAAAAATGAGTAATCCGTTAGATTCAAAGTAAAAATACCGAGATTGCATTGCTTTAGTAAAAGTTATTTGTTTATTTACATTTCTCAGTTCGTGTTCATACAATAGGAATCAAAATTTATACCTGATCAAACATTCCAAAGTCAAAAATAGTAAGTTCGTCATGATCACATCGGAACTTTTCCTATCCCTCTTCCTACACCTAACCAACCCCATCCTTCCTAAATTGTATCCTCTTATCTTACTCTATCATCGGCTGCTTGACCAATGCTGGAGACTTTGTATAGATATGCTATTTTGATCAGTCATACTTACTGCAGTGTCCGTAGTAATTTACTTCAATTGGCCTTTGTCGAATGCAAGAATACTTCTGAACCGTACAAAGATTAGGATAGGTTACATTATCTTTCCACACACAGGGTTATCATCATTTTTACTGCATTTCATTGGACAAAAACATGTTGCCCGACCCGTGGATAATGTTCCACACTGCCCACCATATTTACATTGAAACGCACCGCCACACACGTCAACAGACCGCCGCAAACGATGATGGGAATGACTTTGGATCGCTGAAATAAACAATGATATCAATGTAGAATATGTTATATACTGACGAAGTGGGTTAATATATAAAATGACAGCATCTGGCAGAATTCCAGGAACTCTTTCAGGTATTTTGTGGTATTTGATAAATCACTAGAAGAATATAACGAGTTGAACATGTTTGATATGAATGGCGAAAATCAGAACCTAGATCACGGATATTTTTAAACCTCTTCTGGCCAATTGTTATAAAAAGATCAGATTTTCAAATTAATCAGATCAATTGATTGCATCCTGTTTATCGTTCATCGACTTAGACAGATTAAAAATCTTTTCAAGTGAGGTCATCTAATCAAATCCTTTTACAGTGTTTTGAACACCGAGAAACTTTCATGGGAATAATAAATTCATAGCAAGAGAAAAATCTTGGTCTTCTCAGGGAGGTTTCGCCGTTGTGTGAGGAAAACATTTATCTATGTTAACTTACTTTGATCGTCACAATAGATGATAATGACAAAAATATAAGCGTCAAAAACATACTGATGGTGTATGGTACATCATGCAGTCATTGATTTTCAACAGTGCACATGATAAAACACACACATGCCAAATACCTTCAAAATTGCCAGGAGGAACATTCAAGAAATCATGATGTTTGACAATCCAATAATGAAGCAATTCAAAAATGTTGTCTTCCAAAGGCAACGTAAAAAATATGAACAATCTTTTGTCAATTCATTCAAGTTAATCCCACCATCGTCAGAATTTTGTAAGGTGACAACAGCATCGACTTTTACATTATTACGCATTAACAAGTTCTTCACGATTTGGACAGAAATGATTCGCGTATCTTGACTGATGTTCAACACTTTACCAGTGAATACGATCCCATTCTTCCACAGAGACGATTCTACACAAGAAAACACAGAAAAAAAGGCAACAAAAACACTCAACCGAAACATTATCACGACTCTTATTGTTGAGTGTCGAAATTCTCATGTGAACTTTGAGTAAAAAGCGATATTTTCATCACACACGAACTACGAGAGATGTCGGATGTCATTTGAAAATCTAAACAGGACGAGTGTAAAATTGAGCAAATAGCACGGTCAAATATCGAAATATAAACATGAAGCTGCTGGAAAATAGGATTAAACGAAATCTTAATACGCTTGAAATAAAAGTAGAAAATAATACATTTTTGCTTTCAATTTAAGATGGTTCAATCAGCATTTTTGCATTCAAAAGAATGACTCTACATAGTCTAATAACTATTTCTTTTTGCTCTCGTTATGTAAAGAATTTACTTACTCGTTCACATGGTATAAAGAAGGTAAGTAAAATGGGGGAAATTGAACAAAATTTTGCCCATGTATTAATTTTCATCGAAAAATTTTTAGTGTCCAAACTTTAAGGTAAAAACGGAAAGGAGGGAAGAAATGGTTATGCAAATCAGTTTAATATCATGCGTGATAAAAAGTCCATCGTTGTTCCTTAGTGAAAGAACTCGAGTATTCAAAGATTCAACAATGGAAATTTTTACTCATCTTAATTTTATATTGGTTCAATGATTAAGGCTAACAACAGAACGACAGAAAAGAAATTTCTAATTTCCGCTAGAATGTAAGAAACAATATTTGAAACGGAAATGTTCAACTATACGGCTAAAAAATGCAACTTTGGTGGCCAATCTTGATTGAGTGCGAAGAAAGGAGTAGAGTCAGTCGATTAAACTAAAACTACCTTTGTCCACGCTTTAACAAAACTGTGTTTTAATCGAGGGTTTAACAGTGAACTTCCTGGAGAAAAAGACAGTAAAAGACAATCACAAGTCGGCAAGACAAAGCCAAACAAAGACATTTTAAGACAACTACTACAAGCACTACAACTTACGTCAAAAGAAATGCGAAATAAAAAGAAGTGTAGTGATTAAGGGCCTATTGCCGGACATCTTCATTTTAATCACACCTTTAATAAACCTGTAAATGATTACGCTTGTCTTTACAAAGCTAACACGCTCACAATTTCTGATTTGTTTGAATGAAGAATCGATTGAATACGCTTAGAGGATGAAAGCCTTGAAATTTTCATTTGACCCACCAAAACTACGCGTAATCTTGCTATTTTGATAGCTAGATAACAGCAGCGTGTAGTTTTCTGCAGGTCTGAATGGCGTCAATAAAAATATAATCGTAGGATCGTTAACAACAACACTTATCCGTAATACAATTGTACCTTTAAATGATGAGTTAGTTACCACATTTTAATGATACAAATTACCATGACTACCTTAGCAAAAGCGCAATAATATTCTCGAAGTTCATAACATCGTAACGTCCAGAGGAAACCGGTTTTTGGAAAACATGGAATGGTCCTACTACTTAAAGACAATTAATGGAATACCGAGCTTTTTTGCGGCCATTTTAACGCGAACTCTATTCATAGTCCATGGATTTTTTGCGATATTTTTGGTGGTGCAAAAAAAGGAAGATCCTACACAATGGTGGCCAGTATTCTTTCTGTTTTTACTAATGATAGAGAGCGCTTACACGGTTTTAGTAAGACGAGGCGTCGAGTACAAATAGTAAGTAGAAAAAGATAAAAACATGTTGGTTGTGCTTAATGTATGTCACAGTTCAATTGAGGTTTCAGCGTCAACTACTAAGCATTCCTTACCCCTCGAAGACTGCATTAATATAGATGACGGAACTTCTGTTTCAGCATTAAATAAATACTGATGAAATACTTATATAAAAAACAAACACCTAGAAATTTCATACACATAAAATAAACTACTTTTTTTTTCATTTCACGTAGTTTTTGGCCAAGTTGTTTTCTATACATTATGAGCGTTCTACCTTCAATTTGGACGATGGAAATTGACCTTTACAACGAAAGATACCAGCTACGCTTTCAGCCAAAAAATCACGTGACCAACGTTACCAATACAATACATGTAGGAAAGGTATGTACACCGAAGAGAAATACAACATTGTGTTAAACATTGCATGGTTTTATGTTCCAAAGCATGTGGAGAGGTTGCAGACCGTTGCAAAGGAGTTAGGCATAGATGATGAGAAGGAATGGGAATTGAAAATTCTCTAAAAAGACAACCATTGATGAAGGCAGTTAGAAGTGCATTTGTAACTATATGGTTTACAGTGCATCTATTCTGTCAATGTATATATTTTGTGAATGTTAGTGCATTCCGTCAGTCAGAAACTTGATAAGTGTTAACGTTTGCAGTAAATTGCTGCAGGAGTTTTACACTCTAGCCCTCACCACTGCTTGGCAACTAAATATTGAAGTCCATGGGTTTGATAAAATCCTCCTGAAAAGACATACGTACTCGTATTAATATTTATCTAACAAACTGTATGGTTTGTAGACAATTTGGACTAATCTTTCCAAGGAGGCTATAGCCGAGAAAGTTGGGGCACTGGGACTGACAATTGGCATCATCATCGGTCGCTGGCTCCTACCGCGCGGCGCCATAACACGTGAGCAGCTTTCTGCGTTATTGATTGGCTACGTGGGTATTGCAGCTGACATCCTTGAAGTATTTGAGTTATTTGACGAGGAAAACCTGAAGTATCGACAGCACATTACCATGGCAACTTTGTTTGTCTTTTCTTGGTCCTTGTTGTCGTTCTGTTTCGTTACCAAGGCAACAAAAAGAGGTGACAAACACAAGAAGAAGCAAAAAGTCAACAAGGTGAGACTAAAGAATGAGCAGAAAATTCAACACCAAGATTGAATTTCAGATCGTTTCGATTAAAAACTTCTCGGTAAAAAACCAAAGTTCTGACATCAATTTACTCCTAACGAAGATACTAGACTGGAGTATATAAGGACTTAAGTTTTGACATCAGTTCACACCCAATGAAAACACTAGACTGGAGTATATTAGGACCGAAGTTTCCAAATTGATCATTCCAAATGATGACACTAGTAAAGAGTATTTAAAACAGTTTCATCATCAGATCATTCCTGATAAAGATATTGCGAAAAATTTCATCTACCCCATGAGTATAATTGAAATTCAAAGCTTATTACCTTCAGGTCGGAGTTCACGAAGCGTACTTGAAAGCAAGTAGCAGTGACGACAGGAAGGCTAAAGAAGATTACATAGAGAAAATCAAGGAAAGATGGAGCAAAAAAGTGGAAGGTCATTCTCGAGCAATGAACGATAAATCTCGAGGGAAGAACGTGGTCACGAAGGAACGTAAAGGGTTCAAAGCATTTAAAGATGTATTCTCAGAGTCAGGAAAAAGACAATTTGATTTACATGGAGACATATATGGAATTCTGACTGGGATGTTTATGATGGATGGACCATTCTTGCTGTTCAGACTTTATTGTACCGTTGAGTACTCCGTAGACAGTGAAATGCATATTTTCTATACGGTAAAAAATGCCATTTCGCTAGCATTGCTTGTTTATCGGTTGTGTATACTAACTTGTAAAGGAGAGGATTCCGAAGAAGACGTATTTGAAAAGGATGAAAACAAATTAAGAAACGTTCAGATTGCAATTGTTGGCACACAGTATATTGATTACAGGTTTCAAAATAAAAACTAGCAAAACTAAAGTAAAAATTAGCAACGAGAAATTTAAGTTTTAGGTTAAATATTAAAGCAACAGCACAAACGTGAAAAAGAATTGGATTTTAGAAATGAGTGGCTCGTCTATGTTACTGCTGGAGACACAAAACTTGAATAAAGCTGATCGCCACATAACCTAAACCTGGAGTACTCATTCATGAGCCACGTGACCTTTAGAGGCTGGGTTTGGCCATTACGTCATGTAACTTGTGTGCACACGATGAGGAGTAAGAACGTTTGATGATATGAATGGTGACAACATTTATTTTATCAAACCTCAATAATTTATACATATTTACAAAATATACTTTACATTTTATAAAGTCAAAAATACTTTATACAATTACAAAATTTGGCAATTTATGACACAAAAATTTAAAAACTTTCTAAAATCAGCAAAAGAGTATTAAACAATCTTCTCCTAAATGTTCAAAAATGAACTAAATTTCTTCTGAAGAGAGCACCAACCAACGTTCAACTTTTCCAGCTGGTCGTTACAATCAGAATCCATCAGTAATTCGACAAAAGATTATTCATAAAGAAGAATCTTCGAGATTTAGCACGTGTACACTGTCGTCTATCCAAGTGATGTAAAGGACGTTTGATTTTAAACTAAATGGAGTCATAAATATAGGAAAATCTTGCATATAAGAACCTAGATCTTTCAAGTTAGCTTTACATGTTTTATAGAAATTGTACTCGTTGTTAAACAGGTTCTTAAAATTTTCTAATGAAAAAGTGACTTGATGGATTTTGCTGTATAAAGTTAAGAAATGAACCTTATGATGCGGCAATGTTTTCCTCAAGCGATGCCAAAGATAGGGAAGATGATGATGGTTGGTTGGGTGTGTTCGTTGAGGGCATGCATGAGCGCTGAAGGTTAATTGGTGGTAATGCAGGATAGTGTGCAATAATATTGGAAGGGCAGTTGTCAATTGGAAGTTCATGACGCGATGGGGATGGCACTTTCCACACACCTAGAAACAGCCGATAAAATATTTCATAGAAATGGTTGCAGGAATCGGTATAACATGGTACAGCACAGAGACAAAAAAACATTTGCAACCAGAAACTGATTCATACCTTGAAAGATTTGTCATTAGTCGTAATCACAAAGCGAGATTTGTAAAATTTACAATGAAAAAGCGAGACTATATCAACTTAAAGTTTTTTCTTATGATGAATCCATCATAGTAGATCAGTTTGCGCCATTTTGTTGTAGGTATGTTTGACCGATTTACGTTTCATCTATATTACCTTTCGCGTCAGTAATGCTACTAGAATCTTATCTATTTGATAAGACTTTACATATTTGTATTTGTCACTGGTTTTCACAGCCCCGGGTTGAAACAGAAAATGAAAGATTTACAAAACGAAAATCTTTCAGCACGGCTTCTAAAAATTTTCCATTGCAAAACAATTTTATTGTTCAACAGTAGTTCTCGATGATTCACTTGCATCAAACAGTGAATTGACGCCACAAGCGTGCTCACGCTATCAAACTTTCCGAAAGACGGACCCCGTTATCAATGACGTGCATGCGCATAAAGAACAGACTTACAGTCAGTATTCAAGTGGTTATTTGACGTTCCAATTGGTCGTTCTACAGCAACATACTGTCGAATACCACGATGTCCAGAATCGATATCTATGACATTACTGTTTTGTAGGATAAAAATCTCGAATAAAAACTTTGTTTTGTCTGACAAAGACTGGAAAACAGCCAACTAATAACGCACACTAACCAACCTTATTAAATTTTTACTTAAAGTAAACCGGTTGATGTCCATCGCCAGTAGCCTTGGTATAGGATTATGCTGTTCATAATCTAATCCATTTTCGGATACACGAGAATCATTCATCTAGTAAAGAAAGCAGTGAATCCATTTTCTAATCTAATCCATTTTCATAATCTAAATCCATTTCTAATCCATTTTCTAATCCAAAATCATGTTCATAATCTAATCCATTTTCGGATACACGAGAATCATTCATCTAGTAAAGAAGCAGTGGATGTTTTTTAAAGTGCTTGAGCATGCGCAGTCAACTGAACCAATTGTTCATAGTCATGACAACAGCCAGTTACATATACTTGCCCTACCCTAGTGGCAATTAGCTCACTTAGTTGCAAATTATCAAAGAAATCATCTGAGGATGCGCAGTAACGATGTCAATCATACCACAACTTTCGTAAGCCTTTGAATTTGGGAAGTCTATAGTATCCTAAGGCACGGAAAGTCTTTGAATGCATCCAAGATCTTTGCATACCATGTGGCAGACACTATACACAAAGGAAGGGGGTTGAAAAGAACACGTCATAGTTAAACTCACATTCCACGTTCCTTTATCAATGTCGATGTAGGTATACGCATCTTGCCTAATGGATTACCAGGGACACACGAGGATTCCCGAACTCCCTTAAGGGTTTGAGGAGTTCGCTTTTTGCATATCACAGGATGTGTCGTCCTTTCTCCTTCAGAGCTTCTGAAATAGAAAGTTGCAAGAAAGTTCATGACGTCATGTAAAAGCAAAACAATTTTTAACTGTGATAACACAAAGAATAGCAATGCTTACCTAGACATGTACGAGTATACAGGTTTTATGAGAAAAATCCCAGAACTTTCTTCGATTTCTTTTAAATTTGACGTGATCCGATTGCCGAGTTCATTCCGTTCTTTGCTTATCTCTTCCATTTTCTCATTCCATCTCACAGCACGTGCTTTCTGAAGATGCTCCATTTTTTCTTGTAGCTGATATACGTCGACATTCGCCATTTGCTCTGGTTTTAGATTGTCTTCTGTGCGGTGAAAAAATGCATAAGTGAAAATTCAGAATTATTGCGTGTTCAGACATAATTACAAGCAAATATGCCACCCCTTCAGCTGTACATACCGACATCTCGCATCATGCAATGGTGTCTGTATCTCTTTATAAGTTCAGCCAGCCTTCTCGTAGGTAAACTGACATAACAGCTCATTTCACGAACAACTGTATCATATGAGTCTGGCGAGAGTCGTTTTGCCAAAATTGCACGCTTCATCGTTTTCACGTTTCGTTCTGCGTCCAAACGCGTAAACATCATGGAAGATACCACGGGCTGCTTGATAATAAAGCACGAACATGAAACAACGCAACAATTTTTCATAATTATTTTTCAACGAAAAACAGAAGAAATCTCTGATTGAGAAGAAAACAGACAAAACGTAAGAAAAATATGAAACGAGAAATGAAAAGAAGATAGATAATAAACATACCTGAAGTGATGCACCATGACCTGGAATTTTTCCATCAGCTGTGTTTTGAGGTTATTGATCGTTTCCTGCATTTCGTTCATGACTGTGGCGTTCTGGCTGATCTGTTCTTGGTAAGATTTCACGCTGTCTTGCAGCTGCTGAGTCAGCATATTGTACTCCTCATTTAGATTGTTATATTCGTGGAGAAGACGCGTGTAACCTTTGGGTGTTGTGGGAGCCCCTCGAGGGACGAATATAGTCTGAATCGATCGATCTGGAAATGGAATATCATTAACACTCCAGGCAAAAATCAGTCAAATATTTATCGATTTTGTGCCTAATCTGCCTTTGCTCTCAAACATGAGGAACTTGGTGACATTGCTCGAAGGATAATACGTAGCAATGGTTTCAGTCTAATGAAGTTGAGCTAATGCAATATTTTTTAAGAACTTGGACCGTTTCTTTAATTGATAAAAATCCTGATTGTACTTATTTGATGAAAAACAATATTTCCTGAGAACACACACAAACATCAAGGATAATAGTCCCATGAAATTCACATCCTTTTATGTCGTAATTTCAAAATGATGGTTATCGTGAACAGGGATGTGGTCTTATAAATAGCATGCAGAAATATATTTTTTTTAAATGCAGTGAACACAGTTTTATTTGCATAGCAAAAGCAAACAAAAAGGTCTAGTACGTTACTGCTCGTATGTGGAACAAGCAAATTAAATGCGTTAATATAAGAAAAATATTACCTTGTAAATTTGGTTCTTGATGAACGGAAGTGGAAGCACCATCGATTTCTGAAATTTTCTCGGGAGACTCTAGGGATGGTCTCTGACCATCTTGAGCATCCTTTTCTGCTCCTTCTTCAGCAGAGGGATCATCATAACCAATATCCTTTTCTGCTCCTAATTCAGTATAGGGATCATCATAACCAATATCCATCTCTGCTTCTACTTCACTATCGTGATGTCCAAGATTATGGCCAACGTCCATTTCTTCTGGTGTTTCATCGCCGTCAACCAGTTTATGATGAGACCAAGAATAATCATCTTTGGTTATTTGCCACAGAGCATCGAGAACCTGGAAAAATAGATCACACAGTCAAAATATCCATATTTATAGAAAGTCTTATTTTTTGCATTGTTTTTTCCATTTTATGAGACATGTTTACGAGGTGTGCACCAATGAATTTATGATTTACCTGATGTGTGATGTTTCGAATAGAAGATATGTTTTTTAAAATGTCGATTTCATCTCCCTAAGCAGAAAAAGGAAACAGAAATCTACAATCAATTTATTTAATTTTATTCTCGATTTTTATTTTATATAGTATAGTTTCACCACTTCCACCCTAATCCAAAAATTTTCCCTAGTACCCCCCGTAAATGTTTCTGTACGAAAAGATCATTGCTGTAAAGATTTGGCATTGGTATTTTATATTTAAGTAGAGATATACCAGAGAAGATTATGCACAGTATATATACGATAAGATCACATATAAAGCTAGACTACAGATCTTATCACATATATAGTATTATAGCATGATCTTTTTAAAAGTTTTATTTGAAAACATTTTTCGACTTAAAGATGGATTAATTAAGTTAAGTCAAAACATGTTTGCAAATAAAACTTTCAAAACTCGTCCATTTAAAGTGTCTATTTAATACCTTATCTAATGGTACATCAGGTATTGAGTTAAGCAACTCGGTCTTATGCCCCAGGCCGTGTTGTTCTAGCCATATGACAATGTCCACTTTAAACTTCGAGATCATTTCGTGTGTTTTCACGGTCTCCTCTATGACGCGATGATCTTTTATTGCCGTTCGTATAAGTCTGGAGCGGACTCGACCAATGCTCGCAGTCGACGTATTTGAGCGCGTTGGTAGTGTAAGTTTATTTGCGTCCATTTCATTCTGTAAATTGCAACAAATGTGATGAATGGAATGCGTTGATTTCAGTAAAAATTAAATGGCTTGATCAGTTTTTGCTTATTTTTAAAGCCTTTATTTGCACAAAAAATATTAAGACTTTCGAGAGTACGTTACATACCGCGCCTTCATCTTATTTGTACCACCATTTTATATAAACATACCTTTTCATATATATCACGCCCTCTTACTCCCTTCATTAAAAATCTTTTCGCAGATTTATTATCAATGATGAAACAAATAGTAGAAAATGAGAAAACGATTTCTAGTTATTTAACTTCATACTCACATCAAATTTATTATCCGGAACATCCAATCCTTGCACAAGCACCACGATCTCCGGCTCATCTGTCGTATCATTGTTTGCTAAGCTTTTAGCGCTTGGCTTGCTAGAGACCTGGGTACTACCACATCGTATGTCTAACGTATCACTGTTCGGTGAGCTTCTCGCACTTGGTCTGCGAGAGACCTGGGTACCAACACCTCGTATGTCTAACATATCACTGTTCACTGAGCTTCTGGCACTGGGTTTACGAGAAACCTGGGTACTAGCACATTGCATGTCGGCTGATACCTGTAATGTTAGAAAATAGCATCATTAGAGAGTAGACATCTGGGTCCATACTCAATCATTTGGCGAATTGTTTGAGCTCATAGTCAGGGAATAACTAACTGGGCAAATTTGCATTGCTTTCAAAGCAAATGGATCATTTGGATCACATATAATGTGAGAAATCATCTGAGCATGCGCAGTCCACTTGAGAAAAAGTTCAACTTCAAAGTCATGGCAAGGACCAGCTGGATGTATTTGCGTCAATTTGGAAATAATTAAATCGCTTGGTCACAAATTATAAAAGAAATTATCTGAGCATGCGCATTAAACGCATGCGCGCGCGTTCCGCCTGACCAATTTTTTGAGTTCATAGTCAAGACAACGACCAACTGGATCCACTAAAACCAAGTTTGGGGTAAATAGCTCGCTAAGTCGCAATTTAATAGAGAAAACATCTGCGCATGCGGGGTTTTATGCTTTGGAATTTTATCTTTTTGTTTACGAGAGTACTGTAACATCAAAGGATACTGAAATATTTTAAACAATTTCCTTCTTTTTTCATAATTTAAGACATTGTTAAACATTTCTCATACATTTTAAGCATGATTCATACACTTTATACCTATCTTTCACGATTTGACTGTCTCGTTTACTGTTATAGTATAGTGCATGCATTAAGCCCAGTACATAAGCCCCCCATTGTTTGAGTTCGTGAAAATACGCATAAGAACTTATACAGATATACAGGGTGTACAGGGACCTTTACAAATTTTGATGTACGCACTATGACTAAGACATCTATCGTTGTTGTGGTATAAGGACTAATCAGTTTTCCTTATCTTACCACTGTTTATAGAAAAATAAAAAGAGAATCGATGCACTGATCGACTACACGACTGACATGTCGTGCATTTACTACCTGACAGTTTACGCAATGCGACTTGTTTGAGCTTTCGCCACTCAGAATGCCGTAAAACTTTCATTGAAAGTTCGTGATATGAGAGTGTCCTGATTGCAGCACTTTATTTCATGTTTTAACTCTTTTATAGGGACTCAGCAGACAGTCGGACTGACTCTCTACGTCCATTAAAAGATGGGGTGGGGGCTAAACAGGTGAAATAAAGATTGAAAAGCAGGAAACCATTAAATTAAAACCAACCAGTGAGGTTCTTTCGTTATCATGGGCCGTTTGCAAACAATCAAGAATTTCTGTTGCGACAGTTGTCTTGCTCTCAGTAGAAATGACGTTATCCTTTTCTTCTATCATATCTGTCATCTTCAACCGAACAGTAAAACAACGCAAAAATAAGTATTGCTATCCATCACCAACCATTATATCAATAATGCATTAACAATCAACTTACATCTGAAATGCTATCTTTCTCAGCCTTCATTTCCTCCTAGAAGCATTGAGAATTCTAACATCTCTATCATTTATATAGAAATTCCGTCGACAACAACAAAAATAAACAACTTACAAGTTCTAAAATTGCTCTTTCTGCCTCATTTTCAGCGTCCATCTGTTGAAAAACAACATTGCAACTCAATCATTGTAATTCATTGCAAAGGTTATAGAGCATCGAGGGTCAGTGAAAATAAATAAAACTTTGAAACAAGATGACCCATACCTTCTCGTTTTGAGCTAGAGCCAGTTGTTCCAACAAGTTTTGGTTTTCCTGTGTCCACAAGTACAAGAAAAAAAATAACAAATTGTAAAGTAAACTTAACAATTTGTATCGCTTCAAATGTGGACAGCCATTTGTTTTATCTTTTGGCAGGCAGCATTCATTCTTATACGTATAAGCAAGTAAAACACACAACTATTAAAACGAAAAGCCTTACCTTTGACTGGGCCTCCTGATTTTTACTTAATTCATCTAAGGCAAGAGACTTGTTGTTGAACTACAAACAAATGTACGCAGAAATCGCGATGATTGGTGTTCAAGGATAAGAGTCATCATACTTATTTTATGATGATACATGTATATTCATTTATGCGTACTTTGTAATTCATACAAGTTTACTTTTATAACTTACTCTAAGTTTCCATTGTAAAATCTCTTCTCGTAATTGCTGCTCAACTTCAGAAAACTTTAGAAAAGACGTCGTGTAAATTGCATTGACTTAACAATGAAAAACGCATTTAAACTTCACGTTATGCAATAAACTTTCGTGAAATACCTTGCTTTTATATTCGTCTAATTTCTGGGGCAGCTCTTCTGTCGGCGTTTTGACCTACACAAGATTAAAAAAAAATGAGCCAATCAGGAAACTAAACATGAATTACACCATTATATACACTCTTTAAGGCGACATTAAATTGCGTTTTCAACATTGTACGTTAAAAATAAGAAAGCCTAACTATCACATCTTCAGTACTCACCATATCACGTTCGATTTCCAATAGATCTTTTTTGGATTTCAATTTATGCAGTTCATTCATTTCATCCAGATTTTCTATGAAGTCATCAGTTTGACACGATCTTTCAACTATAAAAGTAAATTCTCAAAGTAAATTCTAATGTAAACCATTGCCTGCTTTTTAAAAACCTTTCAACCAAAAGTGAGTCTTTACTTGTCTTTATTGTTTCCGCTGTCTTAAGAGTGGCGGGCTCTGTTGTATCGGCCATCTTTCTACTTTCTAATTCCGACATCGCAGAGCTTTTTTCTTCGGAAATCATGTCGGAAGAGTACGTTTTTTCAAGTGATGTTTCTGATGTCTGCAATTTGAAATTTACACATATGTTTAGTGGTAAAATATGCTACCAAGTACAGTTTTATTCAAACATAGAAACTCAATTGGACAACAAGTATAATTTCTAACTACACTTGAGAAATGTGGATGTTGTCATAACATTACTTGTTTTAAAAATATATAAGGATATTGAACTTGAGGAGTGACATCAAAGTGCGTGTTCACACAATTCCATTTGGTCGGACATGTTGCAGTTTGTCAACAAGCACTTCATGGCAACAAGGCAACAAAAAAGATGCAATACAGTCTCCTGTCGATTTTTTACGTTAGTATTTTTTGAAAAAACAGGACATTGTCAGCAGAGTTAAACTTACCCTTATTTCTACAATTGTTCGCGAGGTTTTCGCAGATGATTTCCATGTACTCAACGCTTGCAATGCATCATCAGATTGTGTGGTTGAGAACGTAGCCGAGCCTCGACTTTCAAGGGGTATGCTATCATCTCTGGTCGACGACGTTGTAATTGAACGCCTTTGAAACTAAAATGAACAACATTCATGAGCACTCAACAAACAACAAAAAAAGTTTAACATCAAATAAATTATTTAATTGATCTCGTAATCTCAATCAACAATTTCAAACGCCCGAAGCATTGCTAGCTGCATATAGTATGTAACATAATTCTGACAAGTAGCTACATATCTTTCATATCTTTCTTTGGTCAACTTTGACTTGTGACTTACAGAAAGTTTTCCTTTTAGTCCAAGCAGTTCTTCTTCGTGTGCATCTTTCAGTTGGTTTAACTCTTTATTCTTCATCGTCTTCAATTCGCTTAATTCTGCTTCATATTTATTTTGAAGATCTAAAAAGGAAAACGATGTTTTCAATTCAATGTAATCCAACAAACCATCAACTTTATCCAAATAAATAGAAAGACAATTACGAGAATAGTTTATAAAAAACCTTTCGTGATCTGTGTAATCCTCTCTTCTTGTTCGTTAGTTTTCCTTTCAGTTTCATCCCTCAAATACTGATTTTCATCTCTCAAATTTCGACACATCTCTACATAATCGTCGTACTTGCTTTCCGCTTGTGAAAGCGACATCTCCGTTTCTTCCATTTGCTGCATATGTAGAGTAAAAAGAATTCAGATACAGGAGAAACCAATTGAATCTTTTCATGTTTTTACATGTTTTTCTATACACTTACTACTTTCAAAGTTTTTAATTGTTCGTCCTTAGCTTGTAAAGCTTTCTTGTAATTCTCACATTCTTTCTCAAAACCCTAAAGAAGCAGTTTTAAAAAATATTTATCATCTAAAGTCCAATACTACTATCGCACGAACCTTCAATAATGCGACAGTTTACAGTAAGAGATAAAAAAAGCAGCTCTCACCTTATTGACGTTAAACTCTGTCTTTATCCTTTAAAAGAACAATGAAAATTACATCCAACACAAGATTTGTTTTTTCACTAGCAGAAACATTTCAATAAAGCAAACATAAACTCAATGTTTTACATACATCTCGAGGATAGTATATAATTTTACTAAAGATAATCACCTGTCGAGTTCCGCCTCTTTCAAGTCAACTGTCTGCGTTAGTGTGGCTAATTTTGTTTTCGTCTCTTCAAAATCTATACGATGACAAAAATAGACGTTTTTTTTTTCATTTTTGAGAAGCAAGAGAATTTCATTGAAAATTATTGCATCGATTTTACACCACGCATTAAATGCACGCGTAGTTGGATTTCTTTGAAATCTCTTCTAAACTGGGACGAACCCAGCAAGATATCGTAATGAAAATTGTGGGGCGGAAGGTCAGATAAACATTTTAGCGACGCGTTAGCTATTGTCATGTTAGCAACAAGTCACCTCTCTTTACCTACATTTAAATGTACTTTAGTGACTTCTATTGTTGCCTGCTCTATTTCTATGCAAGCTTAACACAATACTTGGATTTTAAATACAGCTGAATGTCAAATGAACATGTTACTGACGAGTTACCAACAAGTTACGTGTATCTTTTATCGTTCGATGTGTCTACTTTCCCGTTTAATTATTTGTATTTTTAATGTTTGTTTAGAAAAGGTAAAATCCAACGTTAATTGTGATAAAATAATTATAATCTTTAAAACCAACTACCATCAATGAACAAGATGAAAAATGCAACAGCGTGTTTGACTGTCCGCCTTTAGCTTTTTCAAACTTTAATGTCATTCACATGGAACAAATGAAATATTTATTCCATAGAACATACAAAAAGCGAAAGAAGATCTTTCATAAAATACCTGATTGGACTTCGACGAGTTTTTCAGTGAGGTGCACAACATCTTGTTGAGATTGAAATAACGCTTTCTCCAACTTTCTTTTTCCTCTAAAAATGAAAGAAAACTTAAACACCAAATTAAAATTTTCGCAGCTAATTGATTTTCCACTTCACAAGTTGACTTAAGTAACGCTCAACTTTCTATAAGCCCTCCTGGAAATATTTATAGCGCTGAAAATTATATCTCTAAGCAGTCAATTTTTTCAACGAAAACCACTCAACTACGGTATGCAAAATTCACGCATGGAAATAAAGTGACAGCAAAAACATTACAATAGCTTTACTAGCAGGATATGTGTTTATCGGACATTCAGCTCTGCATGTGCTTAAGACTTGAACTGTGAACTTCGCGAACGTATTTTCAGACAGCTTTTCCTGATGGCGATGGCAGATAAATTTATCATGACGCGACGAACTAGAATATTTAACGATCTCTGCAAACTGTGGTTATTTTTTTAATAACAGTTTACGAGCAAAGTAAAATTTCGGTGATGAAGCCAACTTCACGCTACAAGCTTCTTAATACATCAAGAAAAAAATGAAGGAAGTTCAGGATGGAAAACTTAAGAAAGGTTTAATGTACACACAAAATGTAATTTTCTAGACACGATAAGCAAACAAGATTTTCAAATAGGTACGAGATCAAATCATACAAATGTGTAAAAAATCAAAGCAATTACAAGCCTAGGTATCAGCACATCAAATGTATAGAGTAAAATTTGTTCAAATAATTTCTCAGAAATGTCCAAGAAACACCCACAGAAAGATAACCGTCATCCTTAATCAAATATCAAAGCTTTATTCAAATATTCGGATATACAATAAGCATTGACCAGTCATGACAGAGAACCCTGCACATGCTAAACAAACCTGGTTTGATTGAAACGCGTTCTCTTGCAAATGATAAAAATTCTCGATGTAAGATGCAACCTTTGTTTTTCAAACTAGCGCGTGCTTAAAAAGAACACGGCTAAACGTAATTCAGTTGAAGTATAATTCCCTATGGAACGCTTCACAACACTTAGCAACGGACACCTTATAAGAAGCTGTAAGCCGATATCCTCATTAATTAAAACATTTACGTTAACACCGTAATTGATGTATACATAACAAGCATTGTTTTAATGTGTAGTTTCTATCACCATTCCAAGGAAAGGAAACACTTTACGATGGTCAGAATGAAAAATAAATTACTCTAGTTGTGGGGTTTTCAAGTGACTTCAACACACTTTTTAGATACACGGCGGAATTTCTTGGGTACGCATTTAAAGGAATGTACATTTCCTTAGGATAGTTATGTTAGCAGTAATACCTTGTACCTTCAAAAGCAAAGAAGTCAAATCATTTGAATGAATTGAATCTTATACCATTTTTAACGAAATTTCAGATTTTTTAACACAATTGAAACAGTTTAGAAATCTTTCTTTGTCTCATGCTTGGTGAATCAAAATGAGAATTTTTTGTTTCGCTAAAAAAACATTGGACAAATATTTATTTTGGTTAAAACGACGCTCCGTCAAACCAGTTACCGACAGCAGTCACGGTAGATAAAACACATCATCTTTATAGTAGTTCAAGATTTATATGAAAGCAACAACCAAAAAAGGAAACATATTTCCAACATACTTTTTATGATCTTTTGGATTCACCATTTCAAACACCTTTAACACATCTTTAGAAATATTCGCTAAACGTTCCGTTGTTTTCTCAGCTTTGTCCAAAGCTTCCCTATTGAAGGGTGAAAACTTATTTTATTGGATACTTCATGTATATAGCGTCTTACGGTATCTAATGGTAAATCACCTGACATTGTTTTCTACTTCGTCAAAATCAATTTCTGGAGTGTTCATGATGAAGTCATCATCACTAGCAGAATTTTGCTTGAAAAACTATTTAATGGAGAAAGGATGTTGTTGAAGCCAGAGGAATTAAAATTTACTATGAAAAATTTATAGTCGTGAGATCCAAGTGTATTTTCTAGAAAAATTCTTACCTGTTGAAGTTGTATCAGCAGCTAAAATAAAACAATAAAAACATTGTGATGGTCATATCCTAAAGTAAATGTCCATTTTAGTTGATTTTTCTTGTTTATTGAAGATGAATTAAATCTCACCTTGCTTCTCTCGCTACACATGTCCTCATATCCAACCACAAATATCGTCACTTTTTGTTGATACTGTCAAAACCCAACAAATGATTAAAATGTTGGCCTAAATAGGCAAAACATAATCAAAAGTAATGAACTGTAACTTAATTTGCTCGACTTCTTTGTAGTCCAAATACCTTTTGCTTTGCGATAGGATCAGAAAGGATAACAGTAAGAGTTGCCTTAGAAAAGATCAGCAATAAAATTAATGCTAATTTACAATACATGTTTGTAAATGTAGATCGTCCAGGTTGGTATAGTCCTGAGAAGGACTGTTTTTGTTGTTGTAGACTGACGTTTCGACAACCTTAGCAGTAGTCATCTTCAGAGTCATCTTCAGAGTTTTGACTCCTTCTCAGGACTATACCAACCTGGATGATCTACATTTACAAACATGTAACGATACTCCCGGATTCAAACTATGATTTATGCAACTGAGCAGAATTATGTGTCTGGACTGCATTATTAAACTGGGTGACACTATCATCCCAAATCAATTGGTGTTTGATATTTTACTATCCATTACTTAGTTCATTTACTAAGTTATGGATAGTAAAATATCAAACACCAACATACTATATCATCAAAAAATTGAAGCTCTGCATCCTCCTTTACAAAGGAATTTTTCTTTTCTTCCAAAATTTTTGTCGTAAGCTCTTCCCCAACTTCATAGGCGCTCAGAGTCTAAACACACAATACAATGAGTTCAAACATCATAAAAATTGCACTCATGCTACTCAGCAACAAATTTTTAACTAGATTTGATCAAATGTGATCAAAGCATTAATAATTCAAAGTATTTGTCAGAAGTAAAACTTTGTTACTCACCCAGCAAATACGTTCTCGTATTCTGTGCAATTCTTCTTGTGTCTCGACAGCCTTTCTCAAAGCCTTTTGCTCCGCATTGGCGCGTATTACGGCTAGTGCAGGAGCGTCTCCTCTATCCAGATCACTGTCAGACTTTAGCTGCCTCAGCATTATGATTTAAATGCTCTTGAAGTCTTGAAAGTCAGATAAAGTTTTAATAAACAACGACAGACATTTCGCGTGGCTTACGTTGCCATGTCTGCATTAAACAGAAAATACTGCTCGCTGATTGGCTGATACTGGCACTCAAAAATCCCATCCGTACAAATTCAGGCAAAATTTCATGGACTTCGTATATTAAATATTTAGTGAAAACTGTATTCATTCTTTCCAAATCTAATTTTAAAACCTTAAGTAAGTTTCATGAGACTAGAAAGGAGAAGTTCATGAAGTAAAACAAAAAATGTCGACAAATTAAATTGATGTCAAAGTCAAAAAACAATATGGCGGCGAACAACTCAATCGTAGGGATGCTCCTAGAAGCAACAAATTTCGCTTGTATTAAACACGAACATCAACGTCGAAACAATCCACAGCAGACGCCATACATTAATCATCCCATAGGCGTTGCTTATATTCTCTGGAAAGAAGGTGATGTTACAGACATTGCTGTTTTACAGGTGAAGTCATCAAGAGTTTAGGTTTCTTAAATAACGTTCTTCTCCGCCAATCAAATAACTTCCTGTTGACCAATCATGTGCTTTGTGCAGATTCTTACACAATCGTCAACCATTATTGTACAATCTAACCCAAGAAATAATCAATATTTCACTGATATTCACAGATTTGAATTTTCTTTTTCAATGGTTTCCACCAAACATTTTAATCATTATGTGTCGTTTAAGTTGCGAACAAAATTTTTCAAATCATATATCAACCAATACAATCTCTCAAACATAAGCAATGATCAAACTCGACCAAACAACGAGTGAAAACTACGCTAACTAGCTCACTTAAAACAAATCTTCGTTCTTGATGAAGGCTGCAATATTACACGACACTGTCGAAGATACGGACACAACATTTGAGGAAATTGAAAGAATATTTGGAACTGAAGTGATGAATCTTGTCAAGGAAGTCACCGACGACAAATCTTTACCGAAACAGGAACGAAAACGCCTTCAAGTTGAGCATGCTTCTGCAAGCAGGTAAGAATATGCACAAATTAGCCACAGCAGAAAGCGCAATGTATTGGAAAACCATTTTGATCGTAGGTTGTGTGATGTTGGGCAAAGAAGAAACACAATAGATACAATGAACGCATTAAGATAGAAAAATAAATTGTCTGACTCACATTTCTTGTTTCCTTTCATAACGAAAGGACTTAAATAGTCCACACCGCACACAAAGCTCACTACGCTCGATATAAAATCATCTCGCATTAATAAAGAAAATCGAATGTTTACTAAGGTTTTATCTAATGATGACATGTAGATAGAAATGAACGAAGACTTTTCAAGTTAGATATACCGTCGATTCGTCGTGTTTTTAGTTCAAAAGCAAAGTTAGTGAAGCTGGCAGATAAATTGTACAATCTCAGAGATCTAGAGAAAGCGACGCCAATAGAATGGACAGAACAGCGAGTCCAAGAATATTTTCATTGGTCAAGAAGAGTCTTTCAAGGTTTAAAGGGAACCAATCAAAAATTAGACCAGGAACTAGAGCGTATACTAAATAGACATTCAGCTTGAGAGTGGAAATGTTCGCAGGTCTAGTTAAAAAAAAAAGTGAAATTCCTGTCCTATTTTTAACACATTAGTGTCTGATTTACAAATAACGAAAATGTTAAAAGCATTAATGCGAAATTAAAATTTAAAAGGCGTGTTTAAAACGTAAAAATACCTCCGTAGAAATACATCCATGAATTCCCTGTTTAATTTACTTCAATCGACATTTATATTAAAAGAGGATATCCAAATTAATTTCAGCATTGTGTACATCACCAAATGGTATGTTTCCGTCATTTTTAACAAAACGCATTTTCAAGCTTGATGTGCTCTTACTTACTGCTCCGTCATTTTGCCACCAGCTCTACGGGCTTCTACTTTGGCAATAAACTCTGCCTGGATTGCTGATGATTCTGTTTGTGCAACTGTATTAGCAAATTGAGGAGTGGAAAACGCTATTATTCCTCCAGTAAAATCTTTGTTGCTACTTGGATCCTTGATGATAATTTTCGATCCTTTGAGTCTTGCATTGTTGGTAGTAGAGGAAATTCCTGTATTTTGGGCAGGTTGTTGTTGTGGTTGCTGTGGTTGTATGGGTTGGTTTGATTGCACATGGGGGTAATACATTGGTGGCATTCCAGTACAAAATGGTGGCTGAGTTTGTGAAATGTTTTTTGGCTGAAATGAAGCAGTGCTTACAGGTAGCGGATATGGTTGTGGAATATTTTGAATAAAACTTGGTCGCATTATCTGCCATATTGTTCTTACAAATAAATTAATACACGACATGTGAAGCTACAAGAATAAATGTTTTAGTGCTTGTTAGAAATGTTCATCAAATTATTAAAAACATTAGATACCTATTTACACATAAATCCTTACCTGTAGAACTTGATATTGATGTGGCATTGTATATTCTTGCATCATCATTGGTCTTGTGGAGAGGAGGAATACATTGTCCTACCTGGTCTTAATGGTCGTTGTGATATTGCTATAGAAGGGGCTGTCATGTAGTGCTGATTACGCTGTCCTGGAATCACCACTGTAGGCTACATTTTTAAAAAAAAACTAAACGTTCGAACAAGTCAACAGCATAGTAAATAACGAAGTAATTTTATGCTGTGTCGATAATCATGCAGACATAATAATGCCGTGAAATAAACAAATAACTGAACAATACCATCGTCATAATTCTTAGTTTATTTTGGTCAATAGGCTGCGACTTTTCGCATTTTCTTGTAGTAATCCAGCCATCGTTTGCGACTGCTTTAAGACTATCCCGTCCACCTGATAATTATTACAAATCAAAGACAGATTTAATACAAAGTAGGCGTAATTACCTTGGTACGGAAAAACGCCTAAACATAAACGAAAGTACCCTTTTTCCACTCAGAGTAACGCTCTTCTTTTCGAGGTACCCATTTATTTTCTCGAAGATCAACGACATCACGAAGCATGAAAATCACACGCGATGACACTTTCTTGGCACTAATAATTTTGTTGATCTTATCGAAATATTGCACTATTCTCGGCTGAAAATAAAATATGAGGAGATAATGAAGAAAATATTCTTTAGGAATGTCGTATACTTCAGACCATTCATCCGCCCTCTTTGGCATAATTATTCACGCCAAAGTTATATTAGAATTCATCCTTTGTAAAAATGTGTCTCTAAAAGTAGAAATGACCACGATACTCCATGCAAGATATGATAATTCTCTTTGATAGTTGGCGAAGTTGAAATTTCCTCATTTATTAAATAGAGAGAACATGTAACCACTATTTACCTTAGCTTTTTCTGAATCAAGATCTTTACCAATGGTAAACAGCAGCTTGCACATACTTTCTAAGCTTTCCTCGTCACCAGCTCGAAGCAACTTGAAAATACAGTCGTGCATGATGTTTTCTGTCAGCAACTGAAAATAAACAAGATAAAGAGTTTCTGAGTAACATCTTCATATTATCAAATCTAATTTCTAAGCCAATAAACGTATGTTGATTTAGATTGGTAATTTCGAAAGGACACTGGCAATCGTCATCTTCTCTTCAAGAATGAGCATGATCTTTGTTTAGCTTAATTTCCGTTTGTTTTTTTAAGGCGGATTCATTTACAATTTCAAACAAAAAAATACATGTATAAACACACAGGCGTGATCTTTCAAAATAATAAGCCACTCTGCATACTTTACTATTACCATGGCGTGAAACACAATAGTATACACAGAATCCAATGAAAAGTTTACAAACCTTAAGTTTAAATAATTCCCCTATGAATTTGATGTTTCCTAACATTCGCCTCTTATTTTTGGCCAAATCTTCGTCTAGCTCTTCTTTCTTTGCTTTTTGTTCTTCCTCCTTATTAATCATAGAAATTTTAATCATAAAATATATCTGGATGCTTCACGCAAGGCTGGTATAAACTAATCAATTTAATTCATCAAATTCATTACAGTTAACCTATACAGTATTTACCGACAATCCTTCCAATTGCTCAAGTTTCTGTTTTTCTAACAAAGCTTCATCTTCCTTTTCTTTCTCGAATTCTTTCTGACATCGATTCAACAACAACTTTCGAAAGGACACAACATTACCATCAGCATCATTTATCTTTAACTAAAACACAAAAAACTGGTATGAATAAAAAATATTGATGATTGATGATGAATGTATCGACGATACAATAGTCGACGACAAATATGACAATGGATTTGAAAGACTTACAGTAAACAAACATCGACATATGTTAGCGTATGCAACGCTAAAAACTGGTTCACCGATCGCCTAAAAACATATGCATTATTTAAGTACAAACATCTTTAATAAAGCCAAAAATGTTGCTGTTAGTACCTTTTCAAATATTCTATCAATGACGCCTTCAAGACGTTCACAGGAGTCAATATTCAAAGCCATCATCTTTTCCACTAACGTCTTGAACTTCTGAGGAGTCAGTTTGTTTAAAATCGCCATAACATTATGATACAATTCCTAGTCATAAAAAATGCAATAAATTTCATTTGATCCCACTATAAGCTGTCCACATTTCATTTAGTTGAATACAACGTGTTAAACTACATACAATTTTTAATTTGAATTTTAAAATGAATGTTAAATTTCAACTTCTACAGGACATGAATTTTTTATTCATTTAATGTAAAACAATCATTTTGATGAAACTGCAAATTCAAAACAACTCGAGAAAATAAATTTGAAAAAAACTTGCATACTGCTGTAGTTTTTTCTTCCTCAGATAATCCCTTTTCTCTCTCTTTAGGTCGCAACCATTTGTTTTCGCTTTTGTTTAGCTGTGAAATGTATTGTCATCTTTTAAATGAGATTGTAATGAATTTGTGTAAAATCAAAAATGAAGTAGTACTTACAGGTAACGGACAAAATTTTGTAATATTTTGTATTAAACCAAGTGTCTGCAGAGAAAATGAATGCTCTGTACTGCCCTGTTGTCTTAACATTTGTTGTGCCGTGGTCCAAGAGCTTTTTCGAACATCAGCACCATTTTCCTTCTTTGTATTTCGTATTATAGACATATAGTCAGCTGAATTTTCTTCGATTTGCATTGGAGAATTCTTTACTTCCTGATCACAAAGAGTTTTATCATAGTCAATAATTTCTACATATGTCTTACTCTTCTCTCCTTGGCTGAGTTTTTCTTCGTTAGTGTCTTCACTTTTCTCGCCATCCATTTTGCCACCAGCTCTACAGGCTTCTACTTCGGCAGCAAACTCTGCCTTGATTGCTGATGATTCTGTTTTTGCAACTGTATTAGCCAATGGAGGAGTGGAAAACGCTATTCTTATTCCTCCAGTAAAATCTTTGTTGCTACTTGGATCCTTGATGATAATTTTCGATCTTTTGAGTCTTGCATTGATGGTATTTGTGGAAATTCCTGTATTTGCTGCAGGTTGTTGTTGTGGTTGCTGTGGTTGTATGGGTTGGTTTGATTGCCCATGGGAGTAATACATAGGTGGCATTCCAGTATAAAATGGTGGCTGAGTTTGTGAAATGTTTTTGGCTGTAACGAAGCAGTGCTTACAGGTAGCGGATAAGGTTGTGCAATATTTTGAATAAAACCTGGTCGCATCATTTGACCATATTGTTCCTACAAATTGATCAATAACACAACAAATAAAAGTGTCAAGAAAAGTGTTTTTATTGCTGGTTATAAAAGGTAAAACTAGAAAACAAAAATTTAGTTTTGTTAAAAAAACTTAATGTACTTTTGAAGCAAGTTGTTAAAAAACTATTCTTTGAAAAGATACGAGAAAGTTTTACTTGAGTTTTCAAAGGCAAATCGGAAGGTAAGACACCAGATCTGAAATGAAATAAAAAAGAATATAGTTAAATGAACAGAAAATGTAACATCGTCAAAAAACTGCAACATGTTTCTTACATTCAAAAATTATCTAAAACTGCAACAACTTTCGTGTTCAATGTGGCTAAATGTTTAGTTGCGTGCGCTCTGTACAACCACTGTATGTTATAAATAAAAATATCATTCAAAACAAATGTTTTCAAAAAGCTGTACCTCAGCCAGCCACCACCACTGCTCCCCGTTCTACTCTGGGGTGGTTGTGGAACGTCCAGTATGACATCAATATCCGGCAGGTTCGCTGGTTTTTCCATACAAACTTGCATGTATCGACATTGTAAGAGAAAATCTCGTTCGTACTTTCTCCTTTTCCGTTCAACAAGAAGTCCTGATTCTGTCACTAAAAAAAATTTGTCATACATAACTTACGAATTGCATAACAAATTTGCAAAACTTAACATACATTCATGGTAAGTTATGCATCTCACTTTTTTTAATCTCACTTCCAACTTTAATATCTTCTCCTATTGTTTCCTCTTTATCTTTCCAAGTCAGATCTTCATCTGAAGGTTCCTCAATTCCAATAGGTGGTGGGGAAACAAATATGATGTCTTCAACAATGGGCTGAAATTAGTCACAAATTCCATCACAACAAGCATTTGATAAATTGCTAAAATGATTTAAAATTTCTAGTGCAACAGCACAAACGCTGTATGACTTATTTTGCAGGTTGAGAAAAAAGTATTTCCAAGACATAGTTTTTTCTAAAAAATATTACGTAAATTTGGCCAAGATATCCTGTAAAACACCATAAACAATACATTACAGACTACAAACTTTCTTACCTCTGGTGATGACTTCTTGTTGGTGTATGCATCAATGAAGTTTCCTCCAGTCTCACTTTTCAATTCAGACTTTTTTCCATCAACATTCATTTTTATTTCTTCAACAACTGCCATACGTTTTGGCAAATCATCCTTTTGTTTACTCATTTTTTCCATGTTTCTCACTATGGTGTCGTTGCTTTTATCAGAATTATCTGTTGCAGAAAAGTGAGGTGTCACTGTGCTGTCTGGGGTATTTTCAAGGTTTTCCGATGTTTCAGTATCAGAATTTGTGCTGCTTTTACATGGAGTAATCATACTTTTACAACGAATTCCTTGGTCATTACTAAGAGTTAGCTTTCCATCATAAAATATTGATGTATCACCGCGCTGTTTTGATGATTTCCTTCTTAGTGGATCTGTGAAAACAAAGTGAATATTGATAACATTTTTTGGAATTGTTTGTTTTGATAAGTTGCTTTGATTCTGTAACCAAAACAAAGTTATGTCTTTCAATCTTATTTTCTACTTTGATTTCATCACCAATCATTTTCCTTTCACCTGAGGAATTCTCGTTTTCAACTCCTGCTGTTTCAAATGGTTCCACTTTCTTATTAACCACAATCTGAAATACACCACAACTGGCATCAATACAGTGTAGAAGAATGTTTCATGGTAAATTAAAGTCTCTACTCGAAAGAAAATAAATGCAATCCAGGGTCCGGTTGCACGACGCCTGGACAGCTTTATGTATTGGATAGAAAAAATTTTCAAACTTGTAAAAAATATGTTTATATTTTTCTTACGACAAGGAAATTTTGCAATCTTCGAAAAACTATTTTAATTCAGTGATTGTTCAGTTCAAATCTTATATTATTTGCTTTTCAAAGGTTTTATAAAAGTTTGAAAATTTTTGCTATCCAATGGATAACGCTATCCTGGCTTCGTGCAACCGGCCCCAGAGAGACATCACACGATTTTCAATTAAATATTACAACAGCAGCCCTCTTTATATGTAATACCTATTAATCAAATCTCAATACTTACAATGGGTATCTTCTTGAATCTCTCTTCCTCCTGCAAAGGTAAAGTACTTTCAACTTAAAATTTACACAAATTTTTTCAAACAGTTATTATGTATATACAAGAGCAAAACTGTTCAAATGTCATTCACTTGAAATATATGTTCTGTGATTTCAACTGCTTCAGAATGAAATTTTTGGAAAGTTGAGAATGTTGGACTTTGAAATTGTCATAGTCTTGCTCTACACAGATATCAAAGTAAGTTCACAAACAAATACATATGATAATCAAAAATGAAGTTTGGCAATTCCAACACGTATCCTAAAATAGTTTAGTCAAAAAAATAACCAAGTGCAATTTCCCTTAACTGAAAGAAATATGAAAAGATTGAATTACTTACTAGCTGTAAAAAAGCTTTTTTTGCATCCTTCTCAATCTTGTCCTATTTGCAATTAATTAAATTTACACTACATCTAAGAAAATATCTTGATTGCATACAAATTTCAATGCAAAATAAATTATAAACAAAATCACCTTCTGCCTTTGTAAAATGAACAGCCTTTCCTGTAGGTCTTCCTTTTCCTATTTTTGGCAGAAAAATAAAGCAATGTAAGCCACTGCTTCCAACCATTTACTTCACAAGACCAATGATAACCTTTGATTGTTTCTTGAAGGAGAGCTTCAGTTCATTGAAGGCTTTGACTTTATAGTTGAACTGTGTAAAATATTTATATTTGAAATCATGTAGCCACAATGATGCAGACTCAAGTATGTTCATCTTTATCCATATAATATATTTCTTACTTACTTTAAACTTCCACAACACAACTTCTTCTTGCAAATGGCTAACAACTTCACTATACTAAAACAAAATTGAGAAGTTCAAATGACAAAAATGATGATTAAGACTCTACCATATGATCTACATATTAGTACTTTTACTAAATATATACCTTGCTCGTGTATTCTTTGAGTTTAAGTGGCAGCTCATCTTTCAATGTTTTCACCTGGGAAAATATGTTAAATGATAAAAGTGTCAAGAGAGACAAATATGAAAAAGTGGAATTTAATAATTGGAGAGAAAGGGATTTATTTTTATATTATGTTAACTATCTGTAAAAACTCTCAAACAAAAGGCAAATTTCTTTTCAGAAAATCCAACTGATACAAAAACATACCATTTCTCTCTCCATTTGCAAGAGATTGTCATGACTAACTGTCATTTCTGAAAAGTTGTTCAATGCAACTACATCATTGTCAGAGGGAGTAAATATTTCTTGTTTTTCAAGGAAGCTTGTGTCTATTACTTGGGAAGGATAATCTGAAAAGATGATGAAGAAATAATACCATCCCATATTATCGAATATTGACTTTAGGGTGCGTAAGGGCATTGTTAATAATTTTAAATCCAAATGTTCAACTTCACCACTCTCTCGTTAAACTTATGTTGTGTACTCAATTGGCACAATAAATACTGAAAGCAAAATGGCATTTATATTAAAGAAAAGTTAAAAGGGTATTGATATGACAGTCTGATTCACTTAATAATACACTTCCTTACATACATTTCAAAACACATATTTATCCATCAAAACTCGTTGTGCAGTTATTACATTAACCTATTCTATGATTTTTTTCAAGAAAACGAAAGTAAGATTAAATTATAAGTGAAACTAATTTGAAAAACAAAAGTTTTTTATACCTTCCTGCGTCATCTCTGCCATCTTCTTCCGTGTTAGTTTCACTTTCTGCCATTCCACAAATACCAAATGGTAATAATCCAAAGTATTTTAAACTTTGCGAAAATTTCATATTACACTTAAGTTTTACAATAATAAAGAATATATATCATTAACGGTTCAGTAACATACCAAACTTGTAAACATGATATAAAATTTTGAAATTACCGAGAAACAAATTACGAAATGAATATTATTCCTTTGTAATCAGTGTTTCTAAATAAGCTGCTGACCGCTGCACAATAATACCTCGGGCTTTGAATTGTAAAAATTTGACGATGCCGGTTACTTTCTTTCAATGCTTCAACCAAAAATATCAGGCGGAAAAACGAATTCTAACGATAAAATTTCTTGAATTATTAAATAGCTTCATTAAAATCATTTTGCAGAGCTTATTACTTGCAATCAGAAACTAAATCAACATTCGAAATTAGTTGAATCTCTCACAAGGTAAACTCTCATCTTAACGGAGGAGTAGAGGAAGATGAGAAATCTTACCTTCTAAAAGTCAACTAACACTATTTCTATTTTCTTCACAGTTGACAACATCATCCAAATTACATAGCTAATGAAATAACTAGAACATGTACGAAATCGATTATTCCAGTGCTTAGAATGAGCTTTTCATTTTTTCTAAGTAATTTTCCCACGGTTGAGCAAAACTGTGGACAAATAAGCAGCTTACGGAGGAGAACACACCAATAGTGACGTTAAATGCTAAAAATATTCATCTTCCAGAGTAAAGAATCCAATCAATGCTTTTTGATGTTTATTATCAATTGATTCTTCTCCATTATACATATACATCTCGTTTTCAAAATAAGTGAAAGAGACGAACATTTGACCAAAATAATTTCTTATAAATAAGATAAGTCATACGGGCATGAATAATATGCCCAGGCACACACTGCAGTTTTCAAACAAATACAACATATTATGTCCACATAATTGTTCATCTTTCATTACGAGTTAACAAAAAGCGCGTTCCGTAATCAGACAATTTAAGTTTTTGTAAGTATTCAATGGAAGACAAAATAGTCATATTTTTGTTCATACTTTATCTCGCTGTTCAGTTCTCGCCGCCTTCAACAGCAGCTGATTGCAACCATTCAAAAAAAGATGTTGCCTGACGTCGAAACAATCCACAGCAGACGCCATACATTAGTCATCCCATTGGCGTTGCTTATATACTCTGGAAAGAAGGTGATGTTACAGACATTGCTGTTTTACAGGTGAAGTCATCTAGAGTTTAAGTTTCTTCAATAACGTTCTCCGCCAATCAAATAACTTCCTGTTGACCAATCATGTGCTTTGTGCTGATTCTAACACAATCGTTAACCATTATTATTGTACAATCTAACCCAAGAAATAATTCATATTTCACTGATATTCACTGATTTGAATTTTCTTTTTGAATGTTTTCCACCAAACATTTTAATCATTATGTGTCGTTTAAGTTGCGAACAAAATTTTTCAAATCATATATCAACCAATACAATCTCTCAAACATAAGCAATGATCAAACTCGAACCAAACAACGAGTGAAAACTACGCTAACTAGCTCACATAAAACAAATCTTCGTTCTTGATGAAGGCTGCAATATTACACGACACTGTCGAAGATACGGACACAACATTTGAGGAAATTGAAAGAATATTTGGAACTGAAGTGATGAATCTTGTCAAGGAAGTCACCGACGACAAATCTTTACCGAAACAGGAACGAAAACGCCTTCAAGTTGAGCATGCTTCTGCAAGCAGGTAAGACTATGCACAAATTAGCCACAGCAGAAAGCACAATGTATTGGAAAACCATTTTGATCGTAGGTTGTGTGATGTTGGGCAAAGAAGAAACACAATAGATACAATGAACGCATTAAGATAGAAAAATAAATTGTCTGACTCACATTTCTTGTTTCCTTTCATAACGAAAGGACTTAAATAGTCCACACCGCACACAAAGCTCACTACGCTCGATATAAAATCATCACGCATTAATAAAGAAAATCGAATGTTTACTAAGGTTTTATCTAATGATGACATGTAGATAGAAATGAACGAAGACTTTTCAAGTTAGATATATCGTCGATTCGTCGTGTTTTTAGTTCAAAAGCAAAGTTAGTGAAGCTGGCAGATAAATTGCACAATCTCAGAGATCTAGAGAAAGCGACGCCAATAGAATGGACAGAACAGCGAGTCCAAGAATATTTTCATTGGTCAAGAAGAGTCTTTCAAGGTTTAAAGGGAACCAATCAAAAATTAGACCAGGAACTAGAACATATACTAAGTAGACATTCAGCTTGAGAGTACTCTGAGTAACATCTTTAAATTGTCAAATCAAATTTCTAAGCCAATAAACGAATGTTGATTTAGATTGGTGATTTCGAAAGGACACTGGCAACCGTCATCTTCTCTTCAAGAATGAGCATGATCTTTGTTTAGCTTAATTTCCGTTTATTATTTTTAAGGCGGATTCATTTACAATCTCAAACAAAAAAATATACATGTATAAACACACAGGCGTGATCTTTCAAAATAATAAGCCACTCTGCATACTTTACTATTACCATAGCGTGAAACACAATAGTATACACAGAATCCAATGAAAAGTTTACAAACCTTAAGTTTAAATACTTCCCCTATGAATTTTATGTTTCCCAACATTCGCCTTCTATTTTTGGCCAAAACTTCCTCTTGCTGTCCTTTCTTTCCCTTTTGTTCTTCCTCCTTATTAATCATAGAAATTTTAATCATAAAATATATCTGGATGCTTCACGCAAGGCTGGTATAAACTAATCAATTTAATTCATCAAATTCATTACAGTTAACCTATACAGTATAACATCAATATCGGGCAGGTTCGCTGGTTTTTCCTTACAAGTTTGCATGTATCGACATTGTAAGAGAAAATCTCGTTCGTACTTATTCCTTTTTTCCGTTTCACAAGAAATCTTGATTCTGTCACTAAAAAAAAAATTGTCTTACATAACTTATGAATTGCATAACAAATTTGCAAAACATACCATACATTCATGGTAAGCTATGCATCTCACCGTTTTCAATCTCACTTTCAACTTTAATATCTTCTCCTATTGTTTCCTCTTTATCTTTCCAAGTCAGATCTTCATCTGAAGGTTCCTCAATAGGTGCTGGGCAATCAAATATGATGTCTTCAACAATGGGCTGAAATTAGTCACAAATTCCATCACGACAAGCATTTGATACATTGCTAAAATGATTTAAAATTTCTAATGCAACAGCACAAACGCTGTATGACTTATTTTGCAGGTTGAGAAAATAGTATTTCCAAGACATAGTTTTTTTCTAAAAAATATTACGTAAATTTGGCCAAGATATCCTGTAAAACGCCATAAACAATACATTACAGATCATGAACTTTCTTACCTCTGGTGGTGACTTCTTGTTGGTGTATGCATCAATGAAGTTTCCTCCAGTCTCACTTTTCAATTCAGACTTTTTTCCATCAACATTCATTTTTATTTCTTCGACAACTGCCATAGGTTTCGGCAAATCATCCTTTTGTTTGCTTATTTTTTCCATGTTTCTCACTATGGTGTCGTTGCTTTTATCAGAATTATCTGTTGCAGAAAAGTGAGGTGTCACTGTGCTGTCAAGAGTATTTTCAAGGTTCCCTGATGTTTCAGTATCAGAATTTGTGCTGCTTTTACATGGAGTAGTAATACTTCTACAACGAATTCCTTGGTCATTACTAAGAGTTATCCTTCCAACATCAATGTGTCTCTCTTCTTCCTGTAAAGGTAAAATACTTCAAACTTAAAATTTACACAAATTTTTTCAAACAGTTATGTATACGCAAGAGCAAAACTGTTCAAATGTCATTCACTTGAAATATATGTTCTGTGATTCCAATCGCTTCAGAATAAAAATTTTGGAAAGTTGAGAATGTTGGACTTTGAAATTGTCATTGTCTTGCACTACACAGACAACAAAGTAAGTTCATTTTTAATATGAACATAATAGCCCAACATAATACTTTTAAAAAAGTCATCACAATAATAAAATAGAGAAGGATTTATTAATTACGTTTCGTCTTTAACTTAAGACATCTTAAGATTAATGAGTTAATATATAAACACAAGGTTTTAAATACAAGCATATAATATGGGGTGTTAAATTACATGTGAGAGGAGTAGGAAGTTTAGATGACGGAATTAAGTGAGAATGGCAGTATATTAAAGAAGGTGAAGGAGGATTGAGTTGCCTTGGGTGTTAAGAGAGGGTGAAGGAGGATTGAGTTGCGTGGGTCAAACCACGCGTCATTTACACACCAGAATATCAGAACACTTGGGAATCTCTCCCTTAACAGGGAAGCCTTCCTTATGTCCACCACCATCTGCAGTTCTTTCTCATATAAGAAATACATCTCACCCTGCCGATTTTAATGATTTCTCAATTCTCTCTTCCTCCTCCGACAATTATGACCTTATGATTCATGAAAGCTTTCTTATATCCAAACTTAAACCCTCTCTTAACACCCAAGGCAACTCAATCCCCCTTCACCTTCTTTAATATACCGCCATTCTCACTTAATTCCGTCATCTAAACTTCCTACTCCTCTCACATGTAATTTAACACCCCATATTATATGCTTGTATTTAAAACCTTGTGTTTATATATTAACTCATTAATCTTAAGATGTCTTAAGTTAAAGACGAAACGTAATTAATAAATCCTTCTCTATTTTATTATTGTGATGGCTTTTTTAAAAGTATTATGTTGGGCTATTATGTTCATATTGAAAATTCGCTTTCCGCCTGGCAAATCTCTGGCCACGATTTTAAAGTAAGTTCACAAACAAATACATATGATAATCAAAAATGAAGTTTGAGAATTCCAAGATGCATCATAAAATAGTTTAGTCAAAAAAATAACTAAGTGAAATTTCCCCCTGGCATACACCTTAACTGAAAGAAATATGAAAAGATTGAACCACTTACTAGCTGTAAAAAAGCTTTTTTTGCATCCTTCTCAATCTTGTTCTACTTGCAATTAATTAAATTTAAAGAAAATATCTTGATTGCATACAAATTTCAATGCAAGATAAATTATCAACAAAATCACCTTCTGCCTTTGTAAAATGAACAGCCTTTCCTGTAGGTCTTCCTTTTCCTATTTTTGACAGAAAAATAAAGTAATATAAACCACTGCTTCCAACCATTTACTTCACAAGACCAATGATAACCTTTGATTGTTTCTCGAAGGAGAGCTTCAGTTCATCGAAGGCTTTGACTTTCTGGTTGAACTGTGTACAGTATTTATATTTGAAATCATGTAGCCACAATGATGCAGACTCAGATATGTTCATCTTAATCCACATATAATATATTTCTTACGTACTTTAAACTTCCACAACACAACTTCTTCTTGCAAATGGCTAACAACTTCAGTATACTTAAACAAAATTGAGAAGTTCAAATGACAAAAATGTAGATTAACACTCCAACATATGATCCACATATTAGTACTTTTACCAAATATATACCTTGCTTGTATATTCTTTGAGTTTAAGTGGCAGCTCCTCTTTCAATGTTTTCATCTGGAAAATATGTTAAATGGATATAAGTGTCAAGAGAGACAAATATGAAAAAGTGGAATTTAATAATTGGAAAGAAAGGGATTTATTTTTATATTATGTTAACTATCTGTAAAAACTCTCAAACAAAAGGCAAATTTCTTTTCAGAAAATCCTATTAATACAAAAACATACCATTTCTCTCTCCATTTGCAAGAGATTGTCATGACTAACTGTTATTTCTGAAAAGTTGCTCAATGCAACTACATCATTGTCTTGTTCTTCAAAAAAGCTTGTGTCTATTACTTGGGAAAAATAATCTGAAAAGATGATGAAGAAATAATACCATCCCACATTATTCAAGATTTACTTTGACTTTAGGGTGCGTAAGGGCATTGTTAATAATTATAAATCCAAATGTTCAACTTCACCACTCTCTCGTCAAACTTATGTTGTGTACTCAATTGGCACAATAAATACTGAAAGCAGAATGGCATTTGTATTGAAGAAAAGTTAAAAGGGTAATGATATGACAGTTAGTCTGATTCACTTAATAATACACTTCCTTACGCATGTTTCAAAACACATATTTATCCATCAAAACTCGTTGTGCAGTTATTACATTAACCTATTCTATGATTTTTTCAAGAACACGAAAGTAAGATTAAATTATAAGTGAAACTAATTTGAGAAACAAAAGTTTTATACCTTCCTGCGTCATCTCTGCCATCTTCTTCCGTGTTACTTGCACTTTCTGCCATTCCACAAATACCAAATGGTAATAATCCAAAGTATTTTAAACTTTGCGAAAATTTCATATTACACTTCAACGTTTTACAATACAATAATAAAGAATATATATCATTAACGGTTCAGTAACATACCAAACTTGTAAACATGATAAGAAATTTTGAAATTACCGAGAAACAAATTACGAAATGAAAATTATTCCTTTGTAATCAGTGTTTCTAAATAAGCTGCTGACCGCTGCACAATAATACCTCGGGCTTTGAATTGTAAAAATTTGACGATGACGATTCCTTTCTCTCAATGCTTCAACCAAAAATATCAGGCGGAAAAACGAATTCTAACGATAAAATATCTTGAATTATTGAATGGCTTCATTAAAATCACTTTGCAGAGCTTAATATTTGCAATCAGAAACTAAATCAACATTCAAAATCAGTTGAATCTCTCACAAGGTAACCTCTCATCTTAACTGAGGAGTAGAGGAAGATGAGAAATCTTACCTTCTAAAAGTCAACTAACACTATTTCTATTTTCTTCACAGTTGACAACATTATCCAAATTACATAGCTATTGAAATAACTAGAACATGCACGAAATGGGTTATTCCAGTGCTTAGAATGAGCTTTTCATTTTTTCTAAGTAATTTTCCCACGGTTGAGCAAAACTGTGGACAAATAAGCAGCTTACGGAGGAGAACACACCAACAATGACGTTAAATGCTAAAAATATTCATCTTCCAGAGTAAAGAATCCAATCAATGCTTTTTAATATTTATTATCAATTGATTCTTCTCCATTATACATGTACATCTCGTTTTCAAATTAAGTGAAAGAGACGAACATTTGACCAAAATAATTTCTTATAAATAAGATAAGTCATACGGGCATGAATAATATGCCCAGGCACACACTGCAGTTTTCAAACAAATACAACATATTATGTCCACACAATTGTTCATTTTTCATTACGAGTTAACAAAAAGCGCGTTCCGTAATCAGACAATTTAAGTTTTAGTAAGTATTAAATGGACGACAAAATAGTCATATTTTTGTTCATGCTTTATCTCGCTGTTCAGTTCTCGCCGCCTTCAACAGCAGCTGATTGCAACCATTCAAAAAAAGATATTGCCTGACGACGAAACAATCCACAGCAGACGCCATACATTAATCATCCCATAGGCGTTGCTTATATACTCTGGAAAGAAGGTGATGTTACAGACATTGTTGTTTTACAGGTGAAGTCATCAAGAGTTTAAGTTTCTTCAATAACGTTCTCCGCCAATCAAATAACTTCCTGTTGACCAATCATGTGCTTTGTGCTGATTCTAACACAATCGTTAACCATTATTATTGTACAATCTAACCCAAGAAATAATTCATATTTCACTGATATTCACTGATTTGAATTTTCTTTTTGAATGTTTTCCACCAAACATTTTAATCATTATGTGTCGTTTAAGTTGCGAACAAAATTTTTCAAATCATATATCAACCAATACAATCTCTCAAACATAAGCAATGATCAAACTCGAACCAAACAACGAGTGAAAACTACGCTAACTAGCTCACTTAAAACAAATCTTCGTTCTTGATGAAGGCTGCAATATTACACGACACTGTCGAAGATACGGACACAACATTTGAGGAAATTGAAAGAATATTTGGAACTGAAGTGATGAATCTTGTCAAGGAAGTCACCGACGACAAATCGTTACCGAAACAGGAACGAAAACGCCTTCAAGTTGAGCATGCTTCTGCAAGCAGGTAAGAATATGCACAAATTAGCCACAGCAGAAAGCACAATGTATTGGAAAACCATTTTGATCGTAGGTTGTGTGATGATTCATGTTTGGCAAAGAAGAAACACAATAGATACAATGAACGCATTAAGATAGAAAAATAAATTGTCTGACTCACATTTCTTGTTTCCTTTCATAACGAAAGGACTTAAATAGTCCACACCGCACACAAAGCTCACTACGCTCGATATAAAATCATCTCGCATTAATATAGAAAATCGAATGTTTACTAAGGTTTTCTCTAATGATGACACGTAGATAGAAATGAACGAAGACTTTTCAAGTTTTATGTATCGTCGATTCGTCGTGTTTTTAGTTCAAAAGCAAAGTTAGTGAAGCTGGCAGATAAATTGTACAATCTCAGAGATCTAGAGAAAGCGACGCCAATAGAATGGACAGAACAGCGAGTCCAAGAATATTTTCATTGGTCAAGAAGAGTCTTTCAAGGTTTAAAGGGAACCAATCAAAAATTAGACCAGGAACTAGAGCGTATACTAAATAGACATTCAGCTTGAGAGTGGAAATGTTCGCAGGTCTAGTTAAAAAAAGTGAAATTCCTGTCCTATTTTTAACACATTAGTGTCTGATTTACAAATAACGAAAATGTTAAAAGCATTAATGCGTAATTAAAATTTAAAAGGCGTGTTTAAAACGTAAAAATATCTCCGTAGAAATACATCCATGAATTCCCTGTTTAATTTACTTCAATCGACATTTATATTAAAAGAGGATATCCAAATTAATTTCAGCATTGTGTACATCACCAAATGGTATGTTTCCGTCATTTTTAACAAAAACGCATTTTCAAGCTTGATGTGCTCTTACTTACTGCTCCGTCATTTTGCCACCAGCTCTACGAGCTTCTACTTTTTCTACTTTGGCAGCAAACTCTGCCTGGATAATGGAAACTGTATTATATTTGTTGCTGTTTGGATCCTTAATGACGATCTTCGAACGTCTTTTGGATCTTGCCTTTTTGGTATTTGTGGAAATTCCTGTATTTGGTGCAGGTCGTTGTTGTGGCTGCTGTGGCTGAGTTTGTGAAATGTATTGCTGCGGAAATGAAGCAGTGCTTACAGGAAGCGGATAAGGTTGTGGAATATTTTGTATGAAACCTGGTCGCATTATCTGCCCATATGGTTCCTACAAATTGATCAATACACAACATGTGAAGCTACAAGAATATATGTTTGAGTGCTTGTTAGAAATGGTCATCAAATTATTAAAAACATTAGATACCTATTTACACATGAATCTTTACCTGTAGAACTTGATATTGACGTGGCATTGCACATTCTTGCATCATTAGTGGTTTTGGTGGGGAGGAGGAATACATTGTCCTGCCTGGTCTTAATGGTCGTTGTGATATTGTTATAGAAGGGGCTGTCATGTAGTGCTGATTACGCTGTCCAGGGATCATCACTGCAGCCTACATTTTTAAAAAAAACTAAACGTTCGAACAAGTCAACAACATAGTCAATAACGAAGTAATTTTATGCTGTGTCGATAATCATGCAGACATAATAACGCCGTTAAATAAACAAATAACTGAACAATACCTTCGTCATATTTCTTAGTTTATTTTGGTCAATAGGCTGCGACTTTTCGCAATTTCTTGTAGTAATCCAGCCATCGTTTGCGACTGCTATAGGACTATCAAGTCCACCTGATAATTTTTACAAATAAAAGACAGATTCAATACAAAGTAGGCGTAATTACCTTGGTACGGAAAAACGCTTAAACATAACCGAAAGTACCCTTTTTCCACTCAGAGTAACGCTCTTCTTTTCGAGGTACCCATTTATTTTCTCGAAGATCAACGACATCACGAAGCATGAAAATCACACGCGATGACACTTTCTTGGCACTAATAATTTCGTTGATCTTATCGAAATATTGCACTATTCTCGGCTGAAAATAAAATATGAGGAGATAATGAAGATAATATTCTTTAAGAATGTCGTATACTTCATCCGCCCTCTTTAGGATAATTATTCACGCCAAAGTTATATTAGAATTCATCCTTTGTAAAAATGTGTCTCTAAAAGTAGAAATGACCACGATACTCCATGCAAGATATGATAATTCTCTTTGATGGTTGGCAAAGTTGAAATTTCTCCATTTATTAAATGGAGAGAACATGTAACCACTATTTACCTTAGCTTTTTCTGAATTAAGATCTTTACCAATGGTAAACAGCAGCTTGCACATACTTTCTAAGCTTTCCTCGTCACCAGCTTGAAGCAACTTAAAAATACAGCGGTGCATGATGTTTTCTTTCAGCAACTGAAAATAAACAAGATAAAGAGTTTCTGAGTAACATCTTTAAATTGTCAAATCAAATTTCTAAGCCAATAAACGTATGTTGATTTAGATTGGTAATTTCGAAAAGACACTGGCAACTGTCATCTTCTCTTCAAGAATGAGCATGATCTTTGTTTAGCTTAATTTCCGTTTGTTATTTTTAAGGCGGATTCATTTAAAATTTCAAACAAAAAAAAAATACATGTATAAACACACAGGCGTGATCTTTCAAAATAATAAGCCACTCTGCATACTTTACTATTACCATGGCGTGAAACAAAATAGTATACACAGAATCCAATGAAAAGTTTACAAACCATAAGTTTAAATAATTCCCCCATGAATTTGATGTTTCCTAACATTCGCCTCTTATTTTTGGCCAAATCTTCGTCTAGCTCTTCTTTCTTTGCTTTTTGTTCTTCCTCCTTATTAATCATAGAAATTTTAAGCATAAAATATATCTGGATGCTTCACGCAAGGCTGGTATAAACTAATCAATTTAATTCATCAAATTCATCACAGTTAACCTATACAGTATTTACCGACAATCCTTCCAATTGCTCAAGTTTCTGTTTTTCCAACAAAGCTTCATCTTCCTTTTCTTTCTCCAATTCTTTCCGACATCGATTCAACAACAACTTTCGAAAGGACACAACATTACCATCAACATCATTTATCTTTAACTAAAACACAAAAAACTGGCATCATTAAAAAACATTGATGATTTATGATGAATGTATCGTTGAATAAAGATTCAATAGTCGACGACAAATATGACAATGAATTTGAAAGACTTACAAGACACAAACATCGACACATGTTGGCGTATGCAAGGCAAAATACTGGTTCACCGATTGCCTAAAAACATATGCATTGTTTAAGTGCTAACATCTTTAATAAAACCAAAAATGTTGCTGTTAGTACCTTATGTTCAAATATTATATCAATGACGTCTTCAAGACGTTCAGAGGAGTCAAGATTCAAAGCCATCATCTTTTCCACTAACGTCTTGAACTTCAGAGGAGTCAGTTTGTTTAAAATCGCCACAACATTACGATACAATTCCTAGCCATAAAAATGCAATAAAATTTCATTTGATCCTACTATAAGCTGTCCCACATTTCATTTAGTTGAATACAACGTGTTAAACGACGTACAATTTTTAATTTGAATTTTATAAATGAATTTTAAATTTCAACTCCTACATGACATGCATTTTTAATTCATCTAATGTAAAACAATCATTTTGATGAAACTGCAAATTCAAAACAACTCGAGAAAATAAATTTGAAAAAAAACTTGCATACTGCTGTAGTTTTTTCTTCCTCAGATAATCCCTTTTCTCTCTCTTTAGGTCGCAGCCATTTGCTTTTGCTTTTGTTTAGCTGTGAAATGTATTGTCATCTTCTAAATGAGATTGTAATGAATTTGTGCAAAATCAAAAATGAAGTAGTACTTACAGGTAGCGGACGAAATTTTAAAATACGGGGTGGTTGTGGAACGTCCAATATGACATCAATATGGGGCAGGTTTGCTGGTTTTTCCTTACAAACTTGCATGTGTCGACATTGTAAGAGAAAATCTCGTTCGTACTTTCTCCTTTTCCGTTCAACAAGAAGCCCGGATTCTGCCACTAAAAAAAATTTGTCATACATAACTTATGAATTGCATAACAAATTTGCAAAACTTACCATACATTTATGGTAAGTTATGCATCTCACCGTTTTCAATCTCACTTTCAACTTTAATATTTTCTCCTATTGTTTTCTCTTTATCTTCCCAAGTCAGATCTTCAACGTCAACAATTATGATGTTATCAACAATGGGCTGAAATTAGTCACAAATTCCATCACGACAAGCCTTTGATACATTGCTAAAATGATTTAAAATTTCTAGTGCAACAGCACAAACGCTGTATGACTTATTTTGCAGGTTGAGAAAAGAGAATTTCCAAGACATAGTTTTTTTCTAAAAAATATTACGTAAATTTGGCCAAGATATTCTATAAAACACCATAAACAATACATTACAGACCATGAACTTTCTTACCTCTGGTGATGACTTCTTGTTGGTGTATGCATCAATGAAGTTTCCTCCAGTCTCACTTTTCAATTCAGACTTTTTTCTATCAACATTCATTTTTATTTCTTCAGCAACTGTCATAGGTTTTGGCAAATCATCCTTCTGTTTGCTCATTTTTTCCATGTCTCTCACTATGGTGTCGTTGCTTTTATCAGAATTATCTGTTGCAGAAAAGTGAGGAGTCATTGTGCCGTCAGGAGTATTTTCAAGGTTTCCCGATGTGTCAGTATCAGAATTTGTGCTGCTTTTAAATGGAGTAATCATACTTCTACAACAAATTCCTTGGTCATTACTAAGACTTATCCTTCCATCATTATTGAGTCTCTCTTCCTCCTGCAAAGGTAAAATACTTCAAACTTAAAATTTACACAAATTCTTTTCAAACAGTTATGTATACGCAAGAGCCAAACTGTTCAAATGTAGTTCACTTCAAATATATGTTCTGTGATTCCAATCATTTCAGAATGAAATTTGGAATTTGAAATTGTCATTGTCTTGCACTACACAGATATTAAAGTAACTTCACAAACAAATACATTTGATAATCAAAAATGAAGTTTGGCAATTCCAACACGCATCCTAAAATAGTTCAGTTAAAAAAATAACCAAATGCAATTTCCCCCTGGCATACACCTTAACTGAAAGAAATATGAAAAGATTGAATGACCTACTAGCTGCAAAAAAGCTTTTTTTTCATCCTTCTCAATCTTGTCCTATTTGCAATTAATTAAATTTACACTACATCTATGAAAATATCTTGATTGCATACAAATTTCAATGCAAGATAAATTATAAACAAAATCACCTTCTGCCTTTGTAGAATGAATAGCCTTTCCTGTAGATCTTCCTTTTCCTATTTTTGACAGAAAAATAAAGTAATATAAACCACTGCTTCCAACCATTTACTTCACAAGACCAATGATAACCTTTGATTGTTTCTCAAAGGAGAGCTTCAGTTCATCGAAGGCTTTGACTTTCTGGTTGAACTGTGTAAGATATTTATATTTGAAATCATGTAGCCATGATGATGCAGACTCAAATATGTTCATCTTTATCTATATATAATATATTTCTTACATACTTTAAACTTCCACAACACAACTTCTTCTTGCAAATGGCTAACAACTTCACTATACTAAAACAAAATTGAGAAGTTCAAATGACAAAAATGTGGATTAAGACTCCACCATATGATCTACGTATTAGTACTTTTACCAAATATATACCTTGCTCGTGTATTCTTTGAGTTTAAGTGGCAGCTCCTCTTTCAATGTTTTCACCTAGGAAATATGTTAAATGGATATAAGTGTCAAAAGACAAATATAAAAAAGTAGAATTTAATATTTGGAGAGAAAGGGATTTATTTTTATATTATGTTAACTATCTGTAAAAACTCTCAAACAAAAGGCAAATTTCTTTTCAGAAAATCCTGTTAATAAAAAAACATACCATTTCTCTCTCCATTTGCAAAAGATTGTCATGACTAACTGTCATTTCTGAAAAGTTGCTCAATACAACTACATCATTGTCAGAGGGAGTAAATATTTCTTGTTTTTCAAGGAAGCTTGTGTCTATTACTTGAGAAGGATAATCTGAAAAGATGATAAAGAAACAATACCATCCCACAATATCCAAGATTGACTATAGGGTGTGTAAGGGCATTGTTAATAATTTTAAATCCAAATGTTCAACTTCACCACTCTCTCACCAAACTTATATTGTGTACTCAATTGGCACAATAAATACTGAAAGCAAAATGACATTTGTATTAAAGAAAAGTTAAAAGGGTATTCATATGACAGTTAGTCTGATTCACTTAATAATACACTTCCTTACACATGTTTCAAAACACATATTTATCCATCAAAACTCGTTGTGCAGTTATTACATTAACCTATTCTATGATTTTTTTCAAGAAAACGAAAGTAAGATTAAATTATAAGTGAAACTAATTTTAGAAACAAAAGTTTTTTATACCTTCCTGCGTCATCTCTGCCATCTTCTTCCGTGTTACTTTCACTTTCTGCCAATCGACAAATACCAAATGGTAAAGCATGAGTCAATTCCAAGATATACCTCCGCCCCCCGGGAATTTGGCCGGGCATTTGATTTTTTCGTTTTAATAGTTCAATTTCCCCGCTGCCGGGGAAAGGCAAGAAGGCACCCGGCAAGCTGCCAATGGCAAATGCCCCTCTCCGGGACCAATTAATTTTAATAAAGTAAATGGTTTGAACCCGGGAGTATCGTAACATGTTTGTAAATGTAGATCGTCCAGTTAACAACAACAAAAACAGTCCTTCTCAGGACTATACCAACCTGGACGATCTACACTTACAAACATGCAATTAATTTTAAATTACAAAAATTAGGAACACTTCCACAGACAAACTAACACATTTTTTTAATACTTTATCAAGCAAGATATATGAGAGTTCCTATTTAATACCAATAAACGACCTTATTTGTAAAGATGATAAAAAATTTTGAAATTACCGAGAAACAAATTACGAAATGAATATTATTCCTTTGTAATCAGTGTTTCTAAATAAGCTGCTGACCGCTGCACAAAAATACCTCGGGCTTTAAATTGTAAAAATTTGACGATGACGGTTGCTTTCTTTCAATGCTTCAACCAAAAATATCAGGCGGAAAAACAAATTCTAACGATAAAATTTCTTGAATTATTTAATGGCTTCATTAAAATCACTTTGCAGAGCTTATTATTTGCAATCAGAAAATGAATCAACATTAAAAATCAGTTGAATCTCTCACAAAGTAAACGCTCATCTTTACGGAGGAGAAGGGGAAGATAAGAAATCTTACCTTATAAAAGTCAACTAACACTATTTCTATTTTCTTCACAGTTGACAAGATCATCCAAATTATATAACTAATGAAATAACTAAAACATGTACGAAATCGGTTATTCCAGTGCTTAGAATAAGCTTTTCATTTTTTTTTCTATGTAATTTTTCCACGGTTGAGCAAAACTGTGTACAAATAAGCAGCTTACGGAGGAGAACACACCAAAAGAGACGTTAATTGCTAAAAATATTCATCTTCCAGAGTAAAGAATCCAATCAATGCTTTTTAATATTTATTATCAATTGATTCTTCTCCATTATACATATACATCTCGTTTTCAAATTAAGTGAAAGAGGCGAAAATTTGACCAAAATAATTTCTTATAAATAAGATAAGTCATACGGGCATGAATAATATGCCCAGGCACACACTGCAGTTTTCAAACAAATACAACATATTATGTCCACACAATTGTTCATCTTTCATTACGAGTTAACAAAAAGCGCGTTCCGTAATCAGACAATTTAAGTTTTTGTAAGTATTAAATGGAAGACAAAATAGTCATATTTTTGTTCATACTTTATCTCGCTGTTCAGTTCTCGCCGCCTTCAACAGCAGCTGATTGCAACCATTCAAAAAAAGAAGATGTTGCCTGTAGCGCAAGTCCTTTCGCCTCTTGTCGCGAGTGATCTTCGTCTTGTTTCCAATTCAAAAAAGCACCCTCTGTTATCACTTCTTCGTCGTAGAGAGTGTTGAAAAATTTTGACAACATGTCTGAAACGAAAAGCAAAGTGAAGCAAAACGATAAAATACTCGGTGAACCAAAGCAATTTGATTACAAAACACAACACTTTTCACACCTTTTGGTTTGTCGTACTTGGCATATATTTTTTGTAAAGTAAACAAGGCTTCAAGCTGCAGTTTCATATTATTATCAAGATACTTTTTTAATATGTCACGTCTTGCTTTTAGTTTTTCTTCACAACAATCTGGACCGGTTTCTTTTTCTAAAATCAATTGCCCACTGATGATAAATCTGGTATGTTTCAACGAAATGCATATGTACGACAACACTGTAACAAACTCAATTAAAATTACCTTTCTTTATTAGACAACTTTCTGCTACAGACGAGACTAAATAATTTATAAATTCAGCTTCCTTCCTCTTTTTTTCTTTAAAATTTTTCTACAAAATAAAAAAGGAGTTGCATTACAGTCCAAATACTCAAACAAATACAAAAACACAAGCCATTACTTACCTCAATATGAGCAAATACAATATCGTTTCTTAATTGACTCGCGCAAAGTAATTTCAGTAATTCATCGTTAGCTTCAGAAGATAAAAAATTTAAATTCTAAAAAAGAAAAGGCAAATGACAGTATTCATCTTGTAATTCATCCACAATACAAATTCCAACATATACACACCTTTCTTGATAAGAACTCGTCTATGGTTAACCGTGGTGGCAGAATATTTGACCAGTCTATTTCAAGCTCATTCCACAATTTTACCACTTCACTTTCACACTACAATGTTTCCGAACATGAAACACAGTTACAACTTGTACAAACATCTTTGACAATGATAGTGAAGTTTGGCAATATACTCACGGTAGATTTTTTAAATTCCAGTAAGATCTCGGCAAATAAGACAGCCGCTTTACCAATCGGAGCAAGATGCTGCAATATCAGGGGTTTGAGGTCGTTAAGTTTGAGACGATCTCCAAGAAGTGGATTGATAATTTCCGCCAAATAGTTCCACAATTTCGGATAATCCATAGAATTTTCATCAGCAGCTTCGAAAATGTTGTTAAAACTACCAAATGAAAGAGGAGAGATAAAAAATTTTACAACGAAACGTTGTTTAACAAAACTTCACCATTGACTATGAGAACGTAGTCAAACATTGAAAATTGGTTAAAACTTCTAAGTATTGTACGTTTAAAAATAATTCTTAAAAAATAATTGAAGAAGCCAACTGACTATTAAAATTACTCACTAAAACTACGAACTTCAGTGTATTAAATCAGAACTAGCACATCACTAAAATTGTAGCTACCTCCACTATCACCAAACATTAGCATCCATAAAGTTTCTATTTGGTATCTCACCCTTTAAGTAACTGCTCCTTGCTGAGTTTATTAAGTGATAAAAGTTCGGCTAAAAGCCGACCTGTGTCACCCCGAACTTTCATTGACTTCTCGTAGGTGTATTCGACCGAGGTCGATACGAAGAAATAATGAAGCGACGGTGAATTAAGATCAGTGAAACACGCGACAGCCTCCTAATAAGTTCAAAGAAACAAAAAGATAGAATACAACGATAAACGTATTCGAGCTACGCATACTCCAGTCGGATCGTTACAATCGTCATAAATCATATTCTATTATTGTCACTAAACAACAATCGAATTCATTGATTCTTGACAACATTCTACAACAAGTTCTTAGCAATATTATTATTAAATGGTTTGAACCCGGGAGTATCGTTACATGTTTGTAAATGTAGACCGGCCAGGTTGGTATAGTCCTGAGAAGGACTGTTTTTGTTGTTGTTGACTGACGTTTCGAGAACCTTAGCGGTAGTCATCTTCAGAGTCAAATGAGGAGTAAACGTCAGGTTAGCCGTTGTTGGCGTATGATTCTGACGTTGCTTGCAAAACGTATGTAGTCGTTAGCAAGTTGTTCGCTCTGTCGTCCAAATGATCGTAATAAAGTAAATGGTTTGAACCCGGGAGTATCGTTACATGTTTTGTAAATGTAGCTTGTCGAATCGTCAGTCAACAACAACAAAAACAGTCCTTCTCAGGACTATATCAATCTGGAAAATCTACATTTACAAACATGTAATGATACTCCCGGGTTCAAACCATTTACTTTATTACGATCATTTGGACGACAGAGCAAATATTATTATTAACCCGTAACAGTAAGACAAAAAAAATATTACTACCAACCTTTATATCTTTGATATTTGCATATTTATCAATAAGTGCAATTGTCTTCTTCGCAAGTTCTTCTTCACTTAATGATTCATTCACCATCTCGTTCTTGTTCTCATTCTCTTTAACTTCAGGTTGTTTTTCTTGACTAGACAATGGCTGCGATGGCAAAAAAACGGAATTAAAATAATTGTATGAAAAATGCGCTTAGCAGTCGTCAATTTGTGCACATAACCACTCGCAATACAATATTGCAATTTGCTAAATGGTGAACAATTTGATAAGTCACATATCAAAAAGTGTCAATAATATAAATATCAGCCATGTAAAACCTGTATCGTATAGTGAGATTTTTCGCTTGATGTGTTTGACAGAGCCCTGGCAGCCTCTATGGCACTCTCTCTGCCGCTTTTCTTTCGACTTTTATCACTACCACGTGGACCTGCTGACGAAGTCCTACAAATGAAAAATTGAAATAAAGAATGTTCTCTCTAGCAACTATACCACCAAAGTAAACCACATTTTGTTAATCTATATGATGCAGACTGCGGTGTTCCTGGTGCATTATGGAGAAAATACCAAGCTTGGGAGAAACTTTAACAATACAAATATGTTATATCTATAAGACGCACCTTGCACCAGTTGAGTTAGATCGTCGAGGATCATACAAAAATCTACCAGACGAAGGATCACCAGAACTGGATTGCAACGCAGAATATCTATTTCCCTGTGGTTGCTCTTGCTCTTGAGAGAAGTTGCTCAAACCTGCCGAACTCCCACGACCCCATTGACCAAATCGAGAGCTGGGACCGAGTGAAATTTGCTCGTTGTTCGCTCGCTGAAGGGCATAGAGTATTCAAAATTTTAATAGTCGAAAAACAAAGACACAATTTCCCAGACAAGCTAAAAACTCGACATAATCAAATATGCACATGCACAACAGGATATTGTAAGTTAAATAAGACATATTAACGCCAACAAAATAAACAAATAACTGAACCATACCTTTGCCATGTTTCTTAGTTTATTTTGGTCGATAGGCTGCGACTTTCCGCCTTTTCCTGTAGTAATCCAGCCATCGTTTGCGACCGGTTTAGGACTATCCCGTCCACCTGATAATTTTTACAAATCAAAGACAGATTTAATACAAAGTAAGCACATCTACCTTGGTATGCAGGAACAAAAAGAGTTTTTCTCAACTTAGTAACAGGAGCAATATTTTAAGGAGCAGCAACAGCAGAAAAACAATTGTTTTAAAAACGAAACACAAGTCTATAGCATGTAAGAGTTTGTATATAGAAATTACTTTAAAATTCACTTGCTACTGTTGTGAAATGCGTGAAAACAAACCTTTACCTGAACTACCTTTCTTTATTTGTTGTTTATCCTTGGCAGGCAATTGTGACACTAATTTTTGTTCCTGTTGTTTCTCCATTTCTGCTTCTTTGTGAATTTGGTCAATCGTTTTTGGGTTAACATGCTCCTCTCTTCGAGGTACCCATTTATTGTCTCGAAGATCAACGACATCACGAAGTATGAAAATCACACGCCATGACACTTTCTTGGCAATAATAATTTTGTTGATCTTATCGAAATATTGCACTATTCTCGGCTGAAAATAAAATATGAGGAGATAATGAAGAAAATATTCTTAAAGAATGTCGTATACTTCAAACGAGTCATCCGCCCTCTGGGATAATTATTCACTCCAAATTTATATTAGAATTCATCCTTTGTAAAAATGTGTCTCTAAAAGTAGAAATGACCACGATACTCCATGCAAGATATGATAATTCTCTTTGATAGTTGGCGAAGTTGAAATTTCCCCATTTATTAAATGGAGAGAAGATGCAAACACTATTTACCTTAGCTTTTTCTGAATCAAGATGTTTACCAATGGTAAACAGCAGCTTGCACATACTTTCTAAGCTTTCCTCGTCACCAGCCCGAAGCAACTTGAAAATACAGTCGTGCATGATGTTTTCTGTCAGCAACTGAAAATAAACAAGATAAAGAGTTTCTGAGTAACATCTTTAAATTTTCAAGTCTAATTTCTAAGCCAATAAACGTATGTTGATTTAGATTGGTAATTTCGAAAGGACAATGGCAATCGTCATCTTCTCTTCAAGAATGAGCATGATCTTTGTTTAGCTTAATTTCCGTTTCTTTTTTCTAAGGCGGATTCATTTACAATTTCAAACAAAAAACAAAACATGTATAAACACACAGGCGTGATCTTTCAAAATAATAAGCCACTCTGCATACTTTACTATTACCATAGCGTGAAACACAATAGTATACACAGAATCCAATTAAAGTTTACAAACCTTAAGTTTAAATAATTCCCCTATGAATTTGATGTTTCCCAACATTCGCCTCTTATTTTTGGCCAAATCTTCGTCTAGCTCTTCTCTCTTTGCTTTTTGTTCTTCCTCCTTATTAATCATAGAAATTTTAATCATAAAATATATGTGGATGCTTCACGCAAGGCTGGTATAAACTAATCTATTTACTTCATCAAATTCATCACAGTTAACCTATACAATATTTACCGACAATCCTTCCAATTGCTCAAGTTTCTGTTTTTCTAACAAAGCTTCATCTTCCTTTTCTTTCTCGAATTCTTTCTGACACCGATTCAACAACAGCTTTCGAAAGGACACAACATTACCATCAGCATCATTTATCTTTAACTAAAACACAAAAAACTGGCATCATTAAAAAACATTGATGATTTATGATGAATGTATCGTTGAATAAAGATTCAATAGTCGACGATAAATATGACAATGGATTTGAAAGACTTACAGTAAACAAACATCGACACATGTTAGCGTATGCAACGCTAAAAACTGGTTCACCGATCGCCTAAAAACATATGCATTATTTAAGTACAAACATGTTTAATAAAGCCAAAAATGTTGCTGTTAGTACCTTTTCAAATATTATATCAATGACGCCTTCAAGACGTTCACAGGAGTCAATATTCAAAGCCATCATCTTTTCCACTAACGTCTTGAACTTCTGAGGAGTCAGCTTATTTAAAATCGCCATAACATTACGATACAATTCCTAGTCATAAAAAATGCAATAAAATATCATTTGATCCAACTATAAGCTGTCCACATTTCATTTAGTTGAATACAACGTGTTAAACTACATACAATTTTTAATTTGAATTTTAAAAATGAATTTTAAATTTCAACTTCTACAGGACATGCATTTTTCATTCATCTAATGTAAAACAAACAATCATTTTGATGAAACTGCAAATTCACAACAACCCGAGAAAATAAATTGGAAAAAAAACTTGCATACTGCTGTAGTTTTTTCTTCCTCAGACAATCCCTTTTCTCTCTCTTTAGGTCGCAACCATCTGTTTTCGCTTTTGTTTAGCTGTGAAATGTAATATCATCTTCAAAATACGCTCGCAACCAATTCATGCATAATTATTCTCCTCACCACTACAACTGGATGTGGAGCCATTGGAATAATTTTTCTTGGAGGTTTTGACCGGCTATCTCGTTTTCCACCACCGGGCTACGATGAAAAGACACACCCATGAAAGACGCCATGTTTTCGTAATTTAGTTTATTTAATGCAAGCAAAGCGCTTGAGTAGATATTTAACCACGCAAACATAGTTCACAGCTACATTTCTCAAAGAAATAAAAAATAAATAAATAAAAAACCCACCTGATTTTTCGGGCGTGCATAAGAAGGTAAGAATTCGGATCTGTAATGAAGTCAAAATAAATTTTCATCATTGAAATACCTTTCCTGTCTTAGCTAACACATATACTTCCACGCTAAGAGCATCAATATAAAAATGACCATTACCTCTGCGAGCCACCACCACTGCTCCCTGTTCTACTCTGGGGTAAAGTTGCTGTGCTGTTCTCTGGAGTTCCTGCACAGTTATCAGCAGTATCTGGTTTGATATCAGGTGTTGCTTCACTATCATCTGGAGGAATTAGATTTTTATAATGGGTTACAGCACTAGGATCAGGTGTTTGGTTTTTATCAAAAGACGCTTTAGCACGAGTTTCTGGATTGTGGTCAGAAGTAGCAAAAATGTTATCAGAAGCTGCTACAATGTTATCAGAAGTTGATACTATGTTATCTGAAGTTGCTACACTGTTATTTGGACTTTCTTTGTTATTTTCCGTCATTTGCTTACTGTCTAAGTCACTCTTGAGTTCTGTTCCATTTTTCTGTGTCACGAAATCTAGATGATCAGACTTTGTTAGAATTTTCTTTTCTACATCATCTGGTTCTTTTCTCCTATAACTGATTTCAACATCAGATTCAATGTTTCCATTCTGTTCTCTGTCAGCTTTCAAAACTTTCACTTCAGTTTCATATGAAGTTTCTTCTTTGGTCTTTTCCTTCATATTTGAAGAACTTTGTTGAGCTTCAAAATCCATCTCATCTTCCTTCTTTGAATTATCAACAACATTGGCATTTTTTAATTTAGCATTTTTGGCTGAATTTTTCTCGATTTGCATTGGACAATCCTTTACTTCCTGATCACGAGGAGTTTTACCATTCTCAATAATTTTTAAATCTATCCTACTCTTCTCTCCTTGGCTGGGTTTTTCTTTGTTAGTACCTTCACTTTTCTCACCATACAATTTGCCACCAGCTCTACGGGCTTCTACTTTGGCAGCAAATTCTGCCTGGATTGCTGATGATTCTGTTTGTGCAGCTGTATTAGCCAATGGAGGGGTGGCAGTTGATCTACCATTAGCAGTTCCACTATGTGTTCTTATTTCTTCTGTAATATCTTTTTTGCTGTTTGGATCCTTAATGATGATCTTCGAAGGTCTTTTGGATCTTGCCTTTTTGGTATTTGTGGAAATTCCCGTATTTGGTGCAGGTTGTTGTTGTGTTTGCTGTGGTTGTATGGGTTGGTTTGATTGCATATGGGAGTAATACATAGGTGGCATTCCGTTATAAAGTGGTGGCTGAGTCTGTGAAATGTTTTTTGGCTGTAACGAAGCAGTGCTTACAGGTAGCGGATACGGTTGTGCAATATTTTGAATAAAACCTTCATGTACCTCTGGTGATGGCTTCTTCTCAGTGTACGCATCCATCAAATCTCCTCCTGTATCTTTCTTGTTGATGTCTTTAAATCGCTGTCTTGACGATTTCTTTTTCGGTTGTTCTGTGAAAACAGTGTATATTGATAATTTTTGAGCTTATCGAAAAACACTTCTCATATACGCAGTGAAATGGAAATACAGGAAATACGTTTGCTTGACAAGTGACAACTCCACCATAACAAACCAGAGAAATTTGATATGACTTTCATTGTTTGTTATTAAATACTTTACTATAGTTTACTAAATCTCAAACCTGCTGGTTTTGTGGCTTGTGGCTGTGATTGCTTTCCTTGAGACCTTTGATTGCTCTGTTTTTGATTAGGTTTGTCTGCCTGGGAATGGGACTTCTTCAATGCTGGTGTTTTATCTGCTTGCTGATTATCAGATTTCAGCACTGTCTCTTCACTACTTTCCACTTTGTCTTCTTTTGCAGGTTCAGACTTTGTTTTTGTTTTACTATAAGTCTCACTTTTCATTTCAGACTTTTTTCCATCAGCATTACTTTTTATTTCTTTTACAACTGCGGTAGGTTTTGGCAAATCATCCTTTTGTTTGCTTGTTTTTTCCATGTCTCTCACTATGGTGCCGTTGCTTTTATCGCAATTCATTGCGCTAGGTTCCTTATCTGCTGCAGAACAGTCAGGACTCTCTGTGCTTCCAGGAGTATTTTCAAGGTTTCCAGATGTTTCAGTAACGGAATTTGTGCTGCTTTTAAATGGAGTACTCATACTTCTACAACAAATTCCTTGGTCATTACTAAGACTTATCTTTCCATCATTATTGAGTCTCTCTTCCTCCTGCAAAGGTAAAATACTTCAAACTTAAAACTTACACAAATCTTTTCAAACAGTTATGTATATGCAAGAGCAAAACTGTTCAAATGTCATTCACTTGAAATATATGTTCTGTGATTCCAATCGCTTCAGAATGAAATTTTTGGAAAGTTGAGAATGTTGGACTTTGAAATTGTAATTGTCTTGCACTACACAGATATCAAAGTACGTTTACAAACAAATACATATGATAATCAAAAATGAAGTTTGGGAATTCCAACACGCATCCTAGCCAAATAACCAAGTGCAATTTCCCTTAACTGAAAGAAATATGAAAAGATTGAACCACTTACTAGCTGCAAAAAAGCTTTTTTTGGATCCTTCTCAATCTTGTCCTATTTGCAATTAATTAAATTTACACTACATCTAAGAAAATATCTTGACCGCATATAAATTTCAATGCAAGATAAATTATAAACAAAATCACCTTCTGCCCTTGTAAAATGAACAGTCTTTCCTGTAGGTCTTCCTTTTCCTATTTTTGACAGAAAAATAAAGTAATATAAAATTTCTATAAAGTAATATATCAGTAGCAAATTTCTTTTCAGAAAATCCAACTGATACAAAAACATACCATTTCTCTCTCCATTTGCAAGAGATTGTCATGACTAACTGTCATTTCTGAAAAGTTGCTGAATACAATTACATCATTGTCAGAAGGAGTAACTATTTCTTGTTTTTCAAGGAAGCTTGTGTCTATTACTTGAGAAGGATAATCTGAAAAGATGATGAAGAAATAATACAATCCCACATTATCCAAGATTGACTTTGACTTTAGGGTGCATAAGGGCATTGTTAATAATTTTAAATCCAAATGTTCAACTTCACCACTCTCTCGTCAAACTTATGTTGTCTACTCAATTGGCACAATAAATACTGAAAGCAGAATGGCATTTGTATTAAAGAAAAGTTAAAAGGGTATTGATATGACAGTTAGTCTGATTCACTTAATAATACACTTCCTTACACATGTTTCAAAACACATATTTATCCATTAAAACTCGTTGTGCAGTTATCACATTAACCTATTCTATGATTTTTTCAAGAAAACTTAAGTAAGATTAAATTATAAGTGAAACTAATTTGAGAAACAAAAGTTTTATACCTTCCTGCGTCATCTCTGCCATCTTCTTCCGTGTTACTTTCACTTTCTGCCATTCCACAAATACCAAATGGTAATAATCCAAAGTATTTTAAACTTTGCGAAAATTTCATATTACACTTCAAAGTTTTAGAATACAATAATAAAGAATAGATATCATTAACGGTTCAGTAACATGCCAAACTTTTAAAGATGATAAGAAATTTCGAAATTACCGAGAAACAAATTACGAAATGAATATTATTCCTTTGTAATCAGTGTTTCTAAATAAGCTGCTGACCGCTGCACAATAATACCTCGGGCTTTTGAATTGTAAAAATTTGACGATGACGGTTGCTTTCTTTCAATGCTTCAACCAAAAATATCAGGCGGAAAAACAAATTCTAACGATAAAATTTCTTGAATTATTAAATAGCTTTATTAAAATCATTTTGCAGAGCTTATTACTTGCAATCAGAAACTAAATCAACATTCAAAATCAGTTGAATCTCTCACAAGGGAACCCTTCATCTTAACGGAGGAGTAGAGGAAGATGAGAAATCTTACCTTCTAAGAGTCAACTAACACTATTTCTATTTTCTTCACAGTTGACAAGATCATCCAAATTATATAACTAATGAAATAACTAGAACATGTACGAAATCGGTTATTCCAGTGCTTAGAATAAGCTTTTCATTTTTTTTTCTATGTAATTTTTCCACGGTTGAGCAAAACTGTGTACAAATAAGCAGCTTACGGAGGAGAACACACCAAAAGAGACGTTAAATGCTAAAAATATTCATCTTCCAGAGTAAAGAATCCAATCAATGCTTTTTAATATTTATTATCAATTGATTCTTCTCCATTATACATATACATCTCGTTTTCAAATTAAGTGAAAGAGACGAAAATTTGACCAAAATAATTTCTTATAAATAAGATAAGTCATACGGGCATGAATAATATGCCCAGGCACACACTGCAGTTTTCAAACAAATACAACATATTATGTCCACACAATTGTTCATCTTTCATTACGAGTTAACAAAAAGCGCGTTCCGTAATCAGACAATTTAAGTTTTTGTAAGTATTAAATGGAAGACAAAATAGTCATATTTTTGTTCATACTTTATCTCGCTGTTCAGTTCTCGCCGCCTTCAACAGCAGCTGATTGTAACCATTCAAAAAAAGAAGATGTTGCCTGTAGCGCAAGTCCTTTCGCCTCTTGTCGCGAGTGATCTTCGTCTTGTTTCCAATTCAAAAAAGCACCCTCTGTTATCACTTCTTCGTCGTAGAGAGTGTTGAAAAATCTTGACAACATGTCTGAAACGAAAAGCAAAGTGAAGAAAAACGATAAAATACTCGGTGAACCAAAGCAATTTGATTACAAAACACAACACTTTTCACACCTTTTGGTTTGTCGTACTTGGCATATATTTTTTGTAAAGTAAACAAGGCTTCAAGCTGCAGTTTCATATTATTATCAAGATACTTTTTTAATATGTCACGTCTTGCTTTTAGTTTTTCTTCACAACAATCTGGACCGGTTTCTTTTTCTAAAATCAATTGCCCACTGATGATAAATCTGGTATGTTTCAACGAAATGCATATGTACGACAACACTGTAACAAACTCAATTAAAATTACCTTTCTTTATTAGACAACTTTCTGCTACAGACGAGACTAAATAATTTATAAATTCAGCTTCCTTCCTCTTTTCTTCTTTAAAATTTTTCTACAAAATAAAAAAGGAGTTGCATTACAGTCCAAATACTCAAACAAGTACAAAAACATACGCCATTACTTACCTCAATATGAGCAAATACAATATCGTTTCTTAATTGACTCGCGCAAAGTAATTTCAGTAATTCATCGTTAGCTTCAGAAGATAAAAAATTTAAATTCTAAAAAAGAAAAGGCAAATGACAGTTATCATCTTGTAATTCATCCACAATACAAATTCCAACATATACACACCTTTCTTGATAAGAACTCGTCTATGGTTAACCGTGGTGGCAGAATATTTGACCAGTCTATTTCAAGCTCATTCCACAATTTCACGACTTCACTTTCACACTACAACGAACACCGTTTCCGAACATGAAACACAGTTACAACTTGTACAAACATCTTTGACAATGATAGTGAAGTTTGGCAATATACTCACGGTAGATTTTTTAAATTCCAGTAAGATCTCGGCAAATAAGACAGCCGCTTTACCAATCGGAGCAAGATGCTGCAATATCAGGGGTTTGAGGTCGTTAAGTTTGAGACGATCTCCAAGAAGTGGATTGATAATTTCCGCCAAATAGTTCCACAATTTCGGATAATCCATAGAATTTTCATCAGCAGCTTCGAAAATGTTGTTAAAACTACCAAATGAAAGGGGAGAGATAAAAAATTTTACAACGAAACGTTGTTTAACAAAACTTCACCATTGACTATGAGAACGTAGTCAAACATTGAAAATTGGTTAAAACTTCTAAGTATTGTACGTTTAAAAATAATTCTTAAAAAATAATTGAAGAAGCCAACTGACTATTAAAAATTACTCACTAAAACTACGAACTTCAGTGTATTAAATCAGAACTAGCACATCACTAAAATTGTAGCTACCTCCACTATCACCAAACATTAGCATCCATAAAGTTTCTATTTGGTATCTCACCCTTTAAGTAACTGCTCCTTGCTGAGTTTATTAAGTGATAAAAGTTCGGCTAAAAGCCGACCTGTGTCACCCCGAACTTTCATTGACTTCTCGTAGGTGTATTCGACCGAGGTCGATACGAAGAAATAATGGAGCGACGGCGAATTAAGATCAGTGAAACACGCGACAGCCTCCTAATAAGTTCAAAGAAACAATAAGATAGAATACAACGATAAACGTATTCGAGCTACGCATACTCCAGTCGGATCGTTAAAATCGTCATAAATCATATTCTATTATTGTCACTAAACAACAATCAAATTCCTTGATTCTTGACAACATTCTACAACAAGTTCTTAGCAATATTATTATTAACCAGTAACAGTAAAACAAACAAGATATTACTACCAACCTTTATATCTTTGATATTTGCATATTCATCAATAAGTGCGATTGTCTTCTTCGCAAGTTCTTCTTCACTTAATGATTCATTCACCATCTCGTTCTTGTTCTCATTCTCTTTAACTTCAGGTTGTTTTTCTTGACTAGCCGATGGCTGCGATGGCTAAAATACGGAATTAAAACCATTGTATGAAAAATGCGCTTAACAATCGTTAATTTGTGCACATAACCACTCGCAATAAAATATTGCAATTTGCTAAATGGTGAACAATTTGATAAGTCACATATGAAAAAGTGCAGTAATATAAATATCAGCCATGTAAAACCTGTATCGTATAGTGAGATTTTTCGCTTGATGTGTTCGACAGAGCCCTGGCAGCCTCTATGGCACTCTCTCTGCCGCTTTTCTGTCGACTTTTATCACTACCACGTGGACCTGCTGACGAAGTCCTGTAAATGAAAAATTGAAATAAAGAATGTTCTCTCTAGCAACTATGCCACCAAAGTAAATCACATTTTCTTAATCTATATGATGCAAACTGCCGTGTTCCTGATGCATTATGGAAAAAATACCAAGCTTGGGAGAAACTTTAACAATACAAACATGTTATATCTATAAGACGCACCTTGCACCAGTTGAGTTAGATCGTCGAGGATCATACAAAACTCTACCAGACGAAGGATCACCAGAACTGGATTGCAACGCAGAATATCTATTTCCCTGTGGTTGCTCTTGCTCTTGAGAGGAGTTGTTCAAACCTGCCGAACTCCCACGACCCCATTGACCAAATCGAGAGCTGGGACCGAGTGAAATTTGCTCGTTGTTTGCTCGCTGAAGAACATAGAGTATTCAAAATTTTAATAGTAAAAAAACAAAGACACAATTTCCCAGACAAGCTAAATACTCGACATAATCAAATATGCACATGCATAACAGGATATTGTAAGTTAAATAAGACATATTAACGCCATCAAAATAAACAAATAACTTAACCATACCTTTGCCATGTTTCTTAGTTTATTTTGGTCGATAGGCTGCGACTTTCCGCCTTTTCCTGTAGTAATCCAGCCATCGTTTGCGACCGGTTTAGGACTATCCCGTCCACCTGATAATTTTTACAAATCAAAGACAGATTTAATACAAAGTAAGCACAACTACCTTGGTATGCAGGAACAAAAAGAGTTTTTCTCAACTTAGTAACAGGAGCAATATTTTAAGGAGCAGCAACAGCAGAAAAACAATTGTCTTAAAAACGAAACACAAGTCTATAGGATGTAAGAGTTTGTATACAGAAATTACTTTAAAATTCGCTAATGTTGTGAAATGCGTGAAAACAAACCTTTACCTGAACTACCTTTCTTCAGTTGTTGTTTATCCTTGGCAGGCAATTGTGACACCAATTTTTGTTCCTGTTGTTTCTCCATTTCTGCTTCTTTGTGAATTTGGTCAATCGTTTTTGGGTTAACATGCTCCTCTCTTCGAGGTATCCATTTATTATCTCGAAGATCAACGACATCACGAAGCATGAAAATCACACGCGATGACACTTTCTTGGCAATAATAATTTTGTTGATCTTATCGAAATATTGCACTATTCTCGGCTGAAAATAAAATATGTGGAGATAATGAAGAAAATATTCTTTAAGAATGTCGTATACTTCATCCGCCCTCTTTAGGATAATTATTCACGCCAAAGTTAAATTAGAATTCATCCTTTGTAAAAATGTGTCTCTAAAGTAGAAATGACCACGATACTCCATGCAAGATATGATAAATCTCTTTGATGGTTGGCGAAGTTGAAATTCCCTCATTTATTAAATGGAGGAACCACTATTTACCTTAGCTTTTTCTGAATCAAGATCTTTACCAATGGTAAACAGCAGCTTGCACATACTTTCTAAGCTTTCCTCGTCACCAGCTCGAAGCAACTTGAAAATACAGTCGTGCATGATGTTTTCTGTCAACAACTGAAAATAAACAAGATAAAGAGTTTCTGAGTAACATCTTTAAATTGTCAAATCAAATTTCTAAGCCAATAAACGTATGTTGATTTAGATTGGTAATTTCGAAAGGACACTGGCAACCGTCATCTTCTCTTCAAGAATGAGCATGATCTTTGTTTAGCTTAATTTTCGTTTTTTTTTTTTTTAAGGCGGATTCATTTACAATTCCAAACAAAAAAAAACAAAACATGTATAAACACACAGGCGTGATCTTTCAAATAAGCCACTCTGCATACTTTACCATTACCATGGCGTGAAACACAATAGTATACACAGAATCCAATGAAAAGTTTACAAACCTTAAGTTTAAATAATTCCCCTATGAATTTGATGTTTCCCAACATTCGCCTCTTATTTTTGGCCAAGCCTTCGTCTAGCTCTTCTTTCTTTGCTTTTTGTTCTTCCTCCTTATTAATCATAGAAATTTTAATCATAAAATATATCTGGATGCTTCACGCAAGGCTGGTATAAACTAATCAATTTAATTCATCAAATCATTACAGTTAACCTATACAGTATTTACCGACAATCCTTCCAATTGCTCAAGTTTCTGTTTTTCTAACAAAGCTTCATCTTCCTTTTCTTTCTCGAATTCTTTCTGACACCGATTCAACAACAGCTTTCGAAAGGACACAACATTACCATCAGCATCATTTATCTTTAACTAACACACAAAAAACTGGCATCAATAAAAAACATTGATGATTGATGATGAATGTATCGACGATACAATAGTCGACGACAAATATGACAATGGATTTGAAAGACTTACAGTAAACAAACATCGACACATGTTAGCGTATGCAACGCTAAAAACTGGTTCACCGATCGCCTGAAAACATATGCATTATTTAAGTAGAAACATCTTTAATAAAACCAAAAATGTTGCTGTTAGTACCTTTTCAAATATTCTATCAATGACGCCTTCAAGACGTTCACAGGAGTCAATATTCAAAGCCATAATCTTTTCCACTAACGTCTTGAACTTCTGAGGAGTCAGTTTGTTTAAAATCGCCACAACATTACGATACAATTCCTAGCGATTAAAAATGAAATAAAATTTAATGTAACCCTAAAGGCTAGTCATATTCCATTTACTTGCATACAATGTGCTAACTGATTTGCCAAGAATATGTTTGTTTTTAGTTTCAACTTCTAAAGAAAGTCTTCAATCACACTTGACAAAATTACTTTGATAAAATTAAAAATAAGTTACATCAAATTGATCACATTTGTAACCAATCCAGCAAATAAGTGACCCTGCCTTAACTATCAAAACTCGCTGCTACAATTAAGAACAATGAACATACCGCCGTAGTTTTTTCCTCCTCTGATAATTCCTTTTCTTTTTCCTCTGGTCGTAGCCATCTGTTTTCGCTTTTGTTTAGCTGTGAAATGTAATATCATCTTCAAAATACGCTCGCAACCAATTCATGCATAATTAATTCTTCTCACCACTACAACTGGAGGTGGAGCCATAGGAATAATTTTTCTTGGAGGTTTTGACCGGCTATCTCGTTTTCCACCACCGGGCTACGATGAAAAGACACAAACATGAAAGACGCCATGTTTTCGTAATTTAGTTAATTTAATGCAAGCAAAGCGCTTGAGTAGATATTTAACGACGCAAACATAGTTCACAGCTATATTTCTCAAAGTAATTTAAAAAAAAATATTAAAAAACCCACCTGATTTTTCGGGCGGGCGTAAGAAGGCAAGAAATCGGATCTGTAATGAAGTCAAAATAAATTTTCATCATTGAAATACCTTTTCTGACTTAGCTACCACATATACTTCCACGCTATGAGCATCAATATAAAAATGACCATTACCTCTGCGAGCCACCACCACTGCTCCCTGTTCTACTCTGGGGTGGTTGTGGAACGTCCAGTATGACATCAATATTGGGCAGGTTCGCTGGTTTTTCCATACAAACTTGCATGTATTGAAATTGCACAAGAAAATCGCGTTCGTACTTTCTTTTCGTTTGTTGTTCAGGAGGCACAGGCTCTGAAAAGAAAACACGAATTACAATAATACAGTTGGTATTTGATTGAACATCACTGGAAGTCACCAAAAATACACAACCCCAGTAATTAAAAGGATAACAATAACGAAGAACAAAAGAACATAACGTATCTCACCAGTTTCTATCTCAACTTTAATCTCTTCTCCAATTGTTTCCCCTTTATCTTCCCAAGTCAGATCTTCATCTGAAGGTTTCTCGCTTTCTACTGGTACTACTTCAACGGGTTTTTCAATCACGGGCTAAAATTCATTACAATTCGATTACTACAAACATCCCATTCACTGTACCATTTCATTTTTTTGACATTAAACACCAAACTGAAGATAAGCCAAGGAATTAAAATTCTGTGCCAACAATACGCACGGAATGTGCCAAACAATTTCGTCCTTTCAGTTTCGCGTAAATAAAATTAAGTTTACTTGTATACGATTACTTGCTTTCATGTACCTCTGGTGATGGCTTCTTCTCAGTGTATGCATCCATCAAGTCTCCTCCTGTATCTTTCTTGTTGATGTCTTTGTATCGCTGTTTTGACGATTTCTTTTTCGGTTGTTCTGTGAAAACAGTGTATATTGATAATTTTATCGAAAAAGACTACTCATATACGCAGTAAAATTGGAAATACAGGAAATACGTTTGCTTGACCAAGTGACAACTCCACCATAACAAAGCAGAGAAATTTGATATGACTTTCATTTTTTGTTATTATTTACTTTACTACAGTTTACTAAATCTCAAACCTGCTGGTTTTGTGGCTTGTGGCTGTGATTGCTTTCCTTGAGACCTTTGATTGTTCTGTTTTTGATTAGGTTTGTCTGCCTGGGAATGGGACTTCTTCAATGCTGGTGTTTTCTCTGCTTGCTGATTATCAGATTTCAGCATTGTCTCTTCACGACGTTCCACTTTGTCTTCTTTTGCAGGTTCAGACTTTGTTTTTGTTTTACTATCAGTCTCACTTTTCATTTCAGACTTTTTTCCATCAGCATTACTTCTTATTTCTTTCACAACTGCAGTAGGTTTTGGCAAATCATCCTTTTGTTTGCTCGTTTTTTCCATGTCTCTCACTATTGTGTCGTTGCTTTTATCACAATTCATTGCGCTAGGTTCCTTATCTGCTGCAGCACAGACAGGACTCTCTGTGCTATAAGGTGTATTTTCAAGGTTTCCCAATGTTTCAGTATCAGAACTTGTGCTGCTTTTATCTGGGGTAATCATACTTTTACAAGGAGTTCCTTGGTCATTACTAAGAGTTAGTTTTCTATCATCAAACCTTGGCATATCTTTATCAAAAGTTGCTAGGCTATTCTTGGTAATATCCTTATCTTTATCGACATTTTCAGTATTATTATCAGGATTTGCAGGGCTTTTACTAGTAATTGGTGAACTGTCATTAGGATTTGCTGACTTGCAATCTGGAACAGCTGTTTTGCTATCAAAAGTTGCTTCTTTATTGTCAGGAGTTGCTGTGCTGTTCTCTGGAGTTACTACACTGTTATCAGCTCTATCTGGTTTGATATCAGGTGTTGCTTCACTATCATCAGGAGGAATTAGATTTTTATCATGGGTTACGGCACTGGGATCAGGTGTTTGGTTTTTATCAAATGTCACTTTAGCATGAGTTTCTGGATTGTGGTCAGAAGCTGCTACAATGTTATCAGAAGCTGCTACAATGTTATCAGAAGCTGCTACAATGTTATCAGAAGCTGCTACGATGTTATCTGAAGTTTCTACACTGTTATTTGGACTTTCTTTGTTATTTTCCGTCATTTGCTTACTGTCTAAGTCACTCTTGAGTTCTGTCCCATTTTTCTGTGTCACGAAATCTAGATGATCAGACTTTGTTAGAATTTTCTTCTCTACATCATCTGGCTCTTTGCTCCTATAACTGATTTCAACATCTGATTCAATGTTTCCATTCTGTTCTCTGTCTGCTTTCAAAACTTTCACTTCAGTTGCATATGAAGTTTCTTTTTTGGTCTTTTCTTTCATATTTGAAGAACTTTGTTGAGCTTCAAAATCTATCTCATCTTCCTTCTTTGAATTATCAACAACATTGGCATTTTTTAATTTAGCATTATTTGCTGAATTTTTCTCGATTTGCATTGGAGAATCCTTTACTTCCTGATCACGAGGAGTTTTACCATTCTCAATAATTTTTAAATCTATCCTACTCTTCTCTCCTTGGCTGGGTTTTTCTTTGTTAGTACCTTCACTTTTCTCACCATCCAATTTGCCACCAGCTCTACGGGCTTCTACTTTGGCAGCAAATTCTGCCTGGATTGCTGATGATTCTGTTTGTGCAGCTGTATTAGCCAATGGAGGAGTGGCAGTTGATCTACCATTAGCAGTTCCACTATGTGTTCTTATTTCTTCTGTAATATCTTTGTTGCTGTTTGGATCCTTAATGATGATCTTTGAAGGTCTTTTGGATCTTGCCTTGTTGGTATTTGTGGAAATTCCTGCATTTGGTGCAGGTTGTTGTTGTGGTTGCTGTGGTTGTATGGGTTGGTTTGATTGCACATGGGAGTAATACATAGGTGGCATTCCGGCATAAAATGGTGGCTGAGTTTGTGAAATGTATTGCTGAGGAAATGAAGCATTGCTTACTGGCAGCGGATAAGGTTGTGGAATATTTTGTATGAAACCAGGTCGCATTATCTGCCCATATGGTTCCTACAAATTGATCAATACACAACATGTGAAGCTACAAGAATATATGTTTAACACGTTAGAGACTGACCACTTTTTACTATTTTAAAGTCGTAGCTATTATTTCCAAATGCTGTGAATTGCATGGTATTATACATTATTTATAAGCTGATCATTTGTTCTAATGATTTGCTCTGATGATTTTAAGTCAGTGCTAAGAATATCATCCTATGAAGAACAGTTAGCTATATGCTTGTAAATCTGCATATGATTTACAATCCTTCGATAGGAATATAATAGAAACACGCCTGAAATATCCCTTTTACAGCTTTGATCAAATTATTGATCTAAAATGTGCTAAAAAGAGCGTTGAGATTAACAATTGACAAATACTTCCCTGATGTTGCCATGTCAGAAATATAAAAAACTCAAGTACTTGTGTTTCTTTGAGCAATGCTGACTCTTAATGAATCTATTTTAGTCAAACCAATAGGAATATCTGAAGACTATGTTAGAAAATTGTGATTAAGTCCTTTTTGGCACTTTTTTTAGTCAATACAAAAGCCACAACTTGATCATATGAGCAAAAACATGTACACTTATTGTCAGGGCACAGAGTAAGACACTTTTGAACGAGTATACTCATTATCATATGAGCAAAAACAAGTATACTTATTGTCAGGGCACAGAGTAAGACACTTTTGAACGAGTATACTCATTATCATATGAGCAAAAACATGTACATTTATTGTCAGGCCACAGAGTAAGACACTTTTGAACGAGTATACTCATTATCATATGAGCAAAAACATGTACACTTATTGTCAGGCCACAGAGTAAGACACTTTTGAACGAGTATACTCATTATCATATGAGCAAAAACATGTACACTTATTGTCAGGGCACAGAGTAAGACACTTTTGAACGAGTATACTCATTATCATATGAGCAAAAACATGTACATTTATTGTCAGGGCACAGAGTAAGACACTTTTGAACGAGTATACTCATTATCATATGAGCAAAAACATGTACATTTATTGTCAGGCCACAGAGTAAGACATTTTTGAACAAGTATACTCATTATCATTCTCCAAAGTGTTAAGTGCTTGTTACAAATGGTCATCAAATTATTAAAAACATTAGATACCTATTTACACATGAATCCTTACCTGTAGAACTTGATATTGATGTGGCATTGCATATTCTTGCATCATCATTGGTCTTTGTGGAGAGGAGGAATACATTGTCCTACCTGGTCTTAATGGTCGTTGTGATATTGCTATGGAAGGGGCTGTCATGTAGTGCTGATTACGCTGTCCTGGAATCATCAGTGCACCCTACAAACAACAGGTCAACATTGAATGCAAATATATTTAATGATCACAAAATAACATTTGTCCGTTACAAAATTAAACAATTTAGCCCAAAGACCATAATTGTTTCTAATGTCTATAATTAAGTAAAGCAGAACCGAATATTACTGTGTCTGCAATCATTTAGAAAGGAAAAAAGATATCACAAATGATACGCAAGTTTTTCATAATATGAAGTGTTCCAAAATATGTCAAGAATGAACGGAAGTAGTCAAATTTCCTTTCATTTATACCAGTAGGCTTTAGTGATGATTACTTCTGAAGAAATTGCAAAATTCAAGCAACACTAACTAAAGGATATGAGGACATGCTTTCATGGTACGTAATTGGCTATTATTTGTAAATTAAACATGAACTATTATTGTCTTTTTGCTGTTTTCAGTATGTAATAAAAAATGCATCAAAGTATATGAAGTTTTACAGGAAGCTGGGTTATAAATACACGCTAACAGATATTGTATGAGCTGACATTTTTGACTAGAGAAAAAACTGGGGAAAAAAGCAGAACAAAAGTAATTGATGTAAATATTATTACATGAAACTTCAACTAATGGCATAAAAGTATAAACTTAAATCAACTTGAGGCAAACAGCAAAAATTTAGCATGCGTCAGTGTGTGAAATAGTTCAGAAAAAACGATGTGCAATTTTTTTGACAAAAGTGTTTCTTTAGAGGCATAATCAAATTGATATTACGTTAATTATTATATAGTGCTAATTGCTAAATTAATATTTTAAAACATGAACAAATTCATATGATTTACCACAGTGTTTTTCATTAAAACAGCTGATTTTTGCACATCGTTTGAACAAGTGATGTGTAATTGTTTTCATTTTAGCTAAAACGATGTGCAAATTGCACATTGCACACCGTTAATTCGCACACTGGCATGCGTGAAACAAGGAAGTACTAAAGAAACCCAAATAAACAGAAAGTAACTGGCAGATATCCGAATTACTCATACAATTTACCAAGTTTTTGCCAACGCAATCTATGTCAACTCACCACTTCTCACCCAGAGTTATTTTTGGAACATAATAAGTTTGTCTAAACTTGGTAACAATTTAGATGGTTAAAATGATATGCTGTTTGAGCATTGAGCAAAATCTCGTAAAAGAAATAATGAACTCTATTTCTTCAAATGTAATGCAATATGTTGAGCATCACTTCTGTAAATAAAGCTCAAATTACGAGACATATCTTGCATTATTTAATCAAACTCATACACAAAAAACTGACCAAATCAAATTCTTAATAACAGTAGTTAATGAAGATGATATTGCACTATCACAATAATATTCTGTAGCAACATAATAATTTGAATAATACAAAAGACAAGCATTTCAAAAGAACTCTACGACGCATGGTGCTCTGTTAAAAGTCAAAATAAATACAGAATTTCTTTAATCTGACCTGTAATGGATAGCTTGGTTGATTTCTCATTTGTTCGTCTACATAATTTACAAATTTCATTCATTTAGTGAAGGTTTAGGTCATACTTTAATAGACAGGGATTTTTAGTGCTATAGATGCTAACGCAAAAAGAATACTTACTTTGCATTGGATTATTCCTCGGATGATTTCTATAAATTCGTGTTAAGTTTCATAATCGATGGCGTTGTATATATAAACAAAATCACATGTATGCGAATGGATGAAATCGTGTATGAATTCAGTTTAAGTAGAATCCTTCCAAATGTAAGGTGGATGGTTGCTATAAATGAGAAAAATGTGCAAGCACGACCCAAACTTAAAAAAGGATACGAATATCTTGGTTGCGAATGCGATGCCAGGCCACCATTTCTTTGGCTTGATCTCATTCTTCTTTCGACTATACGAAACTTCACCGAGCCGGCAAAGATGGCTTGATTATAAACGTCAATTTGTCACTAAAAAATTCCTTTTCCTTCGTATTCGAAAACTTGAACGGACTCTTTCGTTATTCCATTATGATTTGGTAAGGTTTTCAAACGTTGATGGCTCAAATAACGCAGAGATTTTTAAAGATTCCATAGTTAAATTACTTGGTTTGAACGGCCATTGAAGCCGAAATCGACGAGAGCCGAATGATAAATTACGTCACGTTCTTAGAACGACGAACGATCACGCACGCAGACTCCAGACAAGGTAAGACGCAATCAGGTCAGCGTTGGGCAGAGCTGTATTCTCTACCCATTGGTTGCATTGATTGGACTGATCACGTGTGACCACATGTGACTATGTGTAAGAGAGATATCAACCAGTCACATGATCAATGTTAGAGGAATGTTTGATCGTTCATTATATTGAATTAACTTATACTGTTTATGCACATTTGTCAATCGAAAGGAAGTTCTGAGATACTACCACCGAATACTACACTCTATTTTGTGCAGGGGAGAATAGCTTAGCGAGTTACAAAATACGCAATAAGAACAACGGAAGCAATATTTCACCATGGAATTGATGGAAACATAACTCCATGTATCTTACCTTTGGTGAATATAAAAAAAATGAGACAATGAAAACATGAAATTTCAATTCATGGAAAAGATCGCTATTTATAACTTTACTTTCACTTTAATGAACATCCTTGTGCCATGTCACAAATACCCCCAACCGACACGAGTAATTCTATTGAAAGTAGAGCCAAAAGGAAAAAGTTGTGACATTAAGGAATGTTAGAGAAAATATCATCTGCTACCTATTTATTGTTGACAATCGTCAACTAATTTACGAACTTCAACGAGAGACTTCGTGACAATAAAAAATAAATTACACTCAATGCTCGAGTCGATGCGTTTAGATGATAGAGATACGATTCAAATGTGCCAGAATATATTCAAAAATCTCAAAATGTAAATCGTATATGAATTATATATTTAACTCTAAAGTACATCAATCAAACCGTAAGCCGTCTTAGAACAAAATAGCATTAGATAAAATCCGAAGTTCACAGGTAAAAAAACACAGATAGTTCGCACACAGATATACATAAATAGGACATGCTCATCATTAAAGTTCATTTAAGGTACTATTGGATACATAAAAAATCTAAAAAATCTCGAATATATAAATCTCTTCATAGAAGTTGTAAAATTCGTAAGTGTCTTTTATAAATAGCTTATCTTTCCCTTCTCTTTCTTCAATCTGTCTTTAGAAATTTTCCGTTTCAATGGTGGAACAATGGGAGTACTTCTGCCTAAACCATTCACTTTCTCATCTTCTTCAGGAGAACTTTCTTCAGACGCGTGACGTGTAGCACGCTGGAAGGTTGGATCCAAGGTTTCGGCAATATTACTAAAGTGTCCCCCAGGCTCCATCGCTGTGTCGTCTGGCGTCTTCATTGTTTGAGATGTCAAAGCATGTGTTCTCGAGCCACTCCTAGCCTGCCACATTTCTTCATATGAATCTTCAGATTTGCTTCGAGAATGACGAGTCTTTTTCTCCCCTTGTCTTTGCTCTTCGTGCATTCTAGAATTGACCTGCTGTTCATTACTAACTGGGGGCACGTCTTCAAGGTAATCCGCGTCGTGATGTCGACGATCTCGGCTTTCATCAAGCAACAACTGTCAAAATGTATAATAATTTGATGAGATAAAATACAAGATTATTCAAGTCTCAACTTTCAAGACCTTAGGCAGAGATTTACGCCTGTATTCTAAAAGCTCACTCATACTCATATTCAATGAGTGGAGCGATAAAATAACCTCATGACTATTAGAAAACATTATTTTCAAACTACGAGATTGCTTGATCTGAAATATTTTAGCGAAAATCTTGCAATCGATGAAAAAATAAGTTTGCCATTGAATAGTGGAAGCACGATTTCTGTGTCGCATTTGGTTAGAATAAGTGTGAGTGAGCTTATATCACTTTAAAAGCAAAATGTAAATAGCACGTGGCATTACTTACGAGAAGCTATTAAATTGAATTAACCATAAACACAAATAATTATTTGTTAAATATAACGAATTTAATGTTTACCTCGTCTGATGCGCGTCTTTCACGTCGTAACTGTTTTTCACGCCGTCTGTGAGCTTTAACCTTCTCTTCACGTTGAAGATGCTTTGCAATCTCCTGTTCGTTTAAAATGTTTGCAATATTGGTGAGAATCTGTACGGAGGAGTTTCGTTCAAAACCTCACCAAACGTATTTACTTATAGCTGCAAGTCATTTTAAAACACAACCAAGCACTATTTATCCAACTCAGACCTGATTTCACCTCATGATAAATTAAAAAACCCAATATTTACCCTGTCTTGAAGTTCAATCGCTTTACGATAATCCTCTTGCATCGATTTCTTTTTCTCAATTTGCTGTACCATGATAAAGAAAAAAAGAAGGCCATCGTTAGGGAAAATATATTATATAACAGCTTATTTTTGGATGTATTTACATTTCAAAATACCCTAAAAGCAATTCCATTGATATTTTTTTTTCTACTGAAAATCATTAAGAATGCTTTTGGATGAAGGTACTTTTGAATTTTGGAATTGAATTATGTCGTCAATTACATAAAGATGCACTGTGTACCGAAAGAATAAGCTATACCAAAGTGCATTTAATAAATACGACAAGTTTTTTTTTAAATAAACATGTTTCAACATCTCATGATGCGATCTTCAGTATATAAGAAAGAGTATTGTGTATGGGATAAATATATATAAGAGTAATATATAACAAAGTATACCAAAAGTATACCGAAGTATTTATAGCGTTTTAGTAAAGAAGGGGTTTTGTTTGTAAATTAGCCAAAGTACAAGTACAACGTACGTGCTTCTCTTGTTCTTGAAGTAACATCGCCAATTCCTACAAGAAAAAATATAAAACTAAAATGAAAGCAGGCACGATGCTTCGTTCATGAAATTATCAACCTACCTCATCACGTCGTTGCATTTTCTGACGTAGCTGCTCCTCTGTTTGTATTTCATTTGCTCGCGCGTCAATTGCAGTGCCATCCGCAAGAACTATGATGTCATTGTTAGTGGGCAGCGTGATGACATCATCTATGGGACGGTCGCTTGCGTCATCATCTGGGCTACCTTCAAAGAAACAAGTACATACTTATTAACACGATAGCTAAAATGGACACATCACACATTCTCAAGCAGCGATGAAGCACAAACATACGCTAAAATATTGAAATTTCTTAAAAGTCATGCCATTAAATTTTTTCTATGAAACAATGAAAATTTATAAATAAAAAACACAGCTAACATCTTTTCCAATAACTCTTTGACGAACACAATAAACAAAACACTTGCTTCCTTTTTATGTTCGTTTTGCAAAAAAAAAACAGCCATTAAATTACACTACACGGCGGTTTCATTCGAGGATTATTGAAAGAAACACAAGCCATTTATACTCACTGATTTCAGCTTCTTCCAACTCTTTCATTATTTTAGTTAATCTCTTGTGTTCCTCTTCATCCTTTTTGATCCTCTGTTGTCGTTTGTACTCCTCTTGTCTCCATTGTCTTTCTTCTTCACGTTGAGCTTGGTAAGCAATTTCCTACACATAAAAACACGACAACATAATGAATATAAAAAAAATAACAGGACACATCATAAAATCATAAGGCCACCTCATCGCGTAGTTCCATATTCTGACGTAACTGATCTTCTCTTTGTTTACCATTGTGTCTGGGGCTGATTGCAGTATCATCAGAAACAACTTTGACGTCACTGCTACGATGCCTGGTAACGCCATCCTTTGGACGGACTTTGGTGTCATTGACAGAATTACCTTCATAGAATGTAACAGTAACAAACACTAACACTTGAAACAATATCATATTTTGTCAAACATTTTATTATTACTAACTGATTTCCGCCTGTTCTGACTCTCTCATCATCCTAGCTATTCTCTTACATTCCTCTTCATCCTTTATAATCCTCTGTTGTCGCTTGTATTCCTCGTGTCTCCACCGTCTTTCTTCTTCACGTTGAGCTTGGTAAGCAATTTCCTACACATAAAAACACGACAACATAATGAAGACAAAAACTAACAGGACACATCATAAAGTCATAAGGCCACCTCATCGCGTAGTTCCATATTCTGACGTAACTGATCTTCTCTTTGTTTACCATTGTGTCTGGGGCTGATTGCAGTATCATCAGAAACAACTTTGACGTCACTGCTACGATGCCTGGTAACGCCATCCTTTGGACGGACTTTGGTGTCATTAACAGAATTACCTTCATAGAATGTAACAGCAATGAAACACTAACACTTGAAACAATATCATATTTTGTCAAACATTTTATTATTACTAACTGATTTCCGCTTGTTCTGACTCTCTCATCATCCTAGCTATTCTCTTACGTTCCTCCTGATCCTTTTTGATCCTCTGTTGTCGCTTGTATTCCTCGTGTCTCCATTGTCTTTCTTCTTCACGTTGAGCTTGGTAAGCAATTTCCTACACATAAAAACACAACAACATAATGAAGATATAAAAAAATAACAGGACACATCATAAAGTCATAAGGCCACCTCATCGCGTAGTTCCATATCGTGACGTAACTGATCTTCTCTTTGTTTACCATTGTGTCTGGGGATGATTGCAGTACCATCAGAAACAACTTTGACGTCACTGTTAAGATCCGTAGTGACGTCATCCATTGAACGGACTTTTCTGTCAGCTTCAAATAAATTAACAGTAACAAACACTAGCACTTGATAAAATATCATATTTTGTGAAACATTTTATCACTACTAACTGATTTCCGCTTCCTCTGACTCTCTCAACATCCTAGCTATTCTCTTTCGTTCCTCCTGATCCTTTTTGATCCTCTGTTGTCGCTTGTATTCTTCGTATCTTCGTCGTTTTACTTCGTCATGCTGAACTTGGTAAGCAATCTCCTACAATACAAACATACAGAAAAGCGTTAGACATCTAATAGACAAAATCGTTATCCATCTGATTGCGCAGTGCATGTAAAAATGCTCAAAGTTAGAAAAGTATCAAATATTGTTGCACCTTTTACAGTCATAAAGCAAGAACAACTTTCAGCTAATCTTTCTCATGAATGGACATGTTACAACTATTATCTTCCAATACTCAACCAAAATGTTTGTGTAGGTCAAGTAAAATGCCCATATATGTTGTGAAATATATGAAAATAACTAGTTTATAGATTGTATAGTCTGTTGCTTACTTCATCTTGTATTCTTTGAATCTCCCTTTTCGTTTTTGCAAGATTTTCTTCTTCATCAATTCGCCTGCGTAACTCTTCTGTAAGCCATTCTTTATGCTCTCTAATTATTAAACAAAAAAACTTCATCATGTCAATGCACTTGACAACAGCATACTATAACACATAGTACCACAATACAACATCACAAAGAAACATAAATCAAACCACATCATACACAATCATGTCATACAACAACACACTAAAGAACACCAAATAACACATGACATGTCACAAAACTTTCGAAAAAGAAAATTTACTGAATGAAAAATTCATGTACATTTCAGCAACGCTTTCATCAGGAAGTATACCAGCACTCTTCACTTCTTCAAGGTAAGTTTCTTTTGCTGTTCTCACACCAGCTCGAACAGACTTCCGTTGCTCTTTGTTTCTAAGGGCATGATCCTTAACTAAATAAATTGTTCAGAATTATTTACATCAAGCATTCAGCTGCTAAGTTGTTCATCAACACACTAAATTCAAACATACATTCGTCTGACTGCATTTTGTAAGCCAGAGCTTTGTCTTCATGAACTTGAAATTTTTGTCGAACTGAAATGTAAACATAAATAGGAAAGCATTGCATGCTAACCACCATTAAAATGAAATTTGATCGAGTAGATAATAGCCAGTTTTTCTGCAGATAAATCACTATCTTAAACAGTACAAATCTATGCGATTCTGCTACATTGTACATTATGGAAGGTCAATACTTCGTTCAGAAGGCCGATTTCTACAATTTCAAAAGACTTTCAACGCAGCATATAATTAAAAACAGATTAATTTGTCGGGGTGTTCAAATATTTTTATAAAATTGACACTCATGAACATACAAAGCAGGGAAAATTTTATTTGCCGACTAAGAATTTCTACGTAAATTTTTAAAAGTATAGTATCATAATATGATTTGTCGAATTCTTCTACCTTCGCCAACTTTCCCACGCTCAATTGCATTTCTTCCTCGCAACGTCGCGACTTCATCATTACTGACTTCGCTTCTTGCTGCCATACGGATGACAAAATTATTTCATTACTTTCGAAGAAATCGTCGTTTTCAAAAACATCAAAATCGAAAAACAAATGGAATCGACTGACAATACTAATAACTTTAGAATGAAAGTACTTCCGGTTTCACTGTCCCAACCGACATTTCCGGTTGAACAAAAAAGAATGGTATAAGCAAAATTATTATTGAATAGGATTGTATGTGGGGTAAAATGTTGTCTTTTTATTGTCATTATTCCTGTTATCTCGTTTTGTATCAATTATTATTATTATTGTGATGTAAATTGCAAACACTGAAACACTATCGATAGAAATTCATAAATTTATTTTTATGGAAGCACGATTGAATTTCATTTTCACGTCTAAATTTCATACTCCCACGAGATCAACTATATTCACACGTTTTACTTTAATATAACTAATATTTACAAAAAAGAACAAAGGAAAACCCCCAAACAACTTTCATTCTTCTTTTACCCGTTCGTTGAAGCAAACATGAGCTCGATATTGGAAGACAGAGAAAAACTATACAGGTTGATGATCAGGTAAGATTAAGATGTCGAGCAAACAGAACCTTGCCACTTACTTTGCCTCGTTTCCTTGTACACATTTATAAGAATTAGAGTTTTTGAGCATTTATGTCATTCAAATCTCGAGACATTGATTTTTTGTTTGTTTCAACTTCAGCCAGTTGCGCTATGATGGTCTGGAGGATATTGCAATGCAACTCACACAAGAGGTCAGACCTAAAGTGCCATGTCCACCTTCTGCTCATCTCTTTCAACAAGTTAAAAAAGCAAGACATGCTGATGGTAGGCTAAATATATGATAGTAAAGCTAACTAAGAAGTACTTTCTTGCCCTTATTACCCAAGTCTGATGTTATAATATTTCTTTAGATTCAAATATTGATGCAAATGATGTGAAATTACCTGGACTAACTCCTCCAATCAGTACAACAAATGATGGATTTGATTTGGAAGTCATGCCAAAAGGCACGGATTGGTGATTAGTTACTAAATCATTTTATAAACTCTAATGTGTATTGTAAATTCTTTACACCTATACAATGAATGCATCATTTTTTTGTAAAATAGCAACAATAGATTGTTCTGTTCCTTAGCTGAGTTTACAATTGCATGTGCAAACCAATCTGAGCTCAATCAATTTAATCAATGAAAGAGAATTTGCAAATCAATTTTGCATCATTATTTTATAAAAGAAATAAAAGATGTTTTTCATGCTTACTCAGGCTTATGCAAACCTCAGAGACATTGGTGAGAGCTAAGGTGAAAACCTTCAACTTTTTGTGTCTTGGGCTTGCATTGATCTGCTCTTGAACCCAGTTTGTACTATCATCCACAAGACTGGTTTTTACATAAGAATCCTTGCTTTGTATAGAGGGTATGAAGACTCCTGAAATTGGAATGTATGAAACATATTACGTGACTGCCCATAAAGGACCATGTCGAGCGGCATGTTTTAATCGAGATGGTAAGACAAGTTTCTGTTTTTAACACTGTTTTTTTTCTCATTTGTGATATGCCATTTTATTGAGGTAGTTCTTTGTAGCAATGAACCTTTTAATTGTCTTGTTCAACTCTTAGGTAAATTAATTGCAACTGGATCTGCTGACTGCTCTATAAAAGTAACATTCCAATGAATTTTCAACGATGAACTATGACGCAATTTAGACTACGTCGTACTTATGAGTATTCTTTTGCAAAGGTCTTAGATGTTGATCGTATGATCGTCAAGACGACGACACCAAGCTCCAAAGATCACGGAATGCTGGGAATGGAAAACCATCCAGTTATCCGAACGCTATATGATCACGTTGAGGTAATTACACAGACTGGGACGAGTTGGATCACGTAATTTACCTTATGTTGGTCGCATGCGTTTCAAATGCTATATCTGGGCGTGTGGTGTGTTGTAAGTAGAAAATACTCCTAAAGCCTCAAGGTATTTGTGTGGTGGGCTATTTTATCGCTTGAATTCATAAACAACTATCCCACCATTAACTACATCATTAATTGGGCTCGTTGTCCATCTTGTTTATTCACGAACTTGCTGCATTACGTAATTCTTTTCAGGAAGTAACGACGCTTGCTTTTCATCCGTCATCGCCTGTGCTTGTGTCCGGTAGCCGAGATTTTTCCATCAAGTTTTTTGACATTTCCAAACCGTCTATAAAGAAAGCGTACAGAACGATACAGGTGACGATAAGTTAAAATTGTAGAGTACGATTTGCATCGAATTCAGAAGGATGGTAACGTCGAGAGTGTGGGAGATAAAAATTTGTTATTGTCTGGTTTATGGTCTTCACGAAGTAACTTGAAGATCAACCAATGTAAATTGAGAATATTCCGTAGTGCATGGTAAATTTTTATGAGAAATTACAATTCCAGGAAGTTGAAACGATTCGTAGTTTGTCATTTCATCCGTCAGGAGATTATCTACTTGTTGCCACGGATCATCCAACAAGTACGTCCATAACTTATCACATAACATTTTTTAACTTTACGTGCGAGCTCATTCGATAAACGTTTTTAATTTTAAGTTCGTCTCTACGACGTAAATTCGTTGCAGTGTTATGCTGCATGTAGTCCGAGAGAGTTCCATAATGGGCCAATTACACAGGTACATTGTCTGTGACGTCACATTTTTTTGCTCAATGCTGGAACCTTTCAGCTGACAAAATACTTGATGTAGGATAATTTTATGTTTTCAGGTCTGTTATTCCTTATCCGGGCATTTGTACGCATCGACCAGTAAAGATGGTTGTATTAAGGTAAGTCGATTGGTGAAGAAACGATTTGACTTGCAAGTCGTTTTTCTAAAACTGGGCCAATGTTATCGATCTCATTGATGAGTTTAAAATCAACTTAGGATTACTACAACTTTGACATTTCATGAATCAACTCGTGATTTATTTAGATTATCTTGAGACTGCCACATGATTTTTTAACAGTTTTTGTCCAAGGTGATTTATCAAAAACTGCATTGTGGAGTATATTTGATCGTTTTTTAGTAACCTCCAACCTTGAAGCATTGAACGTAGTTAAGTTTATGTACAAACTGACATTTCTTTTATTGACATATAGGTTTGGGATGGAGTCAGTAATCGATGCATTTCCACATTTCCAAACGCTCATAACGGAAACGAGGTAGAGCTTGTTATGGAGAAATGTTTCTTGTTCGTAATTCAGTGGCATTCACTAAGTTCCTTCAATCCACAGGTGTCGTCTGTGACATTTTCTAAGAATTCGAAGGTATTAAAACAATGGCTTGTTGAAAGATTTTCTTCCCAAATCTGCAAATTTTACACTTTATTATAGTACTTGCTGACAAGTGGCAAAGATTCTCTGATCTTTCTTTGGGAATTATCGTCAGGTATTTTTCAAGCCATTCTCGTAATTTCTTTATCTTTGTTTAGTATACAATGCACAAAAATATTGCTACACTGAACAAAACTATTGGCGATAAAATGAAATAATATCATGGCTTGAAACACACCTCCTGTATATTTCTCTTCTTTCTTCTCATAAGGCCGCGCTGTCAGTATGTACACTGGTGCCAAGTCTAACTCGCAGTATCCCGTTGGAGCATCTTTCAACCACACAGAAGACTACAGTAAGTTTACTTTTCAATTTGATATCACGGATCTGCCTTCGTGAAAAATGTGAAGGATATTAATTTTGTAAAAAGTCGAGTGACATTTTGTTCTTCTCTGGCTTTAGTTTTAATGCCTGACAGTGGCGATTTACACAATCCAAAGATAGCTTCTTGGGATGCTAGAAGTACAGAGAAACTTAAACTTCTCTCCTCAGGTACAATTTCAACAGTTTGTGAACATTTATGGATAGCCGTATCACAGGAATCCAGACTTTCTTCAGTAATGGTAAAACGAATGAGTTGGGGTGAAGGGAGTCGAGATTCAAGGGAAAGATGAAGAGAATTGAGAAGCTTATCGTCGCACTTACTAAAAAACAGGAGCTTATACATAAATTGGGGTTTTATATGAGGAAGCATGTATACTACAGCTACATTACTTTTGTTTTAAGGTCATACCAACACGATCAGCGGTCTTCAGCATTCGCCCACGGCATCTGCTTTCGTATCATGCAGTGATGACAACCGCGCACGGTTCTGGTATTCAGAGGGAATATGATTGACGTTACCGTATCAGAAACCACCATATGATCTACGTCAATGTGACCGAAATAAGATGATGACTGCGGTTGCTTTCTAACGCGTTTACATGAATTTGAATTGTGCTATAAAAAACTTTCTCCTTTCTGTAATTCAAAAGAAAAAGCTCGAGTCATCATTTTGAACATTTTATTGTTATATGCCATTGAGCAAATTCGCGACTCCACTGTGAAAAATATTGTTTTGAATACTTCCATAAAGCTTCAAGCTGATGCTTTTTAAATCATTCTCGCGCGTGTGTAGATTTTACTAAATTATTATGTCAAATAAATGTGCAATAAACCATCTATGTAAAGTTAATCATCTTTGCTTTGCAACTGCTTTGCTTTGGAACTGTTCATCGTTGCTTTGTCTCTTGAATAGTAGAATTGTGTGCATGCATTTGGTTAAAACATCATTGATATAGTCCCCTTTGCCTTATCATCTTTACCGTTTTAACTGTTCTTATTACAAGTGATAACTTTTTTGTTTGTACCGCTGTTTAGGGGTAATAATTTCATCCATTCAGCTTCCATCCGACCGTACGTATACCAGCCATTCGTCTATATGTCCGTCTACCATCTGTCTGTCTGTCCGCACGCCAGCCATCCGTCTGTTTCTCCGTCTGCCATGTGTCTGTTCCTCCGTCCGTACGCCACTTATCTGTCCGTCTGTATGTACGCCAGTTATCCGTCTGTCCGTCCGTTGGCCCGCCTGCCATCTGTCATGCAGTTTGTACTCCGTCTTTCCGTATCAGTGTTTTATACTAACCATCAATAATCAAATAGCTCACGCATTTTACCAAAAATGGACAAAAGATGTTCGCTGCGTCCGGAAAATGACGTTATCATAATTATGACGATCTGTGTAGTGTATATCTACGTTTATCGAAAACATTAGGGCTATATTCGTAGACACCCAACAGCGTGTTGTAAACATTTACCTAGTGTCTGATCGTTCAACAATCATCTTTACTGACAATAATCTAACGACGCCTTTGGTCATGACGACGCGACGTACCACCCTAAATGTCATGATTAACGTGCCAGCGAAGAGCTACGAAAAGAAGACTCCGCCAGCAACTTTACCAAAACCGAAGCGCTTTGCACCAGAAGAAACCACTGAACTTGACTTTCCTGCACCGCCACCCGAAGCTTACGAAGAGAAAACAGATACTAGCGCTGACTTGATCATGTCGGCGCTAAACCATGGGGAGGCAGAGGATGAATTGGACAAACTCACTGATTTATTGATGAAAAATCTCGCAAATACCGATGATCCTGATTTTTTTGGTACGTTAAATACCACATAAATTGCCACTTTTTCACATGATCGTGGAACTATGCTTATTGCCAAAGTATCCATCGCAAACATGTACTAAATAACTCCGTGGTATTGCAAACAACACACCAAGACGTTTCACAATAGCATTTTCAACGATAGACAACAACTGTTTTCAATTGGTTTTGTATCCTTGTATTGAGAGCGAAGTGTGAAACGACATATACTTACGATACGAATGATTTTTGACGAATTTAATATTTCTATGATCCTTGTCAAACTTTTGTACTATTGCAGAAACAGCCTTTACATGTGGTATATCTTGACTACAACGCACCCAACTACCTTATGTTTGTAAGAAGACTGAACATTTATCGTGCAAAAATATTCAATTCTGAGATGTAATTGTGTAAGGCTCTTCGGGGTAAAAGGTTAATCAAATAGCTTCAATCCTGTCGTCTGTAGTTACTGACATGAATTTGGAAATATTTTACATTGATAATAAGAAGTTGTCATCAACCAAAATTCTACGTTGGTTTGTATTGTTGCTAAGTTGTCTCTGTTTGTGTACTCAATTGATACATTTTGGTGGATTCAGTTATAGGTACACATGACAGACGTTGCAATTTTCGTTTGTTGTTTAATATATATGTATGCAAATGTACCTGTTGTCAAGGGGCTTAAGTTTTAATGTTTACTCTTGAAATAAACGAGTTCGTACAAAGCTATGTGAAATACACCGAATCATATTTACGACTTTTACACGCTCATGACGAGCAGTTTTAGAGAATAATAATTTGTAAGTCAAAACGTTCCTCAATCGCTTGCCGTTTGTCATGTGGATTATTTGCAATTTGATTCGATGCTAACTATATCGTAATTGTACTTAAACCATATTATCCAAATTGACTAGACGATAGTCCACTTTCGTTAATTTATGTCTCCAATTATTTTAGATGCACGTCATACCGCGGGTAAAGTGCCTTCGGAAGATCTATCCTTATACTTTAAAAAAAACAGACGAAAACTTTAGCATGTTTTTTCTCAATACAAAAACAAGGTGCTTTCTTTATGCAACAACAGAAGCGTGGACGAATGTTATATTAGCCCAATGTGTTAAATGATATTTTGACTGACTGTCAAACCTTTTTCTTCAGGCATATGCTACAAATGTGAAGGTAAAATCACTGGAAGCAAGGCTGGATGCAAAGCCATGGGCAATCTATATCATGTCACGTGTTTCGTCTGCGATATTTGTGGTAAAAAAACTCTTTTGCCATTCTTATCGTATTAGATATAGCTTTCAAAGTCGAACTGTCTTTTAGGCTGTCAATTGCTGAACAAGCCATTTTATCACGTGGACGATAAAATTATTTGCGAACCAGACTATATGGTTGGTGTCATTTTGTAACATAACTTATTTTATCTTTACACACGTACACCAGCTCATCGTCATGCACGTCATCAATATCAGTCATGTGATACATGTACCACAACCTGATGACTAAAAGAGTATTTGTCTTTTACAGAATACTTTAGAGAGATGTCATGTTTGCAAAAAAGTCATTAACGACCGAGTGAGTACATACTCTTTATTTGTCCAACGCGAGCTTATCTCTCACAATCAAGCGTCGTTTCGTTAATTATGACGTCATGGCATTAATTATGACGTCATTGCAAAACGAAAGCGCATATTTACGTTGATGTAAGATAAAGAACAAGCTAACGTAAACGTATTTGTTTAAATGACATATTTTGTGTTTAGACTTTCACGACTGTTACCAACGTTATTCATAATTTTATCTTTGGACTGTAGTCAGTCTCGTACTTGACTCATGAACTGAAGTAAAGTAATGTTTAGGAAGAAGTATGCCTAACGAATACTTGGACCCTGGGTTAAATATGTTGAAGAAGTTGAAAAGTTTCTAATATTGTACTCTAGTCAACATGTTAAAGACTTAGCTAATGAGTTAGTTTTGTATACTGCCACAGTGCCACTTATCATTTCCATCTTTTTATCTTACAGATCCTTTGGGCTTTGGACGCTGCGTATCACCCGGAATGCTTCAAATGTATTGATTGTGAACGTTGTTTGGATGGCATTAATTTTACCTTAGACGCCAACGACAACATTCACTGTGTTAATTGCTATTACAAGTAAGTGAACATTTCAGATAGTAGTCTCCAATACGCGTTTTCTTAAATTGCCTTATATCATTGTGAAGCTAAAAAGACGATGTTAATATTGTATTTCACATTTTATAGAAAATATTGTCCTCGTTGCTTTGCATGTAACGAACTGATTTTACCTGAGGAAGTAAGGCGGATCTATTTCGTGACATTTTATGCTATCAGTGAGGCAAATTATTCACACTCTATTTCTGTGTGATATTTCAGGGAACAGACGAAATCGTCCGAATTGTTTCGATGGACAGAGATTTTCATATTAGCTGTTTTAAATGTGAGGTATGAAAAATCTTTGTTTTTGCATTCATAGCTGAGAATTATCAATAAAACAACTTGACATTCCTGGAACTGCTTCAGGGTCGTACATTCGAGCGATGGTCTGAGAGGGTGTCCCTGACCCCTGATTCTATGAATATGTGTAAAAAGTCGATCCAGAAACGGATAGATGCGCCCCTGAACTGCTTTCTTGTTGCATATTCTCATGAAATAAAAAGGAGCATTTTCCTTTCGGGGGGAAGGGGTGTGCTCCTAACATATCATCATTGTAAAAGATTCATGTGGTAAAATGTGGTCAATGGACCAATAATATGGGAGCGCTATTTACGTAAAGTTAAGAAACAGTACTTACCGTATGTTATTGTCTTCTTTCAATCCGTATTGATGAGTTCAAGCATTTGAAACAGTCATTTTCTCTTTCTAGGATTGTGGTCTGCTACTTTCATCGGAAGAAGAAGGCAATGGTTGTTATCCTCTCGAAGGTCGTTTACTTTGCCAATCTTGCAATGCCAAACGCTTGGAAGAGATGAGCCAAGAATCCGGCTCGACACAGCATCCCCTTACTACGGAACTCTAACGATACAGCAAGAAAATGAAATATTTTCATTATATTTAAGTGTATACCTATGATAGATATTCGTAGCGTGAGGAATTCTGTGAATAATTAGAAATAAAGAAGCTGTATTTATGGCAGTGTAAGTTATGTTATACTTTTGGATGATTTTTTAATCTTATTTAAACATTTCAAGTCTGACAATCTCACTAGAAGTCACCACCATTTCTAGGCAATTTCGAGAATTATGTCTCCAAGTTGTGAGACAATTCACAATTGATCGAAGTAAACCAAACAAACTCACACGATAATAAAGTTTACCAAGATATATAAACCAAACACTCTAAAAATTATAATATATGTTCGTCACAGTACTGTTTGTATAGACCCGTGCCTAGGGGCGCAAAAAAATTTTGGGGCCCCAGATTTTTTTGGGCGAAAAAATTTTATTTCGACAATGAGATTAATTTAAGAAAGCAACTTTGCAATACGAAAACAAGTGCTACTTAGATAAATATAATTGTTCAGAGAAAAATACAACTTCAACTCTGGAAAAATATGTACCAAGAATGCAATCCGCGAGCGTTAAACAATGATATAAGTCCCAAAGTCAATAAGTGCCCAGGAGCCCAAAAAACCTTAATGCGGCCTGCTCTGTCTCGGTTACATACGTGACACTACTGAACTCGTTTCTCTTTCCCAACTATCACTTCTTTCTTTTGATAACATTGCATGTGGTGATCGGTTGTTGCGCACTTACAGACTTACTGTGTTTGAAATAAAGATTTTAATTACAAAGCTATAGATTTCTGTAGAGGAGCTATTGGTTCCTCATACTGTTGGATGGAGACAATGCCTTGAAAGCAGGTGTTTGGTAAATGATCTTATGAATAAGGTGGTGGCTAATATAAAAGTTGGATAGATATATTTATGTTTATTTATCAAATTATCACACGTGTACTAGATTATCAACCTATTGAAATTGAGAATGTATTAAAATATTTTGATCACGGTACAGCTTTTAAATGAATGTCCAGAAGTAATTCAATGGTTGTTCAATGAAAAAAAATGTTTTCACGTATATCTTTGCATGGTTTGATTAATTTGCATTGATTTTGCATGTCTTGCGCATGTCTTACGTCACTGGCCCTTGCCATTCGACATACCACGTGACCATTTTGACCAATTATAAAGCTTTATCACTTTCATCGTTCCCAGGCCATGTGGCAGTCCTCATGCTCGTTCCGCGCCATGTTTAAATTTTAAATTTAATACATGTGGTGTTTATGGATGTTCATCGTTATTTGTTGATAGTGTATAAAATATTATATAATATGCCGAGTTAATAACATTTATAGCATCACAATGAGTTCAAATTGTCTAAACACGACTATTTATTGCGAAGTTATGGGGAAACGTCGTTCAGGAACTCAGAAAAATGTTGACGACCGTTTAAGAGTTTAAATGGCAACAGCACTGTAGAATTTTCTATTACACAAGGTAGGATGGTAAGACATAAGGAATAAATATCAACAGCTTATTTACCATGGATTCAAAGCTTAACAGTTTCCTAAAAATACTTCCGAATATTTGTAAAATTATATTGCATGAAATGAAGATGTGACATGTTTTAATGCTGGTAATACACGTACAAGAGCAAGTTTCTTCAAAGTCATAGATTCCATTTCTTTAGTCATCTTTCGTTAATGAGCAGAAAATTACAATTCTCGTCTTTACTCCCGTTAAGACACCAACTTTACTTTGCACAACCATAAATCTTTTAAATACGTTGTACCTGTCGTCGCCTTTGTGTGCAGTCTTCTCCATCATACATGAACGACGTCTGTTTACCTTGACGGGTCGTAGTTCATAAATGGCAAAAACTTGAAGTGAATAATGTCTTTTTGCATGCTGTTATGCATATCATCATGTATTTGTTCACATCATTTCATTGTTTGTACATTAACAAATTACCGGATGTCTAACAAATCTAATCCGAAAAACAATAGCTAGTGTTACAAAACAAAAAGGTATGTTATCCCATCATTAAATATACGTAAAATGCAAACAATTGACCATTGTTTTATGTTATTACGCAAATAATTAAACATCAAAATTTACATTGCCTATCAAATAAAGGAAGCGTTAAGTTGTTCGCTTAGCCATAGAAGCGTTAAGATGTTGTTGACTTCAACTTTTGGCACTTATAAATAACGTTGAGGCGTTTTGGAAACGGATGTATGTCACTATAAACTTAAAGATGATTATTCAAAGTTAAGAATGTTAAATAATCCGAACATTTACGCCTACGTAGTACGTTCGGTTAATAATGAGCGACATGAGTTCATCGATTATTTATGCATCATGTTTGTGATGTGTAAGCAGACGATCAGATACAAAGGTCGATTATGACATATCTTACCATGGATTTCCTAATGCACATTATGTATGTTGGAATTCATAGTAAGAAAAAGCAAAATAATAGAGATCGATTTTGCTTGCTCATTGCATGTGTGGTTTGTAGATTACAGTAAACGTAATGCACTTATTTATATTGCAAAAAAATAAAACTGCAAATCACAAAAAATAGCCTTGTAACATATGTGGACACGTTGCATGTTCCTTACATGAAGTATGTATTGTTTTGTATAGTTAAGTTACAAAAAATATGTTAAAAGTCCTAATTTTTGTTATGCATCATCGACCAGCAGCAAAAGTATGGTGGCCACCTTGCGTGCCTTCTCCGTCCGACGTCCCAGTTCAATACCAACCTGTCTCTGCGAAGATACTACGTCTAACCAAGTCTACTAACGCCAACGTGCAAGTTAGATAGTGTGTCTGAAAGATGAGTGATGGTGGGGAATGATGGTGAAAGGTGAAGAAGAGAAGTGATGGTAAGTAAATAAATTGAATTATGTTCATAAATTTTCACGAAAAATTTTGCTAAAGCTCTTTGAACCCGCGGTCAACAGCGTTGAAAGCGGGAGTATTTCTCTTGATCTAAATTGTTACGATAATTTTATGATTTAGAACTTCTATTTAACCTTCTTTATGCATTTTAATAAAATACGATTGCTGTTATGCAAAAACACCATTTGGCTGTTGAACCAATAAATCATGCAGTGACACAGGGCAATCTTTGCACTATAGACTTCATGAAGGGTGTTTTATGATATATTAGTTTATTTTGACATATGAACATGACATTTATTAATTTCACTTTGATAATTGTGATATCAACAAAGTCACGGAAAAATTGACTTTGGTGTTTTGAAACGAATGCGTTCTCAACAAGTTCGTTTAAGGCCATAGATTTCATTTCTTGTCAAGTTGCATTCACAGATGTCGACAATCTTGTTTTTTATCAACACGTTCAAATACTTCGTCTTTCGGTAATGAGCAGAAAATTAACGATTCTCGTCTTTATTCCAGTTAATACACCAATTTTACTTTCATCACCATAAATGTTTTGAATACGTTGTACTTGCTACCTTCGTGTATAGCCTTGTATCATCTTATATAAACGACGTCTGTTTACCATGACGCCTTGTAGTTGATAAATCCTAAAACTTGAAGTGAATAATATCTTTATGCATGGTGTTATGAATATCAATATGTATTTGTTCCACCTGATAATTTAACATTCATTGTTCGTACTCGAACAAATTACCGAATGTCTTTTAAAACTAATCCTAAAACAATTGGTAATGTTGTTAAACAAAAGAACTATGGTATCCTATAGTTTAATATACGTTAAATGCAAATGAATTGACTATTGTTCTATGGTATTAGGCAAATCATTAAACTATAAAATTTATTCAACCTATGAAATAAAGCAAGCGTTTCTTGTTCGCTTAGTCACAGACGCATCTATATGATGTAGACTACAAGTCTTGGCACTTGTAACTAGCATTAAGGCTTGTTGTAAACCAGAGCATGTCACTATGAACTAGAAGATGGTTCAGCACACGGCAATTCATGATATTGTGCCTACTTTATTCATCTTCTTTCTTCGTCTCAGAAACATCAATTGTTTAGAATGGAATGATTTGACATGAAAATCGGAGCAAGCCTTTGACTCCTAGTTATATCATGTTGTCGAAGACTATTGCCAAACACATTTTAAGTGAAAGTTTTAATAAACATTTTGAATAGACGACAATATTTTTCGGTTTGAAATTTTCTATCAGGAACATGCTTCTACTTAACTCCAAGATCATATTGTAGAAAGCATTAAGTAATAAAAAAGGATAAAGTCTTTATTTTCAAGAAAAGAGAATGGTGAAATATGCCAAAAAATTAGTAGTATTCGTTGTTGAGCTTCTGGCTCAACGGGCTTTGACTGACCTCCAATGCACGAGGTTCTTGGTTCGTTCCGCGGTTGCTGTCGGTATGAGTTAAAGGGTTGAGTGCAAGGTTGAGGTTAGGAGAGAGTTTAAGGGCGGTCTGTTTGCCCTGAGGTTCTTGACTATTAAAAATATGACTCCTTACGTTTGTAAGGAGTCATAGAAAAATTTGATCAAAAGACTTAGTTTTTTTAGGGCAAAAATTTGTGCATGGATCCTCTTGCTTTTATTTAGAGAGGGATTTTTTTCTGAAAATATACTAAGTGTCGCATTCCATTCTCTAAAAACTTAGCAAGAGAAATCTCATTTGCACACTTTATGTGCAGTATTACCCTCCTTATCCTCGCTTGCTCTGCTACCCTCGCTGACTCCGGTATCCTGACCAGTTTGACTATCGTTCATCACAAGTTCAATGCCCAACACCATACGACCCTCGAAGGATTCGAACCTCACACCTCAACCTGAGAAACCTGACCACTTGCACTCGACCACTGAGTGCGTTGAAGAATACCTCGAAAATTTAGTCTATTTATAGTGGAACACGTGATGAAAGTAATAAAAAAATATATTCTATTAAGTAAACAATCAATGAAACAAACTAATACACCATAAACTTTTTTCAAGAATCTAAAAGAACGGTTGGAGAAACGAACTAAATTTTTATGATATTAAACTTCATAAGATGTAGGATAGAACAAAAGTAAATATATAGCATAATACAGTCATTTAGTCAAATTAAGTGTAACTTAATTTCAACCAACTGAACATTTACACCATTTGAGGGTTGCTTCAGTAAACAAATGAGTGTTATGATGATTATTCCTCAATATCTTTTATAAATATACAAAATATACACGAACAACACGTTCATTACTTAATACTAACAATGTACAGAAATATTCAATATTCTATTACATACTAGGCAACGGCTGATTTGACTTAGTTCTAACAAACTTCGAAATGTTTTGTGGTCTTGATACTTTCCTCGCTTTCTTTGTTTGAGAGTTTCCTAGAAAGGGCAACAGAACGGTAGAGCGTCCTCCAAGTCCGTTATATCCACGGCGCATTCGTCCTGTGTTCTCTAAATTGGCATACGAACGCTTTCTCCTCTTCAGATAAGCACCAGGGTAGACTGGGGAGGCGAATTCAATCTTGCTCACTTCACTATGAAAGAAAATATTGTAAGGGCAAAGTGAAGAGCGGGGGGAGGGGTACTGTATTTAATGTACAGATTTTTGTCTATTTTGTGTCTTCCTTTACGTCTACCTTTATGTCTACCTTTATGTCTACCTTTATATCTGCCTTTATGTCTACCTTTATGTCTACCTTTACGTCTACCTTTATGTCTACCTTTATGTCTACCTTTATGTCTACCTTTATGTCTACCTTTATGTCTGCCTTTATGTCTACCTTTATGTCTACCTTTATGTACCTTTATGTCTACCTTATGTCTGCCTTTATGTCTACCTCTACCTTTATGTCTACCTTTATGTCTACCTTTATGTCTACCTTTATGTCTACCTTTATGTCTACCTTTATATCTACCTTTATGTCTACATTTATGTCTACTTTTATGTCTACATTTATGTCTACCTTTATGCCTACATTTATGTCTACCTTTATGTCTACCTTTATGCCTACATTTATGTCTACCTTCGTGTCTACCTTTATGTCTACCATTACGTCTACCTTTGTCTACCCTATCAATTGTTTTCTCTGTCCTCTGTTGAGGATCGAACCTTTGAAGTAACCTACTAACATTATGAAAACACACGGTAACACATGCACGTCGTCAGATGTTCAATCATTTTATGCTCATTTCTTTTAATACAAGTTTTAAATCGTCAATCTTAAATGCTGTTCCCGATAAAGATACATGCAGGATCAGGGAAAAAAGACGCACCTTCATCAGTGTTTTATCATATTTTCATAATTCATAAAAATATGATAAAACACAGCAATGGCATGAGCTGAGATTCAAATTCGAACAAAAATTTGAGGACAAATAACAACTGTAAAATAATTTGATGAGGGTGTTACACACGAGCTTAAAACATCAAAAAGTTTACCTTCTTTCCTTTCACTTTCCTCTTTGTTGCTCACCGTATGCGAAGAAAAACTTATATTTTCATCTAATTTAATAGGAACAGGGCTACAAAATGTAAGAAAATGAAACTTGCCTGAAAAGTGCGTCACACTTCAGTTGTAAATTCAAAGTGATACCTTTCTTGCAAGAGTCTATTGATGAGGGTAGAACGAGGACTTTCCGTATCAAATGATTCCTTCATCTTGTCTACTTTCTTCTTTAAATGCTGTTAATAAAAACACGACGAACTATTTTTTAGTACAGAATCATCGAAAATTTGATAAACGGTAAATTAAAATTCACAAAAGACAACCGTGATTAATTCAATAGTCATTCAATTAGTCATGCAATTAATTTTTCTCGACAACATAAATCTAGAGAAATGAAAATGAAATCAGGACTGGAAAAGTAATATCAATCGTACCTTTTTTTCTTCCTCTATCTCATTAAGTTGATCGTCTTGCGTTTCTAACTTTTTCCTTAAGTTTCGACATTCAACGTCTTTGGAAATTAGCTGCGATTGTCAGACAAGCCGTTACTATGTGTCTCGGACGAGAATAATTTGCTATAAGCCGCTTGAATTCTTCAAGACATTGACAACCTTAAGATACCTTTACAGGCTTTACATACCTAGCCACGTCTCTTAACACCTCTTTACCTTACCACCCCTTCCTCCACCTACTTAAATAGCAAGCCCCTTTAACAATTTCCTTACCTAGCCTTCTCTCTCCCCACCTCTTTACCTAGCCACCTCCCTTCTCCGCCATATTACCTAATCACCTCCTTCCCTAGCCATCTCCCTTCTTCCACTTCCCTTAAGCTGTACTATAGGCAAACTGTAGAAAAAGAATGCAAAAGTAACGCAAAGTATCATGTAAATGTTAAACCTGATGTCTCAGAGAATTGTAATCCTTTTCAATTTGAGCTTTTTCGTTTCGTGCTTTATCCTTTGCCTCTTGAAATTTCTTGTTCTCACTACGATACAAGATCGATATCCAATGAGATTTTATGTTTCCACATACGATTAAAACAAATGCCTACTGTTTCATGATGGTGACTTGCGCGGCCAGTTCTCGAGCAGTTTTTGGACTTGTCCCAATGGTCTTTAACAAATCATCAACTTCCGTACGAGTGCCTTCGATCATAACCTGAAATCTACAACGTCATAGATAATATGAAATATGAATGAATATCACTAAGACTGACCATGCAATAAAATTCCAACATCTTCAGGCTGGCAATCACAAGTAATCGAGACATTCCAACGAAAACTTAAAGCTTGGAATGTCTTTTTTAATCACGTTCAGTGGTCTTCAATACAGCTAATGGTTCCATGTATAATGATTTAGTGCAGTAGATCAGTAAAAATAAGCTCAGTATAGGCAAGACAACAATCGACTATTTACAGTGACCTTACACTAGTCCTGTACAGTTAATTTTAACATACGTAACGATAAAAAGAATTACTGATGTAGTTTTAGTCAATGACTGCAATATTATAACTACAAAGGTCTCCTACCTTTCTAAATGAGATAGATTTACTCTCATCGATTCTAATTGCTTTTCCAATTGATTCATACGTTTTGTTTTTTCTGTCAAAAACTTGACTTGTTTCTACAAAACGTCATACCAAGATTACAATTGAGCGAATGAAAATCAATACTTGAATGCAAATGTAGACAAAAGCAGAAGACGGAGAAGAGTTAAAAATTTCAAAAGCTTTAGCAGCAAAGCAAACAAATGTCCACCAAAGGTTTCATTTGCAGTTTCATTAATATCCTTTCAGTTTCGGTTGCAATCTTTTTGCAGTGAGAAGACCTTGGTTCGCTGCATGTGGTGTAAAATTTCAAGACAGACTTGGTTCCAAAATGATACAGCCCTTAAAAACAATTCTTTCCTCAATATTCTAAAGCTTTCAACTTGTAATAGCTCATAACTTTCCTTGTGGTTTAGGAGATTGAGGATTTTAGAAAAGATAGAAGCAAAGAAAAAGTAATGGAACAGAATTTTTCATGTAAAGAGCCAAGAAACTCCCAAAGTGTGGCATTCAAAAAGATTTTGATAAATTCCACCAATGATGAACAAAAGGTTGAGTACTTTGGAAACGGTACAAAAGAGAGAATGTTGGCATTTTGTTCATGAATGATTATAACTCCATCATATATTATACTTCAAGAACATTTCTAGCTGATTTGTTTTTCAAACCTTGAGAGAGTCAACAGTGTTTGATTTTTCATCAAATTCTCTTTTTAGTGTTTCGTTTCTTTCGCAATATTCATCAAACCTGACACCAATATCATGAAGTGATTCTTTCAATGTCTTTATTTCATTGTCTAGTAATTATAAGAAACAAATTGCAAATACCTAGTAACCATTACATTACAAAGTACACATACATACATTAAAGTCATGAACTAGAAAGATTTTAATAGCAAAAAGCAATTGAAAATTTTAATTTGTAACAAAGTTTGAAATGTCACAAAACATTTAAATCTGTACTAGATCACCTTTCTCAAGAGTCAATGCCTTTTGTTTGCGAAGTTGTTCCTAAGTAGAGCATTAAAGAATTTATCTACATCATTGAGCTACTACATACAATAGTGCAGCTTCAAATGTCATAAGAATATTTTTCTAATGGAAATTTCCTCTCATTAAGTGTGAATGTCGACAGAATTTTTAAAATACACACATACAGTTATCAATTTTGAATCATTTCCATTTTGTGCACCACTTGATGAGAAATCTTTTTCATTACTAAAAAACAATCTTAAGCCAGATGTAGTTCTTTTACGACAAGTTGGACATGAGTTGCTTCTTTGCAACCACCTCTCAAGACTAAAAAAGAAATTAAAAATTCATTCAGCATCAAAGTAAAAAAATATACATTAATGTTGTAATTGCAACAGTACTATATGCTCAGTAGCAATTAAAATACATTCAGCCTGGATAAGACATAAATTAGGAAAACTATAGACAACAATATTTAACAATAAGCGACATTTTTAAATACTTAAAGCACTCTTAGTAAAGACAGCAGTCAGAAATATGATCAGGTTTAAGTTTTAACATTAGATCACTCCAGATTAGATCATCACATTAAACTATAATATATATGGTCTTGTACTTTCTTGCAAATATTTGGCTTGATTAGACTTGGTTTTATATTTTTCAGTCTTAAGTCCTACTTACCAATGATAATGATAAACGTGTCCACCTTTGACAAATTTTTGAAGGAAAAAAATGAAGGAAACAAGAGTAAATGAATATTATTTTATACAAGTCTCTCAAAATTTCAAAGATTATTCCTGACGTTGTAAAAGTATCAAATGATAGTAAATATAACCAATGTACAAGACATTTCAAGAGAATAATTAAGCAAAAGGATACAAGGACAAGCTGATAGTTCAGCTTGTGCAAGTGGTTCTGTACATATTGTGCAAGGCCATTCAGGCATCTTCTCCACTGATCTGCACTTTATAAGCTTTTCTTCATGTCAAATCAAACGACAATGCACAAAAATGGTCTACTATTGCGAAATAACGACCAGTTTGTTTGCAAAATTATCTTGCATGGTTAACAATATTTTGGAATGACGCGCGCTTTTGAAGTTGCGAATAAAATGCTCACAATCATTCGCTGACCTTTCGTCTTCGTACTGATGGCTCACAGAAGAAATAAAGACGTCTTTTTAGATAAGTTTGCTCAAGTTCTCTCCATGAAGTTCTTTCAGAATACAAATTCTTTCATTTATAATTAGAAATAATGGTACATTACATTCACAACCACGCATAGGGCAAAAATATATGATATTTACTTTGAAGAATACGACTTTAATACATATAAAATGGAACATGGGCGGATGAGCGCATGGGTTGGGTCGTTAACAGGTTGTATAAGGTCTTCATTTCCATGGGAAAGATATTACTGAAATAACTAGTATGTTGTTTTAAAATTTCTCTGACCAAAACAACATTTACTTTTAAATGATAAAATCTATAACTACCAATATTTTTATCACCTGAGATAAGTTTTTACAATACGTCGGGCGGATATCTTTGTCATTAAATTGTTCAAACTTCTCTCTAACAGAAAACCTTTCAAAGCAGTACTTTCCAGATATATTTAGTGTGGCACCTTCATCAGTAATTGGAGATGTTGATAAGCACGCTCAGCTGCTCTAGACTTTGCAATTTGTTCAGTTTCACCAGAACCATGAGTAACAATGGGATAGTTAACTTGGCCAGAGTCAAAAGTCAATTTAAGAAATACTTGATGGAAACCTTTCTTGCTTTTACTTGGCAATGGAATAAATTCACTTTTAAAGTGTTGACTGTTCCTCAAACTTTCAAGTTTAATGATTGAATAATTGTCATAGAGTAAATTATCTTTGCATGCATTGGTAACATTTGGTTCAGAGGAAAGCGTTGATATTTCAGAACCGCTTGAGTTATAGTCCTCCAAATCAGAATCATTCAAAATCTCTGGTGATGATTGAGTGTTTGATGATGAAGGCGATTTGTTGGACAACAGCGTCTGTCAAAAAATAATCAAATTGATATGTGATGAAAACTAAACAATCATTACACAAACAAACAAAAACTTGCAATAGCACATTTGCTAGGGTACTAAAACAATGCTTTTGGAGTAATTGCTGGCCATTAATGACCTGTCCACTACGCAATCTTTGAAATTTACTAATTTAAACATGTTTTGTTTTACCCCAATATCAACTTCATCACAACCATATCCTTCATCATCATCACCATATCCATGTAGAAGATCCAACATTTTTTCTGCTGCTTGTTTTTTTGCAGCCTTCTTACTTGATCCCACTCCAGTGCATTGAAGGTCAGACATCATCTTCAGAGGAAAAAGGAAACTTAACATTTAAATGATAGGAAAACAGCCACAAGATGCTTATCAATGGTAATACAAATAATCTTCCCATATTTTGCAATTAAGATCTATTAACATGATGAACATGTCAATTCTTGAACATATGTGTTCCCTTTGTACTAACATAAGATCAAATATCATTCAGATACCTTCACAAGACAGGTGAATGTTTTGGAATGTGCTAAACCAGTCGGCTCACAAAATTCATACACAGGCAGTGACCATTTTCTGCTAGCAGCAAGATTTTGCAGCTCTCCAATAGTGTTTCTATTTGATGGTGTCTCAGGGGAGCTCCCAGTTGCCAATGATATCTGAAGAAGTTTGTTGAGAAGTAATATCAAAGCCTAATGTGATACAACATCTCTTAATATAGAGATACTCTTCCTTCGTGGTTTTTATGGGTAAATATTTTCTAACTACCATGTCATGTACACAAAAATTATGGAATGCAATGATACAGACATACGGTGACATATGCAGGTATGGTTTTGAACGATGCAATTTGATTTCCGAGCATTAAAAACTAAAAAAACTGGTGTTAACGTAAGTCTTAAAACTTGGACGAGCAATGTCAAAATCCAATATAGAAAGATGTAATCCTAAGTCCTTAATTTGCTCAACTGTCCTTAACTTTCTGATAACTCACCGGTGATAAAAATGGACTTTCCCCAGGTGTTTTCACTTTCGTAGAATTTGGTGTAGGATTTGTTAGAGGGTCTTTACTTTCACTTTCGATAAGTTTAATCAATTTCCATGCCGAATTCTGCTTTGCTTCTTTTTTACTTCCAGCAACACCAACTGCTTGTAAATCGCCAAGTTTAACAATATTCTTGAATGGTGTATTCGACCATATCAAGTCTTTTGCCTCTTTGAAATCGGCTACCATTCCCATCTGGGTGGCTAGCTCCATAACAAGGCTTACTGGCGTCTTGTCATCTGTTTTCAAATTTCTCAAAAATTCTCGCGCTCGTTCACGATTCAGAGTTCTATGGGCCATTCTAAATCGAAATTTACAGAGGCATACTCAATATTTTAGTATAAAACTTCGGGCATTTTGGTTAGAGACTGACAGCATGCCATCTTGTATCGAAGGGGATTCGAAATTTCGAATGCTATCCAGGGCGATACTTCATTTTACTTCAAATGAAAGCATGCATTGCAATTTGAGACGTAATTCTATTAATGCCCATGTATGGAGAGTTGTACAGAGAAGTCAGCATTAGGCTCCCCATGTACAGTTGTACAGAGACCTCAGCATTAGGCTACCCATGTAGAGTATTTCATATTAGTCAGCATTAGAATATTTTATTCTAAAGTATTGCATTTCTCACTTTTTATCCATGTTGTTTTCATTCAATTTCATCACTATCGATTGTCCTTCAGCATTTGTTTTTGAATATCTTGGAATGGCTCCACCTGGACCGAAGCAGTTCCTTATGGAGCAAACATGTTTAGGTTGGTAAACACAAGAACTTCTCCTAGCTGAGCCATGTACTGCAGCCGAGACACCAGAGGCTAGATCAAGGATGTCAGCAGTTGGCTTGGCATACGTTCCCAAAATTCCCTTACCAATACCTTGAAAAAAGCCCTATGGAAGTATTGCAAATGAAATCAAAAGAAAGATGACTGAATGCAGGGTATTAAAAGAGCACACTACAATCCAACACCATAGACCTCTCAAAAAGTTTACTTTACATGAAGTACTCACAGGGACACCCTTCTCATTGGCTCCTTCAGTCGGTTGAGTGACGATACTGGTAAGATCACCCATAAAACCCATGCCCAATCCTTTGATCCCAGCCACGAGATGATCTCCACTGCTCTGACATTGACGTTCGGCTTTCATCGCTTCTCGACTTTCTAACGACTTGGAGTCAGAGCTGGCCGACCACAGACTGTCCGAGAGGGAGCCAGTAAGCTTAAAAAGAAATCAAAAACTTTCAAATCTTTGCATGTGTTTAACAATGGAATAGTTAACTTTGGCCAGAGTCAAAAGTCAATTTAAGAAATACTTGATAGAAACCTCTCTTGCTTTTACTTGGCAATGGAATAAATTCGCTTTTTAAGTATTGACTATTGCTCAAACTTTCAAGTTTAATAATTGAAGAATTGTCATAGACTATATTATCTTTGCATGCCTTGGTAACATTAGGTTCAGAGGAAAGCGTCGATATTTCAGAACTGCTTGAGTTATACTCCTCCAAAGCAGAATCATTCAAAATCTCGGGTGATGATTGAGTGTTTGATGATGAAGGCGATTTGTTGAACAACAGCGTCTGTCATAAAATAATCAAATTGATATGTGATGAAAACTAAACAATCATTACACAAACAAAAAAAAACTTGCAATAGCACATTTGCTAGGGTACTAAAACAATGCTTTTGGAGTAATTACTGGCCATTAATGACCTGTCCACTACACAATCTTTGAAATTTACAGTAAACATGTTTTGTTAAACACGTTTCAAAACATGTTTACTGTAAATGTTGTCCACTACAACATTCATAAAACATGTTTTGTTTTACCCCAATATCAACTTCATCACAACCATATCCTTCATCATCATCACCATATCCATGTAGAAGATCCAATATTTTCTCTGCTGCTTGTTTCTTTGCAGCCTTCTTACTTGATCCCACTCCAGTGCATTGAAGGTCAGACATCATCTTCAGAGGAAAAAGGAAACTTAACATTTAAATGATAGGAAAACAACCACAAGATGCTTATCAATGGTAATACAAATAATCTTCCCATATTTTGCAATTAAGATCTATTAACATGATGAACATGTCAATTCTTAAACATATGCATTCCCTTTGTACTACCACAAGATCAAATATCATTCAGATACTCAAGATTAAGACAGTTCTACAAAACATTACAAGTAACATTTGATCAAAATGGCAAACTATGGTGTAAATACCTTCACATGACAGGTGAATATTTTGGAATGTGGTAAACCAGTCGGCTCACAAAATTTATACACAGGCGGTGACCATTTTCTGCTAACAGCAAGATTTTGCAACTCTCCAATAGTGTTTCTATCAGATGGTGTCTCAGGGGAGCTCCCAGTTGCCGATGATATCTGAAGAAGTTTGTTGAGAATATCAAAGCCTAATGTGATACAACATCTCTTAATATAGAGATACTCTTCCTTCGTGGTTTTTACCGGTAAATAATGTTCTACTACGTCATGTACACAAAAATTATGGAATGCAATGATACAGACATACGGTGACATATGCAGGTATGGTTTTGAACGATGCAATTTGATTTCCGAGCATTAAAAACTAAAAAAAACTGGTGTTAACGTAAATCTTAAAACTTGGACGAGCAATGTCAATATCCAATATAGAAAGATGTAATCCTAAGTCTTTAATTTGCTCAACTGTCTTCAACTTTCTGCTAACTCACCGGTGATAAAAATGGACTTTCCCCAGGTGTTTTCACTTTCGTAGAATTTGATGTAGGATTTGTTAGAGGGTCTTTACTTTTATTTTTGATAAGTTTAATCAATTTCCTTGCCGAATTCTGCTTTGCTTCTTTTTTACTTCCAGCAACACCAACTGCTTGTCAATCGCCAAGTTTAACAATATTCTTGAATGGTGTATTCGACCATAGCAAGTCTTTTGCCTCCTTGAAGACGGCTACCATTCCCAACTGGGTGGCTAGCTCCATGACAACGCTTACTGGCGTCTTGTCGTCTGTTTTCAAATTTCTCAAAAATTCTCGCGCTCGTTCACGATTCAGAGTTCTATGGGTCATTCTAAATCGACATTTACAGAAGCATACTCAATATTTTAATATAAAATTTCGCGCATTTTGGTTAGAGACTGACAGCATGCCATCTTGAATCGAAGGGTTCGAAATTTCGTATTATATTCAGAGCGATACTTCATTTTACTTCAAATGAAAGCAGGCATTGCAATTTGAGACGTATTTCTATTAATGCCCATGTATGGAGAGTAGTATAGAAAAGTCAGCATTAGACTGCCCATATAGTGTAGTATAGAAAAGTCAGCATTAGACTAACCATGTAGAGTATTTCATATTAGTCAGCATTAGAATATTTTGCTTTAAAGTATTGCATTTCTCACTTTTCATCCATGTTGTTTTCATTTAATTTCAACACTATCGATTGTCCTTCAGCATTTGTTTTTGAATATCTTGGAATGGCTCCACCTGGACCGAAGCAGTTCCTTATGGAGCGAACATGTTTAGGTTATTAAAGACGGGAACTTCTCGTATCTGAGCCACGTACTGCAGCTGAGACACCAGAGATTAGATCAAAGATGCCAGCAGTTGGCTTGGCAAACGTTCCTAAAATTCCCTTACCAATACCTTGAAAAAAGCCCTATGGAAGTATTGCAAATGAAATCAGTAGAAAGATGACTGAATGCAGGGTATTAAAAGAGCACACTACAATCCAACACTATAGACCTCTCAAAAAGTTTACTTTACATGAAGTACTCACAGGGACACCCTTCTCAATGGCTCCTTCAATCGGTTGAGTGATAATACTGGTAAGACCACCCATAAGACCCATGCCCAATCCTATGATCCCAGCCACAAGATGATCTCCACTGCTCTGATGTTGACGTTTGGCTTTCATCGCTTCTCGACTTTCTAACGACTTGGAATCAGAGCTGACCGACCACAGAACGTCCGAGAGGGAGCCAGTAAGCTGAAAAAGAAATCAAAAACTTTTAAATCTCTGCATAGATTTAACAATGGGATAGTTAACTTTCGCCAGAGTCAAAAGTCAATTTAAGAAATACTTGATGGAAACCTCTCTTGCTTTTATTTGGCAATGGAATAAATTCGCTTTTAAAGTGTTGACTGTTGCTCAAACTTTCAAGTTTAATAATTGAAGAATTGTCATAGACTAAATTATCTTTGCATGCCTTGGTAACATTTGGTTCTGAGGAAAGCGTTGATATTTCAGAACTGCTTGAGTTACACTCCTCCAAATCAGGATCATTCAAAATCTCTGGTGATGATTGAGTGTTTGATGATGAAGGCGATTTTTTGGACAATTCGGTCTGTCATAAAATAATCAAATTGATATGTGATGAAAACTAAACAATCATTACACAAACAAACAAAAAAACTTGCAATAGCACACTTGCTAGGGTACTAAAACAATGCTTTTGGAGTAATTACTGGCCATTAATGACCTGTCCACTACACAATCTTTGAAATTTACAGAATACATGTTTTGTTTTACCCCAATATCAACTTCATCACAACCATATCCTTCATCATCATCACCATATCCATGTAGAAGCTTCAACATAATTTCTGCTGCTTGTTTCTTTGCAGCCTTCTTACTTGATCCCACTCCAGTGCAATGAAGGTCAGTCATCAGACAGATCAGAGGAAAAAGGAAACTTAACATTTAAATGATAGGAAAACAACCACAAGATGCTTATCAATGGTAATACAAATAATCTTCCATATTTTGCAATTAAGATCTATTAACATGATGAACATGTCAATTCTTGAACATATGTGTTCCCTTTGTACTACCACAAGATCAAATATCATTCAGATACTCAAGATTAAGACAGTTCTACAAAACATTACAAGTAACATTTGATCAAAATGGCAAACTATGGTCAAAATACCTTCACATGACAGGTGAATGATTTGGAATGTGGTAAACCAGTCGGCTCACAAAATTCATACACAGGCGGTGACCATTTTCTGCTAACAGCAAGATTTTGCAGCTCTCCAATGGTGTTTCTATTTGATGGTGTCTCAGGGGAGCTCCCATTTGTTAGAGGGTCTTTACTTTCACTTTCGATAAGTTTAATCAATTTCTTTGCCGAATTCTGCTTTGCTTTTTTTTTACTTCCAGCAAAACCAACTGCTTGTAAATCGCCAAGTTTAACAATATTCTTGAATGGTGTATTCGGCCATAGAAAGTCTTTTGCCTCCTCGAAGTCGGCCGCCATTCCCAACTGGGTGGCTAGCTCCATAACAAGGCTTACTGGTGTCTTGTCATCTGTTTTCAAATTTCTCAAAAATTCTCGCGCTTGTTCACGATTCAGAGTTCTATGGGCCATTCTAAATCGACATTTACAGAAGCATACTCAACATTTTAATATAAAACTTCGCGCATTTTGTTTAGAGACTCACAGAATGCCATCGAATTGAAGGATTCGAAATAGAAGGAATCGAAATTTCAAATGCTATCCAGAGCGATACTTTATTTTACTTCAAATGAAAGCATGCATTGCAATTGTAATACTATATGAATATAAACATTTTATTTGAGACGTAATTCTATTAAATACAATCAATTCGTACATCTCTAAAGAGTTAAAAATCCCTCTTCGAAGCAATTGTTAATTTTTATTTTTTCTTGCTCTTCTTGTTCTTTTTGCTTGATTTATCATTCTTTGTTTCATCAGAACTTTTCGCTCTGTCGTCCATACTATGGTGATCATTTGTAACCTCTATTTTGAAAATAAATTTTTATATCTCCACTTGTAATTAACAGACGATAAAAATATAAGGATCGAAAATCAATGCGTCGAAAAACTAAAAATTTAGCATTTACACGCAGGTACCTAAGTATTGATAACTGTACATATAGGTATTTTAAGGATATTGCTACAATGCACCCTGGTTATCCTACAACGTGCATAAAACTATACATTAACTATACATTACTTTACATAAAACTATATACATAAAACTTTTGTATACATAAAACTATACAAAACTATACATTAACTATACATAAAACTATACATTTTTTAGTATCTCACCAGCAAGTGTCTGCGGAATGCTGTTGGAAAATTTCTTTAGTTTCGCAACAAAAAATCCATCCATATTATGAACATGGGGGTAGAATCTTCGAGTTAATTTCATCGTTCCGTGGAAATGACGACCGCGAAACCTTGGAATTGAGTGAAACGAAAAAATCATTAGTTACATCACACTGTATCACAGAGTATCACACAGCACTATACAGTATCATACACTATATTTAGGACCATTTAAGGTTAAATGACAGAAATAAAACAGTCCATTGAATTAATTTGATCAGAGGTCTTTTCCACGAGCAACTATGAAACTTCTTACTAACTTTAGTTATAGCTTAAAATATTTTTGCTGAAGAAACTAGTCGGTTAAAACAGTCGTACGGTTACCGTCATTAAGGCAGTAAGAGAGACACACTTTGCTTTCTGTTCTCGTTTGGTCGTACTTACTTCGTAAAACCTTCGTTACCAATGTCCAAACCAGTTTCAACCAGTTTAACGTGTCGTTTATTTAAGGCATACTCAACAACACATTCATTTTCTTCGACCTTAAAAGCAATTCAACAAAATGCAACACAAGAAATCTGATTTTCAGAAGTGATACCGAAATACATCATAATCTTCCTACTCACCAATATAGAACACGTAGAATAACATATATAGCCTCCCGATGACGATTGTGCGTCAACGGAATCTATGGCAGCAAGAATCAGTTCCTTTTGTAAGTGTGAGCAACGTTGAATGTCTTTTTCATCCTAAAAATAAGTTCAATGCAAGATTCTTGCAAAGAAATATTGTTACCTAGCTCTATACACGTCAATCGCTTTACCTTGTTTGTTTTAACAGATTTATCCTTGGATATGACTCCAGTTCCGCTACAGGGAGCATCAATGAGAACACGATCAAAGCCACCCATAATCTATTTCATGTATGAAACAACAACACACAAAAACGTTAGCAAATACGAAGCAAATACGAAGCAAATACGAAGCAAATACGAAGCACATCGTCCATTACACCATAAACGTACCTTAGGAAATAATCTTCCATCATAGTTACACACTAATGTGTTGTTCACTCCTGTAGAATTGGCAGAAAAACAAACTCCAGTAAATCGATAAAGTCATCTTGATTTTATACAATCATCTCATACACTTACCTAGTCTGTGTAGATTTCCAACTAATGCTTTCAATCTGTCTTTATTTTGATCATTTGCAACTATATTTCCAGAATTCTTCATCAAAGCACCTTGTACACATTAAAAATGATTTTTCGATCGTCAACGTCAAGTGTATACTCCCTTTCAACAGCTCAAAATGAATTTAAAAACCTATGTAAGATGTTTTGCCTCCAGGTGCAGCACACATATCAAGAATTCGCTCGTTATCTTGAGGGGCAAGCGCCATTACGGGCATCAAAGACGAAGCACCTTGTAACATGTAATGGCCCCCAAGATATTCAGGTGTAGCACCTTAAGATGAACATATTTATTCATTATCATTTGCAAGTGCTGAGACAAAATTAAACACTAATGTTTTTTAGATTAAAACACACCAATTGGAACAGATGAGTCGTACACAACCAATCCAACTTTGGACCATTTTCCAATAGGATCAAGATTGACTCCACGACTAATCAAAGCCTGCAAAATACGTAAACCATTTTACTACACACTGCCAAAACCCGTGAAAGTTTGAACGGCACGACAAGAAACAATGGCATTGTACGAGACAATTCAACCTGTGCCAAATCACGTCGACGACATTTCAACGTGTTAGTACGAATAGTGACTGGCCGTTGGACTTCATTTGCTTCCAGGAATTCCAAAAGCTTTTCAAGAAAACAGAAAATAGAAAGCTAAATGAGCAAACATATTTTTTAAGATTGATGCAAAAAACATTTTCGTAAATGTAGATCGTCCAGGTTAGTATAGTCCTGAGAAGGACTGTTTTTCTTGTTGTTGACTGACGTTTCGACAACCTTAGCGGTAGTCATCTTCAGATTCAAATGAGGAGTAAAACGGCAGGTTAGCCGTATATGTTTGTAAATGTAGATCGTCCAGGTTGGTATAGTCCTGAGAAGGACTGTTTTTGTTGTTGTTGACTGACGTTTCGACAACCTTAGCGGTAGTCATCTTCAGAGTCAAAATGCCTTCAGAGGCAAAAAACATTGTTGAACACAAGACTCAATTTAGGTGATGCCTTGTCTCAGTCAAAGAGTAAAAATACAAAAATTTACCTCCGAAAGCGGAAAAATATCGATGAGTTTATTGATCATGAATTCACTGTAACTGTAGTAGTTCATCAGATCATTTCTTAACAAGTCAACGTATTCTTTACGACTTCTAAAGTTAGGCGAAAAAACAAGTACAATTATATTACATATACCAACTTATCTCAATTAGGTGGATCAAGCAAAGGGCCTGGGAATAGCTGGGACAGATTTCGACGGGCAAATTCTCAGGTTGCTTTAATGCTAACACAATAATGGAATTGGAAGTAGATAATAATTGATATCTACAAAACGTTCACCTCATGCATGGTATTGTAGACGGACAAACCTGCCAGGTTCTCTACACTTCTTGAAATCGTTCAGCGCGCTAATGTTTTCACAAATTCTTTGATGTATCAATGTTATATCCGGGGGTTCGAGCAGTTTTCTAGAGTCAAGGATCTTAAACAACTAAATCAAGGAACAAGTTGCTTTGCCCATTTGAAAAACATATCTATAGAGCTAAACTACTTTACATCTACACAATATATAAGTAAAATTTTTCAATTAAGGATATATTCTTTTTCAATTTCTTGTCCGCTAGGAAGTATAAACACATGTTTTTCGGCAATATTTGTCTGAAGTTCCTCATCACCCAAGATTCTAAACAGGATTAAAACATAAAACTTTAGATGCAAATCACTGATATTGACAAGAGTCTAGGGATCACACTCTTTCAGGATCACACTCTTTCAGGATCACACTCTTTCAGGATCACACTCTTCCAGGATCACACTCTTTCAGGATCACATTACCTGTTTTCTTTAAGTTTCTTGTCCAACTTTCGAGACTTTTTCTCAATGGCCATTAACTGTAGGAGATCATGTGAAATCAAAATATAATAATTTTTGATTATCTAAGGAGATTGCAGCACAATAAAACATAAACACAAATAAATGGTGAACTGAAAACATTACCTGGTCATCTTCATGATCTTCATAATTATCTTGGTCATCCGACAAACCATCGCTGTCTAATTCAAGACCAAACTCATCTGCTGGCTGTTATGAATTACAAACAAAACACTAATGACTGCACAACAAGATCATCGAGTTTTGTCGAACTGGACAAATAAAAATATTGCACTGAACCTATTTGAACATAGTTTGGTATAAATTTTACTACAGATGTTTTGTAGACAACTATCAACAACTTAAGTGTAGCACAACATTGTTTACTGTGAATCTTCTATGACAATGTTGAACAAAGTTGTTGGTAATTGAACAACACATATTGCATAAAATTTTATGTACCGAACTTTATGTATGTTGAATGTTATTAAACACTCACTGTACTTTCTTCTTGTTCTTCAGAATTGAGAAAATCATCATCACCCAGATCAATCCCATCATCCTCTATGAAATTAAGAAATGTCATCATCAAGTTTAATGTAAAATATGGGAAATTTATGGAAGGTGAGGAAATATTATAATACCACTGCCGTCCTCAAATAAGTTCATGTTTTTCTCCAACTTCATCTTCTCTTTAGTATTTTGTTTGCTGAAGATATCATTTATATATATAGGCAGGTACAGAATTGATAGAACAATAAGCAAACTTCTTGCAATAGAGAATCTCACGTTTTTCTTCCTGGCTGCTTTTTCTTCTTCTCATGTTTGTTTGTTTTTGTTGCTTTATCTACGAATAGACAAAAATATTTGATGGAATAACACTGCAGAGGCTGAACAATGAGAATACTTATGCAAATACTGCATTTCCCTAATCTAAATTCGCCCGGAGCTACATCTACAAGCAAAGGCTAGGGTCAAATAATTCTATAAATCATTTCCACAAAACAAATGTCTTCACAAGACGATAAATCCACACATCGACACATGATCAATCATTCGTCAACATTATGGCAGCCATAAAAACACGTATACAACAGACAATATACCTTGAGAAAATATTTCTGGAGGAGGCTGAATCTTTGCCTTTTTTCCAGGACCTCGCTTTCCCAGTTCACTTAACTCCCTTTTTCTACCCATTGAAATTTATGTTGAGATTATTCAAGGAAAGAAGTTTACAAGTCAGCCATGTGTTTCACCTTTAATTGGTCAATACTTTGTGTAATTTCCGTATAGTGTATAACATGTTCTCCAACCTCACTCGCACGCATCCAGGGTTGTCAAAGAGACCTGCCGCATTTGAGGCAAGCTTAGGAATAATATTAAAAATTATGTGACGATTTTTCAAGTTGTATAGCAAGGTTCTTTAGAGCAAACATGTTTCGGCCTTTCTTTATGCCATCTTCAGTGCAAAGTGAATGTTGATACGGTGAACAAAATGTGTAACAGAAAATTCTTTATCAAACTGAATATGGCATAAAGTATTACGAAACTTGTTTGCTCTAAAGAAATTTGTCGTGTATTTTACATGTTTTATGACTATTGTGCTCTTACTAAATTATATAGCAAGCTCTACAGTCTACACCAAGGTTGCTTTCGTGTAAAAGAAACACAGTTATGCACATATGTTATATAAGATTGATATCATTGTGAAGATCGTGTTCTGAATATTGACAATGAACTACACAAATTTACAGAAGAAAATATGTTATAATCAAAATACCTTAGCAGTGTTGAACTTTTTGGCATTGTTCAACTTAAATATTGTCATTGGTTTATGTAGAAATTTATAAATTTGTACAAATTACAATGAAAAACTTATCATAAAGAAACGGTAATCTTCATGATATAATATATATAAATATTCTATTTTGTTCAAACAGATCCTTTTCAACCGTCAGGATGTCGTGGCTTCATAGTGCTGCTCAAGCCACTGCACACAAACTGGTTTCTAAGATTGACTTTTCCTTTTTCATTATCATGATACCATTTATGCAGTTAAAGAAAGAATCCACCTGCCTATCACGTGACACTTGACTTTGAAATCACGATCATGCAGTTAAAGAAAGAATCCACCTGCCTATCACGTGACACTTGACTTTGACTTCACGATCACCTTGTGTTTCACCTCATGAAAAAGACTCTTGGCGTAGTTGATCTTTTGAACAAGCTGCAAAAAGGAGTAAAAGTTTAGTTTTCTATGGTTCTTCTGTAATGAAATCATTCCTAATCTCGTCCAAAGCTGAATATTGCAGAATTCAAACACAACCTTATCGAGCAAAAAGATATAGGGGGTCTGTAGACTAGTTTTTATGTCAACAAAAAGATTTTTCAAAAACTTCTTGTAGTTACATTGCTCTAAAACAAAACTTCTTGTAGTTACATTGCTATAAAACATATACCTTTTGAGCCGAGGCCGCTTCGCAGCGAACTCTGACAGGTGGTTCGGAATTTTTTCTCGTTAACTCGACGTAATCAGTCGTGTCTGAAAAAAAATGTACGCGTAATAAAGTTCTTCACATTTCACATTTGACACAATCAATAAAATAAAATGATATCCCATTCATCTTTCTAACCGTTTTTCAAATGACGACAATCTATGACGTCATCAAACTTCAAGCAAACAAGGATAGATTCAGGAGATGGCACACCACTTGTTTTAACAAAATAAACTTTCTCGTTCGTGAGAAGCACTTTTACTCTGCCATCGATATCAGTGCGCACAGACTCTGATGTGATAAACCTGAGGTGAATAACAATTGAACATGAAACGTGTGTGTGTATGTGCGTGCAGTTTGTAACAATGTACATATGTTTTGTTTCACGCATAAAGGATCATCATAAAGTAATATGTACGTATATATGAAATAGTGTGTTTATAAATGTAGAATAGTATAGAGAAGTCAGCATTAGACCACCCATGTACAGTGGCATAGAGAAGTCAGCATTAGACTAACCATGTACAGTAGTATAGAGAAGTCAACATTAGGCTAACCATGTATAGTAGTATACAGAATTCAGCATTAGACTACCCATGTACAGTGGTATAGAGAAGTCAGCATTAGACTATCCAGGTAGAGTATTTCATATTAGTCAGCATTAGAATATTTTGTTTTAAAGTATTGCATTCCTCACTTTTCATCCATGTTGTTTTCATTCAATTTCAACACTATCGATTGTCCTTCAGCATTTGTTTTTGAATATCTTGGAATGGCTCCACCTGGACCGAAGCAGTTCCTTATGGAGCGAACACGCTTAGGTTGGTAAAGACGAGAACTTCTCGTAGCTGAGCCACGTACTGCAGCCGAGACACCAGAGGCTAGATCAAGGACACCAGCAGTTGGCTTGGCAAACGTCCCAAAATTCCCTTACCAATACCTTGAAAAAAGCCCTATGGAAGTATTGCAAATGAAATCAATAGAAAGATGACTGAATGCAGGGTACTAAAAGAGCACACTACAATAAGTACTCACAGGGACACCCTTCTCATTGGCTCCTTCAATCGGTTGAGTGACGATACTGGTAAAACCACCCACAAGACCCATGCCCAATCCTTTGAACCCAGCCACAAGATGATCTCCACTGCTCTGACCTTGACGTTCGGCTTTCATCGCTTCTCGACTTTCTAACGACTTGGAGTCAGAGCTGGCCGACCACAGACCGTCCGAGAGGGAGCCAGTAAGCTTAAAAAGAAATCAAAACTTTCAAATCTTTGCATAGATTTATGAAACATGTGCTAAACCTTAACAAAAAGAACACAAGATATTCAGTCTGCCTATGAGCAATGGATGAACATGAATACTTTATAATTACCTTTGCAGCTGAATCCGACAGACCATGGGCAAGATTCCTGAATAGTCCACCAACATTACCCCGTCTAACTAGTCCCTCAAGGCCACTTGACACGTCATTAAAAAGTCCCATAGGGTTACCAAGAAAGTCGACAGAAGCGAGTATGAATGGAGCCTGACCTCTTAATTCCTGGCAAAACAATGGGAAATTACTGAAAGAATTACTCGAAGAAATACAGAAGTTCAAACTAAACCATCAAGGTCATTTATAGAAAGGACAACACAAATTTTCATTGAGGCATTCCAGAGTTTCAAAAGAGTGTATCATGCAAATATTTTATGCCTCCTTCCTCCTTACTACATTACTGGGTACATGAAAGGACAACGATGGACAAAGGAGGACCTGAGATCAATTGTCATCACGATGAAAACGACTGAAGAGGAAAATTATACGAAGTTGAAATAAAGCACTAACCTCAGAATAATGTTTGGAAAGGGCATCAAGCAGTGCCGTCCTTGTATCAAAGGCATGACTTCTTGAAAATGACTCTGCAAAGATACAAAAACGACTACGAATGAATACAAGACACGAAACACGATATCAACAATAGAAAACATCCAACTGCTAAAATATAAGAGTGGTTAAGGTTTGATCATGTTTATCGATGCAAATATCTCATGTGTGTCTACTACAAACTAACAATTAATTTTTTGAAGAAATGCTCGATGGCATTTTTAAATAAAAAAAAATTAAGTGAATTAATGAATGAATGAATGAAGAATGAATGAATGAAGGGAAGGAATGAATGAACGAATGAATGAATGAATGAATGAATGAACGAATGAACGAATGAAAATGAATGAATGAATGAATGAATGAATGAATGAATGAATGAATGAATGAATGAATGAATGAATGAATGGATGGATGGATGAACTTCAATCTACGAAGACATGTTCAACAAATGACGTAAGCATGCTTCCAATTTTTCACAAAACAAACACATGAAACATCTTCACATATTTCACATTCTAAACTTCTAAATAAATTTTCACAAAAAGTTAAGATGCCACACAAAGTTTAGCCAACCCACCTAAATCAACGACAGCTCCTTGCAAACGGACCAAAATAAGTCTCAATGATGATTTAATAAGTTTTAAGTCCTCGGGCAATCGCGTAACGGTGGCCACAGACACTCTGAGTTGTACGGCGTCGAAGAGAAATTTTTCAAAATAATATCGTTTAAGACTGGAGGATGACACAGACGAAGATGTTCTAGAAAATATATTTTCAAAATAATCCTTACACGATATAAAAGCGCCTGGTTGGTGTCCTTCAACTAGGGGCTAAAACAATTACTCATTACACAAATAATTGTTAAACGTGTTTGTAAATGATGATCGTCCAGGTTGGTATAGTCCTGAGATAGACTGTTTTTGTTGTTGTTGACTAACGTTTCGACAACCTTAGCGGTAGTCATCTTCAGAGTCAAAAAGTCAAATGTCATCATCATTTGACTCTGAAGATGACTACCGCTAAGGTTGTCGAAACGTCAGTCAACAACAACAAAAACAGTCCTTCTCAGGACTATACCAACCTGGACGATCATCATTTACAAACATGTAACGATACTCCCGGGTTCAAAGCATTTACTTTAATTGTTAAACGGGCGGTTAAGAAAGTGCTTACTGGAGTACGTGTTGAAAATGAAGATGATGGCTTTGAAAGAAAGCAAAATTAACATAATAAGTTTTCACACATTTGTATTTATACCTGTGAGCTTCAATTCCAAGATTTTCAGAGTCCTGACTGAGTGTGACGTCATCCTCATTGTAAACCCAACCAAAAAACTGCAGTAGTTTGAAAAATAACTTCTCGTCGACTTGAAGCGTCAACTTACGTAAACATACATAAAGATTCTGCATAAAATAAAGAAAATCAAGATAATTTACTTAGAGATTAGAATGGAAATGCATCGTAGAGTAGAAGTGTAAGGTGGAGTATAAACGAATGGTGGAGTAAAAATGGATGGTGGTGTAAAAATGGATGATGGTGTAAAAATGGATGGTGGTGTAGAAATGGATGGTGGTGTAGAAATAAATTGTGAAGTACACATAAATAGTAAAGTACAAATAAATGGTGGAGAAAAAAAGTAAAAGTGGAAAAGAAACATGGCAGAATATGTTCACCACTTAAGTCATCATAACTCGACTTCACCAACCTTGAATATTTCACAGTTCTTTAGGCTAGTCGGTTCGTTGGTCGCAGAGATACGTACAGCAGACGCATCGCTTGACGATTCTTCTCTCGATGATGGGGTGACGAAAAGCATGACAGGATATTGAGTAAGATGAAGCTGGTCGTCAATCTAATTAAGAAAGACACAATGAGGGTGATTTGCAAGAACGGTTTTCGCATCAGCAAATGATTACATTTATTGTGGAACAACAAGTTCCAATTGCCCAATGTTTTCATTGCAGCTTCTGCTACACGTTTTTGTTTAATTTCATATTAATGCAGTGAAGAAAACAAACCTGAACATTTCCAATCTTGAGATCAAACGAACGCAATAATCTACTATTCACAAAGTCCATCTGAAATGCAAAAGTATTTAATTTACGTTTATCCACTATACATATATTAATTAAAATACTCGCCTCTATTGGATTAAATGTAGCAAACACAAGTTCCTCTGGGACCCCATTGATCAAGGATATCCCTATTCCACCGGCTAGACGCATTTGAATTTCGATTGTTTCGTTGGCAGGATTATTGGAAATGTCTGATGTCACCACCGTCTGCCTCAGGCCTCCTCGCCGATCAACAAACATCCAATCTTTATTGAGTGGTACATCGACTCCCTAAAATACACAAAGAGTTGGGTAAAATGGTTTTTTTCTAACAAAATGAGACTATAATGAATAGAAAGAGTTAATAAATGTCTTTTAGGACTGAGATTAGTGGCGCAAAAAGAAAACATGACATACAAAAAGACAACATGACGTACAAAAAGACAACATGACGTACAAAAAAGACAACATGACGTACAAAAAGACAACATGACGTACAAAAAGACAACATGACGTACAAAAAGACAACATGACGTACAAAAAAGACAACATGACATACAAAAAAGATGATTTGGCAATTGAGTGAGAACATAAATACTGTAAATACTGTTATTTTGACCATTTGTCGTGAACAGCGATTTTAAGTACACATTATACTCACTAATCATGTGATTGAAAAGTCGTTTTGTTACTTCAATTTATCAATAGCTTGCAAACCTCGTTTTTGACATCAGAAATTCGAACAACCCTGGTCGGGCCGTCAGCAAGAACTTTGACTAAAAGCATGCCGGAGCCTGGTCTTAGTTTTTCCACCATGATCTGTTGTTCTTTAAGCATCACATTTGATGACTTTGGAGAGTGACACAGCAGTGCATCAACACCTAAAGTGGAAAATAAATGTTCGTGAGCATGAAGAAGGGGAGCCTGGGAGAGAGGAGAGAACTAAACGTCTAATCACCGGAGAAATGATGGAAAAGAAGAAAAGAAAGAAGTGGAAGGGGGAACCGAGGTCGTTTTTGATTCGCACCTTGAAACAAGCCCAAACCAGGCTTGCAACTCACAAAGTAATCTTCGATTTTATTTTTCATCCGACCATCCTGAAAATTTGAAAACAAAGTTAAAAGTATAAATACCAGACCTTCATGTGGGATATCAGTTTTGATCGGGTATGTATATATATATAGCTAATCATTCGTACTACGTCTTTCTGTGTAATAACTACTGATCCTTCCTCAGTAAACAACCACAGACCCTACCTCAGTAAATAACCACAGACTCTACCTCAGTAAATAACCACAGACCCTACCTCAGTAAATAACCACAGACTCTACCTCAGTAAATAACCACAGACTCTACCTAAGTAAATAACCACCGACTCTACCTCAGTAAATAACCACAGATCCTTCCTCAGTAAATAACCACAGACTCTACCTCAGTAAATAACCACAGACTCTACCTCAGTAAATAACCACAGACTCTACCTAAGTAAATAACCACCGACTCTACCTCAGTAAATAACCACAGACCCTACCTCAGTAAATAACCACAGACCCTACCTAAGTAAATAACCACAGACTCTACCTCAGTAAATAACCACAGACCCCACTTCAGTAAATAACTACAGACCCTACCTCAGTAAATAACCACACACTCTACCTCAGTAAATAACCACAGACTCTACCTCAGTAAATAACCCCACACTCTACCTCAGTAAATAACCACAGACCCTACTTCAGTAAGCAAATACATACCCTACCTCAGTAAACAACCACAGACCTACCTCAGTAAATAACCACTAACCCTACTTCAGTAAACAAATACAGACCCTACCTCAGTAAATGACCATGTTTGAAAAGCTTTCCTTTGTGGACTCAATTTATTTACAACCAAGAGTAAATTCTTCTGGCTTCGTACAAACGAAATGGGATTAGCTTGATCAACATCTAACACAAAACCAGCACTTGACGACGAAGGTTTCAGAGGATCATACGATGGCGATGAGCCCTCATTGAATAATATTCCAGATGAAGTCATTCTCCAAAGTTGAGTTCTCTTGTACGGCTCCTACAGCAAGGAAATAAGGGGTGTAAAAGAAGATGAAGAAGACTATTTTCTGGATGATTATAAAGTAAATAGCTTGCTCAGTCACAAATTTTCAAGTAAATCATATGCGCATGCGCAGTTCGTTCAAGAAGGCACCTTCCGCTTGACCAATTTTTCGATTTCATAGTCAAGACAACAACCAACTAGATCTAATAGCACAAATTTTGGAGTAAATTGCTCGCTTTCGTTATTTGCTAGAGAAACTATCTGCGCATGCGCAGTCTTCTCAATCATGCGCAGTCGGACTTGACAATTTTTTCACAGTCATGGCAACGACCAACTGCATCTACTAGTTCGATTTTAAAGTAAATAGCATGCTTAGTAACAATATAATAGAGAAATCATCTGCGCATGCGCAGTCCGCTTGAGCAATTGTTCGAGTTCATAGTCAAGACAACGACCAACTGGATCTACTAGCACCAATTTTAGAGTAAATAGCTCACTTAGTCGCAATTTAATAGAGAAATCATCTGCGCATGCGCTCGAGCATGCGCAGTCAACTAAACCAATTGTTCATAGTCATGACAACAGCTAGTTACATATACTTGCACTACATTTGTGGTAATTAACTCACTTAGTCGCAAATTATCAAAGAAATCATCTGGGCATGCGCAGTAACGATGTCAATCATACCACAACTTTCGTAAGCCTTTGAATTTGTGTATATATATATAAAGCTAAAACTTCATATAGTAGATGTCAACTAGCAGTGGAAGCTGGGTGTGATATGTATGCAGTGGTTAGGGGCCCACACTTCGGTGGCGACCGCACTCTCCCTGCGTACACTGAGCAAAGCCTATCGCAGGTGATCTCTGGGTCTGATGGGCGGAAGCTTGCTATTGGCATCTCCCAAGTAGGATAGCGTGGAGGGGCCGAAATCTCCTACCGAAACGTTAACATGCGGCGTTCTAGTGCCTTACGCTTTCATGGCCCGAAAACGGGTTTTTTTTGCTTTCGAATTTTATCTTTTGTTTATAAAATAAACTAAGCAATGTTTCAATTAACATCTTCTGATACTGTGCCTTTTTTGACACTTATAATTTAAGACAACCTTAAACATGTTTTATACAATTTTTATTGGTTCATTTCTTTTTATTTAACTCTCTCGTTTACTGCTTCTCATGTATCACGAGAAAACCATCCATGGGCTTCATGGCACACAAGGATTATCTGGTTCCCTTGATTAACATAGTTATCTCGGGGTATCGGGAGGCATGGACCGATTTTTGTTTTCAAAATTAGTTTTTTCCTTTACAAGAATTCTTCTCATAAAAGAAACTAGAACATCCAAGGATACTGCAAAGGTTCAAAAAACTTTTGCCTTTTTGACTTATAATTTAAACCAACTCTAAACATGTTTATGCGTTTTTTAGTTGTTATCTTTTACAATGTAACTCTCGTATAACTCTCTCGTGATGAACGAAAGGCTCCTCATACATAAAATGAACAAATCAAACCTTTTTATTAAGAATCACAGCCTTTCCCTGCGGCACGTCTAAGACAAGTTCATTTGTGTCTGCTGAGTTCAGAGGCTTCATCTGAAATGAACCTGTCGTGGAGCCATCTGACCTAAAGAAATAATGCTAATGATGATACGAAAATTACATAAAATGACCAAAATTGCAGGGTGTGTATAAAACTTACTAATGGTATATAACTGAGATTGAAACTAAGGCGAAAACAAGAATATGGAAGTGACTTAAGTAAAATAGGAAGAAAAAATTTTTCGCTTACTTGTTTAATGTATGAGTAAAAGCAATGTATATGGCATTATAGTAATAAAGTTTGTCTTTCTCTCCAAGTTTGTCCAATGAAAAATGAATGAAAGAACCGTCGTTGACAATACCGCAGGTCAGCTCTCCTTTCAGAGTGGGCTCATCCCAAGCATATGGCACTAAGAATAAATTGTATGAATGATAATTTGAGCGAGGGGAGAGGGGAGGCAAACATATATCTTGAGAAAATACAAGTGTAATCAATTTAGTAATCAATTTATACAAACCAGATTGTTTTGGCTGTAGAAGACCTCTCTGGTAATCCTCAGTTCTGCTTTGATAAAATAGAATGGGAACCTCAGACATGTTGTCAATGCGATAAGGAGGGGGTAATTCGTGAGCATCTGTGAACACGATGTGAAATACTGCTCCTTTTAACATCATTTCAGCTCGAATGAAAAGTAACGAACCATTTAAACATCTATTGAAGAAAAGAAGTGACGAGATTGGTGGTTATAATAAAGAAATTACTAGGCAGGATTGGTCTAGTTTTAAATGAAAAAAACATTATGTACACTTTCTTATATCCAATACGTCTACCTCCAAATATTTAACTAAATAACCCTAAATATCCTAACCCGATCCATTTAAATTTGCATGAACTAATTGAGAAAACAACACAACAGACGACAAATCATAGCAGACACAATGCACCAAGACATAGCCTACACATAAGGGCTACTTAGTGGCGTCTCCTAAGTCATCCACCTATCCTCATACACACTACACATAGCCATCCCCAAGTTCCTCAATACCCCATACATCTATCGTACATACTAACCTCATACTAATATGAGATGAATCATCGCGGTCAATCCTAAATCCTCCAGACCATCGGCAGTCAGGAATGTCATTCAGTCTAAAAATTAGGAAGAAACCATCAACATACGACAGATAAGGTCAGTAAGAAAAAAATGATTGATTATATCATTCACCTAATACATAGCAATTGATCGAGATCAGTTCTCTCCCAATGCCAGACCACTTGAGCTCCGGGAGGGGACGTAAGGGTTCCTTTAGGATTATTCGTTGCCTACGTAAGCAAGATTGGCAAGTACAGTATAAAAACAATGTACAAATGAACAAATTTGATGGTAGAAAAGTCGCAATACTTGTTCACGAACGAAATGTCTTTGTTGAAACGCCAAGTTATGAGAACTGCGATTTTCAAACTGATAGCGAGGGGCAAACGTTACAATTCTCGTATCGTGAAAACGACCTTCACCAAATCTCACATCGACCCCAACATCATAAACCCTATACAGGTGCATTTATATCAAGAACACAACATTAGCTGACCAGGGGTTGCAAACAAAAGCACATTATTTTTCGACCAGAAAACTAAATCAATTTTGCAAATTCAAAACTTTCTTCGAGTGTACGACCACAGTTTTTTCTTTCACCACTATATGTACATGAATAAATCAAAGTAATAATTGTAGATAGGGATGTATATTGCAACATAGTCCAGCCAATTCACCATACTTATTTTATACATAATACATTAAAGTTATACAGAAGTTTCCAAAGTCACTGAAGATGGCCGGAAGTGCCAAAATTCTTCATGCAGAAAAGTTGATTGATTTTTAAAGGTCTTTTAAGCAAAATTTAAACAATATTTATCATGTTTAATGATGATATTTTTGAGTAGAGTTTAAATGAAGATTAATGTAAATTGATGTTTAATATGTTTGGATTAGATAGTTTAATGGCGATTTACCATATTTTAGCGGTAGTTAGACTTATTCCTGCGTCCGTTTCAGGTTTGGACATTCCATGATTGTTTATGTGAAACGAACAGCCTCCCCGAACAACATAGTGCAGTTTACGACTCAAGGTTTTGGATGTTTTTTTAATTCGGCCAGTTGACCGAGTACTAGACCTTTTATCTGTTTCTCTGAAATGAAATTTACTTTAAGACTTTGTGTTTAGATTTTAATAAATTTATGTTATTTACCAACTAGGAGGTCAAAAAATATATCAAGATGTTACAAATACACAATACTGTGTAAACTTCATGATTGTTTTCTGCTCGAAAAACGTTTCTACGTTGAAGTAAAATTGTTTGCCTAGTATTCTACATCGTACTAGATTCAGTATTGGCTTACATGTCAGGCCTACGATCGGGCTGTCTTGTGTGAATACGCGCAAACTCGCGTGGATGTTCGAGTGAAAAAGGCGTACACCTGAAGAAAGAAACATGTTCAACATCCAATACCTAAGTCAAATAATACAGAGCTGAAACGATAACAAAAAATTCTTATTGTCGGTCAAATAATACAATTTATATTTAGAACATCTTTCTCACCAGACTGGCTTTCCTACATCATTATGTTGCCCTTTTCCAATTCTCATTTGACATCTAAACAATCAAACGTACAAACTCACTCCTGTAGTTCGTTCATAATGATATTTTTATCATACCGAAAGTAATTTTGAAATATTACCACAAAACTATCAAACCACTCTGATTGGCTAGATTACCTAAACGACCCATCGCCTTCACTGAACGAAAACAATAATGGAGCAAGACTTCTAGCCATCTCATGTTCTTCATACTGTCCAGCCATTTCAATTGAAACCCTTCTTGTTTAAATATCAATGGGATACCTGTGTCATTAACCAACCAAAACGAGGCAAAGACAGATATCTAGAAAGAAAGTATAAATAAACAATGATCTGAAAACGTTGAATATAAACGTTATTGAAAGAGCTATTTTCATTCCCAGACCTTCCAGACTAAAACACAAATACAACCTTCACAGACAGTCCAGGACGAAGTTCAATTTTGGCGTTCAGCTTCAGTCTTCTATTCTCCGTATCCTTCAAAACTACATGACGTATCATTGAATCTGTATCTCTTGTTAATTCGGGGATTTCCAAAACCTCACTGTGTGGGAAATTTTCCAAGGAAAATGTGAATGAGAGCGAAGAAGATCCGTCCACCTGCCAATGTAATAAAAGAAAAAATGTTAGAGATAACAGAAATAGTCAGGAAAGCTTCTTGAGAATGTCAGTAAGAAAAAAATAAAATTGTAGGGCTTTGCTAACTCAATTAAAAATAACAGCATACTTAAGTTCTCGAAGCATAAGATCCCTTGGAATAGACATATGAAAGCACAGCACCAATGTGTGGGGTTTGACTTAAGGCAGTTCCTCTCAGATTATTTTATAGTTCATGTCTGAATGAATCAACTCAAGCGCCTAACAGTCTTAATTGATGTAATGACTAAACTTTCACTTTACCTTGTACACAGGTGAAAAATGTCCAGGTTTGATGTTTCCTCTTATAGCGTAAGCACGAATGCAGTAGGAAAGATCAATAGGAAGTAGATTGACCAGCACGATTGGAGGTAGGATTGTGAGGGTGTGTGCAGGTTGGACAAAATCATAGCTGCCCTTTTCAACAGGAGTATTTTCAAAAGGGAAACCATCTCTTTGCACGGAAACACAAAATCTAGAGAGAGGCATATGCGTTGGAAACAAGCCAGACGCGTTGTTCAAAACTTAGCAAGTAAATATAATTTTGAATTGGTGAATTTTATAAACTAATCAAACCTGTAGCTTTTGCCGTTTGTGGTAGATGAGGCTGGACAATGAATAAAATAACCAGTTTCTTCAAAGTTTTCTTTGAGATCCTTCCACTTAAGATGATTGGTGGAAAACGACGTCATTTTGTCATCTGGGCGAACGAAGATGGGAGACTGTACATAGGACAGCGGTATTGCAAAGTCAGATTGCGGTGCCAAAGAAGGAAGATTCATTTCTCCTAAAAGAAAGCAAATAATAGCAAATTAATATTAAGAAGAGAATGTCACAAACCATTCAAGCCAATGTTTTATACAGGATTTTTATATGATTTAAAGTTTGAACAAGGTCTGTTTGAATGTCGTAAGACTTTACTTATCAAAGTTGCTTTGTTTGACAAGGTACCTTTTGGTAATTCCAACTTCACATTAAGCGTTGTGTCCGTCTTGTTCTTTAGAACTAACGCAGACTTAACAGTGACGACTTTCTGCACGCCTCTCTCAAGTTTGATGTCAAATACGACTCTCGCAGGATCTAGGCTTTCTACCTATTAAAATAATTTAACTCTTTTATCACCAATCTAAAGACAACACGTGTTTTCGTTTTTCAGAAAGTGAATAACAAGAAACAAGACCAATTCGAACTAAAGTACATCGTGCTTTAAAGTGTGTACAACAAGCAAATGTTAGGGTAGTAAACTGATAAAAAAAGGTTTCAGATCAAACAAGATTTTTCATACTAAGTGAGCAGAGGCCATAAGTTAGTAAAAGGAGTATGTTTTATGACAAGTTTTTTTCATAGAAAGACATGATGATCTGTCAAAGACACTTGCAAAGGAAACTTTTTTCCTAAAATGAGGTATTGTTATTATTGCGCTTACCATTGGCATGAGTTTTCGAAAGAACGCGCCAACTTTATCTACAGAGACTGGAGATGCTTGTTCCCAGCCTTCCAAATGCACAACAAGCTGGTGAACCTTTAGTTCGTGTGTTTCCTATGATCATTATGGAAAAAAGTAAACCACAGTTGGACTATGCTGCACCCAAACTAGAGAAAGAAATGTTTGTTTACCTTGTGTCGTTGCTTCTCTCTGGATTGCTTAAACTCGAAGGGGGCCTCTTCCCCGGTAGCAATTTCCGCCATTCGGATAGTTTTTTGGACGAATCACTGAAGTTTGAGTCGTTCAGACGTCCGGAAAATACCAAACCAGTGGTTGTCATAACAACCTTTGAAGGTGAAGACGTTACCGTTGCAAAGTGCAACAAACAACCTGAATTAAAAATATTTGAGTCAGTATAGGCAATTTGATATCCGCTTCTGTGTTCGTCAACAATTTAGCCCACAAGCCATTCGTGTACCTGTCTCATTACGAAGTAAGAATGGTATAAAAGGCGCTCGCTTCCTGAAAGGAGCTGCTGCGAGGGACTCGGCCGAGCTCGACAACGTATCACGATCGTGATGGACCGAACTGGATTTACTGCTGGAGTTCATATCGAAGATGTCTGAGCCATAGTAATCTTCAGACCAGTTCTTTAAAGTATTTTGAATCATCGAGATAAGAGAGCTAGTAATGTTCAAGTCCAAGCGATCAGCAGCTTTAAAAAAACATAACAAAAGAATCTGTGAATAGAATAATATAGCAGTATACAACTTCGGAAAGATTACGTCTCAACAAGTGAAGATTACGTCTTAGCATTACATCACTTCCGGTGAAGACACATCATGAAACTATATCACTCTAGATGAACATTAGCCAGTGGAAGATCGCGTTTCCTCATTACCAACACTGTCTACGTACCATCAATTTTCACCAACAAATTATCCGGCGTTGTAAAAGACTTTCTTTGCTTCTGCCAATGAATTTGACACCTACGAAATAGTCAGAAAGAGCTCTCGTCATTTAAGGAGGTCCACAGGAGCTTTACAGAGGAAACTGAATAGTCTACTTACTTCCACGGCTCAATAAGCGGTTCCCAACCCGAGACGGCGCGGTTGTAGTAGTCAGCTATAACTGAACACTGAGCCGAACTGTCACTAGTGCCGCTAATCTCATTCCAAAAATATAGATCTGAAAATAACGTAAGAAACACATACAGATGTTTGCTTAGAATCTGCATTAACATCTTTAATTATGAAAAATTAAAGATAGCATTCACTAGATGATTGATCCAGCCATGTTTCCTGATAATACAGCGATTGACTGAAGACAGTTATAAATTTATATATTCGTGAGGTGAATATTCAGTTGTTATAGCCAGATACTTGATCCTTGGTAAACAAGAGAAATGAAGAAGTTCTTTTCAACACTTGAAAGGTGAAAAGTTTTAACAGGCAGAAAGCAGTTTCAAATCAGAACTTTGCAATTAAAACCGATCCAATTAATCTTATTTTTATAAGTTATGCTATCATAAAACACGTCAATAATAACTTCAACATCGACAACAGGTATATTTTCACTCGTTATAAGAATGCATTACAAACTATAGCAATTCTTGACTTCACTTACTTTGTACGAGTAACTCAAAAAGTGGAACATCGTTGTCACCGCAATCATCGATCAAACATACACAAAGAGAACTGGCACGAATCTAAAAAAGAATGGATTAAACCTGATGAAGCTTTGATGTTTGAAACCAACCGTTGACATATCGCGGTAGTTTGAAACTTTCAATCTTTCAACTTGAAAGATAAACCAATGACCGAAATCAAACATAAAAAAATCACTTCACCTCAAATCCTGATAGTCTACTCTTATTTTCACTTCCGGTGGACATCTTAGTAGGATCAATAGGTTTTGCATTCACGAGAAGCCAAGATGCAGCTAACTCAACATCGCCACGTTTCATATTCAACGCACTAATACAATCGCTCTCGTTAAAACCAAGATCCTTTAAACGTTTGAGAGACATTTCTGGTAGGAAACAAAAAAATTTTACACATTACTGATAATTGTGTTTAATTCATAACCCGAGAGTATCTCCGACGACGTTATGGCAAATGTATTAAATGAACAGAGATCTTGAAAAAATAAAAGCTTACGGTCAACATTCATGTTTCCACTTTCAAATTCCGTGATCCTCTCACTCGACCCATTCCCTTCTTTCATGGCTGTCGAGAGTTGATTGGAAGAGAATTGGCTATTCTGTGAAACAGCTTGTAGTCGTTGTATGAAATGCGTATGTTCAACGTGTTTACAGTGATTTCGAGACTTGGTAAAGACTCGAGTGTAGCGTCAAGCAAACCTTGAGCCTTCCTCTTGTGACGGCGTTCAGCGGCATTCAGCTCAATAAGGCCAGCCATCGGATCAATGATGGACAAAGCAGAATCATCTTCGCATGATAAATTACAGGAGAAAATTTCCAAACTTTGAACGCTGCACGATAATGGTTTTTGAGTTTTGTAGTGAGGACGCCAGGCAAGAACTGCAGTCATCTGTCACGAAGACATTAAAAAGTTCATGGATGAATTTGAAATTAAAAAAAATCATTCACAATAATTTAATGCGGATGAAGATATGAATGAACCTAACTGAAATTTTCTTACACTGCCAGTTTTCCACTCCATGTCACACGGTGCATTGGAAATGAATTATTGGAAACCGATTTCAGATAAAAAGACAAAATACGTGATAAAAAATCTTACACGAAGTATGACGGCATCTGTATCTTCAACATTCACATTTTGAAGTGCGACAAATTCTGAACCCGAAACATTAACTTTCATTTCAAAGGACTTCTACAGTAAAAATTGCATATGAAAAACAAGTGAATATATAACACGGCAATAAAAAGATCCTAGATGGCCAAAGTACCACTGACAAGTACGCGCAAATACACATAATTTCAATACTAAATATAAACCTGCTGCTTTTCTGGTTGTTCTTTATTGCCGTTAGCATTTCCTTCTGGTTGAGAAGATCTTTGATTGGACGGTGAAGTTTGTGACTGCCCAGAATCGTCTTGGTCTGAAATGAAAAAATTAATGACTAAAGAAGCTCTTTAAGACAAAAAGAAAGAAATGCGATTCAGGACAACAGAAAAATTAGATTAGGGATCCAAGGATAGTGCAAAGTTTTAAAAAACAATGCTTTTTGACTCGTAATTTGAATAAACAGTGAAATGTTTTATAGATTTATTTCATAACTCTTTTAACTCGTACTTCATTTTTATTCTAGTATCATGAGGTGAACATCCATTGACTTCAAGGAAAAAACATTTTTAATAAAACCTATGACAAGGAATACTCTACACAATTGTTGCTTGTTATGCACGGTTTTAGTAAGCAATTTTTTGTCTACGGTGTTAAGTCTATGGTTGTGTATTCGCTACTTTGATTTTAAGCAGGATGGAGGCATGCGAAGCCAATAACAGTCATCGAGGTAAAGAGTTTCAAAATGCATTTGTTGAAAAAAGCTGAAGAAGACAGAATATCAATGACATATAGCAATAATAAAATCAATTCAAGTCATGATCAATACCTTGACAAGGCTTATTCCAGTTGCTCATAATGAAATTATAGATATCAAGCATGGCATCAAGGAGCAGCGTGATTCGACTGTTATTGACTATGAATGTTATGGTCGTTTTGTTCACACTGTCACGATAATGAATCTCAAACATCAAGGTATTTCCAGGGCTCCCATAATGATGATAAGCCGAGGGCAAAGGTTTTCCTGGTCGAAGCACCTCCTTAAAGCAACGATCACTCGATCCTTTAACAAAAGAACGTAAAACATACAATGGTTTCGTGAGAGAGTGCAACCCATAATGAAGTGAAAGCCACCAGTTACCGAAGTATTAAGATGACGTCATATAAAGTCACCTTCAAATCTTGTATCATTGAGTAGAACGTCTTGAGACACCAAGTCCATAGTTTTGGACCAATCTGAGAAACCTTCGAAAACAAACTTCGATTTTATAAAGTTTATTTTCGCCAATGAATGACAATTTTGGTCGATGAAGTTCTTGTTGTCGTGAAGAGATGTTGAAGGAAGAAGTTCAACTTGAACATTCTTAAGTTCAATCACCATTTTTAACGTTGTCCATAGATTGCAATCTGTTGGCTGAAAAGATCAAAGATTCAACGATTACACTTGAAGAAATCCGTCGACTAATCAAAGTCATATTTCAATGGGGACAACCCCCTTTCTTTAACCCATTACTCCTCCCGTGCACTAACCGTTTGTTCGCCTAAAGGATCTGCAACAAATGAAGACGGTCTTTCAAAAACCTCTAGATGTTCACCAAGATTTTCATTAAGAAATCCAAGAATGAGTCCATACTGAGAATAGTCAAGATTCAACTGCATGGACGAGAGAGTTCCCCACACACTCATGTCTGGAACTAAAATAAGCGCATTCACAGAAATAATGAAATAGACAAGATCGTGGTTACAGTTATCAAAAAACTTACCCTCTCTACTTCGAGCAAAATCCAAGTTTCTCTCAATTTTCAAATCTAGCTTGCACGTTTCCTTGAAAAGTTTGTTTCCCTGGAAAAAAATGAACATAAAAAGAAATTTAGTCAAAAATAAATAACAGTGATCTCAACATCAATTACTTTTACACGCACTCTACAGTGTGTAACAGTGATCTCAACATCAATTACTTTTACACGCACTCTACAGTGTGTAACAGTGATCTCAACATCAATTACTGTTACACGCTACAGTGTGTAACAGTGATCTCAACATCAATTACTTTTACACGCACTCTACAGTGTGTAACAGTGATCTCAACATCAATTACTTTTACACGCACTCTACAGTGTGTGACAGTGATCTCAACATCAATTACTTTTACACGCACTCTACAGTGTGTAACAGTGATCTCAACATCAATTACTTTTACACGCACTCTACAGTGTGTAACAGTGATCTCAACATCAATTACTTTTACACGCACTCTACAGTGTGTGACAGTGATCTCAACATCAATTACTTTTACACGCACTCTACAGTGTGTAACAGTGATCTCAACATCAATTACTTTTACACGCACTCTACAGTGTGTAACAGTGATCTCAACATCAATTACTTTTACACGCACTCTACAGTGTGTGACAGTGATCTCGACATCAATTACTTTTACACGTACTCTACAGTGTGTGACAATGATCACAACTTCAATAATTTTTACACGTACTCTACAGTGTTACATTATCAACAAAATCGTGAGCAGACCCACACACTCTAAACTTGGTCCTCACCTGTCTTCGATAGGAGAACAACTCTCCACCTTTGCTTGTGAAAGAAACGGCAGAAAATAGATCAATGTCAACCATCTCCATTTTCATGTGATCCAGAAGACAACGTTCGCCAAGTGGGATTTGTTTAGAAGTGCAACTCGTTTCTTGATTAAGATAAGCAAGCACATTTTTAATAAAGATACTGAGTTTAATAGATAAGACAATCTCAAATGAGAACTTAAACGATGCTTGAAGGTATGGATGTGGGAAGAACGATAATAATAAAATGCAGTTTATAATCCAGTGAAAACAATGGACTTAAATGGAACTTGACACTACATAACATGCATTATGCACCTTCCCCTAATTATCAATCTTCGCAAGTCCTTGCTTTCATAACGAACGAAAGTAAATGTTCAAAAAGACGTTCATAGCCGTTTATAGACGTCATATAAAAAGTCATGACGTTGGATTACTAAAGAAACTAAATCTGTAATTCCATAATTCAAAAGTAGAATTCACCTTCATCTTCTTATATATATTGCTTCGTTACTAATGTTTTGTATAATAGACTCTCAACGTTCACTGTTATGCAAGTGATTGCACAACATGTTAATGACGTCAAAGTACAATTCAAATGACGTACTCACCACTGATGATTTCCAACTCGTCATCCTCCTCGACGGAACAGACACCCCGGAGAATAGTTCCCTCATCGCCGGAGAATAGAAATTCGTTGCTCAATGTCATGTGACCAAGATTTGCGACAAGTAAATCCTGAGAATTTGATGCCCTTGGGAAGATTATCAGAGGTGTGCCGGCATTTATATCCAGAAACATTCTCGAACCACGAGTAGAAGCTTCTGATACCTGCATACCGAAAATATTTGCCGAGTTTTAAACACATTTCTTCGAATCATGCTATTCATAGAAACTTTTCTATGTAAGAAAAATTTTAATTTTAATAGTAAAGCCACGGAATAAGGCACGCTACTATTACCTGGTTGCCAGCTTCAACTATTCTCATTCTCCTTAAAGATTCCTGTAGCTGCGAAAAATGATTGATAAATGCCATGAGCTCAGACTGGAATCGTTTCGTGTGAACATACTGGACAGCGGACATACGCAGCTTCATACTCATGTCATACTCATGATGTAGTTCCGGGTCAGGATCGCCATATCTATAGGTAATCATCAAAATCAAAAGCAAAAAGCAGGAATCTGAGTGCTTACACACAGATATATAATATTACCTGAAAAAGTCAAAGACAAGAGCCTCTTCCCCGCATGTTGTGAATCTAGAAGGCAATAGAAAAGACCAAATTTTTAATTTCAATGCAACACAAAGTACAAGATCAGCCCCTATACAAGCGAAATAATAGAGTTAAATCAAAGTTATTTTTACGCCCCCTTCCCCCCCGGGATTTAGGAAAACTCCATTTTATGGAGAAAAATCTACATAGTTTCTCTATTTTACATATGGATATTTGGGTGCACCCTTTCCCAAAATCCATCCCAAGATGCATATGTGAATAACTCCAGTTTCTCAACTCACTTTTCTCTGTACATGTTTCCATGAGGCGTCAAATCAATAAGATTAATCGCCATAAGCTTTCCTTTGAGACTCATGTTGTTCTCTCTCATGTCTACCATGGTTGAGAGACCAGAAATCTTGATTTTTGCAAGTGGATATTTTACTTTGTTCAAAGTAAGCGACAGGGAAGATACTCGAACTTTGAATTCGGAATTGACAAATTGTCCAGTCGTGTTCCTTTCATCAGGATGTGACGTATTATCTTAACGTAAAACAAATCACCATTAAGAGCAACATCAGGCAAACTTAAAGACTTGATTAAACTTTATTCCTTTGAGTGAGGTGAAAAAAGTGATGAAGCATTTCCTCATTTTCTTTTCTAACATAAATTACGTCATTATAAAATCTTGATCATTTCATCATTACCGTTCCCATGATCCTCCACGTTAACAGTTTCTTGCTGTTGCGATGTTACCATTTCTTCGGGAGCCTTGCCTATGCCAAAAAACTCGAGAAAAACAACCCACGTCTGAAGATTCACAGTTGTATCCAAGGAATTGAAGTCGACCTCGACAAATCGATCAGTCTGAAAAGTAGAGAATACAACAGATAAAGCAGGAATCCAAAGATAGTGCAAAGTTTCAAAAAACACAGCTTTCTGACAGGTAACTTCAATCAATCATAAAATGTTTCATTGATTTACTTCATTTTTTTATTTTAACTCTCATTTAATTTTAAATTCATGTATCATGAGGTAAGCGTTGCGAATAAGAACATTTTTAATGAAACCTATCTTAAGCAATAATATAAATAACCGCTTGTTGCATTGTGTCGATGGTCTATGTGTAAAGCAGGCCGGTAAAACAGACAATGAGGAAAGATATTTGAAAATGCATTTTTTTTTGAAACATGTTCTATTCTAGATACCTTGTTATATTTGGTGATGTATTCATCAGAATTCTTATCCACCATAGTCACCTTGATTCTAACCAGTGTTTCGCTTTCATTTTCTACAGATATGGACTTACTGCCGAGAAACTCTTCAACAGAATCGTTCAGAAACTCATTCTCTTCTTCGTGATTGCGAAACAACTCCTTTACATGACTCCCGATTATATGTCTGTGTTGAAACATAGGTCGCAGAGGGGAAGACGGCTGTATACCATACCTCCGGGGGGAGGTGCTAAACTCCATAGGAAGTGATGTAGAGAGCGTTGACTCATTGAATGCAGCCGAAATATCTGGGCAAGACTTTGAGATGTGTTCACTCCGCATCAGATTCGATCTTTTGGACGTAGTGATGGAATTTGAGGAAACCATCATATTTCTAAATAAGGAGTGCTCCATCTGAAGGAGATCTTCAACGACAAGGCCACCCAATGAGACATCAAAAAAAGTCGCAGATTTTACGGTGCTTTTATAAAAAAGGGAAAAATCTTGAAAGACAGTATTCACTATTCCTTGTTCTCCGTCCTTTAAAACTCCTCTCAACTCTATATTCAATCGGGGAACGTTAAAGCTAGCGCGAATGGGCATTCGATCGTCTTCGGACGACACAGATGATGATTGAAAATTTGATTGGTCCACATTCATCGGTACGTCTCCACTCGGATCAGGAAGATCAAACGAAGATGATCTATTTAGTGGAAAAAATAACAATCTTAAAATGCTTGCAAAGGTTAATACAAACAAACTTTTTGCACATTCAATTGTTCAACTCACATTGGAGAGATCAAAGGTGGAGTCATGACGCTTGATGACACAGAAGCTCCTTTGGATACATTTAGATCCCTCTCAGTCTTTCCTGACAATATATCACTGGTTGAGAGCAGCTGCTGATACGCACGACTGGAAAGCACCAATGAAAGAGGTTGTGTAACTCGGCCTGATACATGAATGGTCGGTTTCCTACTAGTTCCCATTCTTTCTCCGTCACGCAAAGTTTTACAGCAACGGTCCACTACCAACCTTACAGCAGTATTATGTAAAATATGCTCGCTGACGTCATCATTTACATCAGCGTTTTTGAAGCCAAGAGAATACAAACTCATGTCCGTGATGTCAATATACACGCGGTCGACGTCATTGAACTCATCCAAATCTTCTAAATTATTCTCTTTCATCTGGTCAACAGGAAAATTACTGAATGAATTAGACTTTCTGCATTCTTTTTGGACATCTTTACCGTAATCAGTTAAATGAGTATTGTAAACGACAATTCTGCCAAGATGTGCCACAAGTCGTTCACGACTACTTGATGTACGCGGCAATATAATGACCGGGGTTTCTATGGTCACGTGCACATAAACACGACGCTTACCCTCGATCTGAACAGAAGTAATGGATTCTACATTCTTTTCAGCCATTTCATCACACGAGTCCACGCTAGGTCTCCGACTAGAAGTTCTTGATTCAAGAGGTGCGACAGAAGCACCATGGGAAAATGAAGATGAGAAATAGTCGATTCCGTCTGCCAAGGACTTCTGCTTGGTTACCAAGCTGATGGCCATGGAGGTAGCCACTGACCGTAAGGATTGAGCCATCGCATTCGCACGACTAGTGGCCATTGCATTTGCATGGCTACTGAAATCATTTATACACAATGAAAGTTCAGAAATAAAATGATACGTATGAGTGTAGTGAGCAGATGCCATATGAAGCGATAATCTTATACGGTTAGATAAATTTTCATCGTGGCTCGAGAGGTACGTATCATCCACGTATCCCTTTGGTTTGAGCAATGTAAAACTGAAAGCTTTCTTAGCCTCATCCCCCGGAATCATAATCGTGAAACACGCCTTGCGTACGTGATTTTGTCATCTCCAAGACATCAACGCCAACACTAAGTACCTCACGATGTAGTATGTCCTCAGGTGTCAAGTCGAGTACATGCAGACCCCCAAGATATCCCTCGATGATTTGCTGATCACCCAGAGTCACCTTAGTCCAAAGATCCACGATATCAACATTGGCCACTTTGCGACCAAGTCTTTGACATGCAATCGTGTGGCAACGGATAAACTGTACTTGAAGCTGGTGAAATGTCACGGTAATTTCCATAGCAACAGACGAGGTAACATCCTACACATCAGAAAGACTACGTAAATTTCTAACACTGCATGAAATAATTGCGCATGCTTTTTGCACTCGATGCATACACTTGATTATGTACCCTCATCACCACTTGTCCACATCTTTTATTTTTATAACTATTCCCTATAACCTCTCCTACCTCGTTCACTTCTTTTTCTTCTTCGTCTGACTCATTTTCAACAATGGGCTGAAGGTAATTTGAAGAAGACTGGGCAACAGCTGAAGAAGGAAGAGTGTTGACAAAGTTCATTAGCTCCAGGATTGTTTCTTGATTGGCTGAAAATAATAAAGTACATACAGTAACTGACACAAGAGTAAATACTCGTCCATGTATTGGCTTCAGAAAATTTTTGATAAATCTCTGTCTATCTTGGGACTGATTCTTAGCAGATTTCATAATGGCCAGAATAACGTACCAATAAATTTAATAGTGTTAAATTGAATCGACGCAATTCTCATTGGTTGTTCACTGGTTGAGCTAGGACTCTCGGGATTGATTTGATTGTAGTCCAACGTTATCACCGAATTTAGTTCTTCTTTGGCAGAGCCTTCGGTGTCCTCCAATAACAAAACTTTATTGCATGTTTGATAAACTAAAAGAGAAAAACGAACTTGGTAAAAGACTGACAAAGGACTAAAGTTTTTCAAAGTTTCATGACAGTAACCACAGCATTCTCGAGTATATTTTATGAAAAAACGGATAAAATATTGTCAAAACAAAATTGCAAGAATTTCAAATAACAATTCACTATTCGTTATTTTAGTTCAACAAATTGCAAATCTTTTCATTTTCAGCAAAATCTTTCAATGAAACAAACGCTCACAGTTTTTGTTCCAAATTCCATAGAAATTTAATTTTACCTGGTGTGTAGTTTGACTGGCTAGTTTTACCTTGTGTGTAGTTTGACTGGCTAGTTTTACCTGGTGTGTAGTTTGACTGGCTAGTTTCTTCAGCAACATCATGAGACGATATTATCCTGCTGAACTCTGGTCCATATATCTGAACACGATCAATGAGCGATATTTCATAGACAAGCAAAGACAAAGACATGTCGTATGGCCGTTTTCTGTGCCTTGCTTTCACGCCGTTAACGTTTAGTTCAGCTATCACACGACCTAAAAACACGACGCCGGTTTGTACACATAAGAAATAAAGGTCTAACTTACAATTGATTCATTGCGGAATGTCAAAATTCTACAAGGTTGTTTTAGAAAAAATAAACAAAAAGTTACGAAAATGAAAAACTAAAAATGTTATTAAAGCCCAACAAAATCATCAAGGATCTTTTAAAAAAATCATCTCTCAGCAATTGTGAGGAAAAAAGTCAACTACAAATTAATTCGAGTTGAATGCGATGCAAGAAGTTTCTTGTGTATTTATGTTCAAGAAAAATCTATGACGTAACTATACCTCGTCCGGATAATTGAACGCCAAGTTCGTTAATGCAGAATTGAGCCTCTACAAGACAGGAATCCTCGGATAACTGACCCAGTTTCTGTCTCGTAGTTGACGACGTTTTAGATGAGCTACGACTGAATGTAAATAAAAGGAAGAAATATGTCTAATAAGGGAACATATTTGAACATCGAGGATCATATTAAATAAGGGAACACATATGAACATTGAGGATCGTGTTAAACAAGGAAAAGGATACATAACACGTGATAAGGAAAAGTTAACATTAATGCAAATGAGACACAGAAAGGTTATATATGATAGATAAGAATATAAGTAAGCATGGGATCAGTCAGAACATAGGGGACAGTACGTGCAATATTGGGATGCTATGAGAATACAAGTAAAAAAAAAGGAAAATATATTCATTTCGTATGAACGTGCAGGTTTGAGAATAGTTACCTTATAGATGGCTTTACATTGTCATATTCTTCCTCATTTGTCAATTCAAAGTATTCAGTTTCGGTGAGATTAAGTAACGAAGTGGACTCTTGAAACGAAATAACATGAGAAAAATTCTATTTACGTAAGCCTTTAAGAAATACACGCATTACAAAACTACTCATAAAATTCAAATGAAGTTTTAATGTAGTAATGCTCACTTTCATCAAGAAGAATATTAGAAGGTGATCCTACAGGATTTTCTGACGCTTGGCTTGTCGGTTCATTTTCATAGCTCCAAAGATTTGCCAAGCATTTCCACATCGTGTGGACCTAAAACATAACACATCGTTAAATTTCAACATATCTTAACCCAACAATGCGTATGTTGTCGTACGAAACAAACAAATATTGTAAAACTTCGGTGATCGGTCCAATATGGTCTTTGTGGGAGGGTGTGCTTTAGTTTAGATTCAGTGGTAACTTGTTGCCGTAGCATGTTAATTTTTTGCAAGTCAAACATGACATTCAATGGGACCTACAACCCATCTAACCAAGACCAGAAGGGTGCAACCCCTCCGCAACCCTGACCTCAACCAAACAACTTTACATCAGAAATTATTCGATACCTTGACTTCGCTGAAATATAAATTCAATCGTGGTAAATCTCCGGACACAGTAACACTGGGCCATTTTGGATCTGCGGTGAAAACTAAGCGCCTGAAAAAGCAAGAAAAGTTGGAAAGATTAATGGCTACGATTAATAAACCCCAGTTGAAATACAATTGTTCGAAATAAACGACACAGTCTAGCTTTCTCACCTTTCTAATTGCAGTGAAATCGTAAACTTGTCAACAATACTAAACTCATCACAAGTAACTGCCTCCCTTTGCCGTTTCAAGTGCTCGTCAATCTTTGATACAACAACCTGCAAATCCGCCAATTCTAGGGTGTATCTATCGTATATCTTATCCGCTAATGTTTCCTCTGTAAAACTGTCTTTTATATCACTAAATGACGACACTTCCGGTAGGGCATCCGTTTCGTCTTCGCTTGGTGGCGTTGATGGTGGTGTAACAAAATCTAAAAATGAAATTGAATTTGTGACCCGCGAATTTGTTGTTTTTTTCCTGAATACGTTACCCACATAATCAAGGAAGAACCTTTCAAAATATCTGATGTCTGAGCTGTGCAACCTCAGTCTTGTGAGTTGATCAGTAATTAAAACTAAATTACTTATTTAATCAATCCAGTCTTATTTCATGTTGAATTTCAAATTCTTAAGCCCGTCGAAGAAGAAGTCTCCAGCCAAATTGGCTGACATTTCTGTTTTTGCAAAAAAATCCCAAGTTTCTCTCATGAAGTTATTTCTTCAAAAGCGTGCATGCCCCGTAATTAATACTTTACCATCGGTGTCCTCGTCCACCAAAATGCTTTCTTCATTCTTTTTTTCATTTTGAGACATTTTTGCCCCTCCAGATTTTGTCGAGAAAGAGAGGTTGCCAAGATCAACAAGAATCATCGACGGATTTTTCTCCCGAAATGACTCGGGTATGATGATTTGAGGGGCAGCAATAAACAGCTCAATATTCCATCTCTTTTCTTGAGTCTACAACAGATGAACGTTCACATAACAAAACCAGTCATAGAGATGAAAAGACTCATTTGACAAATCACAAGTAATGCCATGTTGTGTAAGTAACGTGACAACCATTTACAAAACAGCAAACGCTTACATCTAACACTAGTTCATTGAAATAAAGCTAGACTAAAGCATCAAGAACTAGCGTTTTCTTTGAAGAAAAATTTCAGAGAAAGTTATTTTTTAGCAACTAGCTATGTCGCACGAACATTGGAAATTCTACATTTTAGTTTGTCTTACTGCATGCATACTAACCTTTACTTGACCCAGCAACAAGTCATCCATAGCGCTATATAGTCCACTTTTAGTCTGCGTTTTCAGTTCTTCATATCTTGCCCAAGCAGCATCGAGTACTTGTTGTTCTATAGCGTGAATATCTGATTTTCTCACAGACACCGGCTTTTTGAAGAAATTTGAAATCTTTTGAATTGTTGTTGGATTATAAACAATTTCCAAAGGTTGCGTGGACACTTTTATACTATAACCAATCTTATTTGATTTTGGCATTTTTTCAAATTCCAAACGAAAGACTGACTCTTCGCTTTTTTTGCACAATTTCGGCTTCCCAGAAACCAAGTATTTAAAGACATTGCCCTCGCTCATTTTATCGCTGACGTGTATCGACTGCAGACTTACGTTACTCTGCCAAGTACTGCTTCTAGGACAGACTCGCGACATCCATCGAACGTCAGCAAAGACATTTCAACCAATGGCAGCAGTTCTCCATGGGTGACGCAACCCTTACTCGTGACAAGTTTGAAGCGTCCACTGTCTAAGTGGAAGTTGAGATGTGCAAATACGTTATCACGTTTAAAGATGGAATCATCGACTTGGCCTTCTTGAATCTCTTCCAAAAATTTTTCTTCTTCTGCAAATAGAATTGAAGACAAATATTTCCTTTATCAATTCAGATCTCCTATCCTCCCTTTCCTTCATTCCTATAAATGAAAATATACTGCACCTTCAGTTTGGGGAGCTTCGCTGTAAGAGTTGGAGGATGGCGAGGACGTGGAAGCACTGCTATCCTCTGATGTACCATACCAATCCCACCATCCTGATAGCCATCCTGAACTAGCCTCAGATTGAACTGTCTTTTGACTTTGCGAGTGCTTCATTTCAGCCGCCTAAAAGCATTCAAACCTTTTAAGATGGTTCGTTGCATCTTCGGTTTGGGTTTTCAGTATGTAAAAGATGATGATGAATGAATGACTGAATAGCACTTAACAAAACCTTTCTTAATTCATCTTCTTTCCTCACGATAGAAACAGCGATGAATCTAAGTGACTTCAACTCCTCAAAACACAACTCATCTTCAATTTCCTTTTGTATTTTCTGGATTAAAATACAAGAGATAATGTGCATTACAAAGCTTAGATCACAAGTTTAGAGAATTAGCGCTGGGTTTGATGAATCACAATCAAAAGTGAACTAAAAAGTAGAGGATGAGCCAGCAGTTGATACGTACAGTGGAAATAGCATCTTCATATGATTCAGTCAAATGTCTCATGTAAACATTGACGTATTTTACAATAGTTCTCGCTCTTTGTACAGCATAAGCCCATGTTTGGCGTTTATTCCTTTCTCGAATGAAGTTTAGCACGCACGTTCCCGCGAACTGCCACCAGGCTTTAGAGCTAACAATATATGAGATGATGAAAATTAATATATGTCAGTTTCTTTTTCGAGCCAATCAGTGAGTCTGAAATACACGTGTGTGTTTTGAAATAGAATGACCTCCTTCATTTCCCTTCGGAAAACACACTGGAGTAAATACTGCTTGATCTAATTTCAACATCAGATCACTAATAAAGACACTGGACTAGTGTATATAATGATTAAAATCTAAACTTCAGACCATTGTCGATTGATTAAAAAGTTTACGCGTAATTACTTGAGTTTTTTCGGCACAAGCGGTCGCCATTTTCGATATTTCTGACTTCGAAAATGTCTCTGAAATTCCTCTATAAGATTGGACAAAGTGTGGTATTGTACGTTCACCAATGAAATGGAAATATCTTCCACATGAATGTCGACAACAAATCTTGGCTCATCTTTCTCACGAAGGGGACTACTGAACAGTTTCGTCGAAGTTTTATTTGGGAACTCAATGGATTCAGAATGTATTCATGTTGCTAAAAAATAGCAAAGAGGGATGCACTAACACATACACACGCATTTATGACATGCAGAAATGACGAATAAAAGGTGGAATTGGAAAATTTTCGTGTGTATTCATGTAACTAGACGGTGAAAGGGAATTTAAACCGCAAACCAAAAAGTTTAGAAAAAATGTTTGGCTTACAGAAATCCCAAGAAATCCTTGTTGCCTGCCAATAACACGATGAAGAGCAATCTAAAAGAATACGCGTTTCTTAATGACATAGGTAATATCATAGAACGGGCTAGAGGGGATTGGGAACGAATATCTCTCACATCACTATAATATTTGTGCAACATATCTTGACAATTTTTCTACTATCCTCCCCAACTCACATCGAATTCAAATACTTGATGGTCAGGTTTGTCCTTACTGCAATGACCTAACAAAGCTAGACTCCAGATATCCTCCACTTATCCTTGTGAGAACCTCAATATCCAAAACGTTTAAGTGTATTGAAATGACCACAGACATCAACAACATTCAAATTGAAGTAATTTTTTCACTTAAAATTATATCATAATACCGTGTGGGGTAAAATTCACGTGAACTAGCGAGGTTTTGCTAAGTCAGGATTACATCTCTAACTGCTTACGTCTAAATCTTTCGAAGGTAAATCTCCAACGAGGCTTGCATCGGAGTCCCAGTATAAAGCAAATTTTTGAACTTCTATCAATTTGAACTTTGTCTTGCTTTCAGATACCAAAAATTCAGGTTCCTAAAGAACAGATTTGTAGATTTTCAACACTTATCAAATTATCTTTATCATTAACAATGCAGTCAAGAGAAAACATCACGTTTCTAACCCATTTCTCATTTGCAGATTCCATCGCAAGTTTCTCAATTGTAATTCCGACAGCAAAAGGATTTCCAGGATCAAGAATGTTGTCTTCGTAACGAATGTGAACATCATTTACAACCAACTACATAAAAAAAGAGAGAAATCTTTCGAAATATACGTTCAAGACAAAAATGTCAAGCACTTGTGTACAAAAGTTCATGTTATGTGAACTTCCATCCTCTCACTCTCAGTTGAAAATTATCAAAAATGAGAAATGTCAATCTCGTAGTTGATATAATGTAGCAAAAGCTTACGACTATCTGGTTTGTCAATGTATGTATTGACGAACGTTTAGTTTCGTTCCAGTAGACATTCAAACCTAGAATGACTGAAAAATTCCCACAATTCCATGTGAGGTCAACAGCCAACAAAAGAAGCCTGGTGACAAAGATTTTGAATGCAAAAACAAGGTGGCAAAAAGTTTTTTTAATAAAACTATTACTCATATCAAGAACTCATTTTAAAATAGTAAACATTTGTCTGAGCATTTTTGAAAGCTAAAAGTTTAAGGGAGGGGAGGTTACATACAATTTTATCCCACACAGCCATACCTGAAGATTCTCCATGATGGTTGTGGATAGTGAGGAGTAAAGAGAGGACCACCAGGATTCTGTGGCATTATCTTTTAAGTGACCAAACTAATCACGAAGAGACACATAAGTGGTTGTTAAGTAATACAGCATGTGTTAAGTACAGTCAAACATCTCATCCTTGGGACCATGATAGCAAGGATACAGTAGTGTTCCCTAAAGAAAAGTTTGCTTCCCAAAGGAGTCCGTAAATAGATGTTGACTGTACTATTTAGGAGGAGGATTTGTAGCCCAGACAATACACATTCAATATTATATTCATAATCAATTCTTATACATTAACTATCACAATGAAAGTACCATATGGATGCATATGAGAGCACTTCAAGAAATTCCTTCTTAATGAAGAAAGTTTGCTTCCTTATGTAGAAAACATGAAACTACTTTCCCATTCTCATGAACAAATTCAAACATCATTTAATGACAATAGCAGTGAAAAATAGGGAAATAAAAAGATCAAGAACTCTAGTTGCATGAATATATCCCCTGCTCACTGCAAAGCAAAAGCTAGAGCACAAAAATAAACAATACCAATTGACCAAAATATGGTACATTTTAATCACAGGTAACACCAAAAATACCTGCCACTGCATCTCCAAACTGTCCAGTTGTTTTTGCTTTCTTTCCTGTTCCTTCTTCCTTTCATCTTCTTCACTAAACTGTATAAAATTTGTCATTCAAAACAAATCAATAGTTAGCGTTGACACATGTACAGGTTAGCACACCTGATAGGAAGAGATGGGTCCAGCAATCACATAAAGTTTATTGATGTGAATAATCCATGGTTCAGACTTCGGATGACGAAATGGAATGGAAAGTTTCAGCCGACCAATAAACCCTGATTTAACTTCCAAAGGAAGCTCCAGTCCCTGCAATGCAGTCTTCCTCAAAGGCAGATTTTCAAGTTCAACAGTGCCTTAACATTAAAAGATAGAAAATTTAGAAAACAACCTTCAGGAGTGGAAAATCCGGTCCAACACAAAATATATTACAACAGCTTGTTTTTGGATACACTTACATTTAAAAATGAAATGCAAAAATATTACATTTTGTGATATGCAGCCCTCTATACAAGCTTTTCATTATAAAAGGTGCATGAATAACAAAAACCTGTACACACAATAGCATTTTTAATTGTCCGGCAGAGCTACAGTACTTATCAAAAATGCCTGAGATCAGTCTGGTGTATAAATGCAAACTTAGATGTAACTAAAACTTGGTGTTATTATTAATTTTCAAATTGAAAAATGTCAATTATTTAAGCCGGAAGAAGGGTAAACATACAGTATGCAGTCAATAGACTTAATATACATAGTTGTATTTAATTCAATAAATAAGAAAGTTCATACCATAACCAATAGATAACTGATCGGTGTTAAGATTTTCCACATATTCTCCAACATATGTCCTCAACACCCAAGCTGCCAAAGTTTCTAACATTATAAATACACACTTCTCGACTCCAAGCAAAACTTTATGATTGAGTTTCTTTCATCATCACGAAGGCAGAATTCTCAACACAAACTTAGCAGTTCGAGTTCATAAGAAGCAATCAAACCAATCGAAACATTTCACAGCAATAGTTGGATATGGTACAAAAATTTACTGACTTGCAAAACAAGTAAAATATATTCCCACAGACAGAGTAAATATCTATAAAATTTCAGTCATATTTGTAGTTACTGGTAGTAAGTGCGCCAGCAATACGCTGGTCAGTCACAATGGTGGATACTATTGATCCAGGTGGGGAAGACTCGGCCGTCGGCCCACATGTGGAGAGGTAGGACCGGGGGTTCTCGAATGATTTCAAAATTCAATCAACATAAACTGGCAAAATGAACTTCTTTAATCTTAAGTTAAATAAGTTCTAAAAAAAGTACAATGTGAGGGAACTATTCACTTGAGGATTAAAACAATTTAACTGTTAAAGCATTAGTGATCAGAGCACACTAAAAAGACGTTCGTTAATAAAACCACGAGCTTTATAGTTAGATTTTGAAACTTCATTAAAAACCCGCCTAGGAGTTTCAACGTCCTCATCTGATTGCGCAGATAAGTCTTTCAAGATCATTTCAAATTTTCCGTTATCAATATCTTCCAAACCCTTTCCATCATCAACGTCGTCGACATTGCGTTGAGTACGTTTTTGTATCTGTTCCTTAATAAACATAGTGTATTTTAAATGCCTCAATTCTTCTTGAGCGCCTTTGATCCGCGCCAAGCGCTCGTTCTTCGATAATTTCACGGCAAATGACAGTCTTGCACCTGTGAAATTTCTGCTAGGAGGTCGAGCTGAATGTGGAATAATACCTGAAATATAAATTATAACTATATGTAAGTAATGAACATAAAAATGAAAGACAAAGTCTTAAAAATTTCACCGTCGTAAACAAAAAAGCTTTGAAAGTTCTCAATCAAAAGAAAAGATCTTAAGGCATTTAAAAACGTAAAAAACGACAGACTTTTTACAGCTTTTATACATTAGATACCAAGAATGATTAGTGCTCAATTGATTGCACTTCAAAAACCTTCTAATCATACCAATCCTGACATGCTACAGTAACAAGTAGTCACCGAACTCTATTCCAAACTAGAGCACACACAGCCTTAAAAAACATAGACGCCAATCTTTCTGAACTTAAATATAGCTTTGAAAGCATGTAAAGTACTTTGACTGATATTCTAAAAGATCTTTTCTCCTACCTTCAAATATGACGACGCGGCCGTATTTAGGGCGAACTTCTGTTATAATTTCTGTATCGTCCTGGTTTTTTTCATAGTAGACAGTCTCACCGTAATCGTTGATGCTCCACGATGGATTCAAATACAAAAGAAATGTCCATTCCTCCTCCCCTTTCTCGCAATCATGATGTATCTGTGTTGTGTCCGAACTTCGGATTAGATTACACGACACGTCATAGGGAAACCACTCGGATAATCCACCGGAGGCAAAAGTTGCAACCTGAAGAAAATTACAGTAACGCCATTAACTTTAAGCTCAAATATAAGCCGCTGACGTCACAACACGTCTGACGTCATATTGCAAACATGACATTTATCGATGTCAGGCAGTCAGAGGCGCGCGTTTGAAAGCTTGTGTAGGACTCTTAGTCGGCACGTCAATTTTCAACATTAAGTGTTAGACATGATAAGTCAAATAATTGACAATTTTAATTGCAGGCAAGTAGCAAACCCTTTTGGCTATTCGTTCAGTTGAAGATGAGCTTACAGACAACAACAATGCTCAAAAATTGTTCTGAATGATATAATTATGAAAACACCATGCTCATGGATATAATGTCATATCCTAGGGTGTACATGCATAGACAATAACCCAATATCCCCAATGCCACCTTTACCTTTTTGGTCACTTCCCACATCCTACTCTGTACATATTTGTCCACACTAAATCCAGCTATCCATTGTACATTATCACTTTCTTTATCGTAGGAGTCATCATAAAAATAAACTCCATAGCTCAGAATGAGACTGCGAAGGTTTGCTAGCGTATCGTTGTCGAACAAACCATCAAATACGAAAATTTTTTTGCCCTCTTTCGACTTGGCTTTTGCTGTCAATTTTGCTTCAACGTCAACTACTGCTGGTGTTGATTGATCTAAAAATCATCAAGATTTAAGTGATTTAACCTACTCTCCAATGTAGACAAGTCTCTCTGACAAACGACAGTATTCTCACACTCATATTCAAGGAGAGGAGCTTTAAGATCACTTCATAACTATTCAAACAATGATGATATTTTCAATTCACTGATTGCAAATTTTAAATATTCGAGCAAAAAACATTGCAATCAAAATGAGTTTGCCATTGACTAGTATGAGTGTGATTTGTATGTTACGCTAAGAGAATGTCAGTAGAATCTAGACATAAGACATCTTTCTTTACAGTAAACACTCGCCAATGTACACAAAGATGTTAAGAACATACCTTTCTCAGATTTTACGAAGAATCCAGAGTCTTGTATTGATTTACGCAATCGCTGCTCATTCAACCAAATGTTGTATGCATTTTGATACTTTCTTTCATCCTTGGTAAAACGAAGATGCAAAAGAATTTGACCTTGTCTGAACCTAACACTTGGCGGACGGGGAAGATATGGGATAGAGCTTTGCCACACCACAATTCTTCCATACCGAGGAAAGACACCAGCTGCAATTTCTTGGTCATCGTCATATCTAGATTAAAGTGAAAATAACAAATGGTGTAAATTCTGCAACCCAACCCTCTGTCATCACATTTCCTTCATAAAAAATTGCTAACTGATCACCTTAGAAATTAAGTGCATGCTTTGAAATTTGCAAAAGATAAATTGCTTATAATGAACATCCATGTCACCAGTAGTTTTTTTGGGAGAGGGGCAAAGGGAAAAGATTGAAGTATTTGCAAAGTTGTTTTTGACACCTTAGTTTTCTGCTGGTAATTTTCAAAAGAGCAAGAAACATGACATTGTTAATTTTGTCAGTTTAGAATTACTTACAAATACAAATCACCATAATAGTTCTTTTGCCACTTCTTTTTCAAATAAATCATCATCGAGACTTCATCATCATCAGATTCTGCATCCACACGTAGTTTTGGGGAGTCTCCACAGCGTAGTATGTAGCTTGTCACCATGTATGGAAAATAAACATCACTCCCTTCTCCAAAAAAGTTTCTCACAACTTTCTTCAAACGATTACCAACAAGAGTTTCAGAAAACATAGGTGTCTATCTGGTAAGCCCATGGAAGACCATATGGGTCAACACGTTTTTGTCCACCTACAACACTATCCTCTTGCAGCTGGTAGGTCCAATAACCAAGATTGAAAGTTGCAACCAATCCAAGGAGTCGTAACTGGACAGTTGATAATACTCCATCAAAAACACCAATACTCAACCCGGATTTTGTCAAGTATTTATTGACAAGTTTCTCATTCACATTGATATCATCAATGGATGAATACTATTGATAGAAATTGACATATTATTATAATACCATTCATTTATACCACTGACATATTGCTATGCAGTTACAATTTTAATTTTCAGAGTGTCGGGTATCAAGTGGCTTGAATGAACAAGTGACATGTCAGTTCGAAAGATGTTTGAACTACGGTATAACTTTGAATAACTTTTACATGACCTTTTTGATAATAGCATTTTTATTATGCTCATGAGTTTTTATACAGTGTAAATATTGGTAATAATAAAAATAATAACAGTACACCTAACAAAGTTGGGAATACTTTTAGAATAACCAGCCAATCAAAAACAAAGTATAACCTATCCTGAGTTATACTCCAAAGCTATATGACTACATGGTTACATAGCTTCCTCACTACTTGTCTAGTGGCTTACATAGCTACCTCGCCACTTGTAAAGTAAAGAAAACTCTATTGCAATCTTGTAAAAATATTGCTTTGAACAAATATATCATGAGTCTTAGCATATGCCTTTGCACTAATTTGAAGCAGTCTTGGCTTGAGGCTCGGTTTTCTCAAACAAATTATAATTATAATACATCACACGCCTATACACTGCCAAAGCCAGTAGCCAATGGCTGTATTACAACTACTCAGTTAGGGATGTACTAAAATCATACCCAATGTCTTTGTTTGATCCATACTGACATAATCGAGAGATAGTAAAATAACATTAGACAACTACAACATCAAATTCACAGAAAATCCACTCCATCTAGCACTCTTTGTCTATAAAATGGCACGTAGCAAAAAAAGTACTTATGCTGTCTTACATTATTTGATCGCTCAATTTCCTTGCTGAAGCTGAAGTCAACCTTTTGCTTCTCAAAGTTTACACCGTTCGTGCCATCTTCTCCGAAGGTGAAGATCAGTTGCAAAGCTAAAACAGAGATTTTGACGAGATTTGAATTATAGAAAGCCATGCTGAATCACACTAATGAACTTCCTTAAGTAAAATATAACATAAAGAAACTGAAACAATTACGTATTTAAACAAACATAAGGAAGTTTACCAATTCAGTTAATATGATACACGCCAATGGGCTGTGACGGCTTTGACCAGACCATACGCATTACATCGGAACGGAGATAAGCCGGTCAATCAGCATCATTGGATATCATCGATAATGATCAATAAATAATCTGCCAAATTATTGGCGTTGTATGTAATAAAAAGACTAACTTCTTACGGTAAAAGAAATATTGTTCTGAATGTTGTATTAAAAATAGAGTTTACTTATTAAATCAAAAAGACACCAATAAAATTTTTGAATTGATTTCTTTTAAGACTTAAGTCATTTAACATATTTTATATCAATAAATGAAAATATACATTTCATAGTTATATATATATTATATTCATACATGTATGTATATGCAAGTGCTACCGATTGCAAATAGTAACATATTATTATCGATAAAATTTCGTAGGTGTAGGTTATTTCATTGGAAATGAAAAAAATATTACATTTTTTACAGTAGACAGCTATGATAAAAAGTATTCATCAATGTGCTTTGGATTTCTAGGGAACATATATGATCTAGATGGTTGATTGTGGTGTGCATAAAATATACCTTTATCATCGTAAATGCTAATGAGAAAAGATTATATTGGTTTGACATTATGTGATTATATTGTCAAAATTGCTTTTGAAGAACAACTCCAAAATTCACCGCACCAGTGTGGCAATCAAACAGTATGTACTGAAGCCCATTACCTTGCTGTTTTAACTCTCTGCCTGCAGAAGTCAGCCAGAGTTGGGATAGTACTGTTGGTGATTATAACACTTGTCAATATGACGGTGAAGTTTCAGTCTGAGCCCGTGCTGTAGAACTGGGGGAGCACTTGAGGAAGGAGCACCCCTTCTACTTTGAAATGGGTAATTTTAAAAGGGTGCTATTGACAAGAGAGCCCCCCTCCCCCCCATCTGATAAATTTAGCTCTACAGCACTGGTCTGAGCCACCATCAATATTTTTTGAAACCGACAGTGAAATCTTTGAAGACATATGATGCAATCTACGTAGACAGACCATAAGGCATCGCTTATACAGTGATTAAATAATATACCTAACACTCTGTTAGTCGGAGCTTTAAAGAGAGCCCTCCCACCCTTGATATTTAAAATAAGAATTCTAGGGGGTAAATTTGTCAATTCTGCAGTACGTACTTTTGTTACGCTACATGAAGTAGATGAGTCAGTTAAACCACTCATTACTACGTAAAGTAAATGAGTCAGTTAAACCACTCGTTACTACGTAAAGTCGAAACGTGCTAACAGTTATTGTCGAGGCTACACCATACAACGCTACATAAAGTAGATGAGTCAGTTAAACCACTCATTACTACGTAAAGTCAAAACGTGCTAACAGTTATTGTCGAGGCTACACCATACAGAAGCTGAAACTCTACAACTGTTGAACTTCTGATATACTCTGTCTGTGCAGAACGATAAATTGCTGTATACGTGACAATACCATGTGCTGACGAATATGTCTCGCTACCAGATCTCTTCAACAACCAACGTCTGCGTTTTTGAATGAATCTTGCGCAAACGCCTCGAAGTCCTAAACAACATGATTCGTTTTCAATGTCATATTTCAATAATGACAATAACATCTAAAAAACTGCTGTTATCAGTCAAGGCTCTGTTAAGAAAGCACTATGATTACATATAAGTATTTATAATTTAAATCTATCCTAATTAATTATACGTCAAGGTGTCTGATGGTGGTCATGCGAGAGAGGCATAGATTAGTAAACTGACAATATACCTCTATTTGCGAAAGAGCAAGTGAAAGGGTCTCTTGACTGGATCTTGACTTCGTCTTTGCTTTCTTTGATAACTTAGTTCCCTCGTGAGGAGGTGTTCTCGGCAATGACTCCAAAGAATTTTGTGACTTAGTTTTGCTTCTTAAACCACTAATAGGAGTTGACAGTGTCTGAGACAACGGTATCTTTGACGGACGTTCAGTCATACTTAACTTGCGATACGTATTACCGATGTTTGAATCAGAGATTTGTCTACGATGCAGTGATTTTTTCCCAGGTTGAATAGTTCTTGGTTTTTGTGGACACGGCTCTGGACCTAACTGCATCTCCTGTATTTCTTTGCGTTTCTGTTCATTAAGATCCTCACTGATTCTTAATTGCTCTTCCTTACTCTTGATCATCTCCCATTTGATGCTGTCTAATTCTGTGTTGATATCGGCTAGCTGCCGTGCGGTATCTTCGGTTGACTCTTTCGAAAGTTCCTTTAAATCAGACTTCGACTGTCGTTTCCTTATCGTTCCTCTTCCATTTTCTTGTCCTTTGTACAATGTTTTCTGCAACATATCTTGACGTAAAATCAATGAATTCCGTCGTTTTTTCAAAAGCGTTTCCCTCCTTAGCATTTTCAAACGCTCATCTTCCAAAATATTGTCATATTTTGCTGATATTTCCCGATATTTCACCTTCATTGACTTTTCATTCAGCTCTAAGAGAGAACCTGTCCTTCCTGAATGTGAACGCATGCTATTGGAGGACTTGAAGTTTTCTGTGTTATGCGCGCGCATGTTTCGTGTTTTCCTAAGTACTACCCGCATAGAATGTTGCCATTTTAAGCGTGCCCTTTCCTTACTCGTCAATTGTTTCGTCATCAATTGTTGCTCCAGTTGTTTTTCATGAAGCAATTGTAGTACTTCATCTAAACTGATCACCTTCGATTTTCTTCTGGGAGATGTGGGTGCACTGGCTGACGTATACGAAACGGCAGAGGAACTTGATGAGACATTCCTGTTAATCACGTTACTTTCGGCAACATCTTCAATCGAAGGATCCGGAGTCTTTTTCCCACCGACTTCTTCACCTTTTTGTAGTTTTTTAGATTGAGGTGAGTCGTCACTGTAGAAAACAGATCACATTTATGATTTACATGTGTCTTAGCTGAGCGCCGCAATACAATTAATGTAATGCAACCTTACTAAAGTTGCAAACTTTGATTACTAGTTCACAAACCAGTATGGATAATGCAGCCATAACAAACATCGTTTAAATTTATCATCACTAATTCGTGTACACCTTCAAAATTGTCTTAAAACTCGTTTCAAGTTTTTCTAACACTCTCTTTCAACGCAGGCAAGATTATCAACATTTTTACTCTTTTCATTCATATTGATTTCCAGTTATGTTTTTGAATCACATCCCAGCATACATTGTTTGCTGTCAACTTTTAATACGTTGATTTCAATTCGACAAACGAGTTATAACTTTTGATTTGGAAAGTCGCCATAAAGTAAAACGACGATTGGTATAAAACTGCTTAATACCTCATACAATAAATTCATAAGTAATGGAAATATGAAGCATCTCACCTCTTCATAGAAATCTTTTTGATTGTACTACCGGCAGCAATTTTCAACACTCTCATCCATCCGTACATGACGTACGAGGATTCGGCAGCAAATTCATTGTGCTTGTCATTACGACGGTCGAAAATATCAAAAGTATAATTTTTCGTGTTACATGTTGTTCTCTGAACTTCACAACCGTTGATTTGCACTTTGAAATTGCTCGTTACATCTTCTTGGGAATAAAAGCAATGAATAGTGGCTGACTCTAGGACGCACCAGAACTTTACCCAAAGACCTGTGCTTGTTTTATAATGCAAAAATGAACATTTGGTAGTGGTTTTTTGTAAACCACCAACGTCGTTTTCTGATGTGACGACACTTGACGGATCATGGCGATTCGGAATCGGTGTACTCTGAGGCATGCCGTCGACCATGGTCAGGCCTACTTTTGATCTTTCAGTCAGCTCTGAGCCCTTTAAAAACAGCAAAAATAATATAATGCAGTGATTACAATATCGAGACATGCTAAAACGTTTCTAAGGATCTAACAATTTCAAATATACCTGGTTGATACGGCATATTTGACCAATTAAGTTCTTGGAAGGAGGTTTCAAAACCTTTTGAGATTTTGTGATAAAAATTTGAGCTGAACTGAAACTAACCTTGTCTCTATTTCCTTCATAAGCACCATCGCTATCGCTTGTCTGTAATAAACCAAACACAAATCGTTTTATAGAAATGTTTTTGCTGTAATGGAGGCATTGTTTCCTGATGAAGAAATAACTTACAATAGGTGTTTCGCAAGCTGGAATATGTAAATAGCCAGGCACAGTTGGCTGTACAACATCGTCCCTTTTCACTCCTTTGTATCCATTTAGACCTTCGTTGAATTCGTTTTTTGGACCGTAGTTTGAGCTCTTACCCCACGATTCGAAACATTTCTTCCATTTGAAAAAATCTAGAGGCGAAAAAATAAGATCTTTTCAGACATCACTTTTGGTATTCATCCAAGTCATTCATGCATGTACAATAACAAACGTGGACATTTCCATAACACACAAACCTTGATCACTATCAACTGCAAAGTATATTGGATGACGACCAGGCTTCTTGAGTACAAACGAGTTTGGACGTTTTACATTAGTGGTATCATGCCTAATGTCACAGAGTGGCACGTGATCACGTTGTAATGCTTTAGTCTTTGACTCGTTCGTGTAAATACTCAAAATACCATAACTTACTTCCATCTACAAAAAAAATGATGAGCTAAGAGCTGAAATAGTTTCGATAATTAAGAAACTGTGAGGTGCTATTGATTTTCTCTTCAAAACCATTGAGCTACTTCTGGAAACCAAACTTATAGCGATGTGTATCCACTTACCCAACAATATTCCCAAGTTTCCTGTTTCACAAAAAAATATACGTGACCTTTCTCTTGAATGCCACGTGGTTTAACTATACCGGAGAGGCTACTTGTTGTGCTATGTTCGTCGGAGGAGTCTTTATCTGTGGTTTCACAATAATTACTGTTTCGTTTTTCCTAATTATGAAAAGGAACAAAGAGGTATAAAATAGATATTTGACAAACAAATAATCTCAAAGTTATTTGTAAACTGGCCAGCTTCGCCTTCCCTCCAGCTATTCAAAAGAAAACGGTGTGATTTACTGTAAAAACAATGAATTTTTGAAGATATAAAAACCGAGCTTTTGGTCGTGAATTATTGTGTGATTTCAGTCACTGGAATTTAGCGAAGGGATCTGAAATTTGTGTTTTAACTGAAATCTGTCATTTTGTTTTTTTATATATTTCCAATGAACAAAGTAGTTTTTGAGTAACAAGAATGGTTCGTCTGCTTCATTATTGAAAAGTTTTCAATAGTTATAAAAAACTTGGTAGACAAAACATAAAAAGAACATTATGTGAAGATGTCATTGTACTCACAGGAGGAGTGTCTTCAGTGGCTGAACTGTCTCCAACTGTATCGTTGGCTTTAAGATGGAGAAAAAATATTAGAGTCAATATGACAACAACTACGTAATGATAAGGGGAGTTACAGATCCAGCTAAATGGCATAACACACCACTAGGCTCTCAGCAAGTGTCCTGAAATGCAAACATTGGCTCTTCTTATTCAATTAAATCATAAAATATTTATTACTCTGAACAAAGTTTTCAAAACATTTACACTTGCAGACAAACATGACAACAAAAAAACAACTCCATATCCATAAGAACTGAATATCATTGCTAATATTATACGTACCATCACTCAACAACGGTAAAACAAATATTGTACCACGTGGACATTGCACGTGATTTAATGTAAGGTCGTGGGCAATATGATTGAAATGTATACTCTGTCTAACTGGACTTACCTAATGGTACGTAAAATTTTGAAGTTTCCTTTTTAAGAACAGCAAGCCAACGTTCAAATTCAACGAGATTTTCGGCGGCAAGACTGAGCTCGGTGCCATTACGAACCACAAGTTTGAAGTTATGAGCGCGGGTAGCTCCTAGCTGAGGAGTGGAAACAAGATAACTTTTTCTCAAGTTGCACCGCAAAACCTCTTGGGAGTATTGTGAGTCGCGGAATATGTAAAAAACGTCTGCGCTGACCGCACACCATCGCAGTTTCCAGTATGGACCCTTTTTCCGAAACAGACATCCTTGGATCTCTGTGTGCTCTGGATCTAAAGCCGCAATGCCGCTACTGCGACGACCTTTACAGATAAAACAAAACATGCATAAGCAGGCATTTATAACAAAGTGCTGAAGGCCAGAAGCTGAGTTGAGATGAAAATCAGATATGGGAGAAATTTTCATTTAAGGTTTCTCCTTTTCATTTAAGGGTTCATTTTCATATTCATTTAAGGTTCGCCGTCCCCCCCCCCCTTCTTTCTCACTCATTGCACAAAGTCGTACCCAGGAGAAACAGTTCAATGCGGTAATAAGGATTTAAATCAGAAAATACTAGTCTGCACTTTTACATTTAATAGCTTTGGTAGATGTTTTCAAGCATGGCAGACCCTAGCGCTCATAAGATTAAAGAATAAAACGACTATCGTAAAAGGCTTGTACCTTTTCGCTTCCATCCGCTAACAATGGCATTCTTCATCATCGAAGCTTTCAGCGACATTGTTTGTGTTAAAGACAAGCTTGACTTCAGTTGCGATTGCGCTGTGGAAGGGTTTATTGCATCTTGTTCGGGAGGAACGTGGAGATCGGGGACGCTCTGAGCCGTTATGGATATACGGGGAAGATTCAAGACTGGCATTGAATCTGATTCTTCATGTTTGTTTAGACCTTCAGGAAGTGATTTTGTATGAAATGGATCGTCTAAAATACGTCAATGCAAAACAGCTACTACATTCCACATTCAATCACAACGAACAAAGAGAACCAAGAGAATCAAGAAAATTTGATCGAAGTATGTGAAATGAGTAGAAAAACCAATTGACACGAACGAAACGGTGGAGAACTATATGAAGTATCGCAGTATATTTCATTGAACCGCGTACACATAGAACAACAAATGATAAGGAAGTGAAAAATGTTTGTAAAAAGTTCTTTGTTATTTTTTTAGGTGGGAAGGGGGCGGTTAGAGTTTTAGGTACGATTAGTTAGAAAACCATTAAAATATGTCAAAAATACTTATAAAATATCCTGATCTTACTTTAATCTAAATGTGTACAACTGTGTATCTACTCTAGTCAAGTTGAACAATAGACACTAAACATAATACAAATACTTTGAATTTTTAGCAAGTCGACAAGTTTTGATCAAACATGATGTCTTGTTTAACGAACAATATGAAAAATTTTTTCATCTGATAAGACTAAATGTCGAGACAGTTGATCGAAAGCAGGGATATAAATGAAACTCGGCTTGATTGCACAAGCGAGTTATTTCGTCTTGGCTTACCATACAGCTCCTCCTCGTGATTTAACTTCGCCGATTCTTTGCCTTCATTCTTTGTCAAAGCAGCATCAAATGAAGTATCGTTACTAGTTACAATCTCCTGAAGGCTCTAAAAATGACAAAAAAAAAACGTACAAGCCATTGCACATATTTTGCAATACGTCGACAATCGACATCACACGACACTCAGGCAATAATTGGATATTTGAGAGCATGAGACCCAGAACAAAGAATATCTTGTTCAACTTTTGGCGATAATATCTCGCTCATTGTGGTGTTATGAAGTCAGCAGTCTTTCTCATGATCAAATGTTTTCCACCAAAACAAATTCCAAATTGTTTTTAACAATAAGTTGAAAAATACTTTTATATAGTGCTTACATATTTTCACATGGGTGTTTAAGGGTATTTACACTTAACAAAACCGATTGAAATATCAAGGCTAATAAATAAAGTTTCCAGACAGCCTTGTTTACTGGCTTTTAGAGATAATCTTGATACTTTACCATATCAAAGGCTAAAACGTATTTGTATTAACTCCTGATACTATGCGAATATGTTTCTTCATCCACAAAGCTTTTCGATAGTTCTCATAAAAATCTTCTCGTATCAAGTTCTTTACTTTGAAGTATAAACGTCTAATTTTCTTGACAAAATTGTTACTCGACTACAAGAGCAACCGACTTCAATAGTTTATTTTGCTTCTTTAGAATTTAACATTTTTCTTATTTGAGGGGCACTCTATTCATGGTTCTGTTGACATGCAGATCACGAAAACGTCATTTTCTTAGGGTACAATGCATTCACGAGTGAATACCACGCATATTTTGCGTGTTTTATTGACTTAATTTGTCTATAATCTATAAGAGGAGTATAAATGAACATTGACTGCATGTTCAATATATTTCACAATAACTGCGCCAAAAACTAAGAACTATGAGAGAGGGAGAGTAAAAACTATAACTAACTGTGTTCAATATATTTGGAGGGCAAAAACTCCCCAGAACAAATAGCTCAAACTGCGAATGAAATTTGACGCATTGATCTCACGCACTTGTATAAACAATCGTTATAAATGTGTACGGAGAATAAATGCATAATATGTTCAAACATGTTTTGGAAACAATTTCTGTCTGATGATTCGGCGCTTAGTATCAACATGAAAAGTATTACTTGCACAAACCATTTAGGCTGTCAGTCATATAGATATCTCAAATTTGATTTGAACTCAACTGTATGTACACGAGAAAAACTAAAATTGTTTTATTTTGATGGGACAGATATTTCGACTAGTCATTGATGATGCTATTTTTTCGCGCCCTTCCTCGCTCACACAAATGGCAGCAAATATAGAGGTAAGCGTACCTTACTCGCCAGTTCCTTGACAATATCATCTTTCTCTTTCTGTGGATCAAAAATGTATCCATCAGCAGACGCATTTATTTTTGGACTGTGTCAAACATTGCCACTGGTGAGACAGGAAATGTTCCTGCGCTCCAAGTTTTTCTCCGATCCAATCTGCTTTCATTCTTTTTTGCAGTCAGCGACAACTTGAGTTTTCTTAAGACTTCGAGCTCTTTGAAACTACAGGAGCTTCGCTTAGGAAGAATGCATCCATTTTGACGACGATCAAAGAATTCGATGGCGTCAAGAAGGTTGGTGGAAAAGTCATCCTTATCAGAGAAGTTTCGTTCTTTGTAAGAACTGTTCACCTTGTTGTTGTTTTGCTCTGTCGGTGAAATCTGGAAGTGAATGAAGTTGTGAATACGCGAGAAAATGGTACTCTTAATTAAGAGTCTTCACTATCAAAACATGATACCCCCAATTATTATTATAACTGAAAGTCTACGTCAAACTCTTACGTTTTGCCTGAATGGAAAATCAAATATAATCGACAATAGCTACCAATATCATTGGCCATTGCATTGATCTAAATAAACCAATGATACGCTATCCTCGCAAACAATTTACTCGTGACAATCTTTTAAAGTATGACTGTACAGTTAATTTTTTTGATGTCATGTAGAAATGGGATATTTAGTTCACAGACAAGCGTCTTTAGTGGTTAAGTTTTGCTACAGTACCCTGTCTATTGTCTGTGTTAAATTTGCTTTTATCTGATCACATATGTATACTCGTTAGTTATGTAAAAATCAGCAACGAAAATCTGTCAACTTGAGAGTTTTCATCTACCTTACCTCTCGAAGTAAGTCGTCTTGAAGTCTTACACCAGCCCTGCTGAATGACATGATCCAGGACGCAATGGTTTCAACTTTTGGAGAGGCAAAAAGATGACTTGTCACTGTCTTACTTCCCGAAAGTCTTATAGCAAACATTTTCCCAATACGGCCTTGCATAGCAGAATAACTGCCTTCTGTGAAATCCAGTTCAAAAAGCATTGCACCGTTTTGCCTTTTATAGCATCTCAAGACGTTTGCATCCAAAACAAGCCATCTTTGTCGGATCACTTCATTTTCTTTGTGGTATAAATGTCCTTGGTTCAAACTCGTATCACCAAGTTTTGAAAGATTCTTCGAAGTAAGATCCACTTGAGACTTAGATAACTCCACAAAGTTTTCACTTGCCGCACTCAGTCGTCGTTCGTCGTCTGTTGCCGTCATACCATGACGTTCGTCATCTGTCGACATCATGATATTCATCTACGTATATATATAGAGTTGACACATACAACATACAGTACATTCAAACCTTAAAATCCCTTTACCTGACCAGCGTCTTCTCTGGCACAGTGTCTACTTCTCGATGTTGATAGATGAAGATTTTTTTTGTTGATGTAGGTCTCAAGTTGGCTGTTATCGTTCATCAAACCGATCTTGCTTTTCAGTTCTTGCTTGCGTTGATTGTGTTTTAAATTGAACTAAAACAGTGGAGTTTATTTTTGTTCAATTTTCTATTACTTAAAATAACCTAACACAACATAAACAGACAATAGTTTAGGCCGAGTTCAGTTGATATCAAACATGAAGATAGCCTTCATATTGTCAGTTAGAAAAGGGGAGTATACTACTCATTTTACCACAAAGGTTGGTTTGGACAACTTTCCAACTTATTTGTACTTCAATTTCTCATGCGGAAAACAAACGAGTTTGATATACTCTTGTTTGGATTTGATTATGAACGAGTAAATCTAGATACTGATTGCTTGTTATTTTCTTGAGATTATAAATGAAGTGAGAGCAAAAATAAAATAATCAACTACTTCAAACTAGAGTGCAAACTTTTTGAACCTTGCAAATTTAAATTAGGAGCAACATTCGATGCATAATTCACTTTCAAGATACGAAGATATTGTGAATTAAAAAAAAACTTTCATTGTTGTTGCAACAGAGAATAACATTTTCTGATAATCACAGAGGCATCAAAGTTTCAGGTACTCGTTAAAAGCTTGCCTCCCATCAAGTCAAAAAAGGACAAAGAATGCAATTAAATGGTAAAACATATGACAGGCCATTTCGTTTTGACAATGGAACCAGCACTTCACAAATATTTAGAAAGTATTTTTGCCAAATAAAATAACTCTGTTTGAAATGTCCACAAGGAAACAAATTCTGCCTTAGTTACTAATTGCAATATAAACAGTCCACAAACAATTGTCACCAGGTAAACAATTGCTGCGTTACTATGTAGTCTGCGGGTGTGGGAGGGCATGCATTAAAGAAAAATCTTCACAATCTTAAAACCTGGAACACGTATAAATCCCATGGTGTTTTTTAAATGAAATCTATGACTGATACATAAGAAGTTAGAGTCTGACAACAGTGCATTGAATTGCTTTTAAGGCTTTCTTAAACTTTTTAACGTTAACTTCGCATGCTGAAATATTTGGTTCCGTCAATCAGGAAATTCGATTATATTGTGCTGACGCACTTTTTCCGTGAAAATGACAGGGAACAAATAACTTCTTCTCAATGTTCATATAACATATCTCGATAGTAAGTAAATGTAGGGAAGAATGAAAGTATTGGATTTCTGTACACGCTAAATTTAAATTTGAGAAAAGAATTCCTATGCGGAGTCAAATTCCATTCCATGCAATCTTCGTGTGAACTTGGCAAGCAGTAACTAAACATTCGCAAAAGTTCAATCCTAGGGTCAGCTTAATGGAGTTAAAAAAAGCATGGTAATGCATGAAAAGGTAAAGGTAATACATTAAATATGCAATTTATTAATAAAATTCTTGCTCAGTGGAACGTAACTAGATAACACCAAAATGATTGACTGCGTTATATACCAGCTAATAATAAAAATATGTTTCTTCTCCACTGATAATTGAATTTTGGATATTGTTTTTTCTAAAAGATTAAACTACTGATTGTGTTTGCCAATCGAAATAAAAATTTTATATAAACATTGATGGCTACATGCTGAACATACAATAGCATTTTTTTTTATTTATGTCAAGAATTTTAGTTCACTGTGTGAGACCAAAATTAAAGAAAGATACTTTTTTTATAAGCTGGCATGCAGTGTTTGTTGCCGAATTTAATAAAATCCAAATAACGAACGAAAGTCAACATTTGGGTATTACAAGACAGGAATCTCGTGTATTTAGAGTACTGCTTAAAATATTTAAAGAGGCGCTTATATGCTTATATCTTAATATCAGCCTGTGAGATTTTAATGTCCATCACAATCTTATTCGAATGTGTAGGCAGTATGCATACCTAGCCAACGCATAAATGATTATATCACTGTGGCACTCAGACGAAAGTACCCAAGAAAATATCGGGCAAAATATTCCGACAAGGGACTTTTCAAACAAAGCCTACACTGTTTAGACGTAAATAAGGGTTGACACAAAAAAGAATAGCGCCTTACAAAACGTATTTTTTCTTATCATTGTATATTGATGGCATAATTATAATTCAAGTAGACAGGCAAATTGAAGATGAGCAATTAAAAGTACTGAATGAACAAAGCAAAATAGGATATTGCGTTATGTTTGCCTAGACCGTATGGATGTTTTACTTGTCGTGTTTTACTTATCGTTTTGGGAATCTTGTGTTGGTATGAGTGATGTTATTTGGTTTAAGTGCTCTTGAAGCTTCAAAAGGCAAAACTATTTGCGGAATTCACGAGCAACTGACTGACTACGAACTAAATTCAATAATACCCAAATTGAAACTATAACAAGCTTTAGCGAAATATAAAAAGTAAAATCTCTTTGGCATTAATATAAAAACTGAAAAAGATTAAATTGCTGCGATGGAGAACGCGGAACCTTGGCCGTAAATTTAAATACAATTAAGAGTATTATAACAATTAAAAGAAAAGAAATCGTATTTCCTCTTTCCCCGCTGTCACTTATGTTCGGGCACGAGTCATTGACTTTTTTGACTTTGTGACCCCAGATGTATTTTCTAACTGATGAAAAATATGTCGTGAATCATTGAATATAGAAGACACAACTTCTCCATTATGTGAATCTAATTGAGAAGTTTTGCAATCATAATACATTAAAACTACAGAGACTTGCCTGCCTTATGTTTATCAAACGTTTCTCGCGAATGCGTCCAAACTTGCCAAGTTTTGTATTCGAATCAAGTTTCAAATCAAGCGCTTCGACCTTTTTTCTCACCAACACAGCCGATTCTGTAGAATTTCGACTTCGCAGTATTTCAACATAGCACTGTCTAATGGAATCTAATTCATTCGATATCCGTTCCCTCGCTAACAACTTCTCCAAAAATATCGATATGCCAGGCAAAATACATTCAGCCGCTACATTAGGAGAAAATAACTCGATAAAATGCAGAGTTGTTGTGCAATGGCACAACGCAGCATATATGGCATCAATATTCAGCCAAAACCATTTTTGTGAACGCGCTTCAATGATCATATGTAATATACATAACGTCGGCAGCTTATTACAAAGCACATGTGATTGTGTTGACCGTAACAGACATAACCATTTCTATGTACAATTAACAGGGTTGGTAGAGCGTGCAAATCAAAGAGACCGCATCAATGGATATACCTTCAAGTCTATCCTCCTCGCTCAAAGACGATTTCGTAACTTTAGCCATGCTTATGCGACTTCGTTTTCGGAGGGCCTGAATCACATCACCAGAAACAGACTGTGTTGTTTTTAGTTGTTATCAAGTTCAAGAGTTGTTCGACAACTAATATAACATAACAAGTCTGAGCATGATGCGCAATTATAAACATGAACAGTATGAAAGTTTTTTTCAATAAAAAAAAGAACAATGTTCTCCGGATGACTTGAGAGCCATGATCAAAAAATGAATAAAACCAAACTCCAGGGATTTTGTTGTTGTCGTTCAATAGATGAAATTCAATCTAACTCGCGCGTCGATATCATATACGCATTTCCGGATTTCGCGCAAAACATTGAAATGTAATTGGTCAAAATTGTTGCCTCCAAAAACATTAGCATATTTCACGCAGACATCAGTTAATAAATTCATTTGATACACGTTCATGTGAGCAATTGATGAGTAGTCAGGTTTTTAGTTTACTGTATTCTCAAATTAGCAGACGATCAAATTTCGCAAAGAATTTCTTTATAAGATAAGAAAACTTTTGACTGTCGTTTTATTTCATATGACTGTCAATCAGAAAAGTTCCAAGGTGCTATTTGATGTATTAGGCAAACAGCAGCAGAACGGAGGTTGCGTACATTGACGCCCAACGTGGGCAGCGGAATTACAACGGGATTGCTTTAGGAACACTTTTCAAAGGAGAAAAATATTTGAAATTCTTATTGGCTTAAAATTAACGTTGACGTTTTCTTAGCCAAGTCAAGCACATTTCACAAGTCACGTACATGCAGTAAACGTTTCCAAGGCCTCTTTTGTATAAAATAATATACGGCCACCCTAGTAGACGCAAACTATTAAGCACTATTCTTGATACCTATCAATTTTGTTAAGTATATCTGACAGTCAACCTCCTCCGCTAGCTGTCTAACGTTTGCAAACACATTTGATAAGAACAGCACAAGTGTTGGTGTCTGTTATTATTTTTGACTTAAGTTGTGCTGTGTTGTGTTTCAGGCACGTGTTTCAAATTTAATTGAAAAAGATCAAAGATGTATCTGCCTGTTTTGAATACTTGGAGTTATAGACTATGGAGTTATAGTTTAAAATATTGTATTGCCAAAGGTTTGACTTTAATCGGTAAAATTTAGAACCGTTATTTATCAATAGCAAATAGAATGATCCAGTGAATCGGCGTGTTACCATTTTCTTTCCTGTTTTTGTTCGTTTGCTTGCGTCATATGCGCGGACAAATGTGAGAAATTCACACTTTAGGATGGATAAAAGCAAACATAAAAAATGACTTGCAGATAAACGAAAAAGATAAACAGATTTCACTAAGCCTTAGCATGTGAAGATTAAAAAAAGCAACAAGTCAACAGCCAAGTTTTACAAATACCAAGAAAATCATAAACTCATTTCTAGTCAGATCTATTAGTGCAAGCATTGAACAACAGGAATTCGTTTCTATGGACGCGACTACGCTGCGTTTCATTCTTCGAGACTCTTAACGAAATGGCCATTAAGTGGGAATACGTGTTCTTGCCTAGATAAGAGAGTACCGACTTTAAATCACCATTCTTTCGTCGACGTAATAATCACATGCAAACATTTCTGTTGACACCTTCAAATGTTGCATTCTACACCTCTTTCAAAGTACACAGTGGTCAAAGAGAAAACTCCTTATGGCACTGTTTTCATCTAGCATGAAAATAAAACATCTCTTCTTATGACAAGCACTTGATCCAGATTCATTGTGCTGAATGAAATTTGATGTGTAAAACAGTGGAAAATCCCACATTTATGAAAAGTTTCATTTTAATCAACATTCAAAGTATGCGTACCTAAGCGTACATCTAAACGATACATATAAGAAAAAGTTACCTTAACAACTGAAGCAAAACCTCCTTTTCTAAGTCTCACATTCATTTGAAGTCTTGAATTACTTTAAGCGTAGACATGAGATTTGGAGAGATGTCAAGGAAGCTGCTTTTCCGACCATGGTTACCGTTCTCCGGATATAGACATCTAAACAAAGTATTTGACATTAAAATTAATGTGGAAACTTTGAGTGGAAGTTTTCAAGCATTACTGTGATTTTATTGTCCGAGATGAGGATAACTTTCTTGGAGATACTGCGATTCTTTAAAAAAGAACTTAAAAGTTCAAAACGAGCATTTCAATTCATCCAACATCTAAACTCTTTTCCCTCGACATTAGTTGACTTGTTACAAGAAAACCTTTGCTTCAGATTCTCATCAGATTATCTTTCTAAGTGGCTAACTTGACAAAAGATTAATAAAGACGAAAGATTAAACAAGGACAGTAAAAAATGCATGCAAAATAAACATCTGCGTATTACATAAGTACGAAAATAAGAAAAAGATTTCAGCCACAAGCTGAAAGAAAAAAAAATACATCTAAAAGAAAAACTCAGTGTATTTTTATCTGTAAATCTCTTGGTCAAAAGAAATAAAAGTCTCTTTCGTGCTTATTTTACAGGTCTAATCAATGAAAACGTTTAATTTATTCATCCCCTCATTGAGTACCAGTGCTAGGTTACATCACAATTAAAGCCAGCTCTTTTACATTATCTAAAAAAATGCATTGCTCTCTAATAAATCTCCCCCTTCCACCCCCCCAAAAAAACAATAACTGTCGTCTTGCAAACACAAAAACTAAATGTGTTGAATTATTTACGATGTTTTAATGTTCATGGATGTTTTTTCTGTTTCTATTGTTAAGTAACCATTAACCATTAAAAAATTCTTAAGCTGAAACTCGTCTTTGGTTAAACTAACATCATGGATTCTTAAAGCTAATTCGTTAAACACGTTGTCGTTTGTTCAACCAATGTTATGGAATTGTTGCTTTTCACATTTTATCAGAAAACAACCAACTTTAAGTACTTAAAGCGTGTCTATATTCTTACATACGTTACCTATACCCTCTACAACGCGTTTGTCAAGAAACCGAACAAATTTTGCGTGTAGGTTAGTCCAAAAATTCACCCCTGAGCCTAAAACATGTACGTTTTGGTTATCTCATTATCTCATTTGGTTTATTTCTGTGATGAGTGAAGAATTACAAATGCATATGTTGTATTCATCATGGACGTGGAAAGCTTAATATTTGGGGTGGGGAGGGAGAGACATACTATTATGTGCAAGTAACAAAAAATAAAAAACAACATGGCATCTAGAGCATGTATGAATATTAACCCCCCGCTCCTCCAAATTACAGATCTTTCTACGTCCTTCGATATCATACAAAGTTAACTAATTACGAATCTACGGTACTATTAATCAATTAATTACGAATCTACGAAGCCATTAATCAATTAATTACGAATCTAAGCTATTTACAGTACAATTAATTTCACATTGTGAAGTTCAAAATAATTAGCAAGTTATTATGACGAAGAAGCAAAGTCTGTCAAAATGCTTCGTCTATCTAAATGAGAAATTGTAAGTCGACAGAAATAAATTAGAAGACACAAATGAAATACAAAATTTTAGCAAATCGATGTGTACTTTGGTACATCATCTGAGAATCAAGTCATCATTCATTGTTCAATTAAAAATACGGAAGTCAATCACCAAGAATAAAATGAATGTACGATTCATCATATGCATTGGAGAACAGATTGAATTACCCGATCCAGACTTTGCAATCAATACATTTGTATGCTATCATGAAAATTTTAGAACTATTAAATGTAAAACGAGTGGTTAAGTTTAGAGTTGAAAAATCAACAGTTCAATGAAAATTGGAATTGCAATATATTTATTGAATTAAAGCGTTCGGATAAGATGATGGAGTAGACTTCTTATTACTTTCATTTGATTTCTGAACACACAGCAAAAATTGAAATTGCCAAAGGACTGGACCGGATCGATTCTCGCGAGAGTCCACGAAGTGACTCTTCACAACGGTTTCTGTTTCTGACGAACATTCCAATGCAAGCATTCGCCAAGGCTCGTAAACCAATCGGTAATTTGGTCATCTTGCGTGAGGCATGGTACGGGATAAACTGATGTCATAACCCGGATTCTTAAAAGTAGAAAACCGTGCAAATCTTCATGTTTAGTTTTTAGTGGCAGCTTAAAGAAAATTTACTTTCACATGTTATTTGAAAAATTATAGTTATGGATTCTATTACCTAAGAGTCAGCGTACTGTCGGTGCAAAAAGCCTCGCACTGGTGTTTAGAAGAATTTAATACAGTGATATCATAAAATTGTTATCATTTTACGAATATTATGTATTTAGTAGCCACATGCAAGCAGTCACCTTAAAATGTTAAGTTGAAACAATCACATGATAAGCAAATTTCCTTATACAAGCACTCGTGTTGGGAACATCAAATTTTCATTTTAAAACAGGCCATGAGAAATCTCTCTAAGTTTAACTCACCCATCTCCCCTGCGTAGTTCATATCTGTTTCGACCATCGAAAGATGCAAAGGCCCCGCAGCGACTTTCTTGAGACAATATGATCTATAATGGAGTGCAGAGATGGATGCTCATTATCATCAATCACAATAATGCTAACTGACTGTAAAGCAATAGTTTTAACTGGGACGCTGATCTTAAACAAATAGCAATTATAGAAGTCGGAAGACAAAGCAAAACTGATCGTTATTTTAATAACCAAAAGCCAAAATCCAGTTATCGTGCCCATAAAACTGAAATGAAGAAAAGATTTCAAACATGCAGTCAAAATGAACAAATCCACCAAAACATTAGCAAGACCGTCCCTGCAACATCCTCATTATCCATCAAAACATTTGCAAAAACGTCCTAGCAACATCTTGACTATCCCACCTTAAGCTCTACACCAGAAGGAACAATGACTGGCCGTGATGATAACGAATGAGGACACACGGGGGTAAGAAGGATACCGGGAACACTAGGGTGTACCATGGAGCCGCCAGCAGCTGCAGCGTACGCCGTGCTTCCAGTTGGAGTAGATACAATTAAACCTGGTAAATAAAGACACCTGATGTTTTGAATTCCTTGTCATGACCATGGTAAGTAGAGAGGTTAGTTCAGCTTACCGTCTCCCTGAACTGTTGTAATCAATCGATCATTTAGGTAAACGTCAAGATTAGACAAGGTTTGAGCACTGCCACGATCAATAAGCAATTCATTCAGTACCTAAAATAAATAGAGCAAGAACTATATTCCACAATTATAAAAAATGTATTATAATTTCGTCTTCATAATATCTCTTACTGCTATATCATTACCTGTACAGCTATATGGTAACTTGTACTGCTATATCATTACCTGTACAGCTATATGGTAACTTGTACTGCTATATCATTACCTGTACAGCTATATCGTAACTTGTACTGCTATATCATTACTGTACAGCTATATCGTAACTTGTACTGCTATATCAATATTTGTACAGCTATATCGTAACTTGTACTGCTATATCAATATTTGTACAGCTATATCGTAACTTGTACTGCTATATCAATATTTGTAGAGCTATATCGTTATCTGGACTGCTATATTACAGCCTGCCCTACATTATCATAATCATTTACATAGAAATCTATCTTCGCTTACAATTTCTACATTCATCAAAGACAAAGATACTTGCACAACAAAACGATGCAAGCGGGCTAGCAGTCCAATTACTGTCAACAGAAGGCCACACTTACCGTATAAGACTTGATCATTTTATTATCGTCAAGTTTACAGTCGTTGTCAGTTTTTAACATTAATGTGCACTCCAATCTTTTTCGGAGAATAAGTTTGCCATTGCCTTAAGAAAAATATCACATAAACTCGACAAAAAACAAAACAACACGCAAACTAAAAACTCGCTATTTTAGGAATGCAAGTTTAACAATCTCGGCTGTATCAAATACGGTAATTTAGGAAAACAAAAGGAGAAAAAGAAAATGGAGAATTCCATACCGTTCACAACAGACTTCAGATCCTGCTTGTAATTTGGGAATTTAAAACATGTTAAGAAACCAAGAGAACCAATATGATAGGCGATCACTGGTGGGCAACTATGCTAAAAATATGACATAGAAGTGAGCTCACGTGAACACCCATGCAAGCCCACGTGAATAAACACGTCCTACCTACAAGAAGAATATAACAAAACTACAAACCTGAAACAATGAAGCAGCATATAACAATGTGCCATCACCCCCCAGAGTAATGATAAAGTCGATACTCGCCTCAAGTCCCCTGTCTGAAAACGATGAAACATCGGCTTCTAATAATATGAACAAGGGACACTTATACATCAGCCTCGATTAGTATATGCAGATTTCAACTCAAAATAAAAATCTTTGCAGCAGCAGTCTTTTATGTTCGTGTCGAAAATCGATCGTCCTGTCTAAATTAATAATAGACCATCGAAGAAGTTCAACCTACAGTATTTTTCTCATCCCGCACTCTTGAAACAACTCATTTTATCTTTGACAGCTCTGTTCACTTCTTCATCATATCTCCGTTAAAAGGCTTATGTAATTTGTAAATTTATACATACATGTAAAAATTCACTATGCACTTCAAAATAGAATGACCAGAATACTAAATATCTCCCTCAATGGTATTTAGCTAATGGCAAAAGGAAACTGACCATTGTACCTTGTTCCCAAATGTTAATTTTGCTACGAATGTTTTCATGTTCCTCTTCATTGTCAAAGCCAGATTCCGAAAGAGTGGCCGGTTCGATATAGAGTAAAAAATTCATTTCCTGTAAATACATAATAAACTGAAACACATAATAATTGAGCAGGGAAATACATTTAAAACAACTAGATAATACAGAGGTACGAAAGTAAAAAACAAACACCAAAAACACAAGCAATGATTTTTTAAATAAGGAAGCTGCATTCAGAAGACGAAATATTGATACTGGTGTCCTTTGGGAGAACATGAAATAACTCGAAAACCAATAATAAGTCATTACCAAATTACGTCACGTACGGTTGAAGATCAATATCATGTACGTGCCACATGCAAATGATTTAGCTTGTTGTCACGTAAAAGTGAATTCACAAAAGGCTCATTCAAGTCATTCTTGCCAATTATCATACTTGCAGACAAAGAGAGCACGCATATAACTGTATAAACAAGACTAGAAGCTTACTTCGAGTCTCTGATAGTAAAATTAAAGAAATACGTCATAAAAAATGAAAAGACACGATATTTAACAGTATCTACTGTAACATTAAGTTTATTTATGGACTAATATGAAAAAACAAGGTCCATTTTGCATCGCTTATTACGATACTACGACCGAATGATTCAATTTGAACATTTGAAGTGGAAACAGAAGTTCAAAAGTAACCCGTCGAGAGAGACGATGTAATATTTGAGAAACATTGATTGTTGACGGACGAAAAAGGCGCTCAAGGTAAACAGTAGTGAAAAGCAATGGCTTTGGAAGCCATGTGTCTCTGGGTGTTTGGACATCAACAAATTTTGCAGTGTGGCTGTCACTATGTAGGAAGAACATGCACGGTTTAGCTTCTTGTTTTAAAGTTCATGTTATATTAAACGCTAAATTTTTATAAGTTTTTAAATCCAAGACCAAAACTTTCATTTTAACATGATGTAGTAAAGAGAAGAAAAACCCAATTAAAATAACTAACATCAAGCAGTTTCGCAACCAAATGAACGCGAGCATGGAACATCCACAAGTTTTAATAGCTTCCATAGTCCCTGCATTGAAAAGTATTAGACACAAAATGACGTATGTACCTGTACAAGCCAATAAGCAAGCTGCGTGAATGACCTATTAAGGTAATCATCATCCCCAGGTTTTTTGATGATCAAAACTTGACGTGGTTCACTTTTCCATCCAAGCATCATGCTCGATGGATCGCAAGTAGAACTACATAAAAAAATTAGCAAAAAAGAACGGTGAACAAGCCGTTGTTATATGATGTATATATGTGAAAGACGAGACGAAAAAAATTCTAATCTGATCGTAGAGCTGAACATTTCAATCAGTAAGAACCCTAGCATTTACAATTGTCCTTGTAAGATACTGCAGTCTACTAAAGATTAAGGTAGAGCTGAACATTTCAATCAGTAAGAACCCTAGCATTTACAATTGTCCTTGTAAGATACTGCAGTCTACGACAGATTAAGGTAGAGGTGAACATTTCAATCAGTAAGAACCCTAGCATTTACAATTGTCCTTACAAGATACTGCAGTCTACTAAAGATTAAGGTAGAGGTGAACATTTCAATAAGTAAGAACCCTAGCATTTACAATTGTCCTTGTAAGATACTGCAGTCTACTAAAGATTAAGGTAGAGGTGAACATTTCAATAAGTAAGAACCCTAGCATTTACAATTGTCCTTACAAGATACTGCAGTCTTCTACAGATTAAGGTAGAGGTGAACATTTCAATAAGAACCCTAGCATTTACAATTGTCCTTGTAAGATACTGCAGTCTACTAAAGATTAAGGTAGAGGTGAACATTTCAATAAGTAAGAACCCTAGCATTTACAATTGTCCTTGTAAGATACTGCAGTCTACTAAAGATTAAGGTAGAGGTGAACATTTCAATCAGTAAGAGCCCTAGCATTTACAATTGTCCTTACAAGATACTGCAGTCTTCTACAGATTGATCATCCACCAATTTAGCTTTAGGTCCAAATTTCGTCACTGGTTTAGGACCATGGCACGATCTCCTTCTACTGATTACCCTACAGAAAAAATATTGACGGTTAAATTTCCTCTCATATATTATTCAAAACGTATAGAACGACATGAACAACGAAACATAAAATCTATAATGGTAGTCACACTAATATTTCTTTGCACGCTAATGAGCAAAAACTGAGGATGACTATAACCATTTCTCTTGGCTTATTTTCCCATGACTACAATGTATTGGGCTTTATAAACTCACATCCTTTACGTGCTGAGATTAAAAATAGCAAGCGTTGCCATGTTACAGGAGAATCATTAGAATTCGTTTGGAATTTAAGAGTTCTTGTTTGAAACTGCTTTGAGAATGATTTTGAATGCTCAGAAAGGAGAGGAGATAGAAATTGTGGGGGTTTGTTCAGACAAGGAAACAAAAGAAATCGCCACGAAACATGAACGAAAGCAAAAGAATAACGTAATTTGCAACATCGTGGGGAATTGAAAAATATTGCTTTAAAATTAAGTTGAATTGACAATTTATTATTTTCAGGGAAGCGTAGTCGCATTCTGTAAAAATTTTTAAATAGAAAATTTATATTTCGTTGCTACGATGAAAGTACGAGTTATTAATAAGTTATAAGACGTAAGTTGAACGAAATTATCAAATAAGCCATAAAATCATAAAGATATTACTGTTGATGAAGTATCAACATTGAATATAATTTCATATCCTCTTTTGTGGATAAAAATGTTAAAACACAGCTTGAATTCAATCAGTTTTTAAGTATACGCAGAGTAGTTCCTACTTCTTCTTCTGCGTATGCCGCCGCTAAACAAAACTTTTGAATGTTGAGTACCGGCTGGCAGGTTAACTTGATAACTATTCTTGCTTAAGTTGACATTACATTTGATGGCGAGCATAAATCATCGAATGTATGCATTAGCATATCAAAATAGCAACAAATAGATCGTGAAATATGATCGCTTCAATGAGACTTTAACATTTGCAAATATACTTTCAACTCACCACTGGTTGAGCTCCAAAGACTTCGTGCGATCGAAACGCTCACAAAATTATCAAAGCCTTTGTTACGACGAAATTAGCAAGTGACATATTTCAGATAATGAAAATCAAAAGAGCATTATATAACGTGAAGGGATGATTTAATTGGCGGAATTTGAACAAATGTAAATGTAGCCAAAACAAAGTATATGATAATATGAATGTCCAATGAAAGATGAACAGTTGCTTTAGTAAAAAAGTCAATGATGTCAGCCTATGGTCGTGTTGATGTTTCATAGATGTCTAATGCCATCAATTATACACATGCTACTACAATCTGAAAATGAAAAAAGCACTTTCGTACTACATCACATTCAACCATATATGACTGAATGATAAGTGCCTTAATTTTAGCAGGTTTATGCTAAAATTCAACTCACACATTTCTTAGGGACAAAGTTTAAAATAACCAGGACAAGCAGACAATTTCAAATAATACAAAATAAAACAAATTCCGAAGAGGGACATCTCGTTTTCTTGATATTCAAGATATTACAAGAGTTTGAAACAAAAGATGAAATATTACACCACCTTTTGTTTCAAACTCTTGAACTACCTTGAATATCAAGAAAACGAGATGCCCCTCTTCGGAATTTGTTTTATTTTGTTTTAAGTTTAAAATATAACACTATATTTATAGCAATTTGTACATCATGTACATGTAAAACATAATACACCAGAAAACATTATCTATTAACAGTTTAAGTATAAAAATCAAATTTGTTGAAGCACAGCCAGCAGATTCATGTAAACTGGTTTGTGTGCATGCTAGAGATGAAATCTGTTATTTCATACATGTCATTAACCAGAATAAGAAATTTCAGGATATGCTATAATTTTACTAAACTTATGTTATACTGAAACTTCCCATTTACCTTGAACCTATTGCTGTATTCCTGGTAAAGAGCTTAGATTGACTAGTATGATCTAGCATTTAAGAAAAAAATTAATCATTTAAGTTAGCTGGGAGACACAAAAATTTACATTGATATTGTTTAAATAACACGAACAATTTTAAATGAAGAAGAGTGAAAAATGCTAGAATCAGAAGTTCCCCCGTTGTAAAACCCAATGCAGGAAATCATAATAATTTCATATATATTTCGTTTTCTTAAATATTAGAAAATATTCCCACAAATGTTGCATTCTACGGATGCACAGACATAACGAATGTCGATAAGATCTAAAGAGATCCGAAATATTTTACATAAACATGTCGGGATTTCGTTTTCAGCCGAAGGAAGTTTAAGGAAATAGAATAGAGATACCATTTGCCTTGAGTCGTTTTCTTCTTTCTTTCGTTTGAGAGACCATTTACCATATCACACTGATCAATGGAAGCCATGTTCGAATTTATGAAATAAAATGCAATGAGAACTTCAATATTTTTAAATGCAAGATAAGCATTGACAACATCTAAATAATTTGCAACTCTAATGTTGACACTTGACAGCTACACAATACCAAATTTTGCCGGAGGAATATAGAAATTACTGGGGAAGGGTCAATATCAAAATATTGGTCAACTTAGAATGAGCCAGCGCTGATAGTACACCAAGAGCCAGTAATCCTTACTTGATGTTATATCATTAAAACAACAGAATGTTTTATTAGTTAGTAGGAAAAGCATCTTATCATTTTTGAGTGTCAAAGCACTCTACGTAATGCAAAATTAGATATGAAATCCACACAAAAAGATGCATAACTTGACCAATATCCAGAATGGAACTGATGAAAATCTTTCCATGATTCACAATTGAGAAATCCTAAAGACATTCACATTTGGAACTCCAATTGTAATAGTCCAATTAGCATATATCTTTTTCTTTGACTGCGGTAGTGAAGATGGATGAAGGATAAAAATATAGACATTATATACAACCAGTTGACTGTGAACAGTTGTTCGTAATAATTTTCAAATGTACACACATTTAAATCTTTCTTTATATATAATTATTAATTCACAATTATTTGTGTATTATAAAAGTGGCCTACGGCCAACAACAGTTTATTTTACACAAAAGTAATGCAGATGTAACTTGCAATTTTCAATATAATTAATTTAGGTATCCTCAACGGTCCCATTCTGCTCTGCATCATCCTTAACAAAATGCAAAACAAATAAAAATGTAAGACAAAATAAAAAATAAAACGCCATAAGAATGTATATACGTACTTTCAAAAACAATTGATTTAAGAGATTACCAATTTCCCTGTATCATCTTTTCCTTGGTACTTTCTTTTACCATGAGTAAAAGGGAGATATTTATATTTGATCATGTGCTGAAATGAATGTAAAAATAAAGCTTGTGTATACATGAAAAGATATCAACAAGAAACATAAAACAAATGAAGCATGGCCCTCATTGTTATAGACAGGACAAGGATAGCTGTTATCATGCATTATAGATGACAAAAGTTTTGTATTTACCTTGATTTGTCGCTTCATTGTAAGTACAAACAATATTATAAAGTACATGACCAGAATGGGCCAAAACACTGGAATGTTGAATGCATCAAAGAAAGTGCAAAACAATGCAATAAGGATTGCTCTAGTGCTGCCATACCTATCAAAATGGATCGCTTTCTTATTGAATACAATACATCGTCATACACAGCTATAAAGCTGAGGTGGAAGAATTTTTCGCAAAATGAAAAAACATTAAAATTTACTATTGAAAATATAATTTTGATTACAAATACAAACCAAAATTTGAATTCAGGAAGTCTGCGAATAAATGGCTTGAATTCTTCATCAGACCTTGTTGGTAATGAAGGACCATCCTCATCTTCATCTGAAAATAACTTTGTTTAGATGTAAAAAAAAGCGAAACAACAAATGTGGAACTTTTGCTCTGAAATCAAATAGATGTATATGCTCATATAAATTTTAATCATAAACAAACTTATTGCTATTAAAAACTAACATAAATGCTTGCTTTAGCCCACAGTGCTTATCCGGGAGCAGCACTTACTAAATGATTTTCAATTTAATTTATATGACATGATGTAATATAACATAAATTTAAAAATTCTCTATTTCTTCTGATTAAGTATTGCATAACAGTTACTCAAATGTGGCCCTTAACTGGGAGCTATGCAAATTAACTTTTCTGGATTCTGAGTGAGGCGCTTAACACAGAGCTGGGCTTATGTTTGAACATTAAAATATAGAAAATCTCACATATGTTTATATCTAAAAGTCATGTTGGGTATAATATTACTTCAACATATTTCTTATGCCTTAATTTATCAAGGCAACTACATGTTACATACCATCATAATCTTGCTCTAAAGCAGGATCAATTCTTGGTGACAAAAATGCAATGAATAAATTTAGTAAATATATGCCCAACGCATATGTGATAATGTACCAACCCTATACAAAACAACAAAATTATTGATTATGAAGATGAAATTGAAATAAAATCCTCCACAACAATATTTTATTGTTATAGTGTGGATAATATATCAATTAAGTGAGTGGTTATAAATAATAAGGTATTGGTTTGAAATAGTGCTGGCTATCATAGCTAGGTACATTACATATTTGATCTGTGTAATATGCCTGTCCTAAGATATGGTTGAAAATGTAGATTTAATGATTGCCACAGACAAGTTTTTTTGTACCAATGCATACAATAATGTGTTTTCAGAATTATACCATGCTATTCCAAACTTGATTAATAAAAGTAACTGTAATTTTACCTGTAAATATAAAAATCGCACAGAATAAACTAAGAATAGAATAAAAGTGACTATCCAACGTATTGGCATGTATGGTGTAACATCGTCCAAAAACTTTTGATGTCTCTGAAGATTCAAATGTCAAAAATTAGTCACTCTGGCAACAAGTCGTTGGATCATTGTTTGATTGAAGAACAAACTCAATACTTTTCCTACCTGCCTAAGAAAAGTAACAAATTTAGATAATATTGACGGCTGTGTAGGGCCATCAATTAGATCTGCCATTACTGTTGGGAAAAATAAAAGTTCATCAGTGCCTTGAAAACTCAACGAAGCATGAGACAAGTAAATCATAACACAATAAAACTATAAGACCAAACTACATTTACGGAGCTACGGTGTGATAAGCTGTAAAGTTAATACCTACGATAATCTTAACCTACAGTTTACACATCCAAAAAATTACTATGTACTTTAAAGTAACGTATGAAAATGACGACAACGTCGAGGAAACAAAGCTAGAACAGTACTAAAATTTTCGCATTTTTCGCTCACTTTACCTCAAATATCTATAATCCTACAGAAACAGCAAACCTTCAAGTCAAAAGGTTCATCGAAGGAGACACTTCCAATAATATATCTGTACGTTTTTCAAGGTTTAAAATAAAACAATATTTTTTAAAAAATGCCGACCTACACACCGACACGTTGCAAACCTGACACTCGTTGCAAGATGCGAACAAGCAGGATGTTGTACAGCGGATGCTACCATCATGCTACTGGCACTTCAATAATAAGAGTAATAACCATGCATTTACAGTAATAACAGGCAGTAACCCAAGTTACCCAGCGTAACAACGCACAAAACCCTTGTTTCAAATCATGATGAAGGAACATCTCCTCCATTGAACATCAGTAATATATCAAATGCAATAATTTTTCATAACGAATTTGTTCTTTTCTAACATTACTGAATAGTTCTGTCATCAGGTGCGATGTGTTATTGTTGCTTGATTAGAAATTAAGCTTAAAACACATAACCTTCTTTTGAAGTAATTCAATTTGAACGTTGGAGCGTCGCATATTACTATGGCTACATCCTTACTAATTTTCCATGTTTTTTTGTGCAGGTGCTACATTCTTTATTAAAACTTAAATAATTTCAAAAGAAAATTCAACGTTCCTTTGATTTCACACGAAAAGTTAGTGTTTGTCTAACATGCAATTCTACTCCAGAAAAGGGTCATGAGAAAGGTGATTTTCTTTTGGCGTAAGACTCTTAGATGGGCAGTATTTCTTCCAGTGGTTCTGTTTGTAGTTATAAAGATAAATTTCATGATAAAGCAACCTAGTGAAGGTAAGAATTAGTGTATTGTACAATGACAAGATATCCATCAGCGAATCTTAGCTATAAGCTGTATCTCATTGGCTGTAAACTTATATGTCATAATGCTCGTTTTCGACTCTCTAACGACAAGTTCACGACTGCATAGAAACTGAACATTATAATATGAAACAAACATCCAATTTTCTGTAAGAACAAGCAATTAATAATACACATGAAGTGCATAAACGTAAAAATTCGATTCAGCAAAAATAACGACATCCATAATCCATCTTGTTTGAACAGATGATGAACTTTCAGTTCGAAAGGAAAGAGAGAAAAGATGGGTAAGTTTGCAAATGAAAAAACAAAAATTCTAGCCTCAACGGCAACCGTTTCTCAATGAAAGACCTAAAGCACATTCAATAACATGACGTGTTGTTCAAGTCACAAAGTGAATAATGCAGGTACCCGAAGCCCGTACAATTCCCTTATGTGTTTGCAACCTACAGTTTTAGCCTCTCCAGAAGTTAATGTTGAAAACATCTAAATTCATTGTTTTTGCAGTGAATAAGTGAATACAAAAATTGCTTAGTAGGATTTTAGGAACAGACTGGCTACGTCACTGCCTGGAATGTACACGTCATGGAACCTGGTTGAGAGTAAATTTCGACCGTAAACCTACCATTAAAAAGTGCAATACTAGTATTAATAACCGCTTCTCTTTAATAAATTTCTCTAATAGTAAAAGTAATAAGATTTTGAATAAGACCTTTACAGGTAATATTAATTAATCAACAATAACTAAGAATATCAACAATATCACTACATATTAAAGAGTATATTACAATGCCAGCATATCTATAGATGTGTGGTCTTAAATGGAAATCTGATACTATGTCAAGTAGTTAATAATCATGCATTGCAGTCTATGTAGTAAGCAACAATAGCTTATTGTGATTGTCAATGATAGTTATTCAGTCGTTCTAAACCTACAAACATAGTCAAAATCACACTAACAAACACCAGAAAACATCATGTAATCTTTATAAAGCACGAAAAATTTCATGAAGACTGACATACGTGAAATTTCTGCCTTAAAACAATGGTTAGTAAGGTATACGAAATTATTATAAAATCAACGCACGTGTATTCAAACTCTATCCCGATAACCTTGTAACATCCAATGATATCCTAATCATACCCTCTGTTATGGTAAGATATGGGTAATATCAGTCCAGTCAACATCTACATCCCTCTATTTTTCTCTCTATAACAAAGGTATTGAATCTGTAACTAGGGTATTGAAAAGCGTCAGCTTTACAGAAGAGAAAGAGTGAAAAACGAGTGCCAAAGTCATAAAGCAAAACGTCTCCCCATTACTCTGAAGAAACGTGCACTTAGAAACCTGATCGTCAACGATAAACATCGTTTCATATTTTGCGACATTCCAAAAGTTGCCTCTTCGAATTGGAAAAGAGTGTTTATTACTTTGAATGGTCACAGCCATTCACCGTGGAACATTAAATCCAGTGATGCTCACAACAGGACAAAAAGGCTTCTACGTTATCTGCACGAGTACAGCGCATCGGAGATTGCCGTAAGGTTGAAAACCTATTATAAGTTCATCTTTGTGCGTGACCCATATGAAAGGCTGGCAGCGACGTACCGGAACAAATTTGTGGAATCTTACAATTTGACATGGTTTAAGAGGGTCTATGGGCGCCGTATGATTAACAAGTTTCGGCATAAGCGGTCAAAAAATACTGATATTTCTTTCACGGAATTTGCACGCTATATTTTGTACGGGCGATTAAACAATGGCCATTGGGCAACGTACAATGAATTGTGTCATCCATGCGCAATAGAGTATAATTTTATTGGCTATTTAGACAAAATAGCACAAGATTCACGTGACGTTATACGAATACTTGGCATACACAATCAAGTGCAATTTCCCTTGAACATTTCTTCTGGTTATAAGGTCTCGAGTATGACGCTCAGACATAAATATTTCACGCAATTGCCAAAGAAGTATAAAAGAAGACTGTATAGGAAGTACAAACGTGATTTCAAGCAATTTGGCTTTGTTAAACCAACATTGGTTTGAGAGCTACCGATTAACGTCCTATTTTATGAACAAATTGTGAATAAAATGGTTCATCTTATTGTCTGTGGAAATCAGTTTCAATGACACAAGTTTCTGACTCAGTAATGTATGAAAGACACGCCATAAAGTATTTAAGCAAGATAAAATGATGTGACGCAAATACGTCATCATGATGTAATAAAACTTATAACCGAGTATGCAAATACACTCTTGGGATATTTTAATTATAATTATGGACTTGGGAAGCAATGACTTAGGATAGAATGAACAATTTTTAACAAATAAGCAGCAGTCACTTACAAAGAGATGCACACAAAAACTTAGCTCACTTTCTACACGCTAAATCCAAGGCAAATATATTACTATTTTAAGCAAAAGTATGTCTAGCGACTTTTAATCAAGCAATACTGCAACATACGATTCTCTCGCCGTTCACTAAAGATGAGAGTCCGGTTCCACCATTTTCACCTTTTTTGTCTTTTGTGGTTTATCTTTACGAGCCTCGTGGTGTCTCGCGCGACCTTCACGCTCACGATGGTGACTTCTGTTGTCCAGTGCTGGTGAGTTACGACTTCTGCGATCACCGTGATGTCTTGGACGAATGTCATCCACTCCTAGCAAGAATTAAAAACAACACAAAAATCTAAATCTTTGCCCTTCGTTAGCCTGGAAATGTTTTTAATAACGGACACATTCGTACCGCCTATTTCCCGATGTCGAGCAAAATTTCTTGTTTTCTCTTTGAATTCTCTGTCAAACGCAGATGCATCCTCTAGAAAATTAACACAGATGTCAATCGTAATAAAAGTGCCAGTTTCATAACAAGTAATAACAAGTGATGTATTCCTTCACATGTGATGTAATTTGTAACAAATTGCAATAAAGCATAATTTGTTATTACATATGATGTAACAAAACATGTGAAATGTTACGCACCTTCCTCCATGCCAAAGAAATCTTGTTTTTGTTCTTCATTTTCAGTTTTTGTATTTCTTGATTTCTCAATCACATGACCACGATCGCCTACAAAGCAAAAATGAAAGAGGAAGCATTATTTATGAATGACAAGCAAAAAATTTACAATAGTTGAAATTTGATGGTTTTGCTTGCTCTCGAAGTCTCGTAAAAGATTATTTTCAAGACTATTTTCACTAACCAATATGATGTCCAATGGCCATCCTATGCAATCCAGACTCAGAGTCTCGAACAGACTTTTTAGTTTCTTTAACACCACCAGGAGCATGTTTTGTTGAACTTGACGCTTCAAAATACTTTGGAGGATTTCGACCATCATTGCTATATGTCATGACTTGACTTGATGAATAAGAAAATCCATTTGGATTGACATGACCACCATCCTGAATTATTAAAAAGAAAGTTTCATGACAAATATTCAGAATGACTATAAACTGAAACATAATGGTGTAAATGGACATAAGATTTGTGTATCACATAAATGTTATAAATTATGAAATAAATAGTTATCACATACAAAGTTTTGGTGCATTTGGGACATCATTGAATTCATGTTGTCAAACATTGCTTGAAATGGATCTCTGTGTCTTTCCCTTTGAACTATTCCCCTTTCACCATGATTGTTCCTTTCACCACGGTTGTTCCTCAAACCACGACCCTCTGGCCCTTCAAGCATGCCAAAAGAATTACCAAAGGGAAACCAAAGCCAAAAGAATCAAATCTGCCAAAACTGTCCATCATTCGATCCATTTCACGCATTTGTTCATGATGAGCTCTGAAATTAGGATAAGAATAATTTTTTTCCCTGGCTGTAGTCTAATAACAACGCACTCAACAAGGTACAAGGAGAGTATGGAGTACTTATTCATGCTTTGAGGAGAAAAATTGCTGTTATAATAATGTTAACTAATAATATGGGGATTTGAAAACAATATCGGGATTTCACTGATATTTACGACAATGTTATTATCTTTTGTTGTGTGTACATAATAAATCTACGTATGTACTTCGTAAACTTATGAGATTGCCCTGAATCTTGACAAAAGCACAAGGTCTTTTAATCTAACATTCGTAAATTTTTCGCTTACACAATAAATTTTACTTAAGTACGAAGTGAAAGGCAAATTGGAAAATTTAAATGAAAAAGCAAATGCCTCAATGGCTAGAATTTCTTTTGAATTTCGTTTACAATCTTTCGATCGAAATTTGAACAAGAAGATAGAGAAAACTATATATACCTGAAAAATGGATCATTTTCAAATGCAGCCCCGAAGCCACGAAACATCGTTAAAACAATGAGTTGAAACAGAAAATTTAAGAAAAAGTAAATACGGACACAGGTGAAATAACTCCTCGCAATATCTTCGCATAAATTGCAGACATCAATCACACACGTGACGGGTCTCGGGTTACGCGTTTAATTTCGTGTAAGTGACGTCATAATGATATTAACACGATCTATTACGATACCACAGCCTAGTGGGCTTAAGTTCAACTACAACTCCTCTTCCTAAGAGTTCACTGGTTTCACATTAGTTTAGTGCTTCAGAGAGTAATTTCATCGGGCTGGATCAATGAACAAAATGCAAAGATTTTTAATTGTATTTTTAAAGTTGATTCTCAAGGATCTTCGCATCCAGAAAACTGACGGTTACGAAAGTAACACAATTCAGTTATTGAAGTCTTCGAGATTCTTATTTCGTTTTCGATATTATATAAGAGCATTTTGCTGCGTGAGCTGATGATAAACTATGTGCTAAAATTATGAAAGCTTAGAGCTTGTGATGTCAGATGCTGCTTACAAACCCCAACAAGACAATGACATCGTCATTTCCCAAAACATCGTCTTTTCTTCCCTTTTCGTCTAAGGTTTCTTTGCAACAATGACCAACAGGCTGTGCGGATATTTGTATTGCAGTAACAGGAGATTCCAGCATTATTACAGTTTCATGTTATTATGCAGATAATTACTAGCGTAAAAGATTATCTTTTATTCACAACGTTTACAGCGAAATTCAAAAGATCAACGAAACACGATAGCATTCAGATGCACATTATTCACGTCCTAAAACTACACTGTAGCTACAACGACCATCAAGTGTCCGGAATCCGTAGCGCTGTCGAGAAGGTTCGGAGCAACCCTTGAAAGATGCGAATGAGTAAAATCGCAAGGAGGGAAGACATGCAGAACAAAACTTGCCTGAAAAATAAACAGTTAATGATTAATGAAAGTTAGCGTATCGCAGTATTTCTGATACAAGAAACTAGATTGGAGATGTAGATCATCCAGGTTAGTTGAGTCTTAAGAAAGACTGTTGGTGTTGATGTTGTCGATACGTCAACAACAACAGTCAACATCCGTCAACAACCTCAGTCACCAACAGTCAACATCAACAGTCCTTCTCAGGACTCTCCAACCTGGGCAATCTACATTTACAATGTAACTATACTCCTGGGTTCAAAACAATCACTTTACAGGAAACTAGACCGTTAACACAGCATCATAGCATCACTCTAGAGATCATATTTGGCTTCCGTTATGTAATCGCTAGCACTACCTTTCACTGAACATTGATTAGCTAATAACCAAACCTCGATAAGTGTGATTGGTTAAATGTACTGCGAACTGCACTAACAAAGCAAAGAGACCACAATAATTAAAGTTTTAAAATCAGATCAGTTAAACTGTTCCTCCTGAAATGGGTTGTACAAATTTACTGGGCCAAGTGGATAGCACTAAAGTGGCCCTTATTTACGCGATAAATCAAACAATATGTTACAAGACAGGGAAAGGAATGCAAATCAAACAGGACACAAGAAGATAATCACCGATATGTTTCATAAATTATACCCTATTGAAGTGTCAGGAAACATGAAAGCGTGGCCAGCATACAAAATATTCGAACTAAAAACTCACCAAACCCTTCTCTAAACAAGTCACTTCTTCTACTAACCTGCTGGCTACCAGGTTGGGAAATGTTGATAATTCCAGCCGCTTGTTTTTGCTGCAGATAAGAAATAAAGCCAGTTTTTAAAGCCCTCGTCTGCGCATGAACGTCAAGTGGATCTCTACCGCAAGGTAAAGCCAACAGGAGACAATGCTCATTATCAAACTATAAGAAGACAAGCATTGAATTGAATTAATAAACCATAGAAACAGAAATAGAAAAACATTCATATTTTCTCAATGCACTCTCATAAGCCATATCATTACCTGCATTCTTTTTGTCACACCTTCAAGCTGTGACACCTCCATTCTCATTCGTTGAGCAATCCTTAAAATTGGTGGAAGCGTGACTCCATTTGGTCCAGTCGCACCGCTAGCTTTGGGCAAAGAAAACTCTGCCAATTTCGAATTGCCTGACACGTAATGCATTTGAATGGCAGCAGAATCGTTCTTTAATCCCAAAAGTCCTTGCCACATTACCGGATGACGACGTAACAGTTCCATCAAAGTATCATCACTGTTTGGTACCACACTATTATTGGTTTGCGCATTTCCTGGAGAATTTGTGGGTGTCGTATTGCCTGATGTAGGTTTGATATTTGAACCGGTGCTAGCAATAGAATTATCCTCAGGAGAGTGTTTAGCGAACGTAGCCCGAGAAGGCACCGAAGCATCAACGAAAGAAGACGTAGGTACAAAAGCATTCCGTGGAGCATTAGATGTTGGAAATGACGTATCGTTGGAGCCATTTTGAACATAAGGTGGAGGAGGGGGTGGTGGTGGATGTGAGTCAGATGACGATCGTCGTTTCTTTGTTTTAGTTTCGTCATTACGATTATCAATATGCCGAGATTGCTTACCTTCACGCACATGACTATCACGTGTGTTTTCTACACGGCGCATATCCTCTTTGCGTGTAACTTCGCCATCACGCTCTTGAGAATGAGTACGCTTGCGAGTAGTAAGATGTTCCTCAGGTGTTGGTGATCTTGGACGTTCAATAACCACGGATTTCATAATCGTATCAGACTTTCTTGATTTAATTGTTGGCTCGGGGCTCACACGTGTTTCATGTCTTTCGTCGTACATATTTTCATCATTATCAGTTCCAGTCTCCATTTCGCCACCGGGCTTCACCTTTTTCACTTCATCGACGGGCACAGTACTGTCAGGTGATTTTTTATGTTTTCGTTTCTTTTTACCATCTTTCTTAAGTTTCTTGTTAGACTTTTCTGCACTACGTTCCTCCTTGTTATCTTCGTCAAGCGGTAAAGGCAATTCTTCCGGAGGTATAACTTCAACAATTGGCGATGTAGTCTCTTTTGTTTTTACTTTACGTTTTATAGATTTTGTTGATTTTCCTCCCTGATCGTATGTCTTGTCATAACTGGATGAATAGTAGTCCGCGTTCTCCGGCTCATCACGAGCATCAATTGGTTTTTTACGCATGGATTTATCACGATTACGTTCTTTCCTTTCTACGGGTGGGGGAAGAGGCTCAACGCTATCAATATCATCCTCGCTATCATATCTAAATTTAAAAAACACAAATTTATTTCTAACGCGTCAATTCATGAAGAAATGAAGCGCTACAATTTAGGCAAAAAACAACAACAAACGGAATTCAGCTTTTTTTGACTAAATGCACGATCTTCAAAGATTACACAATGAAAAATAAACTGATGATTGTATAACATTTATACATACCTTATCCTAACAGGTGGTCGTGTATCCTCAGATCTCCTCTCAGGTAGACGTTTATCAACATCACGACGTTTCTCTCGTCTTCCATGGCCATCATCACGATGATCAAGTTCAGGTGACCGTCGGTCTCTGCCAATATCACCAGACCAAAGATCAGGATGATCCTGACGTCCATAAAACCTATCACCATCACCATCCATATCTACAGGGTGTACACGATGATGACGATGACGTAATGGTTCTCCACGACGATCCGGTTCTCGATCACGTGCACGTTCTCGAGAATATTCACGAAGTTCTTGACCAAAATCATCACTATCATATCCACCACCACTGCCACCTCGGTAATAGTCGTCATACGATCGTGGCCCACGATCCATAAACGGTGGTCCACGATCGTATCCGTGATCATATGGGTGATACTTCGGTCCTGGACCACGCATCCCATGTCTAGGGCGCATTGGTTCGTCGTACATTTTACCACGTGAGCGCATTGGTGGAGGTGGTGATGGTTCATATCGTCTACCATCACTTTGACCAGTATTTGCCAGATAATCGTAAAAAAATATTTGGCTTTCACGACTTGCATAGTCAACCTAAAATAAGCAACAGGGAGATCATGAAATGAGAATTTTTCAGAGTGTCTTCTTAAAGGAAAAGAAAACGGTTCTGAAATAGAACATAACTAAGCACGGCGAGGACCACTATACAGAAACTAATAAAACATAACTAAGCACGGCGAGGACCACTGTACAGAAACTAATAGAACATAACTAAAGCACGGCGAGGACCACTATACAGAAACTAATAGAACATAACTAAAGCACGGCGAGGACCACTATACAGAAACTAATAGAACATAACTAAACGGCGAGGACCACTGTACAGAAACTAATAGAACATAACTAAGCACGGCGAGGACCACTGTACAGAAACTAATAGAACATAACTAAAGCACGGCGAGGACCACTATACAGAAACTAATAGAACATAACTAAAGCACGCGAGGACCACTGTACAGAAACTAATAGAACATAACTAAAGCACGGCGAGGACCACTATACAGAAACTAATAGAACATAACTAAAGCACGCGAGGACCACTGTACAGAAACTAATAAAATTCTTATCAAAGAAAACAAGTAAATCAGCAAACTGGTGAATAAATAATTTTTTACCCGAACACGTTTGCCAAACAATGGTCTATCTTTCACATCATTATGAGCAGCGGTTGAAGAAGCAACGTGCTCAAACGATACCATACCATAGCCACGCTTTCGATCCAAACCCAAGCCTTTAATCCGACCATAACGCGAAAAGTGATGATCCAACATATCTTCGGAGATGCTCGGAGGCAGGCCGCCCATCCAAACTGTGTTTGTCGGCATACCCTTACCAAAGCCGATCTGCGCAACAAATGGAGAAAAGAAATACTTAAAAAAAAGAACTATTTCTTGTTTATTGCAAAACATTGAAATCAGAAAAACGTGTTAAAAGCATGTAAAAATGCTCAACCGCTATCTCTGATGACACAAACCTTCAAACGATTGCGTCCAAAAAGAGTTCGATTCATTTCCTTCTTTGCTTCAACAGCGTGAGTGATATCAAGATACTGAATAAATGCATAAGCACTATTCGTACCTTGCTTTTTGATGTCAATGTCCTATAAAAGGAATCAACATTTAACTTTGTTTAACATTGATAATATTTTTAACGGCGCAATTTATTCGACATAGATGCTTATGAGTTCACACGTTTTAACTATTCACACAAATTATAGCATAACCAATGACAACATTCATCAAAAACGGCCATCAGCTTTACACGGAGATTTTCATAACTCACCCTAACTTCACAAAACTAACACAACCAAACAACACACGAGCCAAACATTCTATAAATTCACACAACTCAATTTCATATAACTTCATTCTCGAAAAGAGAATTACAATATCATTATACACTAATCCTATATTCACAACTAGAGAACTACAATATCATTATACACTAAAAGCCTATATTCACAACTAGAGAACTACAATATCATTATACACTAAAAGCCTATATTCACAACTAGAGAACTACAATATCATTATACACTAAAACCCTATATTCACAACTAGAGAACTACAACATCATTATACACTAACCCTATATTCACAACTAGAGAACTACAACATCATTATACACTAACCCTATATTCACAACTAGAGAACTACAACATCATTATAAACTAACCCTATATTCACAACTAGAGAACTACAATATCATTATACACTAACCCTATATTCACAACTAGAGAACTACAACATCATTATACACTAACCCTATATTCACAACTAGAGAACTACAACATCATTATACACTAACCCTATATTCACAACTAGAGAACTACAACATCATTATACACTAACCCTATATTCACAACTAGAGAACTACAATATCATTATACACTAACCCTATATTCACAACTAGAGAACTACCAAACGTTCTACAAAACGTGCCAAACGTTCTACAAATTCACACTACTCATTTTCTTTTTACTTCATTCTTGAAAAGTGAATTACAATATCATTATACACTAAAAGCCTATATTCACAACTAGAGAACTACAACATCATTATACACTAACCCTATATTCACAACTAGAGAACTACAACATCATTATACACTAAAAGCCTATATTCACAACTAGAGAACTACAACATCATTATTAACTAACCACAATTTCACCATAGCGTTCAAACATTCTATTAAGTTCGCCTGAGGTCGTGTTTCGTTCGATATTTCCAACAAATATAGTTCTAGTCGCGTTGAACTGGTAGACGTCATCAACAGAGTTGAAGCTGTGACCGTCACGACGTCTGTAGCGCTGAAATGGCGGCTCGTCTTGTTCATCACCTTTGAAAGGAGAGAAGAATTAAGAAGACGTATAAATTGGCGGTAATTTCGCATCAAGTACCTTCATATAGAGAAATGTCCATTTCTAGACCAAGAAACATCTTTCCTTGGCATGATTCCATCGCTTTCTGTAAATCTTCCGATCTAGAAAGAAATAAAATTGAAATATTGATTGATTCACCACAGTCTGAAAGAGAAAAGAAACGTTTCTCGAGGCTTCGAATAGCCTTTTTTAGGTTGAAAATACTTTATATACAAAGAAAATTGACTATGAATCCAAGGATAGTGCTAAAGTTTCAACGAGAAACAATGTTTTTTGCTAGCAACAATGAAATAAAGGGAAAAACAAGAATTATTACCTTCTAAAATACAGGATAGCATAACGATTATTTTCTCTTCCCAACACTTTAATCTGACCGACGTCGCCATGTTTTTTGAACTCATGATATAAACCAGCACGAATATTAGTATCTACAACATGAGAGAAACAACAAATATATCGCAGTATGTAACAATAGTCCCCCCCCCCCATTTTTATTTGCCAAGAAATCATATCCATTTTTCATTATAGATAATGGTTAGGTATTTTAAGATTAACTTGGGTAAACAACTCTCCCCAGCCTGGCAACGTACCATTTGGTCTGGAAGACAAATTTCGTATTTGTAGAGCGTTTGGTTTCTTAACAGCACGTAACGTTTCGGATGCAGAAGAACCACTGTCGCTGTCGCTATCACTCTCACCACTACCACTGGAATCACTTCCACTATCCGAGCCAGCGGTACCACTCTGACCACTAGCGCTGTGCCTACGTTTAGGTGGATTGCGGGCACTACTCCTTCGGAATGATTCGGTATCATCACCTAAATGAGCAATTTTAAAAGCAAAAAGTTAAAAACAACAAATGGAGGGAATAAAATAACAAACGAGTAATTTGTAATGAGCTTCACTCACCAGTTTCCCCTCTTTCATAATCCCTTCTTGGTGGACCGTCTTTATATCCATATGATCCCGAATATCCCTCACTCTGTCGGCCATTGTAGCCATCATCACCAGCACTAAATGATGAGGAAAATCCATTCATTTTACAATTTCCACTCAAAAAAATGTTAATCTACAGCATACATGCATGCATTTGACGATAAGAGCAGTTCAACCAACACGGCCATTTTCATACCATTATTTTCCAGCATTGACAAAGTAACAAATCAAACTGATGATTCCTAGCATATATTCAAAACTTTGAGACATCAACAAACGAATAATTTAAGATGAGCAATTTAAATTTGCAACATGAAAAAAATTGATGCAATTTAAAGTCGCAACAGGAAAACCTCCGAACAAAAATTGAAGATTCAAAATTGCAGCAATTTTTTCGAGAACAAAGTGAAAACCTTTTCATGAAGGGCGAAACGAAATCACCAGAAAAACTTGTCTCCTTTATCAAAGAGTGAGTCGTACTTACCGCTTTTGACATTCTTACAACAGATATACTACACAATGCCACGAAAGAAAAACAATTATTATCCACTTCGGGGAATTCATAATTACACATAACAAAGTACAAATTTCGCATTTCGAACTTTCATTTGAAACAACCATAGAGGGTTATGAAATAATTCCTTTTTGCTATTAGTAATAATTAGTTAACAACGCCCCAATCTACAACACTATAATTTCCACAAAACAACGTGTAAGTTTTGCCGACCATTCAACGATGATCATATGTCACCAATCCTTCAACCATTCTACATGTATACTAAGAGACCACAATTCACCAGCTAAATAACCATATTAGCTACAAGAAATGATCATAAATTTCCATTCCAAAGCAACCATTACAAACTTGTCAGAGAAAAAAACATTGCCATGCTCAGGTGCAAAGATTTCAAGTAGTTCTCCAGCTTGAGACCAGTCGGCTCCGGACAAACCACGACGATACAATTCACCATAAGTGCTCCACCATAACCCTACTCAACCATTGATGTACCCCTGTGAACCGTATCAAGTACATCAAGAAATGAATTCTTTATCCACATTATTTGGCCATAAGAAAGTTCATGACAAGATGCTGCGAAATCGACATTCAGCTTGTGAACATGCATTTATCAGGAACAGCCAAATGAACCAAAAATAACACGATCACATTTCCCATTAATACCATATTAACAAGATGTAGCCAATTAAGCCATGCGTCCATTAATTGAAACGTGTAAAACACAAAAACTACATGTCCAAAATAGCATTGTCACATATTGTCGTGTAAAACCATCAGGTGCACACTTGGGGTACATTGTGGTACATATATAAAACGACGATTGTATGATTTCCACATCACAATCATATAATCCATGTTTTTAGACAACTGCCATCCGTCGTTTAATTTGATTCGGTAAAATTTTAAGCAAATTTAACATAGCCAAAGCTAAAGTTCGGCCGTTACATTTCTTTATAATATAAACTTAAGGATTTCTTCACAGGATTTCCATTCGTTTTTAAATTAGTACGTTAGTTGAATACATTATTTAAAATGCCATTGAAGATTACAGATTTTTACAATTTTTTATAGAGAACTTTGTGGTATGAAATCTATACGTATAGTCATATTTAGCATTGAAATTTAACAGCTTAAGATATAAGAAACGAGATTTATCATTGTGTCGCACGAAATAAATGGTCGTTGCTGCAAGATATTTAAAATTGACTAATTTTAATTGACATGTGAAATGGCAGTTGTCCACGGTAGACCAACATCGCACACCACTGTGAGAAATAGATTCGTCAAATCTCTAAGTATCCACGATATTTTTTCAATAAATGACAGTTTTTTGTGCTTACTTTCGCTTTCGCCAAATGATAACTCCACGTATATGCTTGAAGAAATAACTAAATTAACCCAGTCGTAACAGCAAACTTTCCAATTTGTGACAATTTCCGCTGGGTTACACTCCGGAAAGACTTCGGCAAAGTACAAAGTAAGAACGATGAACAACATAAACAATAAATGCCATCTTCTTAGCAAGTAATAAGATGAAGAAATCACGAAGCATATAAAATGAAACACGCGAGGTCGCCATCATAAACATTTCCATAACAAGATTTTCCATGTTCGACATGTAATGCATACAAAACCTTTTACGACACCATAAAATTTGCGGCATCTTTGAGATTTTCAAAGTTTTATGTAGGTGCATACAAATTACGCACATCGTATACAACATGCAAGCAACAAATGGAAGGTATAAATTACACACAATATGAATCATGTGATGAGTTAGAGACATACAAAAGAAAATCGGCCTTACATAACATCATTCATAACGATATGTTAGGAAAACCATAATCATTCGGCAAAAATCCACAACTTACCCTCTACCGCCACGTTCATACCGCCTGTTATCCTCGTGTGACCTCGTCAACGAGGAACTTGCCGGGTCGTTGTAATCAGTGCGCAATTCTCTATCCCCTAAGCGATTTGGCGCTTCGTGCGCCTTGATGGCACATCTAATGTCAACAAAATCTACAAATGCTGCTTGTCCACCATCGGCCGAGCGCTTGGAAAGGATCTTCACAGAATCAATACGACCATATCTGAAGACAAAATGATACAAAATAGTAGATGCATCTTCATGAAAAAGTCGTTGAAAAAGTTGTGTTAAAATAATTTACAATTATATGTTTCATCACGCCTTTTACCTTACAAAACTCCCCTAAATTCCACGTCCTTAACTATAGTCAATTACAGCCACTTAACTAAAAATATAACAAAACTGTGCAGTTCCAATGACATCTATCTCAGCTATGTAACGAAAAATTAAAACATGGAAACACAAAACACATATCTAGAGAGTAATTGCCCCTACAAGGGAGAAGGAATTAGGGTACCCTATTGCAGTGTTTCTAAGACTCGATGACTGCATTGCATTATGGATGTTGAAAAGTAGAAGACGTCAATGTACATTTCCGACGGTACACGTGTTACGAGATCCGGACGGTAATATGGACAGTGGCGTGTCTTATTTTAAAAGTACAGAACGACTAATTATAAAGACAGTGAATAAAACCATCAAGTCAAAGGAATATGACATGCAATCTATATGCAGATACATGCATTGTCAAGAAAATTATGGCGTGCTGATAAGAATTTGTCAATTAAAGAAGACAGCATGCGCTAAGCGCATTTACAAGTTCGTTCCATCACAGAATTAATCTGCTCCAAGTTCATGGTCATGGAAACGACCAATTGTATGTACTTTTACCAATTCTGGAGTAATAAGCTTGCTCAGTCACAAATTATCAGATAAATCATATGCGCATGCGCAATCGGCTTAAGCATTGCGTAGTCGACTTGACCAGCTGCCCAAGTTCATGGTCATGGCAACGACCAACTGCATCTACTAGCACCGATTCCGATTTTGATGTAAATAGCATTCTTAGTACCAATTTGATAGAGAAATCGTATGCGCATGCGCTTGAGCATGCGCAGTCCACTCTACTAATTGTTCATAGTCATGGCAACGACTAACTAGATGTATTTGTACTAGTTTTGTGTCAAGTAGCTCACTTAGTCGCAAAATATTGAAGAAATAATCTGAGCACGCGCAATAGAGACTTCTTCTGACACTGTGCCTTTTTCTGACACTTATAATTTAAGACAACCTTCAACATGTTTTATACAATTTTTATTGGTTTATATCTTCCTGATTTAACTCTCTCATTTACTGTTTCTCATGTATCAAGAGCAAACCATCCATAGGCTTCATGGCAAACAAGGATTATCTGGTTCCCTTCAGTGAACGCGACGCTCTAGTGCTCAAACACTATCTCGGGGTATCGGGAGGCATGGACCAAAAACGGGGTTTTTTGCTTTCGAATTTTATCTTTTTATTTACAAGAGTTCGTATTGCAAAGATTCAAACAGCTTCTGCCTTTTGACTTATAATTTAAACCATCTCTACACACGTTTAACGTTTTTTCTCGTGACCCTCTCCCTCAGACCCGGAACTTTTACTTGGGCACAATCAAAATGTTGTGTTCACATTGGTGCCCGTGAGTGAGTACCGTGCGAAAGCAAGCAGTCTGTGCCCGGGTATGTGCACCACGAAAAGAGGTAGTACCCGAGTACGGTGCTCGGGGACGGACACCAATGTGAACGACGACAACTGAGTAACGTGTACACAGCGGCACATATTCAGCACATAGTTTTAAAACTTCTTTACAATGAATTACATGAAATTATAAATAGATGAAACTAGTGGGTACTACGTAGTATGAACGACCTGCAGATTTGTGCCCGAACGAGGGTATCGTAATCCGGCACCCTTCCCAAAAAGGTTACCGGGGTTTATGCCAGCGAAGAACGCGGTTTGGAAAATTGAAGCTTTTTTGCGAAAATTCGCAAAAACAGCATTCAAATGGTTCGTTAAAATACGCGGTAAGCAACAAACAGCGTATAAGCTATTATAACTATCTCTACTGGATCTTTCTTATCAACATTGTATGCAGCATTTTCATCACTTCCACGAATATTTATCGGTTGCAATTAGCCAACTGAAAATAATCCGGTAATTTATGTAAGAATTTCTAAACATTTGCCGGCGATTCACATGTCGTAGCTCTATTTAATTGCAATTGTAATAAAGCCAAGGCAGATGTTTCCAAAAACCATAAAAACATTTATATTTTTTGAAGGCGAATCGCGGAAAAGTATCAACCGGGGCGTACTTTATTAAACCTGACATGGAATGGAGACAACTCGCATGTATACATTCAATCAAACGAAGTAAAACTAAATTACGCAAAAGATATCAATGAATAACGAAAAACAACGATAAATTGAAAATGCCCATGACTCGTAAAACAAAAATAGCTACAACAAACTGAACAAGAATCACGAAAAACCGATAAGGTCAAATCAATCCAGTCACGAAATTATTTTAGTTTATCTAGTACATGAACAAACCTCGTATCATCCATGACAAAAAATGAGCTGAAGCAGCTAGGTCTTCAAAATACAGAATACTCGATCTTATGGTGATGAGCGCTTAATATCAAATGCTGTCGAGCGCTTACGATAAGTATTACAAAATAAAGAGACAGCAAAGCATTTAGCATATGAATTATGTTCAAGTATATATTAACATGAGAAAAGACATCTGCTTTCAGCAAGGAGGTATGTTGATCTTCTACATAAATTATCATATACTGATAAAAATTTCAAGAATAAAATTCCACGAATAAAAAAGAACAATATTCCACATATCATCTACTTAATAGAGATGTAAATGAATCACCACTGCATATGAATTAAACTTGTGGCTAATGAAATGCAATTGGTATGAAAATCATAGCTTTAGACACCAAAGTAATGAGATGCCATTGACCAACAACAACTTTCATATTTTTAAAGAGTTATGTATACTTCATTTCCTCTAGACGATCATGGTGAAAGATAAACTGAGATAAACTACGAGGTAATTGATCAATACCTTAAAGAATATTTATGAACATCCTTTCCCTTGTAGTGCTTCTAAGACATATGTTATTGACTCAAAAGGAAATATAACATTATCAGCTGAAACCATCTGGAAGATGATGTCGCCTTTAGTGATACCTTATCAATACAGCAGTCATGGATATAATATGAGAAAAATTGTAATTAGAACTTACTCAGACATAAAATTGGCATTAGCAACTCATAAATTGATTTATATTTCTAATTATGTGTCTAATAAAATAAGACAGAAATTTCTATGTGTAAACATGCATTTACATATTTCTGACTACCATTAAGTTTATCCCATGTCTAAAGAATGCATCTACATCACCATATTTATTTTTCCACATTAAGATTGCTTATACCAGGCCAATGTGGCATTAACTAACATAATATGTATGATCCAAGCAGTGTGCGAATTAGTTCAGAAAAAACGATGTGCAATTTTTTTGACAAAAGTGTTTCTTTAGAGGCATAATCAAATCGATATTACATTAATTATCATATAGCGCTAATTGCTAAATTAATATTTTTAAACGTGAACAAATTCATATGATTTACAACAGTGTTTTTCGTTAAAACCGCTGATTTTTGCACATTGTTTGAAAAAGTGATGTGCAATTGTTTTCATTTTAGCTAAAAGGATGTGCAAATTGCACATTGCACATCGTTAATTAGCACACTGGATCCAAGTATTTTGAAAAGTTTCAAATGCTGCATGTCACTAAACTAGCATTGCATGTTTACAATGGGAAATTTACTGGAGGATGAAAATACATTTTAAGCGGGGTAGTACCATAATAAAATTCACAATTGCAAACTAATTGAATTTACTGCCCAATAACTTGAGTCCTGATACAAGTCTTTAAATTAAAATGTATAATTCCCATAAGTATAAACTATGATACAACACTACACTCCCTTCTCTGGGCTTCCATATACTAGTATAAATATGCCACAGGTACCATACCAGAACCAAACCACATCAGAGCAAACAAAGCACTATATGATTAATATGTTGGAGTCCAAATGTTTTTGAATACATAAGGCATTTAGTAAAATATTAAATAGGAAATTTGGAAATAAGATTGTATGACTTCAAATCAACTTGTATCAACTCAGTACTCTTGTTCGTTATCTGAATTAGACATTATACACTTGTATGACATGGTCATGATACATTTGTTGTTAGTTCATTATGTGGTCATGTTTTGTGGGGTTGACAAAAAATAAACTTCTTAAAAGACTTCAAAAGAATGAAATGTGTACTTCCGGTAGTTTTGCAACCACAGTCAGTGTACAAAACTACAGTCTAGAAACTACTACAGACTTCCTACAGCATTATTACACTCATATTTCCATCGAAGTAAACAAATGGCAAAAGAAATCAATGACCAGATACAAGATAATTTTGCAAAGTGCCTTATACAGAAACAAAGTGAAAGAATTCCCAGAGTCTGATCAGATAAGGTGAAGTCACGAAGCTGTCGAAGCGTGGAAACTCAAACTAAAGTCTAAATATACTAATTGAAATTGCGTTTATTCATTCTGCTTGTTGATAATAGAAAATATTTATAAATACAACTGACAGAATATCTCCAAACTGTTCCATTTTTACCAGACAATTTACCTTTGAAAATAGTCAACCACGTCCCTTTCGGTTGTTGAATCTGGTAAATTACCAACCCACAAATGTCTTGTTTCCCTCATCGGAGGCATTTCAAATAAATTAAATAATACACCCTTTTTGTAAACCTTTCCACTTTAAAGAAGTTCTTCATAAAAAGCTAGTTTATTCACGTAAAAGAATAAAAAAAAGTTCCAACATACTACAACAATAACATTTTTTAATACGACATATTTCTTGCACGCTGTGACCGCATTGCCTCATGGATAGAGAAGCATAGGACAATATTCCGGTTGCATGGGTGTAATATCTCCGGTCGTCAAAAGCTCCGAAAAAAAACTGGGAACGAATTAAATTTTCGACACATCAAGCAGACAGTACATGTTGTGAAGAGCAAGGCGAAGGAAGTAGGGATAGTTTAACCACCATCTAGGCGCCGTATTTGCGCTTTAATGTACCATCAAAAACATCAATGAGTAATCAAGATAACATCACTGCCGAGGAAACTCTCGTGAAGACCGATCGGGAAGGTAGGGACGTAAAAAATTGATTTGAAAGCCGTTAATTATTGTTGCCACCAGCAGGTCACACGCCACCATTTGGTTGCTTCGTGGCAATTTTGCTCTCTTTCTCCGTCTTATCTTTGTTAAAATCAACGTATATTTAAAGTTTGTCGGTTTATCTTGTCAAATTCTGAATTTTTTAAGCAATATTTTGATCAATTTTTAGCTTTGAGTGACGAAGACCGCAAGTTGAAGGATAAAGTCACCGGAACTGTGAAATGGTTTAATGTCAGAAACGGTTATGGTTTTATAAATAGGTATCTGCATTTCCTGAGAAAAACTACCGAAAAACTAACTTTCCACGGTTAAATCGTTGGAGATCAGCCACGTGCATACGTGTCTTTGCAATTTGAATTTGAGAGTTTGAAATCTGCTCCGAAATATTTTATCTTTCCAAATCATTTCATTACTATTTTAGAAACGACACGAATGAAGACGTTTTCGTCCACCAGGTAATTCTAAAATTGTAATGAATTTCTGCCATTTCGTTGATCAGATTTAAAAATTTTACGTTGAAGAAATTTTATATTGCGATTGTAGTTTGCATGCGTCATGGCTTTGCCATTTTATTTCAAGTTGTCTTGCTGACGATATTGAAGATTGCGTATAAATCAGTTGTAAACGGAAGTCATCCATGATAAATTTTTAGGAAACTCATTTTCTGCCTTTACCAGTTCCTCATCAGGAATATTTTACCAAGTTTCCTAATTACTTTTTTAGTACTCTGATGTTTGTAGGTACAGGAAAGAAGATTTCTTCATCAATTTATTGATACAATTCTGTTTCATTTTCTCAGATTTTTCCATAATTATAATTTATCTATTTTATTTTACAATGCCTTTAATGCTTATTCTGGAATGCTTGAATCTTCTCATCAACATGAATTGGAAATATCAAACTCACATGTTTTTTTTCTTCTTATCAAAACTTTTTTTCTTCTTGTTGCTTATTCCTGTTGATTTTTGATCTTAGACATGCACATAAAAACAATGCTTGAATCATTTCAACAGTAATATTTTAAAACTAAAACATCAGAAATTTTACTAAGTAGTTTGAGATATTTAGAATAGATCATTTTAAAGTTGTTGAAATTTGTTTCATTTAAAAATGTTTTGATCAATGGTGAAATAATTGTTATTTGCTTTTTTGTAGACTGCCATAATTAAAAATAACCCAAACAAATATCTTCGTAGTGTTGGAGATAATGAAGTTGTTGAGTTTGATGTTGTGGAGGGTGCAAAGGTTGGTACTGTAATCTAATAAATTACTGTCTATTGAAAGTTTGAAACTTGAAATGGTGTTTGCTTATGATTCATTTGATTTCTTAGGGAAAGGAAGCCAAGAATGTGACTGGACCAGATGGTACAGCTGTTCAAGGCAGCAAATATGCGCGTAAGTTAAACTTTTAATAGTTTTTGCTGCATGAGCAATCAAAATAGTAACCATTATGTGAAAAGTGTATGAAGACTTAAGCTTTTTTTACCTCTTTTTTAGCAAACAGAAGACCAAGATACCGTAGAACCATCCGACCAACACCAAGGCCTAGAAGACCTCCTCCTCCAGCCAACACTGATGGTGAGGGTGGCAATGAGGGTGATCAAGAAGAAAGAGATGATGCTAATTCCCCTCGAAACTACCGCCCTCGTTATTACAGGCCAAATCGAAGATACTATCGGCGTTACAAACCATCTCCTCAGACAGATGATAGTGCCTATGATAGGTCAGGTAATGAGACGCAACCAGATTCAGAGCAGAGAGAAGAGGTAGAAAGAAGGCCCCCTAGACGAAACAGAAGAAGACCACGGTAAAGAAATATGTGTCAAGTTTATTGGTTGTTTGCTTCAAGCAATTCTGATTTCTGCATTTCCATTGCAGTCGTCCACAGAATGAGGATCCAGCAAGTGATGGCCAGGTTGCAAGTGATGTACCTCAAAGTGACACTCAAACTATGGACACGCCTGCTGGTGACGGTGATGAACGAGAGGGTGAGAGTGAAGAGCCCAAGAGATATCGACCACGCCCACGGAGACGCAACTACTACAACAGGCCCAGGCGTCGTCCGCGACAGGATGATGTTGATCAGCAAACTGAAGAATCCAATAATCAACAGGAAAGTCAAAAGAATGGTGATAACCACGATGAACCTCAACAATACCAGGATCAAGAACGTGATGACCAAAGGGTTTGTTGCCGGATGCCATTAATCTGATAAGCAAATGACCTTGGATGTATAATTCCTTGATTCTATCCTTTAGGATGATCGGCCACCTCGACGACAACGACAACGTCGAAGACGAAGATACAACAATCGACCACCGAGAAAAGGTGGCGAGGGAGAAGAAAGTAAAGACGAACCACAGGTAAGAACTTTCAAAAGATGCTGTGGTAATAACCGTAAGCATAAAAAGCCAAAATCATTACTCTTATTTTGTTGTTTGTATTTTCAATGAATGAGTCACTTCGATGGTAATTTTTTACTCGAGTTATCGAAGGCATTTTTTTTCCTTCTGTACAGGATTCTGCGCCTCCACGAGAAAATGGACCACCGGAAGAGCGTGCATCTCCCGGTGTGGTTGCTTAACTAATCGCCCACTGCGTACCGTTCACGGCTTAACGAACTTAATACTCAATAAATTTATATTTTCTACCTGTTATTAATGGCAAAGCGTTTACTTATATATCTCGAGTTTAGTGCATCGACCTAACCAATGAAGTTGTTGTGATTTTACGATTAAATATCGACATAATTTGAGTATTTGGATTGCGAGAACTGGTTGTTGTCATCATAGATATGTATTTTCCGCTTCTTATTATATTGCTAGTTTCACCTGTATTTATGTGAGAATTCTGTGACGGTACGGAAGAATAAAGATTTGTTATATACTTTTTTGTGTCAGGTGTGAATTTTTGTGTTCATGCTAATGCATTGAAAGCGTTAAAGCTCTCGTAAGAGTATTGTAGCATCTATTCCTTTATCTCCTGTATAACGATGTTAATGACTTAAAAAAAATTTCACTTTCCAGTTTGGATACATGTGATCTGTTTTTAAACCTGGCAGTTGCCGTACTACAGTCATGAAAAAAGAACTTGTACTGGAGACTAGATAAGATAGAGTCTTGTACCATTTTGGAGAGACCTTGTGTAGGAGACATCACTTGGCTGGAGTCTTAAAGTACAGCTTTGAAAAGAGACCTTGTGTTGGAGATTGGGCTTGTTTGACTCTGTTTATGAGAACTGGGTTGGCATGATGATGTATATCATCTGTTCATTTGTTCATAGAATCGTGTCGTCATCAAGCCGCATGATACACGTTTAGCGTAACACCTGCCGCTGATTCATATGAATATTCACATGAAAGTTATAAATCTTTTATTCAATGAAGGTCTTTATATTCCCTTAAAGCACAGGACGTTTAATCTCGCAAAACATAGTTGTGATTCCGCTCAGTAACGTTGCCAAACGTTCAATCGTACACGTCAACATGTCAACCACTGTTGAAGACGTTCACCATATGACTGAAGATTTATTAAAATGCTGGTCGTTAGCTGAAGTAGAGCAAGGCAAAGTGAATCTACAAAGGCAGGAAAAAATCTTGGAAGATCGCAAAGTGTATTTGGAAAAACAGAAAGACGATGTAATGAATGTTGTTAAAGTATTTCAAAACTGGTTGAAACATCTACAAAAGGTAAATTAACTACCGAGTTCCTAAAGCAGCACCGAATCATTTCATGTTTCAGCAGCAAAATTTATTGAATGCATGCAACGGGGTGTACAGGAGTAATTATTTTGTAAATTGTCTTTGATGATTCGTTCTAAACATCACCTTTTCGAAAATTGTTTTCTAAAAACAAGAAGTTCAAGAACAAATTCTTTTGTTTACGTATAGAAAGTGGAGCGAAATAATCAATTTGTACCGTATCTCTGGTGCGTCAAAGAGTTTACTAGGACAATTCTGAAAACACTTGGCGACCGGGAAGGAGAGTTCCACGCTCAAGTGAAAAGAATGTACACCGATAATGTACCAGGAGTGACACTCGTTTGTGAGAAATTGGAGGAATTGAGGAGGCTGGTGACCAAAATAGATCATGATGAAGTGACATACAAGCCGGGATTCGTTGAAGATATGCATCACATTTTGGGAAGATTGTTGGGAATAACTGAGACTATACTTAGCGTGTATTTCTCATAAAGCAGTCTAGTCAAAACTCGTTTATAATCTATTGCATTTTGTATTAATTTGTAATGTAACACATAAATATTTAATGATGAAATTTTCAAGCATTATCCGAATAATATTTCCACATGACACTGACCACCAGCTTGACTATTTTAAAGACATTGGTTTACTCCATTACAATAATAAATGAAAACATTCTAAATAAATCAACATTAGGAGAAAAAAATGTGTAAAATAGAACGAAATCATCTTGTGAAGAATTCGATTCATTATAATTAATTGCTGATACAAGATATGAAATATTGGTCAGAGCTCACCAAAGAATAAGCAAAAAATACATAATAAATCTGCATCAAACACATCTTTATAATAAAAACAAGCCCTACATTACAGACAGCTGTTCATGCCATACACTTAAAGCAACGAGACAACAGGCCAAGATAAGGTAAAGAACAGGACAGAAAACGTCAATACAGTAAGCGAAAAGATGCTCCTAGATTTGATTGCAGCTACTATCTCGCCTTGACTGAGAAGTAGTATATGTCATAGAAGCAAACAATCATATGTTTGATCACATGTAGATGTATAGCAGGTTGAGTTTTTAAATTTCAAAATTTGGAAATTTTCCCTGACACACAAGATTCCTGTACTCATTGAACTGATTTAAGAGAATAATAATTTTCATATATAATATTTTACAATGGTCTGTAATGAAGGACGAAAGACAATTTAATCATTACCAGCTGTTCCCTGACCAAAATAGGCAGGACTTTGCGAATATCATTAAAATAGGACGCTTTTAATATAATAGAATGTCTTTGAAGAAATCCTAACAGTATACTGAAGAAATTTGGCTTTGATGGTCTCAACAACAGCCTTTTTAGCAGAAAATCTGAATAACTTTCCGCTTTTAGGTACGTTAATCGACAGATTTTATTTGAGCATTGCGTATAGCGATTATAATGCTGTTTAAAACCGATACAAACTAGTGTCTTTGAAATGTTGAAACAAACAATCTTTCGGTTTTTCCTTATTTTCAACCCTAAAAAAAATGGCGCACTCAAGGGATAATGTATAACACGAAGTCGCAAACTGAACTTAAAAGCAGTGCTGGCAAAAGGGTAACAGTGTAGGTTAGTTTTCTCAAAAGCTGACCAATAAAGAATGAACGAGGCTATTTATGAAGCCAGTAAAAAGTAAAATTCAAATCATCTTTAATCACCTTTCCGTGAATATCTCTGTGTGAATGTTTAGATTTGTACTTCCAGTAAACCATCACAATTTATAGCAATATATTCTTACTTATTACTCATACTGAAAATTTTCTCTCTTATTCTCTTCCCCAATTTTCCTCGACATCTCTGAATCTCATAATGAAATGACGTATCACACAAAACTCCAGCACAACCGTTGAGTTATTAATACTAAATAACTATAATCAAATGTGTGGCAAAGAAATGATTTGATTACAGAACTTCCTCATTTTTAGACACTTCATAATGAGCAAAAAGAAAGAAGGCTCAAAATCAGAAAGTCGATCATTTCAATCGCACTTTCCCATCAAGTCCTTGGAACAACTAATTTCAGAGAAGCAGTATCTGCAGAGAAAACTGAATACATTTGAATCTCTTGTTGATCAACGATATGATCAGAGAGAGCTATGCAAATTTTTTAAAGATACCTTTCAAAATTGGGAGAGCGAGTTTATCAAAATCCCAAGACACGGACAGGGCATCCCCAACACTCGAAAGTTAAAAGAGCTTTGTTCAAACATAAAAATTGCCATGGGGGCGAATGGCGAATTTTCAAGAAACCTTCAACTCCTTTTGGCAGCTGGATTTAATAAATGCGCGACAAAGATAGAAGATTTCAGAGTTCTTCTAGACGACAAGGCTCTTTCTCTTGTGACGCTTGAAAGACTTCATGCAGTGACAGGACAAATCATCGGATGTTTTGAAGCTCTTTTGCAGATTTTATACAAAGAAAAATGAACTCTTCTTACATATATTGATGTACATGAATGTGTGGACGAAAGAGTAAAAAAAGTGCATAGACTGATGTAAATTTGATTATGACTTGAGTCATTAACTCGTAAAGCTGATAAGTAATGTTTTAATACAGTGTGATCAAACTTGACAAAAAAACTTGGAAAAGGAAATTGCAATAAAATAATTAGCAACAATAGGCCAAAAACCCAGTTTGAACAGACCAAAATTTATGAAGACTTCCTGATGATAACATATCTCTAATTTATTCATCCAAATTCCAAAACGTGAGTCCTTTTGCTGGAAAATATGAGGCGTGTGCTCCCACAATGACGTTTCTGTCTTTTAGAATCTTCCTTTCTGTTACTATTTTTATTAGAGAGATAGTTTTATTAAACGATCTCATTGTTTTGGACCACGCCTTTTCCGCTTCTTATTCTACATCCGCCAGGAGGAAGCGGATCGAGTCGAATCATCGATTTATCTAACAAACATGAACTGCAACCAAATACCAAGCGATAAATAACTTAAATCTGAGGCACGTACAGTGTCATTGAGTCGCCCGCACCATGGCAAAAAGTGAATTTGATTTATTCTTCAAGTTTTTACTAATCGGCGATAGCGGTGTTGGCAAAACCTGCATTTTATTTCGATTTGCAGACGACGCATTTAACTCGAACTTCATCCACACCATCGGCATCGACTTTAAGATAAAAACATTGAATATAGGTAAGATTACCAACCGTAGAAAAATAGAATTATGTTATATTTTTCAACGTCAACTGCTTGCGAAAAAGCCTCATTTAGTTCACAAGAACCTATGCTTGTTTTATTTTGGCAATTGCTTCGGAAGACACGATTATTTGCGAAAGAATTCTGTTAATTTATATGCTGTAAATATATGTCAATCTAATCTTGACATATATTTATTGATTTAATGCAGTCGCTTAAACAATGAGATTTAGTTGTCTTCTTCGCTTTTTATCGAGGAAAACAAAACACCACATTATTTTGTTTGTCAATGAAGTTCCGTTTAAAATAAATAAAGAAAGCTAGTCACGGTAGTTTATAGCTATCTTCGTGTCATACTGATTGACGTATGTGAACGCATCAGCGACAAGCATTATCAATGGTTGTTCAAACCAAGAGTTACCTGATAAGTTTATGATTTGTTTCCAAACTTTAACATTAAATCTAATATTCCATAAACATGTAATTTGATTACCAAGAAGATATATTTTTCATAGCAACTTTATCAATAATCTATCGCAGGTGGGAAAAGAATAAAGTTGCAAATATGGGACACTGCAGGACAAGAGAGGTATGTTGAATGATTTGAGCAGTGAAAAATAACAACAACAAAGAATAAACTGCAAAAACATTGTTCAGTGAATGTAAAATGCCATTCCTTTGGTTCATACCCAAATCCAAACAAAATTGATTAAAAATAACAGATTCACTTCTATGTTCACACAATTTCTGAACATGCAAGGGTTACTTCTGCAATTGTAAATTTGGCATGCCTGGTTCGCTAATTTTATCAATGAAATTTTGCATTGGAAATTTATTCCAATGATACAAAACATGTTTACTTAGACCTTAGAAATTGCCATTCACCAAGAGTTACTCCAAAAATTACCATTGTCATGCATTGGAACTGATGCATTGGTAGTAATATGGTGGTAATAACGAACTTGTTAGTTTAGACAAAGATATGGGAAAATACCTACATGGAACTACTTCAGTAAACCCTCGCCAAAAACCTTTCAATGTTGTATTAATGTACTTAATTTGTTTTTGTCTAGGTTTCATACAATCACAACAGCATACTATCGAGGAGCAATGGGTATTATTCTTGTATACGACGTTACTAGTGAAACATCATTTAGAAACTTGACAAAATGGCTTAGACGTATCGATGAAAATGCAACAGAAGATGTCGAGAGACTTATGATTGGTAACAAATGTGATTTGGAAAATAAACGAGAAGTCAGCCGTGAAAGTGCGGAACAGTTTGCTCGCAGGCACAACATAAAATTAATTGAGTGCAGTGCAATGGAAAGTACAAATATAGACATGGCTTTTGAGACTCTTACCCTAGATATTTTGAACAAGGTTTGTCCTCCAATGGAACGAGAGGAACCAACACCTAAAGGAAAAAGAAAGAAAGGCAAAAGTGTGAAATTGAACAAGCAAAATCATAAGAGTGGTGGTTGCTGTTGATTATAATGCAACAGTATTTATTGACTTCGAGTGATGAAGAGTAAATATTATATATCAATATGTACATCCAATGCTAAAGCATATATCCCATCCCAATTGACACTTGGCACAAAAATCTTTCTAAATCACCCACATAAAGCTAAATTTACTGTGACATGCAACTCTGCAATATGGTCACCAACATCATCAAAGAAAAGCCCTTCATATGCAATGTCGTTGATGAAAACTAATATCAAGAAATATATATGTTTTGGAGATTAAGCACAAGTTCTTTTTTGACTGTTTTGATTATAGTACAAATGTTTATGTTCAATACAAGGTATCTCTCAGAGCAACTCTTAGGATGGATTTATGATTTTTTTCATAATATGCTGTTTTTCTCCCAATTCTTCTGCCTTTACTAGCTGGTTTGAATGGAAGCAATGTATACTATACTATGAGTTGCAACTTAAATTAAACATATGTATTCAAATATTGTGCACTCTCAATGTAATTTAAAAATATTAAATTTGATAAACAAATGTAAATAGATTAGATTCGAAGTAAACTAAGAATTGCTGTTCTTGGAGGCTTGAAATGTTATCAGTCGAGTTGACAAAAAAGAACACACCCTCTTTATTATGTAATTTACTCATGTAATACTTTTCCATTAAGTCCCTTATACAGCACATTTAGAAAGGAACAGCATTTGGCATCATTATTCACAAGTGCTTGGAAATGTAGATACAATTTTAGTATCATTTTTTTATTTTAGTTGATATCATCAATTATATACTCTTTACGGAATCCCAATCCCCCTAGGGGCCTGTAATATAGTGTCAGAATGCTGTAGTAATGCAATATTTTCATTTGTTACATACATTACGTAATATATAAATTTTTAAATAGTCTCATGACATATAAAGTCGAACTACGGTAACTTTTTATTAAACAAGGTCAAAACATCAACAAGCAACTTTCACAAGTGCAGCTGAAAGACTGCGAAGCGAAGTTAGGTAACTCACGAATAAAGTAAAGACTTGTGATTGTTGTGATGTTCATTCAATTGTATGTGTGTTGATAGCGAGTTCTTTAAATGCAATAATGAATAGCTAAATTTGATCTGTTTTATAACTTGGACTTGTACTAGCTTATTCGTCATTACATTGTACGTTGTTGTCGACTTAACTTTTCACATGATTCAGGTAAAGTTGATAGCCCATAGAAGTGCAATGGCTGCAGTTGATCTGTCTAAAATTGCCAACAATATGGTACGATCCGTCGCAAGTGGTGAGGTACGACACAAAATACCCATATATTCACATCTACGTGTTTTATTAATTTCATAATCAAGACCACCAAAAGTAACTGTAATGAAAGTTGATCATGTAAAAGTAACATTGTTGTTCAAATGAGCAAAGGCTGCCACAACAGTTTTCATTTTATCTCAACATTCACAAATCGGGAATAACAATTGTCTCTCAAGATAGCCATATAGCTCTGCGTGCCAGGCTGTGGGTAAAGATGTTTGTTTAATCCCATAGATGGTACCAATGAGTAGTATTTGGCAGAAGGCTACGGCAGTGGTTGTGTTCCTACGGAGGTTTGGATGACCATTTTGTCGACTGTGGTCAAGCGAGCTTAGCGAGATCAAACCACAGTTGGATGCAAACAATATTGTTTTGGCAGGAATTGGTTTGGAAGAGCTTGGTGTGAATGAGTTTGTCGAAGGGGGCTTTTTTAAAGGAGGTAATTTGTCCTCAATTTTATATTCTTTGACAAGTTCCTTACAAAACACAAACTTTGTGAGTCAATATAACTATGAAAATCATCTTTTTTAATCTGCTATAGACTTATATGTGGATGCAGAAAAGAATAACTACAAAGCACTGCAGTTTAAAAGGTTGAAATGCATGTAGTACCTGATTGTATGCATAAAAATGTTCACAAGTTATTTCCCAGGTAGTTTTTCTTGCTTTTATGTTTAATAGTACTGGGGTTTTTTTCAAAGGTATAACGCCTTATCTGTTCTACCAGCATTGGCTTCCAGAGTAACCAGGCTTGGTTATTCTAAGGTGAGTTTGTCTAATAATGACTACTGCAAACTTCCAATGATGTATTTATTTGCTGTTTAGTGGTTTGTCATTGAAGTTTGTAAGATTGCAAAATGCTAACTTTATGAAACACTTTATCCACTCTCACTCAAAGGCTAAACTAAGGAAAATCTCAGGCAACATGAAAGGAGATGGTTTCCAAAATGGTGGCTTAATCATTGTAGCTGCTGCTGGTGAAAAGGTTTTGTTTAGTTTTAAACAAGAATCTCCTGCCGATCATACTGATAATGAAGACATCTTGAGCATCCTTGGAATTCGTTCACCAGGAGGAGAGCCTGGAGCAACAGCTGCTTCTGGATAGGCATGTTGTTGGTATGTCAGAATAAAGTAGTTAGAAATAGTGTTCATATGAAAATACAAAGTAGCAAAGAACAAACTCATTGAACAAGGCCTATTTATCCAATACATAGCCTGAAGTTTCTGCAAGTGAAGGTTCTGCCATGAATATGCATTAAATTGAGTAAGGATAGAGTTAATTGTGCAAATTTTAACCTTTTTTTTAGGTTTATCATCGAGCCATTTAGAAGTTTAAAAATTTTCAAAACTTGCTAAGCATGTAATTTAATGATGTAATTGTATTCAATAGTTTCCAATTTCGATACAATTATTGATGTATTGGTAATTATATCTGCAAGTTGCAATTGAGGTTATAGCTTTTTGTATGGCATCGTCATAATCATTACGAACATATAATTGCTTTACTGATTGTCTATATTGAGTTCATTTAACGTATTTTATGATGTAATCGGATGTAAAGAGTAGTTGATACAAATCAGTTCGATTGTTGATAATCTGTATTACGTTTATGAAGAAAATATACACATGATAGTAAAATGACTTTGCATATTTTTTATTCCGATTTTCATTCATATTTTGGTTTCGAAACGGAAAAATCGATGTCAATCCTATTAACTGTATGGAGGAGTTTTTCCTTTTTTTGAAAAATTTACATAATTAGCGGAAACTACACCTTGAAACGATAAAATAATTACTCGAAAATAAATTACCACTGCATCATAGCATCGTATTTCACCATCCGTGCAATTACCAACGCTCACCACTTAAAAAAGTGGTAAAAATTCTCGGTCAACTTTCTATGCACCGATTCAACAGCAAGTTTAAGAGAGTACGAAGAACAGGACAACACCATGAGTGAAACCGAAGAACTAGCCCAGAAATTGGCCCGACGAAATCAGATCAACGAAGGAGAGGATGTTCCTCGTCAACATTTCGAGGTTTTTAATCCCTACACCGAATTCAAGGAATTTTCCCGTAAACAAATAAAAGATTTCGAAAAAATGTTTAAAAAGTAAGCATGCAGGATGTTGTTTTATGTTTGTTTGTTAGAGAAATATTACATTCATTATCAATGAAAATGACAAATTGCCAATCATTATTAGCTATTAGTCTTACGATAATGGATATGTTGTTTCATGTAAATTGATTTTACATAGTCGATTTTACACCGAAGTGTATGAATTTCTTTCATAGTCTTAAGAATCATGACAATGTAATTATTCAACCATGTGCGTAACGTTTATGAAATAAGGTGGGGTGTTTCTTAGGTACGGAAGTCTAACTCGTGTCCACGAAACTCTTTCCACTAATATATTGCAAATGCACTTGAATTTAATAACATAAAGCTGTAGAACGTTACTGCTTCAACTATTATTGATAAACTATGAAGTTTTACAATTTTGCTAGTTTATTGTTCAATATTTCAATAAGTATTTTAACTGATAATTAAATGTCGGTATTTAATTACCTGAAAGTCTTAAACACTTTTTAACAACCAAGTTTTGCTTACTAGGTATGATGAAGACCAAGACAAATATTTGGACATGATGGAAATGAAGTTAATGATGGAAAAGCTACAAGCCCCGCAGACACATGTTGGCCTTAAAAACATGATTACTGAAATTGATGAGGATAATGATGGCAAAGTCAGCTTCAGAGAGGTAGTCACTTAGGGAATTGTCTTTTGTAAAAAATGCTCATTTTAAGGAGAACATTATGCAAGTGTATGTGAATCTAATCTCCACTACACCAAGAGCTTTTTCCACCCATGATTCTTTTTCTTTTCACTGAATAAAAGGTTTCTTGAAATTCTTTTTCAGTTCTTACTTATCTTTTCACTGAATAAAAGGTTTCTTGAAATTCTTTTTCAGTTCTTACTTATCTTTTCACTGAATAAAAGGTTTCTTGAAATTCTTTTTCAGTTCTTACTTATCTTCCGCAAAGCTGCAGCAGGTGAACTTGTTGAAGGTTCAGGTTTAAGTGAACTTGCAAGACTATCTGAAGTTGATATCAGTGATGTTGGAGTAAAGGGTGCCAAAAGTTTCTTTGAAGCAAAAGCCAATGAAATCTCATCTAGTATGTATTGTTCAATATATGTACTTTAATGCAATAACTTGCTCCAAATTGTGAGCTCCAAACCAAAAGAGTCCAAAATAATAGTGACCTAATATTAATAATTTGTAGTAAACTACTCAATCAATTTGAACTTGAACTTAAGATTTTCAATCCATCATATCATTTAGTCATGACATGTCCCACGATGTGAAATGTATTCTTCAGGTAACAAGTTTGAAGAGGAAATTCGAGCTGAGCAAGAAGAAAATCGTAAGAAGGCAGAAGAAGCAAAAATAAGGAAACAACAATTCAAAGCCAAACAAGCTGCATTTGGAGCTTCTTAGAACCTAGTGAATTATTAACAACTGTGATACATTACATTGATTAACTTAGTAATACACATAAGATGTACCGATGTTTGGTTGATGAATAGGTGATTGGCTATGAAAGTTCTTAATTATGTATTTCAGGTTCCCTAGGTAATACACACATTGTCTAAAGACAAATATTTTTTTGGTTTTTGAATACATAAAATTATACCAGAATATGTACTTGTCCTCTCTGGCTTAAAAAAATAATTGTAACCAGTATTTGTATGGGGCATTATCCACTAAATCTTTTGTTCAGCAAATAGCTAGAATATCACCAGTTCTTTTATTCAATATTTTAAGTGAAACCACATAATTTCCTATACTCTGTTTCCATGTTATCTGATGTACCAGTAAGAGCCTGGACTAGTGCTCGCAGGGGACACAACTTTCCAAATTTCAAAGTCTTCTGGCAGAACGTAATTCTGCTTGTGTAGTCATGTCCATTGTACAAGACTCTCACAAAATGCTTATCGAGTGCATCTTCTCCAGAAAGATTATTACTAACCATTTCACCAGCCTCCCAAAGTTCAAAAACTATTCTTGCAGCATATGCAGGCCATTCATTAGGCAGCACGCCCAAATCAATTAACAATGGGGATACAACAGTATCGTGTGATACAAAAAGGACAAACTTTACATGGCAATCCCCTGAGGCACATGTGAGCATACTTTGTGTTATCTTTGAAAGAAGAGGATGACTGGCTACCTTGGCAATTGGAGTGAATCTGTCAGCAAGTTCCCAATGAAGTGCTTGCAAGTTATCTGATATTAGGGCATCATCCATACACCCCCCAGGGCCACAAGGCATTAGATGTTGATGGCAAAAGTGTGTGGCAACTGTATCAAATAAACTACAATAGAGAAAGCAATAGGTTCAATCCATGAAAAAGATACTGAAGTTATAAAATGTATACAGATTTATACTTTGTGTTTTGTGAAGTATAAGCTAGAATCCTCAAATATTGGATAGCAATGCAAAGAACCATAAATTATTTTCTGTATCACTATCACATTGATCACAATCTACTAGTGTTCTTCACAGGGTACAAATTTCAGAGAAAAACAACCCATTTCTAAATTAATAATGCATGTTCATGTAAAACGACAAGAAGGTAGATAAGCATATGAGTTGTACAATGATTAATCATACAAAATCCCTTTCACCACTTCAATCAATCCAGCCAATGTAACTGCAGCTGTGTTAAGTTGACAGCAAGCGAACTCTTATATAAAGAGTGTAAATGCTCTATTGAAAGTTGTGAATTTACATTGTGTACATCCCAATGCACCATCTAGTAAATCCATCCTGCATTAAACATTCCATGATTTGAATTATTTGAATGAAAATGTTGACTGTTAAGTGTTAACCTAAAGTATGCAAGTGTAGCCATTTTTTGCCATTTTAAATAATAATGGATAGTCCTACAGATTTACCTTGATAACATTGAAGGAAAGGTTAAAAAATGCTACCCACAAAAAGTCTGACATGACATGGCAACACTCACAAACTAGCCATGAAAATCTAATCCAAACTAGATCCAACCACCTATAAATATGTATATACTGAATGCATCAATGGTTTATTGTACCACTACTATGTCAGAAGCATCATAATTTTCCATTTCATCTGCAAAAAAGCAGATTTGTAATATAGGTAATGGAAAGCATAGAAGAAAAAAACACTTACTGAGTAACTGATGGGATCATCTCTCTTGAAAGATCAAAAATCTTGGCTATTTTATCAAACAAAGGTTTGAAATTCTTATATGTAACAGAACTCTTGGGTTTCGTGAGAATGAGCTTGAGTACTGGACAGGATGATATATACCCATTTTCCTCTTCTCTGAAGTATCCCAAAGGATCAGTGGATACCCTCACCTTTAATAAAACACTATCATTTACAATGGCTTGGTTATTGCCAGCTGAAAAAATGAAAGAAAACATAGTTATGTACAGATATTATTGTACACACATATTGTCCAGACGCATTTCAATATCAATTAAGCTCTTTCACATTGAGAAAAAGCAAAATCTTTGGTAGATAATGTGAATTCCATGTCTGATTTTTAAGTAAATAATTTCAATCACCAAATTGGGCGTTTCTTAACTTAAAGAGATCAAGAAATGTCACTCATTAAACTTACCAATTTCCTTTAAAAGCAACTGCCCAAACATTCCCGAAAGGAATCCAGCAGCACTTTGCTGTGTCCGTGAAATTGGTGTTGCATATACCAATATCTCATCCTCCTCAACACTAGCTATACTTAAATCCAATCTTCGACCATACACAGTCAACATGTATTCGCCAAGAAAGATATGTTGAAGATAACCAAGTGGTGTCAACTGACCTGGAATGGAAAGAGTATAGCCGTTTTACCAGGCACATCAAGAAGTAGGAATCAATACATATCATGCTCATCAGATTACATAAGATGTGTAACAAACAAACAAACAAACTGCTTATGATTGGCCTTTGTAAAGAATGACATAATCTAATAGCAAAAGATGCTTTACATATGTACTTGTTTATAACAACTCTGACTATAAATCTGTAAGGACAGTAAGTTTGTCAGCAAAACAAAATTCTTGTACTGATATACATAAGTACATAAAACCAAATCACCCGACCAAATCAGTCCAGCTAAGAAATGCTGTAAAATGCTTACAAAATAAATTCAACATGCAACATATCACATGACACTATACAGAAAGACTGTTTAAACTACATTAATGTGAAAGACTACCCTAAACACAAAAAGCCTAAAGTTAAGGTTGTGTTAGGTACAAGGACTTGAGTCTAAATGATACTATGTCAATTACAAACTCATCTATACTCACCAGGCTTGCAAATTTGTCTGTTGGAAAGATAAAAATTTTCAGGCTTTTCCTTTTCTTGAGCTATCCTCACAATTTTCAAATACTTTACAATTTCCATCAATGTTTTGAGTTTTGTAGCATGCGGAACATTAGGAGACTTAATATTGCAATTAAATTGTTTCAGGTCTGCAAATTTTCTAGCCACAGATGACCGATCCCCATGTCGTGCTATGACATGAACTTGCTTCAGTTTGAATTGACCGTATTCAAAGGGGGGATTTTGCTCATTCCCCAATGGAGGTCCAGGTGGATTGCAGTAGTACAACAGTCTCTTCTTTATTTTAGACAAATGGAGATTGTATACCTTAGATGAATGATAATTCCAAGCTGAAAATGTTTAAATAAAATGCGTCATAGCTTACTAGTAGAGCACAACTTTCAATAGATGAAAGTAATGGCCTTATTGTTATTCATAAAGATATATTCAAACTTTGAGCTTTTTTCTTTGATGCATGAAATTATGTAGACAATAGCAAAGCTATGATATTATAACAATATTGTATTGTTTACATATTTTATCAACTGTCAATTAGTGAGGTTTAGTTCAGGTAACTACTGAACTGCAGTCTGGTGAGTCTAAAGTCATTTTTAAGAATGCATTTTTTATGAATACGTAGGCAGTAGAAGTAAAATAACGTGCCTACCTTTGAAACCAGCGAAAAAACAAGCACCAATAAAAAATAGAAGCAGACATTGAAGGTTTCTCGAACCACGTAAATACCGTCTCCATATTTTGATCCACCATGCGATAAAAATATGGCTTCCCTGCATTATCTCACCATTGAATGTAGATAGCAAAGGCTGCAAAGCCAAAGGCTTTTACATACTGGGCGGATTTCAAGTATTGAGAATTTTCCCAAATTTTATAGATTGTAGTAGCAAAAACTAACAATGAGGCTGAATGAGCACCATTGAATGAGAACTCATTTATTAATTATTACCAAAAGACTGGTAACTAGAGTTGGTAATTGTCGCCTTGTCGTTTGGTTGGTCACATCTATGGTGACAGTGAGTCAAGATGTATGAAACGATACCATACATACACGGTGGTCACTTGGTAGTTCTTAATAAACATGTTTATAAGCAATAAGACTTTGGGGAGTTTTGCATCGATTTTGCTAGCTAAGAAGAAAAAAATACAGACAACAGTATTTCATAGACATTTTTATTGCAACTGCATGATGTCACTGTATATTATTTTATTAATTTGAATTGGATCTTGTTATGTCATTGTGTTGCCAAAAAGATTATACCACTATACATCAATTGAGCAGCATTTTATAATGATTTTATGAACTACTCTCTCATCAGTAACTTGACCAACCAGTAAGTTTTAGTTCAGCTATGTTGCTGATTCGATTATTATTCATCATTTCTTTAGAAATCAATTGCTTTTTGAAAAGTGGACACATAAAAGAGAGAATACCCCACTATTGGTTGTAGTCAGAAGATCCATTCTTGTGGGATTTATCAACCAAAATAATTTCTAAATTCTATACATGTAGCTACTATTTATGTTCAAAGCAAATATATGGGAATTCCAATATATGGTAAGCCCAATAAAAAAACAATTGTCTGTACTCAATTTGTAACTAGTTGATTAGCATGTGATGAAAATAGAAAATTTTTAACAATCTTTATTTTATAGAAAAATGTGGTGAAAAAAACACCAAGTACCATATCATTCAGCTGGGAGGGCTGCGATCCTAGCTATGTCATATTTTAGCCAATCGCAGATCAAAAAAAATACAACCAATACCAATGCTAGATTCTCATGGCTCATCAAAATCAGCCAATGAAATCGAGCCACCAAATGATTTTAATACACGTCAATCACTTTTCACGAAGCTAGTCAGTAGTCAGCTACCTCAAGGCTCGGAGGAGAAAGGTAGGTTACTTAAAATTTTAAAAAAGTACTTCAAATGTTTATAAATTCGACGGCAAAAGCCTTATTTGATGTATAGTTACTTATGGTTTTACTTGTATATCTTTTGGGCGAATGTTTTTGTGCAATTCGGCGTTCAAACGCGTGTCTTCGCCGGTGTGTTTGCTTCGCAAGAAGACCTTGTCACTTGTCAGTATAAAAACCGGACAAGTTTGTATGTTTTGAATGTCTTTTTTTCGATTTTACTCTAGTGTGTTGTTTACTGCTAGTGTTTGGAAGGTTTTAAAGCGAAATTTTGTTGAATATTTCGACTTTTAACGTGTATTTGTGCTTCGATATATTTTCAGCAACAAGTTTGCGCGACCGACACGTGTTTCCGTTCAATGCAAAAAATATGAACAAATTCTTGGTGAAAAGTTGTAGTATGGCAAAATGAGCCATAAGCAGGGTATTTCTTATTCTTTGGGTTGAAATGTGTCTGTAAAAAGTGTTCTTTTGAGTAAAAACTTTGAAGATTTTTGAAAAATATATACTGATGTTGGTTCATGTTGGACGCTTCCTTTCAATTAATTGGCGCCTTTTTTATTCCGCGTGATGAATGAAAAACACTGGGCACAAATTATGCAAAACTTACCAGCTTGAATACAAAAAATTCATTTTTGACCAAAAACACCCGAAAAATCTTTGAATGGAGGGAGGTACATGCAAAAAGTTTCACCCTGACATTGGAATAAACGAATTCAAATGTATATGCATTGAAGAGTGCTGACGGCTGCAGGCTCTTCAATCGGATGAGTTCGAATGGTAGCAATGTCAGTAAGATAGTTTTGTTAGCTAAGCTTCTTTGAGTAAAATTTTGAAAATCAATCAGTGAAAAGTTATGGACCATTTTTATAGCATTTTCCTAAAAACATGTTTAAATTTTCTAGGAACAGATGCTAATTTTTTTCTTGAGAATTGACTATGAGCAATCAAGAAGAATGCCACCGAAGTCGTATCCTAAAGTTGAAATTTGAAACAAAGATAAAAGAAATAGTTGAATTGGAAGAAAATGTGTACTTGCCATACTGGCAACTTGAAGTTTTCAATTTTTTTCTATTACTTTAATAAGTAAGTAAAAACAATTTGTGAACAAACTGATCGGAAATGGAAGTTCAACGGCAAATAAAGAAGTCTATAAGACTTCCTACTTTTGAAATGTACATGCAACAAATCTACTCATGCAAAAAAAACGTAAATGTTGTGTACATGTTGTACTTGCTATATTGAGGCTTGAAGTTTTTATTCACGAACGATTTTCATTAAATATATAAGTAAAAACAGTTGGTATATAAAGAAGTCTATAAGACTTCTTTCTTTTGAAATGCATCAGATTTTAAAAGAACTATTCCCTGGAGGATATTTATTCGTGAAACAAAAGTAAATGCTTTTTACATCAGTTTAAAAAAAAACTGCTGAATTTGGGGTAAGGATTATCGACAATGAACAAGTCAAAACTATTGTGAACGATTGATATGAAATCTAAGTTTAAGAGTAACCGAAGAAGTCTATACGACTTCCTTCTTTGAAATTTATAACATATGAAAAGAGATTCGTCGAAAGGAATCTATGACACTGATTTTCAACCACGTGATTTTCGACCAAGTGTGCCTCAGTGGTATGCATAAGTAAATCTCTAATATTGCGGTAGTCGGGGCAAGATGAAGGATGGATATCAGGTAAGATGAAAACTAAACGATGCATGGACATTGACCTTAAAACTTACTTAATTCTCATTGTGCCATCTGCATTTCCAAAAAAAAGCATGCATTTCTCGCGAGTTTCGCACTTCATCATTACTTGCAGTTTCTGCAAAGCTGGTTACATGGTATGGAAAATAATATCCTGAATAGAAATTGCTCAACATTCAACTTTTATGAATCTCCTAAAAAAAATTGAGATATTGTATCTTTGTGTTTTTTTCTTGAAGTCCTAGGCATAGATTACACATAATTTTGAAAAAAGCAATCGACAATGTTCTGGAATTTTTAAAAAGGCTTTTTACCAAAGATAACGCTATTTTTGTCACTTTTGAAAACTGTCATCTAATTTTGAATTTTTTGAATCTAATTGTTTCGTAGCCAAGATACAATGTTATAATGGTGTGATATATCGATCAATTACTACGTGATTAGTGCGGATCAGTTACATTCTGGTTGTCGTGGGTTACATCGTGGTAGTTGTGGATTACATCGTGGTTCTCGTGGGCTCACATTGTGGTTGTCGCAGATATTGTCAAACTAATCTTAGGTTGAGGATTACGTTAATCTACGACTGAAGGATGAAAGCCAAAGATGACGTTTCAGGTTTGTGGTGTTTTAGTTTAAAATCTTGGTGGTCAGCACTAACAGGATGATGATTGAATATTTGCCGAGTTGTATAACAAAGTTAATTGTTCTTTTGACTCTTGTTAGTGTCATTCATTAATTTTTGTGCATGGCGTAGTGCTTTTTGCTGTGAAAATATTTGCCTACAAATGATGATACGTCTTATATTATCAAAGCTTTTATGTAACTGTCGTGTAATGTAAGATTCTCATTGTACAAGGTAAAACAACCAAATGATTTGGATGTCCGATGTTGCAACTGTCTGATATCGGTTTTCATGAGTTTTTCGTTGTTTTGATCACCAGGATACACGATCCTAAGTTCAAAGAAATAAGCATGGGTTTGTTTGAGTTTTGGCCGTGTGTATTAATTCTCAAAATTTTAGCACATATGTATTTAATTATAATATTAATATTTTCTTAACTAAACATTGAAAATCTAAATGTATGTATTAATGTGCGGCGTTTGCCACTATGCTACGGATCGCATGCTAAAACTAACGAGAAAATTACGGTCCAAAATATGGTGAAATCCGAAGTACAGATTGCACGTAATAGCAAGAAAATTACGGTCTAAAAGATTGTGCAAGTAATCCGGCATGCTAGCTGCATAGCGCAAATTAAATTTATTAATATAAAAATTATATTAATGATGCTTCATCAACCATTTTTGTTTTCGAATTGTTTAAAGTTTGAACCATGCAAACCTTAAATGTGTATCAAACACTGGAATATGAAGAAAAAAGTCAGCATATTAAAAAATATTTTTAAAATAAGTGAGTGACTTGCATCATCAAGAGAAATGTGCAAAAAAAAATTGTCATATGTCGTAATGAACAGCGAAACAGAATAGGTGCATGATACCCGGCATTACTTTTGCTAAATAGTTGTCAGAATCAATGTTGTAACAGTGGCATGTTCAAGTTGAATAACTCGCTATTATTTAACTTAAAGAAAATGAGTCAGAGCAGGAAAATTTGTTGATTGATTTTTCACGATGTAATGGATTTGCTCGTCTTAAAGTCAAGTCGGACATCTTCATCTATTTTATGCATGGAAGATGATTTGATAGCGAGACGAGCTATCGATACATTTAATGTAGATCAACGTAGGAATAATCGTAAAGAGTGTCATGATGGTACCTAGGTGATCCAGTTTTGGACACCAGGATTGGTTGGCACGCCGTTTAGTAAAGTATAAGGGCCCAGGGAGGCGGTTCCCTATCCATTAGGTTCTCTTTCGGGTAGGGTACTTACGTTGTTTTGCAGGTGTCTCATCGTTCAAAGGTATGTTTTAATCAGTTTTGTGAAGCATAGCTCTTAGGTAGATGTTCAAATTGGTTTTTTCACGCCACTGATCAACAGGATTAGCTAAGGATACGCACCGGCAAAAAAAATGAATAGCGCAGCTGAAAGTGGCATAAAAATTGCGTACAACGGATGTTTCAGTTTCTTACAAGGATGCAAAATTCCTAAGTCATCTTTTTCAACAACCTTGTAAAAGTCAGTCTAGTAAAATTTGTAAACATTCTGTTTTGTAAGTTACTAGTAAAAATAGATAAAGTGATCCCAAGTAATGGGCATCCACCGACTAGCCTCATCCTTATAGAATCGCTCTAAGGATTAAAAAAACCATGCCCAGGAACTGCTGTGGGGACTGTAGGGTTATCTTGATAGATTCTTGGTCCACTTGGAGAAACAAGAGCAGAATTTTTAGATTTTCAGTTTTTGTTCAATTTAAAAATACTTCAAAAATTTTCATCTAAACACGTCATTGCAACGTACCTATTTCCTAATTATTTTGAGAGAAGGGGATGGGGAGTACGTTACCTTGGTTGTGATAGGTAGAAAAAGACCGACAGACGTCATTCGATGATAAATATACTTAAAAATATCATGTCAAGTTTTTTAATAATCCGCCATGCATCTAATTCGAGTAAACTTCAGCATTAACCTCAAACTTCAAAGGAAGATTAATACATTTAATACATACACAAATCTCTCGTAAAAATAGATGCAAAAAAAAAGTACTTTAACTTAAACAATTAGGTTTGACATCTTTCAAAACTAAAGCTATAGAACTAGTTATTCCAGTCAATAACTAATACATATTAAGACACCTGCACCATCAAACTGATGCGCTAACAGATTCGAAAGCATTAAGCAAACTACACAAGGATAAGAAGATGCAATGGACTCTAAGCGATGTAAGCGTCATCCCATTCCAAAGTCTTCGGATTTTTTGATCCACGAGATCCTGCATGATCCTCAGTCTCAAATTTTTCCAATGGATTTACCGTAACCGTCATTTTCTTGTTTTCTTCAACGCATTGGCTTTCATCTATGGTTTCATCACCCTCCTCTACTGGAACATCGACATAAACATTCTTTTTTCTACAAAAATGAAGGGAAGATAATGCTGTACGGAAGAGAAGATGTTGCCAAAGGGAAAGGAATAGTTGCTGTACTAAGGCAGCGTCTGATAAGGGACAAAGTTGCTAAACCAAGATAGCGTTTGAGAGTCAGATCACAAACGTATGTGCTTTATATGTAAAGAATATAATTATGCTGAACAAGCGTAATCTTGATTGTCATTCGACTTAAAATCTATGTAATGAGGACCGACTTATTGTAAAAATTTATGTAGTTAAAGTATTTCGTTTCATAGTCTGTAAATTGAGGAGAATTGACATCTTAAATATATACATAACCAAGGATATACCTGTTTAAATTGAAAGCGACCACTATTATCATGGATACGAACACACAAGATGCAGCTACGATGAGACCAATAGCGACAAAGAATGAAGTACTCGGCGAAGAAGTAAATGGTTTCTGCACGTGTCCGCGTAATTCCCCCTTTTGAGGACGATGAAGAGGCTGCATGTCATACTGTGGAGGACTTTGGTCGGTAGTCAGTTCGGTTTGCATAACATTACTGACGTGGCGATTTTTGAGATTGGAGACTGTGAACTAAAAAGTTAAAATCAGTTATCCATCATGAGAATATCTTTATATAACTCCAAGATAAACTGTATAAAAGGCTACAGTTTAATCTAGTTTCAGTAACTTTATGCAGAACTCACCCAACTGCATTCTTATAACAAAACATTTCAACGAACACTTGTAAAACGTCAAATGGTTTATGCTGAGAACCTCCAAACATTTATCCATATTGTAACATGAATATTTTCCGGATTCCTCATCTGTTTCTTAAAAATAATACAACACATGCAGTTACCTTAAATCGATGATGGACAACTGTAGATGGATCTTTGAGTTGCTTCACATCCGAGTGAACGAAGACGATCTCTCGAAGTACATTTGTGTACTGCTGCAAAGTCGCCACACCAGTAATAACGAGGCCCTTTCCCTTAAGAACCTGCTTCTTTAGATGCAACATATTGAGAAGAGGTCCAGCACTGACAAGCGACTCAAAATTCGTGAGAGGTGGATCAACTTCTATTCGAGCAGAGTCAATATACTTCGCACACTTGTCGGCAGTGATTGATAACCTTTCTGCAATTCGAATACCATAACGTTCCAATTCATGAAGGCTGATCACCTTTCGCATTCCGCCAGATAATTCAATGGGATTCTTTGCACCAGATGAAACAGCGACCTGAAGGTTGAGCATGGGCAGCGGTTGCTGGTTGATAGTTGCCTTGATCTGTAGAGGTCGTCGACCCTCGGTGGGAGATCTTCGAGTGTTTATGTAAACGAGATCATGAAGAATTTTCTCGAAGGTCTTCGGTGAGCCCTGACCATTAATCTCAACCATTTTGTGATCTTTTTGAGTTACTGTAAAACCGCTTGGAGCAGGGCTGTCTATCTTGATGTGCTCTTTGCATTCATAAACGCACTTGATTGACTACAAAATATCACAACGACAACTGCTCAACATCAATATACTGAATGTGTTCTTATCTGTATAACTTAAAGAACAGAATACTTTTCAAATCCGAAGAAGTTTAACAGTGCCTTATTCATCCAAGTTATCCTTCGATGCACTCCCCCCCCTTTCACTGTTGCGATAACCTCGCCAACTCACGTTATAAATCAACATACCCACCTTTTCATTCACGGATTCCTCAAAGTTAACGCTCAATCCAGCGAGATAGCCACTAAAGAAATCAACATACTTCTGCTCGCGTCCTAACCAACGCGCACCAACCACAATGCGTTTAGCCATGTTTGTACCATGCAATGGCCAATTTTCTTTCACATTTGACAATTTAACCTGGAAAAAGAACTACAAATCATGCCCACGCAAACGAATTGTAAAACTTTGCCAAAAGACATATCCACAAAACTAAGTATAAAGGTAGTCTACGGCTATTGTCACTATGGCTGATGTCCTTCAATGATCCATTCTAGTACCTCCTCGGCGTCAACGTATAATTTGGCCATTTCACATCCTTCAACAGTGATCAATACATGATGCCAGTGTTTGTCAAATATCTCAGGTTTCCACACAAAAACAGACTGACAGGTGTCTTTGTTCGTTGCTTCATTTTCTTGACGATGGATAAACACCAACTTTCCACCTAAAGAAAACAGCGGTAATTTTTAAAGTGAATACAAGAGCATTAGATATTCATCCTTGCCTTCCAAAAGTTTGTTAACATTTACAATGCAATATGACATGATGCAATATGCATAAAGTAGACATCATATTAAAAATATGTACATATCAATACCTTCAGTGTATAGGCCAAAGTGCTTTCGATCTAGCCGCACGGGATCCGTGGCTGCTAAGATATACTGTTGTTGATCCTTTCTATTCATCCATAACCACGTAGATAGAGTCATGCTCTCTTCACCAGTGTAATGAAGAACTTCTGATGGAATATTTACAGCAATCTTGTTGAAATGATAAACGTTCTCACCTAGAACGGGATAAAAACCTCTTCAAAACAAACAGAAATTAAGATGGATTTGTAAATCCTCAAACTACTTTAGTAAATCTTGCGCAACAAGATTATCTATCATTTTAATCTTACATTGATTTCCATAGCACCATTTACCTATGATCGATTCTTCAGTCATAATTCCATCCATCCATGTCCCTTCACGGTAGCTAGAAGGCAACAAATCAACAGTTTGACTGACGTTACACAATTTGAATACTCCAGATGCTTCGTATGTTTCGCGGTCACAGCCTTTCAGTATGTGTTCCGTTTCCATGGTAACTTTAGCTGAGAAGTTCGCGTGTTTTAGAGTCTCTCCACATACGTTCAAACGGATGTCGGGTGTGACTCGGACCATTCCTTCACAGCCATTTAGTGATAGTGATTTGTTATGTGGTTCCACGAAACCTGGCAAAGTTTCGCACGCATTGTAAAAATGGACGTTTAAAATTCCTTAACACATTGTTAGACTTCTATGGAGAACTAAAATATTGAAACTCTGATTTCTAATACCAACCTGGAGAGCATTCCTTGTCAACAATCACGTTAACTGTAGTAGCCTCTTCTGACATTCTTCCACCGCAATCTTTAGCCATGACTGTGAAGACGAATGTATCCGGAGAACTGGGACCAAGAGGCTTGGAGAGACTGACAACACCCTTTTTGTTGATTTTGAATGGCATGTCTGAAGTACGAATGAAGTATTCGCATATTTTACCAAAATCTTTATCTGTGTCAGCATCCTTTGCATTGACCTAAACACATAGATTACCAAGTTAGAGAAAACAGACGGTCATACTTGGACAAATTATTCATACAGAATATGTTCGTGCTTAGGAAGAATAGCTGGTCTTATACATCAACCTTATCATTCATGCACACTGATTTCTCGGGAAATAAAGATACTCAGGTAAAATGGATACTGCCTAAGTCATACTAAACAGAATTTTCCTTTGATGCTCATTATCTTCAACGGCTGGCAAACTGAATAACGTCCAAATACCTGAACAATATTCGAGCTGATTTTCCCTTGTTTTACATGACCAATATACGTGTTCGTGGTGAAAACGGGAGAATGTCTGTTCTGAGGCACGACAATACAATTCATCTTTATTGGACGTGAATTGCGAGGAGGGTCACCCCCATCCCAAGCCTGCAGGGAGAACTTGTACGATGACATACGGGTGGAATCAAATTTGTAACCTGGCGTTGGCATGACTGTCACTGCACCTAATTGACGTTATAAACGAGAAAATGTAAGATTGAAAATAAATTTGGAGTTACCAGGTGAGCCAACAAATGCTGCATTCGCCATTTTTTAACGACTGGAATACAACTACTGCTACTTGACAAAGAATAATAAAATTCATAGATGTGGAGCCCCAACCAAAGCTAATTTTCAACTTCACCCGTATTGTAAAAAGTTGCTTTTCCAGTGAAAAACCCGTCGATTTAATTCTGGTTTATCAGAGAACAACAACATTCAAAACTATTTCGACAAGCAGAAAAACACCATTCGAATACATTATGTGATAATCAATCTCAAGGCTTAGAGGTGCATTGCTAAAGCGAAAGGTTTTAATCTCAAACTGAACACAACCATTCTCTCTCGACATACCTGTGGTTTCATCAAGCTCTAAAACAAAAGGTTCGTTGCTCTCTCGAACCTGAACCTGTGAGATCTTTCCAGCAGGTCCAGGATCACGATCGGTGACATTGATCGGAGGAAAAACTTTTATGTGACTTGTTTCCTCCAGTATACGACAGTAATATTTATCAGCAGTAAATTGTGGTCGATATTGGTTGTGTTGACGCACGTTCACGACAACCCATGTAATCGCTTTTTCTTTCTTGCATTTGTCGTTGTCGGCTACTGCACGGACCATAAAATTGTACTGCTTTTGCTTCATAAAATCCAACCTCTTCTTCAAGACAAGTCTTCCCGTTGACGGATCAATTCGAAACGGAGTTCCTTCAAGTTGAGCGTGGAAAGAGATGCCATTGGTTCCGCAGCCAAGTGTCTTCAGCCTATGATGTGTCAAACCAATGTTGTGCGCTTCTTTTATGCTGAACACACATCGAGAATGCTCGAATCTTAGGGACTTTGGTAAAGTATCTACACAAAGAATAAAATTGCTCAGTTGCTAGTTAATCGCACAGTATCATCAAATAACTCCCCATAACGAAGCCCAAGTGTTTTAGAACAATAACAAGCGTTGGAAATCATTCATTCAATAAAATCGCTCCGAGGTCTTGACGAAGGAATAAAGCTGGTGGTACAATGTAGCAAAACAGGCTTTTTATCGTGAGTGCTTTATATGGACGATTAAGCGTGTTCAAAGGTCAAACAAATGAGAAAATTTGTTTTTTCAAAGAAGCTCGACGTGAATACCATTAGACAATCAATCAAGAGTTATTCTAATATGGTTTGAATTTGCTGAACAGTTGAAATTGGGAGTATAGAAAAGAGAGATCGACTAGTAACTCAAGTTTCTATTCAATGGGATATTTTTCATTTACACAAAGTGCATTGATCAACAAAAGATAGAAATCAACTGTCACCGTTCATTTTTGTGAGGAATTTGAGGTATAAAATTTAACGATAAACGAATTGATCTGGAAACTTTTTCAGTAAGAGAAATAAATCAAATAAATCAAACATTGCTATATGCAATATAGAGTAACCATCACATCAATATCTTGAAAAATCATAAGTTAATTAATCACGTGTTTGTTGAGTATATGATCACATGTCTATTGTATGTAAAATGACGATCATAACTAAGTTTAGCATCCCCAAGTGATTATAGACAATGATAACAGACAATAACGACAGACAAATGTGATGATATGGACGAACACAGGCGTCGGCCAATAACGTAAAATGTTGAGGCAGGGGAAATTCTGAGCAATAATCAACCACTACAACAACTATCGATATAATGTACCAAAGCACAATTACGACAAAGAAACTTGATATTGGCAAATTTCAATGAGTTCATTAAAGTTTGTACATGGAACTATGGGGGATACAAGCTGAGGGAACAAAATAAACTGATTTTCACAAAAAAAATACTCATACATGGCTACTGCATTTATCATTATTGAAAAATTGCTGAACGTTGTTAGCAGTACAACTGCAGTAGACAATTTTAAAGCCTTTATGACCAAATTATGAGTCATAAAGGAAATAGACATCGGTAACCGCACACATATCAATCGGCACCTTCTTTCAGCAATATTCATTTAATGAGAGCTAAGTTTAAAACGGTTGCTACACCATATGGTCAAATTTTAACACAGAATTATTGTATAACTGTTATAAGAGTAATAAGGTAAACGCACGACGATCGCACATCAGCAAGTAGGTAACTATTTCACCAATTGCGACACTTCTAGTAGTTTCAAGGAAAATTAAAATCTTAATTGCAGAAAATGACTATAATTCGTCGTTCGTGCCATGTTATAAGAAACATTAAATTAACTTTCTTCCCAAGTAACGCCGCATGAATATAAACACAATACTTAAGGAAAAATATGGGTTTCAATATTTCACCTGTATATAATCACTTAATATATCTACAAGTATGTTCTATTATAGAAGAGGCCACAAAAGCCGCATTAAGAAATGATAAATTTACCCTTTATGAGCAATAAAAAATTGCTGAGTAAAGCAGCTTATAATTTTTTTAATAAAGTTTTGAGAATCACTGAATCAGGAACGCAGCAGCAGAAGCACCAATGAAAATTCTATAATCGATACTATTTCAAAAATAGACAAAACAAAGCAGATATTTGAGCTCAACATTTATTTTGATATAAGGCTTGTGTTTCTTTGGGATAACATGCAGTATATATTTACCACAACTTATGGATGAAAATTTAACAAAAAATACAATAATTTACGTATATGAAAACATTCTAAATCCAGACTAGTTCGAAAGTGTCACAAATAATATACAAAATGATCGCAACACAACGAATTGTGTCATATTCGTTCCATGGAATTTAGTCAGAACACTATACCCAACAGGCACATTGAACACCTTACGTGAAGAAACCTACCTTTGAAGTCTCTCCCAAATGAAGCTAAGAAGCAGAAGGAAAAAAGTAACAATATTATAGACGAAATTTTCATTCTTCTCATCATTTAGCGAGCGAAATTCCTCCTTGTATATGTAAGTGTAGTACTTGTCGTTTTAATGCGATAGCTTTTCACTAACTCGGTGAATAATTAACTACGTCAAATTATAACTTGGTCACGTGATAGATACGCCTTAACGCAAATGATGCTAAAACAAAGGGGAAAATAGGAACATTCAAACAAGGTCTGAGTAAAATTCCATCACACAAGTAACGACGTATTTACACCTAAATTTAATTAAATTTTAAAGTGATAACGTACGCCTTAATCATGAACAGTATGTACACCACCATAGTGTGATGTCAATTGTTGAATATATCAGTCTTTCGGAGGTTTTGTCTGTGTGCATCATAAAATGCACAAATTTCAAGGATGATTTTTCACAGGAACGAGAAGATCCACGCTTGCAGAGGTGCACATAGATGATTTTTACCCATGCACAAAAAGCCTCCAAATTATTCTGTTCTTTGTGCTGCTGACCAACAAATAGACCACGACTGTAGTGGTTATGTTAAAAAAGTAAGGAGCTATGTACTTGATATTTATTCATTCACAATTTACAACACAACAGCTAAACAGCTATTGTATCCTTGTTCATATTCTAGCATGAACAAAAGTGTTTTCTAAATCGCTATTGTAGGTTTGTAACCACTACTTTACAATATAAATAGGCAAAATTGATTATAGTGAAATTGCAGGGTGCTGACTGCACAGGTGTGCAAGAAAAAATCATCGTTGAGCCTGCTCCACCTGTGAACCAGCCACAGCAAGTAATTTTTCACCAGAGCCTATCAGTGAAAAAAAAGAGTTAGTATTACTAACAATTTACAAGAAAGCTCAGCAAACTTAGAAGAACATTCATCAATGATTAATAGCCATTAAATGGAAATGTAATTGAATTAGAATCTCCAGAAATTCAGCACAAAGGTACCTTCAAGCATGGAGACTAAGAACCACATGTAGAAGTAAATTATCCACCATTTCTATCCACTCAAATGTTCAAACTTTAGAAAAATTAATAACACAGATTTTCAATTTGATAGCTCCTTCACAAACAGCAGCTAATCAAACATGTGATATATCCAAGGTGATTTAGACTTTAATTGCAACAAACAGTTCTGGCCTCATTATGGAAAAAACAATGTTTGATATGAACTGTGATTTTGCCTAAACTTAGTTTGGACTTAGGAAACATTTTATTGTTCACCTGTGTTACCCATTCTTCTGTAAGTTAGAAGCGTAACTTTCCAATAAAAGTATTGGCTAGCTCCTAAAGAATTTAACTGCTCAACACTTGCACCCTGAATGTTACAATGCAAGCTAACATCTGATCTGAAAAGTCTGTAACAATAAAAAGTATACGACAATTCAATCATACATACCCAAACTTTCTGAAACTCGTACAAACTCGCTTAACGCTGCATTTGTGTTTTTTGAAAGAAATTCAACTTCGCCAGGTTTTAACTATAGTAATAGGCAAGAAAACAAAAGATTAATGTTAAGAAAAAACAGCACACACAAGGAATGAACACACCAGAAAATAGACAAGAAATAGTCAATAGTTTCCTATATAAAAAAGGCAAAGAATAGACAAGATCAAGCTTTGGAACAACTTCATGGAACTAACCGTTTCACCTAGCTTTTTCAAGGCTGTTAACATTTCAACAGCTTGTTGGGTGTACACAGCTTCACTAATGTGACCAGTTTTCATATCTCTCTGAAGCTACAATTTAAAAGAAAAGTAAATATTTTCAATCTAGTAGTGGCAAAAAGACTACCAACTGAAGGTACAATAATTCAGTTATTTTACCACATATTTTTTTAAAAGATTATCACAGTTTAAATTTAATAGAGTGAAATATTGTTATACAGTCATTAAACTATATAGAATCATATATGGCTATCTAGTGTACATAGGGAAATCCTGCTGTTCTTTGAAGTGAGATGCTATACTATGGTATCAAATTTCCTGAAAGTACCTCAGACAATCTGTTTCTTAACTGGCCTGGTTGCTTTTTGGCAAACATGCGAATCACTTCTGGAGTCTTGAATGCATCACTTATAGCTGCCTGTATTGCCTTTAAAAACACAAATCATAATGTCATCATGATTCATTTACCAAGAGTTGATCTAGGTATTTTTTCTGGATACATAACAAATAAATCAGTGCTTGGGTGAATTTCTTGTGGGCAACAAGTATAAGAAGCAAGATATCAATCCTTAGTAATGTTAATATGATTGTACGTGAAAAAAATGAAACATTACCAGCTGCATAGCACTAATTTCATCAACCAATGTCATATTTCCCGCAGCAAATTTAACAAGTGATTCTTTGAATTCTTTCAATTGATCTACAGTGTCCTTTTTTGTTTCCTCATACTCATCAGGATCTAAATCCTCCCTAAACATTATGTGAATTTTACCAACAGTTATAACTTGGATTCAATTCACAAATCAAGTTGAAATGAACAGTTTCCTGATATTCTTATCCCTAAATAAGTTAAAATATGTATTTATAAATGTATTTGTTCTAATGAAATTCATAACTTGCAAGTGTAATATAGTTCTTGTGATCATGTCATGATGCATAAATAATTTCAAAAACAGGATTTTGAGGAATGTATATATTGCTCTTAAAGACAGCAAAAAGATTCTCTTGCTAAAACCACTCTTATTGGAGAATATAAATATGTGCTCATTGCAAAGGCAAATGGTATAAAAAATAATCTTTGCACCATATGAACTGTTGAAACTATTTCATTTATCCAAGTTTTGCAACATTCAATACTTGTTTAAATGAAGGATAAGTGATAAGCAAAAATGAATGCTGCAAAAATTGAACATGATTTGACAACATAAATGCAATATCTACCAACCTGCATTCTTCTAAGTCAGATAACTGGACCATTAATCTGTCAAGCTGATCTTCCAGATTTTTTTTCAGTTTTTCAGTTTCGGACCTTCCACGTGATGCCATAAATAAAACCTAAGCAATTTAGACAAGTTATCGAACTGCACATTGAAACTTGACAGTGAATGAACACAAAACACCTAGAAACATGAAGATAACGGGTGAACACGAACGCAGAACAATAAAGATTTTCTCAACTTTGTACATAGAGTTTTGCTTTCATCAATAGTGCAAAATCAAGCTTTGATAAACAATTTCAACGAACATAATTATTTTTGTTGATCTGTTCATTGCAATTTGCACCATAAGCTAAATTTGTGAGTTGATATTCTACATTAATGAGAACACGTGTTTCATTGTCACTGAAAAGGCAAAACGATGAAAGAGTATTTCGTGTAAAGGAATTACGGCAAATTTAATAAAAAGCATCGTTTTCTCTACCTCTATATTAGCCAAACTTGATACAGATGATGATTATTCCTGGACGGAAGAATAAAAAAACGCACGATGGTTAATATTTACCGATGGTGTAATTGATATTTATCAGTGGTGTTTACATGTTCGTCTTCGTGGACTTACGGAAAATGTCGTCACTCTCGACCGTAATCTGTTCATTGGTTCAGGTTTCCTTCAATGTTAGTTCTGTTTGGACTTCAATTTATGTCTCTTCAAACATTCGAAGAGATTATCCTACTTCTGAGAGGCAAAATAACAATTAATACTGACCAAGTATTTATCGGATATTGATCAGAGAAGTGAAAGTGTTATTCAGGTTGCCTACAATTCCTCGCTACACCCAACTACAAGCCTTAAGGTTTACCAGCCTGAGCCTGAATAGGAAGATGTCATTGCCTTACATACCCGCGGCAGCTCGTGGCGTTCCTTTCCCCACGTTGCGTAAAACAGGAATATAATATTTCCCAATTTGAGGTAAGAAAATCTGTTATATTTTGCCCAGTGAAATATTTAATGCGTCAAAGATGGCAATGGCTCTATGATGTGCTTTGTAGCTATAACTATGTCTTATTTATGCTTCTTGATTTCCCTTAAATAACTATTTTTTGACAAAGCACTGATCAATTCCATGGCCATTCATTAATGTATGCGAACCATTCGGTTCTGTAGAATTCATGTGGTTTTATTAGTGAATTAATGTAAGTTCCATTCTTAGGCACTATACAGAAGAAACACAAGCCGTGTATTAGAGATGAGACTGTCTGATACTCTAATGTTACATTTAGCGATGTATTTCAAATAGTTACCGCTTTATGCGGCCACTGTTGAAACTGTTATGTATTATCTATTGATCTTCTGTAAGAATACATTCAATGCATTAAGTTGCTTTAATTGAGAATGCTATGTGAAAAGATAGCTTTTGGTCATGCCAGTCATCCCATGGCAAGCGAATGTCCTAAAAGCAGGCGCGTGTTCGAAATTTTATGTCTGATCTATTGTCGGCTGGAATGTGTTGGTTTCATAGTTTTGATTTGTTGCTGTATTGTTTTATGTGGAAAATATGTAATTTGTCTGTGTTCATCCTAACCAATGAACCTGTCAGGTTTTGAACATCTTGTTGTTTTAGATTTTGACCTATATCATTCACAATGGCTGATGCTGATTTTGGAGGAGGAGAATCTGGAGCATCAACTACCATTCCTGCTCAATGTTCATCCCTTCGTAAAAATGGCCATGTGATGATCAAGGGTCGACCTTGTAAAATTGTGGAGATGTCCACTTCCAAGACTGGAAAACATGGCCATGCTAAGGTAAAAAATCCATATATCTGATCTTGCTTTCCTTTGAAAGTGTTTCCTGTAGACAAATGTTAGCTTTTGGCTATTGCCAGATGATATAAAATGTTATTAAAATATTCTACATAAATATTAGATTCCAATCTAAAATGAGCAATTGTAGATAATGTTTTGAATAAGTGCAATTACCTTTGTTAGAGTTAAAAACAACATATTAAATTTTAACTGACTTTGCACTGATGTAAATCCCATTTTCTTATCCTGTTGTTCACTTCATTTTCATCTACCATGAGAAATCTTTGAGTGCATATTTATATAATGTTCTCATAAAGCATTGTCATTAACTGTTGAAGAATTGATTGTACATGAGCAAAAACAAAATGTGCAAAACATTAACAAAGTCCCTTCAAAATGATTTTATGCATTCAAATTAAAGATTTTTTGTTTCATGTGAAAAACATGTGCTAACCAATTTTTGCTAACTTATTGAAACAGAAACTCTCTTCATTAGGTAGTTGCCATCACAATGGAAACTATTTATCCCAGTTCATATATTCTACTATTCATTCACTCAAAAGTTTAAGATGTTTGTTTTTCTTTGCATTGAGTTATTATTCGTTTTATCTTTACTTGAACACCCTTTGAGGCCACTAATTTCTAGCCAGTGCAGCTACTTTTGAGATGCTGCGGTACTTGTATACTTTTGTTGGATCTGTATAATGGATATAATATATGCAATAAATTTAGGTTCATTTGGTTGGTCTGGATCTTTTCAATGGCAAAAAGTATGAAGATATTTGTCCATCTACTCACAACATGGATGTACCTATCGTTGGTCGTAAAGATTTTCCATTGGTAGATATTTCTGATGATGGTTACGCTCATCTTTTGACAGATGAGGGTGACATCCGTGAAGATCTTAAAGTACCCGAAGGCGACTTAGGTAAGGAGATTAAATCTCGTTACGAGAATGGCGAGGAGTTCATGGTTACTGTTCTTAAAGCTGTTGATGAGGAAGCTATAATTGCCACAAAAAACACTGCAAATAAATAGTTTGCTGTAAAACAGTATCATGCCAACTGTCTTTACTGCAAAGAATAAAAAAACAATTCAATAGATTTTCATTTTTTTGAGTTTTAATTTAGCTCACATAAGTTGAGAGCATATCACGCTCAACAAGAGTAATTAATCTAGTATTTCTCTTTTCTTAAACACATTTGTAATATGCTCTCTTCGCACTCTGTACTGTGGAATGTTTCCATGTGAATTCTCTGGAAACGTACTTTGTGTACAAGTGCTCGTTTGGATTTACAATAAGATAGTAGATCATTATTTGTTATTAGATTTCTTGATATACATGTCAATTAAATGTCTGTTGTGTGTTGTGTTCACATATAAGTTGAAAAAAAATGTGAATGCTCAGTTGAGAATCATGAGATACCGATACCAGTGTGGGAGCTCGTATTACTGGTCCATTTTTTAGTTGAATAGCTAACATTGAAGATGGCAAAGTGATTGTGTAATGTATAGTAAAAACCCAGTTTCCAAGTCTATAGCATAGGAATTGTGAAAGTTTTGTGTTGAATAAACGTTCTAGCTTTTGATACAAAAACGAAGAGGATGATGGGATTGAGGTATTATTGTAATGTTAGGACTAAATTTATAGAAATTTCATTTATTGTGGAGACCGAAGCAATATATCTTGAAATTGTTGTAAATGTGTTTATATGGCTTCTTTGCATCACTTTTAAAATTCATTTTATATGTTGAATTTATAATACACCTGTGGTAGTCAAGTGATTTGGTTGGTGCCATAATTAGCAGTAAAAGCCTAATACTGGAATGCTGATACATGGTATACCTAGAAGCTTATTGCAATTCAACACCCACCTACATTTTTAGTTCACAATATTAGTTCTACAAATGTAGGTGGGTGTTGAATTGCAATAAGCTTCTACGTATACCATGTATCAGCATTCCAGTATTAGGCTTTTACTGCTAAAACAAACGAGACATTTTTTAATCTTTAGTCGACTCAGGAGTTCTTGTATGGTTAATCATTTTGGGGAAAATATGAACTCGTTCCTAGAAAATAGGCTTCATGGAAGCGTTTTATGATAAAATTGGTATTTAAAATCAAATATAATGGAGTATGCAGTAATCAACTCTTTAATGATTCTTTTTATCATTTTTCCGTAGCCAGTTGTCAAGTTTAAGGCCATTCGTCCAGCAAATTGTAGCATTGTGGCCATTTGTAGCAAATTATGTGCACTTGATGCAAGACAAAAGTCTTTCGTGCACGAAAAGTAAAAAAGTTTTGCGTTCTTCGAAATCCATGTACAACCATGATGTGCCAAATTTCCTTCCGTTTACTAAAAAACCGTTGTTTCCCATCTCTCAGTGTCATCGTTTGTCAGACCACATGGTCGACGAAACTCTTGACCAAATGAATGGATCCATTTGTTTGAAACTGATAAGTTGAAAAACAAAAGTTAATACATGAACGTAGCTTCTGCATGTCATTTACATCCAGGAATCACATACCCCATTTTGTTCCGACGATAACTGGACAAGCTGCATGTCGTGTTGTAGAATCGCCTGCACCCGATCTTCGCAGGTTGTACCAGAATACAGCATCACCCTAAAATATAAAGGATGCTTGCAATTTACATTGTATATTTGGTATTTGGGAACGACTTTTTCCACTCATTTGTGGCAAAACAGTGATTTTGTAATTGATGTGTGAGATTTTATGTTTACGATAGGGCTATGGACCATATTAAAAGTTGGATACCTTGCTTGGTTTAATGATTGCATTTGCCTTTATAAAAACAGTGGAGCCACCGGACTCAACATCACTCATCTTCATCAAAAATAAAAAGAAAATGCTTCATGTCACTTTTTGAGAGTTGCACGAGAAAATGGATAAAACAGTTTTCACCTGACTGATAAAAATGTGTTTAGACAACGTCAATTATCAATGTAAGGTAAAGAACTTTAAGAACTTACGTAAATGAGGAAAGTTGCAATTCGATTGCCTTTGTTTATTTTTAGAACGGATGCCCATGGATTCTAAACAGAAATATTTGCTTTATGATATGTATGTTTGAGCCACAAAAAGTAACTTTATGTGTACGTTAACTTACAACAGCATGATCCCAATGAGGTTCATAATGTCCTCCAATACCATAGTTTGCAACCTAGGAAGTAAGATCTGTCATTAGTATGTACAACCCTGTACAGCCTTACCCCTACATGTAGTAAAATCTCCACTGACTTATTGAGTCCAATGGGTATAAATTGGTGTCTTGGTGCCTCGCTTAACATTGTTGTAACATGAAAATTTTACCTGCATCTCCTCGGCAGCACTAAAGTTGGTGTCCAAACCGGTGAAAGTAGAAATTCTTTTGCTTATACGATCAACTACGTCACTTTCGTGATCTTCCAACCATCCGCTGAAAATTGTTAAAGTCAATACAGTCTTCATGAACAAAGCATTTGACATGGTTTTTCTTTGGTATCATACATTAAGTTAACAATCGCGATTTCACCAACACATGCTCTATGATGACTGCTTTGAATGTTTTTTACTGTACGAAACCTTTGTCGTTATCCCTTTCTACCAAAACCACTATTTTTCAAGTTTCTGGAATGGATTGCTAAGCTACATACGTTTTGCTTACTCTATATTTTGCATGCTCCAGCTCGCCTGTGACAAAATTATTGATCGTGGCTCGACGCAACTAAGCGTAAACACAAAGTAGGGTTAAAAAATTTTTTTTAGCTAAAACAATTTAGTCATTTCAAAGTTAGCTAGTGCACACTCTTACTCTTGTTGCAACGAGTGCTTTTATGACCTTTATCTCTTCGTCTGTGATGACGTTGAAAAACTTCACAATTCTCGGTTTCATATTCAAAACTTCGACTTTTGCTGGTTTTATAACAAGCTGTGGCCTGCTCTGGTCATAGTAACACTTTAACTGTGAAAGCTCTTCCGTCGACTAGGAAAAGAAACTTCGTTGTTTAAGAGTGTTACTGGTAAAAAAATCCTTGGCAGTGTGACTTTCTCTATGCGATCTGAGCGAGAAGAAAGCTGTTTTACTCTCTAGTTCAGAACAGAAGCATAAACCGCTTACAAATTTTTGGGCTTTCAAAGTTCTTAAAACCACCAGTTCCACAACGATAAAATAGTTTAATCCACTACAAAATAAGAAGTCTTCACTTTCATGCATGTTAAAATAGTGTTTGGATTTTCTTCACCAAAGTGAAACTTTATTACATTTCAATTTACAGGGTTTCCCTATCTATTGCCTGTGTTTAGGTAAATCAAAGAGATATAACCTTCCCCTTCATTGAAAAAATAAAAAATTGTAAACTAACCTTGTTGTGATTTCCACGACACAAACTACTGTAGATTTCCATATATGGTGCTTTTGCTTTCTTTTTTGCAACTGGAACATTTTTATTCTTTATTGCAAGCTCAAAAAAAGCTATGTTTTTCTTTGCATTCTCATGATTTGGCTCTACACAAATCAAGATTTTTCTTAAAGATTTTGTTGGTTTGCCTTAAAGAGGTCTGAGAGAGTCAGCAAAATGGGACATCGGTCTGAACAAAATGTTACGTACCCACATTTAAAGTTTCTTATCCTATCCCAATATCTTTCCTACTTTATTTCCTCTATTAATAAACACAATAGTAATCCTTATCCTGTGGGGATAAAATCTCTTTGACTGGTAGTTACAACAACGCACAGCAGTTTTGAGAAAATGTTTAGAAACGCACAGTTTACCTGTTTCTAGTATTTCATTTGTTAGTTTCAAGGCCCCTGAAACATTGCCCGTCTACAAAAGTATCAAATAAAAAATCAAGAATATCTAATGTAAGACAAAGATGTTACGTTGGTCTGTGTGGATGGTAGGTTTCATAAGCTGGTCGTACTCTCTCTCCTCCTCCTTTCAAAGTCCAACTCAATGCAATATAGATACGAAAGTGTGATAAGAAATAAGCGCTAGTTTTTTTCTACTGATAGCCGATTCTAGAGTTCAGCTCTTCAAATTTCAACAAATTTTGTCTATGGTGACTAGTCTAGAAAGCAGCAGATATGTTGGTCATCTCTATTGCTGCCAAGAACTGATGAAGAGAAAAAAAGATGAAGTCAGCTGATGAAAATTGATACAAAGAGACAAATTTAGAAAGAAATTGGAGAACTCAAGTCTCTAGTGGGAGTAAGAAAATGATAATGATGTTATCTTTAAGTACTTCACCTTCACGAACTGACCTCATACTCGCCCCAAGCAATGAACTCCTTTAGCAAATTTATTGTCAAATAACTACTGTATATGCCCGGCTGATATTTCCTCAATGCCTCACTAATCCATTCCTTCGTGCGAGCATAATTCTTAGATTGATATGCCACCAGTCCCACTTGGAAACAATCTTCCGTGTTCATGATAACGTGTGGATAGTTCACGGACAGTTCGCCATCTGTGATTTGCCGTGCAGTTATCAAATAGACTTCCTGCAACCTGAAAAAGGCTTCGACTGCACCGATCAAGTCTTGGTGTTGAGGAAATAAAGGTCTGTGTAGATCGATGCTTTTAACCAACTCTAAAAAAGAAGGGAAAATTATTGAGAATAGCTGAAGTACTACGGCAGTGACAATCAAACAAAGTAATATAAACAAGAGAAACTCTAAATACGACAAGTAGTTTAAAATTTGCATTAGCTAGTGCAAATTGACTCAAAAAGGTGCCGAATAAGTATTTCGATCAATGTGTCATTTGGCCAGGACTTGAACAAAGAAGATGCAATCCTCTCTCTGAAATCTGATTTCAATTTTATTGTAGCCTTGTAATAAGACGAATGCCACGCAATAAACGAATCTATAAAAGTGTTTAGTAGCAAAGACCTGCTTTGCTGGAGTAATTTCTCAGAATAAGCTCAATCTCCAACCAATCAGATGTAAAGCGCTTGATCAGCAAAAATCCATTGACAGGATGAGATATGAATTTCTCCGGAGATTCCACTGCTTCCATTACACGAGGCTTCACTTCATTGAGGAAATGCTTCAAATCATCCATTCTCGGCAGCTTCTCGCCATTCGTCGTTATGAAATCCTCCAAAAGTTCTACAAAATTGTTTTCCATCCGAATTAGCGTTTCCCATTCGTTAAACGCAGAGAAAACTTCTCCTTTTATAATAAAAATCTGATGGAACTGCAACAAAAGCAACATGAAAACAACGAAAGTTGATGAGAACAAGGAAAATAAACGTCTTTCCCTAAAATCAATGCTCCCCATTGCTAGATTTAATGTTTAGTATTACAGATACGTCGACTGAGTCCGAATCCAACCTATTGCGTTTTGCCTATGTGTTCATTCAAGGTTCTGTTTTGTGTCTTTGCAATAGTGCTACCTGCACTGTCACCCGCTGCAAACAATTAAAGATGGCAAAAGATTAAACCTAAAACATGCAGGAGATCATGTTTCTTTTCGAAAATAGGTATTTCGGTACTTGCTGTAAATTCAAATGCCATCCTTTAAAAACTACTTTAGAAATAAATATTCGAGCAGATCTTCTCACGGAAGCTGTGATTTATTACTCAAATTTTCTTTATCAATTAGTGCTAAATCACGAAATTCTTTTAATTGTGGGAAATATTAATTTGCTATGAAAAGCCTGCAGGTGTGAGGCAATGGACAACCTGTTACTAAGTTTCATTTTACCATTTGACCCTTTTTGCGTTGCTTCGGTCAGAAGCTGCAATAGATATTTTTTTTACATGATACAATTCAGGAGTTGACGTCAAAAAACGAACTGTGCCGAGTTGAAATTTGGATATTAAAAAAGGACAAGGAAATAAAATTTTCCATCTTTTCTACTTGGCTAACCAAGGCAACCAGCTTCATGTCAAACGATAGAACAAACATGTTGAAATCAGCCAAATATGCCAGATTAATGTGCATTCACAACTTCCATTTTTGCCGACATCTGACTATGTTGCTTAATGAAGCATTCTTCCTTCGTTAAATGGCGAGATTTGCAGTAGGAAATTGAAATATACTTTGCTCAAAATCAGATTAATACTCGCCTGAAAATATCATGTGATCCCGTTATGGTCATAATTTATATAGACGCTGAATTGCTTGATTTTTGTTGGTTGAAATAAAAGAACTGTGGTGTAGTTTAGGATTCATTCATACGTTCATATTTGCCTCGTTATTCGCTCTTAAAACTGTAATAAAAGTTAAAAAATTAACGTTTCCTTTGCTAATCTACAAAATCTAGTTTGCAGCATTTTAAATCAATATATTATATTTGATAATTATCATATTTCTCTAAAGACACGCGAAAAACGTCACATGGACGTAATCGATTTTAAATGACTAAAATTAAATTAATATCATTAAAGATACCAGAATTCAGAAACACTAACTTGTGAGTTTTGACAATACTTCAAGATGCCGATCTTCTCATTCCACTTTTCAGGCAAATAATTTTCATTTCCTCACTGTCAAAGTAGCTCATTTTGCATTAAATACGATTAATTCACTCAATTTCCTTTGTGCAGACGTTATTTATTTCAAAATTTAATTCTGCAGTCAATTATCTAGGGTAAGGAGATCTCTAGATTTTGTTCAGTATCTTGGTTTCAAAAATAGTTAAATACATCTCTATGAGTATTGTCTCACTTTAGTATGTGAAAATTAAAAATTAATTTAATTTAAGTGTGAAATGAATAAAAAGGATTTTTAGTAGATCTTCAGCTAAGCTGTCTTAGTTATATTTTCCTAAAAAAAAGCACTGTTAATAAAGACTTCTGCGGTTCTGCCACTGTGGAAATGATTGCTTTTTGGTTATTTTCCTTGCTTGACTGAAGCCATATTCATACATACATACATAAATAACTCATTACCGAAACTTCGTTGTCATCGTTATCATATTTATGGCGGATATGGTTGGTATTGAAGTCTTGTTCTTGTGACGTGATAAATTTTTATGGGCAAGTTAAATGTTCTTTTACTATGTCGCTTGGGGGATTTATTTTCATCGTTTTGTTATGGTGGAAAGTAACCAACTCAAGCGCTTCGGTATACAACTCTAAACTTGTCGAAAACGGTAGGTTAAAGTCTTCAAAATACATAGGTCTCGTTAGGTGAATACATTTCATTCTTTGATTCTTTCGTTATTAGTTTATCAGTATTTATCTTATAATATCATTGGTAGAACAAGTTTTTAAAGGGACTTGCATGTGAACTCAAAATTAATATCACATGAAACATTGATAATATCGTATGATAATGGTATAGTTTAGCGGTTCAGAGACCAGCACATTAAATAAATTGAATAAAGAAATCTTACAGCTCTATTGTAATATTGTACTTTACGATGTCTGTTATAAATCATATTATTATCTCGGCTATCCGACAATTGTGTAAGACTCAAACTCTTTTCTAATGACGGTGATGAGAAGTAAATGTTTTATGTATCACAACTCAATCTGAAAGTACTTTACTTTATAGACTATCCATACAACATTAAAGATAATTCAGCATCACATCAGTATGATATTGACGATCCCGAATCATCGAGAAATGCTAGAGAAAAATCGTTTCCAGAAATCAGTCAAACGAAATTAAAAAATGATAATGTAGATTACGGTATGTGACCCTAAACGTAATCTCAGTAAAATTTCCTGGGCAAACCTTACAAATTTTTGGGCATATATTTTTATTATAAATCGACAATTCACAACTTAGACATTCAAAGTTACGTTCTCTTGTCAAAGGAAATTGAATGACGTACTTTGGAGCGAAAGTCTTTACTCAGCTAGAAAGTTTACGAATCAAATCCTGTTTATATCTTAGCCTTTAGGTTTTAGTTGAGACTTGTAACGTTGTTGTGTTTTATGTCTACGAAGACTTATTGTTGTGCTTTTATGTTCGATACGAAAGCTAACGATCGAAGCACAATTTAATTAAATCGAAAAAACTCTTGGACATCGGTGACGCTATTAATTTGTGTATGCTGGAGAATGTTATAATATTACAGGAAACCTTTTCTAATAACCATTGAGGTATGACATTGGTTAAACTTTTGCCTCAAGCTATGTCTAAAGCAAAATTTGGGATATAGTACATAGCTTGTTTTCTTATCTTTAATTTGAGCACCATTTACCAGGTGTCGAGGAAAATTTTCCACACATGAGAAATGCGATGTAAACAATGTGTTGTTTTATAGGTACATACGAACAAACATCACGATATCAGCAAAGAGAATATGAGCGTGGCTATTCAAGTTGGCTTTTAAGAACTTACGATGATTCAAGTGAAGGTATATGTTTTTACTAAATATGTATAGCATGATGACTTGGACACCTAATGGACAATTATGGATAAGAAAAGGTTTTCAACATTCAACCATTTATTTATATCTTCGTCGTTCATAATTTTATGAAGCAAACTTCAAAAGAAAAATTAATTAAAAAAAAGAATTCAAAAAAATTTTTAGCTTTCATTGGGTTTTTTGTTAGACAAAAACACATGTAAAACGAAAGATTGTCAGACTGTGGCAAATGAGATCAGAAACAGCATAGATATGTCTGTCCATCCATGTGAAGACTTTGATAAATTTGCTTGTGGAGGGTGGCGATCACTAAATCCGATTCCAGAATCTCAATCCCAATGGACTCAGTTTACCAAACTTTGGAAACATGAGGAGACACTTTTGCGAGATCTCATCCAACGACAAGAAAATAGTTCAGGTATGTTATCAAAACTATTTTTATTTTACAAGTTTTGTTACGATCAAAGTTAGGTACAATTAATTACCTGAATGCAGCTCGTGACGAATGAAAGTCTTATTAGCTCAAATTATTGAAACATCAACGTATAAATATTGCAACACTTTATTCAAGCAAATACAACGTCATCGTTAATCTTTGCTTGGTATACATCGTGTTTGAATGAAACCGAACGTAAACGTAATGGCGACAAAACCTTGCTAAAACTGATCGCTGAACTTGGCTCGTGTCCAATCCTTACACGCTCTTCTTGGTGTGCGCAAAATTGGTCTTTCGTTAATCGTTTGGTCCAGCTGAATCAAATATCTATTCATCCATTTTTTCTTCTTATGCCAAGAGATAATCTTGTTAACAGTTCTCAAATATTGCTGACGGTATGGTTGTAGTCTTGATTGGAAACATATAAATTACTGTACCTAGGATTTCTCAAGTGTTTCATTACATTGCAATTATAAGGAGAATACACAACAATTTTTCTTCTTATAGTAATATAGATAGTTGACCCGCTTTGTTGACGAAAACCGAAAATGAAATAATAGTGCGTTGGATTACGATGAACTTTTCTTTCGCTACATTCTTAACTAACTGTAAACTTTTATTTTTACGGAGTATGAACTTGATGTCAAACTGAACGTATTTGTTAAATATTTCATATTTTTTAATCTTTCTAAAGCTGAGTCCCTCAAAATTGTTGCTCGAATCAGAAAACTTTTATCTTGGAAAAGGATCTTATCATAGTAGTGTGAGTGTTGTTTATAATTTTAGATGTTCATTTCAGTATATATTTGTATGAAAATCGTGGTTTGAACGACGCCGTTTTTTTGCTTTTTATTTGCAATAGGTTTTCAAGGCTTACACAAAATTAATGATTGAACTCATTTTAAAACTTCGAGGCTCACTACGATTTCATGACATTGCCTCGCTCCTCAATTTTCGAAATCAAATTGCAAACATGCTGAGATTAGAGATCTTTATGGCCAAGGTATGTCGTGATTACAGCTTTTATACTCATATTTAGTTAGATTAAATAAATAGCAGTTCTTTTCTCATGAAGATTGCATTCTCAGGTATGTATGTGATAAATTTTATGTACTTTTTAAGATTTGTCAAGGACTTTCCCTTTCTGCAAACACTGTGGTCTTGCAGCTCTTTCTTATTAAATCTTCTTCAACATGAAACACAAGATGTAAAACGAAAACTTTTTTAAGACTACAACGTTTGTATGTTTTCAGATATGGAAGAGTACTTCAAAGTTTGTATACGCTATCATCTCTTTGAATCGATTGCAGCGAGAAATTCCGTGGGTGGGTTGCTTTGTACATTTAAAGTAATGGATAGTTTGTCTAGATTTCATCAAGCAAGATCCAATACCTTATATCAATTTTCTGCGTCGTTGTATGAATTAGCCACGATAATATCTATTTCAAGCATATGTTCTTCTCTTTTTTCGTAGTTTCCATGGAAATATTATATTTTACGATTGTACTCTGGAATCAATTTAGCAAAACCAATAACAGGCGACGAAATGATAGCTATTTACAAACTAGATGCAATAAAAAAGATTGCCTGGCTCCTAAAATACACACCAAAATCGTAAGTTCTGAAATTTGTGAGGCTTTAAAACGCGTGCCACAAAAATCTTCAGCGCATGCACTGCTTCCAGAAGCATTGTCAAGAATAACTCTGTATCTCGTGACCATATCGACCCGTGCCCTTTTTATAGCTGAGGAACATAAACAATTATAGTCTTTTCACAAACTTTAGGAACTTATTATAAGATCTAGTAAAACAGCATTATTTTAGAACTTCACTCGTTGTTTTAGCGCTCAACTGTAAGTAATTTATCATTTTTTTCAACTATATCTATTTTTAAAAAGGGTGAAGTCAAACTTTCTTATTTGGAATGCCATTTTCTCCTTCACCGGAGTTATTGGTCCTGACTACGAAAATGTCCGTCATCAATTTATTGTTGCAATGTACGGAAATCAGAAACGTAAAGAAAGATGGCGGGAATGTGTTTCTTCAACAAGTGCTGCTCTTCCCATGGCCTTAGGAAAACTATTCGTGAAAGAAAAATTTGATGAAAACAGCCAGAAAGCCGTGAGTTTATACACAAATGGTTTAGCAGATGCTCGAGACCAAATGATCCGTTTTTGAAATACAAATATTTAAAAATCGACTACAAGTGAATATTTTTTGTTTTAATTTCTTTTTCATTGTTCTGTATTATCATAAAGCGTAATGTGTAGGATTTTATGATATCCATAGGCTGACAGAATCATTGAAGGCATTCGTCAACAGCTGATTAAAGATTTCAACGACATTTCGTGGATGGATGAAATCACCACTAAAAAGGCCAAAGAAAAGGTAAATTTAGTTTTTGTAAATTGTATTTTTTTCTTCTTTTGTTCATTCTCATTCTAAGTTTAGTTCTTGTTTTTGCTAATTTTGTGTTTTCTTTTGCTAATTTTTGTTCTTCTTCAGCTATGATTGCCGTTTTTTTTTGCTGTAGCAATTATTCTTATTCAATAACTATTAGCTTCATGAAAGTTGATTAACCTATTTGTTCTTCCATAGGCAGAAGCAATTGTAAAGAATATTGGTTATCCACAATACGTTTTGAATGAGACATTGCTCAGCAAAAAATATGATGGGGTGAGTTAACAAATTAATTTCCCATGCAAACACATGCTTATTCTTAAGTAGCCTGGGTGCGAGAAACTGCCTAATGTGAAATTTACCACGGTATTTGCTCCCCTAATTTGATTATGACATGTATATAAATTCTGGAGGGTGAATTTTCTTTATCTTTCAGTACTCACACTCATTAATCTACAATGAAATTCATCACACGCTAACTGTACACTAAGTTAGTCTCCATGCTATTTAGTGTGCAGTTTTGATGCATGTAAAAAATGAAGCAGAGGCTATATTACTTTGTTTCATCTTATAGTCAACTACCATTTGCAGCGCTAGCAATTTTCTCTCTTTGGCTTCTTTGAGAAAGTACATGTATTGCATTCACAGTCAAATATTACTCGCAACTCCAAAGAATAAAAAAAATCTCTGTGTTTGTTTCGTATTCAGTTTATTTAATTTTATTGCTATATTTTTGGTTTTTCTTGGGTGAGCCATCAAGTCTTAGCTCCTTTTATCCTTTTTTAAAGATGTCATTCAACGGAATGTTTCTTGTCAACATATTACAAAGGCGTAAGATCATTTCGCGTAACACTCTAAAGCTAAGAGAAAAAGAGGCTGACAGAAAAAGGTATCTCTTTTAGGCTAAGAGTGGCAAAAGTTCTTAATGGTCGTGTAGTTTTCTTCACAGTGCTAATGCATGGACCAGGGGGTCTTGGGGCTATAGCTAACTTACAAGCAAGACAAATTTGTCCGTTACAAGAGGAATATTCATAAATCCTCTCAGATTTTTTTTCCAAAAAAATTTACAAAAAAATTCCTTGGGGTTTCCGTATTAGCCTGACATATACGTTGACTGTCAAACAAAAAGCTTTGCAGTATTAAGGAAGCTGCAAGTTCAAATACGTCGAGTGGTTGTTTGTTCAGTTGTAATAAGCATCAACAATGTTTTTCTGTTCAAGATGGTCCATGTCTCCACAAGAAATCAATGCATACTACAGTCCACAATATAACAAAATAGGTACATTGTTGTGTGAGGATATTTCAAATAATTACGATCCACACTTTTGTAACGATTCTTTTATACAGTCTTCCCCGCTGGAGTGTTGCAGCCGCCATTTTGGCAAGCTTCTTTCCCAATGTAAGTTTCAGCGAAATAAAATAAATATTAATAATATAAAATAAATAAATCAACAAACAATATTAGGTGACAAAAATTTTTATGACTCCAAGAATAAATTTGTGGAATCTGCTACCTGTCGTGATTGACTTTCAGGTTATCTTCAGAAATTCAAACGCGTAGCTACCTCCATATTAGAAGAGGGCGTGTTAATTTTTTTCATCTTTTGAAAACGAATTTTACTGTACTTTATGACATGAATATAGAAATATTTTCAATGCAGTAAGCAAGATTGGCTATGGAACTCTTCTTAATCAACTCTTAAGACTTCTCAAGTATTATTTAATCAACTCTTAAGACTTCCCAATATTTCTCTTTCTAATTTTTGGGAAGAAAATTATGAACCATCTGTTTTTTTTTTATTCTCAGGTCCATGCAATTTGGTGGTTTGGGTTTCATTGCGGGACATGAGATAAGCCATGGATTTGATGTTACGGGTAAACTGACATTGTAATGATAGCTCAGCACGTTTGTGAAGAATCTCAATGTTCTCTTTATTTTCATTTATTCAGGAATGCATTATGATAAATATGGAAACTTTATTGCTTGGGGTACAAATTCGACGTCTAAAGCTTTCATGGAAAAATCAACATGTTTGAGCAAACAGTATTCAAACTACACCATTTTTGGTAAACATGTATGTGCGATTTCTGCAAATAATTAATAATCTTTCGACCTTGTTTTTGCATTTATATAAAAACCGCTGACCCCAGATTTCGGCTCCTCTCGATAGGAATTCTCTTATAAACGTTTGTATAGATCAATGGGATTAAGACATTGAGTGAAAACATTGCTGATAACGGAGGAATACGATTGGCTTATAAGGTTTTATGACTTTTTCATAACAATACATGAGAAGATCATGATCGAAGAAGTGTATAAAATGTGAAACTAACTTTGACTCACCTTGTTGTTGTATAGGCATACGAAGAATGGAAAAATAAAACTGGCCTCCGAGACACACTTCTGCCTGGTCTTCGGTTCACTTCTGATCAGTTATTCTTTTTGAAAGGTGCTCAGGTAGCTATAATGTTTTATATTTTTTACACAATTTTTTCATTTGCATAAAGTTGCACATGTAAAAATTAATTGCAATTAACATAAACTTGCAAATGTAACAACACGCGCAGCAAATGAGTTTTTTCCTTGAGAAATTCTCTAGAATGCATTATCTCTCCATTAATCATTTGACGAGGAAGCGATAAACTTGCCCAAGAATGTTTTCAAGGCACATTTTCCTTGGTGCTTACATTGGTCTTTGCTTCACTTTAATGAGTGGTAGCGAACTTTCTGAAACATTAAACAACGTTTTTAATATGCTCAAAAAGAAGGGAAAGTTTTGCTGGGTTTATACATTTTACATGTTTCTTTTTTCTTATAGATTTGGTGTGCAAACGTTCGTAAGAAATCTACTCTGAATATGATCGACATTGATCCTCATACTCCAAAAATATTCAGGTAAATATGGCGTTGTTGCTGACGGAACAGACACTGCTCTAATTTTGCTGGAGTCAACACGTGAAATTTGATCAAAATGGAGCTGGATCGTAGTTTGTCATTAATCTGGGCATTTAGTAAAGTTCGCTGTCGTCCCGTGCATGTCGATCCTTTAAAGAAGTAGTTGTCATAGTTCTTCCACTTTTTATTTTCCACACTTCATTGTCACGTATTTTAATTCTCTTTCATTTTAGAATTATTGGACCGTTTTCAAATTTCGAAAAGTTTTCAGAGGCTTTCAATTGCTCTTTGGGAAGTAGAATGAATCCTGAAAAAAAGTGTCGCGTTTGGTAGAAAATGCTGTTGAACAACGATCGACTGCAATCAACGAAAGAATCTTATGTTATTTATGAAATTATTTTAATGTGCATAGAATATAAGAATTTTCAATGAAAAAATATCTTCTCGTTTGTTTTTATTTGTTTCTTGTTTCGTCGAGAAATGGAAGGGCATTAGGGCAAGCCCCTCGTGATATGAGCATGATGTAAAGCTTGGCGAAAATTGAGCTTAAGTTATATGGTAACTTTAAATATTTGGCTTTTGACGTTAGACGTGTATAAAGCCGTGGCTCTTGGCTGTAAATTATAAGGTCTTTTACTCTCAAGTGCATTTTGTGGATACCACCATTGTCACATGAACTGCACCTATGATTATCACCATCACCTATCCATCACCAGATTGTGAAAATAAATGACGTCAGCACGTCACAGCAGCCAATGATGTTGTTGATTTTAAAATTCAAATGAGAGGCTCAGCTTATGTTCGTGCTTATGTTTACAAAGAGAAGGCAGTGGGTAAGTGATCTTTGCGATAATCCTCTCAGAATGGCTACAGACTGTCCATACATCAATTTTATGGCTATTTACATTATCACAACAAGTTTTCTTGGCACAAACTTGGGCCGTGGTGTGACACATTGGAAGATAAGCGAACAAGGCAATAGTATAGTTGAGGGCAATGAAAGTGACCGAAATTATGAGAAGAATGATCCGGTTTTTGCTCTATTAATCGAGCACTATCCTCCGAAAACGTTGCCAACTAGAAAGCCTAAAACAGGAAAGGGTAAATTGGCTAAGAAAACAGCCTCAAGAAATGATTTACGGTATGTCATATTATAGAAGACTGTGTTATTTTATGTCGAGCTAGTTAATATGTTATGAATATTTAACAATAAGTAATGTCGTTATTTAAATATTTCATTAACAATTGCCGACAAAGGCGCCTTATGTTAACATGAGTTGGAGAGTTGCTTTGCATTGTATGGCCTTGTACAATCGTGTCATGTTTGGAAGTATTATACGTGGCATTATTTTGTCAGGTTGTTGTGAATGTGAAAAGAGTATGTTTAAAATGAATTTTCAGTCAGTACAAAAAATACTAGCCATGTGTGATCCAGTGTGAATTATATACATTGCAAATATATTTGATGTTAGAATTATGAGCATGCATAAATTGCATTTATTCTACAAGCTGTCAACAACTTCTCGGTTGAACTATTTAAAGTAAAACAGAGCAAAGTTCCAAGCTTTTTGCCTTTTTTCTGCTTTATCTGATAGTTTGTTTTCTAAAACAAGACAAAACATGATTGGGTATATAATTGATCCAATAGTAATTAAGTTTGAGTGAACACAATTATTTCATTAATTCGGTGTATTCTAATTCAAACAGCTTTGCACTTTGTGCTCATAGGTGGCTGTTACCGGATTGGTTTTGTGTCTGTTGTATCACATGATTATGGCATGAAAACGATTTCTACCCCTGTTGTCAATAAAAGCAGTGTCTGTTTTTATGAATTTATTTTCAAGCTCTATGAAAAGGCCGTGGTAGTAGCTTTTTTATGAATAATTTATGTTCACATTGTGATAATATATGCATTCTACATCTACACATCTCTACTTAATTGAGACGATTGAAATATCATCATTGAGAGCTTTTGTATTCAATCTTGTTAGCTAAGATGATGTCGTTTCAATTGTTCTAGTTCAGAAGTACTGACTGGTCAGCCTGCGTATGAGATTTTTCAGACATCAAAATTTCATTGTGGTGATCCTGTTAATGAAACCTTATATGACAACCTCTTGGGGATTGCAGAACGGAAAACCCATCCTTTGTTTGAGGAATCAGATGTTTCAATAATTTTCAAGAAAAATGAGCTTGATGAGCTGGATTTAAATTCTTTAGAAGAAAATCTTAAAGATTCCATACAAGAGGTAGAAATGTTTACTATAGATTTTTTTTGCAGTAGACCATGACAAAAATTTATGTGGATTTTTATTTTCTGCTTTCTTTTTGGCCTGAAATCTCTTCTGGGGATCTGTTAAAACTTTTAACATATTCTCATAAATTTCATTTCCACATTAATTGAGAATGTTAACACTCTTGCATTAATTACTGACCTTAGGAATGATGGTCATTTCATTAGTATAGAAAGATACAAGTTTTCTATATGTATATTAAAGATGGTAATATGATTTGGTATTTATGAGAGTCGATAATTAAATCTGGAGATCTAATTGGTAAAAATTGCAAGCCATTGGTCATGCAGGTGCAGCCACCATGTACAGGTGGTAAAGGCAAACCATAAGTCTAGGCACATATTGCACACAATAAGCATATCCTTTCTTATAATAATATTCAACCTGGATAATGTGACTGAATTTTACATACATGATATGCCATTTTTTGTTCCTCTTCTTAACGTTGATGTTATTTTTTTATCATGATTGATGTGTTGCAATGCTTCATTTACAGCGTCCAATGTCCGTGGTATTGTGTAATCAGATAGGGAACTACTTAAGAATAAAAGGAAATACGTACCACGCCATAGAATGTTTCAGGAAAGCATTGTATACAGCGCCAAATAATGCAGACATCCTTTTAAATCTAGCTAGAGTATTGTACAATTTAAAGTATCTGGACGATGCAGTGTACTTAACGAGAAGGTCTTTGGAGATGCAGCCTCCAAATCTAAACTGTTGGTTACAACATTTCACGTTAGGCGAAATTCTAAAGGAGACTGGCCAAAAGGAGGAGGCTGTAGTTCATTTTAGAAATGCTTTGAATCTCAATCCATCGTTTCGTCCAGCCGAAGTTCAACTGCAAGAATTGGTTGGCGTTAAAAGCGAATCTTTCGATTTTTGTACTTATTTAGTAATATTCGTACTTGTGGCAGTCGTGCTAATTTGGTTGTACGTTACGAGTCCTGAAAAAGAACACAGAAACCCGAGTAAAATCCCGCACATGCGCACGAAAGTGATTTCGGGACCCTTAAGGAGATCGTCTAGTCGAAAATAGTGACTATTTTGGCATTTTTTTCGGTAACTTTTTTCCATTGATACAGTCTTATTTAAAGGACTGGACATTTTTAGTAATGCATTTGTTTTTTTTCTCTTAGCAACCATTTTTGCGTTAGCATAGTGAAAAATTTGATGTGAATTATTTAATAGGATTTTCAAGTTGTGTAAAAAATTAAGTAACACGAAAGTAAAATTGTATAAAGTGCATAAATTTAAAAAATAAAACGTCACATTTTCAACAATATCAATTGCTTTTTTTGAAGTAAATGTCTAAAATTTGTCAGCTCCAAAAAAAGAATCGGCTTTATAAATTAGAAGCCTACTCTGATTTTTTTATGGGAACCCAAATCAAAAGGAAAAAACTGGTGGGTTCTTTAAAAACTGCAATTAGTTTTCGTCAACAATTTAGTTCAGGAGAAATCATCAGTTTTGTTAACTACGCTTCCGTGAGATCATCGTTAAAGTACAAATGTATGGCTGGAAAATATTGATCTTCATTAATTCGAAGTTGGTAAAAGTCTTCGCTTTGATCAACAATTCCATTCTCCTCCAAAGTTTTTGTCATGTCGAGGTTAACGCCTTCATATTTCCAGGTGTAACTGCCCGCGTGTTGGTTATACTTGATGTAACGGTCTTGAATCTCGCTAAGAATTTCTTCTGAGCAAACCTGAAATTTTATGACTTAGTACAATATCTCTAAGTTTGATCAGTACATGCTTTGTCAAGGTTTGTTACAGGAATTCATATAATTTAGACGCACAACTTTGCATTCACTAAAAAAATCTCAAACTAAGATTTCATAACATTTTTTGAAGAGAGCCCAAAAGTTTGATGTATCTATGAATGTATCATGGTTGTATATTGCTAACATTGCATTTGTGATTTTCAGATTTAACACAAATGCAATAAGCAGCAGCTGGCATTTGTGGATGTGGTAATTGCTTTTCAATATTCTTTTCAATATTCTAATATTTTGGCAACTGATTTTCAGCCTAATGAAAGTTATGATAAATTGTTTACCTCCAAAATTTGTTCTTGAGAAGTCATAGTGTTTATGATACGAACTTTTCTAGTCTTTGCAGATAGCCGTCCAATGCAATAAGATTCATCTTTCCACCAAGGCCTTCCAAAATCATTATCCCAATCTGTCCGAGGGCATTTTGGTGGAATATGAATGAACCTGCCCCTGGGAGTGTATGGAAATACACAATTTGTTTCTGGATCGATGTGGGTTCGTATCTAAAATGAATTTAGGCTATCTTTCTGGGTAATTTATGCTGAAGTATGTAGGAGTATATAGTTGGGATTCTCAATACATTTGGGGGAAGGAGGGTTGTCAAAATATTGTGTGTGGTGGAGGGGGGGGGGTGAGGAATGTTCTCAATATATTAGGTAGGAGTGGAAGGAGGGTTCCCAATGTATTTTAGAGGGGTTCTGTTTTATATACCTCTTTGGTTTTGCGATCAAACCAATGGGAAATATCTTTGCCACCAACTTCAATGATTGGCTTTAACAAAACATCACCTATGAAAAGAAAAAAATACACCTCGTACTAGGCACTAAAATGTTATGTTTCCTCGTGCAAATCTTGACAACTTGTTTTGACCCAATAAACTGCTTGGAGTTTACATTTGATAGTGTTTGTACTTACTTATTAGTTGGCAGTACTTTTGAATAAATATATTCTTGTTATAAAGTATTGTCCTAACCTGCATACTTCCTGCACAATGGAGTAAGGTCGTAAACTTTGCCAAGAAAAGAAACCCATATATCTTTCAGTGTGTTATGTACTCTTACTTCGTTTGGAGTGTAATATTTTGGCCTCCTTGCGGCATTTTCACTCATAGTTTTTTCTTTTTCAATAAATTCAAACAGGTCGTGTTTATTTCTGCTATTTTGAATGTTGTTTTTTGAAAAATTTTAGCATGCTAGTAGGTTACCTAGCAACTGTGTACTCGAGTGATAAAAGGAGACTGAGGCAGAGGCGGGAAAATAAATAACTGTATTCAGAAAATGGCAACGTGCTGCGAAGATATGGTAAAAGTTTGTCGAGAATATGAGAAATATGCTGCTTTTTTGGCTCATGAACTGATGAAACTTAAGGAAAATGACCTCCGGAGAACAAGGTACCATTCTTACCGACTTTTTTTGAATGTATTTTAGTTTTGCTTCAACAAAATCGTTTCGTTAAATACGATTTTGTAATTCGTATAAAAAACTGAAGACATTTGCCTGTGTGGCTGTGCCAGCGCTTTGCATGTGCATATTGTGCTCTCTCGCCGTCAAATATCAGCAAATACAATAGGAAAATGTTTGTGAAAAACGTAAAAGCTCGAAGCTGTGGTAAAATGCTCCCACAATATGTTAAATCCGGCGTCAATAAAAACGACAAGCGGTACTAAGCACATGGCTTGCTTATTCCAAAGATTCGTCATTTTTCTTTCTTCACATTGAAACAATGTGATACTAAATTCTGCGCTACTGACTAAATTAAAATTGTCAAGAATGAAACGAAAAGATAGGTTGTATTTTCTGTATCTTTGTACACATGTCTGAAAAATGACAAAAGACAACGGTGGCAACAAATAATTGAAAAACGTAGTGTATTGGCGCATCAAAAAAATTCGTTTGTATAAAGTTGCATTTAAAATTTCGTTTTTCAGTAGCTCCAAATTTGGTGTGAATGTCACAAAATGTAGAAATTTAGCGTGTTATTCGCGATGCTGCGTATAAGTTATATCTATTAGACCTCTGCATCATTGCTGTGCATTGATTCTAAAGTAGCTAATGCCTGACCTAAATATGGCAATTTATTTGTGGGTCATGTGAAATCCATACCCACAAAAACTCAGGGTAAATCCATACCTTTAAAAACAGCATTAAAAAGTACTAATCCTTTTGACTTGACACTTATGTTACCATTTTCAAATAACAATACTCAAATGTAAAAATGACATTTTTTCGCTGCTTGATTTAAAACATAAATGATTCTGCTTGACAAAGTAGGTTGATTGAATTGTTAAAACAATTGCAATGTGGCAATTTCTCCCCCAGAAATCCAAGTCCAAATAGGCATTTGAACAATATCAATCACACGTAATTTTACATTACTATCACTATAAAAAGTGACTTTTTGTTTGGTTTTGTATTCGTACATATTAATTAATGATTACATATTTTTATCTTAACACGTTTTTACGCGACATAGCAGGTGGAGCGATCATTAAATCGTATTCTTTGTCAACTTGCAACAGGTTCAAGATAACGAGCTATTCTTTCAGGGTCAAGATTGTGTTTTATTATTTTCACGTCTGTTTTATGTACTTCAATGGCAAACTAGTATTATTTTTTTAATAAATTGGATAGCATTTTGTTGGGAATTAAAGCAAAGCTCGACGATTTTCTTTCTTCCATTTTGGTATACTTTTGTGTTTTGCGCGGTTATAATGAGAGAATTGGTCGTTCATGCTTAACGAATTGTGAAGTCGCTTTCACAGATTTTCCACAATAAATAATATAGCGAAATTTATCAACTCAATAATAAAAAAAGACAACAGCAAAGATGTTGTCACTATTGCGTTTGTTGACAAGACAAAAGAAAGTGTCGCATGAAAAAACGCCACACTTCAATCGATGTTTGACTACATGGGACTTGGTATCCCTAAGCATTGGCGCTACCCTTGGAGCTGGAATTTACGTTGTTACAGGTCAGGTTGCTGGAAGTGTTGCTGGTCCAGCTGTTATTCTTTCATTTACAATTGCTGCCATTGCTTCAGTGCTGTCAGGTTTATGCTATGCAGAATTTGGTGCTCGAGTTCCTCATACGACAGGATCAGCGTATACTTACAGCTATGTGACTGTTGGTGAATTTTCTGCATTTGTGATTGGTTGGAATCTAATTCTGGAATACATGATTGGTACTGCTGCAGATGCAAGAGCGCTCAGTGGTTGCTTCGATTACGTTATTGGGAATGCTATACGTAATTTTACCCTAGCACATATTGGAAAATTTCACATCCCGACCCTCGGAGATACATACCTGGACTTTCTATCCTGTGTTTTAACTCTTGTTGTTACCGTGGTTTTAGCATCAGGGGTTAAACAGTCTTCGTTATTCAGCACAATATGTAACGTGGTTAATCTTGCCGTTGTTGGATTTATCATAATAGCGGGTGCTTTTTATGTCAGACGTGAAAACTGGAGTAAGAAATCCGGATTTTTTCCGTACGGTGTTTCAGGCGTTCTTGGTGGAGCTGCTACCTGTTTTTATGCGTTTATAGGCTTCGATATCATTGCAACTACAGGACAGGAAACTAAAAATCCACATAGATCCATACCTTTGGCAATAATGATTAGCCTGTTTATAGTTTTCATGTGTTATTTCAGCGTTTCATCGATTATCACACTGATAGTGCCTTATTATACACTTGATAAGTTATCACCCATTCCGAACGCCTTTGCCCAACGTGGGTTTCGTATCGCGACGTATATTGTTGGCATTGGTGCTGTATGTGGTTTATTTTCTAGTCTTATGGGCTCCTTGTTCCCACTTCCCAGAATAATCTATGCGATGGCAAAAGATGGGTTGTTGTTTGAAGCATTTAAGAAAGTAAGTCATAAAAGTGAGATACCTTTTGTTGCAACAATTTATCCAGGAATGTTAACTGCCTTGCTTGCTCTAATATTTAACTTGGATGAACTGGTTGAGATGATGTCTATTGGAACCCTTCTTGCCTATACACTTGTATCCCTATGTGTCCTCATTCTTCGCTATCAACCGTCAGGAGATTTGTCTTCCTACACAAGTTTTGAATTCGGTAAACTTGTTCTAAATGACGGAGAGAACGTGAAAGATCCTGAAACAATCTTCCCAAATGATTCCGATAAAATGGAGGATAATACTGATTATATGGATGAACGCGATCGTGATAAATTATTAGTTAAAGATAAGAAGAGCTGCAACCTTGCAGTCCTCGAACAACGGAGGGGTCTTGATCAGAGAAGGCCTCCCTATTCCTCTTCAATACCTACAGCAAAAACTGGTCGCATTGTATGTTGGGCGTCGATGCTTCTTTGTGCTTCAGTGCTTGCTTTTTTCGTTTTGATAACTCATGGAGTTGAAAAAATTCTTCAAAAAGATTACGTTGTTATCGCGCTCGTAATTTTCATAGGTTTTATCTGCATTGCATGCATATGTGTTATTGCTTTGATGCCACAGAATTGTGTCAAATTGTCCTTCAGTGTTCCGTGTGTCCCAGGAGTACCCATCACGGCAATATTCTTCAATATTTTTCTAATGAGTAAGCTTTCGAGAATCACCTGGTTGCGCTTTGCCATTTGGATGATATTAGGTAGGAAATTTTTAATATTGATTTCATCCCATTTTCTTTCAGTTTAAGTTTAAGGGAAAAACTGTGCATATTGTCTGTATGTCACGAGTTTGTCAATTCGTGCAAGTAGATAAATATTTTTTATCGTTTTCGATAATCAAAAGCATATTGTCATCCCTCTGTAAACAAAGGCGTAAGTCGAATTTTCATCAATGGAAACACACGAATATATATATATTGCAATTAATAAGACTCTTCGGTTTGAATTGTATATTTTCAATCTGGAGAATTTCATTTTCTATCTGCCCTCTTGTTAACAATACATTTCTGATTATGCAGGTCTTTGTGTTTACCTATTTTACGGCATGAGAAACAGTTTAGTCGGTATCCATCAAAGGATGACATACACACAAAAGGAAGAGAAGGCACATGTCCTTGCCAAGACTTTTTGTCAGTTTAACTACAATATGGACGTGATTCCTGCACATCGTGATTTTGCCAAGGAAAAGTCTTCACCAATAAGTCCTATTTTTTGGTCAAGTTTGCAAAAATATCATTTCGTCACCGCTGATGGTGATGGAAAAGGGAGGACGAACGGATTGTATTAGAAACCAATGATTAGGTGTAATTTCTAATTTTCATTTTCTTTTTGATTTGTTAACCTTCACTTCACCTTATAATATTACATAGAGAATGACATTTATCGTGCCAAGCACTGTGAAAAAAGCATTTCACCTGAGAAGTTATTGCTTGGCGAAGAATTATTTACAATGTTAATACGCAATTTGTTTTGTATTGAAGAAATTGAGTGTAAAATCTAAATATTTTCATGCAAATTTACATCATCAACGTCAACCGCCATGAACTTCAGCTGGAAAGAAAAAGTTCTTCAAGTAGCGAAATTATTTTTGCTTGCAGTCAAGGCAAGAGGTACCATTAGATCTCCGAAGAAGGTCACTCCTGGAATATTGTTTATTCACATGATTATCATGTTAACTGTTTGGATGGCACAATAAAAATGAATTTTATTAACGCAATACTTTTTTAGCCATGCATATCATTGATAACCATGGCGTATGTTTACATATGAAAGTTTTAAAGATAGAAAGTATTACATTTAGTAGTTATACACGTCTACACATGAAAATAGTCATCATAAACGCTTAAGAGTTATATTTAACTTGTATTGTGCAGAGGCCTGTACAACATTTACAAACAATGTAGAGCAAAGTTGATATTCCTTGGATTTCGAACGGGACCGAATGTCTGTGAAGTAAATACTCCTGCTTTAACATGTCATCAGGAAACAAAGCAATAATATAAACACAAATTCCTGACAAAGCTCTTTCTATGAAAATCACCAAAATTTGCAAGTATCATATGTAATTGTAACAAAGGCATTTATCATAAAAAACCTTGATAAATTTTTTCCAGGAAGATAGATATTTTCCAAGAAGACTCAAGTAAAATTTAATAAAATATTTATATTCAACGACAAGTTTTCTAACAAACGTGAGATAAAAGTTCAGAGAAGTAACACATGTTATCATTTGAATACTTCAGCCATGTTAAGGACACTAGCAGTTCATTTCATCTGATCGGCTCAGCCCTCCCTTCCTTGGTAAAATTCACCTATCTGCCACGTTGGGTTTTCCTTACAAGGCCTTGGCACTGCATAATACATTCCTCCAAAATTTTTATACTCGAAAGTCTTGTTTTGAGAGCCGCACGGATAAGTTATTTTAGGTACATGGTACGTCTCAGTTCTCATTTCCAAAAACTGTGACCAGAATTTCTTCATTTTCCATGGATAGCTGCCATGCAGACCTAAAAAACTGGCACAAATATCACCCGTCTTTACTATAGAAGTGTAGTCCACAACGTCATAAATCACCCTTGGGTCTCCGAAGTACGTTACCCCTGGAATATTGTTAATCCACATAATCATCGCCTGGTCACCGTACGGGTGGCACATGAGAGATGAATTTCGTTCGCGGAGAAAATGTTGAGCCAGATCATTGCTAACGATTACAAAGCCTTCGTCAACTCTGATGCCGCCTAAAAAACCACAATTACAAGGTTTAAATTCGTTGTCACATTACTTTGCAATGTTTAGAAAGCAATTAAAGGATCATTCCCAACGTATAATATAGAGTATTGTAAAAAGGGAGGAACAGTCAAAACTCCTGTAAGCTAACACCCTTGGGACCAAGACCTTGTATATGCTTACGGCAGATGACCACTTGGAGAGGCAATAAAGTATTGGCAAGGACCCAAAAACAGTGTCAGCGCGCAAGAGGTGTCCGTAAGTGAAGGTTCGGGTGTGGTCTTTTTCACCAGATGACACTTGACTAATGAAGCATAATGACATCTATCAATGACAACTTACCCGGTGGCCAACAATGTACATAACCCCAGTATAGTTTTTTTTGTGAACGATATGGTAACTCACGCACAAGTCTATCCATGCACACAAAATAATCATCGTCGACGCGCAAAAAATATTGAAACTTGTAACGAGAATTTGCCCATTTCAGCATCCACAGATATCGGAGAGCAAAATTAATACCTCCAGGACTTTGTGCTAGGATCAAATCCCCGTGAATCGATTGCTCTTTCATGAGGGGTGCGCGAATTGTCGGTGGCAAAAGGTTGCCATACATGTCCCGAGCATCTGTGAAAAACAGGCAAGGTATGCTGTTGTTTCGACATTGTTTCAACCATGTTGTTCTGATCGCATTCCTACGCTCTTTTCTCCGTGGTGCACTCATGATACCAACGAAAATAATTACCTTCTTCTTAATATGACTTTTCACTTTTTTTGGGAAGAAAATGCTAGGCGAAAGCGTGATGTTTCTTGTTTTTAAAGCAGTATTATGTCCATTCAGTAGAATATAGGAAATTGTTATAAAAACAAACATGACTGCAAAAATGATCCAAATAAACCATCTTGATTGCTGCTTCTTCATTACTTCTCACAACTATGGTCGTTTTCATCCCAATGATGCTGCTATCCACCATGTTAAAAAAAAAGTTAACTAAGTTATATATACGGGAATTTCCACCTCTGATTATTTACTTTACAATTATATTTTGGATTGCATATGAGAAGGTAAACCTGAGAAAAGTGTGTAACTTATGATCATAAATTATTCAAATGATCATGACTTATCCTCCTTACGCCATGTTTCTTTCCACGAAATTACTGCCTATCGTAAATTCAAAGGCCATCGAGGTCGATAAAAGGGAGGTAAACATTAGTTATGCATAATTATTTGCAAGGTGAATAATAAAAAGTGTTATAAATTATTCGTGTTGACTGGTATAAAAAAGACATACTATAAAAATAAATTTTAGGACGGCCTTTATGAGCGATAAAACCATAAAGACTACAAAACCAGACAAAGGTAATAGGGGTAGTTATCCCCACAAAGACGTCTTACAACAAAAAGATGGACGAAATCTTATCGGACAACACAAAATTTCATTTGTTATTATGTACACGTGGTTATTTTTTTAATAAACATACTAAACTTTGACTTTATTTTTGCTCATTTTCTACACAATCGTCTTACTTTTAAGCTATATTTCGATTGAGTTTTAGCTACAAAGCCGTTACTGTATTGTATTCGCATTAAAAAAGTAGTTACGAAATATTGCAAAACATAATGCGTCTATCAAAATATCAGTAATTTTTTATATTTTTCAAAGTATCTAGAGGTTTTGCTACTAGTGTAACATCAGGGTCATTGCGCAGATAATCGTCTAAAAATTTAATAAATTATTAGGCATGAATTTAGCTAGAATCGGCGCTCGTAACGTCTTTGTATTACATATATTATTACGCCTGGGTGAGAACACAATTTGCATGACACTGTCAACTTCTTGGTCAATTTCCATATGAGAGATATTTTTACTTCAACAGGTGTTCTGCTTTTTGTTAACGTATGCGACTTAAACAAGTTTTGCAGTTAGTTTTGCTGTGCAGGACCTTTGCACTAATGCAGAAAATACAATAGTTTCACTATGTATGTCGGGCAAATTATTGGAGTTATTGTTGACAGTCACTGCAACTCGCTATAGCGGCGTGTTAAAAACATGTAGCTCTATTTATACTTTGACAAACCTTCACTTTTATTCCCACTGCTTTTTTCACATAACTTCGCATATACTGAAGAGAAAATTGTGCCAATATATAACCATAGGTCACGCAGAAACATGTTTCATTTTTTTGTAGTTATACAAGCGACGTATGTGAATACATTCCTTGAAACTTGATTCATGTGCAGTGTTTGTCGCGATCTCGCGCGACTGCCACGTATAAATAAATTGAGACTGTTAACTGTTGCGTGCACAGTTAGCATTCATACATTGTTGTAAACAAGATTGTCAAGACATTAACAGTCTTATTCATAACAGTTTAATAAATAAGACTGTGATGAATTTGGTGCTCAGTTACCGTGGAGAGTCTGCTTCAAGTTCATGTTTCAAGTTAGACAGGTGTCACTATTGCTGATAACCTGATAACTATTGCTGGTGGAAGTGTTGTATTGTACAACGAAATTAAGCATCTTGTCTCCTTGACAAGTCTATGCAAATTCGAGTGCAAAAAGCGATACACCGATATCAGATGGCTACAGCAATAAAGCTAAATGAACAAATATTGTGCGTGAAACTAACTCATGAATTTTTTCCAGAAGCATTGGGAAAACTTCAATAAAGAAAGACAAATGAATTTAATTCATGCAGTTTGTTATTTAATCTAAAAACATGAAGAAAAGATAAGTTATCTCTTCATGTTTCTGAAATTTTTACGGAGAAAAGCAGCACTTGTATAGTGCCAACTATTGTGATTATTGAATATATAACATATATTTTATCAAAGCTGCAATCACTGCATTCAAACAGTTTTTACTAACTCAGAATATATAACTTTCTGTCGACAAACCTCCTCACCTACAACATTGGCATATTTTTGCCTTATTCTGATGTAATGCGTTTCAAAGTACAGACGTTCAACATTGTTATTAATAAACCAATATTGTTAGGCAATGATTGCGTTCAAATTTCAAAAACATGGAATTGGCATCTCGAATGAACTTCTTTGATCGTAGCTGTGATTCTCCTCCGGGAGAAGATAATGATCGTATGATCACACACATACAAAATACATTGGAAAGTTTCGAGTCATCTTTCCCCAATAGTGCAATTATTATTGCCGGTGATTTCAATAAATTAAAATTGAAGCGCAGCACCGTAAAATTATTCCAGCTAAAGCCAATGGTCAGTTTCCCAACCAGAGGACCTAATACTCTTGATTAGATTTTTTTAAAACATAAATAAGTATTATAACCTACCGACTAGTGCTCCAACGTTCCCTCGAGGTATATAAGAATGATCGTCCATGGATGAGTAGACATCTAAAGACACTGATCTCTAGACGTCAAGACATGTTATCTACAGATTTAGATAACGATGAAAAAATTTTATGTGATAAAATCAACGAATCCTTTATAAATGTGATGCAAGAATATTGTACGCTATTTCCTGATGTGTATGTGTGATCGAAGTCGATGAAATCGAGGTTGTTGAAAAGTTAAGAAAAATTAGTCACTCAAAGGCCGGCGGTCCCGATGGCGGATACAGAAAGACTATACAGATATTCTCACGTTAACAATTACACTAATTTTAAATGTCTTTCGAAAACTATCAAGTTCCTGGGATGTGGAAAATTGCCGATGTCGTCCCACTGCCCAAAGCATCAATTATCAAAATTTTACACAGGATTTGAGACCGATCTCACTTACTTCCACTCTATCCAAAATTGCAGAAGAATTTGTTATTGAAAAAGTTATAAAACCAGTCATGTTAAGATGCATGGATAAGCATCAATATGGTTTTATCCCTAAATCATCAAAAAAACTATCCATGCTCTCATATCGATAATTCATCATTGGCTACAAATGACTGACGGAAAAGCCGTCGCAGTTTGATCTGAGTTTAAAAAAGCATTTGATATGATAGATCATAATCTCCTAATTGCCAAGCTTTTAAGTCTTGGGATTAAACTTTCAACCATCAACTGGCTTATTGATTTTCTTAGAGACAGGAAACAAAGAGTAAAACTCAATCAGTGTGTGTCCGACTGGAAAAATGTCCCTGCAGGAGTGCCTCAAGAAACCCGACTAGGACCATGGCTATATTTAGCCATGATCAACGACTTAGAAATACCTGAAAAAACAGAATCACTAATGTGGAAATTTGCAGATGACACCACTCTTCAGAACTAATTTCATATGATCGGGAAACTTATCTAAAAGAAGAAATCAACCACATTGCTAAGTGGTCAATAGAAAATAAACTCACCCTTAATCCAAAGAAATGTAAAAAAATGATCATATGTTTCAGAAAAACTACTCCAACGTTTGATGAAATCTTAATCGATGATCAACCTTTCAAAAGAGTTCAAAATGTTAAAATATTGGGACTCACAATAAGAAGTGATTTGAAATGGAACGACCACATAAATGTTATCACTAAAAAAGCAGCAAAACGCAAGCAGCAATACTTCATTAAGCAGTTGAAACAGGCTGATGTAGATAAAAAGACCTAGTTTTATTTTTACTGCGCTATAATAAGATCAATTCTTGAGTACTATTGCCAAGTATTTCACTCTGCTCTACCAAAATATCTATCTGATGATTTAGAGCGTATACAAAAGGGAGCCATGGGCATCATATTTCCTGGAGCACATTATAAAGATGCATTAACATCAGCTGTTATTCCGACCCTATTCGACAGACGTGAGTCTCTCAGTAGGAGATTCTTTAATGATATAGTGAAGAATAGAATGACAAACTTTACAATTTATTACCTCAAAGAACTGGTGGCATTTATAATCAGCTAAGGACAAATAAAACATTTTATGCAACTAAATATTGCACAAATCGTTTTAAAAACTCTTGTAATCAAATTTCTCAAGCGAACATATGAAAGTTTTAAAATTAGAAAGTATTACATTTAGTAGTTATACACGTCTACACATAAAAAATAGTCATCATAAACGCTTAAGAGTTATATTTAACTTGTATTGTGCAGTGGCCTGTACAACATTTACAAACAATGTAGAGCAAAGTTGATATTCCTTGGATTTCGAACGGGACCGAATGTCTGTGAAGTAAATACTCCTGCTTTAACATGTCATCAGGAAACAAAGCAATAATATAAAACACAAATTCCTGAAAAGCTCTTTCTATGAAAATCACTAAAATTTGCAAGTATCATATGTAATTGTAACAAAGGCATTTATCATAAAAACCTTGATAAATTTTTCCAGGAAGATAGATATTTTCCAAGAAGACTTATGCAAAATTTAATAAATATTTATAGTCAACGACAACATGTTATCATTTGAATACTTCAGCCATGTTAAGGACACTAGCATTTCATTCCATCTGATCGGCTCAGCTCTCCCTTCCTTGATAAAATTCACCTATCTGCCACGCTGGGTTTTCCTTACAAGGCCTTGGCACTGCATAAAACATTCCTCCAAAATTTTTGTACACGAAAGTCTTGCTTTGAGAGCCGCACGGATAAGTTATTTCAGGTACATGGTACGTCTCAGTTCTCATTTCCAAAAACTGTGACCAGAATTTCTTCATTTTCCATGGATAGCTGCCATGCACACCTAAAAAACTGGCACAAATATCACCCGTCTTTACTATAGAAGTGTAGTCCACAACGTCATTAATCACCCTTGGGTCTCCAAAGTACGTTACCCCTGGAATATTGTTAATCCACATAATCATCGCCTGGTCACCGTACGGGTGGCACATGAGAGATGAATTTCGTTCGCGGAGAAAATGTTGAGCCAGGTCATTGCTAACGATTACAAAGCCTTCGTCAACTCTGATGCCGCCTAAAAAACCACAATTACAAGGTTTAACTTCGTTGTCACATTACTTTGCAATGTTTAGAAAGGAATTAAAGGATCATTCCCAACGTATAATATAGAGTATTATAAAAAGGGAGGAACAGTAAAAACTCCTGTAAGCTAACACCCTTGGGACCAAGACCTTGTATATGCTTACGGGAGATGACCACTTGGAGAGGCAATAAAGTATTGGCAAGGACCCAAAAACAGTGTCAGCGCGAAGAGGTGTCCGTAAGTGAAAGTTTGGGTGTGGTCTTTTTCACCAGACGACACTTGACTAACGAAGCATAATAACATCTATCAATGACAACTTACCCGGTGGCGAACAATGTACATAACCCCAGTATAGTTTTTTTTGTGAACGATATGGTAACTCACGCACAAGTCTATCCATGCACACAAAATAATCATCGTCGACGCGCAAAAAATATTCAAACTTGTAACGAGAATTTGCCCAGTTTAGCATCCACAGATATCGGAGAGCAAAATTAATACCTCCAGGACTTTGTGCTAGGATCAAATCCCTGTGAATCGATTGCTCTTTCATGAGTGGTGCGCGAATTGTCGGTGGCAAAAGGTTGCCATACATGTCCCGAGCATCTGTGAAAAACAGGCAAGGTATGCTGTTTTTTCGACATTGTTTCAACCATGTTGTTCTGATCGCATTCCTACGCTCTTTTCTCTGTGGTGCACTCATGATACCAACGAAAATAATTACCTTCTTCTTAATACGACTTTTCACTTTTTCTTCGAAGAAAATGCTAGGCGAAAGCGTGATGCTTCTTTTTTTTAAGGCAGTATTTTGTTCATTCAGTAGAATATAGAAAATTGTTAAAATAACAAAAATAAACCAAATAAACCATCTTGATTGCTTCTTCTTCATTATTTCTCAAAACTATGGTTGTTTTCATCCCAACGATGCTGCTATCCACCATGTTAAAAAAAAGGTTAACTAAGTTATATATACGGGAATTTCCACCTCTAATTATTTACTTTACAATTATATTTTGGATTGCATATGAGAAGGCAAACCTGAGAAAAGTGTGTAACTTATGATCATAAATTATTCAAATGATCATGACTTATCCTCCTTACGCCATATGTTTCTTTCCACGAAATTACTCTTATCGTAAATTCAAAGGCCATCGAGGTCGATAAAAGGGAGGTAAACATTAGTTATGCATAATTATTTGCAAGGTGAATAATAAAAAGTGTTATAAATTTAATCGTGTTCAATGTTAAGGCTGAAACACACTAGGCAGTCGCTTTAGTCACGCGTCTAAAACTACCGCTTTGCGTGGTTACTAAGCTAGTAGCGTAGTCGTGTCATCTAGTCGCTTTGAAAGTTCAACAAGTTGAACTTTTGACATTGGTCGCTTCAGTTGCTTTACACTGATTGGCCAATAGATACATTTTAACTTCCTAAATGCATATCATATTCCTGTCATATGCATCATACGAAATTTATAGATTATACCTTGGAAAACGAAGGCAATATATAGTGAATTCACCCTGGAATCTTTCAGTTTTTATATGACTTATCATATAGGGACAATAGGAGCTACAATCTGGAACCCTAATGCACAGAATAAGATTATCAACGATATAAGCGTATAAGTATAAGTCTGATGATAAGTCTTGTAATATCTTGAATATCAAGAAAACGAGATGTCCCTGTTCGGAATTTGTTTTATTTTGTATTATTTGAAATTGTCTGCTTGTCCTGGTCATATACGCGTAATGGGCTATGATCATATTGGCGTGTTTTAACTGGCTTGTTCTCTTTTCTCCACATAGTAGTTTGTACTGAGTGAATATTCATATATTAGTAGCTATAATAAAGGCTCAAATAGAAAGTCTAAGTAATGTCTGTGTCTGTAACAAACAGAAATCTTCGCCATGTTCAATAGACGCCACGGTAAATGTCGCGATGGTCGCTGCATGTGTGTTTCTGGCGTTCAAGCGACTGACGCGTGCGCATCAATTCGCTTTGGACGCGCGACTGAAGGGACTGCCTAGTGTGTTTCAGCCTTTATAAAAAAGACATACTCTGAAAATAAATTTTAGGACGGCTGTTATGAGCGATAAAACCATAAAGATTACAAAACCAAAGATAATACAATAAAATACAAATAAAATACAATAGCTGCACTATGTATGTCGGGCAAAATTATTGGAATTATTGTTCACAGTCACTGCAACTCGCTATAGCGGCATGTTAAAAACATGTAGCTCTATTTATACTTTGACAAACCTTCACTTTTATTCCCACTGCTTTTTTCACATAACTTCGCATATTCTGAAGAGAAAATTGTGCCAATATATAACCATAGGTCACGCAGAAACATGTTTCATTTTTTTGTAGTAATACAAGCGCGACGTATGTGAATACATTCCTTGAAACTTGATTCCTGTGCAGTGTTTGTCGCGATCTCGCGCGACTTCCACGTATAAAAAAAAAGGAAAAAAAGGTTGTCTTATTCATAGCAGTTTAATAAATAACACTGTGATGAATTTAGTGCTCAGTTACCGTGGAGAGTCTGCTTCAAGTTCATGTTTCAAGTTAGACAGGTCATCATGAGTGATAAGTCATAAAATGAGTACTTTCACATTGACACACATAAGCTCCATACTTTTGTCGTACATCCTTATAAGTATTGCTGATAACCTGATAACTATTGCTGGTGGAAGTGTTGTATTGTACAACAAAATGAAGCATCTTGTCTCCTTGACAAGTCTATGCAAATTCGAGTACAAAAAGCGATACACCAATAACAGGTGGCTACAGCAATAAAGCTAAATGAACAAATATTGTGCGTGAAACTAGTCTCATGAATTTTTTCCAGAAGCATTGGAAAAAGTTCAATAAAGAAAAGCAAATGAAGTTAATTCATGTAGTTTGTTATTTAATCTAAAAGCATGAAGAAAAGATAAATTATCTCTTCATGTTTCTGAAATTGTTACGGAGAAAAGCGGCACTTGTATAGTGCCAACTATTGTGATTATTGAATATATAACATATATTTTATCAAAGCTGCAATCACTGAATTCAAACAGTTTTTACTAACTCAGAATATATAATTTTCTGTCGACAAACCTCCTCACCTACAACATTGGCATATTTTTGCCTTATTCTGATGTAATGCGTTTCAAAGTACAGACGTTCAACATTGTTAAACCAATATTGTTAGACAATGATTGCGTTCAAACTTCAAAAACATGGAATTGGCATCTCGAATGAACTTCTTTGATCGTAGCTGTGATTCTCCTCCGGGAGAAGATAATGATCGTATGATCACACACATACAAAATACATTGGAAAGTTTCGAGTCATCTTTCCCCAATAGTGCAATTATTATTGCCGGTGATTTCAATAAATTAAAATTGAAGCGCAGCACCGTAAAATTATTCCAGCTAAAGCCAATGGTCAGTTTCCCAACCCGAGGACCTAATACTCTTGATTAGATTTTTTTAAAACATAAATAACTATTATAACCTACCGACTAGTGCTCCAACGTTCCCTCGAGGTATATAAGAATGATCGTCCATGGATGAGTAGACATCTAAAGACACTGATCTCTAGACGTCAAGACATGTTATCTACAGATTTAGATAACGATGAAAAAATTTTATGTGATAAAATCAACGAATCCTTTATAAATGTGATGCAAGAATATTGTACGCTATTTCCTGATGTGTATGTGTGATCGAAGTCGATGAAATCGAGGTTGTTGAAAAGTTAAGAAAAATTAGTCACTCAAAGGCCGGCGGTCCCGATGGCGGATACAGAAAGACTATACAGATATTCTCACGTTAACAATTACACTAATTTTAAATGTCTTTCGAAAACTATCAAGTTCCTGGGATGTGGAAAATTGCCGATGTCGTCCCACTGCCCAAAGCATCAATTATCAAAAATTTTACACAGGATTTGAGACCGATCTCACTTACTTCCACTCTATCCAAAATTGCAGAAGAATTTGTTATTGAAAAAGTTATAAAACCAGTCATGTTAAGATGCATGGATAAGCATCAATATGGTTTTATCCCTAAATCATCAAAAAAACTATCCATGCTCTCATATCGATAATTCATCATTGGCTACAAATGACTGACGGAAAAGCCGTCGCAGTTTGATCTGAGTTTAAAAAAGCATTTGATATGATAGATCATAATCTCCTAATTGCCAAGCTTTTAAGTCTTGGGATTAAACTTTCAACCATCAACTGGCTTATTGATTTTCTTAGAGACAGGAAACAAAGAGTAAAACTCAATCAGTGTGTGTCCGACTGGAAAAATGTCCCTGCAGGAGTGCCTCAAGAAACCCGACTAGGACCATGGCTATTTTTAGCCATGATCAACGACTTAGAAATATCTGAAAAACAGAATCACTAATGTGGAAATTTGCAGATGACACCACTCTTCAGAACTAATTTCAAATGATCGGGAAACTTATCTAAAAGAAGAAATCAACCACATTGCTAAGTGGTCAATAGAAAATAAACTCACCCTTAATCCAAAGAAATGTAAAAAAATGATCATATGTTTCAGAAAAACTACTCCAACGTTTGATGAAATCTTAATCGATGATCAACCTTTCAAAAGAGTTCAAAATGTTAAAATATTGGGACTCACAATAAGAAGTGATTTGAAATGGAACGACCACATAAATGTTATCACTAAAAAAGCAGCAAAACGTCTATACTTCATTAAGCAGTTGAAACAGGCTGATGTAGATAAAAAGACCTAGTTTTATTTTTACTGCGCTATAATAAGATCAATTCTTGAGTACTATTGCCAAGTATTTCACTCTGCTCTACCAAAATATCTATCTGATGATTTAGAGCGTATACAAAAGGGAGCCATGGGCATCATATTTCCTGGAGCACATTATAAAGATGCATTAACATCAGCTGTTATTCCGACCCTATTCGACAGACGTGAGTCTCTCAGTAGGAGATTCTTTAATGATATAGTGAAGGATAAGAATGACAAACTTTACAATTTATTACCTCAAAGAACTGGTGGCATTTATAATCAGCTAAGGACAAATAAAACATTTTATGCAACTAAATATTGCACAAATCGTTTTAAAAACTCTTGTAATCAAATTTCTCAAGCGAACATATGAAAGTTTTAAAATTAGAAAGTATTACATTTAGTAGTTATACACGTCTACACATAAAAAATAGTCATCATAAACGCTTAAGAGTTATATTTAACTTGTATTGTGCAGTGGCCTGTACAACATTTACAAACAATGTAGAGCAGAGTTGATATTCCTTGGATTTCGAACGGGACCGAATGTCTGTGAAGTAAATACTCCTGCTTTAACATGTCATCAGGAAACAAAGCAATAATATAAAACACAAATTCCTGAAAAAGCTCTTTCTATGAAAATCACTAAAATTTGCAAGTATCATATGTAATTGTAACAAAGGCATTTATCATAAAAAACCTTGATAAATTTTTTCCAGGAAGATAGATATTTTCCAAGAAGACTTATGCAAAATTTAATAAATATTTATAGTCAACGACAACATGTTATCATTTGAATACTTCAGCCATGTTAAGGACACTAGCATTTCATTCCATCTGATCGGCTCAGCTCTCCCTTCCTTGATAAAATTCACCTATCTGCCACGCTGGGTTTTCCTTACAAGGCCTTGGCACTGCATAAAACATTCCTCCAAAATTTTTGTACACGAAAGTCTTGCTTTGAGAGCCGCACGGATAAGTTATTTCTGGTACATGGTACGTCTCAGTTCTCATTTCCAAAAACCGTGACCAGAATTTCTTCATTTTCCATGGATAGCTGCCATGCAGACCTAAAAAACTGGCACAAATATCACCCGTCTTTACTATAGAAGTGTAGTCCACAACGTCATTAATCACCCTTGGGTCTCCGAAGTACGTTACCCCTGGAATATTGTTAATCCACATAATCATCGCCTGGTCACCGTACGGGTGGCACATGAGAGATGAATTTCGTTCGCGGAGAAAATGTTGAGCCAGATCATTGCTAACGATTACAAAGCCTTCGTCAACTCTGATGCCGCCTAAAAAACCACAATTACAAGGTTTAATTTCGTTGTCACATTACTTTGCAATGTTTAGAAAGGAATTAAAGGATCATTCCCAACGTATAATATAGAGTATTATAAAAAGGGAGGAACAGTCAAAACTCCTGTAAGCTAACACCCTTGGGACCAAGACCTTGTATATGCTTACGGGAGATGACCACTTGGAGAGGCAATAAAGTATTGGCAAGGACCCAAAAACAGTGTCAGCGCGCAAGAGGTGTCCGTAAGTGAAAGTTTGGGTGTGGTCTTTTTCACCAGATGACACTTGACTAATGAAGCATAATAACATCTATCAATGACAACTTACCCGGTGGCGAACAATGTACATAACCCCAGTATAGTTTTTTTTGTGAACGATATGGTAACTCACGCACAAGTCTATCCATGCACACAAAATAATCATCGTCGACGCGCAAAAAATATTCAAACTTGTAACGAGAATTTGCCCAGTTTAGCATCCACAGATATCGGAGAGCAAAATTAATACCTCCAGGACTTTGTGCTAGGATCAAATCCCTGTGAATCGATTGCTCTTTCATGAGTGGTGCGCGAATTCTCGGTGGCAAAAGGTTGCCATACATGTCCCGAGCATCTGTGAAAAACAGGCAAGGTATGCTGTTTTTTCGACATTGTTTCAACCATGTTGTTCTGATCGCATTCCTACGCTCTTTTCTCCGTGGTGCACTCATGATACCAACGAAAATAATTACCTTCTTCTTAATACGACTTTTCACTTTTTCTTGGAAGGAAATGCTAGGCGAAAGCGTGATGCTTCTTTTTTTTAAGGCAGTATTTTCTTCATTCAGTAGAATATAGAAAATTGTTATAATAACAAATATGACTGCAAAAGTAAACCAAATAAACCATCTTGATTGCTGCTTCTCCATTATTTCTCAAAACTATGGTTGTTTTCATCCCAACGATGCTGCTACCCACCATGTTAAAAAAAAAGTTAACTAAGTTATATATACGGGAATTTCCACCTCTAATTATTTACTTTACAATTATATTTTGGATTGCATATGAGAAGGTAAACCTGAGAAAAGTGTGTAACTTATGATCATAAATTATTCAAATGATCATGACTTATCCTCCTTACGACATATGTTTCTTTCCACGAAATTACTCCTATCGTAAATTCAAAGGCCATCGAGGTCGATAAAAGGGAGGTAAACATTAGTTATGCATAATTATTTGCAAGGTGAATAATAAAAAGTGTTATAAATTTAATCGTGTTCAATGTTAAGGCTGAAACACACTAGGCAGCCGCTTTAGTCACGCGTCTAAAACCACCGCTTTGCGTGGTTACTAAGCTAGTAGCGTAGTCGTGTCATCTAGTCGCTTTGAAAGTTCAACAAGTTGAACTTTTGACATTGGTCGCTTCAGTCGCTTTACACTGATCGGCCAATAGATACATTTTAACTTCCTAAATGCATATCATATTCCTGTCATATGCATCATACGAAATTTATAGATTATACCTTGGAAAACGAAGGCAATATATAGTGAATTCACCCTGGAATCTTTCAGTTTTTATATGACTTATCATATAGGGACAATAGGAGCTACAAACTGGAACCCTAATGCACAACCTAAATGCACAGAATAAGATTATCAACGATATACGCGTATAAGTATAAGTCTGATGATAAGTCTTGTAATATCTTGAATATCAAGAAAACGAGATGTCCCTGTTCGGAATTTGTTTTATTTTGTATTATTTGAAATTGTCTGCTTGTCCTGGTCATATACGCGTAATGGGCTATGATCATATTGGCGTGTTTTAACTGGCTTGTTCTCTTTTCTCCACATAGTAGTTTGTACTGAGTGAATATTCATATATTAGTAGCTATAATAAAGGCTCAAATAGAAAGTCTAAGTGATGTCTGTGTCTGTAACAAACAGAAATCTTCGCCATGTTCAATAGACGCCACGGTAAATGTCGCGATGGTCGCTGCAGGTGTGTTTCTGGCGTTCAAGCGACTGAAGCGTGCGCATCAATTCGCTTTGGACGCGCGACTGAAGGGACTGCCTAGTGTGTTTCAGCCTTTATAAAAAAGACATACTCTGAAAATAAATTTTAGGACGGCTGTTATGAGCGATAAAACCATAAAGATTACAAAACCAGACAAAGATAATACAATAAAATACAAATAAAATACAATAGCTGCACTATGTATGTCGGGCAAATTATTGGAGTTATTGTTCACAGTCACTGCAACTCGCTATAGCGGCATGTTAAAAACATGTAGGTCTATTTATACTTTGACAAACCTTCACTTTTATTCCCACTGCTTTTTTCACATAACTTCGCATATTCTGAAGAGAAAATTGTGCCAATATATAACCATAGGTCACGCAGAAACATGTTTCATTTTTTTGTAGTTATACAAGCGACGTATGTGAATACATTCCTTGAAACTTGATTCCTGTGCAGTGTTTGTCGCGATCTCGCGCGACTTCCACGTATAAAAAAAAAGGAAAAAAAGGTTGTCTTATTCATAGCAGTTTAATAAATAACACTGTGATGAATTTAGTGCTCAGTTACCGTGGAGAGTCTGCTTCAAGTTCATGTTTCAAGTTAGACAGGTCATCATGAGTGATAAGTCATAAAATGAGTACTTTCACATTGACACACATAAGCTCAACACTTTTGTCGTACATCCTTATAACTATTGCTGATAACCTGATAACTATTGCTGGTGGAAGTGTTGTATTGTACAAAAAAATGAAGCATCTTGTCTCCTTGACAAGTCTATGCAAATTCGAGTACAAAAAGCGATACACCAATAACAGGTGGCTACAGCAATAAAGCTAAATGAACAAATATTGTGCGTGAAACTAGTCTCATGAATTTTTTCCAGAAGCATTGGAAAAAGTTCAATAAAGAAAAGCAAATGAAGTTAATTCATGCAGTTTGTTATTTAATCTAAAAGCATGAAGAAAAGATAAATTATCTCTTCATGTTTCTGAAATTGTTACGGAGAAAAGCGGCACTTGTATAGTGCCAACTATTGTGATTATTGAATATATAACATATATTTTATCAAAGCTGCTATCACTGCATTCAAACAGTTTTTACTAACTCAGAATATATAATTTTCTGTCGACAAACCTCCTCACCTACAACATTGGCATATTTTTTCCTTATTCTGATGTAATGCGTTTCAAAGTACAGACGTTCAACATTGTTAAACCAATATTGTTAGACAATGATTGCGTTCAAACTTCAAAAACATGGAATTGGCATCTCGAATGAACTTCTTTGATCGTAGCTGTGATTCTCCTCCGGGAGAAGATAATGATCGTATGATCACACACATACAAAATACATTGGAAAGTTTCGAGTCATCTTTCCCCAATAGTGCAATTATTATTGCCGATGATTTCAATAAATTAAAATTGAAGCGGAGCACCGTAAAATTATTCCAGCTAAAGCCAATGGTCAGTTTCCCAACCAGAGGACCTAATACTCTTGATCAGAATTTTTTAAAACATAAATAAGTATTATGCCTTACCGACTAGTGCCCCAACGTTCCCTCAAGGTTTATAATAGGGAGTTTTAGCAAGAGTACGACTAAGAGAACGAGTACGAAATTTGACCGTGTAAAATGATCGGGGACGCGCCTGTTAGCTTTCTGGCAGCGGCAGAAGCTTTACATACTAATCGCTAATAAGTACAATATGTTTTTTGTATAAAGATTTATAACACAAATCAAGACAATACGGTGGCCCACAATGCAACGTCAATTTCAAATCATCACACTAAAATTAAATTCATACCAAATTGAAATTCATCACGCCATATTGAAATTCATCACGCCAAATTGAAAATTTCAATTCGTGCCAGGCCCATTCGTGGTCAGTACTTCATGTTGCTTATAATTTTATTGTTTTTTTTCAAAATGGCAAATTGTCATTCTTGTAATGCTCAAGTCGCACTTCGGGATAAATATTGTAGTCAGTGCGGAATTAAATTGTGTTGTGAGGTTGTAGCAATCAAGTACTACAACTTAGTGGACCAGGTTGTATGAGCGGATATCGGAGAATGTGGCATATTCTTAGCAGGGAAGGATTTATGATACTGAGGCAAAAAGTTCAAGAGTTGTTAAAGGAATTAGATCCTGAGGGTTGCGAAGCAAGACGAGCTCATTGTTTAAGGCGGAGAGTTTATGTAAATCCGGGTCCAAATGTTTGTTGGCACTTGGATGGATATGATAAACTGAAACCGTTTGGTTGCCCCAATCATGGGTGTATCGATGGTTTCAGTCGTAAAATGTAATGGCTGCATTTGACTAAGTCAAACAATAATCCACAAGCGATACTTAAAATTTTCTTAAACTTAGTCATGTCGTGCCATGGCTGCCCTAAAAAGTTATGAACTGACCTGGGAACCGAAAATGGCCTTGTTGCAGCTGCACAATGTTACTTCACAAATAATGACCAGTCTCATGTGTATGGTACATCTCAACACAATCAAAGAATTGAAGGGTGGTGGTCTTACTTTAGAAGAAGCCGAGCAAACTTTTGATTCCAACAAGACTTGATGGATCAGGAAGTTGTTTCAACTGGAAATGGAATGCCTATGATTTTGTTTTTCAAGTCTTATTCAACAAGACTTGAATCATGTAAAAGATCATTGGAATACACATTATATAAGAAGATCAAGGTTTGAGACCATGCCAGGAAGGCTGAATGAGTTATATTACCTTCCTGAGAGGCATGATTCAGAAGATTTTCTTCAACCTGTAAATCAGCATCAGTGTGACCAGGTTCTACAGACCAATTATCTTGATAAAAACAAAAGTGAATACAAAGAGTACTTTGTACATGTCATGGATCAAGCAGGCTTAGAGCTGCCTTTAGATTGGAGACGAGCCTTGGATCTTTACAATGAATTAATTTACATAGCAGAAGACCATTGATTTTATACCTGTTTGAGAGGATTGCCTTTTCAAGGTCTGCATTTGATGACAGAATAATGCAAAATGACTGTTATTACAAAAAAGCTGAAAATGAGCATTTCATTTTACAAAAATTGTTTTTTGATTGTTAAGTTAACATGGTTATTTAACATCAGTAAACCTAAAGTTTGTGGAATCTTTCTGATAATAACATTGTATATAATTTTCTGTTTACTATGTCTGAATAACTGTGCTGACATCTTATAAATTTACGATACTTTAAAGTAACAGCCAAAAGATATGCTGTGAATTGAAACCAACATCAACTAATGTGTTATGTAAATTAAACCATACTCTTATAGTCTGTGTCAATTATACAGTTTCAAATGCTTCTCTTGTTTACAACTTAGTGTTGGAAAATTAAGGAGTTGCTAAAACACCACTTTTACATATTGCTAGCAAAAAGAGATGCTGAAAATCACCAGTTTTGCTCATGTGTGCAACATGGATTGTTATGGTACGCCACAAGCTCCAACAATAGGAAAGTAGGTAGTATGATTAGGATTCCTTAATAGGCAACCATGATCAAATCTGACAGTTATTTTTAAAACATCACCATTTAATGATCGATGTTTTTGGCCTGTAAGCCAACCTAAGATACCTGAAGGTGTCAGATTTGCCATTATGGAATGAGTGCTTTAATCTACTTCTTCATCATCATCAGCATACTGATCAGTTTTAGCGGGGGTGGTATCATTGCCGTGAAATTTCCTCTTTGTATCCAGATATGTGATTATCTTCCATTGCCATGAAATTTCCTCTTTGTATCCAGATATGTGATTATCTTCCAGTGCCATGAGGAAATCTTGAAAGTTATCCATGATGGTTTCTTCAAGCATTCTTCTTGAAGTACCATCATCAGAATAATCAGGGCACAGCAGAGAAAAAAGATAATTTGCATCTACATCGTGAGTTTCTTTCCCATTCACCAAAACATTTTTGGCTACTTCTTCATTTTCTTTAACTGCTTGCAGTACACCGGAAACTTTTAGCCCTTTAGCAAACTCTTTGACAAAAAGAATTTGTTTGCCAATTATGCTCACCATTACAGTTCCTATTATGTCATCAGTGTGCAAGCCATCTATAATGCCAGTGTACCCACTCTCAATAATGAAATCTGTGAGTATGAACATCTTTCTTTATACTTTCCAAGAGCTCACGATCAGCTTCAGTAAAGTGCTCTTCTAACACTAAATTACTCATATCAATATTAAGATTAAGCATCAAGTTGTAAGCACTTTCATCCAAAATGCATGGTGGAGGACCTCCTTGAGCAATGGAAGTAGCAGGAAATTGACCACAAGCTCTAAAGTTTCCATTCTGAATATTGTACACAGAGTCAATTAGTGTTCCATTGCAAAACATTGTCGAACTCATTTGCGAGATTGCTTCAGATAAAAATTCTTTCGACATGGCACCCGAGGCAATGCCATCTTCTCCCATGTATTTAACTTGAAGTACTTGTTGGGGTCAGATCTTTTGCATTCTCGCTGCCATAATGATAAAGATCAAAGAATTGAAGAACTGCGTCACACAACAAGGAAAAACTGTTCATTGTAGTCTACGTTTTTCTCAATGCCTTTCATAAATGTGGAAAGATCGACGTTGTCAACTTTATATGAATTGGGAATGTCTCTCTTGGTGCTGGTGATTCCTCATCAAGTTCAAGCTGTAACTTTTTGACTAGGTTCTCATCACTCAAAACTTGAGAATTAACTTGTGAGAAATCTTCACAGAAGTGAAGATTTTCATTAAAAAATTCCTCATCTTCATTATCAGATGACTTGCTTCGAAATCTCTTCCTGGATGTAGAGGCTTTTTCTCTATAATCTTCCTCTTCCTGTAAAATAAAATCAGTTTTTGTGCATAAATACAAAGTGATCTTGTTATAATCTCTTCCCAGTTCTTCTTTGTATTGTTTTAAAGTAAAAAACTGCTTCTTTTATCCAGGAAGGAAAAGAGCTTCTTTTCCATCTTCGAAAAGGAGCATGTATTCTTCATCATCATCATAGAGATTGCTATGAAATGCTTTCCACTTTATTGTTGTATTTTTCAAAATTTCTTTGTAAGGTGCTTCATGTGACACATTCAGTGCCATTTGTTTTCCACATTTTGGTTTTATGCTTCTTTCTTTTTTATTGAATTCAAACAGACCTATAAACACCTTAACAGTCTTGTCAGAGCTTTTCTCCTTTCGTCCCTTCCCTTTTGAAAGAGTAGATTTCCATTGAGACCCTTTAGTTCTTTGGTATTCATTAAATGTTTTTATTGATTTCTTTCTGTGAGTGGATGCATTGTTTAGCTCTTCATCAACAAATTATTCAGATTATAATTCATCAAAATGTGAAAAAGATATTGACTAGTTCAGCTATCATAAAAACACCTGCTAATGTTGGCTATATTCCAAAGAGCTTGTATCCTAATGTTGTGACCAATCTATCAAATTTAACACTCAAAATTCAAGTCTCATAAACTGTATAAATGCAAGATGCTTTTAACCACATAACGATTGGCAATTTTAAAGGTCACAATTTATAGTATGTATTTGTGTTATCTTCAATAATATTTTTCCTGAATTGAACCAGCACTTTAATGCTATGAAGGTAAACAGGAATGTTATTAAATTACAGCACATGTCACCAGGCTTCATATAAATGACAAAATGAGCAATATCAAGCATCTCATGTATTGTTTTGCTTTATAAATGATAAAAATGAGCTTTTCATATTCATTTAGTGAGTTTAAACTTCAAAATCAAAAATTATCTCAGTTCACCTGATTTTATCTTTTGAGATTTGGTGATTTGACCAAATTCATCTGCATTAGATTGAGTTGGAGAACACAGAATAATAGGAAAAACAAATTTAAAATAATCTCAAATTCACATACTCATGCTATAGCATTCTTTTTTTGTCCTTGAACGAATTGTACGTGGTTGTAAGACAATGTCAGCGAGTTACGTGCACTAATCTTAAAGAAGTGGCTCTATCTCAATTGAGAGTCTCGCTTATGAGTTGAAAGAGCTACCGGACACAAAATAAGCCAATACAAAATGCAATTGCTCTTGTGTGAAAATGGATTTGTTACGCGGCTAAGTTGTTGGCTGTTTTTCGTCAGCAAAACTTGGGATGTTTACAGCACTGACGAATGTAGTGCACCGTCCATAAAGCTTTTATTCTAAAAGCCTTTGCCATAGAAGATACATATGTGATTAAAAACACAAGGTAAAACTTTGCTGATCAACAACATCTCGCCCATAATTGTCTTTGAGAAACTAAGCCGCCATATTTAACTGTTTTTTGACAAGTTTACTATGCTCCATAGCATAGTTAACTTTAACTACCTTTTATTACCTTTAACTACCTTTAATAACTGCAGTTAGCGCTAATTACTTTATTATACAATCGACTTAACAGCATGGTTAAATGTAACTACTTTTTAAATGCAAAAAGTGCAGTTAAAAAGTAGTTAAGAGCTTTATACAACCGGCCCCAGAAGTTTAGTCTCATCAGTCAAATGGAAGAAGTTCAAATATGTCATTATTAAAGCCACATAGTTCTTGCTAGTATTCAAGTAATAAATTCCATACACAGAATGTCATTCGCAAGCAGTTAAAGACATAGTAGCATTATAACAATTGCACTGATATTTATAGTACTCAGCACCCAATATTTTTCCGTCAATTTAAATCTCATCGATATTCGTATCTAAACCTGTGAAAGACTAAGTTTATCAATAGTTTCTGTACAAGCTTACCTTTTCCACAGTTGGGGCAAACCTTGCAATCAACATGAGCATTTAAGCAATGACCACATTGACTGCAAGACATGATGGTCGCCCAATGAAATACGCGCCTTTAATTTATGATTTTTGTATTTTCGCCAGGTTTTTCGCATCAGAAATTGTATCGTGACATGAAGTAATGAATGTTCTTAAACAAAGCCGCTGAGGGCATGCGCGGGCATGATGATGAGTGATGAATTTGAATTTGGCGTGATGAATTTGAATTCAGCGTGATGAATTTGAATTTAGTGTGATGAATTTAATTTTAGTGTAATGATTTGAAATTGACTTTGCCCTTGTGGGCCAACGTAAGACAAAGTATATAGCACAGTGCCCACATTGTATTATATGTTCATTTGGCTTTTACAAAATATGCTTTATTTATATTAATTGTCGTCCAAGCGGCATCTCTGACACAAAACCTGTGGTCATTTTTATAACAAATGTTGCTTCAAACACGCATTGCGAAATACAGTAGTAATTCAATGCGTAATGCAACGTTTGCGTCCTGCACATATTTTACACACTTCCTCTTTTAATATTTTGCACGTTATCATTCTATATGATTGTCCTACTTTCTCAGCAGACTGGTGTGTCCTGCTTCAACTACGTAAAAAAAATTAAACATTGTACAATGAACATTGTATCTGTATTTGTTCATTGTACAATGAACATTGTAAGCTACTATTTACATCCTAGGAAATGGCCTATCCTCATTATGCCGAATATTCGCGCACTTTTCATTCTTACGTATATGTACTTGCGTTTTTCAAGTGCTTTATCGGTCTCGCATTAACTGCACCTAGATAGCCTATCCTTAATGTTCAATATTCGCACACTTGTCATTTTTGCGTACATGTACTTGAGTAGAACAAATTTCGCGTTTCATACTCGGTATATGGCGCAGACAATTCTTCAGCGTGAATCTGCAGAATGCTCAAACAAACAAGCAAACTTCCTTAGAGAAAAACTCGCAAGTGTGCAAATTCTGGAAAATTATCAACCAAGCTGCTTAAACGTGATCCCACATGTTACACTACAGTTGGGTAGAAGCATAAGGAAAAAACACGCGTTTTTTTCGTGTCATGAAGTGCTTATGAGATCTCAGTTAAAGTTCACGATGTAAACAAATGCAAGGCAATGTGCCATTTTGAAGCTTCAGCTACAGTTCAAGTGCACAACACAGATGATAAAGATGGCAAATCCTTATCCAAAAGCAGAAGATATAAAGATTATGCTTGTGAATGAACTCACGCTTCTTAGAAATAGCATTTTTAAATTCATGGAGAGAACTATACTTCGTTGAGTTACCTTTCAAGAAGAATCTATTTTCAAACAGTTTTTTCAAAACAGTTCTGAGAGAGCATAACTATTTCGTAACAACAAGAAGCTGAAAGCTGACCAAGCCACTTGAAAAATACTGTTCACATTGTTCAGGAAGTTTTTTTTATACTAGCCGCCTTTTCTTTGCTAAATAATTAAATGGACAGTTGAAGTGAAGAAACTCTGGTATAAAACCGATATAAGAGATCCAAAAATTTTATTTGACTAAAAGACCAAAATCGGATAAATTAACAGGTTTTACCATCTAAAACAACGATGAAAAAAAGTATAACTGTCGACTAACTGCAATTAAGCATTGACAGATATTGGAGAAATTTGTTGTTTACATAAAACATGGATAAAGCTGTTTTGCATATTATTGCTCTCATCAGTCTTCGATGGTCCTTGGAAAACACTACATCTCAACAGTAAAACTTCTTCTGAAATAAAATTTCCTTGATTCTTGCTTAAATTGTTCCTCTAATAATAGCAACTTATTTCAATGCTTCGACCGTTGTTAATTTATATGTAAGCTATGTTGATTCTATCACATCTATGTTTCAAATCAAATGTGTGGTAAGTTTCTTCGGAGTATGTTTCTTGTTGGATTTGACACCACAAAATTTTCAGTTTCTATTTTGGTGTATTTTCTAGTGATTTTAATTAAGTAATTTGATGTGCACTGAGAAAGGTCACAATTTACCTCGATATATTTTCTACTTAAATATTAAATTCTTCCTACTTATACATCTTTATTCGTTGCAACTAATCCATTTTTGCCGCTTCTTCCAGGGTAAAAGTCGGCGATAGTCCAAACAGGTTTTTCCCTACATGGTTTGGGTTTCGCCCTGTAAATGCCATTAAATTTCCTGTAGTCATAAGACGTCCTACTCATGTTACCACACGGATATGTCACAGGGGGTATGAGGTATGATGCTGTTTTTTTAGAATTCTGGTAATGCTTCCAGAATTGACTCATTCCCAGGGGATACGCTCCATGCAATGCAAGGAAATTTTCGCAAATGTTTTCATTTTGAAGAATGTTGTTGACTGATACCACTGCATGGTGTACCCTAGAGTCTCCGAAGTATGTCACCCCTGGGATACTGTTGATCCACATGACTATCGCCTGCGTACCAAAGGGATGGCACATTAACGACGTATATTGCTCACGGAGGAACTGCTGGGCTAGATCATTACTGACGATGACAAATCCTTCATCTATTCTCACGGCACCTGTAAAGTTATCATCAAACTTTTAGAATACCTGCACGTATACAAGTATACATGTGCATGTAGGATTACAAGAAACTTCATGGTTCGTTTGTTATAAGCTGACCAACCTGGAGGAGAATTACAATGCATGTAACCCCAATACAGTTTCCTCTTTTGACGAAATGGTAATTCACGTAAAAGTCTATCCATACAAATGAAATAATCATCGTCAACTCGTAGAAAGTAGTCAAACTTGTATCTTGTGCTTGCCCAGTTAAGCATCCACAGATAACGCCGTGCAAAGTTTATACCTCCTGGACTTTGTGCCAAGATCAAATCTCCATGAAGTCCGTTCTCCTGCTCCAACATTACGCGGATTTTTGCTGGTAACAATTTGCCATACATATCCTGCGCATCTGTGAAAAATAAGCAAGGAATCCCATTTAATCGACATTGTTTCAACCATGTTGTTCTCACCGCGTTCCTCCTTTCGATCCTTCGTGGTGCACTCATAATTGCAACAAACAACGTAAGAATTTCTCTGCTTTTTACGTCATTAAATGATCCTGGCGAATGGTTATTTTGGTTCCCAATCTTGAACAAACTACAAAAATAATCCATATTTAATACGAAGTAGGAGACTAAGATAATAACTGCTATCTTCACAAGTAGCCGCCATGACAACACGTTCAAACATACGCATTGTTTATTATAATTTTTCTGATTCATCTTTTATCTTGTTTCGTGGGCTGAATATCTACGATGAGTTGAATTTCTCTGTTGAACTATTATAAAGTATGAAATTTGATCTTTTATGTTTGGCAAAGAAGGCAAGTAAGCTCATGTAAACACCACGGTAAAACATTCAAAATTGCTTGGAAACACTCGCACTTCGTGTTCGTGTTCGTGTTCGTGCTTGCCACACAATTTCTCGTTTCTCGCAAAATTTCCCGCGTGTTTATATAGCTTTGTAGAAACTGGAAAATATTTCTTAAATATTAACCCATGCACTTCACAAATGTTGATACATTATGCTTGTATCAACAAGAATTTGTTGACTCATTATTTTCCCCGTAATGCAAGAAACTCACGTTCTTTTTCTTGAATTTGAACCATCAACTGTTGCTCGGTCGAGTCCACCAATGACCCAAATTGGATTTTTTCGACATGGTCTCGGGATGGCTCTATATTTACCTAAAAAGCTTCCATAGTTCAATGCTCTATCGTCCTTGTCGCTGCATGGAAATGTTATCGGAGGTGTCATGTAGAGTTTATTCTTTGCTGCGTTACGGTAGTGCTCCCAGAACAACTTCATTTTTGTTGGAAGTGCACCGTGCAACGCTATGTATTTTGCACAAATGTCATTGAATTTGAGAAAGTGGCGCGTTGAAATGACGTCATTGTGTATCCTTGAGTCACCAAAGTATGTTACCTCTGGGATATTATTTATCCACATTGCCAACGCTTGATCTTCGTATGGATGGCACATGAGGGTTTTGTTTTGTTCACGCAGAAAATATTGCGCAAGATCATTGCTCACGATGACAAATCCTTCGTCAACTCGGATGCCACCTATGAAAAATTAATTAATATAGTATTTAGTATCGACTGAGGTATGAAAAAAGGACTTGGCATGAACTTGACTTTACCTGGTGGATTGCAATTAATGTGACCCCAGTACAATTTTTTGCGCGGCCGTTGTGGTAACTCTCGCACAAGTCTATCCATGCACACAAAATAATCATCGTCGACGCGCAAAAAATATTGAAACTTGTAACGAGAATTTGCCCAGTTCAGCATCCACAGATATCGGAGAGCAAAATTAATACCTCCAGGACTTTGTGCCAATATCAAGTCACCATGAAGTTTTTGCTCCTGTAGCAATGGAACGAGAATTTTCGTTGGCAGCAACTTTCCATACGTATCCTTTCCACTAGTGAAAAAGAAGCAAGGTATTGCATTTTGTTGACACTGTTTCAGCCATGATGTTCTGAGCGCATTTCTTCTCTCGATATTTTGTGGTGTGCTCACAACAGCGACGAATAGAGTGACAACATCACTATTTCCTACTTCATTACTATCAACTCTTGATTGAAAATCATCCCGAAGTACTTCTTTATCAAAACTGCTGCGATCAATGTCCACGAAGAAATAGAAAATAATTAAAACACTAGCAATGTTCAAAAGCAGAAACATTTCTAAGAATATACGATATTTGTGCATCCGCATTGTGTCAAGAATTTTGGCATTTGTCTTATCAAATCTTCATTTAGTAATATAAATTTGCGATGAACGTAGAAAGGCTGTATATGTCGAGTTGAATCATTCACCGTCACTAGTCGCGTAAACGTATTTTAAAATACACATAATTGCCAATCGAATATACATGTAAGATCAGTGTTTTCTTTGTAAATATTTTGGTGTTCACTCACTGTAAAGTAAATATTGTTATAATGACCTGAAATTTACATAGCACCAAAAATTTGCAGACTGGCTATGAGTGCACTGCAAGATTCAATATATTGTTACTAACGTTAGATCCTTTGATGATCTCAATTATGACAATGAAAATACGATTAATTACGTATTTTTTGTACAACCAAACGGAATCACATAAAGCTGGATGTTTGACTTACTGTAATTAAATGCAAGAATGCAGTTGCATAAGAATATTTATTTGAGCGATTGAAGTTCTTTGAATGTTGTTAAGAGTACAGATACTTCAAAAAGATGCGCGTAAATAATATATTCACAAAAATATCAGGTAATATTGATGTGGTCATACACAATGAAATAGAAGAATATGCCTCTGATCTGGACATTATATTATGATTTTGAGATTGTCCACAAGTAATTCATTTCTGTTTTGTCAACTCTATCTGTCTCTTCCGCGGTAGAATTCTCCAATGCTCCAAGTTGGGGTTTCTCTGCATGGCCTAGGTCTAGCCCTGAACTTGCCACCAAAACTCGTGTAGTTGAACTTCTTATCTATCTCACCGCAAGGAAATGTCTCTGGAGGTACATCATACGTCTTTTTAGGTACTTTTATAAAATGCGCCCAAAATAGTCTCATTTTTGCTGGATAACTGCGGTGGTAAGCTATGTATTTTTCGCAAATGTCATCGTTCTTGAGAATGCTGTTCAATGGAGGCAACGTGTGGTGTACTCTGGGGTCACCAAAGTATGTTACTTCTGGAATATTGTTTATCCACATTGCCAACGCTTGATCTCCGTATGGATGGCACATGAGGGTTTTGTTTTGTTCACGCAGAAAATACTGCGCAAGATCATTGCTCACAATGACAAATCCTTCGTCAACTCGGATGCCACCTGTGGCAAAACAACAATAATTTGCGACAATATTTGAAGGTTGTAATTTTTTGTAGATTAGAATTTTGAAAAGATCTTTTTCTTTATGTAATTTAATATAATGCAAACAAATTTGGATGAACTAGCTTTGAATAAACCAAACGTAACCTCATCGGGTTGGAAGCGACCAAAAAGGGTTGGTGTCTGGAAGGGCACCTGGCCGCAAAAGATTATGATTCAATTATATGTTATGACCACAAAACATGGGCCGAGTATTGCCCAAAGTAGTTCGTGCGTGCTCCCACCTGCCCACGAATGGAATGGCGAGAAGGTGATTCGCTACATGGAACGTACCGGCGATTCATGACCGTAAGAGAAACTTGAAGAAGTGTAAAATCATACCCGGAAGTGACTTTGAGTCAACACGGAATGGTAATGCTTGACATCTGGAATAACAAAAAGCAGAGAAGAAGGTCAGAAAGATGGTATGATTCAAGACATAAAAATATAGAATTAAAGTCAATGCTTAGAAGTATGGTGAACATAGGATTGGTTCGAAAAAAATAAGAGAGCCAGGTAGAGGAATTGTGGAAAGAGTAAAGAGACCATGATAAAAGCATATGAGGAGGTGAAAGGAAGAACGAAATCTTGGTAGGAAGGAGCAAATGGATTCATGGTGGAGTGTGGATGTAATAGTAATACTGAAGAAAAACGAATAAGAAAAGCCATTTTATACCATGAAGAAAAGAGCAATTCAAGGTTGTTGGAATATTTTTAGTGAACGTGTATTTGTAGAAAATGAGCGGAACAGGTGAAACGTTTTAAGTATTTGAGATGAGTGATGGACCGACCGTTGCGAAAAAGCGAAAAAGAATGTACAAGGCAAGAATAAATGCTACTTGGTTGAAATGAAGAGAGATGAAGAATGTTTTGTATGATAGGATTGAAAGCCAGGATTTACACAATTGTCAGGCCACACATGACGTATTTCTCAGACTGTTGGGCATTAAAGAGGAAAGACGAAAATAGAATTGGATATAGAAGAAATGAGAAACAAACAAGACATAAAGCATCAGGAAATAGGGAAATTATTTAGACAAAACAGATCTGAAAATGTTAGAAATGATATTGGTACTTTTTTAAAAGACAGGTTAAAGAATGCGGGACTAAAAGAAGGACAACCGACAATGATAAGAACTAAAGAAAGCAACATCTCCGTTGGTATGGCGATTTATTTAAAAAAGAATGCTCAACAATTAGTGCGCCAAGCATTGGAAGAACACGTAAATAAGGAGAAGTCTAGGGCGACCGTTGCAAGATGGCAAGGTGATTTAAGCGAGAGATTAAATGAACGGGGACTTAAAGATGCACAGGATCGACAAAGTGGAGAAGAGAAATCATGACTAACCCTGTATAGGATAAGTTAAAGGAAGAAGAAAAAAATGCTTGAACTGTTTTTTCTCTGACGGATAAGAAACTTCAAGGCTAGGTGAAGTAAGATTTCAAGTAAAGTGACTTACCCACCTGGTGGTTCGCAATGCACGTAGCCCCAAAACAGCTTGTCACGTGGTCGATATTGCAATTCACGCACAAGTCTATCCATACACACAAAATAGTCATCATCGATGCGCAAGAAATATTGGAAACTATAGCGCTCATTTGCCCAACCCAAAATCCAGAGATATCGGAGTGCAAAATTTATACCTCCTGGACTTTGTGTCAAGATCAAATCTCCATGAAGTGATTGCTCCTGTTGCAATGGCTCCAGGAATGCTGACGTTAGGACCTTTCCTTGCATATCTTGAGAATCAGTGAAGAAGAAACACGGAACGCCATTTTCACTGCATTTCTTGAACCAGCTACTTCGTATTGCATCTCTTCGTGTCGACCAACGTGGAGCGCTTATTATCGCAACGAAAATCGCAACGTCTTTCTTTAAAATTGTTGGTTCAGCTCTGGATTTTTGAGCTCTTGTTGTTGGAATGGAAGCCTTTGTGCTTCGACTTGTTGCTGGCAATGTTTGTAAAGTGTGTTGTTTGCTGTTTGTAGCGTTCCCTGTCGCTTTGGTTTGAACTGTTGGTGTCTCAATTGCCATTTGCGATGGTTCAATGGACGTTTGATCTCTAAATTTGCCATGGAAATTACTCCAGTTATACAGCACGCACAATATTGGGAAAATAACGCAAAAAAATGCCACAAATCTTCGAGATATTTTGCAGCACTTGGAGTCATGCTCTTGCTTGTCCATCCGTCAAATCACAGTGTTGATGATCTTTATCAAATCTTTTTCCCCCAAACTAAGGTAGTAAAGTTCTTTATGTTTAGTGTTTTAGCACGAATAGCATATTAAAACCTATTAGCAGAGATCTTCATAAAGGTAGTTTCCGAAGCTATTTTTTGACGGCTTAGCATTTCAAAGCATTTGAAGGGAAATATGTAGTTTATTTAGCGTGCATAATTTACTAGTTAATCATACAAACGATGCACTAGATAAACGTCTGACAAAGTTCATTTCACACATCAATAAAGAAGCTTTTTGTTTACAAGATAATATCTTGGTTTTGCTTGTTGCCACGTAAACATATTGCCACATATTACTGTATAGATTACCAGCGGAAGTCAATTCGACCACTGAAACATTTTTGGTCACGTGAATTGTCACTGCTGTTGCAATGGAGTCTGAACAAGTTAGTTTGAACCAATGAATACATCAATGACCATTTACTTGATAGCACCCCATGATATAAACTCGCTCATTATACATTTGCATTCAAGAAATGTGGTAAAAATACTTTATTAACTTATGTTTTTTACTTAAATCTTTGCGAAACGTTTAAACAAAAGTGTTCACTACTTGTAAAATCATTTAGTCTAGACAGTTAAACAGAATACACGGCAAAGCTCTATCGATGGCCCATGAATACACGTAATTGTTTCCAAGACTGTCCTGGGTTAATTGTGCACTAATAGAGAACGACTATAAAGACAGCTGCATTTATACCTCATTTACATTATGAATAAACATATTCTTGTACTTCACTAAACTACGCATGCCTCAAGTCAATATAGAAAGTAGTATATGAATCAGGCAGTTATAGTTGGAACAATTTATGCCATTTTAAAATAGAAGATCCATTACCCCGAACCACATCGTTCCAATGTATCTCCTCGCTTCTGTCGCTGTTATTGCGACCAATAGAGAAGCGTCCAACCAAAGATTTCCGCGAGAACGGCCGACTAACACGAAGAAGTGTCACTAAAAGTGTCACGTTGACTAAATTATTGTCGGGTAAGAAAAACGAGAATTTCTCATTGAATTCTGGATTAGGAGAGTCTTTTTGAATCGAGGTTTTTGTATTAAACAATAAATCCCCGATTGATGATATGAGCTTGAGCTCCACATACATGGGTGTTGCTTTGTTATTGACCAGTGGCCCACAACAACGTGTCTTCAATATTTCAATATTCAGTCGTTGAACAGCCGAGCGATGTTGTAATGAGACCAAGAGTTCAGGTTCCTCCGAACTTGAATAACGTGAGCTTACATCGGTCGACATTGAAACGGGACTTAAACTTCGTTCCTCCAAACGATTTCCCAAAGCCAGTCCTTTTGTCGGAGGAAACATCTCTATGTCTATTGATTTCCACTCAAAACCGAGTCTCACATTCTTCAGGGCGAAAATCCCTTCGGCCAATAACGCTCGTTTCAGCATCTTCCCGCCTTCGTATAGGCGAAACCTCAATCGCATCTGTGGGAGTCGTTCTCTTGGGTATATGTAAAAAGCATGAGGCTCTGTAAAGTTCTTTGCTTTAATACGATACGTCTGTCTTTTATCTGGTAGTAAGACCAGGTCAACTTCCATGTTTTCTTTATTCCGAACCATTCCCTCGTTTGTCATCTCGACTTTACTAATTGTTGTCGTCAGTTTGGACATATGAAATGTGTAGTCCAATACGAAGCGCATTTTTGCCACCGTAAAGTCAAAATCATGGTTTGCAATTTGACTGGATAAGGTATAAGTTGATGAAGCTGGACTGATGTTTCTATTCTCATTACGGTTCAGTGTCTCGTAATTTGAACCAAAGGAAAGATCTGGTGAAGGATTGCTGCGTCTCGCGTCTATAGACACCCTGGCAACATCTCTTGAAGGTCGATAGTATTTCGACCCTTGAGTAACGTCTGAAAGAGTACGACTTGCAGTGGGACGAGAGTTGCTCGGACCCGGCCTTTCTGAAATATACTGCTCTGGGAAGCGTTGTGTTACGCTTTTGTATGAAGGAGGCGCATAATTTCGACTTTTCGTCCTTTCTGTTGAGCTCATCTCTGTCGAATTTAAATTCGATACTCCTCTTCTTCTCTCTCGTAGCCCCTCCACTATTTCTCGTTTATTTCCTGCCGAATTTCTTTCTTTTTCAACCTTTAAATTGACAAAGTTTTCATCCTCGCACTTGTTCTCATCTACAACAGTTTATAGACATTCAGTATCAGACGAATCAACGGTCGCATCACGACCACGTGACCACTAGCTCAAAACACAACAGCAGGCGTAGAAAATTGCAGCATAATTTAGCGTTACATACGCTATCGCCATACGCCATCGGAGACAAAGATTATCAAAAGGCATTTTAATAACCTTCTTTGATCTACTTATTCTTCAGGAGTCCGATGAATACAAGTCAACTCAAGAATAATTGGCGGTTTTCCCGGGTGAATCGTTTTATAAACTGATTTTTTTCTAATCTTGCCTCGTGAATTGATTCGGTTGCTGAAAAATTGGTTCGTGCAATTACATGTGTGTTTGCATTTTTTCTCGTTCGGCGGAATACGGGCAACGTATTAATAGTTTTTTTTATCAAAATTAACAAGTCAGGAAGCTATTGTCAGCTTTTTCACAATTTCTTAGCTTTCAGGCTTTTCGTGTTGTGCGAGGATGATGCACAGCATGTGAACTTTTGACTCGTCTTTTTCTTTCCAACAGACGTCTAATAGATAGCTGTGCCGTTATATGCGGTAGGAAATAATGCAAATTAGGAAAAACTGTCAGCATAAATATTTCATACGATTGCATTATGATATTTTTAGCTCGTTAATAATTTAACGAAAGCATTGAAATACTTGTTCGCTGGGGTTTTCATTAATGACTAAGACAAGCGTAAAAACGTGAACTTTAACGGGATGCGGCTTTTATGACCTTGGTTTTGGAATATTTGAGGTGGAAGTTTGGCTAGGTTTGAAAACCTTGTAGTTTGCAATGTGGTCACATTGTTACCAAAGACTAAGAACAATGATGCATAGTAAGCGTGCGATGACACTTGTGGTAGAGTCTTTCAATACCTGTATAACGATCAAAACCAATGAAAATGAAACATGCATCAACGACGTATAATCGTTTTTTTACTCGTCTTCCTCCAAAGTTTATAACCATTTTGAAATGTAACTGTGGAAACATGGAGTGCGTGAAAAACTTGTCCTGAACATCTGTTCTTTGAAATTGAATACGTACGCAATGCGGTAACGGGCCTGTATTGTGTTGTGCATTAACATTGCATAATATGTATTATGAGTTTATTTTTGATGTTTATTCATCGAAACATAACAATGCAAGTCAAGCTGTATTGTTTACTTGCAAAATGAATTTATATTACTCCCCTCAGTGTACACTAAAAAATAGCTACATTTCTTTACATGATTTAAGATAGTTTACATTGAACGTAGTTGACATATCAACAATTGACCGATGGTGTTAATGTCTCCACATGTTCAGTCGCTTGCTTGGCCATTTTAATATCTTCATCAGTCACATTGATCCACGACTCACTTTCAGTTTGCTCCTTGACGGCCGACGTTGTGGAAGTTGAATCGTTCATAGGTTCTGTTTCTTGTTCAGCACTTCAAGGTGAAAAAAGAATTATCTTTAATATGCTATCCATGGACATTATTCATAAAAGCATAAATGATGGCACATTATTCTTAAAAACATGTTTAAAAATAACTTCATTAAAAACTTATGAGAAACATTCACTATTCAAAATAATTCCATAGATTTGTTCCGTAATTTTTCTCATTAAGTAATGTGAACACAGATATATTATATTTCTTTCAAGTAATATACTCAAAAGATTGCTAAACAAACGGTCACATCTAAATCTTGTTCAATCAATTCATTGCAGACGATCTTCTTACCCAGTATTATTACTAATTTCCTCTTCACCGATTTTATTCTGTTCATCCAAAGGTGATCGCTTATCACCACCATTGTCATCATTAGATTTTTCTTTCTTATCTCCTTCTTCTGACCCCTTGTTGTTTCCAAAGTATTCGTGTGCATAAAGCGGCACAAATGACTCAAAGAAACCACAATCCTCGGTGAGATTTGGCAAAAGCCAAAAATGATGTTTACCCAATGTTATCAACCACACGAATGAGAACAAAACGTAACGAACTAGAATAAGTAAACATGTTAAACAGTTGTTACTTAAAGATTAAGATTATTCAACACCGCAAAAGATTATTCAAGTGACGACACGAGATATTGAAAGGCAATATGTCGAATTCTCTTCTTAGACTATGTACAAGTTGTAGACAATAGCCAAATCCAATTGCTATCTCAAATAGTTAAATATTACAAAAATCATATAGCCAATAATTATCAACAAGGAGGCTCTTTACTAAAAAATGCTCTGCTGAGCCTCCAAACAATTTTAACAAGGATAAAGCTGAGAATCCCACCAATACATCCTAGTATAAAATTATCAGTAAGCTAATAACACAAAGTATATTTGGTTGGTTTTAATTTACCAAGAAAACAGACAATAACACAATAGGCTTTGAACCAACTCAAGTAAATAATGACCCAAAAATGTGTGGAACTTACACAATGCAACAAAAATCAAAACACCAAGTAGTATTGCTGCACCAACGCTCAGATACCATGTATATTCTCTCATTTGTTCTGGCCACAGAGGGAACAGACAAATAACTACAGCACCAATCACTAAATGACATAAAACAATTTTACAACATGAAGAAAAAGTAGAAATTGAAACATTATTTACGACAATTCCTATTAGTAGTTTTGAGAAAAAGATGACAATGTGGTAATGGCTTTTTAAATGAAGTAATTGAGGCAAGGAAAAGGAATGTAATGTTACAAGACATGAAATAAGATGGAATGCTAACATGAAAAGAGTACAAAACCAAAACCTGAAAAAACTGATAGAAGAAGATGTTGGAAGATAGAACATTAGACGACGACGTTTGTTCTATGCTGATGTGAAAGCCAAGTTTTAACAAGCATATGCAAATGTGGTACTGGTGATGGCTTGTTAAATGAAGTAATTGAGGGAAGAAAAAGGATTGGATTGCTATGACTTGAAATAAAATGGATGTACCACCATGAAGGGCGGAAAAAATAGATCAGACGAAAATGGATGCAAGGGTAGACAGAACACTACACAACGACGATGACAACGATGATGAGAAAGTTAAGTTTCAACTTACCAACCAATACTCCATATATGATGGTTCTTGGATGAACTGGATCAAATACCCACATGTACACCTGCATAGTAAAATTTTTGACTTTTTGACAAAAAGAACATTTTGTTAATCGTTGAAGCATTTTGAGAGGGAAGACAGGTTTTGGTACAAATGTTTTTCCGGTTGTGACAAATATAATAGTTCGAATAGAATCTTTTCAAAGTTACTCTATGGTAAAAAGGTGTTCTGTCAAATACCTCCTCGCCATCCAAGAATTCTTGAAATTCATGGAGTTCCAGTTTTACTTTAACCTTTCAGAAACAAAGTTGTTCAGAAATTCATGCTTCCATGAACAGGCGAACTATATTAACAGCACGGTATATGAATAAACCTTCACTTTTTTCCCCGCGGATCCTTCAGGCTTGTCACTTGTTTCCTTTGTGTATAAAAATTGATTTGATTGAAAATTGTTGCCATGTTTGTCATAAATATCAACAATCGATGAATGTTCACAATCAGCAAATTCACCTTATTTTTGCTGGATTTTGGAGAATCTTTGCTTCCTTTTTTCGATTCTTCTTTTTCGCTCTTTTTCTTCCTTTTTACTCTTGTAACGCGTTTGAACATGTCTAATTCCAGCAAACTACAGAATGAAACCATGTGTGCTTTCAATCATAAGTAAAAAAGCCACATTTCTCGCGAGTTTACAATTTCAAAGTTCAACCATTTTATTTTGAAGTCCGAATCATTAACTTGTTTAATCGAAGGGCATGATATAATAAAACTGTTATCTAAGCTTTCAGCTTGATGCATAAGGTTCTTCGAGCATCTAAGGAAAGTCGAAGAACGAATAATGTTTCTCTGTTCTACAATACACGAAATTGATTCCAAATCCAATCTCTGACCGACATGTCGGACATAGCCGACTGCAATACGGGTTTAAGGGTTAGGATTACAGATCAATTACGCGTATTTTTGTAGAACACGAAATTATTGCCAAAAAACCCCCCGGATAAAACAGTTGTTTTCTACCAGATCCAAGCCGTGATCCACACTGTACCAAAATGTACTCTTAGTGTAAAAAGTGCTCAAATCATAGTATGCACTGAACTTTTGACATTGCAGACGTAGTTGATTACGTCACAATAAAGCAAATTTAAGTGAGTTGATGCTGTGACATGTAGCGCTATGAACCGTATACGTCGTCTCTACATTTTCGTGAGAGTAGATTTTGAAAATTTACATAAAGAAATAATCTGCCTACTTTTGAAGATACTTTTGAACAGACTTTCTATCCGTGAATAAGATTTCAGTACCGCCTTTACCACTTGCCCATTTAGAATCGAGAAGGCAGTCAATGGCCTTTGCACCTAAATGATGTCAAAGTATGTAAATCTGAGGGTTAGAGGGGGCAGTTTATTACCATATTGAGCGATATAAATGTTTAGACCTTTGCACATGTGCAGTGAGTCGTGCACACCATCACTCACCGCAATCAAGAGAAATAATTTTTGTGACGTGTACAAGTATCGCGTTCATTACGTTACTTATTGTGTTGTATGAGCCGAGAGAAGGTTAGCATCTCCCTCGATAAGGACGAGAAAAGTCTACGGACTTTGAAACTATCAACACATGGTTAAGGCAATGCTACTTACTTCGTAGCATCTAACCAATTTTTTGGACGCGTTCGTACCATGCTATTAATAATCAACATCTTTCCAATAAGATGCGGAAAGCAGATTAGTGATATTTTAAATTAGTGTTTCCGTTAGAACGATGCGCTTAGTTTAATTGATGATATGAAGCCAGGGTAGCTTTATACAGCATTTTGTCAATTCGTTATTTCCATAACATTGACATTTACTGTGGGCCTGTCGTATTTTCTGTTGGCAGCGTGCTTTATAGGAAAACTGCACAACGTTTACCCACAATTACACTATACAAGTGCATGAAAACGACTTAAGTCAATAAGAAACATAGTCAACACAATACGCACCTTTAAAGTATTGCATTTTTTCGCTCTGATAAGTAGACGATTTCGTTTCACAATTAAAACGTAAATACTTAGCAATTTCATTTTGCTCATCATTGGCCTCGTTTTCTTCATCCTCTGATTCGTCGTCCTGTAAAGACAAAAAAACAGGCACCATAAAAACGTTCAGACATGTTTTACAAATTTACATTTTTATCACAATGTTGCGATGCGATTTTATTACTTTACAATTTTAAATATGGAAAATTCTCTTTTAAAAGCAGTAATTACCTCTTTTCTTCTACGTTTTGCACGTCGTTCGGCCATGTCAAAGCGCTACTTTTTCGTGAAATAAGAAAATATAACTTTAATATGTCGCGATGAAATTTTGTTTATTTCATGAAGAACAAATATAACGAACTTTTCCGATCAATAACCGGTATACGCCGATGATTATGTTGACCGCAAGTAAGTAACTGGATAGATGAAAAATTTTTCTGATACGAAAAACTGTCAATAAAAAACCCCTGTTGCATTGCAGAGACTTGATTAATAAGCAATAGGAATTCCCCATTAAACAGCTGGTTTCTTAGACAGTCTTTTGAAATGACTGCTCTCAGATTTTTTCGTGTACAAGGATGATTTCGAGAGCATGCTAATGTGCATATGAATGATAGTTACTTCTAAAATGTAATAACACGACAGCAAGCTGGACTTTCGAAATGGTTGGTTGGGATAGAAAGAAAACAACGAATGGGACGCGGTAACAGTTTGCCGCAGTTATAGCCTCATTATGAGAGGCCAAGACCTCCCTCCATATCTTTTTGGCCAATGAATTTCGTTCTCTCAACCCTAGTTTCTTCAGCCTCTGGAGCCTCACACTCAACCCGTCTTTCCACTTTAAAAACTGCTTCAACTTTGGTTATATTTTTGATAAGCCTGATTGGTTGTGGTGTATTAAAGCACACCCTCTAAATGGCATGACTCTTTTGCTAAGAGTACCAGAGGTAAAACGGAGTTTTCCAACTTTGCCCATCCTATGAGAAATCTTTTGACTCATGGGCACGGTTTCGAGCAGTCCAGTTCGCTTTAGTAATTTTTTTCAATAACATTAAATTCATATCCAGAGGACATAATGTGCTTTTTTGCAAGGGCATGTTTATTGTTCAAGCACTTTTTGAGTCTAATTAGCCTTTCAAGAATAAATTTTTCCGGCTAATTGTTTATTGTCGGACAACTGTAGCATTAAATATGGCCCTGTGATCTTTAATAACAAATTATTCAGCTTTTTGTGATCCATCACTGTTTGGCATATGATTTTTGGTTTGTGAGATATAAGTTATAATCTTCTAGTTATATTTGGTACTCGACTAACTCGAATAATTTATATCGCTATAACTGATAAATTGGGCGAAACATTCATTTTGATTTCTTACAGCGTTGACAGCCCGCTTCCGGTACTCAATGCCTCCCAGGTGAAAAAAGGTGGGCTAATATTTCAAATACAATATATTGTAATGGCGCTGTGAGATAAGTCATACCTCACAAATTGAGACATCCTTTGAAAATCGTTTCTCAATTCCACGTTAAATTTTGTTTTTGGACTCAAGACAAGTGTTGTGTGCGTCGTATATTTGGCTGTGGGAAGGTATTTTAAACGTTTAAAGTCTATCGGCTGGCGAAGTGCTTGTAAAGTTAATAGCGTGACGATGCCTGTTTGTATAATCCAACTGATTTTACTTATAAGTTGATGTTGTGTGTCCCTACATCTCTAATACATAAGTCGTAAATTTTTTAAGTCTAGACGTATTCGAAGCATATCTTGTAGGTAAGGAATGTGGCTTGGTTTGAGTACGAATTAAGCACATTTGACAATGTTTGAGCATTTTCAAAGCCGACTATGTCAACACAAAACCCTTTGTGAAATGGCTGGCATTTGCTATTGTTTAAATGCATCATTTATAAAAATTAAGATAATTTGCCTTTTTTGTGTTATGTTGGGTTGTATTATGAACATTCAACATTCAAGATATTAATGTTGAATTTAGACCAAAAACCATGACCAGCCGACAATTTAAAAAATATAGTATAAACAAATTCCGAAAAAGCAAGACATCTTGAGAGTGCAAAATATGCATCAAACAAGACGAGAAGTGAACTGTAAATTTTCGACTTTATTTCAAAATCATTAGTGTTTCTGGAATGTTTCAAGGTGTGTGGTGATTGAATTTTGTTTGTATTTGTGCTTTTATGATATGCTGCATAGTAGCATTTATCCTAGAATAATAAACCCTAATGCCTTGAAATCAAAAGAGGATTTCATCTTGGAAATTGAGTCTGTTTGTGCAATCAATTAGTTGTGCATAGCGCGTTATGGTTTCGGTTAGGAGCTGTTACATTTATATACATGTGTTTATATCACCATGCAAGCTATATTTGCGCTGAAGTACCGCTATGGACATGATTTAAATCATAGGTGGTATCACCCAGTAGACGAAACTGCACGAAAGAGATTTAGATCATACAACGGCAAGCTATCGTGTTGTTTACCATTCATGGCATTTCGTGCGCACGCTGTTAAACATACCAAAATGACGTGCAAACTTTTCCGTGATATGGCTATAAACATGGTCTAAGGTGTATGAAACATGCATGGTATATATGTATATATAACCTCCGGTGAAGTATTATGTAGTACTCTTCCAAATATATAATAATTTTATGCCACGCCATATATTGCAAAATTGTTCCAATTTTCCTCTATATTAATTTTAATATATCCTTGATGTATGTCGTGATTATACCGATATTACCGATAAATTGATAACCGTTACAGATAAACAAAACAAATTATTTTCAAAAAACAACCCAACTGCGTAACATAATTTTTTGTTACGTTTTACTAATCATCTGTTGCATTTGTAATCACGCGCCATCTATTTTAATGTTTGCGTTTGCTATTTTTACTATAAATTCTTAGCAACACAAACATTTCAAGTACAGAATGATAAGAAGAGCCTGTACCCTCACTTTCTTTGAAGTGAGCTTAGCATGCTGTGTGAAATAATTGGCGAAGACCACTTACGCAATTTATTGGCAGGTGGCATAATTATTTTGTATTTTTTAGGTATTGTTAAAATTTTTAAAGTTTTTACTATAGACTCAAAATATTATCAACAGCAATCTTTTCGTTCCACCCAGAACGGATAAGCTATGATTCCCTAAGAACGAATAAAAATATAAAGATAATGCGTTTTTCTAGCATCATAAACCAAGTCTTATTGCGAAAATTTTAACAACAATGAACAAATTAAACCATGACGGATAAAGACTCAAGCCACTTAACGGTTCTTGTTACGCTCAACGAATAAGGATGGTTTTGTATGAGAATGACTTTGAAATAAAGTGGAAAATTTACAGTTTTATTTGCGTCTTGTATTGATACATATTTTGCAATCCCAAAATGTCCCATATATTCGGAATTCGTTTTTTACTTTGCCTTTTTAAATTGTCGGCTGGAAATGGTTTTTGAGTCACGTATTACTAATGTGAAATTCCTTCCTCTCTAATTTAACGATATCTCCATTTGGTTCTGTGATAGTAGAAGCAGTTTTCCTAACGATAAGTTTTTTGAATAGGTTTATCATTAAAACGATAAATCAGCATTTCCATCGATGACGTGTTCTCTTCTATATAAAACAGCCTGTAATGGTCACCATTCAAAAATAAGCAGTTTAATTACGTATGATACCCTGCTGTTACAAAACAGGATGAATAGATATGATTGAGTAGTTGTAGCAAGATAGAGTAACAATACATTCACTGAAAAGAAATGTTAGCAGTGTAAGCTATGGCTAGTTGCTACTAAGATTTAAGCTGTAGATCTACACTGTGTTTACACATGCCAAGCGAATCAGCTACACCAATTAAGTCGAACCTCTTTTATGGTGTGTGTGGCTAGTGATATATAAAAATTCCTTGCATTATTTTAATTTTATATCAATCGACATTTACAAAACGGCTTCGATCTTTAGTCGAGTGTCTGTGCTCATCCTACGTCATAACGAGACATTTTGTTTTGAAGAATAACTTACTCCAGTAAAATACGCTCGTCACGTATTGTTCTCTAAGTTCGATCAAACATATCTGATGCAATGGTGGGAACTCTCACCACCTGATGTGATTCCTATAGAAAAAAGGCAGTCTGTTGTGGTCAACTTTTTGATTTTTTATTAACGTGTTGTCACATTGTAATAATAAAGAAATTTCTTGCCAAAGCAAATTTCAGGCAATTCATGAATTTACACGTTTGGAAATAAATTTTCAGCAATCATTGATTAATTTGTTAATTTAGGGTCATAATTTTGTTTCGTTCTAGATGAGCAAATTATTTGCCATTCGAATTAGCTTTTATTAAATGAATTATGAATGATTTATTGCCATTAATTTCTTACAATCAATTTTTTTCGAGAGACCCAAAGATGTATTTTTTGGTTTTTTTGCGTACCTTCTATCAAATCACATATCGAGGTGATGATAGGCATTTGTAATCTGATCAAATCGTGAATGGACTATTTTTTCATCAGTGATTTGTTAGAAGGCAGTATTTTGAATTGTATCAACAAAGAAAACGTGTAAATGATCTAGTATTTCAGATTTGTGAGTGCAGCCTGTTGAAATATTTCATTAGATTTCACAATGTTTCATTATCAATAGAAATACTTCTTAACATTGACGGTTGTGAACGCAATGTGGTTATGTATATAATTATATTGGCCACGTTTGACACAATATAAACATGTGTAACTAAAATATTTTAAAGTTTTCAATTTAATTTCTTATCCATCTGTGTTTCCATGCGCAGCTTTGGCCTAAAACATGGTTCTTGTGTGTATAAGGATGAATTTATGTTGAGGTTTAACGACCTTCATATCATGGAGGTATAACAATAATTTCAAAAAAGCAGACACGCAATTGACAGCCACTTATGAACGCGCAATCCGCGAACAAAGAAAACACGGTGTGTTTAGCAAATTTCAACCACGCGCTTTGATTGGCGGAGACCATTTAAATTGTCACCTAACACCTGCATGGCGCTTCTTCAGCCAATCAAAACTGCTTATGCTTGTTAAAAGTTGCAGCCAGCTGTCGTGGACATTAGCACACATAATCCGCCGTTGAATGTTTGAGAGCACGGAAAGTATTCATCGGATATGCCGTAAAATTTTCCTTGTATTAAGGTCTGTATTTAAAGCTTAAATATTTTCGTATGTAATGTATATTGATCACTTGTAAGCAATAATTCGCTCCTTGGCCCATTGCGGCTTGCTAAACTTGTGTATTTAGAGCTCATATATATGCAATCAACATTTATAATGATTGATCGTGAATGTTGTTGGGAAATGTGCCTATTTATCTCAGAGCTGGATAAGGTACATTTCTCACATCTCAATGGTTCATTTTCTCGAGAATTTTTATGAACATTGAGTTATTTGCGAATGGTATGGCTTAACAAACCTCAGGTAATCGTTACAAGAAATACTATGTACGCTTTATCTACTCAATTATGCAGGTAATCGACAGAAACAAATAGTATTTAAAAACACAGACTTTTATTGTTAGAACAGCCAACAGTACTTGGCAGGAACTGCTTTAAATTTCATCTCCGGTATTATCAATCTTCTGTAAGTTGAAATTGATTTTATGTTAGTTGCTGTTTGAACATTCTACTGGTTTGTTTTCTTTTAGATTTAATTCTCGTGTTAAACCTGCGTGTGCTGTATTAATCTGTTGATTTTTTTCATTTTCTAAACAGCATAATTATTGCTAGTGACACAACGGTGTATTGTGTATCCAAGAGGGCTTTTTTGTGGATAGTAGGATATGTTACGATAGCGAACATAAGATTTTGAAAGCTGTTTCCGTAGTACACACTCATTGCGCTATTGTATTAGAAAGCATAACAAAACCGCGCGGTTATGGGCGGGCTATTTTTATATGTATCTCGCTCAATTTATTTGTTAAATTCACCTATTAGCTAAGAGACGTGACTTATTGAGAAATATGGAGGGAACAGTTGTTGCATCTTCTCTTAGCTCTTTTACGAGCGATCATGAAGAATCGGATATCAAGTGCTAGAGGGCATATTTCACAATGAGGAAGTTTACAATCAAGTTTTAAAGAACATGAGACTTGTGTAATGTCGGCAAAATGTTTATTACTTAATTTCTTTCGCACAATGCTGCGGCAAAACATTTGGCTGGCAATGTTTAATGAACTAAAGTATGGCTTGCTTTTAAGTCTTTTGAAAAATATGCATAGTTAGTGTTAATTGCCCTATATAAATTACACATGACTCGTGAATAATATCCTGTTTTGCTGAGAGAACGATTGAAAGTGGCTTTTATTTTGTCCTCGATGAAAGAAATCTCTGACATTTCCCCTGAATTCAACATATACAAAAAAATTTCAATTTCATCGAAATGTTTCATTTGTGTGATTTTCAGACGGCAAATATTTTTTGAAACTTGTCGAAGGACGCGTGATAAGGCGATTAAGAGCGAATTTTGAAGCGTTTATGGGCTTGAAATATGGTTTTGAAGAAGACAAGTGGGGAAGCAAAGGGATTAAAAAACGTAGCCAACAAAACTGGTCGTGTTAAAGGAACAAGTGAATCGGCTTTGGTCGATAAAAATGGCAACATGTTATCTGTTGAAGCGAATGGAAAACGAGACGAGAAGAGCCTAGGAAAACGGCAGGGGACGAAAAACGTAAACACTTCAGACAGCAAAGCCAAAGTCCCGAACAATGAAGAAATGAAAACTTATGAAGCTGATGATGGTACAGTTTACGAAATAGACGGTAAATTTTGTATATTATAGTATTTCTATAACGAATCATTCACGTTCTATATATGTTGTAGACTGAGCTTTTTCGGCTTTAATCGTACATTGTTGTCTTATCATAATAATTACTTATAATTAATCTCTTGGACCGTCAGACTGTACAGCGCTTTTGCCTATTGAAAACTTGTGTGGACTTGGTGTGAAATTTATAAGCGAGTCGTTCGCTTTTTATTTAGCCTTTTGTGTGTTCAAAGCTGATGGTGTATTTCAGCTCATTATTTCTACACAATACTTAAACAATTCAAAACAATGGGGGTAGAATTGCTATGTTGAAATGATAAGCGAACATGCTGTTATAATCATGGAGTGATATATAATCTTATCGATGGAAAATATTTGACGTTGTAAACCATGTAAAAATTCAGTGCAGTTTTACCGTCATTCAACGTCAGAAGTTTGTTGTTTTATGTTTTTTGTTTGATCAAACCTGACTTACGACTTACGATACGTGAACTAGACGGCCAATATAACAGCTTATCTGCATTTCATATATGCTCCTTACTTTTGCGAGTCGTAGAAATGTGGTGTCGTAAAATCTTAGGTTATTAAAGGAGGCCTACCTAAAGATCGGTTTGTTTTTTAAACGTTGGTTAAGACAACTAACAGTTACATTGTATTAAATTTACACTGTAATTAGAATTTAAAAGCATGCATGAATGCCTTAAGATCGCTTGGCTATGGATTGAACTATTGGAAAAGCAAACAGTTTGCTCCATGACAGCTTCGATGAGTGTTGAAGTTCGATGATTTTTTCAAAGTCTTATTTTCCCATTAGTTATAATAAAATGCTGCAATATATGGGTTAACAAAGGTCAATGTGCGAGGGCCGAAATCACGAGGCGGCAACAACCTCTTTTCTTTTCTATACACATTTTGGTATCTTCGTTTAGATTGCGTTTATATTGACAGTCAGAGACCAGATGTGCCTTTTTTCATTTGCTCCATCAAGGAATTCAAAGTAGTAAGTTCTTTTAGTTTAAATGGAAACAGGAGTCTATTTAGCTATGTATTGCATAATATAAATATCTGACATGGCCTTGTCTTAGTTAAGACGAGGAGAAAAGTTAGTACAAGTATATCAAAGGTTGTTTTTATAGAAAACCGATTGTTTTGTTACAATCTAGGTCGTTTTTGTTGCATCGGTTTATATTTTCCAGACACAATGACGACAGGCTTTGCGAGGGACTTTGTTCAAACAAAACCCATTTTGTTTGTGCTCAATCCCTCAATATCTTGTAATAATGGCGAATATCCACTCAAATCATTAATATTTTATCATCATTGTTGATTCATCAATGAATTTATTACAAAATTGATTTAGTATTTCCGAGACTGAATATTTGATGAGATGAGCCAGAATAATTTTTTTTTCTGAAGTGCAATCACGAAGTTCAATTGTTTTCAGGTCATAGCATCACAAGGTTTAGATCTATATTCATGACATTTGAGATTGGAGCTATGTATTAATCACAGATGCTATTCTGTCGACGCCCATATAAAGCGCCAAATCGTTGCGCTTTACAACATTTGTAGTAAATTTTCCTGTCGGTCAGTGTAATAATTTTATAAAGAATCATGTGTTTTGAGTTAGTCACGTACATGTATCCTTTCGATATCTTAAAATAGAAATAACTTCTCCCTATGGGATTTGAAATTAGGTTTTGATAATAAGCTTTTTCTTCCGAGACATTGTCGCAAGTGCGATTTTTACGCGTTTTAAAATTGTAGTTACTAACTTCTGGTTACAGTGTTATATTACAGTGTTCTGAAATATGTATATATTTCTCATATTTCACATAAAACAAAACCTCGAAGATTACATTACAATCATTAACTTCCTTTACTACGCTGCATGGCAAAAGCTTTTTATGACAATGAAATACGTGTTTTTTTCTTCAGTGTAAACGCGAATGTGTCTATATCGGAGTGAAATGGTTTTATCGTCCTTCTGAAGTTCCTGAATCTGTTTATCAGCTTTTAGTTCAAGATCGAAACACAGAAAACGGTGCGTCACGCAATTCCTATTTATAAAAATCCTTATCCTGCTTTTTTGATTAAGTACTTTGTTTAGCCGGCTATATTGAATAGTCAGCTTGAAGCAAATGAGTTCAACTTCATTCATAATAACCGCACAACTTCTTCAGCCCTTAACAAACTTTCATTTGAACGATAAATTCATCAAACAAAATTTTTTCAAAATGAAACTTTTCAATGTGGCTTAAACTGGTGTTTTTGTTGTGAAAAAATGAAGAATATATTTATCATCTTTCATGTATTATAATCTGACGAATAAATGCATTCATTATACTTAGCGACAAACCTACAACGAAGCTTTATTTTGCGGAATTTCATTTTAAACTTTGTCTTGGCATGGCCTCCAAAAATTGTTTTTATAGGTTAATTGCTCCCTTTGCAAGTTTAACCTTATGTGATCTTAAATACATGTTGATGTAATTTCGAGGAATGATAATGTGTGGTTTGACCTGTCAGATTGTGTCAACAGCTTAAATTGTGTTGTCGATGGAGTTGAACATTTGGTATCGCTTTCCTGTGTCATTAAGAGGCCACGTGACTTGCGTCATCATATTTGTCTCCAACATTGATCTTCAACTATAGGTTTCAGGTCACTCTAAGTAACAGTTTCAAATTTCACAATACAATTAACAAATACGGCTAACCTGACGTTTTCTTCTCATTTGACTCTGAAGATGACTACCGCTAAGGTTGTCGAAACATCAGTCAACAACAACAAAACAGTCCTTCTCAGGACTATACTAATCTGGACGATCTACATCTACAAACATGTAACGATACTCCCGGGTTCAAACCATTTACTTTACAATTAACAAAATTTACAGTCGCTTTTAGGATTGATCAAAGCTGAAAAACCTTATTGAATAGTTTTTATCTTAACATACGTGCTTCCTACGTTTATTCTGTTTCCTGTGACATTCAAGTACAAACTTTTTAAATTGCAAACAAGGTGGTGCGTAATTATTCTGATATCAACTCAATGACTGCATATTGAGATTATTGGTGATTGATAGATCACCTGTCATGTCTTGTTCAATTCTCTTCATATAATATTAAAAAATGACACAAATATCAGACCTCGTAAAAAGTTTCCCATGCTACAATTAAAGATTTATCTGCTGCATGACAATAGCTTATCTCTAAACTTCATCTAAGGTAAGTTATATTGTTTATTAATTATTTATTATTCCACCATGAAGGTTCACAGGACCATATTCTTGAAGAGCAATCTGTTAAAGAGCGAGAACTGTTTGTATCTGATGCAGTAGACACATATTCAGTGAATGCACTTCGGTAAGCGTAAATAAATGATAATTGCACTACCTTAATGTTTTGGTCGTGTAATTTTCTAAAAATTTAACAAACTGTTTACATAATTGTTACTTTCAGAGGAAAATGTCGAGTTAAATGCCTCTCGGAAGTTTCTGGTTTGAAAGAGTTCATTGCGCAAAGTGATCATTTCTTTTTTGTTCTCCGATACAATCCAGAAACGAGGTGAGATTGCTTGATTGTTTACAATGTGATCATATGACGGGAAAGTTGAAGGTAAATGGGTTGCCCTAATTTTAACCTCTATCTTTCTGTAGACGTCTAGCCAACCACAAAGGAGAAATTCGAGTTGGACCTAGTCATCAGGTTATTCTGCTTGAAATGGCGGTTATACCAGATTTTAGTGATGATATGTTAAAGCTTGTCTAAATTTATCTTACACTTTGTAACAAGTATATGCAACGTAGGAACAAACCATTGACCATAACTCTTTCACAGGTACTTCTTCCAGAATGTCGGTCAAAATCACTGGCTCCTGAAGAACTGGCTCGCGAACCTTCCAAGGAGGTGTTGGTAAGAGCAACTCACATGATTGTTGAATATATTTTATATTATAAAACAGAGACTTTGTCGTGGTGACAAATCTGAAAATTGCTTTAAAGATTGCAAATACCATGGTGAATTCTAAAAGTAAAAGTTAATACGTAGTTCTACTAATAGAACTACGTATTAACTTATTACTTCTGCCATTCACTATGGTATTTGCAATCTTAAAACAATTTTCAAATATCTTTTATCAACCAGAACCAGAGAGTGCTTAAAGCAGTCTACGAGTAGGATAATTCTAAGCATTTTTGTTTATATATGGATATGCGTGGAAATTTTGTAATTTTAAGAAACTTGCTGTAAGTGCGTGTGACACTTACGTAATGCTAATAGAAAGTACACATATTATGTCGCATGGGCACCGTTATTCCTCTTTAGAAAAAGACCATCTTGTATTTCAATTTTTAAATCCCCTTTTCGGGTGCGTATTTTGAAATTTATGAAATCCTTCTACAAAAGAACATTTGGCAGAAATTCCAACTTAAGAAATTTGTATTCGTTTTTGCAGACGTGGAATCCGATCATAGAGGATTACGATCTCCTAATGTTTATTGGGGCAGCTAGGTAAAGTTGTTATTATTGCCTTGATACCCTTCTCATAAAAGAATTTTTGGTATGAGAATGTGGATTTAGGTGGGTTTTATTTTGTTCGTAAACAGGAGCATGGCGCAATTAGCGGGCATATGCAAAGAAGGAGATACCACAAAGGGAATTAAGGCAGCTGCCAGTGATGAAACCACTATAAACGCTTTACATGTGGTATGGTGATTTAAATCGAGTTTATACTTTATTCAGATTGCTCTCTTCGAAATTTGTTTGTTGCCTTACAGACTTTTTTCTTCTAAATTTAACAGCTTCATCGCTGTAATTACGACACTGCTAAAGCATTACAATCATTGGTGAAACGTCCGTTCCCGAAGATTGTCCGAATGAGTTGGACTGAAGATGATAATGTAGGTTATAGAATATTAAATAATATCATACCTACCATTCCTTGTTTTTTTGAAGTACGAAAAGAACTTATTTACTTATCCATTTTCCAAAACTTTGCATACACGTATTTCAAAATATTTCTTTCACAATCTTTGCAAACCACTAATACTTTTGTGTGCTTTTCTAATCGAGTGGTATTGATGAATTTATATTTTTAAAATTCATACTGGTAAAAACTGGTTCTTTCAAGCAATTATCTCTACAAAAGGCTTGAAACATTTCGCTTTGTTTTGTGTAGAAAAAGTTCGTAAAAGGTTTGCGGCAATATGGAAAAAACTTTTACAAAATTCGAAAAGAGTTGCTGCCTGAAAAGGAAACGGTAATATCATCATGCAATTTGTGGCTTTCTCCATGGTTTGATCTGATTTGTTCAAACTAAAAGACAAAGGATGTAAACTATTCTCTGACTAGTATCAATTGTCATTTGACAATTTGATTTGTTGAATAATACAGTTTTCAGATTGTCTGCTGCAGTTTTCTGTCAGCCACTCGTGCAATATCAGACGTCTTCTCAAACATTCCATTTGAGAACAATTCATATTAATGTAGGGTGATCTCGTTGAGTATTATTATGTATGGAAAAAGACCACTTCTGCTATGAGCTCTAGACCACACAGAAGACGTCGACACAACGTTTTGCGGAGACGGAATATTACTCGCTCAGCGAAGGCAGCAACTAGTGAATTTGGTGAGGAAGTAATTTATATTACATGTATTTTGTGTTGAAATAGAATCATGGAAATAAATTTTGTGTTTTTGTAGTTGAATTGAGTTCGTGTAGTGAAGACGACTATGACAGTGAAGATAGCTACAAAGATTTTCGGTGAGTTATTGTATAATGTGCTTGCAGGGACGTTGTGAGAGGTGTATAGGGTAAATAATCCCCTGACTCAGGGTGCGCCAATACAAAGTGTATGTCACTATTTACGTTTTGTCTAAATCCTCAATATTGCAAACAAGTTGTGAATACAGTCTTCGTAGGATGGTTTCACAATGACGAATTTTTCCTGCTAGACATTATAATTACATAATTGAAACAGAAAAACTGTTTCAATGTGCAAGTTGTGTTGTATTTCTCTACAATGAACAGCCATTTGATCGTTGAACGCAGTTGATCAAGTTATTCGACCGACCAAACTTTTAATTAAATACTTAACGCTAACAGCCATTTGATCGTTGAACGCAGTTGATCAAGTTATTCGACCGACCAAACTTTTAATTAAATACTTAACGCTAACAGCCATTTGATCGTTGAACGCAGTTGATCAAGTTATTCGACCGACCAAACTTTTAATTAAATACTTAACGCTGCAACTTTTATTTGCAGTCTTTATTGCTGTCGGCATTGTTATTCATCGAAGTCTAGAAGTTGGCATCATGGCGGCTATGAACGTCTACTCCTTTGCTCCTTGTGTCTAGAGTATTTTAAAAAATATGGTGTTATGAGAAAGGTAGAAGTAACTCGTGATCCTCCGCCCTACATGTTTAAAGGTGTAATGGGTAAAGAGAATGATGCAGATTATTTTATCAATGGCAAACAGCTGCGCAGCCGCAGAAGTACACCTAATTCTTCTAGTAGTTTAAGATATGGACGTTCAAAGAATCCCGGTGTTGTTGATGGTAGGTTTAAGTAAACACTGCATAATAGTTTTGAGTTCTTTCGTATTATTGATTTTTTTTCATAGCTTCAGCAACACGTGACTCGTCACTTCCTTGTCGTAAATTAACACGACTAACTAAGCCTGGTTCACCTTCGGGTGCAAGCACTGGAAGTAATACAAGCAGTTCTGGTAGTAACAACACGGTAAGGTCAATCTTTCGTTGTCATAACTTTTTTCATAAATTTGCTGGTTTGTTTGGTTTTAATTTCTACCTAAATGAAAATGTCGTAAATGGAAAATGCCCTAGGAGAAATTCAAATTCCCATTCCATCAATTTGAAAAATTACAGACTCAAGCAAGCATAAGCCGAAGGGCCAAGCGAAACGCGGAGTCAACGGTTGAAATGCCATTACCACTAAAGAGAAAGAAATCTGTGTCTAGGGTTAGTAAGCTTGTGGTTTCTTTGTTAACTTAAATTTTGTAACAATAAATATTACAAATTTTAATAGAACATTTTCTGTACTGTGGCCATTTGTTTACATTTTTTGCTTATTTCTTTTGGAGGAGTCAGACGACGAACCTGAAACGGACCAAAGTGAAGAAAACAGCTTGCCTCTGGCTGAGCATGAGCAGACCCCTGCTGATGCTGACGTCGCAAGTGTTGACAACCGAGTGAGTGCAAAGGAGGACACTTGTTCCAGTCCAACGCCTATCTCGCTTGACGACCAAGAACTACAGTGTAAAAAAGGGAAGTTTCCTGCAAGAAACTTTCCAAATGGTATGACAAGCGCCCGGACATGTTTGCCTTTTAAAGTTGATATCCCAGAGAAAAGTGATTCACATAAAGAAATAGCAGAGAAAAAATTAAAAGAGAAAAAGGTCGAAGTAAGTACTCGTGTTATAATGGATGAATACAAACTATCAGAGAATGAAAATTTAGTTTTCATTAATTTTTAGAACGAGGAACAAAAGCGAATTCAGATGAAACCGCAAAAATCGGAAAATAAATCTGCATCTGAAACAATCTCCACTCCAAACGTTACTTCGCAGCATTATGATAACTACCGCAAATACATGTCTAGGATAGGACGTTATCCATATTCTGGGATAACAGGGACACATGGCGGTATTATGGGACACATGGCAGTACCGATGCAAATGGATATGCCAGTGTTTCCTTGGAATATAAGACCTGGGGCTATGAAGGATTTTGAGTGGTGTGGTTCACATAAGGCATCTCTGAGTCGAGGAACTCCTAGTCTTTCACCTACCATCTTACACCCACCATCGCTATTAGAGGGGCATATTGCAGGGGGAGCTCCTATAGCGACAGATCCAGTCACTGGACTACATCATTCACACTCACACATCCACACACATTATCATGTGCATCCAGATCATCAACCACGAAGCTCGTTGGAACAAAGCATGCTTTGCAGAAATCCACCGCATGAAATGTGGCTACACCCTAATTTGGGTATTTCTGCCGCACATTCGCATCCGGGCATGCCTGGTTGTCATCCTCGACCTATTCTTGCACCAACTGACGATCTCAGTAGTGTGTCTCCTTTTTTCATGGTCTTTACCCGCCAAGAGAACTTCATCAAGAATTAATGATGAGTCAAGGCCTGAAAATTGATCACAGTTATCCATTTTACCCTTCTTTATTGTCACGTGAACATTTCATGCGTTTGCAACGACCTCAAGGTTCAAGGATCGAAACTGAGCTAAGGAGATTAGAAAATGTAGATGAGGCGAATGCTAGTCTCTTGCATCGTTCTGACGCTCGTCATTTGCCGAGCCCAGTTTTTAAAGCACCGGAAAATAGTGTATACCGCAATTCAAAAATCACAGAAACAATAGATCTATCAAAAGATGATTAATATCATCTTCAATATGTGAAGATGGAGTCTTACAAAGGTTTCATGGGTTTCCTTATCGAAATTCGAAATAAGTTTCTTATTTTTTACATTTATTACTCATATGATCATATGACTTATTTTCGTCAACAAGGGCTACCTTCCAAACACTCTTAAAGTCCCACTAATATGTGGTTTTGTTTGTTTTGTTAATCTCACGTTGTTTCTTAGAATTATTCAATGGATGAAGGGGGCGATTTTGTAAATATTGCCGTTATTTATACTCCCACTTAGGTTTATCTTATATTTGAATTCAAATGAAATTACTTTTCACGATTATTTGCGTTTGGTTGTGTGTTATGACAATAATTATTGTACACTTAACACAAGGTAGATATTTATCTCGTAAAATATAAGATAGTTTAATCCGCAAGACTTGTCTCAATGTCTCAGTAAAACTTCAACCAAATTTCGTGCATAAGATGGCATGTCATTACACTATTTCACCCCTGTGCGTTGACACTACAGCTGGCAAAGAGAAGATCTCGTTTTATCAGTTGTGTTTCGCTCGTATTCCTTTGAAATAACCCTGCCATCGTTTAAGAACGTTTTTGTACAAAGGGTCGTCGTTGATCATTGTCACCCAGGTCAACTGGTTCACGTGCGTAGCGTGGTAATCCCATCGGGCCAAGTTCGGTTCCACACCCATCGTTAAATGCCGTAGATCATAAATGGTACCAGAACCGCTATCATACATAAGAATCATAGCTCGAAGAGAAGTCATACCATCCTGGAATAATTTTTTAACTTCGCTTCTTTCATCTTGTGGAAGTGTCTCTTTCAAATCATACAAACCCATTAGGGAATATAGAAACCCGTTCAGTACAAAGAGTGATGGTGTCATCGGATACTCCTCATACCACTTATATTTATTCATAAACACTGCTAATATACCATTGTCTTTAGACAGAACGTGAAATAGTTTGGTGGCTTCTTTGGCCGCATTTAAGTACTTTTTGTCTTTGGTGAAGTGGTGTGCCCTGACGAGAAGCGATATTGCGTGACCTTGTGCCATAGCTGAATACCAACCTGGTTTCAGCTGAACACCTGTCTTAATCTTGCGTTGAACGGGAATAGGCCAGCCACCTTTCTTGTCTTGGTTCTTCAACATCCAGCGAGCTGAGGCAAGAAAAGCAGCTTCGTGGTTGTTTTGCATAAGTGTGACATTGTCTGGAAAAAAATCATTTGTCATTTCCTGATTTGAAAAAGTTTAGTTTGAGGTGGATTTTTCTTTTGCAGTTAATGCTTACCTATAAAACCCTCGCCTTGTAAAGCAAGACTTCGTATTTCTGTGATACGCAGCTTACTTCCTGTGCCTCTTTTTTTCTTCCGACCTCTTACGCCAAGCGCCTTGTTTAAATCAATCATTAGGTTTCGTGATATTTTGCGCCATTCGCGCGTCTGACCAATTCCGTACGTTACACGAGATTTTTGTGTTTTCAGCAGCTTCTCACTGGTATCGTAGACAAGGGCAATGGTTCTTGTGTCGTCCACTTCAACTGTGATAGAAATTTGTCCAGTGGATTTGAAGAGAACATCAAGAGATAGAACATATGTTCTGCTAGAGCTGCCAAGCTCCAGAATAACTAAGCCCTCCTGTGTTTCTGACAGAGTTGAAGAACAAGAAGGAAAGTTTAAAACTACAACATGAATGTTAACTATGAGAGATAGCTGAAAACGAAGAAAGATATGATCTAAATCTTTTGCAAATTGTGTTTGTAAGTTATATAATTGTGAACGTAACACCTATTTGTGAGTGAGGGAATTTTTTGCTAGACTCCAATGATCTAATTGATGTACCTACCACCAGTTGCAAACTCTATAACATTTGATTGTTTCTTGGCATCATATACATTCCGAACATATGCCCCTTTACCCTTGACTGACCATTCTTGGTTGTCTGTCCTCTCGCAGTCATCCACAATCTTGACCTTTCCAGGGGGCTTTTCTTTCCACATACTATAATGGCTTAGTCCATATTGTGCTATTTGAATGGGATATTTATAACCTTGTTCACCCCATTGGGTAGATATAGGAACTTCATCCGTACCAGTTATGCATTTCACTCTGGCCCGACCTTCGACATTGTAATTCACAAACCAGAGAAAAGCACCCTCAGGATTATACTTGTTGTTTGTGGGTTTAAAATATTCATAATTGGTATGTCGAATGTGAAACTTTTACCAAAATAATCGCTGACAATTTTGCCCTCGAGTTCAAAATAGTCTCGCACAAATGAAAACGGAATATAAACTTCCTCGTCTTCAAGGCGACCTTCAATCTTTGTTTCACCATTAACTAGTACTTCGATATGTTTTGGCGTTTGCTCATTATGACGATTTGACTTTGCGTCGTTCTGATCATCGTTATTCTCGCCTTCATTAAACAAAACGACCGAGTTTTCATTGGTTTCGTGAAAAGTAGTACCTTCATCTTCTGTATCATATCGTTCATTGTTGATGGTATTTTTAAATGGCAAAATGTCGCGTGAGTTCAGCTCAGTATGTGCATCAACTTTCTGTATTTTTTCCACATTGCATTTATTCCACATAAAAACAACGGCAGCTGTGCATATTATTGCTAGAAAAACATTTACACGCGATGCGTTTCGCAACATTTTTGAAAGAAACCATCGGCAAAAGCGCATAACTCTCATGGAAACTGAAAAGGGAGCCTTGTAAACGATTCACAAGGTATTTCGTCCGCCATATTGATTATTTATTTTATGACGTCACGCGCGCAATATTTGAATATTGAAAATTATGTTTTTTAAATACAAGATACACGTGTAAACAAGGTTTTTGCTTTGCAGAACAATATTATCATCATTTCTCATCTTCGTAAACTTATGAAAAATTAAAGATTGAAATCTTTGGAACTCGGGACAAACGTATGACTTTTGACTGGAGTTGTTCGCTTCTGTATTTGTAAGAGGAAGGAAACTTGGAAGGAAGGTATGTAAAGATAATATCTGCTCGTGTTGCTTTTATGAGAAGTATTCATTGACGAGAATTATTGTATATTTCATACATTATGCTGTATGTATGCTGATAGAGGAAGTAGTGATAAAACTAGTGATTTTTTACAATTAAATTTACTTGTGCTCGTGGGCCATTTCTGTTAGCCACCACTCAATCTCCAGGTTAGTCAGCTCTAAAATATACGAACGAGACTTTAATACTCAAACGTACTATATCAGAGGATAGTGAAATAGTGAAGACTGAGAAAATATTATCTCCAAAGCATACCTCTGGAGTTTTTGTTTGTGCTTTTGCCACTAAAATATTTATGTATGCATTCAGTTTTACAAACTTTTCTAGTAAACAAATCATCACAACACAGTGTGTTTTAGTTTTAAAAAAAATTCAGCCTCATCATACCATAATGCTAAAACAATTTGACATTAATTAAATGGCAGTGGAGTTGTCAAACTTCCACTAGCTTTTTAAATTAATGGCTTAACTATGTCTAAGATTCAACCATTAAGCTGTCTGCATTTAATTTTAAAAGCTTCATAAACTATTATAATGTGAGTTGCACTATGCAGAATGGTTATTCAAGGATGGACAAATAAATACAAATGTTTGTGCGGCTACTGACAATCAAGATTTTATTCAAACATTAATCTATATGTATTTAAAATTAGTTTGATTTTATTTTGTGAGAATTATTGACAATAAGTTGCCCTAGCATGGGAATGAGTATCTTGACTTGTGACATAAAATTTATTATAAAAATTTTCTATGTGCAGAAGGAGCTATGAGTTAGGAGTTCACACAAGGATATTATTAGGCCAATTTTCTACACAATAGGCAAATATACACGAGAATTAATTAAGGTGCCCCCTTTTGTACAAATATTAACATAAATAAACAATTCTTATTGTTTCCTGCAAAGTCTTTAAATTATTTGTTACGTTTTAACAATTTCTCATTGGGATTGTCATCATTCCACCATGGACTGTTCTGTTCTAAGGAGAAAGGGTCCTCATCTCCAGATCCATACTCAAAGTCATGTGATCTACCTCTGACATTTACCATATAATATATTGCAACATATATGATGGTCATCAGTAGAGCTCCACCCAAAGTGACAGTGATTAGTATAATATAAACTCCTGGGACACGTACAGCGTTCTCTTCATTGGCACTGGCTGAGTAGCCACGTTTTGTTATCTGTTTTTGGTATGATGTACGTTCTTTTTCTTTGTATTTTGTTTTGTTGAAATCTTTCGCCCTATTTAGATGAGAAAAATGACTTATACTATTTGTTACACTGCACTTCAATAATAAGCAAGATTAATTAAATGCATTACGCTCACACTTTTCGAAACAAGTTAAATCAATTCAAAGCTTTGCCTTAAAATTAAATATTTTCTCGTTAACCTTCACTTACTTCAAAGTGAGTGCAAAAATGATATTTGGAAAGTAGTAAAAGTTTGTCATATGTAGCATACCCTTTATCAACAGCAATATTTTGAAAGCCCTTGCTGTTTCTATGAAAGTCCTTTGCAAAATCATCCTCGCTCGGGTTTTTCAACACTTCACTTTTATTGCTTGAGAAGTGGTGCTTCCTAATCTTGTGTTTTTTCATGTGGTTTAAAATCTCATTCTTATTCCAATCACTATCGCCATTTAGCAGGCCTTTTGTTTTACTTGGTTTGTAGACATTGTCATTTGCCTTATTTCCTCTCGATTTTGTTCTATTTAAATGAACAGTGGTGTTTTTCTTTGTGGTTGGTCTTGATGACCTATTCCTAAATTAATCAGTAAGTGTGAAGATTGTTGTCTTATGTCAGCGGTTCGTTGACTTTTGCTGTTCTTTTTCTTGCTCATAGTTTGTGATTGTTTCTCTTGGAAATCTGAAGGAATTAGAATATGGAAGGCGACATTTAAAATTTTATTGGCTGTAAGATTATATCTATGAATCAATGGGATAATTCATATGTTGATTCCAAATGATAATTGCTGAGCTGACTGGACAGCTACTGTTGTAGGAAATTTTTTATTTGAAATAACTATAAAACAGGTTTGAGGGACTAATCTTATGTAAAAAAAATTCTACCACTTCCATTCTTCAATCTTAGTCTGTGTTATTTATCAACTGGATTGAGAACTTGACATTTTTGTCGTCAGCAAATACTGCCAAGAGACTAAATGATAGCTACATTCAAATTACCTGCAGTTTTGCTCTTTATCTTGAAAACGCTTCCGTATTTCACTGTTGATTTGCAAGAAGTGAAATTGCCTCCCTCAAGTATATCTGTATCATAACATCTGCCATTACTATAGCATTTCCCTGCACTACAAGTCTCAAGTTCTTCAGTAAGAAGTGAAATATACGGGCCTAATTTGTTATTGACGTAGTTCTTATACTTAAGACAGATTTCTTGTGAAGTACTTTCGTCATAGTGGTTGCCCCATAATATTAGTCCAGCACATCCATGGTCCACCGTTTGACCAATTGCATTCTCTAAGTCGTCCTGCAAGATTAAAATGACTTAGTGGAACAACGCATCTCTCTCTCCACACAAAACTCGAACGGTCACTAAGGTGTAACTTTCTTTGCTTTTTTTAGCTTGGGCTTTGTTTTAAGCTACCAAAGAAGTTTTAAGCCTAGATCGTTAACAAAAATTTATAGGAATGCCTTAGCTGTAGAGGTACGTAATACTATTTGTGACAACGCGCTTCCAAGCTATACTAACCTCCACAAACATGTGGACGGTCTCTTTGGCGTTACTTCTGAGTTAATTTTTGTGTGCAAATCTTATATCTAAGCTGAAGTGTAGTGCTTTAAAGTCTTTAGTCCTTTAATCTATTTCAATATTTTGCATTCATGTTATGGATATTTATATGTTTAAGAGAACAATATAAATGGATTTCTTCAACCAAACCTCGTTCAACATTTTGAAATCTCGAGCTCCAAAGTGATACACTGGTCGGAGATAAGGAAACACTGGTAGTTCATATCCAGGTTTTCTTCCAATCTTGGAAACCCTAAATGCTTCTTTTAATCTTTCTCCGACGTATTTATTGTTGTCCCAGAAGTCGTCCATAAGATAGATAGAGGGAAACAATGCATTAGTGCTGTTGTATAACCAAGTTAATCGGTTGTTCCATTTCTTGTTCTTGGAAATAAAATAATAATATCCTGACATTATGGACGATATTTTATTTTTGTGAATATTCTTTAGACAGCGCAATTTAATGAATATTGATATAGTTCATTCTCTTTCAAACCCAGCCGTTTCTCTGTAAGCATGAAAATTTATGGTTTTTATGCATGCACAGGCAGGAGTGTAGTTATTTCATTAATTTCTCGTACCAGCTCGGTGCAGTTTCCATGACAATCTGGAAATCCATAAAAACCCCATAGTGCCTTTGGCCTTAGCTTTTGTCCTAATTTAATGGTTTCTACAATGAGATGACGACCCGCTTGCTCAAATTGTCTTTTTGCCTCGGCGTGTAACGTGCTAATATTTCTTACTCGGCCATCCATCTTCACCAAGGCAATCGACTCCGTAACGTACAAATGTTTTTTTCCAAAGTTTGTCTCCCATATTGGTCTCCAACCTTCCCAGTCGATGACCGCGAGGCCGCTGTACATTGGCACTGGAATTTTATCAACGATATGTTGCGATGCTTTCTGAAGATGCTGTGTGATGTTTGTGAGCTAAATATGTGGAAATGTAGATGTTGTGGTTGCAAATTTTTATAAAAATAAAAGGAAGTAAATGAAACTGAGAAGTTTTACATCGGTCATTGTTTAACACTATGGCGAAAGATTCGATCAATGTTTCAAAATTAACATGTTTTCTTCTTATTGGTTGTTTTTTGGTTTTGTTGACCAATCATATTGCGAGCTTATCAGAACAAAATAAACTTCGAAAACCTTTACAAATTTTGAAATGTACTTACACATAAATAGTCGATATTTGTTTTTTAAATGGAAATTGAGAGTCGTTGAATAGGCAGAATTAAATCTATTAATTTATCAACATTTGTCGAAAATTGCTCTTTGTTATTTAGAAAGAGTAACAGCTAATACGTCATTTATCATCGAAATTTCTTCGATGATGGCTTGCAGCAGGCTTAACCAAGTCACTTACTTGCGGTAAACCATCGTTAACCTTTGAACTTTTGTTATCATTGCGATAATATGGGTACAACCCTAACTGTCCATTGTAGAAAACTGTTATCACCTCACCATTCCATGTCTGATTGCTGTTTGTTAATATACCATATTTCTCGAGCTCAATATTCACTCGGAAGTTCACATGGCATCCTTCTGTCGGCGAATTCCATAGTACCACAAATGGCTTTCCGAATTTTGATTTGGTTGTGCAACGGCAAACGGCCGAGTTTATATCTAGAGTTTGGACACAAACCAGAAAACAGGTCATTATTATTAAAGATGTTTGTTTACCGCGAAGTTTCTTGATTTTTATTTTGTTCGCGCTTGAATGAAATGTAGTAAGTTTTAACATTTTTCCAGTTTTAGGTCCATCAGCTGGTTTGTCATTAATTATTTTGTTTCTTTGTTCTTCAGTAAGTACGTTCTAGTCTCCATAGAACATTGAATCTATATTCTTTTCTTCTAGAAACTTGTCCACTGTGGAACTTAGGCAAACTGTTCAGGTTATTTCTTGTTTTTTATTTCGAATTTGGTAGATATTGACATATCAGATGAGAAATTCTCTGGCCTGCCTCTTACATCTTCATCACGATTATTTACTGGTGATAATTATCCTTTATCTGTTATGGTCAGTGCTTCCATTATTCATGACTTTTGGTCACATTCATTGTTTATAGCATTGTTTTCGTCTGACTAACATAACGATTAATAACAAATATATATTCCACATTCTCACATCAACCACAGTAATTTTTTTGCTCAATTATTGGTTCAACTCAAAGAAGATAGACATTTGAGTCATGTTTAAACACCTGTTATTTACATTTACTACTTTCCAAAGTTCATGAAGCAATTTTTATTATTTGTTCATGCGTTCATTGTTGGATTATTTATTATTTATGCTTTTCATCTATGTAATTTGCAATTCTCATAACACAAAGATGCTTTTTCTCTTTAAAACTGTACCCTTGATCAATAAATATATTAACAAACTTTAACTCTTCTTGAAAAGCGTTCCAGTCTCATGCACTATTGAAGAAAAGAAAGACGTTCTTTAAATAGAAACAGTAATAAGATTAAGAGAGCATTGCTAATCAACTAAACAATAGAACATAAAAGCTCATTAATTTAGTCTAAATAGAAACAGTAATAAGATTTAAAGTATATAAACTAGGAACTAAACAATAAACACAATAGCTTAAAAATAGCTGATGATCATCTCTAAAAAAGCAACAATGATGGCTTGGAGTCTGCATTGACGATTATTTCACCTTAGACTTTTAATACAAAAGAGTCTTCTCATTTGTTGCCAATAACTTGTCATTTCTTGGCTGCTTTTCTGTTTTCCCTTTTTTATGAATCACGACTACTTCCAATCAATAATTGGACATAATCACGCTAAACGGTTTTTTGATGAGGTATTTGGTTTTTCAAATGTCCATGCTCTTGACGTTCAGAACTCCATGCTCGTGACTCCACGTTTCTCTCTATCCGTCACATGATTTTTGTTTAACATTTCTATTGGCTTGCAAGTGTTTGAGAAGAACTTCCATTGTCAAACGCTTGTGATTACAAGTGAATTTTATCAACCGGAGTAAAGTTTGTTTAGCAGTTGAGATGTTGTGTTTCGCATTCCGTGACCTAGTCCTGTGTGGCTCGCAGTTTGATACCCTTGATGACAATACAAAGCAGCGGAGTCTAAACAAACTATGACTATTGCGTGTTGTGACTCCCAACAGATGCACGTCAGATAAAATCTGAAGGATTACATAAAATATTGGCAATTGTTGTTTTGGAGGAAAAAGTTATTGGAGGAGAAAATTATGAACCTCAAGTCATGTATATAAATCATAAATATGCTTTTTTCGAAAGCCAAAGCATTGTGTTGGCTGTTTTTCTTGTATCAAAATTTACCATGATTTATCATATTCCCGACAATTGATGGTTTTAGGACTGCTGGTAGAATTTGATAGAAAGTAGAGCTGGATCTGTTAACACGAACGTATTGAAGAGTTCGATTACTTGACATGTTTTTCTACGCTCTTTATAAAAATTTTCAGAGAATTTAGTTTACTCACTTCGTGGAATGTATGAGATATTCTTTACATTCTTTCTCAATGAAGTAACTGCCTAACTTAACTATGTAACCACTGATATTTTCAATAAAAACCAATCATTTGCTAGTATATCAGACCAGCGGTAATTCCAATAAGGAGCAAGTGTACCAGTGTTACCAGTGTCGTTTTCAATAGGGACTGATGATTTTTTATTATATTTGTGGTGTTTTCGATAAGGACCAATCATTTGCTAGTGTACAATGATGTACATGGTAGACAGAAAATATTGAAGTGACTACTTACGAAAAATTTTTCTTTGAAGCGATGCATTCGATTTTCCCTACACAAAAGGAGTAAACATCTTCAGTTGCTCAAATTGTTGAAAAATTATTTGGTAATTAGCACATCAGAAATCAACAGTGTTTTACAATGCATTATGATTACAAATTTTCTACAATCTAGCGATTCCACCACAATTTTTTCTGGTAAATTTAGCCATTTTGACAAACTAAGATCTGTTATTCGGCCTTACAATTCACATCCACAATTTTATTGCCTTAACAACAGTGTTCCCCTAAAGATACTGCTGTAAATGGTTCAGCTGTACTTCAAACAAACGTTGCGCTCTACTATTGGTAACATTGGAACATCGATATTGATGCAAGTAATTTTCCCTAAATAATTCAAAATTTATATTCTATTACCAGAATATGATTTTTAATCCAGTTTCTTTCTTCATTCTGTCTTGTAATCCTGTATTCTGCCAACTTTAGTCTTTAATGCCAGAAGTAGGTACTAAATTGAAGAAAATTCCTTGATTTATGTAAGGAAAAACCGTGCTAAGTGTATTCACAAATTTCTTTGTCCTTGCCAAAAATCGGTTACCTCCCACTCTCAATAAAATTATCCCGCCTTGTAATCGCCGTTCAGATTTTACCGCGTCTCCAGGCTTAGTGTGGAATGCATACCGGAAAGCTCGTTGTGTGTATATGGTGTCATTGAATATGCGCCTGATCTTAAGGTTAAATATCATAAACTAAAATACGATTGATTTTACACGATACAAACGCGTCATAATGGCGATGTTTTGGTGTGCGTTATACAATTACAACGAAGCAAGCAGTAGCGTATGGTAATATTGAAATATGGAGAAGAACGAGAGAATTATCGGTAAGTTAGAAATTTTTATGATCCGGCAATCAGCGTGATGTATTATTGTCGGGTCAGGCTTCGTATCACGACTGTTTATGTTGAATATATTTTGCCTTGTTTTTTATGTAAAGCGTTTTGTTGTAGTGACTGTTGTTATAGGAAATATTGCAGCAAGAAGGCAATGTAGCTATTACAGATATAATACATTACCAGTCGGTCGTATGGGCTCATGACTACAATTTGATGAAAATTTTGCGGTTTTTTTGCGTTCAATAAAAGCATTTTGACAAAGGCCTTAATTTAAATAGACGATTGCATTGTTTATATTAAATGGCGCAGTCATTCTTAATCTTATCTAATTCAAAGTTCATATCTCCATTTGTACTTTATTTAATTCTATCCCTGTGTCGTAGAGCTACTAGTATGCTAGAATTGTATCTCTTTAAGAAACCCTGTTTTGTACTCTGGCTCTGTGAATACAAAATATTTTTTGGATGCTTGTCAAAAGACATCCTGAACAAATATACATTCAAATGACTCATTGTACGCTCATGAAATAAAGCAGAAATCCTATTTTCTACTGCTAATCTCGTGCTATGCTATTCATTTCATTCAAGTCTTCTTGCTCATGAGATCAATTCTGCTGCCTCTTTCAATCATGATCTGAATAAGAATTGAGCATCAAATTTTAGTTTGCTTAATGAGTCGGTAGCGTTCCACGTAGATGCTTGTTTGTAAAGCAGATCAATAGAGATTATTCTCGAAAGTTAAAAAGAAAATAACAAGTCATTGGTGAAGAACTGTAGTCCACGTTTCACAATTAAAAACTCGACAATTTTTATTGCTTCCTGAAACTACTCAGACACGAGTAGTTATGCGTTGGATGTGGGATATAAATTATCGTGACCTAGCAACAAATTGTCTTGTATTGTGAAACAAGCATTGTACACTTTGAATTTTTTTTCGATCTTCTTAAATAGCCGTAATCGGTCATCATAGTGAGTGCTGCAGAACTGATACAAGTGCAAGACGACTTGACCTAAACAATTAATACTGTTGAATGAAATCCTAGCTAAAGGTTTATTTCAGTGTGTGATCAGATAAATAATAAGTTTTTTTGTTGTATATTTCTTAGCTATAACCCGCATTCTTCCTGGACTTGAAACATTCCTACGCGAGACCCTTGCAAACGAGAACTTGAGTGCTGATGCAGAAAAGCAAAGACTGAATTTCGTTAAGAATCTTGAGGTGCTCACTACACCTCCTCATCTCCCACCGCGACCAACGAACCTAAAGATACAAAGCCGTTCCTCTGTTGACTCTATAGACAGCATTGAGAATCATGAAAACGATTTCGCTTCTGTGCAGAGGAAACTTTCCAATATATACTACATGAGACGAGATTTCGATGAGTTAAACGAACATTTGGTCAACGGGTACTCAACAGATGAATCTCACAAAAGCACCTTACGTAAGGTAAAGTCTACATATTTTTACATGGTAAACTTAGGTCCAGATGTCTACATAAAACATCATGTATAGTGTGTAAGTTTTAGTGAATGAAAATAGTTAACATGATATTGTGCGTCTATTGGGCTATAAAGTTGCAGTTTTATGTTAAAAACTGCAAGCCATGGTCAAATAAGTGTATATAAGGCCATAACCATACAATATTGTCAAAACTGATGCTCAACATTGTTGTTCTTTTTTACATACACTAATCACTTTTGAACTACATACTAAACGTTGCATGTGTAAAAAAGATGCATGGCATTAGGGCATTAGTAAAAATACCCAAATGTTTATCCTAAGGTTTTAGGAAGCACACTATGCAAATGCATGGCGCCATTATTTGTAGTCAAACGTCGTGAACGATTACGACAACAAACGGATAACATGCAATTTATAACGATATGTGCAAGGATGTTTTTCCCCTACGACCATGGTCTTCAATTAATGTTAGGCTTATCTCGAACACTTATAGCTGTCGTATAAATCTTGAAATATGCAAATACTTATATGTTTGATCAAGTATTGTACTATGCAGTTATAATTTATAATATAAAACTCCTAGTGGCAGTGAACAACGGTTTTGACCATTAATTTCTGCCTTTATGATAAAAACTCAAAAATACATCATGGTTAAGGATCATTGTATACGAATAAATAGAACGGTATAAATTCATATTTTTATCATTCAATCTGTAAATTGACGTTCAACCATAGACAATAGACGTTCAACCATAGACAATATCATTCAATGTTGCAATTTTCCTTATGGTTTCTCGAGATGAATTGTTTGTTATTCTCAACATTTGTTGTTGAATTTAAAAAGGGTTTTGTACTGCCGTCTACGTTTCCGGGTTGTAAAAGAGGACGAAATTGGAGCTGTCATTTTTGGGCTAATATTGTCACTGTGTAATATTATTCACCATTTGAAATCGTGAAGTCGATTTCATGACCGCAAGTGCTTGTATATATTTGAAAGAAACGGAGTTTAATGAAATAAATATACGAAACAATTTTACGAAATCATTTTGCATACAATTTATTCGACCATATTTACATACAATGAAAAATATTTGGAATTCTTGTTTTTAGATTAACAACATAATAATTTGGGTAGTTGCCATACTTTAATTAAATAGTTGATGAAGAAGAAGATAATTTTTCTTCATTCTTCAATATGTTTCGTCTCTTGCTTGGTCATTTTCAAAAATGCTAAATTGTTACTGTAAAACCATTTCTCTGTGCCTCGTTGTCATGTATATAAAATCCATTAATTTAATATATCCGAAAATCACTTCAACGAAAATGATGTAGACACAGCATGAAGTATTTTGATTTGATTACTCGTACAACATTGTTCGTTCGTTAAAACAATTGCGTATTTAGTGTCGACAGTTCCTTCTGTTGTTTGCAAATCAATAAAAGCATGTTTATTTTTGTATTGCCCGTTCTATTTTAATTTAAGTACCTCTCTCTAAAGATCGTTCAATAAGGAGCTGGTTGCATTAAGTGAGTTCACTAAGTTGTACTTTCTTGTGTAGTATGAACACACACGAGAAAAATATTTTAGAATAGGCAGTTTTAACCAGCACCAGTAAGTTTATTGGAGGCAAAAATTTCTAAGTTTCAACAGTCAAGCAGCTCTTGTGATATATTGGCTTAATTTGACGTTTTTGTATGGATTAAGTAAGGCTCGGTTCTTTATCGGTAAAGTCGACGACTCGCCCCACATTCCATGAGGACACCTTATCTGAGAAATTTCGCTCATACTGATTTCATTTGAAATTTTATCTACACTGAAAAGTGCGGTTGGGCATGTGAAAGTACTCACATGTAGAGTTAGCATAAATGTTTTTCCAAAAACAGTTGCTCCAAATAATGCGTAAGCATTTTGATTCAACATTGCACCAGGAGTGATAAAATAAAGTTTAAACGTTGAATAGAAATGCTAGATTATTTCGACACAAAGGCAGGCGTAAAGGTAGACATAAAGTTGGACTTTAAAAGTGGACATAAAGGTATATATATATATATATATATATATATATAGTGGTTGAGAAAATACACAAAACTACAATTTCATCCCGACAAGCCTGTTTCGTGATTGCTCACTTCATATATATATATATATATATATATTATTATGGATAATATTCCTGGATAAAAGAGCGCTCAATATTCTATATATTAGAAGATAAGATAATGAATAAAATAAAATGGACAATTGTTTGCTGTCGCTACTCAGAGTTTCACGCCGCAGTTGCCTGAAGATCGCCCTACGGCGTGAAACTCTGAGTAGCGACAGCAAACAATTGTCCATTTTATTTTAGTTCATTTTATATATATATATATATATATATATATATATATATAGGAAGTTTATATTTGATGATTCTCCGTATAAAACAGTGCTCGATGCCTCGAGAGCAGAGCGTAAATATGTGTAGTGGTGTTGAGAAAAAATCACAAAACTACAGATTCATCCCGACAAGCCTGTTTCGTGATTGCTCACTCTTCAGGGGATTTAATGAATTCATTTAATTCATTATATCGTGCATGAATAGATTCCTACCAAAGGAAGGAAAAAGAAGACGTTGGGAGAGGGAATCTATGAACCGTTACCTGGTATTGTACATGAAACAGACCATGAAACAGAGGGAAATGTTCTTAGTGAGGACGAGTCACGTGTCCACAACCGTACTCTAATGCGTAGCACACACATAAGACAGTCGCTTAGCAGAGGAAAATGGTAGGTCAATTCATATTAATGCAACCTGTAAGCCACTTCATGAAACTATAAAGTGTAAAAGCTATATTTGTTTGTTATTCACCTACGTAGGTTTAATAAAAAAGAGAAATCAATCTTACAAGAAGTATTTGCTTACGATCTAACGCTCCCAACAATCTCTGGACATCTTATGGAAGTGAGAACAAGCAAACGAAGATGGTGTGTACTCAAGGATCAATACTTATATATCTTTAAGAATCAAGAAGAGCCAGCCCTCTTTCAGATTTCTTTGCCCGGTTGTCATATATCTACTGTCCCTAAAAACGACAAAACCAAGGTACGGTGTGTTCTTGATGTAATTTGATTGATTTAAACATATCTCCAAACTTTTTCCTTCGTCTTATTTAAGGCTTTTCTTAAGTTTTGCAGCGTGAGTATATTAGCAAATATCTACAAGTCATGTTTAGTATTTTTGATGTATTTATTATACTATTTCAGCATTTTCGTTTTAATTGTTCTTTTCATTAAAGGCGTTGTTGCTCCTCTTATGTTTTATTGTAGGTCACATATTCATTCAAAATCACACAAAATGGTGTTGCAGCTGTGATTTTGGGTATCGAAGAAGAAAAAGATCTTTCCGCATGGATGAATGCACTCATCACAGCTTCTGTAGCAAAAAATCCAACAACGACCCTTGGAAAGGCCAGTAGAACTCTTCCACGTTCTATGTACACACCATCAGTTGAGGAGGAGTCAGCTGATGAAGAACTGCCCTCACGCAGGCATACCGTGGGTTCAACTTCCACTATCACGAAACAATCATATTTTGAAATAGACTTTGGAACGTACGAGAGACCTATAGATGTCTTGGTAAATTTTGACTCATCTTATATTTCAATATTTTCGACATGGGAATTTTAATTTTGCGCAAAAAACTCTTTATGACGTTCTTTGCTGCAAAAAACTGAAAGAAACTTTTTAAACATGAAACGACTTTATCAAACGTTTGTGCTTTTGAAAATACTTGTTTACGTTTTAGGGACTTGAATCATCTCTTGACACAGAGAATTACAATCCGCCTTTACCTCCACTCCCTGGGGATATTTCTGACTTAATGCACCAAGGTGACTACGAAGAGAACAGACGTTTGTCAAAGTACTCTGGAATTTATGAAGAAGTTGGAGACGAGCTTATCAACAAGTATTCTATTAAAATGAATGATGAAGTTACAAACAAGAATGGTGATGAAGATGAAGATCAGGACGTCAAAAATGAGGAGCCTAGAAACAGTGAGAAGACACAGCGAAAATATTCCGAAGTCGGTACAAGTGATAGCGAGTATTCCACCGACAATGATGAGAATGAAAAGGAGTTTCACGACCGCTGGGCTTTACATAGTGGTGTACTTTACCAAAAACGGCTCACAGGATGGAATAGACGATATTGTAAAATAGTTGACAATTGTCTCCGTGGATTCAGGTTGATGATTGTTATTGATTATGACCACTTCTTAAACGATTGGACTTGTGGATTTACGCAAATCTCTTTTTAGAAACCCAAATGACCTTTCTCCAGTTTTGGAAGTAAACCTTAGTGCTTGTAACGTTCGTGTTGCGGAAACAGAAGGAAAGAGGCGGTTTATCTTTCAACTTAACACGGAAGAAAACGAGTCCTTGTACTTTAATGTGGACACACAAGATAATCTTCATCGATGGATTGAAGTGATTTCCATTGCAGCAACATCAAGATCAGAACGTTCCGCTACAATTTCGGAAGACGAACTGGATGTTAGCCATGTAGAGGCTGACCAATCAACAGTCGATACTTCTGATGAGCGTTTGGGTTCACATGACAGTATTCCTTTGCCAATTCCAGAGAGAAAAGAGTCTTTGAGGAAAGAGTCATTGAGAATAGAAATCACCAAAGAGAAAACAAGAGAAGAAATATGGTACGTAGAGAATTTAAATGTCTTTATTACTGGTTGCTTTATTTTTTATTTCTCTCCGTGAACGTTTGCGTTGTAGTGAAAGAGAAGAAGACTTGTCACAAGATGGTTCTTACCGAAAATTTAGTAGTATTCCGAATTCGAAGTCCAGGAGTTTTGAAGACTCTCACAATCAAGAAAGCAAGGTACCGCTATTCTTTCCTCAGATTTATTGTTGATATTTCATCGATATCTTATCGCATGAAATTTGCCTTGTCGCTTTTCTTTTATTGCTTTGAAGGCTGTTGTTATACGACGTAATGAGAAAGTATGTTTATACTCTCACTGAATATCTATAACAGGAAAATAAATAAGAAAGTTTTCTCCTATTTCCTCCTTGTTATGAAGGAAAGGATTGTGAAACTAAAATATGTAATTGTTTTCAGGGCTGGGATAGCAAGCTAATATGGGAGAAACGGAATCCCACTCAGCCCACATATGCCACGACACCACGTGCAAAAGCCATTTCCAGAATGGTGAAATCAAAACCTGCTAACGTGTCGTCTAGAACAACGAGCAAGCAAAGTCTTGAGTTCACTGACTGCTTGGAAACTTCGCCACAGCGAGCTTTGCAATTATCGAAGAAACACGAGTGCTTGGAAAAATTGAATAAATATTTGGACAAAGAGGGTCAGTTTAGCGGTTTCATTTTAGAATTGCATATTGCAACAAGCAGCACAACGTTGACACGACGCTGGGCGGTCGTTCAACATGGATTTTTGAGAATATACGAGAATTACGGTTGCGCTGAACCATTTCTCAAAATCTCGTTAGTCGAAGCGTTTTTGAAGGACTATACAAATTTAACAAAAGCGAGGTTTTGTTTCATGCTGGAGTATGGAGCTGGACAATCAATCTTATTTCAAACAAACACGCATCAGGAATTAAAAAAGTGGATTAATGTCATCACACTGACCATTGCGTCGTATACCGAGCATTTTGGATCAGATTGGGATATCACACGACATGGAAGGACTGCAAGGATAACACTGACAATGCACGAGCGTACCATAGTCACCATTTTGGATCAGGTTGGGATATAACACAACACGAAATGACTACAGAAAGTGTTTCGGATTATTCACTTTCACTTGAAAAATCTCCACGCTCTGGGTCCTTAGATGATACAGATGGACCAAGCAGGACATCATCAAATGTGCAGTCTTCTGCAATTATCAATTCTCATGGTAATGCGCTTGATGGCTACCATGATAACAAAGACCTTACTAACCCATCGACTATAGTTGATAAATCTGCCAAACAGAGTTTAAACGCCGTTAAGAGTTCTGACAGTGTGGATGACGATAATTTAGTTAACTCAAACGGTCTGGAGTTACGCACTTATAGAAGTTCTTTGGTTCACAAAGTGAAGCGCCGTGGATTTTTAAAGATGGAAAAGCCATCAACCGATGATGTTGAGAATTCCAGAGAAGACGTCGCTGAGCATACTCTTCAATATGGTTTGTCTAAATCCAACCAAGATTTTGCCAGAAAATTCTGTGAACTAAAGAGAACTTTATTTAGCGTTTATGACGACGAAAAGTCTGAAAACCCAAACCTTGTTTTTAACCTTCTTCATGACAAATATTGTGAAGACTCTAGTACACCATTTTCTTTCTTGCTCAAGTCCGAGCGTTTGGGAACAATAAAGTTTAGTTGCAACAACGAAGAAGACTTCATTGCGTGGAAGAAGGTCTTAACAAAGACAATATCACAGGAAAATGCATTGGAGAACTCGACAAAAAAGCCTGGCAATTGCGTCACTGATTCTCCTATAGTGCGAAAACGAAGCTCACTGCGCGCAAGTCTCGTTGAAGAAGAAACAAAACATCACGAGGTTTTAAGAAGCTTGGCCCATTCCCCTCCTCGTGTTGATAAAAGCTCGTATAGCTGCTACGTTTATGAAGTTCGAGATTCTTCAGGTAATAAAACCATTATTCGCCGCTGGTGTGTTATTGATGTCGACCTTATTCAAATATTTGAACGTGAGAACTCGAGGGAAGCCGTAGTCGAACTTAAACCGAATGCTTATAGACTGCACAACATCGAGAACCCTCGTGATCTACCGTTCGCCTTTAAACTTGAACGTCTTTCAGCTATGGATAGCAATGATGAATTTTTAGTTATACAAGCATCAAACGCCAAGGATTTCAGAGAATTATTAATGCGACTCAAATACATGAAATCAAATCGCAGGAAATTAGTTGCATCGAAAAGCGAGACTAACATTAACATTCCCAAAAGACCTGCGCTCGTTCATTCGAAAAGCGAGATTTCTTTCAAACGGATTTTTACATTAGCTCGTAAAAAGTCAGTGGACAACCTCGCTTCAAGTGTTCATAGGCAAGGTCACGACACCTGGCCAAAAGTAGTAAAAAGAACACGGAAAACTAGCCGTAGAACGTTAAGTGATGCAAACACTGATCAAGCTGCCATCAAATCCGTTATCAAGAACACGTGCGACAAAACTGACAATAGAAATTCACTGGGTAGTTTTATTTTAGATTCAGAGAGGAAAATGAACGGATATCTAAATGTCGTGCGAAACAGCGAACTTTGCCGAAGTGAGGTGAGAAAATGGTGCGTTGTAAAAAATTATACGTTTGAAATTTTTGACGATAAAAACTCGAATTTACCATCTACTGTAATGAGCCTTGAGAAAGACGTAGAATTGATTGATCACAGTCGTATGGATGAAAACACATTTGAAATACGCGCCACCTCAAAGTGTCACGTGTTTCGAGCAGCTGAAGACTTTGAAAAATGGCTTACCATTTTGACTCAGATCATCCATACTTCTCCAGAAAATAATCAAGATCCTCCAGAGAGAAATGGATCGCAAGTCCACACGTTGAAGAGTAATGGCATTCATGGTGATGTAAAAACGGGAAATATACCTAAGTAAATATTACCATGATGGTAAACTTCCTGGATGGAGATTGTTGGGATAGCATATTTGAAGGAAAAATACAGTTGTTAAAGAAACTGAGCGAAATACATGCTCCATATCGCATACAAAATGGTATTGTATTCAATCTTGGCAAAGAAAAGAATGGAGTACGTTTTTATATTGAAAGAAGTGGTGTATGAAAATTAAAAAACTCACCATTGCTCAGCTTAAACACAATTACTATCGTGTTAGATAACATCAACTTTAAGCCTACACGAAGTATATTTTGAAAGACTTAAGTTTGCGCTCAAAAAAAAAAATGAAAAAAAAATGTGTTGAAATGACCGAAGTAACAGTTGACGCTATTTAGCTAATCTACATGTTACTGTGATAGAGTAAATATATCGAAGTCTATTATTGATGAAATTTTCTTTTATTATTAATGTGATGTTTGATTTTTAATTTATTTCATTTTATCATTTACATCTTACAACAAGCCAGCTCTTTGATTTTTTTCAAAATCCCTTGCAGTGAAAAATAATGTTATAATTTTATGCTCTGTTGAGCACTTTGATGTACGCCCGTAACATAGCCGCTTTGACGTCACATGCAAACATTCTATACAAACGTTTGGACGACAGAGTCCGTTTTTGTTCAAAACATCTGCTCAGTAAAAGAGTTTTTGTAATGACAGACACCGGTGATAAATTATTGACAACGAGAAACTTGAAGAGAAAGTATAAATAAACAACGAAGAAAACGTTATGATGACTGGTAGCGCCGGCGCCAAATAAAAATTAAGGGGGGGGGGCTGTGTTCATATGTTATAATCCATATCGCCATTGACCATTGATTTGAACATATAAAGTAGAAAATGCACTATGAATATTAAGCCTCCCGCCGCAATTATCAGTTGGATTTAGACAAACCAACTGAGACAAAAGACTTAAATCTTATTAAAAATTAAGTATGTTATTTTCATGATAATTGCGTATTTCCGTCTTTCAATAAAGAATCTTGCTCGGTCTTGACCAGAGTTATTTGTTGATTTCTTGATTTGCAGGTGTGTTACAATAACAAGGAGGTAAATCCATCAAAAATCATCTTCAAAACAAGCTACTGGTACATAGTGAACTTTACATTGAAATGATATTTATCATGTCTCAAAGAAATTGCTAAAGTTGAGTGTCCTACGAAATACAATATTCACGGTATTTGCTACACGTTAACAGTATGAAACTTGCCGATGATTCGAGTTCATCTGCAGAAGGTATAGTGAAAGTTATTGTTTTTCACCGTGGCTAGGGTTTCTCATCTCTCCACATCTATCTCTTTTACAATGAAATATTTCTTATACAAAATAAAAGTGTGGATATGCGAATGGAGATAATCCACTTAGAGCGAGATTTTTAGAAATATATTCTAATAGTCTCGGATGTCAGTATCGATTATCTCCGAACTACCCTATTGACATTTTGTCATGAGCGGAGATCAGATCAAGCAAACAAATGAACGAACTCATATTTCCTTCACAAATTAAAATTTCTCGACAACGAAAGCAAGGTTCTCATAACGCTGTAAAAATGTACGTGTTAGTGAAATGAAAGCTGCAATCAAAACAAACTTGCACGAATATTCAAAGGATGTTAATCGAATCGATTTGAACGGGCGTTGAAATTCCATGACAAATATGTATGGCGCATTCCATGATGAAAAGCAAACAAGTGGTCATTGCACAAGATCTGACATTTCATTTCAATAAAATTAGAGACTGCACTCAAAAACACGCTTCATAAAGAGTAAAGAGTACTTTTGTCGCATTGCATAGTAGATGTGATTCTCACAATAAACATCTGCCATAGTGTTGCATAAAGCTATGCACATAAATATTTGAAAGTTTTTACAAGCATAAGAAATTTTTTTGTGTTTACTGCAATGGAATGATATTTGAAAAGAAAAAGTATTGCAGATGTGACTGTATACATCAATCATAATACAACGAAAGATATTTGACAGATGTGAATGTGTGCGTTTGCTAGAAGAGGGATAAAAGTAGGAAACAATGCAATTTCTTGTCGGTAGCAAGCTTACATTAGAAAATCACCAGTCTGTAAGAAGTGATGTTTTTCTGTGTTGACATCTATATATAGATCTGTTGAATGTACAGAATTTAGCATTGGGTAAAATAAATTCTAGCAGCTCAATAATAAATAACAAAGATATTCATTATTTATTATTTTTCAAAGTACAGACAGATTTTAGCGATCGAACTGCTTTTAAAGTATTCTGAAATGTAAACATATCTTAGAGATTAAAATGATTTGCTTGACGTTCTTATTAAGAAGGCGGACTATACGTGCAAGAATTTATTCAGGGACGGCGGTAGAACTCTAATGGGGGGGGGGTTTCATATATTCAGTTGTGGCCGACTAACTTCATTAGAACACCAAATCACTTTTAAAAGAAATCACTCGCCCCCAACTGAATATATGAATATACACACTCAATTAGCGTTCTAGCGCCGTTCCTGAATAAATTCTTGCACGTATAGTCCGCCTTCTTAAATTTATCTTGTGACGTAGACGGAAGCTTAAACATTGGAAGATAAACAGTGGGTGGTAGCTAGCAAAAAGAATAAGTCACGTACAGTTTTATTAAAGGAAATTACATTGAAAACTACTGAATGTTGTTCGTGATCTCAGTATTTAAACACTCCTAACTTACATTCAATATTGAGGTTTTCTAATAATGACTTAAATAGAACACTGGATTGACTTGTTTTTAAAGTAACAGAGCGTAACGGCGTCTTATACCACTTGAGAGAAAATTTTTTGTCAAATGCCGTCATTAATAAGTGGTTATCCGTTCTCGTAGAATAGTGACCTGACAATTTTATTATATCAACGAAGTTCGCGTTAAATTTATAGATTCGAAGGAAATGTTATCTGAAATAAAAAATAAACTGATTGATCTGATGTTAGAGAGGTCCCTCTCCGAACTTGCAAGGGTGAAACTTAAAGATTGTATTTCATTGCTGGAGGCATTTTCAACCTCGATAGATAGAAATTTTGAGAAGGATGAAAAGTCTACAAGCACAACATTAAAACCTTTGCAACCGTCTCTCCCTCGATCATCGGAGGACCTGAGTTTAAGAGAACAAAAAATGCCTAACTCGCGATCCACATCCGCTCTTAACGACATGAAAATGGTAAGCATTCAACTTCATGAACTTTTTAGTAAAAAGTTGAGGTTTGTTTTCTTAAAGTTCAGCTGTCATTGACCATGCAAAATAATGTGATTCACGATAACCAGTCGAATATGGCCAATATGAATAGCAAATGCTAAAACTCACATAAAAGTTTGACTATTTAAAAACATTTTAAGTTGCATAATTGAATACTACTAATGCAAATGCAAGTAAAATTTCTCAATATAGACTTTAAATGCTGTTTTAAAAATATTATTTAGTGCAATAACGAAGATGACGTCATAAAATTAAAAGACTTAAAACTGAAATGTGTTGAAGGTTTCGATGAATTTAACGCTAACAGAAGTAATAACGAACTCAATGATACCTCATACAAAGATCTAAACGTTGATGGATTAGTTTTAAATCAATTTAAAACAGTTAAAAATCTAGAAATGAATAACGATAAGTTTAAAGACAAGCATCAAGTGAATGATCAATACAAAATATCAACCAACGATAGTCTCGTCCATGAAGTAAACAATATCAAACCGGAAGTAATGAGGAAAGAATCAAACAATCCCAAACCAAGGCGTAAACGAGATAGTTCAACGTTATTTGATATCTCATTGGATGATTTGACTGAACCAAATCATTCTGGATTTTTAATCGAAAAGCATTCTGGTAAAGATTGGTGGTGTGTACTCCAAGATCAGCACTTGTGCATGTTCCCATCCAAGAATCGTGAAGAACTTGCTTATGACGTGTTACTAGTGCCATGTTGTGAAATCTCATTGGACGATGCTTTTAATAACTCACCAGTGTTTCGTCTTACGCAAGTGGGTTCAACTCCGTGGGTATTCTCAGCAGGAACGGAAAGAAACTTACGTGCATGGTTGCGAGCATTGTATCGCGCTTGTGGGAGGGATGATGCTGATTGTGGCAAGCACAGTTCCAAGAAAACACGTGGCAAAAAAGAGAAACGGCAGAAACGTAATATGAAAATGTTTACGTCGACTATTGATGAGTCTGAGGAAGTTGGAGAAGATATGGTCGAAGAGCAATGTTTACAGAACCTAAAGGAAAATGATGAAAATTCTCTTGCAAACTTGGAAGGGCAAAGTCTAAATGAAGAACTCGATGAACTGAATAGTGAAGATATTCCCAAACCTAAAACTTCACCACTATCTCAGATTTCAAATAAAGAAATGGGCTTGGTAAACCAAGATATATCATTTAATGACTTTGTTGCATTAAAAAAGCAAACAATAGAAAATGTCCCTTTAGGAAAAACCTCTAAAATAGATTTGAAATGCGCTAATACGTGTGATTCAGAGGGAAATGCGTCACAAAAGGACACTATAGAATTTGATGTAGATGGGCAAGATACTTTGGAGTTAACGTTATTTAATAAAGAAATCGGTTTTCAGCCTTTGAAAATGATCAAAAACGACAATGAGATGAATACATTCGAAGAAAAAAACATACCTGTAGCAGCAACACAAATTAACGAAAATGCGTCAACTTCAGCCGTCAACAAAAATGCTTTGCAAAAGGACAATGTTGAATCACAACTCGCGAAAATTAAAGATAATGTACACCTGAGTAACGGTAAAGTCAAATTTTTGCTTCTAAACAAGGAAGATGAAAATATAGAGGATCTGATAAGGGGTCTTGAGGTAAAACTCTTAAAATCATTTTAAAACGTCAATGAATTTAAATATAAAGGCTGAGATGGTGAGTATCTTTTCTACGAGTAAAATCAAATTTATGATGTAGAAATTTGTTGATAAAAATCCTTTCAAAATTGATCTTATTGTAAAAAAAATAAACATCTCGAACTTAGGTTGATCACGGATAACAAACTATAAGCCTTTTCATGGACGTTTGTTGCAACGTATCGCTAAATAAATATCAGTGTTTTTTTTTTATATAAACCACTAAAATTTTAGTCAGTTAATCTTTCAATTTTAGCAAATGTTAATTATTTAAAACTTCATTAAATAATGGTTGATTAAAGGAATTGTTAGGAATCAATTACTAGAGCAGAGATCATCAGATTCAAAACCGCAGTTGTGATGTTATGTTTTCATTTTGTTTGCTTCCCATGTTTTCTTTCAGACTAAAGATATGACTTTACCCAGTGGAAGTATGGATGATGATTATGTGATCATGCAAAACAATTCGGTTCAACTTCACAAAAGCCACCTCGAACCACTGTCTGTAGCATCTTACGAAACTACCAAAGCTTTTCAGTTGGAAAGAAAGAGAACAAAAAAGCGTTTGAAATTGATGAAATGGGTTAAAAAAACTATATCCAAAGAAGAAAGTGATGACCAAAGAATGGTAATTGGTGACATTTACAAAGTCGAGCAGCAAGATTACTATGTAAAACTGTGGTGCTTGCTTTGTAATGGTAAACTTAATGGGTATCGTCACGTGACTGACATAAATCCAGACATCATAATACCGCTGGCCAATTGCACGTTGATCTTAGGGTCGGTCACTTCAAACAAGCTGTTTCCGTTTGATATCGTGAGCGATGGAGTGAAGTTGGTGACATTTGCTGCACAAAGTATAAAAGAGCGAAATCGTTGGACTCAGATCGTAGAAAAACAGCGAGGTACATTCCTATTTGATGAAGTACATCGTAGTTATCGTATGGATAATACAGAATCATCTACTAGTGATGAAGATGATGAGGATCACATATATGATGAAGGTATAAAGTTTCTTGGATATTATGACATCGATATTCCTTATGTTGATTAATAGCTATTGATGAAAAATATTGTGCCTTTGTTATTGTTGAGAACATTTTTCAGATTTAAGTTAAAACACCACAAATGTCTTTCTCTTCACATGAAAGCCCCTGCTTTTAGCCGTCTTAAGCATTTTCCAATTTTTAGATAAATTTTCTCTTGTTCTTCAATATTTTTTGAATTTACTGATTTACCAACGTTTTCAATATCTAATCCAAGCTAAATGCTGTACAAGGAGAATAGTTATACGACGATATATATACGCAGGGAAAATCGCCCACATTGATTTTTCACTTGCCTATTTAGTCCTGCTATGTTAATGTTTTTTGTATTCACTTGCAGTGAAAATATATTTCTAAACAAATGAGCAATGGCAATGTTTTGAAATTTACATTGCATTAACACTTGAGGTCTGGCTGTATTAACGTAATGCCAGTGCAGGAAACAGAGGCTGTCGCCCTCCCCTGCATAGATTGACCTGTTTGGCCATTTTCAATGTATCCTTGGGAGTATTAGACATAGTCTCTTGCACAGGCTGAGTGTACAATGGCATATGGCGCTTGTGCTAAAATCATTAGAGATGACTTTCTGTATGTTAATATTCCATATTTATTCGTCTTCACTAGCAGAAATCGATATAATATAAGTCAGCATGAAATAATTCTATTCAATTCATTATAAGGGAAACAATTAACGATTGAGGAAACAGGTACCTCATCACAGGCATTCATTTTTTAGTCGATGACATATCGAAGAGGGAATCAGATTACGTTATTCCCGATATAAATGACAGCGGCTACGTTTCTGTTTTGGCGTTGGAAAGCGAAATCAGTCGTCGAAGAACTCGCAAAAGAGAAAAGAGAGAAGATATGAAAAATATCGACGAAAAAGACACGACGAAAGCAAAGGACTCTTTAGAGATGTGTAAAAATCGTTCGCCAGCACCTTTTCCAAAGAATTACACAGTCGAAAAAAACGAAAATGAGTCCAATCACACGATCCCATTGATTCATGTCGAAAAGCACACTTATGAGAACGTCGTAAAAGAAGGAAATAAAACCGCTGATTTCGATGTAAAAAATAATACGGAAGTGGAGAAATTGGCCAATTATGGTGAGTTTATTACGTGGATAAGACGAAAATCAAATGTAATGCTCTAACTCATATTTCTTCGAAAAGAAATGTAAAAATGAAAATATATAATTTGTCGTTTGTTTTGCAGATGCAGAGCAACTCGAGAGTGGAAACGAAATTCTTCCTTTCAAGCTCTCTGCCTCGTCTTCTTTACCAGATAGTCCACCTTGTGAAGCTCACAGCTCGCCTAATTTTGAAGTCGGAGAAGGGATTGGAGCGTGGAGACCTGAGACCAATGATAAAATTCAATATCTTGAAATTGACTTGGGTATGTTTGTAAAAAGAGCTCGTAGTTTGGAACAGAATCACATATGCAAATGTTCTTGCTTTAGCTTAAAGCGATACATCTAGGGCAAGAGTTAAATTTTCCATCATTTGATTGAAAGTATGGATAATTTGTAGTGAGCAAATTTGTCATGTCTCTCGTTAGCTACACTTTCTTTGTTCTTCATCAAAAGCTTACAAAGGAATAGACCATTTATATGAGCCTAATGGAATTGTTTTAAGACAAGCCTTTATGTTATGTGTAAAAAACCCAATGAACGACTCCATCGATATCGTATAACAACTTAATCTTCCACGAAATATGATGCCAATAATTGCCATTTCAATATACCAACATAATCTTCTAGGAAATGTAATGCCAGTCGTTGCCATTTCCATCAGTGGTAGGCCACACTTTGATGAAAACGGTGGTGAGTTTGTAAAATCTTTTACTGTTCATCACAGCAATGATAAAGACACGTGGACAGCATACAAGAGTCATGGAAAAATTAAGGTAATGCAACCATTCCAATGAAAGATCTCAGACGCACTTTTTACTGAAACAAATTGCACTTGAAATCATTAAACAAGTAAATTGTCAATAATTTGGGGAATCAACTTTGCTGATATTTCTTTCATTGGGGGCTATTTGCCGTTTTTTCACTAATTTTTCCTCTCGAACTTTGCAAAATCTTCTGTACAAAACCCACTAGCAGACATCATCATTATGGACTATATGTTGTCGTCAATAAAATTCACATGTTTCTTTTTCTATATAATTAATTCCAACATATGAATGTGGTCTTAGATAGGAAATTTATTTTACAGGTTTTTCAAGGAATCCTTTCAGCCAATCAAAATTGCCATAAAAATTTCAAGCACAAGATTACAGCGCAGTATTTTAGAATCTATCCACAATCTTGGCACAACCATATTGCAATGCGCGTATCGCTGTATAAGGATGATCTTAATAATTCAACGAAGAAGAAGAAGGGAGATAAATCCAAGTTTGTTTCACCAATCCCTTCACCCATGATGGGAAGAAAGATGCACATCAAAAAACAAGATATCTCAAATCCTCTTCAGGTTTCAAACAACGGTGTTTTACCAGATGTCAGCGAAGCAGGTAACATTTTTTTCTACTCCAATGAGAGTGTTTCAAGATCCTTTTTGCCAGACATTAAATGAGACCATTATGCTCATCGTGATTACCACGGCGTCTTAATACTTAAACTAAACTATGGCTGTAAATTTTCCATTTCCCATTGATTATATTATTACTTTGATTCTTAGGTGCACATGACAAGGCTAAGATTTTTGAAATTGAATCGGAATATGCCGAAAACCCAACAGCCATGGAAAGCCGGATTAAACTTCGAGAGCAACTTCTTGCAAAAGAGAAACGCGAACAGCTGATTAAATTGGAAGTAGTCAAAAAATACGTGGACAAAGCTAAAGAAAAACTTATCATACTCAATTCCTCTGCGCAACTCAAACCGGAGTCAATCGAATCAGAACAGGATTTCCTCATTGTGAATCTAGAACTAGTGAAAGTAAAGCAACGTTTGATGAATATTGAGACAGAAATGAGAGAGTTGCAAGATGTCAGGGAGAAGTACTTCAGTGACTTACAGGATAAACAGAATTCAAACGAAGAGAAATCAAATAAAGCAGTGTCAGAACAAGCAAAGACAAATAAGGAAACAAAACCACGATTAAAGAGACGACCCAGTAAGGAAGTGAGAGTTTTTAGTGAAGATGATTGTCCTGATGTTGATCCCGACGAATTTAACCACCAGGGAGATCTACATACGCCAAGTAAAGTTCTGGAAAATATTAAGGTATTACAGACAATGAATATAAAAATCTCATTTCTTTACTGTCAAAACGTGATGTAACTTTTTCCTTTCAGCATTTTGAAAAATTAACGGTATTTCAACCAAAAATACCATCCTGATAGCCAAGTGGAATTTTGAAGACGTAAACGAAAAGACTATTTCAGAGATACAATCTTGTTCTTAATCTTATTCCATTATAGAATATAATCAACGATTTATTTAATATGCATTATTATGTTCGTTTGCTTATGACTTCGTGTAGATAGAAATCATAATTTTTGAAAATCTTACACAACTTTTGCACTTTAAATACGACTACATAATGATTAATAGTCTAATGAACATGTCAACAGCAGTTATAATGAATTCAAAATAATCATGGATCAGCCGACCTTGCGAATTTGCATGCATTCAGGTTCAATTACTACAGAATCATCTAAATGTCAGCTTCCACAACAACAATAGCATTAAATGAAAAATCAGTCAGGTGCAAAACACGTTGTGCAACAAAAAATCAAAACAGACTCAGCTACGTTTGTTTAGGCATGCATAATAAAGCATGAAAGCACATATAAGCATAAACCTGAATCACCCAAAGAGAAACAACAGAAAGTGCAATACCAAGGAAAAAAGGGCGAAACCACGTTAACGCTGATGTAGGGAGAGAATTTGCTGATGACTGAAAGGGATTCTCAGAATATTACGAATAATATGAAATTCCAGACGAAAGCAATTCAATCTGAATAATATATTACTTAGGTTAAAGTTCTCATTTTGTTGAACATGACAAATTGAAAATCGATGCCATGTGGTAAATTAGGGCAGAGGCGAGCATGTATATGGTAATTTTTAATGGCGTCGAGATCATTTGACTTTATGTTTGATTTAACTGAACTATTTTTTATCATGATACGCACCAACCATATTTTTTTGACCGTTAGTGTTGGTTGCGCAAAGATGAGAGTTTAATAATTCCAAACAAGGACAAAGAAACCTATGAAATGATTGTCTATCTTTGTGTCTAGCTTTGTGTCTACCTTTATGTCTACCTTTTTGAGTGATTCTGGTAAGTTATGAGAAAATTTCTTTTTGATGTATGATGTGTAAACAAGAAACAGTAATACTCTAGTGCGTCCATAAAGTTTTTAAGAAAACACAACTCATCTTGAAGTTTTTCAGTCCATTACAGTTTCCGTTGCATTGGAAGAGTTTAAGTACGGAAATTGTCAACACTTATTTTCCAAGACCCTAAACTACTGAAAATATAGATAAGAATTTTTCTTTCTACGAAAAGTTATCATTTTATATCTTTGCTGTAAAGGGTTACTTGAAGCGAGATGCTCCTGTCCAGATGTTGGTGGAAAGACTGGAAGTTGTAAACATGTCATTGGCTTACTATTGAACTACAAAGAATGTCAAAGAAACAATGTGAACGATCTGGTTTGTTCTTTTATATTTATTGCAGTTTGATGAAAGAGCTACAGCTTTAAGATAATTCATGATGAAATAGTTACAGCTGTAGTACAATTTACAATAATTGCAGCTGAAGTATAATTATAATTTGTCTTTCCCACTATAAAGAATTTCGTGCACTACTCAATTAACAACACGCAAAAGAAATTCAAAGGAAAAAAGGCCAACGTAAAGGAGGCTGTCAAGAAACAGCGATATCAGACTTTATATTGTATGAGTGAAGAAGAATTTTTTAGAACTGCGAAAGAAATGTTGAAGGTAAAAATTTTGGTTGGAGTGAAGGGTTTTGTATATCGTAAAATTTGTTCAAATACTATGTTCAGGGGCTACAAAAAGTGTCATTTTATTTTTTTACTCAAGAATGCTAAAATGCGAATAATCGTCAAACGACGAAAAAGATGTGACGAAGAATAATGAGAAGAAAGAACAAAGGTTTTGTTTTTATTTGTAGCTATATTTTGAAATTATGTAACTTTTTCAATCGAAGGCAAAATTTGTTCCTGACAAACAATCTTATAGCTTTGATGAAACTAAAGTACAATGGATACGACACGACCCCTTAAAAGAACGCTCATACAGCAAAAACTTCGAGTTCTTCGAATTTATCACTTGATGGAATTCTGCATTTGTTTGAACTATCAGGCAACGATCATGTCCATTCGCTGGAAAAAGGCATTTCTATGACGTCCACAACTAATGAAAACCCAAATAATTTAGAAAACTACGATAAAGTCATCAACGGTATAGAAAAGAATCGAATTTCTAAATCTGTTGATAGTTTTGAAGCGTTTCTCGATGAGATGATGTGAATATAAGGTTAATTATGCATGTCGTGGAGCTTGACACTTTCAGCCGTTCAGATGAACAATCAAACTTCACAACAACAATAGCAATAAATGAAAAACCAGTCAGGTGCAAGAATAATCATTGTCATAAAGACAGAAAGTTTTGTACTGTAGGATTAATCTGTTTTCGTTTATGCATGCATAATAATGCATGTAAGAACATAAATTCCACTTATAAATCTGCCTAGACTAAATTTGAACAGAAACAGCAGCAGCAAGTACAATGGCAAGGATAAAAGGGCGAGACCACATTAAAGTTTATGTTGAGAGAGAATTATTCGGTCACTGGACGGGAGTCTCAACGTGGATTGAACGTAAATTATTAACTATCAAAGCGGAATTGCTACGAGTTAACGACGTCTACCTGAAAAACCAAATGTCAATGGATATACCGGACGAAATCTAAGCATTTGATAAGCATACAGTTTGTAGAGAAGCTATGGAATTGAGTGATAGCGTAACGCAACAAACAAGAGCACCGTGAAGACTGTGCAGATTGGTTTATTACAACATCCTATGTCCTCAACACAATGTTTAAAGATAATATGGCTGCGTTGTCAAATATGCGGTGATATGTTATAAGTGTCATAAACCTTTGAAATGTAGGATATGACTCGTGAAATCGACATTCCTAAAGAATACACCTCAAATCGGAACGATAGGAAAAATTCATTTCCAATGTATATTATATGAAAGCTAAAAGAAGACAAGTTATCAGCTGCTTTAAAGTCTTTACCAACGTCAAGCCAGAAATATGTCATCCTCATATTTTACTGCGACAAGTGCCATTGGATTAGTAAAGCTAATATCGACAGCAGCCGCTAAAAGAAATCTGCATTGCTTAGCCGTAAGAAAACGTGCTGCTTTTGAAAGACTTACTTGTCTCTATCTTTTTCAAAAGAATTTCGAACTATAACTAAATGTAACTATAGATGTTTTGCTAATGTATTACCAAACTAACATTAATATAAAAATGTATTTATTTGTACTACTCTTTCACTCTTTATATCAACACTCGACTACGAATATGATTTTTGGTTTGTTGTTTTATTTTTAGCTGGAAGTGTTCTGCTATAATTTTGATTCGAGACCTTCAATGGTCAAATTTTTTTTGCATAAATTACTTCAAGGTAGGAGTGGTACTTTAAAATGACCAGGTGTCTTCAACGAACTCTCTGGTCTAGTGGATAGACACAACCTTCCGAGGTTGAAAGTGGAGGTTCGAACCCTGTCTGGAATAAGATGTAACTATACTAAGGATGACTTAAGAAATAGGAAAACAAGGAAATAGTGCTGGTTAATAGAACAAAAATGGGATTTCTATTACTAAACTTTTCGAGAATGGAATGCGACACTTAGTATAAATTCAGAAAAAAACGCTCTCCGATGAGAAGGAGAGCGAAGAAAAAAAAAAGATAGGATCCCATGCAAAAAACCACTCTTAAAAAAACTAAGTCTTTTGCTCAAATTTTTTTATGACTCCCTGTGATCAGGGAGTTATTTTTTAAATTTTGAAAAGTCAGGAAACCCAAGAGCAAACAGAACGCCCTAATCATCCCTTTCTTACTTCCAGGCACTCTTTCCTCAGCTCGACTTTCTGTCTTCCACATCTGCCGCGTACACCTGCCAAGTGTGTTGGCAGAGGGGCGAACCAAGGATCTTGTGCACCGGAGGTCATTGATGTCGAACTAAACGCCCAACATCGGCCAGTTGAGCTAACCGCTCATCATCGAAAACTCTATCTTTTTTGGCGTATTTGTTCATTTTTTTTCAATGTAAAGCGAAAGAAAAGGAGAAGGTCTTGAACCTTAGAAGGTCTTGAACCCGAGAAGGTGAGATCACTGCACCGGCATCTCTACCACTCGGCCAGACGGGTGAATTGGAAAACCGTTTAAAACATGTCAAGTGTTTCTCACAAAAGAACATTGCCTTCTTTTCTCTCGAGGCTCATATTTTATACCGTGTTTATCTTGTTCTTCGTCGTTATCATTGCAACGGTGAAGAAAGGGACTTACTACACATTTTAGCTGTCAAACTCAAACATTGCTGGAGAATAAATGTTATAATTGAATGGAGGAAGATTAATAAAGTATGCACAATGTCAGACATTGCCATGTGGTAAATCAAAACAACAACGCGCATGTTCGTAGTCAATTTAATGGCGCTGGGAGTTTCTAACTTGTCTGTTCAAAGATAAATAACATATTTTTGCCATCATTTATGATAATATTGTAATGGTTTCTACAAAAGCATATGGTTCCTATAGAACAATATCCACTTACTAATTCATAGTCTATTCAAGTCTTTTTGTCATTTCACCATCTTGCCATGTCTTGAGTGTCATCATTTAAAATATAGTCAATGCAATCAATATAGCGAATGCGGTTTTTGTCTACATATGTGTCTACGTTCTCGTCTACCTTTGTGTCTACCTTTTCATAGGACAAAGTTCTCATTTTGTTGAACACGACAGTTGAAAAATTAGTCAATTCATAGTCGAAAGTAATCGAAGCAATCGAAGGTAGTCAATTCACGCGATGTCATGTGGTAAATCAGGGCAGTGACGGGCATGTCTTTAATTATTTTTCCGATACAAGGGCGTTGAGATCATTTGACGATCATTTGACTCATACAAAGACTATAGTTCATGCATTTTAACATTTTCATTTTCATACAAAGATTTTTCACACACAAAGACTATAATTCATGCATTTAACAAATTTTCACATTTTCTCATAAAGACTATAATTCATGCATTTTAACAAATTTTCACATTTTCTTATACAAAGACTATTCATGCATTTTCATTTTCAACACAAGGACTATTTTAACATTTTCACATTCTCATACAAAGACTATAATTCATGCATTTTAACATTTTCATACAAAGACTATAATTCACAAAATTTCACACAAGACTATAATTCATGCATTTTCACAATATTTCAAACTTTTCACAAAAACACTATAATACATGCATAGAATTCAGTGAATTATAGTCTTTGTGTGATAAAATGTGAAAATTTGTTAAAATGCATGAATTATAGTCTTTGTGAGAAAATGTGAAATTTTGTGAAAATGCATGAATTATAGTCTTTGTATGAGAAAATGTGAAAACTTGTGAAAATGCGTGAATTATAGTCTTTGTATGAGAAAATGTGAAAATTTGTTAAAATGCATGAATTATAGTCTTAGTGTGAGAAAATGTGAAATTTGTGAAAATGCATGAATTATAGTCTTTGTGTGAGAAAATGTGAAAATATGTGAAAATGCATGAATTATAGTCTTTGTATGAGAAAATGTGAAAATTTGTTAAAATGCATGAATTATAGTCTTTGTGAGAAAATGTGAAAATTTGTGAAAATGCATGAATTATAGTCTTTGTATGAGAAAATGTGAAAATTTGTTAAAATGCATGAACTATAGTCTTTGTGTGAGAAAATGTGAAAATTTGTGAAAATGCATGAATTATAGTCTTTGTATGAGAAAATGTGAAAATTTGATAAGATGCATGAACTATAGTCTTTGTATGAGTCAAATGATCGTCAAATGATCTCAACGCCATTGTATCGGAAAAATAATTAAAGACATGCCCGTCACTGCCCTGATTTACCACATGACATCGCGTGAATTGACTACCTTCGATTGCTTCGATTACTTTCGACTATGAAATGACTAATTTTTCAACTGTCGTGTTCAACAAAATGAGAACTTTGTCCTATGAAAAGGTAGACACAAAGGTAGACAAGAACGTAGACACATATGTAGACAAAAACCGCATTCGCTATATTGATTACATTGACTATATTTTAAATGATGACACTCAAGACATGGCAAGATGGTGAAATGACAAAAAGACTTGAATAGACTATGAATTAGTAAGTGGATATTGTTCTATAGGAACCATATGCTTTTGTAGAAACCATTACAATATTATCATAAATGATGGCAAAAATATGTTATTTATCTTTGAACAGACAAGTTAGAAACTCCCAGCGCCATTAAATTGACTACGAACATGCGCGTTGTTGTTTTGATTTACCACATGGCAATGTCTGATATTTTGCATACTTTATTAATCTTCCTCCATTCAATTATAACATTTATTCTCCAGCAATGTTTGAGTTTGACAGCTAAAATGTGTAGTAAGTCCCTTTCTTCACCGTTGCAATGATAACGACGAAGAACAAGATAAACACAGTATAAAATGTAAGCCTCGAGAGAAAAGAAGGCAATGTTCTATTGTGAGAAACACTTGACATGTTTTAAACGGTTTTCCAATTCACCCGTCTGGCCGAGTGGTAGAGATGCCGGTGCAGTGATCTCACCTTCTCGGGTTCAAGACCTTCTAAGGTTCAAGACCTTCTCCTTTTCTTTCGCTTTACATTGAAAAAAAATGAACAAATACGCCAAAAAAGATAGAGTTTTCGATGATGAGCGGTTAGCTCAACTGGCCGATGTTGGGCGTTTAGTTCGACATCAATGACCTCCGGTGCACAAGATCCTTGGTTCGCCCCTCTGCCAACACACTTGGCAGGTGTACGCGGCAGATGTGGAAGACAGAAAGTCGAGCTGAGGAAAGAGTGCCTGGAAGTAAGAAAGGGATGATTAGGGCGTTCTGTTTGCTCTTGGGTTTCCTGACTTTTCAAAATTTAAAAAAATAACTCCCTGATCACAGGGAGTCATAAAAAAATTTGAGCAAAAGACTTAGTTTTTTTAAGAGTGGTTTTTTGCATGGGATCCTATCTTTTTTTTTTCTTCGCTCTCCTTCTCATCGGAGAGCGTTTTTTTCTGAATTTATACTAAGTGTCGCATTCCATTCTCGAAAAGTTTAGTAATAGAAATCCCATTTTTGTTCTATTAACCAGCACTATTTCCTTGTTTTCCTATTTCTTAAGTCATCCTTAGCATAGTTACATCTTATTCCAGACAGGGTTCGAACCTCCACTTTCAACCTCGGAAGGTTGTGTCTATCCACTAGACCAGAGAGTTCGTTGAAGACACCTGGTCATTTTAAAGTACCACTCCTACCTTGAAGTAATTTATGCAAAAAAATTTGACCATTGAAGGTCTCGAATCAAAATTATAGCAGAACACTTCCAGCTAAAAATAAAACAACAAACCAAAAATCATATTCGTAGTCGAGTGTTGATATAAAGAGTGAAAGAGTAGTACAAATAAATACATTTATATATTAATGTTAGTTTGGTAATACATTAGCAAAACATCTATAGTTACATTTAGTTATAGTTCGAAATTCTTTTGAAAAAGATAGAGACAAGTAAGTCTTTCAAAAGCAGCACGTTTTCTTACGGCTAAGCAATGCAGATTTCTTTTAGCGGCTGCTGTCGATATTAGCTTTACTAATCCAATGGCACTTGTCGTAGTAAAATATGAGGATGACATATTTCTGGCTTGATGTTGGTAAAGACTTTAAAGCAGCTGATAACTTGTCTTCTTTTAGCTTTCATATAATATACATTGGAAATTAATTTTTCCTATCGTTCCGATTTTGAGGTGTATTCTTTAGGAATGTCGATTTCACGAGTCATATCCTACATTTCAAAGGTTTATGACACTTATAACATATCACCGCATATTTGACAACGCAGCCATATTATCTTTAAACATTGTGTTAAGGACATAGGATGTTGTAATAAACCAATCTGCACAGTCTTCACGGTGCTCTTGTTTGTTGCGTTACACTATCACCCAATTCCATAGCTTCTCTACAAACTGTATGCTTATCAAATGCTTAGATTTCGTCCGGTATATCCATTGACATTTGGTTTTTCAGGTAGACGTCGTTAACTCGTAGCAATTCCGCTTTGATAGTTAATAATTTACGTACAATCCACGTTGAGACTCCCGTCCAGTGACCGAATAATTCTCTCTCAACATAAACTTTAATGTGGTCTCGCCCTTTTATCCTTGCCATTGTACTTGCTGCTGCTGTTTCTGTTCAAATTTAGTCTAGGCAGATTTATAAGTGGAATTTATGTTCTTACATGCATTATTATAATATTATGCATGCATAAACGAAAACAGATTAATCCTACAGTACAAAATTTTCTGTCTTTATGACAATGATTATTCTTGCACCTGACTGGTTTTTCATTTATTGCTATTGTTGTTGTGAAGTTTGATTGTTCATCTTAACGGCTGAAAGTGTCAAGCTCCACGACATGAATAATTAACCTAATATTCACATCATCTCATCGAGAAACGCTTCAAAACTATCAACAGATTTAGAAATTCGATTCTTTTCTATACCGTTGATGACTTTATCGTAGTTTTCTAAATTATTTGGGTTTTCATTAGTTGTGGACGTCATAGAAATGCCTTTTTCCAGCGAATGGACATGATCGTTGCCTGATAGTTCAAACAAATGCAGAATTCCATCAAGTGATAAATTCGAAGAACTCGAAGTTTTTGCTGTATGAGCGTTCTTTTAAGGGGTCGTGTCGTATCCATTGTACTTTAGTTTCGTCAAAGCTATAAGATTGTTTGTCAGGAACAAATTTTGCCTTCGATTGAAAAAGTAATATAATTTCAAAATATAGCTACAAAGAAAAACAAAACCTTTGTTGTTCCTTCTTCTCATTATTCTTCGTCACATCTTTTTCGTCGTTTGACGATTATTCGCATTTTAGCATTCTTGAGTAAAAAAATAAAATGACACTTTTTGTAGCCCCTGAACATAGTATTTGAACAAATTTTACGATATACAAAACCCTTCACTCCAACCAAAATTTTTACCTTCAACATTTCTTTCGCAGTTCTAAAAAATTCTTATTCACTCATACAATATAAAGTCTGATATCGTTGTTTCTTTGCAGGCTCTTTTACGTTGGCATTTCTACCTTTGAACTTCTTTTGCGTGTTGTTGATTGAGTAGTGCAGGAAATTCTTTATAGTGGGAAAGACAAATTATAAATTTACTTCAGCTGCAATTATTTTATCATTGTAAATTGTACTACAGCTGTAACTATTTCATCATCAATTATATTAAAGCTGTAGCTCTTTCATCAAACTGCAATGAATATAAAAAACAAACCAGATCGTTCGCATTGTTTCTTTGACATTCTTTGTAGTACAATAGTAAGCCAATGACATGTTTACAACTTCCAGTCTTTCCACCAACATCTGGACAGGATCATCTCGCTTCAAGTAACCCTTTACAGCAAAGATATAAAATCATAACATTTCGTAGAAAGAAAAATTCTTATCTATATTTTCAGTAGTTTAGGGTCTTGGAAATTAAGTGTCAACAATTTCCGTACTTAAAATCTTCCAATGCAACGGAAACTGTAATGGACTGAAAAACTTCAAGATGAGTTGTGTTTTCCTAAAACTTTACGGACGTACTAAAGTATTACTGTTTCTTGTGTGCACATCATGCATCAAAAAGAAATTTTCTCATAACTTACCAGAATCACTCAAAAAGGTAGACATAAAGGTAGACACAAAGCTAGACAATCAATTCATAAGTTTCTTTGTCCTTGTTTGGAATTATTAAACTCTCATCTTTGCGCAACCAACACCAACGGTCAAAAAAATATGGTTGGTGCGTATCATGATAAAAAATAGTTCAGTTAAATCAAACATAAAGTCAAATGATCTCGACGCCATTAAAAATTACCATATACATGCTCGCCTCTGCCCTAATTTACCACATGGCATCGATTTTCAATTTGTCATGTTAAACAAAATGAGAACTTTAACTTATGGAAAAGGTAGACAAGAAGGTGCAAACATTGGTAGAGAATCACATTAAGGTAGACACAAAGTTAGATACAAAGGTTTGAAATGACGATCATTAAAATTGACGACCGGAAAGGCAAGAAAAAATATCCATGAAAATATTCTTTGCACGACGATACTCTTGAATGGACAAAATTGTTTGAGGACATGCGCGTCATGATCCAAATTCACCACTTGTCAATGGATGCCGTTTAACTTACTTTATTACTCGTATTTCTTCATGGTACAGCATTTATTGCTTAGAATGGCATGAACAAGCCCTTGGCTTTAGAGTTCTACTATTGCTATGATATCGTCGAAGGCGTATTTTCAAAGCACGTTATAAACTAAAGCCTTATGTAATGAAAGACAATAAATGGCTGTTCTGTGGAAGCACTTGATATGTTTTTTTTTTGACATCACATCTCTCTCGCTTGGCTGCATGAGTGGGACAACTGACGGTTTGGTGATCACTCCTTCTTAGTGTTTAATAATACGTAATTAACTAAGGGTAAAGTCATGACGACTTTTTCAAATGTAGCTACTTTCTTGTATTAAGTAACGACTTTTTGTGTCAACTTTTCTGAAACAAGGTTGACAAAAAGGTAGAAATGAAGATAGAAAAAAGGTAAACGAACAGATGAGCAAGACAGAAAGATAGATCTGAAGTAGACACAAAGGTACATAAAAACCAGACACAAACGTAGAATAAAATATAGACATAGAGGTAGGTAAAAAAGTAGACAAAAATACAAACACATAGGTACACAAAAAGGTAGACATAAAAGTAGACAAAAATGTAGACGTAAAGTTAGACAAAAAGCTTAGTTAGACATAGTTCAATAAAATGGTAGACATAAATGTAGACGAAAAATGAAACAAAGGTCGACACAAAGGAAGATAAAAAAGAAAAAGTTAATTGCGTGTCGCGAGTAAAATCTTGCGGGTAAAATGGCGGGCTTAAAAAATACTTTTTTGCATACTTAAAGTTTGAAAGAAGTCGATGTTAAATTCTTACGAACTTTTTATTTCCATGTTTGTCCACTTGAATGTTTGTTTATTTGTTGTTTCAAACTTTTATTGTCATATGCTGTATTCGTGAGCTAGTTATTATCATTATTTGCCTGGCTATTATGTCAGTTTATAGTAAATATTGATTATATAGTGCATAATTTAGATCGTTTGAATGACTAAACTAAGATAAACCTAATACATGACTTACATCTAGCAATTATGTCTAAAATAACAAACCCGTATACACAAAGTGCAAGGTTAAGTTTGCTATGTGGCACGAGCTATTTGTACTTCTAAGCCAATCAAAGCGAGCTATTTCACGGAAAGTGACGCTTTCCATACAATAAGACAAGATAATAATCAATAATAGTTAAGGAGAAAAAAGTATACAAATCTGAAACTTAGAAAAGTTGCGTCTCGCTCGTTTACAGTCTCAAATCTGTAATCCATTGCAGACACTTTTTCATTTCGATGATTATTGGTCATGCAAACTGACATGGTTGTTATCACGGAATATGCAGAATGTAGTCTTTTGTCACAACGGCCATACGACCAAAACAATTGCTCACCAATGAAGGACGCTCCAATTCAGACTTTTGTTTATTACTTGAAAATAAATAAATCTTTTCCTTCTGCTTTCGCTTTCCGGAATCCAATGAATACGTTGACAAGTAGTAAGTGTTATCGACAAATGATAGAAACACAACCTCTTTCGTGGAATGATTAAACTCAATGCTCACACAGCCCTCGTTTTCCCCAGCATACAATTCAAACTCTCTCTGAAGATCACCTTGGCTATTGTAAACCTTTATGACATGGTGAGCGTATTCTGCCACTACCAAATCGTTATTGTCGGTAAGAGCAGTTAATATATTTCTGCGAGAAATTTTAAAAGTGGAAGTACATTTGATTTTCTTCTTGTTGTTGATTTTGTAGTATGATATTGAGTGACAGTCTTCCCAAGGCTCAGTTAAAATGAAACCATTTTTTGCGGCTTTCATTTTCACGAGATGACGACCATATGTTGTAAAATGGGCATCCTTAATCAACTTGCCCTTGGAGCTTATCATTTTTAGGGTACAAAGATAGTTAGGATCTGACATAATGCCAAGAGACTGATGTTCGCCCACGAGCAAATACACAATATCTTCGTTGTCCACCATTGCGGAAAAACAAGTCTCCTCAAGATCACTTGAGAATGAGGAGGCTTGTTTTCTCGTGTCCTCATTGAGCTGATAGAAGTTACGATTATCGCCTGTTAGACAAATTTCATAGATTTTGCCTTCATCACGAGTTATTATGCTTCCATTTCTTTTCATGCCGACATATTCGAGTGGAGAATCGCAAGTCTGAACGTTGATTAAATTGGGCATAGAAACACCGGCATCTTGTAAACGCGTAATGATTTCTCTGTGTGGAAATAGTGGAATGTATTTAGTGATATCGTCCAACTGAATGCAAGGCCATTTGATGGAGTCGATCGAGGTTGGTGGCAAGAATCTTTGAAAAAAAGCCAGCACAACAAAATTTATGATGGATACATTCGATGCAATTTCACGAGATTTGATTTGATACAATTTTGACAATATTCCTCCTTTTACAAGTGCACGAAGGCTTCCAGTAACTTCAGACAAGCCATGTAACTCCTCTAAGTATGTCTTACACGGCATGCACGCCAGACGTGGACTTAAAATGCTGAGAAGAAGACGGCTTTGAACGCGAAGTTTCGTTGCAAGAATTCTATCTTCAATACTTAGCGCCGAGTTGAAGAAGGCGTCGGTAGCTTTATCATTTGCCTTCGCAAACGATTGAGTTATAGTTTGAAAATAGTCTGTCGATTCTGCTCTCAATTTCTCGAATGCCTTCGCTCTTTTGGTCGAAAGTGATTCCACGATCTCACTGTCATCATATGAATTTCTCTCCATAAACTCATTCAAGAGTTGAAGGCCTTCATTTATGGAGCTGGCGCTGCTGAGTAAGGGAGCGCGAGACAAGCCATCTAGCTTGGACTTCATCTTATCTATATTACTCATGATCAGTTTACATAGCTTTTGCGAATTTAATCCACCATCTTGCAATTTCTCGCTTAACTTGTGACGGGCTTTACCAATAAATAATCCCAGAGTTATCTTCAATACACTTCCTAAAACATCCATCGTATTTTAGATATAATGATTTATCATCGAATATCGACAATATTATTTTACTGAAACTGAAAACCACCAGTTTATTATGATCTTTCCTGTATCACCCGAAATTTCCGGGACGCATATCTTTGCATGATGTTGGAGTGTGTGGGACGTACCTGCTAACCGGATGGAACGTTTCGAAAAGGCAAACAGACAAAAAAATAAGATTTCAAAGTTGTATATTGTTGTATGCAAGTGAAATTAGCAAATCGTTTTTTCCCGACCTCGTTAATGGCGCATCAAATTAGTTTGAAAGATCAATAAAATTTATCAAGCAAAGACGTTTACTGGTTAAATCTATTTGCCTAGGCATCCACTTCTATGTCTGATTTTGGTCTTGAGGATTTAATGATTCCATTCTCTGGGGGCGAAACTAGAACGCTAATTTGTTTGTGAATATTCATAAATTCAGCTCTGCCCTGCTGATTTCTTTCGAAATTAAAATCGTCAACAAAAGAAATCAGCAGGGCAGAGCTGAATTTATGAATATTCACCCCCAGTTAACGTTCTAGTTTCGCCCCAGGCATGCTCACACTTCAGAAATAGTAAACAAGTAAATCGTTATCATTAGCATTAATTATGTGGTTTACAGACATGCTAGACCATGGACGACGAAATCAACAGAAATCTGATCTAGTTGCTTTTCTAGACCCTCGACTTCAAACAGCAATAAGTTTGTATGGAGATAGAGGTGTTTATCACTGCAATTCATCTTGTGGCAAGGCTAGATTCCGTTGTGACAACCATTGATTTCTAACTAATTAATGTACATGTCACTTTGTATGTTTGAAATTCAAAATGGTGGCGCTGAAATATTATTAAAGAAAATGTTAAAGGAAGATAATTTTTATTTCTTAACTAATTTGCTGGCAATTTTGAGCTGCGTTTTTGTTTGCATCGCGTGGCAGTATTTCCACACAATCCGAAGCACAGAAAAATCCAGCGATTCTAATTTATGGAGCAATTTATTTAAAGATGACAGCCAAACTGAGAATGCTTTGCACGCAGAAAATGAAGTGAAAGCAGACGTTTGCACGTCAACTTCTTGTGTGAGGTGTTCGAGAAGTGTATATTCAACGGAAAAACTTTTAAGAAAATGGAAGAAGATCAAAGAGGATTTGAAACCGTGCGAAGACACCAGGAAAAAATTCTTCAACGCGATCATCAAATCGTCTAACCAGGTTTATATGAATGATGGAACTCGTAATATAGCGAAAAAGCAAAATCCCACAGTATTCTATCTTGAAGGATTACCTGGAAAGATTTGGTATGAAAAGACTGCTAATGAATTGGCTGAAAAATTATCTATTTTAGAGAATGATGACTTCCAACAAATTGTTAAAAGTGAATTCACAAATGTCTACCACTATTTTAAACATGAATGGGTTTCAAACGAAGTGCCTTCTGGTGGATGGTATTTATATTATCTTTACAACCAAGGGGTTAAAAATGAGGAGAATTGTTTAAGATGTCCAAGAGTCATAAAGGAAATTGAGAAGTTAGAAGTGGCAATGTTAGATTGTGCTTTTGGAAATGTTGTGTTTTCTGTCTTGTTACCTGGTACAAGCATTAGGCTCCATTGTGGACCCACAAATGTACGCATCCGATGCCACATACCCATTATAGCACCACCTGGCTATTTTCTTATGGTTGGTGATGTGCAATACACTTGGCAAGAGGGGAAAATCTTAATTTTTGATGATTCTTTCTACCACAAGGTCTACTGTTGTGATAATGTCCATGAACCAAGGGTTGTATTGATGTTAGATCTATGGCATCCATCCCTCTTACTGTCTGAGCGTGAATTAGTGAAGCAAATATTCTCTCCACAGAAATGATAGATGATTATAAATGTGCTCCACTTTATCAGTAATATAACTGATGATTCGTTATTCTCAACATTATAACTGTGTACATATGAGCAATAATTTATCCATGTAGCAGACTGCCAAAATAACAATTACGATTTTCTTCTGTTTCCTTGTTACTAATGAAAATTAGCATCCAAAAGGTTTACAGTAAGGAGTAGTTGTTTGATCTTGAGGATTGATAAAGTTCTAAGTAATTCACTTGACTTTAGGGGCTAACTTCTTCTTTGAACTCTTTTCCTTTTTTCTTCCAACACTTACATAGAATGAAGATGGTAAACAATTTTACCATAAATGAATATTTATTTTTAGGGTACATTGTGTCCAGTGTTGCCTGATGGGCACAAGTTGCACATGTTATATTGTATTTAGGGTTTGATGAAAAGTTGATTGACAAACAGGCAAAGGTAGGCTTACATACAAGTTAGAGTAAGTAACCCATTCCAAATACCAAGAGTGATGATTCAAGAGAGCAACTATAGTGTAGCCTGCGTCTCCATTTGATGATCCACGTTTCCGTTTTCTAAGGTTCACGTTAAATATGGCTGGAGTCTGGACCACTGTGGTCTGGACTGTGGACCTGGGATCCTGACTCGGGACAGCGGTAGTTACGACAACCAGCAGATAAAGGAAAATTTTTAACTGTTGGACGATTTACAAAATTGAAACCAAGAACATTGTAGTGTTTGATAGAATGGCTAGAAATGCAGACAAATAACGAACTTTTTGCGACGTTGACAACGCAGATTAATGAAGCTAAGAAATTTGTCGAACGCGCATTGGCGTTTGAGAAGTTGAACATTGACGGTGCAAGCAAGTTGAGCAAAAAGATCAAAGCAGAACTGAAGTTTCTGACTGGGGTGAGGCCTGAAATTCTTCTAATGTTTAGATGAATAAATGTTCATACATTCATGTTGATGTATGAATGAATATATTTTCAAAATGAATGGTACTACTTAATATTTTACTAAGCCTATCAACGATGCATTCTATGCAGCCATGTACAATATATATACATATTTATATATAAAAGATAAAAGTTTCTCCGGATTTTAAGTGATTTTTATTGAGCTTTCGACTCGTTGCTTCGAGCCTTCATCAGAATGAGGATATTTATTTTCACGTGCTTTTAGCTTGGAGATGTTTAGAGCGTCTAATTGGATGAGCGGGTGGATTAATCCGGAGAAACTTTTATCTTTTATGTATTAAATGCCTGGATTACAAATTTTCAAACTTACATATTTATATATACACAACTAAGACGTAAACAATAATAGCTACAATTATTGTGTATCATTTGTAGCTGTTCAAATGATACACTGAAGAAATTACTATTATGTCTACAAATTTCTAGTTAAGCAAAGGTCATATGCCACTAAAAGCATGTCACTTGAACAGCACAAACCTCTCACATCTTGGAGCAACGCTTGATGTCGCTGAAAAACTTACTGTGACCAATCTGTTAAAACCTTTTAATTGGTATCAAGACCAAGACAGGACCTTGGGTCAAACCATGTCTACTGTTGTGGTAGATGTAGTCACTGCCAAAGGATGGTTTAAAGTGGTTGCTAGGAATCCAAATGCTCTTCATACTGCATGGCAAGGTATATTGCAGTACATCTAACAAACATCAATGAACATTTAAGTTGCCAATCATGCAAATCTGCCAATTATGTATAGAAAAACTAAGGAATTTTTCCTTGATGGGCTTTGTCTTCTTGTTGAATAAATTGCATGGTAAGTTTGAATGGGCTGTAAGATTGATCACAAACAACATGAAGGTTTCTCATTTTGGTTTTCTCCAAATGGATTAAAAATTGTCTGCTTAGCTGATCCAACAAATGTTCAATGAAAAACAAAAATCTTCTTTGTTTACATAATGCTTACCTTTTCTTAGGTGAAGGGAATTTTGGTGAAAAGTCAATTGAAGAGCAAGCAAAGGTAGGCTTACTTGGATTGCCATGCTGGGTTAACATAAACTTGGTCTGTGTAATTCATTTCTTAGAGTAACACATTCAAAGTGTGATGATCCAGGAGATCCACTCTTGTAACAATGGGGAGAGATATTCCATTATCTGCGAGGCATTTTTTTCTGAATAGCCATCCCCATTTATTATCATTTGACTTTTTTCAATCTAATTTACTTGTTCCAAGTTTTTGGTGGTTTTTGATAAAGTTTCTACAGTGCAAATTTTCAAATCACAGAATAAAATAACCAATGAGAAACTTCAATTTCTGTTTAGCAAACCAAACTGAAATTGTTTAGAAGAAGATTTTCTTTCTGCTTGAATATTACCTTCACTTTTAGGCCATGTAATTACAGTGGCATAGCCAGAGATTTTTTATCATTTTTGTATGAAAAATAAAACAAGTCATAAAGAAATGGTTGTTGTAAAGCTTTTACTTTACTCATAGGAATATCTCTGTGCTAGCAAGCAAAATAAAATCAATTTTACGACACCCCAAGTAACATTTGTGTTCACGCAAGGAGCAACTGAAGACCTTGCAGGTACTGAGGATCTTTTACGTACTATGAGGTCGTTGCATGGATAATGACCTTGGCCGTAATTTTTTGTAACGCTTTGACCTAAGCGTAATACATTTTCCGCTGCATGATTGTTTTGTACATTCATACATTCATTTTTCGTAACAGTTTGCTTGCTGAATCATGGCATCTACATACAAGGAAAGATATTGCCAAATCCAGGCTGTGATTCTTTGCTAAATAATGAAATATGGAATAAAAATGAACGAAGAGAACCTGCAGTCCCTGAATGGTACGGTAGGTTGAAAACTTGACAAGCAATGATCACAATAATATTCGCACTAGGACAAAGGAATCCTATATAATTCTTGAGCATAACTGATCCAAGCCTAAGACTTAAATTTTGATCCACGGATCCAAGAATCAAGTACACGTCTTACGTATCAGTAGACATTTGAATGTCATTATATCATAGGTTATACATAACCATACCTTCATGAAAGACTTGAATATCAAGTGCTGAGTGATACATTTGAATTATTTTGTTCATCTTTAGCCAAAAAGTTAATCTCGATGTGACGGCAATGATTGCGTTAGTTTCGTCGATGACAAACGGTTCTTGTCATTTTCAATTCGAGGTAAAGATGTTGGCGAGATACATTATAGTTGTAACTGTTTGTGCTTTCCATGAACTAGCCAACGCTCAAAATCGTAACAGTAATCTCTTGTGTATCTGGGGTATTGTAGGAAAACAAGTGTAATGACGCTCTCTTGTTTTTGTAGGATCAAATTTTGACCGAACAGGCGGAGAAGGAACGGGAAAAACCAGTTTTAACACAACTGAACGCTATGTTACAGGGTATGTGTTTGTATAGGTCAATGTTATACTCACAATATAATGTGGAAAAACAGTAAGGAAATGTCAAATAAAATGAACATGTTTGAGATGACCTTACTTTAACAAGAGATAACTACACACTTTCAAGTATTGCGCCTTCAATAATTCCTATAGCGCTACAAGATGATCATAAGGTCTATTTTTTGATTGTTAAAGAGAGCTCACATCAAAATGTTGAAGAAGTGCATTGTCCAAGTTTTTTTTTTCATTGCAGGAAAGGAAATGTTTGCGTGTTCTCTGGCTATTTCCAGCTTTCGTGCAATTTTGGAGACATTAGGTGGACCTAACGAAAAGGAACGTGCCAGGTGACAAATGCACGTCAACATGCTCATAAATTTAACACAACACCTTTAAATACATCTTCATGTTAAGGCTTTTGCAAATCAACCATTGTGCTTTTACAGTACAAAATTTCGACGTTGACTCCCTTTTATTTGACTAAAAGAGGTGGACACGTAAGGTTCATAAATGTGCTGCCCCTCTGTGACGTCGTCGCTGTATTAAAGAAAAAAGTCAGGCAATGAAAGATAGAAACCCTCATTAATTTCCTGACTAAGTAATTTTATACTTACTGGTCAATTGATCAATTTTCTTTGCATATTATACAAGAAAATCACCAATAGATTCACTGGTTAACAATGCAGTATTGTGAACTTTCCTAGAAAACTGCTTCGCAATGTTACAGAAGTGCACGATGACCCCTCAACAAGATCTAAAGAGTTATTGGCAAGTGCAAGCATCAAGGAAAGACCAAAAGTATGGAAATTGCAACATAAATCATAAAATGTTGATTTTGGTGATATTCAATGACTTACAGTCCAAGATTTTCCACTGAACAATCTCCAAATCTTCTTATGAAGTTGACTGTATTCTAATACTTTGGGTGCAAAACCAAAAAGATCAACCACGTTCTACCTCCACATTTTCATTTTTGTAGATTGTGTTTGGAACAGGTGACAAATTACAAGCCATAACTGTTTCCTCTAATGGTTCGTTTGTCAGAGCAGCAAAAGAGCAGGTACGGTTGATCGATTTTAATATAGAGTTTCACACACGCTATCGTTTGAACGAGGTTCTTTTAAATTATTTTACAGGGTATCGAATTCGCTGTGTTTCTTCATGAGCCCCGAGCTCTGACTGAAAACAAAGAGCTTTACGCCACTCCAATTTAAAGACGATTTCCAGTTACAGTTGGTGAAATTGTGTGCAAATGTTGGTGTGATAATTTAACTGCGTGAGATTAAAAGCACTATATTCTGCTGTAAAATAATTTTTTCCCGTCATATTACTTGGCCAAATTCTTTTTCCAACTTAAGAAGATGAAAATTGTTAAATGAAAGATGCAAGAATTTAAACATATGCAAGTTTACTCATGGCCACAAAGATATTGACTGGACGACAGGCTCAGAAACGTCAGCGTTCAGATATTTAGGCTATTTCAAAAAAACAATCGATATTTTTTAATTTGCTCATCCCCCGACGTATGGTAATATAATTGATATACAACTTGTAGCTTGAAAATAACAAAACATGTATTTATATATATTAAAGAATCTTTCGTTATATACAAACGTCTTTACCAAAGACGCACGTGTTTCAACGAGCCTTTTCTTACATGGGTCGATCATATTCGACTAAACAGTAACACACCTGTGATAAACCTTGAAAATTTCAACTTTCGGACTCGGTCACAGCTGATGCTTTCACAAATTTGATTTGCTGCTTTGGAGGAGTTATGCCAAGTTTTTTTCTAGACAACTGGTCCAACATGGCTTGAGCAGCATTCCGCTTGGCTACTTTCTTTGAGCGACCAAGTCCAGATGCCTCCATACTGTCAACAGTAACTTTAATTTCGAACCTTTGCAAAGCAAGTGGCCCATTTTCACACACAGTTGTATAATTGGGATCACCAAACTTATGCTTCTTAGTTAGTTGGTCCAGCATAGATATTGGGTTGTCCCCACTATTCTGTACGGGGATGCTTGTCTTGGATTGCTCACTTGAAGGCAACTGTGGTCCATAAGCCTCTGAAGTATTCTTAGGTGGCATGCATTGCCCAGTATCTTCAGTAAATCCTGGAAGGCCAATTATGTCACCCACTTCATTTCCAGCAACATGTGCCGCAAGTAACTGGGCTGCCTCTTGTTTGGCTAGTTTTTTTGAACGCCCACTCCCACTTAACTGATATGGACCCATAGTGACTCTGATTGTGAAAACTTTGGCATGAGGTGGACCAACCTCTGACTCCTCGCACCAATTTAGAGTCCAACCATTTTCATGGGCCATATCATGCACTGTACTGATTGCAGACTTGGAGCTTTGAAGAGTTTGCGTAGAGGTAAGTGGATGATGCAAATGACTAGAAGATTTTTTTGCCATTTTGAAAGTAGTTTGCAATTTTGAAGGCATGTGTGGTCTTTTGGGTGCTTTCTGAGGCACATGTACATGGTCCTCATTTACAGTTTGAGTTGTCATATTGAGTTGTCTGTATCCTCCTTCTGATTGGTAAGGCTGCTGACATGTCATTCCTAGTTGAGGATGATTAAAACCTAAATTTTGCTTATTCAGTAGTGGTAAATTAGCAGTTTCATTGGTTACATTATCATTAGAAAAATTAGGTGGTGGCACTTGATTGTAGGTTGGTCGCTCCCAATTATAACCAGGCACTGGTACATGAGCTTGGTCAGATATTAAAGTGGGATTATAATTAAGGGTTGGTGCCTTTTCAAAATTGTGTGATTGTGGTGCTTGATTGTAGGTTGTTTGCCCCCAATTGTAACCAGGTGTTGGTACTTGAGCTTGAGTAGATGGTGATGGTTGATTATATTTGACAGGTGGTGTCTTTTCAAAGTTCCGTGCTGGTATTTCTTGAGTATAGATTGGTTGGTTTTGGTTACAGTTGAATGACTGTATAGTGTTTTGTGAATTCTTGTTATTGGGGGATTTTTGATTAAATAATGAAAATGGTACCTGGTTGTAGTGGAATTGAGAGGGACCACCATATGTGGTTGGTCTATTCATATTGCAGGATGATTGATAAAGCCAATTTTGACAACTTTCCATTCCACCTTTGTTGCTTCCAAATTCATTGTAGGAACCAGGATATTGATAAGAATTGGAGGGTTGCTGCATTACACTAGGTTGAAAAGGTGGATTAAATTGTCCACCATGTTGGTTACTCCATGGGTTAACATTGGTGTGAGGTGATGAGAGCTGATCATTTGCTAATCCATTATGTAAATTTGACGCAAAAACATTGTTTGTGTTGGCCATTTTCACTTCGAGTAACTGTGCACATTGAATAGTTTTGTAACTAAAATAGGTCGTAATTTCCACATTGTTATCAACTATTAATTAATAGACATAGTAGGTTAAAGCATGGATCATTTGATATTGTGAAATGAGCTGCTGACTATAGACTACACGGTGGTCATTTGCAACGTCCACCGTATAATCTTGCATGTAAATTATGCACGCAATACTATCAGTCTGTCTATCAGTCTATGCGATGCGAATGCTTTACAAGAAGGAACGAGTAAAAGCATTGGTTACATATGGCTTGAAATGAAATACATATTACTTGCTACTAACCTTTTGGTCGAAGTGTAAAGTAACAGCAGCTTGAATAGATAAGAAAATAACAAACTATCCAACGCACAAAATGCAACCTTTAGCTGCCATATTTAATTTGACCGCGCTTTCAACTGAAAAAACTGGTAACTAAGGTTTTTTTCGTTTCGCTTGTTTTCTTACTTTGTTGTTTCAGCAAAAAACTTTACATCATCTTGCTTTCCATGAGCAAGAGAACTGATAGTTTATTTCATGATTGTAATGCTTATCTCTATTATGAACTACATTTCTAGTGTGCAGTTGTACTTGATAAGCTGATAGTCTTAGAGACTTAGACTACACAAACAGCTGTCTTGTACGGTGGCTCACAAGGGCCACCACACAAAATAAAAATACACACACAAAATAAAAACACACACACAAAATAAAAATACACACGCAAAATAAAAATACACACACAAAATAAAAATACACACACAAAATAAAAATACACACACAATATAAAAATACACACACAAAATATGATTGCGGGCGCTTGCAGTGTCGGATTGTCGGACTATCATATTATCAGTTTGTAATTGTTGTAAATTGTCATGTTATGTTGTGTAGTGTGTGAATATACCGTATGATAAATTGTAAAATGTTTGTCATATATTACTAGACAAATAGGAAAATACTTATATAGTTATTAAACTGTGGAAATCAGTGGAAATCCTGTACGTAATGCCACATTGGGTAGAAAAAGTGTTCCTAAGTATTTTGAATTTACGTACAGGATTTCCACTGAAACCACAGTTTAATAACTATATACGTATTTTCCTATTTGTCTAGTAATATATGACAAACATTTTACAATTTATCATACGGTATATTCACACACTACACAACATAACATGACAATTTACAACAATTACAAACTGATAATATGATAGTCCGACAATCCGACACTGCAAGCGCCCGCAATCATATTTTGTGTGTGTATTTTTATTTTGTGTGTGTATTTTTATTTTGTGTGTGTATTTTTATTTTGTGAGTGTATTTTTATTTTGTGTGTGTATAATGTATTTTGTGTGTGTATAATGTATTTTGCGTGTGGATTTTATTTTTGTGTGTATTTTTATTTTGTGTGTGTATTTTTATTTTGTGTGTATTTTTATTTTGTGTGTGTATATTTTGTGTGTGTATAATGTATTTTGCGTGTGGATTTTTATTTTGTGTGTGTATTTTTATTTTGTGTGTGTATTTTTATTTTGTGTGTGTATTTTTATTTTGTGTGTGTATAATGTATTTTGTGTGTGTATTTTTATTTTGTGTGTGTATTAATATTTTTATTTTGTGTGGTGGCCCTTGTGAGCCACCGTAGTCTTGGCTTATTAAATGACAAAAGCAGATAATCACAGTTTAACAGTTTAACTGTTTAAGTACTTCTTTTACATTTTAATTTCAGGAGAAAGCTGTATTTTGTGAAAATGTCAAAGAAAGATGCATTCTTGTACGAGCAAAGGCGACCTAACGACTTGCGTAGTTTACGGTCAGGAAGGCAAAACCCTTGGAGTTGGCAAACACTATAAAGCATTTATAAAGCCCAGTGATTTATAAGGATTTGACCGAGTAACATCGGATAATTATGTGTACTACTATTCCGCACTTACTCATTATGAAACTTACAAGTGTCACGTTTCTGTTGCAAACGAAGTACCTTGTTATACAAACATAGGTAGTGATATCGTGTTGTTGCAGACAGTAGATGATACTGTTTAGATAACGTGAATATTTAAACTTCTGACGTAAGAAAGTACCTGCTGCAGGCAAACAAAATTTACTGATAAAATTCGTACGGTTGTCTTCACTGAGACAAAACGCGGACTTGGTATACTTTGTTTTTAATTCATAAATGAATTGTTTCAAAGGAAAATAAATTGCTTCGAGCCGTTTAAAGGTAAATCTTTTCATGCAAATCCTTGTAACGAACTCGTAACATACGGTGGTTTTGTGTCATTGTAACTGACAGTTCCGTCTATTGCTTGTCTATGCACAGTGTGATTTTTCTAAGTTAATATCACATAATATGCTGCATATATATTTTGCAAAGGCATCTCAGCCTGTCAAATTGTAATTGGCTTACTGCAATGCAATGCAACGCAACGCCCCTCTACACAAGACGAAAACTTGTTCACACAATTTTTAGGTATCGCAGCTGAGAATTTCTCGTCCAACTTTGCTCATGAAACAGACATCTCGGCACAATCATTTTATCACATTTGTTTTAATAGAAGAGGTGCTGAGATGGGTGGAGCTATAGGTAAAGATCATGGGGCAATGGAATACGAAGAAAGGAATATTTATCTGAATTCGGTAAAGACTTACGGGAGGTTGGTTAATAGATTCGAACAACAGCATAAATCTGTTTTGCATCATTCAATTGTCCAATGTCTTTATGGGGCCTAGTTGAGCCGACGCTATATGTTTTTTTTTAACATTTTTTAAGTAGAATTCAGATGCAATTTGTAGAATTTGCAAGTGTGAAATTCTGTGTTTGCAAACTGTGAATACCAACAACACAACAACGTAAACTGCTTACTATGCAATACTTCAAGACGAGTTCAGCCAATTGTTACATCAATTGGCGACGAAAAGAGGTTTGAATAAGTTTTACCTGTATTTTACACTTATAGACTTAAACCAATTCGACCAATTACCATCCATCAAAAAGCCCTGTTCTGCTTGTGGGTGTTCATCACATGCTTATTTGCAATTGTTCACATTGTGAAATTGAGGAGATGGATTTTGTCAACGTGGAAAGACAAAAAGACAGACGGCAGAGAAGAAGAGGTTGATGATGTGGAACGGCAAAATTTCGTTGAAGAGCGAGGGAAGTTGGAAAGCTTTGCAAGTAAAAGCTCTATTTAATAGTCATTCTTATTTAAGCAACCTATCTAGGGAAAAGAAAGGTTCTTTTCAAGACCAAACAAGCATTTTTGCAGGGTTACACTTTACTTCAAGTAACATTTTTGTGGAGGAAAGAAGTTAATGAATCACAAGAAATGATTTTCGTAGGGACGAATGAGATAAACTAAATCAATCGATTTTAGCTGTGTTTGTTACTTGTGAATTTCTCTTAAATGGCTACACTTTGTTTCCTCCAGACACAAAATACCTTGACGAAAAGAAGTCGGAACACGAGAACAACAAAAAACCATCAATTTGGGAAAGATTGGTGGAAACATCACCCGAACAGCCATCTCTTGAAAAATTTCTGAGGCAGGCTTTCCTATTTGGCTGGATAATGTTCTATTTCTGGCTTTGTGACTTTCAGCACGTCTGGCGAAAAACAGACAAGCAATACTCCAGGGATATGTTTACATTTCTTTTCTGCTTACTTGTGTTTGTTGCTCTTGTCTTTACGATCAAACCGACAGAGGACAAGATTTTGAATCGCGATCAAACTGAAGAATGGAAGGGCTGGATGCAGGTTTGCATTGTCGATGCATTGCATGAGAGGGGGGTAAGGAAACGCTAAATTAAACTTGCCACAAAATTTTGAAGACTACATGTCTTCCTGTGGTGTAGAATATGTGGAATGTGTCTGGCATGTGGAACATGTGTTGCTGTGGTACGTGGCTGTGGTACAGCTGGACCAGTAAAACGTTGACACAAAATATCGTCAAATCAAATGCTTTCATCTTAGAAATTTTATTTTTAGTATGAGTTGAATCATTTCCCCTAGGTCCAATTTGTATGGTTCCATTATTATGACGCTCAAGAGGTTTACAACTCGATTCGCTGTTACGTAGGAAGTTATGTTTGGATGACTGGTTATGGTAAGGATGAGATTGCACAATTGATATAAATATCAAATTGATATAAATATTAGTAACACACGGGTTGCTGTTTTAGTCAGCAAGTAATTATATTTTTATATTGTGCCATGTCAACCCTGTCAAACAGGTCTTAGCGAATTCCTTCAACTGTTGAAACAGTATTTTTTCTCATTCCGCAATATTTTGGCAATGTATAGTGTCTGTTCATATTGAACAGTGCAGATTCTGGAAAAACTAACATGGCACTTTCTCTTGGTTATAACTGATTTTGTTTCCATCCAAAGGAACAGAGCTGAATGCACAAAATCACTTAAAAATTAAACATGTCATCAATTTTCATTCTGGTTAATCACAGACAAATCATTTCTATCACCAGAACTTCTATGCTGTGAGTTTTATGGACATACCTTTGTACCTTCTTACCTTCGTCTTTTTCACAGCCAGAACGAGCCCCCAACCAGATTGCTCCATGAATGCAAAGCATCTCACGCCCATGTATTTAATGCAGAGCACTTGTTTTGTCTTTAGGGAACTTCTGGTACTTCTATCACAAAAAAGATTATTCATTCTTTCGACTTTGCAAAATGATGTGGAGATTAAATTTTTTGGTTGTCATGGTGATGGCGATAACCAATCACGAGTTCGTGCGATATTACGTTTGTGCAATGCACACTTACTGGTTTCTTACTGTATACGCAATGCTGGCCTTTTTTGCAAGATATAACGACGTAAGTCATCAAATCTTCTCCATTAGGGGCTTTTTGTAGTTGAAGTAAATTATAAATAGCAACTCAATTAAAAGAACTCAATGTCTTGTAAATTATTACTTCTATTCAAGAATTAGCTGTTGCAATTCATTATGACGTACATTACACCCATCAAAATTACTGATTGGTTTTGAGGGATTTTGCAATTAATCAAATAAAGAATTTTCATCCATTTTTTATAGAATCGCAAAATTATGGCAACGAAATTTGTTTTGTTTTTCATCTTCAATTCCATCATATTCGAGATCCCTTTCATTGCGTACAAGGTGTTTTGGCCCTTCCAGTTTGTTCTTAATGTCAACGGAAACTTGGACAATTGGATTTATCGAGCAACGTACGTTGATTCAAGCTTTTGACTTTTAATTCAATCTCAACCATTAGGTGATTGATGTCCGGTTGACATATTTACGCTTTTGTAAACACCACTCATACTTTAGATCTTACCACGATGAAAAACTTCAAAGGAGTATTTTAAAGTAGTATATAGTAGCAAAAATCATTTGATTGACCAATGCTGTACTAAATAAACTTCAAAATTGTAATAACTGTAATAAGAACACGAGCCTGATTTTTTAACTGTAGGCTCGATCACTGGGCAACTTGGATTGGAATGCTGGTCGCTTACAACTATCCTTATTATGATGCTTTCTTGAGATATCTTGAAAAAAGGAGCGACAATATACGCGAAAATTCTCTCAAAAATGGCATAAAAATTGGACTTACGTTGTTCTGCATTGTCATAATTGTAATTTGGTTCCGTTATCTCTTGCTGGTTGAGAGAACGTGGTATAGAAAATATCACCCGTATTCCTCACTCATTCCAATACTTGCTTATATATGGTTGAGAAACCTGCATCCTTTTCTGAGAACTCGCTTTTTGAACTTGTTTAACTGGTTGGGAAAGATCACTTTGGAAACGTACTTATCCCAGATTCACATCTACATGATTGGAGATGCAAGAAAACTCCTCGTTTACATCCATAAGTATCCCATGTTAAACTTTGCAGTCGCCACTGTCCTGTACGTATGCGTATCGTACGTGCTTTTTCATCAAACAGTCTTGTTCAGTTCATTCCTGTTGCCAAGAAACATGAGAATTGTTTGTAGAAATTTCATAGCCAGTGTTTTAATATTATTATCTTGTTACATATTTTCCTATCTACTTACGTTGCAACAAATTTGGTAACACATATCATGAGTCATATTCATGAAATCTATAAGAAGTGTAAATTAATTTGTGTTTGGCAAATTATGCTGTAAACTCGAGATTCAAAATAAAAAAAAGAAGAAAGGAATGAACTTAAGAGAATGGCACAAACTGATATTCGGAAGATTGCCCTACATTTCCCTATTGGCTATCAACCTATCAACAAACTAAACATCGAGAAGCACAACTGATCGTTAAACATATCTCACAAATCTAAACTAAATATATTTACTCTAGGTAGCTAGGCATCAGAATGCTGTACTCTGTGGCCAATTCTTACCCATTTACGCTAAACTTATAAGACAGGTGTTTTTATAATGTGCAGTGCAGACATGCATGAATGAATATTTATCGGTAACCTGTTGATGGCTAAAATTTCACGTAGCTTAGCTTAGCTTCGAAAAGCGAAAAAAATAATCTTGAAATCAAAGCTTCCCGTGCTAAATGTACACATCTCAATCGTACACAATTTTAATACTTTTGATTTACAAGATTTGTTTGATGGCTTCCATGAAACATGACTACGGCTTTGATGTGAAGGAATTCAAGGGAAACTGGTGCCGACAAAGAAAAGCAAAGTTAGATTGGGAGGCTATAATTGAGCCCTGTAAATCCGATTTGGAGTACAATTTTAAACCGAGATCTTCTACATTAGGGTGAGTGACTAAATTTTGATTGAGCTTCTCAGCATTACTGCTCAGAGCTCATTGCTTTGAAGCAAAACTTTGAAGGTCGAGAAGTATTTACATAATGACCGTTTTTAATACACATGGCAATGCTGTGGGAGCTATATTCTTGCACCATATTCAAATAAAGCGAACTATAGTGCCAATCCTAGGACTTTCCACTATTTTCCACATCTTGACGTTTTCAAGCGTTTTTTTTGTTTAACTAGTGATGCAACATCCGTCGAAAAGAGTATGGTATTCGTAAAGGTGGCACCTGCAGGTCAATTTTCGCATATCCGCATAGAATCACGAGACATGTTAGGTAATCTTAAACTTTACGGTGGCGATTCGTGGAGAGTGACGCTCAGAAATCCAGAGGCGACAATTGCAACGGACGTATTTGATTTTAATAACGGATCATACGAAGCGCTGACACTCATCATGGAGCCAGGGATGTATGAGTTGGATTTAAGATTGGATTACACACTATGTGATGGACTACGCAACCCACCAGTTGAGTGGTTTCATAAAGGTGTGTTAACATGGTAAAGTCACTAGTGAGGATTTGGTAGTAGTTTTGAAACTGCTTGAAGATAATGCCAATCTCATAAACGTCGGCCACTTGTTAAAGACACTATGAACCCAATTGTTAATCACACTTTTCGACCTTGTTCTTACACAACGTGTGAATGCAGAAGCCACATTTTTACCGTTGCTACCATGCACATCTACGTTATGACATATTTTCACTTTGAGCTCACGAAAAGTTTTCTTGATGCAAGCAAGTGATATTCCTAACGCTATCCTTCCATGATGCTGGACTGAGATCATTCCCACTCGAAAAGATACCAAAAATTTTCTAAAGCTGTCCACAATAAAACTCAGTCTTCAGTCATTTGATGCAAAACTTTATCTTGTGTTGATCTGTACTTTTCACACCACAAACATCAAAATAAAATACTGACATAATTTAGAATAGTTACTGAAGTTTTTCTCGCTCTTCATATTGAGATAAGAAAAACATAAATATTTGCTAGTGTAACTTTTAGTCTTCCATTTCCAGTTCATTGCTCCGGTGTTTTCAAAAACCAACAAGATATTGGCACCGAGTTGTTTGCCAATATGCAAGATTATATTAATAAAAAATTGGACAACTCTCAAATTCTTACTATCAACGTTCCAGCTTCTAATCTCAACCTTATTGGTTAGTGCAACTTTAAGAATGATTTCCAGCACGTTTAATCATTTATATAATCTCATAATGCGATGTGATCTGTTCTTGGATTTTGTTTGTATGGCTCTATGTTTCCTTCAGTCAAGTGTCATCAGAAAAAGTCAGCTAGTAAATCTTGATTTTTTCTCTAAAACTAACAAATGCAGGCCATCTTTCTCGTAACTCACAATTATGTTTCGGCAAACTTTCTCATGAGCTGTATACTTTTAAGGTTAACATATTTATAATCGACAGATCATGCCAGATTGATGGTCGAAGCCGAGAATGAATGCGAGTTGTCGTGTAAAAAGAAATTATGGGATGGTTATGGTCGCTGGTCTTTAGACAGTAAATGGAAACCTTTCATTGAGGAGATAAATTTGCCTTCTTCTTTAGGTACGTCCTTCAACAATAAATTCATCATATAATTTATAGGCCACTAAAGATATTCCTTGTAGAAAAATATTGAGTAAGTGTAACTCTTTCTACTTTAGATGGGTGGCATACGTTCGATGGACGTAAGAACCTGGATTATACGTCCAACCACACTGAAGGCGAAGGAATATTTTGGATTTATGGTGACTCGCTGAGTTACTATTTTTTCGAATCATTTTCAAAGGCTAAAGCCCAGTTTTGCACAACAAGCTTCAAAATGTGCAATGTATCATACAACTGGATCTATCCAAAAACCTTGTATGAATTAGTAAGTTATAGAACGCTTAGAATTGTAAAATATCAATTCCTCCATAGTTTCCAACGTGATAACTATACGTTTTTATTTCTCGTTTACCAAAATGCATGATGCTTGCTATAAGCCCAATTTGTAAATTTACACGTATCCTAGTGCTTATGCATGTGCAATTCATCGTATAATATTGCCTGCCTTTTCAAATATGTGTCGTTAGCCTTGCCAGTCTATACTTCTGATTTATCTCAATGTAACTTCACAAGCATTCACTAAAATCTCCAACATTTTAGACTGAAACATGCAGTGAGACAAAGCTAGAAGTACCTAAAGTTCTTCACTATCTTCGTGAAGTAACTAACAATCCCAACATGATTGATTATAATTCTGTTCTCTTATTCAACGCTGGTGCACATTATGTAAAGGTAAATGGCACAATCAATTCCACGTTTTTGTGCAAATAATTTTATGCTGTAAACAATAATCACTTTGATTCTGTCATCAACCATTCCTAAATCATCGTAGACAACCAATTTTGATCAATACAAAGATGCCATCCGTGAAATAGCAAAAGTGTTGAGTCAGGAATTTATTGGCAAAGCCATATGGAAGTCAACGGCAGCGGTGCACGATCAGACTGCTACAATTATGGGATCATTTCGAAGATTTACAACTGATCACGTAAGGTCCATAAGACAACTTTTTACAACTAAAAGTTGAACTCAGGTTGATCAAGCAAACGTATTTGTTGAATACTCAATAGAATACTGATAGATTTTAATCTTATAACTTTTTGGTTAAGATTTAAACCCTATTTTGGAATCCTCCTGAGAACATTCTGCCAATTCTGAAAAAGTGAGAGGATTATATATTTCCAAAATATTTCGAATATCGTCCGCTTTGGCATTTTGGATAATTAAAAATTATACAATTTATGACTTAATGTATATGATTTTATTCATTTTATGCAATTGATAACAGCTATTAATAATTTTAATTCAGTTTTGTTGTTATTTGGACAAACCAGAAAAATTGAAATTTATATCTTTTGGTAAAGTGGAATTTAGTGAATGTCTTGAATTATAGTGTTTATAAACAAAAATTACATTTTACTCAATATATTTACTTCCAAACATAACTATGAGTTTATTTTTCTGCAGCGTGTGAAGCTGTTCAATGCTTACAGTAACGATGTGATGTGCAAGGCTGGTGTTTCGTTTCTGGATATCTATCCCATGTCAGCCTCGTATCCATATGGAACAAAAGATGGCATACATTATGATAGTAAAGTCTTTTATCCTGTCGAAGATCTTTTAGTCAACTATTTTGATCGTGAGTACAGACAAGGCAATGTACTTAGCTATGATGAGATGAAAACATATGAAGACGATTTAAGATAACTGAATTGAAACGATTTCTTTTTTAAAACAAATTCAAACATTTTTAATTATTTCTATGAGAGTTATAGACATTTATACAATTTAGCGTTAAGCTGTTTTATCTTTGATGTCATGTATTGTTACCGTAATGGCGAACTGAAGAAATAATTCATCAACAAATGTACTTATGTAAAAAATTAATTAACTATAATCAAGGAGATTTTTATACGACCTGCTAAACCTGTATATTAATGTGTTAAAGATATTTTAGATCGGTGCAATTACTGAATAATTTTCTTTTCATTTCATCAGGTCACATTTCAATAGAAAAGCTACATCACCTTTCAAATTTCGAAAACCTCGTTCAACAAAGGAAGTAAATTTTAAAAACACTGGTGTCAGACATCAAATTCTCATTGTTTGTAACCAAAGTATTTTTCAATTTCTTTCACTGTCATATTGAAGTAGATCTTAAGTGATTTCTTCAGATCAATCAATCCAAGATTCAAACCTTCGTGGGAAACTTCAACATATTTCTTTTTGAAGTACGCAACATATTCCTTATCAGCCCATTGCATTTTACGACACACGTCTTTACCATCTCCACTTTCTTTAATACCATTAGGTCGCTGACACTGGCCTTTCAACTTTTGGTTTAAAATTCGTAGCCTTTGAACGTCTGCTTTGAAATTTAGGCTGTAAGTCGCAACTTGCTCCCAAAACGATTTATTAAAATGTTCATAAATAACTTGATCGAATTTTTTACTTTTGTTGATTTGGTTCTTAGAAATAATTGAGAATTTTGCGTTATTTTCATCAGTCAACTATAGTTTCTTTAACTAAAAGTTGTTAAATTTTTGAAACCTTTTGTTCCTAATAAAGTGCAAAACATATGGCAGAAGAAAGATGACAACAGGGGATTATGTCTCCTATACTGAACAAACAGATACAGTAAGTTCTCATTGAAATAATGAATTTTTTTATTGAAATTTTGTTCAATGTTATTGCAAGAACATATTGAACTCTGAATTAGAATCTAATGCAATGTTGACAAAGGTGGAATGAGTTGTGATTTGCCATAGATCTGCCAAGTAAAACTCTCACAAAACCTGCAAGTTGTTTCTCGAAATCGTTACCTGAATGAGTGTTGGCGCAACACCAAGATGAAACTCGTTCTTACTTGAAGTGTACGTCACATCGGTTATGGACCAGTTTAAATAATTTTTCATGAGAATTAATGACTCATCTAAATGATCTCCGATCAAAACCAAATCAAACTGAGTGTGAATTTTGCTGATGGCCTTTTTTGCAGTTACGTTGCAATTTCCCTTACTAGCTCTTTCCGGGCAGAGAAACACCGACGTAATCACTGGAAAGATATGAAAACTTAACTCGGCATATTTTTCCAATTACAAGGGTGATTTTTCCTGCCCTGTCAATGCATTCATGTTAAAAGGTCATATCTACTAATCATGATTTTTATGACATAAGCACTGACCATTTGTATTTTCCTGGCCAAAAACTGTTTCGGTTTTTAATGGATTTTTGATGAAGTTAAGCCTTTTCGTGACTGTAAACTTTTTCAACATTTCATGCTGAATGGGTTCAGAATATTTCAGTTGAACAGGGTCATAAAGCACGGCGATGAAGAAGGCGTCCTATAATATATGTGTCATAATCATAAAACCTAGTTTAAAGCTTGTGTTTTTATAGGTAAGTGACTAAATCTTTATAAAATAAATTGAAACGAAGGCATTCGTCAAATGCTCTCCATAATTTGATCAAAATAATTTGACATAGTTGTGAGACATGTCACAAATGTCACGTTTACCAAGTAGGCACTAAAACGTTTATTGCATGGCAAAAACACTTTATAGAATGTCTCTGCAACGTTAATCATTGCTAATTATTGTAAATCTTGAGAAATACGGCAAAGCACTCAATAGTATGATGCTTATAAAGCTATGCTACGTTCATCATTTCTAGTAATTGTAAATCTTGGCAAGCATATCAAAGAACTGCAAAAAAACGGAAGACGAAAGAAAAACCATTTGCGAATGTGAGTCTAAGGAAAAATACTCGGAAAACAGTTTAACTATCCAGACGATACATTTTGAAACGATTTCTTTTTTACTGACGAAAACTAGAAAAGTGAAAGTAAACCCGTACAAAACAGCAAAGACGAGAAAGGAAGCAAGCTTCTTTTCAGGTCAAATAATGCCATATAATAAACCTTTTAATAACCTCGCTTTCTCGGTCTTTACTGAGAAATATTGGACTTCAGTCTTTTTGTACAAACCTCCCCCTACGTGCTCGGTCTGTACAAAAAAACCTCGGTCCGTTATTTCTCCGTAAAGACCTCGAGCTCGGTTATTAATGGACTCCGTCGATTTCGACGTATGAGGGTTCCACAAAGTGGAACATCCTGGTTACTTAAATTATAGTGAAGGCAGCTGACCAGACTACAATCACTCGTACCTTTCACGCAACTACAACGCTGATATCAGCGTGACACACAGTGTGACAAGGCTGCAACATTGCAGATGCAGATGCAATTCGGCTGGCTTCGCCACTTCTGACCTTCAAGACATATTCAAAAATGCCGATTTGGGAAAGGTTTATGTAAATAAAAACTTTCCCACATGATGTATTTTCCAAAAAAAATCAATCTCAACAACAATTCATTAATCAATCTCAAACAGCAAGTTAATTTTTCGTTGACACATACATGTTGTCGTAGCATATTTTTCATTTATTTTTTTCGCCATGAATAAAAAAATTATATTTATCTTTACTTTTGTAGAATGATATTAAAGAATTTGACGTTTATCATTTGAACTATGAGTATGATAAGCTATAATTTGTGCAGCCTTTCGATTTCATAGAATACAGAATACATACCTTCGCCAACAGAGCAAATTCATCATTGTATCTTCCATCGAAAACCACTATTTCCTTAGAAATTTTGATAGGAAGTGACAACTTTCGGGCAGGAAAGCATAAACAATCGCTTTCCATTGTGTTGCCCACTTAAACAGGCAAATATTACGTTTCTTTGAAAACCAATGTGGTATTGAACTTTTGATCGCCATTCATACCGTTTGTTTTGTTGTTGGTAAGATTTCACGGTACAGCGATCACATTTAACATGAGATAAAATGTTTTTATTTTGTCAAACATTCAAAAATCAGTAATATGGTGACCAAGCAAAATGTTTTCAGCGAACAATCAACTACAAGAAATAACAGAGCGCGCCAAACGCCTTACTTTGAAAAAAATAACATTGCTTCGTGAAACAGGGGGGAGCGAATATAGGAGTTGAAGTAACGTTCGGTATTTTGTTTCCCGATCCACATAATTTTGGCTGGTTTATAAATATGAAATACATTTTTCTTATTGAATTATATTGAAATAATGCATTGAAAAAGTTTTTAGCCTTCAAAACTATAAAATATGTAAAAAAATCGTATAATGCTAATTTTCGAAAACAAAACTATAACCTGTTTGTTCCCCCCTGACAACCTCCACTGATGCTCTTTTTTAAAAAGAAAGCGACTTAAATTTAGAATTTAATGAGTGCACAATCTTCAAAATGAAAAGCGTTGATTGCAATCTTTGCTCATTTTGTATTTTAAAGGGATAATCATAACATGAATATTTTTCCCCTGTTGTTAATCTGATTACTGAGCAAGAAACAAGCAACAGACTACACAAAGAAACAAATTCAAAATGGCGTTCCAAATTTAGCGCAATGTCTTGCCCAAAATATTGCTTGACACAGCTTCATGCCGATATTCCCATAGAAAATGCTGTTTTGTCAACGGTGAATTGTGAATTCGTCCGGTAGACCAGAGTTTGTTTAGTTAGGGTAATTTTACATAAATTAACGAATTTTCAAATGACTAAAACGTATTTAAAAGTGCTTTCAAACGAACACATTATACAAAAAAAAAAGTAATTTCAAAAGAGTCACACAAAAAGTAATCTTTCACTGAAAGGTGAAATGACAATAAACTTACCTCTTAGACAATATCTCAACAATCTTTTTGTTTACACCACCGAGTTCTGCAAAACTATATTGTTCCTCACTGCCAAAGTTGTAAAATATGTTTACAGTACAACGAAGCCAAATGGCCCAAACACAGATACAAGCCCATGTAAGTAACACAACATTCTTAAGTGAACGGAGGACAAAGATTTTATCATTTATCATTTCTAAAAAACTTTAAACATTGGTTTGAGAAATGTTATTGGGAGAATGATTGACACTAGTATTACTAAAGTACTGAATCAACACCAACATTTGATGCCATACTTTAGAGACCATTTGAGTTTGAGTCAAAGAAGAAAGCCTCAATTACCAATGAGTTATTTTTTCACAGTTTGCTGTTATAACATCAAGAACTTAGTTGTATTGTGGCTTAAATGAAACATATCAATAAGTTATGTTTTTACCAGGTATTCATGAATAACACCTGTGAGGTGACACTGGTTATGACACTGTAAAATTTCTTCGCTTCTTGATCGTTCTGCCTCCATTTTTCTCTCCAAACAAAGCAGTTGAGCATTGTTGACTTAACGATATTCTTCGTCCCATCTAAAAACATATAAATTATACATGCTTGCAATGGCTTTCTCCCTGCCTATTATTCCAAGCCCTTTAAGATAAATTTTAAAGTTATGAAAAGAAGAAAGAAAAAGCTTATAGTCCTTTTGGGCAAATTTACCAGTGATTTTGCATCCGGGGCACTTTTATGTCTTCTATAGGACTTCCCTGAATGTCCTTCAAGGATCTTATGTATGGATACTTGACGTCTCAGAACTTTGTGTTTACGTTCAGTCTTAAAATCATAAATAATGATGACAATTACATATAGATTATCGTGAACAAGTTTGTTTTATAATTGGTTTATTGTCCCTGCCCTGATCTACTAACATTTTTTGACGTATGGTATTCAACTTTTCTACTTGATCATTCTACGACTTAGTAAATGGCGTAGCTAGTCTGTTTATTAGGTCCTGCAATGCAAAGTCTTTTGTTTTAATTCATACCAAAAAGAATAGATTTCTAAAGAAACGAATAATGATAATGTTTTAAAAGCTGCAAAGCAGGACTGAAATTTGCAGACTTGCTTGCCACCGTACATAGTTATTGCTATCACCTAAATTCTTACTGTTTTTTTGTCGAGGTTTTCAGTGAAGTCTTTCTCATCTTCTGTTTCACCATTTGTATTGCTTGTGACAGAGATGTTCCTACGTATTTCTCTTCTTTTTTTCGTTTGTTCAGCTAGCATTTTGTGAGTCCATCCAAGTTGAATCAGTTGATTTTTCAACTCTGCAATGTCTGATTTTGCCTTCTCAGCAGACTGCGCAGCTTCGAAGTGACTTTCGTGTATAGACGTCGCCCACCTTAAGATAAATAAACAGTTAAATTGATCAATTTATTCTGTTAAAGTTTCTTTCCTGAACATGAATTGTTGGTAGTCACGTGCTGTCATTCGCGATTAAATAATTGTTTCTGACTTTCTGTATATCAGTAAAACTTTTCTCAGTTAGTTGCATTTTGATTTGGTTTGAATATCGGTAATAACCATGTTGACAACCTTGGTTCAATCTTAAATTTTAAATTAAGTTTATTATCAAAACTCATAGATCTGTGTGCAGGCGAGTTGGTAATTACTTAGAGTAAAAACACAGTGATCAAGTTTATGAATTTATTTCCAGTTATGTGATCTGTCTTTGCTTACACATTTTTGCTTGCAGCAATATTTTCCTCATCTTTATCTTCATGTAATGTTTGCAGTCTTGTTGCTTTCAATTCATGGTTGTTTTCCTTGTCTTTCATATCAAGACAAAGTTCTTCGATGACTATGATGGGACTCTTTCCTGGACTATACTTCCTACCACCATATGCAAATCTCTTTTTAGCATCTCGTAGCCATTGTCTATTCTTTTCCTTTTGAACAAATGGATCTACGTCTGTTTTAATTTCCAATTTTTTTAAATAATCAAAGTCAGAAAACATACTTGGCTCGTGTCTTCGATATTCCATATTTGACAGGGTCCGCCTGCTTGGGAGTTTCATATTTACAATTTCCTTCACTTTAAACTTTTTTTCACTTGACACCCAATGTTCGCCTCTCTTTGGCCTTTCCTCAGACATTTTGTGCGTGGGCAAGACAATATTGGGTGCTTTAGCTTCAGTGGTGTCTTCTAAATTTATCAGTGAGTGATTTTCAAATTGTGATAAGCTTGTATTTGTCCATTCCCAATGAGTGGTAACTTTCGTGGATGTTTTATCTTTGTCCATGCCCACATACTTACATTCACCATCTACGCTATGTCGTTCACTGTATCCATCAACGAGTTGCGTCTCCATCGATGAATTCTGCGTATTTGCACTGCAGATTTTACTGTAGCTCATTGCTACGCTTTGTTTCTTTGAGCTGTGCTCCAGAATTTTTGTCCTATTTGCAATGTTTTCATCGGTTTGCTTTTCTAACTCAACGTCTTTTTTATTGGAATTTTTAGATTTTCTGGATCGTCTTGATAACAATGCATTCTGAACAAAAGATTTTGTTTCTCCGTCTAGTCCTTTACATTTTTTTGCCATCCGATTGTCATTGGCCAGGTTAGATCCTGAGCTAATTTTATTCGCCCTCATTTTCGTATCTTCTTTTTCTGTTTGTTTCCTAAGAAGAACATAATACGATTTGCTCTTTTTATGTATTATCGGAAACAAATTTGGTTGAAGCAACTTTAAAGCAAACAAAATTGTACACAAGAATTTAAAGTCAATATAAATTGTTGTCACATATATGAATCTTGACCTTTGTCTGTCCACTCTTCGTAGTTGAGGCATAATTTGGCTTTTTGGCTTACTTGACTTTGCCAAGCAAACGCACTCTCTTTTGAAGTTTTGCCATTTATTGCTTTCTTTTACCAGACTCTTAAGCTCCTCATCATTTGGAAATTTTGGCCTGTTTTTCTTCATAGCAAGCAGCAAACTTTCAGTGTTTTTCATCGTCCATCTACATTGAATATTTGTTGAAAATATTTTTTAAATAAGCTGCACAAAGAAATTAATAATAAACTTTGCCACAATAATCGTACAAAACTGCACTAACGATTGATAAATTTTAGTACATCAAAAAATTAAATGCTCAACTTTCCATTGACTTAATGGGCAGTATTTATTCCATAAGAATAACTTACTTGTTTAACAAGAAGCACGTTACCAGTCCAACTGTATACACCGAGTATTTACTACTTTTTCCATCAATGACGCAAGATGCATCAAAATAAGAACCTTGAATGTCAAAGTGATTGAAGTACAGTTTTTATTGAAAGTATGAATGACGCTGAATACTATTGGTGTATGTTATACATTAGTACCTTTTTCAATATAACACATTTTAAAAAGCTCGCTGCGATTTTGATCTGGAAAATAAACTCGTCTAAAATACGCACAGCGTCCTATGAAAACAAAATTGAGCTTATGCATCATAAAGCAACCATACGTATTTTTAATTTTTTATTTTATTAAATTTGTATGTTGTTCATTTGGGCATTCCCGAATACAAACACGAATACAAACAATATGATGAACGTAACGCTTGTTTCAATTAAAACGTTCTCTTTTATGAGAAAGTTTCTCTTGACAAATTTTTAATGATAACGTAGGCTAAATTTAAAAAAAATACTTAAAGATCTATTGGTTCTAAGGTGCTGTTGTTAATATAGAAAACGTTTGCCTAAAGTTTTGAACTAAACAATATATTGCTTCGATCATCTATGAGAAGTTACGTGTCATCTTACCCTCAACGACAAAAAACGCATGCTCTTGTTTTTGTCCTTGAATTAAAATCTCTTTTCCGGCTGAAAACTCCTACATTCAAATTAGAAAGTTTATTTTAAACACCCGCATACACCGTACAAATTTTAGGTGTCGTACATCAAAAAGTTTGCTTCATGCAATACATACTGCGTGAAATATAGCTACTACTGCTACATGTACTACTATAACATATACTACCACTACATGTACTACAGTTACATCTACTATTACTACCTGTATAACTACTATTTGTACTACTACTACACCCACGACTACTTCATGTATTACTACAACATACTTGCTTCACCATTTGTCCCACAAGCTTCTGTTGATCATCTTCTGTTATTTCACGAAATAAACTGTTTTCATTTAAAAACCTTGTTATCTCACAACGAAATTGTTTTTGTCCCTCTTCGATCTTTTCGTGAAATATAGCACGATCAATTCTGAGAAATTCACAGTTTCCAATTGTGGCAATGAATTCTGGAGTTGGCAGATCGAAATTTGGTCCATCGGCAGATAGTAGACCTATGTAGTCACCTGCTATGTTTGTATAAGATATCAGTTCTTCTTCTCCATTAGTGTTAGTAGTGTTTTCATTTTTTACACTATAAAGTGATTCAACAGAACCAAAAAGAATGTAATAGCAAGACATTTGTGTTTCATGACTTTCTTTCTCTATCGTAATATTGGACTCGTGCTTTTTGAAGGTGATGGCGTGGCTCAACGCCGTTTTGACAAACTCAAGATTTTTGTGAATTTCCTTTAGTCCACTTACGATTGGGCGGATGATCAGAAGTTCGGTTTTATTTCGTGGCTTTTTTGGATCACGTTGGAGAATTTCGCTTGCTTGCTTTGATATCGCTATTCCAGCTTGAGCCTTGTAAAGTCTCTTGTTGAATAAAGGTTTCTGGTGCATTTTCGTTCCAAACTATACTATTTGTTCCTCAATAATCGTGTTAAGGCAACGCTTTTCCTATATTTCAGAAACGACAATGGTAATTGTCTTGATGGAGTATTATTTCAAGTTTTTGTTCCTTTTTTTTGTTGTTAGTGGCTATATAGCTCGTGTTATTAATCATATTTGAATTAGCCTAAAGGTGCAAGTTTTTTGTTAAATTAATATAACTCTACGAAATTTATATTAAAAAGCTATGAATACTTGTTTTGGAAGCCATGCACGAAAATTGTAGATAATATACCTGTATCACTTTTCCCGTTTGACAGTTGTCATTTTGGACAAAGAACCATTTTGCTTTGATTTTAGCACTGGAACACAACTGTATAAAACATTTTCATGCAAACAATAGAGTTCAATAACACAAGACGTTTATTTTATTTTATAATTTATACATATATCTGTGTGTACTTAAACTTTCGGCTCTTACACATTGGATGTTATTGGTTGATAAAATATGTTTTTTCAGTTGTCAAGCAACCATTCACGGCGTTTGAATTTTTAATCAAAAGCAGGTGGCCATTGCTTTACAAAATTATATTCCAGAGATGTGAGATGGAAAATTTCATCGACTTTATTCATTAAGCACAATCACTTTTAATTGTTAATTAAAGTTGAGTGACTGCATGACACATAAATTATACGTTCCAAAAAAGGCTTACCTTTTTTTAAAAAATGAGCGAGTCGTTAGTTTTGAGCAAAGGAACACGTGAATGGATGGACAAATAAATGTTATATACCAGCAAATTAACAATATGCTATCGCTTGTTTCAACAGGTTTTGGTCCTTTTCTACAAAATAATGTAAAGATCTCTGTGTTTTTAAAAATCGACACAGTATACGATAAATTGAAGGATGGAAAGCAAGTGACTGAACATAAAAACTTCTAGTATTCTTTGGATTAAATGTAAAGTTGTGCTCGAAGGTTAAAAACAAGTTCGGCCAGTAATGCTTACTTTCTATATTTTCTTTAATAAATAACAGAATATATAGCTTGTTACCTTTGATGTCTTGGCTGTAATTTATTGTGCATTTGACTTTAGAAAAGATATATTTTGCATTGTGTTGGTACTTGTCCACAAAACAAACCATATTCGATCCTTACGAGAAAATCTAAATCAAAAGAAGCATCAAGGATAATAATGCTAAGTATTTAAAAGGAAGTTTTATTTGGAGTAAAAAGCTAGTGCTTCAATGAAAGAGATCATTGTTTAACCTAGTTTCTTGTGGAGTTAAAGACAGTGGGATCAATATATATTGCTCGTGCATTGCGAAATCTAGCACTCGTGCATTCAAAGGCTGACATTCTTTATGTCAACGAGAACCACGTTCAGGCTACATGACGGTAAAGTAAATGGAGAATGATAAGAGCCCGAACATAACGTTACGTTTTCAACAGTTATTTCTGAGGTTTGCAAAATCGATGACTTGTAAGAGTATTCCCAGAAAAAATCGAACTAATTTCGTTCGGTTCATAGCTGAGAAAGCTGCTAGTAAACCTTGTAAGACTTTAATGTTTTTTACTCTATTTTTGATTTTCATCATAAGCAGCTGGTTTATACATTGGCATACTTTACATATTTACCAGTCGAATGAATTGAAAAATAAGAGATTGGTAGAAAGTAGCATACGTATTTGGGGAAAAGTTGGCAACAATAATAATCAAGCGAAAGAAGATAAAATATTAATTGGTGTTAATAATGAAAAGCTCTATAAAGATGGCAATAACATAGAGGAGGAGGAAAGACCAATTCAAAGGACAAGGTATTCTTTGTTTACTTGTTGATTATATTTTTTTTAATAAAACGGTTTGTTCCTGGCCCAATTTAGGCAACAAATTTCTTAGACTTTTGTATTCTCAATGGTTGCGTTGCTTACAGTAAGTTACAATAACTAGCTAATCACTGGCGAAAGTAACTTATATCGTGTAATGTGTCACCAGGCCAGTGTAAACCAGGAAGTTACGATAGATTTGGTACCTTTTTATATTTTAATTTGTTTACAGTTGCAAGCGGCACAATGTTGTTGTTTTCATCAAAACACACAAGACCGGAGGCAGCACAATTACAAACATTCTCAATCGCTTCGCAGATACGTACGATTTGAAAGTGGCGCTACCAATGTTTGGTTTGTACCGATTTCGTTGGCCTTTGCCATTTCATTGGTCTGCAGTTGATTTGGGGGGACTGGAGGGCGATACACCGAATGTGCTGTGCAACCACGCCCGTTATAACCGTGCGACCATGCAATTGATCATGAAGAAGGGGGCTAAATACATTACAATTTTACGTGATTCCGTTTATCAATATGAGTCAATGTTTAGTTACATGGAATTTGGAAATTACTTATCTTTGAATCCCTCTAAGGCGATTTCCTTGCCTGGTTTTGTCGAAAATCCTGTGCCAAAATTGTACCAAATGCGAGAAAAGTATCGTGGCATTCCAGAACCTATGAATTTGGTAAAGAATCCCATGTTTTTTGATCTGGGTATGTAAAATTTTCCCACATGATTAGTATAAAAGCAGGGCATCCCAAAAGATAGGGCAAAAGAGATAATATGTCTCTAACCTCAAGCTTTAGTATACCATAAAAATAAAAATGAAAAAAAATGGGATAGACTGAGTCATGAAAAATCCCTCTCCTTCCCTCAAGCACATTTCCCTCTCATTTCCTCAAGCACATTTCCCTCTCCTTCCCTCAAGCACATTTCCCTCTCATTTCCTCAAGCACATTTCCCTCTCCTTCCCTCAAGCACATTTCTCTATCCTTCCCTCAAGCACATTTCCCTCTCCTTCCCTGAAGCACATTTCCCTCTCCTTCCCTCAAGCACATTTCTCTCTCCTTCCCTGAAGCACATTTCCCTTTCCTTCCCTGAAGCACATTTCTCCCCGAGTACATTATTTGCTCTTTGATACCTTTTATAAAGGAAACGACTTAAGTGAGATCATCTCTGTTCAACATTTGGGAAAATATGTATATGTTTGCTACAACTCCATTCACTATCCTAAACCAAGTAAAGTTAATGCTTGTGCGCAAAGGCCGACAGTTCAAACATGTACAACATTGTCCATTTTCACATGTTTGTAGTTGTTAATCGTCCAGTTTAGTGAAGACCTGAAAATGACTGTTTACTGTTAACTAACGTTTTAATACCTTCAAAGTCAAGCAACTTAGGACGACCACATCTCTTCATGTATATAACGATACTCCTAGGTTCAAATTATTCGATAGCTTAATTACCCAACAAATTGAGTATATTAGAAAGATTTTTACAATCTTGTAATTTCCCATGCATTTGACTAAAACTGCAGATAACTCATCATGTAGGTTTATATCCACCGGCATATGACAATATGAGTCGAGTACGAGACGAAATAAAAAGGATGGATCGCGATTTCGAACTAGTTCTCATAATGGAATATTTCGATGAAAGTCTGATCCTATTAAAGAACGCGTTGTGTTGGACGTTGCAGGATATTCTTTACGTAAAATTCAACCAAAGACAAAGTAAACCGAAAACGGAAATGCTTGAAAAAACGAAGAAAGATATACGGAATTGGAACAAGGCAGATGTTATGCTTTATGACTATTTTAACAAAACGTTGTGGAGGAAAATTCGAGAAAGTGGTCCAATGTTTTGGAAGGACTTGAAAAAATTCCGTGAAATGAATTTAGCTATGCAATCATCTTGTGTCGCAACAACACAATACTCCACAAAAGCGTTCAAAAATAACGGAAATATACTCTCTTACCGTCTCAGGCAGAATGTTTCAGATATAGACAGATACCTTTGTATGAAGATCATAAGAAATGAAATTGACTACGTGGAGTACTTTCGAACAAAGTTTAAACCGAATGGGTTTTATCAAAAGGAACTGAGGAGAACAGGCAAGAAAAAAACGTCCACAAGGGAACTTATTGAACGATTACAAACGGAAGCAAAAATTAAGTTTGCAGTTCCTCGCGCAGTAATGTAGATGAGCATAACTTTCTTGCGACAAGATCTCTGTAGACAGGTTGTGCTGTAATTTGTGTACGTAAAAAACCCTTTTTTTTTCATCATTTTTTGCTTTTGTATATACCATTGACTTACCTATCAATCGTTAGCATGCAGAAACCCAACTGATCTATTGTTTCTAGAGGCACAGTTTCACCCCCTCGTCACGTGATACATCAATACTGATAAATAAGAATAAAAGAAATAGTTTGAATATCCAACAATAAAAATGACAAACACACTATATATACATGAATAAAAATATCTCAAAAATGCCATAAGGGAAAATAACTTTAAGCTCTTCAGTGGTTTAATTGAGAAAAAAAATAAGATTAGAGTATTAATAAATTCTGTCTCCATATTGTTGGCAACATATAGACTTGCCGAATTCAATTGACTCTATACCAAGAAAGATAGCGCCGTCATAACTGGAGACCAGAACTTTCCATCGACGCGTTGAAACAAAAGAAAAGGAAGACACTCCTAGAAGAAATAAAACAGGCAACGGCTGCTAGACTGGTTTTTTTTTTGCTGTAGATTGACCAATCAAGTTGATAGTAATCACATAATATACCGGATAATGTAATGAATGCCTCAATGCTTACCACACATTGTGCCTGCGTGGTGGTATGAATGACCTGACTCTGTCGTTTTATCAATAGTTGTTGTGTATTGCCAACTTTGTATTTATGTATGGTGGGGGACACCCTGCCGATAATGGTCGTTGACGTTGAAAAAAGCTAAAGACGACAGACAACATGTCAATAAAATACAACCGAAACTTGCACAGTCCACTCAACCAACTAACAAGTTCATACCAATCAATTGAATCTCCTAGTAAAGCTTTGAGATTCACTACCTCACTCCCACATAAACTATTAGTGAAAAATCGTCTATAGTTTTGGCAATTGTTAGGAAATCACCTGAGCTTGCCAGTTGACTATACCAACTGTCTTAGTTTTGTGATTATGGCAATTGGATCTAATAGCACAAATTTTGGAGTAAATTGTTCTCTTTTGTTGTTTAACAAAATGACAACTAACAATTGGGATCATGCAAAAGCCAATATATAATATTATAATGACTCTTTTTTCCATTAACAAAAACAACGGGACATCATCACGTGGCATCGTCAGCAACGTGGCATCATCAGCCAGACATTTGAGAGTTAAACAAAGGTTTATTTGAAGCTGAATGTCAATTATTTGTTAAAAAAAACTTTACATACGTAGACACTATAGTTCTGTGATACAGTCACACTATATTTATATCGTAATATACGAATCAATGTATCATACCTAAGCTTTAAATGAAACTATGAAGACAAAAATACAACGACTACGTCTATTTCATATTTGGAGTGCAGGCTTTTATCTACTCATCAAACAACACCAAAGCTAAAACAATTATTCAATATGTAATAAATAGTAATATAAAACCCTCAAATTTATTTTTTCATACTGATATAAGCTAGCTAAAAAGCACCTCAGGTCATTTTATTATAAAAAGACAATTTAAAAGAGCTTTGATACTAAGCTCTGTGTTCATGATACATTAAAGCTTTTTCACATCGAACAAAATGTTGAACATGAAAAGAGCCAACGGAAGCGAAATTAAATTTGTGAGAAACTAAGCAAAGAAAACATATATAAGGCAAGATAAGTTTTATTTTCAAGTCTTCGCGAAGAAAAATACACTTATTGACTGTAGAAAAGATTCTTGCAATATTTTTCACAAGGCGGAACTAGTTTCGTGTTAAAATGAAACGAGGCTCTTTGTGATTGGTCAAATTCTACTTGAAAGATATGTGAACCATTTCGCGTTTTGTTTGACTTACTTCTGAATAAATAATTTTTATCGAGTTTCATTTTTGTTTAATTCCATCATTGAAGTAAATACATGAATCAGATGATTCATCTTTTAATCGAAATCCCTTCGCTGTGATTTGATATGAGAATTTTCAATTGAAGAAGGAAGTTTTTCGCGTCGATATTATTTGAAAATATGTACACGTATCCAATTAATGCAAATTGATGAGTGTGGGAGGGCTTTAGCTATGCGCATATTAATTTTTGTTTTATTAGCAAGTCAATCCTTTCATAAACCCTCATTACATAGTTCTTACCACGACGTTAAGATCTGACATAATTCAGTTTTGGAAGATATTAAGAAGTTCAATTCACATCTCGATATGAAGACTGTATTGGTTTTGATACTGGTATTGGCCGTGAGCCGCTTTGAAGCAAAACCTTTCCTTGGTCTAACACCCGAAAAAGGTAAAACATAAAATATTTATTGTGAATTCCTACAGATTGTGTTAAAATGGTAAACAACGAAAGTCCTCTTCTTGTCCTATTTAAGTGTATTTTAGTTTGTATCAAAGGAACAGTAGTTTAACTTAATTATATAAATGTACTTCTATCGTTGATTTTGTTAAGACGTTCTAATATACCGTATATGTGTTGAGAGACGAACGTTATGAGGGCGGTAACTGTGGCGGAAATAGTTTTGTACCGCAAGAATTCTTTGTCAAAGCCATTTGAAATCATGAAATGTTTTCAGACTATTCTTTCAGTGCTTCTAGCTCAAAACTATTTAAAACAGCGCACATTTCCAACTTCATATCACTCAATTTCAAACTGATAACTTAATGAATTTCACCTGATCAACGATTTAGGGGCGGATGATAGATCAGGCGTTGTTTCGTCAAAATAATAAAATGTGCTTAATTTGAAATTCAAAATACATTCAGAGCAAAACTATTGGTTATGACTTTCTAAAGAACAGATTTTACATTTCAAATTGCATCTAAGGTACTTAGAAATGTAAATATACCTTAAAATAGGATGCAGTAATTTATTCAGACGTATCCCAAGATTCCTCACTAAGTATATTGAAGTTCATAAAAAGTTTCCAACTGGAGCCGCAAAACCGATACAAATCTGGGCATGGCATCATAAGGCCGCTATAATTTAATCATTTTTGTGATTTGATTAAAAATACCTGTTTCAATAGTAATCTGACTTGAGGTTGCCCCATCCTTTAGCTTTGAAATAATTATGACTTTAAAGAAATGTCTTAATTTTCAGCGCGATTAGTTGGTACAAACTAGTTTTCGCATGAGATTTTTTTGTTTGTTACAGAATCATCAAAATATATATAGCTAAAGCCAATCAAGCTTATCTTTCTCATTTCATTGCGTCTGATTGATTGTCTGAGAGAAACACAGGATTTATCTTGATCTTAATCATTTGTTGTGAGAGCTAAACTTTGTTGTTTGTTTTTGAGGAAACTATTCTGAACATGTACCATATACGCATCAATAAAACTCCAAATTAAACGTATTTCGAATTCAGAAAGTACAAAAGTACAATTTTATATTGAAATATAGATGCCAAATAGAAGCAAATAATGGAATACCTTTCTATTACTTGTTTCTGTTATAGATACGGCGGACGCCAATGTTAACACCAATGATGATGAAAGTCTATTGGATCAGTTTGAAGAAGATATTCTTGCGAAGGAATTTCCAAAAGTAGCTGAGAAATATAAAGACTACGTTAAGAATGATGCACCTGAGGAAGATGCACCTGAGGATAAAGCACCTGAGGAAGATGCATCTGAGGATAAAGCACCTGAGGAAGATGCACCTGAGGATAAAGCACCTGAGGAAGATGCACCTGAGGATAAAGCACCTGAGGAAGATGCACCTGAGGAAGATGCACCTGAGGATAAAGCACCTGAGGAAGATGCATCTGAGGGAGATGCATCTGAGGAAGATGCATCTGAGGAAGATGCACCTGAGGAAGATGAACCTGAGGAAGATGATCCTGAGGAAGATGCATCTGAGGAAGATGCACCTGAGGAAGATGAACCTGAGGAAGATGCACCTGAGGAAGATGCACCTGAGGAAGATGCACCTGAGGAAGATGAACCTGAGGAAGATGCATCTGAGGAAGATGCATCTGAGGAAGATGAACCTGAGGAAGATGCACCTAAAGTAGATGCACCTAAAGTAGATGCACCTGAGGAAGATGAACCTAAAGAAACACCTGAGGAAGATGAACCTAAAGTAGATGCACCTAAAGTAGATGCACCTGAGGAAGATGCACCTGAGGAAGATGAACCTAAAGAAACACCTGAGGAAGATGAACCTAAAGTAGATGCACCTAAAGTAGATGCACCTGAGGAAGATGAACCTAAAGAAACACCTGAGGAAGATGAACCTAAAGTAGATGCACCTAAAGTAGATGCACCTGAGGAAGATGCACCTGAGGAAGATGAACCTAAAGAAACACCTGAGGAAGATGAACCTAAAGTAGATGCACCTAAAGTAGATGCACCTGAGGAAGATGAACCTGAGGAAGATGAACCTGAAGAAACACCCGAGGAAGATGCACCTAAAGTAGATGCACCTGAGGAAGATGAACCTGAGGAAGATGAACCTGAAGAAACACCCAAGGAAGATGCACCTAAAGTAGATGCACCTGAGGAAGATGAACCTAAAGAAGAAACACCTGAGGAAGATGCAACTGAATTGGAAGCATCTAAAGAAGATGAACCTAAAATGGATGCATTTGAAATGGATGCACCTGAAAAAGATGAATCTGAAATGGATGCACCTGAAGAAGATGAATCTGAAATGGATGCAAATGAAGAAGATGAACCTAAAATGGATGCACCTGAGATAGAAGAAACATTTGATGAAGACCTTGAACCTGGGGAAGAATCTCATGCTGATGTTGATTCAGACGAGGAAGATGAATTTAAGGATGCTGAATTGGAAAGTGAATATCCCAATGAGGACGAGAATACTGACGATAAAGAATCTGATGTTGAGTCAGATTACAACCCAGAATTTGAAGACCCCAAATTAGAAGAGGAATTTCAAGCTTGGAGTAAAAGTGATGAAAATGATGAAGCTCCTAAATTTGATGAAGATGATGTTGCTTCTGAAAGTGATGAAGATGATGTTGCTCCTGAAAGTGATGAAGTTGATGTTGCTCCTGAAAATGATGAAGTTGGTGATGATAATAATGATGAAGAGTTTGAAGGAAAGTTTGAAGATGATGAGTTGGCAAAAGAATTGGAAAACAATAAAGATGAACAAAATGATGACGAGCCTTGGGAAGCCAAGAATGCTGAAGAGACATCTGAAGATGAAACTCCTGCTGATGTTAATAAGGAGGTATTGAAAAAGGATTTGTTTCTGTATTATAGCAAACAAACAAACAAACAACATTTGTATACCGGCCAGTATTAATCCTGGTCCATGTATTTTTCTACGCCAAACGTCTCTATCTCTTTTCTGTATTATAGCAAGTTCTTAAATATGGTTCATCCGATTTCAGGTCTTCCAAATCACATTTTGTTTCTATTTTATGAATAACAACATTTTAAAATGGATAATACATATGTTTCATTGTAATAGAATGATAGTGATGAGATGAAAAAATTGGATACCTTTCCAGAGAAATCTGCTGATGATGCAGTAGATGAGACAGCAGTGGATGATCAATCCAACATTGATAAACCTGTAAGTATACAACTCATGATTAATTATCTCTGGAGATCAAAGGAATAGCTAGCAAAAAGCAGTGTTTCCATTTAGTCATATTTTTTCCACCAAGTTTTTATTATCAGCCTCCTGGATTGAGTTGATAGCAGTTACTTTCCTAACTCCTATAAGTTTAATTCATTTTGAGTAATATAGCAAGCATGCATTTTTTACAATCAATTTGCCAAGACTAACTTCGCCGTCTGAATGACAAAATTAAAAAAAAATTTTTTCCAAGTTAGCCATTCAAAAGTTCAAATGGCTGAAATATTTGGATATGTTTGTTTCATTTGAACTTATCTTACTAAGATTATTTTTCTTGAATTGTATACAGGCTGATGAAACAAGCAAAGAAGTAAGTCCTCTAGAAAATGACGAGCAAGAAGACGACGACAACAACAATTGTAAGTCGATGCAGATTCTCTGGCTTGATTAGGAAAAAGTTTATTCAAATCCAAACAGCCCAATAACATAAATATAAATTTTACACTTTTGGTTATCTCTGCCCCTTTCTACTTTTACTTAAGTGGAAGAATAGCAACTAGGCAAGTGTATGATAATATGAACTCTGAGATTAGATGTTTGGGTTTTATAACATTGACAAGTGACAAATTTTGGCGTACGTACGCTTCGAAATTCACACTCAATTTGCCATGTACTCGAACGATAAATGAACATTTCTGCTTTACAGCAAACTATTTAGAACCCAGTCGAGAAATTAAAGTCAAACTTGTGTCATACTTACATTTTGCTTGCCTCTTATAGTTTGTAGGTCAATTTTGTAATATTTTTCCTTTTTTTTATTATAGCTGAATTTTCAGACTTGACGTCAGAGAAATAGTCATTTGAAGCCCTTGTGGAAATTCCTGACCACAAGAAAGCGATCCTTCATAATTTTCATTTTTGTTAGTAACTACTTTTGTAATAATGAAATACATCATTTGAATAAAAAACTTTTTAGCAGTTTTAATTTGTATATACGTATATAGCACTAAATGGCTGCCACGCTTGTTGTTTGAAAGACTTAGAGGACTAGGAACAAGTTATAGTTTCCACAGACTCAGTACTTAGGCAAGTTTTGCACTAATTTCTAGCCAAAGGCCTCAAAAAAACTCCCCAGTATTTTGTGAAAACTCAAACTAGTCATGAAAAACATATTTCACGATGTCTGTTAACCGGGGAAATATTTCATGTCGCTGCCGTTTCAAGTATTGGGATCTTTTTAATGGCTGAAAAAGTTCAGAATTTGTGTGAACCGTAAAGAAATGGATTGGAAACTCTCCAGCAGATAGGTATGGTTGTACAAACCATGCTAATGTGTCTCGTCAAGTAAGTTTCAAAGACAGAATTACTAATTACCATTTGAGTTTTTGTCGGAAGTTATGGGTTCTTTATTCCTGGTGGCTAGATTTGGCTAGATAAAACGTATATATAGTGCACATTATACAATGTCTTGAAGAAAAATCACGATCGGCATGCAATGCAATTGAAATAACAACATGATAGGTGAATGTTGAGAATGACAAACTTAAGCATTCTTGCTTACAGTTATTTTACTGCAAAGTACAAAAATAGCACAAAAAGTGCAATGACATAAGAAATAGCTTCAAATACCTTTACAGCTGATAAGATACAAGGTAGTCATTCTATAAAATATCGTTTGGATTAAAAACTATTTTATTATAAAGCCTATAAATAAAGTAGGAACAAAGGTAAAGGGTCTTGAAAAGACGTGGTGTTACTTTTTTACATTTCATACAATTATTTGCCACCATATATTCATCAACAGATGTTATTAGCATATGGTTGTACAGGATAACTGCTTTTTGAAAAAAGTTATGCAATTTTGTAAAAGTTTTTATCGAATATAGCTAATACAGACACTATATGAACACCTTGTTTTTCCCATTTGTAAATAACAACCTGGAAATGTATAATCAATCAAACGAAGGTTTATTGACATGCATGAGGTTGGGTGGTCAATATCAGTTAAAGAACTTTTATAGACACTATAAAAAAGACTTTACGCATGACTCTCTCGTTATGACGGTCATGTGTATTTCAGATATGACTTACGAATAAGTTATAGATGACTGTTTTTTATTTGTGTTGCTTTTTTTGCCCAAGGTTTGATTCAAAATGTGTCAACTATGAAACTATTTAAAATCATTTACATTAAATATCATACTACTGCATGTATTGCATACAATTATAAAATGTATTAGCTCTTTGGTTATATACAATCTTAAATGCGTTGTTTTATACAGATGTATATAAGCAACAAGTCACAATGAGTCGTTGTAAACTGACAACTGACAAGAGCTTTTAGACATCAAGCATAACAAAGGCAAAGCAGAACACGATGGCAAGAAAAAGAGCATGGAAACCAAAAATTAAGGATCATCGACTGCATCTCGAATGGTTAAAGTACACGTATCCAATAAATGCAAATTGCTTATTGAGGGAGGCTTTAGCTATGCGCATATTAATTTTTGTTTTATTAGCAAGTCAATCCTTTCATAAACCCTCATTACATAGTTCTTACCACGACGTTAAGATCTGACATAATTCAGTTTTGGAAGATATTAAGAAGTTCAATTCACATCTCGATATGAAGACTGTATTGGTTTTGATACTGGTATTGGCCGTGAGCCGCTTTGAGGCAAAACCTTTCCTTGGTCTCACACCCGAGAAAGGTAAAACATAAAATATTTATTGTGAATTCCTACAGATTGTGTTAAAATGGTAAACAACGAAAGTCCTCTTCTTGTCCTATTTAAGTGCATTTTAGTTTGTATCAAAGGAACAGTAGTTTAACTTAATTATATAAATGTACTTCTATCGTTGATTTTGTTAAAACGTTCTAATATACCGTATATGTGTTGAGAGACGAACGTTATGAGGGCGGTAACTGTGGCGGAAATAGTTTTGTACCGCAAGAATTCTTTGTCAAAGCCATTTGAAATCATGAAATGTTTTCAGACTATTCTTTCAGTGCTTCTAGCTCAAAACTATTTAAAACAGCGCACATTTCCAACTTCATATTACTCAATTTCAAACTGATAACTTAATGAATTTCACCTGATCAACGATTTAGGGGCGGATGATAGATCAGGCGTTGTTTCGTCAAAATAATAAAATGTGCTTAATTTGAAATTCAAAATACATTCAGAGCAAAACTATTGGTTATGACTTTCTAAAGAACAAATTTTACATTTCAAATTGCATCTAAGGTACTTGGAAATGTAAATATACCTTAAAATAGGATGCAGTAATTTATTCAGACGTATCCCAAGATTCCTCACTAAGTATATTGAAGTTCATAAAAAGTTTCCAACTGGAGCCGCAAAACCAATACGAATCTGGGCATGGCATCATAAGGCCGCTATAATTTAATCATTTTTGTGATTTGATTAAAAATACCTGTTTCAATAGTAATCTGACTTGAGGTTGCCCCATCCTTTAGCTTTGAAATAATTATGACTTTAAAGAAATGTCTTAATTTTCAGCGCGATTAGTTGGTACAAACTAGTTTTCGCATGAGATTTTTTTGTTTGTTACAGAATCATCAAAATATATATAGCTAAAGCCAATCAAGCTTATCTTTCTCATTTCATTGCGTCTGATTGATTGTCTGAGAGAAACACAGGATTTATCTCGATCTTAATCATTTGTTGTGAGAGCTAAACTTTGTTGTTTGTTTTTGAGGAAACTATTCTGAACATGTACCATATACGCATCAATAAAACTCCAAATTAAACGTATTTCGAATTCAGAAAGTACAAAAGTACAATTTTATATTGAAATATAGATGCCAAATAGAAGCAAATAATGGAATACCTTTCTATTACTTGTTTCTGTTATAGATACGGCGGACGCCAATGTTAACACCAATGATGATGAAAGTCTATTGGATCAGTTTGAAGAAGATATTCTTGCGAAGGAATTTCCAAAAGTAGCTGAGAAATATAAAGACTACGTTAAGAATGATGCACCTGAGGAAGATGCACCTGAGGAAGATGCACCTGAGGATAAAGCACCTGAGGGAGATGCATCTGAGGGAGATGCATCTGAGGAAGATGCATCTGAGGAAGATGCACCTGAGGAAGATGAACCTGAGGAAGATGCATCTGAGGAAGATGAACCTGAGGAAGATGAACCTGAGGAAGATGAACCTGAGGAAGATGCACCTGAGGAAGATGCACCTGAGGAAGATGCACCTGAGGAAGATGAACCTGAGGAAGATGCATCTGAGGAAGATGCATCTGAGGAAGATGAACCTGAGGAAGATGCACCTAAAGTAGATGCACCTAAAGTAGATGCACCTGAGGAAGATGAACCTAAAGAAACACCTGAGGAAGATGAACCTAAAGTAGATGCACCTAAAGTAGATGCACCTGAGGAAGATGAACCTGAGGAAGATGAACCTGAAGAAACACCCGAGGAAGATGCACCTAAAGTAGATGCACCTGAGGAAGATGAACCTGAGGAAGATGAACCTGAAGAAACACCCAAGGAAGATGTACCTAAAGTAGATGCACCTGAGGAAGATGAACCTAAAGAAGAAACACCTGAGGAAGATGCAACTGAATTGGAAGCATCTAAAGAAGATGAACCTAAAATGGATGCATTTGAAATGGATGCACCTGAAAAAGATGAATCTGAAATGGATGCACCTGAAGAAGATGAATCTGAAATGGATGCAAATGAAGAAGATGAACCTAAAATGGATGCACCTGAGATAGAAGAAACATTTGATGAAGACCTTGAACCTGGGGAAGAATCTCATGCTGATGTTGATTCAGACGAGGAAGATGAATTTAAGGATGCTGAATTGGAAAGTGAATATCCCAATGAGGACGAGAATACTGACGATAAAGAATCTGATGTTGAGTCAGATTACAACCCAGAATTTGAAGACCCCAAATTAGAAGAGGAATTTCAAGCTTGGAGTAAAAGTGATGAAAATGATGAAGCTCCTAAATTTGATGAAGATGATGTTGCTTCTGAAAGTGATGAAGATGATGTTGCTCCTGAAAGTGATGAAGTTGATGTTGCTCCTGAAAATGATGAAGTTGGTGATGATAATAATGATGAAGAGTTTGAAGGAAAGTTTGAAGATGATGAGTTGGCAAAAGAATTGGAAAACAATAAAGATGAACAAAATGATGACGAGCCTTGGGAAGCCAAGAATGCTGAAGAGACATCTGAAGATGAAACTCCTGCTGATGTTAATAAGGAGGTATTGAAAAAGGATTTGTTTCTGTATTATAGCAAACAAACAAACAAACAACATTTGTATACCGGCCAGTATTAATCCTGGTCCATGTATTTTTCTACGCCAAACGTCTCTATCTCTCTTCTGTATTATAGCAAGTTCTTAAATATGGTTCATCCGATTTAAGGTCTTCCAAATCACATTTTGTTTCTATTTTATGAATAACAACATTTTAAAATGGATAATATATATGTTTCATTGTAATAGAATGATAGTGATGAGATGAAAAAATTGGATACCTTTCCAGAGAAATCTGCTGATGATGCAGTAGATGAGACAGCAGTGGATGATCAATCCAACATTGATAAACCTGTAAGTATACAACTCATGATTAATTATCTCTGGAGATCAAAGGAATAGCTAGCAAAAAGCAGTGTTTCCATTTAGTCATATTTTTTCCACCAAGTTTTTATTATCAGCCTCCTGGATTGAGTTGATAGCAGTTACTCTCCTAACTCCTATAAGTTTAATTCATTTTGAGTAATATAGCAAGCATGCATTTTTTACAATCAATTTGCCAAGACTAACTTCGCCGTCTGAATGACAAAATTAAAAAAAAATTTTTTCCAAGTTAGCCATTCAAATTTTCAAATGGCTGAAATATTTGGATATGTTTGTTTCATTTGAACTTATCTTAGCAAGATTATTTTTCTTGAATTGTATACAGGCTGATGAAACAAGCAAAGAAGTAAGTCCTCTAGAAAATGACGAGCAAGAAGACGACGACAACAACAATTGTAAGTCGATGCAGATTCTCTGGTTTGATTAGGAAAAAGTTTATTCAAATCCAAACAGCCCAATTAACATAAATATAAATTTCACACTTTTGGTTATCTCTGTCCCTTTCTACTCTTACTTAAGTTGATGAATAGCAACTAGGCAAGTGTATGATAATATGAACTCTGAGATTAGATGTTTGGGTTTTATAACATTGACAAGTGACAAATTTTGGCGTACGCTTCGAAATTCACACTCAATTTGCCATGTACTAGAACGGTAAATGAACATTTCTGCTTTACGGCAAACTATTTAGAACCCAGTCGAGAAATTAAAGTCAAACTTGTGTCATACTTACTTTTTGCTTGCCTCTTATAGTTAGTAGGTCAATTTTGTAATATTTTTCCTTTTCTTTATTATAGCTGAATTTTCAGACTTGACGTCAGAGAAATAGTCATTTGAAGCTCTTGTGGAAATTTCTGACCACAACAAAGCGATCCTTCATAATTTTCATTTTTGTTAGTAACTACTTTTGTAATAATGAAATACATCATTTGAATAAAAACATTTTGGCAGTTTTATGTTGTATATACGTATATAGGACTAAATGCTTGCAACGCTTGTTGTTTGAAAGACTTGGAGGACTAGGAACAAGTTATACTGTCCACAGACTCAGTACTTAGGCAAGTTTTGCACTAATTTCTAGCTAAAGGCCTCAAAAAAACTCCCCAGTATTTTGTGAAAACTCAAACTAGCCATGAAAAACATATTTCACGATGTCTGTTAACCGGGGAAATATTTCATATCGCTGCCGTTTCAAGTATTGGGATCTTTTTAATGGCTGGAAAAGTTCAGAATTTGTGTGAACCGTCAAGAAATGGATTGGAAACTCTCCAGCAGATAGGTATGGTTGTACAAACCATGCTAATGTGTCTCATCAAGTAAGTTTCAAAGACACAATTACCAATTACCATTTGAGTTTTCGTCGGAAGTTATGGGCTCTTTAATCCTGGTGGCTAGATTTGGCTAGATAAAACGTATATATAGTGCACATTATACAATGTCTTGAAGAAAAATCACGATAGGCATACAGTGCAAATGAAATAACATGACAGGTGAATGTTGAGAATGACAAACTTAAGCATTCTTGCTTACAGTTATTTTACTGAAAAGTACAAAAATGGCACAAAAAGTGCAATGACATAAGAAATAGCTTCAAATACCTTTACAGCTGATAAGATGCAAGGTAGTCATTCTATAAAATATCGTTTGGATTAGAAACTATTCTATTGCAAAGCCTATAAATAAAGTAGGAACAAAGGTAAAGGGTCTTGACAAGACGTGGTGTTATTTTTTTACATTTCATACAATTATTTGCCACCATATATTCATCAACAGATGTTATTAGCATATGGTTGTACAGGATAACTGCATTTTGAAAAAAGTTATGCAATTTTGTAAAAGTATTTATCGAATATAGCTAATCAGACACTATATGAACACCTTGTTTTTCCTATTTGTGAATAGCCACCTGGAAATGGATAATCAAACGAAGGTTTATTGACATGCATGAAGTTGGGTGGTCAATATCAGTTAAAGAACCTTTATAGACACTGTAAAAGGACTTTACGCATGACTCTCCGTTAGGACGGTCATGTGTATTTCAGATATGACTTACGAATAAGTTATAGATGACTGTTTTTTATTTGTGTTGCTTTTTTTGCCCAAGGTTTGAATCAAAATGTGTCAACTATGAAACTATTTAAAATCATTTACATTAAAAATCATACAACTGCATGTATTGAATACAATTATAAAATGTATTAGCTCTTTGGTTATATACAATCTTAAATGCGTTGTTTTATACAGATGTATATAAACAACAAGTCACAATGAGTCGTTGTAAACTGACAACTGACAAGAGCTTTTAGACATCAAGCATAACAAAAGCAAAGCAGAACACCATCGCAAGAAAAAGTGCATGGAAACCAAAAATTAAAGATGATCGACTGCATCTCGAATGGTTAAAGGGTGACAGTGAAAATATAAAAAGATGAAGTTCATCAAAGTACAATCAATATCATTTAACACTATTGGTACCGAAAAAATACACGAAACATTCAGTTGTACTGACATTGCTCAACAGTCATCTGTTGTGTACACAAATTCAAAATGATGCACTGGATTATCCAAATAGGAATATTTAGGATTGAGTTCTGTTGAAAGTTTTATTTGTGAATTAGCCAATAATTGAAAATATTAGGTTGATGCTAACTGTATATATCTATATCGTCAGTTTAAATGGTCCACGCATGCTTGAAAATCGTTGTTAACATATGATTGAAGTGATGAATAGAAAAGATGTGGGTTTGATCGTCAGTCTTATTTTTGTGTTTTCGTGCGTAGTTTTGTCTTCACCAAACAAAGAAAAGACAGAATTCATGACCCATTGACTGTTGACAAAGATGTTTGCTGTAGGACGGAAATTAGTTTTGTCTCAAGAAATAAAACGAGGCGCTTCGCGATTGGTCAGATATCAATACGCGAGAAACTTTAGCGCGATTTCGCATTTTGACTCGTTTATGAATAATAAATATGAACCATGTTTCAGTTTTGTTAAATATGATGAGTAAAGTTAATCTTATAAACAAGGAGTTCATCTTTAAAACAAAATATCCTTCGTTGTAATACGAGAATTTAAATAGAAAAGGAAGTTTTTCGTACGGATACTATTTAAAAATATGTATATGTAATCTGATCTATGTAAATTTTGTCTTCCTAACTACGCAAACTGCTGAGGGTGGGAGGGCTTTGCATAATATTTCAGTTTTATTAGGAAGTCAATCAATTTTCCCCACATTATTTCGATTCTCGTCACGACGTTCAGAGCTAACTTTATTTTGTTTGGAAGACGTTCAACTCACATCTCGATATGAAGACTGTTTTGATTTTGATATTGGCATTGGCCGTGAGCCGTTTTGAGGCAAAACCTTTTGCACCAAAAGAAGGTAGAACATAAAATATTTGTAATGAATTTTATCATTGAAATTGTGGTTGAAATATTTAGGTGTCTCTTTCTCAACTTCTTTTCTTGTATACGTTTTTCTCATCAAGCGATCAGTAATGAAACTGAATGTACATTTATCGTTGATGCAGTTAAAGTTAAATATACGGTAGATTTCTTGAGAGACGAAACGTTGTGAAACGGCGGCATGTTGATATAAAGTACAGCGGAAACAACTTTGTACGTTAAAATACCGTGAATTCTTCTTAAACACGTTTTTAAATGATGAATCTTTCGGCTTGAATGTTAGAAACACTTTCAAAACATTTTGCTGGAAGTTAAACTCTTGATTTATGCTGGTAGAGAGTTCATTATATTCATAGTGCTATGCTATTTACGCTTGAGTTCTTTGCGTCTAATGATTCAAAATGGTTATTAAACTTGTTACTAATGCCTCATTTCCACCTATTTTCGAAAAATCTTATCGTGCCGAGTATTAACGTTCGCACTTTTTGGTTATGATCATCATGTTTCCAAAAGAACAAGCGCATAACGGATGGCAATCATTTGATGTATTCCATGTTGTTTCAGCTGCCTTATACGCTAATGACGGATAATGACGAACATAGTTACTAATGAGGCTGCTTTATAACCATCGCATTTCCACTTCTATGACGACGGTCTTTCCCTCATATAAATATCAAATTAATACTTCTTTACAAAATGAGTATTTCTTTAACGCTGTAATGGTAAGTTTAGTCACTGTAAGTTCACTTGGCTGAGTTTACTTTCTCTCGAATAGGCTTGCATATTTTGGAATTGCCTTTTACTTTGACAGAATGTGTTTCATGTTTATTACAAATTTTTGGAAAAAAAATTCTAGTGAGTTCTTTTGTTTTTAATCTACAATAGACGACTCAAGGAATTTCTGGTCGAGTTATATAATTCGCATAGGTGAAGGGCAACTGTCGAATTATTCCCGTTTTGGCTTGTGAAATTCTACTAAATATTCCTTAGACCGCACTAGCTTAGTACATATGCTATAAAATGTTAACTTTAATCTTCCCTAATAGTTATTGAACAAAATTAATGTTGGTGAATGATTTACTAAAATGGAACTATCTTGCTGGCTTTAACATAACAAACACGTACATCTTCGTTGATGATGAACAACATCCATCATTGGTCGATGACTGATGGGTTGGACAAAAAATGTATGCGTTTAAGTATCAAAGAATACACAGACAAGGCTCATATCGTACGATCTAAGCCAGTAATTTATGTCAAGTTTTAGTATATATCCACAAGTTAACTTTTTGAAAATTCCAGAAAGTCTTGTATTGACATGACTAAGTTCTTTGTTTCCACATATTGGCTTTCCCTTGACGTCGTGGAAGTTTCTTTATTCTTTCACCGACTGTTCAAGTACTTTTGTAGCACATTTCCTCACTTGTTATGCATGAATTTAGTAGAAGACTTTGTTTTTCACAATTGAAGTGCTGGACGTTTTCTTTTTCTGAATCATTTAAATAAGGCTTGCCTCATCGAACAGACTAATTTTATCAATTGTAGGAAAACATCACAAATATTTGTTATTTTTATGATTGGTAACTATGTAGACGTGCAGGGTGATTTTCAAATGAACGTCCGTTTTTAATTAGCCGGGAAATGATTAACTAGCCCCACGTCGATAATAAATCGCAAAAAATGTGGATTTTGAAGTATTTATTTTACCCATAACTATGTAGATGTTTCAGCAATGAATTGGTTCAGATATCATTACAATAATTAAGTATATTCTCTATATTTATTGAAACAGAACTCGTCTTATTTTCTGCAATTCATTTAACTACAGTTGCGGGAGAGCAGCTGCTTTCACATTTTTCACTCCACCGTAAACTGCGGTCAGTTGATTGATTATTACAGCAGTATCCCAAAGTTTAGTTAACCCAAGTTCTCTTCCATTTTGTATACGAACATCCTGTTATAGAAGACATGCAAATAAAAAGATAACCTGTAGCTAATATTTTAGCTTGAAATTTGCTTACTTCTGATCAAAATTTTCTTCTCACATTAGATATACCTTTACACTTAGAATGCATCTTAAATCAACCGGGCTTTGAGTTGCTATCATAGCTAGAGATAAAAACATTAGATTGCAAAAACTTGGCGAAATTTTTGTTTCAAATCTATATGGTACTTTCTAGAACGTACACTTACGTTACGCAACTGTTTTTTTTTTGTTAATACCCACAAATCCAAACGAATAAGGATGTGAAGCATCTTACGTTCATTTTAAATCGTTCAGAATTTTCAAGTTATAAGCGACTAATCTATGCAGTGTTAATTGGGCACTCCTCTGTTGGGGGGGCAATGACACTAACCAAATTTTCGCTAGTTTAATTTTTTCCATTGATTTTTAAAGCTCCGTATCCGGGTAAACAGAGCCTAAGCTAATTGATTTTCCAGTTGGTCTAGTTGTGTTGCTTATAGCGAAGTTTCTAGGTTATCTGGGCGATTTCTTCGTGCGAAATTGTTCATGCCAAAAACAGTATTGGTGGTAATTTGTGTGTGTTTCTTTGTTCGATTTATGTTTTAAACATGGATTTCTTTTCATGATATACGACTTTAGACGAAACAGTTTGGGTCACATCACTTGTTCTCCCTTCGAACCACTCTGACCACCTATCCCTGAGTCCAACATAATTAGGTGTTTTGAACGTTTAAGGAACATGATTCGTACGTGATCTAATTATTGAGATTTATTAAGCTTCATATAAAACAAAAGCTGCATCAGTAGGAGATCTATTCGACCACGACCATGCACGTAGTTATTGTAATTGCTCTATGAAGTACGATTTACAGCAGACTGCATGCATTTTCTTGCTGAATTCAAGAGTTTCCTGTAGGCATTTATAAAGGAGGGGAACTTAACCCACTTTAACATTCATCTGGACTGTCTTAATTTGTTAACATCCCCTGCAGAAAAAGAACAAAGTTTCATTATACGTAGAGGAAACTCATGAATAATAAATTGTTAGCCAAGAAGCTAAAACAACATTTTCAAGTTCTTCCTGGCAAATATCCAACCCCTTAGAAAAGCTCTTTAAGAACCCCTTCAGTAGGTTCGGTTCTGAGTGATAATCAACCTTAAGAAACTCATTGATTGTAGTTCGAACGAATCGTAGGAATTCCAATTATTGCATCGCTTGCATCATTTAGAAAACATTATTTTCCCATCAGTGTTTTGGTAAACGTGTTTGTCTTCTAAGCCAAAGACATGTTTTTTTAGTCAGAAATATATCAAAACCAAAACCTTAGTATTGATCATTCTTCTGTGTTTTTAATCCTCATTTAATTGTACAACAGTTTCATCATGAATAAGCAACATAGATAGTCGGATAACGCGATCGTTGTTCAATCAAATGTGTATTTGAATTTTTACAATATTGACTGTGAACGTATAATTTATTGAAGTAAACTCCGCCGATTCCACAATATTCACTCTTTAGATATTTGTCAGATTTGAGGAAGTATGAATTTGAAGCTCGAAAATCATATTATGGTTATGTCCTCAGTGATGTCGTTTGACTTTTTTAACTTTCCTATGATGATACTGAGTTCTTCATACATTTTTAAATCGTTTATTGTTTTTCAATTCTATTTACTTTTTGCATTCGAAACTTGTTAATTAACTAATAGTTGAAAAATAATGTTACAAAGTGAACATGTTGTTTCTATTGAACTCTTCCTCTGTGACTATATGCTATGTTTGATGTGAAAATTTGTTTTTTTGTTTCAATTATTAAATCACAACGTTTTTTGCAGGGAAAAGTCTTGAGAGTTGGTACGACCTCATGAAAGGTAAGGCCAGTGAATCTGGGAATATTTCTTCAATACGCTTCGGGCTCGATAAAAGCAGATCATATAATATTCATAAAACAAAAAATATAATCGTGGAACAAGTACTTGTTGAGTGCATTTTGGAAAGTTTGAAAGATTTATTTACGTCGAGAATATAAACTCTGCAAGATGAAGTATGTATCAATTGTCGCATTATTTTTTTGTTATAGATATCGATGAACCTACTGAGACTGAATCCGAAAAAGTTACATCTGAAGAGGACGCACCAGTTGAAAAAACATCCGAGGATGAAAAAATGCCTGTGGATGAAGCCCCATCTGACGAAGAAGGACCATCCAACGCTGAAGAACAATCCAGTGAGGAAACACAATTCGAGGATGAAGAACAATCTGAAGATGAGGAAGAAATACCATCTGAAGATGAAGAAACACCATCTGAAAATGAGGAAGAACTATCTGAAGATGAAAAAGAAAGACCATCTGAAGATGAGGAAGAACCATCTGAAGATGAGAAAGAAACACCATCTGAAGATGAGGAAGAATCATTTAAAGACGAGGAAGAATCATTTAAAGATGAGGAAGAACCATCTGAAGATGAGGAAGAACCATCTGAAGATGAGGAAGAACCATCTAAAGATGAGGAAGAAACATTTAAAGATGAGGAAGAACCATCTGAAAATGAGGAAGAAGCATCTGAAGATGAGGAAGAACCATCTGATGAGGAAGAACCATCTGAAAATGAGGAAGAACCATCTGATGAGGAAGAACCATCTGAAGATGAGGAAGAACCATCTGATGAGGAAGAACCATCTGAAGATGAGGAAGCACCATTACAAGAATTTGATGAAGAAGCAGATGATGAAGAAAATGAACCTCTTTTTCATGATGATGATGATGATGAGTCCAATAACGCCAATGTAGAATCGGAAAGTAATCCAGAATTTGAAGACTCTGACTTGGAGAAAGAATACCAAGCTTTGACCAGTGACGATGCTCCTGAAAGTGATGAAGAAAACGATGAAGAATTCGAAGGAAAGTTTGAAGATGACGAGATAGCCAAAGAATTGAAAAACAATAAAGATGAACCATCTGATGAAGCGCCTTTGGAAAACGAAAACTCTGATGAGACATCTGAAACAGAAGGTGAAGCTCCTGCTGCTGTTGACAAAGAGGTATCTTCAAATGATTCAATTTATTTTGTGATTGGTTCATAAATACAGTTCATCTAAATTCACTTTTTTAAAATCCACATCGTGTTAAATTTTCGTGAATGCAAACATTTTTATGATATACGTTCATTTCATTGTAACAGGATGACAGCGAAGAGATTAAAAATTTGGATGTCCTTCCAGAGAAATCTGCTGATACAGTAGATGAGACAACTGTGGATGATCAATCCAATATTGATAAACCTGTAAGTATATATTAGTTAGATTTGGTAACAAAAGAGTAGATTGCAATAAGCACGTTCTACTGTCTTGAAGGTGTGTTGTTCTTGAGCATTTTATAATGATCGTTATGGCTTCATGGAATTTTATTCTTGCAATGAAACTCCTCGTCTGTGCATACGATACTAGATGAATATGACATTAAACTTTTGTGAAAACCATTTTTAATAATTGTTTACCCGAAATGTTAATGTTGTAAGGCTTTATGACAGCCGAAGTATTTGGATGTGTATGAATCAATTGAAAATATGTTAGCAAGATTTTTTTTGAATTGCGTACAGGCTGATGAAACAAGTGAAAGCATCGGTACTCTTGAAAAGGAAGAAGATGAAAATAATCGTAAGTCATGCAGATTCTTTGGTTCAATAAGGAAGAATCGGTTTTGAAATTTGCCTCCTTGCCGACTTTAAGATTTCCAACCACAGTTAGGCAAAACTCGGAATCGCACGAAAAAAGTTACAGAAAGTAGTATATGGCGTAGCAATCATAAAAATATTGTCCTTTTTACATTCGCACTTTGTACTATTTTTCAATTTCTTTTAACATATAGCTGATCTTTCAGACATCATCACTGAACAAAAGTAAACGTCAAGGTAAAGATTTTCGTCCGTCAAAATAACTATAAATAGATGGAACATATGATGTTCCACAGTTTGATGATTCGTTGCAATGTAAGATGAAATTCAATAAAATAATTTGGTTTTATCTATTTTCTTTCAGATGCACATTCAGGATCTTCTGGGAAACTTTCATACTTTGTAGAATAGTCTTATCGTAAACTCACTGTTATTTCATTTTTTTTTGTCTTTTTCTTGTTAACTAGAAAATAATATTAAATGTGCACTTTTTTCTAAATATAACTGATATTGTCTTGTCCGGAAACATTGCATTGCTTTACTTAACAGCTTAGCACTACAATGATTATATACATACATTTTGTGGGATGGGTGGAACACAAGGATGTCGAAAGGACAATTATGGTTAAATGGGGGGGCGGGGGAGATTCTAGTTATTTCAAAATATGAACATTGTATCTTGCATCAAATATTTCAAAAATCGAAACTTGTGCAAAAGGGATGCGCCCACAGCAATACCTGGCGTGTAAAGGAAACTTGATGTAAACGCCATTCAACTGAACCTAAAATGGTGCAGGTTCCGACTCGACTTCCGTCAGAAATAGAGCTTTCCTCACCATATATTGTCAATATTTAACGATGATTTTATTTTCAATTGGGAGGTGGTACATGCGGACCGGATATAATATATCCCTCAGTTTCTTAGGTTGTCAAGAAATCCCTTTAGTCGATGTTTAAGTGGAAAGTTTTAATCGAACGAACACTTACTGTCTTAGCTAATGAATGAATTTAAGACTATAATATAAGTCTTGGTAAAGTACGAGATATTCATAACTAATGTGTAAATATCATTTTGACATGATGATGATAACGATTACAGTTCATCTTTTTCTTGCTTAACATTCCCCATTTTTTCTTTGTCTTTTTGCATCATTTCTTCGTCTTTCTGCATCATTTCTTTGTCTTTTTGCAACTCCTTGCTGTAGTAGTAACCTGTGTATGAACAGAAAAACGTCTCATTGCATGCAGGCTTGGAGCTAAGTGTAGTTACCTCACATATAGCGATGCAATATTTTCGAAACATTTTAAAACCTACCAGATGGATCAGATTCGCTTTCGTTCTCAAACAAATCCAAAACATTTTCTCCATTTCGAGATAATTCGTCTTCCGTCACATATTCGTCATTGTTCGAATCCAATAATGAGAATAATTCAAGTGCAATCTTTTCGGAGCCTCCCAAATTCTAAAAAGATAAGTAACGTAAATTCGTCATGCCGTACTTTTGTGAATGGTAATTTTTCAACAATCGTTTTTTTCTCGCACAAGTTGAATTGTTTAGCAGTCAGAAAAAGCAACGCAGAGCTTTGCTAAAACATTCTTTTGATGAAGCATCCATATAGCTTTGATAAGCGATTTGTGTCGTAAGATCATTCTCTTATGGCAAAAATGAATTGAAAAGATTCATTGGATACACAGTTTCATGACTTGTTGATGTACCTTGTAGGCATTCTTAAACGCTTCTTTGCCAAAAGTCTCTTCTGACTCCATTAGTGTGTCGATCATCTCACTGACAAAAACAAAATTCATTTTATTCGTATTGGTGGAGGTCACTGAAGAATTTTTTGAAAAAGTTAGTCGATGTAACATGCATGTAAGAACAAAAACAGTGCGAATTAAGAATCACAACATTTTAATCTGTTGATACAATACATACCTCCTTACTTCACGTACAATAAAATTTCAATCGACAACTGATCATCAAGATAGCGTAAAAAATATCTTCATAAAAACACATATCTAACCTGATGTCAGACTGAGAAAAAATGTAATACTCGTATTCTTCAGTGTTCGCGGGATCCAAATCAAACAACTTTATCCATGATTTCACTTGCTCGATGGACAAACTCGCAAAGGTTTCCGTTGTTATATTATCGTTGGTAAAGTTCTTGAACAAGTTGTATAACTTATGAAAAAGAAGAGTTGAAACGAGATATTTACACGATAATAGATATATCAGAGTTAGATAAACGGTAATATATGGATTAGCTAAGCTAGTAGCAGTCACGACAGATGTAGCTGTCAGACAGTTATCATAACACAGAAATCTTCCATTTTCTTACAAAATATGTGATTTTTTTCAATAAAATGTCAATGGTACCAGCAAGGAATGGTGCAAGATCCACTTTCATGTTTTAGAAAGTAAAAATCTATTTTAGGTGCAACCTAATTAGGCATTTACACATATCAATCTAGGTACTATAAGTAGGCGAAATTTTTACTTTCTTTTAAAATTCAGCAAAAGATCGTCAAGTTAGCAACGAAAAAGTGCAAGACCTTAAAATAGTCATTCACACACACACATAAAAGATCTTTTCAAAATTAAAATCATAAGATCCATATGAGATAATTTAGAGCCCCCAAGATCCTATGAATAAAATAGCATTTCAACCCCTAAATTTGATCACGTGTTTGTAATCAACTAACCTGTTTGGAAAGTTTTCTTTCTCTTTCATCTTCGTCAATCATTCCTATCTATATGAAGTGCAAAATAATTTGACATTAATATGAATTCAAGGCTGAAAAAAAGACTGAGGAACAACGCTCACCTTCACGACGTAACGAGAGAAGCTTTTAAAGTTATCAAATTTTTCATTCTTGATTTTTTGCTTGGAAATCATTTTCATTATACTGTCTCTGAAAACAAAAATCGGTCGACACATTTGACTTTTTATCGAAGAACTCATTATATGAGTTATAATCCTTTACATAGTTTTCTGTTAATAGTGCAGTATCATGGCGTTTTCATCAATCTAATAAATCGGAGTAAATAGTAATACACTTTGAAGAAACCTTGTAGGCTATACTGTATGAGTCTCAAACGCTTCAACAAATATTTTATCGTGCTGTTATAACGACTAATTTTATATGTTTTTGATAAGGCACTTAAAGTGGTTTCTCTGAATATTTTTTATCAATAAACTGTTGTCATGTCATGTGACCACAAAAGGAAAGGGCACTTGGTTTCTTCAAACTTCTACCGCACAACATGATCTTGTGAGCTCTGAAGTCCTGAAGAAAATATTTTTTTTCTCTTACTTTAACGAAAGAATTAAGATTTGTTGATTTCTTTAAAATGAAATTGGAAAATATGGAGAAATTTTTGTATGTTTTATTCTAATTCAAACATGTTTTTCTCAAGATAATCAAAGTCATGAAAAATGTTCGAAGAAACTGTAGAGTAGAAGCACCTAAATTACCTAAATTCATATGGATCACTGTTTCCAAGTGTCTGAGGACCATGGCCAGGATAAGTCCATATCACATTTGCATCAGCTAGAGGATATGATTTGTATTCTTCTTTGTCACAACCATTGGGCTCAAAGTGTTTCAGACGAGAAAACAAGACAGAGACGGCCATGTTTTTATTGCCAAAAGATCGCACTTGGTGCCAGTACCCTACATAAAATGGCAGACCAAACAACAGTTAAAATTGAAAAGTTCGTAAATTGTATTGAAAAAAAATCAGTGTAAGTATTAACGTGACTGCTAGGAATTTCAAATGCAAGGATAGTTTGAATTAAAAAAAGCCCACTACATCTTCCTATATTGTGACAAAATATTGTTTTAAATGTTTTCTGTCATGAAATGATGTGCTATATTGAAGTGGAGGGGGATGCATAGTCAGTGGATCATTTGCTCTTCTTTTTTTAATGGAAAAATAAACCTAAATCTGAGTAATGTGATTGGTAGTATGAACAAGATTTATGTTGAAAAAAATCATAACTACATACCATATGGTAAGTACAAACAATCTCCAGCTGTAAGATTGGCATATTGCCAAGGAACATTTTGAAACTTTGAATACTTTAGAAGATTCACTTTATTGACATCCAGGACTGCAAAACCACCATAACCTGAATCACCTTGGGCAATTGGAATCTAAAGTTGTAAAACTTTTTCATTTTGAAAGTCAGTCATGTCACTATAGTCAGGTGAAAGACTATAGTGACACGACTGACTTTTACAGTATGTATACTTTTATACTATGATAATATACCATTCTTATATTCCCTAAACTGTGATATATTCATGAGAGCTTTTTGTGTGGGCTATCTATTTCCTGTCTGATAAAGGTAACCAGAATTGTAACTTGTTAAACACAATGTGCATACTACTCAAAATTGAGGATACACTTGAGGATATGGATTTTGCATTCATCTCATGTACACACCAGTCTAATGAGTTCTAAGTAGCAACAATAACTTTATTTATTTTTTCTATACTTCAATCATGCATGTATCATTTCTTGAAGATTTAAGTTGTTATCACTTATGGTAAAATATTAAACGAAACACTAACTTTGTCTTCATGTTTGGGATCAATCAAGATCCAATCTTTGGTACCATTTAACAAACAATTAATTGCATTATTAGCATCACGATGTAACATACTTGAGGTACCCCCACTACTCAACCACAGGTTTGCCTCCATGAGCCTGTTGACAAAGGTCCCACAAGACAAGCATGGCAAAACATTTATTTCAGTTGCCATTGGATCAGGTAACTGAGATACAATATATGAATCTTTATTCTTATAACTACTCAAGTAACTTTTGATTGTATCTCGCCCCAAGCCTTGTATTCCAACTGGGACTTCCTCCTTTTCCTTTTTTGCTTCCAATTTCACCTCTAGATCGCCATATTTCTGCACTAAATATTCATCGGTCCATAGATTAAAAGCTGGAAAAGATTTCGCAGCGCCTTTGAATACAACCGGCGTCCTGTAGTGCGCATGTTCTTCCCAAAACTTCTGAGGTGAAGGAATTTCATGAAGAATTTTTACGTGGCCATCGGATGGACGATGTTTTCCCAAAACTTCTCCGTGACCTTGTGGAAATTTCGCTTCGCAAGGTATAATCCACAGTTTAGTAATGATTAGACAATATATCAGCAAGTAAACGCTCATATTTCACTGTTTCTCCTGCAGCAATTTACATGCCAAAACATCGACGTGTCCAACATTAATTGTCTTCCTTCCGTTTCAGCTGTTTTTAAACAATACAGACGTAGTCTTCATTAAGTGTGGGCGTTTAATTCTGTTGATTCTTTTAACATTTTAATAATTTTTCGGAACGATAAGTAATTTTTATCTGTTACACTTTAAGTTAATTACACTACACATACTAAAATACCAAACAGGCTATACATTTGCGGATTTCTATTGAAAAGAAATGATATATTTCTGTCAAGTTTTTTTCTAGTGAATGTTTTATGATGATTCGTTTCATTGACTTTCATTGTTTGAAGTCGTTTGCACCCTAGGTCCAAAATCCAAGCTTGCTCGTTTCGTAGTGCAAACTTATACTCATCTAGAGAACGATAAACTTTATTCATTCATGTTTTTTTATTATGTATTAAAACTTTACACTAAATTTCTTGCATTCTTCAAATTTCCGATATGATTCTAGTAAACGTGCGATGATGATTCGTTTCACTAACTTGTATTGTTTGTTGTACAGTAGGATTAGACTAATGGAAGCTCGTAGTTTCGAAATTTTTATGATATGAAGAGTGAGATATGTCGCGGACGATTTGTTTACGTTTTTGCCTCTTAGCATTCTAAGCGAAACGACCTGACAGGACAGTTCTGTGACTCAGTGAGTCTATGACACCACATTTTGCCTGAGCAAAGTCATCACTGTACAGGGGCCGCGGAGAAGGTGGCAAGGGGGGCAATTGCTCCTCCCCCCCACTTTTTTCCTAATCTCTCGTTTTGCAAAGTGTAAAAGTATAAAAATCCGCTTTAACAAATACTTACATTTGATAAGTATGGATTTTTAACAATAATTCATGTCTCATGTATGTTCCACCTTCATTTTTTAGTTGACGTTAGATTGATCAATTATAGGACGTCTAGACTGATTGCCGGAGTACGATACCCTGGTTCGGGAAAAATCTGCAGGCCCTTTACACTACGTAGTACCCACTAGCTTCGTCTATTTATATTTCATGTAAACAAGTTTTGAAACCATGCGCTGAGTGCGTGCCTCTCTGTACACGTTGCTCAGATGTCGTCGTTCACATTGGTACCCTTTGCCCGAGCACCGTACTTGCGTACTACCTCTTTTACTGGTGCCCAGACCTCTGGGCACTTATACACGGGCACCATCAAAATGTTGTGTTCATATTGCTGCCCGTACCTGAGCACCGTGCCAGGATACTCAGTCTGAACGCACTATAGTAAAATTTACAAACAAAATCAAACAAATTTTGTATATTGAGTGATTACTGATAAAACTGTTCACAACAACTTTGCTAACAACAATCCGATTCTGCGACCTTCTTTTGCCCCCTTACTTTTCAAACCTCTCCGCGGCCCTTGCTGTTGTATGATACAAGTTGACTATAAGATACTAGTTGACTATATGATAATTTCGTGAGAGCACAATGGTCATAAAACACTTAAAATAGACGATAAATTTCTTTAAAGCAAACATGTTTCGCCTTTCGGCATACTTTATTCAATCTTCAGTGCGAAGTGAATCAATATAGGAAGTTTATATGATAATATGTTACTTAAGATGGCGTGAAGTATGCCGAAAGGCGAAACATGTTTGTTTTAAAGAAATTTGTCTTCTATTTTAATGTTTTATGACTATATGATATTGATTGACTGTATGATACTGGTTGACTATATGATAATGGTTGACTATCAGCCCCAAACTGCAAACTGGAAAGTTTGTTAACTGTGCACTTGAGATCAAATTTACAGAAATTTTTGTGAGCTTGACTTTCATTTTTGCTAGTTTTTGCACGCGTGAAAAGCGAATTTTGCACTATATTTTCGTAATGTACTTTTTCAAAATTTTGCACGAGATCTCGTATGTGCAATACAAATGTTCCACTCTGGTATCAGCCTAGAAAATCAGCTTAAAAAAATATTACTGTAAACTCTTATTTTCTGTTCGTGTACTCCTAGCTTAACAGTGTATTGTGTTTTTGTTTATTTGAATGAACCATTAACCCATTTTTTTATCATCAATGGTTTTCAAACAAATTGAAATGTTTACCAGCTTGCTTGAAAACACCTAAACTTGCATGTCCAATGATATTGTTTGATCTTTAAAATGAACCACAGGGAGAGGAATAAGCCATGATTAAATGATCAATCCAACATTGATAAACCAGTAAGTATACATTAGTTAGATTTAGCAACAAAAAAGTAGATTGCAATAAGCAAGTTCTCCCGTCTTGGAGTTGTGTTGTTCTTGAGTATTTTATAATGACCATTTTGGCCATGGAATTTTATTCTTGCAATGAAACTCCTCGTCTGTGCTTACGATACTGAGATGAATATGACATTAACTTTTGTGAAAACCATTTTTAATAATTGTTCACCCGAAATGTTAATGTTGTAAGGCTTTATGACAGCCGAAGTATTTGGATGTGTATGAATCAATTGAACATATGTTAGCAAGATTTTTTTATACTAGACGTGTAAAGGTAACTTTAATGTAAACGCCATTAAACCGAACCTAAAATGGCACAGGTTCCAACTTGAAATAATCAGAAATAGAGCTTCCCTAACCATCTATTGTCAATATTTAACGATCATCTGATTTTCAATTGGGAGGTGGTGGATGCGGATCGGATGTAAATCCCTCAGTTTCTTAGGTTGTCAAGAAATCCCTTTAGTCGATGTTTAAGTGGAAAGTTTTAATCAAACCAACACTTACTGTCTTAGCTAATGAATGAATTTAAGACTATAAGTCTTGGTAAAGTACGAGATATTCATAACTAATGTGTAAATATCATTTTGACATGTTGATGATAACGATTACAGTTCATCTTTTTCTTGCTTAACATTCCCCATTGTTTCTTTGTCTTTTTGCATCATTTCTTTGTCTTTTTGCAACTCCTTGCTGTAGTAGTATCCTGTGTATGAACAGAAAAACGTCTCATTGCATGCAGGCTTGGAGGTAAGTGTAGTTACCTCACATATAGCGATGCAATATTTTCGCAACAGTTTAAAACCTACCAGATGGATCAGATTCGCTTTCGTTCTCAAACAAATCCAAAACATTTTGTCCATTTTGAGATAATTCGTCTTCCGTCACATATTCGTCATTGTTCGAATCCAATAATGAGAATAATTCAAGTGCAATCTTTTCGGAGCCTCCCAAATTCTAAAAAGAAGTAACGTAAATTCGTCGAGCCGTACTTTTGTGAATGGTAATTTTTCAACAATCGTTTTTTTCTCGCACAAGTTGAATTATTTAGCAGTCAGAAAAAGCAACGCAGAGCTTTGCTAAAACATTCTTTTGATGAAGCATCCGTATAGCTTTGATAAGCGATTTGTGTCGTAAGATCATTCTCTTATGGCAAAAATGAATTGAAAAGATTCATTGGATACACAGTTTCATGACTTGTTGATGTACCTTGTAGGCATTCTTAAACGCTTCTTTGCCAAAAGTCTCTTCAGACTCCATTAGTGTGTCGACCATCTCACTGACAAAAACAAAATTCATTTTATTCGTATTGGTGGAGGTCACTGAAGAATTTTTTTTGAAAAAGTTAGTCGATGTAACATGCATGTAAGGACAAAAACAGTGCGAATTAAGAATCACAACATTTTAATTTGTTGATACAATACATACCTCCTTACTTCACGTACAATAAAATTTCAATCGTCAACTGATCATCAAGATCGTGTAAAAAATATCTTCATAAAAACACATATCTAACCTGATGTCAGACTGAGAAAAAGTGTAATACTCGTATTCTTCAGTGTTCGCAGGATCCAAATCAGACAACTTTATCCATGATTTCACTTGCTCGATGGACAAACTCGCAAAGGTTTCCGATGTTATATTATCGTTGGTAAAGTTCTTGAACAAGTTGTATAACTTATGAAAAAGAAGAGTTGAAACGAGATATTTACACGATAATAGATATATCAGAGTTAGATAAACGGTAATATATGGATTAGCTAAGCTAGTAGCATCCACGATAGATGTAGCTGTCAGACAGTTGTCATAACACAGAAATTTTCCATTTTCTTACAAAATATAATGTGATTTTGTTCAGTAAAATGTCAATGGTACCAGCAAGGAATGGTGCAAGATCTACTTTCATGTTTTAGAAAGTAAAAATCTATTTTAGGTGCAACCTAATTAGGCATTTACACATATCAATCTAGGTACTATAAGTAGGCGAAATTTTTCTTTCTTTTAAAATTCAGCAAAAGATCGTCAAGTTAGCAACGAAAAAGTGCAAGACCTTAAAATAGTCATTCACACACACACATAAAAGATCTTTTCAAAAGTAAAATCATAAGATCCATATGAGATAATTTAGAGCTCCGAATATCCTATGAATAAAATAGCATTTCAACCCCTAAATTTGATCACGTGTTTGTAATCAACTAACCTGTTTGGGAAGTTTTCTTTCTCTTTCATCTTCGTCAATCATTCCTATCTATATGAAGTGTAAAATAATTTGACATTAATATGAATTCAAGGCTGAAAAAAAGACTGACGCTCACCTTAACGAGGTAACGAGAGAAGCTTTCAAAGTTATCAAATTTTTCATTCTTGATTTTTTGCTTGGAAATCATTTTCATTATACTGTCTCTGAAAACGAAAATCGGTCGACACATTTGACTTTTTATCGAAGAACTCATTATATGAGTTATAATCCTTTACATAGTTTTCTGTTAATAGTGCAGTATCATGGCGTTTTCATCAATCCAATTAATTGTAGTAAATAGTAATACACTTTGAAGAAACCTTGTAGGCTATACTGTATGAGTCTCAAACACTTCAACAAATATTTTATCGTGCTGTTATAACGACTAATTTTATATGTTTTTGATAAGGCACTTAAAGTGGTTTCTCTGAATATTTTTGATTCGTTGATTTCTTTAAAATGAAATTGGAAAATATGGAGATACTTTTGTATGTTTTATTCTCATTCAAACATGTTTTTCTCAAGATAATCAAAGTCATGAAAAATGTTCTAAGAAACTTTAGAGTAGAAACACCTAAATTACCTAAATTCAAATGGATCACCATTCCCAAGTGTCTGAGGACCATGGCCAGGATAAGTCCATATCATATTTGCATCAGCTAGAGGATATGATTTGTATTCTTCTTTGTCACAACCGTTGGGCTCGAAATGCTTCAGACGAGAAAACAAGACAGAGACGGCCATGTTTTTATTGCCAAAAGATCGCACTTGGTGCCAGTACCCTACATAAAATGGCAGACCAAACAACAGTTAAAATTGAAAAGTTTGTAAATAGTATTGAAAAAAATCAGTGTAAGTATTAACATGACTGCCAGGAATTTCAAATGCAAGTATAGTTTGAATTAAAAAAAGCCCACTACATCTTCCTATATTGTGACAAAATATTGTTTTAAATGTTTTCTGTCATGAAATGATGTGCTATATTGAAGTGGAGGGGGATGCATATTCAGTGGATCATTTGCTCTTCTTTTTTAATGGAAAAATAAACCTAAATCTGAGTAATGTGATTGGTACTATGAACAAGATTTAGGTTGAAAAAAATCATAACTACATACCATATGGTAAGTACAAACAATCACCAGCTGTAAGATTGGCATAATGCCAAGGAACATTTTGAAACTTTGAATACTTTAGAAGATTCACTTTATTGACATCCAGGACTGCAAAACCACCATAACCTGAATCACCTTTTGCAATTGGAATCTAAAATTGTAGAACTTTTTTATTTTGAAAGTCAGGTGAAAGATGACCATAGTGAAATATCTGACTTTTATATTATGTATACTTTCATACTATGATAATATACCATTCTTATATTCCCTAAACTGTGATACATTCATGAGAGCTTTTTGTGTGGGCTATCTATTTCCTGTCTGATAAGGTAACCAGAATTGTAACTTGGGAAACACAATGTATGTACTACTCAAAATTGAGGATACACTTGAGGATATGGATTTTGCATTCATCTCATGTACACACCAGTCTAATGAGTTCTAAGTAGCAACAATAACTTTATTTATTTTTTCTATACTTCAATCATGCATGTATCATTTCTTGAAGATTTAAGTTGTTATCACTTATGGTAAAATATTAAACGAAACACTAACTTTGTCTTCATGTTTGGGATCAATCAAGATCCAATCTTTGGTACCATTTAACAAACAATTAATTGCATTATCAGCATCACGATGCAACATACTTGAGGTACCCCCACTACTCAACCACAGGTTTGCCTCCATGAGCCTGTTGACAAAGGTCCCACAAGACAAGCATGGCAAAACATTTATTTCAGTTGCCATTGGATCAGGTAACTGAGATACAATATATGAATCTTTATTCTTATAACTACTCAAGTAACTTTTGATTGTATCTCGCCCCAAGCCTTGTATTCCAACTGGGACTTCATCCTTTTCCTTTTTTGCTTCCAATTTCACCTCTAGATCGCCATATTTCTGCACTAAATATTCATCGGTCCATAGATTAAAAGCTGGAAAAGATTTCGCAGCGCCTTTGAATACAACCGGCGTCCTGTAGTGCGCATGTTCTTCCCAAAACTTCTGAGGTGAAGGAATTTCATGAAGAATTTTTACGTGGCCATCGGATGGACGATGTTTTCCCAAAACTTCTCCGTGACCTTGTGGAAATTTCGCTTCGCAAGGTATAATCCACAGTTTAGTAATGATTAGACAATATATCAGCAAGTAAACGCTCATATTTCACTGTTTCTCCTGCAGCAATTTTACATCCAAAACATCGACGTGTCCAACATTAATTGTCTTCCTTCCGTTTCAGCTGTTTAAACAATATAGACGTAGTCTTCATTAAGTGTGGGCGTTTAATTCTGTTGATTCTTTTAACATTTTAATAATTTTTCGGAACGATAAGTAATTTTTATCTGTTACACTTTAAGTTAATTACACTACACATACTAAAATACCAAACAGGCCATACATTTGCGGATTTCTATTGAAAAGAAATGATATATTTCTGTCAAGTTTTTTTCTAGTGAATATTTTATGATGATTCGTTTCATTGGCTTTCATTGTTTGAAGTCGTTTGCACCCTAGGTCCAAAACCCAAGCTTGCTCGTTTCATAGTGCGAACTTATACTCATCTAGAGAACGATAAACTTTATTCATTCATTTTTTTTATTATGTATTAAAACTTTACACTAAATTTCTTGCATTCTTCATATTTCCGATATGATTCTTTCATTCTGAATATACATTAACTTATTTAATTGTGAGAGTGATAACACGTTTACCTAAAGACCGATTGTAATGGCAAGATTGTAAAAGGAAAGACCACGGAATATTATATATCAGTGTTATCCACTGGTGTTATCGGCTTGTAGTTTCGAAATTCCAACGAGAAATTTCCATGATATGAAGAGTGAGATATATCGTTGACGATTTGTTTACGTTTTATGTTAAGGCCAGTTATTAGTGACAATGAACAAAACGACCAGAATTGGGTGGGAAACAGCATCAAGTCTACCAAGTTGCACAGCAAAGTGGGCCTTCTGTATACTGCTTATTTTGTGCTAATGTGCTGACAGTTCTGTGACTCAGTGTGTCTCTGACATGCTCTGACACCACACTTCCCTGGGCAAAGGCTGTCAGCACCCCCCCTCACCCTCCCTGCACTCTCAGCATGGAGCGCCACATCACTCTCGGCTACATGAAGTTTGACTAATTCCAATTTAAAGACAACATGGCGGAAACGTGCGCTGGGATTTTACGTCAAAATTTTCCAGAAATAGACGAAGAAATGTTTAATTATATTAATGGTAAATAGTTGCTGGTTTTTTCTTACTTTATTGTTTTATCGTTTGACTAACAGCATTAAATTTTTTCAAAAAGCCTGCTGAGTGCTGACTGTCTGTTTGTCTTTATGTTTTGTCCATGTGATACAGTGATAGTGGTTTGCTGCATGATTTTTGTTGACTCAATTGTTAACAGGTTGACTTTATGATATTGGCTGACTCTATGATACAGGTTGACTGTATGGTACAGGTTGACTGTATGATACAGGTTGACTTTATGAAATTGACAATGACTGACTGTATGATACAGGTTGACTATATGAAATTGACAATGACTGTATGATACAGGTTGACTGTATGGTACAGGTTGACTGTATGATACAGGTTGACTTTATGAAATTGACAATGACTGACTGTATGATACAGGTTGACTATATGAAATTGACAATGACTGTATGATACAGGTTGACTTTATGAAATTGACAATGACTGACTGTATGATACAGGTTGACTATATGAAATTGACAATGACTGACTGTATGATACAGGTTGACTATATGAAATTGACAATGACCGTATGATACAGGTTGACTATATGAAATTGACAATGACTGTATGATACAGGTTGACTATATGAAATTGACAATGACTGACTGTATGATACAGGTTGACTATATGAAATTGACAATGACTGACTGTATGATACAGGTTGACTATATGAAATTGACAATGACTGACTGTATGATACAGGTTGACTATATGAAATTGACAATGACTGACTGTATGATACAGGTTGACTATATGAAATTGACAATGACTGACTGTATGATACAGGTTGACTATATGAAATTGACAATGACTTACTATATGATACAGGTTGACTACATGATATTAGTTGACTGTATGATATTGAATGTCTTTATGATATTGACTTAATATATGATACTGGTTGACTATATGATAAAGGTTGAGTGTACTGCATGATATTGACTGACTCTATTATAAAGTACCAGGTTTGAACCTGGGAGTATTGTTACATGTTTGTAAATGTTAATCGTCCAGGTTGGTATAGTCCTGAGAAGGACTGTTTTTGTTGTTGTTGACTATACCAACCTGGACGATCTACATTTACAAACATGTGACTCTATTATATTGGTTAACTGTATAATACTGGTTGACTATATGATACTGGTTGACTATCAGACCCAGAGTGGAAAGTTTGTTAACTGTGCACCTGAGATCAAATTTTACGGAAATTTGCAAGCTTGACTTTCATTTTTGCTACATTTTCGGCATGTGGAAAGCAAATTTTGCACCATATTTTCATGAAAAAAACATAATAACCAGGATAAGCAGACAATTTTAAGTAAAACAAAATAAAACAAATTCAGAAAACGGACATCTCGTTTTCTTGATATTCAAGATAATACAAGAGTTTTAAAACAAAAGATGGTGTAATATTTAGTCTTTATTCCAAAGACATCATCAGACTGACATCACTCTGGTATCAGCCTGGAAAACCAGCATAGAAAAGAAATTTGTCGTAAAGTCTTATTTTCTGTATTTATTTTTAGTTTTTTTAATGTTGTTTAGGAGTACTGGAGTCAGGGAATGATGATTTTGAAAGTGCAACAGATATATATGATGCGGTTGGTGATTTATTTCTTGAGATTTCACAAAGTAATTCTGACTTAGCCCAGGATATTTGTGAGCAGTTGATGAGAGCTTTAAAATTGTAAGTGAGCACATTATTTATGAAATTTTTTAATGTTGTCTTATGTACGATAGAGTGAAATTATATTTATGTTATGTGAGACTCATAAAGGGCAATGAAAAAATATTCATGCTGAAAAAATGTTGTCTTTAATCAATGCTAGGGCTACATGTATGTGGGTGACTTGTTTAACATGTCTTTTTAAAATTGCAATCAAAGCTGGTGGCATGTGAGAAAACTGTTTTTATCAACGTCCATTTAGGCAATGTTTATGCATTTCTCAACCTTAATTTAAATATTGCATCTCATTGGCCAGAAATGGTTTGTCACGTAGTGTTTTTAGCTGCAGAGGCTACACTAGTGTTGACTTATGGAAAAATATTGCATTGTATTGAAATTATCACAAACATCTTTGATAATTTTTTTGGTTCATAATTTAACATCATGCTTTTTGGAGTGGCTAGAAGAAAGGTTTTCAACATTTGTTGACAATATCAAACAATTGTTTGTGTACTCCCAGCTTAACAGTGAATTATGTTTTTGTTTATAATTGAATGAACCATTAACCCATTGTAATTTTCAAATTGAAATGCTTAAAATGCTTAAACTTGCATTTCCAATGATATTGTTCGATTTTTAAGATGAACCACAGGGAGAGGAATAAGCCATGATTTTGATTTCTCATGTCCTTGTATTGACCTTGATTTTCAAAATAAAATCTTCCAAAATCATGGATGGATATTTAAAGTCAATTTTTCAAAAGAAAACTTGTCAAAATTTAATTCTGCTTGTATAAATATTGTATTAAGATTGAATTTTAAATATGTATTTTATTGTTTCATTGTGTAACAATTGTGTCATAGGAACTCTGAAAATGATACAAGTGAGCCCATTAAACTTGATGCTCCTGTGCAGTTGAAGGGTATTGTTGAAAATGTTGGTAAGTTGTAATTTAAGTTTTGCTATTTAAGTTCTCATTTGTATTTCATATTCAAACTTTGAAAAATTCTCAAGAGAAATGAGCCTAATTCAGATTTCATAAATGATCATACTTGATCAGAAATATTGTTTTATTCTGTTCTTACCTTAAATCCATTTTTAATGCTAGTGTTGATTTGTTGGTTTCTTTGCTTTGATAATACTCACATGCCTACAATAAATGATCAGTTATAAACTGCATTTCCTTTAAGCCAGGTTTTCAACAAGAATGATTGTTGTTGAACAATTCTAAGAAAAGCTAGTTGAACTCTCTCTGAAAATTACTTTCATTGATGATTTAAGGAGAGAATGCTGATGAAAACACAAGTATTTGGTTAGTAAAAAAGAACGATTTTCGAGAGGTATTATAAATTAATAACTTTAGTGCCTAAAGCTAAATACTCTAGGCTTTTGATGTTTCTACTGTTGGTACATGTTTCTGTATGTGGGTTTATATTGCTTTTACTTGTTAATCAAAACAGTTTCCCTGAAGTTTCCCAGTCATATAATAAAAATCTGTTTTTGTGTCGAAGCCATATGTTTAAGTTCATGCAGTATCTTTCTAAAGAAAAACATATATTTTGAACAAAAGTTAACCTCAAAGATTTTACTTATATGCAACTGTGAAAACCATTTCAATATTGTTATTAGACGAATGTAGATGTATATCATCCAGGGTAGTAGAGTCTTGAGAAGGACTGTTGTGTTTAGCAGTAGTCATTGTAGTTGCATAAAACTATAATCTTTGAGGTCACTGTTTTTAGAAGGTGAATTATCTTAACTCTTGATTCCAATATCTACTAACACTTTCCATAGTTTTAATTTTTTCAACATTTTTTTGTGGTTTGATGAGTATTTACCAAAGAATAAAATTTCTTTAACTTTCAAGTTGAAATTTGTTAGTGCGGACATTGGTTCACCTATGTAAAATTTCTTTACGCCATATGACAGACGGTTGACGCTAAGAAATTGGAAAAAGCCGAGGCTAAAATAAAGGCAAAACAGGATAGAAAAAATTTGAAAGAAAACTCAACAACTACCCAAGGAAAAAGGTTTGCTTCTTTCATATGTACTTCAAATATGTTTCTTCTTTTTTTCTTTCAAAGTCCACTGTAAAATTTTTTGTTTATACGTAGTTGTTGTTGTTGCTGTTATAGCCCAAATGCGGTGATCTCTCATTTTCTTAGTAGTTTCAGTTTGAATGATAACGCTTCAGTGAGTCACACTCGAAACAGAAGGGACGCGCATTTGGAGAAAGTTGGTTTTTCGCAAGACATTCATATAGAAAGCATCGATTTGGCTTTTGGAGAGAGGTAAGATCCCTCACACCACAGGACTTCTAACAAGTATGTAGTTGTAAATTGTTATCGTAGAGGGCAGGAGAGTAGAGAAATAAAACCTGTCAGACCGACGACCTTCTAACAAGTATGTAGGTGTACGTAAATTGTTATTGTAGAGAGTAAGAGTTTGGAAAGGTAAATAACATTTTTAAGATGCTTACATGTATTTTTTTGGTAAAAATTTATGGAAAAACCTCAGACATTTGATGTTTTTGTTATTTTTGTTTTCCCAGCATGCAATTGTACTTACACGCTTTCTTTACAACACAGAGTGCTGTTACAGGGTGCTGATCTCATGTTGAATTACGGTCATCGCTATGGTCTTATTGGTCGAAATGGTGTTGGAAAGACAACTTTGCTTCGTTCGTTATCACGGTACGTACGTAGATATGACAAGGAATTATTGCTGTCTCACAAAATTGTTCGGTTTGTATTGGATATTTACTTTATTTTGGTACAATGCTGTGTAAACGTGCTAATGTACTGTGTACGTGCTAATGTACGGTGTACGTGCTAATGTACGGTGTACGTACTAATGTACGGTGTACGTGCTAATGTACGGTGTACGTGCTAATGTACGGTGTACGTGCTAATGTACGGTGTACGTACTAATGTACGGTGTACGTACTAATGTACGGTGTACGTGCTAATGTACGGTGTACGTGCTAATGTACGGTGTACGTGCTAATGTACGGTGTATGCTAATGTACGGTGTACGCTAATGTACGTGTACGTACTAATGTACGTGTACGTGCTAATGTACGGTGTACGTACTAATGTACGGTGTACGTACTAATGTACGGTGTACGTGCTAATGTACGTAAGTGCTAATGTACGGTACGTGCTAATGTACGGTGTACGTGCTAATGTACGGTACGTACGTACTAATGTACGTGTACGTACGTACGCTAATGTACGGTGTACGTACTAATGTACGGTGTAAGTGCTAATGTACGGTGTACGTGCTAATGTGTACGTGCTAATGTACGGTGTACGTGCTAATGTACGGTGTACGTGCTAATGTACGGTGTACGTGCTAATGTACTGTGTACGTGCTAATGTACGGTGTACGTGCTAATGTACTGTGTACGTGCTAATGTACGGTGTACGTGCTAATGTACGGTGTACGGTGTAAGTGCTAATGTACGGTGTAAACACCCTTCAGAATTTATTTTTTCGACTAGACCTGAGAAACCGAACGTGAACTATTTTCAAGGAATTTGTTAGAATTTCAATTTCTTGTCAGTGAATCTGTATTAGATGTTTGATCAGTTCAGCAGTAATGGTTAATTGAACTTCTGATCAGCAATTGCGTTTTGCCATTTCTAATATAGATAGGCTGTACATCTAGATTAAAAACATATATCAAATAAGGGTTGGTGAACTATTAATGAGACTAACGTTTGAATATGTTATATTACTTTTTCTAACGTGAATTATAGGCGGGAGTTACATGTTTCATCAAATCTTTCAATTCTCCATGTGGAACAGGAGGTAATACATCTTTTAAAGAGGTGCGTTTTATGTTTTTCTCCCCGTTTGCATTTTCATGGAGCTGTTTTCTTTTTTCTTTTCTCCAGGTAGTTGGTGACAATACTCCGGCGTTAGAAAGCGTTTTACAATGTGATGTGCGAAGAAATGCTTTAATAAAAGAAGAAAGAATGTTGACTGAAGATCTTCAGTCCAAAAGGTAGTTAATGAGCGCTTCAGGTTTTTTACTATGACATGTTAAAACATACTGTCATCATGAGCAAACGTTATTTTATTCAGCACAGGTCAAGCAAACTCCGCGTCTGAAAATCGCCTGGCTGAAGTAAGTTAACTTTGTTCAATCAGAGAACGACCAGAAAAGTTGTTCCTTGTAATTAACCTGTTTACTAATGCCTGCTTTTAACGTACGGAGATGAACTCAAAACTCGTAATCAAGTTGAATGAATCTGCATAACATGCGAATGACCTATGCTGGCAGTTTTATTTCCATGGTCCTTCAATAGTAATATACGTACATACGAAAAGTTTGAACTCTGAGAAACTTAAAATGTGACCATATGTCGCGGCAATAAACGACTGCCAACTGTACAATGATTGATTCGAAACATAAGATTCGCTTTTTCCTCACCAAGATGTTTTATTTTACTTTACCAACTGTTGATTTGTGTCCGAGAAATATATTGTGACGTTGTATTTTCAACTTGAAACGCTCGAAGGCAAGTTTATGTTTGGTGTTCTCAAATTTCATATTTGATGGCGTTCATCACTTTCGTCCAATTTTGTTTATGAGCAAGGAATTCGTCAAGTGCCTGACTTTGCCGTGTTTTCTGTTGTTTTGTCAGCACGAATCTATCATTATGCAGTACAATATTTCTTATCTTTTTGTTATTCATAAAGAAGGCGTTGAGTAGCCTTAGCTAGCCATGTATATTTTAGCATTTGACGACACTACCTTCCAATCAGTTTGAAATTCGCTAGAAGTTTGGCGGTGTCGAGGAGTTTTTAAATTTTATTTTGACATGATCATGTTGTAAACTTTTTCAGTCAGTGATCGAATCAAATTTGTAGGGTTTTGTCCAATTTTTTAGAATTTTTATATTTCTTTATTTAGTCAAAATATGATTGTTATAAATATGCCTTTACGATTTATTCATCTAAATTGTTCACAAAATTATCTACAATATCGTTGATGCATCCTCCTGCGTTCTTGATTGTAACGTACGGACGACCATACTTGTCAAATGAGCCAAAGCTGGCTTCCACCAAATGTTGATTTTCCTTGAGGATTCTTTTCAATTTGGCTTTACTCATTTCCCGTAATGTTTTTCGTTTTATGTTCTTAAAATCCTTTCCTGTGCTTAACAAAGCAAGGAGATTACGCACAATTTTGCCGCTTTTGTGCTTTATTCCGGGTGGTGAAACCGTGTTTACCAATCGGCATTTGTAGCGAACGAGTTCTTCGTGATGTGCGAACACCAAGTCCAATGTTTGGCCATCGGACACCATTATCACTTTTGCTGTCGTTTTTAGTCCTTTCAAACTAAACCTTTCAATATCGTCTTCTGTAATATTCTTTAATTTGTTTCTCGGGCTCATTTTAAAATTTTTGATATAGTTTGTTTAAGACGATAAACTTCGATTCTTTATTCAAAATGGGCGCCCTTTTTACTGCATCGTTTTCCAGTTCCAATCTATATGTGATTGGTTTGTGTACGTATCACGTGATTGTCTAATGTGACGTATCGCTGAATGTAATCTGATCTATTTGTTTATGTACAAATGAAATTATACACAATACAATCTAACTTCGTTTTACTTTCAATATTTCTGTGCTCTTTATATAAATATTTTCTTTGTAGGTTTATGCAGAGTTAGAGGAAATCGAAGCGGACAAAGCCCCTGCGAGGCATGTTTACTTTAGCGAATGTACATGATTCTAAATGATTTTTTCTCTACTATATCTTTACATTACCATTAACGTGTACGAATCTTCACTTTTTCCAGAGCATCCGTGATTTTAGCTGGTCTTGGTTTTTCGCCTAAAATGCAAGGCCAGTGTACGAGGTTTGTAAATTTGGAAAAACGAGTAATGATATTCTTGTGAGCTCCGTGAGTTGGACTCATCAAATATTGTGAGCTGTTTTATGCGTGGGTTCTTAAATAACTGTTTCATGAAATGTGTTGAAAACTCTTTGAAACAATATCCGAACACAGTACGATACAACATTGTTATTGCGAATTGCTCTGCTAGCGGCCTGAGACCAAATGATTGTGTGCTTTACTTTGAATGCGTTGGGTTTTATACTTATATGTAGTTGAATCTTTGATATGCTGTTTCATGAAATGTGTTGCACATTTACACTACAAACTTGTCAGAAACAATATCCGAACACAATACGATACATCAAACATCAAAAATCCCAATGACGTAGATGGATTGCAAATCTGCGAATGGGTGCAAACTCTGCATTGTCATGTATAAGTTCTGGCCTGGGGATGCACCATTTTGAAGGAGACAATATTTTTTCATCTTGTGGACAAGCTCTTTTATGTTTTCGGTATTTATTGTATATCTTATACATACTTATTATAGCATTGCCTATAGACATTAAAATTTGAACTGGCTTGCAATGGTTTTTATTATATTTTCGTTCGTATTTAGAGAATTTTCTGGTGGATGGAGAATGCGGTTAGCATTGGCGAGGGCTTTGTTTACAAGGTAAGATGAAGTATTGCAGTGTGGTCAAATTTAGGTAGGAGTGATTGACAGAAGACCTGCTAAGATGCATTCAATGTGTGTTTTTGGATCAAGATAAGTTCTTTTCTCAGTTCAACACCAACCCCCGTATTCTAAAAGCTCTCTCACATTCACTGAGTTGGTCTTCAACTTGCCATCGATAGAGAAATGAGTTTGCCATTGATGAGCAAACATACGAGCGTAAGTCTGGATCCTTTATTTGGGTTTTTGTATAGATAAAAAAGCTTTTGGGACATTATTTGTGGTAATCTATTTTATAGCAAGACTGCGTTCACTTTCCACTTCAAAGCAAAGTTTTAGCGCTCTTCTTTATAATCAAATTTACTGATTTTCTTTTGTTTTCAATGTTTTCTTTAGGCCAGATCTTCTTCTTCTTGACGGTGAGTTATATTTTACATTGGAAGGTTACAAATGCTCATTGATATATTACAGCCTGTTGTTATATTTTTATTCCAGAACCTACAAACATGCTGGATCTCAATGCCATAATTTGGCTGGAAAACTATTTACAGGTTGTTAAAGTATTTTGTAAGTGAAGTGGAAATATTTCAACAAAGTATTTGCATTTTAAATAGAGCAGAATGTCAGATCAACGAGTTACCAAAGAGTTACCTTTGTCTACCAATTGACTACTTTTGTGATTAGTTTTTTGTCTAGTCTTTTTGTGCATGCTTGACAAACTTAGATTTTAAATACTGCTGTTACAGATGAATTAGCAAAGAGTTACCTCTGTCTAGGAACTTTTAAGTCTACTTTTTGACTATTTTGCTGTCTACTCCATTTTTATGCATGCTTGACAAAGCTCATTGATTTTATATACAGCAGAATGTCAGATCAACAAATTTTTGACGAGTTACCAATGTTTGAACCTCTTGGGTGGATTTCTAATCGTCCACTACACACTTTCTGCATTTATGCGACCCTAGAAGTTGATCTTTCATCACCTCAGTTTGACCATGTTCGCCAATTGCATATGCGTATATGACGTAGAAGTACCTCACTGGGTATAGGATATGGGTATGGGATATCATAGGATATGAGTATTACTTGTTGAATAATATTTGCAATATTTGGCATGATTTTAAGCATGATTTTTATCAACTTTCGTAATAGCATTTGTCTTTCATACTGTGTAGTAGTTGACCCCAAAGGTGTTTCCGTTTTGTTTTCAGAACTGGTCCTCAACACTTCTTGTGGTCTCTCACGATCGAAATTTCTTGGACACCGTGTGTACAGACATTATTTACATGCATTCTTCGAAATTGGATAGTTACAAGGGAAACTATGAGGTTTAAACATGATGTATTTTTATGTTTTTGATATTGTTTACTATTTCTGCCTTCAATGAGTTACTATCATAGGAGTGTTGTAACTGTTACTTACTATCATAGGAGTGTTGTAACTGTTACTTACTATCATAGGAGTGTTGTAACTGTTACTTACTATCATAGGAGTGTTGTAACTGTTACTTACTATCATAGGAGTGTTGTAACTGTTACTTACTATCATAGGAGTGTTGTAACTGTTACTATCATAGAAGTGTTAAGGATGACGTGTGTTTATGTTTTACGTTTATTTTTAGATATTTTTCAAAACTAAAACGGAGAAACTTAAGAATCAGCAACGTGAATACGAAGCCCAACAACAATACAGAGAACATTTACAGGTGATATTTCATCGTATATGGTTTGTGCTGGATGTAAAATTTAAAATTCACTAGTTACTTATGTAGATATGATATGAAGGTATCTGCTCTGTTGTTCTAAACATTTTTTGGAGGGTGTTGAGAGGTACGGGGGAGGATGAGAGGTAGATCAATTTTTGGAGGATGTTTAGAGGTACGGGGGAGGGCGAGAGGTAGATCAATTTTGGAGGGTGTTGAGGAGGGGGGAAAGGTAGATCAATTTTTGGAGGGGTTAAAGAGGATAGATCAATTTTTGGAGGTGTTGAGGAAATGTAAGAGGAAAAGGTAGATCAAATGGAGGGTTGTCAAAGAAATAAATCAATTGAAAAAATAAATAATGGAAAGGGGGAAATGAGGAAGAAAGGATCAATTGGAAGGTGGAATCAGAGGAAAATGGAAATGGGAAGGTAGAAAGGGAAAATGGGAGGATGAAAATGGAAGAAGGTAATGGAGGGGAAAGGAAGGATGGAATGGATCAATTGGAGGGATTGGAAAGGAAAATGGATCAATTGGAAAGGAAGAGGAAAGGAGGAAATAAATAATGGAAGAGGAAATGGAGGGAAGGATGGATCAAAAGAGGGTGAGGAAATGGAGAGAAGAGGTGGAATCAATTGGAGGGTGGAAGGGAGGAAGCGAAATGGTCAATTTGAGGGAAGGAAATGGGAAAAGGAAAGAATGGAGGATTGGAAGGGAAGAGGAAGGATGGAAATGAGGTGGAAATGGAAGGAAAGGAAATTGGAATGGAAGGAGGAAAGCGAAAATCAATTGGAGGATGGAAATGGGGAAAGGTAGATCAATTTGGAAGGTATTGGTTGGAAGGAAGGGAGGAAATTTAGAAATGGAGGAAGGTGTTGGAGGGTGAAGGAGAGGAATGAATGGAAGGGAGGATGAAGGTATCAAGAGGAGGAGGGTAATGAAGGAGGGAAGGAGAGGTAGAAGGAAGGTGGAATGAAGGGAGAAGGAGGAGGAAGGAAATGGGAGGGAAAGGTGAATGGAGGGTGGAATGGGAAAGGGAAGGAGGTCAATGGGAAGGTGTTGGAGGGAGAAGGAGATGGAATGGAGGGTGAGAAAGGGGAAGGAAGGTAGATCAGGATGGAGGATGAAAGAGGATGTGGATGGAAGAAAAGGAATTGGGGAAATGAAAGGTCAATGGAAGGGGAGGAAGGGAAATTTTGGAGGTGTTGAGAAGGGAAGGGGAAGGGGGAGGTAGATCATTTTGGAGGGTGGAGGGGAATGGAGGGAAGGGAGGGGGAGGTGGATCAATTTTGGGAGGGTTGTTAAGAGGGGAAATTGGGGTGGAGTACGGGAAGGATGAGAGGTAGATCAATTTTTTGGAGGGTGTTTAGAGGTACGGGGAAGGGCGAGAGGTAGATCAATTTTTGGAGGGTGTTGAGAGGTACGGGGAAGGGCGAGAGGTAGATCAATTTTGGAGGGTGTTGAAAGGTACGGGGGAGGGCGAGAGGTAGATCAACATGTATTGCTTTTTTATTTTTAAACTGGTTATCCATTTGTCTATATATGTCTTCATACGTATCTACACAGATTTTTCATTTGTTTATAGGCTTTCATTAATCGTTTTCGATACAATGCGAACAGAGCTGCGTTGGTTCAAAGTAAAATTAAGATACTGGAAAAGCTGTACGTTAAAGATCAACCTTATTTTGATTTGAGAAAAGCATCATGTCGATGAGAATGTTTTTATGAATTGTATTCTTGTTGATGTTAGACCAAGCCTCACAGCTGTGGAAAAGGAAACGGAGGTTGCTCTAAGGTATCATGTCGATTATTTCTTGATAATTCTAATGTAAAAGGAATTGCAAAAAATAATTCACTTCTGTGTGATTACTTGTTCTAACTGCATGATACTACGCCTGTGTACGTAGGACGTTCTATCCCTGGGTTAAATCAAAATGTCCATCTCAATCCCATGATACTACTTCACTTTGCCTGGGATTATTTAATGCTTGTGCTAACTGCATGATACTACGCCTGTGCACGTAGGACGTTCTATCCCTGGGTTAAATCAAAATGTCCATCACAATCCCATGATACTACTTCACTTTGCCTGGGATATACATAACTATCCGTTTAAATTCCATGATCCTTGCACAATGATATAACCTCAATTACTCTTAAATGTACCAAAATATCCATTCAAAATATCTAGATTCCCAGCTTCGGTTTTAAGACTAATTGGACTAAAATTCAATTCTAAAAGATAATTCGGTATTGAGTGTTTGAAGATAACGTGTTTTTCGACGAGAATTGTAAATAAGTTTTGTTAAGAAATGAAACTATTTTATTACTCTTTCCAGATTTCCTGATTGTGAAGATTTATCGCCTCCTATACTTCAACTCGATGAGGTAATGTATTTATAAGTAATTTCTGCCGCTAGTTTCTCATTGAAACTGACTTTCTCCAATTACACTTTTGTTGTTTGCAGGTTTCGTTTTATTACACGAAAGAAAGAATTATCTTTGACAAAGTGTCCATGTCTGCTACAATGCAATCAAGAATTGCTGTGGTAATTGAAGCGATGTCCATAGAGATGTGTGTAACCTGCATGCCCTAAACATTCACTCTTTTTTCATTGAGGTTGGTGAAAACGGTGCTGGCAAGACAACGTTACTTAAAATACTGCTGGGAGAACTGGGACCAGTTCAAGGATTAAGACACATACATAGGTAATGTGTCTGTGCCTTAACAATATGTTACATCATAAACATTTATGAAAAGAGTTTATGAAGTAAATGGTTTGAACTCCAGGGTATATTTATATGTTTGTAGATGTTGATCGTTCAGATTAGTTGAGTGCTGAGAAGGACTGTTGTTGTTGATGTTGACACACAAATCGACAACCCTAGCTGAAGTTTACTTATAGTTTACTTATAGTCATCTTGAATCTCAAGATGACTATAGCTAAGGTTGTCAAAACGTCAGTAAACATCAACAGATCTTCTGAAGATTTCACTTGTGAATTACTGACTACTTTGTGGAAAGTCGTTTGTCATTCAGACTCTGCCTTAAGGCATTACGGGAATGCTTATAACTGCCTTCCAAATTAAGTGGTTTCTTGGCCCATGCTCGAATTTCGTTTTATTTAGAAGTTTCGAATAATGAAAGGAATGGTTTCGCAAAATTTAATATTGTTGTCAATTGGAAAACGTATTTCGAACATTGAGATTATGTTCTTTAAACATGTTCCTAAAACTTTCCAAAAGATATCGAATTTTTGTGAAATAATATCAATGTTTTGTTTTCTACCTTCGCTTTCATTACTTCACATTTTTATGCAAACTTTAAATCATTGATATCGATTGAAAATTTATTTCTTTTCAGAAATTTGAAATTAGGATATTTCAGTCAACATCACGTGGATCAATTGAACATGAATTTGAACTCTGTGCAACTTCTACAGACGAAATTTCCAGGTCTCGTACGTTTGCCTTTGTGGAAAATTATTTATGATTCTTTCTTGTTCTGAAATATGTGGAAACAAAATGTGACAAATTTGTGGAAACAAAATATGATAAATTTACTCACGGTTAAAGTATAAGAAATATCAGTAGAAACTCAGTCTACTTAGTTACATTTGTTAATTTTAATGATGCTGCTTAGGAATCAGTCTGAAAGAGGGGGGTGAGCTTATAGTCTCTTCTTCTGTTGGTTTATGACATTATTTATTTGGATTCTTCCATTTATGTCAAGAATTGAAACCATGGTATTTAGTGGCACATAAGAAATAAAGATGCTTATCGTGTTTGCGATTATTGTAAATGCGATAGTCGTCAAAATGAGATGATTTCTTTTTCGGTGTATGACAACATTTCTTGTTTTCGTATGCAGGAAAACCTGAAGAAGAATATCGAAGGCAACTCGGTTCGTTTGGTGTTTCGGGTGAGCTTGCTTTAAGACCTATCGACAGTCTATCTGGAGGGCAAAAAAGTCGCGTGGCTTTTGCTATCCTAGTGATGTTGAGGTAAACATTGTTTTGTTTGTTCACTTCACTTCTCGATGACTTTTTGTTTATTTGTCCATGTATCAAATCATAAGTATATATGATGAAAATTATTAAATGTCATTTGATAAAGAGAACACTACATTGCTGAAGTTTATCGTTTTTCATTTATCCACGGGAAAAAAGAGATTTGTGATTGCTACTATAATTGTTCAGTTCCTAGGGTAGAGACAGAAAACTAGTTTACCATTAGTGCTTAAACATTTGTGCGGTTATCTTTTTTATGAGAACATAAATGAACTAGAGTATTGACATTTTTTCTATAGACCAAACTTTCTCATTTTGGACGAACCTACGAATCATTTGGACATGGAAACCATCGAAGCACTTGGAAAAGCGCTCCTGAAATTTCAGGTTGAAATCTATTTTTTTATGGAATTTGCTTCAGCACAAAAAGCACGGCATATACCTCTTTCTTATAAGATGTGAAATCTTATCCTCTATGCAGTTCACCGCTCTGCATATTAAGCTACCTTGCGTGCTGTATAGATAGGTGAAGAGTCGGATCTTCTTCAAGCAAAAAGTCTCACTATTAGCTCGTACTTCTATGTATGTAGTCTTAGAGGTCAATGTTACACGTGTGTGAAAATTTATCTTTGATTGTATGTATTATGGCTTCATTTTCATTTATTTGAATCAATTTAATTTTTCCACTCCTATTTCAAACACAACGCATGGTTTGTTTTACCTTTGTTTAGGGTGGTGTAATCTTAGTATCACATGACGAGCGTTTGGTACGGAATGTTTGCAGCGAAATTTGGTTATGTGGACGTAGGACCGTACGATCCATTGAGGGCGGATTCTCAGAATATAGACGTATTTTAGAGGACGAATATAAGAGATTGTGACAATGGAATATGTAATGTAATATCAGCTTGCCGATAAAGGTTTTATAAAGATTTTGAAAAAAAGTCGCTTAATCCCGAACCGTCCGCAATATGTTGTCGAAACCAGACTCGAACCTGACTAACTTGCAGGATTTGAGCTTAAAAAGTGCTTTATTTGTTGTAAAATATCAATCCTCCAAATCGTAGTTGCTACAATGATTATCATAATTCCAGACAAATCTCTCACGTGACGTTTTTCACCAATTGCATTTAATGATTTATTAAATAAGTTTCTTAGTGCTTTCCCCGACATGTTTGAAAAGTTCTCGTGCTGATAGTCTTAATTGTAAGTATTGTGTAAAATTTTTATTATTTGTAGAATTGATATAATTTATATATCATCACATTGTGTTTAATACATAACTCTTTATTGTGAAGCTCTTAGGATAAGTCGTACACGAACTGAGCATGGATGTTGTTATGGAACGACCGACCGTGGAAGATTTACAAGTTTACTTTACTTTGTGTAGCTCAAGGTAGGATTGTTTTAAAGGGTTGTGTAAAAGTCATGGTTGTCCCACAATTCAAATAGTGTGGGTATTCCTTATTGGAAAGACCCTCGCAAATCTGAACCAGTGAAATGAAATTCGTTGAAAAACAAGTAAAAGCAACCAGTTTAATTCTAGTTAAATTGCTAATTTCATTACGTTTCGCCAGCACCTTTTCCAAAGAATTACGCAGTCGAAAAAAACGAAAATGAGTCCAATCACACGATCCCATTGATTCATGTCGAAAGGCACACTGATGAGAACGTCGTAAAAGAAGGAAATAAAACCGCTGATTTCGATGTAAAAAATAATACGCAAGTGGAGAAATTGGCCAATGATGGTGAGTTTATTACGTGGATAAGACGAAATTCAAATGTAATGCTCTAACTCATAATTCTTCGAAAAGAAATGTAAAAATGAAAATACATAATTCGTCGTTTGTTTTGCAGATGCAGAGCAACTCGAGAGTGGAAACGAAATTCTTCCTTTCAAGCTCTCTGCCTTGTCTTCTTTACCAGATAGTCCACCTTGTGAAGCTCACAGCTCGCCTAATTGTGAAGTCGGAGAAGGGATTGGAGCGTGGAGACCTAAAACCAATGATAAAATTCAATATCTTGAAATTGACTTGGGTATGTTTGTAAAAAGAGCTCGTAGTTTGGAACAGAATCACACATGCAAATGTTCTTGCTTTAGTTAAAGCGATACATCTAGGGCAAGAGTTAAATTATCCATCATTTGATTGAAAGTTTGGATAATTTGTAGTGAGCGAATTTGTCATGTCTCTCGTCAGCTACACTTTCTTTGTTCTTCATCAAAAGCTTACAAAGGAATAGACCATTTATATGAGCCTAATGGAATTGTTTTAAGACAAGCCTTTATGTTATGTGTTAAAAACCCAATGAACGACTCCATCGATATCGTATAACAAAATTCACATGTTTCATTTTTATATAATTAATTCCAACATATGAATATGGTCTTAGATAGGAAATTTATTTTACAGGTTTTTCAAGGAATCCTTTCAGTCAATCAAAATTGCCATAAAAATTTCAAGCACAAGATTACAGCGCAGTAGAAGAAGAAGGGAGATAAATCCAAGTTTGTTTCACCAATCCCTTCACCCATGATGGGAAGAAAGATGCACATCAAAAAACAAGATATCTCAAATCCTCTTCAGGTATCAAACAACGGTGTTTTACCAGATGTCAGCGAAGCAGGTAACATTTTTTCTTCTCCAATGAGAGTTTCAAGATACTTTTTGCCAGATATGAAATGAGACCATAATGCTCATCGTGATTATGATGGCGTCTTAATATTTAAATTAAACAATGGCTGTAAATTTTCCATTTCCCATTGATTATATTATTACTTTGATTCTTAGGTACACATGACAGGGCTAACTTTTTTCTTTTGAAAAATTAACGGTATTTCAACCAAAATATATCCTGATAGCCAAGTGGAATTATGAAAGCGTAAACGAAAAGACTGTTTCAGAGATACAATCTTGTTCTCAATCTTATTCCATTATAGAATATAATCAACGATTTATTTAATGTGCATTATGATGTTCGTTTGCTTATGACTTCGTGTAGATAGAAATCATAATTTTTGAAAATCTTACACAACTTTTGAACTTTAAACACGACTGCATAATGATTAATAGTCTAATGAACATGTCAACAGCACTTATACTGAATTCAAAATAATCATGGATCAGCCGATCTTGCGAATTTGCATGCATCCAGGCTCAATTACTGCAGAATCATCTAAATGTCAGCTTCCACAACAACAATAGCAATAAATGAAAAACCAGTCAGGTGCAAGAATAATCATTGTCATAAAGACAGATAATTTTGTACTGTAGGATTAATCTGTTTTCGTTTATGATCATAAATTCCACTTATAAATCTGCCTAGACTAAATTTGAACAGAAACAGCAGCAGCAAGTACAATGGCAAGGATAAAAGGGCGAGACCACGTAAACGTTTATGTTGAGAGAGAATTATTCGGTTACTGGACGGGAGTCTCAACGTGGATTGTACGTAAATTATTAAATATCAAAGCGGAATTACTACGAGTTAACGACGTCTACCTGACAAACCAAATGTCAATGGATGTACCGGACGAAATCTAAGCATTTGATAATATGGAATTGAGTGATAGCGTAACGCAACAAACAAGAGCGCCGTGAAAACTGTGCAGATTGGTTTCTTACAACATCCGATTTCCTCAACACAATGTTTAAAGATAATATGGCTGCGTTGTCAAATATGCGGTGATATGTTATAAGTGTCATAAACCTTTGAAATGTTGGATATGACTCGTGAAATCGACATTCCTAAAGAATACACCTCAAAATCGGAACGATAGGAAAATTCATGTCCTATGTATATTATATAAAAGCTAAAAGAAGACAAGTTATCGGCTGCTTTAAAGCCTTCACCAATGTCAAGCCAGAAATATGTGATCCTCATATTTTACTACGACAAGTGCCATTGGATTAATAAAGCTAAAGAAGTCTGCATTGCTTAGCCGTAAGAAAACGTGCTGCTTTTGAAAGACTTACTTGTCTCTATCTTTTTCAAAAGAAGACATAAATAACTATAGATTTTTTTTGCTAATGTATTACCAAACTAACATTAATATAAATGTATTTATTTGTACTATTCTTTCACTTTTTATATCAACATTTGACTACGAATATGATTTTCGGTTTGTTGCTTTATCTTTAGCTGGAAGTGTTCTGCTATAATTTTGATTCGAGACCTTCAATGGTCTATTTTTTTGCATTAATTACTTCTAGGTAGGAGTGGTACTTTAAAATGACCAGGTGTCTTCAACGAACTCTCTGGTCTAGTGGATAGACACAACCTTCCGAGGTTGAAAGTGGAGGTTCAAACCCTGTCTAGAATAAGATGTTGTTAGGCTGTAGGATGATCCGAAACATGGGAAAATAGTGCTGGTTAATAGAACGAAAATGGGATTTCTATTACTCCGTTTTTCGAGAATGGAATGCGACACTTAGTATAAATTCAGAAAAATTCGCTCTCCGATGAGAAGGAGAGCGAAGAAAAAAAAAAGATAGGATCCCATGCAAAAAACCACTCTTAAAAAAACTAAGTCTTTTGCTCAAATTTTTTTATGACTCCCTGTGATCAGGGAGTTATTTTTTTAAATTTTGAAAAGTCAGGAAACCCAAGAGCAAACAGAACGCCCTAATCATCCCTTTCTTACTTCCAGGCACTCGTTCCTCAGTTCGACTTTCTGTCTTCCACATCCGCCGCGTACACCTGCCAAGTGTGTTGGCAGAGGGGCGAACCAAGGATCTTGTGCACCGGAGGTCATTGATGTCGAACTAAACGCCCAACATCGGCCAGTTGAGCTAACCGCTCATCATCGAAAACTCTATCGTTTTTGGCGTATTTGTTCATTTTTTTCAATGTAAAGCGAAAGAAAAGGAGAAGGTCTTGAACCTTGGATGGTCTTGAACCCGAGAAGGTGAGATCACTGCACCGGCATCTCTACCACTCGGCCAGACGGGTGAATTGGAAAACCGTTTAAAACATGTCAAGTGTTTCTCACAAAAGAACATTGCCTTCTTTTCTCTCGAGGCTCATATTTTATACTGTGTTTAACTTGTACTTCGTCGTTATCATTGCAACGGTGAAGAAAGGGACTTACTTTGCTAGCTGTCCAACTCAAACATTGCTGGAGAATAAATGTTATAACTGAATGGAGGAAGATTAATAAAGTATGCACAATGTCAGACATTGCCATGTGGTAAATCAAAACAAAAACGCGCATGTTCGTAGTCAATTTAATGGCGCTGGGAGTTTCTAACTTGTCAGTTCAAAGATAAATAACATATTTTTTACCATCATGCATGATAATATTGTAATGGTTTCTACAAAGGGGTATGGTTTCGTACAGAACAGTACCCACTTACTAATTCATAGTCTATTCAAGTCTTTTTGTCATTTTATAATCTTGCCATGTCTTGAGTGTCATCATTTAATATATAGTCAATGTAATCAATATAGCCAATGCGGTTTTTGTCTACATATGTGTCTACCTTCTTGTGTACCTTTCTGTCTACCTTAATGTGATTGTCTACCTTTTCATAGGACAAAGTTCTCATTTTGTTGAACAGGACAATTGAAAAATTAGTCATTTCATAGTCGAAAGTAGTCGAAGCAATCGAAGGTAGTCAATTCACGCGATGCCATGTGGTAAATCAGGGCAGTGACGAGCATGTCTTTAATTATTTTTTCCGATACAATGGCGTTGAGATCATTTGACGATCATTTGACTCATACAAAGACTATAGTTCACGCATTTTAACAAATTTTCACATTTTCTCATACAAAGACTATAATTCACGCATTTTAACAAAATTTCACATTTTTTCACACAAAGACTATAATTCACGCATTTCACAAAATTCCACACTTTTTTACGAAGATTATAGTTCACGCATTTTCACAAATTTTCACATTTTTTTCACACAAAGACTATAATTCACGCATTTTCACAATATTTCAAGCTTTTCACAAAAACACTATAATACATGCATAGAATTCAGTGAATTATAGTCTTTGTGTGAGAAAATGTGAAAATTTGTTAAAATGCATGAATTATAGTCTTTGTGTGAAAATGTGAAAATTTGTTAAAATGCATGAATTATAGTCTTTGTGTGAAAAAATGTGAAATTTTGCGTGAATTATAGTCTTTGTATGAGAAAATGTGAAAATTTGTTAAAATGCATGAATTATAGTCTTTGTATGAGTCAAATGATCGTCAAATGATCTCAACGCCATTGTATCGGAAAAATAATTAAAGACATGCTCGTCATTGCCCTGATTTACCACATGGCATCGCGTGAATTGACTACCTTCGATTGCTTCGACTACTTTCGACTATGAAATGACTAATTTTTCAATTGTCTTGTTCAACAAAATGAAACTTTGTCCTATAGGTGACAAGGTAGTGAACAAAGACAAGAAGGTAGACACAAATGTAGACAACAACCGCATTGGCTATATTGATTACATTGACTATATATTAAATGATGACACTCAAGACATGGCAAGATTATAAAATGACAAAAAGACTTGAATTGACTATGATTTAGTAAGTGGGTACTGTTCTGTAGGAACCATACGCTTTTGTAGAAACCATTACAATATTATCATGCATGATGGTAAAAAATATGTTATTTATCTTTGAACTGACAAGTTAGAAACTCCCAGCGCCATTAAATTGACTACGAACATGCGCGTTGTTGTTTTGATTCACCACATGGCAATGTCTAACATTGTGCATTCTTTATTGGTCTTCCTCCTTTCAGTTAAAACATTTATTCTCCAACAATGTTAGAGTTGAACAGCTCTAACGCGTAGTAAGTCTCTTTCTTCACCTTTGCAATGATGACAACGAAGAACAAGATAAACACCATATAAAATATGAGCCTCGAGAGAAATGAAGGCAATGTTGTTCTGTCAGAAGCACTTGACATGTTTTAACCGGTTTTCCCATTCACCTGTCTGGCCGAGTGGTAAAGATGCAGGTGCAGTGCTCTCATCTTCTCGGGTTCAAGACCATCCAAGGTTCAAGACCTTCTCCTTTTCTTTCGCTTTACATTGAAAAAAATGAACAAATACGCCAAAAAAGATAGAGCTTTCGATGATGAGCGGTTAGCTCAACTGGCCGATGTTGGGCGTTTAGTTCGACATCAATGACCTCCGGTGCACAAGATCCTTGGTTCGCCCCTCTGCCAACACACTTGGCAGGTGTACGCGGCGGATGTGGAAGACAGAAAGACGAACTGAGGAACGAGTGCCTGGAAGTAAGAAAGGGATGATTAGGGCGTTCTGTTTGCTCTTGGGTTTCCTGACTTTTCAAAATTTAAAAAAATAACTCCCTGATCACAGGGAGTCATAAAAATTTGAGCAAAAGACTTAAGAGTGGTTTTTTGCATGGGATCCTATCTTTTTTTTTTCTTCGCTCTCCTTCTCATCGGAGAGCGAATTTTTCTGAATTTATACTAAGTGTCGCATTCCATTCTCGAAAAACGGAGTAATAGAAATCTCATTTTCGCTGTAGTAACCAGCACTATTTTCCATGTTTCGGATCATCCTACAGCCTAACAACATCTTATTCTAGACAGGGTTTGAACCTCCACTTTCAACCTCGGAAGGTTGTGTCTATCCACTAGACCAGAGAGTTCGTTGAAGACACCTGGTCATTTTAAAGTACCACTCCTACCTAGAAGTAATTAATGCAAAAAAAAAGACCATTGAAGGTCTCGAATCAAAATTATCGCAGAACACTTCCAGCTAAAGATAAAGCAACAAACCAAAAATCATATTCGTAGTCAAATGTTGATATAAAGAGTGAAAGAATAGTACAAATAAATACATTTATATATTAATGTTAGTTTGGTAATACACTAGCAAAACATCTATAGTTATTTATGTCTTCTTTTGAAAAAGATAGAGACAAGTAAGTCTTTCAAAAGCAGCACGTTTTCTTACGGCTAAGCAATGCAGACTTCTTTCAGCTTTATTAATCCAATGGCACTTGTCGTAGTAAAATATGAGGATCACATATTTCTGGTTTGACGTTGGTGAAGGCTTTAAACCAGCCGATAACTTGTCTTCTTTTAGCTTTTATATAATATACATAGGAAATGAATTTTCCTATCGTTCCGATTTTGAGGTGTATTCTTTAGGAATGTCGATTTCACGAGTCATATCCAACATTTCAAAGGTTTATGACACTTATAACATATCACCGCATATTTGACAACGCAGCCATATTATCTTTAAACATTGTGTTGAGGAAATCGGATGTTGTAAGAAACCAACCGGCACAGTTTTCACGGCGCTCTTGTTTGTTGCGTTACGCTATCACTCAATTCCATATTATCAAATGCTTAGATTTCGTCCGGTATATCCATTGACATTTGGTTTGTTTGGTAGACGTCGTTAACTCGTAGTAATTCCGCTTTGATAGTTAATAATTTACGTTCAATCCACGTTGAGACTCCCGTCCAGTGACCGAATAATTCTCTCTTAACATAAACGTTTACGTGGTCTCGCCCTTTTATCCTTGCCATTGTACTTGCTGTTGCTGTTTCTGCTCAAATTTAGTCTAGGCAGATTTATAAGTGGAATTTATGATCATAAACGAAAACAGATTAATCCTACAGTACAGAATTTTCTGTCTTTATGACAATGATTATTCTTGCACCTGACTGGTTTTTCATTTATTGCTATTGTTGTTGTGAAGTTTGATTGTTAATCTTAACGGCTGAAAGTGTCAAGCTCCACGACATGCATAATTAACCTAATATTCACATCATCTCATCGAGAAATGCTTTAAAACTATCAACAGATTAAGATATTTGATTCTTTTCTATATACCGTAGATGACTTTACCGCAATTTTCTAAATTGTTTGGGTTCTCGTTAGTTGCCGACGTCATAGAAATGCCTTCCTCCAGCGAATGGACATGATCGTTGCCTGATAGTTCAAACAAATGCAGAATTCCATCAACTGATAAATTTGAAGAACTCGAAGTTTTTGCTGTATGAGCGTTCTTTTAGGGGCCGTGTGGCATCCATTGCTTTAGTGTCGTCAAAGCCATAAGATTGCCTGTCAGGAACAAATTTTACCTTCGATTGAAAAAGTTACATAATATCAAAATGTACAAAGAAAAACAAAACCTTTGTTGTTCCTTCTTCTCATTATTCTTCATTACATCTTTTTTGTCGTTTGACGTTTTTCGCATTTTAGCATTCTTGATTAAAAAAAAAATAATGAGTTTTGTAACCCCCTGAACATAGCATTTGAATAAATTTTACGATATACGAAAAGCCTTCACTCCAACCAAAAGTTTTACCTTCAACATTTCTTTCGCAGTTCTAAAAAATTCTTCTTCACTCATACAATATAAAGTTTGAAATCGTTGTTTCTTGCCAGCCTCCTTTATAAAAATACTGCGAAAGACATATTGAAGGTAAAAAACAGACTTTTTACAAGAATATTAGAGACAAATCAAAAGCATTTAGTTGTAAAGAAATAATCACTTATCGTCAGTTTTGTCACACGCCAACAGTACATTAATAATTTCTAGCCACTGGATCTATTTTCATACATGACATCAAGCAAATACGTCTGCAACATATTTGAAAACAGTTTTCCAGTTCCGATTTCTTTTGGCAGCCCCTATTATAATTTATTCGCATCATCCCCGTAAAACTAATTGTAAATTTTCTCACCGTCTTCCAAACATTTGAAAAAGTTGATTGTATCCTCTAATGCATCATGCTGTGTGGAGTGTAAGTTTCTTTGTTGTCGAGACGTAGTAGAGTAGCATTGTGCTTAAATATTTCACTTGATTTAGTTTCTCCCATCCTCGTGGTGTATCATTAGTGTAGTATGTCGAAAATATCGATTAATGGTTTTTCTTGCTACTGGCGAAACGTCTGCTTTCTTCTTGCTTACTTCGATTTCTCACTCCTCTGCCATTGCATGCATTGTTTTTCATCAACGTATTTACTGCTCTTTTTAATGCTTTTTAAGAAGTTTCTTCAAGGTCATAGATTCCATTTCTTGTTCAGTTGCACTCACAGATGTTGACGATGTTGATCTTTTAACAAGACTTTTAAATATATTGGAAATAAAATAAGACGACTTTTGGTAAGGAGCAGAATCAACGATTTTCTTTTTTATTTCGGTTAAGACACCAAATTTTCCTTGAACCACTTTTAATTTTTTGAATACGTTATACTTGTTGCATTTGTGTATCGTCTTGTACCGTCTTGAACGACATATGTTTACCATTACGCCTCGTAGTTCATGTGTGCTTAAAACTTGAAGTGAATAATATCTTTATCCATGGTATTTTGCATATCATCATGTATTTGTTCCGCATGATTGTTAAACATTCATTGTTCGTACTTGAACAAATTACTGGATGTCTATCCAATCTAATCCTAAAAACAAAGGTAGTGTTACAAAAGAAATATGTTCTCCCTTCATTAAATGTACGTAAAATGCAAATGACAATTGACCATTGTTCTATGCTATTATGCAAATGTTAAACAATAAAATTTATTCAGCCTATAAAATAAAACAAGCATTATCTTATTTACTTAGTCACAAAAACATTAAGATGTTGGTGACTTTATATTTTGCAGTTATTATTAACATTGAAGCGTGTTGGAAACGAGTGTATATCACTATGAATTTAAACCTTTGCTTCTACTTTTATGTCTACCTTTATGTCTACCTTTATACCTACCTTTGTGTCTACCTTTATGTCTACCTTTATGTCAACCTTTATACCTACCTTTGTGTCTACATTTATGTCTACCTTCATGTCTACCTTTATTTCTACATTTATGTCTACCTTTGTTTCTACCTTTTTGTCTACTTTTGTGTCTTCCTTTATGTCTACCTTTATGTCTACCTCTATGTCTACCTTCATGTCTACGTTTATGTCTACGTTTATGTCTACCTTTATGTCTACCTTTGTGTCTACCTTTATGTCTACCTTTATGTCTACCTCTATGTCTACCTATGTCTTTATGTCTACCTTTATGTCTTTTATGTCTATCTTTCTGTCTATGTTTATGTCTACCTTTATGTCTACCTTTATGTCTACTTCTATGTCTACATTTATGTCTACCTTTATGTCTACCTTTATGTCAACCTTTAGGTCTACCTTCATGTCTACCTTTATGTCTACGTTTATGTCTACCTTTATGTCTACCTTTATGTCTACCTTTGTGTCTACCTTTATGTCTACCTTTATGTCTACCTCTATGTCTACCTTTATGTCTACCTTTATGTCTACCTTTATGTCTACCTTTGTGTCTGCCTTTAGGTCTTCCTTTTTGTCTACCTTTGTGTCTTCCTTAATGTCTACATTTATGTCTACCTTTATGTCTACCTTTATACCTACCTTTGTGTCTACCTTTATGTCTACATTTATGTCTACCTTTGTTTCTACCTTTATGTAAACCTTTAGGTCTACCTTCATGTCTATCTTTATGTCTACCTTTATGTCTACCTTTATGTCTACTATTGTGTCTTCCTTTATGTCTACTTTTATGTCTACCTCTATGTCTACCTTTATGTCTACCTTTATGTCTACATTTGTGTGTACCTTTATGTCTACCTTTATGTCTACCTTTAGGTCTACCTTTATGTCTACCTTTATGTCTTCCTTTATGTCTACTTTTATGTCTATTTTATGTCTACCTTTGTGTCTACCTTTATGTCTACCTTTATGTCTACCTCTATGTCTACCTTTATGTCTACCTTTAGGAGTTTAGGTCTACCTTTATGTCTACCTTTATGTCTACCTTTATGTCTATCTTTATGTCTTCCTTTATGTCTACTTTTATGTCTATCTTTATGTCTACCTTTAGGTCTACCTTTATGTCTACCTTTATATCTTCCTTTATGTCTACTTTTATGTCTACCTTTATGTCTACCTTTGTGTCTACCTTTATGTCTACCTTTATGTCTACCTTTATATCTACCTTTGTGTCTACCTTTATGTCTACCTTTATACCTACCTTTGTGTCTACCTTTATGTCTACCTTTATGTCTACCTTTATGTCTACCTTTATGTCTACATTTATGTTTACCTTTGCTTCTACCTTCATGTCTACCTTTATGTCTACCTTTATGTCTACCTTTAGGTCTACCTTCATGTCTATCTTTGTGTATATCTTTATGTTTATCTTTATGACTATATTTTCTGCTTTTTTGTTTTTAGAGTAAAGTAAAGCTGTTCACAGTGACGCTTAGACATGGTTTCAATGTAAATGTTATTTACTCAATTTCACCAAGTTTGTCAGCTAATAGTTTTATATTATAATCATTTGAAATTGTTCAATAAGTATGCTACTTTAAATTGATACTTAAACCAACACTCTTTTTTGACAAACCCTCAAGTTATTCATAATTTACATTGATTATAAATAATATACTAAATTAGCACAGTGCTCTTTCCCAAGTTTTACAAACTACTTTTCTTTTTGATAAACTTGTAAAATAACTGCGATGATCAATAATCGAACCAAAAGGCTTCTTCTCAGCAAGCCAGGTAAAAGATTTATAAGAATTGATGTGATCACAGACTGAAGACGCAATGTCATTTAGTTGCAGCTATTCGGGGGAAATAGATGAAAATTTGTGCTCTTTGAACATGTTACAGGATGAGGATGAAAGTGAATCGTATGCAGTAATTCGACAAACAGACATTCTTCGTGGAATGACCTTCTTTTTGGTATAATCTTCGTTGTTATTATCTTCAACTGTGTCGTTTGGTACGTTGCTTAATGTTCTATCATTATATATACTCAGCGATCCATTATTAACACCTGTAGTCACCACGTTTTTGACGTCCTTTGATTTCTTAATGATTCCATCGGGGCTCAATGTTCTTGTGGGACTTTTATGTGTGTACGTTAAATGAAGCTAAAAACGAGAAAACCCAAATTACACGTTCAATTACACATCGTATCTACGTATATTAATACTAGTATATCATGAACAAAGGAATATATAATTGGCTGAGATGTAAAATATTACTGTAATACAATTGAACCTCTACTGACAGACAGCAGGTACCAAAGTTCTTGCTTACGGGAGGTTTGATTGTGTATAAAAAAACACGAAATTTACGAGGTTTGAATGAAAACTATACCTCAAAACATTTCTTAAAAATTAAAATTAGATGTATTAGATGTATGACATGGTAACTTGTGTTAGTACCTCCATAGGTCAACTTCTCATACCTCAAAACATTTCTTAAAAATTAAAATTAGATGTATTAGATGTATAACATGGTAACTTGTGTTAGTACCTCCATAGGTCAATTTCTCATACCTGTTCAGTAAGGATTGCATCTCCAAGGGGAATGGTACGATAGAAAGAAATAGCGTTCTCAACGTTATCAAAAACTCTTTCACCGATCTTTACGAATTGCAATTTTTTCAAAATCGGATGGTGACAAACGTACTTGCCTGTGCTAGAAAAAAACGTAAAAATGACCAATGTGAAGAAGTTTCAAATGTCAAACCTCCTGAAAAGGAGAAAATAAAACTTCAAACTCTGTTAAAAAAATTTTACGTTCGCAGAAACCTCTTCAAATTGACGATTTATGCTCTAAAAAACGTGTTCAAAATGACGATTAAACACAGTGGTGTACAAAACAAACATAGTTGGTTAGTTCGCCAGAAAGGTAGGTATCTATCATTATGTTGCATATTTGTAGATGTAAATCGTCAAAGGTTAGTACAGTCTGTACATAACCTGTCTTGAGAAGGACAGTTAATGTTTTCATCTCCTTTGTTCCGTTAACTGGGATATTTTAACAAGACGAAACAGAGGAAAAATAAATTATTGTGAGTCGACTTTCATGACGATTAAAAGCGATTTGACTGTACATGACGAGCTGGCTTGCTTTCTATTAAATCTAAATTTTCCTGTGCCATATTATACATCATAACAACCCATCATTATGTTGCATATTTAAAGATGTAAATCGTCAAAGGTCCTGAGGACTGTCAATGTTGGAGTTGACTGACATTTTGAAGGTCGACATCCTTAGCGGTAGTTACAATATTTAAAGAAACTTCAGCTCACACTGACACAAACAGTTCTTCTTAGAACTGTTTTGACATGGACGATAAACATGTACAAACATATAACAATATTTCTGGGTTCAAACCATTCACTTTATTACGACCATTACATTGTGTAAAATGCGGAACTGATACTTTAGAAAACAAAGCTTTGTGTGATGTCCTATCGAAAACAACTACGTGAACAAACCTCATTGATAAAAACATTTCGGATTCCATGTTGTGGGAGAAAACGAAAGTTCCCTCACATGCTTCTTGCAAAAGATAATCCGCTTCTTCTTGCGATATGCTGAAGGAATTCAATCTAAAGATTACATAAAGAAGATAATTGTTTTAGTAAAGTTTCTCATAAAAATGCCAACGCTTCTTATGATATGGCACAACATTCCTTCCGTTTCATCTAGTTTTCCGAGAATAAGAAGGTAAAGCAAGCAAAACCTTGTCAAAAGGATAGAGCACATACAGGCAGGAATGAAAGTTAGTGAAAAGTCTTAAACACATTTATCACGTGATCATTTACAGTAGATGAATACTACTGCCGTATTTTTAAAAGGCTTTCGATTTCAATATTTATCACGTGATCATTTACAGTAGATGAATACTACTGCCGTATTTTCAAAGGCTTTCGATTTCAACATCGGTCAGACGTTTACCTTTTTATCGGCGTGTTGTGAATTAATATGAACATTTGCACCATGTGGAGTTAATGAAAATTACATTATGTTTATCATCATCGTTTGGATGTGAACATTTACATGTCTAACCCAAACAAAGTTTTTGTCAGTGATGTTCTTAATTGTTTTATCAAGAATCTATAGTCGCAATAACATAAGATATTTTTCCCTTCCGATATTATCTACATTTTGCAATTTTGTCAAGTCTACACAAATCAAGAATTTCTGTGCAACAATAGCTGCTCATTAGGAAGCAGGTCACAAATTGCCAAATTTAATTGAAAAACTTGTCTTTACGACGCAGGTGTTAGTGTAATAGAGTTACTAGATATAAGCTTAAGATCAATAAGGAATTGTAAACACCAAGACATTTCATATCTATTTATAAAGTCTTTAAAATGATATAGATGAATTGATGAACTGTTAGTTGAACATACTAAGATCGATAATATTCAGGATTATGTACATGAAATAAGTGATTATCAGACTTGCAATGAAAACGATTCGGTGCTTAATTTTCAATGCAATCTAAGAGATCATACTCTTGTTATTTATGATTCACGAACAAATGCACATAAAGTATTTGAATGATCTTTACAATATGGCACTTACAACGTAGTGTCGATATTTGATCTTATAACGTTCTTGCTTTTGCTTCTGACGTCGGGTTTTATTGGTGAATTGTCTGTTCTTAAACGAATTGACGAATCTCTCACTCGAACAGAACAAGCGGTGCCCATGTTAAGGCTAGGTAGGCAAGACAAATATCGTTTATGGAAACCATCTTGTATGTACTTTATCCAAACACATCTGGTACATGGGAATAACTCAAGATGACGATTTCAAAAAAAAAATGATTCAAGAAACGTTAGCTAAATTATAATTGCGTAATTAAACGACTTTGTTTCGCGTTGAATTTCATCAAAAACCGTCGAATTTGACCTTTCATTTGTTCACAAAGCTTGAAACTAATTATTTATTTTACGTATTTAAAAATTTTTTTGTCACCAAAACAATGACATAGAAACAGAATTGCTCTCAAACTCTACGTGCATAAGCCAATGAGAAGGCGATGCACTCGTTAATATTAGCTGCATTTTGTGTCGATATAAATATTAATTAAATGAATGATTTTGGCACGTCGGCCAGCAATACATTGCATAAAGTACAAGCTAAGCACTGTGCCCTTGATCAAGAAAATTAACACATATGCTGAAATTGAAATTGGTTACTTTACATACGTGGTTTCAGGAAGATATTTGAAATGTTTTGCTTTATAGCAATCATTATAATCGTTGATCGATATTGTGGAACCATTTAACGATAATTTACATAGCAAAGAAAATTGGAGCATGGAAGAGGAATTGATTATCGTTTGGCCAAGTCTTGCAGACAATGACGAAAAAATGTCTCAAAACAAAAGGGAAATACGCATAAAATTTTCCTTAACCCACAGCAAAAACATGTAACGTACAAAAATCGAAGAGTTTTCAAAGAATTGAAGAAAACATGCACAAATGTTTTAATCTTGACACTCGTAAATAATTTATTCGCTCATTTTTTATGTAAAACATTTTCAAAGCTTCACACACATTGATGCAAAGCAATGATGTATATAAGTGCGTGTAAAATTGCTAAAAGGATTGAATAAAATGAAAAAGTAAGCGCACATTGTTACATGGCCTGTGTGATTGTCGAGGACATGACCGAGTAACGAGGACTTAAATTTCACACAAGAAAACCAAATTAAGCCAACATTTAGCAGGACAAAAATAATTACAGCTAAGTTTAAAAAGTTTACATGTTCTTAAACTTATTCAGAGTGAGCTTATTCAACTTTCACTTTTCGTTGCAAACATATATCATTGAAAAATCAAACCATTTAAAGGTTAGTCTACTTTTATTAGCCAGAGTAATATCACCATGATTTTATATGAGTTTACTATATAAGTTTTATTAATATATTCACCTAGAAAGTAAGATTCTGTGAGATAAATCTTGGATACAAAGCATGTTCCGTATTGAATGACTGTAACAAAAAAAAACAATGTGAAATGTTAATTAATGTTTGTGAAATGTACCAAGCGTAATCAGCAAATGCTTGGTACAGTGTTGTAGCTGTCCACAGTTAATAAAGCATCTGACAAATTATGTTAATAATATACTTATGACTATCGTGAATACGAATGTGAAAAATATCGCTCAAAAAAGTTGCTGAATAGAAGTGAAAAGCTGTGTAAACAATTTTCTTCAAACAATCTTTCAAGAATTTTTTTAAGCTGTGTCCAATCCCTGTTAAATGAAGTTTTCCGTCATTGAGTGTACGTAAGGCGTACCTATTTTTCTAATTCTACAATACAACTCTAAGTCTGACATCCCTATAATTGACGACGTGTTTGGCAAGGCTTCAAAAACTCGTCATTGAAACACAAGATATCCTTCAATGAGCTCAATAAGAATGGAGATTTAACAATTCAACGATTAAATAATATAACATCAACACCGATACAAAGATCATTATCTTAATTTGCAACATGCCATCTCCATAAAAGTGCATTGCAAGCTGTAAGAGAAAGTTGCATTCAGTATTAATGCCTAGACAGTCACGTGTATGCAAGCATTATCGATGATGAAAGAAATAAAACGTTTCATACGGTCATTATGATATATGATATGGTACTTGTAGAAAATCTTTACGATCACAGAAAATAAACATTGCTTAAAGGATTATGTGCATAATTATGAGACAGTCTCCGGGAGTCGTGGGCTCCTTATCATATGACTGTTCTTAATACTGACACGTTTTTCATATAAAAGTTACAGCAAATACAACATTCGCAAATATTTAATTATATATTTTATGTTTTCATAGTGCACGAAGACGATAGCCGTTCAAACATGGAGAATATCACACGCAGATGTGACGACCGTTATGATAATACGCAATGTTTCTGCGCATGCTGTGTCAATTAAAACTTCGCCATAGGTAAAAAAAGATGGTTTTAAATGCAGATTACGACAACATCCATTGGCAAGCAGGAAGCACAACAATTATAGTGTAATGTGATATATTTGCTGCTATATTCCGAGATAAGATTTTTCCGTAAAGGATATTTTAAGTCAAAGCGAGGAACTCAAAGAAACCATTTACTTCAACCAAAGTTTGCTTTACAAATAATCATTGTGTTGGTAACATTTTCTAAATCATCGCAGCCTCCAGGACGACAGGTTTACGCGATTTTCTGTCACCAGATAAGATCATCATCTCAAAAATCTGTCGATCAAAGCATCGAATACGTGAGACATCCTCAGTTTCCTTCACAGTTCAACGAAAGTTAACAAAAAATGACCAATCTTCATCGTAGTTTGGCTGTCTTTAACTGGGCGTCACAAAAAGCCGAAAAAGATCTAACAAACACAGTTAGTAAAGTAAAGCTGAAGGAGGAATATGAAATTCAAGAAGAGATCGGCAGAGGTAAGAAGTAGACGAGATATATCTATAGTCGTTCTCAAGAATGCAAGTGTAATCCCTGAACGCGATAAAGCTCGCGTGTAACTCACAATATGAACCTTAATCAAGCCAAAAATCTAAGATTGAACTGAACGCTTATAATAGGAAGAGCGAGGAAAATGTCGTACAAATGCATGTTGTGCAATACAATTTATAGTTTTGTCAAAAGCTATAATGTATAAACAGCCATTTTGTGGCCAAGTTATCAGTTTCTTGAGAAGTTGAATGGTTGTATTGAGTTAGTCAACCAACAAGAAGCAATACATGACGATTAAATGTAAATGTTTATTTTAAATATAAACAACAGGTAAACGGTTGAATTATAGAGCTTGCTTTCATCTCCTTTGTTCCGTTAACTGGGATATTTCAACAGGACGAAACAGAAGAAAAATAAATTATTGTGAATCGCCATTCATGACCATTAAAAGCGATTTGACTGTACATGACGAGCTGGCTTGCTTTCTATTAAATCTAAATTTTCTTGATATCATATTATACATAACGGGTCACTAATGAGTATAGCTGTGAACTGTCATTACCTGGGGTACATTAAAGTGATTCCTTTTGCAATAAATTCATCAAAAATACAGTTATTCTGGATTATTCATTGGTGAATGATAAATGAACAACGCTACAAGTTACAATCATTTGTCCGAATATTTGACGTGAACGAAAAACAGCTGTGTTTGACATATTTAATGCGGGTTTTTTCTCATTAATTTACAGCTCAGATTCCGTAATAAGCAGACTAATAAATTACATTAAGACGATCGACATCTCCAACCAGCAACTCTTTATTGTCTTATTATTATAATATAGGTACGAACCATTATGACTACAATAGTATTTTATGACGGCATTTCTTAATATTTTGTATTGCTTCTATGAGCCGAATTATCGTGACATTTAGCGGCGTCATAAGTTAATTTACCATGAAAGATAAACATCGCCGAGGTTTGGAATTCGGAGATGTTTGAGATACATATTTAAAGCTTCTTTAAAATAAACACAAATGTAAATATTGTTTCAAAAACTGAGCCGATGAAGTCAGATTTCAAAGTTAATCATCTTTGTCGGTAAAGAGTTTTATTTATAAAAGGCTACAGTCATATCCAATTATGAAACAATCATCGCAATCATAAGATAAGGCCTCTGAACAAGAATTGAACAAAAAGTCAAATACATTTGACAGAGAGTTGTGATAGCTGTAAAACTATTGTTCTTTCTCTATTTAAATCACAAAATGTGATGTCCAAAATAAGTCATTCATTGGCTTCAACCCAATCCGAGGTTTTGACCCGAAGGATAATTGAATGAAGCAATTTATTGAAGAAGGCATTATTCCTATTCAACAAATAGATCTATTAATTTCTTGTTGAAAATGTCTTTCCTACATTCATTTCATTTCTATAGGGGCGTTTGGCATTGTCAAAAAATGCAAACGACGGAAAGACAAAGCAATGTTTGCGATCAAGGTCATCCTTTTTAAAGATCCAAAACTGCTCAGTGAGATAAAGCGTGAGGTTGAAATGATGAGACGACTAGAACACGAGCATCTCGTAAGCCTATACGAAGTTTATGAAAGTGCAGGCAGCTACGGTATGCTCATGGATTATGTAGAGGGGGGCGAACTGTTCGAGAGAATCATCGAGAAAGAATACTTGGAAGAAAAAGAAGCAGTTGAGTATCTACACCAATTGATTCAAGGTCTTCAGCACATGCACAGTCGAAATATTGTTCATCTCGATATAAAACCAGAGAATATTCTGTGCGTCAACGCAACGTCCAACCGCATCAAGCTGATAGATTTCGGTTTGGCACGAGAACTGAAGCCAGGTGAAGTCACGCGGTGTGCTCTTGGAACACCGGATTTTGTCGCCCCGGAGGCGATTTCATTTAACGAAATCAAACTACAAACTGATATGTGGAGCACGGGCGTGCTTACGTACGTTTTGCTCAGCGGTCTGATGCCTTTTGCCGGAGAAGATGACAACGAAACTTTATGTAACATTGCAAACTTGGATTGGGAGTTTGACAAAGAGTCTTTCGAGGAAATCTCTGCAGACGCACGTGACTTTATTCAAAAACTGCTCACGTTAAGTCCTGATGAAAGAATGAATTCAGATGAAGCGTTGCAGCATCCTTGGATGAAAGCAAATGAAGATAGAGCTGGAAAAATCAACACAAAACGACATCGAGCATTCTTGGCAAGAAGACGTTGGATGAAGTCCGTGAACGCCGTGATGGCAGTGACGAAACTCTACCGAATATTAAACAAATCAGAAAACGGAAGATCGCGTAGCAATTCATCATTGAGCCAATCAGGAGAAGGAAAATCATCGCAACAAGAGCCTCGGTTTCTTAACGTAAATGAACAAGGAGATGGCTCGTCGTTAGTTGAAAAAAATTCTGTGGCTAAATCAAATGTTTTGAAAAACGACCAAAACAATAATTTTAGCGATTCGTCGTCTGAAAAAATCCCAATAAAGACATATGATGTTAAACCCATAGTGACCACGTTAGGTGAGAAACAGAACAATGCAATTGCTGCAATACAAAACGAAAACGTAGTGTCTCAAACGCAAAGCAAGAATGGCAATGTAATTAAGAGGAGCCACAACGTTGAGACAAGATCAAATGGTACGAGTACAAACGAATCTTCCAGTAGCAAACCGGTAAATGTTGCCTTCACGAGTTCTAATAAAAGCGGAGAAAGAGTCGTGTGGAAAGTATTTAAATAAAACGTGCCTTCCTTTATTTAGTCCTATTCATTCGCCAATATTGTATGGCTAATTATATTAATAATATTTAAGTCATTGCCAACTGATCAACAACATAGTGTTGATGACTTTAAGAAGGCGAATGTTTACCATGCGAACACAACCAATAGAAGCAGATCTCTGTTAACCTAAATCCAGTAACATCTTTTTGAAATAGCACTTATGAAGAAGTTGATTGTATGTATTAGAAGAAAAGCAAATTGGTATACTTTATAGTAAAGCACTAGCAAAGCACTGTTCATCTTATCAAAAAAACATCACGTGACTGCAAAACAAAAAAAAGTTGTTTATCTTTACGTACGTTAAATTGTTAAGTTTATATATACGTCATGTTACTTTGCCTTTTAAATTTTAAATCTTTTTTATAAAGTTCATATTAATAACAATAAAATTCATATAAAGATCACTGGAATTATGAACATCATATTATACAAACCATCGAAAAAGTGCATTTTAAAGGCTGGGACTTGTTCAAAGCGTTGGTTTAAACTTTCAACAAGTGCTAAGGGTTTAATAAATCAGGCTTTTGAGTAACTGTTTGCTTTCACATTGACAAACAAATTTTTGATGACTTATGCAGATATGAAGAACCTACGAAGGGTAATTTAAATGAAATGAAGTGAATAAAAAGGATGGGAGACATTAACGAATAATTCCTGTAACTTATGAATTCTTTAAAACTCACGTTTCTTTATTGTATTGTTCTAAAACATTTCAAAAACTACATTTGTCTTGCAAAAGATTGTGTATCATAAACTTTCAAATTGTACATACACATTGTTGATGTCATCTTATATAAAAAGAAATGTCTCTAACATTCTCAGGACAACAATTTGACAATATTGCTTCAGTCAATCCAGGAAGAGATTTTTTTCATGATAGGGTAGAACTTCAGCGATCGCTTCAGATCTGCATCTTTTCATCGAAGGAAGATATTCCCAGGCATAATGTCCCATTTGAAGACATTCCACAGAACTAAGTGGTGTACCTTCAATACTCCGTCCACCCATGACAACAACTGTATCGTAGATAATAACAGCACAACACCAACATCTCTTCTCTAACATCGATGGTAAAATTGTGATCTTACCCGTTCTACAGTCATACATGAACACGTTATTCATAGCGTTTTCGTCATCATCACAGCCACCAATAAAAATAACCTGATCTTTCCAGCGAACTGTAGCCATTCCTGTAAGCGGATGTGGTAACGATGGCATTTCCTCAAGGGACATCGTCACTAGATCAAACAATAAAACAGAATCCAAAGCATTTTGTCTTCATCTTGTCCTCCGAAAATCAGAATTTTATTTCCAAAAACTTCAGCTGAGTGATTTTGTCTAGACTCATACATGAGACATATCTCTTCCAGTTGGTACCATGGTGAAATATGTAATTTGCAGATCAGGTCAGAAACTGTGCGTTCATCACGATTATATCCTCCAATATGAAAAATATTACCTTTGTGAACAACAATTTGACTATTAAAATTATTTCAGGCATCTCATCATCTTTCACCCATGTCAATGGCAGTTCTTTCAGATTCAGTATTTCTATTGATTTGCAGTTAAATCCACCAACAACAAACAACTGATCATCGTGTATAAATGAGGACGATCCGGAATGCTTGTCATTCATGGATGCAATTTCAATCCATTCTTTTCTTTTCCATGAAAATATTTCGGATGTGCAAGAAGAGAAATCTTTTATAAAACTACCAGCAATCAAAATATCTTTTCGTAATGGTGGTAACATTTCCTCAGCTGGCGATGGCAGCTTTTTATTAAATTGATCAACAAAACTCATCTTCTCCAACATTTTTGCCATGAAGTCTTTGATTTCCTCGACATCTTTAGTCAAAGAAGAAAGATTTTTTTGAACATTTTTATTTCCCGCTTCATTTCCATGATGTCTTTTTTGGTTTCCTGTTGACCTCGATCATGGTGAGCTCTTTCATCGTTGAGTTTCTCATGCAAATTTTCATTATATTTCTCAAATTGTTCCTTTAACCCGCGATCAATGTGTTCCATAAAGGTTGCCATTTTTCCATCATGATCCTTTAGATCTTCCTGTAAAATTGCAACATCCTTTCGAAATACTGTCTTCCTATATTCGCATTGCTGGGTTTCGTGTTGGATCCTATCTTTTTTGTTTATTACTTGGCCACAATTTACATTGGAACATAAAACCGGAGCAAAACCACAATTTGAAACATGATCTTGAAGATCTTCAACTTTCGTGAATTCGGGACAACCTCGATCAGAATAATCACAACTTATCTTCAACTTTGACAAATAGTTGTCTACAATACGCGGTCGACGAAGTGTTTTGATCGTCAATCTCTCCTGACACTCTGGACATCTCTGAGAATTTACTCTTAAATGTTTTTTGATACAATCATGACAGTAAATGTGATCATTGTTCTGACAAGTTCTAGGTTCCCTTGCAACATTTAAACAAATTGAACAGCGGAAGATATCGTCGACAACGCTTTGAAATCTTGAATATTCATAGCCAGAAATTTCACTCGGTCGAACAGCCATAAATTTTTTACTATTTATGTCAACTAGATTTTTATTACTGTTACAAATTACAATAATATTAGATTCTAACTTTCCTTAATTATGTGCAACTGCCGAACGTCGAATTTGTAGTTCTACAAACAACGATCAACGAAACGTCACCACACGACAGCATTGAGGCATAGAATAGAGAATAGAGAATTCTCTATTCTATGATTGAGAATCTCTTGATCACGCATTGATCACGAGAATCTTTATTTCGAAAAGAACTCATGCAGCGACATCCAGCTGTGAATATAATGCATAACGACGTGCAAAACATATCATCTTCAATAAACTTATGTTCTAGGTCAATCTAATTATCTAACTATACCAAATCAAAACTACGTGATGTTGGTGGGCAGTTGACTTACTCAGTAATTTTTCATTAAATAGCAATAAAACAGATAAGGTAACGTTGTTGAAAGTTACTGTGAGTTCCAAATAATGCCGTTCATAATTATAGATGCATGTATCAAACACTTTATCAACGAAAAATAAAACAAGGAAATGAAGGATTCACTACAGTATTTATATTTATTACTAACATTTACTATGCTTTACTATTATTACATATGTGTATTTATTATAGTATACGATTATTACTAATATTTAATAAAGTATATCATTATTTTGATCTTTTGAAAGAGCATCGAACATTGTTAGTCATTCATTGGACACATTTTAACTGTAGTTAGTAAGACTCATTCGTGCTTTTCGTGTGTTTCTCAACTCGAGATCAGTAAGTTCCATAGATGCTCCTACTTTACCACAACTATCCCTTGTTGCAGAATTGCAATACATCGCGATTAATTGCGACTACGCCAGTCGTGGATGACATAAAATCATCTTCGACTGACGTAAGCGCAATTAATCTTTAACGTTGACAACAGTTGTCTTCAACCTCTCTTCGAAGTCAAGACATCTCTGACTGTTACCGTTTTTAATGTTCTTTAATACGATAATGACGGTAAATGACACCATCCCTTGACAAGTTCTAGTCTCCTTGCGACATTCAAAGAAAGTGAACAGCGAAGATATTGTCGATGACGCTTTTGAATATTCATAAACATCCATATTTAATTCAAGGAATAGATTCTCCATGATACTTTTGTGGTGTTTTACGTTTATGATTTGAAAAGAAGCTTTGAAATGGTTGCAAAAAAAGTTCGAAGAAGCACCAAATAATGTACACATTTTGCCAAATTTTCATTTCCAAAATGACAGTTGAAATCAGTTATGAGAATGAATGGAGTTTCATTGATTGTGAAAGAATCAACCACTTTCATTTCAATTTCTTTGTCATTTATTCATTGCAAATTGTTGATGGTATGACAACTCAAAGTTTAAAATTACAACATATTTTTCCAACAACTGAATTTGTAATGTCAAAATAATATATTGAAGTATGTATCCAATTATACATGAAAAATTCCTCTGACTAAATACAGATATTACAACATCCATATACTAATATCCACACCAAACATAAAATTTCTTTTCCAAGCAAAAGATTTTGAGCACCAATTACTTTTCATGACACTTTTGACGCATGCGCTGCTTTCCCAAGTCAAAGAAAGGAAACGAAAAGCATAGAAATAAACAGCCACAATTGACCAGATTGGAAGGATGCACAGCTGCAGATCTGGAATTTCCCGAGGTCTTCAAACTAAAGTCAGTCTTACTCGTTGGTGACTTAGCTATTACAGAAGTAAAGTAAAGAAATACATTTCGTGTAGTTTGAAATGTTATCAAGCCAGCAAAAAAATCATAAAAACGACAAACGATAAACTACGACTAACTAGTCTATCATCACATAATATGACCATGCACTTCTATCAACCATTACATTACTTTAAATGAATGTAATATCGGGTACAGCCTCTTTCATGAGCAAAAGTGTTACTGGTGAATATAGCGTACGTCAAAACATACTATTGCAGGAAATAGCCAAAACTAGGATGTATATATGCACCGATATTCCCACTTCAAAAAAATCTTTCTCTCTATCGAATTCTGACCACGTGCAATAACTGCAATATGAAAGCTAATACTGTCATGCAATAAAACTTGTAAAGTTTAAAAAGGAAAACTTACAGGCTATAAAGTCTCTCAATTTCTTTTGCTCGGATAAAACAGTTTCATAATATGCTGTGTTGATTTCAAATTGAGTGAGTTGCCTGGGCCAATAGGCGAGATGAGAAATGCCTAAATGTCCATAATTGTTTAGTTGGGAAATGTCGTTTGGTCTGCCAATTGACCATCCAAGATTAGATTCCAGTTTCGTAAATATCTCATTGATTTTAGGTTGGCTTTTTCCCTTCTCTTTACCGTTTATGTAGAAAATGATTCCTGTTATTAAATATAAGAAATCCAACGTAAAATAATTCTTGAAAAACATCAACGTCGAAATAAAATTTCATTCCACTTTTCGTTAACCAAATTGATTTTCTAATAAATACAATCAGAGTTAAACCTTCCCACTCCTCTATTGTGGAGAAAGGTTATAAAAACTAAAGGTTAAGTGTTTCAAGTCAATCATTATAAATGAAATAGCATCACATCTCTCCCTAATAAGTCTTATTTTTTTGGTAGTCAAGTGACTTCTGGAGAGGCTAATGATCGAACCCAAGGAATAATATATTATACCAACGTCAAGAGACCATACAAAGGCGACATGTACCCAGCGTCCTGAAATTAACTTCGACTTCAAAATCCACGAATGAGTAAATGTAGAGACTTTAATCAAAAACCAATCGTTTTCAAACGTAAACTTGATACCAGGCCCTCTGCTATTCCGATACATGCCCGTGCACAACAAAAATTTGCCGCCCAAGTGTTTTAACCATAAAACGACGGTGAATCCGTGTGGACATTTTGATGTTGTCGTACATTCGTCATTCTTCATCGGTTCTATGTGGGTTTTATATAAACTATTTTTCAAACATCACGAAGTCTTTCAATTCATCAATTCCAAATTCGAAAACAAGACAGAGTAATTGATGAAGTACTCGAAAACAAATCCAGATTAAAGAATATAAATTAGACATACAACAAAGGTAAGAATAAGGGAAAGCAAAAACAGAAGCAAGATTCTTCTTGATTCCTTCTTCTATTGAAGTTTTGCATTTCACTCAGGGAATGAAATCAACCTAATTTAAAGTTTTCGCTTCAGTTACTAAGGGCTATACACTTAATCACTGCAATAAAAATTGGATAGTACAAAAAGCAGATGCTTGTCATGGGATGAAAATAATTTAGAAGAATCCTAATCCATGTTTTAATCCCTAATGCGTGTGCTCAGTCTCCCCATAACGTATATTTATACTCCACGAACCTAAATCAATCCAATCGTCAGTACCATCCAACATTATTGCTGCACCAAATATCTTGGTCTCGTTAAGTATGGCTGCATCTATGATAGAGGCGTGTATGGATGATTTTGTATCAACGCTCGTGTTGTTAACAATCTTTTGCAATGGCCAGTAATGTTTTGCATTCTCATAAATTGATACATAATCTTTATCTACAATGAGACCTATGTTCAAAGGTAAAGAAATATAAGTACAAAGTGGCCTGCCATGTCTCTTGGCCTTTTTTCACAGAAATGGAAATTTTACAAAAACAACAATGGAAGAGCATGAAGAGTATTTTCACAAAGTAAGGTTGGTGAAAAATGAAAAATCGTCTTGTCAGTTTATAGCTGTCTCTATTGTAAAATCATTGCTTCATCGAGCTCAATTTTAGTTTTACTAAATGTGCCAGTAAACCATATTAACCATATAGTCTTTCCAAACAGTCTCTAGCTTCCAGTACATACACGTTTTAAATTGGTGATTGGAGAGAGTTTAACTTTGAAAATGTCGATTCTACGTGACATAGACATGAACAATGCTGGCATACAACAATAGTTGCCTCGGTAAATTATACACATCCTTCAATGCTCCAAGCATGCCAAGGGACAAATATATAAAATATTATCTCTGCGCATGTAAATACCAGTATATTGAATATCAGATTAAACCAAACGCCATATAAGTTACTTAACATGCCCTAGACATATGTCACATAGAAAAAATTTTGTGAAAACAAAGTTTGAGCGTTGAAAATCTTCCAAAATGATTGGCCGAATAAATATCGAAAAGATTGCAGTCTTATCCTATTACTTTATTAAAAGGAATAAAAATTTTCCTCTCAAAAATTATATAATAAATAGAAAAGTTCATGATAAGTGAAGGACAGTACAAAAGCAGTGAATTCATGCAGTGTGAAATTACGAAAGTACATTTTTTTCAAAACTGTGCTCGTAATATAAATAAATGGGATATCTGGTCAGATTGAACACGAAAGTGATGAGTAAACTGTTGTTAAATATGTTGAAAAGGAAATAAAATCAAGAAAACTCTTATACATCTAGTCAGTTAATCTGAATTAAAAATTTATTTTACTTACTAAAACATTTAGTGAAAAACGTGAATAAGCAAAGAAAAACTAGAGCTTTTCTCACAGAACTCTTCACTCGCGTTGCCATTTCCATTATAAGTGATTTATGAAACAATTTCTAGCATTCATTAATTATTGAAAAAGTCAGAAAACGAAAATTTATTGGACAACCGTAACAAAAAAACATAAACTCACACTATTTGGCAATTTGAAATAACTGCAGAATTGCTAATTAATATATCGCAATAACGAAACAAATTTATCTTTTGTCTGCAAGGTTTACCACAAATTGAATGTGGCGTTTAACGAAGGATACATGAATTAAGTAAGTGTGTGCGCATAAGTTTAAATGCTCTGGTCTGACCACAAATATTGTGGTGAAAAAGGATCATATTTAAATAAAATTCTATAAAAGAATGACTGTATACAGTACGAGTTTTAATGTTTTTGAAAGAAAAGCTAACACACACACTATAAAATTGTCTGTTTCATTTTTGAATCCATATTGATGGAACCGAGAGTGATTTCTTACGTTCTAAAAAGATAATTTGCAAATTATCTATTGAAAAATCTTTATTCAGTCTCGTTTCATACAAAGAACGTTTTTCTACGACGATATTGTCGGCAACAAAACAAGGTGGGCGCCTTGATTTTTTGGCAAGTAAGACGTAATTGGAATGGGGGAGGGGTATATTTATATATTCAATTGGGCTCGACTAATTTCTTTTGAAAGCCAATTCACCAACAAAAGAAATCTGTCGGGCACAACTGAATATATGAAGATACACAACCCAATCAACGTTCTAAACATACTTCTGGATGTAAGTACAAATATTTCTCATTAACTACATCCGTTTGTCAACAATTTTTAACTGAGTTCAAAAAAAAACAAAGTATTATGTTTGCATGATAATGTTAAACGTCTTCTCTTCCCAGAAAAAAAATATCACAGTTTGAAACCACTTTATTCTGCCAAGGATGACGTGAAGGTTCATGACGAATGAATGGTATCCGTGGGAGGTGAATAACAAGATAATTGATTTTTTTAACCCTTAAAGACGAAGAGTAAAATTTTTTTCTTCAATGCATCAACCGTAACCTACGATGCAACTTAAACGTCATTCTTATGAAATTAAAGAAATTGCGAGTAATTTATGACTACAGACGATATTGGAGATTTTAATTACGTTAGTAGCACCCTCAAAGCAAACACATTGATCCATCGCACGAAGAAAGAAACATTCCACAGAAGATAATCTAGGAAAGTATAACCAGTTAAGGTAGGATACAACAATGTCATGTTTACTTGACTTAATGTTCTTGGATTGTTAAAATCATCGACAGTCACCTAAAGTGAGCAGAAATTTATGGTGAACTTCACACGATAAGTTTGCTATGTTAAATTTATAAGTGTCTGTTTTACTTGCAAAAAGCAAAGCTGTCGTATAACATCATTTTGCATACTGAATATAAGTATGATTTCATCTCAAACTGAAAATAATCTAATTTAGGTGCAAAGAGATCTTTAATAGTGAAGCAACAAGTGAAAACCTAAATAAACGTCTGATTTAGTCCCTTAGCATCATTTTTTCCACTTGAATTATGTCTGACATACAAGAACGTCTAGTTTTGCCTAGGGAAAATTGAACAAAATGATTCATTGCTGCATCAAACTGTTCATCTTTGTTATTGCGATCTGGTACGTGGTAGCTCGGCCTGATTTTGACTTAGAAGCAGCTGAAGCTGAGATAAGGACCGAATATGCAGAAAAAGTAGACGACAATGCAGAGAAAATGGACCAAACGAAATCAAAACTCGCTTTTCGCCCCTTAATTGTCCAAAACAAGTCAAAACTCATCCCACCGACGTCAGTTGTTGCATCAATAGGACCGACAATAGTATGTATACAAACAGACAACACATAGTCCTTGAAAGTGTAAGAATTGTTGATGGATGAGAAAGTCAACCATGCTTGTTTTCGTCTGTGTTCTTTAGAAATGTCCATTCAATTGCAATCATTTGTGTATCACCCAAAACGGAAATTATTACGTTTGTAGCCTGACACTTGACAAATGCTGCGACAACGCATGTTCAGACTACCAGAAATGTATCCTATTGGGGCTTAAACCGTGGCTCTGTCATGTCATAACATTTGAAAAAATTTGCAAATGTCGAGGATTGAAACGCTAAATTCGACATCACTCCATGTAATAATACACAAAATTAATTTGAAGATTAACTTTGTAGTACACGTATAAAACACGTGTAAAATATGTGTCATTTATGTCAATAAACATATATGGTTGCTTAAATGCCTATTGTACATCATTCTTTAGCAATGTTGATAAAGTAAACGGTATTACCTTTTCCTTTAAAGACTTAAAAACGCTGCTGCTAAAAGACCTTCCATTTCAAAAAAGCACATTATCTCTCTGAATAGCAACAGTGTTCATATGCAATATTATTGTCATTACATCATACATGCATTAAAAGATCTAACTCAGTTAACAGGTAACCATCTTGATGAATGACGTGTTCAAAAGAATACTTTCAGATGTTGTCACAAAAATGACAGAAAAATTCGTTCTTTTATTTAACATATGACAATAATGATACATAAAATGGCGATAAGAAATTGTCAACTGACTAACATGAACGTACACAAAACCATCGAACCAAGGGAAGAACGAAAATTTTGTGCAGTTTTGTTTGTATACGGGTTAAATATAGCAACAATGTATCAATGCAATCACAAAACATATGAAATTATCTAAAATACACACACCGACCAAGTTCACTTATTGTTCCAAATAATTGTGTGCTGTTTGATAAAAAAAAATATTATGTAAATGTACCAGCAGAATTTATACATATTTTGAATGCACTAGAAAAGAAAATCTTTTCCTCACTTACGCTCAGACCTTTCTTCATTTACAACTACATCGCATAATCTTAGTATTTTCATAAATCAATCAGAGAGAAGAAAGAAAAAAAAGTAAACAATTGCTTTTCCATGTATAAAGACTTGTAACATTCAAAAAAAGGTCGTTAATAGTTTGTCTTTCTTTCATCAGCATTCATTTGGTATATTTTAAGTAACTTTTTAATTGAAAAATTTATAAATAACAATTATCGATAGATGAATTTTTTAAAAACAAAATTCTAATGCACAGCAGGGCGTTAAAAGTTAAGGCTGATGAGCTTGTGCACAATTGAGTAACATTCAGTCTTAGCTAGTTGTCTCGTTTGATGCAAAAGAACATTCTTCGATATACGATATTGTGGCGAAAAAACAAAGTGGGCTATTTCATTGTTTCAAAGGGATGTTTGTAAATCAAAAATAAAGAAAACAAAGTCCTTAGAAACCAAACAATTAATGGTCATAATTATCCACAATTGCTGAAATGTTAATCACCAGACGAAATAAAAGGAGGTTGGAATTAATATGAAGTATAAAGATTGCATAGTGTAGTAAAACCATTTAGATCCAAAATTGCTTGTAGACTAAAGACTTGAAGACTAAATAAATGTTGGGAAACTTGAATTTAAAAAGTTTTAATTCGGATATTGTTTATTGTGTGTAAAAATATGAGGTATAAATATTTCTCACTAACCACACCCGTTTGTCAAAAATATTGTTTTAACGGAGTTCAAAAGAAAACAAAGTATTATATCTGCATGATAATGCTAAACGTCTTCTCTTCCCAGAAAAAACATATCACAGTTTGAAACCACTTTATTCTGCCAAGGATGACGTGGAAGGTTTATGACGAATGAATGGTATCCGTGGGAGGTGAATAACAAGATAATTGATTTTTTTAACCCTTAAAGACGAAGAGTAAAATTTTTTCTTCAATGCATCAACCGTAACCTATGATGCAACTTAAACGTCATTCTTATGAAATTAAAGAAATTGCAAGTAATTTATGACTACAGACGATATTGGAGATTTTAATTACGTTAGTAGCACCCTCAAAGCAAACACATTGATCCATCGCACGAAGAAAGAAACATTCCACGGAAGATAATCTAGGAAAGTACAACCAGTTAAGGTAGGATACAACAATGTCATGTTTACTTGACATAATGTTCTGGATTGTTTGACTAAGCCATACAAGGAAATTGTGCATAACCAGCTTGCTGTTTTGAATCCACGAGTACATAATTTAACTTAAACGTTTATCATTGGGAAGTTAAATGTAGTTGACGACATTCTTGTGATTTATTGTAAATGTTAAAGGCACTTTCCTCATGTGGTGAACGAGATTCAGTGCAGCATTATTTGACCCACAATATTGCAAAGAGAAATATACATGTATTGATTTTAAACTGAACAGATCCTTCGATCAATCTGTAAGAAACTATTAAAGGTGAAGTATCAATGTCCTGCATGTCGATATAAGATCAATTTGATTTACCTCAAAATATTAATTCACTTCATGAAATTCTCAGTCAAGCGAAAGAGTTATTTATCAACTTGTCCAATAAACCTATCCTATCTTAATCTTCCATTTGTATCCTATTTCACATGGAAGAACTTTTTTATTTTACCTTAGGAAAATTAAAAATGATTCCTAACGCCATCAAACTATTGATCTTTGTTGTCGTGATCTGGAGCGTAAAAGCTCGTCCTGATTTTGAATTAAAAGCAGTTGAAGAAAAGATATTGAACAAATATCCAAAGATAGACGAAATTGTCGAAAACGATCAAAAGTTCAAAGTACCATATGTTACACCAAAAACAAATAAATTGGTATGTGTGTATGGAAAAGAAGATTTAAAAGCAAACACCAATAATAATAAGACTTTTCATTGGTTTTCATATCCAAAATTTTCTCTAAAATTTTAATAATTATCTTTAGAAAGAACTAACCATACTTCTTTCCATTATTAGACCTGTCCATTTAATTGCGAATACTTGTGTATCATTAAAGTTGGAAATGAATATCAATGTAACAAGTTAGTTGACAAATGCTGCAAAAATGAATGTACAAAGTACTGGTTTTGTCTTAAAGCTGGCAATCCATCGTGGCTCTGTGAGGTGCAGACATTTGATAAAATTTGCGAATGCCGTAGTTCGTGTATAGGTAAAAGGGAACTAAAACATCGTACCAAAGCATAAGAGACGATGAAAATTTGACGATTAACTTTGTAGTGCATGCCAGTGTGTAAAACATATGTATCATATGGTTTATCATTTACGTATATCAATAAAGACAAACACATTGATATTTCTTTATATATTTTTCCAAAGACAAATTGATAAAGAAAACATATGTTGCCCGTTTACAAAAGAATCACTATTTCTACGAATTTGTCCACTTTCATTCATAAAAACCACTTTATCCCTCGAAAGTCCCTTTTGCATCATAGTTTGTGGTAAAATGATCCTTCTTACCACCTAAACACCAAATGTCTGACGCAATAACCGACAAGATCGTCAAGTTAAGGAATATTCATTTCTAGTTCGGTCCCAAATCACCACCGTTGCACCGTTGAACCAAATTTGTGCAAATTAATTCAATCTTCATTCCTTATAAGGAAGCATAGTCATACGTACGTACACATCTTAGTCAAACAAATACTGAGGTAATGATTCACGGGGGGGATAACTTTTTTGCACGCCTTCCATTTCGACTGTCTTTGTTGCTATGGCAACGGACCTAGAAACGACCTCGCGAAGGGGAAGATGTGGATAGCATGAGATATAGAATGCAAATGCCCCAGTCAGAGAGTCCCCTGCGCCAGTCGAGTCAACCACATGTACTGTAGGTGCAGGCACGTGACAAAAATCATTTTTGCCTATATTACCTGTAACTGACGAAACATGATTGGTTGGTGATGTGATTGCTTTGAAGTTATAGTAAGACGAACAGTAGGAAATGAACGTGATTGTTAAAGTAGCTTATGGTAATCAAATATAAATATCAACGATATTTCCTGCAAGTACACTGCAGTGATGCATTCTCTCCCCCCCCTGAAATAATTGGAGAGTACGTATTTATTATGGTGAATGAGATTAAAACTTCTCAATCCTGTAGCACGTACATGTTGTACCAGAAATGGATATAAACAACTGGTTGAAACTACAACATTGGGCATACTAACCCATCATAAAATTATTGAGAAACTTAATGATAAGAAAAAAGAAATATTCAAATGATAATGTTTCAATATGCAGATATTCCGGAACTATTTTGCAACAATGCACATTTTTAGAATCATCCTGAGGCACAGATAGACCACACTATACCCGCCATAAGTCATTTTTTCTATAACAGCCAAAGGGAAAATGATAAACTTTGGTGATTGTTTACAAATTTTGTAAGTCATTCTTATGATCGCCATGTTTGAGTGGAAACAAATATGAACATAGCTCAACAACAATTTTCACTTTTTGAATAAGTTCAAACATATAGTTGGTATGTTTAACTAATTAATCATCAACTGTTTGGTCTTCACAATCAGACAAAATCTACCAGACAAAATCTATTTGTCGACAGCAGCCCCTAAGAACCTACCTAATATGAACAGGTGTCTTTAGGATTTTATACTTTTTTGTTCTTTGAACAAATCAGAAACCCTGTTCATATTGGTAGTAGATACCTATTGATTGGTTATATATGTCAAAACATGGGTACATTTAGCAAGCAAAGAAATTTAGAGATAACTCACAATTTCCAAGATCATTGAATGAGATGTTAGCTCCACAATCCCCCATTGTAAGAATCACACAAAAAATACCTCTGTTGTGGAACCAATGACAGGCTTCCTTACAACCAAAGTTAGATGTCACCTCTAAACCAGTCAATACAGAGGCTTCCTTCATGTTCAGTATTAGGACGTCGACATTTTCCCACAGTTCATCAGGCAATTCATAAATCATTGGAGAAGGGTTGTATACAGTGATACAACCACATTTTTTGCCTAATTTAAGAGCTTCCAAAGCTGTAGATGATGGAATACCATTATTTGTAACCAACACTTTACTTTGTTCTATGACATGCTTGGCATTATGGATATGCGTCAGGGAAACATACTTGCTTGCACCAGGAATACTAATATACGATGGCTCACCTTGGTTGTCAACAACTAAAATTGCATGAAAAGATAAGTCATTGCACACAGAAAAAATCGTTTGTGTAAGAATCACAACATTTATAATTTAGATCAAATCAACTTGTGACTACTTTCACAAGCTTGTAAATTTAGGACCCTTAAAAAAGAGAAGACCTAAGATCGAAGAGTCTTTTAACCATGCGCGTACAATTTAAATATGAGCATGAATTTAATGTCTGATACTTATGACCAAAGCCACAGTCAAAATGCAATCCATGATAATTTTGCTTATAATTTTATAAAAATTCCCACATTTTTCACGTGGTGGTGTATACTTACTACAATTTGTCATGGCTGTAGCCACTTCAGTAGCCGTTCCTAAACATTCAGTGTTTACTCCAAACTTGACAAAATTTGCAAGTGTTTCCTTTCCAAGTACATCATCACCAACTACAGAAACCATGCTTGTCTTGGCCCCAAGTTTAGCAGCCATAACACAAGTGTTCGCTCCCTTTCCACCAAAGTCCATTTGAAACTTCCTACCAAGTATTGTCTCTCCTGGTGTTGGGTAACTATCAACATACGTTTGCAAATCACAAAAGCAAGCACCAACAACAACAATATCCATACTGCAATTCTTTTTCGTCGTAAAGATGTCCATTCTGACATTCATAGACTGGAAATGTTCGTTACAATTTATTAAAAAAAAATCTTGAATTCAAGTTGTACTTTTTTCTTTATCTTTTCAACCCAAAAATAATATTACACATTGATCTTCTTCCAGAAAATTCAATATATTACATATAAGCATGTGAAAAAAAGTCATTCCATAGCATTTATCGAGCAGATTAGTGAACTTGTTTGTTAAATATAAATCTGAATGAATCAAACGAAAATTTTTGCTTTAATTAATGAATTTTACAATCGGAAATCCTCGTGAGTAGCTCGTGAATAGCCGACATATTTAATTAAAAATTCACAAAAAAGTTGATGTTAAAAAAACGTGAAAAAACAGGTTTACTCGAATTAATTTTGATCGTCGTATTTTCGTTTAAATGTACGCGATGAACTCAATGATAATGTGGCTATACTTTTGAAGTGCACTGACGATCTATGATATAAAACGGGACGGTTTGATTGTTGTAAAAATCTCGAAAATTTTCGTTGAGTTTTGAAACAGACGTCAACATGGCGGATTCGTCAGCCAATGGAGAGCCGTGTGTCCTCAATCATGTTATTGAAGATTTCCTTATTCAAGAAAGTAGTTGGCCTTTCACGGTAGAAATATATTAAAGCATTGACTCCTTTCTGACACGAAACTATATTTATTTACGAAACAATCGACTTTTGGGTTCCGGGTAAAAAATCAATTCCGGGGAAAATTAAAAACGAAAAGTGAAAAAATACTCATTTTCTGTCGATTTCAGTTTTGCCGAATAATTGTTTTCTTTCATACATCGTAGCGAGTTTTTTATTGCATTATTCAAACTGCTCTGTATCGTGAAAACTGAAAGCATGGATTTTTAACATTTGAATAAAATTTAGAAACAATAATTTTTTTTAGAAGAAAACAAGAGACAAAATTTAACACCCTGACTATTAACAACTTTTTGTATAATTTATGAACTCTAAGATCCTCATTGCTGCAAATCGATAACAATGTTTTCAGTTTTAACAATAATTAAACAATATAAAAAATAAGCAAGTGTTATTTTTATTCAGGTAAATGGAGAAACATATGAGTTTGGAAAGCTGCCGACAGATGAACCAGAACTTCTGCAGCCAACTGCATTTTTTGAATATGATACCGAAGGTACAAATCATTTCCATCTTTGATGTACTTCTACAAACACAGAACACACACCACATATGGGCGTGGAAGTATACTTTTAAAATCCTTCCCTCAGTGCCCCCCCCAAACTTTCGTGCCTTGTAAGTAATGGCAAATTAAATATGCTCATCTTTCAATCCTCTTATTTGCCTACTTAATTATAAAAATTGTCTTTTGTCTCCTCCCAACATGTCGCATACACTGATGAATGAAAGTTATAAAGGAAGGGGAATGAAAGAGATGAGGCTGTATAAATAACTACATTCTAAAAACCTTTGAGTTAAAAATAGGACTTTTCAATTACAACCCACCATTCCTATTTGTGCAATGTTCAAAAGCTTTCACAGACATGCCTACAAGCGAAGAAGAGCAAAGTGAAAACACTTTTGATGGTGAAAATTGTTCATATTGTGGCCGCACATGCTCTGCAATGGCAAGATGTTTTGAATCCAGGAAATTCTGTTCCAACACATGTGCAAGATTATTTGGAATCCCAAAACACAGGAGACGCAGCAGCAACAGTAGTGGAATAGGTGGCAAAACAAGAGGAGGTTGGAAGAATTACTTTCAGCGTAGAAACAATGTAACATCAAGAAAAATTCCTAGAGTAAGTATGTTTTGGCTGTTGGTGAGTTTATAAAAAAGTAAATAGAATTGGATACCATAATGTAATAATTTTTCCCCAAAGGACTTTGTACAATCATAATAATTTTGTTCTCATGGAAAAGCCACTTCTTCAATTCTATTTAACTACATCTTAGACAGTGAATTCCAGAACTACACAAGAAAGCAATCTTTCCATTTTTATTATAGTCAAATTTCAATAAGTCATATGAAGCAGCAACTCAAGTTGATGAAACTATTTTGAAAGGTATGTATCATTGAAGTGTAAGGCTGTGAATCAAGTGTCTTGTTATTAGTCAACATGACATCATTTCCAGATTATAAAAGCTCACGTAAACCAGTATTTCAAGGTGAAGCACGCATTGTGCATCGTTGTCCTAGGTAAAGACAACGTAAAACTAATTACGTCATCACTTTTGTACGTGGTGCCTGATGTACAATAGACACACCTTCAAAACAAAAATACAGTTTAACTAATCGTTGCAAATTATCTTTTTGTGTTGCAGAAGCGTTTAATGGAAGGTGTGATAATGAACTTGACTGCTTATGGCAGCTCGAATACGTTCCTGCAGCTAAATGGAATTCAAAACAAGTTGCAGCGTTTGTGAGGTACAACATAGGATACTTAGGGAAACTGCGCGAGCGATGATAAGAGTTTACCTACGTGTTGTGTGATGAGTTTGTGAGGTACAACATAGGATACTTAGGGAAATTGCGCGAGCGATGATAAGAGTTTACCTACGTGTTGTGTGATGAGTTTGTGAGGTACAACATAGGATACTTAGGGAAACTGCGCGAGCGATGATAAGAGTTTACCTACGTGATGTGTGATGATAAAATAACGAATGTTTATGTTCTCTAGGGAAATTAATGGATGCAGCGAATATGCAGAAAGTTTCATTGCACAAGAGATCGACGGCTACGCATTGATGTTGGTCAAAGAAGAACATCTTGTAGTTGGGTTGCAAATGAAGTTAGGACCGGCGCTTAAATTGGTTAGCCGAGTCAATCAGTTGAAATCAGAAGCATTAGAAAAGTTAAACTTCAACAATGGATTGAGAACGGGATGAAATAACGTTGAGAACTGGATAAAGTAACGTTGAAAACGTGTCTCGTTTTATTGTCGCTCTTTCCTCAGTTTTGCTACATATGAACTTACGAAGGAGATTCCATCCAATCACTATGTTCGCCAGTTCTAATCAGTTGCGTTTAGTGGTCGTGGCTAGTTGACTAGGTGTTCGTGCATTTTCACAAGTTTCTGGTATAATAAACATCAATATTAGCCATAACATGTTGAGAGTGTTTGTGGCATATCAACCAACGAAGTTAGCACATAGCTAATCAACCAATAAAGTATACTTGTGACGAATCATTTCCGATTATGAGATTAACGAAAAATGTTTTCAAGTACACCACCTTGAAAAGGTGATAAGTGTAAATATCACGGAATACTCATGTTCTAAAGTAAACCTTGTTGATGCGGGGGGGGTGATGAAAAGTATTTATTTTTACTTCTACATTAATTATTGTTTAAATGTTTCAATTGAGATTAGGTTGAACTTCACTGTTTTCGAAAGCATGGTAAAGATGTTCTCATTAGTAGAAAAAACGTTTCGTTTTCTCATTTAGCATTTCTTTTTCTTTTAAATACGAACTTGATGGACATAAGTTTAATCGAAAATGCCAAACCCTCATTCAGAAATGTAAAACACAATAACACAACGAAGAAAACAGAACCGCTCAGTAAAGATTCTAATGATAACTGCTTCAAAACGTAATATTTGTTTAATATGTTAATATAAAAAAGTTTAAAAATGATCTTTATCTCCGATGTTGTATCTTCTGTCAAAAAGTTACTTACACTATATCATAAACGCGAATGCTAACGCAGTTCTCTGATGGTCAAATTCTTTTGTAAGATGAAAAGCTTCAAGTTCAAGTAGCCTCGCGCAGTCATTTTACAATTCTTTCGAGACAAGCATTGAAAAATAAAATGGCAGCGAGCTAATATGTTTCTATCCACGGCTTTTACAGCGCTTGCATCGATTATGCTCCAACTTTATCAGCTGATTCATGTTTACAAAAAGAATCTTGAAACAATTCAATTTTCAGTGAATACCTTTCCTTTTGACTTCGTAAATACGTAAACGGGCCTCTGAAATCCTACAAAGAGAAACCGAACTTCATTCATAACTTGAATACAATAATATGAAGAAAATTGTGAACTTGTCAAAACTTAATTTAATACGACGTCTTCAGTTAACTAATTGCCAATCTTTTCACTTCGATTGTATATTGCTCAAAAAGGGAGCCTACTGATTCTATATTAAAAACGTCTTTCTTGTTAAATATTTCAAACAAGTTTTAACAAAGAGATAAAAATAATTGGCACATGAGGTTTTAGCAATCTTTAGGCGAGATACGTGTTTTCTTCATGCCAAATACTTCGACATTTCATAGAAATATTGCGCATGGAAAGTCGAGGGGATGAAACTATTCACATTAAATTTACCTTTGGAATTACTCTCTGGCACACCCAATGACTCGTAAGTGGCAAATCCCACTTCTTTTGACATTAAATAATTCACAAATTGATCCGGTTTGAATCGAATGGAATCATAATTCCTTCTTATTTTCTCCTGGAAAAGAAAACGAAACAATTAGTTTTAAAATTGTTGAGATTCTAAACTTTAGTAAAATTTCGTGATGTTCACAGTCACAGGGATATACAACCAGCGTCACCAATGAACTAACATTATCCCCCATTCTATCCACTATTTAATTTCTAAGAAATACACGCGCGTATCGTAGTGAAGAAAGGCAAAAGACGCAAGATATTCTTATATTCCTATATTCTTATACTTCTAAGATAAGTAGAAATTTTTTGATGACGTAAGAAAAGGATTATGAACATTGATTTTAAAAATACATGCTTTTATGGACATTTGATAATCAGGATACTGAGTTCATAAAGAGATTGCTCTTTCAGTTTTTAATTTTTTAAGTACTTTGATATCCAACAACTACAATCGCAATATCTCTTTATTTCCCAAACGTGATTGAATGTAAAGTTAGGAGCATGATGGAGAATTAACAACAGCAAAATCCAGTCTCCTTGTTAAATCGTATTCAATAAGTTTCAAAATCGGCTTGTTTGAGCACAACTATAAAAAAAACATTCTTGCTCTATAGGCTGAATTACAATCACGGAAATACAGGTTATTAGTTTTCCTCGTGCGTCAAGAGCGTCAACCCAATGTGCTCATGCGTCAAGAGCGTCAACCCAATGTGCTCCACAACCTAAACCATGTTCATGTTACTAAGAATTGAAATGCATTTATAAGTCAAAATATCACTTACGCTGAGATTTTTTCTTCTTGCATACGATTTGTACGGTTGAGCTTCCAACACAAGCCGTCCTTCGGGATTAAGAAGTAAATAAATGCGTTTGAATGTCCTCTTCAATCCCTCGTCACCCCAGTTCAAATGAATCCATTTTGTTATGCTTAGGCAAAGTATTACGTCATAGGTAGGTTTTTGTTTTGCCAAAACTTGGTCGTGCGCGGGAACGAAATTTTCCTGTAATTAAGTTTACAATATGGTACATAAAACTGTTGAGAGATGTCTTAAAATAACATTCATTTTTGTGTTTGTCAAAAAGTGTATATTCGTTCATGACATTGCAACTTAAAAATAAAAGAGCATACAATGATGCAATGATGAAAAATTAGAATGAACAAAAAGGCAGTGTTAATGAAGGAAATTGATCACCTCTTTGAACTGTATATTGTAGGGAAAACCAGTCGAACCATCAGTTGGAGATGTTCTTGCAACAATAGGACCATGACACATCATAAAGGACATTGGAAAGTATGCACTGGCTGTTTTCTTTCTGAATTCATCTTGGATGGTACCCTAAGTAGCCTGTTTGCAGTTTTAATCAATGAACTATCAATGTCTATACCCAAAATATGTTTTGGAGAAAGGTTTCTTGCTACATCCATGGTAATCTGACCAGTATTGCAGCCAATGTCCAAAACAACTTTCTCTTTAAACCACTCATGATGAAACAACTTCACCCTAGTGTCATTAGGAATTTGAGGATTGCGATAACCATAATAATGATTGTAGTTACCATAAAGAAAAACCTTTTTGGATTTTGGTTTTCTTATATCTGTTTGTTGCTCTGTGTTCACTTGTTTATGATAACTTTTGACAATAGTGTTAGGTTTTTGCATATCATTTAAGGAAGATAGTTTCTCTGTTTTTTCTTCTGGTTTGAAATGATCACTGTCTTCCTTTTCCAAAAATGTATCATTTTTGACAATTTCCTGACAATTTTTCACAGTTGCATCACCCTTGGCATTAGTATTATTTTCAGTTTCATCAGTATCAAAAGATGAACTGACTTTGGACTCTTCCATCTTCAATTTCTTCTTTTTCCCTTTACTTTTGCCTTCCTTGCCATTTTGAAGTCTCTTCTTCTTACACTTTGGGGAAACATCACCTTTTTCCTCTTTGATTACAGCATTTCCTTCCTCCTTTTGATTTTCGCGCTCATCATCAAAACAACTACTGTCCGCTCTCTTTCGTTTATTCTTCTTTTTCTTTTGATGTTTCAGCACCACAACAAAATCATCCTGACCTAAATCACCTTTCAGATTCAAAGGGTCTGTTATGTCTTTGGCTATGATGACTTGAGGTGACAACTCTTTTTCACGATCAATGCAAGGTGAGCAAGAGGGTGTTCTCTCTGAAGGATCTCTGTTGATAAGGCTTTTCAAATTCAATGGATCACTACAGTCTCCGCCCATTTGAAATTTAAGACGGGAACTTTTTGCTCTATTCTTTCCCTTCATACCATGCCCATTTAACTCTTTTAAATTTGTCTCAAGTCGAGGAAAAATCCACTTTTTTTGCTTATGCTTACCCATAAGAGGACTGTTGAATTTCTTTTTTGTTCCAATTTCACGTCCCTTTTCTGAACTCATTATTTATTCAGTTCACTATTAACTAAGCGCTCGACTAATGTGCATCTTATAATCATAACTTTCACACTTCAAACACTACAAAAACTAACTCGAATTTGCTAAAGACCAATCAGAAGGAAACTCGTTTGTAAACCAGACGTATTTGAAGTTAAAAAGAGCTATACACAACCACTTTCTCCAAACATGAACTCGAACCTCTATGAATAAATTCCCGTGTTTACCTTATATGGCATGTCCAACCAAACTCAAAGCGACCAATTTAACAATTTGATAAATTCGACTTGTACCGAACAGTTAAGTGAATATGAGACTTTCAGAGTGTACCAGAAACATTAATCTTTCCACGGCGAAAAAATGAGAACGAAGTGTTATTTTTACATACCATTTTAGCACGTTTTGCCATGATAGCACACAATAGCTCCACAGTCAGATATTGCGAGACGATTTTGAGACGTTTACATTTGAAATTTTAATTAGGAACTGGGTCATTATGGATACTGGGGTACACATATGTATACGATGCATGATAAAAGGGTAAGACTTGGCCTATTTAAGATAATATATAATCACGAATTACCAATTTTTCAATATTTATTAGCAATAAAATATATGATATATAATACAATATACAATATAGCTTTAAAAAAGGCTTATTCTGTTATTCTCGTACAATCATGCATTCAGTCATGTGACTCAACCATATTGTTTTAAAAAGTTCCCCGTGGACTATTCTACGGCTTCCAAATGTCCTACGTGATCCTCAAATATACCTCAACATGCCTAAACACGAGTACGTTTCAAAGATACTTTGTTTATCTTTAGGATATAATTATAAAGTCCAATTTTTATTTAAAAACAATGTTTTAAAGGAAGCTTATGGAAAAGCATTCCATATTTGCTTTATAAATGCAGGCAATAGTTTGTCAAGGTATGTTAAATGTAATTCATGAACATGGCGATTGTTTATTGTAATGTTTAAATCAAAGACAATCACAACAGTTATTGACACAACGGGTTTGTTTGATAATTTGCATGAAAATGAACTTTCCTATGATCGCCTAGTATATAGCTCATGTAATAGAAGATTGACATATGATTTTGTTAATATCTTGCTTCTTGTTAGCAGACAATGCAGGCTTTACAAACTTTCAAAGTAGCCTCGTGTAGACATAGCATGGTGGTTAGCTTTATTATATCTAACCAGGTTATATGATTGTAGCCTCCATATGCCAAATGCCAGACTACTTAGAGACAAATTTTTTATGTAGTCTATTTTAACTCGCCAGTAAAAATGTTTTGAACATATGTATTCTAGGTGATCCTGAGAAGTCACATTTAAAACAAAGAAAATCACATGCAACTTTGAAATAAGCATTCGTTTGGCACTTTATAGTGGCAACTTAAGAATTCAATGACATCCACTATATACCACCCTAAAACCCATAATGAAAATGGCAATTTCATTAAAAATGAAGAAGAAAAGACAGTTGTTGAAGCCACAGATCACAAACGTAACAAATCCAATTTACTTCAAAAAGCCTTGCTACTCTCTTTGTGGTACACATTCAGTTTCTTTACAATTGTTTTAAACAAATACATATTGACAGTGCTCGAAGGCAATGCTGGCCTTCTTGGTAGAACTCAAATGCTTCTTTCAGTTGCAATTGGTGGAGTGGTGATTTACATGCTACCTTGCTTCCAACAGCGAAGCAATATCGAGAAAAGTAAAATGAGATTTTTTAAAAACATGTCAATTTTAGGAATTCTACGGTAAGTAGAAATTATTTGTAATCATCTAAGAAAATGCCCATCATTAACAACTAAGGATGCTTTGGAAGCATGAATGAGGCAAACTGATTTTCACCAGACAATTTAACTCATTAAGAAACTAAATGATGTAAAAATAGGACAATGGAAACATTGGAAATAATGTTAAATTTCCCCTCCCTGTCTTTTGATGAGATAATTATAAATTGAATGATTTTCTAGGTTTGGAACAGTTGTATGCTCTCTCATTAGTCTTAAGAATGTTGCTGTATCCTTCACTGAAACTGTTAAGGCATCTGCTCCATTATTCACAGTGATTTTTTCCTTCATAATTCTTAGTAAGTTAACACAATCAAACCATTTGAAACTGAAGGGTGGTCTGTCAGTGGCACAGCGCTACACTAATAATACCAGTTTTCTATAAGAAAACCTTACTCTAAAGAAAATTGTCCACTTCTTAGCTAAATATAACCCCAATCTGATCTTTATGTTCATCTAGGAGAAAAAGTTGGATTGCTAGTGTTGCTTTCACTCATACCGGTCATGGCTGGTTTATCTATATGCTCTATAAACGAGATCAGTTTCAATGAAATAGGCTTTGTAGCTGCTGTAATAAATAATATAATGGACTGGTTAGTCAATGAAACTCTCAGATTTACCAAATACAAAATGTTCATAGTAGTATCACTGTGTATTTTATAGTTAAAGGATTTGGTGTACTTTGAGGTACAATGATGTACTGTGATTGTAAAGCTATACCTATCACGACCAAACATTGAGCTAGAACGGAGTACTTTTATGCTCTAAATGCGATCACTTTATTTATAGTTTTATCTCTTACAGCATCCAAAATGTTTTCACGAAAAAACTGCTTTCAGAAGAATCCTCGTATACGTAAGATTTTGACTATAGAAGAGCTTTTTTTCACACCTGCTATTCATAAATTTTTCCTTTTGCATTTCACCTTAGTCCACCGCAATTGCAGTTTTTCACAGGGATAGCGGCTCTGTTAATACAAATTCCATACTGGATATATATGACGGTGAGCTTTGATGAAAAGATTTTTTGAAAGAAAAACTGACGATTAACGGCAATTGTGTTGATTAAAAATGAAAAGTTTTGAAAAATTTTATTAGTTGGTTGATTTTTTGTGTCATTATTTTATTAGGATTTCAAAGAAAGCTTCAAGGAAATCGATTCTTTCTATTTTGGAATTTTAATATTGAACAGTTGTTCATTTTATTTTCAAAGTTTGACAGCTTATCGTTTGATGGCGTTGATTTCTCCTTTAACCTTCAGGTTCGTTTCACGTCTGTATGTTTTACTCCATTATTTTATTCATTAACATTTTGAATTATTTAAGCGTCGCCAATACCGTGAAACGAACTTTGCTGATATGGTTGTCAGTGGTGGTGTTTGCTAATCACGTGACAATCTTAAGTGGAGTGGGAACAATGATTGTGACACTTGGAGTTGTGTTTTATCAAAAAGCGAAGCAAATGGAAGCGACAGATAAGCAGGAACAATCATCTCTAAATGAAAGTAGTTCAGATCACCTCCATCTATAGGATTTCATCGCATTTGTTTCAGTGGAAGGTTTTACTCAGTATGACAATCTTAATGGAGTAAATTTTCTACATTTTGTATAATCTGCACCAACGTTGCCCCTCGCTAAATTACATTTCATCGTGTATGGCAGTAAAATATCCACACTAGGCGAAATGTGAATATTTTTCGTGAATGCAATGTATGAAATGATGTGTAAATATGGTGAATAGGAAATTGAAAATAGAAAAATACAATGAATGGAATTTAATACATGAAAAAATATAGTGAATGAAATTTAAAATTGACGGATGGTTTGCTATTAATTCTTTCTCATAGCTCACGGAACAAGTGAACGAACAATTCCAACTTAAAAGCGAAAATTCTGCTCTATCCTTAGAGATGTGGAAATATACAACGAGACTATAAAGTTTAAAATGATAAAATATTGAATGAGAAAAAAATTGGTTTTAGCTACTAAGGGATGATGATAATGATTACTTAATAACATTTCACAACATTATTGTTACAATATTTTGTTATGACGATGTTTAGTAAGCATTTTAATGTCGAATGTTTTCACGTCCAATCATTTGTACTCAACTTAAAGTCAAAGTCGGTGCATCAAACAATGGTTTGTTTGCGCATGCACTCTTCTTATAATGCCATGCAATCCGCGCATGCACTCTTGTTATAATGCCAGCTTATATGACGTAATAGATTTGAAAGGTTCGGGGAAAGTTCAGTCTATAATCTTTCCTTTACTCAAATTTAGCAAGGTTGAGCTACTTGTGACATAATGTCACTGCGCATTGGTTTAGAGCAACATCAAAACACATAATGTCACTGCGCATTGGTTTAGAGCAACATCAAAACACATAATGTCACTGCGCATTGGTTTAGAGCAACATCAAAACACAAGCCGCGTATACACTAAACAGATCACAATATGCCTAACTTACCACACGAGCCATGTTCTATGTCATTCTCAGTGAAGATCATTTCTTATGTCATCTTTTCTTATCTGACTTCTTCGCAGATCCTAAATAATTAATTGTAGATTTTATAACAACTGTTAACTGAAAACACTATTAATAGCACTATTCCAAAGGCATCGTCAAAAGTTGAATTCAATAGCTTTATAAATTATAGTTTATATACGTATACCTTCTAGTTTATAAAGATTTTAATGTACAGTTTGTCGTTTGTTGTGGAAGATTGTTATATATTTACGTTTCTGTGATTGATGTACTTGTAATCAAGCAAAGGCTAGAGCAAGCAACATCTTACCTGGCCGACTCGAAGATTTTGGGGGAGGTGGAGACACGGAACGCGTCAATGGTGGGGGAATGGAACGGGAAGTAGGTCGCGGTGTATTGTTGCGAGTGTCATGTGATTTACGTAACTTGCTTTTTGTTCCAAAAACCTCACTCTCAGTCAAAGATCTATATAATATAAAACGAAAAGATGGTTGATTACACAGGGTCAAGACATACAAATTCATTGTAGCTTCGAAGGTTAGCTGACTCTAAGGTTCGTATGTTTGCATGGAGTTCATTGCCCAATCTAACAGTATGTCAGGGAAGAAGGAACTAAAATGGACAGCATTAAAATGTTTTCCCAAAGAAACTCTTTGTAAAAGAATCGATTTTGTATTTAAAAAACAACATTTAAAAATATTAGATCAAGATCTGACATTAAAAATCAACAAAGACCTGATCATAAAGTAGGAAAAGAGATTACTCCTTTGACAAGGTAGAGAAAATACCAGCAAAAGAAACCGAACACTAGAAGACGATCAAATACATACTTGTCTTGCAATAATTTTTCCACTCTTGCAGCCTGTTCAGCTGCATAATTTCGCTACAAAGTAGACAGTCGAAACATCATAATGGGAAATTTAATTATATTAGACTAAGCCTATATGTACATAAACATCCTTTGAAACTAATAAATCCAGTCAAACTCTTTTTGCCTACCTCTTTTTCCTCGTCCTCACGATGCTCTAGATGGCAAAGACAACATTGTTCGTCACATTGAAACTACATTTTTGACGATTATATGCAGATTCAAGACGGAAAAATTAATTAAAATAATATAAAATTCACAGCAAAAATGCAATAGACGAAGTATTTTGCTTGTGAGAATGCTTTTGAACTAATGACACGTACTGGAGTTCAATGTTTTCAAAATGACGTTAAAGTTATCTTTTCAGTCTTCTTCCTGCTAGTACAAATCTGTTTTATTCATGAAGGGTGTGTTATTTTTAAAAAATCTTGTCAACGTAAAGATATAATTTATTATAATACAATCACCTTCATCTGTTTTCAAGTCCCAGAAGTAGGTCGACTTGATTTGTGGGACACCGAAGATTCACGAGACTTTGCCGATGTAGTTCGGGATGGCACAGGTGATTGGCTAGTCCTAGGTGACGCAACACTCTCTGGTATTCGACCAAGTACGGTAGTCCTTGGACGAGGAATGTTATCTGAAAGTCATAGATGAACGTCTTCGGATGACAAGAGAGTCACCGTCTTTAATTTTTACAGTTAATTAAATATTTTCCAATCAATGTAAACATCACGTTTGTGAATGGTCAAATTCTTTACGATGTTTGGACTCTCAAATCATAAAAATAAAACTGACCACTAGTTATAATAATTCAAACATTTACGTAATGTTGTTTGCTTAAAAAAAAAGAATTCTATCAAATAGTTAGCATGACTTCACCATTGATTCATTGTGGACAAAAAACTCGGCTAGCAGGTTGATTGTAGCAGCAATTTATTTTATCTTACCAAGTTTATTATCGATGGTCCGAACACCTGGAGTGGCTGGTCTACTTAGTGGCTGATCAAGGCTTGCCATTAGATCACTCTGTAAATTTTCGAAAAAATTTGTCAGTCAGACCTGCAACTCTAGGAAGAGAAGGAGAGATTTCTCTTTTTCAGTTTCATTTAGAGAGAGAACGTTAGTCTCTGCTCCAACTATTCTTTTCGCGGTCAATTTTTAATGATCAATTTGCAGGATGAAAATACAACGTTGTAGCAAGTTGGAAGCAAAGCAAACATCTGACTTGCTTTCATGCCAAGTTGTATCTGCTTCATGCATGTGCATTAAAGCAATTATCAAAGACATTAATAGTCTCCATGATGCGTTTAAGTCACCGGGAAATTTTTGTCTATGGAAGAGAGCGAACACTCTTAGTAAGAAAAGTTTGTCTATATCTAGAAGTTTGGGAAGTTCTCGAACGAGTTTCAAATGTCAACTCACTTTTTGAGACTTTCGTGATTGAGTTGATCTTTCAGAAGGTTGCAACTGGATGAATAAAAAAATGAATGCACAATAAATAAATAGCTATAGTGACTTTCAATTCACCATAGTACTACAGTATATGATCTATTGTAAGACTAATTGTAACATAGTACTACAGTATATGATTTATTGTAAGACTAATTGTAACACTTACAATAGCATATTCACTCATCAATAACTCCTCTCCACTTCGTTCGTGCAGAGATGCCTCGAGTGCTTCCACTTTGTCGAATTCTTCATCAATTGCATCACCTTCCTAAAAAAAAGATCCCATCACCACGTCAAATTTTCGATAAATGAAATTCAAAAAAAGGCAAACGTTTCAAGAAAAGTTATAATTCCATGTGATAAACCCTTTAACACGGCTTTGTCATACATTGCACACACACATTCACACAGACACACACACACAAACATCATTTTTTCTCAAAAGATATTGTTGTTCTTACTTCATCAATATTTTCATCTTCGTCGTCCGAGTACTCATCGCTATTCAATGATGATTCTTCGGATTCTTCAAAAACAAAAATTGCTGCATAAAACTAGTATGGGTTCACTGGCTGACAAAGGACAACTAATTTTATCTTAAATTCTTATATTCATAGACATATTGTATAGAAGTTCTATGACAAATTAGTACAAAACAGCCTTTCATCATAGCATTATTCTACAACACTTCTCACCAAGATTGAGCTGTTTGATAATGAATTGTACTTGTCTTTGCATATCAACATCTTCATCTTTAAGGAAGCATTCAAGAATTTCTTGCATTCCCTTGAAGAAAAATACATACAACCAAAGACTGAATCATACTTAATCCCTCTTGAAGGCAGTGGAAGTTTTCATTGAAAGACTAAATCATCCTTGGATTAAAGCAATCAAATAGATGTCCATAGTAGTTTTCTGCAAAAATCACCGAAGATATAATTTTCCATGATAAGTGACCTGCGTGTTGAATTAGGTGAAGTGAAATGCAGAGGAAAGTAAGCTAAAACAAGCAGATGCTATCCCACAATTGCATCATTTTGTAATCATGGTATCATAACACTAACAAAAGATGTGGTACAAAGGATAACTCTTTTATTCCTTATTTATTTTCATGAGTACGAATCGTTGTAAAATTCTGATATTGATCACCCCTAGAATATCAATTCCAAACCCAAATGTACATGACATATTGTATTTACCATATCTCTTGCTTGCTCTCGTACATTCGATACAGCGAGAATACTGTATAGTGATCCATTGACGTATGGTCGAATCTATTCAATTGAAAAAGAACGCGATCATTCACGTTTGTTAGTTTGTATGTGCACAGTAATCGCTAAATCACCATGTATACTCGCTTTCAAAAAAATTAACCTACAATAAATATCTAAAGCTACATTACCTCGTGATTTTCATGCCCTAGGAGATCACTCAATACTCGCAAAATGTGGCTTGCATCATGAGAACATTTCTGTTTCCCTAACAAACAATTGACTTTAACACCAACACATATCGAGCAAGAATTGACTGCATTGACACAAATTTGCAGAACCAATAAGGGTATTAGAGGATAGAAGAAGAAACAAGGACTAGCACGAGATGAGGACAACATGAAAGACATCAAAGATGCTTCATATCTTCATCATCCACACAGAAATTAGAAAAGATTAAAAGAACGCAATACCGATCTACTTGTACATTGAGAATAAAACACAGTGACCGTTGCTTGCTTTAAATGTGAAAACAAAAGACAGAGAGTGAAAGAGCCCATGAACGAAGCTTAAGAAAACACAATACCTGCCGTTCTTAGGCACAGATTCATCAATAAGGCAACGGAATATTCCAATGTGTAGTCAGATAACGAGTCGTGCTCTTCAAGTACGTCAATAAGCCATGGAATCAGATTATTCTCAATCATTTGTGTTTGAAGATGGCGTCTATAATCGTGTATGAATAACGATGGCATCATGTTAGAAATTTCTTGGCAAAAAACCTCATTTATCATTCCCAGAAGACCATGCATGCGAAAAGCGGTATAAATAATAAGAGTATGAAACGTGATTCTTTTTTGGTTCATCCTTAGAATCAAATTAATTTCAATGCATCATTATGACAAAGATGGATGGCGGTGTTGTAAGTGCAACAATCTTACAATTTACCTTAGGAAGTAAATCAAGTGACGCCATCTTTTAGTTCTGTTTTTCAATTTCAAATCTGGTTATACATTATTGACGTTTTTCCGAAAGAATGTGTTAGTATATAAAAACTTTAGCCTCAATTTACAGGAGGTTCAAATTGAAATTTTACCTTAAGCTGAGTTTCTGCAAACATCCCAAGATGTTTTCACTTGTCAACAAATCCACAGGTTCCGCCATCAAAGCCTTTTGTAAAGCTTTAGCCAATTTAGTGCTTTGAGACAAATAACTTCTTCCTTTCATGAAAATAGTTCCATTAATGCAGTTGAAGAAGAAGAACATCAGAGCCTCGTTTCAGACTTCAGTTAAGTACAATGAAATGCTTTCGTGTTAATACAAAAAACTTACCGGCTGACATTGATGCGATCGTATTCAATAATCGTGCAAAGTACTGACAAACAATGTCGTTTGATGAACGCAGAAGCTCGATCAAACTCTCCTGAATAAAAGAAAAGAGAGATACTTGCACGCTTCACTTAAGAATACCTTATGCGAAAACTGGAAAATCAATTCTTAGTGATATTTACACTGAAAACAGTGTCTTTTGTGTAGACATACAAATTTTGGAAGGGCATGAGTAATCAGCTCCACCAAATCTCCAAGTTCATGGTCATGGCAACGACCAACTGTATGTACTAGTACCAATTATGAAGTAATTTGTTAGCTCAGTCACAAATTTTTAGATAAATCATCTGCGCATGCGCAGTGAGATTGAACATGCGCAGTCAACTTGACCAGCTGCCCAAGTTCATGGTCATGGCAACGACCAACTGCATCTACTAGCACCAATTTTGGAGTAAATAGCTCGCTTAGTAGCACTTTAATAGAGAAATCATCTGCGCATGCGCAGTCTGCTCAAGCATGCGCGTTCCGCTTGACCAATTGTTCGAGTTCATAGTCAAGATAACGACCAACTGGATCTACTAGCACCAATTTTGGAGAAAATAGCTCGCTTAGTCGCAATTTAATAGAGAAATCATCTGCGCATGCGCTCGAGCATGCGCAGTCCACTCGACTAATTGTTCATAGTCATGGCAACGACTAACTATATGTACTTGCACTACATTTGTGGCAATTAGCTCACTTAGTCGCAAATTATCAAAGAAATCATCTGGGCATGCGCAGTAACGATGTCAATCATACCACAACTTTCGTAAGCCTTTAAATTTTGGTATATATATAAAGCTAAAACTTCATATAGTAGATGTCAACTAGCAGTGGAAGCTGGGTGCGATATGTATGCAGTGGCTTAGGGCCCACACTTCGGTGGCGACCGCACTCTCCCTGCGCAAACCCTGAGCAAAGCCTATCGCAGGTGATCTCGGAGTCTGATGGGCGGAAGCTTGCTGTTGGCATCTCCCAAGTAGGATAGCGTGGAGGGGCCGAAATCTCCTACCGAAACGTTAACATGCGGCGTTCTAGTGCCTTACGCTTAACAAGGTATCGGGAAGCATGGACCGAAAACAGGGTTTTTTGCTTTCGAATTTTATGTTTTGTTCATAAAAAATTATTTTCATTTTAATATCAAAGGATACTGCAATATTTTAAACAACTTCGGCCTTTTTGACTCATCGTTTAAGCCAACTTAACACCTGTTTATAAACATTTCTAATAAATTCATATTCTTTAAAATAAAACTCTCTCGTTTACTGTTTAATGCATCATGAACGAAAGCATCCATGGCTTTAATAACAAGCGAGAATTATCTCAGTTAATGTTAACTTAAATAGCTGAGTTGAAATGAAGACTTCACGACTAATTTTTTTTACAATGAAGCCATTTGTATAGTCTAGATTCAGCCCAATTTTCAACACGTATCTGCGTGTGTTATGAAATCTTGCTTCACTTTGGATGGAAAACATATAGCTAGGTTACATAAAATATCCATAATCAAAAACTCCAAAGGTGGAAAACTGAAATCTAAGAGCATACGTATGCACGGAAAACATAAATTTTCAGACAAGTCAAAAATTTTGGACATCTGAGCACGAAAAAGTTAATGTAATGTGATGTTTATTTCTCTTACCAATCGTTCAACATATAACAATACTGCAAAGTCGCCTAGCAAATTTGCACTGAAAACCATTCTGCTTACCGTACCTGATATTCCCCAGGGAACGCACAACCCAACAAATCGTTTCCAATGTACGCTCTCATCGCGGAATTCCGTGATTCATCGTCGCTGCTTCGGGTTAATCGCTGGATATCAATAAAAATATGTCGGAAATTATCATATGTAACATACATAGACATCAATGAAGGTTGAACAAGTGACCAGTCATAGAGGTTGAAGGTACAAGAACATGAAGGTTGAACAAGTGACCAGTCATAGAGGTTGAAGGTACAAGGACATGAAGGTTGAACAAGTGACCAGTCATAGAGGTTGAAGGTACAAGAACATGAAGGTTGAACAAGTGACCAGTCATAGAGGTTGAAGGTACAAGGACATGAAGGTTGAACAAGTGACCAGTCATAGAGGTTGAAGGTACAAGGACATGAAGGTTGAACAAGTGACCAGTCATAGAGGTTGAAGGTACAAGGACATGAAGGTTGAACAAGTGACCAGTCATAGAGGTTGAAGGTACAAGGACATGAAGGTTGAACAAGTGACCAGTCATAGAGGTTGAAGGTACAAGGACATGAAGGTTGAACAAGTGACCAGTCATAGAGGTTGAAGGTACAAGGACATGAAGGTTGAACAAGTGACCAGTCATAGAGGTTGAAGGTACAAGGACATGAAGGTTGAACAAGTGACCAGTCATAGAGGTTGAAGGTACAAGGACATGGAAGTTGAAAATATGACCAGTCATAGAGGTTGAAGTTACAAGAACATGACGGTTGAATAAATGAAACTTGAACAAGTGAACAGAAATGGAGGTTGAAGGTACAAGGACATGAATAAAAGTTGAACAAGTGAGTACACTATTGTACATACTTACCCATCGAAGTGCTTGCAGTAAGAACGCTATTCTTCGTTCGGACGAAGAAACTAAATCTTTTTTGATCTTTTCAAAATTCAAAGCTCTGTATGGCATGTCATTTACAGAATTTCTAGAAGAAAAATAATATTTCATCAATTTGTTTAAAAAGAAAATAATAGTTTCTGCTACCTGACGCTTGTTCTTGAAATGGATTCTCTAAGCATGTTAGACGTCTAGTAAACAAAAATCAGAGTTATTGGAGTTGGAACGAAGTTTTCGACACCCACAAGACACTTTAGAGTGTAGAAAGGATTCGTTCATTTCGTCTAGTCATAATTTTATCTGTGAACATGCAAGTAGCATGTGTTTCAAGTATGTATTAATCTTTAATCTAGATTCTTCGAATGTAGCTATTAATCTTTAATCTAGATTCTTGGAATGTAGCTATTAATCTTTAATCTAGATTCTTCGAATGTAGCTATTAATCTTTAATCTAGATTCTTTGAATGTAGCTATTAATCTTTAATCTAGATTCTTCGAATGTAGCTATTAATCTTTAATCTAGATTCTTTGAATGTAGCTTTTAATCTTTAATCTAGATTCCTCGTATGTAGCTATTAATCTTTAATCTTAGAGTAACAAGACACGGTCGGGATATTAGTTCGAGATTGAATTAGAGAGATCTATTTTGCATATATTTGTACAATACGGAATGATCATCGTAGTTTCATACACTAGTTTATTTCTTTACCGTTCCAGGTTTCGTCAAGTCTACCGACTGCTGAGCAGGGGTAATGAAAAGTCGTCTGCATAAATCTTGAATATATTCCGAAGAAATCTGAAAAACATAAATGTAGGTCACTGAAGTTCCTGCTTCAAATGTGACTTATTTAACGTAATTTTTAGCAATTTTAACAGGTAAAATGACCATGAAGATGTATTTAGAAAATGTACGACATTTCTTCTGGAAATGTTCTAAAATATTTTTTGGTTGCATTCGCCCTCTAAGAGAAGTAAATTCGTACTATTTTTCCTCTTATTGTGTCTTCCAACGAGTCAACAAGTTCAGCTGCAATACCAATTAACTTGTGATAGTCTCCCTAGCGAACGATGAAAGTGAAAAAGAAAATCAAAATGTTCTGAGACTAGAAAGGTAGTCATAAAAAAAGAAACATATATGTATAACTATGTGCACTATTTGTATAAATAATTTGCTGCGTTTTATAAAACAGTTTTAATAAAACCTGTATCTGGCTAAATTTCTTAAAATAGTTCATCAATTTAGTCTCCGCCTCGGAAAGTTGCGTTTTCAAAACTTTAATATAATCGTTATACTGTTGTCGTTCTGAAAGATAGAAAATAGAAAAGACAAAACGAATTATTTCGAGCATTTATTTCAAAACATGTAATGCTCTCAACGCAAAATGATCACAATACTCTCAACACAAACTCACATACACATAAAACCACACTTGACCCATGCAGTCATAAAGATTCAAAATAGAAACTGCATCCAAGATCTTCTCCCAACATTGTTTTACCTTTTTCAAAAATATGCTGTCTTGATGTCTGGACAGAATGGTATCGTCAAGAGAAGCAAACTCAAAGAGACATAATTCAATAGAATTATGAAAGTTTCATCAACAATCATAAGGATACAAATATATAATATAACTCTGGTTTTTCTTCATTTTTCAACATGTCAGATAAGAATTCTTGCAACTGCATTTTAGTATTGTTTCTCCAAGTATCCTTAAAACGTAGATTAACATCTGTTTTTAATATCGTTTGCTTAAAACTTGTCAAAAAAACATCACTGATTATTTAAACAAAATGAAATGAAATCATTTTTAGATAAAAATGGGTGTTCAAATAATGCAATTTGGAACGAAAATAAATTGATTAAAAAGCTAACATGAAGCATGTTACACGAAGGAGAAATAACGTCATCAAACGTCATCATAACGTCATCATAACGTCATCATAACGTCATCATAACGTCATTTGGATCAATCTAAAAATCTCTAAGAACCCATAAAGCCAAAATTTTAACTTAATGATCAACAATAGCACACCACAAATTCCACGTCATTGTGATACTGAAAAGTTTATACTTTTATTTGTATGCAAGTGATGGACGTGTATAAATAAAAATGACGATACATTTATACAAACCGTAAGTATTGGCTTAAAGGAAGGATGCTCCATAACGTCTGGAATAAATGGCAATGCAAAATACGGAAGAAATTCCGTCGTTTGACTGAGCACGGATCCCGTCGTCTCTAAATACCTCTTAAAATACTCTTTCATTTTTTTGGCTTCCTGCAGTAAAAAAAACGTTGAAAAAAAGTTGTGTTGAAAATACAACATTACATCTGTTTACAAAGATTACTTTGGCAGTGTTTGACTCTGGTTACATTAAACACCGATGAAATGAAAATTCGAACATTATCCTTTATGAGAAATGGTTCAAGCACGGAAGTAGCTATCGATCCATGTTTTGTAGATGTGAATGGTCTATATTATTGTACTCCTTAGGAGGTGTATTGGTGTTAGCCTTGACTGATGTCAAGTTAAGATAAATTTGAAGATGACTACCGCTAAAACGTCCATCAACACCAACAGTCCTTCTCAGAACTTCACTAAACATGACGATCTACATCAACTAACACGTCATGTAAGGATACTTTATTGCACAAAAATCTTTCGCGAAATCGCAAACCTCGACAACCCACGAACTTTCAATAAATGATGAAGATTTATCATTTCTTTTTACCGTTTTTCCCAAATTATTGACGAGTGGAAAGATGGCAAAATAAAGATGTATTTTGAACTCGAGCTTCTGACATTCCAAATCAACTTTACGAGTTTTTTCAGAAACGTTTTCATTCCAAAGTTTAATGAAACGCTCATAGTTTCCAGTCTCGAAACAGTTTAGGATAGACTTCTGAAAAAGTAAAAAAAACCTTAAGATAAAATTAGAAAAATAGCCAGTAAAACATTATTGTGTCACTATGTTATAACAAATTTAAGAGGAGAAATTTGAATGAGTTTACCTCAATATCTAGTATGTGCCCATTCGTTTTACTTGATGGAACCGAAAATTGAACAGGTCTACCCATCGATTCAAGATCTTTCTTAAATGTCTCCACAGTTGACATACATCCCATGTATTCTAAATACTAGAAGATGAAAAATACAAAATGGTTTAAATGGGCAACAACGTATGTATACAAATATAAAACGTTGTCATATAATTAATAGTAACCTAACGATGGCAATTTTCATGGTTTATTTGTCCATTTTTATATTAATATTGTAAAATTACTTTATGCACCATTTGGACCTCAAATTTATAATGATAAAGTAAATTATCAACACAATATTTACAAAGTAAATGGTTTGAACCCGGGAGTATCGTTACATGTTTGTAAATGTAGATCGTCCAGGTTGGTATAGTCCCGAGAAGGACTGTTTTTGTTGTTAAAATCTGATTGTGAAGATGACTACCGCTAAGGTTGTCGAAACGTCAGTCAACAACAACAAAAACAGTCCTTCTCAGGACTATACTAACCTGGACGATCTACATTTACAAACATTTAACGATATTCACAGGCTTACAGAAAATAGTTAGAATAATATTACAGAGCCTCTATGGCAATGACCTCCACTTTGCATAACGTAGATAATCAAGCAATTTAATTCATTATAAAGTAAGAGAGGCGACAGTTTTAAGGAATAAAATCTTCAAATGAGCTCTACATCTAACGATTTCCAACCGTAGTAACAAACCGACCTCGTTGACTATCGAATTTAACTGTTGTTCAGCTTCTTGAACAGATTCCATTGCAAGAATAACTTCTATCAACAATGCCTTTATTTTTAGTGCGCGTACAAGATAGCAAAAGCTTTGAAGAGGAAAATGTTTGAAGTTTTCTTGTAACTAAGCGTCACAAGAAATTTTGTTTTTGTCGCCATCTTGACTGAAGCATCCGCTACTTCATATCCATCAAAAGACGTTCTCGTTCGTGTCAAATATAAACATTGCTATTGAACAAAAAAGTGGTAAGAAACGACGGAGAGTGACTGCAGCAAATGAAACGACTGATGTAATTAAAGTTAATCTTCTTGCATCAGTTCTCAAACTACTACTTTATCAGAGAGTCGCCATATTAAAACAGCAAAAATATTCCAGGGCAAGTGAATAATTTATCCATTTTCTGAAACATGACGTCAAGGTTGCTACCTAACACTTGAGATAAGGTGATCATAAAATAAGAAATATATTCTTTAAACAAAACATTATGCAATCAATGATTATGGCCATTTCAGGGGTAGATAAAATAGATGTTATTATATAAAACATTTATAGTGTTTAAATAAAAAACGATGTCTATTTTACATAGACGCCATTTCTGCTGGGAATGTTGAAAATGTCTAGCAAGTTCCAACGATCCAAAATCTACCTTATTTATGCAGGATATCACAAAGGCATGCCACATATTTATGCCTACTCTATTGCCACAAAAGAAATAAATGTAAAACAGAAATACTTCATCTAAAATAAACAAACACAGAAGTTTAAAAGTCCGATTACGTCGTTGAAGGTCCACTCGAAGTAGTTTTAAAAATCTATTTTTACCTCCAGCTATAAAAAGGGTTTTCGTCTATTTATAACTGAAATTGGTTTAAATTTAGAAACGTGGAAAGATCCGCGAATCTCCAAAACAACATTCCAATATCTAATCAGTTTATTATTTAACAGAGATCTCTAAGTTTGAATCACCTAGAGAACAATTTTGATCACTCACAGTCAGTCAAGGGAAAATGACACGCACTCTTCAATTGGTGTTTCTCGGTGTAATATTTCTTCATGGTTGTCAAAGGTAATAAATGTTGCTCAAATATATAATTTATTAAATATTGTATTCGTGTACGTACTTTGCTAAGAATTTCAGGTAAGTTTTTGAAAACAGAGATTATTTTCATTTTTTATGATTATTTTCATTTTTTATGTTAAAGATATTGTATCACTTGACAAATAACTCATTACAAACTTGCAAAGTCAAACGATGGCTAGCAAAGTGAGAATGACGGATCTCCATCTCTCACAAATTGCAAGATAGTCAGTTAATTTAGGGAACTTTCACGTCATGCTGACTGCACCATTCACCGACTAAAAACCTGACCAGACATATGTTTTACAGTAACGAAAAACTTATTGTATGTGAATATGTGATAATGTACATTTTACACTTGTGAAGGATTACTCAACTAGTCAATGAGCTTTATTCAACCTTGTCTTGCGTTTTCATAAAGTCTTTGAGAATATGAGATTTCAGAATTTGCTCTCTACAAAAGAGGTTTATTATAACTGATAAGATATAGATTACAACTTACTTAGGGTTGTCGTAAATAGGTTTAGAAATTATTCTTATAGCAGATTGTGTGGTCTTTGTTGTCGCTGACAATTAATGTCGGTTTCATACTGCTCGATGATGAAAACTGTCTGGTGACAATGTATAATTAAAAAATATCCTTGGAAACAAACAAAAAGCAGAACAAAATATGAGTCTGGTTGGCAAGTGGGCATATGCCACATTTTATTTTTATAGTTAGCCCGTCCTGAACAGTTGGGAGTCTTATTATTTTTTAAAAGTCATAAATTATGTTCATCGATAAGCTAATCACGTGGCGTGCATATGTACAAAGCGCAATCCTTTCAAAATTTCAAATTTCTTTCACAATTCTTCAATGACAGAATTATTTATTTATTACAGGATTTATCAAATTTTTAGTTAATCATTTTAAAAGTTCATCATCATTGAACTCTGTGATAGACGATACTGCTCTTTGTTATAGAAATTGTTCAAGATACACACTAAAAGTATTTTATAATTAAATTTAGTTCTCAAGGTCCGCCTAGCATCATGGATACTTGCAACAAATGTGGGAGACTGGATCCTATGATCGTCTTTCTCCTAACTTGCTGTGTTGTCATGCTAATGGAAGGATTGCACGTTATCATTCTCAAAAAAATTTCATTGTCTTTAGTGCTGCCATTTCTGATGCTTTTGTGGATGGGGTCTCGATTAGGTAGGAACGCCTTATAAAATGTCTTTATTTATTTCTGTTGATATTTGTTTAAATACATGGCAACACAAATTGATAACATCTTTTAAGTACTGACCTCATTTAAAGGCACCCCATAATGATATTAAGAACAGAAAAGCCTAACTTAACTGTTGCCAATATATGCTATTGGGATTCCCCTCTAGACAGATGTTTCTACGTTCAAATTTTCATGTTTTCAAGTCAAAATGAACCTGTGAGTCGGCAATTTTATTACATCATCCATAAAAAAACTTGGAAAATAAACAGTTCAACATTTAAGCGAAGTTAGATTTGACTCCATATAAAAAAATTTAGACGACGTTAATTATCCGATGACGTATTTTCACAAGAACATTTTATGCGAGGTCTCACGGTCTATTACATTTAATATTCTTGCCTGCTGTGAGAGTATAAAGGAAAAACGTTTCTTCACAAACTGTTTTCATAGTTGCGTGTAAAGGTAACTATGGAAACACAAAACTAAATTCTACGCATAAATTTGCTTGTGTAGAAATTGAATAGAGCAATGAAACTTGAATTTAGTGACTTGATAGTCAGTTGAATTTAGTACTCCCGTGTTTAGTCCTAAAATTAAAAACAAGCAGCACGTGCATGTCCTTTAAGGCTTGCTTACTAATTTGTTATACCTGTGTGATTATTTTGAAGTTTATAGCAACTAGGATTTTACACCTGTCTTTATCGCTGAGTCGGCAAAATTTTATCTTCGCTCAACACCAATAAACAATGAAAACATGATGTTATCTTTTTTTATTCATGCAGTTCGAAACAACTATTTTATTGAGACGAAAAAGAACTTCACAGAAGAACGAAGGGGAAGTTTTCCAGTTCAAAACACAGATCAGTAAAACGAGACTTAATTGTGATCGCAGATACAGTTCGCCCACAGAGAAATTTAGAAAACATAACGTGTTGTAAGACATTGCAAAAGCACGTACAGTCAATCATAATCAGCCCATTTCCAAGCCGTCGAAGACCGCACGTCATGTTTTTTCAGTTTCTCTGATGTTCAAATATTGTTCATAATAAGTTATTTACCAAAATATCCAAATAATACACCACTATAGGGGTAATAGTATACAATTGTATTATAAAGCATTTTCATAGAGCTGCACTGCAAAACAAAGTCTTAAAATTTGGAAAATCGACATTCGTTTCATCAAATAAATTTTTATATATAATTATCTTTCCTCGCCTAAACGTACGGAGCTCACATAAGTTGATTTTCTGTTATTCCATAATTAATTTCTCCCTAAACCATAGTTTGGTTTCGTTTACTGTTATTACATATAATTTTACTCTGTACATAGAGATTATCTAAATCAAATCAATTTGTCACCATCGATAGTTCGTGTTACATAATGCATCATATGCAAACAAGCTTAGTGTTTGTTGATATTGGAAATTTTACGTTTTTACCATAAACTGCATTTTTCTTTGGGATTCATCTGAGAGCCGACTGAACAACAGAACGCTTTTGAAAATTCTGGAAAGTTTGACAAGCTTCCAATCACTCTAACAAAGGAGATAATGACGACTTTTCCAAACAAAGAAGAATTTGGACAAGACAGCACAGCTTTCTATTTGATATAGCGCCACCATTTTTTGAGTACATAGTGAGAGAACCAAGATATTTTAACTAATGTAGTTTTTGTCTCTAATTTCTTTATATTCCTGCAGCTAAATGTTTCCTTTTAAAATAATGCATGCTTTGGAGAGAGACGTTCGGAGTGAACTAAAGGTTGCTTTTATTTTGATCACGAAAATTAAACTTTGGTAAATCCTGTTTTGTTTTATTGATTATCCATTTTATATCGTGGCCATGTGTCTTTAAAGAGATTTTTAAAACACTAGGGAAAACATTATCACCCATCAGCATTATTATCGCCTATCAGTATTGGAAACCTTTCGTGTTGAAAATGTTGATAATATTTGCAAAAGCCGTAAGACATTGATAAGAAATTCTAACTAAAATGCGTGGGTCTTAGACTTATCATAAATATCAAAACAAATCAGCTGCACGAACTCATTCATTATCGTAAACAAATGATTTCTAACCTGGCCATTCCTGGAAGATGGGATAGAATGTTTACATTTTTCAAATACAAAGATGGGTATTTCGAGCACCAAATCTTTAAGGCAAGAATGAGAAATACATCATTGATTAATGATTAGAAGTTGGCACATGCATTCTGCAATCATTGCCGAGAAAAGTGCATATTTGAAATGAATATTCTCAATTTCTAATCTTGATAATGCTTCAAAAAACACTATCTTCGACTGAGGTTTTGTGTTTTCACATTTCTTTGAAATTTGGAGTTTTCAAAGAAATTTTTACACAATGCATGCAAATCCTCTGTAACAGAACTTGTTTTTAAACATTTTAGGCAAAAAAGTTCAACAAGAAAATATACAATGCATACCCGAGCATTCGCAACAAAGAAGAGCTGAACACTTGTTAAGTTGAAAGCAGACAAATCAGGCTCATCGTTTTCACTTCTCCAATCTTTATAAGCCTAAATAGAATCATAATGATCATATAGTATTTTGAGATGTGACGTCTAAAAAACTTTTATCGACATGATATATTCAAGCATTTGACGCAGGCAACCTCGAAAGCCGTTCTTACTCCACCACTATCTGCCATATTTTCACCCAATGACTTTTCACCGTTTAGCTGAAATAAAACGTAATGAATGTACTAGGTGTGTTATACAATGAACCTCTCACAAACATATTCTCCTACCTTAATTCCTTTAAAATACATATTAGAATACTGCTGAGTAAAACATTTTGATCTTTTTTCATACTCCATCACGGAGGAATTCTGCCACCAGTTGCGCAAATTGCCATTTTCATCATGATTTCTTCCTTGAAATTAAAACAACAAAACTCTGACTGATCATGTTATTACCGAAGGAAAGTTTTATTTATGTTGTCGCAAATCGACAAAATTGCTGGTAATATAGAGTAGGCAAGAGACAACTAAGTTTTTTTGTACTTTGTTCGATACATTTGATCGTAACAACTTACCGTTGATGTCAAAAGCGTGTGTTAACTCGTGGCCAATAATCATTCCAATTCCACCAAAATTCAATGACCTATGAAAGGAAAAAATGTCAAATAGTTCTATTCTAAAAGCCTTATACTTTTATATGTTGTTCAATAATAATCATTCACAGCTTGGTAAGTTAAAGGGATCAAATAACTTTGTTAAATTGACACAATGCATTATTTATCATCCAACAAATTCCTATATACATCTGCATTTATTTTCTCAATATACTTTAAGATGACAATAGCTAACTTGCATCACTTGAAAAATTAAAAGAAAATCGGTTGTGGTATTAAATGAAATGCTGTAATATTTTTGGACGGTGTAGAGACTCCTTGTAATTTCACAGCCAGCAGAGCTCGTTCGGTCTCATGTGGTCAGTTTTTATTGGATTATCGAAAGAATTAATCCAAGTCGCTTCGAAAGAAAACATGCTCCATATTTTCAACATAAACACTATCTTGAGAACTGCTCTCTTTCAAACTCACATTGGACGAGAGGGGTCGTAAAATGGTGGTTGCAAAATTCCAGCTGGTACATCTAAATGTCAAGGAAACCAATGATCATTAACTCAAACTTTATCAGCTTATTTATACCATGTCAATATTCATTTCCAAAATATTCTGTAGCTACAGAAAGTTTTCCAATATCTGCCAAGATTGTTTAGATCAGTGCTCAGTCCTATACTCCCTATGCAACTCCAACAAATAAAAATGTGGGCTGATAAAAACGCACATTTTTTAATACCTGTCAGGTGAATCTAAATAACTTACACACTTTGTTTGAGGTCGCACTGTATTTGGCATTGGACGATATGGGATCAAAATACGCACTATAAAAGTGAAAGAAAAATACAAACGATTACTTATCCATATTAAACAAAAACTATCTGAAAGTCATAACTGATAACAAGACTAAATTCTGTCGTTACAGGAAATCTTTCAATCTTAAATGTTTTCTCAATGAAAACAGTCTTGTTTATATTTTAGATCAATTTACTTTACCATTATACATAGCATTTGAAGCAGGATTGTTTATTGACCAAATCTTACTGTACTATCTTTTCATATTATAAAAATGCATTCCAATATCCTCTACAGCATTCAAAGGAACTACATATTTTAGTTTACATTCTCATGTTCTTCAGAGATCACGATCTAAATGCACTCACTCAGTTTCATAGTCTGTCATCGAATATGTTTTTAAGTTTTTCTTCATTATGAACGAGCGTTTTTCAATCCAGTTGTTGATGTAATCATTTTTCTTGATTTGTATCTGTTGATTTAACATGTTAGAAAAAGCACATTATTTTTATATCATTCAATGATAAATGAAAATGTTTAAATTAGTTTCATTGGTTTCATGTACTTATAATACCTCATTTGGTAATTACCTCTTCAACTTTCGTATTTAGCTTGTCGTTATTCTCCAGGTTAGCAGGTAAAATAACTGATAACTTTATTTTTCGAGCCTATAAAATACGAAAATTCTGAATAACACAGCGATGAAAACAGAGATAAGAAAGCAATAATGGAGAAGATTTTTAACAAAGATGAATATAACGTTAGCAAGTTGATAAAAAATTGCATGCTATACTTTAGAAACCATCGTATGCATACAGTTCTCTTTTTGTGTGCTATAACTGTTGTTTTCTCAACACAATTGTTTGTTGAGCAGCAAACCAATGTCCATGATAACAATCACTCACAATAAGATGTACCTTCTTCAACGCCTCCTGTTTTGTTTTTGAATCCATCCATGATGAGGCATTAATGTCCTTAACCAAATTCTCGTGTATTCTTTTCATCATCTTTTTAAACTAATATGAAGCACAAAAAGCAAACCTTAATACAGCACATCGCTAGTTTTGAAATCAAAATGAATTTAAAATATAGATAGATACACTCCAGTTCATATCTAATGGCTACAGATGGGATGCTAAACCAAATTTACATCATCGTGAGGAGAGTTTCCAACAACCAAATGCAAAAATGTATTTCAATATCCTCTACAGCATTCAAAGAACTACTTATTATAGTAGTCTCTTTATAATCTTGTTCTATATCCTGCTGCGTCCTGCATGTATGGTCGAAATCCACACAGACAAAGCATGAAAATGAATTGTAAAATTAAGTAAAAGACTTCATGACGTACACGAGTTTCTTCACCTTTATGAAACATTTCATGAAGGTATAAAATACTTAATGAGGAGCCAAACACGGTTCGGACGGATGCAAAGCACTTGCTTTTAATCTTTTCTGGCTGATCGTTACCATACATCTCACTGATCGCATGAGGCAATTGAAAACCACCAAATGTATGGGCATCACTTATAACTTGCCATATAAGATAATTGGCCAATGTCCTAAGAGATAACAGCATTCCATATTCTAATGATTAAAGACAACATTTAAAACAGTCCAGTGCGAGATATTGGACAATACCTACGTGTTATCGGTTTTTTCAACAGTTTCTGCCATGCTTTTGATGTAGTTTATGTCATTGACTTTAACAAGTGTATCCTTGGTAATCGTGACGTCAATGTCATGAAACATTTCCTGGAAATAATTCAGCCATTGGAACTAAAAACATTGAATAGATTCACAATTAGATACAGAGTTACATTAATTCATAGGTTGAGCTAACGCTTAACCAACTTGGTGATCTTTTCAATATTCACACATTTATTTCGGAAAGAATTTTTAAACTATGCTATTTACAGAATTTCCATAGAGAAAAGATGCTTGTCAACACTATAAACCCTGTAATACCTTCAACAGAAAATAACTTCATTCAATAAGCATGTTTTCCAAAATCGTCATATTATGGAACTTACTATATGTTTCGTTTTTTCTTGGAGTTCTTGTATTTTCATAACTTTGTAAGAAAACTTTTTCTTCTGAAATTTAGATAAGGACATGGCAGCCTAAGAAGTAAAAAAATATATAATTCAAAAATGAATTCGAGAAATCCATATCATGCATATTCTTTCTTATACCTCTGATAATTTCTTCTCAAATTCAAAAACATTCTTTGCTTGTCTTAAAATTGCCGTATCATTTTTGGTTTTCTTAGATAACGCTGCCATAACACCCAACATTTTATTGAGATAATGGTTTCGCTTCTAAGAAAAAGAGTGATGATTGATTAAAATATGCCTCGTTCCAGTCCTTTAAAATGTAACAAATAGTTCAAGCTTGCTGTTGGAAGTGTTTCATGCTCAACAGGTTGATGTGTCAAAGTTTTTAGTTTCTTTACAAAACACTTTATCAGGCTGCAACTTGTCACTTTAATGTGGAACTATATATGATAAGTTTGGAAATACACTTTATCGAAAAAGATAAATTTTGGTTTTAAAACCAGTAGCACTTTCAACAGTGAGACAGACTTTAACGTTGGGCTTTAACATTTCTATGATGACATCATTCAGTTTTTTTTAAAAAACATGCTAACGTAATGACTAATGCTTAAAATAAAAGACAAGTAAATGTGTCTGCATTATTTCAAATCGTCTATATTGTTCTCTACTGACCTCTGTGCTATAAGAATCATTACTTAGGTAGAACATTCGAAACTGCAAGAGCAATGAGACCCATTGCCTAATCTATAGAAAGATATTTTCATCAATCAACTTGTCGACTTAAATATTGCAAAAGAAATGCGAGGAAGTACAATGATATTCTTTTTAGTGGTGTTTTTCATATCTAGACCGATCTTAAAAAAGAATAGCGGAAAAATCGAGAGCTTGCGATGAATCTTCACGAGATTCGGTAGTAGGTTCCAGGTCTTCCTCGACCAGTCCGGAGTGCTGATGTTCCATCCTCCAAATTGGTCGATAAACTTCTGAGTGTTTTTAAACTTTGTTTCGTCGCTCTCACGAGAATAGCTCAGGCAGACACTAAAGTCCCGTTGTGCTTTAGAAATTGCTTTTATCTGAAAAAACGTTTTTAACTGAAAAACTACAAAATGATCACGTCTTCAAGAAAATTTCTTACTTACATGTTTGTATTCATTCGTAGCATTTTCATCTCGTAATTTTGCAACAATAATCTCCCTATTTTTCTGTTCTAATACATTGAATTGTGTAACCTGTCTGTTGTTGATAACTTGCTCAGACATCCATCGGTTGCAAACAAAATTGTAGAAGTTATGGCAGGGATCAACTGACCAATCAAGACTTTCCATCAGAGCTAAACATTATCATGCACAACAAAAGCATCATTTGGTTTAAAAGTGGTTGTGAATTTATCAACGAAAAAAAGTTAGATCACTTTGAATTGTATCATTTCATTTGCTCTGGGAAAAGTAGGAACAAAATTCCACGTAAATTCTACACAGAAATTGAGCTAAGCATTATCTGCTTGAGATTAAGATAAAACTATCTCTCATAAAAAACTCTAGACAAGCTAATACGATAAATTTTCAAAAAAAAAAAATGTCAATAAGACGAACATGATTGTGCATTTGGTTGAAAGGTTGAAAACAGCTTTTTAAAATTTGAAAAATCTCAAGCTAAGGGTTCATGAATGCTCATTCGCCATGCAGTTTTACGACTTTAGCTTGATGAACATTAATGAGAAAAATAAAAAGTCCTTCTTTTTCACTAAATAAATCAACTCACATTGTAGCTGTTTAAAGCTTTCACTTCCCAAGAGATTGCATCTAGTACAATTTTCATTCTGTCCATTGTTTTTTTTGTGCTCTAGAAGGAATGTATACAACGCAGATTTATAATAACTGCATGTTGATAAATCTCATAACAATGACTGTATAATCACCATTTTCCTTTTGATTTCTACCAGAATTCTGACTTATACCAAATAAAACCGCCAATGCTATCGTAACAAAGAGGAGCACGATAACAGTAAGCACAAGAACACGCTCCAGAATGGTAAAGCGATGGTAGATCTTCGTGCGCCGTGGTCTCGTATCTCTCCATCCTACGTTTTCGACCTCTTCTGTGGACCTGTGGTATTCTACACTGGGCATTGTTTGCAACAGGTCACTGTTAGTAAAAGCAAAAAAAAACTAAATACTTTTTGATATGATAGTTTATACATTTCCATTGGTGGAGAATGGAATATTTTTGGGTTTTTCTTTGAACTCATTTCCATTTACCAGGATCACTCGAGGAAACTGCATTTTTGGTCAAAATTATTTTCCAAACGTTTCTCGAAAAGAAATTTTCTTTAGGACAAACAGCCGAATGGCTTAAGATTAAAGATTTGAATCACAATATCAATCAGAAAATAGCTGATATTGCACGTTGAAAATCAAACTGTGACTATCAAGTTTTTAGGTATCATAGGAAACATTTTAGCTTGAGATGGGGTGATGACTAATTAAAATGACGCATCTCTTTAAAAGACAGATTCTATCGTCTAGTTATGTGGGGGTAGAACTTTTTGAATAGTGTTCAGTTCAACATAATGCTGATGATTTCATTTGTCTGTTCCTTCAAGATGACAAACGTTCATATGACTTGCGTCAAATATGTGAAACTAGACTCCTGACCACCTTCTGAATTGGTTTATCATCTGCTGTTCACAAGCCCCACCCCCTGCATAGTTGTTGCAAATTGCATCCTAAAGTCCATAATGACCTATTACACAATTATCTCGGAGTTTTTAAAAACCGGTGTAGCTGCCTTTATGGTCCTGTACTCCTATTCTGGAGCAGACCGAAAATTTCAGCAACTACTTAAGAACTTTTTTTGTATAGACACTACAATCAGTGCTATGTCTATGAAAGCACTTACACACTATTCATTGAATATATCACTTTGCAAAATATAATCTATATACGACGCATTAGACAAGTGTTGAATAATAAATATGTTTATGATATAAAAAAAAAATCATTAGGATATCAAATCATCAAAATGAATAATGAGGTCGGAAAAATTTTAATACACGCGACAAATTGATTGAAACAGGAAAAATTCTATTTATGCGGCAGTTATATATGATATATGATTTCTTCAAGCACCCCTGTCTGGGTGATGTAAAAAAGTCATGTTCGACCTACCAAGGTTGCTGAAGAGACCATATACGTGGGATTGAGCGACAATTACCAAATATAAAAAAATGTGACGTTTTAAACGGTTTTTTCATCTTATATGAAATTTTCTAAAAGATAGTGAGATAGATTTTTTCACTATCATAATAGGAATCGAGCCCTATAGCCATAAAGGCTTGAACGATTGATTTACAGTTAACATTGACAAATTATATTTTTTAGCAGTCTAATACTTTGCAAATGGATGGCATACATCTTCTAAGGAAACTAGTGCCCGCGCTACATGCTTACTCAACACAGCAGTCGGAACATTTGGGACATAAGCTCAATATCTAACATCATAAATTGTTCAATAAAAAACACACTATTATCCTGCTTTGTGAAATTTCAGATCATTACCATTTTTTCATTTTTTTTAGAAATCTATTTTTTTTGCAAGTGAGCACATGAGAATTTGCACAGCACTGGAGAAACAAATTGTGGCGTGAGCTACGACACTGACTGAAGAAAACATAAAACTTTGATTTCTTTGACAAATACTCGAGCAATATAACGGTAAAACGAAACCTCAAATGAAAACATGGAAAATGTTATACCATAATATATTACAATGCTATACTTCAATTAAAGAATGCAGTTTTACACTACTGCTGGCGTACAAACATTTAATGACAAATGACAAATCACTTACGATTTGAGATTAAGGATCACCCAATCAGTTACTCCAAGCGATAGAGTATAGAATCACTTATATTACTCAACACCGTCAAGATGAACATACAGCAGAAGCTGACATGCAAGAAACAGATTGTAGTCAAAAGAACATGCGATATGATGAGAATGAAGCCGTAAATATTTTGGAAGTTAAATACATTTCTCAGCGGGCTAACACATCAAAGCATACGCTAATCGTTATTAAGGGTTTTGTATCATCCAAATATCATATTTTCTTTATATTTGCTCTCTGGCATTCATCAAATGTTTCTATGGCTACTCATAAGTGTCAATGGACAATGATATCATCATTGTAACTGCTTTTGTAGGGGTCAACAAGTCTGAGAGGAGCATCAAAGACCTTGTCGAATGTGAACTGAAATAAAAGACGTTCTCCAAAAACATTTTATATCTTAAACCCAGCGACAACGACAAATGGCAGTGAGATAGCCAGCACACTAATTTAGCCTGGAGCCTGGGGCATACAACCCGGATATCACATGCACTGGATAGTGCTTAGTGATGATGATTCTTTCACCATAAAAAACCTTTAATTTATAAACCATCAGCTTTTATATTTCATTGATTTTCCTGCTTGAATTCTAATTTTTGGCACTCAAAACGGTCAGCATTTCAAAATTGGTTTCTACTGATGGTGCGCAATTTCTATTAGATTTTGACAAAGATATCGCTTGTGGTCCCCTCTTCTCTTTTAGCACGCAGCATATTGCAGATAAAACAACCATCTTGTAAAGACGTACAACTTCTGAAGAAACACTTTTACAAACCAATCTTATAAGAAACGGATCAAAGAAACGTACAAACATAACTCGGTCAAAAAGTCAATCACAGTTAAACAGTTCTCCATTAGTTGTGGTTGATTTCATATTGTTGTCTGAGATTGTTTCCATAGTCTATGATTCTCAGACACTTTGTTGTTTAATGTTTTCTGATCGTGCTCAAAAAAATGAAGAAAAAATGAGTTTTACGAGTGCGTCTTTCCTGACTGGTGCAGTAAAAATTTAATCAATACATATACATGTGATGAGACATGTGTCGTAGGCAAGAATTTAAATTAAAACCATCCGATAAGCTCAGTATCGTATATCTACTAATGAGCGACAAATCCTCAATGACATGAAGTGCCTGAGTGACGGACAAATAGCCGAAGTAATATGAAAGTATAATGAAAGAATGAGCGTTAGCCAATTAATATTCGATTATATATATTGGTTTACACTAGCTCAATCTTTTTATGTTTAGTATGTGTTAAAGTTTGCACCTCAGATTACGTATATGTCAATCCTCGTTAATTAGCATATTGCGTATGAAAAAATTCAAGTTAGGTCACAAAATTATGGATACTGTAGTTGACTAGTTGTGGGGTGAATATAAAATACAGTGATGGACTTGGAATTTCTCTAGAAAAGTGAATGAGCAACGAGTGCAGCAGGATGAAAATATTCAAAAATCAATTTTTTATTTAACAGATCCTCTGTATGGCTTCTCAGTGAATCCAACATGTTACCAGGCATATTTTCCCACTTTAGCTACTGAATCAATGTTAGGTGTAGCAACTCTAATGGCTGCTGTATACCAAAAACTAGCATGAAAACATTGCAACGAAGCACCAGCATAAAGATTAACGGATTAAATAAGCGTTTAAAGTTACTTGACTTCTTCAAATAATAAATCAAATCATACGAAAGGACAGGTTTATGATATATACTATAGAGGGACAACTATTGCATAAAAGATATTCTTTATACCATCATTCTAATAACATGAATTCTTAATTTTCGATTTCAAATTAATTTAATTAGAGCCTTTCAATGGGAATTAGTCACACAAAATAATTACACACACATTGTCAAAAAATATTGTCATAAAATTTGAACCACGAAACATCCAAATTCAAATAAATTATTTTAGAAAAATCAAAGTGAAAAACTATAGCTTTATAACAATTGCCTTCAATTGAATCGCAACTTTAAATCGCACTAGTTTTAAATGTCTTGTAGCACTGTGTGTGACAAAGTATATTATATGCATGCAATCATGAACTGATGAACTATGTGGAGGTAAAAAAAGGTATTTTTTATCTTTTCCGTTGATACGTGAGAAACAGGTGAAGAAAAGCACAAAATAAAAGGTCGAGGTTCAATGAAAGTACAGCATTCGATACACCAGTCGAGACAGTGTTGAACCTACACATGCTGTAAACAGCTTATTTTGTTTAATTTTAGAATCCTCTTATTTCCTTAGTATATGTAGAAATCGGTATAAGACCAACCACAAGACTGGATCATCATAACTCATCGTGACAGCTGTCACGCAATTTGATCAAAGCATCAACAATCAACATTAGTGATATATATGTGCTAGTATTTATCCTCATTATACCAGCATTCATCTGTTCATTTCTATTCAAAATGAACAACTTAGCGTTGGAATACAAAAACGCCGAAAATGGCATGGAAAAGACAATGCACACAAGCACCAGTCAAGTGAGTTTTTTCAAAACAGATGGCCCCCGCCGACGACCAAAGAATGCTTTTGGAGTTCTGTTGATTGCCTTGGTTATATTACTATTCGTGGGGCTATTGGTGTTTATGATATTGTATCTTGTGAAACTTTCAGACAATGAAAGCAAAGAGATGATGGTCACTATTGGTATGATAACATGCATTTGTAAAAATTCATCGCGGGATTTACTGCTCTGACCACATACCTGCAAGCTGTTTGCAAGAATGCATAACGCGCAATAAAATTCCTTTCTCGATTTCTCAGAAACCAGAATACATAATGTGACATTCATTCACAGCTTTTTCAATTTTTCTTACAGATTCCTTAACCAGATTTAAGTAAACCTAGGTATCTAAATAGATGAAAATACTATTGATGAATAACACAGAACAAAACAAACTTCGAACTATAGAGAGACTATTTAATCTCAAGACCGTAGTTAAAGGAAGCCTCCGAGCATTGTATCCGAGCATGAAAACGAATTAATTAATCGAGCGACTCTGAACATTAGTAGTCTGCGGAACTTCAACTAAGCTGGTTTTCTACTATTTTCTATACAGGTAAGAAAAACGAGAAAAGAACATGTATGTCAGCAAAATGTGTTACATCATCAGCAAGTAAGTGAAAATCCAATATATATTCATTTCTACGTTTGCTCCTAGTTGTTCTAGATGGGTTAATTTTTGAACCAGATTAATACACATACTTTTTGTTTTTTCCATAAATTCATCAATGAGTTTAACTTAGTTGTATGAAACTGCTCAAAATCTCAAAATGGGGAAAAAGAGAATATAACTTAATTAGCAATCCAATTTTTTCTGACCCAGGGTTAAAATAACTGAGCCATGTTTAAACAACCAGCACAATTATTGATAGCGACGCTGCTATGAACGTGAATGGTTTGTTTAATAAAGTTGCAAGTTTTGATGTTCATAAAAATTGAAAGTTTTTCTTCTTTTTACGATTTGAAACTGCATCCACAAGCTTTTCTAAATTCTTATTAAGTCAGACGTAGATGACAAACACGGAGATTTTAATTGTGTTTTAATTAATCTGGTTTGATAAATGTCAGATTTCAATAATTTATCACAAAATAAATACACTTTTAATTAAAGTTGCGTAAATCAACCAATAAAGCGTAAATTTTTGCCATGATGAATATTTCTTCATGTTGAAAATAATAATAATAGATAAGCCAAAGTTTCACAAGGGCCAACGTATTGAATAGAAACATACAAAAAGTTATCTCCAGTGACTTTTGTAAGTACTTGCAGGAAACTGAGAAACGTGGAGGACAGAAGATTTCAATGCCGAGAAAATAAATATCTTGAGAGGGGGCTCTGTTTTCTAATTTGGCTGATTCGTAAATCAATGGCCTTACAAAAAATTTACTAGAGATGACCATCAGAATTGGACTTGAATTTGGTATCAATGTCATTTTAAAATTAAATGAAGATGTGATCTTCGCACTTTTGCTGGACAATTTAAGCAATTGTCTCAAGAACCTGAAAAATTCAGGTGACTCAACGGGATCTCTGCGGTGCCGGTGCAGTGCTCTAACCAACTGAGCTATGAAGTCACACAGTGGAGAGCAGGTCAATTTTGTTGGGCTTATCTTTTCTCGTGGAAGGAATGGGATATCTCGTTGAGTCACCTGAATTTTCAGGTTCATGAGACAATTGCTTAAATTGTCCAGCAAAAGTGCGAAGATCATATCTTCATTCAATTTCAAACACCGCACTGCATATAACATTCTTTCAAATGTCATTTTAACTTACTGATTTTTTTTTGTTTAAAGATCAAACAAAAATTATCCTATATCGTTCACACTCTGTAATATACTTTGTACGAATACCATAAATCACGTTGATTTTGTTTGTGGTTTTGGTGCAATGAACCATTTGTTGGTTCTTTGCACCAAATTTTTGAGGAAACCTTAACGCCCGCCCTATACTGGCGAGCGTTCTTTCGTAAATAGTTCTGTTTACAGCAACAGCACAAAATGAATTATGAAATATTCATCCCATAGTTTACAAAATTTAAGGAAAACTGCCAGGGTGCTTGAAATGAAAGATGGATTAATTTTTTCGTTGATTTCAATGCTTTACGTGTCGTTGCTATGTGCCACATATCAATATGCATCTCGTTGCTTTTTATCACGTATAATAGCGCACACGTTGACCTTTCAGATATTTCTTGGCTGCTACTTGATGTTAATTTAATGCCACGCAAAAGAAAACCGTCATTTCCACTCACGAATTATACTTCGGATTGACCAAATAACTCTGCCAAGATAGAACTCAGTAAACAAACTGTCCTTAAAGTATGAGTTCGTAGCCATCATACAATTTGTTAGTTCCAAGGCTTCCACTTGATGGAGTTCTGGCGGAGTCCAAGGCTTCCACCTGGTGGAGTTCTGGCGGAGTCCAGGGCTTCCACCTGGTAGAGTTCTGGCGGAGTCCAGGGCTTCCACCTGGTGGAGTTCTGGTGGAGTCCGTGGCTTCCAGCTGGTAGAGTTTCGGCAGAGTCCATGACTTCCACTTGGTGGAGTTCTGGAGGAGTCCAGGGCTTCCACCTGGCTAATATCCAAATATGTAAATATTGAGTACACAGATGGCATCATCCAATGTGTAAATATTGAGTTCACGGCTGCCACCATCCAATATGAAAATTTAGAGTTCATGGTTGCCACCATCCAATACGTAAATATTGAATTCATGGCTGCCACCATCCAAAATGGAAATATTGAGTTCACAGCTGCCACCATCAATATGAAAATTTAGAGTTCATGGCTGCACCATCCAATTTACCTAACGTGTTTACAAGGTTATGAAAATTTCTGAACATAGCATGCAGCAGGATTATAAAACTGCAACGTTTATGGCAGTGCTCTTCGTTCTGAATAAAGAATTAAAATCAGCCTGAATTTGCACATGCTATATTGGTTTTGAAACAGAGGCTAACGTTCATTCTCTTTTGAAATATGAGCTGAGCTCCCTTTCATGAATAATTCACGTGGAGACACGTATGGACGATCGAAAAATCAACAATAATTATTCATACACTATCGTAAAATAAAGGCGACTCGAAAGACGCTAGAAACAAAGACGTGAGATTCGATCACAATTTTGTGTAGAACACGAGCAGGACAATTACACGTAAGTGCCAACGAGAGTTCGCATTTTTCTAACAAACATACTTTCGTTATATCTTACATAAAGCTACTGGAAGTTTTCCAATTCAGTTTACTGTCTAAATCTTTATTGACATATGGATGTGCTTATGACTGAATTTCACCCCCAATATTTTCGGGAAAAATTTCACGAAATTATAGCTATAACATTTAAGACGATGGAAAATGTTTGAAAACCTATGAAGTAAAGTGTGACACATGTCAGCGTCATATAGGCAAGTTTTCTGTCGACGAATGAAGAACATCTGTTATTATTTATTAATGACGAGCATTCCCTATGTAGGAAATGTATAACACGATTTTTGAATGAATATGTAATTAAAAATTCATTCAAATTACAGCAAAAAATACAAATTGCTTACAAATTTTTCAATCAGGTAAATTTTTGCATTCAAAACGCCAGTATATAGGGCCAATAAATTTGATGAGGTCCATGATACAAACGCACGAGGTCCATGTTTTTATGCTAACTTCAAGTGCTTCCTTGGTAAATTGAAATTTGTTCAAATGTGTGCATCATCTCAAAGATTATCTTTGAATACATTATTTGTCAATTCTAAAGGTTTCAAAGAACGACTGAAGAGTGAGAGGAGATCAATAAGAAGTCAAGATATTTTTGACTCGGAAATTAAAATCTCGACCGTGGCATGGTGCAATCGTGGACTTGTGTCAGGATGGACTCATTTGAACCTAGACAACACACACGTTTGGGATAATATCACATTACACGTGCCATTCCCATCATCATATATATACATAACCAAATCAAATCACGTTCTTGGGTACCATCGAAAAATTTGCTAGCCACGAGCAGCTGAATTTATTCGGATCGAGATAATTTAAGTAGAACATACACGTACTTTCAAAAATTCGTTGAATCAAATACCATCCGTGGTTTCACTTTTCAGAAATAATATTACATCATAAAGCTGTCCAAGAAAACGACAGGCGCAGTCAAAATCGACACAGTCGTTGGGATTAAAACATTCTCCCAAAGGGGGAGCAACATAATGTGCACAAATAAATATTTGATACCGTATCAATAGATCAAATGAGAAAGACTAGGTCTAGTTGTAACTTTTAAAGAATTCAAGCGGCATTCACAAACCAATGAGAGCAAGAACAAGTCCATAGACAAACAAAGCAAAGCCAAGATACACAACTTTGCTATCAAAACTGCAACATTGCCACCGCAAAAGGAAAATCTAAAAAATACATTCAGGCTGGGATCTTTGCATTAAGTAAAGAACTCACTATCGTTTGTCGAAAAGTTAAAGTAAAAGAACAGATATCAGAAGCGGCTGACAAAGTTTAAACAAACATATTCGTGACAACACATTTCTGTCAAAATTTGTGAATCACAGAAATTTTCAAAGATCATTGTCGACTGACGTTATTTGAACGGTAAAGAATTGGAATACTGAAGATAATTGGCCCAACAAAATCAAATGAAATAATCGAAGAAAATAAAATATATTAATTTGGATTCATGCTCAAACGTACGTATTGATTGACATTGTAAAATATCCACTCTGTGCTTGGTTGAAATCTACAACCTAGGAGAAAAATGGAGGAATCATCGCCGTTTGTTTGTTTCGAGAATGAAGATGAAATGTGGGAAGACGATAATCAAGACGTAACAACTGCAGGTTTACATACAGCACGAGTTTATTATCATCATCCAGCTTCGTGCAGTCGTACCAAAATTGGTTTAGCCGTTTTCGTTCCGTTAGCAGTAACTGTAATAGTTACGTTGAGCATTTTGCTCGCTCAAAAGAAAACTAGGAATAGCGACCTGTCAATATGCCTCAATACTGAATGCATCACAGCGAGTTATGGTAAGTGGATTTAGTCAAAATGCTGAGTATCCGCTGACATGTCAGGCTATTTCAATTTAATCTGTTAGGTTTTTTTTTAATATAAGCCAAGAGCGTCACATCCGTTGTGTAGACCTGAGAAATGTACAGGTGAAAATACTACTTGTCCCACACCTCTCATCGGGTTGACGTTGCATGGAAACATCTTTCTTCAATAACAAACAAAAGGTCTTGGAATGAGCAGGGGAATATTCTAAGCCATTACCTCAAAACGAAAGCCTCGTATATATAAGTGACAAGTCCTGGAAAGGACTGCAGTGTTTTTGGCTGTAGGCATATTTACATTGCCACATATTTCAACCAGTGACACCGCATGTTTCTCATTGTTATGCCTGTAATAGTGAGTTCTTAAGTGGCACTTTCATTCAGTGCATCAACATACTAGTGTCGTGCGCGTATCTTCATTAAAATTTCATCGCTCGAAATTTTAATATGAATGCACTTGGATGCATTAAAACATCTGTTCGCCATTAATCATCTTTTCCGGCAATTAGAATAGCTTGAGTGCGTTATGCGCGCGACTCAGCCAATCGTTTGAACAGAACTTACGATAACTACACAATTTAGTCGTTAAGAGCTTTAAACGATCTGAAAGCTGCATTGAAACAATTAAAAACATGTATAAAGGCTCCTATTATAAACATTATTTTGTGTTACGAAAATACTGCGCCGACGTGCTCGATAGTCGTGAGTCGTGGGACGTGGCACAAGTCAATGAAAGGAAAAGTGCGAACAATGTGGAAATTGAAATAGGCATTTCTCTTAAGAAATTGAGGAACTGGTTTCAGCTGGTTCCCAAGTAGGAGAGTAAATCAACACAATCCCATTATTTTCAAAACTGGTTGGCAATATATATAAATTGAGAAATTTCTATAACGCGACTCCAATTATCAAAAACAAAATAAATGTTTTAAAATTTTGAGTGGATCCATTTGCCTCGACAAAGAGTAGAAGAAATTTTCCATTGTCTTTGCAACCTAGCTGCACCTTCCTTTCATCGAATGGCGATAGTGCCAGCACGAACGCCTAAACTATGTTTAAATATCGAAAATATTCCATTACAATGCAACAAGACTATCAAATATGGATGAATCAAGTAAACTGGAAAATTAACCCACGCCATTAATAAATGATGAAAATTCAACATCGTCTTTCACGTAGCAGGAAACGTTGCGACACTTTGTAACCGATATGTTACAAATCTTATTGCCATTTCCCCATTCATTATTGGTTTTTAATTTTCACCATGAGATCTCTATGCAACAATTATGCTAATTGAATAATGTAAAACTACATAAAATATCTGAAACCTTTTAATTGTTTTTCCTTTTCTCGACCGAGGAAATATTAACGCATTACGATAAGAAGTCGGTTTTTTACCAATCTCGTATCAAATAACTTTTTTTTAAGACAACGAGAATACGGATGATAATCGTTAAAAAAAAGGAAAAGTACGATAAGCCAAGTTATAGATGAAATGAAAAGCAATTTTTAAATAAAAAAGAAACAGATAGAAAGCAAGATGGCCGGAAGGTCTCGATTCTCGACATATATGCCACGTTCCTCTTTCATTCAATCAAACTCCTGAAATCATCCAATTGGCCAAGTCGACACCCATACATAAGATTATAAGTAAAAATTATCAACCAGCTGCACTTTCCACTCAAGACGTTACAAAAGCATGACATGGCTTCTCGTTTGGGCGACATACCGCTTGCAAATAATTCAGCCGATGATGTGGATGTTTTCATTGAAGACCCAAATTTGTTGAAACATGCACTGAAACGCAACGCGTGGATAAGGAAAATCTTGATCACCACGACTGTGATTTTTGATCACTTCGGTCGTGTTGCTTGTTTGTTTCATTGCAACGAAGCGAAGCGAAAAGGACGCGAACGACCAAACTGTATGCTACACACCAAAATGTGTGGGAGATTCAGCAGGTTTGCATAAGTCCCTTTGCTTAAATGACTTGTACATTAAACACTTGAATAAGCGCGCGCTTTGAGTGGGTGTAGTGGAGTAAGGCAGTAGCATCGAGTAATACTTGCCATAACCAGTAACACTATCTTATGATTGTCTTGCAATATTATGATAGAGATATTTAAATTCCTCGCCATTACAGAAACACGACATGCATGTGATTATATTTCAACGGTTATTATGCAGCAACAATTCCTTAGATGTTGATGGAGTATGCATTTAACGTTGATGGCCACCACTGAAAGCTGGACCGAATGACTGAAGGCTGTTTATGTGATTCTGCTTGGCCAGGATCCAGTGACGCGTGTCATATCGTTACGTACGCAGTAAAACGTAAAACAATTCTTTAAACAGCAAACTAATACTTGTTGTAATTTATGTGAACAGTGTTTACAAATGACTCAAAAAAATGCAGCAAGATTTTCAGATTAAGTTTATGCCGCGATGAAACTGGAGCGTTTCAAATTCTCAAAATCATGTTGAGCCTTACAAAATATCCCTCTAAGAGAAATATGTTAAAGCCCCATATAAGCATATTTATATTTTTAAAATTTTCTCATTTGACGCTGTCTTACGTCACAACGTTTCATTTAGACAAAACATCAACAAAGAGAGGTTATATTTTTGTTGTTGTAGATTGTTTTACCTTTCATTGTAATGATCAAGTTGGCTTTTGGTTATTGGAATGAAACGTAAAACAATTACGATAAAAATTCTAAGTTAGAGTTTTTGCAAACAATAAAATTACGTGTGCTTGTTTTTTGGTTATACCCTGTTTTTCTCCATTTAACTGTCAGCCCCTATTTATCCCCCCTCCATTCATCTCCCTCCTTATATAAATAGAAATTTCAACAAACATTTGATCTTTAGATGAATCAAAACAAAATATGATTACTAAAACTGTACAATGAGTTTATTAATTTGAAATGTTAACGTCCAAATAGTCAGTGAAGTGTCAAACACGAAAGTAATGTTTTAAATTTTTGAAAATTATTTTCACAGCACTATTACTGATAGAACGTAGTTTTTAAAAAATCGCATTCAGCTATTTTCATTAAAAACCCATGTCGGTAGAGTCTGTGAATTAGTGTATTTACCTACTTAACCATTTTTATGGAAACTCATTTGGCCTCTTTTTATTTTGTCGGCTCTTGTAATAAACTCACTTAAATTAAAGCAAAAAAATAAGCAGCAAGAGGAAACTTGAACGTGTAAGTCACTTGTTAGGCAAACAAGCGGTAAGAGATGATAACATGATTAAGTGAATAGGCCCGCATGGCTTAGTGAAAAAGCGCGTGAGATCATGTAATCAATATCTTAATCGGAAAGGAATTGTGACAAAAAATATTGTTATTGCTGTGTAGTGTGTTGTGTAAGAAAGCGGTTTTTGCTTGCATAATACCCAATAGAGTAGTCAGCCCGTTTATTTAGTCCTGCTGTGCAAATACTTCGCTGTTCAATCACACAGTAAAAACAATAAATCCCTTAAGTAATAAAACGTGATGTTCATAAAAATGTAAATAGTACGATTAAACTACTAGGCTCGCTGAACTACTAAAAGTACCGTTAGACCTGTATTCATGACTTGCATGTCGGCCATGTTGGTGGTCTTGATATAACCCATTTTATCAATGCACAAGACGATGTGGGTGAGCGATAATTTTTGGGAAATCTTTAAGAGGTTGATTGCAAGTCAAGAATAGGAGACGATAGATGATTTTGGGACCGCATAGATTGATCCTGTTGGCTTTGTGGTCGATTTTTTCAGATCATTCAACTCTGAGACATTAGTTTTCCCGCTTTCAGTTGACGATATAGCAATGAGACAATGAGCGAATCACGTTCATTGAATTCTTTTTAAATGCTTTCGCTGCTTGTAAAAAAAGTTGCATTAAGTGAAAGCTGAACCTCCTGTGGTCAGAAAATTGTCAAGATGATTATTTGCCAATCTTTGACGTTTCTGATCTTTTTCTCAGAGTCACAATATAATTTTATCAATTTCTTTGATCCCAAAGAAATCTAATGGTAGGAACAGAATGACCCAACAGAAAAGTTTCACTTCGAAAAGCTCATAAAGCACAAATGGAAACACACTATCTTAAATGAGATTTCTGTTTCATTTAGAGGTGATGTCCGCAATGAACTTCTCTGCCGATCCCTGTGATGATTTTTACAACTATGCGTGCGGGAGCTGGGAACGAGACAACGAGATTCCAGATGCAGAATCGTCGTGGGGACAGTTTGATATTCTCAGCTTAGCGAATGATAATGTCTTGAAAAAACTAATACAGGATCCAAATACAAAAGCGAAGTATGGAGATGTAAGTGCCTAACTAAACTAAAAAAAGCATTCACTTTAGATGGTGTAAACAGGCAAATTATAGGAGAAAATATTTGCGTAATGGTGAATTTTTTATATATTACTTCATTGATTTAGTATTTTTGACCAATTTCTGAACGTTCGTATGTTCGCAAATAAAGCAGGAAATGAAGTAGTGGGTTTTTTATTTCCACGTTATTACAGATCAACGCCGTACAGAAGGCCTATTTATTCTATGAAACCTGCATGAATCGCACGCGGATAAACAATCAGGGAGCAAAACCACTGAAAGAACTGATATCATCATACTATTCGTGGAACGTGACCGGAAACGAATCGTGGAGTGAAGCATCATGGGATTTCCTTACAGCCATGGTGGACATGCAGCAAAATTTATCCGTTTCACCGTTTTTCAGCATGTCTATAGGTGCAGACTATTTCAATTCGACAGTGAACGTTATCAAGGTATACATATTTCAACATTCGATGATGGACTTAAAAGCCATCAAAACAATACAATTGTGCACCCTTCGCCCTTTTGGCAACTAACTTTATATATTTTTGCTTATCCAATTAGCTCGATCAATCAGGATTGGGTATGACAAAAGAAAACTACTTGCTCAACACTGCAGATCACAAGAAGGTACCACGTAAATTTCCTTGACTTTTTTCTCGAAGTTCAAATTTGGTAGGATAAACTACATGGCATTTTCGACGAAGAAGATAATACTAGCCTTATAAAGATAACAACTTTCACATCTTGCTAGCAGCCAGTTTGGTGTCATAATTAATAATCAAAAATGTCAGCCTAAATAATTAGCAGCGCTAACAACAGTATTTCTTTAGATTCGAAAAGCATATCAGATGTTTATGAAGAAAACTGTGACTTTATTGGGAGCAAATGAAGATGACGCTCACCGTCAAATGATGGATGTCTATGAATTAGAAAAAAAGATAGCGGAGGTAAAGCTTTCGAATTATCAATCTCTTACAAAAATAGCAGCGTGTGGAACACAATCACGGAGATCCTGGCAACCATATTTCTGAAAAGCAACCATGAAGGGAAAACCAATTAAGTAAAGGAGATTCAGCTTAGGACTAATAAGATTTAGTCAGGTTTATCTAAGAAATTTCAACTTGCCACATAGAGAAGCTTCGGCCCTGATAAAATTTCACCATGGAGCTACCTAGGCTGACGTTTGTCCATTTGTGTAAACTACAACTAAATACCTGTATTTTTATAAATTCTACCCAACACATTCTAAATCACGTTTCACGCAGTCACAAATAATACTTTACGTTTTAGATTTACGTTCCTGTTTCAGAAAGACGAAACATTGAAAAATATTACAAAAAACTAAAAGTGAAAGAACTGATCGATTTCACGGGAGATCAAGTATGTGCAAGATATCCTAGATATACAGCATAAAAAGGCCACGCGTATGCACGACAATGCAGTATATTGCATAAGTTGTCAATACAGTCTCAACCTATGAGAAACCACAACAATTTTCATGCATAAAATATCTAGCCGAGGGCACAATGAACAAGTATTTATTGACAGTTTAACAAGAGAGCAGTTTTTTCATCTCAAGGACCTGTTTATGTCTTGTAGATCAACTGGTTGGAGTTTTTACAAAGAATTTTTAACAGAATTGGATACAGCTTAACGAACGAAAGTATGGTGGTAGTTTTGGCTAAGGACTATCTGAAAAATGTCACCCAAATTATTAAGGAGCACAGTAAAAGGTATATTTTTTCTTAATAATACATGATATAACAATCAATAATTTTTTCGCTGCACGTTCTCATTAGAGCTATGGTTAGGGCAACATTAGGGAACGCATAATTTGATTTGTGAATTGTTTGTCGAGTATTAAAATCCGACAAAATAGGTTGATGTTAGTGCAACATAAATAAAGAAGATAAGTTGTCTTACAAACACTTCTTTTTGAAATCTTAAGAGAAAAGGCTTCAAGCATATGGCTTCAAGGTTTCAAAATATAGCTACAAGTGTAAGATCAAATAGTTCCATATTGTTACAAATTGTTCAATTATTGTTCAAGTGTTGTCGCCAACTACATGATGTGGAGAGTTGTGCACTTGTACATGCCTGCATTGTCTGACGACTTCAAAGTGATATATCAGGATTACAAAAAGGAACGGAGCGGTACAATTGAAGAAGAACCACAATGGAGGCAATGTCTGTCAAGTACAGCCGGGTCGTTTGGAATGGCACTCGGTCTCTTGTATGTTGATAAAAAATTTGGTGGTGAAAGCAAAGCTAAGGTAGAAGGCTTAAATGGTTTGTACAATTTTGAACAAACCTGTTGATAAATAAAGCTGGGCATAAAGATGTCATTTTCTATCAATGTTCAACGTAAGACTCTTCCACATGAGCAATTCTTCATTTGAGACCCATTTTTTGCTTTCAAATAGATTAAAGAACTCGTCAGTGAGATACGAAATGTCTTCATTAATAATTTGAAGAGTGTAGAATGGATGGACCAACAAACGAGAGAAAAAGCTGAAGAAAAGGTATGATCGACCTGAAATCTTTCAGTGGGTAGCCAACTTTGTCTCAAAGAATAAACAAGCTATTTATAAGCCTGCATGTGTAAGAGATCACATCCAAGTTTTAGGTACTTTCAGTCAACCTAATCTTTCAATGTTACAGGCAAAAGTAATCTTGGAAAACGTTGGTTATCCTGATTATCTGAGAAGTAAAAAAGATTTAGATGAGAAATATGATGGGGTAAGGAAGAGTAAGGGAATGAAAATGTATACCAGACATCCATATTCGTTGAACATAAATCAACGTGGTTTGTTGAACACAGCTGGTTCAAAACGTCCATCGGAGATTATTAAAATAATACGGAGACATCTTCATTTCAGTTCCAGCCAAACAATGATTTCTTTGGCAATATTTTGAAGAACTCCGCGTTTGTACAAAAAAAGACTTACGAAAAGATAAAACAGCCCATCGACTATAAAGAGTAAGCTAAATCTTATGTGACTGAAAAAAAGAACTAGGATAGAGAGAGTCCTAAGTATCCTTCCACCATCCATAAACTATAAGACCAATCAAAACATAACTCATGGCTTAAATTGAAATCTGATGAAACTAAACATTAAATCGTCTATAATGGGGCTGGGGAGAATAGTATCTCGATTACATTCGTATAAACGAGTAAAATCAAAAGCGCAAAAACATCTTTTCTTGCATCAGAGAGTATCAACGAATGTATTTTGTGTTGTAAACATGTAATGTTTTACTGTGATTAAAAAGGCAACAGTAACGAAAAAATAATTGATTCTTCCACAGATGGTTGATGAACCCGCAAACTGTCAATGCATACTACACATCGACAAAAAACAAAATAGGTAAATTTTTTCGTAGATATTAAAGAACTATACAAAGTTTGTCTTACACACAATGATGTTCTATACTTTGTTATAAAAAAACCCTATTTCCGGATGAATGTGTCTGTGTATGAGCTAAACTTTGATCATGGGACGATATCGAAGGCGAGAAATAGTATTTTGTACGTGGTTACATGTAAATTCTACGTCAGTTTGATACCAAATAAAAAGTCTAAGCCCCAAAAGGTCTGAAACCGAATAAGAAATTTTTGTCACATGCAATAGTGAGACTAATGTCCCGATTTTGGGTACTTCATATGAGACTCTTATTATGTAGCTTCCTACAGGCTACTTGAGTAAATATAATATAAATTTTATCCTATAGTTTTCCCCGCTGGTATTCTTCAAGCTCCATTTTACAATAAAGATCGACCAAGGTGCGCTAACACTACATCATTTACAAAATTAACCTAACTTTACTATCTATAACAATTATACCTTACCCTATGTTTCTAGGGCATTGAATTATGGCTCAATTGGTGCCGTCGTCGGACATGAGATAACGCATGGATTCGATGATAATGGTATAATCATTTTTTACTATGAATTTTTTGAAATCAATGGATCATTTGTATTTCAACGATAAATCAAATTTGAAACTTGGTGAATATAACTTTGAAAATGAATTCTAACTTAAATGTTAGTGCAAAGTTTGCTTAAGAAAAAATGCACACATGATAGAACTATATTGGTAAGCATTAAATAAATTGACAGCCGGTTCAGCCTCATAATTATTGCAAATCCAATTGTTCTAGAAACTTTTAGCTAGTAAATTTTACTCGGATAATACATAAAAACATACAAGCATTCCAGGTTCCAAAGTCTACCAAGGTTTATTTATATTTGTCAGTTTTAGGCGTGTACCACTTTCCAAGCTTTGCACTTTCCCTAAACACAAATTTTACCACTAAAATCAAATAAGAGAATGGTCCATTGATCTCAACTACATTCAAAAACATTATGAAGAAAATATAGATATACCTATTTTTACATTTTTTAAGGACGGCGTTTCAATAAGTTTGGTAATCTTGTAAAATGGTGGAGCAATAGTTCCATTTCAAAATTCAAACACAAAACAGAATGCCTCGTCAAACAGTACTCAAAATATAAATTCTTTGGAGAAAATGTACGTTCTGAATTCTGAAAGTATTTACTTACTATATATATATATATATGGGTCCATCAAAATCTGTTCAAACTCCCTAGAACGTTAATGGAAGGGGTGTTTATTCATATATTCATTTGTACCCAACTGACTATTTTTTAAAGCAATTAACTTAAGGAATTAAGCAATTCAATTTCAAAAGAAATCAGTCGTGCTCAAATGAATGTATGAACAACCTCCCTCCATGGTCTAGGGACGACCCTCCACTCAGCAAGCATCTCACAAAAACCCTCTCGATAAAAAATTAGTTGAACCTAAACTTCAACTATAACCTTAAAAGAAATACTTCTCCCTTATAGACCTTTTTCATGTGAATCAAAGTGCTAAATCTTACTTCGCAATAAAATCTATGCTTTTACAGATAAAAGGAAAGCAAACGCTAGGTGAAAATATAGCTGACAATGGCGGGCTGAAGCAGGCGTTTCAGGTATTGCTATTATTAGTTTAACACAAAGCACATTCATCAGGCAATAGCAATAACCAAACTGCAACAGCATCTTCCCTTTCTGTTAATAGCATCGCTGACACAAAAAATAGCAAATCTTTAGACAAATAAACCATAAATTAGATTTGTCAGCCTCACGTGTCATTATGATCCTGACGATAATTTAGTCATTTTCTTTGTCACATATGTAATAATAAATATGCACTTCGTTCACTTAAAATTCATCTTTTCCATTCAGGCTTATCAATTGCACAAAAACAAACTGCCAGTGCTACCAGGAATAAATGTAACCAACGATCAATTGTTTTTCATTGGATATGGACAGGTAAGAGCAAATAGCTTGGTTACATTGCCTTGTTGTCCGGTGTATTTAGAAAGCTACTTGTGCAAGAATTTTTTTGCCAGAACGTTTCCTTTAATCGGGAGTGATTAAATGGTTGCTTCTTGACTTTTGCAAATGTTAAAATTTTCAGGCCATAACACGTTCTAACATCCACCAGTAATTTATTGATAGCTTCTATTTGTGACTATAGTTCCTAGAACTTTAAAACCATCACCTTTTCCAACATCCACCAGTAATTTATTGATAGCTTCTATTTGTGACAACAGTTGCTAGAACTTTAAAACCATCACATTTTCCAACACCCACGAGTAAATTATCGTTAGCTTCTATTCGTGACTATAGTTCCTAGAACTTTAAAACCATCACATTTTCCAACATCCACGAGTAATTTATTGTTAGCTTCTGTTCGTGACTACAGTTCGTGGAACTTTAAAACCATCACATTTCCAACATCCACGAGTGATTTATTGGTAGCTTCTATTCGTGACGTTAATAGAAGTATAAAACCATCACATTTTCCATCATCCACGAGTGCTTTAATGGTAGCTGATACAGGTGACTTTTCCTACAGTAGAAGGAGCTTTCATACATTAACAATTTCCAACACCCACGGGTGATTTAATGGTAGCTTCTAAACTTTTTATTTGTCCCTCTTGCAACAGTTGTTAAAACTTTAATATCAGGAACTGTCCAGAATGCAACAATCATTGATGAATTCAAATTTACAAATTTTTTGCTGACTTTTCGCCAGGTCTGGTGCGGAAAATTTCGACGACAAACAGCAATACTCCAAGTTGAAAACGGCGTTCATACCCCAGGCAAATACAGGTATCATGCAATAACGATAGACCACTTTGTTCTTGAGATTAAATTTGAGCTGGGTTTATTCGTCTTTACAACTGAATAAACATAAACAAATAAGCTGCATTTCAAATAATAGCCCCTTTCCAACTTTGCTTCACTGAGAACACCAACATGAAAACGATACTGACAATGAAAGTATCGTTAAACCTATTGTTTTCATTGACTGCAAAAAATTCAGTTTTTATCTTTTGGCTTAAACATTTGAAAAATGCACTGTTTCAAAGACCTTACTCTAAGGCTTATTACATTTTCAATTCATGTTTGCATCAATATCCAATCTTTCCATTTAATCCAGAGTTATAGGTACGTTATCAAATTCCCACTACTTTGCCAAAGCGTTCAATTGTCCTGAAGGAAGTAAAATGAATCCAAAAAACAAATGTGCTGTCTGGTAGGAAGAAAAAGATTTCACAGAAAAGAATGTTCGCCTACGCCATGCCAACATTAAAGAACTAGTAGCTACTATAGATTACACTGCATGTATTTGGCAATACCACATATTATACCACACGCACAAATTTACAGTAAATTTCTGTAACAATTTTCTGCACTGAATAGAAAGAAAAGAGGACACAGCAAATGCGGTTTTTTAAGTTTGACTGGTAGGAGTATGAAACTAAATACATGAAGTGCCAAAAGCAATATTTCTTTAATATTCGAGCCTTTTGCATTTTAAAAAGAAAACGCTTTCTTTTCACTTTTTGCTAGTAGAAAATCCAAAATCATAGAAGCGTAATTCCAATTTTGAAGCATTGTTTAAACATAGTATAGCAACATTCCAGAGTCAAAAGGAAACAGCCGTGTTATGTACAATAAAATATGACTAAAGTCAATTATGTGGATTTGATAAATCTAACAATATTATTTGATGTAGTGCAACAGAAAATATGACCGTTCCTTGTATTGTATATATATGATTCACGCCTTAGAGCAAATGATGTAATTTAAAATTTTATTATAACTTAAGTAAAAACATGTATATCAAGAGTTTCTCTTAGTTTTTATTATTTGGAAAAACACGTGATTCAGCAGAAATACTACACAAAAATGTGTAAAACTAATTGTGCACGTGAAATGTCTCGCACAATGTAGCAGAACTACGTATGGGTAACTACTACGGTATGCGTAAAACTGTTGCTTAACAATGAACCACTTCACAAGATCTCGGTCATTACCGCTCATTTCATTACTAAAGAAGCTTCGTTAAGCACATACAAACACCGCTGATTTTTTACCTTAAGGATCAATGTTTTACAGCCCTAAATCTAATCGCTCCACATGCAATTGTTTCCACTCGTTGACAAGCCAATTTTTTCACTTTTACAGAGAGGTCATCCATGAACTCAACATAAAATTATTTTCCATACAAATGAAATACACGCTTACCATGCATAAATCAAGGTTCCTTTACCAAGGATGCTACATTTCACCACATTGAGATATGACCACTGGTAGTTTGGGTCTGTTGTTTGGTCCAACTGGTACATTCTAAATCAAAGAAACATTAAAATTGTACTAATAATTGTGACATTACGGGTGAAATAAAAAATGACGAATTTCGGGACGTCGTATCTTTTTCAAATCTTTGATCGCGCTTGGATTTTCATCTAAGATGAAACCAATCACTTTGAATGCAAATATGTGGATAGCCAATTCAATTTATAAATATATTTTCGTGATACAGACAAACGAGATAAACGTAAAAACCAACCTCAATTTTTCTCATTACAAGCAGCCCATCAACGATTTTTCCTTAATGTGCAAAAATCATTTAAATAATCTAACATTACAGAGCGATGTATAGACAAATATGATACCTTCAAAAAACTTACCAAAAACAACATGTTTGCCATCCAAAAAATCACATTTTGCACAGGTTATAAAAAACTGTTAACAAGCAAAAGATTAATGGAAAAGTGTACAATGTCATTTCTGATATCAATATAGGAAAGTAAATCTGAATGAATCAATATTTTGAATGACTATACAGCAAATTGAAATGATTGAAATAAATTTGCAGAAACAGTTGGTCTATCCTGAAAGCCTAAAATAGTTCTATTTGCATACCTGACAGCCATTAGTGTGAGGTCCGCTATTCGCCTGCAAATAGATATAAAAAAATCACATGTCTATACCATCAATTCAATAAGACATCACATGCATATTTACATATAATTCTTAAAACATAGTTGCAATCCAAATATTTAAACAATACATAGTACATATATACATCAAATATCATAAAGATTGCTCCAGGTACACACCATTGAGAGTAAACCAGCCTTTTCATGTTTTACTTTGAAGTTCTCATCAGAAAATGCAACACCACCATAAATACTAGACACTCCAGTACCATCACCCTGGAATTGAATAGGCAGAATAAAGCAGGCCGGTTGTAATAAATTTCACATTTTTTCACAGGAATTTCATTAAAGTGATTGAGCAATTATGAACTTTTTCATTTAAAAATCTGCCTATGAACTATTTAAACTCATTACATTTTCCTGAAATTTACAAATCTTACCAACAATAAATCAACTCACTTTAATAAAATCTCCACCTTGCACCATGAAGTCCTTGATGACCCTGAACATACACATAATTTCATTTAGTAGCACAATAAGCACAAAAGATATTCAATTAAAAAGATTAGTTGCAATAGAAAGTGACAAAAAATGGCAACCATGCAATTTTACCAAGAGTATACATGTCAAATTTTAATGATGTCAAAACAGGAGAGGCTTAGTTGGTTCACTAGTAATACACACAATTTTTAGTCAAATCCTAGCACAATACAATAGATATAACACGATACAACATAAAAATATGTAAAAGTGAATTAAGATATCAATGCAAGAGATTACAAGTACATATATACCTGTGAAATGTGGCATTTTTAAAACCAATAGGAGCACCATCTTTTCTAAAATATCACAATTCACCATCATTAATATAAAATGCAGTCTCGAGAAATTTATTTATATAAATTAACACAAAATACTCAAAATATTGTAGCTTGTCATGGTGACTCACTTGTATTCTCCGGTGCAAAATTGCCTGAAAAAAACATAATAAAAATACTCAATAGTTTTCCACATTAAGAAAAAATAAAACTAGGGTCCGGGGCATTCACCCAAAACCTTTTTTCAACTTTTTCACCTGAAATTTTCGGCAGTCTTTGGCACAACATCGGCAAACAGCTCCATTTTCATTCTTCCAACATCCTAAATGAAAAAAAAAATTTAAGAAAAATTCTCGATGTTTTAGCTATGCCGCAACATTCTTAAAGAAAAAATGAACGTTTATTTCAAATAAAAAGTTATTCAAACCTGTCCCCAATAGATATATCAAAAAACACGACTGGGTTGACGGCAGCCATTTTAAAACTGTTGCCGCGCGCCTACTCATTACTTCATGTAAGATTTTACTTCATGTGAATTTTACCATCCAGACCATGAGCTAGACGAAGTGACCTTTGTAGTAAACAATCCAATTTCTGTCTCAAAACAAACCAAATCGACATGCATTTTACAGCGTGAATTGCTTTGGCCTCTGGCCTTAGCCCTCGTAAAGGTAGTTTTTCACTACGAACCTCCCAGCTACCAGCAGGAAGAAACTTATATTTCGTGCACGTCCACGTTCCCCAGCTTTTCCAGTCCTTTCTCCCCTCTCCCCACGCTTGAACTTCAAGTACATTAGCTAATGACTTTGAGTGTTGCATAATCTTGTTAAAATTCAGCAGCCCTCAAGCGCTGATAAAAAACAAAGACAATTGCATAATTCACGTGTCGACCACTTGTAACCAGAATTGCTTCAGCAAAACAATCACAACCCAAGAGAGAAATGTCTCAATTCATCACAGTTTTTGGTGCAACTGGCGCCCAAGGTGGTTCCGTAGTAAAGGCCTTACTTGCTGGAGGGAAATTCAAGGTTCGAGGAGTCACTCGGTCACTAGAAAGCAAAAAGTCTAAATTACTAGCTTCGCAAGGTGTAGATATGGTGCAGGCGAGTTTAGACGATACAGACTCCCTTCATAAAGCAATATCTGGTTCTTACGGAGTGTTTCTCGTCACCAACTTTTGGGAAGACATGGACGGCGCAAAAGAAACACGACAGGGTAAAAGTGCTGTAGATGTTTGTTTGCATGAAGGTGTCAAACATTTGATCTACAGCGGTTTGGAAAGCGCAGAGAAAAAGTATGGATTTGTAGTGGGTAAGCGATACTGCATACTGATTTTCTTTTCATCAAACTAATACGAATGGAAGCAATTTAGGCTCTTGTTATTGTCAAGAAATATTTATTCGAGCGTGTGTGAGTACTCAAGCTGTTCCACTGTCAAATTATGCATGAAATTGAGGATAATACCTCAGCCTCCACAAATATTTTTCCACAACAGTAACTTTTTTCCCATTATTTAATGACCAGAAAATGGATAATTTCCCCACATTGAATTACAAATATTGTCGATCAGGCAATATTCGTTTTCGATCGTCATTAAAGTCTTTGAATCTTTCAAATTCAACAAAATTAATTGCTTTGCAAATGTGACAATAACAAAATGGAAGTCGGACAAGAGGTGTCGAATAGCAAAGGAAATAGTATACTCCCGCCCTCCCTCCCAGCGTCAGCGGCAGCTGGCAAGAGGTGATAGCAATGAACTGAGTAAAACTTTGTTTTCAGACAAATAGTTCCACGTTTAGACATGAAGCAAATATTGAATCTTTAATATGTTCACTGAAATATGAGGGTTCCTTTGACGTGACAGCACGTTAATAAAAATTTTTCACTTGACACACATTGACTCTCCACAGAGCATTTTGATTCAAAAGGAAAGGTTGAAGACTACTTAATGGAAAAGGCTGGATCGATGATTTGGAACAGCATCCGCTTATCCGCTTACTTAAACAATTTTCTCACAAACTGGAAGCCAAAGAAACAGGAAGATGGTACATATGAGCTGAGCATACCCATGGAAGGCAAGCCAATGTATGGAATAGACGTAAACGATTGTGGAGAATGTGTCGCAAGTAAGAATATACCAAGTGCATACTAGTCTTTGGTCAAATGAAGTTCTTGCACTTTTCTTTAGTTACCAATTCATCAGGCACCCTGTGTCAATAAACTCGTGTTTTTGTTTAATCAAGGCGTATTCAACCACCCAGAAACCTACGGCAAGAAAATTATTGGAATTGCTACGGACTACCTCACCGTCCAACAATATTGTGATGCCTATAGCAAAGTATTCGCACCTCGTGTTTTTAAGGTAACTTAACCTTATTTATAGATGATTTTATGGGTATCGTCACTTGTTAGTCGAGAATCTTGAGACAAAGCAAGAGAAGCTAGGATAAGATTGTTCACACATATTACGAAAATGGATAAATAAATATATAGACAAAAATGTACTGAATTTTGAGCTGCCTTTGTAAGACGTCTAAATGAAAACCAAAGACGAATTATCGGAAGAATGCAATGAAAAAAGGAAATGGAATTGGGGTGTGTGAAATAAAATACAGTAAATAGAAAGAGACGGGTGCAAATGATTTGCTGTGACGAAGGCTGAAAGAAAAATCGGAAAGAGAAGATAGAGGTTGGATTGAGAGAGATCGTTAATTATTTCTCCATAATCTTCAATCTTGATATCAACAGTTTCAATATTGATGCTTTATCTTTAGAGGTCGAAATGTCCTTCAACTTAATCTTTTTTTATCTCAGGATGCAAAAGCAAAGACCGACAAAGATCAGGACTATGGATTTCCTGGTGCAGAGGAAATGGCAGCCATGTTTAAGCTGTATCAGAAAGGAATCGAGCGTGATATAGAACTCACGAAAACTTTGAATCCCAAGGCAAAAACGTGGGAGCAATTTGTAGTTGAACATAAAGCAAACCTGGAAACATTATTATAAGAATTTTACTGAAAATTAGAATTTGAAAGTGTACGGCTCATTTCATTCTGAATAGATTTTTTTAATGCATTTTGTGTGAAACGTTGTTTAAGTAGAGCAGTTTGAGCATAGACCATTTTATTAGAAGATTATAGACATAGTCATTACTCATCGTAACTCAGGGGGAACTCGTACTGCGAAACAATGGCAAAGTTTAATGTTTTTATTGAAACAACGACACATTACCAACTGGATAATCACCGCTTGAAAATAATCATTTAAAATTTTTTGTTCATGCAATAATGACGATGACTAGTTTGCTAAACATTTTCAGCGTCATTGTTTCAATGCGTGAAAGGTTTCTTGATGTCCAGCCTGCATCTCTTGTGCAAAGTTTTGTTCATGTTTGAGCAAGTAAGGTTTAGGTTGCTCTATTCATGTTTGGTAATACAGTGACGTATTCCTGTGGTTTATGTTTAAGGTAGGGCTCTACACAAGCATTGGACACAAGAGTATCGATGTTGAGCAATATGTAGTGTATATCACTTCAGTGACTATTAAGATCAGCGGAGGGACAGAATAGATACAACCAGAAGGGCCACTCCAGTGAACTCCATATATATATATCTGGAATGATAACTACAATACATTTTATAGATATAAAATTGAAGCCAAAGTCCTAGTCTCTTGCGCGGTTTGTACGTCAGTTCCAGTCCTTCAAAGTCGAATATTCACGCGGTTTGTACGTCAGTTTCATTCCCCTGAGTGCGAAACATACACGGCCAATATAAATTTGAATACAAACTGCAAAAGCATAAACATATAAACAACATCACGTCAAACAACACACTAGGCCAACTCCTCGCAAAAGTTTATTTTTTACAGCTAAAATTTTACTACAGTGAGTTCGTTGTAACTTACAACTTGCAGTGGCGTAGCTAGCGGTCCCGCTACTCCCGCCCGGCGGGAGTAGAAATTTCCCAAAAAAACAATAAATATTCTATTTGGACATAAGATATACATTATTTCACGAACAATTTGTAATATTATGTTTTATTCGTTCATATTTACGCTTTTATTAGGTGGTTCGTATTTCGTAATCGTAATACAGCAAAATCTCAAGATTTGTTATGTAACCTAGCAACCGCCTTTTCTCGCACATTGCATACTCGCGCGATTCTCCACGTATTCCGCCCATCTTCAGAGGGCGGAACATACAATATAATTCTATATAAGAAGTTTTGAATTCTGGTTGGCTAAGGGACTTGACGCATGCTCAAATCTGCTGTTTTTATAGTCGAACTCCCGCTATTTTAAATTGGCGGAGGTTGTAATTATTTGACCTTTTAATACAAGTACAGCGATTAGTGATTATCAAATTACGTGTCATTGTCGGTATTAATTTTCCATTGTGTTTACTCTCAAATTGCTATTTTGTATTTGTGTATGACACAATGGCTTCAAGTACTGCGATTTGCTCAACTGATGTTGATTTAGTAAATAGCTTATTAGCTAAACCGTTCTCTGCTCGATCGTCGGTCGAACAGAATGTTATCGTTCATGAACGGCCTACTCCTGATTTAACTATCCAAAATAAGGGAAGAGCATTTCAGAGAGATTGGTATGAGGCGAAGGACTGGCTGTGTGGCAGTACAACCTTGCAGAAAGTGTTTTGTTGGCCATGTCTAATGTTTTCCCCAAAACATCGCCATCGTGGACTAAGAATGGCTACAACGATATGCGGAGTATTATGTCTGATGCTAAGAAGCATGAAAAATCTAAATCGCATTTGACTGCATTTAAGACATGGAAAACGTATGGAGCTAGTGAACGAATTGATTGTCTTATGTCCCTCGCTAGAAGAAATGAGATTCAGCGTCACAATGAGGAGGTAAGACAAAATCGAGAAATTTTAAAAACTGTTACTGAGGCCGTGCTGTATTTGTCAAAGCAAGAGTTGCCATTTAGAGGTCACAATGAGTCCGAAGGTAGCTTGAACAAAGGTAATTATAGAGAGTTGCTCGAATGTTTTGCTAAGTTTGATTCTGTATTTGAGCGTCGACTGCACAGTAGACTAGCAGAATCTGATATAGTTGGTGACAGAAGATTTACTGGAGTCTCCCAGAAATTCAAAATGGTCTTATCAGCTGTCTTGATTCAATTATTGAAGATGAAATCAGAAAGGAAATAAATGATTGCACATTTATGAGTATTCAGGTTGATGAAGCATCTGATGTCTCCACCAAAGAGCAGCTAAGTGTTATTGCTCGGTTTGACAAAGCAAGTGAAATTATGGAGAGGCAATTAGGATTTGTGGATGTAAGTATGAACAGAAATGCCACAGCAATATCACAAGTTGTCAAAGATAAACTTGGTGAGTATTCTAATATAAAAGAAAAACTGGTTTTACAAACATATGATGGTGCTTCTGTCATGTCTGGCCATATCAATGGTGTTCAAGCATTGGTTCGACAAGAGTATCCTTTTGCTCATTTTGTTCATTGTGCAGCTCATAGATTGAACCTGGTCCTATGCCAGTCAGCCTCATCAATTTCTCCTGTTAAAATCTTTTTTATTAATATAGCTACATTCAGCACATTTACAAGCAATGCCCCAAAAAGAAAAGCTTTTCTCACATCTAACAACCTTGAGTTTCCTGCCCCTGGTGAAACAAGATGGTATTATCGCTCTAGATTAATCAATGTATTGCACAAAAACTATGAAAAACTTTTAGATATTTTTGAGGGGTACTTGAACAACCAGCTGGGTGGGATGATGAGTCATTAAGTAAAATAAGTGGCTTACTGCATTATCTTGATAGCTTTCTCTTTTGTTTTCTAGTGTGTGTTTTTTACAGGATTTTAGAACAGTCCACAATTTTGTATTCCATTCTTCAAAATAGGAAACCCATTTTAACTATGGCATAAGCAAGATTGACAATTTCAAGCAGTTTATTGTGTCACTTCGCACAGATCAAGCTTTCACCGAGTTTTACCAAACTGCACTAGAAAAGTAGGCCCACCAGCAACCAGAGCAGATAGTAGATACAATTACAAACAGCTTTATTTTGAGATTATTGATTCCATTAAAGGCATGTTAAGTGAACGATTTCAAGATATTAATCAGTTCGAGTTTTAGACCTTGTAAATCCTAAACTATTTACTACATGGAAGGGCATAGTTCCACAGGAAGATCAATCTTCTCAAAGATAAGTATAGTCCTCTTTTTGACATCCAAACTTTGGAGAGTCAACTTTCCTTTATTTGCAACGACAAAGACTTTCACAAAGAGTGCAGTAATGAGGTTCTTAAATACATCTTCAAATTTAATCTCCAGTCGAGTTTAGGTCAAGTGGTAAATTTGTTAAAATTGAATGGTGTGTTGGCAGTGGCAAGTGCTTCAGTAGAAGTCGTTTTCTTGCTTAAAAAGAGTAAAAAGCTATTTAGAAAATAGAATGGGTCAAGGTCGGCTTAGCTCTTTGTGGAGAATATCTATTCACAAAGATATCATTGAAAAGAAAGAGGAATCAGAGGTGTTGCATAACGAGGTGGTTGAAAAATTTGTAGAAAAACCCAGGAGGCTGGCCTTTCTTTATAAATGATGAGTATAGTATGTGTTTTGATATTTGTTCGTATAATACATGGTACTTCATTGAGAAAATTAAGCATAACTTTAAAGAATAAAGCCATCCCTGTCTACTTGCCCCAATCTAAACAAGTTTAAACTAACAAGTAGAATGCTAAGAAAAATCTCTCTATGCACTTTAGAAGTGTCGTATACTATATTATTTTTTGTGCTAATACAAATTTCTTCTGTTTATGCAGGGGCAGTGATGAGTAAATTATGTTTTAGGGGACAATTGTCTCCTGCGTAACGTTTCTCTGAGCCACCTTTAGTACCTTTTTAACTAGTTGCAGTTTCAACGATTGCCACATTAAGAATGCAGCTAACAAAAATGGGTTTTTATAAATTATTGTACAACAAATAATTCGCCCTCGAAATCGCAGGAAATGCTGTTTCCAAGGCTCTGGATTTCAAAATTTTCCGGGGGAGCATGCCCCCGGACCCCCCTAGTTGGGTCGCGCCTCCGGCGCGAGATGGATTGGCGGGAGTGACTATTTTTCCTAGCTACGCCACTGACAACTTGTAACGAGGAAAAGCCAACTGAAAATTACACTTTATGCTAAAAAGGCAATACAATAGAAAATATGACGAGAAAATATTCAAGCATAAATTTTTCTTTCATCGGAAGGTAAATTTTCAAACGGTGTCAGACAGTGTTTGTCTTTTTTTGTCGTTTCAATGGATTTAAAGATCTGTTTTTCCGAAGAAAAAAGAAACTTGAATATCCAGGTTCATAAAAAATGTTGAGTCTATAACTCGCATTTTACTTTTTACAGAGCGATTGTATCTTTCATCGATTTTGATAGTGCTTGAAATACTAAATGGTTGTCATCTCGATATCAGTAATTGAATATCCTTAAAGACTTTGATGTGTTTTAAAGGAAAACCGCAGCGTAAAAGCAGATCGACTAAGTTCACCTCACCCTGCTTCTCGATTTGTCACTTTGATTCACTTTCCGTGAACCTTTTTATTCCAAAAATTTCGTAATTTTTACGCTCTGATCAAGATCCGAACTCTACCATTACCAAGGGACAAATGATTTAAAAAAATTAAAATGAACACGCGAGAGACTAGAGCCTGACGTGTAATGACGAATGATGACGACAAATATTTTTTTGGTTTCAATTTTTGGCTTCGGTTATCATTCCAGTTATTCAAATGTCGAGTTCACTGGGCCACTCTCGTCGGAGCCTATGAAGATTTTGTTGTCAACTTTTAGCCCGCAATCAGGCATCGCCGCCATGTTGGCAGCAAGATAACTCCAGCAAGTTCGTAGTAGAAAATATAGTAATGAGAAACAGTTCGGCGCGTCCTCGATAATTATATGGCTATTCCATTTTTGTTTTGTGTATGCCATCACAAGTAATGTCAAAGAAGGTAATTTTGACAACTTAGGTCGAATCGCATCGTTAGAATACACGTTTTAGAGTCAAAATTTGTTATTGTGGTCTGATGCTTTTGCCAACTTGCCAACATTCAATCATGGTTATGCTTGTATTGCGAGTTACAATGAAAAGGATCATCAACTTTGTCTATGGAATTTTCCTTGTAGTAAGTTTGTAGAATGTTACAAATGCTTGACTTTAATGTACTTTCGCGATCTTTTATTAGAAGAGGAAAACTCGCGATTTGCAAATTTGATGCCGTAATAAATTCGCATTCTTAAAAAAAGTTTGACCAAATATTGCAGTGGAAACTGTGAACATGTACGGAATGGCACTGGTATCATGTTAAGACTCTTCAAGATGCTCTTTCCAACATTCAGATTTTTGGTTGTGACTGAGAAGCAATCCACGAAGGTGTCTTCAAGTTGCATAATGTAATTTAAATAGCACGATGAATGAGCAGTCAGCCCACCAAAGTTGAGTTCTTTATATGCCTTGAAATAGCAAAGCAAATTACCATTATTGTTGATGTTATTTGAAGTCAAAACGTTCTTACATTGGAGACAGCTGTGGATTTTGAAAGCTTTGCTTAGCAAATATCCTGAAACATAGGCAGCAGCATTTTTGAGCAATAAATTGTTGCCAATATTTTGTTCTCGGTAGTCATTTTCACCAATCAACAGTGAGTTACTTGGAGCTTTTGCATGGGTAAGTGGCATACTAAATGGTTTGGGCTTTTTTTTTGAAAATTGTGTTAGCAGAGTGTCCATATCTTTAGAACAGTTTCCTTTGGAAGAGGTCAAAAGTGAACTAAAAAAAACCTTTCGAAAAGCTCTGATAAATTGTATTGGCGTAGGATTGTCAGAATTACCTCCTTGCTGGCGTATTGTTCCAAAAAAATTCTCTAGAGCATCTGTGTTTAATCTTCTGGTAAGCAAGAATGCAAAATTATGTGAGGCATGAAGATAGGTCCAGAGACAGATAATGGCCTTTATAGATATAAGCCATCCCTTCAGTGATTTGATTCTGCCTGTGATGTTTTTACCATCTTTTACCACTTTGATTCCCTGGATAAAGGACATTGCTTCTTTGAGAAAAGCAATGTGATTATTGCTGTTGCTTATTGCACTTCTTTGTTCTTTTGCTGATTTCAGTGTGGAACTATTGACGCAATCGAAAAGCGAATCAAATTTGAAAAGCAACTCAGCTGTACCCAAGGCTGATGGTGGTTGTGCTCCAATTGATGAATATGTGCAAATCGATGTAGCAGCGGTGTGGCTGAATATTTGTGCAGCATATTTAACTTGAAAATTAATCTGAAAATTAATGCAGCGACAGCGATGTAACGAACATAACAATATATATATATATTAATAGAAGCAAGAGGACAATTTTATTTCCTTACAACGGAATCAATACTTTAAATTATCTAAAACATGACAAATATAAGGAACATATAGTTAAGAGCATCTGGAAGTTAGCTACAATCATACAATATAAGAATTTTCCCAACACAATATGGCATTGGCATTAAATACAATTGCACAAGTTTGCAATTTCTCAATGAACATTTATCGAGTGTTCGGGATATGACTAAATTTGTCTGAATTCTAAAGCACCAAATCCAATGTCATACGAAATATCTTTTTTAGTGTAGCCTGTCCGTTGATAAATTTCACATTGTTCCTTCTTGTTTCTGATTTAAAGACGTTCGTTGAGCGCTTCTCCGCTTCCGTTCTTTACAAATAAATAAATACGAATAACCTTGACCACACGGCCACGGCACAGCATTTCTCATACAGGTCTCGATAGAATTGTACACATTGGTTGTACATGAAAAGCATAAAATATGTTGATTGTATGTTCCCATTTCAGCACAGCTTTGATTTGGTCGTCTCAGGATAAATATTTCAACTTTTCAAGTAATAACGCCAAGATTTTTGAGTTGTACACTGCTACCCTTATTTAGTGTAGCAAGTTTATCTTGCTGCCAACATGGCGGAAGTGGCGCATGCGCATTAAAATTTAGGACCGCATTTTTCGCGAAGTGGCCCTTCTGTATGTATCTATTCTGTGGCGGAGGTATAATCTTTTAACAATGTCGGTCAATGATCTTTCTTTAGTTAAGGATTGGATATACATACTATGCATTCCAATTCAAACTATTTTGGCCATAATTACTTTGGTGTTTGTTGGGTTTTGGTGGGAAAAAAGTAAAATACGCAAACAAGAAAGGGAAAAGGAAATCCTGCGAGAAGAAGACAGGCAGCGAGCTGATGCAGAAAAGATCGCGGCAGTTTTGAGTAACCGTTTCTTCGATGTGGAAAGCAAGTTCCATAAGTTGAAAAAAAGTCTTGACATATTGCGTATGCGTGAAAGGACGATAGTTAATGATTTGAAAGAATTTCATGTTTTGGTATACATGTGTCGCAAAGAAAATTGGGGAAAATTTCATCATGAATGTATTGGAGTGGCTACAGAATCACCAGAGGACCCCAGGGATGACCTAATTTCAGATGTTAAAGAAATAATGAAGTTCATCTTAGACCTGCGAATTAAGTTATATTCTACTTTGAAAAATCAAGCATGCCCAGATGATATCAAGAGTGAATTTTCAAACAAAATCAATGAAATGGGGGACTACGTGTACAATTTTGTGCCAAAACATCAACAAGATATTATTGAAAAAGTGAAAAACTATTTCGACCCTGCTGTCCCAAAGCATGAAAACCTTGATGAAAACCCTGGCCTTCAAAACCAATCACAATCTCTTTTGTCAAGATGCTGTAGAATACAACAGACAAGTGGAGATGAAACAAAGAGACTAGCCAATGACACAATTATTGAAATGCAACTTACCACAGGTGAATCAAGCCATTCACCCCCTGCAAATCAACCACCAAAGATTTGTCCTGACAATGCTGCAATAGAAAATGCAATCCCGTACCTTAAATATTTCAAATACCCAAAATATGGACAAGAGATGACACTGGAATTTACTGACAGTCATTCCGACATTTTGAATCCCACTCGTCTAATTGAAGAGGGGTTGATAAAAGAAAGTGATGAGGTGTTACGTGAAATTAATAAGCTTTGGAAAGTTATCGGAGATGAACCACCAGGTGGAGGATTGTTGCATTCCATAAGAATGATAAATTATAAGCTTTGTACCGACAAGACTATTCTAAATCATCAGGATTTTCTTGAAAAATATGAACGTCCAGTTGCCAATTTCCGCATGTTCATTGAAGATATAATTGATAATGATATGCCAACCTCTGAAAATGCGAAGCTTTGTAAGAATATGTTAAGGAATGTGGGTAGTATTAGCATTGAGCTTCTCAAAAGGCAGGACTTATCCCTGCTTAACAAAAGTAAAACGGTAGACGTGTTAAAAATTATAAAGTTGAAACTTCAAAAACTAAAATCTGAAGGTCATAGTTAAACAAATGATAGACCAGCAGTAACACGATTATATAATTAAGTAGTTGTAACTTTGCATGAAAAAAATGAGAATTACCTGCAACATGGACGTAGGAAGATTGATAATTTTTTTTTGGGGGGGGGAGGAGGGGGGATCAGTTGTACTCATGCGTGTTACAGTGTTTCGAAAACAATGGATTTCAAAGTAACTTAATATGACGTACAATGCATTTAAACATGTTAACCCTCTCTCTTATCGCTCATCTCACGTCCATGATTTGCTGACTAAGCAACTGTTTGTGGTTTAAAGTATGGAATAAAAATTTCTTTGTTTTGTTCTTTTGTGTTTTATTCTTTTGTGTTTTATTCTTTTATTAATAGCATATGAAGTTAAAGCAATCTCAATAATAAGCATCTCTTTTCTTATCAGGTTTGTTGAAATGAGAAACATTTGGAGATAAATGTTGCACAAACTACCATACATTAGTGTATAGCATTCCAATGATAAAATTATTTAAAATTTTGATTTTGAAATATTGTTCTTTATAACAACGCTTTAGTTAGGTGCATACGTACACTTGCATGTAAAATGCATATACCAAATGATTACCTTCAGAAATATTTTTGACTGTTGGTGTGTGTGACTTAAGCTATATCATTTCTTGACAGTTTTAAAATGACTTCAGAAATACTCTTAGCTTCAGCAATATTTTGACTGCAGGTGTGTGAATTCAGAATTTTCTTTGACAGCTGGTGCGTGACTTATTTTGGACTACAGCTGTATGACTTCCAACACCACCTTTGACTGTTGGTGCTTGATATAGGCATGCAATTACTGATGTTTGACTTCAAAATCATCATTGACTGCTGGTGCGTGACTTAAGCAATATCTTTCTGTACGGTTGTAGACCACAATCTCTTGTATGCTGTGACGACCATCTCTTGTTTGTACTAACAGACATCTCCAGCATGTACTTACGTACACCTTTTGCATGTACAACAAACATCTGCTGCATATACTCACAAACGCCTCTGGTATGTACTAAAGAACACCTTTTTATGTAGTGATGACCAGCTCTTGTATGTACTGACCAACACCCTTCATCATGTTCAAAGTTCAAGGCGTAACTCGATTGACAGAAAATCAAAAATCCAAAGTTTTAACTTTACAGAGTGTCAAAATGGTGCAAACAATTCTTAAAGGCATAGAATTTTTATCAGCTAAAATACGGGCAATTCTAAAAAAGTCCATTTTCAAAGGCGTCATGCATTTCCAAGTGAAGACAGACAGGACATTCGATTTCAATCGAGTACTCCCATTTCTTAACTAGACAGCGTTTACACAAAGTTTAGAATTGCCATTTGAAAGATGAGGACTAATTTCACTAGAGTCGCCAAACTATAATCTAAAGCTATTCGACGCTATACAATACCCAATTTAACGTAACGCCCATACATTAAAGATGGTAAATTGGCATAAACCACAAGAAATCCCCACTTCTCACTTTGAAAGAGGTTTTGTGAGTGTTGTTCTTTACACATTTATCTTCACTTTACAGAGCATTTCGACTCACAGGTACTGGTAGAAGACTATATGATGGACCGTATTTCAACAACCTTCTCGCGAACATCACACCAAAGAAAATGAAAGATGGCTCACATATAGTGGGTTTTCCGATGAAAATTTAGCCAATATATGGAATGGATATCTAGAATGTACTGTGAGTAAGAATTTGGTCACGGCAAGGGAAACGCCCTTTTAATTATGACTTATGAGACGAACCGGTAATTTTAAATAAAAAATTTTCACGAAGTTTTCTAAACAATCAAACATATTTACAATCACCATTCAAATACTTTTCGTGCAATTAATGCACTTTGATTGCGTTTTTTATCGACAATAAAGTTTGAAAACTTTAAGCACCAACCTCTTTATGGTAGGTTACTTGGTTTTCTTTGCATTAAGGTGCCTTTAATGAGCCAAAAACCTACGGAAAGAAAATAATAGGGAGTTGTAGAAAATTATTTTACGATGCAACAGTTCTGTGATATATTTCAAATAACGTCCCGTGCGTCACGTTTTTCTAAGGTAAAAAATATTGGTGATGTACTTCTTACCTCGTGTCAAACAACATCAAACAAAGGTCGTGTACAGACGTATATCACACCAAACAACCGCAGTTCAAGATAAATTCATGCAAAAGAAACCACATCTTTGGCAAAGACAATTCTCAATGCATAAAATATCTTTTCACGTAATTTCTATCTTGTAAGATGCAAAGCAGACTGTCGATCAATGCAAAAGCCCTGGATTTCATGGTGCGGACAAATTGGCTGCTGTGTATCGGCTGTATCAAAATAGAATTGAAGGTGACATAGAAGTATCATAAACTCCGAGACAGAATCTCTGGAAGAGCTCGTCGTTGAATAAAAAGTAAATTTGAAAGTTTTTTTGTAACAACTGGTACATGCTCGTGCAACGTATGCACACTTTCTTCTTTATATATTTTTTCGGATATTTTTACTTAACTCTGCACCACTGCCAACACATCTTCTACCCTCTAAACCTTCTCTGTGAGACTATCTGTCTGAGTAAACCGTTGATGATAAAATAGAATATTCTATGACTCTTCTCATGATTAGAATTTTCTAGTATCACACCTTATTTGGCAAACTGTTTCATTTGATCTCACTATATAAGACTCATGACTAAATCTAAAATTTATCACGATTAAGAAATTTTTATTTCCTCATACACTTCATTCAACTAAACCTCTTACAAATGAACAAGCGTTTTCACGACTAATTCATATTTGAAGAAAACTTTGCCTGACAGCTTTTTCATACCTATTTCCATAGTTCTAGCGTCTGTGGCAATTATGGACCACTATTCATTGCTGAAACAGGCGACCATAAATGAGGAAGAAAATTTATCATAAAAAAGAGTGCACTACCAAAAGTTTAACTAAAAACCCGAAAAACACTGCTAAAGTGACAAAAACAATTTTCACAAAAACTGTCCAGTCAGAGCTTTCTCAAGAAGCACATTGTGCAGCATATTTAAACTTCCTCCCTGAATTATGGCTAATTTTAAACTAATTGCGCTTCTCCGGGATGAATTGCGTTCCTCAATGAAGCCATCGGAAGTGCTTGAGAATAATGCATTGACGTATGAGGATAGCCACAGGTACTGTACAGACAATTTTTGAATGAATTCTGGAACACCGGGAAGGCGAAAATCCTTTTGCACTTGAAAGATACCTAGATTACTTCATAAAAGATGCGTAATATTTTTAACGAAAGCAAGAACAATGTGGACTTCGGATGAGACTATGAGCACACTCAGGTGCAAGAAAAACGTTTACAGTGTACAACAGAGATATATTAAGAGCAGTCCTTACAGGACCTGCCAATTTCAAGACAGTTCACAACGTTAACTGCTGCATCAAAGCAAGTTTGCCTCACACATAATGCCAAATTACACAGATGGGCTTTTTAAAGCGACGCATAGGATTAAAGTCTTGCATTAAAAATTCGTAATATAGAAATGGAAATTAGTTTTGTTAATTATATGTACATAATTTATTTGGAGGTTTTGTCTCTCAAAAAAGTCATTTTGACTATGAAGATGACTACCGCTAAGGTTGTCGAAACGTCAGTCAACAACAACAAAAACAGTCCTTCTCAGGACTCTACCAACCTGGACGATCTAAATCTACAAACATGTAACGATACTTCCGGGTTCAAACCGTTTACTTTATTAAAAAAATTTTTCACTTGACACACATTGACTCTCCACAGAGCATTTTGATTCAAAAGGAAAGGTTGAAGACTACTTAATGGAAAAGGCTGGATCGATGATTTGGAACAGCATCCGCTTATCCGCTTACTTAAGCAATTTTCTCACAAACTGGAAGCCAAAGAAACAGGAAGATGGTACATATGAGCTGAGCATACCCATGGAAGGCAAGCCAATGTATGGAATAGACGTAAACGATTGTGGAGAATGTGTCGCAAGTAAGAATATACCAAGTGCATTCTAGTCTGTGGTCAAATGAAGTTCTTGCACTTTTCTTTAGTTACCAACTCATCAGGCGCCCTGTGTCAATAAACTCGTGTTTTTGTTTAATCAAGGCGTATTCAACCACCCAGAAACCTACGGCAAGAAAATTATTGGAATTACTACGGACTACCTCACCGTCCAGCAATATTGTGATGCCTATAGCAAAGTATTCGCACCTCGTGTTTTTAAGGTAACTCAACCTTATTTATAGATGATTTTATGGGTATCGTCACTTGTTAGTCGTGAATCTTGAGACAAAGCAAGAGAAGCTAGGATAAGATTGTTCAGATATATTACGAAAATGGATAAATAAATATATAGACAAAAATGTACTGAATTTTGTGCTGCGTTTGTAAGATGTTTAAATGAAAACCAAGACAAAATATCGGAAGAATGCAATGAAAAAAGGAAATGGAATTGGGGGGGTGTGAAATAAAATACACTAAATAGAAAGAGACAGGTGCAAATAATTTGCTGTGGCGAAGGCTGAAAGAAAAATCGAAAAGAGAAGATAGAAGTTGGATTGAGAGAGATCGTTAATTATTTCTCCATAATCTTCAATCTTGATATCAACAGTTTCAAAATTGATGCTTTATCTTTAGAGGTCGAAATGTCCCTCAAATTAATCTTTTTTTATCTCAGGATGCAAAAGCAAAGACCGACAAGATCAGGACTATGGATTTCCTGGTGCAGAGGAAATGGCAGCCATGTTTAAGCTGTATCAGAAAGGAATCGAGCGTGATATAAAACTCACGAAAACTTTGAATCCCAAGGCAAAAACGTGGGAGAAATTTGTAGTTGAACATAAAGCAAACCTGGAAACATTATTATAAGAATTTTACTGAAAATTAAAATTTGAAAGTGTACGGCTCATTTCATTTTGAATAGATTTTTTTAATGCATTTTGTGTGAAACGTTGTTTAAGTAGAGCAGTTTGAGCATAGACCATTTCATTAGAAGATTATAGACATAGTCATTACTCATCGTAACTCAGGGGGAACTCGTACTGCGAAACAATAGCAAAGTTTAATGTTTTTATTGAAACAACGACACATTACCAACTAGATAATCACCGCTTGAAAATAATCATTTAAAATGTTTTGTTCATGCAATAATGACGATGACTAGTTTGCTAAACATTTTTAGCGTCATTGTTTCAATTCGTGCAAGGTTTCTTGATGTCAGCCTGCATCTCTTGTGCAAAGTTTTGTTCGTGTTTGAGCAAGTAAGGTTTAGGTTGCTCTATTCATGTTTCGTAATACAGTGACGTAATTCCTGTGGTTTATGTTTAGGGTAGGGCTCTACATAAGCATTGGACACGAGAGTATCGATGTTGAGCAATATGTAGTGTTTATGACTTCAGTGACTATTAAGATCAGCGGAGGTATAATCTTTTAACAATGGCGGTCAATGATCTTTCTTTAGTTAAGGATTGGATATACATACTATGCACTTTAATTCAAACTATTTTGGCCATATTTAGTGTGATGTTTGTTGGGTTTTGGTTGGACAATAGAAGAAGGAACGATGAATAGAGAAGGGACGATGATAACTTACGCAAACAAGAAATAGATAAGGAAACCCAGGCTGGAAAGTATGTCTTGCGCAACCTAGATCTAGCTTGCGCAATTTCGGGAGAAATGCGCGTCCTGACGCGCAGATTTTAAAAAATTTTTTGTTCGCCGCGCATTTGTGAAATTTGCCGCGCAGCGCGAGAAATTATTGCGCAATATCAGCACATGTGCGCTGCAGCGCTGTTGTTTCCGTTGAAAAAAATTGTTGCCTGTTGAATGTCAATCTTACAAGCTGTTTTGACAGGCAAGTTCCGTTAATTGGTTGGTAAGCCAATAAGCGTTTGATGACTAGAAATATGACATCTGAGCAGATCAACTACACATTCTTTGCTTTCGTTTTCGAGCTTTCTCTTTTTAAGTGACTTCAAGGCAAACCATATCGATTCTTCGGTGTATTCTACGGTGATACGTGATATTTATTTAATTAAACCAACTTGGGGTGTTCAAATTTGTAAGGTGAGTACACGTAATGGTTTAGTAAAATCAAAAGTACTGATACAAAATTACAAATGATAAAAATTCTGAAAGCATTAACGCTTCTAACACTAAACGCCCGGGAAACAAGTTATTATTTAACAGTTATGTTTTTTGTGTAACCTAAAAGTAGTGGTACGAAAGGATTTCTTGTATTACAAACTACAAAGCATGTTTTAATACATTTAAGACAAATAAAATTCACAATCCTTACATAAAACATATTGATAAATGAAGCAATTTATAATTAAAACCGGTTTGCTAACGAACTAACAGGGCTTAGCTCGCTATTGTTTGGTGATAAAGCGAGATTTTTGACAAACTTTTTATCTAATTGTTTATTTATTTTACTAGATGGCTGAGATTCAAGCAGTTAAATCAGGTAAATTCACGCGTTACAATAGCCGAAAATTTTCCTAACAACAATATACACAATATATATCAGCCATTGGTTGATTGCAGGAGCTGATTCGGTGATTCCTCGACAATATTCACTTCTCACTAAGAGTACCAAACCAACATTTGTGTGTTGCTAAAACTAGTGCTGCTTGCCTTTGATACCAAAAACGTTCATTACATTATCTTAACTTATGTTTTCATTGTTGTTGCCTAATTACTAGTTTGCGTTTCATGCAAGAAGAAATGGAAGCCATTTTGCAAAGTTTGCAAAAACGTGCCACGCAATTCCGCCTTGCTCAACATCAGCAGGTGATGATGAAGGTTTTGGTGCCCAGGTCTTGTGTAGTGGCTGTGCAAAACTGAGACAGCAGCAGTGGCTAAAAATAAGCAGCAAACACTGTCTAAGGAAGGTAACAGAACAATTATCTAGTGTTAGAATGTTAGTCGTGTGTAAGAGTGATCGTGTTTGCGTCACAAAGAAAAGTGGCATGACATTGTCAGTGGGTTTTAAAAACAATAGTAAACAACCAAGATTGGCTATCGACACATTTGTAACCATAAAATTGTGTGTTATAGAGTTTCAGTTTGCCAACATGTTTAAAAGACATAGCAAGCAGCAGAAAACAGGACCAGAAGCAAAGCGAGCAAAGAGTGGACACGAGAAAACCCCAATAGGCTTTTGCTTACTTTGTTTTAGGCAAGGCAAACGCAAATTTTGGCTTGCCATAGGGAACAAGTCCTCTCTAGCAAACCATTTAAAACTCACAGCGACAAGGGCGAAAAGACCTTAGCAAATGACGCTATTAGAGAAGATTCCCTCTTGCTAAATCTGCGCTACAGGCGTACAAAATGCTTAAATCGGCTAGGTAAATGAAAATCAAGTTCCCAATTCCCAAATTGAGAACTGCACTTACATTGTGTATGTTTTCTATGTTAATTGTATTTTCAGTACAAGCCAAGTGCAACAAAAGTGTGGTGGCGACGGAATGGGAGAACGGATAGAAATTATGGAAGTCGATGAAAGGTAGCTAAATTGCTCATTCCCTGCGTGAACCATAAAATAACCGAATATCACAAACTGCATACATGTTATATAATACATTTCTTTTACATATACAGTGATAGCTTTTTAAAATTATGAATATTAAATTGTTTCAGAGAGCTTGGTAAGGATACGGCTGGACATGCAACTGACGAACTTTCGTGCAAAATCGTTTCTGGTGTCAGTGAATCTGAAAGTTGGGAGGAAACCGATGAAAAGATGAGAGGTTTGTTAGTGAAATACGGCATTTTTCTTGCATTATAGTATCAGATTTTACGACATTTTGTCACGATATTTTGTGAAATTTATGCCATAGTGGTTGAAAGTGTTGACTTTTAGTTCAAGGCTTCCAATAATTCACTTGTTCGGATAAGTAATTTCTACATTACAAATTTCTTAAGTCGTTTAATATTAACGATGAAATCATTAAGTATTTCAACGTCTTCTGTTGAATTTCTTAGTACATATACTTTTCACACAGTTTGCAAGAAAATTTTAATGTTGGCTTTTTAACACTTTCATTGTTACAGCGAAGAGATTGTGAGAGTTAATGCAGTAAGTAAGACGAGTAAGGCTGCCTCAAAACCCAGCCGTCTTAGCTATCAAAGCTCGCTTGGAATTTTTCTTCCTTCAATTTTATCAAGTGAGCAAGGCGACCTGCCATTTGATGTGGACGAACTTGCGAAAAAAATTGCTACTAAGGTGGCACAAAAGTTGAGTGGTAACCCTAAATCAGCCCAATCAACAAGTTCAAAAACTACATACAATCCCACATTGAGTACCGCACTTCGATTTTTGTCATTCTCGAAAATTGTTTCCAGACATGATCAAAGCAGCATGTGCTTACTTGACATGAGAGCAGCCAATTTTCTTTCTACCCCTCTTCCAAACACAGGAATGCCCCCACATTTTTATGTTACAGCTGATAAATCTACCAATCATCGCATCACTAATCAGGTTACTATCGTTTGTCCAGTTGTAAATGGTAGTCGCCGAGGCATTGTCCTTGACGCAAGGGAGGTTTACAGTAACTCTGATGCAACTGGTGGTACAGGTGATGCTCTAGCTGCATCCATTTTTAAAGATCTTGACGTGCATGTTGGTATTAAGGATAATCGGCTACTGCAAGTGCAAGGGCGAGTGATGGATGGACAATACGTCAACGAGCCGTTCATTGCAGGCATGAACGAGCCTGTATTTGAACTTTTGCATGATGATCTGTCCTGCAAAGAAAGATTCTGGTGGCCTGTCCAATGGGACCCTGCCCATTGGTTAGATAAAGTATTTAGTCAGCTCAAGGACTCGCCTTTCGTTGATCGTTTGCTGAGAAGGATTGCACTTTATCATCAACTTTTAGTCGTGGTAAAATGCACAGCGTAGCGCGTCATACTGCTAAGGACTTGAATCTTCCGTTTCGAGTAACCAACGCATTTGCACATCAGCGGTTTTTGAGCTCCAGCTATCTATCTTTAAAGAATCTTGCAGATAGTTTGGAAGTGTACATCGAGACTTTCAAGGACCACGACAATAGAGAAGAGATGGGTTACAAGTTATGTGGTCAAGACTTTGTCCATGATTTGCTTGGTGTACTCGATTTGTTGTGGCCCTTGGTCGTCCTGATGCTGCAAGCGCAGGCTGAGTGGTATCCTGGTTGGAAGTTGTGCTCTCATGTTCCTTTGGTAAAACGACAGATGCAACGTTACATCGAGGAAGTATCTAAAATTGATCCTGATGACTTTGTTTGCCCAAGATTAAGCCAGCGAGTTCATGAAATTCGAGATTACCGCTTTGGGCAAAGTGAGTTGGAAACTGGTTGGTTTGTCGTTAGAGAAGGCGACGGTAAAGTGCCAGTGGATTGGGTAGCAAGAGAAATGCAGGACAGTGTTCATGATCTAGAGAAGCTGGCTGCGGATGTCATTAGTCAGATTGATGTTCGCTACACCAATAGCTTTTCCGACCTCAACAGAATGCTATCAAAGTGTTTTGACTTTGGACGACTTTTTCGTGGTTTATGCGGTTTTCGTTCGGAAGAAAAAAGTCCAGTAAACAACAGGGAGTTTTCTGAACTTGGAGCTAATGAGTTTAGACGATGTGTAAACTTTTCTCAGATGCCACATGTTTCTGAAAAGAATTTTGAGCTTTGTAGCGAGCTATCATCCACAGTGTTTTGGCGTCTAAAGAAAACACTCATTGCCGTTGTTTGGGGTGATATGCTACACACTCACTCCCTAATTTTTCAAGAAGATCTCTCTATGACGAAGGAATTTTTCCTTGCAGGATGTGGTTTTCGAGGAAGGAGTCTTTGTGACTAGGTTCCAAGAAGGTACACCAAGGCAGTTCACCCTTTCTGAGGTCTTCGAAGTGACGCTCAACAATGGTAAAATGATTGACGTTCTTTTAAAGAAGAGGCCGTTATTGAATCTTTATATAACGATTCCTCATTTTATTCAGCTGTCGGCCAAGAGTTTTGTCTCGTCTTTGACATATTTTATGCGAAATGCGGAACTGAGGCTGTTGCCGAATCTTTTTACCGGGTGGTGGATAAGCAAGAAATGGATGGTGGGCAAAGCATAAAAGTGCTAATGAATCGT